TTTAGTAGAGGAGAATAGGAAGCTATAGGTAGCTAATTACTATAAGAAATAAAGGTAGAATAGGTAATAATAGTATATTACTATAGGAGGTGCTCTATAGGCTAAGTAAGGGCGTGCTCTAGCTACTATAGCTCATCTAGCTCTTACTAAGAGTGCTGAGGGTAGACCTACTCTAGTACGCTAGCGCGCACCACCTACGTGTAGCAAGTACTATAAGTAAGAATATAAGTGAAATTAGTGTAGACAGCAATAAACTATCTCTATACAAAATTCCATACAAAAATACCCTATTGTTGTCGAGATATCAGTGCTGAGGTATCGCGCGTTCTGGTGGTGTGCGCCGATGAGTGGTGTGCGCCAATGAGTGGTGGAACACGTTAACGTATAATTATCGTGAATCTCTATCTTCTGTGTCAGAAGTTTCGCAGGACTTAAATTAAGCCACAAAGGCTAGCTGCGTGTGCTTCGGCATTCGGATAGTCTATATTATCGTAGATACCTAGACTGCGGGTTCAATACCAGTGATATGGCCGCATTTACCTTGCCTATCCGCTTATAGCGATTTGCACCCAATAACACGTTTGACACACTACTTAGATAGTCTATGTATCTTATAAAACTACAAAGTATATAGAATTGATATGGGCTTGGGTTACTTGCGGAAAAGTCAACAATACCTCGCCATCGGGATGTTAGTATACTAGGGAACAATCGTGTTGGCTCCATTTGTGGCCGTCTCGCCCACGTAGTCCAGTAGTGTATGCATCTATTCTCTTCTCCATTAACTAATAGGGAATCTTTAAAAGTATACCCCTTCCCCAAAAAGTCAATAAGACATTGTCTGCTAGAAAGTAGCAAAGAAACCGATGCAATGCCAGACTTAAAACTAGGCGAAGCAACCGTCCAGAAACCAACTTCATGTTTTACTTTATGGATCGAATACGCGCTCTTCAGTTGATCTGGTAGCATCGATTACCACATAATCGCGAGTCAGTCAGACTCCCTTGCAACCCACTGTGCCATGTGTTGCAGGAATTAAGTTATGAGTGAATGATGATGGAAATCTTTTGATTTTACACACTTATATACTGGTGAAATGAAAGTGTAGTGGGGGTAGTCATGAGCAAACGCGCAGGCAGGCGCGCTCCTTCCTTTCCAACCCGATTGTAAACGGGCAGCAACGTGGGCGCCTACCTGATGTAGCATTAGTAAAATCAATTATACTTTGCGTTGTTTCTCCAGTAGCTTCCACACTCAACTCGCTCGCTCTGTCCGTCGTACACCTTCACCGGTTTGTGGGGCAGCCTGACAGTTGAATCTAATTGCTCATCTGATTGCCTACCAGTCGTTTAAGTCCGTATAAATAGAAGCGCCCGCCGGTCATTGCGTCTGGACAGCTAATCTAGAACCATCTGTACTCTTTCGGCCATCGCTGATAGCTGCAACACATACTGTGGTTTTAATAATACTGAAGCTATTCGGATGACGAGAATACAAGTAAGCGGAAGGATTATCTCATGAATGCTCTTGGTGCGTCTAGGAGGGCATTTCTCTCACCTAGTAATGCCCTAATTATTAAGGGAATAATAGATTTAGAGTTGCAATAGACGGTACCGGTGAAATCGGAGCGTTTAGAGTCCGTTGAGACCAGATTGTCACTGGAAAATCCGTGTGTGGACATGGTTACTAGCCACAGGTAATGATTGTACTCTAAGTCAGCCGTTTCTTTGCTCGATGTAGAACATTGAAGCAGCCGTGGCATACCAACCGCTAAAGAATGCGCGGATAGTTAGCTTTAATAAGACGCGATAGATATATGGGTTATACATATCTATATTATTAAGGGATCTGACAAGGAACAATTAGCTGTATAATTTCAAGGTTGTGTGTTAGATGTTCAAACCCATAGATTTTGTTATCAACGTCAAGGGGGACGAATCTTGGCCTGTCATGATTGTCTATATAAGCTGATTGCTTACTATCAACGAGCTGCCTATTCGGATGATGTGCAGATGGACCTGAGGTGACAAACACCGAAAGCGGCCACAGACCATTTTGGATAAGTCGATTCACTCACCCTTATCGCTCAAATTCTTTGCTCTGCCGTCGCAATGCTCACAGTGTCCACGAACTGATTGATCTCCTCATTGAATCTCTCCGGCTCTTCCCAGAACAACCAATGGCCACCCTCAAAAACAGACCATCCAGGCTGATATCCACCACCTCTAGCTCTCCGTCCCTCCTCAACTCGTCTGACAGTCTCTTTCATCCCGTCCAGCGGGAAACAGCCCGTCCTTCTTCCGGCCATAACCAGTACAGGTACCTCTATCTGCTCGCAAGCCTCCCTATGATCGTACCTCGTGTGATCAGCTAAAAGTCTGGCTAACCATACAGGGTCGCATCTTCGACTTTGGCTTGTGAAGAACCGCTCATCCTCGCTCTTGCGCTCCTCGCTTGCATCATCGCCTGGCAGCGGGTCGTAACGATAGCCCAAACAGTCCGCCACTAGCCCTTTGAACGCACTCTCAGCATTTTGTATCCACGCCTTTTGTACGCCCAGCATTGATTTCTCGTCAAAGCATCCACGGTGGGCCTTGGACTCGTCCCAAGAACCAAAAGGGGAGCGGTCCTGCAGGGGTGCCTGGTCAACAAAGACCATACCTGCAAAGTCATCGTCGCTGAAAAGCTCCACATAAGTCCATAGAATCGCGGCGCCGATAGAGCAACCCACTGGAACTATCTTTACATCCGGAACGGCATTCCTCACATGCAAAATGAGTGCTTTCAGGTCTGCGGCTAGCCGGGCGACATGATATCCTCCTTTTGGACGGCCAGAGTTGCCGTGGCCACGAAGATCGACCCCGATCACCCAGGCTTGTTGAGAGAGCTGGCTGTAGTTGCGCTGAAAGTACAATGACGACCCCGAGAAACCATGTATAAGGAGCGTAAGGGTGCCGTAATTCCTCTCGAGAGGCAAATAATTAATTGGCTGGGAGCTCTGAAAAGCGATTTTACAGCCATCGTCCGTAGTGATGTAGGAATACTCCATTATATCTGTAGTCTCTACTAAGGCGGAGTGAAGACGAAGAGGGGCAGAACGCTAGACGAAGGTTAAAATTCGGCTGTGGCTGTTGTTAGGTCTAGCTGCAGGCAATAGTATTTGCTTCACGCTAGGATAGATAGTGAAAGGATGACTTAATGGCATTAAGTGAATAATACTTGACTTCCCTGAAGCCGGTGTGCGGCGCGGGGTATACGCAGCCAACTCGCTTGGCACGCTAGGACTCTATCAGGCCTTAGCGCCATATGCCACAACACCATAACGAACTTCGCGATCTGCTCGTTACAGTATAACTCCTATATATATAAAAAGCGTCCCTTAGCTACTACTTAATCTAATCTGTAAATATCTATATATTATATTACCACGTTATTAAGATATTCGCTCGTAGAGGTGCGTAAAGTTGGTGGGGTGACCGACTCGCTTATAAAACACGTTAAGATAACTTAATCATTGTCCGGCTTCCGGTTGCAGCGTTTCTTTTATTACGTTCGCAAATGGCCTTTGCAAATCTAGCGCGAATCTAGGAGCTAAACGATCCCACTACTTTTCTAATGTTAGCTTGTGTCATATGAAGAGCCCGTCAGCGGTTCAGGGACAGGTGCATTCACACCGAGATACACAAATGTTGGAATTGGGGACCGATTTTGAAAGCATTCTCACATATCTATATTACGTGTGAATTTGCCTTAATCAACTGATTTGTAGCGATGCAGAAAGGTTTCAGATCTGTGGAGGATTTTGGAACTCTCTCGTGACTGCCCTAAAGAGTGGAGGTCAGTTGTTCATGACTTTGGCGATCAGCGGGGCGGTATCTCATGATCAGGTAAATTACACAACGGATCAAGTATGGCCTTTGAGTCCCTCTGAGGTAGTCCCATTCCGGCCTGATACTTCTCTTGCCTTTACTTCATGTAACCGTAATTCCGCGCAATATTTTGCGCGACCTTCATGAAATCGGCGATATAATCAGGTAATACTTAACGAACTTCTAAAATACACTAGGACATGCTTTTTGGATTGATCCCTTCGTTGAAGGATAATAATCGATTCCCATTCTCGGCAAGCATAATAAGCTTAGTTATTCCCTATGTTATGAGATGCACGGTGTGCTGACACGACTTTGGAAATAAGATAAGTTGGAAGCTGCTTCGAAAGATACATGGAGTTTTCATTGGCATAGGACTGTCAAAGAAATGCGCGCTCTGCCGAGACAGTGCCCGGCGCGAAAGATGGAAGCAGCTAATATGAAGATCGCATACGAGTCTGGCCTCGTTACCAACCCAATTATTTTGCTTTTTAAGAGCTCGTCGCCAGATTCTATTCTTGCTGCGCTTGATTTGCTTAACAGAGTTGCTGAAAGGATAGCATACAATGGTGTACTACTACAAGATCGAGTTGCAAGCCTCCAGCAAGAGACCTTAAAAAAGACAGAGAGAGGAGATTATTGCTCAAAAATGAGATCAAGGAACAGATTAAGGGGAAATAACGTCAAGATGGGGCTTGATCAGGTGGCAGCCGCCAGGCCTCAGCGCGCTGTCCGCGGTGCATCCCGAACCTATTGAAAGCGTGCTACAGATAGTAGCTAATGCTCTATAGATCTTAATTCGGCGGGTGTGGGTTTTCAACTTCATGTTCTACTAAATGGTCCGGTAGAAGAGCGCGTACTGAGCGCCCCGTCACAACCATTCTGCTGCCAGCTGCCCTCCCTACCTGACGGGCCTTACGCCGGGCTTTTGGAACTCTGTCCAGGGATTCTTTGCATTATTGGCGATCTATGACTGCTATTTAGTGTCCAGCTGACCTTTTTTGCGGCCTGATTGTTCCGGGCTGGTTCCGGACGAAGTTCAGAATTGGATGGTTACTAACGGTATATAGTTACCTTTGCTTAACTCGGTATTATGTGAGGTAAAGAATGACTTAAATATTAGCGTAGGAGCGTCTGGTGCTAGTAATACATAGGTATTTCCTTCTTGTGGCTTTCATCGAGATTTCGAAGGTGCCTGCAAAGTGCAAATGAACGAGATATCTGGCAAGTAGTGCCAAGGTTGCTAGGGCTTAAGGGGCCAGTAGTTGTTGTAGTTCCTAATTAATGATCGACTGTATTTGCGTTAAATTTAGATCAGGCTTCAGTTCGTGCAATGATTAGGCATCAAAGGTTTGTGGCATGCTTGAATAACACAGACACAGTGCAAGCAATCCAGAAAACATGGAACCAGCGTACCCTACCGACGGGAGATTCAAGATCGCCACCTTACATTTAGTCACTGGTGATTAAGTCAAGTCGAGCGCAATAGGTGGCGGTGTTCGCATTAGACTCCAACGTTTGCACCGCCACATAAAGCGGGGTTTTCATAACGTTATATAGCGGTGCAAACGTTGTAGTCCAACGCGAACACCACCACATTTGAACAAGGGTGATCTGCCCTATAGAATACGATGAAATACATCATACAAATCTGTTCTTGACCACTCTTAAGAGAAATCCATGCTGGGTCGTTCATCATGAGCAGATGCCGTCGTGGTGTTTCGGTCTGAAGAAGATGTAGTCGTATCGAGAGAGCTGCTTGACCGGAAGTCGTCAGCGTAGTCTACTCGAAACGAGTGCTCATAGAACACCTCATTTCCATGTTTTAAAACATAACCCATGCTAATGTACATCCATTTGTAGCGGAACAACCATCGTAACGAAACATTCTATCGGTACTTGAACTTGGAAGCGAAACTGTTAGGCTGTGTAATTTTCCATCATGTTATCTAATGTTACGTACCCAAGCGCCGCCCCAAGCCATCGGGTCCGCCACCAACCAATCAGTTGCCGCATCCCCAGGCCACGAGCAATGCAGTTCCTACCTAGGTGTGAAACCATCTCTTAAGCGCTGACAGCAGTGGGTTGGATGACGTTTGCCGGCTAGCCGGTTGGTAGGAGCGTGCTTGATGGTGATTAGAAGGACGCCCGACCACGATGTTTGGACGCAGTGTAGAGCAGGGAAATTGCAGGATGAGAATGTACTCGTGATGCTGGGAAAAGTGGGATGGCGATATCGATATTGCCGCGATAGGGAACAGGCCGGTTTTGTGTGCCGGTTCGCTGCAAGCTATGGAAACGATCAACGCAAGGTAGCGGGTGCGTACGCGCGCATTGTGTGCGGCCCCGCGCTGACAGGTGCCTGGGATGGTGTCGCGCTGTTGCACAAAAGAGCATTCGACCCCCGGGTTGGAAACGTCAAGCGGATCTGGATCCACTCCAAACATATTCTTTCCCAACGTCTATTCGTTTTTCCAGGCTGTGCCTGTCTTCAACTTACCGGTGCTGTGCATCTTTACAACGACTAATAAGACAAACAACTAAATCCATCTTACGATCTTATCTATCGCCACCCATCGACAATATGCATGCCAGTCTCATCCTCCTCGTTGCGTCCCTTGCGACCTCCGCGGTTGCCGCGCCCGTCCCAGTTGTGGCCCCATTCGAAAGCCGGGAGTTGTTGATGGTTGGAGAAGTAGACGTCTTGAAGCGCGAGATTCTCGAGCGACTAGAGGCCATTGCTAAACGGGGCGCTCCTCAGGGCTACGAAGGAAATGTAGAGGTCTACGACGAGCGCGATGGTGGACGTCCTCCATTCGCTTCTTCAGGCAACGACAAGCTTGCAGGGGACCAGAACTATGAGCTATCGAACGACAACCGTAGCGACTATTCGCTTGAAGTCGGACCATCGCATAACAAGCGGGATGACGGACGTCCTGTGTTCGCACCGAAAGGAAACGACAAGCGTGATGGCGTACGCCCTGTATTTGCTCCCAAGCGCAACGATAAGCGGGACGGAGGGCGTCCTGTATTCGCACCTTCAGGCAACGATAAACGCGATGGTGGGCATCCTGTATTCGCTCCCAAAGGCAACGACAAGCGCGACTCTGGAGAGGACTTCGTCAGTTCCGATGCGTCTGACGAGTGAAAAAGCAAAGCGCAAAGCGGATTTGTTCGAAGAGCTGTGATTGTTTGTCTCCTTTACCGACCTTCTTGGTCCTTGATAGTGGAATGTGGAACGGAGCTAGGTCCGATACCTTGTGAAGTGCAATAAAGCTCGCTCGGCTACAATGTGTCATTAGTGAACTCACTGGGGCTCACCCGTGACGTCCCAAGTGATCTGATTGTGATCTGACTGGACAATTCGTGTAATAAGCCATCTCAGCGCCAATAGTTGCTGCGCTTTACACAGCATAGGTAGATTCGAGAGCTGTAACACAGATAACAACAACATCAATATATTTTGACATTTGTACCTTAGCATCGAGTGCGCTGTGTTGCATGGCCATGTACAGACCGCTTGACGGTCTCGCAGGTCGTCTATTAAGTTTTCACCATCATGAGCCAAATAGATCTGAACACGATTCTTGCGAAGATGGTAATTAGCTCGTTAATCATGTATTAACATTACACGCCTCCGCTGTTCATATGATATTCTTTTTCACTTCACAGGGTTCTAAATCCAACCTTGTGGCGGCTTTGGCGGGGGCTTCGGCTTCCGTGCGATTGGAGATAGTACATGCCCCGAGATTCGCCAGTTCTTCGTAGGAAGCATTCTCACGTTAAGTTCTTTTGCCTTAGCTCGAGGCGTACCTTGCCCGTCTAAAGTCGTGATCTTCCGCTGCATCTCGTCAGGCAGTCCATAAAGAAGTGTCGCGATGGCCGAATTCTTCCAGACACCAACGCGGTCGTTCTCCATCGAAGTGCGTATAACAGTGCCTGCAAGGAAATTTAAAGCCAAGACCAATAGTGCGAGGGGTAGAGAAAGCCACACCCAGCGAACTCCAATATACGTTTCCGTACTGAAAGACTTGCCTATGGCCGCATCGTCGCTCGACCGCCGGATAGTATTCGTCATGACTGTCGCAAGTCTCTCCATATGATGTGTTATGTTGTTTGGTGCAGTCCATGGATTTATCGGGTATTCCCGTACGTATGGAACTTCTTGGTGACGAGGCTGACGGAATAGCGGATCTCTCACCAGAATGACGAGCGGCTGCATTGCTCGTCCCAGAACAGAGAATGCACGAACGGAAGCGAAAGCGGACATCGTTGCAGTCAAGTCAATCATAATTGTTAGAGATCTATTTGATTTACCTAACGCCAGTCCAACTTTATATTTGACATGGGAACGCATGTGCATGTCAAGGAAAACTACACATAACCGAACTTGGAAGACTCTGAAGCAAGGCTAGGACTTGATAGGATAGAAGATGCTCTCGATGTTCGCACTGGTAAATCACGCACTTGCCGTTCCTTAGGTCGGTCAGCTCGTCTAGATATCAAATCCTCTTGCGCTCTGTAATCCCTCTGCTGTCTGTCTCTTATTTGACTGATGATGCGAAGACAGGCTTGAAGCTCAGTTCTTTCCTCCGGTGTTTGCCCATCAAGACTAAGCCACTTTACGCCCTTGAAAGTTTCGACATGGTCTAGCTCAGGATGCCGGGGCTGACCGAACAGTGCGATGTTCCACGACGACACGTTGGTGCTATCCTCAGCCGAAAGCTGAGTTATAGTGAACTTTTCCCGCTTCGGAGGGTTGCATTCGAGAACTGTCCTTCGACATTCCGCTTGCTTTACCTCTTTCTGGGAGCCGCAGTCGCAGGAAGGGAAATGCATCTCCATATCTGGAGCAACTGCGACCTGTGTAAATTTGTGTTTTTCTCAATCCTCAGAAGGGTGCATTTGGGAGGGATAACTTACGCTTAAGCACTAGAGTTGTGGGTTTTTTGTTGATTTCCGTGAACACAACTAGCAGAGGCAGCGTAGGCCGTTGCAAAGCTACTGCGTTTCCCGCACCAGTTGCAGGCATTAACGTTCGAGGGCGAGGCCGAAGCGTCGATGCCATAGTGTTATTACTGTGGATAGAATCGGCTCTACTCTGTCTAGGATAAGCACCGAGGAGCGAGGGTGGTTGAAATTCCTTTCCAACATTTATGAGCGACTTTGCCTGCCATATTTGGACGCGGCCGACTCCTTGAATCTTTTCTGTTCTGGTCCAAGAGTTTGATCGGTGCAAAGCCCAGCGTTGGTTTGACCTACAATGATAAGACACAGATTTGGGTAGCATACGTGAGACTCACTTGTCCAGTACAACCTTGTATCCGAGCAGTGCCTGTTGGAACTTGTGAAGATCATCATCCACCTTGAATTGATATGTATATCCACTGCTTGCGCCAGGGAAACATAATTCTATTATCTTGTCATACGGTACTCTTGGTCGGCCGGGCAAAGCATATCTTGGTATGACCTGCACGAGTCAAGTTATTGAGTGAATAGGATGTATTGCGAGGGTGTTCTCACCTGCACTTGGTGCATGTTAACGACCTTGCTATCTTCGTTTGGCGTGTGTGTGTTCCCTCCATTCAGGCGCGATGTGACCGTCACGAGCCGAAGCTCGTTGCGCGGCCTCCGAAATACTATCAGCTCTTTTTGTTGTTGGCCATGGTCGCTCAAAGATACCTCAAAGATCTTCTCTTCCGATTGACTTTCGTCTGCCTCAGTAACGGATATGGCACCTGTCTCTTCTTGCGGTATCCAGATACGGAAGGATTCTAAGTCTAGACTAGCAATATTTGCCTCTTCGGCAACGATCTCCTGCTCATACTTTGCATATTCCACCTTGATCTGTTCTTGCATACTCTCCAGGCACCATCTCCAGAGGGATTCGGGACCCGCTTCCCTTAATGTAGCGCTCTCAACCATTCGATCAAAGATCCAGCGAGCTTTGATGAGATTGTTCAGTTGTTGAACCGTCGGGTGCCAAATTCCAAGGCCGTTGCCCTTGAACTTGATCGTGCTCTATGTACACTCAGTATCTAGCCATATCTATAGATGATGTGCAACAGACCTGCTCCAGTGAAACTGCAAGGGCATCCAGTCCTTCTCGCAAGGGAAATCGAGTGGGATCCACATATGTGTCGGGCTTGCTCATTTCAAGCGCCACTATGTATTGATCATGGAGTGCTGGCATAACGGGATGTAAACGATCTTTCCTCGGCCCTCCAGATAATGAAGCTAAAATTTCTCGCAGAACAAGAAGTGGTAGTCGCTCAATTTGTAGTTGTATATCCTTGATGGCGCTTGCTGTTGCGGCTTGAACGGACACGGACAGAGTCTGCATAAACACACTGATCTTGGTGCAATGCAATTGAATCCGTCCCCTCAGCTTGTCAGCTCTTTCGATACCCCCAAATAAATGCCATTTTGCATTATCCCACGCGTTGGCTTTCTTAGTTAAATATTTCCCGTTCTCTTCGAGAAGGTCCTGGCATTCGTGAACTGTCTCGAGAAAGCCCCCGACTATCTCCGCTTGCTCGTGCTTCTCCTTCAACGTCTTCAGCTCCCACGAGTGGTAGTCGACAATGGATAACTGTATTTCGCGGACGCGGGCGTATTCAGCAAAGGCTTTCCCAAGCGTTTCCAACAGCCCCTCAAGGCCGGCTACATCGCGACCAAACTGGGAGTAAAGTATATCTGCAGCATTGCTCTTATTAGTGGAACATGTTGTTGAATCTGGCAGACAGTGCACGAACCTGCACGATTCAGCCTGGTGAACCAGATTTCTTTGATATCCTTTGCAATTTGACCAGCCTTAATGATGTCGGCGAAGCTGAACCCGAACGACATCGGACTGTTCGATACGTGTGGGTCGATGATTGAATTCTAACATTCACATAGGTACTGCACGAAAGAGAGATGATCCCTCCTAGCTTGCAGTATATGTAGAATATCTGCCTAGTTCAGCCAGAGAGCGTTTAGCGGAGTCGAGAGTTCAACGCTGCGCCACTGCATGTGATGGAAGGGCTCGTATCGCCTCATTTTGGAGACTTGATTGGCACGCGATCAACTACCGCGCACCGTCATTGGTAACTCCAAGAAATGCGACGCAGCCACCAATAATATTTAGCCACACAAGGCGTAAGGCAAATACGACAGCAGGCGAGTTTTAAGGCCACGGAGCCTCGATTATGCCGGATGCATAGCCTACTGTGTACGTTTTGGGCTGACCGGTTTGACGCCACACATGGAGGCAGTGAGCGATAGCAGCTCTTATCTCCTCCTGATTTTCCCCGCCCTATGTATGAAAAGTCACAGTACCCCATCACCATCCTCGCGAGAAAGGTAATTCGCATCCCCCGAAAGCCACCCTGATCAACGACATGGAGGAAGTGCATCCCATACCGGTGATGGCCAGCCCTGCGCCCGGGAATTTTGATGAGGAAGACCTGGTCCATGTCGACTTTAATCATGAGCGGATGCGTAAAGAATATACACCAAGTCGACAGGAAAAGCTGCGCTCGTTCACTGTAATGTGTCTCATCTTCAATCGCAGTATCGGCTCTGGTATATTCGTTACCCCCGCGAAAATTCTTAGAGCGACTCAAAGCGTTGGCATTAACATTATCTTTTGGGCCGTTGGAGGTTTCATTACTATATGTGGAATACTCGTATGGCTAGAGTTCGGACTTTCAATTCCTCGGGAACATGTGGATGGTAAAGATCGCGCTGTTCCCCGTAGCGGTGGGGAAAAGAACTATGTACGCACCCTCAATGGCTTGATTTGTGGGAAACTAACTTTGGCAGCTAGAATGGGTTCTTAGGAAACCGAAATTTCTGGCGACTTGCATGTACGGTATCGCCTTCGTCATCCTTGGTAACCTCTCTGGGAACGCCGTTGCCTTTGGAAGATACGTCCTGTTGGCAGCTGGGCATGAAGACCCAGGGAAAGGACCGGTCATTGGCATTGCTATCGGCGCCTTGACAGTTGTAGCACTTCTCCATGCAATATCCAGAAGAGGCGGTATCGTGGTGAACAACTGCTTTGCCGTTCTCAAGATTGGCATCCTTTTGACCATCATCATCCTCGGATTCACCGTGCAAGGCGGTAAAAACTTCAACTCAGAAGGAGCCAGGTCACATGGCTCCACCTTCAAGCCAGGAGACACCTTTTCCGATCCAAGTCGGGCATTAGCCAGTTACACTACCACGTTTCTGTACGTCTTGTACACCTACTCAGGGTTTGAGCAGCCATTCTACGTACTCAGCGAAGTGCACAGGCCGAGGAAATACTTCGCCCGAGCTGTCGTCTCTGCCTTGGCCATACTTACGCTGCTCTTTGTCCTGGTCAACATCGCCTATATGTGCGTGATTCCCCTTGACTTCATTCTGGATCCGAAAAACGCAAGCACGGATATCACAAGCATGTTCTTTGAGTTGGTATTTGGCAACGATACTGCCAAGCGCATCATGCAGGCCTTGGTTGCGTTCTCGATTCTGGGGAACTTAATTGTGATGACTTTTACCGCGACCCGTGTCAAGCAAGAGATCGCAAAGGAAGGTATACTCCCGAAGAGTCTCTGGTTAGCCACCTCAAGGACAACACCAACCGCGAAATTACTCAACAGGATCACCAAGAACGAAGTAAATGGTGGTGGGGCCACTGACGGTGACGAGCATCTGGAACAGTCGCCAATGGCTGCCCTTGGTTTGCATTGGGTATCTTCTGTTTTTCTACTTGCAGTAACATCGGCATTGAAAGTGGACGATTCATACAACTTTCTGGTCTCCTTGTACGCCTATGTTCTTATCTCTCTCATGGGATTCTGCACCAGTCTCGGGCTCCTATATTCTAAATACATTCGAAAGGATTTCCTATCGCAACAGCCTCCATTGGGTGGTCCGGCAGCGGCCATGATCTACTGGTAAGCTTTATTCGTTTCGAAGTCCCTCAATCATTCCCTTTGCTAATGAAGTACAAGTGTATGCAATGCCTTCTTCCTCATAACAGCATTCCTCAATCCACCCGGCAACCAGGCAAGAACGGTCTCTGTCATGCCCAACTACGTGGTGCCCAGCATCGGTCTCTCCACAATATTGTGGGGCGTCATTTGGTGGCTAGGTCTTCAATTTGTGATGAAACGGCGAGGCCAGCGTCTAGTTGTAACACGGACACCGTATTGCGAGAAGGGCGACGAGAAAGGAGAGTGGGTCCTGAAGTATGAGATCATCGACCATGTTTGGAGGGCGAACAGTGAGACCGGAAGTGTGAGAATGATGCAAAGACTTGGAGAGTAGGTCGCATGTCGCTTGGGTGGTTAGTGGGGTTGCTATGCTTTTTTGGACTTTGATTCCCGAGTTCGCATCATGGAACCTTTTCCACCCGTCATTCTACCTAAATTGTCATTAGACTAGTCCCACATGCAGGATCACACGGACGCCCACATCGATAGGGCCAAGTGTATTCACCATTATCTTCTAGCTCTGTTGTAGGCAGGCCTATAAAATCGACTCGACTTCGAGAGCCGGCAAGTCATCGCCATTAAGGGATTTAGTGGTCCATCGCAATTCCGCAGGCTATGTGCAGACCTCATACACCGGGTCACACGGCCATTTCTGACCCATCTCTGGCAGTGTCTGTGCAGTAGGCGCCGTACCATGCTCCCTCAATTCCCAAATCCATCGTCTCCCCTCGATTTCTTTGACCACAAAGTACCCAGCATTTGGATAGTTGTTTGCCACCGTCTGGTTTCTGAGGACGCCGCCGTTGAAACCCTGAGTGGTGACAACTCCGCCCCTCCCCTTAGGGTCCCAAGTGTCCGGTGATGCAACGTAGTAGTCGCGCCACTGCTGCCAACCGGTCCCGTAATTCTTACCAATGGCGCTGCTGAACCCTTTATAGATTTGCAAGAAGCCATCATAGTTGTACCTCGTGTTGTTCCAGCCGAATCGTCCGTCGGGATGGATCGCGTTGGTGAAGCCTTCAATCCAGTCGGTGTCGTCGGCACTCTCCGTTCGCGGGTATGGATAAAAAGCTTAGGTGCACGATCAGCGACTGCAGTTGCAGCGATGATGGACCTTAGGATACGCATCTAGTACTTGACACTCAACCCAAGCTGCAAGCTGAACGTGACGTGGCTCTGTCACGTTATCTGCGTGTTTGCAAGCAATGTCAGGATTGATGTGGAGACGAGCAGCAGCAGCCTGGCTGGGAAACGGCGACGGTGGTACACCAGGCCTGTATGGAGTGTTTGTGGCGGACGCGGCTGCAAGGCCACTAGTAGCATCTAAACGATACGTTAGCCTCTTTACTTCGCGGTAGTTTTTCAGTTGGAGATTCTAACTAAGAATGGTAGTCCAACGCATGTTGCCGAATCTAGTTCGCAAGGGACTGACGAAGTAGTTGCACTGCGCAAGTGTCCTAGAAAAGTGAGGTGTAAGAGCGATTGAGCGAATTTACAGGGCAGGAACTATTGACAGCTAGTGAGCACCTTCCGTTTGCCAGCGAGAATCCCATGCTGTCATATTATATCCCAAGCGGCATTCCGTACGAGACGAGCACGTCCAGCCGTTCGCATGGGTGTGGCCCACAATTCAAAGATACAGTATACCTCAGCCGTGCGAGAGAACTGTTGTCGGAAATTTGGCTTGTTGGTTCGCGTACTTGTTCACACTAGTGGCATCATGCTAGAGTGGTCTTCTCCTAGTGCGCGCTACTTCTATGGGACATTAGCGTGGCATATACCTAAACCAGCCCGAAAAGTTGGCGACCGTCGGAGTGTCCGACAAGAAATCCCAATGCCGACGTACGAGCATGAGTCAGGACGTCAAATACTTTTGCGAGATGACGTAGGGTACATGTGCACGCAGGCTGAGTTGACAAGAGTTCGTGTACTAGTATCAACTATGTTACCCTACCCTGCACACAACCTCGACGCTTCTTTCCGACCCAAATCTAGGAGACGCATGACCACGGCCATCTTGCAACAGCGTCCAGATTCGCAATGGGGTGATTGCAGAGCTTGCTCTGACCGTCATGGGCACTTGGTCTAACCGTATGTAGGACGTGACCGTGCGATCTTGTCCAAGGACTAGAGCCCGACGAGCTCGTCTTGTCGACAGGCGCCTTTGTGGAGAATACTATGCGCGGGTGGAATGTTGTCCTTCATCCTAATTTGCAGTGCAGTAGTCGTGCTGCCGCTTGGGTAGCGCGTGATATGACCTTTCTTGCTCACGGCCGCAATGTCAGCCGCGATGATCAATCCGTACTTTCCGCCGCGGATAGTAGCCTTCTCGTCAGAGTCGGGTAACGTGACTACCGCAAGGCCTGAAGTAAATGCCACATATCTAGCAACGCATCAGCGGCTACCACGACGCCAGGCTTCAAAGAAGGATCACGTGACTTACTGAACAGCTGGAGCATTGTGGAGACCGCCGTCGAACTTGGGAGGCAGGATGGTGAGAGTGAGGTTGGTGGTATCGCCTAGCTGCTGCGCCTTGGTCCCTGCAGTCCCGGGGTCCGTCGAAGTATCGAAGGGCCGGGTGATCTGCCAGCACTCAATGGTTGATCTTCCGCCGGCTGCGCCAATGGCAGTAATGTTCAAGTGCGTCGTGTTTTGCGCAACCGCGGCCAGGGACATGAATTGGAAGAGGACCGCGACAACCCAAAAGAGGGGTGCAGGCTTTGTGCGAGCGCCGGCGACCATGTTGGCTATGACTGCAACTGTGCGACAAAGCTCCGGGTGAGGGTTGCTGACCAGGCTGGAGGTGACGGCACTTGGGGTCGATTTAAGGTACAAGCTTTCATTGGCGAAAGGGAAGGCCCGCTGACAGGTGCTTGGGTGGCGCCTGCCGGGATGCGTACCCCGCACGCATACGAGGAAAGAACGAGGAATGCGTTCGTCGGCATTCACCTCCATTCGTGTTGGCCTCAGCTGCCAACGCAGCCCACTGCAGCATCTTCCAAATTTGGCAACATCTCCAGGAGCACAAGAACGCACCACTCGTATCCTCGCCTTCTCTTATGAACACGATATCGCTATCGCCTGGACAGGCATTCTTGACCCCTGTGGCACATTCCCGTCATCCAGCTCTCCCTCTATGGTGCATACACTGTGTCTGTCTGACCGTGGTCCTCCAGTCGTCCGCCCAATCTAGCCCAGTCCATTATGTCTAGCAAGAGGCACTCGAGTTACACCGCAGCGATCTTCGAAACCGGTCAGCTTTGAATGAACAGCTGCCCCAAGATGCCGCCAGATATAAGCATTTCTTGGTAGCTTGCGCATGTCCGCCCGTCATCTTCTCCACTTCACGACTCAAATGGTAGGAAGTCATGGCTGTCACGCCAGCCGCCACGCCTCCTCACGGGCTAGAATCTGATTTTGTTCATCCTCCTTCCGAAGCCCAGACTGTATACATTGTCATGAGCGTATGTCTCGGCTTGGTCACGCTACTGGTAGCCATCCGCATCTACACTCGGGCTCGAATCACAAAGTCGCTGTGGTGGGATGACTGTGGGTTGCTCACGCTGCTTTGTCGTTTTCTTTCCCGCATATTAATCTTCTCGTTTTGACTGACTTTGCTCTAGGGATGAGTCTGCTGGCTTGGGTAAGCAGACGAGAAATCTGTGATGTCTACGAAGTCGCCAGAAGTAACCTTGTTAGGTGTTCTTCATTGCACTACTGCGAGTCACCTTCGGAGCTGTCGAGAATGGCGGAGGCGTCGACATCTGGAATCTGCCAAAATCGAAGTACATGCACTTCATCAAGGTACAACCCGCAGGGTATTCACGGAGACAAGATCTTGCTGACCTGCGTCGGTAGTATTGGAATCTTATAATGATCATGGCCCGCGTCGATATTACTCTGGCCAAAGTCGCTATTCTTTTACTCTATCTACGCATCTTTGTGCCTCACCAGACCGGATCTCGGCAGATGTGGTTTTGGATTTGGTTCATGGTAGTTTTCAACGTTGTATACTGCCTGGTGCTCATTCTGCTCATCCAGCTACAATGCGTCGGGCACAAGACTCCGCAAGCAAACGGCAGCTGCCTTGATCAGCACGTATGTCTACATGGATCTGTCTCGAGACACTGCTTACCATTCCCCTTTAGCTTCTTCTTATCACGGCTTCCGTCATCAACGTGATTACCGAAGTTGCAATTCTCGTAGTTGCTGTAGTCGCAGTCTGGGGACTCCGAATGCCAATCGGCAAAAAGGTAGCCTGCGTTGCTGTTTTAAGCTTTGGGTCAGCGTAAGTATGCTCACAATAGTAGTGCAGAGATGGCATAAAGCTGACCGATAAGTGGCATCGCATTCAGTCTGGCTCGACTGATCTGGCAATCTCTCACCAAGAATACCAATCCGACCATGTACAACATGACAGTCATCATGCTGGCGTAAGTGCTCCGACAGCTTCTGCCCGTAAACATTGGCTGACTTCCTACAAGTACTGCCGAGACAACTGTCGCCATCATGGCGGGGTGCATGCCGCTCCTCTCTTCCTTCTACAAGTTCCACTTCCAACGGCATATCAGGACAATCACCTCGAACAAGAGCATTTCGCGAGATTCGGGAGCCCACAAACCGGGCAGAAAGCCGCACCATCCGCTGAGTATATCAACCACCGAGCTGGTATCGAGAGACATTGCGCTGGAAGAGCTAAGAACGCAGAAATCACGCGTTGGTCCATAATTTTATACCCTTATCTTGATGTCCTAGTTCACTTCAATACCAAATAAGCTGTCGAATCGATTCCGTCTTCCAGCCGCATACTCAGTCACCTTCTCGTCTCCACTGCCCTCACTCGAGCTGCTGCTACCCTGTATGCTGTTTTGTTGATATAACTTTCCGATAAAATCTTGAATGTTCCAAGCGATTCTCTCCGCCCCAACTCGGGCGCCCACAAGATTTGGCGCACCCGGACCAAGTCGGAGCCCTGCCAAACGGCCAGTAACGAAAAGTGGAACATCATCAGCCCACATAAGGTCGTCGTTGAGACATGGTAGGCCACCAACGTATTCAATTGGATATTCCTTTCGTATAGTGTCGAGAACGGGAAGATGCTCGATATCTGACTGTATACCGGTTGCAAAGACGACATGGTCGATTGGTGGTAGTGAAAGCGTGGGGGCTGTGGTAGTTGATGTCCACTGGAGCAGATTTGGGTTCCAGGCAAGCGACTGCAACGTTGTATGGGTATGGAGCGAGATCTTGCCGCTTGCTACGTGAGCATCGAGGACCTTGCGGTATCGCGGGGTTATGCTGCCACCGTTTCGAGCTTCCGCAATCATCCGAAACCGTTCTATTGCGCATTAGCCTTTGCACAAGTCCCAGCGTATATGCTTCATGGTGCTCTCACCCTCGTCGGTGTCTGCTGACCAGAAAGCTGCCTGGTTGAAGTTCCGGAATTTCCCGACCCACTGTAGCTCCACATCAAAGTACTTCACTTTCACATTCCCACGCATGAGTAACCAGACTTTATTCACTCCCTTTTGGATAGCGAGGTCTGCAAGCTGAATACTCGTCAGTCCGCCACCGACAATCAAAACATTGGTGGACAGGCGTTGAGCGACTCTTGCTGCCACATGTGCCGGGGGATACTGTTTGATCTGCATGGCATGAGAATACCCTTTGTGTGGTATGTTTGGCGTGATTCCAGTTATTGGCGGTATAACAGGCGCGTTCCCAGGTCCAACAGCCAAAACCACAATGCGCGCGTAGCGCACACACTTGTCCGTAGTGACGCGAAATAACTGCTGGTCATCGTTCAATTCATCGTCTGAAATGAAGCTATCGTGCGCCCCGTCTTCCCATGCCGATGCGTTCCTGAACTGAACATCGACGACTTTCTCATGCTGGATTAGATTACGTCCGAGGCTGTACCGAGACGAGACCTCGTCGCAATGAGCGCGAAACAGCGTGCTCGAGGGCGTAAAGTAATCTTTGCGATCTCTCTCATCGACGTCGGGGCCACTCTGGGAAATCCTTCCCCGGCTCATCTTTTTCTTCTTCCGATGCTTGCTGACTTCCTTCCCAGCGCATCCAGGTAGAGGCTGCAGCTCCTTTTCCCTGTTGTGTTCGTAGGTGTAACCTAAAAGCGCGTCCCGGTCGGCTGGATCGATGTGGAAAAACATCGGACTTCGAAGGTATTCTATACCAAACGTCTTGAAGAGTCGATTCCATTTGCTCATCCAGGATGGACCGTCCGCGTCCAGGACAAGCATGTCGAGCTTCTTATCGGGCTGGTGGCCACAGGCTGACTGAACATATGAGGGGGGCAACTCAAGAGAGTCTGTATTGGTGCGGTAGTTCTTGATGTTCATCTTGTGGCCATGCTTGCGGATCCAGTGATAACGCTGATGCTCGTCGTCGGTGAATGTTGCTGATGGCGTGTGCTCACGGAGTCTCGCCGCAACTGCAAGGCCACAAGGACCTGCACCGATAATGAGGACGTCGTAAATGTGCATTGGCGTGTGGCAAGATGTCCGGATAATCGCTGAAATGACCTTCTCCACCCGAGTTACAACACGACTACAAGTTTAGTAGGCGCAAAATCAGTAGGTGATGGTTTCAATCGAAAGCCTGAAAGCAGTGAAGCCATTTTTGATTCATCGTTGCTGATGACGCAGCTGACTAAAACCGCACTTGAGTACCTAGGTGTATACATGCGGGTACCCTGTTGGCCTTCGACATCATGGTACCAACACGAGATCACCTGGCATCACGAGACACGAGATACCATGATGCATTTTTGGTATTAATTAATGAAAATTTTCTCACTCAACGATACGCAATGAGGATTTCCAGTCCCGATCTTTGTTGTTCGTGTTTCACGCGTTCAGCCAAATCTACCATGCCTTCCCAATAGCACAGTTCAACCCTTCTGAGACCTCTGAACATGTCAATGAGTTGTACCTTGAGTGCATCGATCTGAATCATGCAAGGTGTGGAAAGCCGAAGACTAGCCAAGCGCTCCCGCTGAGCCATGTTCAATTTGTTGTGAAGCATTTTCAGGTCACTGAAAGTAACTGCCGTAAAAAGAGTATCACCACTGCAGACGAGCGTAGCCGTCTCGTTGTAGATTTGACGGCACACTTGCAGGAGGCTGAGGTTCGCACTTGGCGACTTGTAATCGTTTGAAGGACCGACTCTGTATAGCCTTGGTGCAGCCATGAACGCGCGCACCTCCACCTTCAGACCCGCCAGAGCGTCTCGAAAGATTTTGTTACGGATTTCCGGAGGAAGCTGCAAAAGTAAAGTTTCGGCGTTTCGTTGGACGCTGTGGCGTGTGTTAAAATCATGTCCACTGCAATATTGGTACCATAAGTATCTATAGTAGTGAACTTACACATGGACCAGATGTGTCGGAGTGTGTTCAAGGGAGAGCATATCGTTAGCAAGAACACTCAGTCTTGGAAAAGGACTCGAGGCGGCTCTGGACTGTTCACTGCAAACATGTGTTTCGACTGGCACATGGAGGACAGTGCGAGAGCAGTCGTTCATGATGGCTGAGTATAGCGTCAGTAAAGCTGTCGATTACCAGTATGATGTTTGGGGGACACTCTTTCCTCGATCATATCGGCCTGGTTGGCAATGAATCGCCAAGACACTAAGCACGACGCTATCCCGCCCAGTGCAACAACAAGTGGCGCTAATCTAGATTTGGAAATGTCGGTGAATGCGGGTTGGTCAGGTACATGCGCGATACATCTAGCCGAAGAGCTGTGTATGTCAAATGAGAGCAATTGTCAGTCTTAGACAGCTTACTATTGATTACGCTGTAGGCACTCGAAGCGATCAGTAACCATAAATTGATTATTAAACGTTCGGCAGTCGCGGCACAATATTCTGTACTAGCCACGAGAAAGATAACAGGCACATGTACATTCAGAGAATACGATCGAGAATTGCATTCGTGTAGAGACGCTATCCCTCTTGCACACGTATATAAGATATACAGATCTCCTTTACAACAATCATGCAAGCCCCTACTGGCATCAAGCAACATATTGGCTTTTGCCTAACGTCACCTTCACTCATGAGTACAGCTCCTCGTCCCCATCAGCCGCACTCCCAAACCCTCCCTCGGCAATATCGAGGCTGTTTTTGCTGGCGTGACTCACAGCAGGCACCTTGCCCTTGCCCTTTCCTTTTCCGAGCACACCGCTGGCAGACCCGTTGATATTGATGTTTTCAGTGTGTACGATAAGGGTCTCGTCGTCTGGCGGCGCAGCGGCCTTGCCCTTCCCCTTACTTGAGGTCGGAGATGGCGCGGTGCCGTTCTGTGATGGTCTACTACTCTCATCTTTTTTTCCTGTTCCCTCGAATGTCTTCCTCACGCGTTCATAATGTTTGAGCTCATCAGCGCTGACACTCGGCACCAACTCCCTGTGCGCCTCAATAAAGTCATCTTCCATGACCATGACGGCGGTGTCTTCTTCCGTCGCAAGATGATCGAAGAAATACGCAGTTGTGATAGGCGTGCCACGGCTATTGCTGATGGCAGTGACCTTTTCGTCTACGGCGCGCGCTTGCCGCGTGATCGCCTTGAGCATAGCGTCCGAGCAAAGGGCATACATATCTGCACCCGTGTATGTGAAAGGCAGAGTGGAGGCAACACGGGCAAGCGATAGATCGGGATGAAGTGTGAATCTAAAAGATGTCGTTAGCAGACACGAACGAGTATGTGAAGTAAAGGATGGGGCTACGTACTTCCTCGACAGGGCTTCGAGAATGGTCTGCTGCTTCTCATGCGTGTCAGATACACCGAGATACAACATTTTGTCGAAGCGTCCAGGACGTAGCAATGCTTGATCGAGCAAGTCGGGTCTGTTTGTTGCACCGATGACAAAGACGCCTTCACCGCCGTCACTCATGCCGTCTAGTTCAGCGAGCAACTGACTGACTATACGGTCCATGACACCACCGCTGTCACCCTGGTTGCCACGTTTTGGCGCAACGGAATCCAGTTCATCAAAGAAGACGACACAAGGTCGGGCGTCTCGCGCGCGCTGGAAAACACGCCGCACGTTCGCTTCTGATTCACCAATATACATGTTTAGCAATTCTGGGCCCTTGACGCTGAAGAAGTTGAGCGAGAATTCTGTAGCAATGGCCTTGGCAAGTAATGTCTTTCCCGTTCCTGGTGGACCGTAAAATAGGATACCACTGCGTTTCTTCATGCCCTTAGCAAACAGTTCTGGACGCGCGAGAGGTAGTTGGATGGTCTCCATGACGGCGTCTTTGACGTGCGAGAGACCGCCAACATCGGACCAGCTGACGTTGGGAATCTTGGGTGCGCCGATGGCATCGGCGAAGTTCTTGCGGGCAGCGTCGACAGCCCCGTCCAGATCGGCTTTCGTCAGACTGTTGCTAAAATGCCCCCCAGCTAACTCGATGTCCCTGGAGGTGACTGTGGCGCCTGATGATTGGTTTTCTGATGCGGATGTGGCGAGAGCTTCGATACGATTTCGCTTTGCTACCAACGCGCGGTCGACGACGTCTACCAGGTCACCTGCGACCAATGCAGCAGTCTTGACGGCAACATTGCTGAGGTCGACGTCTGGTGACAACCGGATGCCCGCATCATCGACGATACCACGCAGAATCCCCTCTCTCTCGCCTTCGTCTGGCGCCGACATTTCGATCTCATGTGTGAACAAACCACGGATACCTTCTGGTACTTTGTCGATTTCAGTCGTTGTCGCAATGAGAACTCGTGAGTCTGCAAGGATTTCTTTAAGCGCGGTAACCATGCGATCAGCATTGAGGGCATCGATGTGCTTGACCAACAGTGCCGTATATTCGGCACCGCAGGTAAGCGCACGTTCTGCCCTTGCTTTAAGAAAGCCTTCAGTCTTCACATCGCCACCGCCTGCACCTCCTTCGCTAAGGATGTCGAATGCATCGATGGAGAAAGTATGCAGCCCAAGGTCTTCGCATGCTTTCGCCGCTACTGTGGCCTTACCAATCCCGCGCTGTGTCGAGGTGAGCAACACGACAATTGGTGGCAGACCCATGTGTATCGCTCTTGGGCTAGTGGCGGCTGAGATCAGCTCGCGCAAGCGACGCCGTAACGACGAGATGTAGGTCTTTGGAATATCATCGATTGTCATGATCTTTTGGTTCGCGCCAGCGGGAGCTCGCTTCGCGCCGAGATAGTACTGCCAGGCACTGTTGATGGGAGGTGGGGTTTTCCCTTGCTCGCTGCCGTTCATCTCCATCTTTGTGCTCGCGGCGTCGACAGCTACAACACCGCCCCAGATATCTGGCTCTTCTCCGTCTCTGTGCTCATTTGATGAAGCTGTAATATTGCCAATCTTGAACCAGGCGACTGCTTTGGGTTTCCGGTCGTTGGCGTGTGCAGGGTCCTCGTTGGAGCGGTCTTTGGACGATCTTGAGAGTAATTCGTCACTCACGACATCTTCCTCGTTCGCGCTCGCTTGAAAGGTTGCACGGCCCAGGGATTCATCGATTGCGACACTAATAAGGTCGCCGCTCTTAACCAATCGGCGCTTTTGTTCGAAATGGTCTTTGAGGGACGCGAACAGACTGGGCTGCAGGAGGCGTTCAGAAGAGAGGGGCGTGGACAATTTCAAGAGCGTGACCTCCTTCGCGAATGGAGGCGAGGAGGAGCTATTGAGTCGTGGTTTTTGGATGGCGGTCCTATGACCTTGCTGGTGCTGAGGGGATGCTAAGGGTGCGATACGTAGATGGGAAGGGCTGTCCATGTTGGCCAACAGCACAGGCGACAGATACGCCTGAAGTGAAGTGCTTGCTGGCGCAAAGCCTGAAAAGCTAGACCTGCGGTCGAAGTCGTCCGACTTATTGACACGATATGGCGCAACTTTCTTAGTCATGGCTTCTGGTATCCCGTAGATCCGAACGGGACGCCACTGGGCATCCTCTTCATGCTCTGAATCGAACGCCCTTAGCCCAAAGAGAGGGTGCTGCGAAGGCTCAGGCGCAACCTCAATCTTGACCCAGTCGCCCGAGAAGCAGCCCACTTTGACCAAGGTGTTGGTCTCCACAAATACACGTGCTTCCTCGTCGTCTTCGATACCAGGCTTGGGGTGCACCAGCTCATCTGGTATAGGGTGTAGCAAGCCATTCGCTTTGAACACCTTGGTTCTGGAGGCTGGTCCTCGCGCGGTAGTGGCAGTGAAGCTGGAAAACACGGAGCCCGGGGTGGCGATTCCGTTGGTGTGAAGATTGCCAGGTCTCGGAGTAGCGGATGAGAAGACGGACAATACACCCGAGGACTGTGGTGGGAGCATAGGCGCGCTCAATGATATGATGTCGTCGTCGTCATCGGAGAGATCTCCGACATCGGATCCAGACAGCTCGGAGTCAAAATTATCGGTTGACTCTTCTCCCGGCGGGCTGTTGTTCTGGGATGGCGAGCGATCTTCAGCAGCAGAGTAGAAGGTCTCATTCGAGGTATCTTCCGAGTCGTCGAAGCTGTTCTCCACAGGGGCAGGTCTTGGGGGCGCAAAAACAGGGACAGGTTTCGAGGCACGATGTGACTGGAGAACCACTATCCTTGTAGATGGCAGCAAGAGGCCCTGCGCTACAGGTTCGCATGCCGTGATCCTTGCCGGGGGCGGTGGGACGTGGGTGATGGGGTGCGCGGGAAGCGGCAGCGGAAGGAGGTCGCCCGTGTGCACCAGGGCGGGTGCCTGCAGCGCTCCTCGCACAGCGTCCCTCCACGCATTCTCCTGCGCGGCATAGTCGATGCCACTGGCGTGTTTTCCAGCAATGCCATTGGCCTTGAGGAATCGATCCTTGGGCCCCTTGGCAGCACCATTCGGCCGTGTCCCGCCAAAGCCGCCGCCGAACTTTGCATGCACCTCGTCCAGCTTGGTCAGGGCCTCTGTGTCCAGATTGACATATACCGTGTCGAGCCCCACTGGAACGACATCGTGGATGCGGACCTCGATGGGCGTGTCTCTTCGCGGCGTCTTGTTGGGCGCGATGCTGTGGAGGGCCTGGGAGAAGGATTGGAGCGCGATAGCCGACGACGGCACTTGGAGCGACGCGTGCGGGCGCGCGGCGGCGGTGGTCTCGCTGGACGGGCGCCGCACCGGCAGGAGGGTCCACGGGGTGCTCTGGGAAGCGACGAGGGAGCTCGGCAGCCACGGCGTGATGGCGACGTAGTGGTCGGCGTCTGCGAGCAACAAGCGTCAGCAGGCCCGTCTGTAGGGCTCAGGGTCGGGGGTTCAGGCTGCATACCGGTGCCCGGGGCCCAGGGAAAGAGGCTGTCGAACAGGTCCGCCGAGAGGATGCCCACCTCGCCCTTGATGCGGTCGTCGAGCAGCAGCCGCGCCGCAATGGCAGGCCGGTCGGCGCGTCTTCTCCGCCGCCGCTTGCGCGGACGGACAGTGCCATTCTGCACTTCCATTGTGTACAAGCAAGGAACAAAGTCTCACACAGAGGTGCGCGGCAGCAGACAGTCGCGCTCGGCTTCGACCGCAATCCCAGTGCGGGTTGATGCCAAGATGGCCTGGGGACCTCGGCAGACGGGCGTGCGCTCGGGAACGACACAGCGCAGCGCCGACGTCGACGCTAGCCTGCTGCAGCCCCGGCACTCGCGCAGACGGCCTGGAGAGCGCGTCGTCACATGCCCAACACACCACGGCTGGGCCGTCGACGCGCCCAGGAGCCCGCGCGGAGCCCGTCTTGCAGCGGCTCGTCGCCATCCCCTGGCGCCTGCTTGCGCGCCGACCACCCTGCATGCGATCGCGGCATCGCGCCCAGACATGCTCGCCCAACGATGCTGTCCACGCTTGCCCATGGGCTGGCGATTGTGGGCCAGCGGCCTCACGCATGTGCGGGATCAGACTGCAGAATGCCTGGAATCTGTGACATCATCCAAGTCCCGCACCGAAACCCTGCCGTATCAACAAAGGGTTGATCTCTCAGCCACATAGGTAACCTGAAAATAATTTTCGCACGGCCCTGGTCGCATGTCCATCCTGTTCAGCTGTATCTTCGCAAACCTCTGCATTTGATCCTGTGCATCTCGCGGTGGGTGCACTCGTCTGCTCAGCGTCTCCACTCGCCCAACTTGCACATGGCACTGCTCCGCGGTACCAACTCGACCGATCCACCAGCCGTTTCGTCACGGTAAACAAGCATGGCAACCGCCACCAAGGTCCGGGACCATGTCGACCACGCGCAGGACAAAACAAAATCAAAAACAAGAGCTGCCATCGATTTCGCCCACCAAGCTGAAAGATTGGCATATCTTGCCCCAGCCCAAGAAGATGACGCTACTGGCTCAACACAAGCTGTCGAGGCAAAGTTCATCACCGCACAAGATCCCGTCATTGTGACCGCAGATGGCGGACGCTTACCAGCAGTTCCTATCGACGAAGCTAAGAAGCTCAACAGACTAAGGGATCTAATCGACGACAGGGACCCCTCCGAGAGCGCACCGGTGGCGGGCGAGGCACGTGAAGCAAAGGATGGTACGATACATGGCGCACGCCCAGCAGACGCCTCTCCTTCGCAGGCTGGTGACGAAGGGCAGACGGATGCTCCGCTCCAAAGTCAAACACCACCATCAAGGACGAACCCACTCTTCCCACCACTCCCCATGTACGGGCCTCCCTCGGTGCTTCGCAAGCTCCAAGTTTGGTGTTTCAGAGGAACTTCAGCCGTACTCTCTTTTTGCTTTCTTCTGGTCATCATCCTCGGTGCTCTATTTACCAGCATGCCGGATGTTGCGAAGAGGCAGTGGATGCGACTCACCTTTCAAGATCCTAACAAAAACCGGCCATTCTACCATGAAGAGTACAAGAGAAAGAGAGCTCGCCGGGTAGCTGAAAAAGCATGGGAAAAGGAGAGCCACTCGCAGACAAAAGCCAATGCTCATGGAGCAGACGAGTTCACACCCCTCGAAGGCGGGCCCGACAAAATCCCCTGTGACGTTCGCTACTATGCGCGCCGTGTAGGCCTCGACTGCGAGATCTTTGAAGTTCAGACTGAAGACGGCTTTATTATTGAACTCTGGCACATCTATAACCCACGAGAGTACAAACGGAGCGACCCGTTGCAGCGTACACCCAACAGTCCGGATGTCTTTAACAATGCTACTTCTACGGACGGTGTGTCAGGCTCCCAGTACGAACCCGGCGACAAGAAGTATCCTGTCCTTCTGATCCACGGCTTATTGCAATCTGCAGGCGCCTACTGTACCAACGACGACGACAGTCTCGCCTTCTTCCTTGCCAAATCAGGCTACGATGTTTGGTTGGGGAACAACAGGTGTGGTTTCAAACCGCGCCACAACATGCTTTCCTACTCAGACCCGCGTATGTGGGCCTGGAACATCCGACAGATGGGCGTCATGGACCTCCCTGCGCTCATTTCACGCGTCCTTGCCGAAACGGGCTTCTCGAAGCTTGGGCTCATCGCGCACAGCCAAGGCACGACACAAACGCTCGTCGCTCTCGCCAAAGAACAACGTCCAGAAATTGGCGACAAGATTTCTGTATTCTGTGCCCTTGCGCCAGCCGCCTATGCCGGTCCACTCATTGGCAAAATGTACTTCAAGTTCATGCGCGTGATTAGCCCAGGCATGTTTCGCGCTATTTTCGGCATCCATGCCTTCATTCCATTCATGATGACCATGCATTCGCTGCTCCCGCCCCGATTCTATGGTGCCATGGGCTACCGTGTCTTCAGTTTCCTTTTCAATTGGACAGACGACCGCTGGGAGCGAGACCTTCGAGACCGCATGTTCCAATTCGCGCCTGTCTACGTCAGCGCCGAGAGCATGCGCTGGTGGCTCGGTAGGGAGTGCTTTGCGAAGCAAAAATGCATTCTGGCCACGAGGGAGGAAAAGATCATCGAGGACCGGGAAGATGCGCAAGAGGACGAGCAACGCGAGCGCTCTGACGAATCGTCAGATGATGAAGACGACGAGCTCGGAGCTGGCGCCGATGCTATCGATGTACACAACCACGACAGTAATCGCGCAAAGTACGCGTGGTACGGGCCTCGGACACCACCTTTCGCGTTCTGGGTCTGCGGTAATGATGCTCTCGTGGATGGGCGCCGGCTCCTGCGCCGTTTCGAACGTGGACGTGAACCATACGTCAATCTAGTACACTCCAAGGTCATCGAAGGGTACGAGCATCTTGACGTGATATGGGCCATGGATGCAATCGAAAAAGTGGGCAAAGAAGTCCGAGAAGTGATATGGAAGACGGCGGATGAGGAGGCGCGGAAGATGTGCAGAACACCAAGAGGCTGTGCAGGCATCAAGCAAGACGATTGCTATGCGAGGGTTGGCGATCAGGAGACGGAGTCGAGAAGGATGGATAGCACCGCTGGGGAGTGGAGTGCGAAGGGGAGGGAGCAGGTCAGTGGCGGTGGCGGTGAAGGAGACCGCAACTTGGAAGAAGAGATCCGGGAAGGTGACGAACGAGTGTAGGTTCACCGTGTCGTCGGATTGAGGCGTGCCACGGCGACGGTATTCTTGCATTATGACGGTTATTTTCTGCACACATGATATCCCCTACGCGCTGTTTGGACCTTACTCCGCAACATTCTAGACCGTGGGCGTACACCTGCGACGATAACGGCTTCCTGTGGATGTGAATTCACCTGTAATTGCCGTGTATATATAGCAACGATTTGGCTGTCGTTTCCACATACGACCATAGGACACTGAAAACTAGCTTCCTTGTCCACCCTGCCGTCTGTCTAGGAACCGTAACCGGAAACACGACACAGAACGGTTAACAGGCTCTGCCTAACTAGGATATGTTAGCGCCTATAAATATCGGGCAACAGAGTTTTGTATGTACCTTTATAGGTGAAAAGATTGCTAAGTTTTAGAATTGACAGTTCCAGATTGAGATGCTTCGGAACAATGTGTTGTCCGAATATAGATAATGAAAATGCCGATTTTACTGATGCTTTCAGCAAAGTAATCTAGTAGAGTATATTGGCCCACGCAATGGGTAAAGTCAACCATTCGCCTCTGAACAGATAGCCACCGAGAAGGCGCCAAGACGCATGGTTGAAGATGAGTGGCGATTGAATGCGTGGTATTTCAGATAGTCTTGTTACTTCGTCTGTATGGTGCGAGCTATATCTCGTCATACGTGACCCGCAGGGCAATCATGACTGTCAACATTTGCTAACCACAATAGCTTGAAGAGTTTCTGAGCATGGTCTGTTGCTCCAGGACAGGTAGTACGAAGGCCGATGGTACTCTAAATCATATTTTTACATGCTAATATTTACGGAGCCCCTTCATATCCGCTGGCCTCTTCATACAACTTCCCATAGTCGCACCTCCTTATCCTCATCAATAATTCTATACTTCACATTCGTCCCCTCAAATACCTGGTGGACCATATCAAAACTTTTGTAAGACTTAAGAAAGCCGGACCAATCCGACATATAGACAATGACCTCGCTGAGGTGCGGCGTCCTCGTCGCTGCCGTTTCATGGAGCCAGCGCCCGAGAAAAGCGCACTCGTCAGGTTCATCGTACGGATAACCATCTGCCGATGCAACAGAATCTGTGACTGTGACGACTTCAACATTGCGTGGCAGACTGTCTTCCAGCCGGCGGGCCCAATTTGCATCGGACTCCCAGTCCGGAAGCAGCAGTTGGAACGGTGCCCAGAATCGCTTGATACTAGTGAACCGTTGAAGACCGTTCAAGGACCCTAGGACATTAATACGCTGGACGTCGGGATCCCACGTCCCCATGCAGTTAGTGAATTTGATTGTCAGGTCCTCGAGAGTCTCTTGCACCTGAATCAACGCTTCGACGAATTTATCGAGGTCAAGTGTGTCCGTATTGAACTGATCGCCGTAATCCGGTATGTAGAACCACTCCCAGCTCAACGTCTTGAGATTCCAAGTTCTTTCAAGGACTTGTGCAAGAAAATCAATGTGAACGTATTTTAGAGATAGCGACGTGAGATTAGCTAGGTCCGGTAGGCCCGATGGCCAGGTGAACGGTAACGTCTTGGGGTTGAAACACCAACCCGAAATGCTGCGCATGGACGCAAGGTTAAGAAAAGCAAACAGGCCTTGAGGATTACAAAAATCCGGATTAGGGCCAGGGTCCGATTCTAGAGGTCCAGGGTAAAACATCTCTTCTAGGTACTTAAACCGAGAGAGCCCGTGATTCGATGTATCGAAAACAGCAGATTGGAAAAGCTTCCCTAGAAAGGCGTCATTATACACGATCCTTGGTTTGGTTTTCGCGCTTGTCCTGGTCCCGAGGAAAGGTAGGACTACTGCATACCCAACACGAAAACGTGCGAGATTGGGTAATTTGGAGATCAACAGGGCGACAAAGGCATTTAGGTCACCCACCTGGAGTTTGTCTATCCAGATATCGGCGTACGAGAGACCAGATTCCGTAATAAATGAGACAAACTCAGGTAACCCATCATCTGCTGCCGGATGCGGCGGAGAAGCTAGAGGCACTTTGTATTGCCCGTACCAATCTCCCGGCTCCCACATCCTCTGGATACTCTCCTCCCCATCGCGCAAACGCACACTTTTAATGAGTTTCGCTAGCTCAGGTTTATTGAAAATAGTCCGGGTGAGATGGATTATAGGGCGCGGGTTATCTCGATAGATGTTGAAGTTGATTTGTGAATAAAGATGCGATGTTGCGAATTTGTGTAGCTTCTTGTTAACGAGGCTCACAGTCGCAAGATCACGAAATGACACTTGCTTAAGGATGGTTTCTGTGAGCTCGGTAGGACAACTAAGGAACGACGCCATAGTATTGTTAAGATTGGTGGTGAGGCTGATAAAGCAGAGAAGATGTTATAATGCGCCAGGGGTGTAAGTAGTGTGCCTTTACTAAGTGCTTGGTGTATTTAAGGACGTCAACCGGTACTACGCCGCCTCCTTCGGGGAACCAAATCGTGTTTCAGGGTGGCAGTAGCCAATTCCACCTTCCGAGTTTCCGGCGCTACTGGTATCGTGTCTTATTATACCGGTAGCAGTTTGTGCAACACGTCAGACCATGCAACACCCCAACATGATCGCTCGGCCACAAACATGAGGCTACAGAGACGCCCACAATCAATATTAACACGAAATTTTCTAGAATTAAGGTCTCTAAGGTCTATAGATAATTTCTACTTACTTGGATTATTGATAGGTATCTACTTAGTGTTGTGATTGTTCTACCTCTACACGTCTACGAGGCAGATGCGATAGATACCGTGCCTCAGCACCCCGTGCACGGTTTCAGTTCGCGCACACCTTTCTAATTCAGCGGCCAATAAGCAGGCTCTCCTTGCCGCCGCTCTTGCGTCAGACTTCTGTATATGGGTAATTAGCAGACGAATTCCCGGATACTGATTACCAAGGACGGTAAAATTAGGGGTCGGCATGGCGGGTGGGGCAGAGAGAACTAGTTTTCCTCTCCACCTCGCCATCTGTCGAGGGACCGTAAACGGAAATGTGCACCATCTGTCGAGGGACCGTAACCGGGAACGGGAAACAGATCAGGTTATATTAGCAGCACAACTATGCCACACCGACTATAACAAGATCCCGTATACAATACCGCTAGCTATCCACAGTAGAACCTGCGCCATGGCCGAATATAGGCCCTGCGGGCGGCAGATAGGTATTCCTTTTACATACAACCATGAGACACTGGAAACTAGTTCACTTGTCCGTTCCGTCAAAAGTCGTGGAGCTGGTTATAGCCCAGCTGCTACTTCTTTTTTTCTTTTTTATTCACTGGAGACCGGAAACAGTTTCGAGGCAATCTGAAAAGCGACCACCCTCGCCAATACACCATCGAAACAGACTCCTAAATCCTGCAGACCTGTGGCAGGCTGTACGGCACCAACCGCAGCTTTCACGTTGCGTTCTCTGTTTCACTGCGTACCTCAACATATCTGACGCTACCTTGGTACATAAAGGCCTTAGCGATGGCGGCCAAGCTGCTGAGGTCTAGCATGATGTAGGCAGACATGGAAGGATGAAATTTAATGTCCCCTAGATCCAACGTGCCAAAGCCGCACTGTCTTGTCGCTGGATGCAGATGCTAGCTGCTTGCCGTCTGATGAGAAGGCTACATCACACACCTGGCCTGAATGACCCTTAAGTATCCGTCGTAGCTCCCCAAATCTGATGTGCCAGAGCCGTATTGTCCCGTCGTCTGATGCGGATGCTAGCTGCTTGCCATCTGGCGAGAAGGCAACCCGTTTTACCTGAGATGGGGGGATGTGCATAGTAGGATTAGGATTAAATTGTAATATCTGATAGAAGTAATCTTTGGAATCATCGTTGGGACTTGTTGAGTGATGGTTTGTGGGTGGTGATTACTGTTGTGTTGCTGCGTTCAAGGATCTTGTACGGACTTGAGCGGAGATGATCCTGTGGTTGTATTTCGTGCGGCTGCTGCGAAGGTTCTGAGGCTGGGCAGGAGACACACTGTGCCTTGCGTAATTTATTATACCCTGCTTAAGCTCTCTACATTAAGCCTTGTTCTGCTAGGAAATAGCATCGCGGGTAGTCGGCGTGGGTATGGTGCGTTAGAACCAGGGGTCAAATCCTCGACACTGACTTTCAACATTTTTTCCGCGATGAGAAATTCGAGTGGGAAATGCAGAATGGTGATACAGTCTTCTGGTGGGGGAGTTTGTATGCTGGATCTGCGATCGCTGCTTAGATGGGCGGGTGCCGGCGCTGGGAGGGAAGGCCGTCGGAAAATTGAAAAGGCTCTAGGGTGATCAAACTCCAGACAGTGTTTCTACAAGATGTGCACGTAGCATGGAACAACCTGATGAGTTGGAGAAACGGTGGACTGGCATGCAGTCGAACAGTGTCTAAAGATTGGATTGTCCGGATGCACCAAAGGATAATCTGGAGATATTCCACGTTTCTCGTGCCTGTAGAACACGACCAGTGACAACGAATATACTGGGATTCCTCTTAAGCGGCCTGTAAAATTGTAATTATCAACGAATATGTTAGCCCATGAATTAAGAACGACTGGAGGACACTGAAAACTTAGTCTCCTGCGCGTCTGTTGTGGTACTGTTTCGAGTTAGCCGTCGTGAACCTTCCAAAAACTTGGTCTTGCTATTCAAGAGCGACCTAAAGTCCAATGTCCTTGCCAATTGGGTAGCCTAGGCTGACCATAGCTGCCACGTGTAATAATCCGCGACTGCACCATCTTTGGAAAGTAAGTCTGTGCCTGCATCTGCGAACGGGTAACCTCTAAGGGCGGCCTTTTGAGGAGAGGAAGGAGAGAGCTGGCAGTGTTCTCTGCACTATATGAAGCTGCACTTCGCCCTCTACCGTCCATCTCTCCTACACTCACCTTTCTCCACTTCTAACCACTTCGACCCTTCATACAGTGCCCTCTTCGCCACACATGCTCTTTGGCCTGCATCGTGACTCTTCTACCTCGCATTTGAATCTCTCGGATTCGCCACTCTCACCTTAATGGTCTTCGATCCCAATTCAGCCACTCAAACCCGGGCTACTGCATCTGGCAGACCGTCTCGGCACAAGCACAACCGCAGTAACGTGAAGCTTGCTGTGAGTCACCTTCTCTTCCATCTCCATTCTCTGCTAACATAACTACAGCGTCCACACTGACTCGACGATCCAGCTCTTCGAGCACAGCATTAGCTCGTCGGCGTGCGCGCATCCCATCCACTACTCGCGGCACGATCTATCCCTGACGAACACGACTAGCACGCTGCTAGGCCTGTGACCACGAGCAAGGATGCCGCAATCGTATACCTTGGTTGTTGGAGGAATAGTGTTGGAGCTTCTTGAAGGCGGGTGGAATGAAGAAGCCTACGGGCACTTTGTTACGATCCGAGGCTTCGGCAAGTGATGACAATCTAGCAATCTGACCATAAAAGTCGCCCCGTATTAGCTTTGCTAACTCTGCGCAATCTCAACAGGTACCTTCACTTGTTTTAGACCTCAGAACAGTTTGTTAGCGACAGATCTTCATCACCGGTCTCGGGCACTTTGTTACGAAGTGGAGTGAAGTATTCCTTGGGAGGAAATGGGCGGCCGCACGCGAGCTTTTTGTACTATTCGTGGTTCTTCTTTGGGAGCGTTGGGACGCTTAGAGGTTGGTTGAGCTGGGGCTGTGTATGTTAGTCCAGCAAGCTACTTGCTTCTGCATGTTTTTGGTCCCTTCTTGTACCAATGTTGACTCTATGTACGGTCTTGTGCCTTTTTGCCGTGGGTAATCTGAATCCAGTTGAGTTGAAGACTTTTGTAGTATATGATTGGGAAAATCATAGGCTTCCTGTCCGCTCAGTGGTAGACAGCGTATGGGCGGATTAGTAATTGGGTTCGTGAGAGCCTTGAAGTTCCTGGTGTTGTCAAGCGCGCCTGAAGCCAATCAGACAGTCTGTCTCAGCGTAGTTCTCGCGCTAATCGCGATTCGACCTCTCTGCATATCTCTGGTTGAGAGCGCTGCGAGTTTGTTGCTCAGCCTTGCTTACAAAACCCGCTCGTCTGGTGGCCTCATAGCCTGCGTAGCCGATGTCCTCTTCGCCGTCGCGTGAGAAGTACGCTGTACGTGCATATAGATCCAGGCTCGCGGGAATTCCGAAACCGACGAATCTAACGGTTCACGGTGTATTCAGCCAAGTGACCGGTTTTCCGGAAAGGGTGTTTTTAGCGGTCTGAGTGGCGAGTGGAGCAGAGAGAACTAGGCTTCCCGTCCGCTCAGCCATATATAAGCAGTGTACCGGCGGACCAGTACGAAGATCGGTGACGGCTTCGGAATCCCTGTTTTTCTTTTCTTTTTTTTTTTTTTGCCGAACTTTTGTACATGTGGTGAGGACGTAGGTGGGTCTAGACGTTGATGGAAGTTGCGATAGTGGACCACCATGACCATAAGCGAGTACAAGCTGCCAGCAGACGCCTTTTTTGCTAGCACTTAATCGACCGTTTACAGTTTCAATGCGAAACTTCCCCTAACCCTCTCACCGAAAATGTAGAACAACACGGGCGCAGGTGCCAGCGCCAGACTGACAAACCCAAACACGCTGATGCCCCATCCATACCCTACCTTCTCGAACAGGCTCGGTGCAACTAGAGGTATTAGGCCTCCAACAATCGACCGACACACCGTCCCTGCTGCGATTGCGGATGCTGCATACGCTTCGAACGAGTCGATGTAATAGTTTTGCGTAGTGTTCAAGATCATCACCTGTCCGATGCCATAGAAAAACGTCGGCACGATGGACGCACACCAGTGAACTTTCCTCTCAACCGACCACGCGAACCAGAAAAGCGATACGGGGATGAACAAGGCCCCGATGTTTGCAAGGGGTAAGCGAAACTCGGGCTGCCCTTTATCCTTGTGCTTGGCCGTAAGTCTCTTATACACGTCGTCAATTCGTGGAACGAGAAACCATACAGCGAACAAGAACCCAAGCCCTGGTCCGAGGTATAGCAGCCCGACTTTCTCGGTAGAGAAACCATATATGCCCGAATAGATGTCCTGCATGTTGGTGTAGATGCTATAGGTCGTCCCGAAGATGAGGGCTTGGTAGACGCTCATGACAGCGACGATAGGCTGAATGAAGATACGCGGGGGACGCGAGTGAGTGCGCGAGTTTCTGTCGCAGCGGACGCAAGTCCTCGCCTTCGAATTGGTAGTTGGTTGCATCGTCCGCGCGGTTACTACCCTCGAAGCGGTGTTTCATGTGTGTGAGAATGACGGGCGCATAAGTTTCGCGGAGGAAGAAATACCCTGCCAGCGTATTGACCGAGCAGACGATCGTCATCACCCAAAATATCCACCGCCAACCGAGACGCTGCACGATGAAGCCACCGAACAATGGACCCAGGGTGGGGCCTAGCAATGGTCCTAGGAGATACCAGCCAAATACCCCGGCTCTTTCAATGGGTATGAACATGTCGCTGATCGTACCTCCTCCGTTTGCAATGCCAACGCTGCCAAAGAAGCCCGACACGCTGCGCACAACGATGAGGAATGCGATGTTTGGCGCAAGCGCCGTGGGAATTTGCAAAAGAGCGAAAATGGCGAAGCAAATTAGGTAGATATTTCTGAGGTCAAATGTCTCTGATAGTGGTGCGAGAATCAGAGGGCCGATGCCCAACAAGATCACAAAGTCAGTAGTGGTTGCGATGACGGCCTTAGGGGACGTGTGGAGGTCTTCAGGGATCTCAGAAATCCCGGGTGTGAACATGGAGCTCGCGAGCGGACTGACAACCGTGTGGCTGTCAGGCATCTTAAAGACGAGCTGGTTCGCGTTGCATACTCGACATTGTGGCTATCACACCCACGTTCGCGAGTTTCCTCCATCGGGGCCATGCTCGCGGGTCTTCGTCGGGATGATCCAGGAGCTTGAGGGTCTGTAAAGTGTCAACTACGGCTGCTGCACTGCAAACAAAATGGCATAATCACCGGTCGCGTGTCTTCATCGTCGCTCCAGCGCTGTAGCAGAGGCGTCCGTTCGTCGCGTGACATTGTAAGTGCTTATTTGATTGAATACACCTGCGAAGAAAACAGCACTCGGGCGTCGCGGAGATCGAGTGCGAGCAGCATATTCGCCATGACGATTGCTATAGCATATGCTGACTGGGCTCGTGAGGATTAATCCCGTGTCATCGATCTTGTTCGATTCGATCGCGGGATCGATCCAACCTACTGGACTCGCCTAAGCCAACCAACCAAACAGCACGCACCCCTCACTGCCTGTTCCATCGCAGCTCTTGCCCACCAACACTCAGACAAGTATCGCGACAGGTTTGCAGTATGCCGTGAAATGTACATCCTTTACAGATTTATCACTTCCTGGAATGCTAGTGATATCATCGACTAACTCGTCTTAGAATTACCAGCTGCTTCGCAAGGCTTGAAGTTCTTCTTTCGCTGATTCAATGATTTCTCACATTGCACCCGCCTTCAGAGTTCGAGGCAGGAGACCAGTTCACATCTGCTGTTTTTCAAGCCTCGTCTTGATGCACACAACCACCCAGAATGTTCATATGATGTCAATATGATTGCACAATCGATAGGCACATGCTCGAAGTACCATAAACTCGAAATTTTCTTCTCATTCTGTTCCCTAGCATATGCGCATGCGCGGGCGTGGCACGGTTTGCATTGGTCGTCCATCCGCAGTTGCAGCGCTACTGCTAGGTCGAACTGGTTCAGGTTGGTAAATGGATAAATAAAGAACGAGGAATTGCATGGGGCACAGCACCGCTTCGACGGATTGCAGGAGGCGGGAAGCTGCTAGTCTATGTCCAGTTTTTCTCTTTCCATCAACCACGCAAAACACTTGGTTCAACTTCGTCCACGCGTTACCCTGACAATACTAGCCATATGTGTTCTAGATCCGAGTGATTTTGGAGGAATTTTCTGGATTTTGGCACTCGTGCCTGTTCTTGTTCGTCCTGCGACTCTTTCCGGCAGTTGGGTAGGATGAAAGTAGATATTCTGATACGAACAGCAGTTTATCTCAAACGTGGTCTAGAACATATACTTGCATCCTCTACGACATGTACCTGGACCTTTCTGGGCGAGAGCGACTGCTATACCATCGTGGTATCACACGGCCAACAGCAAGCGCCATGTTTGGCCATGGCGATTGTTCCAGATCTATGGCAAGAGGATCCGCGCCACACTCGATCTAGTTCTATTCTGTGAGCCAGACGCATTCGTAGCCATATATGGCATGAAGTCCAATGTTCGGCGGAGCAAGTTCTACCTGGAATTGACAAAGAATATCCGAGAGAAAACAACTCTGAACACCATAGATCCTACAGATCACGCCCACAGACGCAAGATGCTCAACAAGTGCTTCACTGAACAGTCAGTTACTGCTATCTCCAGTTTTGTGAGCCAGCATATCGACCGGTGGCACCAGATCTTGTTAGAAGCACATGATAGCACAACAGAGTGGTCTGCCTCAATAGGTTTTGAAAAGCAAATGGGCCATCCTGTGTTCGATATCATGGGCTATCTTAGCTTTGGACGATCGTTCGACATCAAGGAGCCGGGTGATAACCCTTTGAGGTAGATGCCAGATAACATCAGGCACTATCTGAAATTCTACTACACGGTATGGGGCGTCCCCTATCTGCTTCTCGGCGAATTGGACGTGAAAGAAAGTATACTTACTTTGAATGAAGATGTGCTGCTCACCCTTCCTACGTCTGATTGTTTGATGCAAACCTCGCGGCTTTGATCGTCTCGTGAGGTCATCACCCCGCTAACTGTACGAAACTTCAACGACTTTGTCTTTGATAGTGTTGCAAAATGACTAGAGCTATATAAAAAGTAGGAGCACATTTCTGAGCACGAAAGTCGTCAAGGCGTGTTCTATTTCTTGTGGGGAGGTCAAGATCCCAGCACATTTGGCCCATTGCATGCCGAAGATGAGCTTCGCGCGGAGGCTACCTTGCTAATCGTTGCTGGATCTGATACCACTCGGACCGCCCTTTCAAGCATCGTCTGGTACCTAGTTAGAGCACCAAGATGCTATCGCAAACTTATTGACGAGTTCCAAAAGGCATTCAAGGCGACGGAAGATGTGGTTTATGGTCCAGCGCTGATGAACTGCACATACCTGCGGACATGTATCGATGAAGGAATGCGCCTTGTCCCTGCGGGGACCTGTGAGCCTCCTCGGCAGGTCCTTGCTGGTGGTATCGACATTCTGAACGACCACTACCCTGAAGGAACGGTAGTAAGTACAGTCCGTTAGTATGACAGCAATAACGGGGATGCCTATGGAGACCTGGGGGTTTTTCGACCCGAGGGCCGGATTGAAAACGAAGCAGCAGGAGTTACCAAAGCGATGGTAACTAGAATGCGGACCAACTTTCAACCGTTTCTAACAGGTCTAGGTAGCTGTCCGGGTAGGAGCATAGCACTGGCGGAAATTCACCTTATAGTCCCTAAGATACTGCTGTGATTTGATTTGAGGAAAGCGACTGGACCGACCCTGGGGGAAGATAGCCCGGAAATGGGTTGGGGCAAAACGAACCTAAAGCAATTTCAAGTAGTAGATGCTTTCGTCTCATTGATGGATGGCCCTGAAATTCAGTTCAAGAAGAGGCCGATGCATGAGTCGATACCTGAATCAGTGTGAGCTGGGATACATGATGCTAAGGATTTCGTCCCTGCAACTTGCTGTCCTGCCGCATACAGGTGTCCGTAGACATGCGTGTTGCTATAGCGGGTGAGAAAAGACTGTCAGTTGATACTTCAAGTATAGCTCCGAAATCCGCTCTGATGTATACTCCCACCGCTCCATTTGCGCATCCTACCATAGATGCAAAGCATTTCACATGTGATAAAGGAGAGGAGATTGATTGCTGCTAATAATTCGTTAATACTACCCTGCACAACCACTTCGAACCACCGCACCTTCCTATCTTTAAGCCATCAGGTTGGGCATCGCAGAACCTCGGATGTTTTCAATGTAGTATCGCCGTACCGGCATTTACCCTTCCATGGCTCATCTCGCTCGGTCCCATAAAGTGGCTGGGAAGCAGACGAAAGCCTCAGCTTCCGCTCATACCGTGCCAAATAAGACATGCAAGCAGCTCTACCAACAATAACTCAGAGAAGCCAGTAGTGTCAAACGAACTTCCACAGAAACAGGATGGGATGGCACAACGCTCGGGAAGTGAGCTAGTCACAAGAGCGTAGTCGCTTGTTCAGATGCAAGAAAAGCTATGAGTCACGCAAAGGGCTTTTCAAGTCCAACGTCAGACTAAATGCTTTGCCCTATCCGGACTGAAATGACATGTTTTGGGAATGGAGTTCACTAGCAAGATACTCAGGATGAACAAAGCCTGGGACTTGCACAAGTTTCGCGTTCCGACAACAATGGATGTCGGAAACTGAACTAAGCGTAGACCCAAAAGACTATCAGGTTGTGCACGTACTCGGGTGACAGACAGTGACTTCACATAGGCAAGAGAAAAGAAAATATCCGGTTTGCCGACCCTACAGAACCCCAGAGGGACGTGGATTTTTCTTGCAGTTTCTGGGAGACAACTTGGACTTGAGCACACCCACAATCATTCTCCCTTGCTTCTAACAGCCCTTCCAGGACAGTTGTCAATTATCTCCCGCAGGGATTCCCCAGCGTGGCGAACCGTAAATCCGAATTCGTGTATCTACATAAAACATTGAACAAGTCGAAGGCACAGGCAAGTGCTTTGTGGACCAATCCAGATAGTGTCAATCTAGTACTTTGCAGATGTGGGCCTACAAGTACAATAATATGAAAACTGGGATTTTCGGAGATGACAATGTGCCCGTTGAAATTGCAGGCAAAAGCACGGCACGAAGCCAGGTTAGCTTACCTGGATTTAGGAGCCCTTATTGGAGCACGGAAATACGTGAGGAGCTCAAAGGTTGCAAAGTCACTGGCAAGAGAGGTGAAAGAGATGGAGAAGTTTATCAGAAGCATCGATGAAGTTTTACCCAACCATCCTATGCCAGGCGGTGTTGCTTGGGTAAAATACGATTGGGGCAAATTGTGGATGGAATATAGGGAACGAGCGATTCCGGATCGCGCATGGCAGAGCATCGACAGACGTGATAAACACAACAAGCCAAATGCACGCGACCTGGAACGAAGCTAAGAATGGAAAGAGTAAGAGTTCGAATCCTGGTAGAGGGCGCATCAACGGACCTCGAGGGCAAAGGCAAGGCTCCTGTCAAACGTACCAGTAAAGGCGCCAGCAGGAGCTCTAGCGCCAACTCAGCTGATGCACAAATCGAGGCTTTGATTCGACAACTAAAACAGTTTGAAGCAGAGTGGAAAAGGGAAAAGAACATGGAATGGGGAAGACCTTGGTGATGTTTCATTGGATCAATGAAGTGAGCAGTGCTCCACCGACACAGACGCAGCTTCAACGGGAATAGACAAGTACGATTGACTCTAAGAAGCAAATGATGGATACATAACGTCAAGGTATGCTCAACAGCTAACGACTAATGCAAAGAACTCATATATTTCTTTACAAAACGAGCTTGAACGTAGCAACCTCGAACGCTCTGATCTCAATCTTCGCGCCCTTCTTCCCGGCCACCTCAGTCATGACAATATCCTTCTCGCCCTCTATATCGTCCTCGAGCGCATTGACCTTGACCACCTTCTTGACGTGCAAGCTTCCCCAAGTGAGGACGGCTTTGCTCTTTCCCCCCAGCGCGTCGTAGATGCGCACGATGACAGACTGTCCTTTCTTCACAGGCAGCTCACCGCGCGAAACATCCTCATCATCTTCGCCACGTTTGATGGTGTCGAGGACGAGGTTCGGCGCGCCGTGGACCTGGAAAGAACTCAGGAGAGAGTGGTCAGAGCTGGCCTGGCGGCCTACGATGCGAAGTGGGTTGTTGAATTCGAAGGCCTTGCGGACGGTGACTTCGCTGAGGGGTCCGGCGTGCGGGAAGATAGCGTAGCGGGTGCGATGGCGGCCCATGTCGGCGTGCGCATCTGGGGCCTTGGGCGCTCTGAGGAGTGACAGCCTCATGACGTTTCCTGCGGTTGCGAAACCGAATTTTGAATCGTTGAGGATGGAGACACCGTACGTGGCTTCCGATAGATCAGCCCACTTGTGGACGCAAACTTCGAACTTGGCCATGTCCCAGGTCGTGTTATAGTGAGTTGGGCGGCGGACGATGCCGAACTGCGTCTCGTAACTGGCTTCCGTGTTGACGATGTCGACTGGGAACTCCACCTTGAGAAACTTCATTGTCTCCTGCCATTCGATTTCTGCATCAATTTCTACACTTGTGGGGGCGTCACCAATCGCTGCAGGTAGAGAGATAGTAGTCTTGACCCACGACTTGTCCGATATTTTAGTCTCTACGTTCAGCGACACACGGTGAGGACCATCCTCTGAGATGACAACCTTTGACGGGGGCAGCTCTTGGCGTGAATCGAGATGGTAGACTTCCACGTCCCAAGCTTGCCAATAGAGCGGCTTATCATCGAATAACACGAGCTGAGCCGCTTTTGCGCCCTTTGGTATGGTTTCCCGATCGGCCTTGATATCGTAAAGCGACGTGATGGCGCCGTTGGACACCTCAACCACAAACTGGGAGTTGCGAAGCTCAAATACGTTCGGTCGGATCTCCATGACCGATGAAGTGGCAGCGGAGTATGACGAGGCAAGAGGGCGAACTTCCAAGGCGCTCATGCCGTCTCCATGGGCGAGACCATATGTAGGAAGACCAGCCACGGGCGGGAGCGTCACTAATTCTGTCCTTGCCCATGGAAGAGTGTTTAACGCGAACAGGTCACTGTCATGTTTGACATCCTGGTCGAAGCCAAGTTCCGACAGCGCGTCCGAAAGTAATCTCTCGCCCTTGGAAAACACTTCGGCATAGATCTAAGTCGGGTTAGCATGGCTGGATCACGTCTAATAGTGCGACACTTACTTCATCCGAATCACGGTAGCACATTTCGATCGAGCTACCAGGCAGACAATCATGGAACTGGCACAATAGAACGCCTTCCCACATGTCATCCAGGTCCTTCTTTGGGTACTTGTACGAGCTCTTCTTGCCGAACGAGTTCTTGACTGTGGCAAGCGTTGCCAGATATTCGATATCTCTTAGCATGATCTCAGACTTTCGGTTGTTGCGCTTGTTGTTCGCTTGCGTAGTGTATGTTCCACGATGTAGCTCAAAGTAGAGCTCACCGTACCAGGTTACGAGCTCCTGGCCTTTCTCGACCTTCTTTTCTAGCTTATCGAACCAATCATCAGCAGAGTCGCCAAGTTTCACGCGTGGCAAACGACCGCCCTTATGGTCACTCATTCCGCGGCATCGGCGAAGTCTTTCGAGCATTTCCCATGTAGGACCACCTCCTCCATCTCCCTTGCCAAAAACGAGAAGCGAAGTGTTGTCACGGTCAAGAGACTTGTGCTGTGTGACACTCCTCTTGACATCGCCGAAGTGTGCTTCAGCAGTGTAAGTCTCGCAGGGCGGCATGTGACATAGGACCTGACTATTATCGAGAGCCACCCAGTTGAATGTGGTGTGCGGGAAGTTATTGATGTTGTTCCAACTGAGCTTCTGCGTCAAGAATCGCGTCATCCCAGAAATGCGACAGATTTGAGGAAGCTGTGTAGAATAACCAAACGTATCTGGGAGCCAGAAAGTCTTGCACCGCTGTCCGAAACGACTCTCAAAGTACCGTTGTCCGTAGAGGAATTGCCTGATCAATGACTCTCCACCAGGGAGGTTGGTATCATGCTCCACCCAGCTACCTCCAATGGGTTGGAAGGAGCCCTCCTTGACCTTCTTCTTAACGCGGTCGAAGGTTGACGGGTATAGCTGCTCTAGCCACTTGTACTGCTGAGCTTGCGAACAGACAAAGCGCAACTCGGGGTATCGATCAATGAGGTCGCATTGGTTCGACCAGGAGCGGGCGACTTTGCGCTTGGTCTCTGCGAACGGCCAAAGCCAGCACGTATCAATGTGGCAATAGCCGACGCCGGTTACAATAGCCTCATTGTCGGTCTCGTAGACTTTGTGCGAGTCGACATCGCCAAGGTACTCGCGCGCGATCTTGCGACCTTCAAGGATGCTCTCCTGGCTTCCGCCGCCGGCAATGAAAGCGTTGATGATGCGGTCGCAGACCTGCTGCGCCTCGTGCTTCTCGACCGAATCGTCCGGGAACTCCCTCGCTGCATCTCCAAGCTCCCAAAAGTCGTAGCGCAAAGCCCGCGCTTCCAGGTTGATGGCTTGGATCTCGACAACGTTCAGACGGAACGACCTGTTCGGGTCTGGCGGCTGGATGGAGCCGCCGTTGCCGTTGCCGAACATGCCGTTGCAGGCGACCTCGACGTAGAAGGTATGCTCCTTGCCGTCCCTGAAAGCCTTGGGAAGGATCCATTCGGTGCGCTCGCCGCCGCCGGTCAGGCCGTGGACGACGTCACCGTGTTCGGTCCATATCATGCCCTCGCAGTCGGCGTCCCATTTGAACTCAAGGTGCTCGTACTCCAAGAATTCCTTGGGAACGGCGAGCTGGATCTTGACCCAGTGCGTGGACCAGCCGGGACCGAACCAATGGCCGGGAACGATTGGCTTGAAGTCGTGCGAGACGGCATCCTTGAAGGCCGGGCGCGCGAGGTTGGGCGGAGAGTAGACGGACAGCTTGAACGGGCCCGGGTTCGCGCCGACTTTCGCATACACGATCTTGCTGCATCGCGTCAGTGAGAAGGGGCAGGCAGTTGGGAGCAGCTGCAACGTACGGCAACAGGCCCTGGCCATAGTACTGCCCGCCGTCGGTGAACTGGCCCAGGCGGTCGCGATAGATGCGGTCGATGTGCTTGCCCACGGGACCAGCCGCGAGCGTGGGGTAGTCGGAAGACACGGGGATGACGCGCTGTTCGCCGCCCATGATGAAGTGTTGCAAGGTTGCTGTGCGTGTTGAGCTGGAGCTGGAGCGGGAGCAAGCTGGAGCTCCGGGCCCTTGCATGAGCTATCTATAAGCTGGGGCCCCGCATTGCTGCGTTAGCGGATCCCGTCCGGCCCTAGGCTCGCCACCTGACCTTGCCAGCCGCGCACCATTGCACCGTGCATGCTGCACCAACTGTCCACGCGCAATGTCTTGCGCGGACAGATGCGCATCGCCTTAGTCACAGTCACGGCCTTGCATGCTTCACGCAGAAGGTGCTACGTTCGTCTGCTCATGTGCCAGAGCAATCGATTTGCATACGAAGGACTCCAGGTACGCCAATCCACGAGCATCGTGGTGCATGTGGATTCCATCTAACGCCAGACCAAATGTATCAACATTGCAACAACCAAACCTTTCGTCCAACACTCCAGCCTTTCTGCCGAGATGGTGATCGTGCTGCTCACGCCTTCTAGCGGATGCGGTCCAAACGCGCCCTGTTCATGGCGATCTGGTCGTCCACCTTGTCCGTCTTTTGCGTGATGCGATCGATGTGTTTGTTCTGAGTGTCAACCTCTTGCCCCATGGCTCTACCAAGAGCATTCAACCGCTTCGCCGCTCCATGGAGCTGGTCCAAGTTGTTGTCGATCTCGTTTTCTATCAGGTGTAAGCATGCCATGTTCGTTTCCAAGACCCGGCACCACCACTTACCCATCTCGTCATCCTCACTGTCAGCCTCGAACTGATACTTTGCGCGGTCGGCTAGCGTCGATTTGCCACCCGTGTTTGCGGCGCCCTGCACGCCTCTCTTGTACTCGTCTTGCCTAGCCGAACTCTGCCATGCGGCCGCACGAGTGGCATCCCTCTGGGCCCGCTCCGTCTACACTGGTCAGCTTCCATGTGCATGCTTTCACTCAGCAACTAGCTTACCTGGTGGTTTTCCATGATCTTGCGGTCCCGCTCTTCGCGGCGTGAATTGCTGGTGAACGGGTTGGACACGTGCACCGCGAACATGCTGCGGTTAAGCGTCTTGAGCTCACGTGCCTTCTCCTCTGCAATCCGGTTCTGCGAGGATGCGAGGTCCAAGTTGCGTTCCGTGTTGTGGATCCTCTCTAAATTCAATCGTCAGCGGGCTATTGCTACAGCTAGCAAAGGGCGGGACGTTACCTCCTTGTGCTCCGAGGCGGGCAAGAGTATCGCGACCAGTCTCTTCGGCCTGTTGGGCGAGCCTCAGCGCGTTGCGCGTGCTCGATACATCCTGCTGCTTCATGAACTTGATTTCGTTCTTGGTGGCCATGATGTCCTCTTCTTCTTGCTCCTCTGCAGTCAATTGGCGATCCTCATATGCTGGGCCGCTACCATAGCCTCCCGGTGCTCCGTATCCACCACCAGAAACGCCCGACTGGCTGTAGGAGCTGCCTCCTGGCTGTCCATAGCCGCCATCCGACTGGGGTGGCTGCTGCTGCGGTGCCTTCGGTTGTCTCTGGGCTGCACCTCCAAACAGGGCAGAGCGGTCTTCGTCGAGGTTTGGGTCCGAGTTGCCCAGGCCACCATAACCGCCAGTCCGGCGAGGAGCACCCTGATCGGCACCTCCACCGTACTGGTTGCCGCCGTAGCCGCCAGAGGCACCGTAGCTACCAGTGCTCTGGTAGCCACGGCCTCCGAATTGTGCGCCCTGGCCCGTCACAGCGGGAGTTTTCTCTTGACGGAACGAGTCGTTGCCTCCCTGGTAGGCTGGAGGCGGTGCACTCGCATACAGGTCGTTCTTAGCGGGCGCAGCGTAGGGGTTGGCTGCTGCGTCGGCTTCCTTGTTCTTCTTCTTGAAGAGCCCCATGGTGTGTGGTTGCGGATGTGGTGCGGGTGGTGGGCTCGAGCGGGCAAGTCGTGTGTGCGTGCGGGGAGACAAGTGCTCGTACTTTTGGTCAGCTGCGCGTATCCAGTTGCGGCTGTCTCGAGGTGGCAGTAAGACAGAAGAATGTGTTTTCGGGGGTGTCTCTTGAGTATTTGAGTGTTTGGTGAAGTGTCGGAGGTTCAGCGCTGGCCGTTTCGCAGTAAGCGCGGTCCAGCTGCCCAACATGCGGAATGGCGCCCGGTGGCTGTGCGATGCGCCCCACAGCCACGACGGCGGGGCCGTCTAGTCCATTTCCCTGCCCCAACGACGCGTGTTGGCTCGAATCAATAACGATTGCCTTTGCGAAAACGTGAATTTATCAACCCAAGATTGAACTTCCATCACTCGCTCCGTCCAGCGGACTGAGGTTCAACGAGGTATTGCGGAGGGTGTTCACTGGACCCTGCATCTGCTGATGGCGCTAGCATTGCGGCACAAGGAGTCGCACTGTGAGAGGTGCATAAGAGCTGGCTCTCAAGTCTAAGGTCTACAGCTTTGCCTTTGCCGACCACGCCTCCACCCTCTTCTCCCGCTCTTCAGCTTCCGCAGCGAGCCTGTCGCTTGCCTTGTCTCTTAGGTCAGCCTCGCGCTCGTCATTCTCCAGGAAGTCCACCGTCTCCCGCCACATCTCCCTCTTGAGTTCGCCCACCACTCCCTTATCGGGCTTACTCGTCAACTTGAGCTCTTCGATGAACTTGAGCACCTCATCGAGTCCACCCAGCCCGTCGATGATGTTTTCCTTCAGTGCGTCCACCGACTTATGCCATCATTAGGACCGTCTGTACAGCAGCAGGATGGTACTCACCTTGAATCGCCTGCCCTCCAGTACCAGCGTCCGATAGACGGTCGGTGTGCACTTCTGACGGAATATGGATGACATTGCTGGTCGTAATGGTACACCTAGGTCGACCTCATTCAAACAGAGGTAACCTTTGGTTGGGTTCATGATGCGGTAATCGTGCATCATGGCTGTCATGAGAGCACCGGCAAAGCCGTGACCGTTGATCAGCGCGATGGTAGGCATCGGGTAGCTGACAACTATTAGCGTGATTGCGCCCCTCCATCATACCAAAAAATTATTGTGCTCACACCAAGATGCGGCGCCATAGCTTGTATAGAACGTTCGCAAAAAATCCAGGCTGCATGGCGTGCTCCAGGTCCAAGCCATTGCTGTAGAACTTTTCGATTAACGACGTGGTAATGACGACGCCGTGAGGATATTTGGTCTCGAGAATGTCCAGTGCCAGTACGATGGCCTCGCACAAGTCCGTCACAAGGCGGTTGTCCGGCGGCGAGCCGAATGCGACGACATAGACCTTGTCACCGGGCGAGCTGACCTCAACCTTGCCCTTTGTGCCGATCGGGACCGTGAAAAGTGGATTGCCACGCGACATGATGATGATGGTTGGATTGATGTGTACGGTGTTGGAGGTGGATAACCGATGGCGTAGGCGATTCACGTGCAAATCGCCCGGCCCGAGCATACCTAGGTAAACTCCTACCGAACTTACGATCAGTAAACACAACACTCATCAACCGCGTTCTGCATAGTCTGTGGGTTTCAACTAGGTTCAAAGTTCTGCTACGGCTGCAAAAATCCACTCGAGTTTCGCATAGTCGATCCTTCTAGTGAGCAACTGCCCGCTGCTATTTATGCTGCCCATAATCAACCTTTTCGCGAAGAATAACCCATTCTTTGATGATCGCGCAACGCTACGACAACCGTAAACATACCTCAGTTCACCCTGTATTTCTTTCAATTGCGGGATTCTTCCTTCGCCTCTCAAAAGTACCGTGAAGGGGCCTGGATCATACCGTTCCATCAGCTACTCTGTCATCATCAAGCAGAGCCCCGTCCTCAGATGGCAGCGCCTCATGCTCCTCCTTGGTCCAAATTTCCATGCCCTCCACCACCGGAAAGGACGTAAGCACGCGGCTGATGTCACCCCACCATACCTCGCCGAATTTGCGATACCACTCTACCGTCCGCCTCAGACCATCATCAAAGCTGGTCTTTGGCTGCCAGCCTAGAGCAGCAAGCTTTGATCCGTCCGTCGCATACCGTTGGTCGTTAAAAGGTCGATCTTCCGTGTACTGCACCGACTTTTCAAGATCTGCTGGGGTCTCATGAGCAAGACCGAAGAGTCCTAACAGCCTATGGCAGATGTCCGTGTTAGAGATTTCATCTGTAGTCGCAATGTTATATATTTGACCGATGTCGCCTTTGTGAAAGATCGTGTCCAATGCATCGACGATATCGCCGGCATAGAGATACCGTCGTGTGGGTGATCCATCGCCGTGGACTAGAAGCTTCCTTCTGCGCTGTAAAAGCATAATAAATTTGGGTATGATCTCTGTGGTCGGTCAGCAAGAAGTGGAGAGGATGCATGATGTCAACGCACTCTCAGGAAACTGATGGGGTCCATATACGTTGTTAGACCGCACGGTGATCAAAGGGAGCTTGAAGCTCTTCCGGTATGCGCTGACCATCATTTCCGCCGCCGCCTTGCTTGCTGAATATGGATTTGTCGGGGCTAGAATGCTCGTTTCGCTAAGGTCTGCTGCACCTATCGGTACATCCCCATACACCTCATCTGTTGAGATATGTACGAAGCGTGAGATACCATGTTCCCGCGCTCTTTCGAGCAAGACGTGCGTCCCGTATACATTAGTGTTCGTAAACTGGTATGAGTTGCCAAAGCTGAGGTCAACATGCGATTGGGCTGCGAAATGGAATATCGTGTCGATGTGGTGCTTGCGCAGGACCCTTTTAACATCAGCGGGAGATGTTATGTCGCCTTGCTCAAACTTGAAGTTGGAGCGGCCATCAAGGATGCGCGTGTTGTTCAGCGTTGCGCAGTAGTCAAGTTTGTCGAATGAGACAACGTTGTAGTGGTCCGGATACGTCAGAGTCAAGTGTCGGACGAACCAACACGCGCTGTAAGGGTGTCAGTCGCGGCTCTACCCTACGCCTATTCCATGTCGCACATGAAGCCTGCACCACCCGTTACAAGGATGTTGCGCGCATCCTCTCGTGGCTCGAAACGAGTCGTCCCAGTCAAAACCGGTGCTTGCTTCCAGAGATCTTCTGTCAGATACGATCTCGGATTAAGAACGGTCGAGTTCCTCCGGTCTGTGTAACGTATTAGCGACTGGCGCGGCCCATCGGAGGCTTCTACACGCCAAACTGGAGGAAACCGGCAGATATTCTAGAGGTGCTCAAGCTCCAGTATCACTTCTAGCGGCTCTCGCGAGCGGCGAAGATGCGACGAGGGTTTGCGATAGGCTGGCGCGGGGAAGGCCCGCAGGACGACATACTTTTGAGGCCATTGGTAACAGGTGCGCAATCTGGGCTCTCTATGGCGGACATCTCGATAGAAGCCGCCGACAGGAGCTATACATGTAGGGCGGTCGTGCAAACAGTGTCGCAGACATCCCAAACAGACATTCCGTCTCCCTCAATATACGAAGCTTGCATCTTGTGTTCCTGGAGCTAGCACCGCAACAGGAAGCGTATCCGTAGCATCATGTGACGTCACTGCACGTGCAGCCCCCTCTACCAATTCATGTCGGAGCCTGCCTTTACTACATAAACTACAAAATAATTCAATGAGCCATGGTGAAGCTAAGCTGGGGAGTCCCGTCCTTGTTCATTTGCGCTGTGTCAGGACATCCTACGATAGCATCGAACCTACTTCGAAAGACAGTCACAACATTCAGCATCAGCTGTAGCAAACTTCAAACTCCGGACATCAACATGAAGGAAGAGATTGAATTATCATACATATAAAGATGCGGTGCGTGAGACCAAAAATCCTCGTTCTACGCTTTGTGCTGCAGGTGGACACTGAGACATCACAGCTCTGTCGAGCCTGTGTCCACTCGAGTATGGTCTGTGTGGAGTCTTGTAGTATTCAAAACACCGATATTGAATCCTGATCGTCTACTGGGAGCAATCGAGGTAGCGCCGGGTGAAGTTCCACATCATCGGTGAGGCAGTGAGGAGATTAGCCGCCTACAGATCAAGATGTAGGTCGGCAGTCACAGACGGTCGATCTTGACGCCATCCTTTGAAGACGCGGAGATTACAGCAAAATAGAAGGGGCTGTGAGATGGCGTTCTAGATGTATGCCCGTATTGCACGTTGAGACAGACCTACGTGCAGTCGCTAATCCTGAAAACTACGATCTGTAGCCGCGCACCGCCGTCTTCATGCCCATTCCGACTACAAACTTCCGTTTCGGCAATCATTCCCTAGGGTTGATCGTCATGTTGTCCTCCAGTGCCTTTTCCCGTCTCTTCCGGCACATCTTCCACATAGAACAACAGATCAGGATGTCTCTTGTCCATCGGACTCCTCGAGTTCTCGTTTCCGAAGAACACCTGAGCTTTATTAATCTTCTTATTTCCCAGCTCTTTCTTGTGGCTGACCAGGAAGTACCCAAAGGAGATCGCATTGGGCGATCCGAGCAATGCCATTCCCTCGTCGCTGTCCATGTCGAATGTCGCGCCTGGCCAGCCGGAGAGTTCTTTCCCCCAAATACTCAGCGCTGAAGCGGCAATTCGTGAAGTATCGATGTTTTGAACGTTCTGGGCCCAGAAATAGCGAATGTTCTTGACGTCAGGATTGTCACGGTACCACAATCCCCAGAGAAGGTCGGCAGAAGTGCGTAGTGCAGGAAGTTCAGTTCTTTGCGGTTTATAGCCCCAATTTTTCTCTGCGGCATGGGCGGGACTCAGACGAAACTGTGCGGTGACAACTATGGAGTCATGTCAGCTTGAGGGTGAACATGAACATACGCAACCGACATACCACCACCGACGTGATTGATAGCAATTTTATGATTGGCGCCCGTTTTCTGTCAATTCAGATCGTATTAGCTTTCGAGTATAGTGGTCGAAGTAGCACGGGCTCACCGAGTACTCCTGATCGTTGACTTTGTATTCCTGGTCCACAAAGCGTTTCTCATTGTCATCATCCAACTCTTTGTCGCCATGCCAGAGCTCATAACAGATGTTGTCACCACCATCTGGACTGGAATGCTTGGGGAATCCCAGGTACTTGGGCTTTTTGTTCAGACCAAGCGCGTCGTAGGGCGTGCTGTACTGCCAGAATGTCTCAAAGTTGCAAAAATATTCAGCATGTGGATCGGTCTCTTCCCATCCCCACTTGGACAAATCCTCTATTGGAAGGTGTTAGTAGGTCTTCACATGCTGGCTGTTGGGAGCATACCCTTGAGATCGCCTTGCCATTCATTCCGCATGGTAGGTGGATTCGCCGCGGGTTTGAAGATCTTCGCAGCTTCCTCGTCGTTACGGGTGAAGGCTTCGACAAACTCACCGCCCTTACAGACTGCTTTGGACCATATTTGATCATTCGCAGTCGCCGATTTGTCCCAGCGGCGGGTGATATTGGTCGGTGAAGCGGCGATCGGACCGCCCAATATGGCGCTGAGAAGGGCAACGGCCACCATTAGAAGCGTGAGAATCGACATTACGTCGGTGAGGGTGCGGTTTTGTTCGAGTCGAAGGTCGGCTTGTAATGAATACGCCCAGTTGAGTGACCTCTATGATGAGGCCGCTGAGCTTGGAAGTCACGGGCGTTTGTCGTGTTGATACTGCATTCAACGCGCAGTATAAAAATTACCCCAAAGACTCCTTTGTGCCTTTCAGATTCAGCAGATTTGACTAGTCGCAAGTTGGTACCCTGAACAGCACTTTCATTCAACCCCAAAAGAGCGCGGACACCATACGTTACCCAACGCCTTGTCATGGCAACATCACCCTGGGTAGCCCCGTGATAAGCCAAGCAGCTGCGGTCCTTTTACTGAGGGCCATAGCTGTATGCTTAGCTTAGCCTCGGAGCTACTATTGTCACTCGGTTCGAGTCTCGGCAAATTGTAGGAAACGAAACTCAACATAGCCATGATCGCAACAGATAATGCCCGCGCATTATCGTAATAATGGTATATGCATGAGTTGTTCTATAGAAGCCCTCCCTCCTCCTTTCCTGATAAGTTGTTGCTCGACTTAGCTACTGTGTACGCCTCCTTCCATAGTTTGTGCACATGCTCGCTCGATGGAGTTGTTCGAGAATTATATGTGATAAGACCCCAATGCTAAAACAACCCCGGGAAACCCTAGCTCCTTGCTTGAACACAAAACGCCCAAAAACATGGTATCATTCTCTTCTCTTGTCCAAAATTACTCCAACAATCCCATCTCCAAACTCTTTCCATTCCCCAGGCGTTTCTTCAAGTGTTGATGTGCTGGTAGCACTCCAAGCACCAAGGCTCCCCATCTTGTCCGATTTCCACGATGCACTCTTTGCAAATGGCCTTTTGACACCCCAAACATTCCCTCGCACAAATGTAACAGGTTCGTTCCGTACATCGCTGGCAGTCCATGTAGCCCTCAAGGTCTCGTTTTCGTTTTGGTGCAGTGCTGCAGACATGGCAAGGACTGAGGTCTGATTTGGTATGCGAGTCCACTCTCTGTACGGGCGGCGAGCTTGGCACAAGATCGGGTTCGGTGTCCATGAGATGCGATGGCGTCTTAACATGCAGACGCTTCATTTGCTTTACAGGCCGGCGTTCCGAGCTTGCAAGCTTTGGTGATCTTGAGAATGTGCGCGGCACGGTCGCTTCGTGAGACGCGGGGTCGTGGCCGTACAACCGAATATGGCCTTCGCTTGTAGGCGATGTCCGTGAGATGCTGGAACCATATCGATCCACGTCTGCAGAAGACATGGAGATATGTTTGGGGCTCGGCATGTCTTTGTCGTCCTCTAGTCGCCTCTTCCTCTTGCCCAGGCTGGCTGCAATCTGCGAATCGACCATGTGATTTTGTACGTGGGCGTGGGTTGACGACGAAAAGACAGAGGGTGTGTGTTTGTGATCGTGCCCGAACAAGCCGGGTGTAATGTACACCATGGCGGGGAACACGACGGTGAAGTGGAGGCGAGCGACGCTGCAACGGTGAGAGCGCGGTGGACGAGAAGCGAAGGCGGCGAGCGGTCGGGGTTCGGGTGGCAGTCGGAAGAGAACGCTTAGACGTGCATATCGCTAGAGGCACACTTAATGCAGCAGAACGCAGGAAGGAGCGACGTGTGCAGCCCGGGGGCGTCTGGAGTGAGGAGGACGAGTGCTGTCGTAGTCCCGGCGGGAGGACTTGGACCTTGATCTGCCAGCAGCTAACTCGATGCAACCTAGCAGATGCAGGGTTCACAAGCGTCCAAAGCTGTACGGGCCCGCGCGACTTTCTCACGTGTCGCCAAGTGCCGCCGCGGCGCTGCTCCGCAATCGAAGCGCAGTCCGCCAAACAGTCTTATATAAACATACACCATTCCTACGTCTTCTGGAGGGTTTCTGGTCGGGCTCAGGGAGGCGCATTGGCTGCTTGTTTAGTGATACCCAGGAGTGCGATTGCGCGACAACTCCCTACCATCATTAATTTTGGTCACTCTAGGGGAAATAGCACCACGCCGTTGCTGCCATGGAGAACCTCAACGTCGCCGAGCTGGTCGAGCGGCTGGGAAGCGATGAAGAGTCGGTGCGAAAGATGGCAGTCTTCAAGCTGCAAAGTGCCATTGGCGACCCCTCGTTTGCCGATGTCTTCATACAAGAAGGGGGCCTGCCCAAGCTGCGGTTTCTGGCTCTGCATTCGACCGGTAACACCCTAGCATATTGCCTCACGTCTTTGTCGCGGCTACTGGAACTCGACAAGGGATGGGACCACGTCTCGGATGACCTCACCAGGAGGGTCAGTACAAGGAAGGCGCGGCCGAGTATGGCGCATTCGATCTAACAGCGCACAGATTGTCGGCCTCGTAGTCGCGCAGCCGCTCGTCAATGTGAATCGCGGTGCCATGTCGGTCCTCGCTGCCATCGTCGGCAATCCCTCGCGCCGCAACTCGCAGCCCGGCGTCACTGGCTTTCAGCGTCTGAAGCCCATAATCGAATCGCATAAGCAGTTCCTGCCTTCCCTGGTCGAGAAAATGACCTCCGCCGACCACGCACTTTGCGCCAACTCGCTCCAGCTCATCAATGCTCTCATGCGAGACACCATTGCGAATGAAGCGGATACAGAGTGGCCACGGTTCATAAAGCAGTTGCAGGAATTAGGTGTCATCAAGAGTGTGTACGGGTTGATGCAGAGCTCGGCAGTGCAAGACCTCGCGCATCCGTTACTGGACTTCCAGTCTCTGACCAAGATTCTGTTGCGAAGGTGGAGGGAGGAGAAGGTGGATCTGGAAAAGGCAGACCACCGCAGAGCTCTGAGAGGATTGCATGTTGCAAGCAATCCGGACCAGACAGGGACAGACCCTAAAGGCAGCAAAAGACAGAATCCTGCCAAATGGAGACGCCTTGGATTCGAAACTGAATCGCCAGCATTCGAATTCACCCCCAGTGGATTCCTAGGCCTGATGGACCTCACCGACTTTGTCTACAAGAATGAAGACGGTTTCCAGAAGTTGTTGCTTGAGCAATCAGCAGTGCTGCTTGAGCAGCGTTGCCCAATCGCTCGCGCAAGTCTTGCTGTCACATCTATTTTATACGACCACTTTGAGGTCGACAAGTCAGACGAGTCGGAATCTAACAGGTACACGGTGCTGGACTCACGAGCAAATTTTGAAAGGGCTTTCAAGCCTCTCCTCTTGCATTGGTCAAGACTGCACACAAGCGGCTTGAATGCGTTCATTCGACTGTGGAAGGCTGCCGGAGCACAATTGGACGATTTTGAGAAGATCGAAGAATTGGTACGGATCCTGACTGAACAGGTCGTGGGACAAGCGCCTCGCACGAAAGAAATCAAGGATGTCGAAGAGGAGTTGGCCGAATATGACATTCAGCGGCTAAGGGAGCTTCAGATGGAGTTGCTTGAACTCACATATGAGGATGCTTGGGGCCATCACCTTCGGTTCGTGCCTGTTTCTGAGTTGCGGGTCCATTATGCTAACCTATACTTAGTCAAGTTCGAGACGAGCTCAGTCACGAAGCTCTTCAATTCGTTAAAGAGCAGCGCATCCGGTGTCTGCTTCAGGGCGCCTGGTTTCCTCAGACGATGAACTACAGCACAGAAGCAGGACCGGTCACGAGCAAAACCCTCAACCGGACAGTGCCCTCGTTGTGGCGATTTGTTCGACTCTCGCATAATCGGCGATATCTGCACTTTTCGGACTTTGATGAGAGGCTGCCAACAGAGCCAAGGCTGGATGCCTTACAAGACAAAAGTAGGCTCCCCACAACGCGGTGGAATAGTGTACGCGCTGTGTCTGACATGCATGTGTAGTTGATCTTTCCATTGTGTCTTCGGTTGTCAGCAACGTGTCGGCGTCGGCGCCATCGACATCGTCGTCTGACAGCACGCTCAAAGACGCTGGGCAGGCGAATACATCAACTAAAATCACCATCCACGGGTACTTGCCTAGTACAAGCCATTCACGCCAGAAATCGGATGATTCGAAAGGCACGCAGAAAGAGTCGGTCCTTCTTCAGCTCCATCCGCAAAGCCATACATTGGCGTCGGAGTGGCTAGACGGGTTGTTGATGCTACTCAACCAACAGCCAATTACAGCCGACACCAACAAACTCGTAAACCTCATCGGCGGCTACGGACTGAAGATTCGACTGCTCAACGTGCGCTTTGAGGATGTGGGCATGGAGGAGCCGATCCTTCCCAGCCGCGAGGGATTGGACGATGAGTACTATTACGACATTGGCGGGATGGAGGCCGGGGTGTGAAACTACCGCAACAACGTGTCTGCACGCATATGGCTTGCGATGGCGTCGTTGAGAGCAGCAACGTGGGATCTAGCGTCGCCAGCGTGGCCTGGATCTGGTTCAGGTACGGAGCGCGACGATTCTACGCTTGGATCTGGCGCTATTTTGGTAGATATGGGCTTGGCAAGGTACAACCAGGCTAGCAGGGATTCGTCGTTCAGGCCGGTGCTAGTCGCTAGTGCTCTGCGCAGCACTCTACCGATGGTGAAGCCACGAAGGCTGGAGAGAGCGTATTCGAGTAGTAGGATTCTATTTAGATACCCATGGTTTTACGGCAGCGTGGCACCGCATGCTCGCGAATGTTGTTGAAGGCTCCAGTTTCCTATCGTGGCTAGATCCCCCGCTCAGCTCCTCGTCCAGCTGCACGACACTTGCACGGCGTCTGCTGGCGAGGCTACACCGTGTGGGCAGCGATATTTTGCGCAGCTCGTGGCACGCTCGGATGGGGCTCCTGCGCCAGCCCGGCGGCCAGCGGGAGCCTAGCGTCGCGGCGCCTCAGACGGTGGTCTGGTTGCGGACGGGCTAGAGACGACGGCGTGCGAGAGAGGACAGCGATCAATATCCCGGCGTCTATCACGCCTGTGTCGTGGGGAGCGCAGTGGAGAGGCGTAAGCAGAGTGGGCCGCTCACCGTGTTTTGTTCCTGAGCAACCCCGGCCTGAAACAGTGGGCGGGATCAGAGCGGGGGCGCAAACTTGCGCAACCACGAAGCGCGCTGCCATTGGTGAGGTGCGCCTGGGCCCGCCAGCCGACCTGAGGTGAAGATATCCGCAGCATGCGCGAATGGCCTCGTGGCGATACTTGCTGGGCGAGTTCCAGTCTCCAGGGATGCTCCAGGCGCCGCGACGGAGAAGGCCTTGAGTGGGTGACCTGGAGACAGCTAGTCACGGATACTGACGAACCGCCGGTGGAGACGGGCGCTGGAGAGCTCACCGTGTATGGCGGCGCAGGAGTCAGTAGTCGTGGATGGCTGCATATGTGGTTCGGATGCTCTCTGCAGCCGCCAGCGCTGTGCTCCCTTGGTGAATTCATTACCCATCAGCCGACGGGCGCCCTCCAGGGACACTGTTTGCTTCTTTCTTATACTCGGGCTGTCACCTTCACCAGGCGCGGATTCCGTTTACCACGACGACCAGCCTGCGGTCCGGCTCCACACCAACGTGTGTTCCTGCGTAGTGATTTAACCAGATCGACGCACGCATACCAACAACGCTCGGCCGCTTTTGCACAGGACCAGGGCCAGGGCGCAGGTGCAGCTTCTACCGCTTATACATACTTCAATGTACCTGACAGCCCGCGAACACCACCACGAGGTCACGCCGCCCGCCCGTACCATCTACCTTGCTAGCCACGCCGGCACCATGAAGAAGAAGGCAAAGGTCGTTCCTCCGTGCTCGCATGCCGAGTTTGAGTCGCTGCCGGAACCATTGAGGTGCGTACCGCCATGCACCTTCTGGAAATGCTGCTGCACCCGTGATTTGCTGGGCGAATGTGATTGTGATAGGGGCGCATAAACCTCTTCATCTCCAACCCCACCACGGGCCAGGTACCTGAGAACGACGAGCGCCACGATGCTGACGATACCGCCTGCAGACGAAAGTACTTTAGCTCGCTGGAGCGGCTGCGCATTGCTGAAGAGCACGCCCTGCACGAGCAGCAAGGGGAGCACAAGCACCAGTACCACCCGTTTCAAGCGCGGCCGTCCCGCTCGAGGTCCACTGCCATCCATCGTTCGATACTTCCGCTAGGATCGTCACGTCGCCGACTTGCACGAGCCGAAAGCCTAAAGCACGACCATTACGTCGCGCAGGCCGACGCCTCGTTCTTCTTGTCGCTGCCGCCAAAAGTCCAGCGCAGCGCCTTTTCTCGCGAGGAGCAAACCATCTTGGTCGGACGCTGCGAGATCCCCCCTTCCACGACCGGATCGCCCTTGCCTCCCGCCCGCCGCACGCACCTGCACTACGACGAGGAGCAGCGCTTCAGCGACTTCCACTTTGGCTTCAACAACGACGGCAGCGACGACCACGCCCTCGCCCGCGACCACGACCACAACCATTACGGCGCCGCTCTCCACCGAGGTCGCTCCCTCCGGCGGCGGTCCAGCGTGTCGTCGGCCGACATCTCCCCCACCCGCGGCTCGCCCTACAGCCCAGCACAAGAGCTGGACGCAGACACGGAAGGCAGCCTGCTGTATCTCGACACCATGAGCCCTGTGGCCTCGCATCCCTCGCGCGCCAGCTTCAGGCGCACCCTGTCGCTCACCAACATCCCCCTCCGCAGCTCCATCTCGTCTGCACCCCTCGCTCCGGAACCCCTCTCCGCCCGTGGCACCGCGCCCTGGCATCAAAGGGCCCACTCGCAGTCCGTGTCCGGCAGGCGCTCCTCGCACACTCCACAGGCCCCCGTCTTCGACCCCGAAGCTACCCACTACCGGGATGCGGAGACACGCAAGAAGCTGCAGTTCCTTGCTTCCCCGCAGAAGTTTGACGAGGCCGTCGAGTTTGGGTTCCCCTCCAGCGGCGACGACACCATGCCGCCCCGCTACCAGCTCCCTCCCATCAGCACCGACGCCCGCAATTTCAGCCGCGACGTGCAGAGCTTTCTCAAGGACGACCGCATGTCGTTCTTGGACGACCACGAGGAAGAGGATAACAAAGGTCTGGAGTCGGACGCTGAGTCTGTTGCCGACTTTGAGTCCCCTGTCACGCCCTCGAGCGTTGGCCATTCATTTCGATACCACCGCAAACAGTCCTCCAACTTCTCCTCGTCTATCGACTCCAATGGCGTGCCCCTGATCCACCCAGTCACTGGCCGTCTGAATCGCGAGATGACGCTGCGGATGACTCTCACTCGGCCGGACCTGCGCGCGGATGAGGAGCAGCTTTACGGCTGGCAAGGGCAGAAGCACACCAAGGATGATCCGTTTGCTCTTGAGGACCTTCCGCTCTCGGACGATATGAACGGAACTAAGGGTCCTTTCTACGTCAAGCCGAAGCCTCACGGCAACCTTGTCAGCCGACTCTTCAAGCGCAGCAGTAAGAAGGGACGATGAAGCTCACGACATGTCACTCAGCACGATTTATGAGCACCCATACGATGCATGTGTCACGACACGTAACATCATACGTCGACCTATGTTTCCTTCTAATCACTTCTCTTCAAGAACACCTTTTACTTACGGTCTTCACATTTTCTTTTGGTGTACTTTAGCGGGCGTTAATCAGAGACGAAATCGGTTCAATGGCTAGCGTTCATGCGCAGGCCTGTTTCCTTTCAGTGTACAATATACCATTTAGCATGCATGCATGACCGAGACGAAACGAGATGAGAGGCAAAACGGCAGATGATGGTTCATGCGCTCGATAGATTTCGGGGATAGCATAGCTAATCGTTGCTGTTGCGGGATAAGGGTCTGGGATTGCGGTGCAGATTCGGAGACGGTAGATACCCCCAGTTCAGACCAGACTGGCAAATGCGAAAACGAGAAAAGTTCTTGATACATTTGAAACGTTTCCGTATCGGCACTTGTGCGATCCCAATTGGCGGCATGTACCTACTTGCGACTGCATGACAGCATCCACGGCTCACCGTGCCTGGGTGCTAGTAAATTCCACGTTCCGTTCGAGCAGTGCGGTACCTTCGCAAACGGTGGGGCGCTTCCCAGGGACAAATGCTCGCTCCAAGCCTACCGCGTGCGTGGGAGCGACTACGGGTTCTCCCACTCGCCGAGCTCGCCGAGCGTAGCCTGCTCGTATTCCGGAGCACAGTGCGTCTATTCATACACTTCAAGCCTTCCATTGCAGGTAGGTGAGTACTGCGAGTATCGCAAGTGGAAATCTCCTCGACGAGGTGGCATGTCGCCCCCAAGCCCAAATCCACATGCAAATTCGATAAATGCTCTTGCATGCGCGCATGAACATGATACACCCCAACGGCTCGGCCTGCCGAGTGATATTGCAGATACGAAGGCAGGGCGTTCGCATGGCTAAACGGCACCGCAGCGACGAACGTGACTGCCCTGCCGTACCGTGTGCCCTGCAACGTACCATATGTGTTCTGGCGGTTCGCACGCGGTCCGCTTCGCGAGTCAGAGGCTGGATACGAAGTTAGAGGCGGATGCTTCCATGCACTCGGAGTGGGTGGGATGGGTCTGGCGCTGGGCTATTCGAATGCGTCTTTCCTGATTCCTACAAAGTACAGCACACTGTTGGACTTGACAGTGGGCTCTGCTACACGCCAAACCTGCACCAAAAGCTACAGAGAAATCTCGCAAAAGCCGGGGCTTGTGGCGGCAACCTCGGTGTTTCTGTCCCGGTTCGTTCGTCGTTTCGACGCTGCACCACACCATTTCCAGTGACCAGCTAGGCACTCCACGATAGCGTCCTACCCTGGCGGTGTGTTTGGCTCTAGCGCCAGCCAGCGCCGCAGGCATGCGCGACATTTCGGTAGGTTCGCTCTTGGACGCTAGGCGCGTGTGGGGCGGGTGGTGCCTGCGTTAGCAAGGGTGTGGTGGCTTCTTAGGTGCTGGGTTGGTGAGGTCCCGCGAGGGTAGTGTTTCGGGTGGGCGTATGTGGATGGTCTTTGCGATGGGATGTGTGCTGGTGGTGAGGGGTGAGGATGAGGTCGAGTCAGTGGGTGCTGCGTGGGAATATGTGAGTGATATGCTGCGAGGCAGGAGAATGTACATGCACACAGTGTGTATGTAACAACATGTATGCGAACTGTGACTAGTCCATCACGCACACCTCCACACATAATGCGAACCGCGGACGTGACCACCGCCTTGTTTCGCTGTTGAGGATTTCCTTGACACCGTTCGCAGGATTCTCGCACCCGCCTAAGATATGGGTCGAGCAGGCGAGTAATGGCAATACATCTACCAGTACTTTGCGTGGTTGGTCTTCTGTGTTGATGCATCCGCCTCGGCCCCCGTCCCGGCTACAAGTTTGGTCATGAGTGCAGCAAATTAGTATGTGTACGGCGAAGATCTCCACGGGGGGTACATATGTAGGAGGGCTGAACAAAACCTTGCTTGTCGAATTTGTCATGTCCAGGAATAACTAGCTTCTATGCGTACCATGCATTGTCGCAGAAGAAGCGGAGAGAATTAGACACTCTGAGTAGCTTGCTGGTCCTTGACCAAGTTATCAATGGATCACAAGTTCGATTGTGGAAGTTTGAGAATCTGATCAATGTGAGCCGGGTGGTGCTCAACAAAGGCTTCGAAACGATGGAAGCAAAGGGTATCTGGCATTATCGTCTCATTGCTCTCGTGGTATTTTTACTATCGCAGCGCTAGTCTATGCACATGACCCTTCGAACGCGCGTTTACCTCTACCTCGACAGGGCAATGTCGTCGATTCGCAGTATCATCTTGACCGTCTCCGCGGCCAGCTCAATGGCGCTTGTGCTCACTAGCAGCGGCTGCAGCACGTTCTCCTCTGCGATATCATTCTTCACGCCCCCGCTCTTGATACTTACACCGGCGTTCCTCTGGTCCTGTGCGTGACGATGCCTCAGCTCTGTAACCACCTTGATGCTGTTCAAACCCGCGTTTTCCGCGAGAGTGGTAGGGATAACCTCCATGGCATCTGCGAAGGCTTTCCAGCAGATAGCCTCGGTACCTGTGAGTTCGCGCGCCTTGATGGAAAGTCGGTGTGCGATCTCAGTTTCAGGCGCGCCGCCACCTGCAAGGAGGGCCTTCTTCTTTACAAGCGAACGGATGGCGCAATGTGCGTCGTGCAACGAGCGCTCTGTCTCTTCTAGGATCAAGGAGTTTGCGCCTCGGCAGACGATGGAGACAGTTTGGGCGGCGGCTTTCACACCCGAAACCTTGACGTATCTTGCGCCCGATGCCTGGACCTCCTCGATAAGATCTGCGGAGCCAAGCTTGTCCTCTGTGAATGAGTCGATGTCGGCGATGGGCTTGCAACCAGTGCTCTGCAACCAGTCAGCGAAAGCGTTCAGGCATTGGGTTCTGTCCTTACCTTGCAGATGAACTCGATCTCCTCACGCTCAATATCCTTGACGACGAGAATCTTGAGTTTTGACAAGAAATGCAGACTCAGGTCGTTGACTGCGTCGCGTAGAATGGATTTTTGGATGAAAAGCACATTGCACTTCGCCTTCTGAATCTTCTTGACCATGTTGAGAAGATAGGTTCGCTCTTCCTTGAGGATCTTGTCCATTTGCCTGTAGTCGTTGACGACGATCTGGTTCTCCATGTCTGGCTTGGGAGGGCTGAGCTGGAACTGTATCAGACCAATTCGCGCCTTCTCTTTCATGGTCGGGCCGCCCGCGCTCTTTACGACAGGCTGGTAGAGCACCAAACCGTCGGTCATCTCACTGTCCTCAATGGTGCCACCCGACTTCTTGATTATCCGAATGTTCTTCAGGTCGACGTTGTCGGCAGTCTTGGGGTCGATGACCTTCAGCACGGAGTCGACGGCCATGGCGGGCAGCTTCGGCTCCTGGGCTACGATCTTGGAGGAGAGCGCGGTTGTCGCCACTCTCAACAGGGTGGGTCGGTCGCTCAGCGAGATGGGTATCGCCATGTCGGTGAGAATCTCGATGGCATGTGCGGCGGCGCGCTGGAAAGCTTCTGAGATGACGGTGGGGTGGATGCCCTTTGACAGTAACCGCTCGGCAGCACCAAGCAGACTGCCTGCTATGACCACGACGGACGTGGTGCCGTCACCAGCTTCAATGTCCTGGGCGTGTGCGAGGTCGACCAGCATCTTTGCGGAGGGGTGCATGACGCTCATTTGCTTCAACATGGTCGCACCGTCGTTGGTGATGATGGTCTCGCCCTTGCCGGTTTGGATCTGCGCTGGGTCAGCAGCACTCTTGGGTGTGAAGCTTCCGTGGTTCGCATACCATCTTGTCCATTCCCTTGGGCCCGAGCGACTGCAGCATGGTCAGTATGTTATGCACCCCGCCCCCTCCATAGCTGCACATACTGTTCGGATTGCATCGGACACGGCTGTCATGGTACGTCAGCGTAAGCTTTTATTATTAGTCCAAACGCATCCCGTACCTCTCGCCGCGACGATGTTGGCTATGCGGACCGCCCTGGGCTTTTCCTTGTCCTGCCAGAGCTGTCAGTCAATGTTTTCACAGCTCCAGACAGACCACATACCCTGAAAGCCGTGTTTCCACCGCCGGTGCCTCCCGGTGCTACTTGCGCTGCCATGTTGTATGTATGGAGGAACTAAAAAGGAACAAGGGTATCGCGTGTGGGTTTGCGGGAGTTGCTGCCTCGCCGGTGCTGGGGTCAACGCGATAAATTCAAAGGCGCGCGGCGGGGGAACTTCGGCACGCACGGCTGGAGCGCCGATTCGCCGACGGTCTGGCAGCTACCTTCGCTGCACCCATTGCAACGCCGTCACCCGCCATCCGCACCCCAGACAACACCCTCCCACACGCCCGCCCGTACCCCCTCGCGATTGCCGGACCCGCACCGGCCTCTTGTCGCCTGTTCCCGCGCACCTGCACCGCTATCGAAGCCCCCCCAGTCGCCGCCTGAAGCGCAAACATGCCCTCCGCCACGGGGTCCAGCTGGGAGAAGTACCAGAAGAACTTCGCCGACGACGAGGTTGAGGAGAAGAAGATCACACCTCTCACCGATGAGTAAGACACGCCGATGGCCTCGCGACGGCACGGGTCACTAATCGACGGCCAGGGACATCCAGGTGCTGAAGACGTACGGCGCGGCTCCGTACGGCGCAGAGCTAAAGAAGCTCGAGAAGGAGATCAAGGACAAGCAGCAGACGATAAACGAGAAGATTGGTGAGTTCCGTCAGGCCCCTCCCAGTCGAGAGCCGACCCCGCTAACAAGGCCCAGGTGTCAAGGTACATTCCCCGCAGCGCAGTCGCGTGCCGTCACGACGCCTAACCATCCTCTAGGAATCAGATACCGGCCTTGCCCCTCCACATCTCTGGGATATCGCCGCCGACCGGCAACGCATGCAAGAAGAACAACCCCTCCAGGTCGCCCGCTGCACCAAGATAATACAGGACGAGAAGGACCCGGAGAAGAGCAAATATGTCATCAACGTCAAGCAGATTGCCAAGTTCGTCGTCAACCTCGGCGAGCGGGTGTCGCCGACGGACATTGAAGAGGGCATGCGCGTCGGTGTGGATAGGAACAAATACCAGATCCTCCTGCCGCTCCCGCCAAAGATCGACCCCTCGGTGACCATGATGACGGTCGAGGACAAGCCCGACGTCACCTACGGCGACGTGGGAGGCTGCAAAGAGCAGATCGAGAAGCTACGAGAAGTCGTCGAGATGCCCCTCCTCTCTCCCGAACGCTTCGTCAACCTCGGTATCGACCCTCCCAAGGGTGCCCTCCTCTACGGTCCCCCCGGAACCGGAAAGACGCTCTGCGCTCGAGCCGTCGCGAACCGAACAGACGCTACCTTTATAAGAGTTATTGGCTCCGAGCTTGTACAAAAATACGTGGGTGAGGGCGCACGAATGGTCCGGGAGCTCTTCGAGATGGCGCGGACAAAGAAGGCATGTATCATCTTCTTCGACGAGGTCGATGCCATAGGAGGTGCACGTTTCGACGACGGCGCAGGAGGCGACAACGAAGTCCAGCGAACCATGTTGGAGCTCATCACCCAGCTCGACGGCTTCGACTCCCGCGGAAACATCAAGGTCATGTTCGCCACCAACAGGCCGTCGACGCTCGACCCCGCCCTCATGCGTCCCGGTCGTATCGACAGAAAGATTGAGTTCTCGCTACCAGACATGGAGGGCCGTGCCAACATTCTCCGCATCCACGCAAAGAGCATGAGCGTAGAGCGCGACATTCGTTGGGAGCTTATCTCCCGGTTATGCCCGAACAGCACGGGTGCCGAGCTGAGAAGTGTAGCCACCGAGGCCGGCATGTTCGCTATTCGTGCGAGGAGGAAGGTCGCGACGGAGAAGGACTTCCTGGCTGCCGTTGACAAGGTCATCAAGGGCAACTTGAAGTTCAACTCCACGGCCACGTACATGCAGTACAACTAGACGGCGGGAGAAGGGGACGAGGGAGTTGAAAGCACCTTGGATCGGAGCGGCTGTAAAGCTGCGCCTGTACGAGTATTCTTGGGCCATGACTATATAGACGCCGTGCTCTGCGCGTAATGCAAGTAGTCTGATATGAAGTCGGGGTTTGAACACGGAGCTGTGATGTATGAACATGTGAAGAAGATGGAGACATTTTCAAAGTAATGCTGGAGTGAGGAAGGCGAATCTCAAGCTCAGGCTTTGGCTAGGCGCCGACACCGGTCACCAGTACCCCAATGCTTGCTCTAGTCACTACGGGTTTTTGAGATGTTGCTGGCGGGTGTAATTTTATACCTCTGGCTTAAGAGCCGATTGTCCAAATAACTTCTTGGTGGAGCGTGTGGAGAAACAAGCTCATGAATTGCGGTGTAAGGATGACTCTTGATTCGCCGGGTGGAAAGTATAGCTATTTGGCCATAAATGTTGGTTGCGGTGAAATTTGCGAAGGGTGCTTATGGTTCTCGAGGTGATGTTCTCAAGACCAGTTACTTGAAGCATGTGTTCAAGTCGCGGTGTGAAAGGGTGGTTTTCGATTTGCGGTGTGAGGCTTACGCAGTGCTTCCTGTAGGTGTTGATCACTCAGGACGGCATTATTTCGAACACAAAGCAGAATAGAATTCTCTAATCGGTATCAAATGGGCCGAAACGGCAATCGTCGCGTTACAGCGTCTTCGACGTGTGGTCACACATCATCGTAGTCTTCATATGCCCTTGCTGTGCCCATGTGGCTCTCAACCCTGTAAGCCATACACCGCCTAGGAGGAAAAATCGGAGCAGTTGCTGCCAGAAGCTCACGCATCATGGCAACTTTCCTCAATTGGACTCTTTGTCGTTCTTGCGTTTTGTGAGTCTGCCCAAATTCTTATGTGAGGACTGCAGAGCTGGGTTGTAGCCTGGTATATCCAAGAAAAGACCATGATAGACCTCTCGACTTTTCCAATTTCCTCATATTCATCCAGTTTCCAAATCTAAGAGATCTCCCTCATTTCTCAATTATGGGTGTAACATGGTGCACAAGCAAGAGGGAATGTGGTTAGGTGTAGAGTGGAAACCGGTGTGGGGATGAGCGGCAGTAAGCTCCGCTACCGAGCTAAACCCAGCAAGTGGTCTGGGGCCAGCCGGCACTCTACCAGCGGCTTGGTATACCTGTCTGATCCCGTTGCTTTGCTGCGGTTGAGCTCGAAGGTGGCGGCTCTTGATTAGGTGATCGCGTCTATTGCCGTTTCCTTCTCTTGACCCGGTTCGAGCAGGGGTCAGACACCGAAAAAGCAAGTATACTCGAGGGGACGGCAGCGACGAACGGCATGATGTGGTCTCGCTCCCACTGGCTCCCAAGTGCTGAGTTCGCCGTGTCGCTTGTTGCGCTTGTCGTGCTTGTTGTGCTAGTCGTGACAACGTCGTTCCAGCGTCATTCATCTGCCTTACGCACACCGCAAGCCCCATCTTTGGCCTCCTGTACCAGCTCGCTGTTAACCTTCGCCTTCCCACATGGCGTGGCGTGTCTCGACAGGCTGTCTCAAAACGCTCGATGCCCTTGTTGGCCGTCGACTGTGTCGGAGTACCGCACCTATTGGTACCGAACAATGGGGTCTTCACCGGCGACCAGCGCACACGTCTAGTTTCGCAGGCCGCACACCCCGCGTCTTCGCTACCACTGGGTAGGATAGAATTTGCGATACTGCCGGACGCTGCGCTGGCGCCACCCCGGTGACGATTCGATGCGCCTATACCCATAACAGTTGTGACATCGGAGACCACTGATGGCACACCGCTCAGTCTGCCTAGTTTGTGTCGTGAAAGGACACAGGCGGACGCCGTGATTGAGCGAATGGCAGGGTGGTCATCTACGATGCGTATTGCACCGCCGGTCTGCAGCATGGTAGCACAAGCTGGCATCGGAAGAGTCAATGGGTGCGCCTTGGCTAAGAGACCACGGGTCAGTGAGAGTTGATGCTCAACGATAAGGCGCCCACTCACAGTGAGAGTCGTGTACGTTCGGACCCCCTACCTATGATAATTCTGGGTGTATATGGAGGAGCAACATCCGGTTTGTGAAAGGTCTCTCGGTTTCGATCCTGTCTCCTTCGAACGACCCAGAGCGAAGAGAGAGGTCGCAACCTGTCACCCGTAGATCTGAACAGCATCCAGTCGATGCGTGCTGCTCAACTTGGCTTGAACGATGTCGGAATCAGTGTGGCATAGTAATTTCGGGCACTCTGTGGGTCTATCCTTATGTCACACCCGCCCATGCTCTTCACCCATACATCATTGGTTGGTTTGCTTGATCTGACCATGTTCCTAGGGTATCTCGCATAATGAGGACCTACCGGCACCATCAAGACCTATCCAGACCGGATACCAGCTATATGACGTTCGCACACAAACAGCAGGGGCAGGCCTTCCTTCTCGAGTGGTACCAACAACGGTTTGTTCTCATCCTGTTCAACCAACGTCAGTCAGGGCTTCTTCGACAGAGCTTTCTGTCGGCAGTACTCAAACCTTGCGGACGCACATAAGTTCCCAATCCGGCGCCAGTGGCCAGGCAGGCGCCCTCTCAGCACCGACATGGTTTGCCATGCCGATCTCTGGTCAACCTGGCACGTTCCGGTGGATTTCTACAAATTGTTTCCCATCGTCGCCATACTATGTGCCTGGGATGCAGCACGAATATTGTTCCACGACAGCATCGCCAGCGTTGACCAACAAAGGGTCCTGTCAACCAAGTCAGCCAAGCAAATCGGTATTGACGGCAACTGACCTGGGATCTTACATGTGTGTATAATTCGACCGTGCTGCATTTTTACTGATACCAACAAGCAACAGCAATGACGGATCAGGTACGCGTGCATACCAATACAGCTTTCAGCAGCCGACCCTCAACCTTAGACAGCAACAAGCGCACGTAACCCGCACATATGGAGGTCAAGAGAACGATGAGCGAAGAGCCAATGGCCGCAACGAGCGTCATGGGTATTACAAACCATCCACCACTTCATGGGAAGTCGCTGATGCAATGCAGTGGAGTCCGACAGGCGACCTGTGATACATGTGGGACCGCCTTCCGCGGTGAATATGCGCGTGGCAATCTTCAACGCCACCGTCGCCACATGCACTCTGGCACCACTTACTATTGCGAAGCCGTATCTTGCAGAAAGAAATTCAGTCGTGCTGACAATAGACTCAAACACTATCGGAAAGACCATCCCGAAATGAATGTACCACCCGCAGCGGTACGGAAAAATTGAGGACTTCGAGACATGAGTCGTACCAAAGTGCTTTTTGGGTACGGTCGGAAAAGAAACGGCGAGAAAAGTGGTTCGTCGTATTGCAAGCAGGTGGAAAAGCGTGGCGGTTGTACGGGAGCGATCGATGCAACATTTACTATGACAAGCCCCGCTGGTCAGTCACTTTGTGCTTCTGATGATTCCAACGTTTGAAGAGGACTCGTTGCTACTGCCTTTCGCCTGACGTACTGCTTTGCACTAATGTGGTCTTCGGTCTTCGTTGCTCCTCTGCGACTGCTGCCATCTCGTCTGCTGACGTCAAAACAAGGTTCCCGTATGACGCAACATGCTTGATTCAGTGGAGCGGAGATTTAGCCTGCGAACGGTAAGTAGTCGTGTCAGCGCATACATGCTGCTAAGCGGCAGCTTCCCAACCGCCCTAAGAGTGTGAACATGACTCGTGCCCAATATTGTCATGTGGGATACTGTGCTTGTACACAGCATTCCGTGAGATCCCATCGGCCCAGCAACAATTGACTCCGAAAGGCGGTCCAAATCCCTGGTTTGTGGTCCTCCCGGGCGATGCGTTCTGCGGCCAGTCCCATTGACGAACACGACAGATCACCTCTGTGGCACACTTCTGCATTGTTCAATGCTGCTTTCTCTGGACTACAAAATTGTTGCTTTGTGCGTACATGCCTAGCTACGCGTGGTCGACCAACCACATCCCTCCACGATATATCCCTCGCATAGCGTTAGGCAAATGGAGTCACGCCAACGAATCAGGTCCACATCCTGTTGCTCACCGACAGTGGAGCGCGGAACAGGGTGATTTGAGGTCTGGAGAAGAGGGGTTGTCGTGGAGTCGGCGGGCGAGGGAGAGGCGGTGAAGATGTCCAATGCGCTACGCAGGGATCTTGGGCACGGTTTAAGCAGAGGGCTGGTCCGTTGTATATACACGTGGTACTGATGCTGTTCCACTTTTTGTGCGTAAGGTCACCTCATAGGGAACTGCTGTTCACATGGTGGATTGCCGTCGGACAAGACACTGGCCTGTTTTTTCGAACACTGAGAACGGACGATGATGTGACTGGGAATTGGGAAGTGGAAGTTTGCTCACCCCAACACTAGACTGCTGCACCGCATCTGGCTCCACGACTCCGGGACGCTAGCATGCATGGATACTCCAAGAGCGGACCCGGACCCCTTCCGCTAAGGTTCAATTGGCTATAAGCACGTGACATCCCTGCTCGGTCCTGCAACACCAGTTGGGTCTGCATGCTGCAGATGTGGGGTTTCGATGGTTATTTTCCTTCTAGATGCAATTATCACGATTGAAATCCTGATTCAGAACTCGAGGATACATACTGTAGACAGTGAGGCTGTCAACTATCACAAGTGTTTGAGCAAGTAGAACATCGTCCGGGTCCAAATCTAAGTTTCCTCACAATATCAGCTTACACGTAACGAGCCTCTGCGTATTGTGGTTCAGAAAAGCTGCGATGGAGGGTTTCACTGTTTTTGCCACGCATAGACGTAGTCCTGGTAGATCCGTCGCTCATTTCACAACATACATTGAGCGTACATCCCGTCGATTTCGTGAAGAAACCCGGAATGAAGCCCGTCCTGTGACTGGTGAATCTTGCTAAATGTAGGCATGCTCGGCACGTCATGAACGAGTCCTAAACACGTGAATCGCCATTGCATCGGTTCCGACATCGACGTATCGCACGTAAGTCAAGGGATGAGGCCAATGGTGAAATAGAAGATCCAGTACACTTCCGGCATATCAAGGGAGATCGTGACGTGAACATGAGTCGTAGAATGCTTATCGCGGTAGTACGGAATCCAGGGAAAGCGACTGCGCATATCTTTCCGAAATTGTTCGAGTCAGTGTAGAAATGATCGGACCCGTTTCCCCCGCCGTTCCTCGTTGTTGGATTATGTAAGTATGAGCCGCCATGGAAACAGGGGCACAACTTCCATGGCAGGCTAAGCTCATGTTGAAGGCTTGTTTCCCCAGGTCAGCCAAGCTGAGCATTGCACCTACGACTACGGTGTTTCTCATGGCTATTCGGTGTGCTATTTTCGAAGGTGTAAAGGCCAACCGCACAATGCCGGCCCGATCGGCGGACCCCCACGCCGGAAATTAACATACATGAGTCGTCCATGTCGACAACCTGGTAGTTCGGGGGGTTAGTACGTAAGGGAGACAACTGTACTACCATCGACGCCGAAGCGAGTGACGAGACTTTAGCAAGTGTCTAGTCAACTTGATCGTACCACATCGCTTGTCTACATTCCGCAAGAAGAAGTCTTCGATCAGGGATATCCTACAGGTTCATCGTTGGTGCGAGGGTGCAGTGCCCAGAAGGCATTTTCTTCTCGGAGAGTGAAGTGTAGCATTTGGCGTGACCACGTACAGATGGACATCGAATTGCACTATGGATCCCGAGGAGTTCGCAGGGCGTGGTCGTGCGAGCTGAGCGTGCATATACAATCTAGAGTCTGGAGATGAACCTAGCATGGAGATCTTCGCGGAGATCACGCTGAACCTCGTGTGTCGTCTCGATTGCTGAATAGCCGAAGCGATGTCCAGAGTCTCAAGAGCGTCCATCTGCCATTTGGGTTCCACGTAGAGTATGCCTGGACGCAGACACGAACAGTCAAGGCGAAAGTTGAGCCACGGCCCTTTCTAGGGGGTGGCCAACGAGACGTCACCGACTGGCTTGTCATGGAGATCCCTATCTCTAGGAATTCTATGCCCATAAGCGACCACATGCAGGATGACTCCAAGATGCCTAGCATCGGCAGTGACTCGGCTTCCGATGACGCTTCCATGGTCAGTTGTGTTATTTCTCTCCAATGAGTACAGCTCAGCAAGCAATCGTGGCCGGAGACGCGGATACCCTATGTATCACCGAGGCGGTTGTGTCGCTTCCCGCTGGGTTGCATTTTTCTCCAACACCAATAATGAGGTCGGTGTCAGAACCTGGGCCATGTTGGCAAAGCGTCCCAAAGTATTCGTTCAGGTGATAGGAGGCCATGAGGTGCTTTCTCCGTACCCGTAACGATTGTCGGTGCGATTTACTCGGAGCTTCGAAAGCAAGGTAGCCTTACTTCCTGGAACTGAAACCATTTATGTTTTCGCAGTGGGACCGACCCTGGCGTGTCGGAAGCCCCCTACCATCGTACGTTTTGATTGCGTGCTGTATCGTCCTTCACACCTGGAACGCGTTAGGCCCTCTTACTTAATATCATGATTCAACCCTGATTCATCCTGTAGAGAATATGGTGTCCACCTAAGGCACAACAATACGGAACCGATTGAGGAAGCTTCCATCGATCACGCCCAAGCTCGAGAAAGCTTCGCTGCGACAACGCCCCTCCATCATCAAAGCCGTTCGGCCTAGACTTCGAGACAAAGACCCACGCGCCAAATCGAAAAAGCATAGACTCAATCGGTTGGCATTTGATCGGTCGTCCTGTGATCTTTGGGTTATCCTAGGAGTATCCCTGAAGGCCATGGCGAGTGAATATCGTCAAGATCCTTGGGAACAACGGCAGCCAGGAATATGGGATGGGCACACATCAGCTTTTCCAGCTGCATACGATATTCCACGCAGTGGGGAAGAAGAGTGGCCCGCCGACTTTCAAGCTATGAATCCATGTTGTAAGTAAGATCCCGAGTCCTGATGTTCGCTTCTCAGCTCTGACAGACCCATTCAGGCGCAACAGGTGTGAGACACGACGAAATCGTCCATGGTCTAACTGCTCCTATCACAGTGCCGGATCAGGATTTTTTTTCTCGGACTGACGTCCATCATGGTATCCATAGAGACCAGTACACGTCACACCTAAGGCGATTCGATATCGACAGGTACACTTTTGGAACAGAATCAATGTCGGAGAGGCTGCATAAGCCCTATGAATCATCGCTGATTCCCTTTGTTCCAGGGATTAAGGAAGAGGGCAGCTTTAGGTACGTCCCAAACAGTAGTCAACGGATCCTACTAATGACAACAATCAGTGACGGCTCAAGGCACAGGCTCGATTGTGCCGACACTTACACTTCGTCTGGCCATCTGAATGACACCGACAGTTCATGGTCCGATCATAGTGATCGCGGGTCAGAAAGGGTTCCTGTTTCAGAGTGAGTGCCTAACGACGATGCAAGAGCGTACACTGATTGTCATAGGTCCATGGAAACGCCATCTCATCTTGTTGCCAATCGCGCGTCTTCAACATCTACCTATGACAACCATACACACTTTGGCTCAGCCAAGAGCATAGTGGCTCAGGGCGGTTCTGTAGTCTTCGCTCAACCGAGCGATGTATACACGCTTGAATGCGCATGCGGTCTGAAACTGAAAGGTGCTCATGCGAAAGGAAATCTGGCCCGCCATCAGAGGTCCAGAGGATGCACCGCTTCCGCTGAGAGTCGACGAGTCCAATGTCCAGAGTGTCCCCAGGTCTTCTGGCGATCTGATGCACTTCTCAATCACCGACGTAAGAAGCATGAAGTGGCCCCTTGTCGACCAAGTCGGCCCCGGCGTCAGAATGGGACATTTCTTGATCGGATGCCCTGAGATAACATGGTATATCCGAATGCTAGGATGGAACTTCATGGCTCTTTATGGTTGCTTCTTGGCTTCCTCCTTCGGCCGCTGTGTTCGCTCCGGGTGTTCCAAGGTGACCACTCAACCAGAATCTGAAAGTGTGGTGGAAATACTGGTGTGACATCTGCATGTACCAAAATAGAGAGGTGGTCCTCGCTCACTTATAGGGAAGAAGCGTGGCTGTGGTATGAAAGGCTGTCGCATTGGGTAATGACTCCGTAGTGAACCATAATATACTGATACTGGTTCTTCCTTGGGTTTCAGATCATGGGTGTCAGTACTTTGACAAAGTGAAGAGTAGAGGCTCGTGTTGGATGGTGGTGTGGATGAAGGTAAATTACTTATCAAGGAAGATAGAGCACGGCTTGAATGCAAAGTTCCCAAAGTGAGTCCGGAAGGTGCCAGGCGCGGACCGTTACATTAATGTATGTCGTTCGACTATGACCGAGCGACAAGCACGACCATGACCAATCATATAATATAACGTGTCCTACCCAACGATGCACGGGGTAGGAACACCAGCCTATAGACGGTCCGATACTGGCAGTACCACAAGGTAAATCATATCGTCATCGAACTGTTGAAGAGGGTGCCTGGGCGCATGTCTGGGTCATTACTCGGCTGTAAAATCCAATGTATCAGCATCGAATATGGACTCGCATGGTCCTAAATCCTATGGTGTGCTACTCTAGAATGCCATACATGCAGGCATTTTCCATATTTGATAGAGCCCGCAAGGGATACTCGAAGCTATGACTAACCACAAAACACCAGAGTCAATTGAATGCGTCAGGAGCCAACTCCGAGTTGAAAAGAGTGTTCGGATACTATCGACCCTACGCTACCCAATCTCGCGAAAGCATCCTTGCCTTGCGACGTTCCCTACGTTGGTCGGGCCAATTTATACAGAAACTTGATTGCAAGGAGCATCAGCGTCTCCGAGGCTTTGAGACAGCTTCGGTTATTGAACGAGGCACTAGTCACGACAAGTGAATCTTGAGTACCGCTTTCCCATCGTCTTCGCCAATTGACGGCGTCAAATAACCACTGTCATGTGAGTGTCTGATTCATTCACCGCGAGGTCGGAGGGCTGGACGTCCTTCCAGGAGAACGGTGTTCGCCTCCGGCATGCATGCTCAGCCAATCGCTGTGAATTGTTACACCCGCCGGACCCAGCGGGTACTTATCCGATGCGACGTGAGAATACGAGGTTTAGCGTCCTAGCACAGATATCGACAGGGCGGGAGCAGACCTCGGTCTGGAAGTTCGATTTTCATCCCGAAACGAGAAAGCTCATGAGGGTATTTCTGTGTTACTACTTGGATGCCGCTGTCAGACAACGCGCCTGATACTGATTTCAGTTGCAGGGTCCAGCCGAGTTGAAGTCAAGGTCTATCACGATACAGCTGGAACGGCAACAAGGCCGTTGGGCCAGTGGGCGGCCATCTGCCTCCACCGACCGCACCCGATCGGTCTGCGCGCGTCATCACTGGTAATTGAACGGTGAAGACCTACGGGTTTCCCGGCATCAGGTTTACATCGGCAGCATCCTGAGGTAGACGTAATGCAGCCTGCCTGTGCGGGAAGGCTGAGCACGATGTTGATATCGGAATTGTCGCGGGAGCCAAGAGCCCAGGCCTTCCAAGGGAGGTATGCAATTACAAAGCTGGGTGCCTTTTGGAACGGAAACCCTCTGTTGCCGCGAGAAGGCTCCCGAATGTCTGATTCAATATCCAGTGATTATGGGGATTGGAACACCGTACCCTCTCTACTGTCGCCATCAAAGAGAATTCATTGTGGAAGACTGTGGATTTACTACAGCGGCTATTGATCCTGTATTCTTGCAAGCCGCCACATCGTTCTTGCGATAGAACAATTCAAATTGACCATGTTATTAGATTAGAGCAGACTTCACAATCCCCTGCTGCCAATTCTTCATTCGCGTAACACCTAGAAGCTCCGTACTCTACTCACCCAAGCCATGATACTTTTGAGATGGCAATCCGCAGAACATTCGTATCCAGAACCATGGGGCTTTCCGGAGTTCTTCTCCGGCTCACCTATGGGTAATGCTCCGATGGAGCACGTTCCCTATCTCTCGAACACTGGAGTTCATCAAAGGCCACATGCTTCCCGTATCTCGAGGAGAATTTTGACAGAATGTATCTCTGATACCCTGGCTTCTCACCTGCCTCCCTAGCCGCACAATTGACCCAAAGACCTATCTCACCATATGCTGCCTACATTGTGGACATCGAGGTCTATTCAGTCAAGCACCCCCACAGCCCCACCAAATTCTCCTCGATATCATGTTCCACTGAGCGCTCGCTCCCTGCCATCTTCCAAAGCTGTGCAAATCACAAAGACCAACCTCACCACGTCCTGCCTATTACGTCAACACGGGACCCTATCACTAGATAGATCGTGCCAATTTGCCCCACCAATATCTGCACTGGAAGTTTCATCATGTACGCACCCCCTGCCTTCCTCTCTGGCCCTTGCTTTGATAAGACCCCACCTCACCAAGCCCTGCTTCTTGAATACTGGACATGTTAAGGAAATACAGACTCCCGACGTCTCCATAGAGGTTTCCGCAACATTGTTCACTGACCTTCTCCTTTGGCCGTCACAAGCACACACCCATCTCTGTAGCATCACCAACAAACATCACACGTCGCCTGAGTCGTTTGCCTTGACAGTATCTTTTTCATGGATAGTTTTGCTAGTATCTGGTATCATCCACACATTATATATTAACACAAAAAGAATCACCTTCGCTTCTGCCGTGCCATCCCGCTCAATCTTTTGCACGCAGACACGCCCAAAATGCCACCCGATCGCCCTAAATCGCTGCACATGCAGAACTCCGTATATGCTCCAGAACATTATGGATATGATGTGGTATGACGTTCGAAAACAGACAAGGAAAAGATAGCGTAAGCGGTGTGCGGTAATTGCAACCTTGTCCCTGCAGGCGAAAAAGGGCCAAAACGATGCCGCCCAAAGCACAATCATTAGTAGCAGACAGACATAAAAGGAAAGACGGCCGTTATATACTCGTTATTCTCCCGGCGGGGCCGATGCGCCCGGGTCTGGCGTGCTTGAGGACAGACTCCAGCTCTTTCATTACGTTGTTGTTTGCCTCTCGCGCTTCTCTGGCCGACGCCTGCCGCGCGCGGTCTTCTTGGATCTTGTACATGCGCTCTTCTCGACTCATTGACATGCGGGTCTTGGGGATGGCAATGGCTTCGAAGATCTCGTCGTCCGAGTTGCTTCCCTCGCTCGCTGGCGCAGACACCTGCGGGCTTAGTAGCTCGCCGTTGAGAGCGCGCAAAGCATCCGAGGGACTGCCTTCGTCTACAGCAGTTAGACCGCCGAGACTGGGCACAGGGGATCGTAATCCGCTGGAAGCTTGGGATACGCGACGCTCATGCCGGTCTATGTTCATCGCGAGGGCGTTTCGGCCCGCTTCCCACGCTTGGATAAGGTTCTTCAAATCTGTGCCAATCGAGTCGTACTGTGCCATCAAATGGCTCCCCAGGTCGCCAACATCTTCAGACTCTTCCAAACTCTTGTTCGACTCTTCCCGAAGAATTTGCATCTTGGCTTGCAGCCCACGGATGCCTGAGGATAAGCCACTGAGCTTCCGGACAGAACTGCGAATGCGTTCGCGCTGAGGTGTAGGTTGTATCCTTAATGGCGACGGAAGCGGCTGCTCTTCTTCCGCAACAATGCGATTGAATTTCTCGGTCCAATCACCAGCGGCGGCGGCCAGAATGGTCATGGAATCCACCACAGCGGCCCACCTTGCAAAGTCCGGCTTGCCCCCATCAGCTTCTAGCGAGAGCAGCGAGCAGAGGTATACGCGACGTAGCGTAGAAAGGCGATATTGCAGTACGCGAAGCGCCTTCAAAGACTCATTGTCCTCGAATTCCGACTCAGTGTATCCCTGCGCCGCGTCTTGTAGATCCGGATTGCTGACGTCGTACACGTCAAGATATCTCTCCAAATCGTCTTCTTCGACCAACTGTTTCAGAATCCCACTTTGATCAAGGAAGATGGGGATAGTGGCGGCATATGCGGCGTGTAGTGTTCGGCGCAGGCGGTGGCAACGACGGGTCTGGCCCTTTTCTTCGATCCTCGAGATTGGAGGGAGAGGACTGCTCCTGGAAGAGGTCAGCGGGGCAGCAGGGTGTTTAGGCAGAATGTTTACACACAGTCGGTAGCCCCTTGAAACAAGCTCCACCTCTTGTATCAATGCGAGCGCGGATGACGTCGAGGCTTCGAACGCCTGGAGGTTTGTGACCAGGGTAGATGCGCCTTGCACGGCTTGGTGGCGGAGGTACTGCAGCCACTGCCGGCGCACGTAGGCATAGCAAGCGGTCGCCACAGCAGCAAAGACGGCGACCACGAGGGAGAATCTACCCCAGGTAACGCCAGCGGTCTGCCTCCGCGACCAGTGAATGAGCCATACCAGCGTAAAGGCAGTCGCTCCTGTCAGCGCTGCACCCGTCACGCTGATGGTGGCGACCTGAAATTCGGCGGGCGGGCCGGCGGCTGCGAACTGGGGGATGGCGGCCGCTCGCAGGCGCTCGGGTTCGTTCAGCAGCTGGGAGGCGACAAGGAGGTAGCGGAAGTGCTCGAGGAATCGCTGGTTGTCAGCGCGGCCTAGGCGCGAGTTCACCGCTCTCTGGCACGGCGCATCAGTGTGGGTCAAGAGAGACACGGGGCACGTCATACCGAACAGGCGCTGTGGATGCGCGCAGCAGCGCCATGCTGGCCAGCGCGCACCAGCAGCGGCTGGGGCAGCCTGTCCCGTATGCGAGACTGCAGCGTCGAAGGGCCCCGCGGCGCGAAGCTGGTGGGTGCGTGGGCATGCGCATGCGTAGGCGAGCCCGCGGTGGGCGACGACGGTGTGGACGCTCGGCCTTGGCCTGCCATGACTGTCAGTCTGGAGCGCTTCATGATGGCGGCGGGAGGCGGATCTAACCCTCGAGATACTCGGCCAGCGGCGAGTCTTGTACCACGAGTTCCATCAGCGCATGGCGGAACCCCCACGGGTGGTTGGCGCTGCTGGAGGTGGAATGTCGTGGTCGGCCCTTCTTTGTGCGGGCTGCCGGCGCGTGAGCGAGTCGGCTGATTCGGCAAGGTGCGTGGAGCTTCGCAAGGTGCGAGGGCGACGCTGGACGGCTGGTGGGCAGTAACCACTCGAGAGCAATGGGGACGCGAGTCTGAACACGGCAGTGGAAAGGGGAGATCGCGGCTACAACTGGGGCAGGGCAACGGTCGGGGTAGTGCAGGACCCCGGCCCGTTTGATTGGTCCTGGCTTCCCCAGAGGTGGCGCCTGCGACGCCGACGCCCGACGTCACCCAGGTTTCGCCTCGCGTCGCATCGCTCTCGTGCTTCACCGGCCTTGAGCGCGAACATGCTTGTCTATCGAGCGTCGGGCAGGCGTCGTCTAAATGCGCTTGGGTTGTATGCTTGGGGCGGATGGTTCCACAGCGTTCTGCGCATGGGCTTGCTCGCCTGACAGCACGATACTCGGGCGTCGCGCCGGCCCTCTCCGGATGGTCACCGTGTGTGTTCTGTCAAACTCCGCTGGAAGCGGGCTGAAAGCAACTGAGCCTCGTCATGAACAGCTGTGTGGGCTTTGTACCTTTGCATGCTTACCCATCCCATTGAAATGCGCGGAGATACGCTGCCCCGCATGCGATTATTCATCCATATACGGTACTTGTCTTTGGCGTATGCGTGCAGGCGGACGAGAGCGGACCTTCTGGCATCCGCTCCATCTACAGTCACGACACCGTGCATGTGTGTCGTCGACAAGTTCGCGCCTCGGTCTCAAAGAATGGCCGTCTCTTATCCGGTATATTCTTTTTCGGACCGTTCTCCTGGTTGCGACGAGGGAGCCGTCGCCTACTCCACAGCGTTTACAGCGTCCGAACCAGGTGAATGGGTCGCTACCCTGGCCCTTCTTCCGCTGCACCAATCGTTATGATTCCACAATCGCCCTTTTGGGCCCTCGACCTCGTGCGCCTTGCGTGCTGACAGCGGCCTCGCGCGGCCGATCCGAGTGCATACATAGCGCAGCCCTATCAGGCGCCACCTTGCTAGGCGATTGGTAAATCGCCGGTGCTCCCGTTGTGGCCTGCCTTTGGCACAAGAGGCAAAGCTGCATTCACCACCTTGAACCCACCGAGCCATCACTAAGCAGTAACGCAGGAACCCTGCTGTGCTTGACATCGCCGAATCTAGTCCCGGCCTTGGGGTTTGATCTTGGACTCTGTAGCTCGTGCCCAGCCTTCTCGTGCTCCTGCATACGTTCGCACTAATATCCATCGCCAGAATCTTGAAGATGTCCCCAGATCATTCTAACGCACTTCAGATGACTCCTGCGGATGCAACGGCTACGTGAGGCGGTCTGACCCTTGCTCCGTGCATGGCGCGTCATGGCACGCGCAGTGCCCACCAGGTAGTAGTCTACGTTACTGGATATCGTCTGTATTTGCCACAAACTACGGACGAACAACAAGCTTTAATATCCGTATTTATGGAAGCTGTCCTATGAGGTGTCAAGTTCGACGTACCGTTTTCCATCGTTCAACCCCCACGGTCCGCATGGACGTGCATGTGCCCTTGCTCACTACCACACCTCGTAGGCAAGGCTGCAGATTCTCTTCAGCTGAATGTTCTTTCGTCACTTCTGGCTGCTATACACTCCTTCATATAATACGTCTTCGCTCGTCGTCATTTCCACTCTCTGATTCACTGCTGTTCTTACGCTCCTTCAAGCTGAACATCTTTTCGTGGCTTACAGTTTTTGCGGATCAACCTCCCGCGTATCACTACCTGGATCAGGCAGCTCATCATACTACAAGTCATTCCATATCTCTCCTTACACGTATCGCGGCAACTGTGTTGGCTTCGATGAGTCAGGTTTCGATGGACGAGAGCGCGGTGAGGACACTTATGTCAACCGTCGAGCTCATCGCGACAACTCTGGACACGGCCCCCGATAGTTGGAGAGATCATCTGCAAAGCATCCGAAATGTCACTGCGTTCTTGGAGTTCAGCGATACTCATCCAGATGAAAGCCGCAGGCAGTGGCAGTTGCCGCTCATGAATGTGTTTCAGCGCGTGGCTTATGCCGATGCGGACTCCGGTGGCGTATCTGACATTGGCAATTGGTGTCTGAAGCAGGAAGTAACCCTGCTCCATATCTATCCAGAAGATATCGATCTACTTACCCGTAAGCTACCCCTTTCACATGACTCGACCATCACTGAGACTTCACAGTCATCGGTCAGAACTGGCTGCATCGCGCTCAGAAGTCCCTTGCAAAGATACATCTTTCTGAGCGAAGCTCTACCAGCAGCGGAGGGAGCCAATATGTGGAACTCTCTGCCAGTGAAGAAGACAGACAAACCAAAAGAAGCAACGCAGAAGCCGAATGCCGATTATACATGTCGGATTACGTTGAAGCTCGGGGAGTTTTGCTACCGGCTGTTGAATACCTGAAACATGCAGTAGACACGGCTCGCACGCAAGACAAGATAACAGGTGAATTGTTGTCTACTGTGAGTCGCGGTGCACACCAGCTCCAAACCCTCATCGCTCACGCATAGAAATAGGCTGCTGAGGCGTACATGAGCCTAGGTAATGTATCCTCACCGAAGGTGAACGGCCAGTACTTCCGGCAAGCACTCGAGTACTTGCGATCGGCAAGCGAGCTGCCTGGCTACGCTTTGCCGCTTCATTTACAAATGTGAGCATATGTGGACAAGTCGTAACACCGATTTGACTGATCGGTTCTAGGTACTTCGAAGAGTACGAGAGTCTGATGGAGTAATCCGACCGATGTATCGACAGTGTAAAGCAAGGAGAATGTGTTCTAACTAGCATACCCTCCAGGGGCCTGGAGCCTATCTTGGTACTTTTGATAACATACCTAGGGTAGTTTTGATATACCAAAAATCCTCCACTCCCTACATTGATTACCTCGTGGTATGATGTGTAATGCAACGTGACTCTGAGCTAGCTCTCCCTCTGGCGAGCACTGCAGTGGTAATCTAGACGCGGAAGTCATAGTGCATATCCTGCCTTCGCCGCCGTACACCATATCCATACTAGCCTGCCCCCGGCTGCTCCTCGATGGCATAGACGAGCGTGGGCCTCCCCTACATATGTAATCAGCCTTGGATGACTGTTCGCTTGCTATGTCAAGATACCGCTTCGATCATGCATGGTGCAGATCTTCTGCAGATGCGCGAATAACTGTGATTTGCAATCTCAAGCTGAGAAGTTCTGGGCTGAGGTCCTCGAAGAGAGGTGACGTTGGAGTGAGGTCCGTGCATTTGAGTCGGCCAATCTTACGGCCGTCGGTGCGCATCGGACGAGGACAACGTCGAACCGTTCACTCACACAGGCTCCAAGTGCGACGACGCCACGCAACCCGACCCCAGCGGCGAAACTTCCTTCCTTGCGCATCCGGACGTATCGCGCTGCCTGAAGACCTGCATATCGACGGTCTGTCGCGTCTGCCCCGTGCGGAGCCTCCTCGAGTGCCCCTCGGCCGATCGCACATTGCGCGCTTGGAGCGTAAGAGTCACAGAAGCTATCTACAGACCAACCCGGTAGATTCACACTCACAATGTCCACGTTCGAGGAACGGGAGTTGGCCATCAACCCCATCGTTGTCACTAGCGTGCAGCACAACACCCAGGTAGGCTTCCCACACATGCACTTGGCGCACGTCTGCCTTGACACACCCGTCCTTTCTGACCATCGCCACCAGGTGGTCTCGAACATTCGAAATTTGACCGCTTCTCTGTTCGGCGTCGCCGCCGGCACCCTGGGCTTGGAGTCTTACCCAGGGTTCATCTTCTACCTCGTTGGATCCTTCATCGTATCGGCCTTGATATTTGCATTGCGCACGGACGGCAAGCCCGGCGATTACTTTCACCGCCCGCTGGGAGACCTGTGGGGTGGCGACGTGTTCAACGGGCTGAGCAGCTTTGTGCTGACTTGGACCTTGTTCTACGGACTTTTGCGGGCATGAGAGGAGACGGAAATGTTGAAAGAATACCGCAAGACTTTCGGAATGGGGAGTGTGGCAATGTGTGGACCAGGCACCGAGACAGGCTACGCAAGGTACCGGGCGAATCCAGAGGACACTGCTAGACCAGCGCCTCGCCTATCGCAACATCTCGAATTACGGGTAAATTGTGCATGAGTTGGGCGAAGATGGGCGATGGGCGACTCGAGATACCCAGGGCATCGCTGTCATATGTGACTACTTGTCCAGCCCAATGAGCAGCTTTAGAGCTGTTGCCGTCGTTTTGAGGCACTGATATTCAAACAACGAAGATGATACCCAAGTGTGTATCGACTGGTACCATACACCACAATTACGGCTGTTGGTTATACCGTGAATCATGAACATACCGTTGAAAGGGGGGAACCCTGTTGAAAGCTGGACATACCTCAGTATCTGGTTCCGAGTTTTCAGGATTAGGGAGGAAATGTCCTGTAGCCTTTTCACGTGCAGTAATTATTGACTTCCCGACAATGTGAGAACGAGGTCGGCCATTCTGAATTCTGTGTGTTCCATGGACACCATGACGTACAATCATACCATCATACAATCATCGCAAGTTGCTTCAGCTCGGGACGCGTACTAGACGAAGAAGGCTAGCACAACACGTGAGTGGGGTCCTCGAGGGTCCAAGCTTAATTGCATCGCGCTTGCACGCGCTGCGTGTCGCGTTCGCTACACGAACTTTCCCAGGCCCTCTTGTTCACTTCCACACCTCCACACCACACTCCACGACACCGCGCGCTTCCACACCTAGACTTCCTCTTTCCTCACCCTAACACTTCAACTCTACTCTAAGTCATCAGTAAGCGCCATTCCTTCCAGCAGCAATCGTCTGAGCGCCCTGCTAATGCTGTCACAGTGCTTGAGGCACGCTTAACCCAGGCCAGTCTTTTCAAGAAGGTCAGTTTGTACAGTGATAAAACTTGCAAGCTGGTGTCTGATAACTGCAGGTGGTCGATGCTATCAAAGACCTCGTGCAAGACTGCAACTTCGACTGCAATGATTCTGGCATCAATCTCCAGGCTATGGACAACTCCCACGTCGCCCTCGTCTCGATGTCGCTCAAGACCGATGCCTTCGCAAGCTTCCGCTGCGATCGAAACATTGCTCTCGGTATCAACCTCGGTTCCCTGACCAAGGTGCTCCGCGCTGCAGGAAACGATGATGTTCTCAGCCTCAAGGCAGAAGACGCCCCGGATGTCGTCAATATCGTGTTCGAGTCTAGTAGCCAGGACAGGATCAGCGAGTACGATATCAAGCTCATGGATATCGACCAGGAGCATCTGGGCATTCCCGAGACGGACTATGCGGCAATGGTCACGATGCCCGCTGCGGAATTCCAGCGCATCTGTCGCGATCTCAGCGCCCTGTCCGAGTCAGGTAAGCCCACGTTGACCCCGTAAGCTATACACAGCTGATTTGCATCTAGTCGCGATTGAGGTTTCTAAAGAAGGTGTCAAGTTCACCTGCACGGGTGATATTGGCTCTGGATCAGTACAGCTTCGAAGCAACACAAATGTTGAAAACCCCAAGGAGAGCATCGAGATCGAAATGACCGAGCCCGTCGCCCTGACCTTCTCTCTAAAGTACCTCGTCAACTTCTGCAAGGCCAGCGGACTCAGCGACAAGGTCAAGCTAAAGCTGTCCGCGGAGGTACCGCTGCTGGTTGAGTACCCGCTTTCGGAGGGCACGAACAGCTTCTTGCAATTCTACCTTGCACCAAAGGTCAGTGCACTTTGCTTCCGTTCTTGAATGACGCTAATAGGCACAGATTGGCGACGAAGAGTGAGTTAAGCATGATATCCGGCGATACGAACATAAAATACACGACTCCAATGTTGGGTACGATAGGGCAGCGTAATGTTTTTGTTTGCATGCGAAACGCGCATCAATTCTACGAGAATGCTAGGTTTGGGGATACCGCGGCCCAGCCAACTGTGGGGTGTCGGTGCTAGATCCCATTACCCCGCCGACGCCATCGCGCGTCTGGCTACCAGATAACGAAAAAAATCAACAATACACCCTATATCTCCCCTACACTTGCACTGATAAGCCGCTCAATTTCTTTGATACCCCACTGTATTTCCTTTCGACGCGTGCCATGGCCCCCGACGCGTTGATACCAGAGACTCGCGTGCTCGCGATTGCTAGTCATGTAAGAGTCACACGCGCACCTATCGCGAAGCTGCTCGACTAACCATGACAGGTGGTTCATGGGTAAGTGGTTTGCGCAGAATGAGCACACGGCGTAGCTCATATTCTCCAAGCTATGTGGGCAACAAAATGGTCACGTCTGTCATGCAGTCGCTGGGCTGCGACGTCTCTGCCATCAACACAGTACATTACAGTATGTACCCGCAGCCGTGCCTCAGTCACTCTCAGACAAGAGATTGATAGAATCGCAGGCAATCATACCGCATACAAGCAGGTTAAAGGCACCAAAACCTCACCCGACCAGATCCTAGACCTCTACGAAGGGCTCCGACAATCGAACCTGAACAACTTTGACGTATTGTTGACCGGATACATGCCCAGTGCGCATTGCGTGCAGGCGATAGGCAAAATTGGGCGGGATATAAGGTTCAATGCTGGGACAAAACCGGGGAGCTTCTTCTGGGGTGAGTTGGGCCTCCTACACAGCATGCGCATATCGTCCGATACAAACGTGGAACACAAGTGCTTGGGCCCTCCTACGTGTGCACTGCGGAACTTGCTGCGTCATGGGCTTGCTCTTCTCAACTTTGGGGCTTGCTGACATCCACCAGTGCTCGATCCGGTGATGGGCGACAATGGGAAGCTCTACATTCCTGAAGACGAGGTACCGGAGTACAAGACGCTGCTTAGGGAAGCGGACCTCATCCTTCCCAATCAGTTCGAAGCAGAGTATGTCCAGCAACACTTGAATTTGTGTGCTAGGCCAAAAACTGATTCCTGTTTAGGTTGCTCTCCGAAACAACAATTACCGACCTCGACTCTCTCGCAGCTGCAATTCAGGTACTACACAAGAAGTACCAAGTACCACATGTTATAATCACGTCTCTTCGATTAACGCGCGACAACCGGACCGTATCGTCTCGTGTTCCGTCGCGTGCGGCATCAAAGCCTACCTCTGCAACAGCTTCTGGGCAACAAACACCCGTCGAATCACCCCACATCGATCCTGCACGGACGCATCCAGCTTCGCAATCTATGCAGGATGGCGAGTCCGAACGATCAAAGCCAGAAGATCCAGACGCAGGGGCCTCCACTTCGAGACAGCCTCCGGTGGAGATGGAAGAGCAAGACGAAGAAATCAAGAACATTACCATTATCGGCTCCACTGCAACATCCGACTTCAAGCCCCGCCTATTTCGCATAGACACTCCCGAGCTGCCGCTTTTCTTCTCCGGTACCGGCGACATGTTCGCCGCCCTCACTATCCCGCGCCTCATCGAAGCCGTCCACGCCGCTTCCACACCAGACGCAGACCTGACGTCAAAACCAAGCTGGCGATCACCAGACGACGTACCCGCCGATGAACTGCCGCTCGCAAAGGCATGTCAGAAAGTCCTCGCGAGTATGCAGAGCATACTCAACAAGACTACTGCGACATGCCGGGAGAAGATGTTGGCGTACGACACGCGAGCTGAGAAAGAGGGTTGTGGGCAGGGTCAGGAGGCGGCAGAAGAGAAAGCGAAGAAGAGGCATCTTGCGCTGATGGAGGCGAGCGAGGTTACGGTGCCGAGGTTTCTTAGGGAGCTGGTGTATCCGCCTGAGGTGGAGAAGTTTAGACCGACAGCAGTGAAGGAGGGGGACAGAGTGCCGCAGAGTGTGGGGGAGAAGGAGCCGGATGAGTTGAATGTGCTGCATTTGGGTGTGGGGAAGGACGGAGAGGGAGGGACGCAGGTTGTGGACGGTGAGAGGTAGGGTGTATTATTAATGGTGAAAAGATCACGAGGATGCGTTACTTTTGACGCATGTAGCTTAACAGTACAGTGAGGCTACAGCGCAGACAAAGTTGCGTACTGCGTGAACAGCACCTTCCATAGACTCAGTGCACATTAATACCTCGAATTCACAGCATTTGCCAGCTGGCACGCGTAAACAGTGCCCATACCGTCCAGTGACTCATTACTTGTCCCGACGCTGCCTTTGCAACAATCCAACGGCTACCTGGGTACCACCGGATTGAATCACGAGTTGCATTGATTTCCAAACGTAAGGCAATTACACCCAAAAAAAAATCGGACCACATGAGAGATTATCACGATGCAGGCTACCAGTGAGGAATGACGGTCTAGACGCGTTTCCAGGGTTGCTCGCGAATCTTGCCCCCCGGTGGCTGCCAATAAGCATGGGACACCGCAAGGCGTTTCTACTGCAGATATCCAGGCTCACTAATTATACAATGAGTTCACTAACATATAGTAGACTAAGTTACTACAGGATAAGGAGTGCGCTGTATTCCCATTTTTGGGGGGCAGCCACTGTGCCCGCTATAGACTTGAAGAGCAACGGGGAGTCTTCGCGAAAAATGCGGAGGTCGGCGGGCATCCGACACTTGAGCTCTTGAGAACTGGAGAGTCATATTTCTACAAGCAGCATCCGCTGCTCTGCGGTATGATGAAGTACCACTGGTCCCTCCACGGGCATGCGGCCGGGATCTCACACGAAGCTGTTTCAACGTCGCTACCTATGATAGCGCGTATCTGCGTAGGCACGCAGTGACTCCACCCTGAGGATCCGGCGTGGCCAGAGATGGAGTTCCTTCTCTTCAACCGGGACCCCAGATACTTGCTTGAAACCGACCGCGGGAATCTATTTCTAGTAGAGACGACCTTGCCCCTGTCGCTATTCTGCAATGCTGCGCCTTCTGACTGTAGGCTGATATGGCAGGTCTACTGCTTTGATTAGACGTACATGCAGCGCCAGTGCTCTAGCGCGTGGAAGAACGTTTATGGAGCGCTCGCGCATCACTCCCTTTGGAATTCAGGTCTTACTCAACTTAGACAGCCGCCGAAACGCGTAGCTGATGTGATTATTCCTCCATCGGAGCTCAAGGACCACTATCTGTACATTATGGATAGAGTGCGCTAGGCGCTGTGGGCTAATTCGAGCGAGAGGACAATCACGGAATGGCTGAGACACTGTGTAGCGAGGTCTGCTTCATGAATATGCTTCACTACTATGCTGAGACGGCACGGCTGTTCAGGGGTGGTGGACAGTTGAATGTAGAGTGGTGTACAGGGTTTGGACGGCGGCGGATAGACAGGAGAGGAGGGGATTGCTGGCACAACCGGTGAGGCTGGCTGATGCGGGAAACGGGAACGATGTAAAGGAGATGTGACGGCGCAGGGCTTGACGTCTGTAGCGAGAATGTTGGAGAGTGCTAAGGGCGATGGCGGGTGCGCACAACAGTGTACAGTGGCCGACAACAAAAATGGGAGTTCTCGAGACCCTACTGCGAACAAAATTCGCAAGCGTATAATTGAGTGACTTCATACAAAATGAGTAAGGTGCGCGCCTATATGCCCATTTCCTGTGTCCGCCGCTGTGGTGACTGGCGGTGGCAGGTGCTGTGCACATAGCAATTGCTCTCTTCACGTTACAGCAGACGTAATTGCAAGTGCAGCGCCTGTAGCCCTTTCAGCTGGTTAGAATCCTGATCCTTGGGTGAGAGTCAGTGCCTTGTTCACTGGCTGTGGAGAGTCGTGGATATAGCACACCACGTAGAGCGGCAGTCATGTGTGTAATTAAATAGATGCATTACATCGCCTTACATCACATCAGATCAATCTCTGCATCATCCCGCTCAAGGACAGCCCTCCGCTTGCACACAAACCCACCCACTCATGTACTTCTCCACGGTCAAACCACTCTAAGCCCCATGACGGGACTCTTACTTACATCGTCCTCCGCCCCGTCCTCTACAGTCCAAAACCAAAACCAAACCAATCCAGCCAAATAAAAGCAAGGCGAACTAACTCAGTTATTCCAGCAGTGGAGGCGTGTCGATCAAATGCGGGGAAGTCACCGCACCGCGCCGCGTCGCCGCCAGTGGCGTCGTGGTGTGGTTCTAAAGCAGCCACGCGAGCTTGGGGAGCTTAATTATGCTGCTTGTGAGGGCTGGTGTCCCGTGGTAGATTACAGGGAGGGACGGGTGGTGTACCCTTCACCGGGATGGATTAAGGTGAAGACTGAGACGAGAGCTTGGGTCAAGGGTAAAGAAGAAGATGGAAGGTGTAGACGTAAGGGTGACACGGCGCTGTGAAGACATTGAATGGTTGAAATGTAATTGATGGTATCCGCTCATATATCTCGTTACGTAAATATCAGGTCGTCACACAGCAAACACGCACAGTTAACATGATGCCACAACATCCCCCAAAAGCCCGCGTATCCTACGCGCCATCGCAAATATGCATACGGAGAATCGAAAATCGTGCCCTGGACTGCATCATGCAGTCAGCCACTCGCTTGCTCTTTACAAGCCGAGCGTCTTCTCGGGCAGGCGGCCGTCGCCCTCGGTGTACTGCACGCTCTTCTTGCGGATGACCTCCTGCTCGACCTCGGCGAGCGAGAAGTGGCGGGTGTCGGCGTGCGCCCGCTGGACATCCTGGAAGGACACCGAGGGCACAAAGCCCTGCGACTGCCACGCGTGGGGGACCTTGGCGTAGAGCTCGTCGACCTGCTCGAGCGCGAGGCCCTTGGTCTCATAGATCATGCCCCACACGAAGAAGATGCAGATGAAGCAGCATCCACCCCAGATGAAGAAGACTTTAGCACCGAGGTTGGCGTTGCCGGGACCGGCATCGACCATGTAGGGTGTGGCACTGGGAGGGATGTTAGCTTGGTTCTGTGGAGCGGATATGCGGAAGCAACTTACTATCCGATTGCCCAGTTAAGAAGCCAGTTGGAGGCGGTGGTCATGGAGAGCGACTTGGCGCGCACCTTGAGCGGGAAGATCTCGCCAGTAACGACCCAGGCGACAGGTCCCCAGGAGCACGCGAAGAAGAAGATGTAAATACAGACGAAGGCGACCATGGCACTTTGAGCGGAAGGGTTACCGGTGCCGACGACAGTGCCCGTGATGGCAACGATGAACTGGCAGACGGCCATACCAATGGCGCCAAAGAGGAGGAGGTTACGGCGACCCATCTTCTCGACCATGTAGAGACCAGGGAATGTGGAACCGACGTTGACGGCGGAGGTGATCATGGAGATGACGAAGGAGTTCTTGAAACCCGCGTTGATGAAGAACTTTGTACCGTAGTAGAAGATGAAGTTGACACCAGTGAGCTGTTGAAGCGACTGGAGGAGGCAGCCAGTGAGCAGACGGAATCCGAGAATGCCCTTGAAGCAATCCAGGTAGGTAGCCTTGCCGAGGGTAAGCTCGTACTCGTGGTTGGCAGTGATTTCGGCCAATTCCTCCAACAGAGCAGGGTGCTCAACATCAAGTCTCCTCAGCTTGGAGAGGGATCGTGCAGCCTTTTCGGGCTGTCCTTTCTTGATGTACCAGCGGGGAGTCTCGGGCAAGAAGATGCAGCCGATGAAGATGACAATGGCCCATGCAAATTGCACAGCGATGGGGATACGGTAAGATCCGCTGTCGTTGCGGTTCTTGGTCGCGTTGTCGACAATAGCGGCAAGGAGAAGACCGATGGTAATTGCAAGTTGGTAGCAACCGACAATGGCACCGCGGATCCACTTGGGGCTAGTTTCTGACTGGTAAAGCGGGATGGTGGCGGAGATCATACCCACTCCGTAACCTGCGAAAAAGCGTCCGGCTACGAACATGGGAATGGCAGTTGCAGCGGTTTGCAAGATGACACCGAAGCAGAAGACAATGCAGCAGACGACGAGACCAAGGCGACGGCCAACCGCGTCAGCCACAGGAGCAGCAGTCAACGCACCAAAGAAGGTACCAGCAGACAAGATGGAAACGATCTCGGATGTCTGAGCTGACGTCACGTCCAACTCATTGTCCGTCTTGTTCACGTAACCCGTTGAGAACTGGTTGCGCCAGTACTTCATGCCCAAAATTCCGCCGATAGTACCAGTATCATAACTAGAGAGGGGTCAGTAAGCAATGCGCAACAAGGATGCGAGGTCCAACGTACCCAAACAGTATACCGCCGAAAGCGACAAACAGTCCAACCATGATAGCAGGCCATGCTGAACCAGCAGCGCCCTCGGGCTTCTTGATCATGATACCCATGCCAGGCGATCAGTCTCAGGAACGGTTAATGAGAAAGATGAGCCGAACGGTGAAGAGTAGCACAAGGTGTAAAGTGATGATGGGGAATGCATGGGGAGGGCTTCAAGGGGCTTTAAGTAGACCTTCCCCTCGGGCCCAGCAGAACCTGGAGTCCCACGGGCGGCGAAGAGCTCGCAGGCTACGATGGTGGAGCGAATGCGCTAGAGCAGCCATTGGATGATTCCAAACAGTGGCCAGATGAACGGACGGGGAGGCGTGCGCCTAGTGCATTGCTAGCGTGGGGACCTGGGCCATTGAAGGGGAGCCCTAAATCAATGCGTCTCATTGTACCATGGGTTGTTGACCTCGGGGTTTTTGAGGGGCAACCCCACGGAGTTTCCACTGCCAGGTTGAGAGAACCAGCGCAAAGTCGGTAGGCAAACGGGATGCCTAAGGACATGGTAATTGGAAGTAGGTACTATGAGCCAATGTGATGATGGATCATGACGCACGATCTGCCAGCCATGTGCCGCGGTAACGGTGTAGCGAGGCCTGTGGCGCGGTCAAGCTCAGAGGTCAAGCTCTTGTCCGTCTTGTCAGTGCTTAGCGTCCAGGAGACGCCAGTTGCGGGGATCTAGCTTGCCCAATGCGTCTGATCCATGAAATCCATTGGCGCTTTCAGCTACATCGCTATTGCTGATTGCTGAAAGACGGACCTTGTGATGTCTTTTTTTCAGCAGTTCATCGATCAGCAGCTCGATTGATCTGAATTCAGAATCACATGCTATCACATTGGGCCGGTGTGAGAAACATGCTTCTCGGGTCCCACGGAATTCGTCTATGCATTGCGGCCGTTGATGCTTCTCAACACTCATCTCAGACCATGCAGAAAGACGCTCTTCCAGGATAGACCGGTCCTAGCGTGTTCGCATGCTGGCTCGCTTTTCTGTCCAGTATCCGCTCAGGAAGGGGCGGCAGATGAGAAAGCGCGTCTCGACTGGTATAGCGCTCAAAGATGGAGAGACGGCGGGGTGTCCTCCGCCCTCCGCTATGTGCCCATGGGCAGCTTCGAGTGCGTGCATGGCAGAGTCTTTCTGCACTAGCCCCCTCTCGGCCTCCGCCGTGATGAGCTATCGAAGCATTGGCCAAGGACCTGGAGAGTCTGTCGGGTGGATTCTTCTGTAGCCTGCAAACGGCGCGAGTAGAGCTGCGGCCGAGATTGGTCCAATGCCGGTCGGGTAGCGGGGCGATCTAGGCGGGACCTCGGCGATTTCGCGTTAGCGGCCTTGAGGCTCTGCTCCAGGTGGAGAACTGCAGAGCCGCAAGTCCAGTCCCGTCTAGTCACGCGATCGAGATGCTGGTGGGTCTCGGTGCTGACGACGGCCTGGCGTTTCGACTCCTAGCAGCGTGCTAACACGGCCTAGAGTTGGCAGAGGACATGACCGGAGGCAGAAACCAGCTTGTCGTCTGTGGGGACTGCCCAAGAATGCCGGCCAACAATCGGCAAGACCTGGGGTGGGAGCTTGTCTGGACCAACCCACGGGGGCGTGGAAACGTGGAGATCGTGACATAGTGACAGATGCCACGCGACTGAGACCGCAGATTGTTTGTGTTGAGATGGGCGAGACCAAGCATTGGCTAAGCCCTCAGCCGCAGAGCTTGTGCATTTGGTACCATAAGCATTCGTGAATAGCTTCGGATGTAGCCGAGTGTGCTTTCATGCATGGCGATTTCAAATGCTATCACGGTGCTTTCTTTGACCGCAACTATGTACAAATGGGTAAGAGGACCTGACAAAGCCGCATCGTCTTGCCAGCATTGCCATCTGGACAAATGTCGCGTTTGGGGCCATCTCTTGGATGACGAGACGGATCAGGATATCGACTTTGGGACCCTTGGTCAAGCCTTCATTTACCTCTTCGTGGAATTTCTTCTCGCCAGGGATCGTATTGGGACTGTGCACGAAACCCTCTCTGATGCTGCCGGAAGGTCTCGTTGCTTCGGGCAGGACAGCGAGAGCATGTTCGAGACTGTGCAAGCAATGGCGCTTCTGCAACAGCGCGACAATGTAGTATTCAGTATGTAAAAGCTGCATCAGTCGTCGATTTGCTGACCCACTGCGTTGAGACGAGAGTAAACTCGACTTCTAGAGATTCTCTGTGCGTTGGGGTTCTTGGCATCATAGAGGGCAAGAGCAGCCCGAGGTAGGCAGATGGGTTTTGCCAATCGCCTCAACACAGACGGCTAGATGCACTCGATAGGACTTTTCGTAGTCAGTTGACGTTTCGATGCCCTCCAGACGCCCTTTCAGAGCTCCTATCCTCGTCCACTCACGCAGCCAATCACCGCGCCCCATCGCGCGACGCGTCCCTCTGCCCCACCACACGCGTCTCTACTGACCCTCACCGCCTGCCCCAAAACCTCCTCCTCGCGCAGAACCAACAATGTCCGCCCAGACCCCCGCACCCACCCACGAGCCGCCCTCCCTCCCCTCCTCTCCCCTCCCAAAACGCACAAAAGTAATCGAACCCTCCTCCCTCAATCAGCCCTCCACGCTGCCCCGCGCCTCCGACTCGGGCACCTCCACCCCCACACCCCTCGCCATGTCGCTCCAGCCGCCCGCCCCAATCGCACCCAGCATCGCCGCTGCCGCTGCCGCCGAACAAGCACTCCAGGTCCAGCTCCTCAGCGACAAGGCGCGCGCACCGACCAAGGGCAGTGCTTTTGCGGCGGGACATGATCTGTACAGTGCGAGGGACGTTGTGATTCCCGCGCGGGGACGGGCGAGGGTGGACACGGATATCTCGATTGCGGTGCCGGCTGGAACATGTAAGTGAGCTTCCAGGCGCCAATTGAGGAGGTTGCTGATGGTGCTGTTGTAGACGGACGCGTAGCTCCGCGCTCTGGACTCGCGGCCAAGCACGGCATTGACACCATGGCGGGCGTTATTGATGCGGACTACCGTGGTCAAGTTGGTGTTATATTGGCCAACTTAAGCGAGACAGACTTTGAGATCAAGGTTGGGGATCGGATTGCGCAGTTGATCGTTGAGAAGGTATATTTCATTGTGATCATGGGCTGGACGAGGGTGTATGCTTACTGAAGGATAGATCGTTATGCCTGAGGTTGTCGTCGTGGACAAGCTTGAGGAGAGCGTGCGAGGCGCCGGAGGTTTCGGCAGCACAGGCGGATTCGGAGGCGCGGCTCCCGCGTCTGCGGCTTGAGTTCGTCCATGAGTTATGAGACACGATTACAGCGACGTATTGGACACATGGAAAGGTCGATGGCAGCCAGAGGAGCCCGTTGTGAGCATAGCGTCGTCCCGGACTTGGACAGGGCTTCCGTTGGCATCTCCGCTCAGCCAAATCACGATTGGTTTCATGGCTGTGTACAGCTACACGTAGTGAAAAGTACGCTCTCTCAATATGCGCATATACCTCTGCGTGTTGCAAATATGGAATGAGGATATTTGCAGCAGCTGCCATTCCAGAGAACCACACAGATCCTCTCGACTTCTAACTAACGCCGCCAGGAACATAACCGCATCAATAGTCCAGCATACTCCCCACCAACCTCCGTTGATACTTCTCCACCACCTCCTGACACCTCACCACCACCCCCGCAGCCAGCACCCTGACCCGCTCATCCTCTTGCCCCTCCTTACCACCAGGCAGCCCTTCAAACACTCCCCTAACCCACTCCTGCGTCTCCATCAGCTCCCTCCCCTGCTCCGTCGCCAACCGCTCCTTATCCGCATTCGTCTCCAGTAGCATCAACAGCGCAAACAACACCGCCGACAACACCCTCTTGTCACCCACCGCATGCCCCCGACACGCCAGCAGCAGCTCCCACATCTCGCGCGTCATCTGCGGCAGAGCGAGCGTGTTCGGGCCAGACGCGTGCATTAGTAGCGCCAGCGTGTGCAGGAACGCTGGCAGCAGGTGGACAGACGTATATATCGAGGACGATGCCGACGCGGATGCGCGCGCGGCGAGCCACCAGCGGCCTGTCAGCGGGAAGAAGAAGTTGTCCGCGACGAGTTGTGACAGTGCGTTGGGGATTGGCTTGGAGCGGCGCGCCTCCACCTCCATGCGGGAGCTGAAGGTGCGGGACTGGCCGACTTTGAGGATGGATGGTCCGGTGAGGGCATCGGCGGCTTGGGCGGCGAGCGGGGAGAGAAACTGTTTCGTCATGCTGGATGCAAGGCGTGCTAGTGGGGCTGACGGGACGAAGTTGGAGGTGTAGAGGGCGTGGAGGTGTGGGGGAAGTTGCTTGCTTGGGAAGCTAGAGGCAGGTGGTGTGAGTGCTTCTGTGGCGTCGTCTTTTAGGCCGGCGAGTTCGCGGGCGCCGAGACCGAGGGTCGTGAGGATGGCAGTGCGCTGCGTGAGGGAGTAGTCACCCGAGAAGAAGCTGCGGGCAAACCAGGACGCCATTGCTGCAGGCTTGGCCAACAATACTGCTATGAGCGCTTGCTGTTTCTGTTCCGCAAACTTCTCCAGTTCGAAGCTGTCGTTCAGCCCAGCGAGAATGGTGGCCAGCTCCTCGATGTGATCGAGCACCTCTGAGCCGAAATTGGCTTTGCGGCGGATGAGCGACGCGGCCGTGGATAGTGCCAAAGCGTGCCTGTCGTAGTTCTCTGTGTCACGCAGACCGACGATTAGGTCTCGGATATAGACGGGAGCTGTAGCTTTGTTTCGATTAATTTCTGTAGGGTCGTCGGTCTCATCTTCGGGGTCGGAATCGGGTTTCGAGTACGGGACGAGGTCATCATCGTCTTCATCGTCTGAGAGTACCTCGACGATGCGAGGGCCTTGGATCTCGGTGATGGAGGGCTTCGTGGTGTTGTTGGCGACAAGCTTAGAGGCACTCTTCCGGACTGGTGTTTTGCTTGGTTTCTTCTCTTGAACTATTAGATCGCTGATCTTTCCAAGCTTGTCATCAACCCGAGTGAGGCGTTGATACCATTGCGCTTCCGCAGCTTCGTCACCTTCAAGGTCGAACTTGAGTTGTGTTTCTGGTTTATCGACCATTTTTGAAATGGCCATGCCTACTGCTATACCTAGGAACCGGGCTCGTGATGACGAGGAGCCGATCCTATTGGACATGCCAGAGGTATGGTAGCTCGATTTAGCCATCATTGTGAGGAACATCGGTTGCGAGCGCTGGACATAACCGCATGTTATCGCGATAGTCTGAGAAAGAGCTGTACTTGTCAGTAGCCGGTCAGGTGGTTCGATTTATGGAAGTACGTACCTTCTTGTTGCATAATAGATGTATGTTTTATGTAGTAGGAATCCCCAAAAGTTTTGAGGCTATTTTCAAGTAGCGTATGTAATTGATCTAGCCAGTGTTAATGGAGGCCACTCAATGGGTCACGGGCTACCGTCTTACCTTCATCCCTCGCAATGACAGCGATGACGCACCTCCGAGTAGCAAGCGAATCATCCAGCGCGGGTATTGTAGGCTTAATTAGGGATGTGATCAGATGCTCCTTCAGTATATCACTGTCTCCGACCAACTTGCCAATCAGGGCAGTGACACCGGCAAGCAGTGGGGAGCTCTCAGACGGGGAGGCTTCAGTGTTTTCGGCGACCTTGTTGAGGTAGTGCTTGGCTAGGACACTTATATTTGCATTGAGATATTTGCGCTGTTCGAATGCTTTCATCTTCTGAAACACTGACGCATAAGCGGTAACAGAGTCCCTCGCTATCACGACCAGCAGCATCGAGCGAACAATTTGATCTTCTGAGGGTTAGTTGTGTGACTCAATCTTGCTGGACTAGTGACCCACCGGTGTAGCCCAAGAATAGTGCTTTGCTGTAAACCTCTGCGACCATGAAGATTGACTCCTCATTGGGCTCTGTTGCGCTCAGGTTGGCAACGTTGCGACCTAGCCATGTCGCGTACCCGCTGCCGTCCGCCAGCCAGCTCGCCGTTCGAGGCACTTCCTTCTCTTTTAGTACATCTTCGGCTTCCGCTGCGAGCGAGATTACCAGTCCGGAAGCAACTTGTGTGACGAATTCTTTCCACATCATCTTCTTTTGCGATGCATTTTTCCCGTGTGTATTGATATCAGTCCACACCTGGGTCAAGCACTGTTCACTCTGCAACAAATTCTCTAAGACGTCGAGGAGATCTACAATATGAGATGCAGAATCTCGCGTCTCGCCGACGGCCTTATTTTGATGACAGTCTGCCGTCAGCGACCGCAGCCGTGTGATGACATTTCCAATACCGCACGGATTTCGCAAACACCTGACCAATTGATGCAACTGTATTTTTCTTTCTTTCAAGATATGCCAGTAGTCTAGCAGTGTCGTATTGACGAATTGAAATACGATGTTTGCTGCGACTGGTTCCGGGAGTATGAGGTGAAATCCATCCGCACGTTCGGTCTCGGCTACGAGGTAACCGAGTACACTCTCGACTGACTCAAAGTCTGGCTGGTCCTTCAGTAATATTAGAGCCTTTTCCGGAGATTCGATGACCACGCTGCTTTTGCGTTTTTCACTGCTCCCAATCTCTTGCAATAAAGGCTTTGCATTTTGGGTACGCTTCAACTTCGTGGTGGAGACTGGTTTAAGGAAGTCGTCCATGTTGCCGTGATCATGGCTGATATCGAATCAGTGCAAAGTTGGATCTTGAGTGACGATACGCTCGAAGGTAGTTGACTGGCATCTGTGTCAAGTAAAAGTAGCCACAGACTCGGTTGATCTTGCCACTTTCGGCAGCGGGCTTGGCATGCTGCCGGTGGGGCTAGACTCCACCTGGACCATGCTCGCCGCTGCCTACTCGCCGCCTGGCACCTTTCTATATACACGCGTGCACTCTCATCACGGTCACTTCTACGAAAGCAAACAAAATGGCTGCAGCAGATGTTGTACCTTTGCCTAACGGCTCGGAAGGCACTCGGACGCGATGGTACAATCTGTTCGACCCAGGAGCCATGTATTAGCTAACACCGGCTTAGGAAGTACTTGGACAGGATCCTAGATAGGCCAGGACCTTTCACGGACCCGGACAGCTTCGCACCAGGAAACCATGAGACCCTTGAGATTGCAAAAGTTTTGTAAGGATCGTCCACACATTTTTGGGTCCAAGTACTAATCATTACAGGGTCATGTGAGTTACATTTTGAAGTATTGCCCTTTATTAACTAATCGATACATAGCGGAGCTGGTGGTTTAGGCTGTGAAATTCTCAAGAACCTGGCACTTTCTGGCTTCAAGGACATTCATGTCATTGATATGGATACGATTGATGTGTCCAATCTCAACCGCCAGTTCCTCTTTCGCGCCGCCGATGTAGGCAAGTTTAAAGCTGAAGTCGCTGCAGCTTTCGTGGAGAAGCGTGTCAAAGGCGTCAAGATCACACCTTACTGCGGCAAGATTCAGGACAAGGATGAAGCATATTACAAACAATTCGCCCTTATCGTCTGTGGCCTGGACAGTATCGAGGCACGGCGGTGGATCAACTCGATGCTTGTTGGTATGGTTGACGGAAACGACCCGGACAGCATGAAGCCGCTGATTGACGGTGGGACCGAGGGATTCAAGGGACAGGCGAAGGTTATCTTCCCTACGATGACCAGCTGCATTGAGTGCCAGCTGGATATGCACGCTCCGCGTGCTGCCGTCCCGCTTTGCACTCTTGCCACCATTCCGCGTCAACCACAACATTGTATCGAGTGGGCGCACATTATCGCTTGGGAAGAAGAGCGCAAGGAGATCACGCTCGACACGGACGACCCAGAGCACATTACTTGGCTGTTTCAAAAGGCATTGAAGCGTGCAGAGGAGTTCAACATTCCCGGGGTCACATACAGCATGACCCAGGGCGTAGTGAAGAACATCATCCCAGCCATCGCATCCACCAATGCTATTGTAGCTGCCAGCTGCTGTAACGAAGCTTTCAAAATCCTCACCAACGCGAACCCCTTCCTCGGTTTCCCCGGCACCGACGGTTACATGATGTACACAGGTGACGAGTCGGTGTACACCTACACTTTCGAGTACGAGAAGAAGGAAGACTGTCCGGTGTGCGGTGAGGATGCTCTTGCCCGCCCGCTCCAGATCGACCCCGAGGCGACGCTGCAGGAATTTGTGGACAGCTTGGCGGAGCGACCGGAGGCGCAACTCAAAACGCCATCCATTAGGACTACGGAGAAGTCGCTGTACATCCAATCGGCGGCGGACTATGAGCGCATGACGCGGCCGAATCTGGAAAAGAAGATGAAGGACTTGACGGCTGAGGGGGAGGAGATGCTGATTTCGGACAAGGCGTTCCCGATGATGTTCAAGTTCTCTGTGGTGTGGAAGAAATAAGGTGATGCACCAGGCTAGGTCAATCGTAATGATCGGTGGAACGGAGCGTTTTTACGAGCATATGATGGCAAGCGCAATCCACGTAGATGGGTCAGGGCTTCCGGTAGATACGCAACACATGGACTTCGAGTCCGAAGCAGCTGTGATTTGATTGCGCACGTTATGACAGCTGGTATATTCTTTCGTCGAGAAACGACCATTACCATGCACAGGTGCCTGCGTTGCTGAGAGGAGGTGCCCAGGCGCCCAGGTGAAGGCAAAGTCACATGATTTAGAAGGTGAGGTCTGTGCGCGCCAACTAGTGCGGTAGGCACCTAGCATTTACCTCAGTTTCCCCTCGACACGCCCAACGACAACGCCAACCCGGACGAATCGCCACACCCTGCAGCACAATGGCCGGCCCGCGCGCAGGAAACAAGGCTGCCGCCAACGGCACTGGCGGTGGATCCAGCAAGCAGTCGCTCACCGAGGCCTTTGACAAGGACCTGTACGATGGCAGCAACGGCGTCGACAAGTATGCCGGCTACAACATGTCCATCGCCGCCAACGAGGACGAGGACATGGAGGATGCCGGCGAAATCAACGGAAGGCGGCTGGTTGGACAGTACACTGCAAGCGCAGACATGTTGAACGAGTACGCGCACGGCGAGGACGACATGCTCGAGTCCCGCGAGAAGCAGGCCCAGATCTCCTCGCGCGAGACCGACTACCAGCGCCGCCGATTTGATCGCGCACTATCGCCTGATGGCGCCGAGGGTGGCATGACATACAAGGAGAGGATGCAGGAACGCGACCTGGAGCGAGAGGAGGCGCGTATCCAGCGACTCATCGAGGACCGCGAGAAGAATGGCAACGAAGTTCTCGACCACGTGCCCACGCTCAAGGATGACGCTCCCGCAGTGGACGGCAACAAGACCCCGCCCATGGAGAAGAAGCGCAAGCGGCGCCGGTGGGACGATGGCGGTGCCGAGGAGCCCGCAAAGATCGAAGAGGCAGCGGTTGAGCCCACATTGAAGAAGCGGGGGCGATGGTCACCAGACCCACAGGAAGTGAAGCCCGAAGAGCCTGCGGCCGCTGAGCCTGTACGCTCACGATGGGACACCACCGCAGCCATCGCCAGCGCCAGCGCCACACCTGCCCCCGCCACCAATGGCTCCAAAGTCGCAGCGCCCACCAGCTTCGCGTTCGGTACCGACATTTCTGCACGCAACGCACCACTTTCCGATGAGCAGCTCGACATGATGCTCCCATCCGAAGGCTACAAGATCCTCGACCCGCCACCAGGCTACGAGCCCGTCAGGAGACCGGTCGGTATGCCGGCGCTTCCAACGGGATACTCTGGGTATCTGGTTCCCGAAGCGGACAGTGGTATGTCGATGATGGGCAAGCAGCTGCCGACAGAAATCCCGGGCGTTGGTGACCTACAGTTCTTCAAGAACGAGGACATGAAGTACTTTGGAAAGCTGACGGATGGCGCGGATGAGAACGAGATGACCGTGGAGGAGCTCAAGGAACGCAAGATCATGCGGCTGTTGCTGAAAGTCAAGAACGGAACGCCGCCCATGCGAAAGACCGCGTTGCGACAGCTTACCGACAATGCCCGACAGTTTGGACCAGCAGCTCTGTTCAATCAGATCTTGCCATTGCTCATGGAGCGCACTCTAGAGGACCAAGAGCGACATTTGCTTGTCAAGGTCATCGATCGCGTTCTGTACAAATTGGACGACTTGGTCAGGCCCTATGTTCACAAGATCTTGGTTGTCATCGAGCCCCTGTTGATCGACCAGGACTACTACGCTCGTGTAGAGGGCCGAGAAATCATTTCCAACCTCGCGAAAGCTGCTGGTCTGGCGCACATGATCAGTACAATGCGCCCAGATCTGGACCACCAGGACGAATACGTGCGAAACACGACAGCCCGAGCTTTCGCTGTGGTTGCATCGGCGCTCGGTATCCCGGCTCTTCTGCCCTTCCTACGGGCTGTGTGCAGGAGCAAGAAGTCATGGCATGCACGTCACACTGGTGTTAAGATTGTGCAGCAAATTCCTATCCTGATGGGTTGCGCTATCCTGCCACATTTGAAGGGATTGGTAGAGTGCATCGGAGACAATTTAAACGACGAACAGCCCAAGGTCCGCATGGTTACGGCACTCGCGCTGGCTGCCCTCGCCGAAGCTGCCGCGCCTTACGGTATCGAATCCTTCGACGACATCCTGAACCCTCTTTGGACTGGAGCCCGAAGGCAGCGTGGTAAAGCTTTGGCGTCGTTCCTCAAGGCTGTGGGTTACGTTATCCCGCTCATGGACGAAGAATACTCCAACTACTATACCAGCCAGATCATGGAGATCGTCATTCGAGAATTCCAGTCACCCGATGAGGAAATGAAGAAGGTTGTTTTGAAAGTGGTATCTCAGTGCGCCGGTACTGCTGGTGTAACCCCAGTCTACTTGAAAGATAACGTGCTACCAGAGTTTTTCAAGCACTTCTGGGTGCGCAGGATGGCGCTCGACAAGCGCAACTACCGCCAAGTGGTTGACACTACAGTTGACCTGGCCCAGAAGGCAGGCGTTGCCGAGATCGTGGGCCGGATTGTCAATAATATGAAGGACGAGAACGAAGCGTACCGCAAGATGACCGTCGAGACCATCGACAAGGTCATCTCGACCCTCGGCGCACACGATGTGGACCAGCGTCTCGAGGAACAGCTCATTGACGGTATCCTCGTGGCCTTCCAGGACCAGACGGTCGAAGATCCGATCGTCATCGACGGTTTTGCTACGGTTGTCAACGCTCTTGGCGAGCGGACGAAGACATATCTTCCGCAGATTGTTGCTGTCGTCATCCACCGCCTAAACAACAAGGCCGCACCGGTTCGGCAACAAGCCGCTGACCTGATCTCGCGCATCACATTCGTCATGCAAAAGTGCGACGAAGACCCACAGCTGGTCAAGTTGGCCAGCATTTTGTACGAGTATCTCGGAGAGGAATACCCAGAAGTTCTCGGATCGATTCTCGGAGCACTGCGAGCCATTGTTACTGTCGTTGGTCTAGCAGCGATGCAGCCTCCGATCAAAGACCTCTTGCCGCGACTCACACCCATCCTTCGCAATCGTCATGAGAAGGTCCAGGAGAATACGATTGATTTGGTCGGTAGAATTGCCGATCGTGGAGCCGACTACGTCAATCCACGAGAATGGATGCGTATCTGCTTCGAACTGTTAGACATGCTCAAAGCGCACAAAAAGGGCATTCGGCGAGCGGCGAACAACACGTTTGGTTACATTGCCAAGGCCATCGGACCGCAGGATGTGCTCGCTACACTGTTGGGCAATCTACGAGTAAGTCTTCAGCTGCCTAATTATCCAAGATTCCAAGCTGACCACAAGCAGGTGCAAGAACGTCAGTCCCGAGTGTGTACTGCTGTCGCAATAGGCATTGTGGCAGAGACGTGCGCACCGTTCACGGTTCTTCCAGCCCTGATGAACGAGTACCGGGTACCCGAGCTCAACGTCCAGAACGGTGTTCTGAAGTCGCTCAGCTTCATGTTTGAGTACATTGGCGAGATGGCCAAAGATTACGTCTACGCCATCACGCCTCTTCTGGAGGACGCGCTCATCGACCGCGACCAGGTGCATCGACAGACAGCTGCGTCGGTAGTCAAGCATGTGGCGCTCGGTTGCGTCGGCCTTGATTGCGAAGACGCCATGGTTCACCTGCTCAACCTCCTTTGGCCCAATCTGTTCGAGACGAGCCCGCACGTCATCGACCGCATCGTCGAGGCCATTGAGGGCATTCGTAACGCGATTGGTACTCCGCTCGTCATGAACTACGTGTGGGCGGGTCTCTTCCACCCGGCGCGCAAGGTGCGACAGCCATACTGGCGCATCTACAACGATGCGTACGTGCAGTCTGCGGATGCCATGGTGCCTGCGTATCCGCAGTTTGAGGAGGAGACGCTAAAGAGGCATGAGTTGGAGATCTTCATATGAGAAACACTGTAGTAAGTGTGACTGGTCGCACGACCTTGTTTCATTGCGAGACGGCTATGTTTCTGGTGTATAATGGCAGTGTAGGAACAAAGCAGTTGGGGTTCATTTGTGTTTCGGTCCCGGCAAGCCAGGATCTGCCTCGCCCCTTGGGGCCAAAGAGGCACATGTATATCAGTTGAGCATCGAGTGGGGTCTGTTAAACATTGGCGTTTAGGTCTGCATAGCCGGCGCTGGTTGGGAGTAGGCAGGGGTGGATAGGAGCGGGCCAGATGAAATGGTAAAACACGATTCTGACCACGCCTCACTGTCGCTGATTGCAATTAGGCTTTGTGGGATGGTGACCAGCCTCGCAGGATTAGGCGTTGTGAATGTGTAAGTTTTGCCGATTGCAGCATCCCCAGCGTGCCGAGAGCGAGAGAGAGAGGTAAGTGCTTGCCAAGAGCGCTCGTCGGCTGAGTTTGCAGGAGCATTTACCTGGGCCGTGGCGGCGCAGGCAAACTGTGCACCTCGGACAGTAGAAAATCTCACAGCAGACGCGGACAGCCTCGGCCGTAGTCGCCCTGTTCGTGTGCGCACAAGGCTTCCTTGTCGGAGCGCGCAAGTTGTCGTGTAGTCGACTCCCGGACATGTTGAACGCACTCGAGGCACCACGCCCACGCGCGCAACGTCGCCGCGTGCATGGCACGCGTAGCAGTCGATCGCAAGACAGCCGAGGATTGCGTCTCGCCAGAGGACGGCGGACGATCCGGCGGACGGCCGACGCGGTTTTCTCGTTCGCATGTGGGCACTGGTCGTAAGCTGCGTGCTATTTCGGGGTGGCCCTCCAACCTATCCAGGTGCTGCCCCGCGCTGCCTGCTAAGCCTCGCACCACGACCCCGAACACCCAATGATGTTGCCCCATCAGGACAGCGAGCCCTGCTGTGAGAGGCTGCGCGAAGTGGCACTCAAGTCGCGCGCTGCGGGACGACGGCTCGGAAGTCGTTTTTATCGTTTTTGTCCCGTTCGGGCGATTCGTGCTGCCGTGACCCCGGTAGGCGTCGTTCCGCGTCGCATCGTCGATATACATACATACAGCGTGATATGCACGTCGAATCGACTCGGTGTCTGTCCCACGTCACATTGCTGTTCCCCTCGTCACCCTCCTCGCGTGCTGCTTTCCTACCCTTTCGCATTTCCTCTTTTTTGTAGACGAGTAATTGGCACCCAAAGGGAATCATGGCGCTTGTCGCGCACAACACCAGGCCGCTTGCCTCGCAGGGCTTGTTACATCAGGACAGGACGCGGTATCCGAGGTACTACGCTGAGCAGGGACAAACTTACGACGCCCAAGACCCCCCACCTTTCATCTACACTGGCCCGCGGTTGCAGAGCGCATGTGGTTCGCGCAAGGCCAAAAAAGTGCTTGGGCTCGTTGCGCAGTTCGAGAGGCGCAGTATCGAGGAGGAAGAAAGAGGCGGCCCAAATAAAGCACAAAGAACCCTGGGCCTCGTAACAGACCTGCCGCGCGACCGGAGGTCGTCGAGGAAATCGGGCAGCGGCGAATATCAGGGCACCTTTGAGCAGAAGCTCGCTCAGGCTGAGAAAGAGATCCGACGTTTGTCCAGGATGCACAATCTCGCTGTTGATGTAAACGACGAAGAGGGCGCGGCAGCTGACGATGAGCAATCCGACCATGAAGAGGAGCACGAGTACCACCTTGGGGCTGAGGATGACGATGAGGAAGCGTCGCCAGCAGACCCAGAGAAGACCCCTTACCTGGAACTGCCAATCGCGCAGTCACCGCAACAACTCTCGTTCCCGAGTAATCCCATCGAACTTGATGCTGGCCCCGACCACGAACTCCTCCTTCCACCGCGCAGGCCTCGTGCCAGACCACACTCCTACACCTCCCCACGCTTCAGCGAGCGTCCCAAAAACAAAATTGCTTCTTCGCGGTCGCGGTGCCTGAGCTCCCCACCAAACTTCTCACGACCGCTTTCCAGCTTCACCCCGAAGCCCGTACCTGGAGAGGACATGGAGCGCGACCCGCTCTCCATCCGCTTCAACGATATCGAGGACGATCCCCGCTCCCCGATGTCGCCCATTGGTGGCACCTTCGTCTCCAACGAGATCAAGGCCGCCCTGGAGAAACTCGAAATGGGCATCAGCAAGTCGCGCACCGCCTCGCCCATGCCCCCGTCCTCTCCTCCGCCCGCAAAACGCGCCAGCAAACCCCGCTGGTCCTCCCTCCCCGTCTCTCTCATGAAACTTGCGCACAAGCGCAAGTCCTCCAAGAACGAGGACGATGGCCTGGGCCTGCACATCCACCTCGAACGCAAGCAAAGCAAAGAAGTCGTCACGCTGACCGAGGAGAACCTCCAGCGCTGGGAAGACGAGGTCGGCTACGTGCCCAAGATGTACCGCCTGGGGTACGACCTGCTGAAATCCCCTGTCGAGCTCGACATGGAGGTCGAGCGCTGCACGCCGGTGCCGCCCGTCAGCAAGACACCCTCCCCGCGTCCGGATGCGCTGGCTCTCGCCCGCGCACAAGGCCAGATGCTCACGCCACCGATGAGCCTCTCGCCCCCCGTCTCCCCGCCGCTACAGCATGTCCACCAGCCCTCCTCAAACGGAAGCACCATCGGTGCGCTGGCGAGCCCTTCGCTCCTCACTCCAACATACACGCCTACCCTCAGCCAGGCTAGCTTCGCGCCCAGCCATAACCCATCCACAGCCATGCGCTCCTCCACCACCTCCGTCCTCCTCTGCCGCTTCCCAGAGCCCCCTGCGTGCTACGCCCCGGCACCGACATCCTGCACTTCGCACGCCCGGCCTCAGCCCTCGCTCGCCCAGCAGAAAGAGGCGCTCTCCCTCACGCCGCCGCCCTCCCAGCTCCTCACCTGCGTGACCTGCGGCGAAGTCGAGCACTCGTCCGCATTTCCCGCGCAGCCGCTTAGCTCGCAGTGTTTGCACGCTGGGCGTGTGTGCAAAGAATGCGTGCAGTGTTTTGTAGAGCGCGCGGTGGAAATGCGCGAGGGAGTGAGGTGTCCGGAGTGTGGGGTGAGGCTGGGGAGTGAGGAGGTAATGCGGGTTGTTAGTGTGGAGGTGCTGAGGGGGATTGGGCGGAGATATTCGGGGAGGCTGAGTGAGGAGGGGGCGTTGAGTGGGTGATTGCGATCTGTCATCCTGTGAGTATGGGCAACAATCATTTTTGAGGATTTCTTTTGTTGGTTGGACGGTGGAATGGAGCTGGCTTGGATGGGTTGGGAGTTTGGAAAGGCATATACCCCGCTAGGATAGTGTTATAATTAATTTCAAGGACGTCAAAAGCATACAAACTGCTAGTCTTCTACCCGCGTTGGTCGTGTGACATCGAGCTTCCTTTCTCGCCAACATGACCACCATCAATATCCTGGACGGTGTATCCACTTCTCCGTGCCGCTCAGATATGGCAGTCGCAGCGTTCAGTCCCGGACCACGAGACGCACATCGAGCCAATGCCCACCTATTTTGGGACACAGAATCACCATACAAGGTACCGTTTTAGTCATAGAGTGAGAACCCATGGAGCCAGGGACCGGTGGTTTTTGGGGCGAGGGAGTAGGACCGCACCGCGACGCGAATCACAGCAAGGACAGGCTGATTTTGACCCCGCGGCATGCTCGACAGGGTTCAGTCTTTGGTGGCGGCATAAGATCCCACATGGCGAATATTAGCCTCCTTTGGGAAGTAGAAGGAAGACAAGCAGCATTTGGTTGGCAGAGAAGCAAGCCCATCGGTCTGCGCAAAGGTTTTCCCTCGGTGACTGGGATGAGACACAGAGCATGGCCTCTTCTTTTCTTCCATTTCTGTCCACACTGTGTCTCAGCGGGGAGAGGAGGAAGGAGACTCGCAACGTGATCTCGAAGTGAAGGTCTGTTAGTCCCGTGGAAGACACCATCTACCTTCTTGTCCATATAGTTTTGGTTGGGAACAATGAGGCAGACACATGGCATGAATTGTGTTCATTCCTTCTTTTGGTTTTCAGGGAGGTCAAGACATTTAACGCAAGACATTTTGGTTTTATAGTAGAGGTTTGCAGGAGGCACATAGCATGACCAGCGAGCACACATGACTCGAGTCCCAGCCAAGACGCCCATGTTCTGAGACTGGAAAGATTCGGACCCCAGAGAGGCCCAGACGTCATGAAACATTCCATTTGCCTTTGGATCGTTGTGTGTCAGCCAGTCTGAAAATCTCAAATCTGTGAACTAGCACAAAGGTTGATCGAGGAGGGTTTCGCCCAAGTCACGTCGCCTACAATTTATATTCTCTCCCTGCTGCGCTGGGTACTTTCCATTTGTGTTCCGGTTTGGACCCGCTCACGCTTGAGAACTTACGGCTCTCCTAGAAGATCACACGCATGTAGACACTTGAGACTTTGACCAGCACGAGAAAAGATGCTGGTGATCGCGAATATCATAAGAAGCATGAAATCTGCACAACCTTGGGTTGTGTTCAAGACGGCAGCATGAGTGAATTCTGCGGTATTCTGGGTGTTCGCTATGGCTCTCTGACCGAAAGACAATGCACAAGTATGTCAGTAGTCGGGCCTCATCGATCCTTCTGTATAGGCTTTATTGATCGCCAAACCAACAATTTCTGGTCAGAGGTAGTTTCTTGGAAGTGAAAGAAGACATTACCACGTTTTGCATGGTTTTTTGGATGCAGAGATCTGGAATTTCAGATACATTTACACGAAGCATCGCGCATATTATATCTTTGGTCACCCTAAGCCCAAGGAAGTCACCTCCATATCACTGGGTTCGCCTTTTACTGATGGTCCATGCAGGCGTTGAGAAACAGGCATTCGCACGACTAGCGCGTAGTTCGCGTCAATGACGTAGGCCCTCGAAGCCACCTATTTGCAAAACGTCAATACTCCGAAAGCCCTTACACTCAGCGATCATGGCGAACGAAAAGAAGGAGACGAAGCCGGAGAAATCCACCGAAGCGAATGAGAGCAAACCGGACAAATCCTCAGGCAATGGCTATTCTAAAGAGGAAGTGCAGAAGGAATCTTCAAAAGCCGCCAAACAAGCTAAAGAAGCCCACAACAAAGCAACCGAACTCTTGCAAGCAGCAGCTGCCGCTGGGGACCCAGATGAACGCCAGAAACTCATGGAAGAAGCCCTCGAACAACAAATTCAGTCAAAGTCCTTCGGCAAAACAGCAAGGTATCTGCGCTCAGGTACATTCCAGGGCATGGCAGTCGGAGCCGGCCTCGGAATCGCTCCAGGAGCCTCGCTGGGCGCAATCACTGGGACATTAGTCGGTGGTGTTTCATCAACAGCCTTGGGAGGTATAGGTGCGGGCCTCGGTGCCGCGACTGGTTGGATGCATGGCCCGTTCTGGGACTTAGGGAAAGGAGGAGGGAACATCATCAAGAAGATCACGGGTAACTTACCTGGATGGAAAGCTACTGAGAGCCAGAAAAAGCAGCTTGAGAAGATGCTTGGACAGGTCAATGAGCAGGATACGCCTGGGATGGATGAGCTGGAGAGCTGGGAGAGCGAGGGCCCAAGCGAGGATCAGAAGGAGGTGATGGAAAATGTGAAGTCGAAATTGCCGTCCCTGCCTTCCCAAGGCAAATCAGAAGAGACCTCGAACAAAGGAGGAAATCAAGAAGAGAAAGCGCAGAAGGATGAACAAGAAAAGGAGCAGTCCAAAACAGGGGATTCTGCGAAGACCGAAAAGAGTCAATCGCAGGGCGAGGAGAAAGAGAATGATGATGATGAGAAGAATTCCGAGACTGCACAGGGAGCTGAGGGACGCAAAAAGCCGCGAAAGCTGCAGCCCAAGTCAGAGGAGACCAGTGCACCATCCGATAGCTCAGCTAGTGCTAAGAAGCAGCCTCGGAAACTCGAGAAAAGATCAGGGTGAATCAATTGAAGTCAAGTAAACCTGCATAGTGCTCTCGTCCTTGCGAAACGGAAGCTGCCCCCCTGTTATTATACTTAGCTTCTTAGTGATCTCTAGGTTATATTCAAGGGCTTAGGCATCTCAGCTTCCACACACGAAGCTGACTTGTTTGCATAACCATGTCGTGCTGGGCTCCTCCCTGAGAAGCGCAAATTCATCGCAGACACACTGTCGCGACATCATTACAAGATACCTTTGACAGCAATTCCAGCTAAGAAGAATCACCATGTTCCCATACAATGGACTCTATCTTCAATGGTGGCAAGTGCTGGAAGAGAAGGATCATAGTTTTGATACATTTGAGAAGGGGACTCTTTATTAACTTTGAATTTAGCGGTATTGCTACTAGGGACGAAAGGCCATGCGTACGCTTAGGTAGTGAACAAAGGGTGATGCGAATTTCGGATCAATGTTGAGTTCTCGAAATTCTGTCTTTAAGCAGAGCACCGCCACGTTCTGCGTGGTTCAGGATATTCCCTTCGGTCTATTGTCCTCTAGATGCAGGTCATGAAATGGATCGATGGTTCTCACACCTCGTTTCCAGGGCCTGGCATAGTGCACGCGGTAAGTATATCCAATTTCCAAATGCAGGTGCTTGCTCTTATAACACAGCGCTGCCGCTCATTGGCCTGGAGGATGGTACCTGTTCGGCGTGCTAAACACAATCTTTTCGTGATTTATGGAGATTATTCGGGCATTCTCAGAGTGAACATTCCTTATGTCGAGTTCTCTCGATGCTGCGGTCGCAAAGAGGAGAAAAGAGGACAGACAAATTGAGACTAGTCTGCAAGAAGCACTGGTCTTAACCCGTTTTGACAGTGGTCCTTTGCTTACCACTTCGCGATGGAGGATCCTTCTGAACAACTCTGCTGCGTGTCTAAGGTGGCTTGGCTGACACATATTATGTGTTGTTCCTACCGCTATGAGAGCATATAGTGTTGGATAAAGGAAAGATTAACATGCAAGTTAAGTAAGCGCGCGTTTCTACTCGTAGGTGCCGTATCAGAACCTCGGCAACCAACGTGCATCGCTTCTCCGCACTGGCAGAACATCAGGTTGATTCTACACAAGACAGCCCAATTCAACGAGTGAAGCACCATTGATTATGGCCGACAAGTCCGACCAGTATGCCCGCCAGGCTCTGAATAGACTGGATATCCTCTCCTCGCATCTAAGCACCGTCAAAGCGCCGGCTGGGAGGCTCACGAAGCTATCGCGGTCGCTCAGTGGCAAGAAAGCCATCGTCACGGGGGCTGCATCTGGCATGGGAAAAGAGACGGCGAAGGTTCTAGCTGACGAGGGCGTCAAAGTCGCTGTTCTGGACCTGGATAACAGCAAAGTACAAGCAGTTGTCGAGGAGATCAATGCTGTCCATCCCGGAAGAGCAAAGGGCTGGGTATGCGATGTAGCGGACCGCGATCGGATCAAGCATGTGTGCAAAGAAGTCATCGATGCTTTCGGTGGGTTAGATGTTCGTGGCTGACCATCCCAGTGAGCATGATACGAAGCTAACAGAAAAGATTTTGATTAACAACGCTGGCGTGTCGCTCGGTGGTGGTGCTTTTGATAACGACGACTCGTTCGAGTCGCGCTGGGACAAGACTCTCGACATAAACATTTCAGCTCTCGCAATCTTCATCCGCGCATGTGTGCCAGCATTGCTCAAGAGCGATGCGGCACGGATCGTGAACATTGCGAGCACGGAGCATTTTGTCACAGGACCAGCAAACGCGGCATATAGTGCGACCAAATCAGCAGTGACCGGACTGACGAGAGCGTTCGCAGTAGAGCTGGGAAAGTATGGGAACATTACGGTGAGCTTGCTCGATTGAGGAACGTTGAAGGTCGCGTAGAGAGTCTAATGGGGCAAGCAGGTTAACACTATTTGTCCGGGACCGATCATTGTGAGTTCGATGCTGCTCTTGACATGTTACCACTGATCGGAGTCCAGACTGGCATGACAGCACGGATCTCACCCGAGCAGAAGGAAGCATACGCCAGACGACGTGTGCCCTTGCGGCGGTATGCTGACGCGGAGGAGGTCGCGCAGAGTACGTCAAATCTCTTGTGTTTCACTGGTCATTGCAATCAGACGCGCTTACGCTTCACAGTGACAGTCAGTGTTTGCCTACCCGCTTCGTCCTACCTGCATGGCACCACAATACCAGTCGACGGAGGAATGACTATACGACATACTTGAGTGGATCAGATAACTTTAATGTACGATTGCGATGCAAATGGCCCCACGCCTAATGATGAATTCCCGCGGTGACAATCAAGATTCGTCCTTCGCTGCCCAGAACTTCTCCAGCGACATTCCCATGCTCCCAGGTGTGAATATGGAAATTTGGACTTCAAACTCATCTTGTCGACCTCGTCAGTCTTAGCTTGATCGAAATAGTACGACTTCTTCGGCGTCGTCGTTTCCTCATATCAGCTGCATCCTTTGAGTGTATATTCCTCCAAGTCATCACCGAGATCGTCTTGGTCTGCGCTGAACTCGTTCTCGCATATGATAAGTTCCTCTTTGTTGGCGTTGACGTACTCGTAAGATTGAGTTACGAAGTCGCGTAACGTAATAGCGTCCACGCGCTTCCTGCAACGGTTCAGTAAGCATGATTCACGCGATCGCGCGTCATCTAGTGTCTAGGGCAAGGGCTCCCAGTGTTGAAAGATCCTCGCCGCCTCACCCACCCATTGAATATCATTTCTGTTCTCTTCCAGTATCGCCCTTCTTGAGCGTCGTGAGCGTACAGCCTGCGACTTTCCGTCAGTGTATGTGACGTCATAGTGCGTCTTGCGTCGGACGGCCGCTCACATCGTACAATATTGGTCGTTTGTGCAACGCCAGCGTGAAGGTACATCATTTTCGGGTTCCATATCCAAGCATAAGCGGATAGCCAAAGGATTTTGTTGTTGTGCAGTCAAAATGTCGTTCCACGTCAAACGGAGCGAAACCGCTCGTCAGAAGGAGCTCACCGTGCATAAAGGCGCGCGTACGACCACATGGCTTATTCCAGAAGCTCGTCGCAGTGTCCGGGAGATTCAGCTTTTCCATAAGCCTGGCGCTTATAAAAACCTCCCTGACAGCCATAATCCATTGATTCCCCCGCCCCATTGGCACTGGTACCAGGAGGAGTATTTCACCGTGCTCCAGGGGTAAGTTATGGCTCCCAGTCGGTTCAAGATCACCGCAGACCATTTTCCACTTCAGTGCTAAGCTAACCACAATTACACGATCCCAGACGTTTCATCTTCACACTTGAAGGTAAACAAATTCCTGTTACACCAAATGATCCTCAGCCCGTCACCATACCGCCACTGGCACGTCACACCTTCAAGGCTGATCCGACATGTGACGAACCGTGCAAGATTCAGATCGAGCTCGAGGTGTCACCGCTCGTAGACGAAAAGATGGCAGAGGAGGAGCTCGGCGGCAACGAGCGCTTCTTCCGCAACCTGTACTGCTACCTCGACGACTGTGAGTCGCAAAACGTCACGCCCAGTCTATTCCAGCTGCTCCTGTTTCTTCATTCGGCTGAGGTGAGCCTTGCGTTTCCCGGGCCCGGATGGCTTGCCCGCCCTCTATCGTATGCCTTCGGTTTGGTTCTGGGAAAGTGGGTCGGTGAATATGTCCTTGGCTATAGGATATCATATCCCGAGTATTACGATCCAAGCATGATGAGCAAGAAGTCGAAATGATATGGCCTTGGTAGAGAACTCCCAAATTTTACGAGTCGTGCCCTGATCACCATTCAGACAAGGAAAGAACACGAACACATCCAATTGTTGTACCACAATTTACAGGAACGACGAAATGCATCTCCACGTCTTGTATTCATTTGCTGTCAATCCATGCAAAAGAAAAACTGTGTGTATTTCAAGCTGACAAGCGGACCCGCTTTATTCCTCCGTCCCAATCATTCTCCATATATGATGATGTCCCAGGTCCGAACAACCATATATCCATCAAATGACCGAGACAAGACTTTGGACGAGAAAGACAACCACATACAACGCGCAAGCGCACCATATACCCATCTCATTTCCACATCCAGTACCCTGGAGGAGTTGCAAGTGTGCGGAATGGAGACTGACAGAACCCACCATTTACACTCCTTAATTTGGCCGTTATTGTCCAATCTCGAGCACCGCTGATGGGCAACATGCCATGGCAGTAGCCATCTAAGCTTTCTCAACCACCGAAGAACAACCCCATGGTCGTCGTCGAAACTGTTTTTGAGACAGCGCAGAAAACTACGTGTAATCGGCGTCGAAACTTGCTTGTCCAAGCTTCTATTTCCAGGCACCCCACAGACGCCCCGCAAACAAGTCTACAGAGCAGAGACCGACATACCGTCTCTGTGCATACTGAGCCCTTGGCTCCGCCACTTCCACCGGTGATGACATCTTCCCCTCCCGTCCTCGGTCGTCCCCGGCGGCCCTACCAACAGCTACGTCTCGAATGGTACGCACGTCGGTGATCTCTGCTTTTTCTGTTGGTTCCCAGAAGCACACCAGGTGAGCTTTGCCTCGAGCACTTCTAAGTCATCCGCAGGGAGCTCTCCAACAAGCGTGTAAGTCCAAACTGCGGGAAAGAGCACTGCTGCTATACCTTTCATTTCCATACCCATCATCGGCCTTTGCTTGTGATGGCGCTGTCAACCACCAACGGTCCTCTACGTCTGGAGTAGCGAGCAACCAAGGTCTCCACTGCGGCTTCTCACTTATCGCTTCCCAAAGAGCTTTTAGACTCAACAACTACCCGCCCACATGTCGTTAGATGGTGTTGATTTCAGACCCCAACAGCGCACTATGGTAGCAGCAAATTTCATGATGCTCTCCACCACTAGCTCTTCGTCAATGCAAGTCGCACTTCTTATCAACATCACACACACAGTAACACAAAAATCACCTCGCACACTCTTCAATTCCACACATCCTATTCTACACCCTGGGCTTTCCCCATCCTCCTCCCGCCCACCAAACCTTCTCCTTCAGTACCCCAAAATAGATATTAACACCGGTTCGGAGATCAACGCCAGGTCTCGTCCCCAGCCAATTCAGCCAGCCAGCACACCAGTACCGGATTAGATTAAGCATTTTGGAACCCAAAACTCACACCCCGAATACAGACAAGGTATTTTCGCGCGCTTCATCAATACATTTCTAGGTCCCGCTGACCTGCCAGATGCTGTGACACAGGAAACGAAGAGAAGAAAAGAACAACAATGACTTGCGGGAAAGGTGAGGAAAGAACAGAGGAAACGAAGGGAAAAGAGAAAAGAGTAGGAAAGATATGTCGAGAAGTCGAAGTAGGAGGGTCGGTATGTATGGACGCACCCAGCGGTGCGCCGGACAGGCACAGTCGGAAGTATTGTGGAAAACTTTGTGACGAGAAGTCAAATCGAATGAAGTTCCAGTGACAAAGTTGAGGATTTCGAAGTAGATGAAACCAGCAGCGAGGCCGTAGCCGTGGTCGCTGTGTTGATTGGGGTATATGCAAAATCAGCCAGCCGCCGATGTGAACGTAGGCAGAGCCCGTAACGCCTTCGCCGAATGAGATAAAGAGACCAGTCATAACACGTGTGAAGGTTAGGCAATCTTTGTAGCTCAGGTAGCGAAGCTCTTCTTCCGACCGAAGATCGTCCGCGTGCGGCTCTTCTCACGCTTCTTCGCGGAGCCAGGTTCCTTTTTTTCAGAACGACCGGAGCGGATCGATCGGGTGTCCGAGGTGGACGTGCTCTCATCCAGATATTTGTCTTTGTAGATCCAGCTGTTACCGACCATGCTGACGCCCTTCGATTCGGCAGCTCTGTAAAACTTGGCTGCCTTCTTCATGTCCTTCCGGCAGCCTACACCTTCAGCGTAGCAGTAGCCAGCCTCGACAAGGGCATCGGCATCTCCCCAGTTACCGGCAATCTCGTAGCAGCGAACAGCAAGGCTCTTGTCTTGCTTTGCGCCCCAACCATTCATGTAACATTTTCCAAGCTCGTAGATGGCAACACCGTACTGTGCTTTATGCTGCTTTTTCTTTATCAGATCGGTCCGCTGACCGTGCTTGGTTTGATCTTCGTCCTCGGCGATCTCGAGCTGGCCAGAGTCGACAGCCTTACGAAGCCACTGGAAGGCTTCGGCTTGGTTCTCGCGCATTCCCCAGCCATGGCGGCATGCAAGTCCGTACCAGAACATGGCTTCGGCGAGCCCTGCACGGGCGGCAAGGCGAAAGTGGTAGGTGGACTTCATCAACTCACCAGCCTCGTGGAGTTCGACACCCTTGTCGCAGTGCTCCTGGGCCGTGATCTGATCTGATGCGGTACCCGGGCGGATGGTGCTGTTACTGGAAGTGAGCGAGGGCGCACCACGTTCGGTTGAAATGCCCCGTGTTTCGATGGAGGGACGCTGTCGGCTGGCAGAACGGGGCGGCGACACTGGTGAAGGCGGCCGTGCTCCTGCTGTGGACTGCTTTGGCTGGTCCCAGCCAATCTGGCTGTTCAAAAAGTCTTCAATGCCGATAGACTTACGATCCAGCTTGCGACCTCTTGGGAGATCGAATTTAGAGTAAGTATACGTGGCAGCCTGGTTCGAATAGTCGGTTGAGCGCCGCCAGTCCTCACTCGTCATGCTCACAGGAGTATGAACTACGTCATTTGCGTATGGGGGGAAGATGGAGCTCTCCGTAGAGTCTTGTCGAACGGGGTGATTATCGAGGGATGGTCGCATGTAAGCACTCTCGTCAGAAGCCTGTCGCGACGGCGCACGATCCATGCTTGGCCGTGCGTCGAACGACGGCTGCCTGCTCGTGGAGCTCCTAGGCCGCGAGAAGTTGGCGAAAGCTGGGCGAGGAAGTTGGTGACTAGCAGTCGATCGCTCCGAAGATGCAGAGGGCGAGCGGGGAATAGACTGGTTGGAGAAAGGAGTAAGGGGAGAATGAGACCTAGACAGGCTAGAGCTTGGAGACAGGTTCCTGTGAAGAGAATCGTAGGAGCCACCAAGTGACATGTCTTCGACCTCGTCCGCACTGTCATTCTGGACAGACCTGGCGGTCGGGGACATCTTGGGAGATCGAGCTCTTTGCGAACCGGGTGACCTCGGTGGCCGCAGGCTAGAGTTTGATTGCTGTCTGTGGGGTGGTGCATCGAGGTTTTGCTGGGCCTTCATGGCTTGCTGCAGGGCGTGCGCGTTGGACCGAGGAACATTGGGCGATACCGGTGTGGCCTCCTGCAATCCAATTGCTGGTTCCGGCGACATTGATCGCGGGATGTCGAAGTAACCCCGGGGCTGGGGAGGCACAGCCTGCTCGCCAATGGGGGAAAGAACGTTTCGGTATGGCATCGGCGGTTCACGCAGCGAATCGTCGTCGTCGTCGTCGCCGCCGAACATGGGGTACAGCGACTTGTGCTTGTCGGTCGACGTCTGCGCGCGCGGAGAGTTTTGCGGCTGCTGTCCGGGGCTCCTAGGGGGAGGCTGTAGCTCCTCGTTGGGCGAGGTGACGGTGGAATTGGAGAGCGAAGAGAAGTAGCCAGAGCGGTTACCAAACTCATTCTGGATTGTGAGGGGCGCGAGGCGGCTGATGCGCCGGCCAGCCTTCTCCTCCTGCTCGAATCGCTTGGCCAGCAGCCGGCCCTGCATAGCAAGGGCGTCCAGAGGGGAGAGGGCGGGCGGCACCTCGCCGGTGCGCGGGCTGGGGAGGTCGTGCAGCGAGAGGGAGCTCATGCTGGCGTTGGAGGGCGGGTCGGACGAGAGCGAGCGGAACTCGAGGCCGCCGGGGCGGTCCAGTCTGTTTACCATGGCGAAGGTGGAAGGAGCGGATCGAAGGCTCACGCGCCGTATTTCATGAAGCCGGCGGCGGGCAGCGGGGGTGCAGTGCAGCGGGCGGTGTCGTCATGCGCGGCGTGGTGAAACCAGGCGTGGAGGCAAAAGTCGAGGAATTATGCGGGGGGCAGTGGTTGCGACCGCCTGTGAATGTGTGCGCCGGCTCGTTGGGCGGCCTCGGGGAAGTGGCAATGGGCGTGCTGGGGTATGGCAGGCGCTATGCTGATCGCAACGGGCGCGAGTGGATGGCAGTGGACGTGGGAGGGGAGCAGCGGCGAAGGAGCGACGGGGCGAGGATGGGCAGCACTGGGACGGACAGCAGCACCTGCGCCGAGCACACGCTTTGCAAAAGACGTGAGAGAAGACAGCGAGCTCCGCAACGGTGGCAGACGGCACAGCGCTGGGACGGCGCACTAGACACTGTTCTCCATTTTGGCGGCTTTGCTGCCCCTGAGCCCTTGGCGCACTGGCGGGCCGCCTCCAAGTTTAGGGTTGCTGGTTTCAGGCCGACGCGCTCCAACGGCCACCAATCGCAGCACCCACGGCGCCGGTGGCGCCAGTCAGCGGACCCGGGAGAAGCAGCGCGGAATCACGACAATCTCAGCCCAGCGAATGCCCGCCGCGCATGACGTGCGCCGCCCGCCTCGCTGCGCTGCCCTGGCTGCGCGCAGCTCCAAGGCCGCCTCCGCGCGCTGGGCAGATGGCCTCGACGACGCACAACGACGCCGGCCGTCGCGTCGCGTGCGTGCGTGCGCTGCCAGCCGGCCCGTTTCACCATGTCGGCCCACGCCGTTTGGGTCAAGCCGCCTCGCTGCGACAGCTGCATCCGAGTCCTTCATTTGGCCGCTGGCACGAGCCACACCCCCTCCCGCGAACATCACAGTTGCTCAGCAGCCAACGTTAATTCTACGCGAACACAGGACGATCATCTCTTGAAGCTGTCGACCCTGCGTCCAACCACCGCCGATGCGCATCTCATCGATGCGAAAATGATCTAAGAATACAGTCACGCCTGGCCAGACTGCGAGGCCTCCTGCTTGGTCCCTCTTACATTACCACACCAACTCACCTTGGCCACCCCGAATGCTGCCCGACTCGACTAGCTTCCAGCTTGGCCTGGTCGCACGCCTGTCGCCCGCGAGCCTCCACGCGTTTGCCGTGTGGGCAACCAGATGCTCCATGTGATTCAGTCACCGCAACAACTCTCTAACACGTACGAGGGCGACCAGTGCACACGATTGTATTTGGTATCTGCTGATAGTCTGAATTGACGGTCCTTCGTTGGTACACTGCGGCGAGTACAAGCACGCTGCATTGTCCAAGATGGACTGTCCATCCCTTTACTGGCTGGCGCGAGACTGAATGCAGCGCCGACATCCTGCTTGCCTGGCTCAGCATATCGTGTCCTTGCTTTGGTGTAATTACCCCGACAGTGCTTCGCAAGAGACCATCACAAAACAGGAAATACATATCCGGCCCGCAAACATGAGGTTGCCGCCATTGATTTTGCCGATGTTCCGGCCAACGCAAGTCTCGAATTCGATAGACCGGAGTCAAACGTTACCCAAGATTCCAACATTTAGTTTGAGTGTGGCGGTAGAAATGTCCGTTCGCTGATTTTCCTTCATTGGGAGAGGAGAGTTGGGGAGTCGTGAGCTGCAACAGCTTCGTCTCAAACGGCCTTTTCGACCTTCTCCCAGGACTGTGCAGCATCTTCCAGCTGCGGCTCTGCTGTCGCCTCGTCCAGCGATACTCGTTTGACGCCCATCATCCACCCGACCAAGCCGGCGGGTACCCAATTGCCCACAACGTCGTACGTTATGCTCCCACGGCCTACGCGCCACACACGACGTGGTCGTCTCTGGCTAAGTGCATCGAACACAGCGTCGTGCAGCTCTCGCAACGAGCTTCCCGTGCTGTTTGCCGTGAGGAGGCCTCGATCTTGGGCGGCCCGGCTCTGATTTACAAAGTTGGTCGCGTACAGTTTCCGCGTTGTCGCCGGCCACACAATCGTATTCGGTCCGGCAGTGGTTTGCAGATGATGTTTGCTGCCAACGCGTGAGCAGTCAAACGTCCCCAGCTTGAACTGGCACACGTCAATGCCTAGCGTGCCGAGTTCGCCCCTCAGCGACGCTGTGAACCCCTCGAGGGCGCTAACGACGGCGGTTTCGACGCTGTGGAACGGGGGGCGCAGGGACGCCACGATGCTCGGGGTGCACATCAAAACGCGCGCTTTGAACTCGCAAATGGTGGGGAGAAACGCCTGTGTAACGGCGATCGTGTTTAGCACCTTTGCATTTAGTGCATCAGAATACAGCTCAGGCCCAATTGTTTCAATGGGTCCCGAGGGGTAGATCAGGTCAGGGACCAAGACCAGTCCCCGGAAAAGTAGGTTGTGTGGCGAAGCCCCGGAGAATGCGACATGGGGCTTGAGCAACAGATCTTTGAAGCGCTCCATCGCCTCCTGTGTGCCTAGGACATCCGCGACGTCCAGATGTAGTGGCCGCACGTCGGCTCTCGACTCGCCTTGGACTATTTGTTCCTCTTCCAGGTCCGAGCATACTATGTATATGATGAAGCCGCGTCGTTCCAGGTCAAGCGAGAGCGATTTGATGATGGGCGAGTTGGGCGGACCCGCGAGGACTGTCGCAGTCAGCGTCTGTCGTGTACAAGCATGCGCGCATCCTACCGATGACTTCCCTGCGCGCGCCATTGCTTGCGCGCCGTGCTCTTCTTTTTCTCCGAGATTTGTTTCTTTCCCGCCAGAGGAGCACTCCGCCCGTAGCCAAGAATGCTACAAGAGCGGCCGTAAGCGCGCGATTCCTGGAGACCCAGTCCTGGAGACGGTCTACGTAGGCGCCGGAGACTGCGCGCGGGGGCGGCGGCGGCGGAGGTGGTCGCGCATATTCAGGAAGCCAGCCTTCAGGGACGGATCGTTTGATGTACCCGGCTACGCTTTGAAAATGCCGGTCCGAGGCGTCAAAGATGTTGCCCGTAAATTTCCGGATGTCTTGTGAATACTCAGACAGCTGTCGCGCGAATCATCACTCGTTAGCAACCGCCCGACGAGGCGCAAGAGGGCACTCACCACGTCCAGGAAGTGCTGGTCGTCGGCCGTCATGGCAGTGAATTAAAGTTATAAATAAAAAGCTACGAGTAAAGTACAGGGCGAGAAGGTAGGGTTGACATTTGCGTCGTCATCTGCGGAGTTTGAGCGCTCAGATCGCGGAGCACATGTGGCGTATCGCGCCTTCCGCCGTTGGTGGCGGCGGAACTCGCACGTGACCCCCCGAAGTCCTCTGGCCGTCGCACCTCCAGTCTTATATGCGCCTGCGGCTGACGCGCATGCAGCCTCTGTACATTCTTCTTCTATAGATACCCTAGTTTAGGCACGGTCCTTGATTTGCTCCGCTAGTCTTTCCTTCGTGGGTTGCCTCTGCGTACGCTGTGTCTTTCGCCGCGCGACAGCTTACGTGGCTGGCTGGCGTTGCCTCGTCTTCATAATCGTCCTTCGAGTCTCTTCTACGCATAGTTCAAGTGCGACTGCCTTCCTCTCTCACTTTCCAGCCAGTCTGCCTTTTTCTTTTCACTTGCCTATCAGCAAGTTCAACCCCCAGCAACTGTTCGGACCGAATACTGAAACTGGAACATCGATCCGCAGACTGTCAGCGAAACGTCAGGCAGGACCCGCAACATGCGGGAGATCGACGCGCACTTTGATGCGTACGAACATCTCAAGCATCTACCGCGCGATGGCGAAGCACTACATATGCTTCGAAAGGCAGCTTCTATGGTCAAGCCTATGATGAGGAAACGAGGCTGGAAAGTTGGCACACTGGCTGAATTCCTTCCTGATGAACCTCAGCTGCTAGGTACGACTGTGGCTAAACACGAAGTACCTACGACTAAGACTGGGCAGGGTTGAACATCAATAGAACAGAGAGGATACTGATTAGGTTGCGCTATCACCATGATTCAAGGCAATTCTTACCCATGGAGCAGATCACAGATACTTTGCTGCATGAGCTTTCGCATATCATCTGGGGTCCACACGACCATAACTTTCACAACCTTTGGAATGAGTTGCGCGACGAGCATCAATCTTTGGTCTCGAAGGGCTATACTGGTGATGGTTTCCTATCACAAGGCCAGAAGCTTGGAGGGAAGCGGATACCACTAGACGAAATGCGCCGCCAGGCTCGGATATCAGCAGAAAAACGAAAGGCGACTACAAACCAGAACGCAGGCGGGCGTCGATTAGGAGGGGGGCTGAATTCCCGCGGCGTTGATATGCGCAAGGTCATCGCCGACGCCGCGACAAGGAGAACCAGTATCACAGAAGGCTGCGCAAGTGGCAGTTCCGAAGCCGGAAGGCTACGCGATCAACAAGCACAAACTGGATTCAGGACAAAGGCCGATGAAAACGACGCGAACGATCTAGCAATCGCGCAAGCTCTGCAGGAGCTCATGGAGGAGGAGGAGATGATCAAGTTGGAAGAGTTGTGCGCACCCAACGGAGGGGGAGGATTGGCCTGGGATCCTGTGAATGGCCTACAGTTCGACACTGACCCTCCTTCGTCGCGAACACCAACCCCGAAGCCAATACCTTCTCGAAGCGTGTCTTCGACTATCGCAGGACGACCGTTGTCGCGCTTAGTTACGGAGAACGCCGCCAGACGACCTACATCATTACCAAGCTCTCGTCGCCCGTCGTCTCGCCCCATATCACAGGAGGAGGAAGCCATTCGTAACAGGCCGTTGCCACCTTCGCCCCCCGAACCGTCACCAGCTTCACTCGCCGTCCCCACGGACCCGGACAAATGGGCCTGCCCTCAATGCACGCTGCATAACCCGCTTGACTTTCTCGCATGCGGAGCCTGTGGTCTCGAGCAGCCGCCACAGCCAATCCCGCAAAATCAGCGCTACGGTTCCTCTCATCATCCGGCCAGCTTACCAAAGCCACCCCCTGCAGTAGGGCTTAGAGGTGCCGGTGCTACGCCTTTCGAACCTGCCAAGGGACGGATAGGCTGGAATTGCCTCAATTGTGGGACTTTCATGGAGCACCAGTGGTGGACCTGCTCACTTTGTGGGAAGATGAAGGACGAGTCGTGAATACGAGAAGAACGCCGGTCCTCCTGGATGACCATTCCATCTCCACTCTACTGATGAATTCGGCCGAGAGTCACATCCGACAAGACAAGCCACAGATCTGTCACGTGCGACGCAGCTTGCTATAGTGTCAATGGCACTTTTGATGATCCTACACCGAGAAAGGCGAGGTAAACATCGCCCATTGTGTTTGCGGTTCTGGCCTAAGAAAGTCGGTCCAGTCCACAAGTCCTGCTTGCCGGAGGTGACTGAAAGCGATTATCTTTCTATCACCGCGCACACCGCACGAAATTACCAGATGTTTTGATATTCATGTCGGAGGCATATACCTGATACGCGCCTCTATTATGGTACATTGAACGCACAGCCAGCGGGTCAGCAGAGCATACATACCCCTTTTGTTATTAGATCCAGCCCTCAAATATTCTGTTCAGACCATCATCAGAGCCCCTCTCCCCTCGTAATAACCACATCCGTTGTCCTCATAATTCCGCCATTCCTAATACTCTCCCTCCGCGCCAATTCCCTCTCCCTGCGAATATCAAACGCGCCCCCATGTTCCCTTAGTATGCTTTCGTCGCTGTCGCCCGCACGCTTCCCCCAGTCCTTATCCCCAGTGCTCTTTTTGCTGAGACTGCTCATCGCGAATGACTGTCCTTCTCCATCCCCTTCGTCGTGCTTCATGTACCCTGTAGACTTGTACGGCGTGGCGAGTGCGGAAGTGCCTGCGCGGCTGCCGTAGGAGCCGAGGGTCGTGCGCAAGGAGGTGAAGAAGCGGGCGAAGAGGGGCTTAAGAGTGGGCAGATTGGCGGCAGTTATGCCGACATTCATTTCGACTCTTGATCACGGAGTGCGTTAGATTCGCATACCGACACTGACGAGAAGCAGGAAGGAAAGGGAAATGACTCACTGCTGCCAGATATAGTACCAGCTCCCGTTCCCGGTGAAGTCCATCTCGTCAAAGAAATGGTACTGCATCGGCGTCTTGTATATCGCTGTAGCAGTCGCCAGCAACCCGAGCGCCATGCAAAATGACAGGCCTAGCTTCGTTTGAACGTTGACCTGGAGTTTCCACACGATGGGGATGGGGAGAAGCGCGAAGAGGAGGTCCGTTGCTATATTGACGGAGGAATTGAACACGCCGATGTTCTTGAAAATGCTGATTGGGTAGCACTTTGCGTTGCTGTTCGCGCGAGTTGGTCAGCCATCACATTCAGGGATATCTAGGACCCACGTACCCTAGCGGCGGCTTCAAACTCAGATCGTACGCCGCGCGCACCGGAATACACTGGAAGATGATCGCCATGGTACTCCCAATCGTAAACGCGACCAGAAATACGAGCGTCGCTATCAAAAACGTGCGCCATCGCGTCCGATCCGCCAGTCTGAGCAGGAAAAAGCCGATCGAGAGCTTGATGAAGGAGTACGCGAAGATGATGAGGATGGCGTAGACGTAGACGTATTTAAAGAATGCGGGCATGTTGGCGAGGGGAAAGGCGAGACCGGAGAGGTCGAAGTGGCGGCCGAGACCGAGGGTTACGACTTTTATGAAGAGGCCGGTTGTGGTTATGGAGAGGGCCATGGCGATGAGCATGAGCCAGTCTGGTAACGTTAGACAGCTAGAAGGACCTGCATGGGTTGAGGTTTCTGGTTTGGGGGAAAAGGGCTTCTAAGGGAGTGGAACAGAGCGTATCGATGGATCGTCGCGATCCGTGTGAATTGTAGATATGAAAGGGGGATGTACCGTCGATACCGAACATCTTCAGCATGAAGACTCTCACGTATATCCTCAAGATCATCGTGAGCGCCGCAATGCCGAAAAGTGTGCAGTCAATCGCAAGCAGCGTCGGGCCATGGTTTTCTGCCAGATACTCCGGTGATGGGGGCGGCCCCGACGGAGCCGTCCAGCTCATGTTTTCTTCCTCCTCCGCAACGATTCGACGTGGATGCCGTAGGGTACAATCTTCACCAAGATCCGTTCACCTGGTAGGCAACAACCTTGTGCCCCGCGCGATGCAGGAACAAAAATGATAACAAGACAAGAGAACCGATCGCTGCAATAGCACCGACGTGTTGCCTATATAAGGAAGTCGATCAACTCGTGTGGTATCCAGTATATAGCAAGCCAGGTACTGCGAGGAAGAGGATTGGCTCAGCGGGCCGGCCAGCGGGAGTGAGCGCGCTAGATTACCACTTCGCTTGCAGTACGCAATGTATGGTGTGCAACTCTCTGACTCTTGCAACGATTCAGGCAGGGCTCCTGGAAGGGTAGGATGTCACATGCATACGAGCGAGCATCGTACACAGGGTTCCAGAGCGGTGGAGCGTATGTGGAGAATACCGTCCAGTTCCCGGGTACGTATCGCCGCGGAAGGGTACCAGGAAAATATTTGCAGACGAGGTGACGGGCGTGCAGGATGAGGGACTCGGATACGAAGAGATCACTTATGCACGGACTTGCCGTGATGGATATACTGCAGAGTCTGTGGGTGCAGTCGGTTGCGCTCGTTTCGCCACTCGGGGGACAGACGAATGAGGATGTATGCTCGTATGTAGTGCAAGGAGTCTGTAGGGTCATTTTACACGCGAGGGAGATCTGATACTGGCTATGGCGCGGGTGAATGCACTGCCCTAGATCTCCCCCGCCCAGCTTCAGCATGGTTGGGTATTGCAACCAATGAGTTGGTATTGCGCGTCGTCTTCCTCACGTGTAGATCGAGGTCGCATGGCCGGTTGTGTGTAACCGGGTGAATGCCGATATTGCGCATGATCGGGAGGGCATCATTTGCTTCACCATGGCAAAGGAAAGGCTCGCAATGAACAACATCGAGGGAATTCCTGGAGCTCGTGCTGCTCAGCTGTATCTGTGAGGTCTCGATCAAACAGTCCCCGCTCAGGCCAGTGACACGAGTGAACCCGTCAGCATCCCCGCTCAACGAGAGATTGCACATCGCGGACGCTGCCACGCTTCCCCGCTCCGACTGTAATTCAAGCTTCTCCGCGTGATATTATGCAATTGCGACCTGCGATCATAGTCCTATTGGTAGGGTTCCAGGCCTTGCGAATACTAAGCATCGGTGATCCCAGGCTCCCAGGGACCCAGTGGGCTGCATCGAACCTTATTTACCTCGCACGCAGAACGGCGCGACCGGGTACACCGCATTTACTTGGTCAAAACACCACTTACTGAAGGACTTGATGTCAGTCTCTGCACTTGTCGAAGAGATCAAACCAGGGAGTCGGTCCCAGGAACCAGAAATAGCATCAAAAACTGATTGCAGGACGCGGGACAGGAGATCTCATGGCGACAGATGCGCAACAACTGTTGTTTCGTTCTAGATGCTGGAAACCACCTCAGGGCCCAAAGGCTAAATTTACATCGCTCGCGAGTTGGTGACCGTAATGTCAGGGAAGCTGAAATCGAATGTTTGTTGTGAGCCTATGCAAGAACGGGTCGGTAGCTGAATCAGGTCCGTACACCGTGTGAAGGGATTAACATTTAATGATGAGACCTGGACGCATGCGCGGAGCGTGGTGCAACCTCGTGAGGCGGCGATGCGATACCGGAAAAGATGAATGTAGCCAATGGCGCAAGATCAAGCCATTGTTCCTGGGTAGAGGTTTCGGGCCGTCCCCCGCAAATTCACGACTCGCACGCTCGCTACTGCCGTCACAGCCTAGCCTACCCGAAACACACCACTGGCACAGTCAATCAGCTGAACTCTTTCTCGGAGGCAGCTTGATTTCTCCTGATACCTGCCATCAGTTGGTCAAGATATTCGAATATTCGTACGCGTTTCTTTGTGGTGGCACAGTCTCACAAGCGAAATTTCTCCAACTTCCTAATCCGGGCAAAGTAGTCGTATTCACCCTGGCCCAGTAATGAATTCGTTCGCCCAGACGGAACCTACATTTGACAGCCGCAGAAGTGACAGGCGCTTGGACGGAAGCCCCACCTCCGCGCTTGACGTCCAGTGAGACCCTGCATGGTTGAGAACCTAGGACCACTCTCACCACCAACCAGGCGTTGTCAGCCCCCCGAAAGATGGTCTTTTACCGTTGCTGCCTGCTCCTATTCGGTCACTAGTCAGAGAGCTGGGTTTTCAAATAGCGCAAATTCCAGTAACCGGCATTGTCGCTCTTCGACTGACCGCGACCATAATGCCGAACGCCAGGCTTGCGTACACAGTGGACCCTGAGTCGTGGACGAAGGGCCCAGAAATCGGTATTTGAAGCGTGTTGCGTGCATCCTTTAATCTCTGCGCGTCTCTATGTCTTCCATCCGCCTATAGTATCTCCGTGTTAATCCTGGGCCTCGAGTTCGGTCGTGCCGCACGCCTGTACACGAACTTAACCGCGCGCCCGCGCAGTACCTCCTCAGCCTCCCACAAGTCGATGAACTTTATTTTCTAATTCTCCTGTTCACCTGCCCACCTTCCTTCCGGCAGAAACGGAGAGACCTCACCGCCAGCGATGCGGACAGCTGCAGTAGTAGGGGCGATCCTGCTTGCCCCTGCAGCCTTCGCTGCACCCCAGACTCTTACCACAAGCGAAGAGTACCTAGACTACTCAGTGCTCGATACAGCTCCAGCAAGCTCAAATGTGCTGCAAGCGGACGTCTTGGCCTCTGCAGCAGCTATTAACCAGCAAATTTACCAGTCGATCAACAACCCTACGCAATGGAGGAAATGCAACCGCAATAACGCCATATACCGCCGCGAGTGGTCAGTTTCTCGTGCCTCAAATTGATGCATGGTGGCTGACATGACCTAAACATGACAGGGCCGCTTTCTCCACTTCCGAGAAGAAGGACTATATCACGGCAGTGCAATGCATGTCGAAGCTGCCTTCAAAGACGCCTAAAGAGAAGTGTCCAGGATGCCAGAATCGCTACGACGTATGTCGTCTTTGTGCTCGCAATCTGATAGGTTCACAACGCTAACACCTGTCTCAATAGGACTTTGTCGCAACCCACATCAATCAAACTTTCTCGGTAATATGCGGCAGTCCCCACCTCCTGAAACCTGGCTGACGGATCTAGATCCACAATACAGGGAACTTCTTAGCTTGGTCAGTAGCATCTTAATGCAAGAGGAATATGTTGAACTGACCTGGTATCCCGCATCTAGGCACCGCTACTTCACCTGGGCGTACGAGCAGACGCTTCGCAAAGAGTGCAACTACAAGGGCTACCAGCCTTACTACAACTGGCCTCGCTGGGCGAGGAACCCTGCAGGATCTCCAGCCCTTGATGGATCTGCCACTTCCATGGGTGGAAACGGTCTCGGAGGAGATCGTTGCACGAACCAGACCTTCTATGGGATACCCACACAAGCCCAGCCGCTAATTGAAATCCCCCACGGAACCGGTGGAGGTTGTGTCGACTCAGGCCCGTTCAAGGACTGGAAGGTTAATCTAGGACCTGTCTTCACGGATGTGACTTGCACGCCTGCCAATCCTGAGACAAACTTCACCAACGGTCTAATCGGCCTCGGCAAGAACACTCGCTGCCTAAGGCGCGATATCTCATCGTGGACTTCGAGCCAGTGGACCAACGATCAACAGGTGACCAAACTGCTGAAGAGCAAGGATATGAAGACCTTCTGGTACGACATGCAGGGCGGAGAGAATCCTTTCTCCAATAACTTCATGGGTGTGCACACCGCAGGCCACTTCACGACAGGTGGTGATCCAGGCTCGGATTTTGTGGCATCGCCTGGTGATCCTTGGTAAGTAACGCATCTTTAATTTCGCGTTGCTCTTCGTACATGCTTACTGAGTCCTGTAGGTTCTTCTTCCACCATGGCCAAATCGACCGTGTATGGTGGACATGGCAGAACCTCGACCCTAAGAACCGTATTAACGCGATATACGGTACAGTCTTCCTTGCGGATCCCACCGCGGCCAACGCTACACTTAATGATAGCATGAACCTGGGCTACGCGTACCCCGGCACTGTCACTATTAAAGATGCAATGAGCACCCTTGCGGGCCCTTTCTGTTACGCGTACATATAGACGTAGAAAGACACGTCACTCTATAGAGAGGTAATGTTTTTGTAGATAGATTATGGGAATAATACAGACAAGGTTTATAGGTTACTCGAACTGCGCATGTTCTTGCATTGTGGTACTGGCGTATAGGTAAATGTTTCGCATGTTCACAAGTGGGCTGTATTGTCGTATTTTTACGATGTTGGGTGTGATCCCTGCTAATTTGCTGTGTTGGGTTTGTAAATTCGTTGCGTTTGCCTCTGTTGAAGCTGCTATAAGAACAGACTCTTCTGCTAGAGTGTGCTTTCTCTTTGCATTAATAACCTTTAGATCAAATTCCACTCAACTAAGTATTACAAATCATTGTGTGGTGTTGCGACAGTGACGAAGTTCACTCGAAACGAGGCCCCACCCGCGCCACAGTAAGTGGCGCGCATGACGGTCAAATCGGAAAACTGGTTTTATCCCCGGCGAAACCGCAGATCTCAAAATCTCACTCGCCTCACTCCTCTTTGTATCTATCAACTGAAGTACTAATGCCTCAATTCGAAAGCAAAGTCTACGCGCCGGATCAATATGATGACGTCATACTGGGCGCCCGTGGTGCCTGTCCTTGAAGATGATTTGGCTCACCAATTGCTTGTGGATGGGCCGCCGGCTATCGTCGCCTTGCTTATTCCAGGGATGTCGATGTACATGAGTCTATATGCATTAGCAGGAGGATGGAAATGGACAAGCAGGGCGTTGGTGCTACCTACGCTACTGCTCTTCTGGGCGAGCATTGAGATTGCGCCAGTGAGGTGCTTGGCGCTTCGTGGAGTATTCGATTTCGGGAGTACGTAGAGAGCCGACAATTTTGGATTTGCAAATGCTGACATCCTGTAGTTGCGATTGGCCTCATGAAGTTGCTCGAACTACATGTGCTGGCCTGGAAGAATCAGTTGCCAAAGTACACCAGCGGCACACCTCCAGGACCATCAATAGTAGCACTACTCCTACTCACTGAGTTGCGCTACGAATCGTTCTCACCGAACCCAATTAGACTGGCACCATTACCTCCGTATCCCTTCCCGCGCTCCCCGGAAAAGAGGAGGCTTTTCTACTCAGAACCTGCTCAGCTTATCATCCATATTGGTATGTTCCTCGTCATGCAAAGCCTACCTCAATACGCGCCAGTCAAAGCGTTTGGCGTTCTTCTGAGCATCTGGATCATCTTCACCACTTGCGAGCTCGTGCTCCGCTACAAGACTAGCCCGCCGCTTTTTGCACCCATCTATCTTGCCGACAGTCTCGCAACCTTCTGGACCGAAATATGGCACAACGCCTTTGCATCACCTTGCCGCACACTCGCGTACAACCCAACGATGTGGGTGCTTGCCAAGGTCGGATTCCCTCGGCATATTGCGCGATCACTCGCTGTCATCGCCTCGTTCGGTCTGATGGCTGCCTTCCATGCAGAGATCATGTCACCGCTTCTACCGCCAGAGGGCAAGAAGCGGATTGGGCTTTTCTTCGTGCTCAACGGGATCTTCACAGTTACCGAGGTGGCTGTCTGGGGGAAAAGGAGGGATTGGCGGCGCGCGCTGATGGCTTGGATTATTGAGCTTTCGCTCGCGAGTTGGGCGGTCCAAACAGCCCAGGTAGCTGATGGACTTCTGAACGCGGACTGGAGAGGTCTGTGCCGGCCCAAGATACAGTGAGACTCGTCTCTGTAACTGCTTGTCACAGCAATATCTCTCTCATAATCACCTTCAAACAATTGACTAATGTCTGATCTGAGTTGGATACTGGCGGTGTCTCGAATGTAAGCGAGTAACGCATCAGTTACTATAGGAAATAGTGTTGATGATCGAAGGCTATCAACGTACAGGGAAGAGATAACAGAATCTTCCATCTGCGCCCAAACAAGGTTATCTTGGTATCACTGAGAGGTCACTTATGCACGTGGGGTTCAGGACCTAAAACGACAGAGCTGAAAGATTGACCTAATGACGTAGAACGTATATATAGTCTCTTCTCAGGAGGCTCGGACCAGCCCACGGTTGACCTAGGTAATCGCCCAGAGTCAACCGAGCGCACTCATGCGAGACGCAGTCGTACGCGGCTTGCCAATTCTCATATTGGCCAGCGATCTTGTGGCAAACCTTGCTTGTTACCCGGAAATACCACTGAAACCATGCGCTGTATGTCTCGAACGGCAACGGCGAGGGACATTATCAGACAGACTAGATGTCTTTCTGTCCTCAGATGACGAAGAGATGCTGATAGTTTTTGTTTTTGGTGAGCTTTCTCTCTAATCTTATCCTTCGCGGTATTTCCACTGATGCGATATTGACGTTCGCCCATCGAGAAGTTCCGAAACTACTCGTATCGTAAGACGTCGCTTGTACATCGACGAAGCGCGAACCTTTCGGTATTACGATTTTTTGCGGGTTGGCGTCTGAGCAAGTCAGTGTTAACCTGAATGCACAATGGCGACGCTTACCGCTGATAGTGTCCTTGCGAACAATCTTCGTCTCATTTCTCTGTTTGTTGTAGACAAGCACTCTCTTCTCTTTCTCCGGGAGGCCTACGTGGTTTTGCAACCTTGAGTCGGTAGTTGAGGATGTAGGAGTTCGTGATTGGTCCATTACTTCGTCTGATTGTTTTAGGTTACGACTTCGTTCAAAAGTATGATAACTGGGGTGCAGAGCCTCGTCTGACATGTGGGACTGTCGACTTTAAGCATTACCCTTCTGCAGAAGGCCGAGGATGCGCCACACGCGATCTAACACGTTTTTCTGATACCGTGACCAATTGTGTGCGTCACGGGCGTTACACCAAAGGACACAGCCACTGTGCGAGGCCTAAGGCGCCAAAATACGAGCCTGGCGCACCCGCATGCCCTCATCGCCACCACATAATTTCCCTGCGTTTGCCGGTAGTTCGCCGATCATGCGAGCTCAATATCGTGTTTTCGGTCATTCGAATGTCGCGCGCCTCCACCTCGTATAGAAATATAGGCGTGTGACTACCTTGTTTTCTTTTGGAGCGCGTTCAGCCGTCCTGACTCCTATCCCTCCATGCTCGGACACAGTAGTAAGAACATTTAATCCAAACCTCTTTAGAGAGAACCCACTAAGATATGCGTATGTTCCTGCGCACATCATCATGCGTATCGATTTTTGGTGCTATTAGCACTAGGAGGCACTCGAATTTTGGAAGACACGGTGTACAGACAGCAGTTGAACTCGCAAGCTGAATAGCAAATCCGGAGACCTACCCAGCCTTGCATCTGACCATCCCTTCATGCCACAGAATCAATAATCTTCTTAATCCGTCGTATGCGCCCCCTAAAGAGATCCCCCAGGCCTTGCGAACAGTTCGTGTGGCGTAGTATGATGTGATGTGGACACTTATGAATGAATCATACTGGTCAGTGATAGCGAGGGCTTGCATGATGGATGCTCAGCGCCAGAGAGGCTCAATTCCAGCCTCCTTCGTCTTTCACAGCCTGGAGACGGTTCAGATGATAAAGAGACATGACCACTGATGAGACAATGAAGGTGCACAGCCTATTATCTTTCTCGAGGTTTTTGTTCAATATTCAGAATGGCAGATGTCGAAGTTACAACGGAGGGACATTCCCTTGCGCTGAGACCAGATAGAAATCAGGCTGAAGCCTCTTCTTGGCGGTCTTCGGTTCCCGCAAGATCGGACGCCGGTCACTCATCGACATCGCGAGACTCACGACCTGCACATCTATCTGCCGATCTGCATCGGGAAGATCCGTGGCAGCCAATTGTTCTCAGTCTAGGTAAGATTTGGTCTTCCAATTTATATCTGACATATTTTGGATTGTCATTCATCCGAACAAATGTGTACTAACTTTGTGTAGACGGTGGTGGTATAAGGGGATTATCCTCTCTGTACATCCTTCAGCATCTAATGCAGAAGGTCATGATAGAGGAAGAACGTCAGGAAAGGGAATCAGTTCCGAACGAATTAGATGCGTTGGCTGCGAGCTCATCAAATCAGTCACATAGCGCGGCTAGGGAGCGCAGTGCGAGCGATCAACATCAAGATTTGCGGCCTTGCCACTACTTCGATTTCATGATTGGTACTAGTACCGGAGGGTAAGTCACCGAATCCCGAATGACCTAGAAGGAGATGTTAATGCAAAACGTTAGCTTGATCGCAGTATTGCTTGGGAGGCTTCGACTTGACATTGACACCTGCATTCGTATCTATGAACAGATTGGGACTTACATCTTTGGTAGCCGGAGATGGTGGGGCCTTTTGACAAAGTATGATCACAGAAGGATGAAAAGGGCCATCAAAAAGGTCCTCCAGGTGTATTGCGAGGAGCACGCTCAAAACCGTCAGTGCAGAGGTGATGATCTGCTTAGGCAGTACGACTTCTCCCACCACGATGGACCCTATAAGAATCATAGCTGCAAAGTGTAAGCGATGAGGCATAACGATATTGAGACTGGAGCAAGGTATGCTGACCAAGCCGAACTAGAGCATTGATGTCCATACGTGAGGGCGATCGAAGACACCATACGCAAGACAAACAGTACTTATTCCGCAGCTACGACCATGTCAAGGCGCCACCAGAACAGTACAACCGTTCTAACGATCTCGAGTTGAACCCAGGAACAGTACAGGATAATGCAACGACCATCTGGGAAGCCTGCCGTGCAACTTCAGCAGCACCACTCTATTTCAACAAAATGACCATCCGCGGCGTGCGCTACATGGATGGCGGTGTCGGTGCAAATAATCCCGCTGGATACGCTCTTAATGAGGCCCAACAGATGACATCCCGTGGTGGTAAAGCAGACAGCAACCGCAAACCGGCCGCTCTGATCAGTGTTGGCACGGGCCACAAGGATCCACAATCACGCTTTCGGAATATTTTCGACATCATCACTTGGGCGCGGAAAAGAATCACTGACACCGAAGAGGCCCACATAAACACTGAAGGCAGGTGCAAAGAGCTGAATGTTCCTTACTGCCGCTTCGATGTGCAGGAAGGCCTGTCTAAGATGAAGCTCGATGAATGTCGGCAAAAGAAAGCCAAGAAAGTAAAGAAGGACGAAAAGGGAAAGATGGCTGTCAATGGTGACACAGCAGTAAAAGCGAATGGCGACACCACAGGTACAGCCAGTCCTAAGGCTGGTCATGCCACCGCCGGAAAACCACTCTTCAACACCTGGCAACCGGATCGATACGAGTACGTCACGTACAAACGTATCAAGGAGGATACGATCAAGTACTGCCAGAATAAAGGGGGCTCTCATGACAGCCCTGTAGATGTTGACGCAGAGCTCACAAAGGCAGCACAGCTCTTGGTGTACTATAGGAGGAGAAGAGAGGAGCTGACCCCCGAGGCCTGGACTCGTTTTCGAGATCACCCTTATACTCGAATAACGAGTGTTCAGAGGAATGCCAATAGCGAGGCAGCAGTTGCGACTGAGGCGACGATGTAAAGTCTAACAGTTGTTTCGTGGTTCTCTTCCGTCTTCCATCAATTTTTCTTCCCTAGGTAATTCTGTCGTCTTTCTGGTCAACAGTCATTCTCGTTCGGTATTGATCTCGATTTCATTCCTGCGTAAACATTGCATGTGTACAAGCGCTGATATATTCTGGGTTTCTCTCTTGATAGATTAGACTGTAATTTTATGAACGCGTCCAGGACCATGGCCTTCGGGCAGGCAGCGATGACAGCAAATCAATTCCACGTATGGCGTCCTGCTGTGATAGATGGCGTACTTTGTTGCTGCGGAGAGTACTCCTAGACTGAAATGAGGATGCTCAAATGTATCGTATTGATTAATGAGGACGAACACAACAGCATGCGTCTGTGACGTGGGGAGGGGAAAAGATCACTGCTCGGACATGGGGTAAGCTGCTTGTACTACTTCGGTTAGGCTATCCGCGTTTTAGGTGCTGCTCACCTCACCTCCGCCGGCTTTTCCTTTTGCACCACACCTGCACCTCCAAATGGACAAAATACTGCTGGCGCACCACCATATACGAGCACCCGAAACGTGGCTGGGCTGCGTTTGATCCTGCTCCTCTCGTTCGTCGCTTATTCGAAGCCACCGGATCTCTTGTAATGCGGAGTCGTGGCACGGAAATTCGTACAGGACAGTAAGCCAGACACTGCGCGCACCGAAGTCCGATCGGTCAGGTCCCAGCCAAGTCGTTGGCAACTCCCTGACTTCAACTCTCCTATCGCGCTTCTTCCTGTATGCTACTATGAGGCGTAGGCCGCGAGTGCAGTCCGGATACTCTTCCAGGCCAATAGCGACAGAATGAATTATCTTTCTGTGAAGAAATACCGGCCCCACGTTGTCCGCAGCATATGCTCTGAAGCATATTTCCTGAATGCAGTAGAGCCTGCGCTAGACATCCGCCTTGGTCCCAACGGATGTGAGCATGCGGAACCTAAGCCCGGGTAGGTTTGTAGTCCGCATGGGATACCTAACACCAAACACACATGCGATTGGTGTACCTGTACCAATGTAGTGCGAGTGCGGAAGCGACCGCAGTCCATCGTGGAGGTAGGTAGCAGTTTATAAGATTGCGTGTATCCGCTGGATCCACCGCATCATCCACACCAGTCTTCTACTTCTTTCTGCTACGATCAGCATCACTGCCTTTGACACTTTTGTCGTCCATTCTTTATACACACACTCGTTTCACTATGCTTCAATCATCCCTCTTTTTGGCCCTGGCTGGCCTTGCCTCTTTCTCTACCGCTGCTCCTACTGCCCATAAGCGTCAGGCTGCTGGCAAGCGTGGACTTGCTTTTGCGAAGAACATGCAGGATAAGGCTACTATGTTCACTGGTTCTGGTCAGGTGACTTGGGCCTACGACTGGGAAGCTCGCGCTACTGATGCTCCAGGCTTTGGCGTCCCTGGTGTGGAGTTCGTTCCCATGTTGCACGATGGCGGTGCCATGTTCGCCGGTGCTTTCCCTGCCGACTGCCAGGGTGCCCTTGATGCTGGTGCCAAGCACATCTTGAGCATCAACGAGCCTGACATCTGCGGGTGAGTGATTGACATGCAACTGATTGAAGCTACTAGAGCGCCCGCTAATCACGAACAGTGAGGGCACCGGCGGCACCTGCATGAGCGTCACCGACACCGTGAACGCCCACATGAGCTTGATCCAACCCTTCGCCGACGCCCACCCCGACGTCACCATCGTCTCTCCGGCCTACAGCAACGCCGGTGTCGAGACCATGAAGGAATTCCTTGGCGCCTGCAGCGGCTGCAGAATTGACCACATCGCCACCCACTGGTATGGCCCTGCCGACGTCGAGGCCTTCAAGGCCCACGTCATCAACGTCCACAACTGGACCCAGAAGCCCATTTGGGTCACCGAGTTCCAGGCCCAGTCCGGCGACCAGGAAGCCTTCATGCGCGATGCCATTGCTTGGCTCGACAGCCAGGACTTCGTCTACCGCTACGCTTACTTCTCGGTCGAGGTCTCCATGACCAACGGCATGTCGCTCAACAACTTGGGCAGCATCTTCTCTTCGTAAATGGGTCCGGCGTTATCAAAAGAACGCTTGAGTACGCGGAGGACACGTGATATTGGGGCCTCAACTTTTCGATTCTTGGCTCGGATGTGGTTTTAGACTATAGGTTTTATTGATGAAGGTATGGCTACATGTACCGTTGCAATTTTGATACCAATGTACTGTTTTGAACAACCTTGCTTTCATCATGCGCTATGCAACGCTTATTAGTCCATGGGCGGTCATCTACATAGGCAGAGAAACAGCTCGTGATAAACCGTTGACGGCACCCAAAACTTGAGACTGTTCGAGCTAGCTTCAGACCGTGATTTTAAGTAATGGCAGAGGATCTTGGGCGTCTCTGAGAGTTATAGCGGTGACACTAACTACGAAGTGGTATCTCATCAAAAAGTAGATAATCTGGAGACAGTCGTCTAATCGCACAAAGACGCATTGTAAATTTGGACGTCTACATGTCTGGAAGGTTGCTGCAATTACGGACAGTCAAGGTCAATTTGCAGAACTTCCAAAAGCTTAGCCACTCGCGCGTATACTGCAACTCCCGTGCAAAAGACTAATTCATACCCATATCCAACGAAACGCACCTGAGAAGCCTGTCACGACCCCAGCCATGGGGCTAGCAGAAGCCTTCATACCGGAGCGACAGCTCACCCCGTAAGACGTCAACCCTCACTCAAACCGGGACAGAAGAATAACCGAGTCCGTACTTGTCTCCAACATTGCTACTGCTAGCACAGCAGGCCTGACAATCCCAAAAAAATCCGGAAGATCCGCCAGTTGGGAGGCTTGAGTAAACCGCAAAAAGATGTGACCCACACCTGATTCGAACAGGTAACCTTCAGGAAGTTCCAATGAATTCATCTGGAATCTGACGCGCTACCGTTGCGCCAGCGGGCCATGAGCTGTTACCCTCTTTTTTGGATGTAATTGAATTCAAGTAATAAATATATATTTCCAATGAAAGGGAGAATTCTTTGGAGGCGAAGGGACATTTTCGAAAATGCGATTCTGGGCACTTTAGCTTGGGTTCGCTTTCCGGTCCACTAGAGCATGCCTAGATGCTGAGCTATGAGTCATATGAACTCGCTTATGAGGCTCCAACCGGACCCACTATCTCTCCCTTTAGCCCGCTCGTCGAGATGGCCGGCGAAAAACGCGTATTGTTCTTGGTGACCATTAAAAACCAAGGATTGAAAGCCAAAGAGCGCTAATCGCACCATATCATTTGGAGGCGCTAAAAAGGAAAAGAGACGCAGGTGTCGTTGCACGGGATGGCGAAGTCCACGAGTGCTGTATTACAGATGAATCACAAAGAGATAAATAAAAATTACTATGACGAAGCAAGCAATAATTGGTATCTATTGTATACATCAAATTAGGAAAGAACCATTTGGAAATTACCATGCAGAAAGTGCGACCACCGGCATCGCTGAAAAAGCGCAAGAAAAAGTCACGACGATTGATTCTTCGGCAACGCCTGCTGTGATAGCACTTGAAGTCTCGATACTGACTCTTGCAATGCAATGTACACGAGAACTGGTGTGTTGGATGGATTGTAAGATGCTCGCCAGCATTTGGCCCAGGACATACGACACGTACGAGGAACAGCGCCCACACAACCCTTCAATTATCTGCGCCATACAAAGCCTGCCACAAGCCGATGTGCGCTTCAACTTCGCACACAGCAGCTCTCACATCAAGGGATCCGCTGTTGGAAAACCCTGCCTCTTTATCTAGGGCACGATGGCTTCGCATAGCCAGCTACAACTCCTGCAAACATTCAGCTTCTCCCAGGAACCTGTTACGATATTTCGGCACTGGCTCACACTCCGACATATGCTCCAAATGGTACAGCACGTGATTAAAACCGTCTTTCTAGCCTGGACTTACATCTTTCTGGATAATTGAGAGAAATTGCGTATACACCATTAAACGATATGGAAGCTTTTCAGAGAGATCGCCTATCAAGTTCTGGTCTTCCCAATACCTCAGGAAGAGCGAGGCACAAATCTACTTGAGAGATAGTATTATACTTGACATAAGAAGGAACATATCCGATAGAAGCAGAGGTATTATGCGCTGAGGAACGTAGAAGGGTATATTGGTTGCAGCTAAAGCACTTTCTTACACACCATGGCGTCGTGACCTCGAAAATTCGAATAAGTACACCTATAATCAACACCGTCCGCTCTTACATGCTCTCGCAATCACGCGCTTCCCTCGCCCTACTCTGATCCGTCCTCAGGCAGCTCTGCAATAACCCCCTCCACCATCTCAATAAGCTGGTCGACGTCCGGCCTCTCCCCGGGTTCAACCTTTAGACACTTCCTCACGACCTCCTTGACGTTCTCACTTATGCCCTCGCCATCCGCTGGTTTCTTCGCCCCTCTCCCCTCATCCGGAAACCTCCAGTCCCCACCCAACACGCACATGCTCAGACTACCCCCTGTCTCATCGCTGCGCGCTTCGAACGGCGATTTGCCCACCAGACAAGCGTACAGCATGCAGCCCATGCTCCAGATGTCGACTTTGGTGTCGATTACGCTGCCAGTTTTTACATCGAAGAGTTCCGGCGCACGGTAGGGCATTGTGGAGTGCTCGGCGGCGGTGTCTTGGACCTGGAGGGCGAGCGAGCGCGATGTTATCGGGGTGGGCGAGGGCGCGAGGGAGCCCAGGTCCATGAGGATGGGGTTAACGCCGTCGTCGTCGATCATTACGTTGCCTGTGGTTGTTAGCCGTCTTTCTACCTCGCGTTCTGGGAATTGAACATACCGGGCTTGATATCCCGATGCGCATACGCGCGCTCCCCGCCCGGCGCAATGCCCTCCTGCGCGAGACTCGCCTCCCCGCTCTCGAGCAGGCCCTCACCCTCCGCCTCGTCGTCATCATCGTGATCCCTATGCCGCCGCATCTCCATGGCCTCAGCTGCCTCTGCATCCGCGCGCGCGGCATCCTTCCTTACTTTCTTCGCCTTGCCCTCGCTCCGCGCGCCGCCCGGCCCCTCGCTCATCCGGTACTGGTGCATCGTCTTGAGCGCCTTGCACACGCCTAAGAACAATTGCATGAGCCGCTTCTCGGGGAACTTTGTGTGGTTGACCAGATTCGCGTTGATCATGTCCTGCAGGTTTCCGCGGCGGTAGTACGGCAAGAGGATGTACACCGTCTTGGCGCTGGGGTCTGACTTGTCCGACGCGACGCTGTAGTCGATCGAGTGGATGATGTTTGGATGCGGCGAGAAGAGCGAGTAGGCTTCTACTTCTTTGAGGGCCTGCGAGACAGATTCCTGGCCGAAGGGGCAGCGGATCTTCTTGAGGGCGAAGAGCTGCTGGTTCGCATTGTCTTGGACGAGGTAGACGTAGGAGAAGCCACCCTGTGCGCAGTGTTAGAGCGGGTGTGGGCGGGGGACTCGCAGCGGGCGGGCTTGCTTACCTCCCCGAGCAGCCGGAGTATCTTGAAGTTGCGGCTGTTTATTTTCAGGTTCGGCGAGCCGGGAAAGCACACCATGCAGTTTGTGAACGAGTATATGACGTCGAGGAAGTAGGATTGTAACGACATGGCGGCGGTGGTGCGGAAGCTGTGCGTGCGAGTGTTGCTTGGTTCTGGACAGCTATGCGGAGCTGCTAATCGACCTCCGCGCGGGCGGAGACTCAAGGGATGCGCGACACCGGGAGGTCGGTGTGTGACAGGCGAGGCGAGGCGAAAGGTGCTGTGCTGGCAATTGAAATATCTCGGCGCGTGGAGAGGAAGTGTGATCGTTGTAAGCTCGAGTTGCGCAACGGCTGCGGCCAAGCAGAGAGGTGGTTCGTTGGATGCGCCAAGATGTGTGATGAATGTGGCTGTGTTTGTCAGCCACGCGTCGCGTCTTTGGGAACCTCACAACGAAGCGCATCCGCTTTCAAACGAGCAACACATGGGAATCTGCACCTAAGATTGGAGGTATGCGGCTGTCACGGACATGTGAGATCAGTGCAATGAGAGTCAAATCGGATGCCTGACCTATAGAGCTCAAACAACAAGAAATGCATGCTGCCTCAGTGGCGGTACTCCACATTGAGTCTGGACAAGTCCCAAGATTCCATCATAGTCTGAAGCACTTCATGGTCGAAATCAGGATGGAAACTCAGATGCGAATCGTGCTCTTGCAATGTGATGTGAGTCAACTGTGGCAACCCTGAAGACACTCCCTCCCGCCCGTTTAGGTCCTCAATGAACCCGTTGAGGGCCGCGCTGCTATCAGAATAGAACCTTCTGAGCTTTGCTGATCTTGTGGAGACGAACGAGATCTATTTCTTGGTATTAGCAAATGGCCAATAGATGAGCCTGGGGTGTTCAACTTACCGTGAGATCGCTGAGTTGGGGCGGAAGGAAGGTCTCAGCACCAATCTCTGATGCCGCAGCTCCTCGCTGGAACATGTATCGGAAGGGCATAGACATCTTCTTGACCGAGGAGAACTTCGAGAAGTTCGCTGTTCGTGGGAATGGTGAAAGCATGTTGCGACGAGTTTCTACGTGCAGCTCTTCCAGAGAGTCCTGGACCGCCTCAAGCAGCGGTATCAAGGCCGTCGGCTCCATTGTCGAAGTATAAGTGTCGTAAGACTCGAGCGTGAACCTCTTTAGGCACTTCGGCATCTGAAGCAGTAGTATGAGAGCTTCATAAGCCATTGTGCCTGGTGAGCCAACGCGAAGCTCCTTGAGGGACGACGTGCGATGCTTGCGAGCCGGAAGTTTGAACGATGAGAAGCGCCCTGAAGAGTCGTCTTGAAGCTCCCGCACGCGAATGAAATCAATGCTAGGAAGCTCCATGCATTTGCGCAGTTCGTGAGGCGCCATATTGTGTTGCCACTCCACCCTTCGGATCTGATCGTGCGCGTGTTCTCGTATCCATTTCAGCGGCAACGGTACACTGTAGTGCCACGCTTTGTAGTCGCGTGAAAGGTAGCAGAACTCTCGCAGATTCGTGAGCTGGCGCGTGATTTGATTGATGGCTTGTTGCTCTTCTGGCCAGTGGATGTCTTCTCGGAGAAGGTTGAGTTCCAGCCGATGCACATGAACAACGAGGTCTGGTCGGTCGAGCAACGTTCTCAGAAACATTTTGGTGCGCGAGCCACGGACGCTGTGGGATATAGAAGCGTTCCGGACGATAAAGCGCTGAGCGATGTCACGAAATAGCTGACAAGTCAAGGCGAGATTGCACAAATCGGTCCCTTGCGACTCCAGATGAGAGAAGATTACATAGACCAGATCCACACTCAGGTCGTTGAATCTGGCCATTCTTGTAGGTTTCGTTGAATCCATAGATAAGTAGAGAAGGGTTCGGCGCAAGAGCTTGGTATTGCACCAATGGCACGAGCGGAAGGGCCTTGACCAGCAACCGGGTCCAAGTGAAGTTTGCGAAGTCGGTTCTCGATTCTGGAGCCTTTGATGGAGCAATGATGTTTCATCGTCGCGCTGAAGGGTTAGTCGTTTGAATGGGGAAGTCGCGATCGTAAGTCCTTAGTCAGCCAGCGCTGCCCCTTTAGTCCTAGTGGCTCATCCTCACTGGATTTCCAGCATCGACCGATCGAAAACGTCAGTCGCCTCCACGATCTAACATCATCTAAAGATGCGCAGATGAATCCGATGCTGTTCATACTACGACTCTCTTCTATATATTCTCTACATCTTCTGATGGCTCTGTCCCGCTAAGCTTCGTGACGCTGACAGGAGGAATTTCTTCCGCTACTTCACTATGAACCCCTCTGCCCGATCGACAGTTTTATTTGATATATCATGCTACTTCGGCGCCGCGGAGAGGGTATACTGAAGTATGGATTGGTGCCCGGTAGCGCGCACTTAACGAATTTCCTACGTTCCTGACTGGGGGAAATCGATTTGTCGCCGCTAACAAAATTAGCCGCGGGTTGTAGATGGAAACCAATCTATTTGGAAGCTACTAACGTGAACTATCACTGCATTGCCCCGGTCTTGATTCGGACGATCTTGCAACGATCGCAAAAGCGCCGAAATGAGGAAGTATATAGTTGGAGTTGACCACTGGTCGATGCTGTCGTTCTCTGCACGTTCACTACCCTCAAGATGAAGCATTTCAGCGCCGCCGCTTTGTCTCTGGCATTATTGGAGGTTGCGCAAGCTGTCCGCTTCCTAGGCCGTGTTAATCCGGCCACGAGGGAGCTGACATGGGCGGGCACTGGAGTGGCCTTTAGCTTCAGTGGATCTTCAGCAACAATCGGCTTTGAGTCTGTGACTGGTATGATACCTGATGACTACCTTGCTCTTCAAAACCGGTGCGGCTAACCTTGGAAAATGAATGTAGGTGCAAACAGCGTCCTGCTTACTGTCGATGGAAAGTCCACTGTCATTGCGAATGTCAACACCTCAAGTATTTCTACGCCAGCCGGATTGGCCAACGGCCACCATACTGTTTTCCTACGAAAGCGGTCAGAAGCACTATTCGGGAGCATCTTTGTCGGAAACGTCACGACCGATGGCTCCTTTGGAAAAGATCCCAGATCCCACCGAAAAATCGAATTTATTGGGGACTCCATCACAGTCGGCTATGGCATGGATGGCGTTCTTCCTTGCACCAATACCGCTGAACTCGAAGACAACCCCAATACATATGCTGTGTTGGCGGCCAATTCTTTGAAAGCCGACTACGACATTGTCGCCTGGAGCGGCATAGGCCTCGTACGAAACACTGCCTACGGGTCCCCTGGCGGCCCAACAATGACGAGTCGTTGGACCAAATACGGTGCCCAGGACGCCGACAACAGTTATACCTTTCCCTCGAAAGAAACGCCCGACGCCGTTGTCATCGCTCTCGGCACTAACGACTTCAGTGTTGACAACAACAACCGCCCGATTCTTGACGTCGGTAATTTCACGTCGGCAACAGTGTCTTTCATCCGCACCGTCCAGACGCATTATCCCAAGGCGCAATTCTTCCTGGTCACGTCTCCCATGCTCGGCGATGGTTACCCTGCAGGAGAAGCACAGCACACTGCGCAAACAAAGGCTTTCACTGATGCGGCTGCCCGGTTGAACGGCACGAAGGTCCATGTTGTGGATTGGCCGACACAGGGATCGGATGTCGGATGTGACTACCATCCCAACATTGCTACTAATGCAGCGGAGGCGCCAATTCTGGCATCCGCAATTGCAGAAGCGCTTGGATGGTGATGTCAGGGTCGAAGAAGAGTAAATATATTTTGGTCACGCTATAGCATTCATCGATGCGAAGAATCTTCAAATCAATAAAATACTATTCGTACAATCGTGGAGATCCACAATAACTTTGGGGTTATAAGAGCGGGGTTAGTAATGTACTCCTCGCCATATACCTAATGCAGGCTGCTTCAACTTCTTAAACGTTAGCGCTTAGTCATATTGGGGCATCGCAGGGATTTCTAACATATCGGATCATTACGACCGAGCATCATACCCGTAAGTAGCAGGGACTGCCAAGATGACTGTGTAGAAACGTGCTTTGAGCCTCGCATTATGCTACCGTACGCTTTACGTTATAGACATGGTTTGGCTGGGATCTTCATACTGCTTTCGGTTCCAACGGCGCTTTGGACTGGAGATCCGTTGTTTTACTGGACTCGTTCTTCCGTGCATGTATCCCACCGGTCAACGTTAGAATGCAGGTCTCTACTATGTTGCATGCCCATACTCCTAATGCGTACCCCAAGCATAAGCTTAAGCCATATCTTGGCCCCACCATGACGCGTTCAACCTCATATACCCATCGAATGGCATTCCTGGAAGACTGATAGCTTTAGGCCTCCGTAAACATTCTACCTGAAGTGACACAGGACTGTGTCCACGTGGTCATACGACTGCAGTTTGTTTGGCTATACCATCCACTCTTTTCTTTTCGGTGGTATTCCAACGGACCCGAGTTGATCGACACATTTTGATCTCACTGCCGAAGTCCCGCGTTTGTTTGATTTTGAAAACAGGTGCAGTACCATGGGTATATAAGGAGCCTTAGCCAGCGTCCAGATTCAGCAACCAAACACAAAGCAACTAAATCTGCCGTACAAAGCCTTCTTCCCACAATTCGCTCCAATCACCGCAACCATGAAGATCGTTTTCACCGCCGTATTCGCTCTCTTTGCCACCGTCATGGCCGCTCCCTCCGTCGAGAACGTTGGCGCAGCCGAGAGTCTCGTTGAGAAACGCTGCCTCGGGGCAGGTGGTGAGTATTGTTTCTCCTCTTGAAAAACGGCCGCTCTTAGGCTGGCTACATGAATGAGATCTATATCTTTGGCCATGTCAGCTAACCGCCTTTCTCTGAGCAGCGGAGACCAGCAACTTCAACGACTGCTGCAGTGGGCAGGGATATGCGGACCGAGGTAAGTCGGGTTGAAATATCTGTGGTAGAAGTAAATGAATACTGACACTGATCATATAGGCTGCGCGTGCACTAGGTGCTTGTGATTGAGCGGTAGTACCCATTCGATTGATAAATGTGGGAAAGTGGTTGCGCCGAGGCTGCCTGGTGCCCTTTGGGATATCTAAACGCCGTGGAAATGTAATCACAGTACAACAAAACTTCGAATAACTCATCAGAGAATGTTTTATGCGCAACTGTACGTGGAAAATGCCATTGGGAAGGACGCCGTTCCTGTGATGGACGTTGCTTAGTCATTTGCACCTGCTCCACATCAACTGCAACCTCCTCTTCCTCCGTCCTCACCCCACAGTGAAGTTCAAATCTCTTCTCAAGATTCCAGCAACACCCATGAGTGCCTGATAAGCGAATTCCAGGCGCTTCTAAGCTGACGATGGTGCCGATCTGAGAATCTGTAGTTTGAGCTCTTGGGTTGTCTCACATCGCACACGCGGCGCAAGCTTGTGCGCGAGCGAGATTGTACTGCTTGACCGCATACACTGAGCTGACAGTCCCGGTTACGATGCTTACAATCGTCAGAAGTAGCACCATCGGACCGAGCCAGAACGTTGCCCATCCTCTCAGATCCCTTCGATCGCTGAGCAACTGCCACCAATTACGAGGCGGCTCGTTGAACACTTCGATCAAACCCGTGATCTGTGTCCGCCAAACGCGGTAGTCTGCGACTTTCAGACGGCGCTCCCGATTGCAGGTTCCCAAGCCGTACAATGATAGTTTGTTCTCCTTTCGGAGTAAATCCTTGGTCGGGCCGTGACCAAATGGAAAAAGCAGGTTGAGTGTATCTATGGTCTCATGCAAGAGGTCAACTGGGTAAGGTGAGTCGATTCCTTTGGTATGATTAAGCAGACAGATCTTATGTTCATAAACGGTCAAGACGCGATGGCGTTTGTCGAGCTGCAGGTGGTCCATCAGATTGGAAGTCCATGACAGTTTTACACCGCAAATTTCAACAAGGGCGGATGCAGTGAGGCTCGGATCCAGGTCTGGACCAAACAGAATGTCCATTTTATCAGCCGGATCTTCGAAAGTGAATTGTGATTGCACCGCTTCTCTAAGTGAGATTTCTGCTGGCCATTCGAGCATTCGATAATTAGTCTTCACGACCGCCATGATACTATCGACAAGTGCCACTCTGGTCGTCAACCAAATCCGAGCCGCAAGCTCAATGGTCCGAGTCAAGATGGATTCATCCACCCCTGGAAATCGTTCTTGGCAAATGGCTAAAACTTCGTGCCGCGGTGCGCTGACGTTGTTTCTGAGCAATGGAACTAAAGCAATAGCCCCATTTACACTATCAGTCGCGAACTGTCGTTGATTCTGCTCCATATAAGAGGACTCCTGGCTCAGATAGGCGAGGAACGCTGTATATTCCTTTTGTCGGAAGTTCTCGAGGGATAGTCCAGTGTTCGCCCATATTGTGTAGATGAGCTCTAGATTGGAAGCGCGTGTGGCGGCATGAAAATCTTCACGAACTGCCACAATGAATGGGCCACTTCGACTCATGGTATTCGCGTAATCTGCGGCGATGCCTGAAGAATGTGGAGGAAATACCGGAGGGTGCAATGTTAGGGAAGACGCTGGTGATTCTCCCTGAACATCGCCGGTGATCAAAATCGAAAGCAAAAATTGCGCCACTCTACCGGTAATGGTCAAGGTACAGCCACGTTCGCGCTGCGCCATCAGCGCGTGCAGACCGGTGAACGATTTTTTGCGGCGGGGTCGAAGCTTACTCAGTAAAATCGCGAACAAATGAGGACCAGTAAGTTTACGAGCTGCTTTATTTCACCATCTTCTCGACGTAGCCATCTCACTCACACTCTAAGATACGCTGTGCTCTTGATGAACATAGCAATGGCTCAAGTATCTGGCCATGGGCAACAGTCCACGACAAGTGAGCCTCTTCCGTCGCATTGTGGTTCTGATGAATCTGGGCCTCTTCACCCCCCACAATCAAATTGTAGAGCCTGAGAAGCTGTCCGGTTTATCGCTAGGAGAGGATACCAACAGCGACAATCATGTGGATTATCGGAGAACTGCACGGACCGAACGGCCATTAGTGTCAAACATCGCATCCGACGAAGATCCTGGACCTTATCAGAAAGGTTGCCCCAACCAGAGTTCTGCGTTGATCGATAGCAGTCCACAATCTCGCAAGCTTTTGGGTGACTGTAGACCTCCGAACTCAGGTCGCACAGAGAAACAACCATACGCTATCCATGTGGAGGTAGGGTCCCCAGACATCGACTTTTGGGACAACAAGGTGTACTTTAAACCGAAGAGATCCAAAGGGAAACTTTGTGTTGGGCGCACGAGGAAAATTACTTGTCCCCAACCCTTGCTGATCCAATGGGAGAAAGACATACTTCCCCGGTTGATGAAGGACCTCGCAGCGGTGTCAAGTTGGTCTTTACCGGACGAAACTTTCGAAGCTGAGCTGCGCATGGCCGGTTACGTAACTAAGAAAGACACGACTGTGGAACTCAAGCCAACGGTATGCATTCGTTGTACAAGTAAAACGTGTCGTAAGGAATTCGAGAAAGCTGTTAAAGACTTGGACTATCTGGTATCGTTCTGTTCGGGAGGAGTAGAGGTCAGGCTAGGAGCTCCGCACCTCGCTGCAACAGAAGCTGAAGCCCTGCCTTTGACGGCGGGCGCACAAAAGGAACTCCCAATCCAAGAAGAAAACAACATCAACCAAGTTCGGATGATTCAGCCATGGATCGACGGCGACTCTGCTTGCGGACTCAAACTGAAAATCAGCACCACAGTTAACGATACTGACATCGAGAGCATATCCACAATTGGTGGGCTGATCAAGGTCGACGGCAAAATATACGGGCTAACCACCGCACATGGAATGATCGCACCTCCGAAACTACCAGTCTCAAGACCTTATTCGTCTTGCTCTTCTCAAGTTTCGACGTCGGAACCGGATTCCGAATCAGAGTTAGATGACCCTATGGATCTCAATCATCCTCGTGCCAAAAAGGATATCGCAACAGTGCATATGCCGAGTCAATGGAATGACCTGTCTTTCGATGGACTTGCTTGCTTCTGCGGCCAAACTCAGCCGTTCGCGCCAGCGGATGACAAACTAGCATCTAATGATGCGGATTTTGCTCTGATCGAACTGGGATTATCATCGGAGCGTCTACTCTTCAATTCATACGAGATTCACGGTGAGCGTGAAGCCCACATCGATAGCAACATATACTCCAAAACAGCCATTCCAGGTCAGGTGTTTCTGTTACTCGACAACAACCCCAACAGCCCACCAATGAAGGGATATCTACTTCAGGGTTCGGCTAACTTGCGAAACAAGAATGGTGTCTTTTTCACCCAAAAAATCGAACTGGACAGACGCTTGCGTAAGTCCAGGATCAATGAGTATAGAATTTTCAGCTGATAGCAAACTTAGCCAAAGGAGTCTCTGGAACGTGGGTTATCCAAGAGAATCGTTTATGTGGGATTGTAGTGGCAGTGTACGAAAACGAGCCCTACGCTCATATGATCACTGTGGACAGAATGTTTCAGAACATTCGCGACATAGTGAAGACTAAAAGCGTTACTGTTGCCACAAAGAAAGACTTAGAAGGGGCCTACAAGAAATCTGAGCGACCAGAGTCGAAGCGCTCGGTTGGCAACGCGGGACAAAGCTCCCAACCCGCAGGAGACATGAGCAGCACTCCAATGCCAGTAAGCGCAGTGATCAATGCAAACACAGCGCCCCAACAAGCTCAGACGACTTCGGTTTCCTCGAGAACGAGTGATCATCCGTGGACATGGAGCCAGGAACATAGCGACTACTACAAGCCAGTGTACGGCGCAGATGGAAGATTAGTGAAATTTGTCTGGGGAAGAGCGACACTCTCTCAAACAACGTAAGTACCGCAGATACCGAGCTCATCTCATTCATCTAATACGTCTTGCAGTCATCCTCTTTCTCAGGTCTCAACAACATCGGATGCTTCTCAATGTGGACAAGCAACACCAGCAGAACCGCAAGCGCCTGCTTATTCCCCCATGCCACAATCTAGATTGCATCTCCCCTCTGGACAGTATGGACTTGAACAAACCGATAGATACGGACCAACCGCCCGAGCTCAACCAAGTCCACATCAACAACCCGCACAGTATCCATGGTCAATAATTCCACAAAGTCCACAAACCGCACAACACTACGAAGCTCCCTCGGGTCAGCCAAACTCGGGAGGTCCGTAGACCCCTGCAAACACCCCTTGATCAGGTTCAAACCCTCAGGAAAAACGGTAGCAAACTCTGGCCTATGATGGCTATTGTGTATAATAGGGTAGACGCTTAGAATCTCTTCTATCCAACATCTGGGTTCATGCACACTCGCACGTTGACGCTTTGACAGCCGCTCTGACAGCCGCTCCATCCCTCACTCCTTGCTCGCCATTTCGCATCCCACAAGTAACCAGAAGACTGCTGACCGTTTCGCGCAACGGAAGAGAAGACCCTCGCAAGAGCATTCCAGCGCATCCCCAAGCATATGCCACCGCAGTGCCGCCCACATGCTCGCCTCCCACGAACCCACGACACGCTACCGCGCGGGGAGAAAGAACCCATACGTAGACTGGATGAGACTCCGCCGAGCGAATGCAACAGCCAATCGACGGGCGCGACGTCGGTGGACCCCGAGAGGAGCATGGCCACTGACTTGCGACCCCACCGGCCCGCTGCTACATACCCCACCCCACACTCTGCACTCACGCGCAACGCAACGCAACGCAACGCAGCACATGCACCTGTTCAGGTCGGCAATGTCGCTATGCAACCCTCCCTCTCCGCCTGCTCTCCGCACTCACGAGCAGCCGAGCTCAACCCCCCTCCACCCATCTGCCCAACATGATGCTCCCCCTTCGCATAACCCGTTGCACACTCCACACCTACCCGCTCATTAGCTGGCGGGTCTCGAGTCAACTCATCTCACCTCAGCTCCAACTCACACAAGCAAGGCAGTCACGTCGTACAGTCTCACCCCCCTCGCTTGCCGTCTCACGCATCACTTCGCTTTGACCTCACAGACGTCGAACATGAAAGTGCAGGTACTCGAAAATAGTGCATTACCCTCGAAACCCTCATCTGAGTCCTCATATACACCTATAAAATCGTAAAGATAGGACGGCCGTCCGCAGTTAGCGCGTGACCAAATATCACACCTTCCTCCTTCCAGAGCGAGGTAAACAAACAACAAATTGAACCGGATATCTTTTTCCCGGCCCATTCCAAAAGAGCAACGCCAGTTCCGTTTCCCAAAGGCGACCGATCCTCCAGACATAGAAGATAGATAGATGGGTGAATAGTGATTATGTGCATCTCCCGAGAAGCGTGGTTCGTAACGTACCCGTCTCGCAAGACAAAAAAGATATATACAGTGGAAGTAATAAAGTAGAATCGTCACAGCCGTCTTTTTGTGCAGCATTGCTGGCGAGTGCATGTTGTTATATCCACGCCATGGGCGCCGGCTGCGCGACGCTGCCGAACCTTGACGCGAACAGCGGCTGGATCTCGGCGAGGTAGTCGGCAGCGCAGAACGACGCGAGGTTGCGCTCGCGAATGACGGCGAGGTCGGCGGCCATTTCGGCGTCGCGGACGACGCCGTTGAATTCCTCGGCGACTTCGTTGAGCTGCTCGAGTTCCGCGCCGAACGGATGCGTCTCCTCCTTGATAGATGCGTTGAACATGTCGACCGAGGCGCGGTGCTCGCGCGAGGACCGGGTGCGCGAGATGTTCTGCAGGGACCGCTTCTGTGCGAGGCGCTCGTGTGCCCGCTTACTGTGGGACAGGGCGCGCTCCGGGATCGCCGGGACAGCTGGCTCCTCGTCGACGTGCTCCTTCAGCTGCTGGAGGTTGCCCGAGGATGCGGACTTGCGGACGTTCTTGTTGGCAGCAGCGAAGTAGCCGGTGAGGTGGTTCGGTGTTGGCGAGGTGGGCGACGACGAGCTCACTGACGAGGCGTCTGTCAAAGTGTCGCGCGAGGCGTGCGACGACGCCCTCGAGCGTGTCGAGCTGCTGTGATCCGAGTCTTCGGCCGAATGTGTTGAGATGGACGACGACGAGGGCGTCTTGATGGGCACGATGTCCGGGGCGTTGTAGCTGAGCATATTTGTTGTCGAGACGAGAGCAACAGGTGCGGAAATTTTGGCGCGGTCAATGGTGAGGCCGGGGTTCTTTACACTCTGGCTGCGAGACATGGTGGGGGTGGAGGGGACGGCATCGTTGGAGGGCCGCTTCATACGCTTCGTAAAGCTGCGGGCAAGAGACATGGTGGGGAGTTAATCCGGGCGAGATTTACTTTTAATCAACTACGGTAGAGAGGCCAGATGGAGTCGGTATAAGGGCCGGGGATCCTTTTGCGGCAAGTCAGAAATGGGGTCGCTTCTCCGATAAGGTGTGGTGCGGGGGGATGGTCGCGGATAAATTGGCGCAAAGCCTGGGCCGCGAGAGGAAGGAGCAGGGCGTTGGCGTGATGCAGCAAGACAGCTGACTTGGTGGCACTCTCGAGTGTTGCAGCGCTGTGCGAGGCGTGTGAGAAGGGCTGGTGACAATTGCCTGGTGGTTTCCAGCGGAGCGCGTGTGCGCTGTTGGTGCAACCCGGTGATGGAGGCGGACTGGGCCTGTGGTACGGGCAGTTGCAGGTCGCGGCGGCAGTGGCGCAGAGCTGGCCTGACGGTGCAGTCCGAGGTCGTGCAGTCGCAAGTCAGAAAACGCAAGTCGATATGTGATGGATTTCGGGGTTTTGGGTGTGGTCCTCGGGATGCTGGCTCGCAGCACGTGAAGGGTGAATGTTTGTGAGTTTGGGGAGAAGCAAGGGTCTGTCAAAGAGCGTGAGGTCCAGCGTCAAAAGGAGCGTACACCGGGTCGCGAGAGGGAGTGAAGTCTGCCGTAGGGCACGCAAGAGCAACGAAGCAAGGCGAAGGGAAGGGAGGGTGAGTGAGGAGCGCGACTCTGTCGAGCGAACGAGGCGAGCAGGGAGGGCGTTGTTGAAAAACCAGCAGCTTGGGCAGGAGCCCTGCATCGTGGTGCGCGCTGCTGTGGTAGGCTAAGCCGGCCGCGCCTTCTGGGTGCAGAGATTGGCAGGACGGCTCGTGGGCAGGCGCAGGGAACAGGCCGCCATGGCCCGGCCGTCCCCGGCTTCGCTGCAGTGCAAACGCCCACGGCGAGCCCAGCCCGCGCTGCGTTTGCAGAGCGCAGCGAATCGCGGCGCCCGCAGCCAGCCAGCGTGTCAGAGAGCAGCAGGGGCCGCCTCGCCAGGCGGGCCAGCTCCCCCATCCGCATGGCCATCTGAGATGACGGCTGTTTCGACGCGCCCCAAAGCAGCGCGCCCGCCTCTTCACGTAGATGGCATGGCTTGTCGCCGTTCCTTTTGGTCTTGATGGGGCGGCCGCGGCGAGTAGACCTGCCGCTTTCTGAGCGTCGCCGTGGGATTAATTCTCCGGCCGCAAGGGACGATTCTCTGAGTAAGCCGGGCGAAGGCGAGCCTGACTTGGGATGGACGGCGCTGGCGCTGGCGCAGGCACAGCACTGGGTGGCGTAGCCAGCGCGCCTCCATCCACGCCAGTTCGTGGGCGCCAAATGGCCCATCTTCACTCGTCTGCGCCGCTCTCCATCCCTCGCAGACGAGCTGGAGCTTGGTCGACCTCGCCCGCTGGCCTCGCGCTGGACCGTCGACATACCCACGCCGTGCTTCGCTTCGCTTTGTTTCTTCGCGCCGCGCCCGCCGTTTCGAAACGACCTGCAGCGTCAAAGAAACGTTGGGACGCGAGTCGCGGATCGTCGTGTTCGCGTGTCTGCAGCGAGCGAACGAGCGCGCGCAGGGCGATCAAAAGCGGACGAGCGCGCCATCCGTGGTCGACGTTCCGCTCTTCGCTCCAGGAACAATCAACTTCTCGACCGTGCTAGCGGGCGGCCGACCAAGATCATCGCAAAGTAGTTCGAGCCGAGATTTAGTGTGCGGGCGGAAGCGGTTGGCTGGTCTGATGGGGCGTTGCGCTGCCGTGGGCAGGACACCTTGGGTTGGGGTGTGTGTTGTTTTGATGAAGTGTCAATGCCGCGTGCAGATAATTACATTCAGACGTGGCCATGTGGGCGCTCCTCGTGGCTTCTGGAATGCTGCGAGGTACAATAAATGACGTCTGACAGCTGGCATGCAGGCGGCAGTGGATTCTGCAATGGCAGCGTCAGTCAACGTGCGACTCGCGAGCCATGGGACTATTGCGTCGCGCCCGCGAGTCGAGCTTCGGCGCGTCACATTGTCTTTGACTTGCCCATCACATCGCATATGCACATCGTTGCTACCTTCAAAGGAGTCATGTTCGCCTTTGTCTGTCTCCGTCCCGATTCCTGAGTCTACGACAAGTACTGCATGCTTAGCCCACACGCCCCGTCTCTTGCACGCGAGTCTTGCAGCCTAATTCCATCCAAACTATGTCATAAATTGCACACCCAGTTGCAAAGCCCCCTCGTTGCACATTTAGAGTCGCGAACAATGAAAGCCGCACCGAGTATATTGCCCTGTGTAGCCCACACCCATGCATCCCCGGCCTGCGCTACGTAAGCACGCACCGTGCGCTGCGATCCTGCCTGTTAATGCTTTGTGCTGCTATTTACGGCGCACTCGGTTGTTTGAGATCCTTTGGTGAGGGGACGTGTGGGAACCGTCGACAAAAATATTGTTGTTGACGGCCTATAGTTGTCGGTTGAGGATCCTCTGGACGGGGCTGCCGTGAAGCTGCATTGCATGCGGCTGATGCGAGACCGGTGCAGGTTCGACGTGGTGCAGCAGCATTGCGTGGAATAACGCTGTGCTACGACACCACACGACATGAACTTCTGAAGCACCGCATCAGGGTCTCGCGCAGCTACGACACAACAACGTAGGACAAACGTATGGAATTGGGTATCGCAGGCTGTTCTGTACTCGCACCCGGCACATCTATTCCTCCATGGACTCGTACCCCTTCTCGCCGCCATCATCCTCGTCCCCGCTTTCTCCCTCCTCGGAATCAGAGTCCGTCTCAGCCTCATCCAGCCCTACGATCTTCTCCTTCCCGTCGCCCTTGATCTGCGGCACTTTGCTTGCAAACGCGGCGCGCACCGCGGCGTTGGTCGACGTGTCCCAGATCTGCACCGCGCCTTTGCTTCCGGCCACGGAGAGCCGGAAGCCGACCTCCTTGTCGGGCGCGAACGTCGTCGAGAAGACCTTGCCGACGCCAAGGTCGCGCGAGACGACCATGGAGGGGCCCGACTCCTGGATGTTCCACAGCTTCACCTGCTTGTCTGTCGAGCCGGTTGCGAGGAATCCCGGTATGACGGGGTTGATGTCGAACGACGAGATGGACTCGTCGTGGGCTTGGAGCACCCAGACAGCCTTTGACTGAGAGGGGTCGGCCGGCGCGTTGCGTGCGTCGTGGTAGTGGATCATGCCATTCTCGGTGGACACGTAGAAGTAGTGTGAGTCGTGGGGGTTCCAGCGGACCATCTCGACGTCACTCTCAACGCCCCAGCGCGGCGCTTTTGCGTCGGGCGCGCGCATATCTGCTGCTACAATGGTACGGTCGTAGCTGCCGCTGAGCAGCACTGTCGACTCTGTCGGGTTCCAAGACACGGAACAGACCTTGTCCGTGTGGTACGTGTATGACTTTGCGCACTTGGTCGTGTTCAAGTCCCATAGCTTGATGGTCTTGTCGGCGGACGATGATGCGAGCAGATTTCTGTGGTGGCGGTTCGCAGCAAGTGAGAGAACAGAGTCAACGTGGAATTCGTCATTGGCCTTCTTCGACTTCTTCTTCTTCTTTTTCTTCAGCTTGTCTGCGTCCTCTGAGCCTTGTCCCAGGATAGCGTCTGGGTACATGCTGTCGACCAGGTCGAGATTCCAGATCTCAATGTCCGGGTCCATGGTGCCAACAGCGACGAAATTGCCCTTCGCGTCGGCTCCTGCGCCAGTCTTTCCAACCGGCAGGTCCAGCCATTCGACTGCCAGCGGGATCGCGGGCAGCATGATGTCGTGGTGAACGTAGATATTGTCCGCTTCATCTTCGTACACGTATACTTCCAGATGCGCAACCTCGTCTTCTATTCTTCCCGCCAGCACCAGATTGTCTGTGGCCAGGATCTGCAGCTCCTCCCGCTCCTCGTCCTCTTCTTCTGCATTGCCCTCCATGGTGATGTACGGGTCCTCTTCGTCGTTCTCGTGGAACACCAGGTTCTTCATGTTGCCGAACATGGCCATGGTGTCGCCGGCGCCTTCCTGGTCGTCATCGTCGTAGTGCTCGAGGTCGTACTCTTTGAGGTCGTCGTCGATTTCGCTGCGAGCATTAGCTTTGTGCAAGGAGGCATGGCCAGAGCGCGTACTCTGTGTCGGGCTCCTTGGCCGTGCCATTGCTGCCGTTGGTCTCCTTGCGCTTCTTTTCCCCTTGTGCCTCTTCTAGGTCTTCCTTTGCATCGTCGAGCTGGAGCTTCGCAAGCTTGGAGATGCGGTCGTACTCGTCCTCGTCGAAGACATATTTAGACGGAAAGGGCGCCGCAAAGCCGCGCGGCACCCAGGTTGTCGCTGTGATCATAGACATGCCGGGTATAGCTTGATGTGCAAAGCATTCGTGCGTAGACAAGCGTGGGGAAGAATTTCAACGTGAACTTTTTGGCGCGGCGGGGCTGTGGCTGTGGTGGCGCAACCTCCGCAGCTCCTCCGAAATTTGTAGAGCGACCACCACCACACCAACCCCTTCCACCACCGCCCGCTGCAATTCCACCAACGCCCGCTGCAATTGCCTCTGACCACGCACCAGAACCTCCTCTGAGTCATACCAGGCTGCTCTATCCTGGAATCTGCTTCTCCGCAAGCATCGCCCGCATCCCGCCCGCCATGGACCGAGGTCACAGCCCGAAACGTCGCAAGCTCGACACAGAGGAGTTCTCGATAGCGCCCCGGCCCAGATTCCAGAAGCGCATGCACAGAGACTCACCCGCATCCTCGCAACCGCACACGCCGAGGCCCCGTGACGATGGCAGCACGCCCCACCAGAAGTCGTTCGAGGGGCCCGAAGCCATGGTGGACGACTTTGACTCGATGCAGCTGGATCGCGACTGGTACGGCGGCGAAGAGAACGGACACACCTTCGGCGACGACACACACAACCCTTTCGGCGGGGCAGAGAGCTCTTGGCAAGACGCGCAGAGAGAGGCTGCGCTCACTGAGAAGAAGCAGAACAGCCGGGCAAGCGCAAGAGCGGTGCAGAAGCAAAAGGATGTAGACGCTTGGGAGACGAATCGCATGCTGCAGTCTGGTGTGGCACAGCGAAGAACATTTGACACCGATTTCGACGATGACAACGAATCGACCAGAGTTCACATTCTGGTCCACGACTTGAAGCCACCATTTTTGGACGGGAAAAAGGTGTTCACCAAGCAAATTGACCCTGTCCCGGCAGTTCGTGACCCTCAAAGCGATATGGCTGTATTCAGCCGAAGAGGAAGCAGAGTGGTCAAGGAGAAAAGGCAGCAGAAAGAGAGAACCAAGCAGGCACAAGAAGCTACAAATGTCAAGGGCACAACACTGGGCAATATCATGGGTGTCAAAGAAGACGATGCTGACAGTGCAGCTCCTGCTCCTGGCGTAGAAGAGGGAGAGAACAAGGGCGGCAACAAGTTTGCCCAGCATCTCAAAAGCAATCAAGGTCAGTCAGCCTTCAGTAAGAGCAAGACTTTGAGAGAGCAGCGCCAGTATCTCCCTGCATTCGCGGTGCGGGAAGACTTGCTCCGTGTCATACGCGACAACCAGGTCATCATTGTTGTCGGTCAGACAGGCTCCGGAAAGACCACGCAGCTCACCCAATTTCTCCACGAAGACGGATATGCGGACCATGGCCTGATTGGTTGCACTCAACCGCGACGTGTCGCTGCCATGAGCGTTGCCAAACGCGTGAGCGAAGAGATGGAGGTGAAGCTGGGCGGCCTGGTCGGTTATGCCATTCGATTTGAGGACTGTACGAGCAAGGACACAAAGATCAAGTACATGACCGACGGTGTACTGCTGCGAGAGTCACTGAACGAGCCTGATCTCGACCGATATTCCTGTATCATCATGGACGAAGCACACGAGCGCGCCCTTAACACCGACGTGCTCATGGGCTTGATCAAGAAGGTCTTGGCCAGGAGAAGGGACCTGAAGCTGATCGTCACATCTGCCACCATGAACTCGGAGCGTTTCTCGCGATTTTACGGTGGAGCGCCCGAGTTCATCATTCCTGGACGTACCTTCCCCGTCGACATACAGTACTCAAGGTCTCCGTGCGAGGACTACGTCGACAGCGCCGTGAAGCAGGTCTTGGCTATCCACGTATCTCAAGGCCCTGGGGATATCTTGGTCTTCATGACCGGTCAAGAAGACATCGAGATCACCTGCGAGCTTGTTGCGGAAAGGCTGAAGCTCCTGAATGACCCGCCCAAGCTGAGCATCCTACCCATCTACAGTCAAATGCCTGCAGACCTACAAGCCAAAATCTTCGAACAGGCTGCCCCTGGCGTTCGCAAGGTCATTGTTGCAACCAATATCGCAGAAACAAGTTTGACCGTGGACGGTATAATGTACGTGGTGGACTCGGGCTTCTCGAAACTCAAAGTGTACAACCCAAAGATGGGTATGGACACTCTCCAGATAACGCCAATCTCACAAGCAAATGCTTCGCAGAGAGCTGGGAGAGCTGGCCGCACAGGACCAGGAAAGTGCTTTCACCTGTATACCGAAAGAGCGTTCCGCGACGAGTTCTACATCCAGACAATCCCAGAAATCCAGCGCACCAACCTTGCCAATACAGTTCTTCTACTCAAGTCGCTGGGAGTCAAGGATCTTCTCGACTTTGACTTCATGGATCCCCCTCCCCAAGACACCATCACCACATCCCTGTTCGATCTTTGGGCGTTGGGTGCGCTCGATAATATCGGTGATCTCACACCCCTGGGTCGCACGATGACCGCCTTCCCGATGGATCCCTCTCTCGCCAAACTCATCATAACAGCCGTGGAGTATGAGTGCAGCGAAGAAATGCTGACCATTGTCTCCATGCTGTCCGTCCCGAGCGTTTTCTACCGCCCCAAGGAGCGCCAAGAAGAATCCGATGCCGCGCGCGAAAAGTTTTTCGTCCCGGAGTCCGACCACCTCACCCTCCTACACGTCTACACGCAGTGGAAAGTCAACGGCTTCTCCGATGGCTGGTGCATCCGGCACTTCCTGCACCCGAAGGCGTTGCGCCGCGCCAAGGAAATCCGCGACCAGCTCCTCGACATCATGAAAATGCAGAAGATGGCGCTGACATCCTGCGGCACTGACTGGGACGTCATCCGCAAGTGCATCTGCAGCGGGTACTACCACCAGGCGGCCAAGGTCAAGGGCATCGGCGAATACATCAACCTCCGCACCAGCGTCACCATCCAGCTGCATCCTACCTCTGCGCTGTACGGGCTGGGCTATTTGCCAGACTACGTCGTCTATCACGAACTCATCCTCACGAGTAAGGAGTACATGTCATGCGTTACGAGCGTGGATCCGCACTGGCTGGCGGACTTGGGCGCGGTATTTTACAGCGTTAAGGAGAAGGGGTATTCGGCGCGAGATAAGCGGATTACGGAGACCGAGTTCAATCGCAAGGCGGAGCTGGAGGCGAAGATGGCGGAGGATAAGGAGCGGGAGGAGAGGAGATTGAAGGAGGAAGAGGCGGGGCCGGTGCTCAAGCGGCCAGGGGTGGGCGCGAAGAAAGCGGTTGTGGATGGGGTGGTGAAGAAGCCTCTTATTGGGAAAAAGCGGAGGGGCTTCTAGGGGGTTTGAGCATTCAGGCTGAGGGATGTGGGAGCAAGGGGTTTGAATGATACCCAGGTAGTGCCAACACTGTGTCAAGTACGTGAAGGTCTCGTGATGGTGGTGCTTGTCATCATTTGCGCCTGTTCCGCTGTGATTACAACCGCCAGACGTCTTCGAGTCCACTTAGGCACCTCCACCGCCCACACCACTCTTACTATTAGCCTTTCTGGTCCACTCCCAGTCCCACCGCCCACATGGTCGACTACAAAACCCTTTTACAGTAATACCCCACTTCCACTGCCCACTCCATCACCGCCGTTCTCACAGGCTCAAAAATAATCGCAAACGTCATTTCAGGACCTCGTACTGTGTTTGAGTCTCCAGAAAGTCCCAGCACGCACATTGGCGGTCGCTAGGAGACTTTTGAGACATGCGATGGGTAGCTGCCAGTTTTAGACCACAGGCAACCTACAAAGGAATGTGGACAAGACGATCGAGGCAAAGCAAGAGGTTTTGGATCGCCCCTCTTGACCTAGGAGCTGTTGGATTGAGATGGTGAACTTCGTCATCACCTGAGCATCCAGAAAGACGCAGCCGAACGGTACTCTAGCAATAGGACCATGTTTCAGTCCACAAGACACCTCCACACATGTAAACCGGAAACCGCAGTCCTCGCCCAGAGCAGGAGTGCCGTAAGGCCCACCACCTCTGCCGCTAGTCCTAGCTCATGATACGAGCTTTCAGTATTTCGTCCGCGAAAGCGCGGTCACAATCAACATTCTGACCTTGGTAGAATGTTTGGTAACGCCAATAGCATCGGACATGCTCCAAATTACTGTCGAAGGCGACACCCCCAGCAGAGCACAAAGCACGCATGGAGAGATAGGTTATCAATTAATTTTGAGGAACGCAGGAGGACTTTGCGTGAAATTTTGGCCTGCAAAGTAACCGCGAAGATGATAGGGGAAAGAGACACGCAGAGTGAGGGGTGATTATATGGCGTGATTCACATGAACACAATCCTCACGCCCTTGATCCTTGAGCCCGAATACGGATTGAAGAAGTTCCTCTGAACGTCAAGGTCCTCGCGTTCCGGCTGGCATAACTTCATTCCCGTGCCCTCGACCCCAGCCCATATTCTCACCAACATTGCCAGCGAGTAGACAATCTCAGCTCGAGCAAGGTCTTTACTCAAACAGATCCGACTGCCCTTCGAGAAGTTCACGAGATACCTCTTGAGATGATCTGCCCCCGCTCGAGCCATCGCTCAGGTTGAGGTTCGTCGGGCGACTCGAGGAGCAAAGGATCCATGTGCACGAGCCAAGAATGACATATCCACCGGCGTGCCAATAGGGATCGTAATAGTGGTGTTGGGCACATGTAGACCTTCTGTTGGGGCTATGCGTGTCAATCTCGTGATGATACCGTGGTTAAGGAGAAAGCCTTCATTGATGACCGCGTTGAAAGGTGATATGTCGGATAGATCCGGCATGACTGTTCTGAGCTCTGTTTGCAGGCGTGAAAGAATGAGCGGATTAGCCGGGGGGTGATAGGCCGTTTTGGTGTGCAGTCGTCGTTGCTCCGGCCATCATGACGGAGATACCCTCTGCTAGAAGGCGCTGTGGTGTTCTTTCGCCTGCCGGGAGATCACTCTTCAAGAGTTTGTGGATAACCGTCGGCGAACATCGCCAGTCTGATCGGTTTTTTTTTTTCGTTAGAGACCGCATTGTCAAGACTGTTCTTGACGTCCTATCATGCGGAATCAATACTACACCTAAAATTCGCGGGAATGCTAACCTCTGCAAAAGAAGCCGCGTTTGACATCTGGGATTTGAGTTTGAGCAACAGTGTCTTCGGAAATAGCCTTAAAAAATGCACCAGTCCAGGCAGCTGTTTTATCAGAGATGTCTGTTCGATGGCGCCTTTGAGCAGATCGTACCACTCTGGAGCGAAGCTATCGCCTTTGAGGGAACCATTGCTTACGCCGAATCCATAATGGGTGGTAATGTCCGTCATTGCTGCGGTAAAAGCGTCATCGAGGCAGACTATGCACCCGACTGCCCACATCTCTCGAATTTCTGGCTGAGCAACTCCAATTTCGCGCGAATCACATGGTCGAACTGCCGGATCGCACTCAGCGTAAGAGAAGGCGCAACTGCCGCTCGTCTGTTCCGGTGCAGGGAATCCTCGATCGTCGTCCATGAAGATCCGCTGAGCAATGAAAGATTGTACGCCCATGCCCATTGATCTCTCTTCATTGGTGTGCCTGTGTACAGTTCGTCGTATAATGCAGGCTCAGAGACGTGCAGTTCGTGAGGGGTGACGCGTATGACCGGCCCATAGACTTCGTGCATGCGCTTGATCTCCCAGGCATAGCGTAAACGCTTGATGATGTCGAATTAGAATTCATAGCACTGTGGTACTGCTGCAAGTAGACGCGGTACAGAGTGAGGATAACGCCGTACGTGATGTAGATGGAAAGAAATATGGCAACGGCTTCAGTGTTGACAGCTGGCTAGATATTGCAGAGAACAACATCGTGACTATGAATGAAGGTAGAAGCGTTGCCAGGCTGATGGCGGTAAGCCTTGTCGTGGTCATACACAGCGTGTTATTTGCATTGCGCTAAGTGCGTTATCTTCATTGGTTGTTGTCCCCATATTGCGTTATCAATGCCGCTACCCAGTCGCCGCAAGACACTGCGTATCTTGTTCGCGATTTATCTCGAAAGACAAGTTCTGTAGATGCGCAGCTTTTGACAACTAAATGCGACAATTCCAACAATCGATCGGAACACACAACCAAGAAGCGACAAAGCAACACAAGAGTTCTCTACTTTCATTGCAATCTTGGTAAAGCCGTTATAGTACTGGGTAAAAAGACATGTCACGCTGTCACAGTGCCCTCCTTCAGTGTCGTGTAATTCCTCTTCGTATTCCAAATTCTCCACTCACCCGCATTAATTGGCTCATACTTCTTCACCTCTCCCTCTTCCTTTACGATAGGATCGATGAGAACGTCAGCATCCGGATGTATGAAGAACGGAATCGAGTACCGCGACGGAAGGATATCGCCAGCAACAGTGGGGCTTACTACCCTGTGCATGGTGCTGCGACAGCGGCCATTAGTCAACCGCTGTAAGAGATCCGCTATATTAATCAAGACAGTTCCTTGCTTAGGTACGGCAGGTTTAAAATCGCCCGTGTGGAATGGATCGACCTCGAGCCCGCCCACATTGTCTTGGAATAGCAGCGTGCACAAACCAAAGTCTGTGTGAGGGATGATCCTCGCGTGGCCCTCTTGCTCAATTATATTGCGCTCGATGGATGGGTAATGAATGAGACGTAGCTGCGGGTCTGCTTTCTTCGTGATGTTGTCGAAGAAAGTTTCGCCTAGATCCATGGCCATGGCGAGACATTTTAGCACATTGAGTGCGAGGGTAAGACACTCGCCGTAGAAATCGTCCAGAGTGTCCTTGAACCCCGGCAGCTCGCTCGATGAAGGGCATAGAGGATTGGCAAAGCGTCGATGCTCGTAGCACTCTTTGTGGTCCACACCCCCATTGGCTTCATCTCCATCGGCAGTATAGCCTTGGTTTACTTCTGCATCAGTGAGACGCCATCTCAACTTCTCTTGTAAAGGAAGATCAAAGAAGGACTTCGCCTACACGTCGTAAGGATCTGTGCATGGAAGTTGACATTGGTTATGCACGTACAAGACCGAAAACTTCATCGACGCGCGAGACACCGTGATCGGATAAATATACCCAGCCTACGCTACTGAACGCGTCGTAGACTTCCTTGGCGACTGCTTGCCTATCTGCATCATTCCCATAGACGAAGCGATCAAACGAAATGACAGCAATGTTCGCAGCTTCGGGCATTTGGACGGCGGCTTTGCGTCAAGGAATAATTGGAAAGTTGGGTAAAACCGGTGACCATCTGCCAATGGCTCGAAATTTGCAGTTTAGCGTCTGGTCATGAACAGAGACCTCGGGAGATACCTGCGATTTCTCAATCTGATATGTGATCTGTCGGAAGTGGAGGCTGGATGCCGGTAATCATATTCCTCGACGCCATGAGATCACGAGTTAGATAACTCGCCACCAAAAGTGGGATTGACTGAGTTCGGCCGCACGAGGCTGGATCATCCCCGCATTTTGCCGCGTCAATACCCCATTTCTCAGCTGGTGTGAGTCCGATCAGTTATAATATACGTGATGCAGCTAGAGATTGATTCATTGTGTTTGCATTGCCTCCTGTTGTCAGAGACGCAGAGCGAGTGCCGATCAGCGGTCGCGTCAACGTGCAGGACGAGACGCAATTTCCGACCAGGATCAACAGCTACCTTCCCTTAACAGTCGTACTACGCTACGCGACGCGACAGTTTTTTCCGAAGGATAACTAGTCACGGAAGCAACCCTTGCGATAGCGCGGACACGAAATAGTCGCTCCTGTATCTATAGGGCGCAGGGCTTTGGGAAAGTGGGGAAAGGTCAGGAATTCTTGGAAGTACTTCATCACCCACATTCATCTCACGACTACCCATCGTGAGATCGCATCTCCTTCAACCAACCAAGCATTACCTTATAGCACGCGCGGAACCAGTCTGATAGAGAACACTTCTGCCTTTATCGCTCTCTTCGTTGTCTTGGACGACCCTAACCATGACTGAAGGCAAAGTGTCGAGGCTAGTGCCTCGTAATCAGAAGGTGCTCTTGGCTTGCATTATAGCCACCAGTGTAATAGATTCTGTGGTGAGTGACGCTCGAACACGATAGAGCTATATGGCTTACACAGAGGCAGCTGGTCGGATTCGACTCTTCACTCATGGGATCTTTCAATGTGATGCCCTCATATAGCAACTACTTCGAGCTTACGACAGCCACGAAAAGTCTGAACACAGCTATTAGCTATATGGGAGGCGCCTTAATGGCTCTGTTTGCTGGTTCAATCGTCGACTGGCGAGGACGAAAAGAGTGTGTCTTCTGGTCTGCAGTCATAACGATGGTCGGAGGCATCATCCAAGGCGCTGCCCAGAATATCGGCATGTTTATCGCAGGCCGTTTCATCGTTGGATTCGGATTGGGTCTCGCACAAGTATCGACACCGACATTGGTTGCAGAGACAGCACCTGTGCAATGGAGAGGCTTCGCTTTGGGTTTGTACTATGCGTTCTGGGGTGTAGGCACGCTGATCGCTAGTGGAGTCTGCTATGGTGTAAGCACTTGTCTACCAAGATAAGAACAGATACTCACGCAATCTAGACTCAAAACCTATCTTCGACATGGGCATGGCGCATCCCGTCCCTACTTCAAGCTGGTCCCTCTATCTGCTGCATGATCATCCTGCTATTCATCCCTGAGTCACCGCGTTGGCTGATCAGTCGTGGACGACATGAAGAAGCTCTGGAGGTTCTTGCCATCGCCAATACAGGCGGTGATGTCGCCTCCCCTATCGTACAAGTCCAGTTCAAGGAAATCGAAGACACCCTCCGATGGGAGAGGGAGCGCGAGCTGTCTATGCTGAAGGCATTGACTCAACCTACCAGCAGGAAACGCCTCTTGATCACCTCAACTTTCTCCATCATGGTCATGCTCCCGGGTACAAACATTGTTACCTTCTACTTTGGTGACATGCTGTCCAGCGCTGGTATTAGCGACCCGACGACGCAGTTGCAAATCAACGTCATCCTCACATCGTGGACGCTGGTAGTTGCCGTCACTGCATCGTTCTTCGCGGACACACTGGGCCGCAGGACCTTGTGCGCGGCCTCACTCACAGCCGGGATTGTCACGCTGTATGCCCTGGCCGGACTAACGGCCAAGTATGGTACTTCGGGCTATGCACCCGGCGTATATGGGACCATCGCTATGATCTTCCTCTACAATGCATCATATGCATGGGGTGTTACACCGTTGACGGTTTTGTACCCACCTGAGGTACTTTCTTACGATATTCGTGCCGTTGGCATGGGCATCTATACCTTTACTACCAAGCTTTGCGGCTTGTTCGTGACTCTAGTAGTCCCATTCGGGCTCGCCGCAATTGGCTGGAAAGTTTACATCATCAATGCCTCGGTCGATATCCTGATGGTTTTGTTTGTGCTTGTATTTTGGGTAGAGACCAGGGGACTTACTTTAGAAGAGGTAGACAAGATGTTCGACGGTGAGAAGCATTCGGATGTCCCGGACCTGGAAGCCATCAAGGAAGGGAAGATGATGGATATTGAAGGAGTTGATGCTGCGTCGGTAACTCAGCAGCAGGTTGACATGATTGAGAAGCGGGTTTAAGTGAGACATTCGTCTTGAGGGCATGCTGGAGTCTATCATCTGGCCACTACGTTGCAACACTTTCATGAGAGCAGTCGCGCAAGAAAGTGAGAAAGTGAGAAATGTGTTCCCAAGTTCCCAAGTATGCTCTTTTCTGTTGTCACTCGGTGTACATTCACTCGTCCAAGTCAGTCTCCTCTACTTCTCCGCCCCGCCATCCACGCTTTTCACCAAATCCTCAAAGATGCCACTGAACGAATGATAGTACTCGTCTTTGACCCTGATATCCGTCAAAAATACCCAGTCGGCCGCGTCTTGCACTTGCTCTACCACGAAATCCAGCACTCTCTTGCTCAAGTCTGGCAAACTGTGTAATATGACAGCGAGTTTCGACCTTCGGATTCGATGTGCTTGCAGTGCGTCGAAAGTAGATGGATTGAGCCATTTGTCAAAGGTTTCTTCGAATATTACGGTGATATCGGATAAATTAACGTAGGATTGCTGCGAGAAGGTGGGAGAGGTGAGAAGCGCGGGAGTGATTAGGCCGGGGTTGTGGACTTGGTGCTGGGTCAGCGAAGTAGGGATGTGAGGAAGAAGAGGACGTACCAACAAATTTATCGCGGAAACGATTGCCATTCTTGACTGCCTGACCTGCACGGCTGAGATAATTATATTTGAACGTGTCGTATGTGCTTGGGGTTTCATCAAAGAAGATGCCGTCTACTTTTAGCTTAGTGTTGTTTGAAGTCTTCGGCCACGAGGCATATGTGTCGATCTCCTTCAGAACATCGTCGAGCGGCTTGGTGGTGTAGTTCGTCGCTACGTATCCCAATGATCGTATGTTGTTGTATGATCTCAGCTTAGGAATTGCGTCGAGGTAGTACTGGTCGGGAAGTGAGCCAACACAGGGACCTGAACAAGGATTCAAGATCACTGTGAAGTCCACATTTGGATGCCGCTTCGCCCTGACTGAGAGTAAGTCCGAATTTTTTCTGAAATATAAAATAACCACTAACGCTGAAATTAGAGGATCCCATGCGCCAGGCCACGGATAGACGTATAATGGAACAAGTATCGACATCTTTCTGGATCTTCAATCTCACTGTGAAGCTCCACTCAACCCACGAGAGACAAATGAAAGCCCGAAAAGGGTTACCAGGCTCGGCGATGTTATGTACCTGTCGTCGGCCCGCACCCGACCGAACGAGACCACGTTCGATGTCGTACATCCACTATGGCGTAAATGAAAACGGTCTTGGAACGACGCGCGGCGAGATGCAAGATACCTAGGGAACATGGGTGTACGCGGGCTTAGCCGGGGCAACGGACGTGGAATAGAGCGATAATGATCCAAAATGCCGAATGCAATATCGGCGTGAGCATGGATGCAAAAATAGCCGGTGCAATTCGGGCAATCGACGAAGCAGCAATCGCGAATATGTATTTTGTCCAATGATTTCCCCGTATGGAGAGCAAATGAAGCCTCGCATTTCCAAAAATACCGTCTTCAGCATCTCGAATTCGCAGGCCCGAAAACTGAAATGTAATCCATGCTACGTTTTTGCGACTGCGATTGACGTGATAGTCTAGATACGAGAAATTCGACTCGTGCTTCCACACCAATCTGCAATGCATCACGTATGTATCGTATTGGGCCACGGATCTAGACCGCCTGCCTAATCTGCACCAAAGCATACCATTCGTCTAAGTGAAGAACCTCCACATCTCGCTTTTCTCTCCATCACCAAGCATCTCCGTCGGTACCTCCTCTGGCCTGACCTTAATGCCTTGTTCTCTATCCCGCGACCGATTCTCCATCTTCATCCATATGCCCAAGCCAGCAGTCGTCACGATACACACGACGTTGCACGCCGCCGTGGCAGCCAGAGTGGGCACATACTTCGGAGCATATTCCTGTCTGAACGTAGCTGCGCTTACGATACCGCCGAGGTTACCAAGCCCGACAAGCAAGCCTGTCGTCGCCGCGCGAGAAGACTCAGATAAGTTGTTATTGTTGTGCCAGCTGTGAACGAGACACGATGGGATGTATGCCCCGGCGCAGAGCATGAAGCATGCGAAATAAGCAACGCCTTTGTTCGCGAGAACGTCGATTGTCGCCAAAATGATCAGACCGACGAGCGAGACACATAGCGAGAAGATGATGTGGAAGGTGCGCTCGCGAAAGTAGTCGCTGCTGTACGTTACCACGAGCAGGACTACGAAACCTACAGCGTTGGGTGCCACGGTCCAGAGGTTCGTTTTGACCACGCTATAGCCCAGGCGCGCGACGATCTGCGGGAGGAAGTTCGACGTTGTTGCGAAGGCGACAGGGTAGGTGAATGAGATGATACACCAAGCAATGAACTTCCTGTCTTTCCAGGTGCGAAAGCAGTCCTTCATGCTGAATTCTGAGTGCGCAGTGCTTGAAAGATCGCGGAGAGTGCGGCGTTGGGCAAGCTGTCTTTCCGCTTCGTTCAGAAACCAAGCGCTCGCTGGGCTTGCTGGAAGCCAGAAGAACGCGAGGAGGGCGATGATAACGGTCATGGCGCCTGCAGGAACTCAGTCTTTGATGGTATTCCATCCTGAATGGGGATATTACCTTCGATGATGAACAACCATTTCCACCCAGGGATGGAATGTTTGATCTGGAAAACTCCGTATGAGATCAACCCGCTGAACGCCGCCGCAAGCAGCGCACTTCCAAAAAAGATCGAGATGCGAAATCCAAGTTCACCACGTGTGTAAAAAAGGGTGAGGTAAAAGACCACTCCCGCAAAGAAGCCTGCTTCAGAAGCTCCAATGAGCAATCTCAATGGAAGCATGCCGCCAAAGCTCGTCGCCGCACATTGTAGCAGTGCCATTGCACCCCAGAACAGCATCAAAGAAGGAAGCATGACCTTTCCACTATACTTCTTCGTCAACATGTTTAACGGCAAGTCGCACAACCCGTTAGGTATGTAAAACAGAAGGATCAATAAGCTGTACTGCTCGCCAGTGAACCCCAGATCTTTGTCCATGCCATCTGTCTTTGCATTGCCGAGATTGCTGCGGTCGACTGAATTGAAGAAGTACATGAGAGACAGGAAAGGCAAGAGATAAAGGTCGAGCTTGCGCACTGTTCTACCATTAGACGTGAGGAGGTGAGCAAGAAAGGTATACGCACCATATGTTCGTTCGGCAGCTTTGTCTACAATGATGTGCGTCAGACCGAGCTCCTGGTCCTTGACCATCGCCTCGGAGGGCTGATACTTCTCGGGATCCATGATGATGGCAGTAGCGTCGGGTGTCGACCTGGTCACTGATCTAGAATATCGAAATAGGCTTGTGTATATCGTACTCGCAATTTCGCGGTGCAGACCCACAAACTATCGTCTCATAACACCTACTCATCTATATACAGGCCAGCTTGCGACCCCTCCTGCTTCACTTGTCCCACCTATCAACTTACCAATCATCACAGATACGAGGACACACTGCGTGTTCTTCTCCGAGCCAGCGCTTTCATCCGCACCAACCGCAGCCGGTGTCTGCACCAGGCAAGGCAATCCGTACTATGATGCCGCTAGGTTGATATGATAGGAGTGGAGGCCGCTTGCTAAGAGTGGGAAGTGGGGAAACAGTAGGTTTGGACAATAGGCTGGAGAAGTGGGCCCGGCCATGTTAGCGTAGCAGCATAGCGATAGCACATCGATACCACCCCATCGCCGAATATGTTGCGGTATTTTCTGCCGTGCGATGGTGGGTGAATAGCGAACAGGTTGAGAAGTACTCCACTCGAGTTCTCGGGGCGAGCCCAAGCATAGGCCCGCTACGATGGGTTGCCAGAAAGTGTGAATCAAGACTGTAATCGCAAACCCAATACAATGGAGGTGTTGAGTACAAATACGTGGTGTATTGAAATATACTGTGATTAAATCTATCCCCAAATGCTGCCAGTTGACAGATACAAATGGCTGTGTGTATCCTGTAAACGCCAGTCCTATGCAATACATAAAGCAAAATCTCGGTAGCGTTTATGTGTCTCGCAAGAATTGGGAGTAGTATTCGTCCATCCAAGCCACAGCGTTCATCCCGCTTTCAAACCCACCATCTGCAAAGCGCCTCACAGTACCAACGTATCCATCAGGACGGACGTTCGCAATGACAATTTCGCTGTCATCGAGTCCATCGAGCCACTTGTCCATGACTGTCTGTTTCCGGGTATCCAGGTGAGGAACGTCATCCAGGTAGAACGTCCAACGTGAGTCTTGAAGCATGCGTGGTAGGTGTGCGATTTCGATGTCGGCGCGTTTCATATCAGTTACGATCGCATATGTAAAGATGCCGCTCACAGGTGTGTATCTCTCTGGGCAGACAAATTGATCATGTGGAGCTGCGAGAGGTGGTTGCATAGTGTATGATGCGTTTCCTGCAATGGTCACGCGGCCAACGTAAGAGGAATGGGATTGGTGAGCCTTGCTTAGTACGTCGAGGAACGGCATGGCTGCATGTAGGTTCCTAGCAAAAATATAGATTCGGAACTGACCGAGAGCTGGAATATCAGTCTGAATATCCACGGGATTCGCGTCGATGAAGCGAGTCACTTTAGCAGGTGGAAGGAGGAAACCTGGAGTAAGATTGCCGCGTGTGTATCCCTTAGACCTCATGTTGAGGACGTTCGGCTCATAGTTGACGCCATAGCCGGAGATGAATGCAACATTCTTGTTGAAGTTGTCTGCGAGAGCTTGAGGATCGCCTGCAGAGAAGGCATTGGCGTGCTCGTAGTCAAAATCTATGAGGTCTTGGGCGATCTTCTTGCGCTCTTGTTCATACGTTTCGATCAATGAGGGTCTGGCCAGGTTGCGGACTGCGAAGTTCATCTTCCACGCCAAATTCCAGGCATCATGCATGGAAGTGTTCATTCCCTGTGCAGCCTTAGGCGAATGTGTGTGGCTGGCGTCGCCGGCGATGAAGACGCGTCGTTCATCATCCGAGAACCTGGCTGCGACCCTCTGACCAATCTGATAGCGTCCGAACCATTCTACGTTTTTCCACTCCAACCGGTACGGTTGCATGATCTCTTGGGCGCGTTTTTGCACGAACTCTTGGGTTTGGCGCTCTCCAGGTGGGGTTGCAGCGCCTGAGCTGGACTTCAATTCAATATACAAGCGTGTCATGTTGCGCTCGCGAGGGATCATAAGGACCGAACCAAGCTCGTCGGAGTGCACTACGACCTTACTCCAGATGTCTGGAAAGTCGGTGTCAATCACGCCATCGAGCACACCCCAGACAGCATCCGATGAGGCTCCTATGGGTGTCGCACCTGGAATGCATTTGCGCACCACCGAATGAGCCCCGTCACAGCCAACAACGTAGCGCGTGGCGAGATTCTTCTTGCTCTGTGAAACGTGCTGTTTGCAGTGTACCGTGAGTGGCCGCACGCGGTCTGGTGTATATTCAAAGTCGACAAAGGCGGTGTTGCGGAGCACCTCCACGCCACGTTCGGACAGATCGTCGATGAAGGTGGCCTCTACCATACCCTGGTGCACCAGGAGGATGTAAGGGTCCAGCAGGTCGACGACTGGAGGGTAGTGAATTTCGCGGCCGGTACGGTGCATGGGCGCATCGCGGGTCGACTTCCAAAATGCAATGTCAAAGATCTTGACACCCTTCCGCAGCAAAGGTTCGGCAACGCGCATCTGCCTGAGCGTCTCGATCGTCTTCGGTTGCAGGCCGTCGGCGCGGCCGGTGGATGTACGGTCCGGTCGATTGTCGACGATTTGCGTTTTGATGCCGAATCGCACCAGGTTGTTCCTACCCATCCAGTCAGCCATCAGTTCCACCTGCCAGAAGAATGCACCTACGCCAGCATAAGACCAGCTGGTCCTGCACCGACCACCAACACATCGCTTAGATAGGTCTCATATCCAGTTGCCCAGCCATTGGCTGCACTGGCACCGGTCGAGCTCTGAATCTCGAAGCTGCTCGAGGTGGAGGGCATGGAGTCTGTGGTGAGACCTGGTGCCATCTTGACGACCTTCGGATGGACAGGAGGACTAGAGCTGGAGCTGGTACTGGAAGACGGTGAGCGCTTCATGAAGGGCCATATTGACGGAGCCATCCTATAAGTCTTGGAAATCAAATGCACGACCGCCTAGGGCGTAGAATGGGGGTCCGTGGAGGGGCAGACGGTCGCACGTCTGCCCATCTTCAGAGGTAACAACGCTGCTTTTGCAGAGTTGGGGTGCTCCATGTTTGATCTGGATATGCAGAGCTTGCAAAATTCTGCAGCAGATGGGCTGACCTCTCCCAGGGTTGCCTTGGGCGCCATTGTACTGCTGCGGAGCGCGACGAAAGCGCGACAATGCCAGGGCGCAGAGCGCGCTCCCGAGGTCCCTGGCCCGTGTGCTCCCCCACTGTTCATCTCACCACCGGGCCCCTTCGGTCCCGGCATTTCGTAACCTTGCCGTGAGATGAACGGCGGCTAGCTGATTGTTGACATTATCGTGTCGCGTGCATTGCGATTGCCATTGGCTTTTTCTGGCAACGTCGCTGGACGGCGTCATTCCTACATCCTCCTCAACGTGCAACATGACTGTTTCTACCATGCCGCAATGGCTGCAAATAGTCGACAAGAAGCGCAATAGTCGAAACGAGGCTATCCGCCGATTTATCGAGGCACAAGACGCCACATCTGGAGTAGGGCTATCCTCTGGCCTAGGCGATGTGCTGCACTGACAGTCACTTAGCACCTGCACACAGCCGGACCGAGCAATGGCACGACAGACGACGCCACGTCACAGGAGACGAGCTTCGACAGCATTGGAGATCTTATCGGAGCTATTTCTGCTGGGACGTTGACCGCTACCGAGTTGTGCACTGCATACATCAAACGGTGAGCCTCGGTCGCTCGCGGAACAATAGAATCGTGCCATACTCACGCCATATTCGTAGAGCCGTAGCAGCTCACAACCAAGTACCGAGCTCCACCACGGAAATCTCGTTCATATTGCTGATCATGACAGACGAACTGGTACGTCAACGGCGGCAGTACAGAGCCTCCTGACGGAAATTCACTGAAATTGCCAGCCTCACTGAGATCCTTTTTGACGATGCACTGAGACAAGCCAATGAGCTGGACTCCTTTTCCAAAGAGAATGGACGCCTTGTGGGCCCTCTGCATGGAGTGCCCATGACGCTGAAAGACCAATTCGATGTTCAAGGGTACGACAGTACGCTCGGATATGTTGGGCGAGCATTCAAGTCTGCAGAGCAGGACTGTGTTTTGGTCGCGCTCTTGCGGAGAATGGGCGCCATCATCATCGCCAAATCAAACCTACCGCAGAGTATCATGGTAAGTCTAATGCCTCGGTATCTCACAGTGGATGCAGCGCAAATTTGCATTTTCTAGGGACCGATTTTACCCTGCACTTGTTGTGGCTTGCCTCCTTAGTTCTCGTATTGACCCACGGTAGTGGTGTGAAACCGAAAATCCTATATTTGGTCTTACCACTCATCCGAGAAATACCGACTTTACCCCTGGAGGCTCCACAGGTGGAGAAGGCACACTGCTCGCCCTACAAGGCTCAGTTGTAGGCTGGGGCACTGACATTGGTGGAAGCATACGCATTCCTTCGCATATGTTAGGACTATATGGTCTCAAGCCTAGTGTAAGCCGACCCGTCATCCACACGTCACAAGATACAATTGCTTAGTGGATTTGGTTTCCAAATGGTGCTAAACTGCAGCCTTGAAATCACCGTTGACGTACTGGCAGAGCACACGGCTTCCTTACCAAGGTGTCTCGGTTTCCACCGAAGGGCAAGAACATGTGCCCTCTGTGATAGGGCCTATGAGTAGAAGCATCGATTCACTGATTGAAGTTACCAAAGCTGTCATTGACAGCAAACCTTGGGATGACGATCCGAAATGCTCTCCGCTGGAATGGCGAGACGACATGTTCAAAGATGCTCAAACACGACCCTTAGTCGTTGCGGTCATGCGAGACGATGGAGTTGTTAAACTGCACCCGCCAGTGGCACGAGTACTGGATGAAGTGGCTCAGAGGCTTACACAGGCCGGCCATGAACTCGTACCATGGAAGCCAGGGACGTTGCATCAAGAGTGCATAGACATCATGGTATGTACCAGAAGGCTCAGACTCATTTTAAAATCCGCTGAGACCCACAGGACCAATATTACACCGCAGATGGAGGTGAAGATATCAAACGTGACGTCGCGGCTGGAGGAGAGCCTTTCATTCCACACGTAGAAGCGCTCGTCAACCGAGGGAAACCAATCTCGGTGTACGAGTACTGGCAGCTAAACAAACAAAAGCTAGCCGCACAGAAGCGGTACCTCGATCTATGGAATTCAACAAAATCTACAGCTTCGGGGAAGCCAATCGACATCTTGTTGTGCCCAGTGATGCCACACTCCGCAGTTCCCCATCGAAAATGTCGCTGGGTGGGCTACACGAAGGTTTTCAACTTCGTTGACTATCCTTCGGTCGTCCTACCCGCTGGTGAGGTCTCGAAAGAGCTCGATGGTACCGCGGTCGCAGACATGGCTGCATATGAGCCAAGGAACGCTCTAGACGAATGGAACTGGAACTTGTTCGACCTGGATGCTATGGACGGCATGCCTATCGGTGTGCAGGTCGTTGCGCGGAGACTGCAAGAAGAAAAGATACTTGGAGCGGCCAAGGTGGTTGATATGGTTCTGAGGGGTGCTGGTGATGATCTACAAGGGAGGATACCCTCATTGAAAGACGGGTTAGAGTCGCGAAAGCGTCCACAGAATGATTGAATATTTGTCTCAGCATTGTTTGTTACAATTACATCGCTCTTGGCTGCTTGTAAACGAGATCATGTCCGAGAGCATCGACTCTGGCGTCGACCACGCGAGATCTTGGACAGTGTCACTCCGTCAGTGGCCGTTTACATGACACGAGCGAAGTGGAGCACAGTGAATACCACAAACACTGGAAGCTTGAGTACCTTATGCTGGAGATACTGTATAACACGATCGTAAAAGTCCAATTCATAGTCTATATTGAAGTCTCACAGCTTTAGAAAGTCCAGGTTTCATTAGCACCGTTGTGGAGATTGCAACAAAAATACGTTTTGTTATGGTCACTCAAGGAGGACATTACATGTGGAACACCGTGGAGCTGCTTTGCCCATCGAAGCCGCCGGCGATGCCATATACGTAACGTTGTACAAGGGCCTCTGTTAGTGGTCGGATACAAGTGCGACGGTAGCTAATGCAGATACGCTCCACTGGCCAGGGTACAACGCCTCCCCCACCTTAGTCCTCGTCGCGCCTTCCCTGTATTACGGGTATCGATCAGGTTAGAAGAGGGGTAGCTCTTGCTATCGCAGCTACCTGTTTACCCTTCCAAACTTTCAACTGCTTCACTTCACTTTTTCTTCCTATTCAGACGACGGATTTTCTGTGAACTCCGATCCAATACTTTGACCTCCTGGGTTTTCAATTGCACTGTAATTGCAACACTATGGGCAAGAAACGCGTCCTCGTGTGCTACGGTGTGGATATCGATGCCGTCGCAGGTTGGCTAGGTTCTTATGGAGGAGAAGATTCTACGAGCGACATTAGCAGGGGTAAACCGAGCGATCACCTCCAAATACTCAGTTCCTGACGATGCACAGGACTTTGGGCAGGAACCGAGGGCACACGCCGCCTTCTCAAACTTTTCGACAAATACAAGATCAAAGCAACGTGGTTCATCCCTGGGCACACTCTCGACACATTCCCGGAAGACTGCGCAGCCGTCCGCGACGCAGGTCATGAAATCGGCCTCCATGGCTACTCTCACGAGAACCCTACAGACATGACCTTCGAGCAGCAGCGCGATGTGCTTGACAAGACTTACAAGCAGCTCACCAAATTCTGCGGCAAGCCTCCGCGCGGCAGCGTCACGCCATGGTGGGAGACATCGAAAGAAGGCTGCGACTTATTGCTTAGTTACGGTATCGAGTACGACCATTCAATGTCGCACGAAGACCACAAGTGCTACTGGCTGCGAACAGGCGACACGTGGACGAAGATTGACTACACGAAGAAGGCGGAAGAGTGGATGAAGCCTCTCGTCCGAGGCGAAGACACTGGCCTCGTAGAAATACCCGGCAGCTGGTACATCGATGATCTCCCTCCCATGATGTTCATGAAGAAGGCAGCAAACAGCCACGGATGGGTCAACCCGAGAGATGTGGAAGCGATATGGATGGACCATTTTGACTATTTCTACAGGGAATACGATGAATTTGTGTTCCCGATGACTATCCATCCTGACGTCTCCGGACGGCCTCATGTTATCCTGATGCACGAGAGGTGAGATATACAAATGCTCATGTGGTCGCACGATAACTGACGTTTCCAGGATTATCGAGCACATCAATAAACACGAGGGCGTCGAATGGGTTACCATGGAACAAATGGCCGACGATTTCAAGGCGCGTAACAAGGTGCCGGAAGGCGCAAAGATGCCTGCACCAGCTGGAGAGATTCTGAAGAAGCAGGCTTCAGGCGAGGCCTTCAATCCCGGATTTTGAGCGTTTCCGATTCTATAGCTGAGCCTGATGATATATGGCAATGAAACCAGAACTCAGACTCCCCTCTCAGAAGTGCACAATCCTGCTTCGTACTGTTTCGTAATGCACCGCAACACTCCATTCCGGCAAATTCGGAACCATTCCGTAGCCCCATCTCTTATCGATAACACCCTTGCCCCTCATGCTCACATTCCCCTCGCCTCGCCTCCCCCACTCTTCACCCCGTGTGCCCGTTCCCCAGCGCAGAACACATGCCCCTCCACCTTTGCTGGTCCGGCCAGTCTGCACGCATCACACCGTCCCCCATTTCCCCCGCCCTTGGCCGATTCAATGGTTCGAGCGGATGCATTTTGTCACATGTCTACCAGTTAGGCGCATGGCCGTAGAGGGGCTACGTGTAGGCGGCGCTGCGGGTGCGTAAGGCAGATTGGTTGGACGGCTGGATCGGCCTAGGATGGCGGCAAGTGTGGTGACCCTCACTTTTGGGGGTGTTGCGCAGACGTTTTATACATCTGACTTTGGGGTGCGCTGCCATCGCTGCTATTGATTTCCATCGGTGTGGTAGCTTTAGCAATCAACTTGATCTTGAGCTCGCCTCTTGTTTGTTTCTAATTATCTAACTGTACTTGAAACGGTATTTTGACTGTGAAGGTATGGGTAGATCAAAGCCTCAAGTCATACAGCAACAGCACAGAGACGCCGCCAACAAACTCGATGTAATGTCCTCTTTTCGATTGTAAACTGCCTTAGTTAATAATCCCAGGTCATAGTCATCGGCGCTGGTCTCGGTGGCTTAGGGGCCGCGATATCAATCGCCCTAACCGGCCACAAAGTCCACATCCTCGAAGCCGCCGCAGAAATCGGCGAGATCGGGGCAGGAATCCAAGTCCTGCCAAACTCATCTCGGGTGCTTTTTTCATGGGGCATGGAAGAGCAGCTCGCGCGGCATGCAACCCGGCCAAAGCGATGCAACTACCTCCACTGGAAGGGCGGCAAGATCTCGCACATGGATTTCCACGAGTATGCGGAAGAGTTAGGCACGCCGTTCTGGGACTTCCACCGCGCGAACCTGCATCTTGAGCTTTTGAATCGGGCGAAGGAACTCGGTGCGACAATGGAGACTAATTCAAAAGTTGCAAATATCGAGTACGAATATCCGGAGGAAGGGAGGACGATTGCGGTCGCTGTGTTGGAGAACGGGAGCAGAAGGAAGGCAGATTTGATCGTTGGTGCCGATGGAATCAATAGTAGATGCAGAGAGATTTTATTGGGTCGTCCGGATCCTCCGGTTCTGACGGGCGATCTTGCGTATCGGTTGCTGTTGAATACGGAGGATATGATGAAGGATCCTGAGCTAAGGACATTCATCGAGAACCCGCAGGTCAACTACTGGATGGGTCCTGATGCACATGCCGGTATGTTCTGAACCGCTCACCAATCGGTTGCAACTGCTGACTCGTCGCAGTAAACTACGTTCTTCGAGGTGGCAAGCTCTTCAACATGGTCCTGCTTGTACCTGACGATATGCCCGCCGGTGCCAACACAGTCGCCGGTAACGTAGAAGAAATGTGCGCCTTGTACAAAGACTGGGACCCGCGAATTCCCAAATTGCTTGCACTCTGCGATTCGGTCTTCAAATGGCGCCTTTGCATCCGACCAAACCTCAACCCTACCTGGTCGCACGAGAGTGGCGCCTTTACCATCTTAGGTGACGCCGCACATGCCACGCTTCCATATCTTGCCTCTGGTGCTGGTATGTCACTCGAGGATGGCCACGTCCTGGGTCTCTGTCTCGGGCGCCTGTCAGGAAAGTCCGACGTTGAGAAGAAAAAGGCGCTCAAAGTGTACGAGCGATGTCGACGCGAGCGCACCGAGAAGGTTGTTGCGCGTGGAAACCTACAGCAACACCTGTATCATGTGCACGATGGTCCTGAACAGCAAGAGCGTGACCGCCTTCTCAAGGAGTTTTCAGTGTTCAATGGCAGGGGGAAGCCGGTAAGCGAGCAGGAGCTACAGGAGAAGGGCTTGGAGGATAATTCCGATCCATTCCCGTGGCGATGGCACGGTGTAGGCAAGTGGCTGCTTCCGTATCAGTGTGAGCTTGATGTCGAGCAGCGGTGGGCTGAGGTAGAAGGCGAGGCTGCCAGTATGGGATCGAGACGAAGGGCGAGCACCGAAGTGAGGGCGCAGTTGTAGGAGGCTGGTTGAGTTGAACGTACGAGACTTGCATGGTTCGAAGTTCAGACGAAACATCTATTGTAAACCTTGATACCTATCACTATCTGAAGCACTAGAGTTCTTTCTCTTCCACGCATGCGAGAGGTTGTTCAACGCGCAACGCGCCGCTGCCTACCCGCTCCTCCATTCGTATACTGCAATCTAAGTATTCGTACTGACATTCAAAGCATGGCTTCCAGAGAGATGCCCGAGCCGCTACTCGACAAGCAGCTCTCCTTCAAGCCCGAAAGACAGCCTTTTTACACCTTCTGTGATGGCGCTTGGTTGCCTTTCACAGACAACGCGAGCTGGAATACACATGTAGACGGACTAAAATCTCTCGCCCTGATCCCATGGAACATCGATTTCATGGCCCCAGAGCCGCAAGCGCGTATGGCTTCTGCACTGGACCACCTTGAACACTTGGTCTCTACTGTACCACCATCCTCAGCAGTAGTCATCTTCCTCCAAGAAATGATAGACGTGGGATGCTTGCTCGACTTGGAAATCCGGCTACGGACAGGTCACCCTCGTCGACCCCCGACTCAGCATCCACGCCGTCTCGCGTCTCCATCTGATCAGTGAATTTCAGCACTCTTCGTTGACGTCCGCTTGAGTCCTTCTTCTCATGGTTCTGAGAGATGGATGCTGCTTTGCAACGTCCATCTTGATACCATGACCGACGATCTGCGTCCTATTCAGTGGAAAGGTATCGCCCATCATCTACAATATATCAACGCGGGGATCGCCGTGAGCATTCTCGCTGGCGACTGTAATGCTAATCGGCCGCGAGACGGGATGGACCTCCAGAAGAATGGGTTCAAAGGCGCGCATCTGGAGCTTGGTGGTGTGGAAGATGAACGAGGTGCGACGTGGGGTTTTCAAAGTATAGAGTGGGAATAGTGGGGACGGAAGAGGTTAAATAATCAGGTGTTTTTGGGCAATGTCGGGGTTGGCTCGCTAAGAACGATTGGAGTAGGCGTAGAGATGGGTGACGTTCTGGCGAGGAGGACGTTAGAAAGAAAGGAGAGGCTGACGTTTGTGACGGACCACTATGGGCTGATGGGTATTTATAGCATCAAAGGTGAGTTTGCTTGAGTAAATATAGCAGACGTGGGCTGGATTAGGGAAATCATGATTTGAAAGTCGATTTAATTTATCATTCTAGCACTTCTCCGCAACATGGGTAGATATCTATGCTAGTCTTAACCATTCCCAGCGCCGGCAATGCAATCAAGTACAAGTATGCGTACCTAACATACTTGACCTCGGTCATGCAGAAGCAGTAGCCTCTCCATAGAAAGGGTAGTCAGTGTAGCCCTTCTGCGGCGGGTCAGCACCGTAGAAGGTCGTACGATCGTATGGGTTCAGCTCAAGGCCCTCAGCCAATCTCCGAGGAAGATCAGGATTTGCGATGAAGTGGCGTCCGAAAATGATGAGGTCTGCGTCACCAGCGTCGAGCTTGGGTACGGCATTGTCGCGGTTGAAGTTGCCAGCAGCGAGGAAACGGACATTGCCCTTGGCGAGGACTTCGCGGAAGCGAGAGAGGTTGTTGGTCTTGGGCTTAATGGAGAGCTCGGCCTCCACCCCTTCGTTGGGGTTGGAGGTGTAGGAGGAGAGGGCATCGAGTTTGGCTTGCTCGTCGAGGACTTCGTCGAAGCGGGGCTCAATCCTAAATAGAGGTTAGCATGGAGGTGAGACTAGACGCCGGTCGAGACTCACATGTGTACATATGCTGGTCGCTCATCTTCGGGCAGAGCAGCAATCTTCTCGCAGAGGTACTCCCAGTGCTCGTTCGGCTTGCTGTCCTTGGTGTCTTGGAAGTAGTTATACGGCGACAGCCGGATGCCGACACGGTCAGCGCCAATGGCCTTGCAACACTCCTTGATGACTTCAAGGGGGAATCGAATTCGGCCGTCGATAGAACCGCCATACTCGTCAGTCCTGTTGTTGACATTGTCGTGCAGGAACTGCTCAAGCAAATATCCGTTCGCGCCGTGGATCTCGATACCGTCGAAGCCAGCCTCGCGTGCTTTCTTCGCTGCCTCGCCCCACTTCTTTGTGATGTCGTGAATCTCATCGACGGTCAATGCCCGTGGTGGGTTCTCCTCGCAAGAAACCCCGTCGAGCCAATTACCGGTCATGGGAACGGTGCCTGAGCTTACGGTCTGCTCGCCGTTGCGGAAGGAAGGCGGTGAGGCGCGACCAGTGTGCCAAAGCTGGGAAAAGATGTAGCCGCCCTTTGTGTGGACGGCATCAGTGACCTCCTTCCAGGCGGCGACCTGCGAATCTGTGAAGCATCCTGGTGCACCGGGGTAGTTTCCAGCCTACATCGTCAGCACTGTTGCATTTGTAATTATCCAGAAACCTACATATTTGAAGATGTCGGTGGCTTCAGTCAGCTGCAAACCGCCTTTCGTCGCTCTCTGGCTGTAGTATTCTTTGACCAATTCGTTGGGCAACGTGACGCCGTCGCTTTCCTTGGTAGAACGCATGCGGGTTAAGGGCGCTTGCACTATCCTGTGCTCGAGATTGAGCGGGCCAAGCTTGAAAGGCGTGAACAAACTCGTATCCTTGAGGGGCCTGAAGCCTGGCGGGGTATCTGCTTTGGGCATTCTGAGGATTCGTGCGAGTGTTGGTTTTAGGTGGTTAATGGTTGCTGGGGAGGATAGAGAAGACACAATGGAGCACAAAAATGTGGAGGAATACAAAATTGTGGAGGAATACAAAAATCACGTTCCTGAGCCGAAGGTCTATATGGTACCTGATTTGCTCCGATCATTGCGCCATGCGTACACCCCAATCCCATGTTCGGGAGTGGTGTGGCAGAAATGGGGGGTACGTGGGAAACACTCACCCCTCCAGATCGCACTCCATGTGGACGGACCCACCGTAATAAGCGACGAAAGGTTCCGAAGATCCTGTGTAGGCTACATGTACCCTAGATGCCATCTTGTGTGTAAGCTTTCTTGGTAACGCTCTACACACGGATGACTTAGTCTATCTCCAGAACGTCAGCATTTCTTGGTCACTTCGCCGCAAGTATTTTGTCGTGTCATTGTAGTTTAGCAGCGAGCATACCGTAGAGTCGCATTCGCCCACTGCCCAGATGCAAGCATCCATCTAGGGAGTGGAGCGAGTGGAGCGCATGTATTGTAACGTGGTGTAGCAAGGGACAAGAGTGGGGTGAGCGATAGTTGCGGGCCGCGGCGGGGTACGCGATTAGGGACGCCGCACCATCAAATCCAGCCAATGAGTACAGGGCTGTACGTGAGACGGGAATAGGCGCATGCTGACCTTCACCATTTGAAGAGCTGTACGTGGCGGTCTCTGTTGGTGAACCACCTGGTCCCTTCTTGACCCAGCATCCAGTTCGGGGGCCACTCGATTTGAGCTCTGCATTGAGCTCCAAGTTAACTCAGAGGGCCTCATCGATCATGGCTCTCCCAACGCCACCCAAGACAGCCGCTAGTCCGCCGCGCGTTGCTTCCGCCGCCGAAGCACTCACACCACTCATTCAATCGACATACAAATCGCCTGACATCAACTGCTATCTCAATGGACGGAAGACGACCATCTCTAATGCGAATCCGCACTGGACGCTGTTGGACTACATCCGCGCCCAGTCAAATCTCAAGGGCACAAAACTGGGATGTGGCGAAGGAGGGTGCGGTGCATGTACAGTTGTATTACAGGTTCCAGACACATCTGACAAGAGGAACATAAAGCATTTGGCGGTCAATGCCTGCTTGTTTCCGTTGGTTGGAGTTGATGGCAAGCATGTCATCACCGTCGAAGGCATCGGCAGTGTGGAAAAGCCGCATCCTCTCCAGGAGAGAATCGCAAAGATGCATGGTAGCCAGTGCGGGTTCTGCACACCCGGAATAGTCATGAGCTTGTATGCCATGGTGAGGAACTCGTACGATCCGGAGACGAAGAAATTCACGCTTAGTGAACGTGACATCGAGATGGAAGGCCATCTGGATGGAAACCTCTGTCGATGCACTGGCTACAAGCCGATTCTGAATGCAGCGAAGACCTTCATTGTGGAAGACCTTCAAGGCCAGCTTAGCGAAGAACCTAGTATTCAAAGCTCCGAAGATGGTAAAGCCGAGAAGGAGGTTGCTGATCTTGTGAGAAACGGTTGTGGTGGGCCGTCGAAAAGTTCTTGTGGAAGACCTGGTGGTTGCTGCCGCGACAAGCCTACCATTCCTTCGGATAGCAGCTCCAACGACAGCATATCAGAAGCATCGACACCGCCCACAGAGCCTGCAGACTCTCCAGGGGATGGGCACATTCCCGCGATCGTTGCTGTCTCGGATAAGCCGGAAACTGACCCTGCTGTCAGCGGCGCGACGTATGCGAAGCCGTTGAAGAGCAAGGAGAAGGAAAGCACAGGCAAAGAGACCAAGACGACAACATCTCTTGAGACCGAAATTTCCAGGACAAAGCAAGGAGTTCCAGTCGTTCAGTTCAAAGAGTATGTTCCAGATACGGAGCTTATTTTCCCACCTTCTCTTTGGAAATATGAGCCACAGCCTCTGTGCTATGGCAATGGGAAGAAGATCTGGTTCAGGCCAACGACGTTTGATCAGCTCTTGGAATTGAAAGATGCATATCCTTCAGCAAAGCTGGTTGGTGGTGCGAGCGAAGTGCAAGTCGAAGTGCGTTTCAAGAACTCTGACTTCGCGGTTTCGGTGTACGTCTCGGATATCCCTGAATTGAGGCACACAAAGCTACCACTCGAGGCTGAACTGGAGACATCCAGAGAGCTGGTTATTTCTGCCAACACTCCACTTACAGAGCTCGAAGCTATCTGCAAACAGGTCTACGCGAAGCTGGGAAAGCGTGCAATGGTACTCGAAGCTTTACGCAAGCAGCTCCGCTACTTCGCTGGACGACAAATTCGCAACGTCGCCTCGCTTGCCGGTAACATCGCAACTGCCTCACCGATTTCAGACGCCAATCCCGTACTCCTCGCTGCTGGTGCGACGCTCGAGGCTGTCAATAAGTCGAAAGGAGTCCTGGAGCTGCCCATGAATAAGTTCTTCGTTGCGTATCGCACCACAACTTTGCCGCCGGATGCGGCGCTGAGTCGCATCAGAATACCTTTACCAGCACCTAACGTACGCGAGGTGTTCAAAGCGTACAAGCAAGCCAAGAGGAAGGACGACGACATTGCAATTGTCACCGCTGCCTTCCGAGTAAGGCTCGATAAAGATGACAATATTGAAGAACTCTCACTCGTATATGGTGGAATGGCACCAACAACCAAAGACTCTCCCAAGACGCAGGCAGCCTTACTAGGTAAGCGGTGGTTCCACTCGGAAACATTGGACATCGCGTTAGCCGGCCTACTTGAAGACTACGACCTTCCCTTTACAGTTCCTGGCGGCATGGCCGACTATCGCAAGACTTTGACTCTGTCGCTGTTCTTCCGCTTCTGGCATGAGTCTGCCGCTGAACTCGGACTTGGTGACGTGGATACAGAGGTCATCGATGAGATCCATCGTGCGATCTCGACGGGTGCGCGCGATGACGTGAATCCATATGAGCAACGGATCGTTGGCAAGCAAATCGCCCATCTCTCTGCACTCAAACAATGCACTGGAGAGGCAGAATACATCGATGACATGCCTCACTTCGAGCGTGAGTTGTACGGCGGCTTGGTTCTCTCCTCGAAAGCGCATGCAAAGCTACTCAGCGTCGATTGGGAGCCTGCTCTGGCCATGCCTGGCGTAGTTGGGTATCTCGATAAGGACTGTCTCCCGAAGGATCAGAACATTTGGGGTTCCATTAAGAAAGATGAGCCATTCTTCGCCGACGGAGAAGTTCGGCATCATGGGCAGGTCATTGGCATGGTGTATGCTGAGACCGCACTGGAAGCGCAAGCTGCGGCAAAGGCCGTCAAGGTTGAATACGAACCTCTCCCTGCGATACTGACTATTGACGAGGCTATCGAAGCGAACAGCTTCTTCCCGCACGGCAAACTTTTGAAGAAAGGTCTTGCTCTTGAGGACAAGATGGAGGAAGCTTTTGCGATGTGCGACAGAACATTCGAAGGGCAGACCCGCATGGGCGGTCAGGTAAGCATATGTCTGTATTTGCAATGATACGTAGCTGACACCAAATCCAGGAACACTTCTACCTTGAGACAAATGCTGCGCTTGTGATCCCTTCCGGTGAAGACGGCTGCATGGAGGTTTGGTCATCGACGCAGAACACTATGGAGACTCAAGAGTTCGTGTCCGCCGTCACCGGGGTGCCGAGCAATCGCATCAACGCACGGGTCAAGCGTATGGGTGGAGGTTTCGGCGGCAAAGAGTCACGTAGTGTTCCTTTCGCTTGCTACCTCGCTATCGCAGCGAAGAAGGAGAAGCGCCCGATGCGCTTAATGCTTAACCGCGATGAAGATATGCTTCTCAGTGGGCAGAGACATCCTGTTCAGGCACGCTGGAAGGTGGGTGTGTCGAAAGAGGGGATGTTGCTTGCCATGGAGGCAGATGTGTACGACAATGCGGGCTTTTCGCAAGACATGTCCGGTGCTGTCATGGACCGCTGCCTCACGCACTTCGATAACTCCTATGAGTGTCCTAACGTCCTCCTTCGAGGCCACGTCTGCAAAACAAATATTCACAGCAACACAGCCTACCGTGGATTCGGTGCGCCTCAGGGCCAGTACTTCTCCGAGACGATCATGTACAACATCGCGGAAGGCCTGGGAATGGATATTGACGAGGTGCGACAGAAGAATCTCTACAAGGTCGGGGAACACACTCCTTTCCTACAACTCATCGACGAAGACTGGCATGTTCCAATGATCCTAAAGCAGCTGTCAAGGTCTGCAGACTACGAGAAACGAAAGAAGGCAACCGAAGACTTCAACGCTAAGAACCGCTGGAAGAAGCGCGGCATATGCTTAGTGCCTACCAAATTCGGCCTCAGTTTTGCAACTGCCTTGCATCTGAACCAGGCTGGCGCATACATCAAGATATACCACGACGGCAGTGTACTATTACATCACGGTGGTACCGAGATGGGCCAAGGCCTATACACAAAGATGTGTCAGATCGCTGCACAAGAATTGGGCACCCCACTTGACGCGATCTTCACGCAAGACAGCTCAACATATCAGATCGCGAACGCTTCACCCACAGCCGCCTCGTCAGGATCCGATCTCAATGGCATGGCAGTCAAGAATGCATGCGATCAACTCAACGAACGCCTGAAGCCATATCGCGAGAAGCTAGGCAAGGATGCGGCGCTCAAGGAGATCGTCCACGCTGCCTATCTCGATCGAGTCAACCTGGCAGCCAACGGCTTCTGGAAGATGCCTAGAATTGGCTACCAGTGGGGCAACTACGACATCAACACCGTCAAGCCTATGTACTATTACTTCACGCAAGGCGCGGGTTGTTCAGAGGTAGAAGTCGACTTGCTGACTGGAGATTCCACGGTTTTGAGAACCGACTTGATGATGGTAAGATCTCTTGCTCTTTGCATACAGCACACACTGATTTACCCAGGACGTTGGCAACTCTATCAACCCCGCGATCGACTACGGTCAAATCGAAGGCGCCTTCGTTCAAGGCCAGGGTCTCTTCACGATGGAGGAGTCTCTCTGGACGCGCTCGGGTGAGCTCTTCACCCGTGGTCCGGGCACATATAAGATTCCTGGTTTCAGTGATATACCGCAGGTGTTCAACGTGAGCATGCTGCGGACAGACAATGATGGGAAGCCACTGTCATGGAACCATCTGCGCAGTGTGCAAAGCAGCAAAGGCATCGGCGAGCCTCCGTTGTTCTTGGGATGCACGGTCTTTTTCGCGATGAGGGAGGCCATTAAAGCGGCGAGGAAGATGAATGGACGGAGCATCCTAGGAGGAGTAGGCAAGGATGCCTGGAAGTTGGACAGCCCTGCCACGGCGGAGAGATTGCGCTTGGCGGTAGGGGATGACTTGGCAAGGCGGGCCGAAGTGAAGCGCAAAGAGGGCGAAACAAGTTTCTTTGTTGCTGTGGCATAGATAGGCCCATGGAGATGGATGCCTTAAGTATTTCGCGGCGTTGGAGTGCGATTTCACGATTTGTGTATAGCATACATGATATACTTAGATGCGCAAGGCTGCAACACGATTATCGTTTTGGATAGCAATCCACCGCTATTGTAATTGTTTGAAAACATTGATGAGGTGTCGATAATGGCCCGTCACGTATCGACAGATGGCTTCGTGATGCCATGCGCTGTCAGCGATCGGACGTTCGAATGCTCCTACTTACGCGACGATTCCAACCTTCATCGGTACAATGCTCTTTCCAACAACACGCCAATCAGTTATCTTTCGATAGTCGGAGAATAAACCGACGATGCCGACGCACTTTCGTTGCTATCACCACAATGTTCCGTATCTTCTGTTTTCTGCTGTGCTGCAACCCGGATTCTTTTAACCGCCATACACGACTCTTGGGTAAGCGCGCCGACGGCGATGTGTCAGGGACATTGGCTTAAGCTTCGATACGGATGGGACTGCAAGCATCAGCCTCATCCATCGGGTAGTTCATGCGCGTTCTTGCGGCGCTGCGCGCACACTATACCGATAGTGGCAACGCGATGCCCCCACCCTTATCTTCCTCCTACCCCACTTCTGCCATTCTCGTCGGCTGGCTCGAGTGACCCCGCAATCTGCATACGCGTTTTGCGCTACCGACCATCAGCGTGCTGGCTCGTCCGAGTATGCGCCTATCTGGGCCGTGGCAAAGATGTCGCCGGCTTCCAGACGACGGATAGCGCCGTCTCGGATCTTTTCCGACCCCCATGATACTATCTCCGCATCCCCCAACCTTCGACGTCCGACCAAGACGTGTGTCACTTTGTGTTCGAGCGCTGAGCATCGTTCATGGCTACGACAGCTTCCACAATGCCGCGAGGACGGAGGAGGAAAGACTTGAGCAAAAACGGGGAGAAAAGATTCATTTGCCAGAATGATGGATGTGGCAGGAGTTTCACCAGGGCTGAGCATCTGCAAAGGCATCTGCTTAACCATTCTACGGGCGAGTTCACCTGCTCGAGATGCAGGGCACATTTCAAGAGGAGAGATTTGCTCGGTAAGGGACCGCGTCTTCTTTCATGAGTGGGCCGAAACGGACATCGACCCAACACGTGCGTCCACTTTTCCACTTTGGTCATCGCCCAAGAGTGGATGACTTGCACAGTCAATTCCCTTCCCACCTCACCTGTCCTAGGGCCCATGCGGTCAGTGTCGGACAGGTCGCTAACACTATGCAGACCGCCATATGGCAAGACACCGCCAAAAGGACGAAGAAGCTGGAGCTGAAGGTCAGGGTATCCTAAACACGCGCAAGCGCATGTGGAAGGACGCTGAAGGTAAAATCGTAACCAAGAAGCCTAACTTGGGTTCCTCCGTCGACGGCCGAGAGCATTCTAGCTCTGCACCCCAACAGTCACAAGCAGAGGACCCACTGCAGTCACTCTCGGAGCTCACCCAGTTCGAGTCTCGCGAACACGGCGCGCCAATATCTCCACTTTCATGTGACCCTTCGCTCTGCCACTCTACGTTCGACGACCACGACTCTGGCATTGCAAGCGGCTACCCTCCTACTAACTTGGATGTGAACGCACTGTCTGGATCCGAATCATTGTCTCCCATTGACCAGCAATTCTGGTCTACCAGTCTCCCTCAACCTGAACCGGAACCTCTTGCACCTCTAGTATTCAACGATGCTCCGTTTGACGACATCTTCAACCCGGATACGGCAAGCTCTTTCAACAATCCATTCACAACCATGAACAATTATCAATGGCTGTTCTCTATCGATGGCTTCGAGCAACCATCAATACAGCCTGTGATGAATGACCCTTTCTCTCCATTTCAGTTTAACAATTCGGTTTCTCGACCCAGTCATGTCTTCGATCTACACCTTGATCATTTGATCGTCGACGACGACAACAACAACAACAACAACAACAACAACAACAACAACAACAACAACAACAAGCCTCGGTCTACTGCAGCAAACTACGGCTCTGGTCCTTCGCAGAGAACGGACTCTCCACAGCAAATGTCGCCACCAGCTGCATTCGTTACTCCACCATTGACGGAGAATACACAAACAAGCCGTAAACCCTCTGAGCAAGAGGAAGCCACACAGAGCAATATGGTCAACGCCTTCTCAGATGCTTTTCCACAACAGTCGGGCAGCACTCAAACCCCTTTGGATCTCGAGCGACCGATGTCGCTACTGCAGCCATCGAGATGCTTGCCCATCATCGACGAGCTAGCCCGCCAACAAGTACTAGATTTGATCGATATTGCTCAGCCCACTGCTCCGGATGGCAGCCTAGTCATGCGCGATCACCCGCTTCTATCGCTCTCATGTCTCCAGACGTACTGTGACCTCTTCTTCACTCGCTTCAACACAACATATCCTTTGATCCATATGTCGACGTTCGACCCATGTAATGTTGATACATTGCTGCTGGTTTCGGTCTTACTGCTCGGAGCTACATACGGGGAGAAAGATGCGCATCAACTCGCTGTAAGTATACTCGACTTAGCTCAGACCAAAATTTCAGGCATTAATTGTGCATCCGGGGGTAACTCGGACTACAATATGGGATCCGAACTTTCTAGATATAATCTAGTTTGTCAATATAGCTCATCAATACGTTGTGACTGTAACTGACAACAGCTAGGTCTGCATCCACGACGTCGTTCGACCACAAATTTTCGCGAACGCTGGTTTCTCTGCGAAGCCGGACCTCTGGGTACTACAGACCATCTTGCTGGTCGAATGTTTTGGCAAGAGCCGAGCTGGCCAGAAACAGCATGACATGAGCCACCTGTTCCACGGCCTTTTGATCAATCTGATCCGGCGAAGCGATTGTCAATCGATCCGCCCACCAACACTTGAAGACGCGACGGACGATCTAGAAGATGATTGGCGGACCTGGGTAGACGCTGAGCAGAAGAAGAGGCTTGCCTTTCTCTGCTTCATGTGGGACACACAGCATGCTGTTCTATTCTGCCAGTCCTTGTGTATGTCGGCATTCGAATTACGGTCGAATCTACCATGCGACCAATCGCTCTGGGAGGCCGACTCAGCAGAGAGCTGGCACCAGCTTCGCCAGAAGCAACCTTCAAGTCTCCTCTTCTTATCCTGCCTGAAGATGTACCTCAACCCCTCCGCTTCGGTTTCCGTCCCCAAGAACCTCAACGCACTATCTCGAGCGCTACTTCTACACGGACTGATGTCTATCGCCTGGGACATGCAACGGCGGGACCAGACATCCCTCGGCGTCGTCGACACAAATCCGCTCGGCAACTGGCAAACCCGTCTGGCAACATCATACAAGGCTTGGGACAAGGACTTCGAAGCGTTTTCCTCATTCTATTTAGGGCGCTTGCCGTCTGCGACACATGCTCTTGCCAAAGAATTTCAGGCTTTCCACACAGCTGTCTCCTCTCTGTACCACTCCGCACACATCCTCCTCCATACCCCGTTCCTCGACCTCCAAATCTACGCCGGCGCAAGACACATCCTTGGCCGCCCCGTCGCACGAGCAGACTACGCTCGCAGCCAGAAAGTTGTCAAGAAATGGGTCGCCGACAATCTCAAAGAAGCTGGCAAAGCAGTTTGGCATGCCGCTGCGCTCGTCGAGCAAGGTATTTCCATCCTTGACACCGACTCGTCGTCCAGCGACCTCGGAGGCAGCCGTCTTTGGCACCTGCCTTGGGCGGTGTATCTTGGTACGCTGACTGTTTGGGGCGTGTGGTATGCGCGTCCTGTCTCGCCACACTCATCTGGTCCACACGATGAAGATGAGGATGAGATTATATGGGACCCGCAGGCAGAAATGACAGGCTTGTTGGAGACGATTTTGAAGAGTAACGGGGAGCGGCTTTTGGAAGTTGGCTACGAAAGGGGAATTGCGGGAGGTATGGGCAAGAGAGGTACGAATGGGTTAGCTGCTGTCGTCAGTCGGTGTTTAGGGAAGGTGCGATGGGCCGTTGTGCATGATGGGATGATGGTGCTCAGGGGTCTAGTGCAATGGAGGTTGGTGGGCGGAGGAGGGATGTTGTGAGCGATGTGACGATCAATAACGCTATGATACGGCGTTGGGCGCATAGGCAATTGGTACAATTGCGGGTTACACCCTTCTTGTGAACTCGAGAATATGGAACGAAGATACTCCAGTCTTAACGATTCTATATCAAGTTACGACGCTAGTATATATTCAGCGGTATCTCTGTGTTAAGACGCCAGAAGTCATCACTCATGACCAGACGCGCGGCAATGGGCTGAGCCAACGTTACATGCTGCAAACCCGACTGTCCGGGACGCCGCTGGTACAGCTCTGCCCGAAACTAAATCTGCAGCAAAAGAAGAGCATCGTACATTGCATCACCAAGTTCATGCTCGCTCTTTACAACCGAGAGATTCCTTGTGCAGGCATCATCTCACCAGACAACACAATACCAATCTCTGCCGCCCAAGGCTCGATCAGATACCGATCCTGCGCCCTTTCTCTTCGGCGACCGCGACTAACGAAGTCCACACCGCCCCCGCAACCCCCCAGACCACGCGCGCCTTCCTCATCTCGCTCTGCGAGCGCCAACGCGAATGGACGAAGAAAGCCGGGCTTGGCGTGAACAACAAGATCTGGGACGGCTTCGTGTCGATGATCACCCGCCTGCACGAGCTTGGCTTTCTCCCCGGCAACGAAGCCTTCCACTTCTCCCATGGGGCCCTACATCCTTCCAACATCCTTGCCGAGGTCGCCAGCGAGATCAGCATTCGCGTGACTGGCGTGCTGGACTGGGATCTCGCCTGCTTCATACCTGAATTCGTGTGCACACGTCCGCTGTTTTATCTCTGGGGCAAAGGGGGCGCGGAAGATGACCTGGAAGAGATGGCGACGTTTGATACTGAGGATGGGGAGAAGTCGGAGCTGAAGTGTGAGTATGAGCGTGCGGTCGATGACCAATTTGGTGGCTGGGCTGCGCCTGAAGTTGTTCTCGCACGGAACATGTATCATTGTTTGACGTGGGGAATCGTGGAGCCGGTGGATAAGATGGAGGCGAAACTGGTGATTAGGCAGTTTGAGACGTTGTTTTCTAAGGAGTCTGGACGGCGTGATCATGTCTATGTGAACCCTTCCTGATATGTGGCCGTTGTTGCTCCAATCCGACTTGAACAGGGGTAAGCCTCGCGTGGTCAGTAGCCCACAAAGAAATCCTACTGTCAAATATGGGAGGATACCTCGTCACAATCAATTACGCGTTCTAGGCCCAGTATCCTGATTGTGAATCCGTGTTGCATTCCGTGATTCCGGACACTTGACTAGGAGCAGAAGAAAGCTGCTACTTCGATGGCGGCTTCTCCCCAGCCTCGACCTCCTTGTCCAATACAAAGACACTCCCATACCCATCCTTAATCACCTCATCATCCACGATCATCGTCACGAAAAACTTCGCCTTCCTATCACCAACACATTCGCTCCTCTGGTGGTGGCACCCTGGCGCCTCGTACCAGAATTCACCGACGCTGGACGTAATGGGTTCGTTGCCGTTCATCTGGTTCAAGGAAGTACCCTCGATAGGTACAGCAACGATGGCTGCGCCACCGTGGCGGTGAGAGGGAGTCGCGCTACCTGGGGACATCTCGACGGTTCCAACGACGATCGTTTTGCCGGGCAGGTTGGAAGGGTGGAATGTTTGGAGGATCTTGAAGTCTTCACGTGGCTTTCTGGTGACACTAGTCAGTATAGTTGTGCTGCTTAGAGTATATCGAATGTACCCTTCAATCTGCCATACCCCATCCACTTTGATGACGTTTGGTAATTTGAGTTCACTCATAGTGATCTTTGATGCTGCAGTCTGTGGAGATGTAGTGATTTTTAGAAACTGGTGCTTTTGCGCTTTACAACGATGGCACCTTCCACATGCAATTATATAGTTTATTATACGTCCAGTCGATGTATGATGCTCGGTAAGCCATAACATCATGTCCCCTAGTCGGTTGGATTGCGCAAGCCGCGAAGCTCAGAACCAATGGCTCTGATGCCGACACAGAGCTACCGAACGCCGAGTGACCGAAAGCATTTTGCGGGACGGTAGACCGCCGAACCCTTCTCAAATAATCTTCATATGAGCTTATTGGAACAACGTGACATGCAAAAGCGAAGTTCGGCCGGGTTGACGTTGCTTGAGATGTACTCGTAGAGTGTATCGTCCATTCAAGGAAAGTGCACACGCGACACATAGAAAATGACGTCACTCGGAAACCTCCGACTTTTCCCTTCGCCACGAACGTCTCAACTACTTCGAAAGATAGCTGACTTACGGTCTTGTTGCCCTGACCAAAAAACCTAACACCAGACATGTCCTTCCGCACCACCTTCTGCGCCATCTTCGTTATAACAGTCGCGCACGGGTTCGCGCTACAACACGAAGATGCAGCACAACACCCCCTGCGGCCTTTGGAATCAACAATCGACGATGTAGATTACATTTCCCATCATTGGGGACAACTGTCCACGTACAAATATAACGCGCCAGGACTATTCGGCGTGAAGAAGGTCGGGCTACCCAAGGGCTGCCAGATCGAGCAGGTGCATCTGCTGCAAAGGCACGCTGAGAGGTTTCCCCACCCAGGGGATGCACAAGACGGCTTGAATATTGAGAAATTCACCGAGAAGGTTGTAAAAGCTCCCAACGACGGCAAACTTTTCAAAGGTCCTCTGGCCTTCCTGAATTCATGGCGGAATACTCTTGGTGGTGAATATCTCACTGGCACTGGTGCCATGGCTGAGATAGCGTCTGGTGTTCAATTTTGGAATCTATACGGCCGACTACTCTACAATGCTTCGGAAGGACAGCTCGGATACCAACCCGAGGACGTGGATAAGAGACCGTTACTACGGACCCCCTCGCAAAGTAGGATGCACAATAGTATGATCAACTGGGCTTTGGGATTCTTCGGGCCTAGCTACCAGGAGTCTGCGCAGTTTTCATCAAATTGGACTGACGCTTTCCGCACACTCATCATACCCGAGATTGATCCCGGGCCGTGGAATAACACCCTGGCCGGTAAGCATGCTCCCAGATGCCAAACTTTTGGGCTATCGCTAATGTTATGCCAGCTCATCATTGTTGCAATAACTCCGAAGCACACGGTATTGGTACTATTGGAGATGACTATATGTGGAATTATGCAGGCCTTTACCTACCCCATGCCACAAAGCGTTTGTCGAAATATATGCCTAAGCACTTTGATCTGGAAATCAAAGACACATACGCCATGCAGCTCCTCTGTGCCTACGAGACTCAGTTCCTCGGGGTTTCTGAGTTCTGCAACCTCTTCACTCGCGACGAGTGGGAGGGCTTCGAACAGAGTCTGGACATTCGCTTCTTCTACAAGCATTCATTCGGAAATCCGACGGCACGATCCCAAGGGATCGGATATGTGGAAGAATTGCTTGCGCGGCTACAGGGGAAGCTCATCACGGAGAGCGATACCAGTGTTAACAGCAGTCTCACAGATAACGAAACAACGTTCCCGTTAGGCATGAAGTTCTACGCAGATTTCACTCATGACAAGATGATTCTGGCTGCGATCACCGCGCTGAGTGTAGACTATTTCAGGCAAGTACCAGATCTCAAAACGTATCCGCCAAGGAAGGACCGCCTCTTCCGCGTCGCGCATATGGCCCCGTTCACTGCACGACTAGTCACAGAGGTGATCGGATGTGATTCGGCTCACCCAAAGCCTGAACAACATGAACGCGTGCATTACTACGCGTCGCAGTACGGTTACGACAGCGACGAAGGTTCGAGTGACTCGAAGCACCGATTTGTGCGCATGAGGCTAAATGGCGGGCTACTGCCCTTGTCATCGATCAGGGGAGGTGCCTGCAAGGGACGCTCAGATGAAATGTGTCCGCTTGAGCAGTTCATCCAATCTCAACAGAAGGCAAAAGAGCGCGCAAATTATCGAGAGGCTTGCTTTGGCGATTACAATGTGGTGAATGACGGGCGGGACGTGGACGGAACAGTTCCGAAGTGAGAGTCATACAAAATGATGGACATGCCTGTGATTTTCGAAGTAATCGATTTGGTGGTGCCGCAATTCGAAGGGCGCCTTCGCCATTAGGTCACGGTGAGCTACGAATGTTCTTGGATACCCAGTGCTGCAGGCGGTGCGCAGCCTGTTTTCAGTTGTCACATTACCTAGTTGATGAGTAGTTTGTCGTCTAAATTCAGCCTTGAAACTTAGTGGTCAACAGGTTGGTAAGAGGATGTGATGCTCGGAGATCGTTCATTTGCCACGTAGGCACGGCTATCAGCCCTCTCGTACCTCGACTCGTAAAACTGAGAGAGTGATCGTGGTGCTCAAAAGTAAACGTGCCCCCCGGATCCGATCTCTTGGCACATGACTATGCGAGTACCAAGGGCCTGGGTAACATTTGAAGACGCGCTTGTTGCTTCCTACCGCGTCGGCTAATCTTACTCTTTTTGTGACCCATTTTACGACACCTCCACCTTTTTTTGGCAGCCTGCGTCTCGCAAACTCACCATGCCGCCACTCGCGGCGTCGGACACGCGCATACCGAACGCTTTTGGATCGTTGCCAGTGGAGCTGTTCCTAAATATCTTGGACCAACTAGTCGGCACTCGCGACGGCCGGTTACCTGTTGCCTACGAACCCTCGCATTCAGCTACAAAAGCGCTGCGCGCCTTAACCCTAGTATCAAGAGCAGTTTATCTATGCGCATCACGATATCTATATGCGAATTGCCTGTACTTGAACGATGTCACGAGGCATCATCGCTTCCGCAGAACGCTGGGCCTGGAGTTGGGCCATCACCCGTTAGCCCTCGAATACAGTCAGGCCGGGCGGAACGAAGACTTATTCAATGAGGCCGACATCCCGCAACATGTGGTCTCTCTGTTCATATCACCAGAGAAGACGCAGAACTGCGGGATGACGCCTCGGGTGCGCCTGCCTCAAGTCATAGACCTTTGCCTCGCCGTGGGATCAACCTTGAAGCGGCTCGCTATCGACTTCAACCCAGTCTACGTGCCCGCGTCAGAGCAGGTGCTGATGAAGCCCCACTGCAGAAGTCGCAACATCTTTCTCCACATGCTGAACCTCGAAGAGTTGGTATGCAGCTACGACACGTCGGACTATTTTCGGTACCCGCCGCCCAACTTAAAGCGTCTTGCGATGACTGCGAACGATATGGAGCCTTCTCACCTCGACTTCTACTTCATGGTATCTTCTCTGGAGACGCTGTTCATTCTTCGCCCCAAGAATCTCAAAGCTAAACACATCGACGAGTTTTTCGACAGGTACAATGGGAAGCACATCGACATTGTGTTGGTGGATGTGAACAACAATCACCGCACGCCACCGTCCACCCGGGACTGGTCATCAGATGACCGAGTGACGATATGGGAGGCTGACGTTCCGAGGAGTTTCTATGGCGATGACGAGGACTTGATCTTATGCGATGAGTGGACATGGACGCATGGGGTCAAAGGAGACCTGTGGGACCAGGATAAGAGGAGAATGCGAAGTTGGAGTGAGATCGAAAGGTCATTGGCAGAGCCGGCGCTGTAAAGGCTTCCTTCCGGAAACGACGGACGAATGCATATTGACCCTACCCTTTACGAAACTTACGATACAACGACCATCGACCTCATGGACTGGATCCGACAGCGACTTCATTTTCTTCCGAGCCGCCTCACTTTGGTGTACGATCTGGTATTGCTCAAAATGATGATTGGAATGTTGCCACCAGCTTTGTCCTCATAACAAGAGCACTTGACTGCCCCAAACTGGGGCTATCTTTCTACCATTGGCTTCGGTCTGTTTGTATGGCTACAGTTTGGATCCTGCTTTCTTGATTAGGCGACTGGGACATTTACTGATTTGTATACCTCTGTTCTGATACGTGTGGTTCTCTGTCCATGAATTCATCATAGCAGCCCGATACCATTCCATATCTAGGTGTGCATCAAACACTCACTGGAGGCTCGTGATAAAGTACTCGACAATTTTTGCAATGTAGCTCCTGTGGGTGGGGATCATCTTCAGATCATCAGCTTTGCGATCATTGTCGTTCCAAAGTGATGGCAACAGTTCATTGAAGGCATTCTGGCCGGGCGCACCCCTCTTCCCACGTCACTATCGACCGATAGACAAAGGTGGGGGTGAATTCTGGTTCGCGTCCATGTCGCTTTCCACCACGAACCCCACCAGTGCACCACTGTCCACGTCGCATGGGAGGGGTAGCCGCGGGGTCGAAAGCAATACCACTCAACTGCATAAAACCGCTCCGAGAAACAAGTAGTTGTGACTTACAACAACACCATCCTAGCATATCGCACCTTCCTTAGTCATCCCGTTGTCTCTTGTCGCCGCTCTTAACTCCGCAAAATGGTTGGCGTCGGCGAAGCTCCCCCGATCCTCGACTTCTCAGGTACGGAATCCATCAGCCAGACACAACGACATTGAGCACTAACACCGACTGAAGCTTTTTACACGGGCGATGCAGCGGCAAAGAAGAAGCTCGTCGACGACGTGCGCAGCTGCTGCCTGCACAATGGCTTCTTCCAGATCACCGGGCACAACGTGCCGCGGGAGCTGCAGCAGGGCATCATGGACTGGAACAAGAAGTTCTTTGACCTGCCGCTGGAGCAGAAGATGGAAGTGAGCAAAGGTGCGATTTTTATCATCCTGTCTTATACCTTGCTGACTGTGGTGCGTGCAGACACAACGAACACGTGGAACCGTGGCTACGAGCTGCTCAAGTCGCAAATCCTCGAAGAGGGAACCCTGCCCGAATTGAAAGAGGGCTTTTACATTGGCGACGAGATCTCAAAGTCGCACCCGTACTTCATCAACAAGAAACTTAATTCCGGTCCCAACATGTGGCCCTCGCCATCGACCCTGCCCGAAGTTGCCGACTTCCAGAAAACCGCGCTCGCATATTACTACCAGGTGGTCGACCTCGCAAAGGACATACTCAAGGTGCTCGCGCAGACGCTTGACCTCGAGGAATCGTGGTTCGACGAGTTTAGTGAGGGCGCCGTCGCGACTATGCGCCTGCTGCACTACCCCTCACAGCCTCCAGACAGCCCGCAGAAGCTCACGCGCGGGATTGGCGCGCACACGGATTTTGGCACCATAACGATTCTGCTGCAGGATAAAGTTGCGGGGCTGCAGGTGCTGGACAACCAGACGAAGGAGTGGCTGGATGTCGAGCCGACGCCCGGCGCGTTCGTGGTGAATCTGGGCAACTTGATGATGCGGTGGAGCAACGACAAGTACATTTCGAATACGCATAGGGTGATCAATCAGAGTGGAGAGGAGCGGTACAGCATTCCGGTGTTTTTTTCGGGGAATCCGGATTTTGTGGTTGAGTGTCTGCCGAATTGTAGGGCGGAGGGCGAGGAGGCGAAGTATGCTCCTATCACAGTAGAGCAGGCGGTGTTAGGTGGGTATGCAGATAGCTACGGGCGGGCAGAGAGATTCAAGAAGGATGCGGCTGCGAAGGCGAGTGCGGTGCCGTCGGCACAGGGGGTTGCTGTCGCGTAGATGTGTGTAGGATCAATCCTGTTAAGATTCATGCCCCATACAATTCAGAGTCCAAAACCACCCCTATATACCTGAGACGCCAGTGCGCAGCGTCTTCCGCGTTATCCAATAAAGTACAAGCCGTATCTACATCACCCTAAAGCTCCTGCAGAATCCACACCCCATCCTCCTCATCCTCCTCCTCGTCTTCCACCTCCACGTCCACCTCTTCACTCCCCTCACTATCAAGCTCATTCGTGTCGCAAATCTTCCAAAACGCCGTCGGCCCGGCAGGCCCATGCGGATCCATATCCTTATCGAACCACGTCCCGATGACGCCACGCTGTGATCGCACACCACCGACCTGCACACCTTCGCTGCGCCATCGCTCCTCTCCGCTGTCACACGTCAGTAATACTCAATTCTGTGCAACGTGCAGGACAGATTCTACTTACCCGTAAAATACCGAGATGGTCCGCCACCGTACCTCGCCCTCGGGGGTGAGGCGCACTGAGCCGCGAAGCTTCGAGTTGGCATTCGGGTCGCCGTACAAATCTACCGAGCGGGATGTGCCCGTGAACTTGACGATGGGAAGCGCCCGGTTTTCAAATTCCCCTGGGGCAAGCACTTCCGTGACCTTCAGGTCCATGACGATGTGCCGAATCGCCTCCTCCGTCTGAATGGGCTCCCTCGGCTGGTCCGGCGGCACTTTCATCGCCTCCGAGTTGAAGTTATAGTGGTACAAGTCGTTGTAGTCCAAGAAGCATACGATACGAGACCACACGCCGGATACGTTATACGGGTCCCTCAACGACAGCGGGATCTCAGGCTGCGTGTAAAGCTTAGGCGGGTACGCAGGCAAGATCCTGTCGCGAGCGGGGAGCACGCCCTCGAGGGGCGCCGTCCAGGGCGGGCGGAACCGTTGTATGAACTGCCGCCCGCAGAGGCCCGAGTTGTAGCCCAACACGATCATCAGGCTCTCGACCATTTCCCAGTCTACGCGCATGCTGCCGTCGTCGCGGAAGGGGCCCCAACCGGTTTTGTCGGTGTAGTTGCGGAGGTCATAGACGCGGGAGCGGGCGTAGGGGTGGGTAGAGAGGACGCGGTTGCCGACGTTGCCAGAAGGGATGCCAAAGAGGCAGAGGAGCTTTGCGGATAGTTGGCGGTCTTCTTCGTCGTCTGCAGGCTTCTGGCTTGCCTTGCCGCATCGGTCATAGAGCGATGAACGGCAGAGGAAGGCGTCGTGGTTTTGGTAAATTGGCTGGAAGAGCTTGGTGATCAATTGCTGGTTGTGAGAGTTGCCGAGGGCATCTGTTGAGCCTGTGGCAATGAGGGTCTCCAGTGTTGACGCGATAAATCTGAACTCGTCGCGCTGCTCTGGTCAATACGCCTCTACCTTTTAAAGCGTACATTCCTACCTTCAGATCACTATTGGCGGATTCTAGCATCTTTCTGCACCTGACGAGCCTCTGCAGTTGTGGTATCCACGCTGGTTCCGGATCGGTCGGCCGTCTCCTTGGGTCATCCTGCCTTGATCAGCTCCCCGCAACCATTTTCCCCTCTCACTCTGGCACACGTACAAAGTTTTTCAGGTACTGCGCTTTATATAATCTCGTGTTTTTCTTGATAAAATCATTAAAGCCGTTGGACGTTTGCGCGCACCGACCGACATCCTCGGGGTCTATCTCTTCCAGAATTCTGATAAGCACATCGTAGCATAGATCTAGTAATTCCGTCATATTTGCAGCTTGGAGGCTTATCACTGGGAAGGGGAGGTTGCTGTGTTCGTTCCAGAGTCAATGTCGTGATGTACAGTAATCGGGTGGGGTTCAACCCCGGAGATAAGGGCCGGGGTTTTGGCGCTTCGGCTAGCCCCACCTGCACATGTCTGGCATCAGGACAGAGATCTGTATGCACATATTATACCAGATCAATGACCACAAGCCTCAAATGCTATTGTATGCACGAGAGGCACAAGCGTGGACCTATCACATCGTTCATTGACCCAGGGTTATAGCTCGGCTAGTCCCTACCAAAGGAGATACACTGAGGCCCTGTCTGCCACCAGCGTCCTACCCCATGAGCTCGATAGCACGACCACATCCTTCAGAAAGTACGACAGATCCAAAGGAACAGCGTTTTACTTCATGAAAGACTCAAACATTCCATCGAAACCACCTTTAGCTGTTGGCTTTACACTGGCATAGTAGAGACGAATACTCGCATCTGGACCAGCATCGCTTACACGATTGATGAGATAGCCCCAGTCGCCACCTTGGGTTATTTCATTTTGTTAAGAGATACTTGTGTTCGGAGAATTGCCAGATACTATACCTGTCATACCCAGGTTGCAACATCAGCTCATGACAAATATCAGTATGCTGCAAAATTCCACAAACCCGGCTTCGAAGTGCGCTGCGAAAACCCAAATTAGGCAACGAAGGTGCCACGACATGGGAGCCCGGGGTATCGTCGTCCCTGGACTGTATGAGCTGCGGCATGATTTTGATTACCTCCACAAAACTGACCGGCCAGCCTGCTTTTTAAGTCATCAGATTCGACGCTTTTCTGATAAAATTTTGTTAGACCTAGTGCTACGGGGATCTCCAGAGTTTGATGTTCTTGCGCACTGAATGTTGCACGCCATATAATCAACATCGCTATACAATAGCGCTCCAAAATAAGTTTTCACATAGCTGTAAGAGAAGGTTTAATCTTTGCCTCGCAAGAAAGAAAGGGGGGGGTGGTTTTCTGCAAAACCATGTGCAAACCCTCGCCCAGCATACAACGTCGCCGCTATCTCACTGACCGACATTTTCATGAAATACCGGATTTCGTTGGAAACGCGTTCTTGGCCAACGAGAGTTGCCTCGGATTTTCTTTTTATCACGAACAAAGATTATGAGTAAGATTCAGAGCAGCGTATACCAGTCGCGCGAGATCATAGCAAGGCTTATAGTTCACAAACTTGAATGATCGAGAGGTTATAGGGAAGCGAGTTCAAGAACATTTCGTTGTTTGCTAGCTGGTGTCAAGATGGTGGAGGTGTTCAATTTGACATTGAGGACTGAACAGAGCCAACCCCATATTTGCAGATACGGTTCTTTACAAAGGCTCTCGCAGTTTCCCGAGAATTAAGTCGCTACCGTAGTGGGGTCTTTCGATCCGCCAGAACCATTCCATACATCTTGAAACGTAGGACCAGGAGGATATACCCATGGATCCGACCGAACTGAAACAACAGTGGATCCGTCCCTTTCTTTGAGCTCTCCTGGTTTGGAATCGTTAGCAGTGTTGACAAGCTCACTGACTGATGGTGTGTGATCGGGAGATGGAGAGACTGAGTGCGCATCCCCAAACACGCTCGCAACGGATCTAGAGATGCTTCCCACAACATCCTCACGGAAAGAGTTTCAGGTAAAAGTAATACATATATAACGTGGTACATACCAGGTAGCAAGACCGGAGAGCCTGCGGTAAGCTTCACCAGGGTGATGAACAAGACTGAGGCATAGACCATGATGAGCATCTTGGAAACAAGAATTGAGTGGTTATTGGGCTAACTTCAAGCTCGGATGAAGATGGGAAGATAGAAATATCTGATCAAATGTAGATGTGGGATCGACTGTAGATATATATGCCTCGAGGTCTCAATGGTTGCATTACGGGCACCGGGAGCTGCTCTGCATAAGCAGTTGTGCGCCTCGTTGCCCAAACGCATGTGCCGGTTTCTCTTGGTCCCGAGAGAGGAATGAACGATCAGTTTTGATAACAGAACTTCACATGCAGACCGGCAACAGTTCCGAGAATCGCCACTTACGATACTTTCCTAAGAAGAGGGTTGCTATACGCTCAGTTGTAGAAGTAGAGGTCGACAGCTATGAACGTCAATCGTTTCGGGATCTTTAACGAGGTTTTTAGATTGCGATGGAGCTCTGAAACCCCTTTACGCACATTTCGACGTGCACCATTATAAGAAAAGGGATGATTGTATTTTCAGCTTACACGCAGGAATGCAGTTGCAGGCGGTGAGCCGAGACTGCAACACGTTGCACAGCTTGGAATGCTGCCTTACCTTGGTACAAAAGTCACGTTGATCGCCCTGGCTCACGGGAAGGAATGAGTTTGCCTTGCGCGTATCTAACATAGCAACCGATTTATACGACGCCTATTGTACCGAAACAGGTGACATTTGCTCGTTTGGTCCGGAAATATATTTTTCCTTGGAGCATGTCTAGTCCGCAGCCTCTTGTGTTTTCGCCTTCCGGAAGCTGGGATGGGAACAACGGAAACTGGAGCACAGTTGTGGTACGCATCGGTACGCCAGAGCAGGACTTCCGTGTTCTCCCAGCTCCCATTACTGGAGAGATCCTGGTGCCTGATTCCGAAGCATGTCAAATGAGCAAAGGCGACCTTCCCAATTGCGGCGCTCTCCGTGGTGTTGTCAATGCTAGTCATAGTGCAGGCTTCTCATTCAACGCTTCCGAAACGTGGGACCCACTGGGAAAATTCATGACCAACATTCATTGCGAGCTTGGATACGCCTCAGGTGCAACTTTTGGCACAGATAATGTTGGTCTGATGGTCCAGAATTCGGGTGGCCCAACACTCCAAGATCAGGTCGTGGGTCTTCTGGGGAAGTCGCCATTCTTCACCGGGTTCTTCGGTCTGAGTCCAAAAGCGGCCAATTTCACGAATTACAATGACCCGCATCCTTCCTATATCACAACGCTGAAGAATACCCGCCGAATCCCCAGTCTGTCGTACGGATACACAGCAGGAGCATTCTATAGTGAGCAGTCTTCTGTAACAAATGCAGTATTCCTCTGACAGCGCCAGGACATGCATTTGCGAGCCTCACACTCGGAGGGTACGACGAAAGTCGGTTCGAACCCAATCTCAACATCACGTTTCCTTTTCATGGCGATGACGAGCGACCGACCAGTATATATCTGCAGCAAATTATGGCAGAGAACACACCCAATGGGACAGTGAGCATCCTCAGAGACAAGATATTCGTGAATCTTGACTTCACGCTGCCTTTCCTCTGGCTTCCCACTGATGCATGCGACCGCATCGCATCACTTTTCAAGCTTCGATACGACACTGTACACAACCTCTACTTAGCAGAAGACAACGTTAATGCAGAGCTCATGGAGAAGAACGCCCAATTCACATTCGATCTCGGTGACTCTGTACATCCAGCGGAAAGAGTCTCTATCGTCATCCCGTACAGCGCTTTCAACCACGGTCTTTCGTGGCCCATCTACAACAGCACGACCAAGTACTTTCCAATGAGGCGTACAAATGGGACGCACTATACATTGGGAAGAGCTTTCATGCAGGAAGCCTACATCATTGTGGACTACGAACGAGACAGCTTCTCTGTACACCAAGCGTCGCAGTCCATATCGCAAGAGCAAAAGCTGGTTGCTATTTCAGCCAAGGACCAACAAGAGATTGCCCAAAGCCAGCGCGAGAGGAAGACATTGAGTTCAGCCTCGATCGGAGGGATCACCACAGCCTGCATACTAGGAACAGCAGCCTTCCTTGCTCTAGCGATCCTTCTTTTTCGACGAAGAAGCCGATCGCACGGGACAAGTCGCATGAGCATCGATGGTACATACACACAGAATGAACATGAAGGCCATGGTGGTCTGGATCGCCAGCTCATGAGCACTGAGGTTGTAGAGATTCAAGGGCCTGTAGCGCAGATGCTCCAGGCCAGACATAATGCTGAGCTCCAGGAAACTGCTCGAGAGCTTCCTGGTAGTGGTATCACCCTGAATCATTGTGGGACTGTTTTTAAGAATGAAGAAACAGACGGAAGATTTGAGCTGAGTGCTGACAGAGAGCCACGAGGCGGTGGGAGATGAAAGACTTGATCTTACAAACTCTACTTTGCATCTCAACCTTTAGCATGCCGAATCTACTATGGTGCCCACGCCCAGGGAAGCTGTTGCCAGTGCTTGCGCCGGTCTGGCCGGTCGCGGACGCTCGGCTGACCCCACCACCATCTTTCCGAGAAAGCGGGCGCTAGCGCATCACGTGACCAGCGATTACCAAAGGCTTTGAAGTGCCGTCTGCGCTGCTTGGTCAGGATTGTCAAAGCAAAACGGCCGCCAAGCGTCTTTCGATTCGCCGCTTTCTAACGCCTTACACAAGCCGTCATCATGGCTGCAACTTCCTCGAGTATTTCTAGCTCCTCTTTCGAAGCTTCTCGATACCATCCCTGCTACAAGTATAAGTAGATGACGCGCAATCGATGAAGACATTCTTCTCCATACTTTTCGCCATCGCAGCAATTGCAATCGGAATCTACAACAACGAGTATATGCTTTCACGCTTCACACAGCTATCCAAGCACGTCCGACCAGCTCTGAACGTTAAAAACACCACATACGCAATGACGACCAACACCACGTTCAAGGGATTGCCCGTCATCCCTGACGAACCCCTCACTACGACTGCCCCGCGCAAAATCCAAAAGTCCTTCCTCGCGATCGAACAATCCGAAGGCGCCGGTGCGCGAGTGCGAAGGTCTATCGGAACTCCCCAGCTCCGCAACTTCTCGCCATTCCTTATGCTGGACCACTTCTCGGTTCCGCCGGGTGCTGGTTTCCCTGACCACCCTCATCGTGGCCAGGAGACCATCACGTACCTGCTGTCTGGCGCCCTCGACCACGAAGACTTCGCAGGGCACGCAGGCTCCATCGAAGCAGGCGATCTGCAATTCATGACCGCCGGACGGGGCATTGTACATGCCGAGATGCCTCGGCAGAACGAAGACGGCTCGCCCAACGTTGGTATGCAACTCTGGGTTGACCTCCCGAAGGAATTGAAGTCCTGCGAGCCGCGATACCGAGACCTGCGCGCAAAGGAAATACCCGAGGCGACCGGCGACAACGGCAAAGTGAAGGTCAAGGTTATCAGCGGGCGCGCGTACGATACCGATTCGCTTAAAGAGCTGGCATATACCCCGGTGTGGCTGCTTGACTTCACTGTCCAGCCTGGCGGCCACGTCAAGCAGGCGCTTCCCAAGGGCTGGAACGCATTCGCATATCTGCTCAACGGCACCACTATTTTCTCGTCCGAGGGTGTGTCGCGGCCTGTCCCTCAGTACCACAACGTGGTCTTCGGGACCGCTGGCGACAGCATCGAAGCCACCGTCGAGGAAGGCGCAGAGACGGCGTCGCGCTTCATCCTTGTCGCGGGAATGCCGCTCGACCAGCCCATCGTCCAGTACGGACCTTTCGTCGTTACTAGCCGCGATGAGGTCGTCCAGGCCATGACCGATTACCAGACGCACTCAAACGGGTTTGAGCGCGCGTACAACTGGGAGTCCGAGATTGGAAAGAACATGGTTCATTGATCGCGTTTGTTAATGTAAAATTGCTTTCTGTACATAAGTTTAGATACCTTGGCTGCTCTCGCTCAGCCTCTTCCTATGACATGAATTTCTTTATCAATGGTTTCTTGCATTCCCTGCGCGACTGTTTCCTGATAGCATAGCAATGCGGAGTACATCGTCGCGGCTACCACCCTACCAGCGCAACAGAGCATCTTTATATCTATCTACCGTGCTATCTTCATTCTACGAAGCAAGGTCCTCTCTGCATGCCGCCCATCCCCTGGCTCACTCTACACCTCACATCTCCCCGACACGCCCGTCTCTCCCATCTCCTCTTCACCTCCCCTCACGGCCGCCCATCCGCACGCTTCCTCTCCTCGAGTCCGGCACCTACAAACTGCACATCCCATGCCTGCTGCTCTATGACCGCGCGTGCGAGCCCTCGCTAACAGCTACGTCGATGACACGCGCAGATTGGGAAACGCCGTGAAGGATAACAGTGTAGGGAATATATGCAAACTCGGCTGTCCGGGTGTTGAGGTCGGATCCGCGCGGCCAGCCTGGTAGTTTGGCATGTCCGGCTCGAGGCAGCTGGATGACTCCACACAATCCTATGGCTTGACGTTTCGTTAGTCTGCTTATTGACGTATGTGTATCGACTTATCAATCAAGGTTGTGAGATGATGGTGAGGTGGAGAAGGAAGAAGGTCGTGGACCTACGCACCTTATCGCGTTCCCTTGCTACGCTTACGCGACCATCAGAACGAGCTATACTCTCAAAGCAACAAGGGTGTACACAGCTCGACGACAAAAGAAACTCTAGTTACTATTTGAGTCCTTGAACGGCAACATGTCACCACCTACGCTTTCTCATATCTCATTTCCCGAATCCAGCTCTTTCAAACTTCCCAAGCTCGAGAAGAATGAATGGCAACGCCTTGCCCGGACAGACATGACTCTTATTATACCTTGGCATCATAAGGGTATTAGGCTAGGTACAGGCCACCACTCCGTCCTGCAGCTTACGGAGACGCCTTGGGCTACCGAGACACCTTTCGATCTCCGAGATCTTCTTTTGCAAGCGAAGATATTCCGGCCGAGCAGGGAACTCCATCGTCGTTTGTTTCAAGGGAGACCAGCAGGAAAGAATAGTCGGATGACCATACTGAGTTAGGGTTTGGGGTGGGCATCCAGCCAGCGATTCCAGTGATCGAGGTGAGCGTAACGGGGTCGTACGACAAGCCCCTTCACGTAGCAAGATATGACGAGAACTGCAATAACAAGCCCCTCAGTCATGGTACCCTGTGCGTGTAGACCTCTCACAAGTCTCAACGAGGCGTATTAATACTAAGACCATGGCAGCCTACATACGCTCTGGTAAAAATCTGAAGTCGATGTACGTCTCGTTAGCCTTGGTTCGGACGCCTATGGGAAGACCCTGGATGAGCTGCAGAAGGCTGCTGAGGAGATATTTGCGAACTCTGACAATCTCATGGAACGAGTCGCAGATGTGCTGAGGCAGCACGGACTGATCATTGGCAGTTTTGTGACATTCGAGAAATGCGAAAAGTCGTGAGACAGGAGTGGTGGTGAAATTGCTCGATACCATTGGCGCGTTTGAGGGATGTGACCCAGTGGCATTACTACGATAACATATAGGAAGAGCTATCGAATTTAGATTTCGTGAACCAAGATCTATCATAGCTTGTAGAACCCTGTGCCTCTTCTCCCCTGTGGTGCTACTCCCAAGGTCTGGTCTGGGTTTCGCTTACTTCGCAACCATCTGCGGAAGGGCACATCCCATTGGGCTTCATCGTCAAGAGCTGAGTCCAATATCCAGGTGATGATGATTGTCAGTCCGACCACACTAAGCGCCGAGACCCAGTAAACCCAGAACTGACCCTTGTTCGGAGCGTAATTGTCCTGCATGCTGAAAAGACTTGATGTGTATGCTAGCGGCACGAACAACAATGCCAGCAGATTCAAACGCTTCACTCGCTTCGCTTCTTCAAGGTTCTGCCGATTTCCGGCGATGCTCGCTAAACCCGTCATGGACTGCATCAGAGTGTCCGCCCGCTCTTTGAGAATCTTGAGACGGAAGTAAATGTACTGGAAATCCTTTTGGCAATCCGTCCAGTCTACGCGTCGTCCGCTATCTAGCACATCAACAGGGTACCCCAGACTGAGCAGTGTATCTTCTATGTCGTCTCGATAGTTGCCGCAGCGGCGAGAGATCGTTTGAAGCGACTTCCATTGTTCCTGCTCCTCCACCCAAGCAGTAGTCAGGCGAAGCTCAAGGGACGGCAGCATTGCTTTGATATAGTCGACGAGTTGCAAGTAATGCGCAGCTACAATCTTCTTGACAAAAAGGGAGGATCTGCTTGAATTGACCCAGTCATCTGAGAACAGGTCGCTGTGATTCTTGTAATAATGGACCAGATCGCGCAACATAGAGCTGTGTGGATGTTTTAGCTTATTAGCAGCAACCATTCCAGAGACAGTTGGAATGAAGTCGAGGTATCCATCCTGGAAAGGGAAGTTTTTCAACTTCTCCGATGACCTCAGGTCGCTGTATATGCCATTGCGGTATTCTCTGGGTTGCGCATCCAATTCGTCGAGCTGAGGATCGCAGAGAATAACCACTACAGCTCTCAATTAGTCTAAATATCTGCTGGATGTTATTGGACTTACCATCCCAGCCGCCTCCCGATGTTTTTCTGGACCACCAAGACACTTTCCTTCTGAGAATGCCAGTCGTAGAATCCTCTTTGTGCCGCGGCGGCGTCATGCCTACATGTCGCCTAGTCCGTTTACAAAAATAAGGCTTATTCTCAATCGCCTTGTTAAACTGTCTCAATTCACAGTATTGGAGATGAAAGCTGCTTTCAGAGTCGAGGAGAGATGGATGTGGCAACGCGTCGGAGACTGGGGTAAAGTCGTTGCTCCAGACACAAGTCCGTTCCTGCCTCTGGAAAAAGGATGGATTCATCATGAAATGACCACCCAAAATGGAAATGTACTTCTTTGCTAGACCCTCCATGATGTATATCCGTCTTCGATCATGGTTTTCCTTGGATGATGAAACAGCTTCGAAGTGTCTGGCGAGCTGTCCAGGACTCTGAAACTCTGTTATCGCGAAATCGACTTTTTGATTTGGGGGGGCTTCAAGTAGGACTACGAGAGCGTTGTTGTCCGTCAAGGGGTACTTTTCGTTGTTTGGATCTGGTTTCTTGAGACCAGGGTTTGACCCGCTGAGTGCAGCGATGTATTTCTGGTAGGTAGATCCTGGAATGTTAAGCGAAAGCTTCGAACCCATAAGTCGATGCAACAGACCTTCCTCACACAACCAACTGCCAATCGATTCCTCGCTGGGGCGTGTCAAATCAGGGCTGGGAGCGACAACTCTATTGTTCGCCCTCACACCATTTTTCGACTTTTCTGCGAACGGAATCGGTAAATTCCGCATGGATATGTTCGCTACCATGCCGAACAAAGTGAGACAGGAAATCTATCAGTGACAGCTAAAGGCCCATAGAATTGAATTTCTCGCATGAATATCAGCAGCCCTCGCGATAAGCCACAAATTCAGGTAGACAGAGCTGGAGGCTGCCGAATGGGACTAAATCCGGGGTAGCATGAGTGGGCAGAGGGTCGGAGGGATCGAGTCGAGTCTTTAATTTCCAAGCCCATGCGGCTCTATGAGGCGTAGTCTGGGGGCTGGTTTCGTATTGCAGCTCACAGCGCCACGTCATCCGTGCACCGTTCTCGCTTCGAAAATGCCTCAGATGGTGCTGGTGAATCCGTTGTTCATCAGACATTTTCGCAAGGTGTTAGGCAGCTGTGCAAAAGCTGTGAGGAATTGGTCCGGTCAACAATGGCGCACGGCAGAAGCAGCGCTGAGTGGTGCTATACAGATGAGGCATGCGCGTGCACCTTGACCGCAGAAGAGGCGAAGCGAGCTAATGTATGCACAACATCGCATTCGGGATGATGGACGGTCTCGCCTGCAGCCATCCGTGCGTAGCATGGCGATCGAAGCCGCCCGAATCAATAAACTCTTTTCTCAGCCCTCGGGGATCGAGTCTTCGAAGGGTGATTCTGGACGCAAGCGGAGAGAAGATGAGAGCACGATGGAGCTGAAGAAACTGAGTTTCACGATCTGAACGGCGTAATGGTGGCTCAGAAGCTTCGTTTCATCAAAACACATCAAGACTCGCTTATACCAGGCAAAGAAAGATGGTGATACGCGCGGTCGATTTGGAGCATCGAGATGCCTTTCTACAAAGCCCATGCCCTTACTGCGGGGAGAAGGGAGAGACGGGGCGTGGCTGTCGACTTTCGAAACAGAAGGCTGCGCTCAGAGGGATTCCGTGCGCCGGAAGTGGCGAGCAATATCTCTTTTGTTTGCTGGCACTGAGTGACGAAGAAGTATGTACTATTATGGTTGGCATGTCAGGATTCGCAACAAGGTGCGGCCCGCAATCGCTTACGCACCAAACCCAACTTCTGGCTCGCCTCTCCTCACGTGACCTCAGGCACGCTTGGGCTAGGACATGGTGTAGCTTAACGATGTAAATCTTGTTAAGGTGCTAGAGCTACAAGAGCAGTTTCATAACGCAGAGAGCTACGCACTCAAGCTCTGCATGCTGCATCCTTCTTCTTCATTCGCGTTGAAAGCGCTCCTTGACGCGCCCCTCTTAACCACCATGCCACCCTCAAGCCTTGAATTCCTCCCTCACTAACTCCGCGAGCAAACGTACGCTTATCTTGAGCTCCCTGTAGGTGGGAAGAGTATTCATAGTTGCGCCTTCCAAGCCTGCGGACTCTCCGTAGCCGATTCTGTAGCAAGCCACCCTCCCGCGACAAGACACTCTGTCGACATCTGGGACTAGCAATTGCGTCATTGAGGACTGGGACTGATGTTTCTGCAGGTGTAGAGCGTGGACACTGTGAGCGGTTGAGTCAAGGGCGTTGGTATACTTAAGAAAGCCGGCATGCGCTGCGCCATCTTCTTGGTATACAGTGGATGTTTACTACGTGGGCAGCTTGTTGGAAGGAAGGCTGATATTATCGCGACCTTCTAACCTGCCTACAACACACCATGCAACAAAGTATGTAGAGACCCTGTGAGGCAACTGCGAGGGATGCGGTCGTCAATTCTTAGTCAATCCTAGATTGGCAGCTGCCGCTTGCACTTTCGTCAAAACCAGATCCTCACTGATGTCTCCCACTATGGTCTTCGCAGCCGGAAGCAGAACAGACTCTTCGATCTCCGAAAACTTGCCTTGAACCGAGTAGATTAACTGCCCGTGCCTCATCTCATCGGCCATCAAGAGCGCAACTGACCTTGCAACAACAGCAGGCGTCTGCGTCGGAATCACCATCTCTATGAATTCTTTCGGTGCTAAACCAGTCGCCGTCCAGCTCGGGCTGATACCATTGATACGAATCGGCAGCTGCGGATGGAGCAGCGGCTGCAAGCCTCGAATCAGCCCCAAAACTCCGTGCTTAGCCATAGTATAGTCCACCAGACGGAAGCGCTGGAAGCTCGATGCAGAGGCTGTGACAACGATACTACCGCCTGTCTCTTGTCGCCGCATGTAATGGATAGCTAGCGCACATGTGTTTGCGCAGCCTTTCAGATTGATTTGATTGACGAGGTCATCGGGTTCCAGGAGTTCTCCATTGGCGTCAAAATTCTCCTCCAGGTACGTTGTCCTTCCTGAGATTCCGGCATTGGCAAATACGTGATCTACCCGACCGTAATTGCTCTTTGCGGACTTGAACAAGGCGCTTAGCTCGCCCCAGGACGCTATATTTGTCTTCTGGAAGATCAAATTCGGGTGCTGTAAAGGCGGTTCGTTGACATCTCCGACTGCAACAAGAGCGCCGTTATCGAGTAGAAGTTTTACCGTAGCTAGCCCGATACCAGAGGATCCGCCTGCACATGTTGGTCACGATACAATTTCGCATGCCTGATTGCTCTAAACACATACCAGTAATGACAACTGCTTGGTTCCTGAGGGAGGCGAAATCCTCATCTTCGATCTGAACCTCCGTCATAGTTTCGAATCTGTTGTTTTAACGAGACGTTTGTTGGTGCAACATAATGCGGGGACGACTTGGAGTAACTGACTCGAAACCCCACCTCCCACCTCCCATATGTTACATTAGTTGCACCGAGGCATATCCGCATGTATACATGAATGCCATCCATATATTCAACACAGGTCCAGATTTGGTGGAAAAATTCAAACAGAAGCCCATCTCTTCGATCAAATGACGTCTTTTCGGGGGTCGCAAGCAGACATATCAGACAGCACACAACCTTTTCGTCCGGCCATTTCCTTTGCCTCGCCGCTGATCAGCACTCTATGTCTTCTCTTTGAGATATAGAAGATGCAATGTGTGGTCCTGCATCTATATCTAAGGCGTCCTAGACAGGACAAAGAACGCACCATTCTGTCGGATACGCTGTCCCAGACCAGAGGCTTCTATGCCCGACAAAAGAAATCCAATGCACGAGATTGCGGGAGAAGAGACTTTGACTAGGAACAAATGATGTGTGTGCGCAAAGGTTTCTTTCCTCTTCTTTATATACACATAGGCGAACATGTACGAGCTCTCAAAAATGGTGGAGAAAGGATTGTTTCCAGGGGCCGTACCCCATAGGTGACTTGAAGTCTTTTTCTCAAATTAGGCTGGCCCGCAAACTTTGCACTCATGGACATTCTTTCGGACGATTTTCTTGCCAGCGATTAGAAGGATTATGTCTTTTAGATGGCTGGAATGATCCTCTGAAGATCGAAGCGAGCAACGACATATCCTCAAACCCATGAGTGTCCTGTAAAGTATCTTCGGAATCACTGGGCATACTAACGCCCACCTCGATGGCAGGATAAGCCCTTGAACGGAATTTTCATGAGGTTTTACTCACGACTCTTCTGCTAGATAGATAGTTTCAGGGTGGTTTTTGCGTCGCCCTCCCCTCCCCTCCCCTCCCCTGCCGTCTTTCACTTCAAATTGAGCCCACATCGTCTCTCTCGTACCATTTATTTCCATGACTGGGGGTTTTGGTGCACTTTGAGTGCGCCTCAGGCCCCTGAAAACCTGAGTACTACCTCCTCAGGCATTCATTCCACATGTGTTATATCTCTTATATCGTGTAACAAACCGAGCCACCCAGGCAAGACATTTTCACTCCTCGCAAAGCCTTTACAATCGAGAACTACTCCATCACATCGCCATTTCGATCATCGAATTCGGTCCGCCTCTCCTCCACACTATCTCGCAGAAGCAGCGCCTTGCAATGCCCCATGGCATCAGCACTTCCCAGTTTTTGTCTACCTCAAGAAGAGAAATTTGTGTGGAGAACGAAACAAGGGAGATCCGGGAGGCATTCATACGTATTCTGACGGATGTCGTGTGTAGATTATCCAGACTGCGAGGAACGCGCATCGAAGTCGTCGATCTCAGTTCGAGACCGCAGCATCTCTACATCATGGCCGGGGTGGGGGAAGGTGTTCTGTGACCACATCCCCTCCCACACATTCCAAGGGAATAGCACGCTTTTGGTCCTCTTGACGGCAGCCGACCTCGTCCGCGCTGCTCCTAACTGCAGCAAAACTGACAATACCAGCGAGGTTGATTAGGTCCACAACCTCATTGTCGACCACAGCTACCTGGCGGAGGAAGTCCATGGCTGTAGATCATGTTCCTTTCAAGCTAGGTGGTCCTCACGCCACCCTATACTTCTGACGATTGAGAGTCCTTGTTCCATTACTCCTCCCCGCGAATCCTCTCTCCCGTGCATTTTGGTCCCAAAATCCATCCTTTCCTCATGTTTGTCGGTCTTCTTCCTCACCGTATGCCAGCCGATCACAAGGATTGGTCGTCTACCAGTCTCCCTCGTTCCCCCGGATGCTCAAACCCTTAAGTGTTTTCTGGTCAATCGCTCTCCCAAACTACCACATATGATTTAGGACACAGTCTTTCTAGTCTACCAGTCCCCTTCTCCACCATTTGTCCAGGTCAATGGGAGTTGTAGTCCGCCGCGACTTCTCCACATGAATCCGCAATCTGGCCGATTTGAAACCTCCATAGACGAGCACTGGCGCACTTTTAAGTCGCCTTTGGGCAAAGCAGACATGTTGGCAAAGCAGACATGTTGTGTGAAGAATCAAAGTATGTAGATATCGGCCCGCATTTTATACCTCTGTCCCAGGTCGTGGCCATCAAGGTATCACGATCACCATCATCATGGTATATGTCTAGCCTAGTCATCACTGTCACAATCATCAACCCGCAGCAATGAACATTACGCTCTCCATTTTCTGTCTTCCCTACACAACCACACTTCCCTTCACTCCACCCCGACGGTCAACTCTCTCCCGTCCCACCGCTCGTCTCGCAGTGCACACATTAACAATGCAACCACGCCTCTTCCAAGCAAGAAAAACTGTGTCCGCCCGTCTATAGAAAAGGCCTTGAAGAAAAAGAAGAGGAAAAGGGAATACCAAGCATGCCGAACAAAGCACAAAACTCGTGATAGTGCCCAGACAAGGCGTGGAAACGGGAAGAAACCTGACCGTGCCTAAACACCTCCGAATGCAGATTTCATCGTTGTTGCGGAGCTCGAGACGCCGCTACCCTGCGAACCACGCATCCATGCTAATGCGACTACGCTTCGTATCCTCGTCCCGTACATGTCCGTCGTTATATGTCATCTCCGCACCTCGTTTGAGTCGTTTACTGCGACGCGCACTGTACGCGCTCAGCCCCCGGGTGCATCTCGTCATCATCGTCATCCATGCCGCCAGCCATGCCACGAGCGCGGCCGCCTTCCCGTGCAGCGTCGACGGTCTCCAGGGTGAAGTCCTCGACCATAGCGTCGGTGGGAGGTGCAGTAGCAGCTGCTGTGCGGGGTGGCAGTACCGACTCGAGAGCCTTGATTTGCTCTTCCGTCATTGGTGCGCCGTCCTCGCCGCCGAGGCGCTCGGGGAACTTGACATCGAACTGAATGTACAGATTTCCGTAATCGTGGTGACGGTATGAGGGCATACCTTGGCCGCGGATAACCTTGACCTCACCTAGTGAAGGTTAGTTGCTGCTTATGCAAAGTTTCTGAGCATGTGGATGATACGTACCAGGGGTGATGCACTCGCCGGGAATGATGTCGACCGTTAACCACCGCTCGTCGAGGTGCTCAATGTGGATCTTGCCACCCGCAAGGGCAGTAAGCAGGTCAACCTCGGCGTGGTAAAAGAGGTCGTCGTCTTTTCGCTGGAACCGTGGGTGCGGCTTCTGCTCAATCTCGAAAACGACATCTCCAGGCTCGACACCGGGCAGTTGGTCGCCCTCGCCACGGAACTCAATTCGATGTCCGGACTTGACACCGCGGTCGACGTGGACGTGGAGCACCTTGCGCTCGATGATGGTCTTCTTACCGTTGCACTGCTTGCATCGGTCGCGGTCGCGGATGATCTCTCCCTCACCCTGGCAGTCGGGGCAGACGGTCTGGAAGCGCTGGATCATCGGGCCCATCTGGCGCATCATGTGCTTCATTCCGCGGCCATCACAGCCGGCACACTTCTTGACTGCACCCTCCTTACCACCGCGGCCATCACACTTTGGGCAGATGACCGACTTCTGCAGAGCCAGCTTGGAAACCTTGCCGCGGTAGATGTCCTCGAGCGAAACCTTGTGGACGTGGGAGATTGTGCGCGCCTTCTTAGGGCCCTGCTCCCTCGCGCCACCGCCAAACATGCCGCCGAATGGGCCGCCGCCGCCGCCGAAGAACTGGGCGAAGAGGTCCTCAGCAGCCATGCCGCCGCCGCCACCGCCTTGCTCGAGACCCTCCTCACCATATTGGTCGTATATTTGTCGTTTTTCGGGGTCAGAGAGCACTTCGTAGGCATGTGAAAGATCTTTGAACTTTTCCGCAGCGTCGGGGTTGTGTGCGTTCTTGTCTGTGGCGCGTCAGCAAAACCGTAGTGGCCTAGCCTTGGGGAGTGAAAACGAACCTGGGTGGTGCTTCAGGGCGCCCTTCTTGTAGGCCGACTTCAGCTGGGCCTCGGTGGCATCTGGCGACACCCCGAGGATGTCGTAGAACTTCTGGTCTTTGACCATGGTCGCGACTGCAGGGGTCGAGTCGGATGCGTGGAGGGGCTAGTGGGGGTCGTCGAGGTTCGAGTTTTCGGGGGTCGGAAAGGCTGCACGCAAAATGTGCTGTATACTGCAGGAAAGCGCGTTAGCAGAATCCATGGCTCGGGCAGGTGCGACCCTTCTGTGCCTGCCGGGCGCGCGCTGTAGCAGCCGCGACGCTTTCAGGCCAGGCTGAGGCCGCAGGGACGGTACGTACGATTCGCGAACGGGTCTTCGCAGTCCGTGGTGTCTGCGAAGGGTAGGGTAAGGCGCTCGAAGAAGTCGAGGTACTTCACAGGTTCCCAAGGTGGAATAATTGTGTCGAGGGCGAAAGGCTTGGGATTTAAAAGTAGTCAACCGGGATCTTGCAAATGCACCGACTGCGCCGAGCGAGAGAAGATTCGGTGCGATTCCATGCCTTTCCACGGCTAGCCCTGCCGCCTGCACGCCTTTCACAGTGTCGCCAGGGCCTGCAAACCAAATCTACTGCCCTGACAAAGCCGCACAAGCAGCCCAAAATTCAAAATTGCGTCTGGGGCTCGAGCATGCGCGGCCAGAGCGGTTGTTCGCCCCCCCACGCTCCCCTAAAGGAACCGCGCTTCGAAGTTTTAGCGCCACCAGCCTCAACAGCCACATGCGCTCCTCGGCCAGGCGATCTGCAGGGTTCAGCTGCCGTTGTCGCCCGCCCGATTGGCGGGGGCGATTGTGATCTCATGCGAGATCGTTTGTGGGTTGATGTGTCTGGACTCGTAGCCATTGCTTTTTGATTGCCATCTCCCGTAATTACTTCCAAACACACCCGTAAAAGGTAAGCTTACGCTGCAAACATGACTGGTGCTTGTGGAGCCTAAGTCATGCCAGGCTAGACACTCCATCATCGAAACCTCTTCCGGAGACTACTGTGCCGACCAATTCAGCCAAGCATGTCCGAATCAGACGTCGGCTTCAAAGCTGCCTTCGATGAAGCTCACAAGGGTTCTGAAGAAGGCGGTGTCCCTATTGGTGCAGCGCTCGTCAGCGCTGAAGGCAAGCTGCTCGGCTCAGGCCACAACATGCGCATGCAGAAAGGCAGTGCCACACTTCACGTATTGTTGCCTTGCTATCCTTTGTCTCCTCACGCCTAACAATACACAGGCCGAGATATCCGCCTTGGAGAATGCGGGGCGTCTCCCCGCCTCCGTGTATCATGGCGCTACCATGTACACCACCCTGTCACCCTGTGACATGTGCACGGGGGCCTGTGTCATGTACAAGGTGAAGCGCGTTGTCATTGGCGAGAATAAAAATTTCCTTGGAGGTGAAGAATACCTGAAGTCGAAGGGCATTGAGGTGGTGGTCTTGCATAACAAAGAGCTGCAGACTTTGATGAAGAAGTTTATCAAGGAGCATCCTGAAGAATGGTTTGTACAGACTTATCTGGCGAAGGGTTGGCGCTGACTACCGACGCAGGTACGAGGACATTGGAGAGGAGACTAATTGATTATTTCACGAATTTTGAATTAGTTTACAAAGCCTGGAGCAAAGCAGACTGTTAGACGAGAAGATACCCTCTCGAATCCCCGTGTTCGTTGACTTTATGCATTTCCATGCAGCCATACAGAGCACCTCCATCACATGTACTCCATATTCCGACCCAAAAGCAAACGAATGCCATTTCGCCAGTTGGCCAGAAATTGGGGAGTGTGTTGCCCACGTAGAATCAGATACTGCAACCTCTGAAGGACTACTTTCAGTTGGGCTGAACTGCCACACGGATTTTACATTCGCTCTAGAAAACAATTCTTTTTACTGCAATGCTATATCCCGTGGAGCAAATTCTTGCTTGGTTCCCCGCGCATTGCCAAGTCTCTTGCAGAAGGCTCTTCTGATGCTTCGTTCCCCGCCGCTTGACTCGACGCTGCAAGCCTGTGAATTTCCTCAAAGAAGAATTTGAGGTCATCGGGCTTTACAAACGGAGTGATGCCTATATTTTGTCAGCTTTTGCGGTTGCGTCGTATGGTGCAGCATACCATGACCGAGGTTGGCTATCCAGCCCTGCTTCCCCCCGCCGAAACCAGTGACCATCTCCTTGACAACAGTCGTGATGGCTTCCCGTCCGCCGTACAATACACCGGGATCAGCGTTGCCTTGCAGGACCTTGCCGTATTTGCGAGCTATCTTGTATGCATCAGCCGGGTCATGGAGCCAATCCAGGCCAATGGTGTTGTAGCTGGTCTTGCACAGGTCCTCCAGCGCATACCACGCGCCTTTCGCGAAGACTGTCATCGGCACGGATTCAAGGCCGAGCTCTGCGAGCCGCTTCGGTACATTGTCGGCAATGTATGTGAGGTAGGGTAGGGAGAAGGTCTTGAAGGAGGTAGGTGACAGCTCGCCAGCCCACGAATCGAAGACTTGAAGCATCTGCGTTGTGTTAGCAAATGTTTGTCCGGTGCGTGCGAGCATATCATACCTGCGCACCAGCCTGAACCTGCAAGGCTAGGTACTCGACGCAGAGCTCTGCAATCTTCTGCAGCAGCGCCTTGCTCTCCTCGCCGTGCTTGAAGACCCATGTTTTCGACTGGATGAACAGCTTCGTTCCTCCGCCTTCCACCATGTAGCACAGCAGCGTCCACGGAGCTCCGCAGAAGCCTATCAGAGGCACGCGACCCGCCAGCTTTTGCCTTGTGAGCGTGATGGCCTTGTATACGTAGTCCAGCGACTCTTTGACGTCAACCTCGCGCTCCATAACCTCCTGGTATTGTTTGTCATCGGGACCTTGCAGCGGCTCCGGGAAGTGCGGGCCCTTCTTATCCACCATTATGACCTCCATGCCCATCGCTTGCGGTATCACCAGGATGTCGGAGAAGATGATGGCTGCGTCGATGAGCCCCTCAAACCGTTCGATGGGCTGGAGGGTGAGCGTCGAGGCGATTTCGGGTGACCTGCAGCATTCGAAGAAGTCATGGCTGCCTTTTGCTTCGTGGTACTCGGGGAGGTATCGTCCGGCTATGCGCATCAGCTTCCTTGCCCCCATGCCAGCCGGCACCGTGCTCACCTTGACGCATCACCCACATGGGCGGGCGCTCGACCTTCTCGCCTGTGCACTGCGTTAGCTCACGGTGAACCAATGTCGCTGAAGGCGCATGGCGCAATTACCTCTCGCCGTCCGCAAGATCAAGTCATTCTTTAGAGGCTCGAATTGTGGCGCCATTTTTGCTGAATACAGGAAGGCAAATGCGGCGACTGTAGCTTTCTTCAGTGTGACTGCCCCGCGCTCCGCGTTCCGTGGTAGCCTAGCTGCTTTGGGAATCGTGCTCGCAGGGATCACGGGCAGCAATCACCAGGCGCGGCGATGCATTGCAGTTTCAATCCGCGTTCCTCCATCTCAGCTTCTTTTCGAAGGAGGAAGATGCTTGCAGGCAGTGCGAAGCTTGTCGCTCGTCACGTCCTCTCAAGAATTACAGCCTCTCCCGAATCATCTTCCCGGCGCGCATATGCAAGCTCCTCCCATTCCCTGAGTTCGACGCGACCGCGACACGCATCACGTGCACGCTCCACACAATTGCAATGGCATTGCCTCACGCAGGCTCGAGGGGCCAAGAGAAAAGCCACCGTCAGTGTGAAGGATATCCCACAGGGCGCTATCGACGGACCTCCGCTTCCGCCTCAGGATGATGAGACAGATTACCCACCGTTATTACAGGAGGTGCGGAACAACCTGCTCAAATTCAGCCATTGCGTTCTGTTGACGAGAGTCGGTGGATTCTACGAAGTAAGCGCCGCGTCATGCTTCGAAGCATAGCTGACTCGCGAAGTTGTATTTCGAGCAAGCAGACGAAATCGCACCACTCCTAAACATCAAGAAGACAAAAAGGAAAGCTTCCAAGGGAAGCAAGCGACCGCCGGTTTCAATGGTGAGTGCAGCCTCGCGCTGTCTTGTGGACATGTCTGACTTCAAAGGCTGGATTCCCTGCCTACCAACTTGAGCGCTACCTCAAAATCTTAGTGCAAGACTTGAGCAAGCATGTCGCAATATGTGATGAGTTCGTAAATGATGCTTCCACCAGGGCAAAAGGTGACTCTCAGTTCACGAGGCGAGTCTCCCGCATCGTCACTCCTGGCACGCTCATTGACGAGCATTTTATGGATCCCTGGGAAAACAATTACCTGTTGAGTATCCATGTCAACCCGGAAGCCCTGAAAGCAAATGCTGTCAAAGTCAGTCCTGGAAGTTCCAAGGTTTCTTCTGTACTTAATCTACCTCGTACAGAAGTCGGACTTGCGTGGATTGATTTATCGAGCGGAGACTTTATTACCCAGAGCACCGATATTGCTTCTCTTCCATCTGCAGTTGCTCGCATAAGGCCTCGTGAAATCGTCCTAGATAGTATCTTCGCTGAGGAACAAAACTCACGGATGGTGTCAATCTTGAAAGAGGAAGGTCATGTGATCACATTCCAAGAGCCTGCTACTCAACCTTTGAGCGTGGTTGATTGGTTACCGATGATGGGAGACGTAGTCGAGGACTTCAACCCCAAAGACTTTAGCACCGCGGAAGTGGCTGCAGGAGGGTCTCTACTTCATTACGTGAAACACCAGCTACTTGGTGCGAGAACACGATTGCAGGCTCCAGTCAGACATCAGGCCGGGGATCACATGAGCATTGACAAGAACAGCTTAAGAGCTCTCGAGATCAGAAGCACAATACACGACGGCTCTCATCAAGGCAGCTTGCTGCATTCGCTCAAAGAGACAGTGACAAAGAGCGGAACTCGACTTCTTACCCAGCGACTTTGTAAGTGGCTTGCATGTATTATTTGATTACACTAATCCAAGCAGGTGCTCCCTCAATGTCTCTATCTACCATCAACGAGAGACTAGATCTTGTTGAAGAGATGATCGACTACCCTCAGCTTCGGCAAGATGTAAGAGCATTGCTCGGCCAGACGTTCGATTCGCTTCGCCTCGTGACAAAGTTCACAGTCGGCCGCGGCGACGCTGATGATCTTATGGAGCTGTCGAAGACAGTGGCGACCACAGCGGACCTTGCCAAGATACTCCAAGTCCATGTTGCGTCAAGAAACGCCATCATAATCAGTCAGGAAAACCAAGTTGTGGAAGCGCGAAGGAGACAGTGCATTCCGGCTTTGCAGAACCGCTTTGACCTGATACAGCCGCTTGAACTGGCACAACGTATCCAAGATACCATCGACGAGGAGGGATTATCAGAATACCACCGAATCGAAAACGACCAAGCTGCCGAAATGGAAGAGATGGCCCAAGATGTCCTCGGTCAAGAAGCTGGCAAGGAAGATCTGAAGGAGTTGCCCAAACGCATCCAGCCAAAACCGCACATGATTGCGCCGAGCTACAAAAGCGCAACGGATGGCCGTGACGATATCTGGATAATGAAACGGAAAGCCAGCGAGACACTAGCAAAACTGCACAGCACTCTCGATGGTCTGGACGAGAGCAAAGCGAATCTAGAACAGCAGTTGCGCAAAGAACTAGGTGCTGAGAGCCTTTGCCTCAAATGGACCCCAAATCTGGCCCACATTGCACACGTGAAAGGCAAAGATGTCAGTCGAGTCACTGCCCAGTACCCCAAAAGCCTGAGCAGCAGCAAGTCTACACGATCTTTTCAGGTTCCTGAATGGACACGATTGGGCACTGAAATGGACGAAATTCGTTTCCGTATACGTAACGAGGAACAGCGCGTTCTGAGCGACCTTCGCGAGGGCGTTGTGCGCAATCTGGTCAAACTTCGACGGAATGCAGCTGTACTAGATGAACTTGATGTGGCCTGCGCTTTTGCTATACTTGCAGTCGACAAGAGCTTTGTTCGACCCATACTCAACGCAGGTACTGCTCATCACATCATTGGTGGGCGCCACCCTGTTGTTGAGGCGGGATTGGTCGAGCAGGGGCGGACGTTCGCACCAAATGACTGTCTGTTGGGTGAGAATGAGCGGATATGGCTCATAACGGGACCCAACATGGCCGGCAAGAGTACTTATTTACGACAAAATGCACTTATATCGATTCTTGCCCAAACCGGCTCCTTCGTACCAGCAGAGTATGCCGAAGTGGGACTCGTGGACAAGATTTTCACCCGTGTAGGTTCTGCCGATAACTTGTACCAAGATCAATCCACGTTCATGGTGGAGATGCTCGAAACGGCGCAAATTCTTAAAGAAGCCACACCTCGCTCGTTTGTCATTATGGACGAGGTTGGCAGGGGCACAACACCAGAGGATGGAATCGCCGTGGGTTACGCCTGCCTTCACCACCTCTACCACATCAATCAGTCTCGGACTCTATTTGCGACCCATTTTCACGCGCTCACCGACATGACTAAAGACTTTGAAAGATTAAGATGCTATTGCAACGACGTGGCCGAAGAGGCAGATGGGAGGTTTTCTTATGTGCATCGACTGCGAAAAGGGGTGAACCGACAAAGCCATGCGCTGAAGGTTGCCAGAGTTGCAGGTATGCCTGAAAACGCAATAGCGGTCGCGGCACGAGTGCTCAAGAAGTTGAAGCCAGAAGTCACGAACGACGAGGCAGGTACGGATGAACAACTCGGGCCACGGCCAGCTGCAACAGCATAGCTCTAGCCTCTAGCCTTCCGTCCCCCTCTCTCGTCAGCATATATGGTTTTCGCTGTCCTATCGCTATTGTGAATAATTTTTAAATACCTACCTTCGATTATCGGTTTCTTACTCCGGACATCTTATCGCTCCGAGATGGAAAGCATGCTCTCGTTTCGAGGTGGTGCAGACGAAGACGCCTTTTCCGACTGTCCAACGCTTCAAAGCGCAGCACCGCGCCGGTTGCCGACCTATGGAGTCATACAAGATCTCATGCGGCAATCGCAGCGAACATCTCTGCGCAGTCTGAGACCGAACATGCGTGTGCCGCGTATGTGTTCCCACTCTAGCGTGAGGGGTGTGACGAAACTATTGACACAAGTCGTAGGAACCCTCGCTCCTCGAGAAGGTCAAGAGTTTGCCAGCCTCACAAAGCTAATCGGCGATTTGCCATATGGTATGCGGACTCTGGACTCCGAGGATAAAATGTATCGATGCATGCGTCTGCCTTCAATGGAACATTTTATCCTCTGCGCAACTGCTATGGTGTCTTTCCCCTCTGGCAAAACCCTCTGCGCAGCTTCTTGGTTTGGGATGAAATCGCACACGGATACAAGCGGAAACGCGATCCCCATTATACAAGCATTAAAGCTTGATCCCACGCCAGACAGCTGCCCGGACCAAGTGCAAACAACCCAGAAACAAGATCCCACGCCTGCCGACAAGAGTACCGAAACAGGTACCCCAAACGCAAACTCGACCTTTCTGCTGGCAGCCTCGCTTGTTGCCAGTGCGAAAGGATCCACAAGTCTCGCAAATCTTGTCTTGGCCATCAACTTCTATCTCGAGGATCCGAAGTCTCGTCTCGATCTCTATGCGAAAGCCATCGAAGATTACGTCACAAGTGCGGAATTTCGTCGCGACGATTCTACGAAAGGTTTTGACGAATATGTCATGAAGGAGTTTGAACGTCTTCTAGATCAACAACGAGTGCTTGCCCAATCCAAGAAAACGTCACCCGACATGGAGCCAGATCTCACTTCTCTTGACGAGAGCAACAGAACCCTGCAGAATGTTATTAATCTCACCCATGTCACTTTACACAAGCAAAACGTGTGTCTTGATGATGTTGCCATACTCAACAAAGCTATCTAGGAGTACTACACGAACAAAGACCCTCGATTAGACGACATCTTGGATACCAAGTATCTCGAAAAGCACTTCAATGACTCGAAGAATCTTATCCGACGAAAGGCCAACCATAGCGCACGAGAGGTTTGGCCCCCCAACCTGCCATGGCATCTACCCTCTCGTCTCTCGCTCTACGCAACGGGGCCTTGTCTCATCTGCTTCAATAAATGGACTTGCTTAGGCGAATCGGACGATCACCCCTATACCACTTCTCACGGCATAGGCACCAGACCCAATTCAGAATTCGACCCTAGAGTATTCCCTGACCGAACCGCTCATGGCAAAGGTCCCGAAAAGCTCTGCGTCGTTTGTTGGAATGCGCCAGGGGGCTGTGAGCTTTGCAGGTGTTGTTCGCCGCCGTTGCATTGGAGGTATCGCGCGCAGCATGAAATGCTTCACGAGCTAGAAGCGTCGGTTGCTGCTACTGCCGCAGTCATTGTGTCTAGTGCTGCGGTCATGGGTACGATGGCGGATGAGTTGGTGCGAATGGGACATGAGGATCCGAGAAGACTTGAGGAGCACATGAGAGAGGATGAGCGAAAAAGACAAGAGGAGGGGAAGAGGCAGGAGAGCCAGAGGAAACGGGATAGGCAAAAGGAACGTAAGAAGGAGAAGAGAGAGGAGAAGCAGAAGGCACTGAAGGAGTCGGAGATATTGAAGGAGCGGCAGGAAAGACCTGAGGAGCCGGAAAGACTTGACGAGCCAGAAAGACTTGACGAGCCAGAAAGACTTGACGAGCCAGAAAGACTTGACGAGCCGAAAACTTTTCAGGATCCGGAAAATCTTAAAAACCCAAGCACACCTGAGGTTCACATCACACATGAAGATCAGAGCACACATGAGGAGCAGAGACTGCAAAGACGACAGGAGAAGAAGAGACATTGGATCCAGGTAGAACGGGAGAAGAAGAGAATTGAGAAAAGGCAGAGGAAAGAGGAGAAGCAAAGGGAAGTGGAGGAGCAGAAGAGGCTTGCGGAGCAGGAGCAACTCGAGGAGCACCAGAGACTCGAACAGGAGAGGAGAGAGAAGGCAGAGAGGAAGCAGAGGAGACAGGAGAAGCAGAGGCGAGAGGAGGGACAGAGGAGACTCGAAGAGCAAACAACGCGTAAGGAGCAGACCACGCATGAGGAGCAGAGGACAAATGAGAAGGCGATGCGTGATGGTTCGAAATCCTGGACGCACATATTTGATCCACAAAGAGCGGATGAGGGGTTGCCAGAGGGTTTTCTGGACGCGAGGGAAGGTCCGCCGTGAGCCGTTCGCTTTCTCTTCATCAAATAGCGATCAGCATATGTTGCAACGAGGGTTGGAGCACCATGACGATGGATGAGAGATTACCATCATTGATGCAATGGCGCGGAATCGCTTTGCCATCTCGAGGTACCCAACGCACAGGTCTATCGTAGTCCTGTTGTTACACTTGGCACTGGCACTGGGCAGTATGTTGATGAGGCTGCGAGTAACTGCACTTTCGATTCCTATACGTTTGGATCTTGGTGTTAGGGACATCGGTGTTAGGGACATCTCAGCGGCGATGCTGGGAGACATGACCTGTTTGTCAATACAGTTTCTAGACCTCTGCCGAGTCATGCGATGTTCCTTACGAATACCCACGACGTAGTAGCAGTGTTCGCATTGACTTGGGTGAAGCACATGCACCACCATCTGCACCCTTGCAATCAACATCCCATTGCAACTCATCCGTTCCACATGGCAGTCCAGTCCCCCCTCCCATGGCGAACCGCTCGTTCTCCAGCCCCCCTCGCCCTTGCCACGACGCACCGGCCCGTTCCCCACAATTCCCGCCGCATTTTGTACAGCGAACCGCGCATACGCGAGTCCGCTTCTCCCAAAGTAGCACCGCAACACCGCAACCCTAACGCACCACACCGCCTTTTTAATTGGGTGGCGGGGGCGCCCGCAGGCTGCCCGCCAAAACGCAGGCTGCCCGCTGCTGTACCACCACCGTTCCTCTGCCACAGAACCCTGCATTCGACACCTGCGGTGCGGTGGTGTGTCTTGTCCCTCGTTTGCGAGTCCGTTTCTTTGGTTTCGTTTCGGTCCGCAGGAAGAGCAGAGGCCTTGTCCGCGCCCGTTGCACGCACGCACGCCGACGCCGGAGAGCAGCGCAGCATGGGCCTCGCGGCGGCGGTTCTCTTCGGGTTGCAGGTCCTGGCGGGGTGGATTGCGCTGCAGTGCGCGCTGGACCGGGTGGGGGAGCGGGTTGCGCGGGTGCGGCCTGTGGTCGCGGCCATGAAAGTCATCGACAACTTCGCACTGGTCGCGGGGACGACGTTGTGCGCGCTGCTTGTGCTGCTGCCGTCGTTCGTCTTCGTGGTGCTCGAGGTCTTCCGCTTTGTGCAGGTGCGCAGCCGTGGGGACGGGAATGACTCGCGGGATGAGCAGCGTGGGGGAGATCCGAGCAAGACCATCACAGCGCATATGGAGCGCGTCGTGGGTATTGTGGATGAGCTGGATGCAATGGGTGAGAGGATGAGACAGGCGGCGCTGAGTCTGAATCTGGGCGAGGCCCAGGTGATCGTAAGGACGTGTTCAGTGTGTCTCAAAGCAGTACTTACATCATGTAGGAAGAGAAGTATGAGGCGGTTGCCACGGCCGAAACGAAGGCGGCGATACTCTCCCAAACATGCGGCAATGTCCTGCTCGCTGTCTGCCGGCACAGCGAGACTATGGAGAAACTGTATTCTGCAATGTCACCGGAGGAGGTTGATGTAAGTCGACATATGCTTGCCCTTGGGAGTTGATTCTGACGACGACCAGGATCTTATATACTGCGACTGTGATGAGTTTGAGGTCCGCGCCGAAAAGGTTATATCCCTCATCCAGATCCTGAAAGAATGCATGGAGCGCCAAACAGACCTTGTGAAGACGGTGGATGATTTATAGTAAGATTGTACTGCATGCGACCAGCGAACCGACACACTAACAGTCTCCAGCCCAATGATTCCAACTGTTCCTGTCGGTGTCACCAGCCCAACTTCCCACTCAGCCCTCAAGCCTATCGACAGCCCGATGATTGGAACAACACGTGGTTGTATCGAAGACGAAATTGACGACAGCGGTTTCATGGAAGACTGAAAGCAAAACGACCAAAAACGCAAAACTCGACAACACACCAGGTGCAGATCGGATGCGTATGTGGAAAGAGCGGATTTCAAGCCGTCTTTCCAGGGATGGGATACGCAGGGACAATCTTCACGCCTCCAAAACAATCCGGCAATCCGGCATAGCCCTCGCCGCGATCAATTAAGGGTGGTAGATTAGGAAGATAGACACTGTCGAAAGCAGGTGTCTGGTTGAGGTTGAAACAACGGAAGATGATGTCGAAGATTCCGAGGCTGGGAAAGCCGGTGAGGCCTGACAGCGCGCCCTGTGATCAGGCAGAAGGATTTCCTGCAGCGTGGTCAAAGACGATGGTGACCTTGTCCCCAAAGGATTTGTCGCGCATGTAGTAGGCATTATCGAGTGGACGGAATGCATCGGCTGTGTTACCTTACGAGGAACATCAGCTTTAGCGTGCTGAAAGGAGGAAAAAGCGGGAATAGACTTACTGATGTATAGAAGCGTGTCGCATAGCCGGGAAAAACGAGACTCGCTCAACAAAGAGTTTGTAACGATTTACTGGCTTGACGTTCCACTCTGTGCAATAAAGATTGGCTTGGGCATATACGCCTCCGACGTTCGGTGACGCCTTCGCCATCACATCTAGATACTTGTCGTAATCCTTGGCGCGCCTCGACACATCTGCGGCATCGATGCATATGCGTGCTAACACATGCTCGAGTGGCGGACTATCAACAAGCGGCGGAAAAGGCGGCAGCGGCGAGAAGATGATCCCTGAGGCAGTCTGCGTGCCACTGACTCGAACGCCAGCCTCGATCTCCGCAAGAACATCTGCGCGAATGGGGGAGAACAATCCAGAATCAAGAACCACTGCTGACAGGATCCTATGGAGGGCAGGCCAGTCGATAGGCCTAGAGCCCGGGCTTTGGAAAAATGTAGACTTGAGCTTTTTGTCGATGGCATAGAGCGGTCATTGAGCTGTTTGGCTGAGGTCGAAGAGCCCTTGAATGGACAACTGGCCCCAGCGGCATTGCAGGTGATGAAGAAGGCTTCTAGGGTGAGCTCCAAGTCGACGATAGTGGAAGGCTGGTTGCTGGTGATGCTGTATGCGACATTGCTTTGCACGACCGCTGCCATGGTTCAATTCAGTGCTGTAGAACAGAAGTATGAAAAGCTTACCATCCAGCGACAACTTTCCCACAGCTTCAGGGTACAGCGCCGCAAAAGTGTGTGCGGTGTGCGTCCCAGACGACAGCCCATGCCAGTACACCTTCTTCTCGCCAATCGCCCTCATGACAGCATGGACGTTCACAGCGCTGGGATACGTCCCCATCCATTTATCAGCATTACTGCTCAGCTTCTCACACTATTTTGCGAACTTCCTCGCGCATTCTCGATGCGCTACCAGCGCGCTGCTCAGCGAGCCGAGCACACGGGACTCAGAGGCACTCCACGCCTTGCACTCCTCGTTGTTGCGGAAGCACTGCAGTGTTGGGGTCGAGTAGCCGGTGCCACGGTAATCGATGCCGATGATGTCGTAGTTCGGCTATAAGGGGGTGAAGTAGGGCACTGTTAGGATGACGGCGTTTGTCCTTCGATGTGGCCAGTGAGAAGGGGATGATGGGAGATTATTGCTCACTTCGCAGCGCTGTAGTCCCCTGCAGAGTAGATCAGAGTGCCTATTTTGTTGCCGCTGATGACAGGGAGGTTAGTGATAGCTAGGCCGACCTTATCTCGTGTGTTGTATCCGCCGTTCACATCTGCGTTGACCTGTCGAGCGTCAGTTGCAATCACAACAGAAATGAGGTAGCTATGTATGTAATCTTTAAGCGCGCGTATTTGAACTTGTCATAAATATCGACCCAAATCAGCGTCTTTATGGACTACGACTGATCAGTGGTCGGCTTTGAGCAAATGTCGAGGCAATGGACAAAGCTACCGCGAGAGCACTCAAGCTAGATGGTAACATTGTGGCTGATGATCAACTGTTCTTGGAAATGAGAATCGCTATCAAAAAGCTGAATTGTGTTACGAAGCGGGATGGTGAATTCAAATACTGCTATTCCACAAAATAAACCACGTATTCCCTAGCCCAGGCACCCTCCTCGCTGTGCCTCTCCTTGACACATCTTTCTGTCGTCCCTCGCTGCGCCATCCATATATACTGGCCCATTTCCCAAAGTCAAGAACCCTCGGAAAGTTCCGTACTATTTGTCCCGCCAAATGGCCGTAGTCTGGACACGCGTGGCTGAGAGCTGAACGCGTTTCTCGAATTGATATTGCGGTTAGTGGAGGCGGTGTGCCACAGTAGGGCTGAAGCAGTCTGAATGTAAAATCTCCGCGACGCGGGGTGACGGTCGGACAGGCGCGGAGTCTGGGGTTGGGAAATAGATCGGGGGGTCACTGCTAGTGTGGACAGGTGGATTGGTGTATGATGACGCGGCAGCACTGAATTAGCGGTTTGTTCACTTTGCGTTCGATGTTGTCGAGCAGAGAAGGACTCTCGGGGATGCTTAAGTAACCACATGAAGATTAATGGACATACCTTTGGAACGCTACTTCGGAAATGTGTCTACAAAACACCAAAATATATCCTGCGTAGGAGAAACCGGCCTCGCTGATTCGATCTCCCTTAACTGACTCTTTATGCATGTCGCTGACCGCTGTGCCAGTTTTTCCTTCTGGATATCATAGATTGCGTGGCAGCAAAATAGTTCAGAGTGCGGAAATAGTAGTAGGAGTATATGGTAGTAGAACATATGAGAAAGTAACATAGAAACCCAAAGTTTGAGCCAACGGGGTTGAGTTGAGTTGAGAGCGAAAATCTTATGTAATTTTATCCGCACAGATGACTGTTCTCGTATATTCAAGTTCAATCATACTTGCAACGAGGAATTGTTTGTCTTTGCAAGATGCGATCTCTCGCATTTAAGCATGTGTACCCCCACCCAATCGGGCTAGCGCCATCTCCCGCACGCGCCTTCACACGAAACGGCAAACGCAGTGTCTCACTCAAGCACAAGCACGACGGTCCCAACCCCTTCAATCTCGCCGCAAGAACTCTAGAGACGTGGGCACACTCCGTCTCTCACCCCCACCGCCACACACAATATAAAACAGCAACAGCAACCCACATATACTTATCCGCATCAACATCTGAGTACCAAACATCCACCTCGTCGCCATTGAATGCTTTAAATACTATGGTGGATATGGCGAATCCTCTTCTCATTTTACTACCTACAATCCCTACCCCGCCGCACCCCGGCACCTTCGCCAGCCTTTCGGGCGTCACATTGCTCAGCCTTCTTTGCACAGACAACGTGCCTCGGCACCCACTGGTCGTTGTAGCGTGGGCCGGTGGGTCGTACTTTGTTAATGAATGGTGGCTCAAGCTCAAAATTAAACAAGTGATGGCTAAGGTGGTGAGTGTCCACATTTGACTGAGAAACTTTTCTATGGTCTTATGTTCACTTAGACTAACACGCGTGTTTCAGGTGAAGGAGGTAGATCGGTTGCTTGAGAAAGAAGGCGCCTGTGCGGAGTGCAGGAAGAACGTTCTTCAGGGCGGACCGCGCGACCTGGCGAAGATTCTGGTTGATTTGAGGGAGAAGAAACTAGCGGAGCAGCAAAAGATATTAGATGCGGAGGAGCAGTCAGCAACTGGAGGCTAAAGCGAAGGAAATAGCCGCAGAGCAAGAGGAGGTCGCTGCTAAGGAGAAGGCTCTGGCGGAGAAGTAGGCGCGGCTTGACCAGCAGATGGCGCCGTGGCTTCGGCTTGAGGCAGAGTTCGATTTCTGAAGCAACTTGGTTGGGGTAGAGTCGAGGTTTTCGAGCAACCACGATTGGACAGAGTCGGAGGAGGAGCCCCAGAACGGGAATGGGGGCCAGACGGAATCCGCCGAGGAGGACGAGCCTGCGAACCATGACAAAGAGGATGTCCATGATTGAGGTTACAGGTGTGCAGGAACCCGTAAGGTCGAAGCAATCCTTCAGCAAGAGATGAAATTTCTCTTAAAGATGGCCACGAAGATAAGTCAGCATGAAGATCATGCAGGTATATTCGAAATCCTTCGAGATCAGGCGCTGAAAGGCTGTTTGACGATGTGACAGCGCCATCAACGGCCTCCCTGTCATAAATGTGTAATAATACATGTTACCCGGATAGCCAAACGAGAGCACACAATCAAATTGAGCGGCATATGTTAGACGCCGAGCAACAAATGACAGGCGCTTGTAGCATACACATTATACTCATTCTCGTTCTCCTAACATATGGGGTATATCGCAGCAGTACAGGGAATAGCTTTGCGAAACAGACAGTCCAACTCCCACTCCAAGATTCAAATGTCTACCCGCGCTTCCGCTGCACGGTAACGAGCAACACAAAAGCAATGACACGGTACACGACACCAAGCGCGACGAGAACCCCCATATCCAAGCTGAACTTCCCCAGATTGAACCCCGTCGCCACCTTCGCTTGATCCAGCATATACAGATAATCTAGTGGCAGCAAGCACTGGCTGAAGTACGACTCTGTGAACCACACGCCAGGGCTCATCCGCCACAGGAACTCGATCTTCCACTCCTTGACCTTGCTCAGTGGTGGCGCAACACCACCCAAGATACCGATGATCAGGGAGGCCATGACGGCGAGCAGCGGCCCGTCTTCCCGCTTAACAACCATGCCGATGCACGACGCAAGTCCGTACACGCAGAAGAAGTACAGCAGATTTGCGACAAACATGTCGACCCAGCTCATGATGGGCGTAGCAAGGATGCCCATGAAGACGCTGAAATGCAGGGCAGCGATGAACAGCCTAGGCAGCACAGACACCATCTTGCCGACGTAGTAGGCGCTCATGCTATGTCCGGAGGACGCCTCGCGGTTGAAGATGAGTTTCTCTTCGCCGAAGACCTTGACAGCTGGTGCGGACGCCGCGAGACCGATGGCCATAGCGCCGAGGAGGCCGAGCTGCGGCGCAGACGTGTAGTTCGTTGCGTGGGAGAGCATGGAGAAGCTGTCGTGGTAGATGCCCTTGAAGAGCTCGCCCTCGGCGGTGAAGGCACTGAGGCCGATAATGCCGCCTGCGAAGGCTCCGGTGCCGATCTCGAAGAAGAAGCTGTTCTTCAGGCGAACTTGCTGCGTGATGCTGCGCTTGCAGCAGTAGTAGGTTTGGGCGTACCAGGATGCGCCGCGCTTCTTCATGGTACGCTTCAGTTCGGCTTCTTGGTCGGCGGTGGAGATCATCGAAACGGGGCGAGGACGTTTCGGGGCGGCTAGGGCGTCCTGGTAAGACTGTTCGGGCGGGTCGTAGGCGGGCTGGTTGTATGCGTCTTCTGGGAGCAGGTGCTGGGGTTGTGGAGCGTGGTAAGCGGGAGCTTCGCGCTGATGACGAGTGCGCCAGTTCTCGATCAGTCGAGTGACTGGCGTCTCAGACGTTGCGTGGTCTTGTCGGTATTCGAAACCCTCGCCGTTGATGATGTCCATGATAACATCAGCAGGGTTCGCACGCGGTGGGAAGGTGAAGCCGAGAGAGTCAAAGTAGACCGGTGCCTCGGCAGTAGGACCAGCGTAGATCTCGCTTCCGAGACCAAGAAGAAGGATGTTGTCGAAGCCGTTGAAGATCTGCTCACGAGGTTGATGGATGATCGTGATGGTGGTCACGCCGAGCTTTGTGATGGCCTTCAGGAGCCTCATGATCGACGACGCAGAGGTTGCGTCAAGACCGGATGTAGGCTCGTCGAGGAAGATACACATAGGAGCTGCTGCTAGTTCCATTCCAATGCTGACACGCTTGCGTTGCCCACCAGAAACCACGGGCTTGTTGGCATCACCAACGAGCGAATGCTGGACGTGACTGAGACCAATGCAGGAGATGAGCGCATCAACATACGCTTGGATATCTCGATCCTTCCAAGTCATCGGCAGCCTGCATCGTGCAGAGTGAAGGATGTTCTCGCGGACCGTCAGTTCGGGTATAACGATATCATCCTGAGGAACAAAGCCAATCAACTTCTTGTACTTGGCCATGTCCTTAGGATGACCGTTGACCTTAATCAGACCTCCAGTGTGGCGCGTTTTTCCCATGAGCACGTTGAAGAACGTAGACTTTCCGGCACCGGATCCACCCATCACAGCCCACATCGAGCCACTCTGGATGGACCCGCTGACGCCCTTCAAGATCTTCTTCCCAGGCTGCGGCTCGAATTCCAAGCCTTCAAAATCGAACGAAAGACCAACATCCTTCGTCTTGATGAGTCGCGAAATGTACCGCATGAAAACCTGAAAGTCCGGATTCGCGCTCAGATCATCGTGGTCCTCAGCCGCTTCCTTGTTCCCCTTGGCAATCAGCTCGATGCCGTCATCATCCATATCTTTTTCCGGATTCGGCAGCGCAGCATAGTTCTTCTTTCGTCCCTTTCTCCACGCGGAGATGAAGAACCCCAGACCAACGATTATGCCGAGCACGATATCAAACGCAATCATGAAACCAAACGGCATCGTGACGATCTGGCGCTGCGACTTCGCGGGACATATCGCGCCGTATGCACATGGCCAGGGCTCGAAGCTCCCAAAAGGGCAATAGCTACCTGTGCATTGGGGTTAGCGTGATCCGGATGGGACTCGTTCGTCGCATACCTTTCGGACACTCGATTTTCTCCTTGCCGCCCTTGGGACAGTAGTAACCACCCTGGCATACCACGGGTTCAAGTAGGCCTTGTGGCGGACAGTCCTTGCCCGTCATTCTTAGGGCCTGGCATTGGAAGGATGGCGGGCAGTATCTGGTCATCGTCAGACCGAGCTCAGATGTTCCACTGGGGTGCTTACTGCGGGGGCGCGTTGTCGGTGCTGTTTGGGCAAAAGAAACCCAGGTTGCAATCGTCCTTCTCCGCGAGGAGGATGGGCATCGAGCCGTTTTCGGCGTAACATCCTGTCGTCGAGCTGTTGAGCGTGCGGTATGAGCCCGCAGACTCGAGTGTAGAGAAATTGGTGTAGTATTTGCCGTTTGGCATGAGCATTCCCTCCGCGGGGACCTCTGTCGGTAAAGAAGTCGCTTCCGCTGAGTCGATAGAGGTCGGTACCGACTCTGACGGCTTCTTATTCTTGTTGTCGTCCTGGCGAGGGTCCATGGTGAAGCAATAGAGGAAAGCAAGCGTGCTCCTCGGTGGGAAATCTCGCGCGACGCGCAGATATAAGACGGTTGTATCTCATTTTAAGACGCGCCCTTGACTCGACTGCGTACCCTTGCGAGCTGAGCGTAGGGCTTACTGGTATGCTCTAAGAGATCGCCGTTGAGGCTGGTGTGGGTCCCTAGTCGGGCGTAACTCGCGACACCTCGAAGGATTGACGTTCTGGGCTGTGTACAAGCATCGTCAGATTGAGCACAGTGAGGTCGAGATCTCACTTCTCTTGGTATGGGTTCTACGAAGCTGAATCTTCATGATATTGTAGTTATTTGTGCAGTGCCCATCGTGTTGAAACGCCGATTCGGAGCATGAATCTGTCACAAAAAGTGCTGTGATGGGTGTTATCGCGCGAAAAGGACGTTAGCCGACCAACTAAGCGTGCCATCAAAGCTCCCCAACGATCCCTGCATAGCTCCTACCACGAAGAAAAAGGGTACCATCTGTGCAGTGCACACCGCACCTTGGGGTACATTTCGCAATACTCTCTGGAAAAAACATCCACCTACAGCCGTGACGTTAAGCTCCGCGCCCTTAGTGCCCAGCACCACACACTTGGACACCCACTGCCATATCGAGGTGCAGATGAGCATGCTACGCATAAGGCCCCCTATCCAAGTCGCCGTAAGCCGGGCACAGGCGAGCCAGCTGGAGTCTGCCTACGCAGCCACTAGGCGAGCTATCGTACGGCTGTGCTGCTCTTGCGAAGCCCACAATCACGTTCGCAAAATGCGCGACTATTTCCTTTCGGGGCATCGCGCAAAGGGGCCAAAATGCGGCGCTGCGGCACGGGTTAAAATAGATCCTTCGAGTGGATACTCAATCCTGCACGGGCAACCATCGTGCGAGACGGCGAGTTCTCAATCATCCTTCGTTTCGAAGTTTATAAAGGTTTAGCTGTGCTGCCAAGGCTAGCGAGGGTGCGGGAATGTGTTTCCGGAGGCCCTGGTGAGCGGCCGATGCAGCGGAAATGCACATACACGTCGACCCGTTCATGCGAATACGATTCAAGAAAGAGCTTCAGGAGACCGCCTTGTCTGCATATTGGGCAGATCGTTAAAATTGTATCGTGTTCTCTATTCATTCCAGATCACAGCAGCGAGACCGTCTTCCTCGCCAGCACGTCCCGGCGTCGCAACCACAACACTCGTTACCAAGCTTCCTAACTTGCCCGTGGTAGGGTCTCGGTTGATGATGGCAACGTTTGAACTCGTCTGTCCACCTACTGCCACGAGCGTACCTGCCTTGTTGATTTGGAACGTCCTGGGGTAGTAAGAGTACGAGTTCGCCGCCTCCAACCAGGCGATCTTTCCGGTTGCAGGATCAATCGTGTATGTCGCGATAGAATCTTTCTGGCTGCCAAACGTCTGGTCCGCACGGTTCGCCGCATACAGGAAGTTTCCGAATGTGCGGAGCTCAGCTGCCTTGGTTGTTGGTCCTCCCTTGGTGCCTGGCGCGTAGGTCGAGAGGGTCTGCAGCTTGGTGAGCGAGAGACATCCACCTGAACCGCTGGGGTACGTGATAGTCCACGAAGAGACGGAATTGCCTAGTTCGTTGACGGTGTAAAGGATCTGGGGTTGGGCTGAGTCTTTGTTCGTCCAGAAGAATTGGCCGTGTCGAGGTCCATCACCAGGGTCGGTCTTGCCCGAGCCGCAGGAGGTAAGCTTGCCGCTGTTGGCATCGATGCTGAAGATGCGAATGAGGTCGGCGCCCAGATCTGGGACGAGCATGAACTTCCCGGTTGGGTCAAGCAACGCTTCGTGGGGATGAGGGACGTCTTGGCGGGAATTAGGGCCCTTTTGAGACATGGTAAATTTCTCTGTTGTCAAAGCTTTGGTGCTGCTAGAAAAGGGCATCTTGTAGGTTGTAAGTGTGGAAGGCGAACTTCAGGACGTTAGTATTAAGCATGATTCTAGTACGGGCGGCTTACTATTCTACGGTGGCAGCAAAGCCCTTTCCATCTGAGCCTCCGTACAGCAGTCCATGTACAGAGTTTCCAGTGGACTTTCCCGACGCCTTGAGCGTGAGCTTCCCGTCGCTGCCGACAGTGTACGCCGCATTGCTACCACTTCCCGTCCAGGATTCATCGAAGCAGTAGAGAGTCTTATCCTCGGGATACAGCTGAAGCCATGCCGGCGTGGACCCGCATCCTGTTACCGGCTGGCTGACCGCGAGGGATCCAGTGCTTCCAGAAGAAGTGAAAGTCAGAGTGTACAGCTTCCCGGTGTAGTGGGCAGCAAGCAGCGTTGCTGAGGAAGCGGTGGGTGCCGAAGTCGAAGACGGCACAAAGCTCAGGGCCGCCAACAGGGACAAAGATGCTCGGTACATGGTGAAGTGAGTGGTCGCAGGTAAGTCGCCAGTGGCTCCATGGTCGAGGCTGTGCGATCTTTATGTGGCTACCACCACCACCATCACACGGCGGATCTGCGGGGTCAATTCCATGGTGATTGAGATGATATACTGTATTAACCGATACTTTGGACCGCTAGTATATGCTAGACTTTAACCTCGCACGCAAGGGCAGTGTGTGGTGTGGCTCGGCAGAGCTGAGATTCATATATATTGTAGGCCGGCAAGGGTGCCGTTCCACGGGACTTCCAGCATTGATGGCAATTCAGCAGAAGTAGTTAAACATGAGCCCGTGACGATGAAATTATGGATCTGAAAACGTGGCTGCAGGGATCCCGGATATGTAGGCTAATTACAGGACGTCGCTCATTACAGCGAAGGAAGAAGATGTCAGCGGACCGCGCATCCGCGAACAAACGTGATATATCGCGAGACGCCATGGCCTCTACTTGAGGTGTAGGACGTGAACTTGTAGAGTGGGAACGAAGTTGGGGATGGAGTCCGCGGCCTCGTTCACGCTAGGCTACTTACAGAAACCACTAGAGGAGGAACAGCGTCATTCAGCCTCAACCCCCACCACCCCACGGAGTCAGACATCTGGGGTACTTTCTTACATTCTCAGCCTCATTCGAGCTCATTGCATACCTTCTTCGGGACTCGTGCAGCAAGTCTTCTCTTAAAAAAAAGCAGTATTGCCCTTGCACCCAACGTCTCGTCAATTCACAGCATTGCCTCGCGTTAACTAACAGGTACACCACAAAGACTGCCGAAGCATTAAGACCTGAACCAAGAGTCGTCATAATATCCTATCTCAGGGAACGCACAAAACTTCGCCCACTAGACACTCAATCGCCTCCTACAAGCAGTTCATGCCAACATAAAGTTCACCAAATACAGGATCTGTTACCAAATGAGCCCCTCCAAGCCCAAAAACAAAATCCTCGTGGCCTGGTCCATCGACTTCGACGCCCTCTCCGGCTGGCTGGGCACCGGCCAACACCCCTCCAACTCCACCGCCGACTACAGCGCAGGCTACTTCAGCGCGCACGTCGGTGTCCCGCGGCTCCTCCGCCTGTTCACCGATCTCCAGATCGCCGACAAGGTAACCTGGTGTCTCCCAGGCCACAGCATCGAGACCTTCCCCACGCAGACGCGCGCCATCGTGGACTCGGGTGCTGAAATCGCGTTGCACGGGTACGCACACGAAGCAGCCTCGCAACTCACCGCGGAGCAGGAGCGCGACGTCGTCACCAAATGCATCTCCCTGGTCCACGACCTGACGGGGAAAAAGCCAAAAGGATACCGCGCACCGCTGTATCAGCTCAAGGAACGCACCATCTCGCTACTGCAAGAGCACGACTTCACCTGGGACTCGTCTCTCACGCACCACGACTCCACGCCCTACTTCCTGCCCTTGGACCCGGCCCCGATAGGCCCCATAGACTTCCAACCTGAGACCAACGCGAAAGACTGGATGAAGCCTACCCCCTCATTCCTAGATTTGCCAAAAAGTCAGCTCGTCGAGATTCCCTGCAACTGGTACATGGAAGACATGACACCGCTCCAATTCTTCCCTAATGTGCCCAACTCTGCGGGGTACGTCGACGTGCGCGTGGTGGAGCGGATGTGGATGGACCGGTTTGAGTTTTTTCTCAAAGAGATCGAGCGCGGAAGAGACGACATGGTGGTGTATAGTATGGTGATTCACCCGGATACGAGCGGGATGGCGCATGTGATTGGGATGGTGGAGCGGTTTTTGCGGTGGGTGCTGAGTTTTGGGGACGAGGTGGTGGAGTTTAGGACGTGCGGGAGTATTGCGGAGGAGTTCAGGAAGAGGGATGAGGAGAAGACAGGCAAGGAAACTTGAGTGGATATGGAAAAGACAAAACACCAAAATGCATTCGTATCACATCATGTCGTGATCTATATCAGCCGAGCGGAGAAAGGAAAGAGCGCTATTCCTCCACATCCCCCACCGCGGAGTCCTCGTCATCCTCCCCAAACTCGACGCCGTACTCGCCACAAATGTCCCAGCGGTCGCCCTTGGCGGCCTTGCTGACGTACTTGGTAAACCGTAGCACACCTCTGTCTCTCAGCACGATAGCAAGATTGTTCCATGCAGCAGGCTGACTGAACAAGATGCCATCGTCGTCCTCGTCGGCCGCACTCTTGTACACAGCCGGATCAGCCTTGGCTTTGCGGCGCTGGCCCGCACCAGTCGACGTAGACGCCTCTGGGGCGCCGCCGTCCGTGCCCTCATCGTCCTCACCCGCCATGTACATCTCGTAGCCACCGACTTCTTCCTCTGGTTTGGCGGCCGGAGCCTTGCCGTTGGCCTTGCTAGAGGAACCGTTAGTCTGTGCCTCGTCGTCCTGCTCTTCTTCCTCTTCTTCGTCGCCCCAGCCTGGGGAGGGCGTGATACCCAGGCATACTTCGAGCTGGGGGTCTTCCTCTTCGTAGGCGGTCGCGAGGGTGTAGTCCAGACCGCGGCGGAAGCGACGGGCAAGAATGTTGCTCTTGGTGAGGGTGATGCCTGTGATGAGCGATAGCCACTTTGTGAAGGCCGGGTGTGGGAAGAGGACATCGACGAGGTCGTCGTAGGGGGTCAAGATGGCGTTCTCGGGGTAGCTGGTTTGGATGGGCTGGACGGCCTTGCGGTAGAGAAAGCGGTGCTTGTGGGGAGGTCGGGCGACGCCGACTTCCGACTGCTCTGTGAAGAATGGATTCGATGGGAGGCTGGGTTTGGCCTCGTGGTCTTTCGACTCCAGGTACTCGCGGAGGCGGGCGCAGAACTTGGGCGAGAGGAACTCTGCCAATCGCACGGACGATTCGTCTGAGAACAGACGTGTAATGTCTTCGACGGTGTCGGGGACCAGGTAGTTAGGGTTCATGTACTTGAGCAGGAAGTCCATCTCGTCGGCCGTCATCTGGTCGTCCTGGGCTTTGGCCTGGGCTTCCCAATGCGGGTTCTCCACCCAGTGTGACTGCGGCTCGTCGAAGACGTCGGCCTTTCCGCCCTGCAGCTGGGCCAGGGAACTCTTTTCAGCAAGCTTCTCCTCCATGCCCTCCTCATAGCCTTCTTCGCCTTCTTGGGGAATGTGGAACCACCCGCTTATAGCCATGCGTATGCGACCACCATCCTCCTCTTCCATGTCGCCCGCGACCCGCTTGTACACCTCCTCGACGTCGTGGAAGCTCTCGCCCGGCTGCACAGTGAAGAAGGACAGCTGGTTCCAGGCTGGTGGGATGACCTCGGTGAAGTCGGGCAGCGGCACCTTGACGCTGTCTCCGTCGGCTGTATCCATATGCTTGGTTGGGTACAGTCGCAGGGCACCGCCCCACTCGGCCTTCCACGGTATGTCGGGGTCTAGCAGGTAGAGGATCCAGCTCACGCGGCGGCTGCCGATGACGTCGTCGTGGCAGAGGAGGTGGCAGCCGGGTGTGTATACATTCTGTCTAGCTCAGCACGTGGTTACTCAAAGGTGGTCTTGTGCGACGAACCACTGCCATGTCGGTCTTGACGCCGCTCAGCGGCCCCGCGCCCGTGATGGAGGAGAGGTATCTGCGGAAGGCAGACGAGTAGAGCGAGTCGCGGAGCGTCAGCAGCGAGGGCAGGCGCTTGAGGGCGGCATCGTCGAGGCCGTCGAGGTTGGCCAGGTCGCCCGACTGGTGGATCTTGTAGATGTCCGTCTCCTTGGGCGTGAAGGAGATGTGCTCGCGGATCTCGGTGCGCACATTGCGGAGCAGCTGGTCGTCGACGAGGTGCTGGATCACGGCGTGCTTGTATCTGCAGGCAGTGTTGGTGGAGCTCAATGGCGCGAGGAAGGAACGTACGGCTGCGAGCTGGCGTAGTAGCTGGTGTAGTCGGCAAGCACGCTGCTGTCGAACAGGCCGCGGCGGAAATTGCCGTGCGCCTCGTCGTCTGAGATGGCGCGCTTCTTGGACTTGCCATTGGGCGGCGCAGTGTTCTTGCGCTTCATGGTCACGCGTCTCTGGTCTCTGCGAAGCTGCGTGCCGTCGGGGGGAGAGGAAACACCGGAGCTCGAGAATTTTGGAGCGGCCGCGCGAGCTTGTCCTCAGGCCACAACCGCAGGTGGGCCGATACGAGCTCGAGGGCGCACACCAACGCCCTGCTTCCTTCCCCGCAGTCGCTGACCATGGCCTTTGCCGTTCACGACGTCGCCTCCGCGCCAGACGCTTTATCTGAACAGTCCTGAAGGAGGAGCGATTGGCGCTTCGTGCAAGCCATCTGAGGTGTCCGCGCCGGGAACGCGCTCCGGTTGGCTGGCTCCCCGGCTGAACTTCTCCCTCACAGGGCCTCACAGCTCAACCACATGAACAGAAGACCTGAGGCCAATCGCGGTGATTGCTCGTTCGTGCTATAGATGCCGTCTATCAGAGGGGTAGGAAATGGGTATACGAGTCATTCTGCGCCAAGCTATGCAACACTATTCCGTCGGACGCAGCTCAGTATCAATCCGCTGCCAGTCTGTCCTCGAGCATCAACATGCCCGCCATGGCTCTCTCATACGTCCACATAGTCACAGAAGCTGCCGGGGCCGCCTTCAGCAAGCTCACCGTCAGCCCTCGATACAAGCCCCGCATTCCTTCGCGCTTCGATATCGTCACCAGTGTGCTCATGACGCCTGAGTACAAGGGTATGTTGCGGTGCACAAATTTCGACCGCATCGGGCCTTGCACCTGCAGTCGCTTTCGCGTCGTGTCGAGCGGATAGACGGCTGTCTTGGCGCATACGCTCGCGATGATGCCCGCAAATGCGTCGGAGCCACCGAACGGAAGAGCGAGGGGCGAGTTTGCCATGGCGGGCTTCAGACCCTCGTAGCTCGCGAAGAAGAGGCCCATGTAGGGCACAATCTGACTCACGCCAGCGCCCAATCCGCGAAAGAAGCCCGTGGGCCCTTCATGTTTTGCAATATGCCGTATGGATGCGCCGAGAGACGTGTACACGCGCTCCGTTCCCTGGGCTGCGAACCGCGTCCGTAGTAGATCCAGCGGGTACGTCGCAGTGGTTGCGCACGCGCCCGCCGTCGCGCCGCTGATGAAGGACACTGCTGAGCCAGGGAGCTCATAGGGCGATGGGAGCGTCTCAAGGAGATTTGAGGTGTACTTGTATGTCGAGAACTGTACACCACCGTAGCAGAGGTACATGAGCTCCGCCGGAACGTTGCCCTTCCATAACCCCGTGAAGCCTTCGTCACGAACGATGGATCTCAGTGTACCGATTGTGCCTTTATATGTCGGTCCTTGGACACCGCGCGTGCTGAGAGGGTCGGACAGCGAGTGGACCTGGAGCTGCAGGCGGATCTTGATGACGTCGAGGGGTGCAATCACGAAGCTGTGAAGCATCAGTATACAACACTTTTCAGAAGAGAGAGTGGGCAACCTACCGTGAAACGAGACCCGCAACAGCGCCTGCGGCCACGACTTGCAGCTGTGAGCCCTAGACACCAGTGTCAGCTGTGTTGCAGCTTCAAAACAAAGTCACATTTTGCATACCTCATGCTTGAGCTGAGCAACCTCGCCGGACATGCGCCCAGGCCTCCGTCAGGAGGATAACACGACACAGCGAGCCAGCGCTAAACACACGCAGTCTCGTGCCAGTCGGTCTGCAGTTTGCGCGAACGTGGGCACGCGGAAAAAGAGCGGAAGTGGATGCTGTTTGTTACCTCGGGTTAAAGGCAACCGCATTATGAAAAGGCGCGCCCCGGCCGCCGCCCTGGATTGACCAACAGCAGCCCTCGTCAGCCCGTCATGTCCGTGAACATCACCACCACCCGGCTGACTGTCAGGTGTGCGTCCCAACACGTTCGTGCTGGCACCCCGACATGCAAGCGCAGGACCTTTTTCAGCTCCATCTTCAGCGGGCCGTCGACGGTCAAGAGGCGCGCAAGACGTGACGAGGAGAGCCCCGCGCTGCCTACGCCCACGCGCGAGTACCACCCCACGCCTATACCCCACGAAAAGTTGATCCACAGTCCCGCCAACGCCGGCCAGGTCGATGCATATCCTGTAAAAACTATCGCCGTGAGCATAGAGGAGAACCTACGCACATTCGATACCGTATTTCTGCGTGACAGCTGCACGTGCCCAAGATGCGTGGATCCAGACAGCAAACAGAAGCTCTTCCAAACCTCCGACATCCCGCAAGAGATAGAGGGGAAAGCGCGGACGGTGCAGGATGAGAAAAAGGGCTGGGTAGTCGAAGTGGAGTGGCAGAACGACGTGCCTGGTTATGGCCCGGACCACCGCACAACGCACTCCATCGACTGGCTCCGGCGAGCCCTGAACACAGAAGTAGAACTCCGAGGCGGCGTGCGGTACGACGACCGAGTCCTCTGGGACCGAGACACAATCACCAAAAACAACAAATGGATCGATTACGCCGACTGGATGTCGCAAGACACCGTCCTCTTCGACGCCCTCACCCACCTCAACAAATACGGCCTCCTCTTCCTGAAAAATGTACCCGAGTCCGAAACCTCCGTCGTCTCCATCGCTTCCCGCGTCGGCACGCTCAAAGACACCTTCTACGGCCGCACCTGGGACGTTCGCTCCAAGCCCAAAGCCGAAAACATCGCCTACACGCCCCAGTTCCTGGGTCTGCACATGGACCTGCTGTACACTTCGAACCCACCACATCTCCAGCTCCTGCACTCCCTGCGCGCCCGCACGCCCGGCGGCGAGTCCTTCTTCAGCGACGCTTTCCACGCCGCGGCCAAGCTGAACGAGCAGAGCAAGACGCATTTCAGGGCGCTCTGCACGTTCCCGGTGACGTATCACTACCACCATGCGGAGCACCACTACCACTACACCCGCCCGACCATCGAGCTGCATCCCTACCCCAAGTACAGCGAGCCCACGAATCTCGCGCTGCACCGCGTAAACTGGAGTCCGCCGTTCCAGGGTCCGTTTGAGGCGCGCATTGGCGGCGAGAGCCAGACGGCGCTGCGGAATTACCTTGCTGCGGCTAATGCGTATGAGAAGCTTCTGAGTCAAGAGGAGAACTTGTTTGAGTACAGGCTGAAAGAGGGAGAGTGTGTGATCTTTGATAATAGGAGGGTGTTGCATGCAAGGAGGGCGTTTGATGCGACCAAGGGCGAGAGGTGGTTGAAGGGAGCGTATGTGGATGACGATGTTTTTTTCTCCCGGTTGAGGGTGTTGGAGGAGAGGCTGGAGGGGAGGTGGGTTGCGGATGGGGTTGTGAGGCCTGTGGTCTAGCGGATGCACGTGTCTTTGACGTTTTTGGGTGGGAAAGGCTGTGTTGCATAGTGGACGGAACATGGGTCAGCATCGTTTTGCATAGTAGCAGCGTATTGAATAGACGGATCTTGAAGCTTTGGCGGATGAGACCCATCACTGCATCTTGTGGATTACACTCGCTGATGACAACCTATTCTTGCTTTGTGGTTGCGGCCCCTTGGTTGCTAACGAATTTGTGGCCTCGTTCTGATCGCGCAATGTTTGTGTACGTATGCGAGCGTAATGGACAAGGAAATTTGACGGCTTATAGACCCAGGGGAACTTCTTTGGGTACATCATAGGGAATATGGGAACTAGCGCGCACATGTTCGGGCAAGCTTGGGAAGCAGCGACAAAGACAAGAAGAAAATGAAAGAGCTCGAGGCGATATCGAAAGCTATGAAAACCATCCAGGCGCTGGCTCGGGCGGAAGATCTGAACCATAATGTTCCCTCACACGGATCTCGACCGACCAGAATTCCTTTCTGCAGATGTTTGCGTCGCGTCGTCGCTGCGGATGCAAAGAAACGATGACTGTGCAATCGTCGGGAGGGAAATGGTAACGTAGCTCAGACCTCTTTGGAGTCGCATAAACAATGAACTGTTCCCTCGATAGTACACTACTGAAGTTGGCTGCTTCAATAGCGTGCTGTACAACATTTATCGTCGATTCGTTTGATGGATAATCGAGTATAGTGCACTGTAGATGGTCCTCAGACCACCCAGTTGCATAGAACATCAACCGGAGGCGGTGCTTAACATCCTGGCCGTATGAACCTAAAGGTATGGCACAGAGTAGCTCCATACTTCCGGTACCTTCATTTTTACCGCTGCTGGTGGTGAAAAATACGTCGTCCTCTTCATCGTATCTTGATTCTGGCCACATCCTTGGCACATACAATCCGGCAGATAGGCTGACGGCAAGGACGTCATGACGTATTTTTGGTATTACGTCCAGCATATTGATCGTTGCGACTTGGTCCGTTCTGGAAACGATCTCTGCTTCGCAGCCCAAGGCAACCATATTTCTGATATGTGTCTGAACATAGGTATCATCGTTAGGAAACCAGGACACTGCATTTTCCTCGTTATACAATACGCACAGCCGCCGGGGATTTTCTCGCAAGAACTGGCTGGGACCAATCTTTCGGAGAAATACGGCCAAGGTAGTTCCAGGTGTTCCCAGTGGACGACAGTCTGTGAATAACACGTAGCTGACGTTTGACGTATAGAGCACCGTCACAACGTTTACTCTAATCTTAACCCCTTTGTTCGTCACAGCAACGTCCATGGGCCATGATCCAGGTTCCCAGGAATACGTTCCACCATTCTCAAACATAGCGGGCGATGCGGCAAACACACCACATAATGTTCTGGTGTTGGCCCCGTCGGCGGACGCTTCTTCTTCCTGCGGAAGCGACCAGGCAAAAATACTCCTGTCAGCTCTGGTTTTGATGATTTCTTCTTGCAGCCTACCGAAGGCCTTCTCTTCTTCACCATACAACAACGGCATATTAACATCAAAGATGCCCAGCAAGCAATATGCAGTATCTTCGATTCGAGTTGTTCGGCGCCGCGCTGCCCACGACATCCTCTCAGCTACCGCAACAGCTGAGAGAGGCATTGTGTTTCCAAGGATGCGGCCGCCGATGCCAGTGATTGCAGAAAGCTGATCCATAAGCGTATGCTTGTTTCCGCGGATATTCCACTCTTCGTCATAGAATATGACACTGTCAGGAGCTATTAACTCCTGCAGGGTCCATCCTCTCGTACTAAGTATTTCAGTTGTTACCCCGGCCAAATCCAAACTGGTGGGTGCGACTCACAACCAACGACACTTTGGCAAAGCCTCTTCAAGAGGTTCTGATCTAGGCAGGTCGGCAAGATATGCATAGCATATCTTGGATCTTTGGTACCACCGATACATTGAGTTGATGGCTTCCGTCAGTTCTGCGCTGCTGGACTTGTCGATGCCTTAGTATTAGTCAATGTCAGCCAATACCAGAGCGTGGTGATATGCTGAAGTTCCAAGATGGGGACAGTCATCCTGGACGGCGTAGAGAGCTTTAACAGTACAAACTATACACTCACAGCAGGTATCCACCCAGGCCCAGCCGATACCCTGACTAGCGGCAATCGCGCATGTCGCCTCAATTTTGGCGAAGCTCTTCTTCCTTTTGTGCACGTTATCTATAACATCTTTGTAGGAGACCTCTTCATCCTCCCACGTATGGGAGAGGATTGCATATTCGGGGATTTGACTGCCAATAAACTCCTTGAAAGACCCATCTCGGACGTCAATTAAGCGCATGGCTGTTCAGAATGAGCGGGATAAGGCTGAGACGTGTGCCTATATGTACTTGATGGTGAAGAAGTGTTTTGGATGTGCAGGCGGTGCGTTCGATGCATTCAGCGACAGTATATCGTCTTTTGGAACACGGGCTGTAGGCGCTGAGCTATCATTGCGAAACCAGAAGGCGCTGGAGAAAGGCGACCTCGGGAAGCATGCAGCACATGTAATACGAGATCAATGGCGACCTAACTCCAAAGAGCTAGCTTAACGTTGTCGCCTACATTCACCTTCACAGGCCCAATTCTCCTTCTCCCTCTCTACCACTAGCACGGTATTCACGGTATGCTGCAAAAATGCCGCCACGAAAGGCTGGTACAATTCGCCATACCCCACACACCAAGCGTCGACAGGCAGACCGAGGAAGACCGATACTACTAAAGGCGCTGGCATTCAAACCACACTCGCCGGCAGAGGCGCGCACCAAAGTTGGTGAAGGGCCTGCTTAGCTCCGAGATCCGGGCTGTCCAAATAAAAAAAATGAGAAGAATCTCCATCATACAAGAGGAGGTGAGTAGAGCATCTTAGATAGTCGAAGAATGGCACCTTGATTTGCGCGTAATCGTTGCTCGAAACCCAGAAACATGCCTAAGCCGTCAATCATGTAATTTTGTATCAGTACACAGATGAATTTCTACTTATTTCAGCTCATGAACGGTTCTACTTGCGGAATTACCTGTATCTAGACTCTCGGAAGGCTGAAGTTGACGCCACCATAGTTGTCGACAAAACTCTGCCCAGTCCCCACTACTGCGCCTTCCGAACGAACTACTCGATCACACCTATTTCTAGTTGCAGAAGATGAAGCGATTCTTATCAAATCTCTTCCACGATCTGCAGGAAACCAGTGGTGGACTGCAAGACTCAAGTGCCTGCTGCCTGAGCCCGCCTGCAAGACCGCTAACAAACTATCTGCGGTTTATTCCACGATGAAGCTTCCGCTCCCATGTCGACAATTTCATCTTCTGACGGCCCTAATTCCGTATGAACTCTTGCGCTTCTGCTTCTGGTCCAGGCGGGCGATGAACACGTGGATGTCATGCAGCATTCCGGCCCAAGGTGAAGTCGCGGGATTGGTCCCCATGACTGGTGGGCTTTGGATGTGGCGGCTGGTGCGAAGCAGCCGTTCTCAAATACCTTCCCAACCTGGAGGTGCTGATATTTTGTTGCTATGCAACGGATCGGGAGGACACCGAACTCACGATCCCGTTTGCAAAGATTCTAAAGAATCCCTAGTAGCTAAAAGAGACAGGACACGTTTCCGCATTTCTAAACGGTGTGCTGCTTCGAGAACAGGATGGCGACTTAAGCTCTTCGAACTAGTGTTTCTATTTATCTTGAAAAGGAGTGTAGTAATATTTCCCGCTGCTCCATCAGAAATACTTCATCGTCCGTTCTCTGTCACTTCGACTCTCATCCTCACTCTCACTACATTGATTGAGTAGTTTTCGTCAAGCTCATTTCATGTCGGCTATTTCTAGCGTCGCTCACCTTCAATCGACCTATCACTTACAACCTCAATACCCAGTCTCTCACTAGGAAATAACCATGGCGAAGGCTCGAGCCACCAACGACGGCCGTGTCCGCGTCACCAAGCGCAAGTCTAGGAAGCAGGCTCCGAAATCGATGAGTGGCCTTCTCGATGTCTCTGTCCTCGAGGATGTGACTGATATTGCGGAACTGTAAGTCTGTATTTGCGGTCGGTTGTCAAGATACTAAATAGGCAAACAGTACGCACCGGAACTCCACAGAATCACCTCTTTTGCGCGTCCCTCCAGAGATCCGCAACAGGATCTGGAAGCATGCAGTTGGTGGCCTCGAGATCCACATCACAGGCGTCGGGGTCCTGGTTTCTGCACAGCTTTCATACGGCACACGACCTATCGGTTCAAGGGGATATCTCCTCAAACATCCCAGAGTCGCTTCTCACATGCACCAAGTCAGTCGCCAGGCATATTTTGAGGTGGCCCCCTTCATCTACACCCTGAACACATTCAGTTTCGACTATGTGGGCGTCATGGATCGCTGGATCAAGAATCGTGCTTTTGGCCAGATGCAGTTCGTCACCTCTATCAACATCCCGTCTCAATACTATGGGCTGTACATACAAGGCTTCCGGCGTACATTCCGCAAGAAGTTCCCAAACATCAAGCGCATTGGCATTGGTCATTATTCGGTTCTTGTCAGAAGGCGGATGGGCGAGACGATAGAGGAAACGAAGGACCGCATCGTCAAGCAGGTGCATGAGCGCGAAGGTGACGGCGTGGTGGTCGAGTGGTGAGTTCCTTAGGACACGAAAATGATATAGAGGTATGCATTGACTAATGCTTCTATTCGAAGGTATTGATTCTATAGCTACCCTCTACTGTTCACTCTTGAACCAGTGAGGCGCGACTTGCACTGTCACCGCGGCTGATGCACGGACTCACAGTGACGCATTTGCATGAATTTGGAAGGGGTTCTCATTTGCAAGGAAATGGTTTCAGTCACTTATTCACCACCATTTTTTTTTACTATAATTGGGATTCCTGGCCCTTCAGTCCGGATAGTGGGACGGGAAGAGCCGGGACGAGGTAAGTTATTCAAACTGGCACGATCAGAGAGTGTGAGTTGCAAAGCTTTTTGATCTCAAATCTAGCAATCGGATGTGAGGACGCATATGTCGTTGACTAGGGACTGGACTGTCGCCTTCAATCGCCCGCACGTGGTGGGCTGGTCTATGGACATAGCGATGGTGAAATTCGGGGTCCGTGGGTCAGTTGGGGCGTAATCCATAATACCGGTCTTGCTCAACCTCAAAACTGCGTATGACTCCTAAATCCTCGATCTATTTAATGCACGGATGTATCGTCGACAAAAAGGTGGCTTGTGACCCCCAACTGATCCACTTTCTCAAGTCATATGACATATCCACTGTCCCTCGTTTATGTAGGCCCGCCCACTGCCCTCTCTCCTCGACTAACAATCTCAACAATTCTCCTCGATCCATTGTCAGTAGTCCAGAGATATGGAGGAAAACGAGTCGGAGGGAAGCTATGGGAGCTCCGATTACGACTCGGAGGAACTCTAACTAGACCCAATCAGCAACGGCATGCTCGATGCGACACCCCGATGCGGACACGCGAGCCTGTGAGTATCTCCATGTTTACTGATACTCATTCTTTATTTTACAGTAGGACCAAGCGAAATATGACCGAATCGCCACTTTTACGCCTCCCATCCGAATTGCGCACTATGATCTTCCACAATACCTTCACTGGTGTCTACGTCCAGAATCCTCTGACCGACTCTTCAGGCCCGCTAACGTGGCCCATCCCGACTTCCTAAGCGTTTATCGGGTTGTCTACGAAAAAATGCCGGTTCCTGCCATTCTCAGACGCTCGCTTCATCGCGACCGACCTTGTGGAGTCCACGGTAAAGGGAGTGCCTCGGATTCTCATGACCTTCGATAATCATGGCAATCAATACCAGATCTCTGCTGATAGGCTTGAGAAATTGCGCATACATTCGATACCCACCTTCAATGACTCTGCTCAAGTCAACAGGATTGTGACTCTACACACACGCGGACTCAATTTTCGCCACATCCCAAAGGCGATTGAGTTCTTGTCTGCACTTAACCAGATCATTGTGCGCCCGAGTCATGATGTACATCGCCTTGCTCAGCACGTTCGCGAAGCGTGGCTCCGGCGGGATGAGGAGAAGACTATCCACATTCACGACAACGTTCCTAGCTCGATCCAGGTGATCTTCGAAGCAGATAACTTGAAGGAATACAAGTGGGAGGTGTTGCGTGTGTAGTCTTCCCGCTACCAAGGTGTTCTTCTTCATGAGGACGTACTCGGATACATTGATAACAGTTCAGAAATCTTCGAAAGCTACATGGCCTTGGCAGTGATTCGAAAAGATAATGTCCTAGAGTTGGGAGTCGATACACAATTAGCTGAGGACGATAGTTAAGGACAACTTCGAGTCAATGTTACAGGCAAGGGCAGCTTCTGATCTTGCGCTTGGCAATACGAATATGCATGCAGTAGCATGATAACTGTTTACGTGGGCAGCGGTCACTGAAGTTTCCACGAGGAACGTGAATTGTAATACAGGACAGCGTGCGCGGTCCTTCCGGTATTGCTCTTGCTTCTTGTATGCTGAGTAGGCGAGTTATCAGGTACGAACGACCACATAATTACAAAGCAGCTTCAAAGAGAGCATAGTTTCCGCTCGTACTTATTTGTCCGTTGTGTATCCGCGTGCCGCGCCACACGCCCATATGCCCAGGTACAGGACCGTCCGTGTGAAAGGTGCTGTGGATCTACGTCTCATACCTATGTTACAATCGTCTAAATACCTCATCAAAAACGAAAAACGATAGCTCAGGCCCTCGCTCGGAAGCAGCTCAACTTTCAAATACTTTCACTCAGCCTAGCGGCTTGGCATTGGGTTCCTGCCACTTCTCATCCACTCGATTCGGCAACGGGCAGTATATTGCTCTGCGCCATGCGCTGAAATTTCTCGCCCATAACCACCAGGAACTCAAGCCATTTCAGCCACCATGGCTGATCCTCCCACCGAGCCCGGAGCATACGACGACCGCAAGAATGATGTAGCGACTGCCGCCAGGACTAACGTTGGCATTCGCGCTGTGATCAAAGACAGCAACGGCATGCTTGACCCCACTCCGCGAGGTGCTTGTATCCCGGTGTAAGGTTCACGCTCTACTCATTTGCAGACTTAGTTGCTGATACGGGGTAGCTTTGAGCGAAACCAGCAGCAGTCACCCTTTCTGAGGCTTCCTGGCGAAATTCGCAACAAAATCTACGGCTACGTCTTTGAAACGGTACCCGAGTGTTTCATATACTTGATGGGCACATTGCGTATACCTGAATGGAACAGCGGGTGTTTTCATCTCAGTACAGTGTGTCGAACTATGTACAAAGAGACTCGATTCCTTTGCTTCACCAACGCTACGGTTTACCTATCGTCAGCATCCTTCGGATGCGGAGTGGCACTGCGAGATATATTTCCAGTGCAGCGAGAAGCCTTCTCAACGCTGGTCATCTCCCACGCCAATCTTCACGGATTTATGGCACGGGGCTTTCTTCGGGCTTCCCAGAATTATCTACCCGGTTTGGAGCGCGTCTTCTTGCATGATTTTTGGGGACATCACGCTCCATGTATGGCGGGACATCAATTTTCGGCGATGCAGCAGGAGGTTGGAGAGGAAGAGGCAAAGCCGTTTCGTGAGATCGTCAAGGAGGGAGTCCAAGTCGAATGCGGATATTGGGACCGAGATGCCATGTGAACGTCGTCAGACAAGAGGGCGGATGCGACAAGGGAATATCCAACGCACCTGTCGGGACTAGGAGAACCAGGCATGCATGTATCAGGCAGATTCGGCTACCCGCCAAAATGAGACACACGAATGAAACAAAAGCATTTAGTCTCTATTGCTTCTCGTACTCATACAGAGAGATGCTACGATAGCAATTTTTTCTCAGTTAGAGTGCAGCCACCTCTCACTCGCCTTCACCTTCTCCCCAGCCTGACAGCCGTTCACTTGAGTTTTTGCCGCTTTCCTTCACCCTAGCAATAACGATTTATAAAATGTACACCGCGCACCGAAACCTCCCACTCACAACAATCACCAACACCATCAGAATCAGCCAAGCCAGTCGTCATGGCTGCCTCCCTCTACGACCGCGGACCTCGCGACGACGACAAGGCCCATAAACCTACGGGTGCGACCGCGACCACCGTAGCTAAAGATGCCAACGGACTACTTAATCCAGACCCCGCGGCAAGTGCATGGACATGTGAGTGCTACGATCTCACTTGCCATGCGCACGATTGCTAATGCAGTGTAGCTTCCGTCGGAATCAGCAGACGCCTTTCCTGAGATTCCCTGGAGAGATTCGCAATAAGATCTATCGCTATGCGTTCGATAAAGCGATAGAATTCTACATCGATCACCGGGGTAGATCGAGCATCAAGACAGCCGTGCAGAACCGCCTTTCCCTTCTCACAGTGTGTCGGATCATTTGCGCGGAATCCCGCATGTTTCCGTTTGTTGGACCCATTTCAACCCAGTTATCGATTCCGCAATGCCCGGAGATGATGAGATCGGGAACTTTCTTGAGGACTGTGGAGAAGAACTGCCCGTTCTGAAGCACATCTTCTTGGACATGTTCTGGATATAGGTACCTGGATGACATCAAAGGTGGCGGGTCGAAGAAGCAGGCAAGTTAGCCCGCCAAAACAGGAGTACGAACATCCAAGACGAAGTGGGGATTTGGGACCACTAAGCCTGTGCGTCGTTACAAATACGATGATGGCGATGAAGAAAGAACTCGACACACCTCTTCCGTAGGAGAAGGCGATCGGGATTGGAGATCAATCCCATTGGATAGCATTGGACAGGTGCAGTTACATTAAAGGTTAATATGGCTCAGAATGATTGGCTCACGAATGAAAAGAAGTGCATTTGGTATCTATTACTTCTCGCAATCATGCAAACAGCAGAAATGATACCCTAATGTGACCCATCAGCCGGCCGTCTCCTGGCCGCTCATATTGTGCTCCATAACGCCATGGTCTTCACTTGTAGAACCGTCATAATTCATGCAGCTTTTCGAACTTCTTCTTCCCAACCAGCTCAAGCATGACCGTTGCCATTGCTTGTAAGCGCATTCGTAATCTTGGGACCAACGACGGCCTTCTCCAGCGCCTGCAGCACATCAGCCACGAGATCGGCCTCGTCCTCGATACCGCAGCTGACGCGAACAAGATCGTCGAACACGCCCGCAGCCTCGCGTTGTTCGCGTGGGATGCCACCGTGAGTCATCGCGCTTGGCACCTCAACGAGAGACTCAATGCCACCCAGGGACTCAGCAAGCGTGTAGATCTTGGTGGCCTGGCAGAATCGCTCAGCAGCCTCGTGGCCGCCACGGATGCGGAAAGAAAGCATACCGCCGCCCATCGCATCCCTATGCTGCTTCTGGGTTACAGCGTACTGCGGGTGTGAGGGAAGACCAGGGTAATTGACCGCAACGACGTGTGGTGAGTTTTTGAGCGCAGTTGCCACGCCGGTCGCGTTCTTGGTGGCTTCGCGGGCGCGGAGATGCAGGGTCTTGAGACCACGGTGGGCGAGCCAGCAGTCAAAGGCTGAGGGGACGGCACCGAGAGCGTTTTGAAGGAAGGAAAGGCGATCGTAGATGTCCTGCGAGTTGAACGCCGCGGCGCCCATCACCACATCCGAGTGGCCATTGATGTACTTGGTCACAGAGTGGACGACAATGTCAGCGCCGTGGTCGAGCGGGTTTTGCACGTATGGCGAGAGGAAGGTATTGTCGACAACGACCAGGATGCCGTGCTGATGCGCGATTGTGGCAACCTTCCTAATGTCCACAAGCGTCAGGGTAGGATTGGAGGGCGATTCGATCCAGATCAACTTCGTCTCGGGGGTGATGAGCTCAGCGATGTCAATTTCGATGCTAGGGCTGAATGTGACCTTCACATCGTGGGTGAGTGCGACTTTGGTGAAGTAGCGGTGCGTGCCACCGTAGACATCTGACACAGAGATAACGTGAGAGCCTGCGGCGAGGGATTGCAGAATGTTCGCTGTGGTCGCGGAGCCGGAGGAAAAGGCGAGGGCAAAGCGAGCATGCTCCAGAGCGGCAATCGCACGTTCAAAGTTGTCTCTGTTCGGGTTCGAGGATCTTGAATACTCGTACTGTCCAACTGGCTTTCCTAGGCTGGTCTGCGCAAAGGTGGTGGAGAGTGAGATCTGCTCAGATTAGCGAAATGTCGTGATTGTCTAACTTTGGACACCAGATCTGAATTCGTATGTTGCGCGAAGCGAGCCGGAAACTTCACATGAAAGTTCCTATCGCCCGGACGAACACAGCAAGTCCGATCTTGCTGCCCAAGGAATACGCACCGGTTCAATGACTGCGCCTGTCACAGGGTCATGCGGACTGCCAGCATGCACGGCCAAAGTTCCAAACCTATGCACTGGCGAAGGTGCCCGCGGCGGAGTCTCGATCGGGTGTTCGGCAAGCGTCATGATTGCGATGATCTTCTTCTAGAGGCACGGATACTTTGGTATTCCTCGAGAAGAGCGCAACGAGACGTGAATTTCGCAATATAACTGAGCGCAAGCACTAGCTTATCGATAGATGGCCGTCGCGCTAATTCCCTAGGTACCGTTGGGCTTTGTTTGGTGATGGCGCGATTTTGCTGCAATTGCGTGCTCGTTCACAGTGTCAGACTGGGAGAGGGTAAAAGCGCGGAGTATGACTTCATGGCGCTGGAATTCACCGCCTCTTATATAAGAGTCTGCATGGGCGTCCGGCATCTGTGCGGCCTGAATGTGTAATGAGGTGCTGAGAAATCGCATAGAGAGAGGATGCGCTGCATGGTTTAGACGTCTTGTTGCGACCATTTGAGTTTAGCTCGGATGGTGCAATCGAATTCTCCGAACGCCTTGCGGCGGCCCAAAGCGGTTTGCTGATCTAACGACTTGTTGCGCCGAGGCACAAGCGGCCTTCTAGAAGCATCGTCTCTCGATTTTTCTTGTATCATAGAAGCGTGATTACGGTGCATCTCATGCCACGCTCGTCCTCGCGAGTTCCGCGCAGGGACAGTCAGTGAGCAATGTACCATTCAATGACTCTACCGCAGCTACGATAGAACTATATGGGGCTAAAATATTTTCTCTTCATAGTGTATCTCAACACACCGACTACGCCGACTACACCGACGAGCTTGCAGCTTCACGGCCCGGACTTGCATGGGTTCTCTGAGAGACCACAGTGCTTTGCAAACCCGAAGAGTTCGTGCCTTCCTGAACGAGCCTTCATCCCGGTCCCTGCTTCTTCGCCGTATCTTCACTGCGACTCTTGACTCTGGTCCAGCCGTTCATTTTGCGCTCCTCGACTGCTGCGGTTTCCGTGATATTTGGAGCATTGTCTATGTAGCTCTTTCCGTCACCCTCATGATGACGTTTTCCAACCATGATCGGATCGTCTTTGATCGCATTCTCCATGTCTGCCCATTCTTTCGGATCCAAATTGTCCCAGTCCTTAGTCTGCTCCTCAGCGTACAGATAACTCTTCAGTTGATCCTTCAGCTTCCACGGTGTAACGTTCCAATCACCCAGGCGCTGTACATTCTCGCCATCGAGAGCGAATGAATGAGACGTTGAGTAAGAGATTTCGCCGAGTCCTACAGGGTTCTTCTTCGTTGCATAGGAGTTGGACCTCGACTGAGGAATATCTTTATCGAGTGGGTTTTCTGGGCGCTGAGGATTCCAAGTGACTCGCAATTTTAGCAGGCGGTGGAGGTTCTTGCCCACATCACAAACATCCTCCCATTTCACAATTTCATCTTTCATGCCCTGCGATCGACATAGCCACGCGACATTGTATCCAAGATGTGCGACAGCTTCTATGAAAGTTGTGTAAGCGGCCTTGTCTTCTTGTCGCAAATGAGGGAGAGATCGATCCAGAAAGAGTACCATGGCTCTAGGCATGGGTACACCATCCAATGTACGAGAAGCTTCCGGGCTGTTATTAGATGAATGTGATGGGGTCAAGCCTGGAAATGGGGCTTTCTTCCCTTCCCACGATTCCTCAGGACTGATGATTGTGGGATGTGGGTAGTCTTTGTGTGGGAGCGTGATCTCAGAGGGGAGACGGAGACCCAGATAGGCCGTGGCCCGAATTAAAAGTTGTGTAATGGCAAGTAGAGAGGCGGATAGTTCATCCGGCGGAGCGTCTGGGCAAAGTCAGTAGGAAAACTCGATATGAATTGAGGCATATGATTCGAACATACCATTGAGCTCTCGCAAGTCCCAAACTCTGACGTGTCTACCAGACTTCGATAACGTCCGATGCCGGTCTATGTCAGGACCTATATACCAGGTCTCCCTGATCTCTCCTCCCTTTGTCCTACGCTTCAACGATTTCAGTCCCGCGATATCGGCCGCAGAGTTGACGAGATACGATCGCATCTCCATCGTAGAGGCGTGAACCTTATCCGACTCGTACTCCAAGCGCTTGATGCTCTGCTGTACTTTATCGCGTTCATTGACTCGGCGAGCGTTCACGTCGTGGGTGGCAGACGATATGTCAGATCTGCGTGTGGAAATTTGTCGGCGCTTGTCCACAAGCTGCTTCTGCGCATCCTCGATCTGCTGCCGTAGTAGTTCAGCCTGCTTCTTGATCAAGGCAGTACGCTCTTCGATCTCTGCTGTCTCCGCTCGGGTGCGTTGGATCGCGATATTGTTCGTGCATTCTTGCCGATCGACCAGCAAGTCGCCTTTTGAATCCTGGAGTGAAACATGCCTAAGATTGGCCGCTCGTTAGCAACATCCACCAACTGCGGAACTTCGAGTCGCACTGAATAGACAGGCTTAGGCTTAGGCTAAGGGATCCACTTACTGGCTCTCTTGGTCTTCTAAGACCTCGACAACGGCTTTGATATGCTTTGCATACGTCTCGCCAACAATCAGCTTGTCCGCAAGTTTGTAGCGGGGTTCCTCCAAGAAGGCGCGAGCGCAAGTGACACAGTGGAGCGCGCCCTCTCTGCCACAGATGTCACACTCCATGTCGTGATTTATGTTATGTTCCCACCTCTTGATCTCTCGGGTTCTCGTGGGTCTAGCAAGCAGTTGAGGATCATGTTGAGCGGGTACGCGCCGTGGGAGGTGCTATAGGCAAACAGGCTGCCTCGAGAGTGCGCTAATCTGGACAGTCTTCGTCGAGGCCTGTGCGGGCAGCGAACATGAGGCTCGGAAGGAGTCAAATCCAAGGTGATGAAAGATGGAGTCGGGAAGGCTCCGGTGGACGATAACATGTCAGGCACCCGCGAGGCGTGACGCAACTGGGCGCACCTGCCCGCGGGATGTTGCGCTAAGCGCATGCAGCATAGTGCTACACGTGAACCATCGCTCCTCCCATACCTACGACTCGGACAGATGGTTCACTCCAGCATCGCGCCAGAAGCTAAATACCGCGTCTGAGTTGTCGAATCGCTCAGAGTATTGACGTATCACTCATGAGCTAATGGCCAATGCCATCGTCAGAGTCTGATTCCTCATACCCATCAATTGGCAGGCTACAGCAAGGAGAACAATCTCTCCGGTCTTCGCCTCCAACATTGCCTTGGTCCGACTTGGCAGCTATGGCGGACATGAAGGAGGACCAGACTCACAACGCCGAGCATGCAGACAACGCGCCAAACGTAGAAGACGCGCGTGCCCCCAACATCCCCAAGGACCCAACTGAAGACGCGCGCCCGCCCTCGGCCCAACAGGCTCAGCAAGTCCCAGAAGCGGAAGATCTAGAGCCTGGCGAGGATGAGGAGTATGACAGCGAGGACGATGCGGATCCTGCCGACGAGATGGCACATTTCAACTGGGAAGGGCTTCATGAGCGCTACCACGATACCATCAACACCGCGTCCGCGCAGGAGCAAGAGTTGCTACGGGAGTTCTCTGAGCTCGTGAATGTAATGTTAACATATGTTCTGATATGCACACAACGAACTAACGAGTGGTGCAGTACTTCAATATTTGGGCCAATGCTGGTGCCAATCAAGAGTCTGATCGCACCTTCCACCGGTATGCATGTCTCATTTTGCCTTCAAATCAACTCGACTAAACTAGTCTAGACTGCGTACTCGCATGACCTACGTGCAGAACTCTGAGCAGAAATTGGAGAACACGAGGCAGCACTGTGAGCTCTTTGTATGGCCGGTTGTCTGCACAGGCTGACTTCAGTAGACATTGGTGTTGTACAAGCGTTCGAGAGTGCGCTTAATCTTCTTCGAAACTCTGGCTTTGGCGGCTGATGCTCATGCCAACCCAGGAGCCATCTTCCTCGATCATCAATCAACACCGGAGTTGACGACCACCGTTCCACACGGGCGATCAATGTTGGTATCTCCGCATTCGGCGCGCCTACGCGTCATGAGAGATGTTTCCCCATCAGGGTGTGGAAGGCATGTTATGCGATGCAATATTATGTAGGGGACATATTTAGTCCCACTGTCCGGTATCGGAAGGAGTCGTGCGGCAGCCCCATAGAGATACCCAAGTATACTCATAGTAATTGTGAAAGATGAAGGAGAAGGCCAAATCCAATCAAAAAGGTGCCATGAATAAATATATCAGCGATCCACACGAAGGTAAATGCTTCGAAAATCATTGCTTTCACATCAATCCATTTGATTACTCTACCATCACCAAGTCTATCCCATATGCCGGCGAGCCGTCCACACAAGGCTCCAGCCAGAGAAGCCAAAAACCATCTATCCACTCACAAAAAAGAAAACCTATTCACAAATCTCAGAGCCCACCACATTTTATGCCGATGCAAGGTGAAGATAGCGATGTTAATCTTGGGGCGAACGGAAATGCACGCTGAGATGCAGGACGTAATGCAGGAGTCTACAAGAGCGGGTTGGAGCGGTACTCGGGGACGACGCCGTTGGTCTGCGACTTCTCGGCCTGGTTCTCCACCTCGAGCTCGTTGGTGATGCTGTCGTCTTGGTCGGCGAGCCACTTCTCGGCCTCAAGGGCGGCAATGCAGCCGGAGCCTGGTATGCGTTAGCTGTTGTCACAATTGTACATTTCAAATGACCACTGACCTGCACTCGTGATAGCTTGCCTGTATCGCTTGTCCTGGACGTCACCAGCGGCGAATACGCCCTCTATGCTGGTGGTGCAGCGTCCAGGGTCCGTGATAAGGTAGCCATCCTCATCCATCTCAAGCTGGTCTTTGAAGAGCGCGGTCGCAGGATCGTGTCCAACCGCGTAGAACAGTCCCTTGGCTTCGATGGTCTGCTCCTCCTTGGTGACGTTGTTCTTGATGACGAGCTGGGTCATGAGACCATTCTTCTTCTCCTCCCCTTTGATCTCGACCGCGCTGGTGTTGTACCTGATGTCGATCTTGGGGTGCGTTGTCAGTCGTCGCGCGTTTGTCCTGCTCGCCCGAAGCTTGTCTCTTCGCACCAGGACGGTAACCTTCTTCGCCTTCTTGGTGAGGTATAGCGCCTCTTCTACGGCTGAGTCGCCGCCGCCGATAACAACAAGGGGTTGCTCGCGGAACATGGGGAGGGACCCGTCGCAGACCGCGCAGGCTGATACGCCGTTGCCCCAGAACTTATCCTCGCCGGGGAGGTCTAGTCGGCGGGCCTTTGCGCCAGTTGCGATGATCAGAGCGTCGGCGGTATGCTCCTCCTCTTCGATGGTCTCGTCATCGCCCATGGGGTGTAGCCAATACTTGAAGGGTTTCGCCTTGAGGTCGACCTTCGCGACGGTCTGGGAGATGATTTCGGTGCCGCAGGCTTCGGACTGCTCGCGCATTTGGTCCTAAGGCACGTCAGCGGGGTAAGCCCACGAAATCACATGGCAAAGAAATGTACCATGAGCTTGCCACCCTGGATCATCTTGAAGCCAGGGAAGTTCTCGACTTCATCGGTGGTGGTCAATTGGCCGCCCGCTGCGATTCCGAGCGCAAGGAAGCCCTCGTACATGACGGCTGGTGCATGTTAGCAGAGTGTTCCCAGAAGAAAGGTGCCAAACATACGCTTCAGATCGGCTCGCGCAGCATAGATAGCCGCGGTGTGGCCTGCAGGGCCAGAGCTATATGCAAGTCAGCATGGCGCCTGTACAATATCATCATACTCTGGGCGTGGTGGGGCACGCGATAGCTGGACAGCGGAAGACAGGGACGCGTCGCACTTACCCAATGACTGCAAATTGCGTTAGCCGAGCTCCAATATTGCATACAAAGGCACAACTTACTGACTACTCGTGAATGCATCCTCCGCACGTCGGCCTGAAGTATTGAGGTCTGCTTTGACGCAGAAGATAACCCCGCGGCGGGCGATACGCGCTGGTTTGACGCGGCGGCGGCGATGGGCACGGAGAAGAGCGACAGGAAACGGGTCGAGGTTGCGCGACGGAAACCTGAGGCGAACACTTTGGCGGTTGTAGTGTTCCTTGTGCGGGTGTGCGGTATGAGAGTCTCTGTCGCTAGCTGTGGGCTTTGGGCAGCGTTGGCGGCGGCGCAAAGACTTAAAAGAGGGAGGCGGGCGCAGAAGGGCCTGGAATCGATATTTCAGCAGTGCACAGTACTGTCGGCGAAGTTCTGGTCGAGATTCGGACGTGTGTCTTCGGGAGGCAGGCCGTCTAGTGGGGGGCGCAACAACTGGGCCTTAATACCGTTTGATTAATATGGCGTCTGCCGGCGGAATGGGATGACGGGAGAGGTTTGGAAGCTCCTTGGACGCAGCTACAGGTGCTTATTGGGGTACAGCAGACAGCAGTGATGGCGATGACTGAAGAAGAAAATGTGCTAAGCTAGAGCGCGACCGGAGCTGGGCAGGGAAGGGTCGCACGCGATTGCGATTTGCGAGCAAGCCAAGGGTTCATCAGATTTCTAAGAGCGTGCAGCCGAGACTCACCACCCGGCCCACAGCAAACCCACCACCCGCCGCATCGCCTGCCTTGCCGCGGATAGCGTTTGCAGTCTGTACTCGCCTCTTGCAGCTGTTTTGAAACCTACAGACATCATGTGTCACGCTGTGAACGCCCCAGCGACTGTTCAGACATTCCTATGAGCCTTACAAAGAGCATGCGCATATCCTGCGTCATGCCTCGGCAACCGGTCTTCGCCGCATTGCCTAATCCTCCGCGCCTGGACGCTTTCTCAGGTTCTCCACACCGTACAGCAGGTCTCGAAGTGCCTTTGCTTTGTTGTCGGCTTTGCCTCGATCAGTTTCACTCGCAGTACCTGACTCGCGCGCTCCGTTCGGCATAGACCGGCTGAACCTCTCGAGCGCCTTAGTCAAGGTCTCATCGTCCTCCCATTCTCCCGAGTTGTGGTTGGAAAGGCATTGTAAACGCGAAGCGCCCTACGGCGTGTTAGCCATGCTCGAGTCGCGCTTTTGATGATTGCTTACAGATTCCTGGCGGAGTTCATGCTTAGAGCCCGGTTGGTGCACGTGGTCGATGGAGACTGCTGCTATGGAATGACCTGCACCCACCGCAATGAATGCCAGATCGAGCACATTCCCGTTCAACGGCAACACCCTTCCTGTCCTCGATGAGCTACCCAGCTTGAAGCTCACCAGTGCTGGAACGCCTTCGCAAGCTACTAGGATCTCATCGACCTGTATCATGTCAGTGCTAGAAATGAAGTTTCAAACAAAGAGCCTTACCTCCTGTGCACTATTAGGAACCGCCCATATTCCAGAAACAGCGACCTTGAACTCTGCAGCTCCAGTGTGATGTGGATGTCCTTTGTAGTGTTCGAATAAGGGCTCTTGAAGAGGAATCTTCTCGATAAGGCGGAAGGACAGCCAGTCCCAAATGTACATATATGGATCTCCGCCTCCAGATACAAGACGTCCTGACTTTGAGAAGCATAGGCGGCTGACGAACTCCTCGTGGCCTTGACAGAATCCTTCAATGATATGCGTCTGCGGTATCCCACGGGATACTCGGATATGCTCGTCACGGTCGGCAGTCAGTATGTAGCTTCGAGAGCCAATTTTGGCACAGACAACGTCTGTGAGCATTGATACGTGGCCTATGATGAGATGGTGCTTGAATCTCGGCGTATCCTTCACCTGCTTCGCCCCTTTCTGAGCTTGCTTCAGCTGTTCTTCCAGGGCTTTGCGATTCCTTCCAGAGTGAACCGTGAGGACACTGGCAGAGGGTTCGAATTTCTTCTGGTCATCTTTGGGTTCCGGTGTAGCGGCCTGCTCGTCTTCTGGGGATGGTAGTAGTGGTAAGGAATACACGTCCCCGAATTTGTCTGCGCACAATATTGTGGTGTCGTCCATAGCCAAAGTAATGGAGGAAGGACGCTTGCCCATGCATCTTGAGAAGTCAGTCGCCAGGTGCTGGATGGCGTCTCCAAAGCACGTACCTCTGACTTTGCTGCACCAACTGACATTGATCGCCTACTTTAAAGACGCGGATGCACTTGTCCTCGGCAGACACTGCAACAAGATGTTTACCGTCTTTGGTGACTTTCAGATGCGATAAGTTAGGCTTGGGTTCTGCCACGGGTGTGAGTTTAGCCCGTTTTGCAGGAGGGCCTTCCTGTGCAGCCTCACGGTCGGGTTCCTAACCCTGTCAGCTGCTTTCTGGGTGTGCCCATAACAGCAGGCCAAGATTTGCGCGCATTGCATCAAAACACATCTTACACACCTTCACTTCCGGGGCAGCAATTTCTGGCGTCCAAGTCGATGCGACCCCACTAGAGGACTGCACCACAAGGTCAGAGCCTGTCGCTCCGAAAAGCAGCCACTCATGACCATCAGCCGCACGCCGTGTGCACGCCGCAAGGCACTGGTAGGGTGAAATCATTTTCGTTGACGCTCTCCAGTCACCACCAGTGCTCCAAGAAGATCTCGGATACTGAGCTAGGCGGTATGCAGCAGTAGCGCGCTCGCGTAGCCGCACAGACCCAGTCCCACGGCGATTTTCGTTTTCTCGGTCGCGACTTCCTTTCGACCTCATCAATCCACGAAACCGCAATAAGTCCTTAAAGATCCTATTGTGTCAAACCGATCATAATGGGGGGCAAGAAAGAAAACAAGGTCGCCTACTTCGGCAAGCTCGAGAACCTCCTCAAGGAGTACAAGAGCATCTTCATCGTCACCGTTGACAATGTCTCTTCCCAGCAGATGCACGAGATCCGCCAGTCGCTCCGTGGCGATGGTGTCGTTCTCATGGGCAAGAACACCATGGTCCGCCGCGCCCTGAAGGGCCTTGTCGGCGACTTCCCCGAGTACGAGCGTCTCATGCCGCACGTCAAGGGTCCGTATCCTGCGCACACTCTGGTTGCGCGCTCCTGGACTGACATGTTGCAGGCAACGTTGGCTTCGTCTTCACCAACTCCGACCTCAAGGAGATCCGTGAGAAGATTCTCTCCAACCGTGTCGCCGCCCCCGCTCGTGCCGGTGCCCTCGCTCCCCTCGATGTCTACGTTCCCGCCGGAAACACTGGTATGGAGCCCGGTAAGACCTCTTTCTTCCAGGCCCTCGGTGTTCCCACCAAGATTGCCCGTGGTACCATCGAAATTACCACCGATCTCAAGCTCATTGAGGCTGGCAACAAGGTCGGTGCCTCCGAGGCTACCCTCCTGAACTTGTTGAACATCTCCCCCTTCACCTACGGTATGGGTATCTCGCAGATCTACGACAACGGCCAGACCTTCGACAGCTCCGTCTTGGACATTGAGGAGTCCCAGCTGCTCAAGGCTTTCTCTTCTGCCATCACCACCATTGCCTCCATCTCTCTGGCTGTCAACTACCCCACCCTGCCCTCCGTCATGCACTCCGTCGTCAACTCCTACAAGAAGGTCCTCTCTGTTGCCATTGAGACCGAGTACGAGTGGGAGGAGATCAAGGAGCTCAAGGACCGCATTGCCAACCCCGAGGCCTACGCTTCCGCCGCCCCTGCCGCTGGCGCCGCTTCCGGTGGCGACGCTGCCGCCCCGGCTGCTGAGGAGAAGAAGGAGGAGGAAGAGGAGGAGGACTCTGACGCCGACATGGGCTTCGGTCTGTTCGACTAAGTAACCCTTTTGACGATGGCGCCGCTTCTTAGATACCAATGTGACCACTACATGTGGCATACGGCTTTATGAGCTAGGACAGTCAACGAGAACATGAAAACCCAAACTCGAAGCTACAGCTTAGCATTGTGGTGCTTATAATAACAGGCATGCTGCATGCAACTGCGTCTCAAAGGTAAGCACATTTTTCTTTACCCCAATTTCCGCGATGATTATAAATTTTTAACCCTGAGATCTTCCGATGAGGATCAAAACGCAACAACACTCTAATTTTTTCATGAGCCCCTTAAGATACTCTATGCTTTCAGAAAATTAAGACTGTACAAAGCTAACAGTTTCCTCAGATCCCTGCGTGTCTCCTTTACCTGGTCGTGCTACAGTGCCTTCTAAATCCCGAGTTCCCTTAGTGCCCCAATCCCAGGTGTGTATTGTCCTCACACATCTCACATGATCCTACATACCCTTACGCGCCCAATCTGCCTCCCTTCCCAATATCCACCCGGACCCACAGTATCTTCACTGAAGGCTTCCCACCCAAGCTCCTGCACACACTCTCACTCTGTACATTTCCCACATATACATCAGCATGCGCCCAAGCATTCTGCTCGTCATCCACTGCAAGTCCAGGCGCATGCTCCTTGAAGATTTTCACAGCCACTGCCTTTGCAATGCCCTTGCCTCTCCACTTGGGCTCCGTGTGCAATGTTGTCAGCGACCCATCCAACCCTAGAAACGTCCATGCGACAGGCTTGTCTGTTGCTATTTCAAACACACCCACGCTCTTCAAACTGAGCAGCGTACGCGCCGTCCGAGGTATAGATGTCCGTGCCTGCACAATTGCAATATCTTGCTCGCGCATCTCACCCCAGCGCAATTCTTCGGGCAGGTCCCTTGTGTGAGGCAAATCGGACACTTTGAACCAAAATTTGTTCAGATACGCCTCATGGCCAGGAAATTCTTTACATAATATACCGGCTTCCGCCAAGAGTTGCACAACTTCCTGATGACATGCGCCCAACGTGACGATCGTCGGTATCAGCAGATGTCGCATGTATAGTCCAGGCCCTGGTGGATACGCTGCGTCTGGTCCTGTTTGCGGGTGCTCTTTCTCATGCTGTCGCGCAAGCTCAATCGCAGGCTCGTTCCAAGGATGAATGGGCGGAATCGGTAAACTACCCATATAGTCTATCAATGACAGCACTGCTTTCTTACACTCCGTGCAAAACCCTTGCTTCTCTTTGTCTGGTGACGCATAATGGCCAGGCATCTCTCCCGTCGTAAAAATCCAGAGCTCGGTCTCTGGGCGCATGGAGCGGTCGAGGTATGCAGTGGCCCAGCATCGTGAAATCGAATCGGTAGTCGATATTGGGAACGTGGCCAAGATATGTGCGTCTGCAGTGCGATTGGGGTGTTTGGTGCGATAGAAGATAGACATACTATGAGGGAGCGTGCTTTTTAGGGCAGCTTGGAGGGGTGGTGACGAAGCGGGGTGTTCGTAGACCTGCATTCTTGCTTGATGGTGTGCGCAAGGCGGAACAGTGAAGATAATTGTATAATCTGGACAAACTTAGACGGCGTGATGCATGAGTCACGTTACGAAGCTCTTTCCTGATCGAGACTGACAACATGAGATGACTAATAAATCGCTCTCGGTATACATCTATTTCGGAGTTCATATCGGAGCCATGTTTCTCTTGACCCCCTTTCTTCTAGAACTGCGAGTCTTCTTTGAGCTATTACCCTCAATTCCTTCCAAAGGTCCCAATGATGTTCGTCCACATTGCTGTTCGAACGGGGCAATCAACACCACCTACGGCAAGCGATCGTCAGTGTGCCCAGCAGTTCTGATGACACGTACACCTGGACACTACTCTCAAACGTGGATCATGAGGGCATGTTGAAATAATATGAGAGAAGAGGCTGTACTGATCTACAACCTTCTCCAGCGAACACATGCATTGCGACAACTCCCTAGTCGATAGGAGAATATACAAAGTTGTCGGAAAATCATAGTAACCTCCGTCTTCCACGATTACGCGCTAGCGTAGGAGAGACTTCTCGCATTGCTGGCTCATTGAGCATGTCTAATTGGTCCGCGGCAGTATCGGTGCCTGCGGAAACAGTTCACGGTAGCTACTCTACCCTCGGCGCAAATGTGATGAACTTGGTGTACACGTCTCAGCTCATTTTCTGGAGTTTCATCCTGACTCAAACCACGGTAGGGTACATTGGCCAGGAATCACTATATGGATAACTGAGCATAAAGAGTAATACTTGGTGAACGTCTGGTCTGATGCGGGAATCAGAACCGCGTGGCACTCAGATTGCGAGGGTCTGCAAGAGGTGTCTGGGCAGACCCTGCGGTTCGCGGAGCGTGGCGCACGCTTCAACGAAACAAATTCCGAATCTGGTTCCGGCTGCCTGGGCTCATACGCTTTGTCCTTGCACTGTTCGCCTTCGTTTTGGCGCTGCATGCCGTAGCTCTGTTAAGCGTATCTATTGTAGCGGACACACATCTAAATCCTGGCTTATAAAACTACTATCGTACTTTTCTGGGTCACCAGAATCAATATCGCGCCCGCTTGAGCAGTTCCTTGAGCGACAGCGTTTCGATAACTTCCGGACATATCATGACGCCACTCTGTACCCTTGCATGTGACCGACACCTGTCACACCATACACAACCGACTTGTACGGAACAAAGTGTCCCTCTACGGAACCGTGACTAGCGTGCACCTACAAAACTAAGCATCGTTCGGGTGCGGGAACTTTGACTAGCTCAAGATCTCCGTCATGGATCCCCGCAACCCGTCAGCTCCCCCGCTACATTCCAACAGTCGACCACTCTCACCTCAGGCATGTGCTGCTGTCACTGATGCCTTGCGTGAGAATTTTCAACCTCGACAGAGATGTCCCTGAACTATCATTTGAGCACTTTTTCAAGCCTCTCACAACTGGGGTAGCAAAGCTTCAATGCAACTGCATTACCCACATTGGAAGGACGGTGAACTGCAAAAGCCTCAAAGGCCGTAGCTCATGCAGGGCTATCTAGGTATCATGCATATGATGATTGGCCGCGTTAGCACTGTAGAATTCTCGCGTGGTGAAAACCGCCAACCACACTGCTTTCCACACATTTGGTGTGACCCACATCAGTTCGCCTATTAATATACAGATGGCTACAAACGGCTGCGCGGTCGGAGCTCGGATCGCGAGGCTCTTTCGGATCCCCGATGAGCCCGCTGTTACCTTACCAATGGACTACGGGGTCCCCTTAATAGATTGTCTGTCTCCCATGGGGTAGATGGCAAACACTCATATTATTCTTTGCAAAGGAGGGAGAAACACATCCGCCCCTACTGGAAAATTTCGGGAAACATGGCACAGCCAAGTGCTCCCTTGTTACCTTCATGGTTCAAACTGTCATATCTACCACTTGCCCTTGTAGTGGCCCTCGTGTTCAGAGTACGCTTTTCACATCATTCCACACGCCTCGTACTCACTCATACAGTTTGTCTACGTTGCGGCGACTTCTCCGACACGGAGTCTTCCAGGGCCATGGCACACACGTTTTACCCACTTGCGCCTCAAGCGCGCCGTCATGACTGGTCAGCGATCGTTCTACATCCACTCTCTTCATGAGAGGTACGGCCCTATTGTCCGCATTTCTCCCCATGAAGTCGCAGTAGCCGACCTCGACGCATTCAAGGAAATCCACAAGATCGGCACCAAGTACCTCAAGAGCGAGTGGTACCAACGACTTGCGAACTTCCCGAAGGCAGGCATTTTCACTATGATCGATCCTAGGGAGCATGGCCCCCGAAGGAAGCTTTTGTCGCGATCTTTCAGCCGATCTTACCTCCTGGAGAACTGGGAATCGACTGTTCGAGACAAGGTTGAACTTTGTGTCTCGCAAATCAAGAAGAACGCTGAACACGATGTTGCGGACGTATACCACTGGTGGATGATTCTTGCCTCAGATGTCACTGCTCATCTCGCTTTTGGCGAATCCTTCAACATGTTACAGACTGGCCAGGTACGAATTTCGATGCATTAGGCACTAGCTAAGACTGACATTATACACAGGCCAACGAATTCATCCGAGTTTTGAAAAAGCTCATCATGTCCGCTGGTATCATGGTTGAGGCACCAGTTCTCCGGCTTCTCCGCTTTATTCCCGTGCCAGCCATCCAAGAAATCTTCAATTGCAACGAGTTTATTTTCCGTGGAGCCGATCGCGCCGTGGAACTCGCTCGTTCCCGCTCAGGCGAGAAGAACGTTTTTGCCAAGGTCATCGAAGATTGCGAGAAAGAAGGTGAAGGTACTATCGACGACATGGACGTCAGAATCGAAGCAAGCAACGTGATTATCGCTGGAACTGACACCACAGGTGTGACCATGACCTACCTCACTTGGGCTGTGCTTCAGCGACCAGAGCTACAGAAAGCGCTTGAAGAAGAGGTTGCGCAGCTTCCCGAGGGGTTCATGGAGAACGACCTCCTCGATCTGCCCCTTACCAACGCCGTCATCGAAGAAACACATCGCTTGTATGGCGCCGCACCAAGCAGTCTGCCTCGCATCGTCCCTCAAGGCGGGAGCCAACTCGGAGGCTACTACATCCCGCAAGGCACCACGGTGAGCACGCAGGCGTACACCTTCCACCGCGATGCGAAGATCTGGTCTGATCCGCTCACGTAAGTCCACATGCGCTCGTCCATCTTTTCGTTGCACTTACCCTCTCCAGCTTCAACCCGTACCGATGGATCCCCACCAAAGAAGGCGGTACTGCCGAAGCCCTTACGCCCGAAGCCAAGCTGGCCTTCCACCCCTTCGGTGTGGGCGCTCGGTCTTGCGTGGGCATCCACCTCGCGAAGATGGAGTTGCGTTACGCCACTGCGATGTTCTTCCGCGAGTGCAAGAGCATCAAATTGGGCGCCAGGACGACGCCGGATACGATGGAGTTTGAGAACTTCTTCTTGGTAACGCCAAAGAGCCATAGGTGTGAGATCACGCTGAGGAAGGAGAAGATGTTGCAACTGTAGAGGAATAAGAGCATCTGCGGTGTTGGGAGCTTGTTGTGATATGGCTGCATAGGAAGGGCGTTTTCGGGCTGCTGTCTTTGGCCCCATCCATGTGGGAGTAGTAATGTGAATGATGCACTACGTTTGCTGTTTCTCTCCACGTGTACCATGGTCAAGTGCTTGGCCAAGGATCCAAGTGCCCTGCATTGCCCCATGGTGCGCAAAGTGGTGTCGAAGCCTCTGGCAACCGTCGCGTCAGCAACAGCGCTCACGGGAAGAATGCGCTTTGCCATGGACCAGGTTGTAGCCGATGCTCGTTCGATCTAGCTGTTCGAGCCGCTCCAGGGCTCCAGGGCTCGCCGTGCTTCACGTGACCAATGCAGCCCATCATCGCAGCTCAGCACCGCAGTTCCGAACGTGCGAGGAATACGCTGGGAGCGCGGCGGACCAGCCAAGCAGAGGTGAAAGGCAGGCGCCGCGGCCGCCAAGCGAAGTGGGCCCTCGGCCCGTTGGCGACGCCGACGAGCTCTCGTCCGCAACTTGAGACTTTGAAGCGCGACGCATCGCGCGCCGAACGTCGACGCCACGTCCACGCAACCACCGCAGCAGGGCCGCCTGCACTCGCTGCACGCCATGGACGACGGCGGCGAAGACCCCGCGCTCGCTAGCGCCTTTACCGTCGACAGCCAGCGCCTGGAGCTCGACTTCAGCTTCTGTCCGCGCCTGCTCAAGGGCAAGACGCAGATCACCATCCAGCCGCAGTCGCCCAAGCTCAAGGAGATCCACCTCAGCTGCCGCCAGCTCAAGCCGTCGCGCGTGCGCCTGCTGGGCCGCAACGTCCACCTCGAGTACCACGACCAGTACGACCATCTGGGGCTGCCCCCGCAGCACACCATCCACCAGTACCACTTCCTGCGCAACCGCGTCGGCCGCCATGAGATCGGCATCGAGGAGGAGCTGAAGATTCCCCTGCCGCCGGACTTCAAGATCCCGACGCGGCGCATGCAGGGCTCGCAGGAGATTGTCTGCGATCCGCTGGTGGTGGAGATCGAATACAAGCTCGACGACTTCCGCGACGGCCTGCACTTCGTCGGCACCGGCGAGGGCGACTCGCGCTTTCCCCACGTATACACGCGCAACACAGGCTTCCCGGGCTTCGCTTCCTCCTTGTTCCCCTGCGTAGATGACGGGAACACGCGCATCCCTTTCGAGCTGTCTGTCCGGTACCCGCGCACTGTGGCCGATGCCCTCGGAAAGGGTTCTGCCTCCGCCAGCGGGTCGCAGGCGAATGGCGTTCACAAGGCCGATAGCGTTTTGGACGGATCTAATGACGATAATGATTTGACCGAGGAGGAGCGGGCGTTGGAGATGCGGGCTGTCTGCTCCGGCGAGCTGACTGACACTGTAAGACTCCATGTTCCTGCATCCACAGCCAGACTGACCATCCCAGATTGTCGATCCCAAGGATCCAACCCGAACTACATCCAGCTTCCGCATAGACCCCATCACCGGAGGTGGCATCCTCCCACAGCACGTAGGCATTACAATAGGACCGTTTCAAGAAGTGGATCTCTCGAAATTTCGCACCGAGTCTGAAGGCGACCGCCTGCAGGATCAAGCCGTTCGGGTACACGCCTTCTGTTTGCCGGGGAGGGAGGACGAACTCAGCAACAGCGCGCAGATGATACCGAGGACGCTTGATAGCTTCGTAGACTGCTATCAGACTTATCGACTGGGGAAATCGTACGAACTTGTTTTCGTGGATGATCTACCTTACGACACTGCGCATACCATGGCACTCACCATCTGCAGCTCTCGATTGCTGTACCCAGAGAGCGTCTGGGAACCGTTAGAGCATACCACACGGACTCTAGTACATGCCGTTGCGAGCCAGTGGATTGGTGTCGATGTCATTGCTCAAGAATTTCGCGACCACTGGATAATAGCAGGAGCATCCTGGTTCATGACCGAGTTTTACCTGCGCGACCTACTTGGACGTAATGATCATCGATTTCGACAGAAGCAATACATGGATAAACTTCTGCAATTGGACGTGCGACGACCTTCGTTGTACGAGCTGGGCCGATACATCCATCTGGACCATGGCGCGCAGGAATTTATGGATCTCAAAGCTTTGGCTGTGCTGTCCATACTTCACAACCGTCTTGTTAAGACGAGTGGAAAGAATGGCGTGGACCGCTGCCTATATCGACTGCTGTTGAACCGGGCTGGTGGCTCGCTTAACAACGGTGCCATCTCTACGGATGCTTTCCTCTCACTTTGTGAGAAGGTCGGCCATCAAAAGCTCGACGGCTTCTTCAAGCAGTGGGTATATCAAGCTGGCTATCCAATATTCGAATGCCACCCGACATTCAACAAGAAGAGGCAGACGGTCAATTTAGTTATCCGGCAGTCACAAAGCGGTCCGATTAATGATGAGGCGCTCCGCTCCACCGACTTTATGCGCGAAGCTAAGGAGCGGAGTCGATCATTTCAGCCGAACTCAGATTTGCCTGCCTTTGTTGGGCCCATGACGATCCGTATCCACGAAGCAGACGGAACACCATACGAGCACATCATCGAAATCAACTCGTCACAAGTGCGGGCCGAGATCCCCTATAACACCAAATATAAACGCATCAAACGCAATAAGCTTAACAAGGAGCGACAGGCGCAGGCACAAGGAGCTGACGCGTCTGGGGAACAAGACGAGGTTACTATTTATTCTCTTGGTGACCTGTTCCTGAATTCGGAGGAAGCAGAAGAATGGAAGATCCAGGACTGGTCGACTGAAGACGAGCAGAAAATGGAGAATGAAGCGTACGAGTACATACGAGTAGACGCTGATTTCGAATGGCTCGCAAAGATATCCATCACCGATATGCCATCCTACATGTTCGTCTCGCAACTGCAACAAGACAAAGATGTTGTTGCACAGGCGGAATCCATCCAATACTTGGCCAAGAAGCAAGGACACGGTATCATTTCCAGTTTCCTTGTCAAGACGCTCATGGACGCTCGGTATTTCCACGGCATCCGGACGATGGCGGCTGAACTCCTCGCAAATCAACTGCACATTGATGGTCCGGTGGAGCTGATTGGGCTATACCATCTGAAGAAGGCTTTCCAAACGCTCTTCTTTGTCTCGAACTCGGATATGACGCGGCCCAATGACTTTTCCGATCGAGCTCTATACAATGTGCAGTGTGCTATTCCTCGGGCCATTGCAAAGGTGAAGGGACGCGATGGAAGAACGCCTGCCGAAGTCAAGCAGTTCCTGCTCGATATCATTCGCCATAACGATAATCGGGGTAACGATTTCAGTGACGATTATTACCTCGCCACACTCATGCGAGGGTTGGCTGAGTGCCTTGCTGTGACACCAGCTGATAATATCTCCATCGATTTCACAGAGCAGGCAGCAGAGATCGACTTCAGAAAGAAGGCAATGGGTGAGATCGATCGTCACAAGCGTCTTGACGAATGGATCCCTTCGTATAACAACGTCTTCACCACGACCGCACTGGAGTGCGATGCTCGGCTAATGAAGGACCGTCTAAAGCCGCTAAAGATTTCCGAGTTTCTGTTCTATAGCCAGACTGGCAACGCAGAGAATGTTCGGTTGAAGGCATGGGATTGTCTTGTGCGCCTAGGAGCGTTCTGCACAAAGGACCACATCACGAAGTTTATGATCCATGAGCTCTATGCGGACCCATCTCCATACTTCAGAACCCAACTACTCCGAATAATGGGTATAGCGATTGGCCAGATTGCGGTTGGCGATACTGTCATTCTGAATGAGCTCCAGAAGCGGGAGGAGACTGATGATCGACTCCTCGTCCTTGGAAATGAGCACGTTGAAGGACAAATTCGAAAAGACAAACAGGATCGCGCCAAGCTGGATGGTGCCCTCCGTGCACTGAGGGTCGACTTGGGCAAGAATGTGGCCTTCAAAGAGGCGCTGGAAGAGGCGCTCAAAGCCAACGGATCGTCGTTGCAGGTTGTGTCTGAGCTGTTGGACATTTGCGACATGTTTGTTGAGCAGGCTAACAAGATGATTGTGACGCTGAAATATCCGCGATACTGGAATGTGGAGCGCGTCGATCCCCCCCGTTCAGGTAAACTTCGCATGCGCTTCTACCGAGGAGAAAAGATTCGGACCAAGATGTTTCGTCCGCCGAAACCCGCTCCGGCGGCTGTGGTCGAGGAGGCTACGAAGCCGGCGCCCAAGATTGCGATCAAGTTCGGCACGGGGAAGAGTACCGCGGGCAGTCCGACAGCAGATGCGTTACCCCTAAGCCTAAAGACATCTCTGCCTGCCCAGTCGCGTCCTGCATCAGAATCCGCGCCCGGCACTCCAGTACGCGCGAATCCTCCGGGAGCTTCGCAAGATATCAAACGTCCTCTCCCTGTTCCAGAAGTACAATCTTCGGCCACCTTCACGGGCACTCCGAATGGTTCGAAGGCTTCGACACCGGCACCCTCATTCCAGGCCCAAGCACCTTCGCCAGCATCGACACAGGCTCCTGAAATATCCACACCTATGGAAGGCGTGGAATTGACCTCAGCACCAGCACCAGCGCCGCCCCGACCTCAACCCCTTCCGGTCAAATTGTCAATCCCGGCGCCCGCTCCTACCCGGTCTCCAGCTGCTACTCCCGCCCCGGCATCTGCAAGATCAACGCCTGCTCCTATTCCAACACCGACTGTCGACACCACCAAGCCGCCGAAGCTCAAGATCAAGACGCTTAAGCATCCCAAGCCGTCGTCTTCCTCGCAACCAGTCAAGTCGTCTTCTTCCTCGCAACACCCCAAGCCGTCTCCATCTCAACCCAAGGAGAAGAAGAGCAAGCACATCATACTACGCCTCCCACCGGCAAAGCTGGCCATGATTAGGAAGCGCAAGGCACAGACGGATATTGATCCTCGCCCTGCAAAACGCACAGGCACCGAGTCGCCATTCACGAACGGTTTTACGACCACGCCCAAGAGCGGGTTGGTTTCGGTCGTAAAGAAGGATGGCGAGAGGCCGCGTCTTATGGTGAAGATGAAGGTGGGGAGTGCTAATCTGGCGCGACTCGTCCGATAAGACGGTGTGCGAGAAAGCCATTGGGGCAAGAGACCTTGTACAGTTTACACTCGTGCATTTTACGGCGTTTATTGATCATTACTTTGGCATGAGGGCCAGTTTGTATTTTATGATGGGTCGATGGGAGGATTCCCCTGGTTATTGCATCTAGCGGTGGCGTTTCGGCGGCGGCTTAGGTGGGTTGACGGATATACCCTTTTACTTCCTTCCTCGCAGAGTAGCTGCTTGGGAGTGTGAATTGAGATTTTAGTGCCATGTCGGCCGATGCAGTGCCTGTGAATGAGGGCTAGTGCGGTATCCAGGACGCATACGGTATGGCGGACTGCGGTCCACAGCCCAGCCATCCTGGGCTTCCCCACATCATGTGACTTAGGCTGGCCATGCATCCATAGACTCGGTCCCAGACGTGCCGGGCCGCGTGTGCATGGCTAACACATTCGTCATAGATAATCTTCGTCAGCGATGTCGCTGCCCGCACGACAATGAGAAAGTGAGTAGCGGTGCCTGCGATCATGGTGACTACGTGGTAGACAGCAGGATTGTATCAGGTACGACCCTGGAGAAATAAATGAATGCATCCCTGCAGGCGAGCGCGAAGCAATTCGTGGGATATACTTCTAGCCCCTGTCCTGTCCTGGGTCTGCATGCTGGCAGCTGAGCCGCCGGGAGCTCTTGTGTATAATCTACCTCCAAGCACGTAGCACAGCACAGCGCAGCACAGCACAGCCTCAACACCATCGGCGCCAGGACGCGCCGTCTTGCCTGCAGGAGGATGCCCAGGTGGTTGGTCGTGAATGCCAAGTATCTCCGTAAGCGGCGTGCCGTGGTAGTGTACAGTCGCCCAAGCCAGCCGGCCTCGAAAGCTAGTTAGCTCCAATACTTGTAGAGCCGTTCCTGGCTGATTCGGTGCGCAAAGGGGACAACGGACACGGTTGCCGTTGCATCCGCTCTGTGAAGGCCGCGCAAGCCGGCGAACTCGGGGCTGCTATGCGAGAGCGAAGGACGTGGAGGAGCAAGTGACATATGAGACGGGCAGCTTGCAAGGCACCGGGACTTGTAGCGCGAACGGACCCTTCTTCTCCACCGCCTGCCCATGTCGTTGTCGGCCATTCGTCATTGACGCCGCGGACGTGCCCAGAATTCACAAGGTCCACTTGCTTGGTCCACGGTCGATTGAAAGCTCCGCGCTGTCCGGGAGCTTGAGTGTCTACGTAGTCCTGCTGTCCTCCACCCGCCTCTCCAAACTCGCGCCTGCACCTCGTCCTCCCTTGCCTCCATCGCCGCGTCTTCCGCAGCGCGTGTTGCTGCTTCCATTCGCTTCCGCGCGCTTGCCAGCACCTTTGCGCCGTATTCGTGCCCACGCGCCTCGGCTGCCCTCGCCTGCCGCGTTCATCCGACGCAGAAACCCAGAAAGCGAAAACGCGCCTCAACACGGCGTCACGGCCTGACCACGCCCACGCCCGCGCCCGCGCACACATTTGCTCTGTCCTCCAGCGCGCTGCTCGTGCAGCCAATTGCCCCGAGCCGCCATGGCCCGTCCAAAGAGAGGTGCGTGGCCTGCTGTGCTCCCTTGCTGCGACTTGCGCTGACTGCTTGCAGTTCTCTCTTTCATGTCAGAATGGGGGTATGTGACCATGTACCGCGCGCTTGAGAGACCCGCCCCAGCTGACCCCATCCCTCCGCCATCAGTGGGAATAGGCTCCACCGCCGCAACACGTCGACCGCCTCGACGCCCGCTGCCTCTCCGGCGCCTGCATCCCCGACCGTTGCGACCGCGCCGCCCAAAGAACCGAACGCGTCGTCGTTCTCCGTCGCCTCTGCCAGCTTCGACAACCAAGAAAACTCGCCGAGTCCTGACCCGCACGCGCTCCCAGACCAGCGGCGCTCCTCGCGGCCCTTGTCCATGATACAGACCTACCAGCCGCCCGTCATGGAGGTTGGCCAGGACACTCTCCCCGAGCTGCAACGTATCTTCATGTTCCTGAACAGCCACTCCAACAAGCTGTACCAAGAAGGCTACTTTCTCAAGTTTCACGACACCGACTCTCGTACGTCAATCGTCCCAATCATGCACGCTTGTGAAACTGACAGCTGCAGGCGGCCGCCCCGCTCCAGACCGCGTTTGGCAGGAGTGCTTTGCCCAACTGGCAGGCACCATCCTGTCGTTGTGGGACGCGAGCGAACTGGACAGGGTCAACCCTGACCTCTCTACAAATGATGCAGACGTCGTGCCGACATTCATCAACCTGACGGACGCTGCCATTTCCATGGTGTGTGAGAGACAAACTCACGGGAAACATCCACTGACCACAGCAGATGCCCTCGATGACGCTGGCGGACGGCAAGAAGCTCGACAATATCCTAAGCATATCCACCGCTGCGAGCAACAAATACCTGTTCCACTTCAACTCCTTCAACTCCCTCACGCAGTGGACCGCTGGTATCCGGCTCGCCGTGTACGAGCACACCTCGCTACAGGAGGCCTATACTGGAGCGTTGATCGCTGGCAAGGGAAAGCAATTAAACAACATTCGCATACTCCTGGACCGACAGCGTGCCAAATATGAAGACTGGGTCCGTGTGAGGTTTGGTGCAGGGACGCCGTGGCGCCGGTGTTGGTGCGTTGTTAGCCCGCCCGATGAGAAGGAATACGCGAAACTGCAGAAGAATCAAAAGAAGAAAGACGTGTACAACCGAAATCCTACTGTACTCAAAGGCGACATCAAGTTCTACGATTCCAAAAAGGTCGGCAAGAAGACACGGCCGATTGCGACGGTCACGGACGCCTATTCATGTTACGCCATTTACCCGCAGTCGAAGCAGCTCATTGATCAGTCAACATTGGTGAAAGTAGAGGGCAGGATCACGGTTCACTCAAAGCCCGAGCATACGACCGAGGGATTCGTCTTCATCATGCCAGAGTCTCGTCCAGCCATTACTGGATTCGAAATTATGCTCCAATTCCTCTTCCCCGTCTATGATACCTTCGCATTGTACGGACGTCCAAACAAGCTCGTTGCGGATGTCTTGGACACTCGTGGTCTCATGTTTGCAATGCCGCCGGACAGGCGTTACGGCTATCTAGAGATGTGGGATGTCGTATCTTTGATCCACACCGAAGGCAGCGACAGCTGGACAGAGCGACAATGGCGCAAACAGCTCAAAGATCTGACTTCCAAGCGAATGGCAACAATGCCTCGAACGCGCAGCAGGACTAGCACGACTAGCAGAGCAGGAACACGGAGGAACACCTTGCAAAGCCGGACCAATGTTCCTCTCTCGCGCAGTGGGACCCTAAGGTTTGAGGAGCCAGGCTCCATACATTCGCAACCTTCCACGCGCCAGCCATCTCCGACCTTAGTAGAAGGTGTCGAGCCACAGGCACCACAAAGAGTCGACTCAGCACCGCCTAGCACCGCATTCACAACCTCTCGTCATCAACGATCTGTGTCGGAACAGGTTCATGGCTACAAACAGCCATCCTCTCGCCTAGCACGGTTCGAAAGCCCCGAAGATTTGTCAAATGGTCAGATCAATGGCACATCCAGGCCTATAGATGAGCCCGACAGTTCTGAGCCTCCCAGCCCAGACTCGGCTGAGGAACCTCGAAATCTCCCTGACGTTCAAATCGCACCCTCAGCTCCGCCACAAGGCCCTGTAGCGTCTCCCCCTACCTTCGCTCATGCTCCGGGACAAAAACCTCCTGTGCCAGTGCAGCACCCGGGCACGAAGCCTAATGCCAACATGGACCCTGCAACATTGCACCAGCTGGTAGACGCAACGAATGCAGCTATCCCTGGGGGAATTGCTGTCGCCGGCGCCGCTGCTGCATGGAAAGGTCAAGATGGCTCTAATGGTGCACGAAACGGCAATGCTGGGAGCGAAAACTATCAAAATGACACCGCCAATCACCTATACGCCGAGGGTGCGTACAACAGCTACTCTGGATATCCTGGTAATCGTCTTTCGACTATTCCTGCATCACCTTTTGTCGAGCAGGATCAGTTTGTAGGACCGCCTGCAACGTACCAACCTTCCGGTCCTCCTGTGCCTGAGCACGTCGAGCTGCCCCTGCGTCAAAACAACGACGAATATGCTCAGGGTGCGTTTTATGAGAATGAAAGGAGCCACATTCAGCGCAAGCCAGTTCCAGGTCGGTCATTGCCCCTACGAGGGGACGACACCCGCTCAACTCACTCAACAACAAGCTCAACTCTAGACAGTTTACGAAACGACATAATCGACCCCGAAGCCCTCGACCGCCTCGAGTACACCGACCCAGCGTTGCTGAGACAAGCAAGTCAGTCAAGCAGCAGGTATAGCCGTGATGATGCCCTGTCTACCTCCACCCCGGATTATGCCAGCACAACAAGCGAAGAAGCACAGCCTCAGCAATCAGTACGTCGAAACGCAGATCGACCACGCAGTGGCATGCTCAAGTTTGTGGGAAATCCAGATCTCAACCCCAAATCGGAGTTTGTTGTTGGTGATACGCATTACAAACCCGCTGCAAAGCCGCTTGAGGTGACATCCGATATGCCAGCAATCGACTTCGGCCCCACATATCTACTGGATCCAAGTACCAAACGCCCCGGTACCAGTGGTACCATGACACAAGGCATGCATGACAACAGCTTCTCTCAATCAAAGGAAAATCTGGCGCTGTCTGCGAGCGAGCAGAAACGGCAGTCATATTCGGGTAGAACCACACCAACCATGTCGATGCATATGCGTACTACCTCCGGTTCGCCCCAAATCTCAGAGAATCGTAGCGTGGCTTGGCAACCTGGAATGGTGTCTCAGCCTCATCCCAATAGCCAGAGGGTGGAAGCCGAAGAATGGGTAGCTCAACGTGCTGCCATTCCGGGCCAAGCAATGACGCCTCCAGCATACGCTCATTCTAGAACCAAGTCACACACTCCGCCTGTAAGCCGAACGCATTCGGGTGATTGGTCACAATCCTTTGGTGTGGACAATAGTCCAGCACGGCCGCCAAGCCGTCCACTCAGTCGACCTTTGTCACGAGGTGCCGGCCAGCTTCTTGAACAACGTCCAACGTCCTTGCTCGTGGATAAACGCCCTACGAATCTCAGCGCCCGCGAACAGGAACAGGTTGCGAGGATAACAAACACGCCGCTTATTGACATAAATAAAAAACCGAAAATGGAGCAGAGGCCGTCCTCTGCAGGATTGACCGCATATATTGACTATCGGGAAAAGGAAAAGGCCGCTGCAAAGGCGAATCATAGTACATCGGCAATGCAAAAGGAGATTGACCGACGGATGATGGCTGCACAGCAGCGTCAGATGATGGAGATGCAACAGATGGGGCAGCAACCTCAAATCGGTCAGGCAATGGCCACGACTCCCGGGGGATATGCGACGCCAAACATGATGGCTTCACCACAGGGGTACCCGCAAGCGTACATATATTCTACACCGGGACAGATGCAACAGACATATCCGCAGCAGAGCTATTTCCCGCAGCAGAGCATGATGACTCCGATGCCCGGCCCGATGCCCGGCGGTTGGGGCACTCCAAGCCCGCAGTCTATGCCGGCGCAGTACTTCATGCAGCAGCCGCAGCAGCAATACCAGCAACAACCTGCTACGCAGCCGTACGGCGCGAGCTTCGATCAGGCGCAGGCGGCGGCGAGATATGCACACCAGCAGGGACAGCAGCGTAGACACTATTAGACTAGTCTATCTCGGGCTTATGAGATCAGTTATGATCAACGATGTTACGAGGATTGACGGCTTCGTTTTGGCATAGTTTGGGGGTTGCATAGTTCTTGGATTCGTGACCTGTACGTTTTATTTAATGTGCATATGCATTCTTTTCTAGTGGCATAGTCCTGGGCGGAAGGGGTTTGGGGTGTTTGGTAGGGCAACAGAAAAGGGGAGAGAGGGCGTAGATAGATGTAATTACTTGAATGAGTGCTTGTTGGAGTCGATGCCATCGTGCTTATTGTATGTCTTTTTGTATTCTCTGTCGTTGGGTTAGAAGCATAAATGCAGGGGAGCGTTTGGTGCCGTCTTGAAAGAGGTCAGAATGAGGTTTCAAGCGGACGTTGCGAGTGCTATATGGCGAGGCAAGAAAAAGACTTCTGCTTCATATGGCTGCTTTCTCGTATGGAAATGATGGTGTAGACTGGTTGGTAGCTCACATTGCTGCTTGCTCGTTGCTTGTAGCATCTTGAAAGCGAAATCGGAATACTAAACAGATGAAAAACTAGGTTCCTTTGTTAGGGTTTCATGGAATCCCACAATTCGATTGACGGGCCTGCAGCTTGATTGTTGGACCCTGATCGTAGTCCCACGATGATAGATACATATAAGCCCCGTTCAAACCGCACGTTTGAGTTCCCTCTCCCATCGCGCCCCTGCCTCTTCCCTTGTCACTCTGGGCCTCTGCACTGTTTGTACATGGGTCTACTGCCTCGTCGCCCGAGATTCCGACCTCCACAACTCAGACCAGCACCAGTATACAGAGAGAGCGAGCCCCGCACCCAGGACGTCAAATATGTCGTCAACTAACACCATGGAGAAGATGATCCCGATGTGAGAGCGCTCCCAGAGCCGCATCAGTTGGCGAGCTGTAATGTAAGTTCCTGCTCCGCAGGCAACTGGTAGGGTGGCCATAAGGGCTAGACCGCAATATTCCGCGATGTTCTCGCGCCCACCGCCTATCTCGCGAACATGCTCAAGCCACTTACTCCCATATTTTTCCGGGCCTCTGTGTTGTCGATACGATGGTGCATTTCCTCTTTGTCACTCCTCTGCATTCCTGGTAATCAAGTTTTCTTGTGGAATATACTGAAATGACCATCGAATCGTTCAAACCCACCAACGACTGGAAAATAATAAGTCTTCCGCTGTATTCAACCCTGGGCGTTTTATTCCTAATCTACCCTACATCTTCAATATATCCTACCAACTAGTCACCCCAGTCAACAGTCATCCTTTTCTCAATAGAGAACCGGAGTCGATCCTCTAGTCATCAACACACGTCTTCCCAAAGCCACCGCAATCCGCACACTGGCATGGAATGTTGCCTCCACAGCAATTGATATAATTGCAGTTCCAACCAGGGCCTTCGAACGTCACGGTAGTGCTATGATAACACATCAGTATCACCGGTTGACAAGTCAAAATACACGATAAGAGAACTGCACTCACCATCGCCCTTTCTCATCGCAATACGTCGCATCCCATGGCCCCGCAAGGGCTGTCACTTCGAACTCAAGCGTTCCGCCTGCAGACCCGCCGTCGCCGCAGTCAACCAGATGGTGCCCTCCTCCCTCAAATATCTCCGTGCTGCAAATCAGCGCATCATTCACCTTCACGTTCATCCACTCCGTCGAACCCAGTCCACTGTGTGCTTCGCCGTACACTTCGACGCAGTAGCTCGCCGCGAGTGGCGTGAGGGCCAGCACGGCTGCTACAAGGGTCTTGGAAAATTGCATGTTGGCTCGCAAATGTCTCAGGAGAGTAATGGTGAAGACGATTGTGACAACCTAATGATAATCACCTCTATGATGTTTCTTGAGGTGCTTCGTGTTCTTAACCCTTCTTATACCCTCTACGTCTCCTCTGGCCCTCCCCTCCTCACCGAGTCAAGCAGATTGTCAGCCAAGTCGTATTTCTCCAAACGCAGACCCCAATACGAAGTCCGGGAATCCTTCACAAGCATTCGAAGTATCGTCGGTGCTGATGATGGAAGGCGAACACTGCGTCCTGCTCGCACGCCGGTAGGGGCGCATGATACACAGGGTACGTACGAAGACGTTACGTCATACCACCCCAAAATACATGCCCAACATCGTGTTTCTTTCCCCACGAATACTGAGTACGTCATAGGTGAGTTCCAGTGACTATCATATCTGTTCATCTGTTCACTTCTGTCGATCGAGATTCATCAAATCCAAGGTCAACCAGACCCGAGTACGTCAAAGCTGCCCTGTCTCCTTCTTGATTCTGTCATACTTTGCGAGCTCGATGATCACAGTTGTGGCCTATGTGTCATGATTATTCCTTCCACTGGGATTGACATGCTGAAGGATTTGCTCGACAAACCGCAGCAGGACGGTTGCTCGCTCAGTTTCGGAGCGCGAGGGGCAGATCTCTATCACCCGCGGCAAAGTATCTGTGACAAGCATGGAATAAGTGAGGAACTCCGCATAATGTAATGACTAATGGACAGTGTGTATATCGAAACCTCCTCGTGCTCCCCAAGAGGCACTGATTTCCGGGAGATCTTGATCGCAAACAAATTCTGCCGCAATTGTCAGCTCGATTAGCAGAGTTGCACTCAGTACAACACTGTGATATCTCAGCGTTCGCTCTAATGATTTACCTGGAGGATCGCCTTTGCTCTCGTCAGGAGACAAGATTTCTTGAAAGCCTCAACCTCAATGTCTTGCTAATGCATCCAGGGCTTGGGCTGATGTACACTTTGGAATCTGGTCAGAGTTCCATTGAGTAGACAACTAGTGGCAACTGCAATGCCCAGTGTTGCTTCCAGATGAGGCCGCAAGTCGTGGCTCAAACCGGCCAGCTTCGCTTTCCGAGCTTATTGATGGAGTCAGCATGCTTCCAGACATCCTCAAGGTCGTGATAGCTTTCTGCCCAGAAGCGGACCATAGACCAGTACCTGAGTGTAAGCTGGTCTATCAACGCTGCTTCACTCTGGGATAATATACGCACAGCTCCATATAATACATCAAGTTCCGCAATACTTATAACCATCGCTTCGTGAATCTTTTGTAAGTTATCTGAATCTTGGTCGTTATGATGGATTAAATGAAATGCCACGGTCTTTCAAAGCGATCCGAACTTTCTTTTTCCTGTATCAATACCTGTAAATGAGCGTGTAGTTCCTGTGTAGGAATGGGTGGAAATTATCAGTTAAGGATATTTGTATAGCGTGATGACTAGCAAATAGTCCACGAAGCATGACCGGCGGTTTTGGTACACAGTATGCAGCTAGTCACATAAGTTGCTCTTCCCTGCCTAGCAATGTCATCAACAACCGATTCGGAGGTCTAATGCATGCCAATTGACCCAGTCTGCGCGAAAAGCTCATATTTTTAGAGTAGATGTATCAGTAGCAGGAAGCTATGAAGGACTGTATTGTTCCTATGAGAGCTGATACATGAGATGGTTCTTATGCTCAAGCTTATCGGCCCGAGAGGCTGGTACCCCTCAGCAGCTGGCGTACACCCAATCAATCTCAAACAGCTCCAGTTCCGTCACAGTAGAGTCGTTATGTGAGGATGAAATGCCACAAGAAAGTGTTGGGCCAAAACCTCTCCGTGTCGATATCGATCCCGAGACTACATTTGTTTCCCCCGTCGAGCCTCGCGAAGTTGTTTTGCTTCCTCCTTCAGCATTCATGTTTACCGCTTCGTATTTTCCCGTGAACACACTGGGACACAAGCTCGGCGTTCCATACCAATGGATCTGATGAACAAGATGTTGGAGGGAGCTTGGCAAGCAGTTCAGGGTGATCTATAGTATTATCACTGGAGTGTGGGAGAGAGCTCCCACGCTCCATATATATAGAGATATTGCCAGGTCTAAGCGCAGAACTAGCCATATACGTACAGGAAGCTCCCCGAGCATACAAGGGAGCTCCGCAGAGGAGCTGCCCAATGGCGTTTCACGTCACACAAGACCGCACATCAAAGGTGCTTGTCGAAGAACATGTACGATTTTCTCTCATACCAGAAGATGCAAACCCTTTTACTACACACTTCGGACATCCTGCACCTCGCCTTCAAATACCGCTTCAGCCTCCTCGCTCGTAACACTTCGCCTCGGAGTGACGTTTGTCATCTCCCAGTCCGCCCAGGTAGTGTACTCCTAATCTGCTTGCACCATGCCCATGTAACTGATGTAGGTGAAGAGCATGGCGATGCCGAAGGATAACATAGGTATGTAGATGTTGAAATCATTTGCACCTTGGATGAATGCTCTAATGCATTCACAGAAGGCGTGGACCATCATTATGATGACGAGAAGATCACACCGCTGGATATAAACCACCAAACGATCACGCTCCGTGGATGTGTCAGGCGTCGAAACACGTGGGCGGGCAGTGGACCCGTGAGCGTTTATGTCGATGGCCTCTGATAGGAGTAAAGTAGAGCGACCAGAGCAAATATATTAGCTGCCTAAAGTGTGGTCTCTTTGTTGAACATGATGTTGTAGAGTCGTTGCTATTCCGGAAATTGTGCGATATGAAACAATGATCGATGTGAGAAGCGGTAGCGGAGGTAATCTAAAGAGTATGGGTGTGCGGGACACAACTTTCACCGTTAAATAAGTTCAAACTGACCGTGCCTGCCACTTAGCGCCGGCACACGAGCCTGCGGCGAAGGGTGGTGGTACATGAAGTCTCGACTCGCGCTTAGGATTGGGTGCCCATGGAGCGAATTAAGAACATTTGTGCTTCCGGGTATAGTCAGGCTTTGGTGCGCTTCATGCATTGTTCAGTGAGATCTTGACCTGGATTTCGACTAGGTACACAATGTATTTATTTGTATGCACATCATCAAGTGATAAAATAGTACCCGAAGCCAGAATTTGGCTTCCATAGGCGTATGAGACGTAGTCAATGCCCTTGCGAGCCACATGACATCGCCTTAGATAAAGCATTGGAATAATCCCATACATATCATGGACACATTGAGAATACGAGAGCGGAAGATTTTTAGCATACCACATTGATCTGCGGAGCACATCCATTGCTCAAGTATAGATACCCAAGCATTCTACATGCTTGGGCCACCACACGAAAACCCGACGAGAAATATGCATAATTCGGCGGTCTGCAATATACGACACTCTATACCGGATCTCAATCCTCTTTCTACCATAGCCAAGGACGCCAGGAATGCCCTTGCTGTTTCGCTGCATTATGCGTTACCGGCACGAGCCGTGTCGCTTCGGATGTATCTAAATAAAGGCAAAGACTACGGCTGGACGCAAAGTACACATACCGGGCACCAGGTTACAGCGAGCAACGGTGTAAGCGAGACTTTCTCGGAGAATTCTCGAGATCCGTCGAGATGTCCGATGGAGAGTAGATTGAAGTCTGTTCAACTTGCAGGCACGACGACCGACGACCGACGACAAAGTTATCTGACTGTTCATCGTCAAGGCTTTGTGCGTGCGCAGTCGGAAGATTGCATAATTGATGACTCACTGCTTGCTTTGCATCAGTTCGACCAGAAATACGGATGTTGCCGCAGGTGAACACCGCAACCAGTCTTCCCATGGTGAGTCCTGGATATATTCAGCCCCGAGTTGCTATTATGCTCAGGATTCGCATCATGTAGATCAAGTTAAAGAACAGACGACCTTCGACGTGAATGTCGTCACATCCAGTCGTGTCGGTCAGCGAGTTTGCGGAGCCAATTACTGAAGCGCATGGTCCTGTCGCGAGGCGGCTGTATAGCAAGCCTAGGAGCTGTCTTGGAAAGAAGAATCCAGAGAAAGAGACCGAGCATCTGTCACAACATCTTCTGCGACGGTAGAAGATGCTCCATGCTAGAGGCTGCTAGCGCGACGTCTTCGTACGCAAAAAGGGAAAGAGCTTTGAACTTGCTTTCCCCAGCACGAGACTCGTCAGCAGTGGCCATGTATCGGACTACAACACAGCATGCACCCAAAAGAAAATCTGCATCTATCCGAAACCCGCGAAGACTACGCCATCAGTGCCAAGCTGACATCGGCTTTGCATATAGCGTGCGTGGGAGAGACGACTTGCTGCGTAGTGAATTCATACGAATAAGGAAGGAGAATTGAGTAGTAGACGGAGCTAGTTCTAGAGTCTACATGGAACATATGCAGAAGGTCTTGAGCATGCGAAAAACACCTGCAGAAGATAACCTTGCAGCGCCAACGTGCGTTGGGTGTTCCTTCCCTTTTAGGTAGGTGAGGAGAATAAGAGTCATCACAACGCCAGATTAGCTAAGATCGAAGAGTAGAATGACCACACCGTATGACGTAGTTTTGATGAAGGGAAGATAGAGCTGCCTAATTCATCAACCTGCTGTATTCGGAACGCTTCGAGATCATTCTCGCAGGTGGAGATGCTTGTAGACTACTGAGCGATGAATCAGTTTCTACGAAGGCCATCGTAACCGTCGGGAACTGGCTCGTAGTATGTAGTTTAGGGTCGGGATACTCGGCTATTGACAATAGTCTACTAAAAGCGAAGCAACAGCCAGCTGGGACCTGGAAAACATTCTCCATCACGTGTGATCCTTCAGCCCAGTCCTTGTCGGCTGAATGCCAAACTTTATTTCAACGACTGGCCTCGAGACGAATGCCTGCCGCTCGAAGCGATTGCCAGCTGCGTCTTGTCAATATTGAGTGCTGGTCGTATATTAGGTGTTGTATGCAGTAGGCTGTTCAGGGTGTAAGGATCGACGCAGGGATATGCGAATGCAGGTGCAACGGACCGGGGATTTAGCCATAACCGCTGGAGCTTTTGTTGTAGGTCGAACCACAGATGCCGAGGTGGGCGCATACGAACTGTCTCCATGTGATGAGTGTTGACAGGATCGAAGAGGCGTGCTAAGCTGGCGTGGAGAAGGTGAAAGTATTGAAATGACCAAAGCTTCCTGTTTCGAGCACGCTTGTGCGGAGAAATGGCCCCGAGGAAAGCGGATCGATGGCGATCAATAAAAGGAAGGGTGGAGTTTCGAGCCAGGCACCAAACACGTGTCCCACGCATGTCTTGCCCAGCGGTGAACATCCGGCGGCTCGTATGGAACGGTGAGAGCAAGTACCTTCCAGAAGAGCGCGGGATTGATGCAAACTTGTTATCGCGCTGCAAGGCACGGACATGGCGCATATGCTGGATAGGCAATGGTACGCGACTACTCGCATGTAGAGAGCATCTTTCGGAGCACGCCCATCAACGTCCCGTTCTCTAGCGCAGCCGCCACCCTTTCCTTGTCGCCCAGCTGCTTGTTGACGGCTTCGTCGGTGCTGTGGGTACCTTTCTTGATACGGACGTCGACTCGGAAGCGCGGTGGCAACGCTTGCTCAAGGCGTGTGCGCACGCCCAGCCCAATGACTGTCGCAAGAGAGCAGTGCGTGATGGTGGGCGTAATCTCCACGACCACGGTGCTGATAGACGAGTGGGGGGAGCTCGGGGGCTGGATGTGAATATCAGGCAGGTTCACCACAGCGAGGGAACCAAGCGAAAGTGGATGCTCAGGGTCGGAGATGGACGAGATCAGGTCTGCATAGCGACATGGTCAGCGAGTGCGCATTGAACAATGACTCTGGTTGGGCCTTGAAACGCACCGTAGACCTCTTGCTCGTCAATGTCCTCGACCGAGTCATCGTCAGAGTCGCTGGACGACAACGGGTGCTCAAACGGGTCATTGAGGTAGCTGTACTGGGGTATCAGGCCATCAAACAGCCCTGTGCCGCCGTCATCCCGCCGCTTGACGTTGGATCCCCGGCGGCGGGAGGGCAGATCCGACAGGCTGAGGATGGTGGGGTTCGCATTCTGCTTGTCGTCCATGGTGTCGCAGCACGTCTACAGCGGCCAGGTACAGTTGCAGGTAAGGAACCTTGCGGTGTTGCATCTGTCCATGGTGGCGTGCCTGCGCTCGCAAATCTGTGCGCCAAGCGCCCCTCTCTATCGACCCCACCAACACCAACATCGCCCACGATAGCCGGGGGCAGCGCCCGCTTACTGAGCAGCAAAGGACTCAAAGTGGCCGCCGGCACCCGCCGACATATTTCGTTACCACATACCGGTGTGTTGCGAGCATATCGCGCCAGCCATTCACTGCACTAGGCCGCAACCGGGAGCGCTTTTTGCGGGGTGCCTCGGACAAATGTTGGCTGACAAGGACCAGGTGCGTGCGGGACATTGTTGGGCGAGCGACCGTTCGGCCGTGCTGCCTGGTGGTCGGCGACTACCGGCCTCGACGATAGAATGGCCATGATCTGATCAGGCAAGTTTGCTGTGCGGCTTGATGTAGCGGCTGACGCGGGATCTCACAGGCCGTTGCAAAAGCGCGAGCCACGAACCTGGCCTGGAGCGCCGTCACCACCCCTTCTTTGCTAGCTGCTACAGCGCGTGGGCACCTGTAACGGCGTTGACGCGGGCAGCCCAGCCGAGCAGGCAGCGCCTCAGGGTTTGGCCTAACCTTAGCGGCAGCCTGCTGGATCCACCTAATATGCTTTTACGATATTTCGAGAAACGAGCGAGAGCTTCCACGGCGCCGTCGTGGAACTTGCAGAGAAAACGTCAACGGTACGTCTCAGCGTGGGATCACCATGCTGATCTTCTCCCACAGCCCCCTGTCAGGCACCAAGCGGCGTCACCGACGTACCCTTGCAACCTGGAACATATCGAACCGGGGAATTGGGCCTGTGGCCAGTGACGTGGTTGGCCAGACATCCACTCTCCCGGCACTGTGAGTGTGGGCGACCTACCTTCCGCAGAACATCCGACCAAACTTCGGGTGCATGTATACACACCCTCCACATGGCGAAACTACTTTACCTCCTGAACAGTCTCGACACTGCAACATTTGAAACTGCTGCTGCTGCTGGTGTCCAAGTCTTGTGTGGCTCCTTAGCCGGATCGACTTCGGACTTGTTGTACTCGACGCTGCTCAGTCCATGCCGCTGCAACTATTGATAACAATCTACCGACTCTCGATCCCATTCCTACCGACTTGGCATAATGACGCTCTCCTTTTGAGCATGACATCCCCTGGAATCGTTTCGTGGCACGGTCGCACAAACTAGTCCCAGAGCCGTGGAGATGCAAATGCTGTGCTTCCTAAACAAATGAATCTCGTGTGCCCTTCATGCGTTGGGTCAATCTGCAATTTGACGGGCGTTCTGCGCTCACAGCTTGTCCAGCATTTGACCGTAAAAGTAGGCGGCGAAAGATGGCGCTGTTCCATGCGCTGAAGCCAAAGCCTAGCGTCCAACTACCCCGATTTGCGCCGAGGCATCTCACGCGGCAAGTGTGCATGATCCACTGGCGCAAGTATGGATCGTCTCAAGGCAAACCTGGTGGAAAACAGGTGGAAACTACTCTGTTCTTATTGAGGCGGATATCGAATCCGCGCTCTCGGAGACGACGCCGGTAAGAAAGTCGAATCCGCGATACACGAAGGTGAGGCCAGCCCCTACCTACGTGCTTGATTGTCAAATGCACGGCACAAGAGCCTGTCGGTGAACTATTGAGAGAGGATAAACGAGATGGTTAACGGAGACATTTGTTTCTCCCCTTTTCGACCATGTTTGATGAGGCGACTTCAGATCGGATATACCAGGGGTTCGCATTAGAGAGTCGTCACGGTGGCTGGGCTGACAATTGCCAACGGTGTCAGCAGCACGACAAAGGGCCTTGCTGAAGAGTCTAGTACGGATGGCTCCAGGGGCACACGCGGTCAATGCAGGGGAACTTGCACGTCGACTGACGGCGGCAGTACATGATCAGGGGCTGTTGGGGCGTCTATGGACCACAGTAGCCGTGGCAGACAGCCTCTGCTTGACGTCGCGTGTGTGGAAGGGCTAGGATGCTAGCGAGCGCGGTGGCATCTGATTTGCCTTTAAACGACACCATCGACGACTCGCTTTCTTTGACGTTCGGCGCACTGACGGCTGGTATTACACAACGCTGCTAAATCTATGCGCTGCAGTCGCTGCTCGTACAACCAGAGGACCAGCGGAACACAGCGGCAGCCATCTTAAGGTCGCCCCCGAATTCCAGGGCCGGTAGGCGCCGAATCGCCATCGCGGAAGTTTGTAAGCTGCCAGGTCGTACTCGTGCGCGCGCTTTATCGACCAAGCCCTCGAGCGCACCCCTGCCAACTTGTCTCGTCACCCCCACAAGACAACGGGGACTGCCGCCCGCTGCAACTCGCTGCGTGCGCTTGCCGACTTGGGTGCGCCTGTGTGAAAGCGCACGCTGCCGGATTCGACGAGTGCGTCCCAGGCCTTGCGGCAGGATTTTGGCACACGGCCCGCCTACCTTCACCCCCTCGACCCCTTCGCGCCGCAAGGTAGCAGGCCCAAGAGAAGAAGGCCCTGCTCGCGCCACCATCTGCGCGCGGGAGCCACACTGCGAGCCTGCGTCTCGAAACCCCCGGCATGCCATACGTCGTCTCCACTAGCCTCTATGCGTCCTGATCTACTGTACCGTATAACCTAAACATCACCCGGCGTTGCGGAGATTTCTAGCCCGCAGAAGAACCGTACCTCATTACCAACCTCCACGCCCTCGCGCCGTCTTCATCCAGCTTTCTGGACCGGATCCTGACGTGCTACCGGCCAGAGCGCCGTTCGAAGTGCGCTTTTGATTGGTTGCGATCCAGCCCGGCCAGGCGCGACCGACGAGCGACCCCGCTGCCGTTTCGACACCGCCCACATCAAGCTCACCAGCAGTGACCGTACACATTCACAACTCCAACATGCCCGGAGAAACCGGCGGACGGCCGTTACTGCCTCAGACAGCCCAGATGCAGAGCTTTACATTTGCGCCGCCAACTCTGGCACCGCGCGAGAATCAGCGCAGTGAGTCTGATGCTCTGATTCTCCGATGCCTCCGGACAATGGCTAACAGAAGGTCTGCAGATTACGTCTTTGTCGACGAGCATAACAGGCACAAGCGCCTTAAAGGTGCGGCGCAACAGACTTGCGGCCCTCGGCGGGCTAAGGACCACCATCGCTAATAGACACAGTCATGAGAGCCTGTGAAGGCTGTCGGAGGCGCAAGATCAAATGCGATGCCGCGACGACGAATGCATGGCCCTGTGCTGCGTGCATTCGTTTGAAGCTAAACTGCGTACCTCCAACAGTCAGCTACGACAAAGACTACAATGCAAACACCCAGACCTACGAACTCGAAGAAAAGCCGCTAGAATACGCTACTGCGCCTAACCCGCAGCACAACTTCCAGCGCCCACCCGTGATGCCGGGATCCCAAGGACTGTCATCGCACATGACGAGCACCATGGCGACCTCGGTCACTGCACCCTATCAAGACGGAATGCGCATGTATCAAAATGCGCCATATGGCGAACAGCAGCCTCACGATCATATACAGTATGCGTCTCTACCGCAGCAACAGGTTGTACAGCAGAATATGAATTATCCTCCGCAAATGTACTCGGACACACCACCGCCTGCTCCAACAATGACCATGACCCCTCCCGAATCCGAAGGGCAATGGAAGCAAGATCCCAGCTCCAATTTAGCGGACGCTCTAGGCGAGTTGAAGATCGACCACACGGCAGTCGGTGAGCTAGTTCTGCCCTCTGCGATTTCGAGTGCTGACAGAAGCAGCCCCCTGGATCACCAGTCAAAGAAAAACCCTCGCCGAGACACCTGCATTAGAAGATTTTGAGGTCCAACTGCCACCACTGACAACCTTGGACAACACAGTGCGGATACCACCAGAAATGATGCCTTCCGAAGAACAAGCATTGCATTACTTTGATTATTACTTCGACAACGTTCACCCGTACTTTCCTGTGGTCAACAAGACTTCGTTTTATCAACAGTGGCAGGGAGCACGCGAGTCATTGTCACCTCTTATGTTGGAAGCGATCTTTGCCTGTGCATCGCTAATGCTAGGAGATGACACCGAAGGTCACAGATGGTTGGCGCTTGCAGCAAGTCAGTACACCCATTCCAGCACGAGGAAACTACACTAATACTCGGTAGAACATGAAGAAAGCTTCAAAGACGTCCCAAGGCTGAGCACGATGCAAGCTATGCTTCTCCTCTTGAAGGCTCGTGAAGCTTCTCCCAAAAGAGGCTACTTCTGGCGCTCATGGATGACGGTGGTCAATCTTGTTGCTATGGGCAAGGGTCTGGAACTTGATGAACATTACGAGAATCACCAGCTTGGGAAGTCATGCGGATCCAACATCCACGACTGCGTTACGAAGACGCACGTATGGCACATGCTGTTCATATTGGAAGTGATGGTTGGTGGCCCTCAAGGTTAGTACGTTCCCCTTCGTTCCAAACCAATACTAACGCGCACCAGGACGGACCAACTTCCAGGTCGAGCTGGACTCAATTGATTTTGACATGCCACGTCCCATACCCGGCTTGGATCCCTACGAGCTACAGGTCTCTCGTCAATTCACACAGTACGTCCGAGCATTGAAGAATGTGCATTTCACGACCGTAATGCATGGAAAATTGAGGAAAAAGACACCGGATTGGGCTCTTGATCCCGTTTTCGTGGGCCATAACGCAGATTTTCCTGTATGGTTGAGAGAACTACCCGATGACATGCAGATCTCTTATCCACATGATGGCTCTGCTCCCTGGATTCCTTCTCATTTCATCGCCAACATGCATTCCTATCACTATCTGGGCATCATAATGCACTTGCGACCGCAGCTACACGCCATCTCAGATCCGTACGATGGGCTTTGGAAGCAACATATGCTGGCTTGCTACTCAGCAGCGAAAAACCTGTGCAAACTTCAAGAAGCCGTCTTGAAAACTTACGGTCTGCCCGGACTGTTGTGCATGATCAGAGGCATCAGCTTCACGGTTTACGCTATCCTTACTTGTACAATGTTACACCTAGTGAGTACCATCTGCTTATGTCTTGGTTTTGGGCCTAATTGTTGCAGGTCGCTATCACCTGTCCCGACCCAGATCTGAACAACGATGCACGCGAATTTTTCGTCCGCCATATGCGTATATTGGAAGAGTGCACTCCGGCTTGGCCTATGCCTGAAATGCAGCAGCAAGTGAACAATCTTCGCCAGGCATTTTCCGCCGATGTGACAAAGCCTTTTGAGCTCAAGCCGACCTTTCCATTTGGAAGCCCTCAAGTGCATTCGCAATCGAGCCCACCAAGCAATCCGGGCTCTTTCCGATCCCGTCTTCCAAGCCAGCAGTCACCACTGGATCAACCAGGTCAGGTTAACTACCATGCACACCCCATCTCTCCACCGATCTCGGCGTCCGATCACGACACCACGGCTGACTCTCCCGTAGCTCAGTCCCTGGTCATGATGGCTTCTGGACAACGTGCCCCTCAATCGACTACGGGAATGCAAATGCAAGAGACTGTTCCTTGGAACCCACAACGTATCTTTGAGTAGGTCTTGCTACCCAATCACACCAACCCAAGCTAACATGCTCAGTCAATGGAATGTCGCTTTTGGTACGCCTCCAAGCTCGGCGACTCAATCCTCCCCACCGCTAAGACCGCCCCCCACAGGAACAGGCAACAATTACGAATTACGATCTCCTCAGGATGGCACTCCGTCGAATTATCAGATACCTCACGTATCTCCACAAGCGAGCGGTCTTTCGAGCGCCCAATCCCAAGTACCAGCCACGACAACATTCGCTACCCCTACTGCTACCTATGTTACACCGACGATGTGGCAGGAGGTAGTGGCGAGTTCGTTCCAGGACGGCTTGAAGCGTCGATGGGATCATGGGCAAGCCCCGATGATCGATCAGTCCATGTACAAGAGAGCGCGATGATCCCCGCTTGACCACGAGATCAAGCCGCCTATCCACCGTTCTAACATGCTTTGATACCATGCTTCCACGCATGCCCGGCCAATACCGAGAGACATGAGCATGGCAACGCATCCTGTTTCTCCCCGAAATTGCCGAGCCAAGTCTTTCCTCTTCGACCAGTCTCGGACCGAGTGCCTACAGAGATCAAAGAAACTTCAGGCCACAACCATGTGCAGGGCTATACAAGATCTGACCGGTCAGGTCGAGGCCATCCGTCCGGATCAGCGGACTCCTGCCGTCGCCTTCAGGCGCCTCATCACGCTACATGAATAAATCGCTTAGATAATATTTCACTTTATTGGTATATACCCAGGGCGGACTCTTGCCGAAGGAAAAGCGTTCCGGTATTGCCCACTGGTTTGGTCGGCAAATCATGTTGTATACTACTACTCTACAGGCGGCTTTGGTGTTGTAGAGGTCATCGGGACCTTGAGTACAGCGAAGCGCCAATAATAATATCCCGCTAGGCCTTGTTCGTCATTCTGCGTGTACCTTCTACGTTCAATTACTAGCCCTCTCGAAGGTATTTGCATTACATTGTTGGGCGTTGTCCGAACCTAGCCAGCGCATACTGGACGCTCTATTTTCTTCTTCACAGTTAGGCGCAGGCCAGACGAGTCCGCGTGGTGTCGACATTCGTACGGATATCAACATGCCTATTCTGAACAAGGGCAACTGCACGCGGCCGCCTCCGCAAATCCGCAGAATGCGTCACCCAATAGCCGTTCAGACTTTAGGCAAATTTAGTGCAGCGGGTACGCATTATCATCTGCAGAGCTACGCGATACGTGGAAGGACTTGAGGGTGTGTGCACTGAACACCTAATCGTCTTGGTGCACAATTTACACACCCCTACAAGCCACAAACATCACCAACGGCACCAAGTTCACCCGACTTCTGCTGGAGCCCCACCGATGGAACGTGCTACCATTGGCGTGGAAACTGCAAATGACCAGGGTTCAGCGTTCGCGCGTTAATTCGGCCTAATTATGACGATGTGCCTGGAACAGTGATCAAAATGGGTATCATTGGCCATGCGGACGACGTTACAGTATGCGTCATCGGACAGCGAAGATCGTTGGTCGCTTGCGCAAAACAGCCAGGTCTGATTTGCGAGTTCCGAGTAGCATCCGCGGATGGCTGCGATGGCACGTTCCGTAACGGAAGGGGCACAACCTCACAGGGCTGTTCGGCAATCGGGGCACTATCCAGACAGAACTCTTGTCCCGAGGTGCAGCGCCAGGCTGAGTCTTGACATGTGAATCTACTAGGTATGGGACGGGTATCTAGCGTCGAGGCGCAAGGCATGCACTAAGCCAAGGATGCGGGGGGCGCATGGAGGGACTGTGCGTGACGAGCTACAGGGACAGGCCAAGCGTAGCCTCGTAAGCTTGTCTTGGGGTTGGTTCGTGCCTTCTTCTTTGCTTCTTCCCTACTCACGCGCAATTGGCTCTCCGAGCCTCATCATTTGTGCGACCCATCCACCCACCCGGAAGTGGTTCGCCGCGCTTCGCTTGCACTTCCCTCTAATCTCAAAGACGGCCCGAGCACGCTCGTGGCGTTTTGACAGGCATCTACCGGGTCGCGAGCGGCGTTCTAGAGCACGTCTCACGATCGCCTGTCGCGAGGAGGCAGCGAGCGTTAGGATCAGCGATTCCATCCCATGAAGCGCCTCCCGTGACATTCCCGACGTCCTTCACGACTCGAGCGCTTCCTGTCACGGGGCGCGCTTAATCCTTCACGGAGTAATTGCACCGACATCCTTTGACAGCCTGGCAGGCTGTTGGATCGCGGGTAGCGGACCGGAGGCTCATGGGCCCTATGAAGGTCCGATTGTCACTTACTTGCTTGACCGTTCAAATCCTAGCTCAGGTCGCGTGCTTCGCGCGCGGATCGTTGACGTGCTGTTGGGTCGGAGTCGGACCTCGACGTCCAGATTGTCTGTCTGCGAATAGAATCGTTACGTCAGCATCGTGAATATGGAAAGAGGCCGTACAGGCATTGCGGATAATGATCTGGCGGCCTTGCGTCAGCACGCTTCCGCGCATCTGGTACGCATGGGCATTCTGGGAGATTGTGCCACAAGATCGCAACACTCCTGCGTCGCCTGTGCCTGGGTGCCTGAAATTTGACGTGCGTGAAGATGTGCGACTCGCAGCTTGCAGAGTGTCGTTGTCATGTCAAGTTTCATCTAGGTTAGTGCGAGTGGGACACGTGGTGGCTAGTTCGAGCTGGGCACCTCGTGGTGGTGGGACCGGCGACGTCCGGCGTCAGGCAGTGCCGATGCCGGAGAAACGTTAGAGACTGTTACAGCGGTATGTGTTATTGTACGAGACGAGGGCTAAGTTGATTTCGAATGCATGAGGTGCGCCAAGCTGTGAGCGGAGAATTACGGAGGATTGACCTTCTGGCTTGGGATCTGAGCGTGTTTGCTCCCATACGAGTGTGCGTATTAAGTTTTGTGATAAGGGCTGGGATCATGCCCTGGAAGCGTGTATGCAGGGGCTGTTGTGCATTGAGTTCCTATCCACGCGGCAGATTTCCGGAATCCAAGGTTGGATAACCCTGAACGGTGTGAGTAATGGGATTGCCACTTCTCTTTGTTGATGTTCGTTATATGCATCTAGCGCAGGGGAAGGTTCCATGAGTGCTGAAGCCAGCCATCTAATCAGATGCCTTTGTGATTACTCAGTGCTTAGTAGACAAGCAGTGCTTATTAGGGAAATCTTCGCGACCAAAGCCCCCGCAACAGCACTGTATAATTCGATCCGAAGCACCGAGATGTACGTACGCACAAGGCTGATGGCTGCGTTCGCAGGCTCGCTAGATCGGCTTCCTCTAGAAAATCCTCGAACACATAATTCTCCTTGTCGTTTACGGCTTGCAAGATCTCTTTCTCGTGAACGCTTACACGGAGCGAGAGCTGAAGGACCTAGAGCTAGCTAATAGGAAAACGTGACAAACTACGTGACGAACTAGTCAATGCTCGAGTTATCTGCCGAAGATTTTATGATTTATCATAGAGAGCTTTTGCTCAGATTCTGGGAACAGTTACATTCAACATACGCGCGAAGAATTACATGGCGGCTTTGTAGAGATCTGGACTGAAGAGAAGGTAATACCGTGGTTCAACAAGCTCCGGTTAATCTGTAGTGTAGGCGACGAAGACCAGGCAGTGGTGATGCACGGCACGAATATGTGCTCCAATCCATGAATTACAGTCGCCTACTCAGACCTAAGTTGACCTAAAACTATACATGGCACACTCCGTGTACCTCTGCTTCATAAACTTGTCTACTATGATAAGGCTTTTTCTACCTATAACGTTACTATGTGCTATCGATTTCATATTTCAAGAGGGTGTTGTGTCTGGCAATTCATATGAACCGGGTATCGTATTGAAATATCAGGGTCTATGCGACTATTTCCTATCAACATGAACTTTCGCCACGTATGGGATACGTATAACAGCACGTCTATCATCTAGGGAGGTTTAATCCTTACATGTACAACTTACCGTCACAAGAATAGACTGAGTTTCTGCAGAGGCCCACGAAATTGCACTAAATCCAGCGTCACGTGACGTTATGTTCACAGAAGTATCGGTAAGTCTTTAACCTTGCCACCGAACCCCACCATCTCTCAAATAGCTACTCCACTTCAATTAGTTCGAAGCGCGAGCCACACGACCGAGCACACAACGTCAATGGCGCCACGCACAAAAGGATTAGCACCAGAGCTCCTCGGACATATACTCCTTCTCGTCGTCCACGGGGCCCAAAAACTCTGCCTCACGGACCCTACCGCTTATGATGAGGCGGATGCCGATGAAAAATAGCATTATGAGCTTCTTCATGATCTGTACAACATTCGGCTTGTCAGTCGACGCTTTTGCGGTATGTCCAGACAGGCTGCAGCTCGAACACTGGAAAGTACGGTATTCAATTTCTGCTCTGAAAAGAGTATGGCGACCCTGCAGAAGATCTCTTTCCATGGGTCAAAACGCTCCCAGTTACGTGTTCTGTCTACGACAGGGTCGTGGATGGGCAGAACATTTTCCCGCGTTAAAGACCCGATGTGGTTCCCTGAGGCATGGGGCTGGACATTCGATATGGGTTGGTGGGGCGTCCCATCATCACCCAACATCTCACCCCAGCAGCTTTCTGGCATTTCTGGGATCACCTGGATTCCTAACAGGTTGCTTGCGTGACTTGAAGGAATTGAGTTGGGTGTAATACAAAGAATTTGGACTACACTCATACTATTGCCCTCAACTTGGTCATGATATTCCGTTGCACGCAATAGCTCAGAGCAACGTTCGATTTACCATATTGAAGCTTAGCACAAACGGGCTGTGCCCCTCCTCCATCAGTTTCCTCCCTCGACAATCGATAACATGCGCGATGATGAATGCAGAGGCCCTGCATCTGCGGTGCGACTTGCATACCACTGAATTGTACCGTAACGCGGTAATCTTAGTCACACCTATGAAATTCCCCAAGCCGCGTGAGTTGCATTTGTCAGGCGACATCCCGCCCCGCTCCCTAAGTCCATTCGTCAACAAGGTTGAATTGCCGCCGGAGTCGGGAATAGTGGGACTGGATGCTTTGAGCATTGAAACATTCCAGGACGGCATTTAAACTCATTGATGTTGACTTGGTGTTGAGTCGCTATGCACGCGGCGTATCCACGTTTGTATTAGAAATTTGCATAGGCGAATGGCCTGCGTTATCTCGTTGGATCGTGTAAATCCATCCTCACAGTGTTACGGGATATTAGAGCGATGAAGTGCCTACCGCAGGCAATGAGAACTATGCTCACACACCACCTAGATAGACCACACTATATCGAAAAAGCGTTTCCTGATCCCAAATGCAACAGACCCGAAGGGGATACGCCCTCAAAACCCGCACAGAATGCAGGAAGCAAAGCCTTAGAACCCGAAGGATATGATCGTTCGCACGCTAATATCAATCCTTGGTCTGACACCAATTATTATGGGCATTGTAATTGCCCTCAAATCAACTTAGTCAAGACCACGATACGGGCCGTTCCAAGGGACTAAAGATTATCCGTCGCTTACACAGCAATAGCAGGCGAGGTTAGGAATAGCAGCAGTAGCATCATCCTGCCTTCCCTATCTAAGCTACGAACTTACGAAGTAGAACAAGCAAAGAACCTCCCACCACACTCACACACGCAGTGTCATCTTCGTCTCCACTTATCTTCTGCCGGCTAATCGCTCTTCTCGGCTATTTTATTCGTAGTCCTACACGCGCAAGCACAAACGCCACAAGACGCAGGTAGCCGAAAGTGATCCTCGAGGAGCTCGATGTCTCTTGTACGACTTTACGATGGGGGAACGAGTGAGAGAAACCATGTTCCTACAGCAGCTACACTAAGCCAGTGGCGGGAGGCTGGGTGGCTTACGTGATTCGCGCGATCAAATACATGGGGACGCTGAGTACGATTGCAGAGGAGACTGCATCGAACTATTGGACGCGAAGACATCACAGGGACGAAGGGTAGCTAGGATGTATGGTGCAAGGTGAGTAAATCGCCATTCCAATAGCCGGTTAATGTGTCATCTGAATTGAAGCGATCAGCGTCTTCGCACTGGAACTCAATGGACAACGTGAAATCGACGACAATTACTCACACAGGCCATGACTATCCCTCTATTTCCGTTACACTCCAATCGATGAATGGACGGTCCTAGGTAACGAGTACCAACGGTACATCAAACGAAGTCAGTATGCCATTGCCACTGCTATCACGATCAAACTCTCTCGGTGTGCTAGGGACTGTTCGATATTTTGGATGCCCTACTAAATCCTCTTCATGTCGAACGAAGTCCTCCCAAGAGTGACCATCGAAAAAGCAAATAATCATTGAGTGCCAGGACATCACCGACAAGCGGCCCATATCGAGGCTATGCCACCACACAGCCTGTTATCCTCCAGTATGATCGAATCATCACCCGCCCCCTACCGGGGTTGACCATGTTGCTCGCATGTGTCTCCTTCACCATGCAGATCTCGACCTAAGGGCATTCAGACACTTCGCCGTCTATATACAATGGTATCTGGACACACATATCGATGTAGACCCGTTAAGGCCAGCCAGCTTCCTGAAGTGCCCATCCCGCGACCTTCAGGCGACTGTGTGATATTTCCGTAAACGAAACGAGAAACGAGAAGCTACCACCATTGCGACCTACAAAGCCTCCAAACAGATGAACACATCTGCCGGCTTGTCCTTGTGCCGCACCTCGAACCCACCGTGTGCCAAGTGGTCAATTCGCCATCAGAATCGACCCCGAGTCGGAGTACCTCGGGAGAGATATATCCGGGTTGGTGAGTCCGCGTGGTGGATATAGCAAGGCCCGGCAGGTCAAGGGCTCGAGTGTTGCTGTTTCCATACTCGGGTTGAGATGGTTTTTGCTCTACACTCTTCGACTGACGGGTAAAGCTGCTCGAGCTCGGGTTCCGCTTCTTTTCCTCATAGGGTAGCCTCCCGCACCGGCTATGAAGTGTTTCCGGTCCCCTATCGCGTCTGGTGGACGGTGAATATCCTTGACGTGTGCCTTTCGCAAATGTTAGGCTTTCTTTACGGTGCACGCCCGTCTCGATTCCGTGCAATCTTTCAGAGCTTCGCGCTCACATCATACATTCCCTCTCACACAGCAGCTTCCTTCCTCCTCTTCCCACCTTTCACAAACTCCACTGCCCGATGTCTCCTCTCCTCGAACCCCGCGCTCTCCCCTCGATGACCCTCCATCCAACACTTCCGACAATACAGATCGCCATCGCACCCCAGACACCTCAGCGTAGCATCGTCGCTGCAAATGATACACCATGTCTCGATCTCGTCGTCTAACTTCTTCGCAAGGCTGGACTGGATGTTCGTTGGCTTCTTGGCTGGGGAAAAGGACGGGGCAGAGGGAAGACCAAGGGCGTCTGTTTGGGACGAGGGAGAGGAGAGCGCGGCGAGGCGGGCGGTGAGGGCGTCTTCGATGGCTTGGGTGCGGTCGAGGTCGTCTTGTGGAAGGGATGTTGGCGCCGAGGGGAGAGAGAGTTCATTGCTATTCTGAGCCGATGATTTCGGATGGTTGTTCTGATCGTCTGTCTTGTGGTCGCCAGAATCCGAGTCGTTGTCGTCTTCAGGAGGGGGAGAAGGCGGATCGTATTTCTTGCTGATTTCCAGCTCGGCCATAACCCGCGCAATGATATCGTCCGCCTCGTCGTCCTCGCTCCTCTTCTTGCCGGCCTCACCCTCTTCGGCCTGCTCGTCGTCGTGCTCTCCGTCCTGATCTCCTTGTCCAACTTTCACGCCCCCGGTCCCGATTTCAACTTCCACATTCTCCCAGTTCGTCAAACCCTCCTTCTCCTTTTGTTCTTGCCTCCGACTCTTCTGTACCTCTGGAAGTATAGTTTTGATCTCTCTTAGCAGCTTCCCAACATCTTTTTCGTCTTTATGATCTATATCCCAGTCGTCTCGCGGCCCCAGCTCCCCAAGTAACTCCTCCAGACTCCTTTCATCCTCTGTATTCATGTCGCTCCCACCTGCGCCGATACCCTCAGCTATTCCCTCGAGATAGCTTGGCGCACCAGGAGCAATAGCTGGTGCGCCCTTATTTCTCTCCTCTGCCGAACTGCTTGTGCGGGAAGGCCTAGGCGAGCTGGACGGACTCGTGGATCCTAGGCGGGCGAACCGGGCCGCGAGGTCGTCTGACGCATTCGTTTTGAGTGCTGACAAGCTCGAGGAAGCGTTTTCGAAGCTGACACTAGATTTCTTGAGTGCGTTGAGGCGGGCCAGTAGGGCATCGTCGCCGATGGGAGGGTCGGGCATTATTGGTAAGGATGCGGGGATCTCTGCGATGCTGTGATGTCGTGCAGGCGGATTTGAGGCGGTAGAGACAGTAGTGGGAGGTAAGATTTCGCAATTTAAGAAGCAGATAGCGAAAATCTTCGTAGAGAGCGGGTGACAGAGCAAACACGTTAAGAGAAGCTGGGTGGAGAGGTGCGGGTTGCGGAGCTGTCAAGCTTCCAGAAAGCTTAGCTTACGCGAGGCCCAATAGCGGGGGAGGGGCACGCAGCTACCATAGATATGCTACCATCACAGCAGGAAGAATGTTGTTATAGATGATCCCAATGTAGACAGATACTCCGTACGCAATGCTATCAATGACAGGGCCAGTTGCTTCCCTATAATCATACATAACCGCTAATGTGCTTTCTGAGCCACTTTACCATCTCCAAATGAGCCAGAAATACCAGCTCAACACGCATAATGCAACAGTCCCCAAACTCCTTCCAAGTTCCGCCCAGAACAACGCCATCCCTTTCATCTTGCCCGCGCTCTTTTTTGTGCTCACACCCCCCCAAGTCCTGGCCTGGGCTTCTCTTCTTTTCCCTTGATCAGCAGTCTGGACGTGCGGGTACGAGTATATGGATGAGTGTGGAGCTGAGTTTGAAGGAAGGCCGTAGCCTCCGACAGGTGAAACACTGCGTGTGCGAGACTGCATGTTGCGTACTTGAAGGTTGGCGTGGGTGGAAGAAGTCGAAGAATTGGAAGAGTGTGTGGCATCGGAGGGGTTCTGTGCTGCATCTGGTGAATTGAGAGCAGCTTTTTCATATTCAGCGGATGAATTGTTAGTAGGGAGAAGAGGATTTTCTGCAGGTCGTCGTGGTTTTATGACACCGCGAGCGATGAGTGCTGCTCGTATGCAGAGTACGCCCAGGGTCAGGCCGAAGAGTCCTGCATATCGTATGAAGATGCCCAGCTGGTCAGGCATCAGACACAAGTGTGACTGTAGTGTTCTCGATGCATCGCCAGAGAGTGGTTTTCCAAGCTCGTCAACAGGGTTCCACATGCTGACCATGACCATGCCAGGGTGCCGAACACCCATGGCCCACGATAGCGACTTGACCGTGATCTCCTTAATTCCTCCACCGCCGGAAGTATACGCGTGATGGAGAACCTCGCAATAGTCGTGATCGTCTCCGGAAAAGGCGTATCGAATGTCGCCTACCTTGTCCGCAATGTCAACCGTAATCTCGCGGTGAAGCACATTTTGGTACTGATACCCTCCGCTCACCGAGATCGCGTTTCGACGATCATCTTCGAGTGGTTCTTCTCCCTTTCCGACCGGTGTTGGCGGGTACTTTTCTCTCATGGGTCCGCAAGGCGTGCCAGGGAGACGAAACAGCGGTACATGCGAAAGCAGGACGGTAGGAAAGTCGGTAACATCCTCATCCGAATGAGGAATCGCTGCTTTCGCAAGCTCATCCCGCTCCATCACCTTGTGCTCAAATCCAGGGTATGCGTGCAAGCCACGTTGTATCCTCAGCTCCCGTTGTACCAACCTCCGCTTCTGTTTCTTCGAATTGTCCAGAAACTCGGTCGTAGGCTTCCATAAGTTCTCTACCGCCTGTGGGTTCGCCAGTCCCTTGGCACTCAAAGAGACGCTGTCGATGGAAACGAATGTATGGTTTCCCACAATATCAATCCTGTTCCCGTCTCCGAAGTATGCATTGAACCTGTCGCGCACACTCGTGTCTACACCGCGGGCGAATCCCAGGTCGTGATTACCTGGTAGGCTACTTATGAGCTTGCGTCCGGGTTGGCCAGGGCGCGCGTCGAGCCCTCCGTCCCCCCAATGACCGAAGAATATGCGTCCGAAGCGACGATATTCGTTCATCCAGAAGTCGTCACCATACTGTTGCCATTGTTTGTCCGGGTTCTTGTGCGTGTGCGTCGACCACTCCCTCCCACCATCGAAGAGGTCGCCTAGGAAAAAGACTGTGTCTGGGTACAAGACCTCTTGTATGCGTGAGTACGTCCGGCGCAGATATTGATCGACGTATCGAATGGTGAGATCGTTCAACGGCCACGGGCGGCCCGGATATGTGTGAGGATCAATGAGCTGGGGATCGGCGACGAAGACGAGTCTATGTGGGTTTGCGCCGGATTCCTATGCATCATTAGCCTTTGTTACAGTTGATTTGGTGCCTTGTGCGGGTTTGCGCACCCATTGCTCCCACCTCTCCCAGCGACATGCGTCCACGGCGTTCCGAATAGCGCTCCGCTCCCCAAAGTACACCGCAACCCACCACACCACGACCAGCAACCTCACGGCACCCAACAGCCTCCTCAGGCTCCAATCCCCCCTCCTTATTCCAGTCCACCTCTTTTCCAGTTCTGGTTTGACTCGGTATAGTGCGAACGCGCGCGCGACTCGCCATGCCTGGTGCGCCAGGCTTTCCGGCTCGGAATATGCGCCGACGGGCATGCCATACTCGTCGTACGTCGTCATGATTTGTAGGGGTAAGGAACGCGGTGCGAACGCAGCATCTTTTTAGGAAACGAGAAACATGCGAGTTTGTATTGCGCAGTCACAGTGACGGTTTGAAGGCGTAAGCGCAAAGGGGTGCCTGTGTTGAATGTGGGTTCTGGGGTACATGCGTGTGATCGCCGCTAGTATCCGTGTCACAATGCGCACGTGTCGCCCTCGGTGCCCACGCTCTCACGTAAACGTAAATACCACAGGTATCTTGCGAATTCAAACTTCTACGTACATATGGTGCCCAAGCTGTGCTAGGTTAGACTATTGGGACTTCGATTGAGCTTCGCTTTATATCCGGTTTTGATGTGGACACGACAGCCACGCAATTGTGCTCCAAACTGTGAAGTAGTGGTATGGTCATTCAGATGCCGCATTACACAAGCTACAAGTACATGCTAATCGGAAAATCTAACGCCTTTTTACCCCCATTTAGTACTCCAGAGAGATCTTCTGCCCCTTCACTCTGCCGATAACGACCTCCGGCGCGTACTTGGGAATAACCTCGTCGTCGTGCAACATCTCAAACTCCTCTGACGCGTCCTTTCCCATGTGGCTGAAGAGCGCCTGAGGCCCTCCAGGGTGCTCGTCTGTCCAGTTGGTCAGATCCATGACGACACCCTTGACGGCGATCCACAGATCGTCCTTCTTGTTGTGCTTTGCGACCTCCTCGAGTGTGTACTCCTTTTCAGGAACCTCGAACTTCTTGACCTCGTTGGGCTTTGATACCTTGCCAGGATCCTTGGAGTCGCCATCAGACTTCATAACAGGACCTGCTGATAGCTGCTTCTGCTGCGCAATCTTGGAGCTGTCCAATGAAGTGGAAGCACCGGAAGCCGCGCCGTTGCCCCAATCAACAGTGACCTTGCCGGGCTGCGAAGGGTCGATGTGTAGTGAGATTTGTCCAAGTCGCGATACGGCCGAACCACCAGCATTGCTGAGTGCCTGTTGGAAAAGGTATTTCGACGCCGACTCTCCTGCTACGCGACCATAGACAACGCAGCCAAGTAGAGATGAACCACCGAGACGGTTGGCACCGTGGACACCACCAGCCAATTCACCACAGACGAACAGACCATCGAAAGGCTTGCCATTGGCGTCCAAGCACTCTGCCTTGTCGTTGATCTCTATACCACCCATGGTAAAGTGAAGCACGGGCTCCATGAGAGCAACGTGGAAAGTGTCGTTGATGTCGAAGGGCACGTTGTGGAAGTATTTCTTGCCCCACTGATCCTTCTTCTCGCCCTTGGCAATGGCGTTGTAGCTTTGGAACTCCTCCTGGAGCTCCTTGTCACTGACACCAATCTCCTTGGCCAACTCTTTTCCGCTCATCTTCTTCATCAGACCACGGCCGGAGTAATGCCTGGTGTGGAAGTCGAGAACGTTAGATGCCTTGGAGTTGAGCACCAATCGGATGGGCCAAAGGTCTTTCTTCTTCTCTTCCCACATCATGCCGGATACGTAATCGCGGTGACCAAGGTCGTCGCAGAATCGCTTGCCCTTGCTGTTGAGCAGAATTCCACCCTCGCCGCGGAGAGCTAACACCAGAAGTCAGCCAACATCACATTAATCACGAACAGACACTACACACCTTCTGCGGCCAAGAACTTGGTCTTAGCCTTGGGGTCCTTGGGGTCAACCAAACCAGTCGGGTGAACCTGAACCTTGTCCATGTCAATGCCTTGCGCACCGATCGACATCAACATCTTGTGTCCATCACCAGTAGCGTGTGCGCCGTTGGTGGTGGAAAGATCGTAGGTGTCTGGTCTCCACTTCTTTAGTAGAGAGGTTTCTGTGAAATCAGCGGCGTAACCGCCGGTGGCAAGCACAACGGGTCCTTCGATTGTCGTCTCCTCGCCGTTGAAGAGGTATGTGACACCTGTAGCGGTGTTTCCAGTCATGTTGACCTTCTTCACGTTTGCCTTCTTGATGAGCTGAACACGCTCCGGCTCGGCCTCGGCAAGCTCCTCAAATCGCTGCATGAGGGCGTATGTGATGGCCATGCCGGGGAACTTGGCATCGTGACCACGGTGGGTTCTCGGCTGCGAATGGCCACTGTGATGTGTTAGCTTTTGGCCCTCTTCCACTGAGAATTGCTGAACATACCCGAGTCGCGAAACCAGAGTCAGGTCGAGGTTGAAGACGTCCATCAGCCACTCGACGGCAGCGGCGGACTTGTAGGTCAGGACCTTGATGAGATCTGGCCGCGCCTTGTCTCGTGCGGACTTGAGAGTATCATCATAGAACTGCTTGACGCTGTCCGGAATCTTGTGATCGACCTGTGTCCGGGTGAGGGCACCGTTTATACCCGAGGTAGCCTTTGTGGAGTTGCCTCCCATAAAGTCTAGCACCTGTGAGAAATTGCTGCACCCAAAAACAGGATTCCGGACTCACTGTTCTTGTCCAGAAGCACAACATTGCCACCAGACAGGTAGATGGTGTGAGCAGCGCTCAGGCCGGACACTATTGCTTGTTAGCAGCCGCATCGTGGTGGTGCATGCAGAGGATTGCGCGTACAGCCAGCACCAACAACAATGACTCTCTCAGGCATGACGACTGGGTGATGGTCAAGGGGTATAATGCGGAGAGGAGGAAAGCGTGGAGAAAGCGGGAGAAAAGCGCGGAGTCTGGGTCTTTGTATGGGATCTGATGACGGCCTCGATGCACGCTCCGCTCGGCCTCAAACTAAGCGTGAGATGGAAATGCCTCGGCACTTTATGCGGTCTAGCGCTGTCACACGACGAATCAACCCACTCCTGTTTGTACGCGGCCCACGGTGAACCAACTGCCTGTCCTGCGCACCGAGCAACGTATCACCCCAGCGTGGCGGCTCGCGCATGTGAAGCCCCAGCGCTGTCATGTGGGCATCCGCCAGCCCATGCTGAGCCGCCCAAAGTAGCCTCCGGGCCACTCGTCTCGGTGACCTCGGAAGGAAGGCCGAGCTGGGGAATCTGGGGCAGCCCATGCGCCATCTTTCCCAGACCTCTCTGGCATGTGAATATGGGTCAGGTGTCATATCAGTTTGCGCGATCCCCGACGCCAACATCACTCTTGCAATCTGGCTTCTCGCGAACGCCTTTACTCTTTGCTTCTTGTTCAGTGCAAAATATTCACAGAATTGTTCCAATATTCCAACCCTAGCAACTATCCCCGCTCGCTACCGTTAGCCCTCGAACGCCGCGGCGTCTGCTCCGAGCTCGCCTCCATCGGGGACAACAGCGCGGGGACATTGCCAATTCGCAAGCTTTCCAAGCAGTTGAACGTCCGAAACGTGGACTTCTCTCCTGTAATACTTTCAAAGCTCACTCATCAATGCTATTAAATATGCCTAGGTAGAGCCTTTACATTTGATGCTTGCGGCGCACAAGACCTGATCGGTCGATCTTGTACCGAGACTAGAGCCTCAGATTTGGGGAACCAGACCATGGGATATCTCAGGCCGACGTGCCCCTAGAAATTGAAAACTTCAATACTCATGATCCTCTAGGATCAGCGTAGACAACGTGGCGCGGCGTGAAAAATGTTGGAGCCAACGTGGTCAAAGTAACCGGCAAGTTGCGCAAGGATTTCGATAACTCGTATGATTCTGAATCGAATACGTCGAAACCCCAACCCAGCCATGAGATAGTGTATTAGATTTGTCAATCAATGTGCTCCGACATTCTGTGTTTCTCCAGCAACCGTATTGAAGCGACGCTCTTCACCACGCTTGCAGAGTGCTCTAGTACAACCACGGACCATCATCTTTCTCATAGGACCTTGAGAAGATTTTGATAGCCAGCCTTGCGTATGTGTATCCACCGCACATGCTTGACCATACCTATGGTAGGTACACTTAGCATGCCTATCGTATGGTTCTATGCCGACTCCAAATCCCATGGATAGATACCAACGGCAATCCAAGCCAACCAGATCGGATAACCACTAGAAAGAAACGCCAAAAACGAGACAGAAGCCCCTTGTTCCTGAGGACCTACACCATTCCACCCCCCATCCCCGCATCAACCAAAGTATGATGCTCCCCCGACGACCTCGTCTCACTAAACGGCGTATTCGTAAATCACTCATTAAGCCTCTTTATCCTCCCCCGCTCCACCACCATACCAATAATCCCTCTAAACTAGAAGGTCTTCTCCATAGCCTTGACACTTGGCAGCTCGGTTTTCAAATTGCCCGCATGTCAAACCATTAGCAAACCCTCGGTTAGGTCGAGGAAGAAAGAGGTCATTTGACGATATCGTCCTAGTGTGGGAGCAGGGACTACGAGCCTCTGTTGACGGATCTAAAACTGATCCTCCCATTCCCAGCCTCATCGAAATCGTGCCACACTGGCATATCCTCAGCGATGCTCAAGACGAAGTCCGGATTCGCCGTGTGCCAGAGATTCCAACGCCGGGCGAGCGTTTTGTGTCCCACTCGACGGATGAGGAACGCATGGTCCATGTAAGTACCGTCGTGCGTGAAGAGGTCGACCAAAGCTTATTGCTGGGAGCCCGAGGACTATGCTTCTGTCCAGCGTTTGGACAGGATATTGGCGTCCATTGTCGGCGTGATGGTGGATTATGGATGACACTGGAGGTTCTACACCGCGATGATGAACTTGATGCTAGCTACACGCAATTTGCAATTGCGATAAGGCGTCTTTGAAGCAGCGCAGTGCTTATGCTATAGTCTGCAATGGGCTTATGCCCGGTAAATGTATGGCGCCATCGTGTCAGCTACAACCTGTCAGCACCTGCAAGATCTAAGGCGTATGTGGGAGGCCTTCGGCAGTATGATGAGCAGCACGCGAAGTCATGGGGAAGCGATGAGCAGAACAGCAGCCACAATGGACGAAAAGCGCCAGCGCCTCGACATATTCCATCCGGTGTGACGCAATGTACGGATTCAACAAAGTACCGGCTGGACGTCTTCGGCCGCTCACTTTCAGGCAACGGCGACGATTGCCGGATGGGGTTGGGTCTTGACGGCCGAAGACCACATATTCTACGCTGCAGGAAACGGATTGAACAGAGAAACTGAGATTGCTAGATACAGTTCGAACGCACTCGCTCGGAACAAAGAAAATGGTGGTACTAGAGGAGCAAAAGGTATTTTGATGTTTCGGAGACGCCATCTGACCATTTCAAAAAAGATTTCCTATTGAGACAGCTGATGGCGAGGACGCATCTTCTATTATACATCTAATCTCAGAAACCGATCAGCACATTTTTCCCCGCTAAATCCCGGAAGAGAGTACCCACTCCTTAGGCCTTCCTTTATGTGAAAGACTTGGTGAAGCTTGTGGCAACGTCCTTGAGCTTGGCCTCAAGCTCCTTGCTGAGGGCACCTTCCCGGTCGATCTGGGCAAGAAGCTCAGACTCGTTGGATCGGAGGTGGGCAAGGAAGTCAGACTCCCACTGGAGGATCTTGTTGACGGGCACGCTGTCGAGGATACCGTTGACACCGGAGTAGATCAAAGGAACCATCTCGTTAACGGCCATGGGAGAGTACTGCTTCTGCTTGAGGAGCTCAGTCAGACGCTCACCACGGTTGAGAGTCTGCTTGGTGGCAGCATCCAAATCAGAACCGAACTGGGCGAAGGCAGCGACCTCACGGTACTGAGCCAAGAAAAGCTTGAGCGAACCGGCAACTTGCTTCATGGCCTTGAGCTGGGCAGCGGAACCGACACGGGAGACGGAAAGACCGACGTTAATGGCGGGACGGACACCCTTGTAGAAGAGCTCGGCCTCCAAGAAGATCTGGCCGTCGGTGATGGAAATGACGTTGGTGGGAATGTAAGCGGACACATCACCACCCTGGGTCTCAATGATGGGCAGGGCAGTGAGGGAACCACCACCAAGCTTGTCGTTCATCTTGGCAGCACGCTCGAGAAGACGAGAGTGGAGGTAGAAAACGTCACCGGGGTAAGCCTCACGCCCAGGAGGACGACGGAGCAGGAGGGACATTTGACGGTATGCAACGGCCTGCTTGGACAGATCGTCGTAGATGATCAAGGCGTGCTTGCCGTTGTCACGGAACCTGTTGTATTGTTAGGATTTGTAGGATAATGGTGGTGGTGCTCTCGTTCAATGAGAAAGAATTCACGAAGGGGAACATGATGAAAGAGACGGGAAAGAGACACGTACCATTCGCCCATGGAGCATCCAGTGAATGGTGCGATGTACTCTGCGCGATGTCAGCGAACATTCAAGTATACTAGGTATCGTAATGACTTACGCAGGGGAGCAGCCTCGGAGGCAGTGGCGGCAACGATGATGGAGTACTTCATGGCATCGTTCTCCTCAAGGGTCTTGACAAGCTGAGCAACGGTGGAACGCTTCTGACCGACGGCGACGTAGACGCAGTAAAGCTTCTTGGTCTCGTCGTTGGTGTTGTTCCATCGCTTCTGGTTCAGCATGGTGTCGAGAGCGACAGCGGTCTTTCCGGTTTGACGGTCACCGATGATAAGCTCACGCTGTCCACGTCCGATGGGCACCATGGCGTCGACGGACTTGAGACCAGTCTGTACGGGCTGGTTGACGGACTGACGGGGGAGAATACCGGGGGCCTTGAGCTGAGCACGGCGCTTCTCGGTGGACTTGATGGGGCCCTTTCCATCGATGGGGTTACCGAGGGCATCGACGACACGGCCGAGAAGAGCCTCGCCGACGGGAACGTCGACAATCTCTCCCGTACGCTTGACGGTCTCGCCCTCCTTGACCAATCGATCAGAACCGAAGAGCACAACACCGACCTGGCCGGCTTCCAAGTTCATGCACATGCCCTTGACACCGGAGGCGAACCTGTGCTGTTGTCAGTCTTTGGCTCTTGTGGCCTGTGTAGCTGGTTGGACGTACTCGACGAGCTCCTCAGCCTGGACGTTGTTCATGCCGTGGACACGCGCAATACCGTCACTGAACACTCTAAGTCAGCCCCGTTGATCCTGTTTGATGGTCGCGGCCGCTGTCGCGGCGTATAGGCTGCCATACCCGACGGAGAGAACACGTCCGGTCTCGGCGAGACCGGCCTCCTCCTGAACACCACGGATCCTCTGCTCGAGGATGGAGGACACCTCGGTCGGCGAGGCCTTCGCGTCGGAGGCATAGCTGCGGACAGCGCTGTTGTAGAGAGGTGCCGTTGCGCGGGCCTGAAAATTCGTCAGTACTCGGCTCAGCGGGAGCTCCTGTGGAACCAGCGCGGCAGCCCCAATCCATCGACCAAGCTCCAATGCAGCGCCAATGGCATCGAGAATCGGTTCGGGGAGCCGGCGGCGATGGCGAGATGGATTGCGGGCGCAATTGCGGCTGGCGACGATGGACTTACAGAGGTAATCTGGGCCCGGGCAGACACCGCCGCGAGGCGGCTCGACTGGCGGAGAGCTCGCGAGAACATTGTGGATACCTCAAAAGGTTATTGAGGCGGTTCTGCGATCAATTGCTGATGCAGAAGGAGGATGAGCGGAGATGGGTTGAAGGAGATGGAGCTCTGAGGTCGAGGGTGAGAAAAGCCCTTAGGGAAGGAACGCTTGGACCGGTTAGCGGCTGCGACTTTTCCCGATTCATTCCCTGAGCAACCGCGGCGCATCTCCCCAACACCAACTTCAAGTAATATACTATAAATCATGTGTACAATACTCGTAGTCCTGATCTCGATTCCATTGCATATCGATCACGGTAGTTTTCAAGAATCTCGGACCTCTACCCACAGCCAAGCCAGCTGTACACGGGTTTGGAGCTCGCACATGATCTGCGACTACCAACGGAATCTAGATCAGCTTCAGATCATATGCAGTGCCAGGTGAAACGTCTAAGCACACTGTTTTGCACCCAACGAGCAGGTCAGATTCAGACCGTCGGCCTAGCTCTGTGGTAATGCTGGTTGTAATCACTTGGAATGCCCTGCGACAATGCTTTGTTCCCGAGCAAGTTATGCCGACCTCTACGATGACCTTAGCTGGGCTGTCCTCAGATCACTTGATGCAATAAAATGCCCTCATCATGAGATGATAAATTGTCCTAAGTCTAGTGAGTATCTGAAGCACATCCTATCGCTGTGATGATGAATTGTCCTGTGCATACTTGACGGCCAGGACGCATCCCGATTTCTGGCACAGAGGATTATGTCCCCAGATTCAAAGGTTCCAATACACACTTTCCAGAGTACTACCTTTTCCCGGTGCCAAGGTTAGTATCTATATTCAAGAACGTTACCAGTGTTAAGACGCCAGATTCATAGTGTTCCATGCCAATTTAGCATTATATAGACTCAAGTCCTGTCTGATTGCTACTCAAATAGCGATGCACTTCTTCATGTAAAAGCATTGTGTTCTCTGGTCATCGACCTTGGTTTTGCCTCAATTGGCGATGAGGTTATTCGCTTCTTTCCGGTTGTTTCTTCATAGTCCTAATCGAAACATTAAGCTTTGGAAGTGCTCTGGTATAGGTTTGACAGCTGAACATTATCCTAGCTCAGCGGCCTACTCTTAGAATTGGGCGTGTGGACCTGCTTGTCTATTCTTATGCAGTATTGCTCGCTCCAATCTTTCTGCGTGGTGGGCAAGTATAGGTGGCCGCTTAGGACTCGACATACGATGCGAGTACAGATGTTGCTTGGGCATAGGCGGCAAACTGGTGCAAGTATTTGTACATAGTAACCCTCCAACAATGATCATACAAACATCTCCCAGGGTCATGGACTGTAAATGAGACCTTAAAACAACTCAATACACACCGCGACATCCATCATCTCTTCGCTCTCATCATTATCTACATCCGACCAATGTACCATGGTATCCTATGCTCGCAAAATTTCCCACTGCAGGCACATACATATATTGCGGATCTTTAAACAGATCCCTGCATACCATTCCTCTTCAAGTTGACACAGGCGTTCTCGCCCTCGCTTCTCCGTTAGAGAATCCTATTATTTCCTAATTCACTGGTTCGTTGTGGTCCGAGAGCAGGTCCCACTCAAATTTTATGGGCGCTCCCGCGTTATCGTGACATCGATTCACGATGCCTTGATGCCGTTCGCATTGCCGTTCGCTGTCTGGCCTTTCTTCTCTCTGAACTTGCGGATATCCTCCTCTACCGCCTTGTCTACCCGCTTCTTCAAATCTGGGCGGTATCCGAGCGTGAACAGGATCTCGAACCAGACAAAGAAGGGAGCAAGAAGGAAGGCCTGCACAATGTTGTCCAGGAGCGCAGGTGCCCGACCTTCGAACTTGCCGTGCCCTATGAACTGCGCGATCCATGATGCAAAGAACACACCTCCTGCCCACTTATTCGCAATCGCGCCGTACGTTGAAGTAAGGTGATTTCCGTACGCAGTGACGCCGATCAGTATGGGTGCAAGCATAGCTCCTGCCACAGGTTCCATGAGCATGTACACTGTTGTGTACAAGACAAGCACGGCCGAGGCGACGTTGAGGGGTAAGTGTGGGATGGACAGCCATTCTGGTAGCGGTATCGCGGGAGTATTTGTGAGCTATTGTGGATTAGGGCTGCGTCCTCACACAAATTTGGTTCGACCTACGAGAACGACGGACGCGAATAGTATGAGGGGTACGCAGACCGTGTGTATGCCGATATTGATCTGGAGGCAGACGGTGTGAGCGGGAGTGAGCACTCTGCAGGCTACTCGAACAAGCCTACCGGATTATTGTGGTATGCGCCGTACTGGTCTCTGGTTAGGGGTCTGCTGGTGCACGCGAGCAAGGCGGAGACGTACGAAGCGCAGCTGCTTCTCGAGATTGAGAGACATGGTTGCGGATGTGGTGGTTTGATCGGTTATCGGTGTGGCAGCGCCGACGACATCGCTTGGGCACGCAGAGGTCAGGCTCGAGCCGCTGTTGCAATCCGGCGTGCAGGGAAGGGGAGGGCAGCGGCAGCTTGTGGGGCGTGATGGTGGGTGGGCACGGGTGTGAGACGAGCACCTACAGACATTCTTCACGTGTCATGGCGAGTATTAGGTAAGCAACAGCGCCGCACCCTTGGAGAGAACGTCGACCAGGCTGCTCGCGATCTTATCGAAAGGCAGCTGTCGACCCCCAGCCGCACCACTACTGTCCACGAGGCCCCGCGCGCACCTCTTCGACGGACGCTAGAATATTGATACACGCGCAATTTGGAGGGAGGGCGTATGGACCGGGTCTGTCCTTGATTTCTAGGTTGCGGACGACGTCTCTTTGAGACTTTTGCGCGACCCTCTGCCGCTCTTTCACAGGTCGTCGCGCGAACAATAAGAATACAATTTCACTGTCGCCTCGGCCAGCGCAAGCTGCCCTTCTCTCGTTTACACGCTCGCCTCCCGACCGACGCGTCAACGCCGCTTGCCCTCCTAGAAGCTCAACCTGCACCGACCCGCCGTCTAACGGTCGCTTTCAAGATGTTTTTCATCAAAGAGCTCGAGAAGACGATCACGCTGCACCCCTCGTACTTCGGTCCGCAGATACGCTTGCACCTCCACAGAGAGCTTCTTTCCAAGGAAGAGGGCTCAAATACGGGCTCTTTCACTATAGTCTGCATCTTGGACTCGTTCGATATCTCTGACGGACAAGTCGTTCCCGGGTCTGGCTCCGCTGAGTACACGGTGCACTATAAAGCTATTGTCTGGAGGCCGTACAAGGGAGAGGTCGTATGTGATGCCCGTGAAATGTATGTCTCGTAAGCAGGACTAACAACTGCTAGATGGACGGCATCGTGACTTCCGTCGTCCGGTCCGGCTTCTTCGTCAGTTGTGGCTCTCTGGAGGCGTTCGTGAGTCGCGCGGTAATTTTGCTCTCGACGGTTCTTCGGCTTTCCATTTGCTAAACCCAGCTAGATGATTCCGTCTGAGATCAAGTACGATGCCAACGCGACGCCGCCGCATTGGACGGACAACGCCGACCAAGTCATCGAGAAGGGCACCAATGTCCGCATCAAGATCAAGGGCGTGCGATCTGAAGTGGACCGACAGTTCGCGATTGGCACTATGAAAGAGGTATGTTTCGTAAGATTCAACTGTTTCAGATGCAGTGCAGCGTGCATCTTCTTGTCGTACAACGCAGCTGTTGGAATTTAGAGTCTCAAAGTGTTTCCACTGTGCATGATTTTGACTGACTGTTTGGCAGGACTACCTTGGCCCTCTGCAGCAATGAGATGCTTCGCCCAGGCGGCGTCTCACGATTGCGCTTGGCAGGCAACTGCAGGATTTGCTACAAAGGATATTCAGGAACTGGAACTGGCTTCGTCAATGGGACAAAGATCATCAGACTAAACAGTGGTGCGTGATGCGATGCTGTAGCCAAAGCGTGGCTGCAAAAGTCCTACATCATCGAGAGAACGCACACTACACAGTAGTGCCGGGCAAAGAACATGTGGAGCTACACATACGCCCAAAACCCTCTCCCAAATCTCCAAGTCTAAAGTTTTTTCTGGCGTGTCTTGCACTCCTGTAAGAAGTTTTTGGAGCTATACACGAGCTTGCAATTGGGGTGTACCAAAGCGGTGGAGAAGTGAAGCCGATTCCAGCCTCTCGACGGGGTGCCTTGCGACTTGGCTTTGGGTCTTTGTTCAGATAGTGTTCCACATTCGGATCTGAATATAACGATTCTGACGAATTATTGGAGTGGGTGGCGTGCCCGTGATGCTCGCGGCAAGCTCGAGTGTAGCTGCGGCATGGTTGTTCCAGTGGTTCGTTTCGGACACCTCTCGACTCGAACCTCCGCGTTGCCCAAGCTGTAGCCGCCCGCTGGTCACAACCCTGAGCTTACCCACCCATGCTTCTCCTGTGCCCGTTTACACTGTGTGCTTTAGACTACTAGACTTGGTTTCCTATATTGCCTGTTTACAATGACAGCACGGCATAGCCGCACCTCCAGATAACATCCACCATGGGCCCCCGTGAGCGCGCTGTGAACGACGAGGAGACGGAACCTCTCACCCGCGCCGACACGCCCTCGCGCGACTCGGCAGAAGGATCTGGAAGCTCCGTATCCTCCGTCTCGACGACCTCGCTCGTGCTAGAACACATCCACGACGATGCGACAAACGGCGCGTCGCGCACGACGTTTGGGGAGAAGTACAGGGACGATGATGCGGAGCCTGAGCGCAGGCGCGAATGCTTCGATGTGGAGGATGGGCTATCGCAGGGCGTGAAGCCGGTAGACAAGAAATACCGCCGCCTGCTCTGGATTGTTGGCACCATCTGTGTAGCTGGCTGGGCCCTCGCGCTGTTCTCGCTCCTCTCCAACGGCAACTACAAGCACGTCTCCACCCGACCGCTCGATCCGCTTGCGACCTCTACAAAGGGCTCTGGAAAGAAAGTCACTCTGGATAGTGTACTGAGTGGGCAATGGTACGGAGACAGGCAGAGCGTGTCCTGGATTGCAGGTCCGAACGGCGAAGATGGGCTGCTGCTCGAAAGAGGCGTCTCGAAGGGGGGGTTCTTGGTGGTGGAGAATATCAGAGACCAAGGCACGGCACAGGTTGCCGCGAGCAGGACCCTCCTTATGAAGGACCGCAACTTCAGAATCAATGGAGCCTTTGTCTACCCAAATAACTTTTGGCCAAGCAAAGATTTCAAGAAGGTGCTTGTAATCGCGGACGAACAGAAGAATTGGAGGCACTCCTTTACGGGAAAATACTACATCTTCGACGTCGCAACCCAGACTGGTGAGCCACTGGACCCAGCAAACCCAGATGGCATCGTTCAGCTAGCATCGTGGTCTCCGCAGTCCGACGCGGTCGTTTTCACAAGGAACAACAACATGTATCTCCGCAAGCTTGACTCTGATTCGGTCATTCCCATAACCAAAGATGGAGGCACTGAGCTTTTCTACGGTGTGCCAGACTGGGTTTACGAAGAGGAAGTTTTCGCAGGCAACAGTGCAACTTGGTGGTCGAAAGACGGAAAATACATCGCCTTCCTGCGTACTAATGAGTCTACCGTTCCCACGTTCCCAGTCCAATATTTCGTCTCCCGACCGAGTGGAAAAGACCCCGAACCCGGAGAAGAGAACTACCCAGAGGTCCGGCATATCAAGTATCCCAAGTCAGGCGCTCCCAACCCCATTGTGGATCTACAGTTCTACGATGTAGACTTGGGCGAAGTGTTCAACGTGAACATCGAAAACGACTTCGCAGACCATGACCGTCTCATAACCGAAATCATTTGGGCTAGGAACAAGCAGGTGCTTGTCCGTGAGACCAACCGAGAAAGCGACGTGTTGAGGATGATTCTAATGGATGTTGGGAAGCGAACAGGCAAGACCGTACGCACCGACAATGTACAAGCTTTGGACGGCGGATGGATGGAAGTCTCTCACACGACCACCTTTGTGCCGGCTGATCCTCAGAACGGACGTAACGAGGATGGCTATGTTGACACTGTGATCCACGAAGGCTACGATCATATCGGCTACTTCACTCCGCTCGACAGCACTACTCCTGTACTTCTTACAAAGGGCGAGTGGGAGGTGGTAGACGCACCATCACGAGTTGATCTCAAGAACAATCTTGTCTACTACATCTCAACCGAGAGAGGTTCGATGGAACGTCATCCCTACGTTGTCAAGCTTGACGGCACAGACAAGAAGGAAGTCATGGAAAACGCTGCCGCAGGCTTCTACGACGCCTCCTTCTCCGCTGGAGGTGGCTACGCTCTGATTACCCACGAAGGACCCAGCATCCCATGGCAAAAGATCATTAGCACACCATCCACCTCGTCAAAATTCGAGAAAACCATTGAAGAGAACAAGGGCTTGGAAAAGTTTGCCAGACAGCACGAACTCCCCATCCTCAAGTACCAGATGGTAGACGTAGACGGCTTCAAACTCAACGTCGTCGAACGCCGCCCTCCCCACTTCAACGAGAAGCGGAAGTACCCGGTCCTTTTCTTCCAATACAGCGGGCCCGGCTCGCAATCCGTGGACAAAAAATTCTCAGTTGGCTTTCAAGAGTACGTCGCCTCCAGTCTCGGGTACATCGTCGTTACCGTCGATGGCCGCGGCACCGGCTACCTAGGCCGCAAATTGCGCTGCATCACGCGCGGCAACATCGGTGGGTACGAGGCGCACGACCAGATTGCCGTCGCCAAGATGTGGGCGAAGAAAAAATACGTTGACGAGGAGCGCATCGCCATCTGGGGCTGGAGTTACGGCGGCTTCACGACGCTCAAGACGCTCGAGCTCGACGCGGGGCAGACGTTCAAGTATGGCATGGCCGTGGCGCCTGTTACGGACTGGCGATTCTACGGTAAGCCTCGTTCATGTTCCATCCACCGCACGCATCATCGTACTAACCCGCCCCCGCAGACTCCATCTACACCGAACGCTACATGCACACGCCCCAAAACAACCCAGGCGGCTATGACAACTCCTCGATCCACGACGTCAAAGCGCTCAGCCAAAACGTCCGCTTCCTTGTTATGCACGGCATCGCAGATGACAACGTGCACATGCAGAACACGGCGACGCTGCTCGACAAGCTGGATCTCGCGGGTGTGGAGAACTACGACGTACATTTCTTCCCCGACTCGGACCACAGCATCTACTTCCACAACGCGAATAAGATCGTCTATGATAGTGAGTGCTATTTGCTGTGTGTCATTGAGCAAAGGCGTGCTAATCCTGTGTCCAGAATTGAGCTCCTGGCTCGTCAATGCGTTTAATGGGGAGTGGCTGAGGATACAAAACGCTGTGCCCAAGGCACAGGTCGAAAGGCGGTAGAGGTCTCTTTTTGGACTACATCTAGGGACCTACTGGGCGCACGGCGTTGGGTGGAGTAAGGGTGGGTACTGGTGCGCATTTGGAGCAATACTAGAAGTCTATGATAAAAATCAGTCACACGTGGGACTTTTCAATGCATATTCTTATGGTGTCAAGTGCACGAGACTGACCTGTTTAGATGTATTCAGATACGGTCATTGTCATCACAAGGTGCTTGATGACATACGAAGTTTATGCCTTGTCTTCACTCCTCATTGCGTTCAGCAGCAGGCGATGACAAGGTCTACTGAAATACATGTGTCGTAACAACCACATACACAATACATACAATCTCACAGAGTAGATGAAAGTTATAGAAATGCCAGGCTCTCCCTAGTAGAGAAGCCTGGTCAAATGCCTGGCTCTTGCGTCGCAGGTCTTATAAGATTGGGTATCTATGTGAAGCAGATCCGTCAAAAGCCGGTCCGTGAAAAACGCCGTCCCATGCAATCGCTATGCCAAGATATCAAAACCGAAAACCGTGAAATACAATTTCCAATGCATTCCGCCTGTAAGATGCACATTCTGGTATAACAAGGCGTCCAAAAACAATGGCCCCAAGGCCTTCCGCTACATTTTGTTATACGTGGGTTGCGGATCGATGTCATTGTACTGTGACCATTCGTCGTCTTTGTCGTAGATGCTTTCCGTCCACTAGCTGTTGAAGGATTCAGGGCCGAGAGTGTCCTTGGTGGCTAGGAAGAGCTGTCCGGCAGCATTGATGTCCCACTTGCCGGCTTCCAAACATTGCAGAGCCATCTCGCGCTTGAGGTTCGTCTGCTCAATGACGTAGGCGACCATTTGCTCTTGTTCAGGAGTAAGCCCGGGGATTGGAAGTGCCACAGTAGGTACTGGTGCGGCTACCGGTGCAGCAGGGGTGGCTGCCGGTTCCGTGGGGGTTGGCGCAGGATCGGGGCGGACCTGCTGGCCGTTGAGGATGCGAAGCTTGGGGAACCACGAAGTGAGTTCTTCTTCCCAGCCTGGCTCGGCGATCTCGACGATGAGATGTTGGAGAGATCGAAAGCGTTGCTTCCAGGGCTTGAGGACGCGGATGTTGGCAAAGTTATTGCCCGATAGGTCGAGATTCTGGATGTGAGGCAAAGTGGTTGACAGATCGCGCACAACATCCAAGTTTGGTAGATTGTTGCCGGAAAGTGTGACGCTGTGTATGGCTTCGCGCTTCTCCTCGGCTGACTTGAGCGTCTGATCGCAAACGACCATCAGAGCAGGAAAGAACTTCTTCTGTGTCCGGACATCGCTGAACATGCCTGATTTAGCCACCTCTTCATCATCGGCGATTTTGGACAGATTGAGTAGCTTTTCGTCTGCTTGGTAGCGGCGGGATAGGAAGCCTTTGAGGAGCTCAATGGTCTCTGATGTCTCTGGCTTGAGAGTGGCGTTGTCTTTGTCGCCAGACGTCTCCATGGCGTTCGGTGACTTGCTGCGGATGCCGGGGCCAGTGATGGTAAGCTTCTGGCTACCATGGGCGGAAGTGAAAGTGAAGCCATTGATCTTGCCAAATGCAGGAACATCTTCCGGGCGGACCCAGATCTTGAGGAGAGTGCCGGCTGCCGAATGTCGCTTGACCATCTTTGGTGGTACGGCGCCCTTGGTGACCTTCTGGCTGCGGCGTGCGGCATGGCGCTCGAGAAAGTTGAGGAGCTTGGCGACCTCTTTATCGTCGGACCAGCCGGTCACCTTGAGCTCGGTGAAGGGGGCGGTATGCGAGTCTCGACTCGCCCGAGGCTTGGAGCCGGATGCGCGTGCAGCTGTAGCAACTCGAGGTGCTGCGCCCATGACCAGGTCGCCGTCTCGGTCGCGCTTCGCGCGTTGCTTGCGGATACCGCCGCCGCGGGGACGGGAGGCAGTAGAGCCTGTCATGGCAACCCGGGGGTGTGTGAAAAGGGTTTTCGGAATTGTGTAAACTTGCTGGGCCACGCAAGGCTGCGGAAAGTTAACCAAGTTATTGCGTTATGTTCTGCGGGAAATACCAACTCGGAAGTGACAGAAGCGACTGCGCTTGACCTGGTGATGCGCTCGAGGGAAAGCGCAAAGGGTTGTGTAGTGGGTGTGCGCGCGGGGTCGGATGCGGTGGTGGTGCGCGCAAGCGGAGGGGTGTCCCAACAGAGCAGGCAGGGGAAGGTTGTTATAAGTACAGCGGCAGAGGGCAAACTTGGGGTTCACGATTTGCACGGTTGTTCTTGCCAAGACATTGTGAGGCGCAGAGCCGCAGATACTCCGCTAGTCGCTAATGGAAGCACAAGGCCTCAGAACCGCAGGTGCCGTTTGAGTAGTGAAGCACCACTGCCGCACCTTGTCAATACTTCCCGTCAGCAGAGATCGATGTGTTCTGTCGAGTTCGACGATAAAGCTGTTCAGGTTGATGTTCGTGTTCTTCTCGATAGAACGGATGTGTTGGCGAGCGTGTCTATCAAGGCATCCACCAGGCAACATCCAGGCTACATATGAACTGTCAGGCGTTATATGCGGAAGAGAAACCCGCTTTTAATGAGTGGAAGCTGCTGCGCCTTTCTGGTAAAAATACATCCTAACAGGAACAGAGGAAGCGCGCTCTCCGTTACGTGTTCAAGCCTCTTGCAGATCGATCGCATGGTAACATTATGTTTTACCAAAATAAGGACAATAGCGCACCTCGCCAATTCACCATTCCATGGTGTATTGATATGTATTGAAGCACGGAACTTCGACTGGTCATGTCTCAGTGAGTTGCCTGCATGCGCGAAGAGTTGGAGATCCCTGCGCAGCTACCGTACCCCGCCATGCCCCGCTATACGTTCACAGACGACGCGTGCGCTCGTCTGCTTTACGGCTCCCAACATCAACACCACGGCTCACTACAGGCGCTCGACTCCACGCGACTTACTTAGCACACACAGCCATGACCACCGAATCATACCCAAGAACAGTGCTCTACTGCGGAGGTACAAATGCTTTCTGCCCTTCTACACTCCCAGATAGCTGATCTTTTCGCAGTATGCACGCTGCCACCTGAAGTAGGTACGATCCTGCCCTTGGTGGTATGGTAGCAGGTTCCTGACAGCCTATAGTACTGCGAGTTCGGCGGCACCACCAAGAAGTGCGAGGAATGGCTTGAGAAGAACCAGCCCGAGTTGCATAAGAAGCTCTATTCACAAGGTACACCCTACCCGCCAATTCGCACGAGACATGTTCCCATAACCGGCGCCCGCCCTGCAAAGCCCAATCATTCCAGACATACAGCATCTAACTCCCGCCTAGAAGCCCTCGAGCAAAACCTCTCCTCCCTCTCCCTCGAAGCCCAGAAACGCGCCGAAAAAGATTCCCAAAAGAAAGCCGCCAAAGCCGCCGCCGCCGAAGCCCGCGATGCCGAGACCCGGGCCTCCTCCAAAGTCCTCATCAAGCGCATTGAGCGCAACAAGCGCAAGTACGTCACCGCCGTGCAGGGCCTAGAGGCGTTTGGCCTCGACATCAAAAAGGTCGCCAAGGACTTTGGCAAGAAGTTCGCGACGGGCAGCAGCGTGACAAAAGTGCCGGGCGGGGGCGAGGAGATCACCGTGCAGGGAGACCTGAGCGATGATATCCAGGAGTACATTGAGGAGAATTATAAGAATGTGCCGGATGACAATATTGAGTTGGTGGAGGATAAGAAGAAGAAGAAGGCGGAGCAGCAGGCGGTATGAGTGTGGCAGTAGGGGTTGAGGGAAGCACGACAGGACTCACAGAGCACGAGTAGGCCATCGACGGTACCAGGAGTGAGCATGCACAGCAGGCCGTGGACTTGGAGTTGAATAGTGTCAGCAGATCGCTATCGAACCGGATGAGCGCGTGCGTGTTGGAAACCAACCTACCGTGTATCACGAGAAATATAATCGGGCGATCAATACAGCCTTGTTGTCACCCTCCCATAAGAACATCATGTCAACGTATCATGTCGCTGGAGGGGCTGATGCTAAAAGTGGACGTATGGAGCACACCTCACCCTGCAGTAACTCACTATATGAGACGATTATCAGACTGTCATATAATAGTCTATCCTCAAATCTCAAATTTATAACAGATATAGATTTTGCTGTCAGCCACTGTGTAGAATGCGCAGTTGCGATGGTCCTGGAGGCGACGCACCCATGCTGAGGCCGCAGAACTTCATGAACGCCGAACTTTTTCCTCTACGAGTAAAGGGCCTGGTTCTCTAGAATGCGAATCTTGGGCTCCATCCGAACCTCCACCCAATAACCTCTGAGAAACCGATATCTCACCAATCCCTCCGCCATGCGCCATAGTTGCGCCACTTTCTTCGTCCAGTGTTCATCGGCGACCCTCGTTCTTGCGACCACGTCCAGCGGCTCAACCAAAGACCCGCTTTCTTCGCCAGGTTTTAATATTCGCACCCCGCCAAATCCGTATACCACATGCACTGTACTCCATGCGCCAATGATCTTGGCTGGATTCTCAGCCAGTACGTAGTGGAATTTGCTCCAGAACATGGGATCCAATAGCACCTCTGGATCTTCCGTCTTGTCGTAGGTCCATTTTCGCTTACTGAGCAAGTCTTGGGCTTCTAGGATATCGACGATCGTCTGCGGTCCTTCGTGATTTTCTAAGAACCGAGTGACACCTGTTTGGCACGCGAGATTGTCGAAGTAGACGTTTGTGTGGTCCCAGTGAACGCCATAAGCGCTGTCGATGTTTTTGTGGAGGTAATGGATGCCTTCACCACCAGGGTAATTGAGGCTAGAGATGGCCAGCAAAGTTGTTGATGCTACGAAGGAAAGCAGTACAGATCCTACCAAGGCCAGGCTAAGCGCGGCATATAGCCAGGTCTTGCCTCGTCGCGTCCAAATCCAAGAAGCTCCAGTGGCGGCGACAGCTGTCAAGGCAGGAGTAACGTAGATCACAAAGCGCCATTCTTTATGCGGAAGGAAGCTGAAAAGGCCAACGAAGGCTAGAGCCGGAACGAGGAGGTCTAGGCTTCTTGTACGGGTGGCAGCAGGAAGCAGCGCAGCAGGTATGCAAAAAAGGTACGTAATGGGATTCATCATCAGCCGTGGTAGGGCGTTGACGAAGTAAAAATGCCATGGTGAGACGCCCCAGTCAGCGGAATGTCCCTGGATGGTATTGTAATAGAATGCCGTCCACTCGGGCCATAGTGGAGTTGACTGCCAGAAGAACGAATCAACCAACACAGTGGTAAGGAGTCCAATAACGGCTCCGGCGAGCCCGGCAGGAATGATTACTCCCACGATCGACAGGCTGCGAGTCGCAAGCAGATAGAGTGTAATTGTAGCGACCAGTAAGGCAAGTTCAGAGCGGAATACCACACCGGCAAAGGTCAGAAGATATAGAGAAAGTCTGTAGCTTCGCGATATGCTTTTGCCATCAAAGGACGCAGCATGAGCATTTACTAGACCTCGTAATGCTACGTTCGCTAGTAGGTATTAGCATCTGGCACTGGAGACTTGGAGGGGAGGCCTACTAAATATAAATGCAAACATGTTCGGCAATGTCCGAGATGCATAGTAGATGACGTGAAATTGGCTTGCTTGGAATAGTGCAAACCAGATACCAGCGCTCTTGCCGAAAATCTTTGCAATACTTCTTCCGAAAGCTACTAGAGCTACGGCATTCAACAATCCAAGAATGGCACGGACTGATCCGATGGCTTAGCAAAGATGTCATAGAGTGTTCAACAGGGGACTGACCAAGAAACTGCAATTGCGCTGGAGAGTTGAGCAACCACACGAATGGTCTCGATAGACCGCTGAGAACCAAGGCGCCCACAAAAGTCCTCGGCACACTTCCGGGGAATGACATGTGGTCATAGTTCGCGGTGAAGAACTGGTCTGCATTTTCGTTCGGTACACCATGGATCAAGATGTCATGGATGGCCTGGATGTTGAACGATTCCTCGACTTTAGTGTACGGTGAGACCCATAGGTGTAGCAGAATGAAAGTCGGGATTAGGGCGTAGAAAGCCCATTCTATCCTCGCCATAGCATCTGAGCTCGCAAATAGTGCACAAAGTGCTGGTGATGGATCGTTGGATGGAGATGCCTCGCTCGGCTGCAGCTTACGTTTCAGGGTCCACGTGCGCAGGCGTTACGCTAATGTGACCCTGCACCTCAGCCGACCGCACCACAGCCCAAAACCCGCGATGGGGATCACCTCCCTGAATGAAATCGCAGTACCCGGTGTCTATCTTCTTATCTTCTTTCTGGGCTATCCGTCGCAGGTTCTGTTCTACTACTTGGATCCTGCACCGTTGACGAGGAACGAGCTCTACATTAGTAACGTGGTGCTTGTGCTCATCTTCATCACATACACGAAGTCCGTGTTCGTGGACCCGGGAACAATACCCAAGTCTTATAGGCAGGATGATAAGAAGGAACATGATATCGCCGGCGAAAAACGAGGAGATGGAGTGAAGCGGACCAAATGGTGTCGAAAGTGTGACGCTGCAAAGCCACCCAGGGCTCATCATTGCAAGGAATGCAAGAGGTATCTAATCTTCCTCTTTTCCCCTCATCCTTCCAAAGTGTATAAAAAAAACCTACGGTGTTATCCTTCTTCACATCCAAGATGGAACCCAAGTTGCCAGATGAATTACTCCTGCGTATATCTGCTAACAGTATTCAGATGTATCCCGAAGATGGACCACCACTGCCCCTGGACAGCCAATTGTGTATCCCACACCACCTTCCCCCATTTCATTCGCTTCCTCTTCTACACCTCCTGCGGCCTCTCATGGCTCGAATACCTCCTTTGGATCCGCATCGCGAATCTCTGGGAAAACCGCAACATGCCTGCCTACCTCGGACCAAACCCCTTCCTAGTAGCCCACCTCTTCGCCACCACCGTGATCAACTCCATCACTGTCTTCGCCCTCGGCGTCCTCTTCATCAGGAACGTCTGGTGTCTCCTCGTCAACACCACCACGATCGAAGGCTGGGAGATAGAGCGCCACAGGACCCTGCTCCGACGCGCCCGACACTTTGGCGGCGTCCTGCAGAGCCCAGACGGGACTGAAGTACCCATCCGAAAGCAAGAATTCCCCTACGACGTCGGCATATGGCAGAACGTCAAGCAGGGCATGGGCACCGGAAACGTACGTCCCCACCCCGCCCCTCCGCATATCGTAATCCCATGCCAAAACTAACACTACCTAGCCCCTCTCTTGGTTCAACCCCCTCGCAGCAACACCATCTCTCCCCTCAGGCCTCACCTTCCCCACCAACGGCTTCGAAGACGCCTCCCTCTCCTGGCCTCCGCCCGACCCCGACCGCTCCTACCGCCGCCCAGCGCCCTCCGCAAACGCCACACCCTTTACCTTCGCAGAGTCCGCGCTGTCACCCCAGGAATCCCTCGCCGCCTTCCGCGAGCGCCAACTCGCCGACGCCGTGCGCCGCCGTAAACCCTTCGTCCAGCGCGTCGAAGCGCAGCTTGCGCGGGACAGAGACGGCGACGGTCTTGGAGACGGGCACAGCATTGGCGTAAGCGAGGGCGTAAGCGAGGGCGAGATGAGCGGGGACGAGGAGGAGCACGAGCGTGGCAGGACAGGCGAGAAAGACGAAGAGGGCGAGGAGGCGTGGCGGAATTCCGAGGGGGAGAGGCTGAAGGACTTTGGCGTTGATGAGGAGGTCGAGTTTTACGATGAGCAGGAGGACGACGATGTGCCTCTGGGTGAATTGCTGGCGCGGAAGAGGGCGGCGTCGGGTACGGTATATTGATGGGAGGTGGTTGGCGGACGAGTTATGTGGCACTTAGATGCCAGAAGTGTGGGCAAAGAGTCTTCCCTCAGAGTGTATATTGCATGTTTACACACTGTTTATATTACGCAACGGATCTGCACACATAGGCGCATAGCCGCGCTCGGCGAAGTACATGTTACACATCAACAGCAAGCAGTCAGGTGGTACGTCGCCACCACCACCGTGTCACCCAGTCGGAACTCGATGCGCGGCGCGCGCACCAATCATTCCAAGTCCGCGGATCAAGCATTGCATGAGCGCGTGCTGGACGGGAAGATGCAGGTACATCGGGGTTGTACCTTGCAACAGGTATGCAACAGGTGCGGTGGCGTGTCCCTCATGTACCTCAGGTTAGGCACATCATGTACATCCGCACGTGGGCTGCAGACTAGCGTACCGGGATTCGCAATCAGCTATAATATGCTATAGAGAGTGATTAGTGTACTACAGGGGATTGCGTGAGCAATGGAGAAGTCTAATCCAAAGTTTTGAGAGTAAGCAATCCCAGATGTGCATTGCTCGACCCTGCCACTTTCGTGGCCGTTATTGAGTCCAAGCCAGGTCCCTAACAATGTTGGAGTGGATGCGTCTCGATAGGTCCAGTGGGTAAAGATAGCTTCCTGCTCCCGTACAAGACCAATAGTAGAAAGCCTCCTGAACCGTCGCAACCAATAGAATCTTACAATCTGAACCACCACTACCCTTTCTCGTCCACGATAGCGCCTCGTTTTCCGGTGACCAAGATGCCTTCCCAATGCTGGATGTGAAGTTAGATTTGATGAGCAGCTATCTCCAAGGTCTTGACTCCGCGGCTCGGCGTTTAGAATTCGGCGCCGTTGTTTCCGTTGTGGACGGTGTAGCCAAAAGCGGTGTTGTCGTTGTCTCCCATCTCTGCGTCGCCGCTCAGAACGTTCGGGTGTTGGGCACCCTCTGGGCCGGGATTGCCACCTGCAGCGGACCCTGCTGCATTGAACTGGTTTGCCCCAGCAGGCTTGTTCTGATTTGCGAGGAGGGTCTCGAGCCACCAATCAATAAAGAGTTCAGAACATGTCTTCGCCAAGTGGAGGCAAGGGGCGAAGGAGAAGTCAGTAGCTTACCTCGCGGTACCGTGAGAGGTAGATTTTGAGCGCTTCCGAGTAGTTCTCGAAGCCCAGGGAAGTCATGGCAAACAAGATGTCTTCGCCGTTGACCGTCTTGCGCTTCTCCTGCTGGCACTTTTCGCTGGCTGCGCTCCGGATTAGCGGGCAGCCGCGCGCACACAGTTCCAGGGGGACTCACCCTCGCTCGTGATGAAGGAGATGAACTCGCTGACGCATTCCTGCATGCATTCCTTTGCTTCCTTGGCGATCTTTGCGTTCTCGGGCAGGGCCATCTTCATGATGCGGGCGACTGGAGCAAAATTGCGTATGTTAGCATCGGCAGCTGCAGCGTTTGCGGACTTGGGGATCGTCTGTGGCGGCGAGGAGCTCGACTGCGGGGAAGCGGACGACATGGCGCGTCTGCAGGGCAGGCGTCTCCTGGTACGCCGGGCTGGGGCTCTGGTGATTCGGCGGGCAGGCGAGACAGACGCGCGATTCACGGGTATGCGGGCATCCAGCAGCGCCGTGAGTGGGCAATCGGTCGACTTGCAGACGGGACGTCGGGCGCGCGCAAATCAGAGGTGAGAGGGGAGACGTGAAATAGACGCACCATTGGCGATTGGAAGCCATCGGTCCTGTTCCTTGACCTCAAACTCGTACCCGAGTCCCTGCGCTTGTGTTTCGTGAGCTTCTCTGTCCATATGCGGCTCCGAATCGTCAGGCGACTGCGGTGCTGGTTCCACGCCATCATTCTTGGGCGGGGTGGACGACATGTTTATTCGGCCTGTTGCAGCCCCTAGCACGGCTTGCGGGAGCCTGTGTGCGCTGGCTATTCGCTGGCGTCCACGTCACTGGGAGGATGCAGCAACGCACACTGGAGCAGCGCTGGAGCGGGCGTGGGCTCTGGCCGTGCTACGCGTAGGCCGTTAGCGTCATGCGGGCACAGGAAGGCGCGCGCCGGCAGGGAGGGAAGCGCAGCGCAGGGCGAGGCAGGCGCAAGGGGGGCATTGGGCATGTTGCAGTGGACGGTGCAGTGTGCACTGGCGACAGCGGCCACAACGGCGGAGCAGCCCAGACGGGGCAGGCTGCTCGCCGGCGGCCTTGCGCGTGCGGGCGGGCGGGCTTACACGGGACGCTCTGATGGGCCGTCTGTTTCCTGGCTCTTGTGCTTCGCTGGGCAGCCTGGGGCACCGTGGCAGATGTCACTATCCACCGTGTGCGACGTGCGGGCGCCGCGGGGGTGCACGATGGCGGCCGGCGGCGACGGGCAGGAGGGGCGCGGCAGGCGAGCGGTCGCAGGAGTGGCCGCAGCAGGGCGCGTGCTGGCAGTCTGCAGAGAGGGTGCGTGAGCGGTGGCGGCACACGATGTCGTTGCGGTGGTGTCGGGCGCATCTGCATTCAACAGCTTGCGCGCGACACTACACAGCGACACGCTAGGCCGCGCGACGGATGCGGCACTCACCAGGATGCGTGGATGCGCGGAGCTTGGACGCGTGAGCGGCGTGTGGCCAGTCGGAGCAGGCTGGGAGCAGAAAATCCGGGCGAGGAGCAAATCAACGGAGGAGGAGCCGTCGACAAAGTGAAGGCAGAGGCCCACTCATAACGCGCCGGGCGACCTCTCAGCCTGCCCCGGCCCTTCAGCCCCCGCCCGCCTCGCTGCGGCCCGCTGGGTTCCCCTCAGACAGCCGCGCGCCGGGCCTCAATTCACCCACCCGAACCAGTTCTGTTCCAATTGTTGCAAACTGCTGCTGCTGCTGCTGCTGCTGAAGCAGCGCGCCCCCTGCAGAATGTTCCCCTTCGCGCTTGCACCATTGCCCCCAGCGCGGCACCCATGCTCGAGCCAGCCAGCGTAGGCGGCCGTCCGAGAGGCCCGTCGATCATGCATATGCGGGTGATCGTGTGGTGGCAGCTCCCATTCGACTGCCCTGCGAGCTCTAGCAACGCGCTTGCTTTTTCTCCTACTGGGTCGCTTGCCTCTATCTCGACGTCGTCTGTATCACTACATCGAGCACAGCAGGACTCCTTTTCCTCGTGCCTGCCACTCCGTTGAGCCGTGAGCCTAGCCACTCAACCCCGCGTGAAGGATGACGCTCGCGCCTCCCGCCTGCAGACGATCGCGGTTCGCTGTCACTGCAGCTCGGCCGCGAACGCTGCGTTGGCCGACATGGGCGAGGCTACATCCCGGCATCGACCTACGTGGTCGTCCTGGAAAAAGCAGTCGTCCGGGATGTCTCTTCTCAACCGTTTCGCCGTCATCAGCTCGCGTAGACATCTCGCATTGGAGATGGTGTGTGCCTGAACCACTCACCGACTCTCCCGTCTGATGCCCAACTGCAGAGCTTATTATGACGGTACCCTATAGACGACCTGTCCGTGCAGATGGGTCAACAGTGCAGATCAAGGCATCCACCTGCTGAGTTTGAAGGCCAGCTCATCGCGCAGCAGCCATTGATGAGGCGTGCCGTCTCAGCCTTGTCGAGTCCGACGGAACGGGAATCGCAACAATCGGTCACTAGGGAATGGTTCACGAACGGAAAAGTTGTTGACGAATGTGATGCTTTCATTACTGCCAGCCCCTACTAATGACCAAGTCAAGTCAGGACGCGGTCCATGGCCTTCCGATCCATGGTTGAATTCATTAGCGTTCAGGGGCCGAGCTATTAAGCCAACGCATATCAAGGCGGGCCACTTGCGACTGCACAATGATGCTTGAGCGTATCGTCAATAGACCCAACGCCCACAGCGTGGGGGTGCTGCTATGGGTTGACGATGAAGCGAGGTGGAAACCATCGAGCTGATGCTGTAGAGACTGCCACAGCCCTGCATCAAACTCTTTCGTATCTCGTGCCCAACAAAATGCCCGCAAGCGTAGTTGCGTCACCCGCCCTAAGCTTATGCGTACGTACGCCAGTGGACCTGTTCCACTGCTCCCGCTACTGGGGCTGCTGAACGACTTGGACGTTATTCTTCTTCTGTTAAGTGACGCAGTCAGCATGGCTCTTCGATGCAAGCTGATGTTCGACCATTCCATCGGGCTCTGGAGCTGAACATCTCTGTGGGCAACATAGCACGTGAACAAAACTCACTTTCCATTTCTCCATCTCCTCCTGTTTCGACTTGTACTGCTTGACGAGCTCTTCCAGTGCCTTCTTGAGCCCATCCGAGTTCGTCTGCAGAATCGGCACTACCTCCTTGACCGTGCGCTCAGTCAGAACGCCGTTGATCATGCGGAAGCATTTCCGGTCGCCTGGTAGCGGCTCTAATGTCTCCAAGACAAGCCTGCATAAATTAGTTCGCGAACTTGGGCGGAAAGGAATGAAGCGGTGAGCAGCGAAGGTTGGAGTGCAGCATCAGGTTGCCTGCTGCAAAGATGACTCGAGGAGAATAGCGGTGTGGGCGTAGGGGCAGAGTTTGCGAAACCAAACAAGTGTGGAAACAGGCGGGCGTACTTGTGCTCCTCAGTTTCCTGCTCGATATCGCCAATCTTTGAGGCGATTGTCTGGAGTGTGCTCTTGTAGTTTTGATATGTGGTTTGCAGATCTGATATCACGTTAATGTGTGATCACCTTGACCCCGGGTGCGATGAGAGCAACTCACCCTGCTGCTTCTTCAGCGTAGCTTGAGAAGCCATGTTTTTAGAAAATCGGTTCCTGCCGTGAATGTGTCGTTCTCGGCGGCGCTGCGGGGGAGTGGTGCGCTCTTACCTTTTTCGCGCACGGACCGCATTCACGAAATCCTGTGACTTCCGGATCCGACTATCTTCCACGCACCTCCAAGCTGTTCACGCCACGCCACGCCACCGAAAGCTCCCGCGCGCCGCCAGTTGTCAGCTCCTTGCAATCAGAGTCCTACTCAGCGGCCATGCATCCCCATCTCCACACCGAGGAGGTCCAGAAGGGTGCGCTTAGTTCCAAGCTGTAGCCATCTCAAGAGCTAACGCTCCCAGGTTGCGCCGATGTAGTCGCTGCCCTCGACGAATGCCACGCCCGCGGCTTCATGCACAAGGTCTTCGGCGGATGCACCGATGCGAAATACAAAGTCAACATGTGTTTGCGCGCACAACGGCTCGAGAAGACACGACTGAACCGCGAAGCGGCGAAGGAGAAGCGGGAGCACATCAAGAAAGTCTGGGCCGAGATTGACGCGAACTCGTAGTCGTGTGGTGTGAGAGAAAGGGACAGAACAGCATGCATTTCCTGGAGTTCGATTGGAGTTCACTCGTGATGGAGCTTTGTATATTATTGTGGAGTTGCGTGGGACAGCGGCACTGTCTATACCCACAGTGTAACAGGTAGCATGCACGAAAGAAGAAGCTTGAGATCAACCATCTGGTTGGTGGTATCAATCAACTATCTACTCTCCATCGGACGCACTCGATCCCGTGTCCATTGGCGTAGTTCCAACTGGTGTTGTCCCAAGACTGTCGAGGCCCCTCTCTGCAATCATCCTATTCCCGGCTGCGGGGTTCGAAGGCAGTGCCGGTAAGCCTTCCTCCTGTCGCAACTTCTCAAACTTCTCCGCAGTCTCTTGCAACTGTTGTTGGAGATAATGCTTTCGTTCCGCGACGCGGACCTTATCCTCCTTCAATTCTTCCAACTTCCTGCGAATCAGCTCCTGGCGCTGCTGCTTTGTGTCTATGTCCGATTGTAGGCTTGACAGAATGTCTCCGAGGTCTGGCAACGGTGTAATCCGCGGTGGAGTCCTTGCACCGTCCTCCTCGTCTAGGTCCTTCTGTCCGTACCTCCCGGAACGAGCTTGTGCTGCAGCAAACGCTGCGTTGCGCTCTTCTTCAGAGTCGTCCGAGCCATCGTCACCTGATCCACCTTCAGCATCGTTGATCAGATCAGCCATCTCGGCACGCCGTCTCCGCTGTGTTTCGCGCTCTGCTTTTCGTCCCATGGCTATCTTTCCGTCTTCAACAAAGTCGTCAAAGCCTTCTGCAATGTCTTCATCGTCACGAACGAGGCGAGTTTCACCCCACTTCTCCTTCGGTCGTAGAGAGATCTCGTTCTTGTGAGTGCGAAACTCGTCGTCATCATCCGAGGCCCATGGCCTGTCCTCATCCTCATCGTAGGCATTTTGCTCTTGAGCCAACCGTCTCCGCCTTGCTTTCTTCTCTAGGATCTCCGCCTGCGTAGGGATCGCAGATGTCACAGGATCCAGCGATATCGGAGCAGAAGAGCCAAACTTGGCAGCTATGTCAAGCGCTCGCTGCTCTTCCTCTTCTTCAGCTGACGGCTTGAGATCTTTCGGCTTAGAGGGTGTGGACTTCCGCAACTCAGCGAGATGGTCTGAATTATAGCTCGGTCGGGCTTCGTCTGTGACAGGTCGCGGCGCTTCCTGAACGAGCGGAGATCTTGCTCTGAGCTGTGCACTCCTTTCTTGCGCTATGCGGCTGAGATTAGACTTCTTTGGCGTGAAAACACCGGCATCGCTCGATTCGTCGCCATCATTTGCGTCTGAATCGCCGGGCCCGAAGGAGATGCGCAAGGACGAGCGCTTCTTGCTCTTCCCGAAAGTAGGTTTTCTGACTACAATGTCTACCCCGTGAGTTAGCACGGCTCGCCTACGAAGGTCAGAAACAGAAGCTTGCGATAGTGACGCGCAAAACGTACCTGGCTGGCTCTGCGCTTCGTTCTGTGAGCTGTTGGCGCTGTCTGCAGAACTGTCGTCGTATGCGCCAATCTTGCGCGCTACGCGTCCTGAGCCTGATCGCTTCATTGTTGTGGTTTGTGTGGTAGAAAAGCGAGGACTGTGAGGTTGAAGCGCGAAAGACCCAGTGACTTCACATTTGCCTAGCGTAGCACGCCAAGACCTTGAACTGCGGGATTGTTTTCGATCTGCGTATGTCGACAGCTTCCACCACGCGACAACACCAACGCAATAATTACACGAGGCTACTTCTCCGCGAGGCCCTGATCGAAAATAGGTACAGCGATACCTAGCACGCTTCCACCGACGCGACCGCGCGACCACACACCTACACCGTCGCATATCTCAAGATGCCTCAAGCCCAGCCAGAGCTCAAGAAGGTGGGACAAGCGTACTTCTCTTCCCATTGAAGATGCTGACTATTTACAGTACCTTGAAAAGCGCATTCTCGTGTCGCTGAACGGCAGCCGCAAAGTCCAGGGAACCCTCCGAGGATACGATGTCTACCTGAACGTTGTGTTGGACGAAGCTGTGGAGGAGAAGAAAGACGGCGGAAAGGAGAGGCTCGGCATGGTCGTCATTCGAGGAAACGCTGTTGTTATGCTCGAGGTCCGTACACTCGCGTCTCTATATCATCACAAACCCCACTGACCTAAGACAGGCGCTCGACCGCATCAACACAGACGACCACAGGGGTGGAGGAGGAAGGCATTGAGCGTGGTACATGACGGCGAAGCGGTCCATAATATCCACCGGTTGAGGTCTAGGAATGAAGGGACGATTGATCGGCGTTTAGGGAAAAGCTTGTGGGTATGTACCCAGTTACTTCTTCACATCGAACCCCTCCGGGCCCGGTACATGTGTTGACAGAGCCAAGCTACAGGTCGACAAGCACATGATACCATTTTGCACTTCGCAACTCATGAATAAGACTGAACGTCTCCTATGGTACAGATTCGTGAGTGATAACATATCTATGTATACCGAGGAACAGCGTGATGAATTGGAAGCCACAACTTGGACCCCTTGACCTGGGGGCTCGGCAGCCCACTCTTGAGCAGAAATCGCGATGGGAAATACATCCCTTGTATGCATAATCCTGAACAGCGAATGCAGGCAGAGTTCCCATCTGGACGAGGACTGCTGGATACGATCTTCCCACCACCGCCTTCAGCCTCTTTGTGTACCACGGCGACTGACACAAAATCAGCGAGTATTAGCGCACCTAATACTGTATAAACTCACTCCGTGACATGTTTGTAAACTCAGCGTGGATGCTCACAGTAGCTTCAGTCCCAAGAATTCCTTTCTTCATCTTTGGCCACTGTGGACAGCCTCATCGTTCACATGTCGTCCATCTTGATCATTATCTTGGTCGTCCTTATCTACAGAAAGGTTTGCCAGCGCCAGTGTAACTCGTGGACACGACTTGCTTTTCAGAGCGCCGAGATGTGAGAAGCCTAGTACCCACCCAGCCTGTCGGGCTCTCGGTGGTGTGACACTCCTCGCACTCCCGCTCGGTATAGCTGAGATCGATTAGGCTCCGCAACGGGAAGAATTGAAATCATCAGAGGGGCTATCTTTGCGTTTTGATTGTGGCGCTTTTCGAGACGCCAGTCGTTCGCAGTGTGCAGCCAGAGTACCAAGCGGGAGTGTTTAGGGTCTTCACATAGAGCAGTCGGCGCTCCCTGCTGAGTAACGGAGGCCAGCTCTGCGAGACGGAAGTGTCCAAAATCATTCTGGAGCCGACTGGTGAACGTTTTGGGGTTGTAGCGAACTCCCCAACTTGCTGGCATGCTCATAGGCAAGTGAAAGTCAACGTTCACGCAGGTATGCATGACATCGTCCCACAATCCATTGTTAGTGGATGAAGTGTCGAACCCAACTGTTAAGAGCAAAACCAATGTCGATTATAATGTCTTGAGCATCGGTGAGAACATCGGCAACCAATCGACACGTGGAAAATAGGAGAAGAATACTCTCCTGTTTCAATGTGTGATCAAGCAGAAAGTCAACAGTCGTGGGAGAGAACTTGATCTCATCTCCGTAGAAGAGATCATACAGCTTGAGCGGATTCCAGGCAGGCATAGGCTGTTGTGTTGGATATGAAGGAGTAGCAAATGCGTGGATTGACACAGTGTCTGAGCGTCGCAAAGACCTAACGAGTACCGTCTGTGCGAGGGCCGTGACTAGAGTGTCCCTGTTGGGTCCGATAAGTTCTAGAACTGGCTGCTGTAGATGCTAGCCCAGGAGAGATCTGGTCGGAGAATCTGGGAGAGGGTGCGGGACATAGGCGCCTGGTACCGCTTGACGTTTTGGTGAGTAAAAAACTGCAGGATATCTCAGGATTCACATACCGGAGTTGGGCACGCGCCAGACATAACATGGCCATTGTCAAGCGGTCTGTTGAGAAGCAGCGAATACGCCTACATTGGCAGTATATGTAATCCTCGGGCAGAATTCATGAGTACCGTGACTGAGGGTCGCACAAATCTGTCTGTTTCTGTTGACCTTAATTGTTACGTACAGTCCGAATCACCATAGGGGTAAGAAAAAAAAGAGCAGTAGAGTTAGAACGAATTTATATAATACTACAGCTTTGCTCTCTGATGTGACCTCTTGTATTCCTGCACCAGATCCCACGCGGCCTCGGCAAACGGCTTCATCAATGAGCCGTACTCATGAGCCTGTGCACTACTCGCCTGGCGTAGCGCATATCGCGCCGCAATGCCCTGCATGATAATTGCTGACCTGTACGTCGAGAAGGCATGTCCCCAGGTCAAATCCGATCTGGGGTCCCAGCCAGCAACTTCCGAGTACCACGCTACGAGCTGGTCCTCTGAGGGTAAACCCGAGGTCTTGCCAGGTAGGAATGCCTCGTTGGCGCGGCTACCTAGTGACTTCTTCTTATCGGCCCACAGATATGGGGCGAAGAGATTGTTCAAGTCGCTCAAAGGATGGCCTATCGTTGACATTTCCCAGTCGAGGATACCAATGACTCTAGGCTCGGTCTTGTGAAACACTACGTTGTCAATCTTGTAGTCACCGTGTACGAAGCTACTTCTGTCCTTGGGCTGTGTCTTTGGGTCGCTGAAGAAAGCTACCATATCGTCCTGATGCGGAATCTTGCCGACTGGTATGCCTGTCTCCTTGTCCTTTGCCTCTGCTTGTGATTTGGAGATAGTATTGAAAGTAGTTATTTGACGGTTGTAGAACCCAGATGGTTTGCCATAATTCTCGAGGCCAACGTCTTTGGGAACAACGCGATGAAACTTGGCCAGAGTGGTGACTGCGGAGTGCCACCTGGAATGCGGATCAGTATATCTCATTGCCAGGAAACAATGAATGTGGCCTACATCTTCGAGCGCTCCTCGGGTGTGACGCCAGGGATCGATGGGTCCTCAAAGATGCGACCATCGAGGAATTCCATGATGTAGAAATCCGACCCTATGACTTTCTCATCTTGGCACAAAGCGTAAGCTTTAGGTACGGGGACATCGGTCTTCTCTAAGGCGTGGATGATGCGATACTCGCGGTCGACTTTATGCGCTGTCTACTTTCTTTAGCCTGTACGTCTTTACTTCTTTCTGGCTGTCCATACCTTGGAAAGCAGCGTCCCCGGCGGCTTCTTTCGCATGACATACTTCTTGCCGTTCTTGTCGGTCAATTGGTACGTAGGGTTGCTCTGGCCGTATCCGAACTGCTTTACTTCGATTGGGACCGCGATTTCCGGGACATTGGACGAGATGTAGGACTCGAGGGAGGCGATGTCTATGGGTTGTCGTACTGCGCCAGCCATTTTGTAGATATTGTGGGGAATCCGGGGTAGGAATCCGGAGGATGAGGCATGGTTCTTGTGTTTTGTAGGCGCGTAAGATGGGGAGCGGCAATCGTTAGCAGACCTCCGAGCCGAGGCAAAGGCGGAGGGGTCGCCCTTGCCGAGTCGGGAGAGCTGCGGGTGGGCCTCTCGTTTTGGAGCCTGAATTTGACACCATTTATTGGGTTAAGTGGACATGAACCGAGTCTGTTCAGACTATTTCATTGCTCCAGTTCCTGTTGTTGGGCCTGTGTCCACGCTGGATGACAGACAGATTGGAATTTCCATAGCGGGTTCTTATTCGTGAACATTTACGATGGATAATGAAGTCAATGTTTTATACACGTATTGCAGAGGCAGCTATTACAGGAGCAGGCTTGCGCAAGAGTTTCACTGTTTGTGACAGTATTGTGATCTGGAGTTGTTCTCTTTCGCACAGTCGCCCCCTCTGATGAATCGCGCGCCCAACCATGGTAGTCGCTTTGAGCCCCAGAGAACTTACTCATCGACAAAGCCAAATGGTAGGACAAGCTTCCATTGAACGTTCACGTGAGGACGCGTTTCGGGCAGGATGATAGCACGTCGTGGGGTTCGCATGACCCTTAGCATGTCCATTCCCACTGATCAAGGAGCGACCTCGGGATGCACGAAACAATCAAGACTGCTTCTGAGACATTGCCATCTCGGCTGTGTCACTGTCCTCAGTCAACCACCCTTATCAAGTCAGAGTCTTACAGAGTTGCGGGTAACCCCTCGCAACGGTGGTTAAGTCTAGTGTGCGGTAGCACGGCGCTGCCAGTAACCGTCTTGACCTGGGCCCACACAAACTATGGGAACTAAGGTTGCAGCCGCATTTCCAAGATGTTGCTGCAAAATATCTCTTCACATCCATGCAGGATAGATCAATACTGACTCCATTCCGTTGCGAGAAACGCTATCTGTGAGGCGAGGGTGATGCACCGGAGATTGCTTTCGAAAGCAGACGCTGGATCAATGGGCGCACACTGACCCTCGCAGACTATGTTGGAATGTTGCACGAGTTTAGCAACGTGAGGTGGTCCTGCGAGCCAGACTCTGTCCTCGACCGGTACACATCGGTCTGACACTAATCAAGGCCGATCTCTTTGGGTGGTGGCCATGTTCGCATGGGCCGGTTCGCATGGGCCGTGGGGCAGGCCCCTGTGGTGGCGCACCGGAACCGCTCCTTGTCAACAAACATTACACTCCCGGTGCTACTCACCTGGGCTGCCAGGATGAGCCTCCAAACGACGCCCCGAAGGCTTGCGCCGCCTCGGTCCTCCCATACGCTCACAAGTGTTGCGTCTTCCCCCGCCCTGTCGCTCTCGCAGTCGCAGTCTACAGCAGTAGCGCGTAAGGCCAGTCTGAACGCTCTTGTTGGCAAACCTACCACCCCCACCAGCACCATGGGCGCCGACAGCTCCGAACTCGAGGTTGGCGACTTGGTGGACGTGCCGGGAGCCATGACTGGCGTTGTCAAATTCGTCGGCAGCGTGCGCGGCAAGCCTGGTGTGTTCGCTGGTGTTGAGCTCAGCAGACAGTTTGCAACGCGCGGGAAGAACGATGGCGATGTCGAGGGGTATGTGAGCCCAACATTAACAGCGCATAGATTCTGACTGGCATACAGCACGAGCTACTTCCGAACCTCAGTGCCTGGCTCTGGGATATTCTTACCGATACATCGAGCGAAGAAACGAGCGACTTCCGGCTCTGACCTGTCCCCAACTCCCACCACTCCGTCGTATGGCAGCAAGTTCAGCGCGTCGGCACGCGAAAGGCCAAACTTCAGCGCCTCGATGCGCGGAAAACCAGACTTCAGCGCCTCGACTCGTCAACGACCAGAGCATAGTCCCGAGACGCCCTCGATACCCAAATTCTCTCAGTCTCTAGGTCCGGGTGCCCGCGCGCCCAGCCCGCAGTTCAAACAACCTGGCAGACCCTCACTGCCGCGCCCAGAGTCGCCGTTCCGCAAGCAGCCCAATCTTGCGCCTACACCCAGTAGAGCTGGCTCCATCACGCCATCGGGTTTCTCTAAGAGCGCTATCGGTCCACCAAGGTTCAATAGCCCTGGGCCCAGGACCGCTGCGTTTCAAAAGCCACGGACGCCAGGTCCACCTCGACCTTATTCCCGCAACAACTCACGCTTAGGCCATCATGATATAATCGACGAGGATGCAGAGACTACACCCACAGCCAACAGAGTCAGCAACTCAACAGCAAGCTCCAAGGGCCGACGGCCTGGCTCGAGTCAATCCGACGAGGAGGTGACGCGTCTGAGCAAACTCCTTGAGGAACGCGACAAGCAACTGAAAGAACAAGCCGCATCGCTTGCAGAGATGGAGTCCAGTCTGGCTGAGATTCAAAGCATGCTACCTGAAGATGGCATGAGTTTTGGGTCATCGAGAAACAGTGGAGAGGAATCGGGCGATGTGACACAGTTGCGGTCCCTACTTCGCGAAAAGAACGAGAAGATTGCCATGCTCACAGCCGAATTCGATGCGCATCGAGCTGATTTCCGCAGTACCATTGATACACTTGAGATGGCCAGTACCGAGACCGAACGCGTGTACGAACGGAAAGTGGAAGAGTTGCAAGAAGAGCTACGAGAACTGCACTCGAGAGGCGAAGATGTTGCAACGGTTGCTATGCAATTGAAGCAACTCGAAGAACTTGTGCAAGAGCTTGAGGAAGGCTTAGAGGATGCTAGGAGAGGCGAAGCTGAAGCTCGTGGCGAAGTTGAGTTTCTCCGCGGTGAGGTCGAGCGTGGCCGATCCGAGTTGCGCCGAGAACGGGAAAAGGCCGCAGCGGCCTTGAAGGGTGCGGGTGCCATGGTGGATAGCCCTGCGACCCCTGGAACACGAGATCTGGAGCAGCGAGACGACGAGATACGTGGTCTGAAGGCTATCATACACTCCTTGAGCTCTGGTCCGGCTGAGGAACAAAAGCGGTCTCCTTTATCACGTCAAGGATCATCCGTCAATCCTGAAGAACTTCGAAGCGCAAATGCAAGAGTGGAGACAGTGGAGCGCGAGAAGGAGGAGCTTCGTGGGCTTGTCGAGCGCAAAGCGTTCAGGGAAGAGGAGCTGGAACGGGAGATTGAGCGACTCAAGGAGCAACTCAGTGCCAATGCCCAACGCGAGAGTATCGTTAGCAATGGCCTTTCGGAGCATACAGCGAAGGATGAGAAGCGATCGTCTGGACGAGATTCAAAAGGCACCGTGGTGAGCTGGAGAGGCTCACCACAAGCCACTCGCCGCGATGCTCCGCCAGCACTCGAGCCCATGACTGAGTCAGCCGACGGCCTCTCGTCTGTTGATGGCGACAACATGTGGTGCGGCTTCTGCGAGGAGAGCGGCCACGACATCCTCAACTGCCCTGCTATGGGCGGCTCTGAAGTCCCCAAGCCCCTCGCCGGCGCTCGAAACGGCAAAGACGCAGTCATCGAGGGCCTACGAAATCTATCCGTATCGTCTGACCGACAGCGCTCCTCAGCAGTAACCCCGACCAAAGTGCCTGGCAATGCGCCAAGTGGCGACCTACCTCCGCCGCCGCCTCTTTTCACCGCGAGCTCGCCCTCGCCAGGCGTCAGTCTTGTTCCTCCCAAGGGTGAATCCGCACCTGATCCGGATAAGTGGTGTGCTCTCTGCGAAAGCGAGGGCCACGATGTCACGGCCTGTCCTAATGAAGATGCGTTTTAGGGGACGCTTTAGCGTAGCTGTAGCCCTTGTCGTCCTTCTTTTGCATGATATCCACGCAGGTTTTGAGCTAGGTTCTTTGGGGCACGACACTTACATACGCTGTAATAACATCGCTATTATCCATCATTGCGCGTGTAGTCTAGCTAGATGCCGAGGCTTTTTGCATCCTTATGTGTATCACGAAAGCTTATAATCCGTAACACGATTGAGTTTGAAGGAACTTGAGATGATGCCTTGGTTGCGCTTGTCCGAGCCTCTGCGGCCGAACTGCGACGAGCAAGTAATAACAATACACAATCACTAACAGTACTCGTATCCAGGACTCATCCAACCAAGTGAAACGACATCTCCCGACAAATAGCATGTACTACTACTAAAAGGATATCAACAGCTCGTGACAAGCGTCAAGAAAGAGACTATTCAGAAAACCCCACCCAAACCAAGGGCCCAAAGTGTATCCCGTGAAGACCTGCCCCAGCTCTTGGGGCGGTCCCAGCCTTACCGACTAGCCAGTCATGTTTCCTCCCAATCGTATGAAGCATCGTTGAACGCCAGGCCATGCAAATATACAAGCTGAAGCAAAGAGAAAGAAACGAGAAAAGAAAGAGCATAGAACCCAACTAGGTTCTATACGCATCGAAGTCAAAGTCGTCACTGGGCGGCTGCTGTGCCTGCGTCGCATACATCAACGACGCATTGTACATCGAGGCAGCAGCATCTGGCTCGTTCATGTTCACGGTGTTGTATGCCGCAAAGTCAACATACGCGTGCGGTTCTATCGACGCCATTGATACGTCGGTCGTGTACGTGAGCTCCGTGTCGTACGGAGGAGCGTCAACGTCGTGTTCGGTAGTGCTCTCGGACTCGCTCGCAGGCGACGAGTGGCTGCTCTTAGGACTCTTTGCCTTGTTGCTATTCGCGACCTCGATCTCGCGGATCCAATGCTGCTTAAGGAAGTCCATGGGCGGGTGGTCTCCGCCGCCGATGCCGCCGCGCTTCTCGTCGTTCTTGCCCTTTCGGCCGCGCTTGCGCGGGTGGAAGTGCGCGCGGCGTAGGTGTGCGGCGGCGTTGTAGTACGCGCCGTAGACCTTCTCGTTGCGGCAGTGCTTGCAGCCGCTGAGAAAGTTCTTGTCGAAGGCGGGCGCGACGCAGATGAAGCCCTTGCGGACGGCCGTGTGAGCACGTGCAACGTGACGGTCGAGCTCGTGCGTGCCACGGAAGCCCTCAGGCCGCTCGCTGCAGTGCGGGCACAAGATCTTAGGGTGCTGCGGGCGGACGTACGGTGCTTTGCTGATGACTCCGACATGGCGCGAGGATCCGTCTTCAGACTGAATCCGCATCATCTGAACATTGGGTGATGCGGACTTTGTCTGGGGAGCGCTGGGAGCGGTCTTGGGCGCGATCCTGCAGCTGCCAGCTTGCGCGATGATTTCGCGTTCGCGACGGACGTGGCGGGTGTGGAAGCGGTTGGGCGACGCAGAACCGTAGCTTGCACCACTCTCGCTTGCCGACGTTGAAGACGCTGAAGCCGACCTCCGCATATCCTCCACCAGGCACGGCTCATTCTCTTGATGTTGGGCAAGTGCGTGAAAACTTGCCGAAGAAACAGGCGCGACAGGAGAAAGGAAAGAGGTTTCACTGGGCATGCCAGTGAAACCGGTAGAAGATAGGAAATGAAGGTTATCAGCGTGATCGCTGATACCCTTCTGTACATGATTGACATCTGATGGAAAAGAAATAGACCCATCTTCAGGGAGGATGGGGTACATTTGAGAATCTGAACGCAGCATTGAAAAGTCATCAGCAAATTGAGGATTGAAGCTACTCTGACGGCTCATTGAATTACTTGATAGAGTAATCGGCGTCATAAGAGCAGTCGATGGTGTGCTAGGTGATGTGGAAACGTCTAATGCCGGCATCCACTGGTTGTTGGGTGTTAGTTGCAACTGGGGTTGGTGTTGGGGCTGGGAAAGGGGAAGGTGGGCATTGTCTGAGGTCTCGATGAAGTTGACATAGTCATCTGGTGAGTACTCAACCGTGCTGTCATTGGTGAAATTCGTCTCGTTGATGGGCTCGAGTGCTTGTTGTGTTGACATTGATGCATCAGAGAACACATATGCGTTGGAATGGTCGTCAAATGATGACTGCCAGTTGGACATGTTTGAGCTGGATCGCTGGAGGCTGTTGTCGGCTGAGAGGGACATGGAGTGTTCCATGGCTGGGGCAGATGGGGACTGAACGCGGCCCACGTGCCCGTAGCTGTTGACCTAGGCTTTCGTCAACAGGGAAGCGTAAACCAAAGAATAAGACTCATACGAGTAGTTGCGTCATGTTGGCAGCTGAACTTGACATTGAGCGCGGGACATGTTGTGCTTGAGAGTGCTGTTGAGGGCTGCTGGGCAGGGTGGCGACATGCTGCAGCCACAGCTGCTGGCGGTGCTGCTCTGAGAGATGAGAGTACTCATTGCAAAATGCTTGTTTGAGTTGGTCGATACTACTCGAGAAAGAGGCCGTAGCCATGGTGTGTGGTGTGGGTTGGTGTTGAGAATGCGAGGCGTCGAAGCAAATTGCAGTTGGCGATGATCAGTGCCACGGAACTGTCTATGCAAGAGATGTTTAGAATGTGATGTGCGTTGAGAGCAGTGATGGACGCGAATGGGTGGTTTCAAAATAGCAAGGCGATCGCAAGTGAGGGAATGCGAAGGATGGGAAGATGGGGGCTTTTAGAACGGCAGACGAGCGCGACCCGCAGTCGATGCGCTGGCTCGTGTCGGAGAGGACGTCTGACGAGCGCCCGGAAAGCGGGTCTATCGAGGAGGGCACGGCCAAGGAATACCAGGCCGAACAGGGCAACCCAGCTGTGATCACTCGTACTGCGACAGGGGTGCCATTGGCCGCAAGACCGCCAGCACAGCGCAGATTCGTCGCCCCGAATTGTATCGTGGAAGGATCGGCGTTATTGCGTTCCAGGAGGGCGTCGTTTCCTGCGGGCCGACCATTTGAGAGGCTACTGGCATCATCGCGGCAGCACATCCATCCTCCACACGCATCCGGCCGGTCTCGCCCAGCCTTCGACCTCACCACGACAGGGCAGACAAAGAGCTGCGCCCACAAGGGCAACATGTTGGATGCCCGTCGGCCGATGCGCCTGCAACGCCCTGTGGCGCAACTGACCAACGACGTCCTCTCGCAAGGGGCTTCGTCACCGGTAGGCCACACGAGAATGCGAGCACCACCAGCCTACCTGTCAGTGAACGTCCCGCGATTTCCACGATGGGTGCCCCCTGGTCCGGCCTCTTCATCAGGCGTTCCTCATTCGCCATCCGATGTCGTGTCGAGGCCTCTTCCGATGATCGTCACGCACTGGCTTGTCACTACTCGAAGCAACATGCAATTTGCTCTTTTCGTATTTCAAAAGTCTCAATTTCCTGTCTCGAGCTATTTCAAAACCGCCGTTTGCAACGCGCGGTCGTGCTGTGTTGTCAACGATGTCATGCTGTCACCTAGGTCCTTGCCGGTAATGACAGCTCTCACCATCTCAACCAGATTTTCTACTAGGTTTTAACAGCTGTCGCAGCAGAGGCTTGCGACGGCCCGCTGTTCCAGAAGCTGTTGCTTGTACTTCGTCGTCTCGCAATACCTTTTGAGACCGAAATATCCCCTCAAAAGTGGTCGCAATGCCACCCGAGCGCGGCAAAGGAATCGGTGGCGGAAGCACAGCAGGCGTACCCTTTCGTGCGCTCTTCGCGCTTGTACCTGAGCCCCAATGACTGTGCGTTGTATTGCGCAACCAATACCTGTCCAAGCAGGCATCTGAGGCCTCAGTTGCAACCCCGAATATCTCAAAGTACATCGTAATGCTATCCAGCACGACCAAATCGGAGAATCGTTTGGCTTGCGGGACAGTTCCATCGTCAAAGTGCTCCAAATTTGCCACTGAGTTCCTTCTGGGTGTTACAGAGATTTTCTCTTCTAGTTGAATCGGTCCCGGGATGTACACTGGTTTTCTTTCTTGTGGTGCCGGGGTCCTGTTCCGCGGAGGGTTTTCCACCACCATCGACCTCCTCCATGGCACACACTGCGCAACTGGACTTAGTGGCAACGAAAAGTGCTTCGTTCTCGTAGAAAGAGTGCCACTTCTCGACGAGGCAGTACTTCTCAGTGAGCTGGATGGCGAAGTTCTCGTTGGAAATATCGCCTTCCTTTGGGGTGAGGAACATCTTGGGGGTGTACCAATTTCCAAAGGAGTGGCACTACTCGAAGTCGTACACCTTTGAATTGTAGAGCTGCCCCCAGGACTCGGTGGAGTCTTAGTCCTCACGCTCGCTGGCCCGCTATAGAATACGTTCGGCGTATTCACGATCGATGATGCTGATGTCAAAAACAGTTCTCTTGGCTCAATGTTGTCGAAATTTATCTTTATCCTCTTGATGTTTTTCATCCTCATAGTCTCCTTTACTCGATCTCTCCCCGAAAAGGAAGGCTTCAAGTCTGGAGGGAGCTCAAACGCCTTTGGTGGCGACGACATCCTCTGGATGAGAGGCTTAGTCTTCAGTCCCATCGTCCCCCCCGAATTTCTTTTACTTTCTCGCTTACTGATGACCGACCTCGTTGTTGGTTTCCCAAGTTTTGACATCTTTATAGTCGTTAAAGGAAGCGTGTTCGATTGTCTACGTCGATTCCTACTGCCGGACCTCGAGAATGCGTGTGCCGTGGTTGAACTTACGGCTCGTCTAGGAGGCTGCGGCGTGAACTGTGGTTGAGAAGGGGGAAATATCTGCAATGTTCCGGATGGTGCCGTGTTCGCATAACGTCTCAGTTTTGGTCTCTCGACCACGGGTGTGATAGTGATTTCGCTGCTTTGACGGTTGCGGTTGGAGAACATCGTGAATGTAGACATCCCGGGAGGGGTTACCATCATCGCCGAACTTCCCGATTGTGGTGTTAACGTTGGTGTGTCATCGTTGTCATTGATCGTATCTATAACGAGTGATCGCATGTCTTCCATAAAAATTTTGTCGTTCATATACTCGTCCACAGAAGTGTGCGGTACTCCAGAACCATTGGGGGTTGTGATCTCGTATCGAAAAGTCATCTTGACCAATTTACTTTTACGGAACTGAGCTCGGTGTCACTTCGAAGATGAGATGCGCGTGGGTATTCTTATCTCCGTATGCCTTTGTCTCACACATGGTGCGGCTCTAGAAGTCCTCAACTCCAGCCATCTGGAACAAAGGGGGCATGGCCTTCTTCGCTCACATGTGCTTCTTGCAACCTCCCGTCATCCCCTAATCAGATCAGTCAAACGTCTGCTACGTGACCGAAGTTTGCGCCGTCAGAGGACTGGTTCGGGAAGAAGTACTCGGTCCTATGACCGAAAGCCTTGAGATAAAATTGCCTAATATCTCAGTCCTAATTTCACCCAGTTTCTCATAAATCTTCATCATTCGTCGGACTTCGAGCTGACTGTGGCTACGCAAGCCCGCATACAACGCAACACTTCCAACGCCATAGCTACGGCTACGTCCTAGCATGACATAAAGATAAGCACAGTCATATGTATAGCGTTCTAAAAAGTGCTACACACCTTCCAACACAGTAAGCCATCGGTATACCGAAAGCTAGTAACCGCATCCGAAACCCGGTCCGGTCCGGTCCCCTTCAGCAACACCATAGCCATGCCTTTCCTTTCCAGCTCCCAAGATTGCTACCATTCTGGTACGTTTTGGATGGTGTAGAGCCGTCGGGCTGTTTCCCACAGTCACTGGCCCCACAGCTTGGGCGGGTAAGCGCCAATTCCTGTGCCCCGCGGGCTACCCCTCTCTGTACTTGACCAACTGAACGCGTAATGCACGTCATCCGATCGCATTGTTGCGCCCGCCCTCCGCTTCCAATGAAGTTGAGGTACGTACCACTAATATTAGGTGGGGTATGTCCCAGGAGCGCACCTGGAATTACGTAGAGAGGAGTCGCATCATGCTAGATAAATATTGAGCCCCACGCCACGATGCTGTACGATATTTTGGCATTTTCCACAATTGAGATTCAGCATGGCTTCGGTTGATCTAGTAAACCAGGCTCCGGCTGTATGTTTTATGTATTATACCTGAATTAGGTCAACGTGATGCTTACATGAATAGGGCACTAAACTATGGGTTCGACATGTCTCCTAAATTCTCAACGACCATCATTTAACGGTGCCACCAGATATTGCACGTAGGAAACCTCGAGGCTGATGAGGGTTGGTTCAAGCGCGCCGTACATCCCCCCCCTCCTACTGCGCGCGCTTTATTGAATAATTGGTCAGGGCAACACTTCCACCCTCTCAAGCAAAAACCCAGAGAGCCAGCGCCGGAAGCTGATCATGCTGTCAATCCTCATAGAGCATCCTACCGAGGGCCTCATCCTCTATGAAACAGGGGCTGGAGATGTAAAAGTCCCTATCCCGTACTCCAAAACATGTACTGAATATGTAGGACTACCCTGAAGTGGTAGGGTCTCCCATCAATGACATCTTTGCCCGCGTGGACCACGACAAATCCATGGAACTCTCTGCGCAAATCAAAAAGACCGGGCACGATATAAAAGACATCAAAGCTGTAATCATCGGCCATCTCCACCTCGACCACGCAGGCGGTCTTGAGCCCTTCCGCAATACTGGCATCCCCATGTAAGACGAGCCCACGAACTCCACTGATACCAAATTAGCATGTGTCTGGATGCTAAGCCACACCCAGCTACGCCCACGAACTCGAACTAAAGTACGCCTTTTACGCTGTAGCCACAAAGTCAGACCTGGGCGTCTACCTCCCGCACTACCTCACTTTCGACCTTAATTGGGTGCCCTTTCACGGCTCCTTCCTCGAAATCGCACCTGGTATCAACCTGCACCACTCGCCGGGCCACACGCCAGGATTGTCCGTCATGCAGGTCAACCTGAAAGAGAGCGGCACCTGGATATTCACCAGCGACCAGTATCATGTGAAGGAGAATTATCAAGACGACGTGCCGCAGGGCTGGCTGGCCAGGGACCATGAGAGTTGGTGCAGGAGTCATCAGATGATCAAGGGATTGGCGAAGAGGACGAAAGGAAAGGTGGTGTTAGGTCATTGCTGGGATACGATTAAGGACCTGGGGTTGGAGTTTGCACCGAATGCTTACGAGTGAGGACGCAATACAAATGTGATGATTAAAGACGTTGGAGTCAATCATAATCTGGATTTCGTGATGCTGTCGTGTTCTAATGTGTACATGCTATATTACGTATTAGGCCTTCCAGCCCACTGAGAAAATGCAAGAGCACCTACTTGCTCTCCTTCTCCCCCACAGTGTTCAAGAACGCCTGGTGTACATGCTCGGTCAAGTCGCCAGCTTGTAGACTCCTGCCTTTCTCCGCGAAGGCCAATCTCGAGCACTCCCTTGTGATGGCTGAGCCTCCATACGCCGCCAATGCGAGCGTCTCAGCCGCATCCAGACTGCCGTCATGCTCCCAGATCTTGTCGAGGTACGCCTTCCTGTACGCCAACAGCGTCGCCAAGCTGCCCGTCAACGTGTCACCCTGTCCACCAGAGCGCTTCAGGCCACCCTCACCCTCAGACACCAGCGTCTGTGTCCCGTTCGAAATGTAGTCCTTCGCGCCCTTCTGGATGATCGTAACGCCGCCAAATGCCTTCGCTAATTTCGAGCACTGCTCAGTCGGGTCCAGCTCATCAACTTTCAAGCCTTTTGCCTTCGCCAGGCGACCGAACTCTACAACGTTGGGCGTGAGTATACACTCTGTGTAGCCCTGCACTAGCTCTGGCTGTGTCTGTGCGAGATACAAACCGTCCGCATCAAGCACAAATGGTATTCCCCGCTTCCGTGCCTCTTGAATGACCTTCGCGCATGTATCCTGCATAAGCTTGTCGCGGCCGAGACCGGGTCCGATGACGACGACGTGGAGCCGTGAGAGCATGCCGACGACTTCGGAGGAGACGCTGTCGATGGACTCAGAGGAGGCGAGGTTCTTGGACTGCCGCATGTAGGGGTGGACCATAAGGTTAGGGGAGTAGGTCTTGATGACGGCGCCAGCGCCGGGCTCGCATATTACGTGGGACTGGTTACGTGGTTAGAGGGGTCGTTGTGAGTTCGTGAGACCATGGAGAAGTACCATGTCGCAACCTAGCTTAGCAGATGCCATTGCGGAGAAGTAGGGCGCCCCGGTGTAGTCTTCACTGCCGCCAATAACTGCTACGCGACCTAATTGACCTAGAGGATAGTTAATATCGCGGCTAGACGCAGATATCTGAGAAACGTACCTTTGTGGAAGCTCTCGAGCATGGGAGGAATCATCTTGTAGACCTTGCCCAAGAGCTCTTTTCTGGATGCGCCTGCCATGTTGGAGGTGGTATGAGCTTTAGAATGCGGAGCTAAAGTATCGAATGAATTTTCTAGAGTTTAGATGTATTGTTTTGCAGGGTTGTGGTTTTGATGGTCGTGTTTTTTGTTCTGAAGCTCCCGATTCGGTGAGGTCATACCGTGGTCATATGGAAATTGCGGGGACCAGCCACAGCGCCACGACTTTACATAGCGATGACATGGAGACCATACATTTGTTAGATTGTACGTTTTCTCTGCATGCCACTCTATCGATCTTAACGATGAACATAATTGTGTGCCGTAGCATATTCAAGGATAGCTCAATCGCTCGTGCTTGTCTACTGCTGGGAGCACGTAATGTGGGGCCTCGAAGTAGCAAGATTGTGCTGCGTGAATTCAAACTATATTGCAAGGGTATCATATGTTTGCTCACACGAGCTCTCCACCTCTCCAACGACGCACATGTCCAGGACCGTGCCGAACAGCAATTCCCTTATCGTTCTGCGCGAGTTGTCTGTGCATCCCTGACTAACTCGCCTGTGACAGGATTGAGCCAGTCCCCACTCGCTTGCCACACCTCTAATGCGTTTCGCGGACCTGCCTGCTCTTCAGTGCTTATGCGGCCCTCTCCGTCCCTCATCCACACGTCCTCTTCACTGAATGGTCTATCACCCTCATGAATCACCATAGCCTCCCTCCGCCGCCTCCTAAGATCTCTCTCTTCAAGGTCACCATTCAAGGCAGCCCTCGTCGAACCTTCCCCTCCCCTCAACCATTCCCTTCTCGCGCCCAGTCGGTGCGCCTGCGGCGTAGCAGGCATAGGCGGCGGCACTCCATACTGATGACCCACATAGCCGTAATCCTCAAGCAGACTGAACGCTAGATACGCCGCGTGTTTGCGCTCCTCGTTCCGCGAGTTCGCATCGCGAATTAGGTGCTTGTATGCGGAAGGATGCGCGATGAAGCGGTCGAGCAGTATCTTGGTGGCTGCCTTGCGTATCTCTACGTTTTCGCATGTAGCGAGCGTTGCGAGAGAAGAAGACTTGATGGCATCCTCGGTGCGGAGCGGAGGGATCGGAGGCAGTGATTTGTGGACTTCGGTCAGAGTGACAATGCGCCTGAGGCCGTGGGCTACGCCCTTGACTGCGAAGAAGGTGAAGATGCCTGGTGGTGATTAGATGGGTCCCTGCGATGATGCGGGGGCAAAGTACCGAGCCCCAGCCAGAGCCAGCGATCCTCTATGTGATGCGCCATATTGTGTACGCGCTCATTGTGTGCGATGCATAAGTTGACTTATTCAAGCGCGTCGCAACGCGGTGATGTCGACTGTTGCGACGGGTGGACCCGCTTGCAACTAAAAAGGGAAGGCGGTGTATGCACGCCAAGATTTCGCCCATGAAATTTACGCGGAGCATATCGCAAAGTTCACAAGACACGAAGAATCGCACCTGCTCGTCGTGACGAAGCCGTCAAAGGACCCCAAGCCCTTCCGCCATGCCGCCCTCGCAGCTCAAGCGGCTGAAGGCCTCACTTCGCGAACAAGGTCTCACTGGACCGCAAAAGTCCAAAAAGCAGAAAAAAGCACAGCCCAAGAACGCCGACCAAGCAGCCAAAAAGGCCGCCGCGCTCGCAGCCCTTCGGGAGTCTTTCAATCCCTTCGATGTAAAACATCTCTCACGCCCGAAGAAGCACGAATACGTCTCGAACAACCCACAAGATGCAAAGACCAAGGTCCTGGGTCGGCCGGGTGTTACCAAGAGCCAGGGCGAAGAGACACGTAGGAAGACCCTGTTGCCGGAGATGAGTAAAAGAAACAAGATGGGCGGCATTATGGATCGCAGAATTGGTGAGGACGATCTTACCATGAGTCTGGAAGACAAGATGATGGCGAGATTCGAGAGAGAGCAACAGAGGACGCGAGGCGGAAATAATTTCGATTTGGAAGACGATGGCGACGATGTTGAGCTCACCCACGCGGGCAAATCGTTGCGATTCGACGAGGGCGACCTTGGGAAAGAAGACTACGATGCTGCGAGTGTGAGCGGCGGTTCAAGCGATGGTGACGAGGATGGCTTCTTGAAGAGGAAGAGGCGGCGAGACTCTGAAGGTGAAGAGGAGGAAGAAGGCGAGGGAGCTGAAGATCAGCCAGAGAGGAAGAAGACCAAAGCAGAAGTGATGAAGGAAGTCATTGCAAAATCGAAGCAGCACAAGTACGAACGACAACAGCTGAAGGAAGACGATGACGAGCTTCGGGAAGAGCTCGACAATGACCTAAACGACGTGCTTGCCGCTCTCAGAGGGCATATGAGTGGAAAACCGCCTGTAAAGGAGCCAACCACTACAGACGTTAAGCCAGACTTTGGCATCAACCCTGATCGCGCCGCTCTCCTTGCTGGGATGGATCGCGATCAAGCAGACAAGGAGTACGATGCGCGAGTGCGAAAAATGATGTACGACCAGCGCTCGAAGCCTACCGAGCGTACCAAGACTGAGGAAGAGAAGGCGAAAGAAGAAGCCGAGAAGCTTAAGGCGCTTGAGAACAAGCGCATGCGAAGGATGCGTGGTGAACCTACAAGCGATGACGAGGAGTCGCAGGATGATGGCAAAGGGGATGAAGACATGGACGAAGATGCTGAAAGTATCAACGATGATGCCGCAGAATTTGGCTTGGGTGCACCACTACAGCAGAAAAGTCGTCCTGATGGCGTGGATGACGAGGACGATTTCTTGCTCGAAGACGACCTCATCGCTAGTGATTCAGAAGCCGAGATTTCGGAGGATGAAGACTCAGATGGCGAATTTGGCGCGGATGATACCATGGCTGTTGATGAGGACGATGACTTCCTTAAGAGTGTCTTGCCCGAGAAGACGCAGCCCACCAAGGCCAAGAACGGCGTGCTCTCGCTCGGCCTAGAGTCAACGCCCAAGTTGGCTTATACATACGCATGTCCCCGATCGCACGAAGAGCTTCTCGAAGTTTTCAAGAACGTCAGTGTAGACGATACGCCTACGGTTGTCCAGCGAATTCGTGCACTCTACCATGCTGGGCTCCACGCTGATAACAAGGACAAGCTTGCCGATTTTGGCTGCGCCTTGGTTGACCATATCTCGTATCTCTCCAACCAGAGCCCGCCAGCTCCTCTACAGGCCGTCGAAGCAGTGATTCGCCATATCCACTCGTTATCTCGTTCATACCCAGTGGCCATTGCTACCCGCTTCCGAGAACACCTCAAGCAACTACACACGTCGAACGACCCTAACCAGGGTAATCTCACTGTCCTCACGGCAATCAGCTCAATATACCCCACCTCAGACCACTTCCACCAAGTTGTCACTCCCGCCATCACTCTGATCGCTCGCTTCCTCGGTCTTCAGACGCCGAACTCCGCCAAAGACGTTGCGACTGGCGCCTACCTAGGCGCTCTCTGCCTCCACTACCAGCGGCTTAGCAAGCGCTACATCCCCGAATTTGTCCGTTACACAACGCTGTGTCTCAAATCCCCACACACGACCCCCGCTCTCCTCACCGCGCATACCCAAAATATCCTCACCGCCTCCGACATCTGGTCCAAAACGCCCGCCTTCACGGAAATTTTCACACCCCTCCTCGCGCCCCTCAAAGCCGCCAAACCCGCGCAAACCACCGCCATCCACCGCCTCACTATCGCGCTCCAGCACGCGCGCGTCCACCGCCGCCCGCAGCTCCTGCACCACCACCGGCCGCTGCCGATCAAGTCCTCCATCCCCAAGTTCGAGGAGGACTTCGATCCCACGAAGCACTACGACCCGGACAAGGAGCGCGCGGAGCAGGCGAAGCTGCGCAAGGAGTACAAGCGCGAGAGGAAGGGCGCGATGCGCGAGCTGCGCAAGGATGCGAGCTTTATCGCGCGGGAGAAGCTCAGGGACAAGAAGGAGAAGGATAAGGCGCATGCAGATCGGGAGAGGAGGCTTATTGCGGAGATTCAGGGTGAGGAGGGCAGGGAGAAGAAGGAGTATGAGAGGGAGGTGCGAAAGAGGAAGGGAGGCAGATAGTCGCCGGTGTGGATGGCGATGATCAACGGAGTTCGTGTATAATGCACTGCTGGGCTGTGGAGACTGGGAAGTGACGTTTACGCGCACGGCGCCACATAGCCTTTCACTCAGGGGGTAGCATGCTGCGAGACACTGCTGTGCACAGGCGATTACGTTCTATTTTACATTTTCTATGGTACGACCCTACGTTGGGTTCTCAGGTTCAATATGACACAGGGCAAATGCAATGCGAGCCTAGCTATTCAGACAAAGTAGAGAAGTGTGTGTAAGTCGGGACCTCCGCGCTCACTCCTTCTTGGAGCTTTCCTTCTTCTCAGCAGCCGCCGTCTCGGTAGCACGCTGATCCTGCTCCGCACGCTCGGAGCTTCCCATGCTGGTGGCGGAGTCACCGGTGCTGGCTTCGGCCTCGTTGCTCTCTTCCGCCTTGGCGGTCTCCTTAGGCTTGTCATCTTCGTCAATGTTCTCGTGGTCCTTGGGGAGCTGCTTCTCATTGCCCTGATTTTGCTCGTTCTCCTCGTCGATGAGCTCTTGCTGCTCCTTGAGCACCTCAAGACGCTGCTTGTTGGTTGCGGCACCCTCGGCGGTGTGTACTTCAAGCTCGATCTCGTGGTAGAGTTCCTCTGGGATACTGGAGAGGACGGCCTGTAGGGCGTCGATTTGAGATGTGGCGTCGGATTCCTTGCCCGAAGCGTAGACAAACGCGTTAGAGAGCACAAGGAGCGTAGACGGTACGCCGCTGTCGAGACGGAGGTTAAGCCAGGTCTGAAGGTCTTCGCGTAGCCGGGCGGGCGACACGCCGTAGGTGCGGAGACCGCGGCTTGCGCAGGCAGATTGGAGTTCGGGGACTGAGAGAGAGTTTACGCCCTCGAAGGAGATGGCGCGGTCGTCGCGCTTGATCTGGCGCATGCGAACGCGGATCTGGTAGCGGAGCAAGTTGTCGGTGCCGAACGAAGTCAAGTTCAGGTAGCGGCAGATAGCCACAAGCTGCGGTCGCGAGAGATTGTCAAGAGTGAGATCGTCCTTGAAGATCTTGCAGACCTTGACAATCTCTTCTGTCGATGGCGCTTCACCAGTTGTACGGACCTACGACACGCGTTAGTTTTTAACACTCATTGTGACTTCGGTGCATCTGCTACAACGTACCTTGCGGAAGAACTCGGAGAACTCCTCTCTCTGCGCATTCTCTGCAGAAACCGGCAAGCCGGTCTCTTGTAGTGTCTGGCGGAGGAAAGAGCTGACTTCTTTCCGAGTGGACCGAAGAGTCTTAGCCTTTGCGTCTTTGGAGGACTGGCCTTCGTATGTGCTCGGAAGGAGGTTGGGGAAGAGCTTCAACGCTACAGGAAGCAGAAGCTCTGCAAACGGAACGATGACGAACATGGAAAAGGGTACGAGGCGACCGAGATCCTGCACCGTTCTTTGGAGCTGTTTCAAGTCAGCGCAAGTCCCATGTTCACGGGTTTCGAATCGACTACCTGTCGGTGCTCTCGGCGAGTGAGCTCGTAGCCGGCGGCCATTTTCAGCGCCAGTTTTGAGCTGATCCTAACCTCGGTGACCAGCAACTTGGTGCCGTCTCGGTAGTGCGCCACTTCCTTCTTAACCTTCTCCCAGAGTGTGAGCTTTTTCTTGTCTTCGTCCTTCTTTGCTGCTATTAGGTCCTGCTTCGCTTGCTCTGCCTTCTCCGTGCCTAATTCCGACAGCGTCCGGAGGTCTTGGGCTTCGTGCTTCGGCACCGCGGTGGCTTCGTTCTTTGGTATTGATACATTGGTTTTCTCTTGTGACTTTGACTGCTCGTCTGTGGGCAACGGCTTCTTCGCTTGCTGGGCGTTGAACCCTGGGGGCGGGAAGTTGCCGCTCTGGTTTGATGAAGTCTCGGTGGATACGGCGCGATGCGGGATCAAGATGGCGATGGCAGGGAAGTTCTTTGGGAGCTGTCGCGACGGTCGGGCAGCGGTCCTGACGCCCGCTCTAAAGACTGCGGGAGCTGCCCGGGTGGCAGCTCGACTGACGTACATTGCACCGAGTGCGGTTGCGGATGGTAAGGAGCGACGGAGAGTGGAAAAATCCGGACTGTGGATAGAGAGCAGGAATTCAAGTACCACCAAGGCGCAATTAGTGATGGCTGGACGGTTGCAATGTGGTTGTAGAAAGCGGTGCGGTGATGCAAGAATTTGGAAAGATGGTCGCCCAGGGCCTGCCGCTGTGCCAGGAACATCCGCCGCCGATCTGCGTCAGTAAAGCTTGGCCTTCTGCTTCCGATCCCCGCCGCATAACGCCGTAACGCGTGTTCGCGCACGGCCAGAAGCGCATGGCCAGACGCGCAGGGCCGCCTGCCGAAGGGTGGCCGGCCTAGCCCAGCTGCCAGTGCCAGACACGTGAATTCAGGCTGCCATGCTGCGGGTGGCGTGGCGGCCGTGGCCTCACTCGGCGCGGGCAGTTGAGCTTCCCGCGGGTAGCTGCGCTTGCCGATAGCGGGTTTCTGGTGGTGAACCGAATCCCACTCCACCGCTCTAGCGGCTCCTCCGCATCTCCCAGGAATAAAGCTACCCTGCCCTGCCTGTTCCCCTCGGCCTACGTCTTGCCGGTTCCTCCCCGCCCTGTCACCTCTGCCGTACCACGCCCACCATCCATTCCACCAACTTCGCTGCCAGTATGACCTTCCTCTAGGATTCCAATCACTTCACCGGAGCCGGTTGGCCTCCATTCCACCGCTTCGACCTTGTGTATATATTTGCTACTACTCTTAACCTTCTAATTTCCGCTGTACGATACAAGCAATGGCGCTCGCGAGAGCAGCCAGGATCATTCTGGTCGGCGCACCAGGCGTGGGCAAGGGCACGCAGACCGAGCGTCTGATGAAGCGCTTCCCGGATTTATCGTCAATCAGTTCTGGTGATTTGTTGAGGAAGAACGTGAGGGAACGGACCCCTCTTGGTAGGTTTCGCCCATCGTCACGTTGGAGCGCTTCTAACGATGTGCAGGTATCCAGGCCGAGGCTAAGATGAAGACGGGCGAACTGGTGCCGGATACCATGATTCTGCGACTCATTCTCAACGAGCTCACTACGCGCGGATGGATACAAGACAACACGCTGCGGCCGTACGCCGTGTATTCGAGCGCCACGGGTATGGACGACGCGGACGGAACCGTCGACTCCGTCCTCATACCCTCTCAGTTCCGCGCTGCGAAATACCAGTACACTGATCACCCGTCGGCTTCCTTTATCTTGGACGGCTTTCCGCGCACTGCCAGCCAGGCCATGCAACTTGACGATATAGTGCCCATCAACCTTGTGGTCAATATCCAGACTCCGCCCGAAGTTATCATCGAGCGGATCTGCAACCGTTGGGTGCACGAGCCATCCGGGAGGGTATATAACACGACGTTCAACCCACCCAAGGTCGAAGGCAAAGATGACGAGACGGGCGAAGCTCTCACAAGACGCGCAGATGACGACCCGGAAGTGTGGAAGGCGCGGTTGAAGCGCTTCAAAGAAACGAACGAGAACCTGTTGGAGCACTACGACAAACATGGCGTCTTGTGGACTGTAAATGGAAACAGCAGCGACGAGATTTCACCGCAGCTGTTCAAGGAGTTTGGCAAACGGTTTGGCGCTGGGGGTAACTAGGTCGATATCCATATTTCCTTTGTACGTGTACACTATGGACAGTGAGAGCCTGGACTTGCTGGACTTGCGGCTCGTGCCGCTTCCAATATTCTTCTTCACCGTTTACTCAGTAGTTCAATCTTTGGCACGTAGCTGGTGGTTGCACCTAGTTTTCGATCGAGTATTCGTTGAGCAAGCCGCGCAATTTCTTCAGCGCTTTCCCGTAACGATCAGTCCGACACACACATCCATCCGACGACGACTAGATAGCAATTTATTGTGTACGTTGTTGACACGGCTGTCGTTGTGGACGAGTTTCAAGGATGTACGATTCGATCAAGGTCGAAAACGTCCAAGCGCCGCCCCGCCACCAGACGCTGGCGTGGGAGCACAGCTCCGATGCGACGTCAGTCAGTAGCCGTAGCGACTCGGCAGCCATCGCCAACTTCTCCATCACCACTGCCTTCTTAACGCGCCTACGCCCAAATCTCTGCCCGACGACTGTTCACACGTGCTCTGGAATAGCCCGGCTCCCAAGAATCGTACCGCAACCCAGGAAACCGTCCCCAAGCCTCGTTCCCGCGCGAAGGCTCCACAACCAACACCCTCCATGGCTGAAGACTTCAGCGAAGGACGTCTGGAGACGTTTGTCAATACGCCGCAGAAGGAGCTGCCCGGCACTAAGGATGCATATGTATCCTATCTCGTCACTACCAAGGTCAGTAATTGACACTGCAGCCTGATACGTCTGCAGTATATAAGCTCACGCGCAATACTAGTCCGACTTTCAATCGTTCCAGCGCCCGGAATTCAGCGTCCGCCGACGCTTCACAGACTTTGTCTTCCTCTGGAAACAACTCACCAAAGAGTACCCGCAATGCGCCGTCCCCCCGCTGCCTGATAAACACAAGATGGAGTATGTGCGCGGTGACCGGTTCGGCACGGACTTTACACAACGTCGAGCTCATTCGTTGCATCGATTCTTGAAGCGCATAACACTGCACCCGGTGCTGAGGCGCGCCATGCTGCTCATCAGCTTCGTGGAGAGCCCAGACTGGAACCAGCATATGAAGGGCCGGTCATCGCGGGCTGCAAGTGGATCAGATGCGGGCGGAGGCGGCTTCATGGATGCTGTTGCAGAGAGCTTCGTGAACACCTTCACCAAAGTACACAAACCAGACAAGCGCTTCATAGAGGTCAGCGAACGAGCTACAAAGTTGACCGAGGACTTGTCAAATGTGGAGAAGGTGGTGGTGCGCGTCGCAAGGCGGCAAGGCGATCTCGACTCAGACTACAACGAGCTCGCAACACAATGTCAGAAGTTACAGACCCTGGAACCCGGTGTCGAGGGCCCGTTGACTTCATTCGCGACCTCCGTACAAGAGACCTCTGTAGGATTCAAAGAGTTGCGAGACAAGACCGACCAGAACTACCTTACCTCGCTCCGCGACATGGACGCCTATGTTGTAGCGCTAAAGCAGCTCCTCCGCGCACGAGAAGCCAAACAGCTAGACTTTGAAGCCCTCTCTGACCTCCTCGCAAAGAACGCCTCCGACCGCGACTCGCTCGCCAGCTCCCACGGCGCCGGCATGGGCGCATCGGGTTTCCTCCGCCAAAAAGTTGAAGACTTCCGGGGCATCGACCACGAGCAAGCGCGCCGCAACCGCGTGCGCAAACTCGAGATCGACATCGAACGCTTGACAGGCGAAGTCGAGAACGCGAAGAAAGCCACCGAAGCCTTCGACGAGCACACGGTCAAAGAAGTCGACGACTTCGAGCGTATTAAGGCATTCGAGTTTAAGGACACCATGGGTGACCTGGCCGACGCACACATTGACTTCTTCAAGGGGACGATCGACACGTGGGAGACGTTCCTGGCGCAGATGCGCAGGGAGGAGGACGAGCGGAAGAAGGCGCTGGAGCGGGAGGCCCAATAGGATAAGGCAGCCGACCGGGGAAGGAGCATATCCGTGGACTCCTGGGATTTGCCGTTGGCGCAGCGATATCCTGAAGCTGTGAAGGGGAAGAGCATGCAACGCTAGCGTTTGCATGGTGTTTGGCTCGTAGCGAGCAGTAATAACATGGTTTGCTTATTGATAGCGACATGAAGATAGAGTTCGCGTAAGTTTTCTCCTGCACGTGCGAGGCTGAGATATCGATCATTTTGAACATGTGAAGTACCCTGTTTGCACACTACTCGTCTATCACTCGGGAGTCCATCCTAACCCCAACCCGCAAACGACCCAAGGTACTCACTCCTTCCCACTCCCTCCCATTACCCCACACACAAATGCTAAGCGCTTCCACTCACCATCCTCGACCCACTCCAAGTCACCCCACGCGACCATCTGATCCTTCCACGCAGAAATCGCTCACAAACGCGTTCTCACTCCCGAGGCTCGATTTAAGACGCGAGTACGCTATGATACAGCCTTCTTCTTTACACTCAACACCACGAGTCTAAAAGCTATTCCATCGCTCCCATAGGTGGAGGGAGGGTGGACTAAAGTCCATTTCGTACACGCTCCATGTGCGTGGTGAGGGAGAAGAGGAGTGTCTAAGAGACAAAGTGTGCGTGTGTCGAGGGGGCCGAGGAGGATTGCGGGTCCGAGGTAGGGGATTGAGTATACTCGGGGTGGCGTAAGATTCTAAAAGACAGGGTAGAACCACTTATTATGGGTACTGAGGAGGATGTGTGGGCATGCGGTCCGTACAAGGGAAAGGGGACTAAGTGTGCTTGGGATGGCTCGAGATCTTTTGGGGTTGAGTGAGCATGAGTGGTGAAGTAATGCGGCATATAGAACGTATTGTGCTTTGACTCTGTCTACTCAGGGTAACGCGACGCGAAATTGCCCAGAGAAAAGGCAAGTGTGAAGCTACAAGGCCGCATGAGAAGAGCAGTATCGAAAATGCATCATGTACTAAGTCTATCCACGATGGCATGTATCCACCTAGTATACATCTATATTTTACTTGTCTCCTTCATCGCCTTCTCCAACACCTCTCTGTTCAGCTCCTCTCCCTTCTTCCTAACCTCACTCAACCGCCCCACCTTCAACAACCGCTCCAGCATCTCCTCATCTCCAAAATGGCTGTTGTGTTCGAACTCCGGCTCCTCCCCGTACGCCACCCTCGCTGCATCCACCAAAATCCTCGCCGTCATACCAAACACCCTGAAATTCTGCAGGTCTTCGAAGACGGTGGGCTCGGGGCGGGGATCGTCGCCCTCAGGCTGGTCCTGCGATCTAGGTGTCTGTGAGGCCTGCGAATGCGACGGGTTGCGCCGCAACGCGGACGCCGAAGGCGGCGGCTTCGGGATGTAGAAATTGTGCATGCGCCAGCGCGACTCGTGCCAATCCGTCCACGTCCCACGGTACCAGCTGTGCCTCCCGCCCTTGCCGTTCACCGGCCCGGGCTCATTCCTCGTCCACTCCTTCTGCAAGAACTGTGCAAAGGGCGCGGTGAAGACGGCGGCGACTTCCTTGGGATCGAGCCTTGGGATCATCTTCTCTTCGACGTCGGCAGCGCTCTGGGTCCCGGTGGATGCGGGCGTCGCCGAGGGGCACAGGAAGGCGACGCATGGCCGGACGCCCAACTCGGTCTTTGCGAGGTTGGCGGGGAGCTCGCAGAGGTGTTCGACGCGGAAGCCGGGCGGGAGCTTGGTGTCGGTTGTGGGGAGGCCGATTTCTTCGTAGGCTTCTCTGCGCGCCGTCTCGAATGGTTTCTCGTCGAGCGTGTCGGCTTTGCCGCCGGGGAGCGCCGCCTGTCCCGCATAGTTGCGGAGGGTACTGCTCGCTGTTAGCTTGTTGTTGCGAACACTTCGGGCGCAACACTCACGCGGCGCGCATCGTGAGTACGACTTTGAGTTCGCCATGACGATCTGGGAAGAGGAGGATCAAGACAGCGGCACGGCGCGTGAGTGGGAGCTTATTGTAGGTCGTCGGCGGTGGTGCATATGCACGGAGCCGCGTGAGCGCTTGCTATTGAATAGTCAATCATTGGCGAGATAAGAGTTCTAGGTTATATATTACAGCTGAAGCTTGCGAAAGCATACTTGGAATCTAAGACAGACGTTACGCGCGCCATCCTGGGGAGCTGTAGAGCATGTTGTTTGCGAAAGCCGAACTATGGAGGGAGGGGCTGTGTCATGGCCGAGGTCCTTCCAATGCGAACCTCACTGACCAAGTCAAGAGCTGATTACCGTCACGAAACAAGATTCAGTCGGTTTCTTTTGTGAAGTATTTCATTTGCAACTGCATCTATCATAGGAGACCATTCATTACTGTCATCAATGGCTCGCGCAGCCATGGAAAGGGTATCCCATCGCACCCGCAAGCCATGATGGCCAACAAACTCGCAGCAGATACAGATGGCGGAAGAGCCGAAGGAACAAACATTTTGGGAAATCCAGACACTGAACTTCCGCCGCACTTTTCTATACCCGCAAAACTTCCAAGTACGTCTTTGGACATGAATGGACAAACGCCGATATGCCTCGAATGTAGAAAGGAAGACATCACCCCTCATCCCCAAGTGCTTTTGAAGAAACATGAAGCCGGACTCGAGCCTGTCCGAGCAGGCCGAATCCGAATTAGTGTAGCACCGATTGAACCCGAATGTCCGGAGTGAACAGGACATGGCTCAGTGATGCAGGCGAAATGGAGAATCGTCTAGATGAGGTCGGCAACGTTCATGGGCATCTCCTCGATCTGAGTGCTGTAGAACTGCTCAATCTCGCGCATCATGCGGACATCGTCAGCGGTGACGAAGTTGATGGCCACACCCTTACGTCCGAAACGTCCACCACGACCGATGCGGTGGATGTAGTTCTCGCGGTTAGCGGGAAGGTCGTAGTTGATGACCAAAGAGACCTGCTGGACGTCGATACCACGAGCAAGAAGATCGGTGGCGATGAGGACACGAGACGAGCCAGAGCGGAACTCCTTCATGATGACGTCACGCTGGCCCTGGTCCATGTCACCGTGCATGGCGGAGACGGTGAAGTCACGGGCAGTGAGCTTGTCGGTGAGCCAGTCGACCTTCCTGCGGGTGTTGCAGAAGATGACAGCCTGGGTGATGGTGACGGTCTCGTACAAGTCGGAGAGGGTGTCGAGCTTCCAGTCCTCCTTCTCGACGGCAATGTAGAACTGCTTGATACCTTCGAGGGTAAGCTCGTCCTTCTTGACGAGAATGCGGACGGGGTCGCGCATGAACTTGGTGGTGACCTCGAGGACATCCTGGGGCATGGTGGCGGAAAGGAGGACGACCTGGGTGGACTGGGGCAGAAGCTGGAAGATGTCGTAGATCTGCTCGGTGAAACCGCGAGACAACATCTCGTCGGCCTCGTCGAGGACGAACATCTTCATGTGGTCGGTCTTCAGGACACGGCGGGTGATCATGTCCTGGACACGTCCAGGCGTGCCAACGACGACCTGGGGACCGTCCTGCAGAGCCTTCATGTCATCACGAACGCTGGTGCCGCCAATGCAGGCGTGGCACTCGACGTTCATGAAGTCACCGATGGCGACAACAACCTTCTGGATCTGCTGAGCAAGCTCGCGGGTGGGGGCGAGGATGAGGGCCTGGCAAGCCTTGATGTTGGGATCCAGCTTCTGGAGGACGGAGATGGAGAAGGTAGCCGTTTTACCGGTACCAGACTGGGCCTGCGCAATCACATCGTGGCCTGCATGCATGTCAGTCGCTGCCACGCCACGCTACACTCGCGGCGGTTTGCACTCACCCTTGATGACGGGCATGATAGCGCGCTGCTGGATGGCCGAGGGGCGCTCGAAACCGTAGGCGTACACTCCGCGGAGGAGCTCGGCCTTCAGGTTCATAGCATCGAACGAGTCGGTCGTCTCATCGTAGTTGGACTCGATCTGGCCTGCGCGGGGCGTTAGTGGTGCTGCGGCGGGCGACGAAGATTTTCGCGTGCGAGCGCGGCCACCACCGCATGGCGGGGTAGACACGCTGCGCAGCGCGCGGACTCAAACTCACCCTCGGGCACATCCTCAAGACCTTTGTCAGCCATGATTGTGAGTGTCGAGACTCGGGACTACAGGCGCTGCGCTGTAGTCGAGGGGTCGCTTGTAGCGGGGTTGTGGACGGTGGTGATCCTGGGGATACCGCCGCGTGTGAGTGCTGTAAGTTGCTGAAAAGCTAGATACCAGATCCTCGCGCTGAGAATCGAAGGGGTATCTAGGGTAGTGTGTGTGTTCTGGTGTGTGAAGTTTGGTGGAAAAATGAAGCGATAAGTGGGAGGCTCGGCCGTGTTTTATGTAGTACTGTGAGAATTTTTGGGCGGCGGGCGCCGCGCTAGTGCAAGTGTCAAGCGAGCCCTGGTTGGAGAGATTCACTGCGAGAACTTCTCCACACTGTTTCGCCTTCACGCGCCGCCCGTGCCTCCCTCGCTGACTCCGCGCTGTCATAGGGTCGTGCGTCTGCGCCGTGGCAAGTGCTTGCAGAGGGTGCCCGGCCGTGCGAGTTTGGCAAGCATTGTTCCTTCCATCCCTCAGCATGGCTCCCGGACTTGTAGACGCAAGCCGCGTTTCTACCGACTTGCCGCCACGCAAGAAATTCAAGCCCTCCTCGCTGCCGGATGTCCAGGCCGACGACATTTTGGACGCAGAAACTGCAGCCGCTGCTGTCCCTCCTCATCCGCTGGGCGTGAGACCAGCGGGCAACGCATACACAGCCACCGAAAACATCAAGGCCAACTGCGGCTCATTCGCACGGCTCCCAGACGAGCTTTTGAACCACATTTTTGAGTCATTCGATGCCGAAACGTTGAGGCGCCTGGGAGGCACCTGTCGAGCATTATACGCCTTCACCCGGCTCGACGAGCTGTGGAGAGCCTTGTTTGTTAGGTAGGTGACTGTTCTCGATTTCTCAGGCCACTCACACGCCCACAACACTAAGCTCTAGGTTCCTGCAATTCCACATGCGGGCGAGCACCTTTACATCTCGCATGACCACACGGTCAACTAATGTCAAGCCAAGTCGAGTCGGTATCGTCTGTGACTCTTGACTGCACGACCGTCAAACAGGAGATGCCTTGAATTGCACGTATGTTTGTACGGTGCAATTTGGGATGGCGCGGGCCACAAGCTGTTATCACACTGGTGCAGACGATAGGTGTCAGGTCATGCTTACCATTTGCTCTGGCCGTGCCTTCGGTTGTGACTCACAACTCAGCCCAGAGGCATCACCAGACATGCAATCCACCTGAATCCTCCAACTAACGAAACCCACAGTGCACCGCCCAAGGACTTTGTGTGGCGCGGGACCTGGCGCGCAACCTACCTAGGCATACCCCTAGAGCACGTAGCCTCTATCCCCTGCCGGAACCTCTTCTCAGACGTGCTCTATCGACCTTTCCAATGCGCACACGTCTCCTTGGCACCATTTACATCCAACATTCCTCTGCACAATGAGATCGACCGACTTCTCAATCTAACCTACGAGGAGTACGCCGACAGATGGACAAACAAGCCCTTCATCCTCACCGAGCCCGTAAAAGAATGGCCCGTCTATGGCAAATGGACCCCAGAGTATCTCTTACACAAGTACCCGGATGTGAAATTCCGTGCTGAAGCCGTTGACTGGCCCATGGAAAAGTACATGTCATACATGTCCCACAACGCGGACGAATCCCCCCTGTACCTCTTCGACCGCGCTTTCGTCGAAAAGATGGGAATAGCCGTAGGCCGCGATGCCGCCAACGCAGCGTACTGGCCGCCCGACTGCTTCGGCGAGGATCTCTTCGAGGTGCTTGGCGACCAGCGGCCAGACTCCCGCTGGATGATCATGGGCCCGAAACGCAGCGGGAGTACCTTCCACAAGGACCCCAACGCGACGAATGCGTGGAACGCAGTATTGACTGGCGCAAAGTACTGGCTCATGTTCCCCTCGAGCAGTAGTCTCCCGCCGCCTCCAGGTGTTATACTTTCGGACGACCACTCCGAGATCACCTCGCCGCTGTCTATCGCAGAGTACCTTCTTACCTTCCACGCGCTCGCTCGCGAAACACCCGGCTGCAGAGAAGGCATTTGCCGCGCCGGCGAGATACTGCACGTCCCGTCTGGGTGGTTCCACCTCGTGCTCAATCTGGAAGACGGCCTCGCGCTGACGCAGAATTTCGTACCGAAGAAGAAGTTGGCTGATGTGCTGGGCTTCTTGCGAGACCAGCGGGACCAGGTAAGCGGTTTCAATGACGATGTCTGCGATCACGCATACGAACTGTTTGTTGAGCGGCTGCGGGAGAAGCATCCCCAGATCCTCGAACAAGGGATGGCGGAGCTGGAGAGAAAGAACAAGGGAGGGAGGGGCAAGTGGGAAGAGTTGACCAAGGGCGATGACGAAGCACAAAGTGGCGGGTTCAGCTTTGGTTTTGGCGGGGGTGATGACGACGATGCAGAGATCCCGTAGATGTAGACCACACCGATTGATGTGTTCCCGAGTGGCCTCGTAAGCCACGGAAGGACTAGTTTAACACGACGAAATTGGGAAAATAAGCATAACAGCGATATCTTGATAATGCGGGATCCATCGATATTACGAAAAGCCCCCATTTACCACACCGATACCCGATGCAAGAGCAAAGGCCGCCTTGGATCGGAACATGCCCATTGTCACCATCTTCTTCTGAAGAGAACAACGCGCCGTCAACATCGACAGCTGAGTGCGAACCCGTAGGCGCCATACTCAAAGTCGAGTTCTACTCTGCCAACACCGACCTCAACATGCTCACAAACGTCGGATGCAACTTCAGCAACTCCTCAATCGGCGGCTTCATCGGCTCGCCCGCCTTCCTCCGCAACTGCTCCGCCGCCCTGGCTCTCCGTTTCTGCTCTGCGGCGATAGGATCCGCCATGTCTTCGTCGTCAATCTCGCTCTCGTCGTCGTCATCTGCATCGTCGTCGAGTTCGAGATCCTGGAGATCGAGCTGCGAGCAGTCAGTATCCTTTACCATTCTGCCGCAGAGAGAGGAAACTTACCTCATTAAGCCCAAAGTCCGATGTCTTGAACCCACCCATACCGCTAAGAATGTTATCATTCTCTTCACCACCTCCACTAGCCATCTTCTGCCTCGTCTTGTCCTGGTGCCACTTCTTCCTCGCCGTCTGCCACCTGATCAGATTATTGATCTCCTTGATCGCCTTGACCTTGTCGATGGTTCCCGAGTCCATGCCGCCCTGGAAAAGCGCATTCATATCGAGCTTGCCGCCGCCTCTGGGTCCGTGCCTAAGGAACTCGAGGATACCTTCTAGCCAGCCCATGAGCTGCTCAAAGAGCCCGTTGTCGTGAAGGTGCACCTCGTGGACAAACTTGTAGAAGTTGTCTTCATGACGGGCACACAGATCGATGAACATTTGCACGGTTTGATTGGGATCTGCAGAGATATCCTGGCGCTGGCAAGCTTCGATGGTGCGGATGGTGTCGTCAACGAACATGGCGAAGTCGGTGATGCTGTTGTAGACGTTGGCGGATTTATAGACACGGACGAGGGGCTCGTAGAAGATGGTGAAGAGGTCGCGGAAAAGCTGGAGTGTTGTGGGTTCTTCGATGAGCTCAAGCATCATCTGCTTGTCTCGTTGTCGAAGGCAAAGCTTCAGATACTGCTTCAAGTGGGCAAATAGCTCTGCGCCTTGCCGTAGATCTTTGTCAAGTTGTATTGAACCTTTCGTTTTCTCGACGGTCTTCGAGCTGTATGAGCTTGACTTCCTGCTCAGTCGGGCACGTCCTGTGTTTTCTACTGCGCTGTTCCAGGCCACATACGCGTTGAAAATCTTCTCAACTTGTTCCGGCTTAAGTTCGGGCGTGAGCAGTTCCGACCGAAGAACGGTGACGACGATATCCACGTTGTCCTTCACAGCTTCTTCTCGTAATATGTCCTGCACATCTTCGTCGGCTTCTACGAAAGCCTTGAGCTTCGCACACAAGACTTCGTCCTTGATCTTAGTCGAACCGAGAGCGTCTATTGACTTTTGTACAGACTTGACACCATCGTTGATGGCTAAGCCAAACATCCGCTGTAGCAAAGACCGAGCGCCGAAAGGTTGTGCAAGGAAGAGATCTAGAACTCCAGCCATAACAGCCGCAGGATTCGCGTACTTGATAACCTGTTTGAGTACGCTATAGGGAACTAGGGAGTGGATCCGCTTTGCTTGTGCAAAAAGCTCCGGCGAATTGTCTTCCGCGAGGAACAGGTGATAGATGGTGGCTGCGACTTCAATTCGCAACCATTCGGCGAATTTTTGAAACTCCGGTTTGAGGTCCGCAATCTTGTTCTTGACCTTGATCTCCTGGAAAAGGTGCGAAAGACCATTGCTCTCCACGATCTCGCGGCGGAACTTCTCCATGTGGATGTCGAGCTCAGCTGCTCGCTGCCGCGCGACCTCGTAGAACTGCCTCTGCTCTTCGATACGTTTCTCATCCATTATCTTCCGCTTCTCAATGTCCTCCATCTCCTCCTCGTTTATTTCAACGGGATCACGGGTGAGAAATTCGGCCATTGCGCTGGACTGTGCAATAACCTCGTTAGACAGGAAATTTCTGAGGAAGGCGCGAAGAGAGACACGCTGCTCTTCCCGATAAAGCACGCGTGGTGGGTGAAAAGCCAGATTTTCGCCGGAAGCTCTTGGTGAGTGGGTTTTAGGCGTCCCTAATGAGGTATTTGAACTGTTTCGTTTGTGATTTCCGTACAACCAGCCTCGAAGGCCGCCGCCGGCGCCACCACCATTATTATCATACGGCTCTGGTTCTGGTCCTTGTGTGGATATGGAGGATACTGAGCTGGCATCATCATCGGCTGATGTAAGAACAGAGTCTTTTTTGTTTTTCCGGGGTAGTGGAGGGAGCACTTTTCCAGGAAGCTCTAATCGTATTCTTTTGTGTAATTTTACAAAGTCCGCAAACCGTCGGCCGATATAGAAATCGTGGGAGCCGGATTGTTTCACTCTGATAATGTACTCCTGGTAAACTGTCAGCCCGTCGTCATCCACGCATTACCATGGCAATAGAGATGCACCTACAGCATGGGTGTGGTACCGGACGTGCTTCTTGACAGATGTCGTCCGCACGCCGGCAACGTTAATATCCCAACCATTTATAAAGTGTCCGTCAGGCGCATTCAGCTTCAGGCCGTTCTCATTCGCGCCTCGGTCGACGATTTCCATCTCTGAAAAGCGTATCCTCTCCTCGTAGCCAGACGCGGTAGGTATGCCGGAGACCATCATAAGCTCCACCAGCTTCTCTGCCTTCAAAGCGAGCTTTCTGCGCTTAGTCTCTTCCAACCGATCCTCGGATGAGGATATATTCTTGTTTGCAAATGATTCGAGGAACTAATTCGCATCCAAATGTCAGTCCTAGTCACGACCATGGCATCGCACCACAACGTACTATTTGCAGTTTGTCTTGCCAGAACTCCTTCTCCTTAGCCTTGTCCAGGAAAGGGAAGTTGCGAACATGGTGTACGAAAATGTAGCGAAGAACGGGCAGCTCGGAGTCCTCTGGCGCAACTTCCCCCGCATCCGATCGGAAGGGCGCGCCGAAGCGCTGGAGGGCGGTGGGAGAGGAAAGCTCGGAGATTTCGAATTGGGTCTGCTGTGATATGAGTTCGCGCTTGAGGTCTGTCTGCGCATTAGTTGTGTTGACATGCATTGAGTTGTGTGCGCGCTGCTTACAGTGCTCTTGCTTGCCCGTCAGGATAGATCCCTCTGGCGGCACCGACATCATGGAGAGCTTGGAGTAGGTCGTGTCATTCCGCGCGGGTGCGCCAGGCCGCGACGGCTCCGGCTCCGGCTCTCCAAAATCGGGGACAGAGGGCGTGTTGTCTGCTGGGGGCAGGGCCATGGTCGTAGGTTCAACGGTTCCGTTGAGCTGGAGTGAAGGCACGTCGCCGGACGCCATGATATAACTAACGGTCTACAAGCAAGCACTAGAGAAACGTTTGTGAGACAAGTCGAGACCAGGCGGTCGTAGCCGTCGTGGCTAGTGAAGATATTGAAGCCGGCTCCGGCAGCTCTTGGATCACTGAGTGGGCGAAGTTCGACGCGTGGTAATGACGATAGTGGGGCTGTTGTGGCTGAAGCTGCGAGCCAAGTTGGACTTGCATCGAGTCAAAACCCACAAGAGGCCCGATGGTGCTGCGCGACGCGGGACTTGTTGTTGGGCATGCACGCCGTGGGCGCTGAGCAGAAGCGTGTCAGCGCAGACGCGCGCGTTGAGCCTGCTGGTTGCGTCACAGGGACATGGCGCAGCATACAAAGCGCTGATTGCCTGCGTCGACAACGTGCCGCCATTTAATATCAAGGAACGCACGGCAGAGTCGTCCTTGGCTTCACTAGCCGTCCCCAGATTCACCGCCCAAGAGTGGCTGAAGAGAAAGCCACATCGCCCTTGGCAACTCGCTGCGTCGCTTGCGCGTGTGCTTCCGGGATAGCTTCGTTTGTGCCTGCCCACGATGAATGACGAGGTGACACCCAGTGGGCGTCTCGCACTACGTGACCCAACTTCCGAGGTTCGCATCTCTTCACGTCACGCGTCTCCGCACAGCGTGAGCGTCAATCTTGCATGTGGTCTATAAATTTCATTATTTAGCTAGACGCTGGAGCCAAACATGCCAGCTGCGCACGGCGAGACAAACAGGCTTGTCTTGCTCACACTGTGACGCCAGCTTCCGGCAAACCACCGAGCGTACCCACATAAACGGACCTATGGGAGAGAGAGGACCGTAAAGAAACATGATCTGGTATGACACTGTCCACATGCTCCGTAACGCCCGTGATCCATACTATACACCCGCTTTAAATGTGTTCCCGCGAAAATTCCATACACTTATTATGACAATTTGGACTCCGTATGGTCGTTACGAAACCTTAGTAGTTAAGCTCGCCCGTGCCGCCCGAGCCGACGGCATCAAGGTCGTCGTAGCTCTTGAGGGATCGTCCCTGAGTCGACTGCATAGGGCCTGGTCCACCTTCACCAAAGCGAGGGCCCCCACGCCCATTGCGAGGCGGCGGCGTCAAGCGGCCGTTGTTGCGGTTACGCCCGTCGCGGTTCTGCCGGTCATAGGGACCCGATCGGTTGTTGAACCGATGTCCCCCACGTCGCATAGGGCCTGCCTGGTGTCCGTCCGCGGAAAAGTTTGCATCCCAGTTACCCATGGCGGGGTTAAAGAGTCCTTGGAAATTGGCTCCTGGATTCGCTAAGTTGATGTTCATGTTAGCCAAGTTGAATCCGCGTGGTGTTCCAGTGGCGGCGACGTGATTACCCATTGGAAAGTGTCCGTTGCTATTCGCGTCACTCCGTGAAGGCGCGATGTGCGCAGGATCCATAACGTAGATATTGACCAGTTGGAGCTACACGATGATTAGCTGCGTCGTTTCGAGGTCGTCAGTGCACGAAAGATAACTTACATCCGTGTGCAATTTCTCAAGCCATTCGGGGTGCCTCTTCTCAATGTGCTTGCGCCAGAAGTTCTGTCCCTTAAACAACTTCGTGCACTCTGGAACCTTGCAACGCCACTTCGACTCGTCTTCTTGCTTGACGTACTTGGCCAGCTCATCCTCTACAGCCTCCTCAAGCGGCTTTCCACCTAGCTTTCGAATGTCGATGTTCTCCGGCTCGAGAAGCTGTAGCAATTTCTCTTCGTACGTCTTCACCCAGTTGAAGGCGCGCTGTAGCTGCTGCTGCGTCTTGCCGCTCAGCTTGGGCGTCTGCCTAACTTCGACGGGACTGCCATCGCCCTCCACGTCTCCTGCAGATTCTTGCTTCTTGTAGGGGAAAGGCTGTCCGTTGGCTGTAGCCCTTGCAGTAGCTTTAGCAGCCGTTGTCAGACTTGCACGGGGTCGACGAAGATGACCGCCAGCGCATTTTCGGATCAACTCGTGAACAGAGTCGCTCTCAAACACGCAGAAGAAGCAGAAGTTGTACACGCGACGGAGGTACTCGATGAGAAGATCGAGCTTCTTCTTCTTGGCTAGAAGATCTTCATCGTCGACCTCATCATCGACGGCACCTTCTTCCTCATCATCCATCGTCTCATCCTCGCCTTCTTCGAGATCCTCCGGATCTCGTTCTTTCTTAACGGCAGTTGGAGCATTTGCGGGGGGCTGTAGCCAGCCTTTGGAGCGCAAGTCTTCCACGCGTTGCTCTATTTTAGCAACACCGTTGACTTCGCCGAACTCATCTTCATGTCCTTCCCTCATTTCACCATCGAGCTTGTTCACCAATCGCTCAGCGAGCTCTAGATCACGCTCGATCCTCTCAGGTGCTGAGAACAAGTCCCAAAGCGCCTTCTTGCGAGGCGCAGCAGGCGGCTCATGAACTCCTACATGGCAAGTGAAATTTCCGCGTTGATCATCAATGACTGTCTTGCCGTTGAGGGCTTCGAGGGCCTTTTGTGCAGTACCAAGGGGCGACTGGGAGACGTTTGGTTTGTCATCAACCGCACCGTCCTCGCCTTCTTCTTCTACGCGACCATCACCACGGTCATCAATGATCATAGGCTGTTCGTCACTGGGATGGAGGATAACCCAACCGATGCGATGGCACTTCTTGAGCGGGTTGGGGTCGCTCATGCTTAGCCATTTGAAACCGCCAGCACCTTCACCCAGGTGTTCTTTACAAAAATCCTCAACTTTGTCCCGGTTGACAGTAGGCGCAATGGTTTTGATGAGCAGAGTGGGTTGCAGAGCAGCTTCGTCGCGTAACTCTCCGCCCTTACAAGGCAAAAGGTCACCTACACCGAGAACTTCGTTGGCTGCCGTAGTTTCTCCCTCTTCTTTTTCAACAAGACCGCCGGCACCGTTGGACTCGTTCTTGTAGATACCTTCGAGCGTGAACTCGTCAAAGTACCCATCATCGATTTGGCGCGCCCAGTCATGATAGATAGCATGTCGATAGCCTCGCAATTTCTCGCGAAATGCTTGTCGGTACTCGGAGTTGTAGCGCTCCTTGAACCACTCTTCACCTTTGTGCTTATCCACAAATGTCTTGGCCATCTGCACTTGCAGCTTCTCCTTATACTCGTCATATGCCGCCTGTATCAGCTCACGCTCTTTCCCGCGCTCCTCTCGAGCTTCACGTTCGCCCTTGAGCCCTGGCTTCCTTCCACCGTTCTTGGCACGCTCTTTTTCTTCTTTGATGATCTGTTCTACACGCCACCACTCTGCGAAGAAGTTGAATCCGACCTGATATTCAAGCGTCATTGGGTTAGGCATCGGATTGCTTGAGAAAGTTGGGGTAAAGTTGTCCTGGCCGGGGACATATCTATCGATACCAGCCTGAACAGGCGGTGGAGATGATCGGCGGCGGCCACCTTCCCGAGGGCGATAGTCGTAATCGCGGTTACGATCCGGCTGATAACGATCGATGTTCTGGGGCGACCGTGAACGTCCTCGGCTCTGCCGATTGCGACGATCCCCGGAGCCTTCTAACGAGTTAGCAACCCTAACGCCATGCAGACTCCAATGTTGCGCATAATTAAAAGTAAGAGCTTTTACCGGCTAAAACCCGGACGCATTGAAAAGAGATAGAAACGTACCAGGAGATCGGCGTCGGTACGAGTCCGTCTCTTGCGAGCTGTATTGCAAAGTCAGCGCCACCATCTACAATTATGTGCGCAGTGAGCTCACGTGTAAGAGTCCATCTTCGCAGGTTGGTCGCGCTACCTGCAGCTTTGTGTGCGGAAGCGGAGAGGGCAAACTTGGATTGTCGCAAGCTGCGGCTATCAACGACGATGGAACGAGTGAAGTGAGCTGGTCATGGAAGTGACAGCGGAAGCGATTGCTGTAGACTAGGCAACAGCTCGCCGGGCGAACAAAGGTGGCAGAAGCCGGTACGCAATCGCGGGTCTCGGACTGTTTGCCATGACGGCCTCGTGTTAGAGTAGAACCACAAGCAGTAAACAAGAGACGAGAGACGCGGCGAAGAGGAAGGTGAGGCAATGCAGAGCTAAACAAGAAGTGCGCAGCGACTGATGCAATGGATGCAGACGCGCAGCGCTGTACAAAGAGAGGTGAGGAGAGGTGGAGCTGAGCGGACACGCAGGCGCCGCCGACAAAGGTCAGGGAGCTATGAAAATAGCTGTACAAGCGTGGTGTGGGACTGACAAGGGGGATGCGAACCAGAAGAGCTGCACTCACGATGTGCTGGAGGTCCCGGTGCGAAAGAATACCGAGTGTTGGGAGAGCTGGACCAAAGCGCGCAGCTGTCGACGTGAGGAGAAGCGCACCGGGGTTTCGGCTAGCCTGGAAGGGGCTAGCAGGGTTCCGTTCGGAGGCAGGCACGAACGCCGCGAAACAGGAAAGAGCAGGCGCACGTGAGGTGCCGAGGCATCATTGGTCGCGAATCATCTGTGCCTGGTCGTGGAACACGCCATCGCCGTGGGACTATAAAGAACAACTTTTATCGAGAGCAATTGCTAAACACGGCGCACACCATGACTACCTACATACCTTCGTTGACGCTTCCGAACTTCATGTTCGACAATCCTGCTGTGGCTATTCTGCTCCCTGTTCTTGCTGGCACCGCCGTCGGGTTTTCTACTAGACGTGAGTTTCCCTCTAGTCAATGGTCTCTTTTCCCAAAAAGGGTGATCACATCCCTTTGAAATCGGGGTATAGCTATGCATCTATTGTTGTGATACTTAGCACCATCTCTGTAAGAACACGCATGCTAATCATTCCCGTAGCAACCGAAACTCAGAAACTCTATCTAGCCCTCAAGCAGCCTCCGTTCAACCCTCCTGGTTATGTCTTCGGTCCAGTGTGGACTGCGCTCTATGCGACGATGGGTTATGTAGCCCATCGGGCTTGGACCGCAGGGACAACTTCCATCAATTCTGCTACTGTTAGCCTCGCCAAACAAGGTGGTAAGTAAGCTCCTATATATGGCAACGGGTGGCAAACAAAACAATCTCAACTTTGAAGATTGTGCGTGCTAGATCCACGGTTTCAGTCCATCAATCGTTACTGACACTGACACTTGAAGCTACCCTCTACACTATTCAGCTTGGTCTTAACCTTGTCTGGATGCCTCTCTTTTTCAAGTTCCACCGACCCATTGCTGCGACAGTTGACATACTTGCATTGGGAGCCACAGTCAGCTACCTGGCATATACCTGGGGTCAGGTCGACGAAACATCCGGATGGTTGCTTGCGCCCTATCTAGGCTGGTTGAGCTTCGCGACCTACCTTTGCGTCGGAGCAGGCTATCTCAATAACTGGGACTTCACGTCAGCATCCAAAAAGCAGAACTAAGAATTCTATATTACGGTTGGATACAGCACAAGAAAACATCTCCGTAGAATGATCGGAAATTAAATCGGTAACAGTATTACATACATGTTCATTATACCTGAGAAGCGTATCCTCGGACTTATGTCATACTACAGCATCTGTACGCGAGCCGTGATTCAGAACGTTCTGGATTTCCACGCGGCCAAATCCGAATCCAGCACGTATGGGCCTTAGACTATGTGCCTAGCAGGGACGTTGATGACAAGTGCGTCGTACGAAAGGTACACGTACATTGCAATGTGCTCACGTTTCTGGACTACCACCCGAGCGAGTACGTATGTACATGAATGCACAGTCTCGCGATCCACGGCCAGTGCCCAATATCTTTTGCAAAAACATCCGCGTTTACAGAATGACAGCCATGATTGTGCGCAAATTGCTGCGGGGTTTGGGTGACTGGACACGAAATGGTTGGCAGCGACAATGCAGGTCATCTTCCTAAGCCGCTTCCTGCCCCTCCTTCTCCACAATATCCCTGTATCACAACTGTCCGCTTCCAGACTAACACAGCAGCCCGTCTTCATTTGTATCACCACGTGGTGCGAAATAGCGCTACTACTTTCGACCCACCTGCACAATCCAAATCACCCCACGCGTTCTCTCCTCCATGTTTGATTCTTTTGCTCGCTGCATCTGAAGATTCTCTTATTCAGCTTGAACATATTTCCGCTGTCGTCACTAGACGGTGAGAACTAACACCAAACGACGAACATGGGCGACGCCGTCCATCCTGGGGCTCTTGAGGCAATCAACATTCCTAGTGCCCCTCCTCAACAGTTATCCCCTCATCTAACCTTGCAACCACCGCTCTCCCGCCGCGGCTCCGGGCCGGGCCTCATTCTTGTTGTGGATCATTATGCAAGACTAGAAGTCAGTGAAAAATCCCTCGATCCACCGCCGTTGCAAAAATGGGCCGAAGAGGGTTTCGCGGTGGTGCAAATAAAAGTACCTGGGAAGGCAGAAGATGGAGGCGAGTTTGGCTTGGAACGTGGACTACAAGCATTGAGGGACTGCAAACAGTGCATATGGGGAGACGGTGTCGGCCTGATATGTGCGTTTGAATCTCCTAATCGTTTTGTGCGTTTGGGGTGATTAAGAGGTGGATGGAATCGGGACTGACGAATGACCATGGCAAGGCTGACTCTTTGACAGCATACGTTACGCGAATACCCTTCTACGTTGAGGAAGCTGCTTGCCACTCGCCACACATCAAAGCCCTCATATCGTACGGTGGTCGGAAGTTCACATCCATTTCGTCGTCCACAAATGCAAACTCCACCTTACCACCCCAGCTTGTTCATATCTCTGGCGCTGAGACGACCCGGCGAGAGTCAATTTCCATAGTGCAAAATGCCGACATCTCATCTTCCACGACACCTGAAGGTCCTGTAAAGACATTTCGCTATGTCAACGCAAGGCAAGAATCGAAGTGGGTGCTCCCCGCCGACGAGGACTACCACAGTATATCGGCCGGTATAGCACACACACGTAGCCTCGCATTCGTTAAGCCCCTGCTCAACGGGCCCTACTTTGATCTCGAAGCCATATGGGATGAGCACTGCCGGCATGAGTTTGGTGAGCGCGACGTTGCGCGCACAATGGCTACGATGGTAGCTCAGCCTTATGTCAACCATATCCCAACATTGACCGGAGGTATCGGGCAGGAGCGCTTGACAGCTTTCTATAGCAACCATTTCGTACACGCCAACCCGGACGATACGGAGCTTGAGATGGTCAGCCGTACCGTTGGAATTGACCGTGTTGTCGATGAGTTCGTCTTCAAACTCACTCACGATCGTCAGGTGGACTGGCTGCTTCCAGGCATCCCGCCCACAGGGAAATATTTGAAGATTCCATTCACGGGTATCATCGGTATGCGAGGTGATCGATTGTGTCATGAACATATCCATTGGGACCAGGGTACAGCTATGCGGCAGGCAGGCCTGCTCCCAGAATGGACGAAATTTCCATACCCTATCGACGGGAAAGAGGCACCAGCTGGAAAGAGATTTGAAGTGAACTTACCGACCACTGGGGTGGATACAGCAAGAAAGTTGGTGGATGAAGGAGCTTTAGAGAGCAACAGTCTGATGGACGCAAAATGGAGGGAGGTAGACGATGTGTAATGCAGTAATGCATGGATCTCAACCCAATTCTTGGAGCCGATGTACTTACCGGAGGCTAATGACTTTTCTATCTCTAGCTGTGGAAGCAGCGTGTGTTTGCTGTATTTCGAAGGTGGTAGTACCATCACCTAGAATGCCTTTGCACATCAAGTTACAGCGTCGATGGAAGGGTCGGTTGAAGACTGCTGAGATTACACATTGCGCAAGAAAAGATTCTACATCGCAACGCCAAAAGTGTGCACCCAAAATATGTGCAGCATGGTCGTGAATTACGCCCGGGCAAGATTGCCTTCCAAGGGTTTTCCTTGGTCGTGATGGTACCTCAGTGGAGGCAAGCGTGGGAGACCTCCGAGCGCTGGAGAACTCGACGAGGAAATCCACAACAACCGCGTGCTCAAGATATTACGCTGACACGATCATGGTAGCTTAGAGCAAAGCCCATCTACGGCTCGAATTTTGATGTCTCCACGACAAGCTCGCATCGCAATTATAACGTCCTTGAAACAAATGCTCAATGTTCTTCAGGTTCAGGCATGAACACGGACCACTCATGAAACACAGCGCAATCATTCCACCAATCACGCTCATTTACCCATACTTGGCCTATCCCCGGATGGGACCTCGTATATTACAATGTCACCACTTTTCCCTTCACGAATGCTTGGCCGAGTGCGCCGCCGGAGCGTCACTCATAAGGTATAGCTTTACAGCGTGGGCGCTGTGGAGCTCAAGGCTGTAGATCAAATGGGAAACATGTCTAGGCGTCGATCAGGGACAATGACATGTCGCAAGATGTATTTATTGGGAGGATGCCCATCTTCGCTCCGAGCTCCAGGCCTACAGATTGTCATCTGTGCCTCGTCATTCGTTTGCCCTTTCCCCCCGTTGTGGGTAGTCGCTCGTTTTCAAAATGCGATTCCTCGCAACTTTCTCTGCTATCCTGCTAGCCCCAACGGCTGTTTTCGCTGCATGGGGTTACACTGACGATGGCAAGAATTACATTATCGATACCAACGCGAACCTAGTGGTGAGCGTCAGCAAGACGAATGGCGACATGAACTCTATCAAATACCGCGGCGTAGAATACAGTGGACAGAACGGAAAGTACTCGCACGTCGAGTCCGGTCTCGGCGCATCCACTGTGGCCATCAAACAGTACACTTCGCCTGCGAACATCATCAAGGTGACTGTCAAGTATGGAACACTCCTCCACACGCTCGTCTTCCGTTACGGCAACCCCAACGTCTACATCTTCATGAATAAAGCCGACACCAGTGTCACCGTCTCGCGCTGTACGTAAGCTCGGTGCACAAGTTTTGGATGCTAGGCGCACGCAATTCAGATATTGCTTATACACCAGCCTAGCTTAACCCTCTTCCCCTTCGCTACTGTTCTAGATCCTGTAATATTTTGCGCCTGTCACTCACTGATACCCCAACTTTAGACATCCTCCGCATCCCGCCCAACATCTTCACCAACAATCCGAACGAGGACACTGACTGGATCCCTGACGGTGCCACTGCTATCGAATCTGGCGACGTTGACGGCAAGTCAGGTCAGACCTGGTCCAAACATTACTCAGGCAAGAGATATGGCCGGACAATCGACTATGACTATGTGGGCTACACCAACAAGAACGTGGGAATGTTCATGGTTCGCTCGAACCACGAGAAGGCATCTGGTGGCCCATTCTTCAGGAGCTTGATTCGCCGTGGTGGATCGGGAGGCCCTGATCTCTACGATATCTACCACTACAACATGGGTAATTCCCCTCTCACAAGCAAGATGCACGCACTTATTTCCGCCAGGCCACACTGATGTAATGCGTTTCGGACTCCAAGGTCCTTCAGTCCTCACTTTCACCGACAACGGCGCTGCTCCCAATGCGAACCTCTTCGCCCGCAAGGCAGACTGGGGATGGTTTGACAGCCTCGAGATCGCCGGTTGGGTGCCCCAGTCCAAGAGAGGCGCCGTTGCCGGCGTCGGCCTCTCAAACATGAAGTCTGGCTACCAGTACGTTGTGGGGCTGAAGAACGACGCCGCTCAGTATTGGACCATTACCACTGGAGCTTGGAGGATCTCTGGTGTCCTGCCTGGGACGTATACTTTGACCGTATATAAAAGCGAGCTCGAAGTGCACACCGAATCTGTCACCGTCACGGCCGGGGGCACAGTGACGAAGAACACAATCGCCTGCGTGGACCCGCAGGACACGACTGCTATCTGGCGCATCGGCGACTGGGATGGTGAGCAACCTCTGACTAATAAGACGAAGCAGTACTAACGTAGCCTTCTCATCCAGGCACTCCAAAAGGCTTCCTCAACTTCCTCGACACCCCCATGAAACCCACCTACATGCACCCCTCCGACACCCGCCTCGCCAAATGGGATGCCTCCAACTTCATCGTCGGCGCCTCCCAAGCCTCAAACTTCCCGGGCTACATCTGGAAAGACATCAACAACGACCACCTCGTGTACTTCAAGCTAACCGCCAACCAGCTAAAGAAAGGCGCAAAGATCCGCGTCGGCGTCACGGAAGGCATGGCTGGCGGACGGCCCGCCATCGCAGTGAACAGTTGGACGGCACCCCTCCAGGCGGACAAGGGCCAGGGAGATACTAGGTCCCTGACTGTAGGCACGTACCGTGGGAACAACTATATCTATGAGTATAGTGTGCCGACGTTGGCGTGGATACAGCAAGCGAACGAGTACCAGACGCTGAAGATTAGTGTTATCTCGGGGAAGACGGCGACGGGGTATTTGAGTCCAGGGATCTCTGTGGACGCTATCGACATGATTGCCGTCTAGAGTGGTTGAAGAGCGGAGGATCGTGCGCGCTCTGCCGTTCCACACGTAGTGCGCTAGTATTGTACCTAATTTCGTTCGAGATACCCAAAAGTAACATCACTCGGCTGTACTTTACATTCATCGCCCGGCACTGTTCTTGCGTAACCGACTGAATTAAAGATGGTAGTCTACCAAAATGTATACGTCATAGAAGTCAAGCAGATCCCCCAACCAAGTATCCCGGCAACCTCCCACCCAGATCACTATCGCTCCGCTCGAATCTGCCCTCGGATTTGACATACCCTGCCTGCGCAACGCCTGGGTCCGTTGGTCCCAACACCTTGATGCTCCTCTTCAGTTTATCCTGTCTGGCTTCCGTAAGATGTCGTCTACGAGCCTCCTTTGCCTTCTCGATGAAGTTGGGTCTATGACGATGTTCTGCCTGGTTGTCTTCGTCTCGCAAGCGATGCAGCGTTTCGAGCGAGAGGGGTGGCGACTGAGGTATTGAATATGGCACAATGAATGGAGGCGCCCGCTCGTGCACTGTCGGATGGCCGGTGCTGGATCGGTGTGAATAGGGAGAGCCTCCTGAGGTACGGAAGGTGCTGCGCATCGTAATTGTAATGTTTGCCGTCGACGGAGAGTTGTTGCTATTATAAGAGGAGCGAGGGTTCGAAGTCATGGGCGAGTAGTCACTCCCGAATTGGGAGCTTCCACGTGCTTGGGTGGATGTAGGTGACTTGTCGCTCGAAACGTCCGATTTAGGAACTGGAGATGGTGAGTGGGTCCGCACAACAGCGAGACCTCCGGGTAAGCGGATCAGGGGATTTGGTTGTGGCGGTGGCGATGGGGCGGAGGATGCTTTAGCAGATTCAGTCTTTCTAAGCTTCTTGCCAAGCTTGATAGGTCGACGAGAAGGGAAGAATCTGGAGAATCGAGGATCACCATCCTGGTTCTTGTCTGCCTTGGATTCGGGTATGCGCTTCGACTCCAACGGTCGACGTTTTTTCTTTGTCGGCTCTTCCTTGTTGGGCTCCGAACTACCCAAGCGATGAGGTATGAACGAAGATATTCTCTTGTGCCTGCTCTTCTTCCCTGTGCTCGATGCTTGTTCCCCGTTCCCCTTATGGGATTGACTTCGAGGTGTAGATGGTCCTGAGCTTTTGCGCCATGACGAAGTTTGAGGAACAATGTCACAATCGTTCGGCAGAGCGTTACGTGTCGGCTCCGCGAGCTGAGCTTCGTGGACCTGCTGGACCCCCCCGGTGCTGAGAACCTCCTGTGCGCGCACGTTCATCTCCTGGTACTGATCGGCAAGCAGATCGTGGTAGTCTTGTGAAAAGCTCAGTTCCCGTGTCTTATCGTCCATGTCTTCATCTTCCCAGCTATCATCATGCAATGGACTGCCTTTGTACAGCGCACGGAGTTTCTTTTCCCTCAGGTATTGGCAGTCAGCTCGTTTTTGCCCTCGTTGACTAGAATCCGATTCGTAAGAGCTTTTTGGTAGTGGAGAATCAAGGCCCAGGGAAGCATATGCTTTTTCTTTGTTGCAGCCAGTACCTGCCAATTCTTGAACCCGATCAGTGGCGACCACGTCTTTGCTTGAGGAAGTATTTGCTCTTCTATTATCCGGCGGTAGTACGTTCTCGATAGATCGACTGTTTAGCGGCGGAGTAGCTGGTAAAGCCGATCGTGGAGGGCTACCTGGTGGGCCCAGGTCCGAATTACCATTTGTGCGCTCGTATATTGGCAACAGCCGGCTTGCGGGAGGAAAACCGGGAGTCAACCATGCTGTTGGTTCCGTCATGTCGAGAAGGCTTGGAGATGGTTCGGGGAGGAGTGGAGAGAAGGTGCGAGGTGCGGAAGTTGGAGATGGCGACGGGGTCGAGTGCGCAGGCTTGACGCTTGCGTTGTCGTCATACCACTCTGCTGGCGCTCTCCACGAAGCTATGCTTGAGTCACTATCCCTTGAAGCTAGTGGCAGGCCCGCAGATGTTGGTGCTGCGATCTTTGCTCTGCTCGACTTGGCTTGTTTCCACGGTGCTGGAGTCAGTGGGAGAGCCTTGTCTGTCTCCGAAGGGTTTGGTGGCGCGGTCTGAACGAAGGAATTGAAAGAGCGGATGGGCTGCTCCATCCCCTCAAGAGACATCGAAGAAATATTTCTTTGCTTTATGTGCGCACGCATATGGCCCTCTTGGCTTCGATTCATGCCTCTGGGTTCGCGCGCAGTGTAGGACGGAATCATGCCTCATCGCAAAGACCTTCTAGAAGATCGATATACACAAAGAAAAAGAAAGCCGCACGTGGCTGTGGTCGTAAGCGGCGATGGCGGCAGCATTCCTGTGGCTAAACAAAGACAGGCTGTTGGATTTCTCTTTAAGGAATGTTAATCGACCTACGTACGCATGCAGTGCTCGACTTGTGGCCGTGGAGACATTCGAAACACTACTTTCTAGTTACTTGATGACCGTGATGATATTTTCGTGAAAATTTCCGAGAAGTGCTATGCTGTTGGCTCAGGGAGTGGAAAAATTGTTGGCATGGGTTTCCGCGCGTCAATGTGATGTATTTCTGATGTCTGAACATTTCGACTTCTGCTGCTCGCTTAAGTATCTTGAAAACTTCTGGAATGAGCAGAGCTGTAAAGAGAGCTTGGAACTTGCGATAATGTTAAAATTATGCAGCGCTCAAACTCTTCCAGTGTTGGCCAGGTGCTTGTGTTGTGTACGTCATAGCGAACTAGCCGTCAGCTTCGCGCGAGTAGTCAGTTCATTGTGCTCGTTAATTGCGCTGCATCGTGCAAGGCTATGGGAAACAAACAATTGAGACCAGATTACCTCATGACTGGTGTTGGCGGACCTCCAGTCGTCCCGTACCAGCAGTCCGCTTTCAGCGATGCCAAGCAGCGAGAAGACCGAAAAGCGCGGCAGGAACACCGCTCCCACCGTTCACCGGCCCAAGCCACGATCTTGCAGCCGCATCAATTTCTACGGCATGCTATCCTCATCGTATAGATGGAAAAGGCGCCATTGGATCCATGGTTCTGCTGAGTTCCGACCCAGAATATTCTGGGATCACGGCCGAGATGCATATGATTCTGCGGTGCGGCAGTCCGCAAGTCTTCACGGCTGCTGCCTGCGCAAGCGCGTTGTGGCCACACGGAATAATGAACATGGCTCCATATGCTTGTGTAAACGGAGGAAGCCGTGCCCGAATCGGTTTACGTCCGCTGTGGTCCTACGAAACCAAGGGCGCTCGGCGCAATATCCCTCCGCTCAGCCCTACGCCATTACCAAATCCATCATCGCAAAGAAATTCCCCCGTCCCCGCCCTGCCTGACTAACACGATACTTGCCATTTACTCATCTAACAGCTCGACGGACATGAAATGATCCCTGTTGAGGCTGCTATGCAGGTGTGGACCCATCACTAGTCCCGTGGATTTTTTTTGGGAGCGGACAAAACGTGTACGGTAACTCGGCCACCTCGTCGGGCCTAACGTTAGGTCTATCAAAAGTTGCGCCGACGCGAAAATGTGGCTTGCGATTACGGTCATCGATGGATTTATGGCTTCATGATGGGAGTATATGTAGGAAGGCTTGCGCCTTTGTAAATAGAATCATCACAGCTTCATCAAACGGTCTTCTATACAAGCGACTTCCAATTGGTCAACGACGACCATCTAGCCTAACACCTGTACTACTGTTATAAGTACTCGACCCACGACATTCCTGGCGACATCGATCAAGATGTCGGCCCCTAACAACACTGGCGTCTTAGCCAATGAATCTGCCAAAGAAGCCCTGCCGTCAACCCCCAGCGAGGAGTCGATATCAGAGAAGTCAACACCATCCACAGATGCCGAAGCTTTCAACCCGGGATGGAGATTCATCGCTGCCTTTGGCAGCCTGTGTGTCATAGTTTTGATGTCTGCACTTGACGCAACTTCACTTTCAGTCGCCCTCCCGGTACGCCTCCTCACTCACACGTCTTCGACAACACTGACAAAACTAGGTTATGGCAAGAGCCCTTGGAGGTTCTGCCATCGAAGCGTTCTGGAGCGGAACGTCATTCCTTCTCACCTCGACTGTATTCCAGCCCGTCATCGGCTCCTTCTCGCACATCTTCGGCCGCAAGCCCCTCATCTACCTGAGTCTGGCTTTCTTCCTCGCCGGAGCCATTGTCGCTGCGGTGGCCAACAACTTTACTCTCATTCTGGTTGGGCGGAGCATCCAGGGAATCGGTGGTGGAGGGATCATCTGCTTAACGGAGATTGTGGTCACCGATATGGTGCCTCTGAGGGAGCGAGGGAAATGGTTTTCCATGTTCAGCGCCATGTGGTCTATCGGCACGGTCGCTGGTCCTTTGTTGGGTGAGTAACTTGATGGTATTTGCTACTCCCAGCTAACGGTTTTTAGGTGGTGCCTTCTCGCAAAGCGTCTCATGGCGATGGGTGTTCTGGATCAACCTGCCTTTCATCTTCGTTGGGGGTTTGCTCATTACCATCTTCTTGCAACTCAACTATAAGACGAGTTCCCTCCTCGCAAAGCTTCGACGCGTGGACTGGCTCGGCATGTTCCTGTTCCTTACCTCGACTACTGGCTTCTTGATTCCCATTACCTGGGGTGGAGTTCAATACCCTTGGGATAGCTGGAGGACCCTGGTGCCATTGATCCTCTGCGCATTCGGAATGGCCGCCTTCATCGTACACCAAGAATACTTCGCCGCCGAGCCTCTCATCCGCACCAGTGTTTTCAAGAATCGCACGGCTGCGATCACTTACCTCTCCGCCGTTATCCACGGCATTATCCTCTGGTCCATACTCTACTACCTTCCGCTCTACTTTCAAGCAGTCAAGGGAATGTCACCGATCATGTCTGGCGTTGCCATCTTCCCGTGGACTTTCACTGTCGCTCCAGCGGCGGGCATTTCAGGGTTCCTCATCGCAAAGACAGGACAGTACCGTACGATAACGTGGATCGGGTGGTTCCTCGCAACCTTCGGAAACGGACTGCTCGTCTACCTCAAGACTGAGACCAAAACAGTGGCCTGGATCTTCTTGAACTTGGTCGGTGGAACAGGTGCCGGTATGCTCTTTGCATCTATGGCTATCGCGGTGCAAGCGTCTGCGTCCAACGCGGACCAGGCGTACGCTGCCAACATGTTCTCCTTCCTGCGGGCCTTTGGTCAGACACTTGGTGTTGCCATCGGTGGTGTCGTCTTCCAGAATCAGGCCAAGAGAAAGATGCTCACATACCCTCTGCTCGCAGACAAAGCAGCCGAGTACAGCCAAGACGCTGCTGGGCTGGTGGAGCTCATCAAGAGTCTCCCTGCCGACTCTCCGATGAAGCTGCAACTTCGCGAGTCCTACACCGAGGGACTCAGGTATGTATGGATTGTCATGACAGTCTTCGCCTTTGTGGCATTCATCGCGAACTTCTGGATCAAGGCGTACTCTCTGGACGCCGCACTGGAGACTGAACAGGGTTTCAAGGAGAAGAGAAAGAGTCAGGACGTCGAGCAGGAGCCTTAGGCGCAGCGAGACGTAAACTTGACTCGGAAAGGCAAGTCGGATGTAGACCGAAGTAGATGTTTTCTTCTCTTACTGTACGGCATCAGCGCGGCGTTGGCATAGATTGGTCGCATGCGAGTATTGTGGGACTTTTCCATGTTAGATAGTACGACCTCACTCACAGCAATGAGTGTGACATAATGTAATTCACGGACCCTCTTCAATGTCTCTGTGCCACTCGGCCAGCCGCCCGTGCCTGTACCACACCAGCCGCCGCGAAGTTCGATATCCCCGTACATTGTCGGCTAGACCACGTTGGGGTGCCGGAGTATCTGCACGACACCAGCCATCTCCGGCGCGGGAGATTCTCATCGGCTTTACGGCGCCTCCCCTCGCACCCGCTGTCGAAGTCCTGTGTGGGTCGCGCTTTCCACATTTTCTGTTTGGCATTCCAAATTTAGACGCAAAGCGACGACACAGAGGGCTCATGGGCTGTCAAGTCAGTACAATCGATAACAGCGTCCTGCACCAGCGACTTGGTCCAGTCGTGGAGACGAATGGGATGCACGCGCAAAGTGGAAAGCGGGCCTGTTCGGGCCTAGCACCGTCTCAAGTTGTCCATGTCAGAACGGGCAGGGGCTTGTGAAACGATGGTCGGAGGTGTTGTGCAGGGGGTTCGCAGATGCGGTGACGCATGGGTCTTTGGAGGCGATGGGCAGATCGCAATGGCCAGACCACCCATGGTCACAGTGGAGGCGGATGTGATGGTCGATGATGTAGATGAGCATAGGGAAGACAACAAATTTTGGGGTAGACAGGTGGAAAAATATGTCATTGTGAGGGAGGTGGCCTGGCGCCGAGGCCTCAGCAAACGGCGAGGGTGCCACGATTGGGAAGGAGTGGGAGGTGTGCTCGTGGATTGTCTCGTGTGCACGCCGCGAGGGACGGGGCGGTCCAGAGGCGCAAAAGTGTGCTTCAAGACAAACGGTCCCGGTCTTGTGTGACTGTACATGGCACGCTGCGAGCCGACTGTGTGTCTTGCTCTAGTCCTACTGCCACAACATTAGGCGCTCAACGCGCGGCGTGTGGGCAGGCTCGGCGACGAGAGGGCCAGGATGGCTGGACGCAAGGAACCAGCAGCGGTGAGGCGACGATGAAGGCGTGCCCCGTTGTCGTGGTCTTGGTGTCACCCCAGCCACGGTGAGGGTGCTCCTTGTCGCGGGCGAGGGCAATTGGCCGCGGGCGCTCGCGTGGGTGAATGCGGCAGCAGGCCTGGGACCTGCATCGCCAGCCAACCGTGTGCGACGCAGGTGTCGGCGGCGAGATAACCTCGAGGGCGCGCCCGCGGCCACTCTCTCACCATCCCGTGGACGTGAGCGACCGCAACGGGCCCTGCGCGTTCGTGAAGCGACTTGCACTGCGTGTCCGTTGGTGTGTTCCGCGCGAGACAAGCTTCTTAGCGCAGGTCGACTGCGGCGCTGAGCCTCATTCCATTGGTCGCTGGGGCAATTGCGAGGTCCGCCCAATTTCTAGAGAGCGACCACAGCCCGACCCCGACGCGCACCCCAGCACTGCTAGCAGCCCAGCAAGCAGCTCCTGCGTCTGCGGCCTGCTCCTGCTGCAACGCCTGCTCGCGCTCCCTCGCCGCTCCCTCCAGCATCCATTCTCACCCACAGTCATTCGTTTCAGACCTCGCCACGGCGTGCAAATCGCCATAATTGTCAGGCAGCGCCGCGCACCCGCCTGACGTCGCCGGCTCGCTTTGGCCCGTCCAAGCAGGTCTTCGCACCGCCAATCGGGAGGAGCCCACCGCAACCGTCCAGGGCAGCTGCCTCAGCAACACCAGTCCCGGCCGTCTTCCCCTCGGCCATGGTGGTCGCCACACGCGCTTGCTGACCACTCTGCAACAACACCCGCTTATTCTTTCGACACGCTCGAACCCGAGCTGTCGCCGCCCGCTGGCCATGAGGGACTCGTTCTCCTCGCTGCTGGCGTCGCGCGCCGGCAAGCTCGCCCTCTCGCTGCTCCTGGCTTCACCAGACCTAATATCGCACACGACCGCTTTCACTTTCAACCCCGTACCCGCCCCTAATATCGACATCGCGCGACTAGGCCGCGTTGCCCTCGCCGGCGACTTCGACGCGATATCGCTCTACCAATACGAAGGACAGAACCAGGACGCCGCGACCAATGGCCTCTACTCACGCTTTCCAAACGGCCTGTTTGCGAAAATACAAAAGACCGATGGTGAAGTCAGGGCCATGTGCCACTACAAGGGCGGCAATGCAGACGCCATCGTAGTAGGCGGCAACTTCACCAGTGTTGATGGCCAATCTACCCCAGGCGGCATTGCGCTCATCGACACCAATACCGGAGACGTGACGGCCACGACCGGATTGACCGGGCAGGTCAATGCTCTACTTTGCGACGACGAGCGCCAACAAGTCTATGTTGGAGGCTCTATCGATGGCGGCGCCAACTATAGCAATGCTATAATCTGGAAGGCAGATAACAGTTGGTCGGTTCTACCATTCAAAGGCTTTGATGGCATTGTGCATTCAATCGTTGATGGCCCAAACGACACCGTTATCTTTGGTGGACAGTTCCAGAACCTGAAAGGCGTCAATCTGACCGGGAATGGCACCGCAGAAAACAACACCCAATCTTTGCCTATCGGATCTGCCACTATAACGGCCCAGACGAGCTCAGGACTTCAAGGCTTCACGGACCCCAAGGTCATCGTTTGCAAGAACGACACCAGAACACAAGGTTCCGACTCTACATGGCTTCTGGCAGACAACAGTCCTGGTTTCTGGAAAGCCGATTTTGGCTTCGGATTTCAGCCTACACAACTTCAATTGCACAACACCGATTTTGAGGGTCGCGGTACCAAGGAATTCCGCTTTACGGCTCTACCAGACGGTGGCATCATGAATTTGACCTACAACGATCCTAGCTCTGGAGAGCGGAAGTTCTGCGATGCCAGATGTCCCTTGCCACAGGGCAACACAAGTGCTCAAGTATTCGACTTCGTCAACGTGGTAGGCATGAACTCGTTTCGGATTGACATTTCCGATTGGTATGGCAATGGCGGAGGTCTGAATGGGATCGAACTATTTCAGACTGGTAAGTGTCGAATCGCCCTCCACACCGCTTGCCTCTCTAACCCGCACAGAAATCTACGCTTATGCCATTCAAGAGTTCAACGCGCCGAAATGCGGAGGTGCCACCAGTGGTGGCCAAGCCACCGCTGTGGGCGAGTGGCAGTCTACCCCTTCGCATGACAGTACTTCGAAGTACCTTACTGCGACTCTCGACACAGCTAATTACTCACCAAACTCAACCTACGTTGTCTTCCGACCGGATGTTCCGCAGTCTGGCAACTACACGATCAAGATGTACACTCCTGGCTGCCAGGGTGACGGAACTTGCGGCACTCGTGGGAGGGTCAACATCACTGGCTTCATGGAAACCGGCGCTCGCCCATCCAGCACCGTAATCGCCCAAACAAATGATTTCGACAAGTACGACGAAATCTACAATGGCCATGTCGACGTTACCAATGGCTTCCGGCCCGAAGTCACGTTGGCTCCTGTTGCTGGTCAGAATCCTGGAACTAATGTGTTGACTGTCGTCGCTCAACGAGTGCGCTTCGAGATCCGCACGGCACAGGATAATGGCACTGAACTAAACGGTCTCTTCGAGTACAATCCCAAGGAACAAATTACCAGTACAAACTTCACTGCTTCGACCATCGACAAAGCTGGTTCGAGTCTCAATCCGCAAAGCACGGCTATTGTCAATGCTTTAGTGACACAGGGTAGGCGACTATACGTCGGCGGGAACTTCACAAATGGGGACGGACTGAACTACATCTTTGCCGTAGATGATGGTGGCCCTACAGCGCTCAGCGGTAAAGGCCTCAACGACCAAGTGGTCACCATCTACCCGGGCGGATCCACGCTTTATGTCGGTGGCAACTTCACCAACACCCAAGACAATAGCAATGGCAACCTAGGTCGAGTTGCTGCTTATTCTGACGACAAGTGGCAGGCTCTTGGTGCTGGTGTTGACGGCATTGTCACATCCATCGTTCCCATTTCCAACGTTACGGGTAACGCGACCGAGGATGTTCTTGCCATCACCGGTGATTTCGACAATGTTCGCGCGTTCGGCAACAACCCATCTTTTGCCGCGGACGGATTCGCTATATGGGTACCATCTCAGAACAACTGGTTGCAGAACCTGGACCTTTCAACCATGGCAATCTCAGGCAGTATTACAGCATTTGTTGGATTGAACGAAACTGACCGGTTCTATGCCGGCCAAATCTCCTCGCAAGGACTGGGTGCAAGCGGCGCCGCCATCCTGAACAGCAACAGCACTTTGAGCAGCCTTGGAATTGATATCAACCTCCAGCCAAAGCAACAAGCGTCGTTACGCAAGCGAGCTTTAACCGCGGGCCAGAATGTGAACAACACTGGAATCTCCACTGCTCTGTTCCACAAGAACGGCAACACCATCGACAAGACGATTCTCGCCGGTCACTTTGCGGCGACGGACAAAGACGGCAAGAACATTACCAATGTTGTCATCATCGACAGCAACAATGAAATCACGGGCTTTGGTGATGAGGTGGACTCAAATTCGACCTTTAGGGCACTCGGTCTGCTCGGCGACGTTCTCTTCGCTGGTGGCATGGTCACTGGTCAGGTCGGAAACGACCCAGTCGCTGGAGTCGTAGCATACGATCTTGCCAGTAAGAAGTTCCAAGATAGCCAGCCACCTGCGCTCCAAGGCACCAACGTTACCGTCAACGTCATCGCCGCCAGGCGCAACTCTCAAGACGTCTACGTTGGAGGTCAGTTTGATTCGGCTGGAGCGCTGAGCTGCCCAGCTCTCTGCGTTTGGGACAACGGCAGCAAGCAATGGAATACTCCTGGCGCAGATATCTCTGGCGTGGTAACGAATCTGCTCTGGGTCTCCGATACCAAGGCACTGGTCGCAGGCAACCTCACCCTTGGCAGCAACAACAGAACCAAGATCTTTACGTACGACTCCACCAACAGTCAATTCCAGGAAGTTTTAGGAGCTGGCGATCTGCCTGGAACTGTGGAGACTCTTTGTCCTGCCAACGTGGATGGGTCTCAGATGTGGGCTGCCGGTAAATCGAGTGATGGCAAGACATATCTGCGACGTTTCGATGGGAGCAAATGGGTCGCCGTGGACGACAAATTGCTGGGTTCCGGTACCAACATCCAAGGCCTACAGGCTCTACCTTTGACCCAGGACCACCAGAAGTCCGACCTAATCGATCAGAACCAAGATTTATTGATCTTGGGTCAAGTAAACATCACAGGCTTTGGTGTCGCTTCTGCCGCACTCTTCAACGGTACCACCCTGACCCCCTTCCTTCTCGCTTCTGCAAATGGAGGCGCGTCAGGCAGTCTGTCGAAGGTAGTGGCAGAACACGAAGATTTCTTCCAAGGAGGAGGTAAGGCAACCACTTATTCACTCTCGACGCATTGACTAATTTGATACAGGCAAACATCTGGCTCTTGGTTTCATCGTCCTCATTGCGCTTGCTATCGCGCTTGCGCTCACTTTCTTGCTGGTGGTGGCCGGCATCCTCATCGAATGGTACCGCAAGAGGGCAGCTGGCTATTCCCCGGCCCCCACCTCGTTCACGGATCGCGTTGGCAATCAAAGTCGGATTCCGCCTCAAGAGCTTTTTGGCACCCTTCGAGGACCCCAGGCACCCACGGTCTGAATGGCCCTCGCCCAATATGCAGCGCGATGAAAGTACATCGGAAAATGTATTGGCACCGAACGTCAATCCTATCGCAACGTCGACAGTCATCAACAAATGGATGTCCACATATCACTCGAATATCTGGTGATCACCCTTCACTTCTTGTCGATCCTTTCCCCGGAAAGGTCTGTTCGAGTGAGAACGATCTTTCCGACACATCACTTTTGACACGACAACTCTTTAACTTGCATGGCCGGCGTTGATAGTTTGTTCGCTTCACTTCAAATGAGCTTTACATGGACAGCATGGTTTGCGGGTACCCATCGCTTCTTCCGACATATGGGATTGGCTAGGCTATCGAGACTAAACAAAGGTTTACAGGCGGCTGAAGCGGCAGTGCAGCATGTGTGGAGCTGCGAAGGTTCTTCTTTTCGATTTTTTTTCTTACTTGATACCACTACCGCTGATACGCAGCGGTTAAGTTCTTTCTTTCACTACTGTCCCTCTTTCCTTTTTGTTTGACGTGCCGGAAGTGCAGTGCTTCACGGCTGTACAGCTAATGCGTACACCTGACGGGAGGAGGGCGTAATGGGCGTGGGGAGGCGGTGTGAAGGTGAAGAGGGCGCCGCGTGTGGACGCGGAAGGGGCGATGGTGAAGGTGAATCGGGGAAGAAGAGGTGAAGTGTACATTTAGGCTGTATCTAGTGACGGTGAATGCGTCTGCTGTAGTTAGTGAATACGATCAGTCCGTAGTGCACAGTGCAGCCTTGCTCGTGTCTTTTCGTGCCGTCACTTGTAAGACGTATGGCACCTAGCAAGACCTAGCAAGACCTCACTGCCCCGGCCTAAGTCCACGAAAGGAAACGAATGATAAGTTCGCCTATGAGACACGCCCTCCACCGTACTTGTCTCGTCATCACAGCGCCCCTCCCCTCCGTCCAAAAATCCCCCATCCTCCCAACACCTCCCGCTCCCCCTCGAACACCCATTCCTCGCCCTCCCCACCCACCTTGCCCAGCCCCTCCCGCTGCTTCGCATGCCCCAGCTCCCCCCACCGCATGATCAAGTTTCCATCCAACATGCCGCCCTTGCCGCCCTCGCCGACCTCCCCGCCGCCCACGCGCCATGCCTTGGGATTCAGCCCGCACGCCGAGTCCAGCGTGTTCGCGAGGTAGGTTGTCAGACTTGCAAGACGGCGGTATGTGGCTTCCGAGAGGGGTGTGATGAGTGCTAGGGTGCCGGACTGGCTGGTGTGCAGGACCTGGTGTGTCGAGGCCTCCTGGCTTGCAGTCGCGGCGTCGTCGTCGACGGGGTTGTCGAACGTCGAGCTCGGCGCCGTCGGGATCGCGAGCGACGACGTCAGCAGGTGCGTTGTCGCGGGGAAGTGGCCCGTGTGGAACGTCCCGCGGTGCGTGAGGCGCAGGCCGGAGAGGGACTTTGGGTTTTCCGGGTCGAAGGCGAGGACGTGGATGTTGCTGTCTGCGTCCGCGACGAGGAGGGCGAGGGATTTGGAGGGCGTGTGGGGCAGGAAGTCGCCGGTGAGGGCTTCGAGGTGGTTCTTCGAGCGGCCGAAGAGGAGCATCTTGTAGGGTTCTTCGGTGTAGCCCGTGAACCAGAGGCCCTTGAAGGCGTCGCCCATCATGAGCATGCCTGTGCCCGGAAGCGTCTTGAGGAACGTCACGTAGCACTGCATGTCCATGAACGCGACGGGGAGCAGCGTGCCATCCTCTTTGAGCCCGCGCACCATGCACTTCTGACCCTGCGCCATGATCAGGAAGCCTTGCGTGCCGAGCTCCGAGACGGCGGACACGGCGCCCTTGACCTCGTCTTTCACGATGAGGCGCAGCCGCCTGTTCGTCTCTGGGCGGGCGGGCTCGGGCACTACGGTAATGACTTCGAAGATGCGGATGCACCCCTTGGTCGCTAGGTCCTCACCGTGGACAGTGGACGTCCCCACGGCGATGAGTTGTTTGCGCTCGTGTGTGGTTTCGGAGACTTCGAGGTTGAGCGTCTTGATGCAGAGGATGACTTCTTGGGGGTCGAGCACGTGGGTGTCGATGACGGACCAGGTCTGTTCGTCGATGACTTTGAGGATGCCAGTTTCGACGTGCGGCTTGAAGGTTATGTCTGGATATTTTTTAGCTCGTGGATTTCTTGTTCTGCTGGTAAGTATGTGTACCTTCTGGCTTCCACTCGTAGTGGTAGGTATCATCTTGCAGCATATACTCTTCTTGCTGGCCGGTGCCGACAACGTATAAGCCCCTAGGATGGTACGAGAACGCGTAGATCTCGGAGCCCAAGGGCATCTTGCGCGCGGCCCATCCAAGGTGGCCATAGTGGGTCTGAGCCGGAAGCTGCGATATCCTCATGGTGCCCTATGCCTTGTTAGTACGGCATTCGAGATGAGACCGTTGTACTCACGTCAGCGTCGAGGTACGCAATCCCCTTCTGGCAGGCAGATGTGTTGAACCGCGTTAATCCCTTGACGGCTTTACCATGCAAGCCAATAACGCGGGGCGCGCTGGAAGCTTCCTTGAGGATGAAGGCAGGAGATGTGCCTTTCTGGAACACCGTGCTGTAACCGCACACATCATCCAACGCTACCAGAGTGTTTCTTAATCCGGCTTCATCATCTGACGCATCCAGTTCGTCTGTGTATTTTGGAAGGTGCTGCTGGGAAAGCTTGATCCATCTCAGGTTGGTCGTCCATGGTTCAGAGGCTGATCTAGCAGGGTAGTGGAAAGCCTTGTATATGATGAGATCATCCGTAGAGTTGCGCACCTATTGGTCAGCGCTTGTTTTACTCTGGGAGGCAGGGTTTTCTTACAACGAGATGTGGCGATCGCGACGTCGAGTCGCCAATGTCGGCGGCTATGATCTCGGTGATGGTCGCCTTGGATGTATTTCTTTTTGGATAGTATTCTGCGGTCAGGAATGGAGGGAGGAAAGCGAGACCTTCGGCCACGTATGCTGGTTTGCTCATGTCGGACGTGGCAAAGACCTGTTTGTATAAGTAGTCATCTACCGGAGCTCATAATGGAAGCTTACATGCAGGCCACCCTGGTGCGTCAAGAGAAATGCATAGATTTCACCAGAGGCTGAGGATTTGTACAAGGACGCGGACAACCATCGGGTCGAAGTAAGCCCATCGGCTTCGACTTCTTCTACTTCCCCATCGCCGCTGGCTTTGTACAATTTGGCGCTGGAGTTGTCTCTCAGAATGAGCATGTACGGATCCGCGAAGGTTGCATTGATGATACGGAGACCTTCGTTGCCATCCTCGTCTTCCATGGTGATGATTTGCTCCATGTTCAACTCTATCCACGAGTTAGATGAGATTGGAAACGCGACTGTCGTTGTAGAGCTTACCAGAGTCATAAGTCCTGGCCTCGCTTTGCATGATCTGGACGATCTTAGTCCCTTTTGCAAGCGTACCGACACTCAGGGTTGAGCCTTCTTCTCTTTCGAAGTCGCCTTTGCTAGTCTCTTCCAATTCTTTGCCGCTGACCTCGTACACGACTGTGTTGTCATTGCCCTCTTCATCCGTTTTGCTAACAACTAGGTATTGATCGTAATCAGCGTCTACAGAGAAGTTCGCCTCTGTGTCTTCGCCGAAGTCGGCTGTGATCCCGCCAGGGGCCTGCTTCCTTGCGTGTACAGCCCATAGGCCCTTTGCAGAAGGGAAATCAATTTGAGCGAGATTTGTGAGACTTATTTCGCGGTTGAGGGCAGTAACGTTTCCAGCAGCACCTCGTCCGCATGCGACCATGATTTCGCCGGTCGTAGGGTACTGCGCTGCAGCATCTGTGTGCAAGATGACATCCTTTATCGGGGCGATACTTGGCAGAGTATCGTGTATCCTGAATGTGTAGCTGCCTGGAGCGGTGGGTTCGGCAGCGGCCGCAGTGATTTTTTTTACTGCCGGTGCCGTATCATTGTAGAGATCATCGTCAAGGTCGTCAACCTCTTCGTCCTCGTCAACGTCCATATCGTCATCCGTCCCAACTTCCGAGGCCTTCCTGCCCAGCGCGCCGAATCTACCTGCAGCTTGCCAGCCTAGGAGGACAGAGTCGCCGTCTTCACTGCCAACGAAGATTCTTCCACGCCCCAAGTTTGAGATGCATGATGGTGCCGACTTGAGAACTTGACCGCCATGTTCGGCAGCGACGCGTTGGACAGTCATTCCTGACACAGTCCGGCCATCGAGGGTGAAGGTCAGGGTGAGAAGTCTGCCATCGTTGAGGATGATGAGAACGTCGCCTGAATCCTGAGACAAGAGCTCGATGCTGCAGCCTTCGAGGTGCAGAGCAAGATCCGTTTGGTCTTTTAACGAGAAAGCTGTGCTTGACTTTGCGAACTCATTCACAGCCACTCCGGTTGTCTTGCCAGCCACATCGACGTGTATGATCTCGTTGCTTCCGAGCAGCAGCGCCCCGCCAATTGGCGATGGCAGGGGCACGACGCTTGTGAGGTCGTAGGGCAAGCCTTGCACGGTGTGAAGGGTAGTGGACGATTTGTCTCCTAGGTCGAGGGAGAAGACGGTATAGGTGAGGTGGTCTTTCCGCTCGGGGAGCAAAGACGGCGCGGTGGCTTTTGACGAGGCGATGATACCAAAGGTGGGCTCGCGAGACTCGTGCAAGAAGGCGAGGTGCACGGGATGGGTCAAGGTCGGGTCGAGGGAGGTGAGAGGCAGCACAAAGGAGGCAGAATAGGGCGTCTTTTGCTCGGGCTCAGTGCCGTTCGCATCTTGCATCTTGGTGTCCTTCTGAGCATCCGCGTCAAAGTCATCTTCCTCGTCGAAGACGTCGCGCTGCCTGAAGGGCAGAATGGCAAGATTGTGCACGCCGAACTTGAGGGCAGCGCATCTGTTGCTGGGATCTGCCGTCAAGAAATTATACGTGTCTTTGAGGTCAGTGGACCAGGGCGATATCCCAGGCAAGTCTGGATTCTCATAGTAGTGTATTGATATGGTATGGAGGTTGTACGTCTCCGGGTCCCATTCCACTAAGCTGAGCTTTGCGTCTCGAAAGGCCACAAGCAACGCCTCCGCCCTCGACTTTGTGTTGAGCACCTTGACCCGCGCCAGCGACAGCACGGTGCCGGCGAGGGGATACTCGCCCACCAGCACCAGCTTGGCCGTGTTCTCTGTCCGCTGCACGGGCAGGTCCGCCGCCTCGGTGTCGAGCAGCGGGCCCGCGTTCTCCGCCGCGTCGTCACTTGGGGCAGCATCCGTCACCGTCGACTTGAGCTCGAAGATCTGCAGCAGCGCGTTCCTTGCGACGACCAGATTGTGCGCCCGCGGCGCGACGAACGGAAGGTGGACGGCATGGCTGACGGCCGTCGGCGGCGCGATCTCGGTGTAGCACTGCATGGCGTGGTGGTGTCGCAGTCCCGCTGCTCGTCATAGCATGTGGGCGCGGTCGGGGGCTTCGGGCGCGGGCAGCAATTCGCGTTCTGCCTGCGCCCATGGTCGGTCGCCCGCGCGTCTCACAGGCCCACGCCAAGGACGCGCCTGGATGCAGCATAGCGCTGGCGCATGCACGAGGGAGCTTGGGCCCTGTGTGGCTGCTGCTGCGCCGTCGATCCTCTACGTCAACGTTCGTGACACGCCCGTCTGCCCTGTTTCGCATCGCTCCTCCCTCGACCCGGCCCACGCTGCCTCTTCCCCAGAAGGCCAGCTCCCAGAGCATTGCCGACGCTTCAGTCTACCAGGCAAGCACTGGCCCGTCCAGAGATCGCCTCGGTGCTGCCGGACCTCCGCCGTCATGGCCCTCATCCAGACCAGCTTGATCTGGGTCGCATATGCCGTCGCCGTCGTCCTCCTGCTTGCAGTTGCCTCCATCTTCGTCTTCCTCTACCAGACACCCCGCGACCGTGCCGCATCCGTCACCACGATATGCATCTTCACCACCAGCGTCCTCCTGGCCACGGTGCTGCTCATGCCCGTCGACATCGCCCTCGTCTCGTCCACCTCGCTGTCCAGCCAGGGCCGGAAGAAGGACTGGGCGACCCCAGAGCGCGTCGGCAGCATTCTCTACACGCTCAAGATCGTCTACTACACGCTGTACTCGCTTGATGCCCTGCTGTGCCTGCTCGTCGTGCCCTTTACCTACTTCTGGTACGAGGAATACGACGAGGATGCGGCCGAGCATGGCGAGCAGACTGCTGGACAAAGATTCTGGGGTGCCTTCAAGTACACGATCGCCTTCGTCGTCTTCGTCGTCATCATCTTCCTCGTTGGATTCTTCGTTCCGTTCGCAAAGCAAGCAAAGGGCGACGACCGTCTAGACCTCGACTACTTCAAGCATCTTCTGGCCGAAAACCGTAAGTCACCAACACATGCAATTTGGGCCCGGCTAACAAGTCCAAGATGGCGAGCGCGCTCTATCCTTCGCACTCGGTCTCCTCATGCTCATTGGTACCATTCTCTACGTACTCTACACTGGCGCTGGTCTGGCGCTCCTTCCTGTGGCCATGATCAAGTCAGCTCCGTCCATTTCCGCTCCAACGCTAGCCGCCAACACTGCGTCGCAACTCGAATCCAACCGTGAGCGCCAGAGACAGCTCGAAGGCCGCGGCGAAGGTCGCCATGGCGGACTGGACCCACGTGATCGACGCGAACTGGAAGCCCTGGTCCGTGAGGAGCGGACACTGATCCGTCGCGAGCGCCTTGCTGCTGAATCAAACGGAGAGGACAGACATTGGCTTGTCAAGACCTGGATCAAGATCGAGGCCGTCTTCCGTCCCCTGAAGCTCATTGGAGGCCTTCTCCTGATGGTGCTTGCGCTCCTCATTTTCACCAGCATGCTCATCACTGGCATTGACAAGGCCAAGAATTCCATCTGCAAAGCCGGCTGTGGGTACATCCTGGGTCACATCAACATCTTCCAGCCGCTCAACTGGATCCTGGTCAAGTCTTCCAAGGTCTTCCCCATCGACTACGTCCTGTTCTTGCTACTCGTCCTGTTCTTCTTCTGCTCCTCCGTCGTTGGTATCGGAGCCGTCGGCATTCGCTTCCTGTGGCTCACCATCTTCAAGATCCGCAAGGGCCATACCTCTCCTCAGGCTCTACTCCTGGCCACCGTCCTGTTGAATCTTATTGTTCTCGCCATCAACTACTCCGTCGCCATGGTCGTCGCGCCCCAATACGCCACATTCGGCCCTCAAACCTTCTGCGACCGCCAACCGCTGATCGCGGGCGCGCAGCCAAGCTGCAAAGACTTCCCGGCCGACATCAAGCCATGCACAGAGACGGCGACCAACCATTACGCCAAGGATGTTTGCACGCCTAGCGTTCTTAGCACCTTCATCAACCGCGTAACCATCAACTTCCCGTTCTTTGGCGTCGTGCTGTTCTGGGCACAGTTTGCTTTCTTAGGTGTTTACCTCATTGTCTTCCTCACCACACTGTTCAAGACCCCCAGGCTGGATCAGGAACAAATCGACCGTGACCTGGAAGAGGAAGAAGAGGAGGGTTTGCTTGCGAGCACCGGCCGAAGGTTCAATGCTACTTGGCAGGACATCACCGGAAGGGGCAAGAGGACGTATGGAACCACGGATACCAATGGAGAGAGGAGTTAGGAAGCTAACTTAGGGATTGGTTGGATTGGTTCATTGTGAGTGTTGTGTAGGTGATTGTGGATGTTGGAAAAACAAGGAAACATTGTACACAACTTGCATTACGTTGCGTCGGTACTTGGCTTTATGTTTGGATTAGGTTATGATACCTCCATATAATGGCGTTGGGCGTTTACGTAGCATGCGAGTTGGCTTAAAATGAAGTATTGATGTCAAAGCGATGATTATTTCTCATCATAGTTCAAGATCTACGGGTAGATATTCTTGTGAGCACCCATTACGATGGATGTCAAGCACTTGAAATACGAACGTGACGATCATCTTAGCCGTAGATTAGGTTCGTGTCAGATCGCGCCTTCTTCACGAAGCAAGTGCTCACCTCATAGCTTTCGATTCGTCGTGCCTTCCTCCACCTCATTCTTCTGTTCACGTATCGCGCCATCCTACCGTTCTCACATGGTTTGAGACCTGTCTGCTATCTCGCTCGCCCAGACCTACCTTAACATCCTGGTGACTCACTCAACCCTTCCGTTTCAACACTAATCTCCCTGACCCTTCCGAGTTCAGTTCTCGTAGCGCACGGCGAAATATCGTAACATGGAACCCTGCACATCCAGTCTATTTCGCTGTCGAATATGATTATCCACCTGTGCGCTGGAAGCGCGTTAAATCGGTCCCGAGCATGTAGACTTTCTACCTGGCAGAGTGACTGGGCAATACGCCCGAAGACCCACACCCGACATTCATCCCCAGGCGTCACGCACGCTCCTCAATCGCCTGGCGTTATGCATGAGCCAATGGTGTGGTAAGCCGTTGTCCAACCTTTCGCTGATAAAGTCGCAGTCTTCGCGTGTGCTCGATCACTCAACCGCCTGAACACATCCGTGTGCGGCCTCGATGCGGCGTCATACGCGCCTCGCATTGCCCAGCGGACAACAGAAACGAGTCTGAGATCTTCGGCTTCTACATTCCACATGGACACAATGGCCTCATCTAAGAACAGGTAGGTTGATCTCACGACTGGAGCAGTCGTGCGACCGAACTAACAATTACCAATAGAGAGACTTTGGCTGTCATAGCCACTCCCACGGGAAGGACCGCCCCAGAGTAACCCGGATCGACAGTCTCACGCAGGTTAGACCTAGGTATGAACGGCCATCCTGCAGCCCGGTCGTCCAAGAACTCGGATGCATGCCACGTGACACTGCCGAATGAACTACCGGTTTTAACTGCGAAACACCTGGGAAGAAAAGACGTATTCAGCCTCGGAATGCCGTCCCATCATCTCCCAAGTATTGGAATACCTATGATCTACACGTTGGGCATCGATGCAAGCATGACCCCCAAGGCTCCCGCAGCATTCACTACTCGCATAGACCGAGATGACACACTGGCCGGACTGGTGAAGATGGTACATTTCAGATACGCTTTCACTAGCCTTATGAAGTATCAGAGGGGCATAGGCCTCCAGGGCAGGGCCTCGCGTACCTTGGTACTCAATGAGAAGCTGGCAGCCATCCATGATCGAGCTACTGAACGAGAGCTTGAGTCTCTGGTGAAGCTCTTCCTATCTACTATAACCATGGAAAAGCTATCCACCGAAGACGTTTCCGGCCGTATTATAGACATGCACCGCACAAGTCTCCTTTACTGGGTGCACCTGGTTCATATGGTTGGGACCCCTTTCCAGCCCGAGGATCAGCCCTTCCATCACTTGAAGTTTCTCAATATTTACTTGGGCCCGATTCCCGCAGGCTGGATACGCCTAGACAATTTCGTTCCAGGTCTCGCACTTCCCTGCATCAAACAGCTCTACCTTCAAGATTTCATCGAGACATAGTTCCCCGACAACTTGGATTGCGAGTTGAAGTCATCTAGTCTGAAGAGGCTTTATCTAATGAACACGTGTCTTCATTGGAAGGTTGCCCCCGTTCTTGTACAATCCACAAAGCCCTCGAGGTCTTCCACTACAACTACGAGGCCCTAATGTCGGTCCCGCGGCTTCATGGATCTCATGCTAGAACTGATTGGGTCCCTTACTCATGGGCCGGCCTTTGGGACGCCCTTCGAACCCAGAAACATTCACTCGTATCACTCAACATATCCTACATAGTGAACAGAGTGCAGCTGGGAGTGGCCGCCCGGTTCTGTCCTGTATATGCATGGCAGATTGGCACCTTGGGTTCGTTCGCCGACTTCAACGAATTAAAGCAATTACGGGTACCCGCCGATCCCATCATTTCTGGTCCAGGTATTATACAGTGTTTACCAGTGGGGTTGGAATATTTGAACCTCCTCTACGACGAGGTCACGGAGACGGCTGATCTACGGTGTATGGAGACCATCGTGGCGGTGATTGCAAGTAACATGCAAACGGGCCGACAAATAGCCCTTTTGTATTTGTCTTCAAAGGATTTCCTGATCCAGTTGTATCATGTAATACTATTAAATGCATAAGTGCTAAAGCAGCTAATACGAAATGATAATGTACGACTGCAGCACTCTGTCACTGTGAGTGAGAAGGCATCTATTAAGTTCCTTGTCACGAAGGGTGATAATTTTTATAGGTTTGGAAGAACGGTATACCGCGCAGGTTGAGACCAAACCTTTCTCGCCTCGTGCTGAGAGAGCAGCTACGTCGAGGTAGAAAATGGAGCAGTCAGGTCATCATGTTACGGGAGGATGAAGCTGGTGTGCATTTACATCGACAGTGATCGCACATGGTTCGGAGAGATACGAAGGGAGGCCAGTGACGGGGTTTCCTTGTTGTGGTAACTGGAAACCGTCGTATCTGGTCAATCCATCTGTCAACCATATTCAATGAGGCTGTTCGTGGCCAAGGGAATGATAACACGGTTGCATTCGTACACATTGAAAGCCGGACCTGAACAACGTCATGACTATACATACCGTGCAAATCTACTGCTAGATCATGTCCTCGTAGCCCCCGCAACGGGGCGTCCACCCTGTCGAACACACGACTGGTGGCGCGCCTGCGGACAGTCCCCCCTTCGATGTCGATTGAAAGATCATCGAGTCCGTCGCCAATCATACGCTCGTCATGCGCGCCGGGTATGGCATGATTTTGAGCTTGGTTGGAATCTGCCGTTTCTGTCTGCACGCTTATCGCGGATCTGCACAGAGGCTGTTCAGATGGGACCTCTGCATCGAGTTGGTCACTTGGCTTCCGAGCTGTGCAAGTCCGGTGTGTAATGCATTCGAGCAGAGGCTGAGGACGTCCCGACACGAGCGTGCAATGCACACGTCTGGAAGGAAGACAGAGACCGTCGTCCGTCGCGTAGCGCAGCGTAGCGGGCGCGACTTCGACTCCGGTGTTGTCCATGGTGCGTCGCCCAAGGGGTACGATCCGAAATAAGAAGACGGGATAATGTAGCGATCGGCGCATTGCGAGGAAGCAGATGAAATTACCGATACATGCGCGTGTACAGCCTAGCGGGATACAGGGCTCGAGGGAGGGCGACCCATTGGAAGGGAAAATTGTCAGGCCTGGTGCTGGTCATACCGTGCGATCGATCTCATCTGCGGGTACCAGGGGCGTGGTAGCATCTGCTCCGTACAGTACTTGCGGATATGTGCATACGGCGACATGCTAAGCCCGCAGTCTCCATAGACGCAACTGAACTACATCTAGATACCCCAAGCTCTCGATAGCATATACCCTCGCCCGAACCGAGATCACACCCTTCCGAATCCCGGCCGTCTGGCCAGCGGCGGTAGTGCGCGTGGAGGCGCGCTACCGCCAAGCCACGTGCTTGCGTGCTCTATAGCCTACTTGACGTGCTCAGTCATCTAGATCGTGAAACTTTTCGAGGATTCGCTTAAACCTGGCCGGTGCAGCGCAAGGATGGGTTGTCCTGCGCAGTAGATCTCGTAATGGCTTTATGCGTGGGCGTGTGGGGGTGGGCTGCTTGTCGGGAGTGGCGCGGAAGGAGGGCACACGACAGTCTCGCTTTGAGAAAGTTTACGGGGACCACGGGAGTAGCGCGGTGGGTGGCGGCATTGAAGCTTTTCGGTAGGAGAGATCGAGAGCCTATGTGCCTGGGCTCGAAGCTATGGATACGCGGCTGACATGAAGGTCGGCGATGTCAACTGGGTTGTGTGTCGAGACCAGAGGCGAAACATGACGGCTGAGCCCAGGCAGTGTGCTCTTCGGAAATGAGGCGCTTGGTTCACATGAAGTTCAGGACATCTAAACGTACCCGAAGCCGCTAGAAGGGACTCAAACAGTGCCAAAGGTAATGGGTTCGAAGAGTATGCTCATGGCTCAGCCTGAGTGTGATGAATTGTAATATAAATGATACATAGAATGCCGCTGGCTTCAGGCAAACAATTGCCTGTTCATGAGGTATCCTTTTTGGATGATTCGTGACTTCGTAACTTCATGGTCTTCCGAAATTGGCTACTGCTTTCTTCGCCACTCATTTGGCGTGGTGAACGATCTCCTCGTACATGTCCTCAGGTATCTTGCTGGTGAAGCCTGTGGCCAAGGGAATGATCGCGCCTGCGTTCAACGCTGGGAAACTCCGCAGCTTCTGGTTCGGGCTACGAGGCTGATTAGAGACGGTTCAGTGTAAAGCGTAATCCGCAACGTACCTGGGGCTGTTCAGAAGATCATTTCGCATCAGAACAAGCTGAGCGACGATGCAGAGGATGTTCAAGTGTGGACCGTAGGCGAACAAGAAGTCCCATAATTTGAGGACTTCAGGTAGAGGTGACGTGCATGCACACATGGTCAGGACCGAAGCGAAGGCGTATATTTTCGCCTCCATGTGGTAGCTCATCAGATGCGCGTACAGCTTCTCGTCGACGACCTGGAGAACACGATCCACCAAAGCCACTCCTTTGTGCACTCCTTCCATGGATCCTCTCACGTAGCCCGGACATTCCTGAGTGATGAGTCTTTCAAAACCAGTAAAGGCCTCGACCTCGCTCCGGGCGGCGTACAGAAACGGACCGCAGAGGACATTCATGCCTTGCACATAGCCAATCTGTTCCGCATCGTTGGTGGTCGAGGCATCCGTCCGTACGCTGGCGGCAAGCGAGTGGCGGGACATCATGGCAGTATCAGGACTGCCACCAAACTCAGACAGCGTCGGCGGTGACTGCCAACCGTTGACGCGTGCTTCATGTGCATCGTTGAGCCTCCACGCGACGGCGTTGAGTACACGCGTAATACTATTCTGCGTGACGCGACGGCGGAATAGTGGATCGCCCTGGAAGGTACGGAAGGTGTCGTTCTGGATCTTGGTATGCGCTGGCGACGCGCCTTGTCGGACAAGGTCGAGGTAGACATCGGTCTTCAACGGCGGCGTGTTGAGAAGTATGAGCCATATGTACATGCGCAGCTCGGACTGTCATAGTATACAGTTAGTAAGAGATACATGACGGTTGTGATTGTTTGAACGGTAACCGCCGCTCAGTTTGGCTGTCGCGCCAGAGGGGCATGCCATGGTAGTGGAGACGAACCATGCCCTCGCTGTTTGCAGGTATGCCGTCGGCCAGTATAGCAAAGCGCAGCTCATTGAGACCCTCCTCAACGCCCGGGGAGGGCCCCTTCAACAGCAGCATATCGAGGTTCAGCATGGCGCTTAATGCCGAGTGTAGGTGTTGCTGGTGTTTGTTTGGCGTTGGCTGTCTTCGGAACGTCGCATATGTACGAAGGCTTGGCAACGGGCGTCGGCTCGTCGCTCCAAGTCTCTGCTCATACATACTTTAAGAAACGGTTCCCCGCGAGCTGCAGCTGGCTCCTAAAATGACCATCACTACGAGCCATGTCGATACCTGACGTTTTACCGGTGTAGGAAACGGACGAAATGGCCTGCCCTTGCGCTTTGCGAGCCGGACGCAGACCTCGCAAGAGCTGGACTGGTCGGAAATACGAATGGAACTATAGCCACAGGCTTTCCTCGGGCAAACAATGCTCGCTTTCGCAAGGACAACGGATACTGGCCAAGGCTTCGCAGGCATAAAACTCTCGTACACATTGGACCATCGATTCCGTCCATTGATCGCCGACACGCCGCCCTGGGCACCTGGGATCCCACGTGCATGGACGCATGTCGCGCTGTTGCTTGCCTTCGTCGCTGCACGCCGCCCAATGCGTCTCTAGACTGGAGGAGACGACAGGGTGGTATGGCGGCACGTGTACGATGCCTCGACACAATATTGTACGCCAATAGAGCTGGGATGCGGCGCACGTCGAGCTCCGTGTCTTTCGGATTCGCCTTCTCCGCGGCACGCAGCATTCCTGCAACGTCACTGGTATCGCCGTGCAAGGCTATGGCGTGGGTCAATGGGCCTCAGCTTGTGACGGCGCCCTGGCGTGCCCGCTGTGGAAAACGACATCGACAGCATCAAGCACGCAATTGCGACCGCCTGGCGTGGTGATTGGCCAGCAGCCCGGGAGTCCTGCAGATTCGCGCCCCGCGCCTGCGCCATCCCTGTCGTCCCGCGCGCAGATCCTGGTAGCTCCATCAACCACCCATCAAACCCACAAGTTCTACCGAACTACGCAGCGCTTTCGGGGCAATTTCGTCAGGCCTCGCAGAGGTGCGGCTACTGGACGGACGCGTCGAGATGGAAGGGCCTGCTCTTTCCACCACTCCCTCCTCCAAACCCACTCTCTGCGCTGCGACCAGAGATTGCGAGGCTGTTGGCTAACATTCAGCCCTTTGGAAGCTCCGACCTCGACTGTGTCTCCCCTCTTTGCGCCGGCGGATCCAATTGCAAATCTCGCCCGTCACGCAATCCCACCTTCGTATCAGTCAGTCCGGAGCCGCGAATCCCAAAGCTGACGCCAACCCTCTTCCAATTTGTGGCTTTTCTGGGCTGCCTCTCCACAAGATCCAGAGCTCGTCAGTTCGCTGAAAAGCAACGCCGGACGCAGGGTCTATATAGCCCAGCCGCCGAGTGCGTATCGGTGCACTCTTGTCAAAGCTTGCCACGCTTGTCCTACTATAACAGAGCAATCGTAGGCCTTCCTGCTCCCTCGTTCTCTTGACTTGCCTTGTCCTAAAGCACCAAGCTCTGGTTGTCCCTTCTTGTTGCTCCAGCCATGGCGTCCACAAGCACCAAGGTCGCCCATGGGCTGGCCAAGGTCTTGGGCATCGACCTGCATTACCGCCACGAGACCGGCTCCGAACGTGTCACACGCGGCGAGAGCGTCTTCTCAATCGGTTCTGCCGACACATATGTCGAAGAAGAGCCAACTGCTTGGGAATGGATCCGCGATGTTACACCAAACGGCCAGGATCTCAAGCAATACTTCATCAACCTCTTCCCTTTTCTGAGGTGGATCACACGCTACAACGCACAATGGCTCATTGGAGATCTAGTAGCAGGTATGTTTACCCCTTCCTGGTCTTGCACGAAGATTTCTCACACATCCAAGGTATCACCGTTGGCGCTGTTGTTGTCCCGCAGAGCATGGCATACGCAAAGCTCGCTCAACTAGCACCTGAATTCGGCCTGTACTCGTCGTTCATGGGCGTGCTCCTATATTGGTTCTTCGCAACGTCCAAGGATATCACGATTGGTCCTGTGGCCGTGCTTTCCACCGTTACCGGCAATGTTGTCACCAAAGCTCAGGCCAAGATTCCCGACGTTCCCGCCGATGTCATAGCCTCATCACTCGCCATCATTGCAGGATCGATCGTGCTGTTCATCGGACTTATTCGTGCTGGTTGGTTGGTGGACTTCATCACACTACCCGCTATTTCGGCCTTCATGACCGGTTCTGCCATAAACATTGCCGCCGGACAGGTACCTGCAATGATGGGAATCACCGGCTTCTCTACGCGCGACGCCACTTACAAGGTGATCATCAATACTTTGAAACACCTAGGCCGTTCTAACCTGAATGCTGCTATCGGATTGACGGCATTGACAATGCTCTATGTCATACGCTTCACGTGCGGGCAACTTGCAAAGCGATACCCGAGCAGAGCGAAGACAATCTTCTTCATTAACACTCTCCGAACGGCCTTTGTTCTGCTCCTCTACGTTGCCATCAGCTATGGCATCAACAAGAATCACCGAAGCAAGCCGAGAATCTCAGTGCTAGGGAACGTACCACGAGGCTTCAAGCACGCTCGAGTACCTCACATCACGACCGAGATCATCTCGGCGTTTGCTCCTGAGCTGCCATCGACTGTCATTGTGCTTCTGATCGAGCACATCTCCATCTCAAAGTCGTTTGGCCGCGTAAACAACTACAAGATCGACCCCTCCCAGGAACTTGTTGCCATCGGTGTCACCAATGTCCTCGGTCCGTTCCTCGGAGCTTACCCTGCTACTGGGTCGTTCTCTCGTACCGCCATCAAGGCCAAAGCTGGTGTACGAACTCCATTCGCTGGTGTCATCACCGGTTTGGTCGTATTGTTGGCCATCTACGCACTCCCGGCTATGTTTTGGTACATTCCGAACGCTGCTCTTTCGGCTGTCATCATTCATGCAGTAGGAGATCTCATCACTCCTCCAAACACCGTGTACCAGTTTTGGCGGATATCACCATTGGAAGTCATCATCTTCTTCGCAGGTGTCTTCGTGACCATCTTCAGCAGCATCGAGAACGGAATCTACACCACTATCTCTATTTCTGCAGCTATCTGGGTATTCCGAGCTTTCAAGGCCCGTGGTCGTTTCCTTGGCAAAGCAAGAGTCCACTCTGTGATTGGAGACCATCTTCTTGATCCCACCGGCGAAGACAAGGAGTTCGGTGATAGGCCCGAGCGTCGCAGCCCGGCTGAAAATGAAGACTCTGTTCGGGATGTCTATCTACCGATCGATCACCACGATGGTAGCAACCCTGAGATTGCCCTCGAAGACCCGTATCCTGGTATCTTCATTTATCGTTTCTCGGAAGGCTACAACTACCCTAATTGCAACCACTATCTGGACGAGCTCACGGACACTATCTTCAAGAAAACTCGCCGTACTAACCCTGATAGCTATCCCAGACTTGGCGTAAGTTGACCATTAGTGATATGAGCATAGTAGGAGCTTGAGCTGACGTACGTAGGATCGCCCTTGGAACGACCCTGGCCCACGCCGTGGCAAGCAAGCAGAATCAACTGACCATCGTCCTACTCTCAAAGCCATTATCCTCGACTTCTCTTCAGTCAACAATGTTGATCTCACTTCGATGCAGAACATGATCGATGTACGAAATCAGCTCGACAGATATGTTGCTCCGGATACTGTCGACTGGCATTTCTGCAACATCAACAACCGCTGGACCAAACGAGCGCTTGCCGCTGCTGGATTCGGATATTATACGCCAGAGCCCGAAGGCTCGGTCATGACTCGATGGAAGCCCATCTTCAGTGTGGCCGAACTCGGCGGTAGCAATAGCGTCGCGGCAGATTTAGAGGCCAGGGAGCGCAGGAAGGCGTTGAGGGTAGCCGCGAAACAAGACGGTCAGCCCGACGACGACATTGAGGAGCACCAAATTTCTTCCTCCGATGAGGATTCGTTGGACAAGAAGCTCAGCCAAACCAAGGCGTACGGTCAATCCCACTCGAAGCCATCGAAGATTGCGGTGGTGCAGGGTTTGAACAGGCCTTTGTTTCATGTTGATATCACTGCGGCATTGAACAGTGCAGTCGCCAACGCGAACAGAAAGAGTCATTGAGATACCCCAGGTTTGAAGATGCCACTAGGTATAGGTTGCAGTATAGAGTCGCAACCGGTTTCGTGTACATAATTAGACAGTGGCCACTCAAAGCCACATGAAATGCTGCTTCGACACGTGGAAATTTCCGTTATCCTAGATGCACGGCCGCTGTGGAAAAGTGATGCCTTGTGATGTCGTGAAAGTGTGAGCGTAAAAGTGTAAATCGTAAAAGCAGCCCCACGTTGGTGCCCAAACAGGCCTAGCGGGCAGCACGGGCAGACGTGCGCGTACAGCATCGCATAGCTGTCCTTTACCAGCCGTGCCTCGCCCATTGTCTTTGCAGCTTCTTCCCAGCGCAGCTCTTCTCTTCTAGTGTATAACATGATACAGTGGCCCTAGCACTTACGGTGCACATTCCCTCTTTTCTTTTCGAACTTTTACTGCTCTTGCGCCGGGGAAACGCTACGCAAGCACCCATTGAAAGCGTCCCCGACTTTCTCGTACCACGCGCACCTTCTTGCACGAGCGTCCACCCTCGGCTATCCACTGCCTTCGCTCTGCGAACAGGAACCCATACCCTTCGAAAGCCTGCCGCCGGCACGATAAACCGCAATGCCTGCGAAGTCGCGCTTTGGGCGCCTCGATGCGTTCACCAAGACGGTAGAAGATGCGCGCGTACGCACGACGAGTGGTGGGATAGTGACGATTGGGAGTTTGCTAGTCATTTTGTGGTTGGCATGGGGCGAGTGGGCAGACTATAGGAAAGTCAGCGTGCGGCCAGAGCTGGTCGTGGACAAGGGACGAGGTATGCGAATTGCAACCGCCCGCGAAGGCTGCGCAGGAGCAAAGAACAGCGGCAGGCTGACACAGTCACAGGCGAGAAGATGGAGATTTCAATGAACATCACGTTTCCCCGCATGCCGTGCGAGCTGCTTACGCTCGATGTCATGGATGTCTCTGGCGAGTTGCAGATGGGCGTTTCGCACGGTGTCAACAAGGTGCGGCTGTCGCCTGAGAGTGAAGGGAGCCACGCCATTGAGACCAATGCTCTCGATCTGTAAGCCCTGTACTGTTGCAGTCACCGCGGGGCGCTAGCTAACACTGTCTTGTAGGCACAAAGACGAAGCTTCCCACCTCGACCCCAACTACTGCGGTGAATGCTACGGAGCTCCCTCCCCGTCTGACGCTCAAAAGCCTGGCTGCTGCAACACCTGCGACGACGTGCGGAACGCATACGCCTCCATCTCCTGGTCCTTCGGTCGCGGCGAGGGTGTCGAGCAGTGTGAGCGTGAGCATTACGCCGAGCATCTCGATGCCCAGCGCAAGGAAGGGTGCCGCCTGGAGGGCAGCATCAAAGTGAACAAGGTCATTGGCAACTTCCACATCGCGCCTGGAAAGTCCTTCTCCAACGGTAACATGCACGTGCACGACCTGGAGAACTACTTCAAAGACGATACGCACACCTTCACCCACAAAATCCACCACCTGCGCTTCGGCCCACAGCTGAGCGATGCTGTCATCACGGATATGCAGCAGAAGCACGCGAACACTGGACCAGGAGGTTGGACAAACCACCACATCAACCCACTCGATAACACCGAGCAACAGACGACCGAGAAAGCCTACAACTTCATGTACTTCGTCAAGGTAGTCTCGACTGCGTATCTTCCCCTTGGCTGGGAGAACGTTGTCCCAGGACGTGGCATGCACGAGAATATCCTCGGAGCTACTATTGACACGAACTACAAGGGTAGCATCGAGACCCACCAGTACTCCGTCACGAGCCACAAGAGGAACCTGGCAGGTGGCCCGGATGAGGAAGATGGCCACAAAGAGCGCATCCACGCTAGGGGTGGCATTCCGGGTGTTTTCTTCTCATACGTGAGTCTTGTGTTCCCAAACCATTCGCACTCCAACGATCCTAACAATCTGCGATAGGATATTTCTCCCATGAAGGTCATCAACCGCGAAGAGCGCGCCAAGTCCTTCTCCGGCTTCCTCGTTGGTCTCTGCGCCGTCGTCGGCGGTACCCTCACTGTTGCTGCGGCTGTAGACCGCATGCTGTACGAGGGTGCGAACAGGATCAAGAAGATGCACTCCAGCTAGTGCAATTGCAGCACTCCCCGGCAAGGTCTGTAACATCTTCTTTGATTCGTATGCATTGCAAGGCGATCGTGTATGGCGTTTGGCGTATGGCTGCCTCTGGGCTGCTCGAGTGTGGAGTTTATGTTGGCCATTTGCGCGTTTGTGTTCCGAGGAATTGGATGGGGAGCAATCGCGCCTCCGTGGAGGGACGGATGTACAGTCTATAGAGATGTGAAGAGGGACAGCATGGTCTCGGTCATGTGGTAGACGCAAATCTATATGAATATCTGGTCTTGGGCGCGTGCATACTCAGCCCTAGCAATCGCAGTTGGTACTATTTGACCTGGAGAAGGTTTTCATAGCCTTTCCGGCCATGTGTTCGAATAGTACGTGACATCAATACTTGATGATGACTCGAGGCTAATGGCGTTCTAGATAGCGTACGTCTCCGCGGAGGTTATGCTCGTGGATGCAAATTCTATAGCAAGCGGCCACTATACGCAACAGATCCTGAGGGGCACGCAAACTGGTTTCTCATACGAATCACTCATATGGAAGCCTTACTATCATCTCGGCAAGGCCACTGAGATAGTGTGCTGATATCTAGGAATAATTGCCTCCTATTCGGCCCGTCAGATGGACCCCGCTTCAGTCGTCTCGAGGCCCCCACCATGCCCACCATCCATACGCCCTAGGCCACCGCCTAAGATGAATTCCCGTATAACAATTGCTTGTTCTCCCATCCCTCACACTTCTCTGCGCCAGGTTGTTAAGCTCCAGTAACACCACGGACCAGCAATCATGTCATCCTCAACAATCCCCATCACCATCAGCCACCTCGGTACCCTGAACGTCGGCTACCGCATCTCTAACGATGCAATCGACGCTTCAAAACCAACGCTCGTCTGCATAAACTCTATGTGCATGACAACCGCACTGTTTACCCCCCAATTCGAGTCCCCAGAACTCAGCTCCGCAGTCAACATCCTCGCCATCGAGCCTCTCGGCCATGGCTCAACTTCCTTCCCCACAAAAGCAACCCACTTCACGTACTGGGACTCGGCAGCCGTAGCCCTAGAAGCCATGACCGCTCTCGGTGTGGAAAAGGCATTTCTTCTAGGCACGAGCCAGGGCGGCTGGATGGTCGTCCGCATGGCGCTGCTCGCGCCGTCGCGCATTCTCGGGCTGCTTCCTCTGGGCACAAGTATGGACGCCGAAACCGCCGAGACGAGAGAGAAGGGGTGCTGGGACCCGGTGCCGCTCTTATATCCCTTCGCAGAGAAGTGGACGAGTGCGAAGCCAACGCCGGATTTCGAGATTGACGACACGTGGTGCGGGATGGTGGCGAGCTTTGGCTTTGGCGCGCACGCAACAGAGGCGTCGACGGCATTCTGGACGCAGGTGCTCAAGGACACGTACAAGGGGGACGAGGGGCGCAAGAAGGCAAGGATGGCGGTGTTGTGTCTTCTGACGAGGGATTCGCTGAATCTTAGGCTCGCGGACCTTACTTGTCCTGTGCACTGGCTCCAGGGCAGTGAAGATGCGCCGTATGGGTGTGCGGTGCAGAAGGAGCAGATTGAGCTTTTCAAGGGGAGTGTGGAGAAGAAGTTGAGTATTGTGGAGGGAGGCGCGCACTATCTGAATGCGACGAATGCGAAGGAGGTGAACGAGGCGATATTGGCGATGGTGAAGAACCATGCGTGATTAGAGCGAGCATGCATGCGATAGTATGGGCTCCTAGAGGACAAGTAGATTGGTGGAGGCATCACGACATGAATTCGATTGGTACACCACTTCGCTTCGTTATGCTTGAATATGACGAGTCGCGAATGACTGCAAGAAGTCACCACTCCAACACTATAATCTCAGAGCAATAGTCCTCTACGTGCCTCGCTTGGTTGGTCTGCATCACTTATACCACGACTATATAACTCCCACTTTCCCAGCTTCTCTCACCAAATCAAACAAAAAATCATAATTGGTTTCTTTGAGCCGGGCTTCGAAGTGGCTTTTAGTTTTTGTCTTTTTCTCCGGTTTCTTCTTCACTTCTAGATGAGACGATGCGCCAGTCCAAATTCTGATCCTGCGTTGCAGCACCACTTGCAAATCAGAGCAAACGCTCGTATCAACGAGAAACGAGATTCATAACTCGTGATTTCTACTTTCTATTTCCAAAGCGGCCGATCCACGCCGCAAACATTGTACAAAACCCACCACTGAATGCCACAATCTCGAAGTCCCCCAATCCCCAAATCTTTGCTTGTATCCAGTACATGCGTACCTCTCCCTCAAGGCCTGCAGAGCGTCACCTACAACAATCTATTAGCAATTGGCCCAGATGAGTGAATGCGAAAGAGTAGCTAACCATTTCAGGCTCGTTCTGCATCTAGATCTGGACCTCGACGGCCTCGGGCGCCTCAACAGCAGCGGGAGCAGCCTCGCGGGTGCGGAGCCACTCGCGGGCCTTGGCTGTGAAGCCGACGGAGCTGACGTCGCGCCTGAGATGGTAATGTTAGCGAATGTTTCCCAGTAACTATGGAAGTGGAAGTGCGTACGAGCAAAGAGCACCGTTGATGCCGCAGGTCTTAGCCGTGGCGGCAGCAGCGAAGGTGAAAGCAACGATGACAGCGGAGAACTTCATTTTGACTGGGTGGGTGTTTGTTGGGTTTGGATTTGGAAAAATCGAAGAAAGTGGATGAAGTGGTGGTAGACTCGCTGGGAGTGAAGTGAACGTGGAAAGTAGTTGGAAGTGTTGGTAAGGAATGTATTGGAAGTGAATGTGGATGGGGATTCTAATCTGGCAGGCGCGAGCGTACGCTTTATACTCAGTGTGGTCGTGGGAGGTGTGCGTGTGTGTGCTATTTTCGGTGTACTGCGTGGTGGGGACGTGTAGGCTGCGCTGTGTAGGAGTAGCTGTATTTCCTGGAATTGATGTCCGAGTACCGAGCGTGCTCGTGAAACGTCATCTTCTGATGGATGTATTTCCGTTTACAGAAAGGACCTTTTGTGGGGTTTGGTCTGTGGGTCACGGCAGTGCAAGACTGTGCCGTCGGGCGTTAGCCTGTGTACTGAGATCGTGGATGTGCCTGTGCAGGACTGTTCTCCGGAGGCTGCAGGATGGTGCGGCGCCCATAGCTAGCTTTGCGACCGAATGCTCCGCTCTGCAAGCTACGTTCTATGCTTGCAAGAAACTATTGCTGGACTGAGTGGATGCATGCAATCCGCAGTGTCCAAAGCACCTTTTTGTTTTCCCATCAAAACGGGAAGGCAGTCTACGTGTAGGCAAATGCAATCCTGACTTTTGCTAAGGACTGTTCATAGCCCACTAAAGCGGATCACGATGGCCCCAGTAAAACGGCGGAGCGGGCAGTGTTGCACTGGGAATATGCGCAAGTCCCTCTGCCCAATCATGATACGCTGGCCACAGCCGAAGACAAGGCCGACCAAGCCGGGGAATTTGGGCCCCACTCGTCTATCCCTAGAACAGTAAACCCTCTCTCGCTTCGCCCCCAATCTAGTTGAAAAGCTTATGCGCGCTCGGCATCTACTGCCTCCTACTGTGGTACGCACGAGGGCCTTGCAACATTAGCGAAGGATTGCGTTCCGGTCGCAAGGTGCAGATTCGCTCACCATCAAGATACCCGGGTCCCGCTACGTCTGTACCTTTGTATCAGCTCGATCTTGTTCACGAACTCCGAACATTTGCTTCGCATTTGCTGAATGGAGGAAGAGAGTCTACCATAACTGGAAGTCACCTACCATGTTAGTATCAGAACTTTGGCTCATTCCATCTTGGATCCTCCCTGTCCACACCTGCAGCATCTTACGGTGATTTAGACACGCTACCAACAAGTGCGACGATATGGACTTCGCAAACACGTACCATAATCAGCAAAACACTGGACGGTACAAGTGCATTCCGTAGCAATTGCTCACCTGGGCCACGCATGTTGCCACTGACGGTCATTCTCACGGAGAAAGGCACAATGCGTACATACTCTGGCGAGGGCACCCGCATCGAACGACGGACATTACACCATGGCCTCCATGGGAGTACGAAACATTCCGATCAAGCTACCAGGCGTAGCGCCCCTATGTTATAGAAGCGTGGTAGAGAATATCATGTAAAGATGGACATGCTTTGAGTCCGCTTCTATCCACAATCTTTTCGTTTTCTGTTTTCCTGCTTTGCCGCTCAATTTTGCGTAAACGTTCTTTTTCTTATTTTTATTTTTTGCTTTGAGGATTGTATCCTCGTCCCGTCTTTGGTCTTGTGCTTGCATTCTAATTCACTCTTTATATTTCCCACAATGGCTGGCCATGGCAGCGAATGGAGCCTTTCGAAGGGAGCCCTCCCTATCTTTCTATCTATCATGTGGCCCTTCACATGTCTTATCGTTGTTTCATTCCCAAACTACATCAATCGATGGATGGGCGTGTTGATGGTGCTGGCTGCCGGACTTGCCGCGTGGAGAACCGCCACTGACCTTTCTCCCGACGGCACATTGAATGAGATGTATGTGCGATACATCTTGATTGGTGGTTCACACGCTCTTGCTATGGCATATAAGAACCCTCTTACTGAAGAGGTCCCGAACGCTCTCGAACCAAGATATGTGAAAGCATCTTGGAATCCTCTGTATAGAGGCTGGAAGACCGTCTTCAACGTCCGCGGCATCGGAACGACCTGGGAGAACCCGTACCTTTGGCCCGATATCAAGTACACCTGGCAAGCCCAGAAGCCTTCCACGAAGGTCAAAGACCGGGACGTTAAGCTCCTCACCACGCGCCACAACCTCACTGCGCGCGGAAGATGGTCAGGCGTTGCCATCCGCTGCGGATACCTACTATTAAACTTCTTTCTCCTGGCAGCATACTACGAATTCATGGATCCGCAAATACTGTTCAGTATCCCGCCTTCATTGTCCGATTACACACGCGATAAGGAAGGCGTCGTACGGCGCCTACTGCAGACTGTCCTAACGAGCAGCGGCCCAGCGACGCCAGTGACGATTCGCGAGTTCCAGCTCCGCGCCCTGGAGGCGTTCGACAAGGTCGTCGGCGACTTCCTTCTCATCTCTCTTTACCACGACACGTGCGCCGTGGTCTGGATGTCCCTCGGCCTTGACGAATCGTGGGAATGGCCTCCGCTCTACGGCAGGATCCGGGAGGCGTACAGCATGCGCAGATTCTGGACAATGTACTGGCATCGGACGTTTTACAAGTCGTCGAACAGCCACGCGGCGCTTATCTCGACGCACGTCCTTGGCATCAAGAAACGCACGGTATTTACGAGGGTTCTAAATGCATGTCTGGTCTTTGGGATCAGTGGGGTTATGCATTCGATGGTGGAGACAAGGCTTGGGCATCCGTGTGCGTGGGGAAGGAACATGTGGTATTGGGCGCTACAGCCCGTTGCGTTTGTGCTGGAGGGCGTGGTACAATTTTTTTGGGGGAAGGTCAGGAGGAGGATTGAGGGGCCTGGTGATGCTTGGGCGTTGAATGCGTTTGAGAGACTTGTGGGATATTCTTGGGTGTGCGCATGGTTGATCTGGGAAGCCCCAAAGCATTCATTCCCACTCATTACTTGTTCATAGTACCAAGGATGCATCGACAGTTTTACAAATCTTGCAGCTGGCTGAGAACTTTGAGGCAGGAGTTACTCGGGGTGCGGCATACGTGAGCTCACCAATATCGGGGCCTCAGCATCTAGTTGAGCATCAATTGGCGATCACGATGATGGAGAGTCGATATCCGTCTACCATTAGTAATTATTTACGTCGCAATTCTAGGTACAAGAAGGGGTATCTATTCGGTACTTAGGCTCATAGCATGAACACTGCAGCAAGCGCGCCACCAAGAGCGAACCCTCCCATCTTGACACTGGATGCAGCTCCAGGGGTTGCGGTCGGCGAAGATGCAGATCCCGTCTTTGAACCAGAGACGTTGCTTGAAGCCTCAGCGTTACCCGTCTTCGTACCGGAGGCACTGCTTGAAGTCTCGGCGTTACCCGTTTGCGACAGCTTCTCCGCGCCCGCCGTGATCGTAACGGGGAACATGACAGACTTCAATTCCTCCCCGCCCAGCTTGGTAGTCGACGATTGAGCAGTCATCTGGGCATTATACTCGCTCAAGATGGATGGATCGACCGACCCAGTCACGCTAGGGATGGCTGAGTAGGTACATTCGGCAGTGGTCGTACCGCCGAGGCTGCAAGCCCATCCGTAGTTAACCACAATGGGGGAACCCGATTCCTCGGGCATAACGGTCGACATGACAACGGTCTTTGGGCCCTGAGTAATCGTCATGCCTTCCTCAGGCATGCCGCAATCATTGCTGTCGGTACCGGACGGGCATGTAACGGCGAGGGTCGTAAGGGCTGACTTGACCTCGATAATGGAGCCCACGAGAGTCATGTTGTCGGCGCCTGGGACGAGAACTGAGAGGATGGTGCCAGTGGCCTTCGCGGCGGCGGAGCTGGGGGTGGTGGATTGCGCCGAGACGGCGACGATCGCGCCGAAGAGGGCGGCAATGGAGGTTTTGGCGTACATTATCGATGTAGTTGTTATTGAACGTTAACGAATGAGTTGATAGTTTGTTGAAAAAGAATGTATGTCGTTAACGAGTGTATGTACGCGTGAAAAAGCGACGATATGTACTGCGAACCGAAGAAGAGTGGCAGCGAGATGAGAGGGCCATCGTGCCTTTTGAGCGCTTCGCGTAGGAGTCGATAGCGGGTGCGCTAAGCGTGAAGTAGTTCATGCGACCTAAAAAGGGGACCTGCCTTTCCCCATGTCGGGCTTAACCGAGGACATCAGGCCAATGATAGTGCCGCCAGGAGCCGGGGTCTGTCTCGCCTTCTTCCCTCAGTCAGGCTTCATTTTCTTTCAGCGTTCCTTTGTGTTTTGCCTCAGGTGGAATCTGGTCGAAGGTCTGGAACATCCTGACCGAACAACCGGGTTTCGCCTACATAGTGTTTGTTCTCATTCGCGGAGAGATGGCTGTATACATAGGTATTGCGATTATTGCCGATTCATTCTTAACATAGGTTGCGAAGGCAGCAGCTGGCTCTGTTCTGGGGACTTTCTAAGCACGCCGTGTGTAACACGTAGTCAGTCTCAAATGATCGCTGCGCTGAGATTGAAGTTAAAGCTGAAGTTTACTCCTTCGGGGGGTTTTCCAAGCTTTTGTCGAATTGTAGGCTGCGTCTCGGCAGGTTCCCTCTTTCTCCAACCGCTCTAGACTGCCTCGAGCTCTTAGTCTGAGACCAACACTAGTCTCAAGCATCTCTCCTAGAACTTGACATAATTGTGGCAATAAAGTCACGTCCAGCTTCACGAGATGCAAGTCAATCAACCATTGTCAAGGCTGTGCGCAAACCGAAGAACACAGCTAAAGAGCATCGTGCACGTATTCTTGTGCTCCGTGCCTTTTGTCGCTCATGATGGCTCCTCAAGTACACTGCATTGCGTAGGGCTGGAAGCAGGTGGGAAACCGACCGGTTCTCGTCAGGCGTTCCAGAGTATGCTAGGTACCTTCACCACTCAGAAGAGATCTTGGCTGAGCGTGAAGCGCAGCTTCGTGCAGACCGAGTTGCTTTCCTCCGTGAGCAAGAAGCTATCGAGGTTTTGCGCAAACAGCCCCTTCTCAATATTTTTGAGGCTGACAATTGCTTGCCCGAAGAACCATCTTTCATGGACGACGGCTGCTGCAAGGAGGGTACTGAAACAGCCCCTCGCAGCTATACGACCTCAGTAGTGAACTTCACTTTGAAATTCCTGTACAAAGAGAAGTTCATGCGGAAGGTCGCGGCTGCTACGACTGAGGCCGTTCGATTCAAGCTGTGGGAGATGCAAGGAGGTAAGGGTCAGATATTAGATCAAGCACGGCTATGATATCGAAGAGCGCCATGACGAAGAGTGGCAGGACCCGTGGGCCTTTGATGCTACCAAATCATATGACGCTGCTGCTGCTGTCGCACCGGACTCAAGCTGGTAAACTATTGCGTTCGTCAAGGGACATCGTGGGCGATCTCGTCCGCGCCGCATTATATAGATTGCAAGATAAGTTATAAATTAAAGCAGTAATTCGGATCACCTCTTGCCCAGAGATGACGTATACACTCATTGGAAGTGCTGCAGGACATCCGCTGCCGGTATAAGTCCTGCGATCAGAGCACGACTCTCACCACTAGGTAGTGAACCGTCCGTTCTAAGCATTCGGATCGTCAGCTTGAATGTGCACGTGGAAGAAAATGGCAAACCTCACCCATGCTTTGATACATCTCATTAGCGACACCAATGGAATCTCATCTCCAACCCGCACCCATGTGCCGTCTCACTGAAATCAATGCGCCACCCCCGAATACCCAAACAACCCACAAAATGCGGCGTCCTCCATACCCCATCTCACACAACGACACAGCCCCGCTTTTGCCCACCGACCTCATTGGCCATTTCGTAAACAAGCACTCTCCCTCGCCCAACCGCCGGACCACCGGGCCCACCATCATTTCTGGCCCACTTTTTACAAGATCGGTAAGATAGCGCACAAGCCCCTGAAACGAAACAAGCCAGCGCGCACGTGCCCCGATGCCAGATCAGGTCGTTGATGTCACGACGACGCACTTGCAGCAAAGTCCCAGACAAACGCGGTGCGACGCACCCAGCACGTAAGGGGGTCCATGATGCTGTGATGAGGGTGGTGGCTGGCGCGGGGACCTGCGCTGGTACCGTACGTCAGTGGAGAATAGGGGAAGTCTGGGGTACATATGGAGAAGGTGGATTGGGGGTTTCTGGACATGTATCAAATTGCGAGACTTGTGAGCTGCGCTGGTACCAAACGTAGTTTATACTTGATCAAACCTATACCAATTTGGATACGAAGAGCGTTTTCACAAGTCAGCTGATAAAATGCCGTCTAAAGATGAAAAGTATACGGATCCTGAGCTGAGGAACGAAGTCAAAGAAGAGATTCAGGCGAGTGACAAGGGCGGTGCGCCAGGTCAATGGTCGGCACGGAAGGTATGTTGTTGAGGTACAACCTACTCTATCAAAGCACCCAGCTGACGTATTGTAGGCTCAGATGATGGCTTCCGAATACAAGAAGCGCGGAGGCGGATACACTACCGACAAAAAAGACGAGAAGGCGCAGCATCTCGACAATTGGACGGAGGAGGATTGGCAGACCAAGGAAGGCGGTGGCAAGGCCAAACAGGAGGACGGCACCGAAACGCGATATCTCCCGAAGAAGGCGTGGGAGCAAATGAGCGAAGCGGAGAAGGAGGAAACGGACCAGAAGAAACAGCAAGGAAGCAAAGAGGGCAACCAGTATGTTGCGAATACATCAAAAGCTAAAAGTGCGAGGAAACACGCGAGTAAAGATACGGAGAATGCAAATGGAAAGCCCAACATGAAGGACGCACAGAGCTGCACTCATCACTGGGAAGACGAAGAACATTTGAAGAACGGCCAGAAAGCATATCAAGAGTTTAAAGAACAGAACAAGAAGGACGGGGCTGCATCGGTGGAGGCCCAGTCCGATTCGGGGTCTGCGCACAGTGATGACCAGGAGCATCCGACACCCAAGAAACGCGGACGCGGAGCGAATGCATCAGGGTCCAATAAGAAACAGAAGACGAGCGGTGGTTCCGACGAACGCAACGGCTCTGCGGGGGACAAGAATCCTGCGGGAGACAAGAATCGCGTACCCCAAGTTGGACAGAAAGTGCAGTGGAAAGCTCTACCAGGTTATGTGGACGGAGAGGTTGTAGAAGTTGCGTACGAAGAGAAGACCGTCGAGGGGAAGGCGGTCAAGGCAAGCAAGGAGGACCCACGCATCGTGCTCAAGAGCAGTTCGTCCGGCAAGATAGCCGTACACAAGCCGGAAGCTGTCTATTTCAACTAGTGGTAGAATGGATAAGGTTGTGGCCGTCGGCGGCGCTATGTCAATGGGAGGGTCCCAATGTGGGTGCACGTTTTTGTCCAGCGTAGATAGCGAGGGCAAGCGGGAGCTGGCGCAGTGCATCCGGCATCCGGTGTCTGTCAACGTGCGTTGGCGTGCTGCGGCGTCGTATTGTGTGTGCTGTATGCAAGTGTCATAGGATTAAAGCTTACCGAGTTTTTCGCGTGCAGTGTGCAGTCTCGTGCAGCGTGGCGATTATCGACAGGCACGGGCAGGTCGTCTGACGGTGGTTAGAGCAAACTTGGGAATAAGGGTGACGGTGAAGGCCCGATGGCTCGCAAGAGCAGAGCAGGGAGGGCGTCCATGGTTAACGAGTGGCCTCGTCAGCTCCCGCCAGCCCGTTCCCCAGGTCTTGGAAGCCGAATGGGAATGGATGGCTGCGGAAGTGTCATAGGGCCCCACCGCGCCAGAGTAGGATGACGGCAGGGTGGTCGGCTTGGTGCATTAGCGGACTGTGGATTACTACGACAGCCGACGGCCCAGCCAGACTTCAGTTGCTGCATCATTATTGCTGCAGGACGTCGAGAAACGGTTGTGCAGGGTCACTGGTACTACGTCCAGAGTAGCAGTCATGTCGTGCAACGTGTAGCGAGAATCGGCAGACTCAGGGAGAGGGGTCAAATGAGCGAGAATGGCATCGCCGCCCAGCGTGGGGCGGCCAGTGGTGGTGAACGTCGTGGGAAGGAACGATGCTGGAGAAGGGCAGCAGCCGTCGTTCTACTGAACTGTGTAGGCAGACTGATGCACCTTGGCGCCCCTGAGCTGAGCCCGCGGCGGCGGATCGTCTCGCAACCAAGGTGGTGTTGGTGTTGTTGGAACGACCCCCGACGCTTCGTGCAGACGGCCTGGGTCATGCGCGCCGCGGGGGTGGAAGAATGAATGCTGATGCCGAGCTTGGGCACGGTAGGTCTCAGATGGCCGGCGCGACAGGGCATTCCCCACGTCTCTCGCGGAGAGCGAGCTGCTGGGTGGCAGAAGCAGCAGGGTGAAACGGGCTGGAATGTGCAGCAGGCGGCCGCGAAGAGCACAGCGAGCCCTGGGCTGCGTGGAGTGGAGACCGCGCTGGGCCGCCCAGTGCCAGCGTGTGACGCGCCGCTGTGTGTGGAGCCTCGCAGCGACCAGGGCGAGCGCCAATCAGCGCCGACATGCACGCCTGCGCTTTGTGTTTCCTCGACCCCTCCCAGTCGTCCCGTCTGCTGCTGCTCACCACGCCCAAATTTTCCAGACGCGGTCCTGCCGCTTGCACTGCACTCCACCACGCCTCAATCGCTCCGCAGGCACGCGATGCGGCTCCTCTAGCTGTCTGCCCGCCGCGGACACGCTGTGCTCTCACCGCACCGCACTGCAGAGGACCCCCCCGTCTGCCAGCGCCGCCAGCTTGCCGGCCCACGCACCGCGAGAGAACACACGCAGCCCTCGCCGCATCCACCCACCATGGTCCTGGTCGCCGTGTCCATATAGCCCATCTACACCTAGCCCGCGGGCAGACGTCGCGTCGCGTCACGCCATTCACTACCGAAGCACCTCTGTCTTGAGAGAAGGCTGCAATGGCCGACGAAGCAAAGCCGCCGACGCTGGCCCCGCCAGCCGTGACGGCGCTGAAGAAGGAAGCCGCCGCCAACCTCATGCAACGCGTCCAGATGGAGCGAACCGTCAGCGAGGACATGCGGAACGAGCGCGAGGACCTCAAGGAGGCTGCCGAGCACAGCATGAACGTCATCATGGACTTGGGCTTGGACGGCAAGATACGCTATGTCAGCTCCTCGTGGAAGGACGTGGTCGGCACCACCCCCGAGGACGTCGTGGGGAAACCCGTCTCCGACCTGCTGCTCGAAAACCCCAACCAGTTTGCCGACACGGTGGAGTCCATCAAGCAGGACGACTCCCGCAGCCATATCACGCGCTTTTCCATGCGTTTAGGGCCGCTTTCGCTGTTGAGACGGAAGCGTTCCAAGCAGTCCGAGTCCCAGCAGCAGCAAGAATGTGCCCTCGAGACCCCACCAAGCGAGGAAGAGGAAGAGCAGATTATCAATCTTGAGGCCCAGGGCATCATGGTCTACGACCGGACGACTGGCGAAGAGAGCCATGTGAGTGACATCTTACCACTCTACTCTGACCATGCTAATCTGCTTAGACCATGTGGATGATCCGACCTGCCGTCGTTCGCGAGGTAACCATTGACCTTCCAGAAGTGTTGGTGGAGTCGCTCGGAGTTGGCGCTGAGATGCTCGCACATTACCTCACTGGTCTAGCTGAAACAGCTGCCAATGATCCCGGTAATCACCCACCGCCTCTACCTGTCCTTTGCCGCATTTGTGAGCGCCAGATCACCCCATGGTGGTTCGAGAAGCACACCGACTTGTGCCTGCAGGAGCACCGCGCCGAGATGGACGTGCAGATGGCGCAAGAGGCTCTCGCTGAACATCGGAACGCTATCGTCCGGGTGCTCGATGCCTTGGAAGCGCAATCGCGGCCTACAAGGGCGACTTCTACCGAACTAGTCCAGCCACCGCAGCCTGCCGAGTACAAGGGCGCTATCATTCAGCCCACTTCGACGCCATCGTCCGGGACACCTTCAGGACGGAATTCACCAGCTTCCCCGCCCGCAAGGTCACGGGAGCGATCAACTGGGTTTGGCCACCATCGTGCACGGTCGTTCGCTGTACGTCGTCCGTTGGCTCGCATCGTGGAGCTCGTGCTCGACCTTTGCGATACTGCTGTCGAGATCAATACCCCTGCAATCAAAGATAGTGCGCGGTCACAGTCCGTAGCCGAGATTCGTACCCAGTCTCCTCAATCCGAGAACCGTATATCACAGGTTCTGCAATGGCAGTCACCTACAGCTGGTTCAACCGATCACTGCGAGGGGCTGAAGATGCTCTGTGAAGATACGAGCAAGTTGGCGAGGGCGAAAATTGATGCCATCTTCCGTCACCGCCGAATTCTCGAGTACTCCGAGCGTATCCGGGTGGAGTTCGATCTGCTCGTCCAAGAGTGCATAGAAGCCGCCATGGACAAGGCTGCTCGTATTGCCGCGGGAGAGGATAGCTCATCCGACGACGAGCAACGGCAAGATGAAGAGGCTGCCCGTGAAGCATCAGATTTTCCTACAGGCGAGGAAGGAATTTTCCCGGGTTCATTCGATGCACCTTCAGCAATGGCCCAAGCTCTGCGCAATGCTTCTGATCCGTCTTTGTCGGCCCGGCTCAGCCGGAGAGAGTCGTCAGTGGCAGGGTCGACCAGGTCAAGCAGCCCTTACGGAGGTGCCCTAACGCCGCGTTCGCATGCCGGAGCAATCACTATACCCACCCAGAGCAAGAGACAATCCATGCATTTCGAAAGCGATGCCGGTGCGGAAAGTGACAGCAGTATGAGGTCCTCGGTGCTGTCAGGTCCTAGACGCGCGGAGTCTCCCTCGTCCGAGCTTGGTCTAAGTAGAATTGCAAGCTCGAGAGAGCGGAAACGCAAGAGCCTCATCCTACCCTCAGTCATGTCAAACAGCCGACAGCATTCTCCAGCACGGCAATTGATCACTCCTTCGTCACCACTTCGTATGAGCAAGCCGCGTTTACCCAGCGGGGTGGAAGCCTTGCAATCCCCAATAATGTCGCCTGTGTTAACCACAACGGAGTTCTCTTCGCCTGCTATAGGCCCAATCCATCATCACCGTCGACAATCATCGACCGCTGGGTCCGATGGTCCCCGAGCGATCTCCCCCCGACTAGCACCGGTCAGTCAGCCACAGCCACGTGCAGTGCCGCCTTCGATCAAAGATTTTGAGATTGTCAAGCCTATCAGCAAGGGAGCTTTCGGCAGCGTCTATCTCGCCAAGAAGAAGTCGACTGGAGAGTACTATGCAATCAAGGTCCTGAAGAAGGCTGACATGGTTGCGAAGAATCAAGTCACCAACGTCAAGGCGGAAAGGGCCATCATGATGTGGCAGGGTGAAAGCGATTTCGTTGCCAAGCTTTATTGGACTTTCTCCAGCAAGGATTATTTGTACCTGGTCATGGAGTACCTCAACGGCGGCGATTGTGCTTCGTTGATCAAAGTTCTTGGATCACTGCCTGAGGACTGGGCCAAGAAGTATCTGGCAGAAGTCGTTCTTGGTGTTGAGCATCTTCACAGTCGTAGCATTGTTCATCGCGACTTGAAGCCAGATAACCTTCTCATAGATCAGAAAGGCCACCTAAAGCTGACTGATTTTGGTCTTTCACGGATGGGTCTGATCGGTCGTCAGAAGAGAGCTCTCACCAACAAGTCCGCTGAGCCGGTCCCGGATCTGTTGAAATCTGGGCCTTTCCATCGCGCCGTCTCCATAGGCTCTTCGCGTTCTGCATCATTTGATCTGAACCCATCTCCATCGCAGACACCGAGCATGACACCAGCGCTAGCAGGAGATCTTGGCCAGCCATCTTATTTCAGTTTGAATCGCGAGGCAGCACCCCGTGATCCGTCAAGAAGGACATCGGGTAATAGGAGTGATAGTGGAGACAGCGACGCATTACAGGCAATGTTTCGCCGCTTTTCTATCATGGAAGACCATGGTCAGTCGCGACGGTCGCCAATTGAGGAAGAGGCGTACAGCGACGAAGGTTCCCCGGATCTATACCCCTTGGCACATACTATCAGCCATTCGGCTGCTGCTCTAAACAATACGCCGCCGCTGCCTTCAGCTATGCCACCTCCGCCTATGGCTCTCTTCGACCCCGAGGACAACAACCGTCGGTTTGTCGGTACTCCTGACTATCTGGCGCCTGAGACGATCGCTGGCAGTGGCCAGGATGAGGTCAGCGATTGGTGGTCTCTGGGTTGCATCCTGTTCGAGTGTCTTTATGGCTACCCTCCGTTCCATGCTGAAACACCTGATGAAGTCTTCTCGAACATCCTAGCTCGCAGGATTGACTGGCCGGAGAATGACGAGGACTACGGAATCTCTGACGAGGCTAAAGACCTCATGAACCGTCTCTTATGCATTGATCCCGCTAAGCGACTTGGTGCCAACATGGAAGATAAATTTGCTAGTGGTGGTGAGGAGATCCGCAACCACCCGTGGTTTGCAGATGTAAACTGGGAGAGCCTTCGCGATGACGAGGCATCTTTCATTCCAGCACCCGAGAATCCTGAGGACACTGAGTACTTCGACACTAGAGGGGCTGCCATGGCGAACTTCGCACCAGAGTTCGAAGATAATAGCGCTTCTCCAGCAGGCACACCTAGTCAGGATTATCCAGACCGACCCCACGACGCTCTGTCCCGCGTCCGTTCACAGGTCAGTGTTTCCACAATGAAACGCGGCCTTATCCCATTACACATACCTGCGCATGTCCGCGAAGGAAGGTCAAGAAGGCTTAGTGAACCCATGGTCACTGATGACTTTGGTAATTTCAGCTACAAGAATCTTCCAGTGCTAGAAAAAGCGAACAAGGATGTCATCCAGAAGCTACGCGCTGAAGCAATGCAGTCGCAGAACAAACCAAGCTCTGCAGTGCAATCCCCAGGCGTGATTTCGCCATCACCATCTCTAGAGTCAAGTCCGATGGTCCCTGGCCAACTCAAACGTACGCTATCATCGAACAAACCCACGGGCCGTCCTTCATCGCCATCTATCAGCGGCCCCAACTCTTCCCCAAGTCGGGGATCTCAGCCTTCGTCTCCACTTCTGGTGCAATTCAGCACTGGTCAACATCACGAGCGACGTAAGACTTCAGCCAGCAGCTCATCAACGTTATCGCATTCAATCAGCAATCCAACATCGCTTCAGCCTGGCAGCTTCTTCGAAGGTCCGCGTCTGTCTTCCGGGTTGCGTCCCTCTCCTGAGGCTATATCACCTATCAAGCTGGTCAAAACACCTTCCGGGATGTCAGCCTCGTTTTCTGAAAAAGGTGGTTCAGGTCAACGTCAAAGCTCGTTCGGACAGACAAGCGTACCTTCTCCTCGCACACGATCACAGACCATTGGCTCTCAAGAAGGAGATGTAGTCCGAGATCTACTCCCCAGTCACCACAAGCGCAGAAGTCAAGTGCTCGATGTCTCGCCTTCATCATCCGACACTGAGGACACTCGTGCCAAAGCCCTTCTCCGTGTCCAAAGGCGAAGGCAAAGCTCTCGGCGTCTGTCTCAGATATCATTCGCAGATGGGCCGATGTTTCGACCACTGGATGTCTTAGTATGCGAAGACCATCCTGTCTCACGCTTGGTCATGGAGAAGCTGCTCGAAAAACTGCGATGCCGCACTCTCACCGTCACGAACGGTTCGGAAGCTGTTCGCTATGCTATGGGCGAGGTGAAATTTGATATCATCATGATGGAGTTCAAGTTGCCTCAAGTCAACGGTGCAGACGTGGCACGCATGATCAGAGATACGAAGAACGCCAATTCCAACACCCCTATCGTTGCAGTGACCGGTTATCTCAAGGAGCTGTCAGCTCCACACCATTTCGATGCGCTCATTCAAAAGCCTCCTACGATCGCAAAATTGTCGGACACTCTAGGGAAACTCTGCCAATGGAAGGCTCCCCCACCGAATTGGACTCCTGCATCCAGCAATTATCCATCGATGATGCCTTCCAGCCTTCGCCAAGAGTCGTCTCGACAAGAGGGCAGTCCTACCTCAAACTCTTCGAGCTTCCCGCCAGTGCCCTCGGGTAGCTACCGCGGATCCAGTCGCGAGGACTCGATCAGCTCGAGCTTTTTCGGCGACAACGACAGTCGAACTGGAGACGACATCCCTGTCGTAATCGCGCGTCACAACACTGACGATTGGCGCGAGCGTGATTTAGCTCGAGAAATGAGTGGCTTAGGCATCTCCGAGGATGCAGCTAATGTCGATCCCCTCGCGGGGCAGAAACTGGCAGTTCCGCATGACCTCGCTTCTGCTCCGGCTGCTATTGAAGACCCGACGATCCGACGTCAACCCTCCGCTGAGCTAGTCGGAGCTAAACGACGGGTCATTGGGACACGCAAGCACGAGTCCGCTGAATCAGGTGATGACGAAGACGACGAATTGGGTAACGTCAACGTCCGCGCGAAGAGCCCCAAAACACGTCCAAAGTCATCTTCCAAGCTCGGTATCGAGATGATGCGAACGAATAGCAGGGGTAGCGTCATCTCCGTGGAGAACATACCAGTAGACGAATCGCTACTGCCGTCTTCCCCGCCTCCAGCCATATCAGAGGATCGCACTGCCGAAGAGCGCGAAGACGCGTTCCATGTTCCTAAAGCCACGCTTACACCGCCTGAGATCTTCCCGCGTGCGCCCGGACACAAAGTCGAAGAGATAGAGATCGACATGGGAACCCCGAAAGCGAACCAGAGGCAGGGACAGGAACGGGATCCCGACCCTACCCCGCGTGCCAACACTTCGCCTAGTCTCTAGACAGGTCCTGTGTTCGATCTTCGTCTCCGATCAGTTGTTGTATCTGCCGAGTACCTCTCTTACCCAATTTGTTCCCTTTACTTGTTACCTTCCTGTTCTGAGCGCGGTGTTGGGGTGTTCCTAAAGCTAGTGCAGCTAGGAAACATGTTCTGACTTTGTTTTGTTTTCTTCTGTTCTGTTTGGCGCCTCGGGTGGGTTCGCTCGGCGCTCTTGCATTTACACTGCAGCGCTCCCAAAGCGAATCGTTTTGTTCACAACGGCATGTGCATAATTGGTGTGCAAGCAGATGTCGATTTTGAATCTCGAAATTGCACTTCGCTTCAAAGCCTGGTCGCTAGGCTAGGCTTGTGATATATTGTCCTGACGTTCACCTTCTTTCCTATGTAGATGCGTATGCGCGCCGGATTTTCCTTTATCAGACTGGGATGCGGATGGAATGGGCGGCCAAATTTGTCATTCGTTTGTGCTTTTGCGTTGTTCTGCTGCTTTGCTTGCTGTATACCCGGTGGAATTGGACGAAGAAATGGTTCGCTCGTCGGGTTGCATCAGACTGTCACTCGCTTTTCCTTTTGTCTTACTCCGCTCGCTTTCTGTACTTTCCGGCTGTGTTGATGGCATCACCGCTCTTTGCAAACTTGGTTTTATGGAGGAAGTTCTAGATGGGACTGGTGATGGGTGGTGGGATTGGATAGGAATGAGATTTTTTCACGTTGTGAACTGATTTTGTGCGTATGATATGTTCAAGTGAGGCTTTGGAGTTGTGATGTGCGTAGTTTGGCCGTGTTTTCTCACGAGCTCGTATGTAAGAGTATCATGCACGCAACCTCGTGCGGAGTTTGCAGTCTACCACAGTGGCTGACACCAAAATTGTGAAGAGGGCGCAGCTCGTCCTGTATCAGCTCAGGCTACTATGCGCTTATTATACAGCAAGTCAGCATCGATATTCACAATGGGAGCGGCCTCTAAGGAATCCCAATTTTGTGATCGGCCACCGTGTGCCAAAGCCCAGTTGCGACTACAAGGTCCTCGGGTACTTTGTGATCGCCGGGGCAAGATGCTGTAGGGTACCAAACGCTTGGATCAGCCAACGGTTTGACCAACCTTCTTGGACAGGTCCGAATGCACCGGGGAAACATGCTGCATTGTACACTGGTAAATGAAATAGTGAGTGCACATTCAACATCATCGAGCCCCAGCTCGCCTCACAAGAGATTTGACTACCAACATCCCCCCTATATGGTTGAGTGGTGATGATGTATGCTTCCAGTCTACTTACCGCTAATAAAGATCAAGAGAATAGCCATGTGAAGATCGATCGTGGTTCAGGTACATTTCAAATCGATCGCAGTCGCGAGGTGAGACAGTGAGACGAAAACTTGACGCTGCTGCAGGATGAATACAGTATACATTTGCTCTGAGCATAACAGGAATCTTACATGACTGCTTCAATCGAAATTCTAAAAAGGCTGTGTGATCGATCGGAGTCAGGTTTAGGTGGGTGGACATACACGGCTGCGCGTCTCACACGGTTCGTGAGTGAAAGATGAGCCTTGGCGATCCTCAGGCTATCTGGTTGCAGACCTTTCGTTTTGTGCATCCTGTTCTTGCCGTGGCGTTGGTACTGTGGCTATGTACTATGCTCCTAGTGCACATTGATCTGCTATAGCTTCGGTGTCGTCTATGTACTTAAGAACCGCCCACCGTAGGTATCTTTACGTGCAGTATGGCCGGTCACTACTGCATACCCCGTCAACACTCTTTGCATACAGTAGCGCTACATGTCCTTCACGATCGACGGCCTTGTGGAAACCATGGGAAAGTTTTCCCTCATCTCCCGCCGAAGCGTCACCCGACATGACGCGGGGTATGCTGTAGGTCTATGTGATAACTATGTCTTAGTTTGGTACTGACATACATCGGGTACGCCAGGAATCTGCGGCTCTCACCGCTGCTCCGCCTACCTACCGGGCTGCGGGTACAAGTCAATGCGAGAAAAGGCAGGGTATTGTATGTTTCAGCGCCTTTGCTTCTGCAACACACGCCACAACCTCCCTGATGGGTTGCATCAACACGAGCGGGCGGTCACTATCGGATTCTTCATCGTCATGGAAGATTCCAACAAGGCTGATTTGAGAGGTCATGCAAAGGGGATATATACACCTTATACGCCTGGCTTTATCTAAGAAGGGATTTTTATGTGTCGAGATTGTTGTTGAACCGCGTTTCCTTTTGATTGAAATTTTTTTTTTTTTTTTTTTTTTTTTAAAAAAAATCTCTGTTCGTCTTTCACCTCTCTCAACCAAATGCATGTTCTAATCACACATAACTCTCACATATGCGCCTAAATAGTCGTAGTTGTCTGTGTAAACCAAGGCTCAAGAATCGAAGTACCGCAATCGAAAAGGACGTCGGTAGCTTTGGAATTAAGGAGGCTGTTTTCAAGATTAGTCTCTATGCAAGTGCGCTAGTCAACGATGTGAGTTACTTACACTTCGAGGTGTGATCCGTTCTTGAAAACGCCATTCTGGGACGGATGAACAACTTGAAGATGTAGCAGAATATTCAAGAATATTGGAAAATCTGAACCCTCGTACTGTAGGGTTTTCAACTTCAATCCAGGAACTTGGCTAAGCATCGTGAAGTGATCGGGCTCGGAGGGGTTATATGCACGGCCTAGTACGGTGACTATTGGGTTGACAGACTGCCATGTTGCATGCCAGAAGCCATCGTCATGGATATTTCCGAATCAAATTGATGACCTGCGGGACCGGGAATCCCGAGTCTCAATGACAGAAGCTCAGGTAGCACCTGTAAGATATACCCAGAGACTCTGTAATCCAGAACCTAAACTGGCAGACGGTGTTGGTTGCCACTCGTTGCAGATGATCCCTGATGACAGACAACTGCGGGCACAGTATGCGGGCACAGTAATCTCTCGTCCCGAAACATCGAAATCGATGTGCTTGATGATATCCCAAGGTCTGGTAGATCTGGCAGTTTCCTATATAGCAAGTTGAGCTGGTGGACACATGTGATGGCTTCATATAGGACCTGTTCAGCAGCGCTCCGGAACATTCGACAGACGACAGCAAGGTTTGCTGCGAATTGCCGAGCTATTTTTCGGAAGATCGTAACCTATAACCCTTCAGGCAGTTTTGCCTCGAAGGCAGTCAGATCGCCCGTCGTCTTGTAGGTGATATATGTACGGTGCGCTCGTTAGCATGGGATATGCCCTGAACTAGAACGCTCCAACGTACGCAGTCATTCTTGGTATTTTCTGGTGACGCCGGCTCCCAACTGGTGTCAGGCGCCATCTTGACCAGCACGCACTTTGCGCGGTTGGCAAGGCTTGGATTTGGCGTCGAGGTCGGCGTTCGAGGAAGTCGAGCCGAGAAAGGGTAAAATACATGTGCACGAGTGCGCCCCTAACTTGCGCCTCTGGCGGGTCAAACGTGCCCCAGTCGCAAGGCTCGAGCACACTTTCTGCTGGTCCGAGCGTGTTTGTGCTTGAAAATTCCAGGAGACTCGAAGGCCATTTGACTATAATAGCTTCAGGACAGCGTGTCAAACCGGGATAGCTTATGTGTAGACAAATCGAACCTGACAAGGTGATCTGTGTTACCCCTCGGAGTGACAGTTCGTGAAGATGCGTGAACAATAGCACCAGGACAGTGTGTTAACCTAGGATAGCTTATGCGCAGTTGGATGCAACCAGACGAAGTGCTTGTGACTACGAAGTAGTGCCTGAAACAAGGTTTTTACTAAGAAGTATATAGGTCATGCTCGGAGTGCGTATATCAGTATAGCTTCTTGCGTTTGTCCAAATCCAGCACCTAAAAACGTGTAGTGTAGATCTACTTAGCTAAGGCAGGTGCAGAAGCGTTATAGATGTTATGAATTTGTATGCTACAAAGCAAGTCGTGTTACGGTGTCCTACAACGTGCTTATTCTAGTAGATGTTTTCTTCCATATACCAATAACTACGCGCAAAAAGATCACGTTCTGGATTGGCTCTTTTCTACAGTCAGAGTATCTCACTGCTCGACACGGTACATCAATTGATGTTGAGGTGTATCGTAAAGACCATAAGCAAGTTCCGTCTTTTTTTCCACGCTTTCTCGTTAAGCGTTTAAGCCTGACAAGTCCGACAATGGCCGTACCACATGAGGCCAAGTACGTCAGATTGTTTGCCCAGCTTCCATGCAATGTTCTCCATGATCATCCACTTCTGTTGATATCCAGTTGTAAACTTTAGCCGCACCTATGTCGTAACCTGCGTGACGTTTTTTGTACCCCACGTAGCCTTGAACACAGCACCCCCTTTAATGAATCCTTTACTGTGAGTTAGAAGGTTTGTGACACACGGCCACTACGTGCACCGCCGCCACGAGCACATAGATATGAAAGCTTCAGATTTGTGACCATGTTGTGGACCGATCGCTCTAGAGCGGGATTCTCCACGCCAGACACATGCACTTGTAGTGATGGACGTCTCCAGTCTGTGCCCATGGACTGTCTACCTACACATCTCCATCCCATCTCTCGCTCACGTCCTTTGAGCTCCAGCCAAGTCTAGCCACGGTATGCGCCATCCCACGCGCCCCTCTCGCCATCCCCACCATTCCCAATGCAGCCCCCATCCACGTGCCGCATTCCCGCATCCACACACGCGCCATCTTCTTACCTAATTCCCAATTTTCCCGCCCACCGTTTACCGTTCAGCACGGTGCTCGCGCAAAATCACATCATAAAAGCAACATATTGATCATCTTGTCATATATATATTTTTCCTGTCCGTATGATGGCGCTCTATATACCGCGCGCGAGCGTTCAATCGCGCCCATGCCATGCTCATCCATGCGTGAGCGGGTATCCGCGCTGAAAATGGTCGATCATCCCCCTCCCGTATAAGTGTGAACCATGCACAACACGCACACAGAAACGCCCGTGGCCAGCGCAGCAGGCGGCCGTTCCAAAAGATCTAGGTAGGTATCTAAACGCCGGTAACAAGTCACAAAAACATCAAGTCGTGAAGCCTCATCTAATGACATCGCGCAAGATTCATTACGCATCGCCCTGTACACTTCCTTCAAGGGAATTCATCCCGCTGTTCGGTCCACTGCAGAAGCCGTGGAAGCTCTCGCCGCTGTGCATCCGTCGCAGCTCTGGCGAACCATACATCTGGCCCTCCATTGGGCTCCCGTCCCCATTGTTCTGCTGGAACCCCACGCCATTCGGGTTCCGCTTCGGTGCAGCAGGTACACCCGCGCTGCTGATCTGTTGCGCAAGCGATGGCTTCTCTGCCAAGTTATTCAACATACCGCGACTAGCGTCCAGCATGCTGACGGCGTAATCGAGGAATTGCGCGCGATTGCTGCTCACGCTGAGTGTCCAGCGATACTCGCGCAAGCGTGTCTTGTAAAACTCTGCCTCTTCCTGAGCGGGAGCAGTTACCCAAAGGAGCGAGCCGAAAGTGCCGATAAGGGTGAAATTGATCTTAGATGCGAAATACCAGAAAGACTGGAGATGTTCAGGCCGCAAGCGGTTGACGAAATCCATAGCGGAAATGAGACGCGTCTTTGCGGCGTTGCGGATCATGAAGAAACCGTAAGGGTCATGATCTGGGGCAAGTGATTGCACGATGCGCCGATGAAGCGTAATCTCGGTGGCGAAGTAGGCGAGGTGCAAATAACCTGCATATGTAAGCAAAAGGAAGATAGGGGTGCATGGATTCGCGCTGACTTACCCAATGAAGAGAACTTGCTCTTGGTTGCCGCATTCATCTTCACGTTGGCTGGGAGCCTCTCGTGCCATTGTCGCAATTTGATCTGCACAGGCTTCGCGCGCTGGAGGATTAACTGTGTCGAGTTCTTGCCGGCATTCTTGAAGTCCTGGATCGCGACTTGCGTATAGAAAGTGTCCATCACCTCGGCCATGATCTGTGTTAGACCAATCATCTGCGCGAACAGAGTCTGACCACGTAGGATCTCCTCTTGTTCGTCTTCATTTTCTTCAGCTCGGGTTTCGTAACCATCACCCTCTTCCTTGAAGTCTTCATCCGTGATGGGCTGAACAGCCCAGTTGGCGCTGAAGATGTGCGACGGTCGGCCATGGATAAGTGAACTCCACTTGTCCTGCATGTATAACGCCCACGCGATACGTTTCCTCAGACCACCTTCCCACATAGGAATCGACCATCCGGAGCAATCCAGATGCAGACCAAGCTCTTGGCCGATAGCTACCAGCTGTGTCGTTAGGCTCCAATTGTCCGCTTCCGGACGCTGCAACAATAGCAGGCCTGCCTGGACAGTCGACAACTTCGGCTTCTCCATGGACCTTGACAACGAACTCATCGCTATCGCTTCCAAACGAGCAATGTCTGGCTTCGGAAGATGCGCCAACCTGGGATCTAATGACCACCAGTTAAGAGCCAGGATATACATGCCAGCAATGAGAGCAGGCGTGAAGGAACGATCGCCATTCCGATACCGCCCGATGAAGAGGTGTTTCTGGATGATTGGGAAGCTGGGGTGAACTATGCGGAAGTACAGCTCAAGCAGAGCCTGACCGTGACCGCCAACACACTGCTCGACTTGGGCCAGAGTCTCCGCCTCATCGACGTACTCGTGTGTATTCTCATCGGGCAGCATGATGAAACATTCATGGTCATTGACTCTTCTCAAAGTACCAAGGTCTGTAGGAGATTCGTTGCGGGCATCAAAGTGGGAAAGGCCAACGAGTAGAGAGTCAAAGGGAGAACTGAGGCCAATATATCTACTGTGCTGACGTCGCTGCAGACCAAGTGTCTCTCCAAGATGGGGGATATGCACGCTGCCCAATGGGGACTGATGCGGTGGACTTGGCGCGGTGGCAGTTATCGTGGGCGTCGGCAGCGCTAGTGGGGGCGGCTCTGCATCAACCGGCTTGCTAGCTTCCTGTTAGCGGGGCGCTCGGCGATAAGACACGCGATGGCGGAGATGGTGGACCCTTCGCAATCCAGATAACGACAAACACATGGGAATGTGTCCCAAAGGCCACGAGCTCCACCGCTAGCCAGACATTCCACCGCCGCAGCGGGTTCCTGTGCGGCCTAGATGCACGTGGAGCCAGACCTTTGGACCACAATGGCTGACAGCGAAAACTGGACTTTCTGTAGCTGTGAGATTTCGGGGAGACTATCGTATGATAGTTTTATGACCGTATCATACAGCGAGTTCTTACGGGATGAGGTGTACTCCAGAAGACCAGTTTTTGTGTGTCACGTGCTGGGGATAGGGCTGAGAGTGCGTGATTGGAAGTTCACACATACCTCTTCTTCTGAGCACTAGGCGAGTCCTTCTTCTCGCCGTCGACGACCTTCCTCTTCCGTGGCAGCGGACTTTGCACAAAGGTGCACTCCTGCTTGTGGAATTCGCACAGCACGCAGAGCACGGCGCCCTCGTGTATCACACAGCGACTTTTCCTCCGGCGACAGGCGTCGCAGGGCCGCTCTCTTCGTGTGCGGATATTGGCGACGGGGCCCACTGTAGAAGATACAGGCTTGCCCGCGACGTGGTTCTCTTTGCCGGGCGACGGCTTGTGCTGCTTCTTGGGGCGGGCAGCGGCGATGGGCACAGGAGTCGGGCGCGGCATGGCCGGTTGTATAGCCACGGCCGTCGTCATATCGGCGGCAGTTCGACTGGTGGACTGGTACGTGTGCGATAAGAGTGCTCCGGGGTAAGGCGGGGAGGCCGGGACGCTGCAGGTGTCGAGTCCAGCCCGGGTGCCTTGATAGACTGCTGCTGTCAAGATCGAGTGGGCAGACCAGTCACACGATGGTGCGGTCCGTGAGGCTCCGAATCGGGATGCTAGACGGCTTATCGCGTGGGAGATGCGTCTCCGCCCGCTGGGTGCAGGACGGGCGCCTGCAGAGTGGGTTGGCGGGCAGATAAGGCTATTTTTGAAGCAGTCGAGCTGCGGACAGTCGAGGGGTGCTATCAGGGACCCAAATTGCCTGTGATGGCAGAAAGAAGAATGAGATGGGATATGGTGCGGGCCGTCATTGAACGTCTCGCGGTGTCGTGTGGCGGCGCGGGGGCGGGCGGGCGGCGATCCTGGGCGATGCTTCGAGGCAGTCTAGGACGCGGTCGTGGGATCGTGGCGCATAGTCTCGTTCGTGGAGAGAGTCGTTCTTTCTTTCTGGGGAACTGGCGGGAGCTCAGCACTCTTTTTGAGCCATGGCCGTTGTAGCTGTCTCCAGACGTCCGTGCCCAGGCGGGTTACGTGATGGAATGCGAAAGCAGTTAGGCCTAATATGCCAAATTCCCGACTGTGAGAGACTCCGATAAGAGAGGCGCCCCGCCCAATCACTGCCCGTGCAGCCGGCGCAGCCTTGTGGTGCCGTAAAAGTATTTGACGTGCTATATCGCCTCGCGCGCACAGCCCAGAGATAGCTGAGATGATCGCTACCGTCGCTGCAGCACGCTTGCGGACCACCATCCACACGCTGAATTGCTGTTAGGTACGAGATACTCGCGGACACACCTCCCGGCTCCTGCTGCACGTCACTCCGGTGCCATTGACACTTTTAAATCGTGCGCAATCTGTCCCCAGCCGCCAACCCCGTCCCCATGGTTGAGGCCAAACTCGCAGGTATGCCGGCTGGTTGACTTCTTCGAGACGACCCCGTGCGCGGCTCGACTTTCGCTACGCGGCCAACTGCGTCATACTGGTGGTTCCCTTGCCCGTTGCGACTTGCTCACGTGCCTCCAACGTGAACCACGCATCTGGGAGTAGTGACCGCGGCAATCTCGCCTCGCCCAGTCTCCACGATGCCCTCCGCTCCACCCCCAGCCCCCTCCGAACACCGGCCCACTACTTGCGTTCCGGTTATCTCCGCCAATGCTTGCCACCCCGTACCTAATCAGTTCCTCGGAGCAGCGAGTCGCGTGCCCAATGAGCATCCACTTGGTGTCTACCATTCTCGCAACGGCCTGACTCGCCAAGCAAACGCCAAACCTTCCACCGCCGAAATGCCCACTTTCTGTACAACCCACATTTATCCTTCAACTCCAGCTAAATCGATTACCATTTGTCACCAAATTGCCCTGGCTTGTCGTACCAAAATGTCCTCTGGGATTATCTGCCGATGCTGGCAGGCTACCACCCGTGCGGTAGGCAATGTGCTTGCTCCGCCCGTTTTAAGTGGTTAACACTCGGTACGTACGGATGGACACCGGCAACAACAATGCTGGCGTTGCGGCCTCCCGCATGTGAATCTGCAACCTGGATTCTGGACTCCGGATCGACGCAAATGTCGGGCAGGCGGTGCACACTAGATGGGAAATCCATCACGCGCCGAAGAAAGCGATGTGCCCAACGAGACGAAACGCAGTATTATATTGCTCAATGTAATGAATAGATATCAACCGAGTTCGTTAAGCGCGCTGGCGTCGCAGCCAACAGCGAGCTGTATAGAACTAGACCACCAAAAGCGCTCGCAGGTATCTTGCGGAAGAGCTTCTGCGAGCTCTTTGTGAGCGGTCCTTCAGTCTCGTTGCGCATATACAGCCTGTTGCGTGTCGAACCCTCGATTCTCCTGCGAAAGAACTGCAAACCCGATGTAGCAGCATCGACAGCATACGCCGCTGTAGTGTCACAATGGTTTGGGACTGTTCTGGCAGAACCGTCACCACGTGCAAAATCGATCGTCGCGGCATGTCTGAACTCGACCGTCGATTCACGCATTGCTTTGTTAGGAGCATCGCGCATGGTTTGCGAACTTGCTTTGCGCCGTATTTTCTTCTTCGGTGCGAACTGCGGTGTCTCTGAGAAGTCCATAAAGTTCATCTTCGGCTCGGGTACCTCTTTCGTCATCTTGAGTTGATGTTTGGGCACTACTACCACCGGATCTGTGTAGGCTCGCTTCGGGCTCACATCAACCGATTCGAAGATAGCGCTCCGCTCCTTCTTGCTTGATTTCAGGAGCAGCGTCCACCCCGCAAATAGTGTACCATCGTAATTAATTCTGTGGTTGTCTTGAAGATGCTGACGGAACTGCTGGGCTGAAAAGTACAAACTCTGGTTGCAGTTGCGAAAATTATGGGTGCTGACATGCGCCTTTAGAAGTGTGCCCTTGACCTTTCCATTGCCTCTACTGAAGCCCTCGTTACAGTAACAGCACACGGCTTCGAGGCCTTCATCCGAGCCAGAAGGGTAGATTGTATATTGCATGCCAGGCAGGAAGCTGCACGACCACATATTGCACACAGGATGCTTTGTCAGTGCTGCCTCGAGCGTTGCGAAAGTACGATTACAATAGTTACACCGATGAGGACTTGCGCTTTGAGTTTTGTTAGCATGGAACGATGTAGGGCAAGACTTACGTACGGGTTGCCTCTGAGCCCACCTTTTGCAGGTGGCATCACATGATGGCTCTTACGCTCATTCCACCATGACACCATATCGGCGCCTCTCATAAAATGGCTGTTAACATGTTCTGTACGTTCTGCGTATGTTGAGAAAGTCAAGCCACAGAAGCCACAATGAAGGGCTTGATGTCCCTGTGTCAGGGGCAGAGGGCGTTTCCAAGCCTCAACTAATTGCGTGAGTCGAAGAGGTTTCTGTCCGGCGCTAACGTTATGTTCTTGGGCGACATGCTGCAAGAAATAGTCCTTCCTGTCGAAAGTCCGCTCTGACAGTAACTTGTTCTGGCAAGAATAGTAATTGTGGTCCTTCAGATGTGCAGGGCTAGGGTTGCTTTGTGTGCAGAACGGGCAATGCTCCAGGCGTACTTCTGTGCGAGGGCAGCATACCCACAGCTCCTCTGGCATGTGGATGTTCTTTTCGTGACCCATCCATTCAGCCTACGACGTCAGTCATATCTCAATCCGATATGGCATTCGTCTTACCCGATTGTGAAATCTCTTCTGGCAAAAGGTACAGAAGAATTTGGGACGCTTGCTTGACGTTCGTCGCACCAGCACACTCCTTCTCTTGTCACTTGCCCAATGAGATTCCTCGATGAGAGCACTGCTTGACTTGCTTCTCCTGGGAACCTTCTCCGGCATTGACCCTGTTGATCTGCCACTGGTAGCTGGTCGACTCGGCGTATCGTTCAACGCATCAGCAGTGACGCTGGTGCTCGTCATCGGCCTGTCCGTGCTGCTAATATTTGTGCTATCTTCGCCCAGAATCCAGGCCAACTTGGGCTTCAATGCCATTTGCTGATGAGCCATCTCGTCCGTGATCCTTGGGACGAGCAACTCTTCGTTCTCTTTCCACTGGTTGAATCTCCGCATCTCTTCCTCAAGTCTTCGAGCTTTTTCTTGTATACGTGCGAGCTCAGCCTCGACTCTCGCTCGGTAAGCACTATCAACAGACTTTCCCGGCGGGCTTATCTCATGTTGGTCTGTCAATGTCCTCTCGGAATCAAACGTTTTTCCGGTATTCGGTTCGTCAGGCGAACGAACGTCGTCACGCACTAGGGCATCCGTTCGAAGTCTCGGGAGCGGAGGCATCGCAAGGTGGATATTGCTTCTCTGATGATGATTTGGTCGAGGCCCGATGCTGAAAGAGGTACCTGTGGACTCTTGGCCGCTTGCTGAGGTGTAGAAGGTCCGTCGCCCTTCTGAATTGGCATCATAGGACGTGTCTCGTGAATGGGCCCGGCGTTCGATCCAGGCGGGCGAGCTACTTTCCTTGAGCGCTGCGTTGATCGCAGGAACTGAAGCTGGTTCGTCTTCCAACGGTGCCTGAAGGTAACGCTCTATCGACATTCTACTCGCGCTTTTGGAAGCAGCAATATTAGCAGCAGTACCTGTGAGCGCACGATTCGGCAATGGTTGGCTGAATTGCGCATTTCTGGAAGCAGAGGAGCTGTCATTCTTCGTGGAAAGCGCCGCGTCTGCTCATATGTCAATAACCGAGACTTTCTGCTGTTCTGGGATGCCTACTAGAATGTTGCTTTCTGAGGCCGTGGACATAGAGCCAGGTCTTCATGGTCATATGAAATGTAGTACACAGTATATTTGTCGATCAATTTTCTGCAAAGACTAATTTCTCCATCAACCTCAAGATGCGAAGGACTCTGCTCATCTTAAGGCAGTGCTCCCACTCTGGCATTGCCTCTCGCCACCAGAGTGCCTTGAGACGACACTGCGAACAAGTTTAGCCTGCGATGAGTTGCTGGCGATACCCCGGCATTGAACCAGACATTCTCCATCACGGTAGAGCAGATGATCCAATCAAGTCGAGGGAGATATCGGGTAAGAGCCCCAAGGCAAGGGCGGAGAGTGTTCGAACCAAATTAATGCCCGGTACGGGGAGACTCAGGGATAGGGCCAGTGCGTTGCGTGCGTCAAAATCAATAAAAGCCATGGAGTAAAAGCACTGTGTTCCAGGGCATTGCAATTATTGGACTGTTTCAGGAGCAAATGCGGCGCATTGACATCGGAACACTGAGACTGTAAGTCAGGACAGCATGTAAACGAATGGCGCGAGCAACTTCACCTCCTGCACACGAAAGGAAGCGAATGATTTTGCGACGGTTCATTGACAATTACTGTTCGCAGTAAACGCGAATGGAACTGTTATGAGACTAAAATCTACAAGCTTCCCGGCGTCGTAGCAAGTGCTTGTATGTTCAAAGATTCAGCAGCGGCCGGTTGGAGAAAGAGCAACATGACAGGTAGCAGTTACAGCGCATCGAAGTGTCCGAGCACGCCCGAAAAATGAGGATAGCCAAGTGTACGCTTTCAATAACTCAGTTTTTGTCCACAGCAGTGAGCGAATCGATTCGAGAGGGAAGCGTTGGAGAGTTTAGCCAGATGATCGACCCCAACCGTTGGAACCGTTTACCGTTGATGCTAAGGGGAAGCGACGATCATGCCGGGATTGCGGGGAAAGGCGCTAAGCTTGATCAGGTACACAACAAGTTTGTGCTGCTTCATGCGGTGTCTTCTAGAGCGTCCGTTGCATGACAGGTCTGGCACTTGAAGCATCGGCCTTTATTCCAGAAACCGCCGCCAGGGCTAACGAAGGTTATTAATGCCATTGCAAACGCAGGATGGAGACTACCGAGAAGTCACGGCATGCCGAATTTCAAACATCTTCTCAAAGAAGGAAGGGGAGAAGCATGATGGAAGCTGTTCTATTCAGCGCCGCTACTTTGGCGAGAGCGCGTAAGTCTGCGCCTATGTACAAAAGCCGTCAGTCGTCGACAATCCAAGATATGCAATATCAAACGCCAGTTACGCGGGAAAATGATGTCCCAGCTCGTCCATTCCGCCATGCTCATGTCGTCATTAAACAGTTGGACCGCATTCGCTCGAAATGAACAAATAAGACTATGAGGATAGATAGCCCCAAAGGCGTGTTCCAGCTCGTCGTATCGTGGCACGTAGAGGCCGTCGCGGTAGGGCTCTCGGGCTTCAGGGACCGCGGCTTGCGGGTGGGCCTTGGTCGGTTGCTCAGTGCATCGGGGCCTGGTAGTTGATCGGGCGCCTGTGCTGCGTTAGTCTACGCGTGAACCGGGTCGCGGTGTGCTGAAGCTTACTTGAAGAGCAGGATGTGCGGCTCGGGCTCATGGACCTCGTAGTGTTCCCACCCGAGACTCTGTGCGACTGTCAGCGCTGCAACGGCCGTCCCGTGCGGCTGCGGCGGGCGCGTACCTGAGTGATGCCCAGCGCCCTCCATTCCTCTTCCCACAGCAGCTTCAGCGTGCCACGGCTGCCATCGAAATACTCCTTGGGTATCTGCTTAAGCATCTGCTTGGGCAACTGCACGTGGCGGTACTCGTACTCCTCGTCTGAGTATCTGCAGGCACAATTAGCGACAGCGCGAGGAGTGCATCTTAGCAATAGAGCGCACCGTGCCGAGTAGTGGATCGCCTCGATGAATTCGTCCAGCTTGTCCTTCTCATGCTCCGTCAGCGGGCGGGGCTTCTTGTTGCGGCGCGTGAAGTCGATGTCCATGTCGGCCGCCATGGTGCAATGGGGGCAGTGAGGTCGTGTGCGATGTGCAGCGGGGGAGCGCGCAAGGCTGGGCGAGGGCGAGGGCGGGGCAGCACGCGGGCTACAGGCAAGAGCGGCGGAGCCTTGGAGTAGGATCGCGCGTGTGAAGGAGACTGTATTGCGCTCGAGGGCCGCGGTTCTCGGAAACAGAAAGAAATGGTACCTAGCGCGCCCAAAGCCTTGTTTATTCAATGTTTACACACGGATCCATGGTTTTCACCGCTTTTCGGCCTGGTGGGATTTTCCGAGCCCGCGCCGCGCCGGGCGACAGAACGCGTGACTCAAGCCCCATCCGCCTGGCAGCAACAACCACCAGGTTTCTCCTTCGCTCATCCACGACGGCCTGCGTTTTCTTCCACTTTATGTTTGTCAACGCGCGGTGCTTGTCCTTTTCGGTAGTTGGTCCACGCGAGCGAGTGCACCTGGATCCTCTTGCACCCACCCGTGGACTCCCATTGGGCACCTCGCGCTCGGCACCAATGTCTTTCGTCTACTCCAACACAGAAAATGGGCAGCTTTACTACTGTGATGGACAAGGCCTAGGACCGGTGCACAACCGTCCTTCTGCGAAACATCTGCACAGCGATCTGGGAGACTTACATGGCGACCTTCCTCCGACTTTTTAACTGATTAGTAGATGAACACTGACACGCTCAGCGTCGGGACACTGCAGACTGGCACGGGTATTCCATTGCCATGTCTTGCGCCCTACGTTCCGGTTGGCAGACTTATTACAAACCGCGCATGTTGGCGACGGCGAGTCCTGCGGTGTGTCGTCTTCGGCCTCATTGCTGCCATTCGCACCATCCGTCATGCTTTATAAGGACATCAGCTCGTTCATTTGTCCGGCTTCGATTCGTGCGAGTAGTGCCGGGATCACGTTGCATTCGATCGGCCCGTTCAGGGCAGCGGCACGTTCCACGATGCGGCATTGCCAGGGAGCTAAGCTTTGTACGAGATACTCCGTTCACACCCCTTTAGCGTTCATCGTACGTCGTCCTTCCTGGTCACGCTCCGATTGGCCAAACTCGGAGATTTTCATACAATCTTACTCCTTTGGGCTGAGGAAATCTCCGGGAACACTAACCGACGTTCCTGCACCCATGGCATCGGGATGAACCCCCCGGGGATTAATACTGATGAGCAAAAAAATCATCAGCTTAAGTCATCACAAATGGGGCAGGACAAAAGCTCATAGGCTCTTGCGTCACACTCTGTGAATCCTTTCCATTGCATGGTTCATTGTCAATTTCATCGTGTCCAGAAAGGCGCAGGTCGCCTTGTTGGGCATCAAGATCTCCATGTGCAACAGCCATGGCTGAGCATGGTCGCTACGGAAGCGGCAAGCCTTTCCCCGTTCCCCGTGGTAGTTTCAGAGTTAAACTTTAGCTTGTGGATCTCCAACGAATCACAAAGGTGACGAAGCGCTAGCCCTCCACCCCCACAGAGTTCCTCCGCGATTGTGGACTCATTCTTATCAAATAGAATATTTTGAGGCTTCTGGTGCATAAGGCGGCACTGGCAGCTCCAGCCTCGACCCAAGTCGGATGCTACTTGGTCGTTCAATTACAACAGTATCGGCGACTTGTCTACATCGTGTATTCTAATATTGCAGAGCGAGCACAAGGGAACGAGGATAGCAGTTCAAGATTCAGCTAGGAGAGTCTTGCAATCAACTTTGCTGGCGGATGCAAAGCGGTCGCAGAAACGACCTCAGTTCATGCATGCTTGAGGTGCTCAAATGCGCCGAATTACGCCCGGAGAGTATCCCTGTATAATTCAATTCTCATTTCCTCACTTGTCTGGCGATCAATCATTCGAGACTGCATCCTTCCGCCTTACCCTGTACGTTTGTCCATGGATGCGAGAGTGCAGTGTCACTGCATTTCACCTTTTCTAGGACAGCTGCCCCGGTTTTGATCGCCACCGTCTCATCGTCCATCATGAACTAAAGTCGTTCCCCGTCTGATTCATTCTACTCGATCTCACTTTTCCAAAGTGTTCCTAGCTCAGGTGCTCTCTTGTATTCGGCATGGCTTTTGGCAACTCGGAGCCAGGTCAAGAACATTTCCCGCCCCCCAACTATGTGAACCCAACCACTCGCGTTCCGGTGGTACTTGGCCTGACGATATCGACATGTGGCCTTTTACTGGTCTTAACTGGCGCCCGGCTGTACGCACGATCTCATCTTAGAAATGTTCTAGGCATTGATGATTGGATGATGCTTTGTGCTGCTGCGCTCGCTGTCACGCTTACTGCCTTCGGCGCGTCCTCCTGCCTGTATGGTCTGGGCTATCATCTCTGGGACAGGAGGCCAGAGTGGGATGAGCCGTATTACAAGGTAAACAGTCCTATCCACGTACTGTCCTACGATGACCTCCAGATTGAATAAGAGATACACCATTATCAGTTCGCTAATGGAAGACAGATCGGCTTTGCCTTTCAAATCGTATATCCACTCTGTGTGGGCCTCACAAAAATTTCTGTCTGCCAAACATACCTCCGCATTTTCCCTTCAACAACAAGCCGCTACTTTTCCCACTCGATGACCGTTTTCGTAACAGCCTATACGATTACCTGTGTCATCCTCATGCTCACGCAATGTTACCCACTCGTTGGCTATTGGGACAAGGACGTCGAGATCCACTGTGTCGACATGCGCGCCAACATGATCACTATCGGAGCTATCAATACTGCAACAGACTTCCTCATTTATCTCTGGCCGGCGCGTTACCTCTGGCGTATACAGCTCCCCCTCAAGCAGCGGCTGGGTCTAGTGTTTGTCTTTACCTGCGGGCTCATCGTCTGCGTCGCAGGTGTCTTTCGTATGATCTACCTACAACGCTATTTCACAAACAGTGACCTCCTCTGGGACGCAGCACTCACAACCTCCCTTGGCATTGTCGAAGTCAACATCGGTATCGTTTGCGGCTGTCTTCCCTGCGTCAAGCCGGTGCTTGCCAAGCTCCTACCATCACTATTTGGATCCACTGGGCGCACATCACGGACGACGCCATCGGGTGAGGCAAGAGGCCCGTCGTACCAATTTAAGGATTTGTCGGCGCACCATGCGGACAAAGGTGGATCAACAGCTGTGCTAAGGGAAGAGAGGATTGAGGAAATTCTAGAAGAATCGGAGAGTGATGGTGCAAGCACTCATTCTTTGACAAAGCCCGTGGTGGAATATGATGCAAGGGGTCACAAGGGGCCTGCTAATAGGGACTCGATTGCTTTGCCGAAGAACGGGATTATCGTGGATCGTACGGTTACTGTGGAGAGGAGTTGGGTTGCTGATGCTTAGTACCTCGGCACACCCGTTGGTCACGAATATCACGAATTTATGCTATTAGTGCAGCTGCAACTTCGAAGAAAAAAAGTGAACAGGATGTCTTTCTCATAAACCTGAAGGGCCAGCAATCGGCACCTGTGTGGTACGGATACGCAGGGCCACGGCTGGCCCCACTGTCGCTAGAGACCCACTTGTCTTCCACACAGCGGTGCAACCTTAAAAATGGCAAAAAGATCCACAACTCCATCTCGAGTATGATTGTGCGTCTGGATCGACGTGGGCCAGATTCGAACTGACGCTCCCGAAGGAACAAGATTTCTAGTCTTGCGCGATAACCACTCCGCCACCACGCCGTTGATTGGCTGATGGAAAATTGTTTAAACTAGCATTATATAAAGCAGGAATCTTACTGACGCTGAGCTGATCAAGGTAGGCAGATTGTTTTTCCAAAGTTCGCAGGGCCCTAATATTCGAGACTTTGCTACTAGCTCGTAGATACTAGTCTATTCCAACATTCCTGTTCTGTTTAGTCTTCTTTACAAGTTACTCTTCGGCCCTTCTTCCTCTTTCAGACTCCTCACCATCTCCAACGCCGCTTCCAAACTCCTCGTATTCTCAAAGTAGATATGCGAGAACTCGCTGCTCGCCTGCCCGCTAATTGTCCTCGCCTGGATGCCATGGCTGATCGTGCCACCCTGGACCTCGTTAGCATCACAACCTCCACTATTAAAATGTAACTCACCCTCATCAGATGGAACACTTTCGCGACTTCCCACCGATCGCCTCTCGGATCCCACCCCGCTCTCTTAGTATACTCGTCTAACAGGTCTCCCATCTCCGGCATCCCGCTCTGCGCTCTCTTCTCATCATCATACGCTTCCCCACCCTGGTCGTCCCTTGGCTTCCCCAGCCCAGCTTTACTATACCGATTCCAGTATGGACCCGTCACGTACACGCAATCCATGAGCGGGTGGCCGATAGTACTCAGTTCCCAGTCCAGAACAGCAATGACGCGCGGCTCCGTGGGGTGCAACACGATATTGTCGAATTTGTAGTCGCCATGGATGATACCAGCGCGTTCAGAGGGAAGGTTCGCACGTATGTAAGCAGTTATTTCGTCGAATGAGGGATGTGCGCGGCCGAGCGGCTTGCCGGTAGAAATATCTTTCACCTGTGCCTGCTGGGATTCGATCCGAGAGAACGTGGTGCAGTGGCGGGCGTAGAAGTTTGTTTTCTTGCCGTAGGAGGAGAGCCCGATTGCATCGGGGTCGATGGAATGCAGCCAGGCCAAAGTTGAGATGACGGAGAACCATGCTGCGCGTCTGTCCGCGGGTGCGAGCTCGGAGAGATCGGGGTCTTTGAGTATGCGGCCTTCGACATATTGCATGACGTAGAAAGCGGTGCCAATGATCTTGTCGTCCATGCACAAACAGTACACTCGAGGCACTGGAAAGCCTTCTACAGTTCCCAGAGCCTGGAGGACGCGGTACTCGCGGTCGACTTGGTGCGCCACGGGGGATATTATCGTACCGGATGGTTTCTTGCGTAGTATGTAGCGCTGCTTCTTGGCATCGTCGACAAAGTATGTGGGATTGCTTTGTCCATAGCCAATTTTTGTTGATACTATAGGCAGAGAGAGGTCAGGTAGGTGCTGCTGTAGGTACTTCCCCAGGGCATCGTCATTGAGGTCGTGTCGTGCCTGAACTTTGCTGGCCATGGTGAACGACCAGTGTCATTAGAGAGAGAAGATGGTGTTTGTCTTACGAAAAATTATCCTTACTATCGGCCAATGCGCTGTTTAAACCCATTTTCGAGTAAGTAGTCGCGAGCTGGGGTCGGCTGGGTTTGTAGCCTCGGTGGTTAGGGAGCTGTCTGAAGAAGGTTAGCGCAGACAGAGACAATGCGGGGAAGTCAGTTCCTTTCATACACGCTTTTGCTACACCATCATCTCTTGCAAGTTGATGTATGTTCTCGAGGAGCTCATATGTTTCGGATACGAATTTATACATAAGTGAGATCAAGAAGACCTTAATTTGACTAGTCGTCAGAATACATCGAGTCCTTGCGATGCCATGATTTCAACCTAGAGCGATGTTGAATATCGGCCTTCATGTAATGGACGCAATCAACATATCATCCTAGTTTCAATAACACAATCGGCATGACAAAAACAATACAACCTAACACTGCGTGTTTCCGCGCGTTCCTCGGGGATATATTGCATTGTCAGTGAGAAAAACAAGCTTGATTGAACCCGTCGTTCTGGAGATACCATTCTCAACGCTTAAAGATTGCAGATAAGGCCCAGCATGTTCCGTTTGCGCAGCATCCCGGCTACTCCTCTGTGCAATCGCTCTCATCGCAGTCGCAGGACTTATCACTCCCATGCTGTGGTCTGAGCGACGCAGCTGATCGGCCGTAAGCAACTGTGCAGGTGTGACGTAGTCGCTGATTTATGAGCATGGTTCTGTGTAATTTCTTGCACTTCAAATCGAATCTCCCACTTATTCATTAAGTTAGTAATATAGTGCGAGCTTTTGGAGAAGTGGTTCTACTCATCTGCATCATTGGTCTTTTCAACGAGCAATAGCTGCTTTTCTACGATAAGGCGCTCTTATTCACATCCATTGCGACGATCGAGAATTAACATGTCACAGCCTAACGCCATGTTGGCTCTCTTCCTCGACGGGAACCTGTCATTCCAGCTCACTCGTGAAGGTTTCGCCGGTTCTAAGCCCAGATTAATGATCCAGATGCACGACACCTCAAGTGCTGCCACTATTATCATTCCTGGCTATCAACCTTCAATGAAAGGATTCAGCCTCGCCTTCGCCCTCCAAGGAGGCCTACTTGATCTCTTCGACGCAGGATCGAATTCCAAAATCCCCGTTCCCTCAAACAACGCGCAGCCCGGGGAGCTTGTCGTCAGAGCAGGAGCTCCCAGTCAATGGTTCAATCTCAGATTCGACCCTTGCGAAGACTTGTGGGCACAACTTCTCAGCCCTGGCCATGAATACGAAATTCGCTGGGCGGACGGGGACAGAGCGCCGCGAGCATATCGTGGAGAAGCGGCCAGGGTCCGCCAGAGCAAGTCCCCGTGCGTTTCCTCCCACGTCCGATCAAACTCAACGTCTTCGACGAGGCGACAGCTCCGCCCCAATTCTCTTTGTCTCTTACTCCAACAAACAAGATATGCCACCTGAGCGGCGAACCACGCTTCGGGTTCAAGCTTGAGTTCATGTCACATATAAATGAAGTAATCACTGTGTGCTTATATAAGACACCCTTGCGAGAACTTCACGGCCTGGAAGATGTTGCCATAGTTGAAGACGAAGGCGGCGAAGAGGTTGAATGGCCTTGGGGCATAGGATGTTGGGAAGGTCCTGAGCCTTTCCCCTCTGACGACAACTTCGAGGAGCTCAAGCCTGGCGTACCTTACAAGACAACATTCTGGCTAGACAAGTTCGACACAAGAACCTCAACTGGAGGCGAGTTAGAGTCACTGCAGGCTAGAACGAGATACACAGGCATGGTTAGCGATGACTTGCGGAGCGGGTTCGGGAATTGGAGGAGAGGGAACAAAGAGAAGCTTCTAGCCGGGGATGTGAAGGAGAAGGAGGAGCGATGGAAAAGTGGTAGCGGATGCAGCGCGCAGAGTATCATTGAGGTGTCGGATCCGTTTACTTTTGAAACTGCTGCATGAGAATGACATTCGCGGAGTACTTGCAGCACTGGTTTCCACCATTTAAATATGCAGCAGAAGAATAACCAATCAACCTGGGTGGTCACATTGCCTGAATCATGCTGTGCCGACAATTCCCTACGTTGCTTCATGCAGAACTAGATTGCCATACTCCATCCTAACACGATTAACATGGTAGGCTAGCTCTTCTCTTAATACCGAAGAAGGAGTTCCGGCTGGAAAATTCGGCTTTGGAAAGGGAGCCTATCCCGGAGAGTAACGCCTGGGTCGGAAGTCGCACACATTGACAACTGGACCTTGGTAGCCGGACACACTGATTCGCGGTCCTCTGATTGTGGAGTGTGCTTTGCAAGAGGAGTCTGCTCTGACACAAGAACAAGCTCTTTTTCGGGGATTTGCATTTGGTTACAATGAATTGTTCCTAAGTTCTCTGTTGAGTATTCGAATGCGCCTATCGCGAAGCTCTCGGTATTTGGACACGAAATGGTGCGGGCAGTCCCGAGAGGTATTACCAATAGCAGTACCAAACGAAGGAGCCAAATCCTGGGCTAAAGAAGTACATCAGTTCGAGTGCTGAAAAGATACGTGAGCAAGTTTCGTTGTAGATGAAACGTGTGAGCCCGGCAAGCTTGCGAACGACGAATTTGTGATTTCGAGATCTAGTGCACCAACAAGTCTGATCATTGGCTTTTCAAGAGCAGAAATACTCAGTGCAAGTGGAGTGTGTATATAACAACATCAAGTCTGTGGCTTGATCTCATGCCAAAAACAAACTGTGACTGGTCAAATTCCCACAAAGAATGCCCCCGACTGAAACAATCCTGCACTGTCTATTACTACTCATCCATCAGACTGTCTGGCTCCTTCCCCATGAACTTCTCCGATCTAGCCTCTTCCTCATGTCGGCCCAACACCAGCGCTCTCTTGTGAGTAATATGCACCTGGAGGGCCAGGATTGTGAGTAGTGCTGCTATTATGAGTAGCGAAGGCATGGTGGCGATTCTCTGATTTGTACTGCATGGAGACGAGCATTAGATGAAGCAGATCCTGAGACTTTATAGAGGAGGCGGAGTGTGGTGAGTTGGCAGAACAAGACTGTCGTAGAACCATTCTTGATACGCATCAAACGTTTGCACGCCCATACAGCTCACCTCACCACACCGCGAATCACACATCACAACAGCAACACCATTTTCATCGCAGCAGTCGCAGTTGTCTAACTTGATCGGGCTTCCCCGCCCTTTCCTACCTTCCCTCATCGCTCCTCCCAAACCCCCTAAAACCCCCAACATCTCTTCTAAAGAACTTCCCAATATTCTTCAAATTCTCATTTAGCTTCGTCTGCCCCTCCTTCTCCCCGACCCCGCTCCCTTCCTGCCCTGGCGCCGGACTCCCAAACCGGTCCACACCCTCTCTAACCGCCCCCAACATCGCATTACCCAAACCCGCAGGATCAAATCTTCCACCCCCCAGGTTCGGGGTCATCACGCTGCCCGCATTGCCTAGACTCCCTATTCCTGTGCCGTGTCCACCACTGCCAATTTGCAGCGGCGTAAGCAGTGTGGAGTTCGCGGGCAGATTCTCGTGGGAAGACGAGGACTTGTGTGCGTTGAAGAGATCCATGAGGACGGACTGGTCGGCGCGACGGACACCCTTGAGGTCGAGGATCTTGCGGAAGTTGGTGTCGGATTTATCGGCAATGTGGATGAGGTAGGCTTGGACGAGAGCTTCGGGCGGGTGAGGGCGAACCTGGAGGGTTTTAAGGAGGGGATCGATTTTGGACATTGTAAGTTGGGCGCGTTTGACGAAGCTGGACTCGCTGTTAGTGACGATGGTGGGTATGAGGGGTAGAGTAGCACGTACGTGGCAGGTGGTGCAGTGCCTGGTTCTTCGTTCACCACAGGAATTTCTGTGAAAGCTTTCTTCAACACGTAAGAGTCGAGCAACATCTGCTCTGCGCCGACTTCGCTGATGGGTTTGCTCTGCACGATGTTCCCAATGTAAGTCGTAGCCATCTGGTCGACGAGCCCGTCGCAGAATGCTCTCGCGTACTGTTGCTTGTGCAGACATTTCAAAGTCTCAGATGACTTTCCTTTGACTTGGCGCAACAGCTCCGCGACGTAAGTACTTTGATCGCCAACACTTTCCAGTTTCGACCACGGCGTGTTGCGCATTTCGCGCCAGCTGGGCTCACAGGCGAGTTCAACTTTGCGGACGAGGACACGCACAGTAGCAGACGCGATGCCCATGAATGCGTCGGCTTGGTTTTGTAGGTCAACCTTCTCGCGCAGATCTTCGTCGATACGAGACTTGATTTTCTCTTCGAGCTGGTTGCAGGTTGCATAGCAGTAGTCAGCCGTATTGAGAATTAATACAGCATCCTCCATGGAAGGGCCCTGTGCGCCATACTTCTCGCTGAGAAAGTAGTAGAGTACCTGTTGGCTGTACTGATCGAGATATTTGGCGAAAGTTGTTGATAGCTCCAGCAAGCTTGACTCTTTGGAGAGCTTTGCGCACTGAGCTAGAGTGATGCGGTAGAAATGGAACAACTCTGTCGATGAAGGAATGACAGCTTGCGCCGAGAATTCTTCTTCATCGTTGCGAAGCGGTTGCTGTCGATATTTCGGGATCAGTGTGGCCAGCTGTTTATCCTGAGATTCGACCCAAAGCCGCATGTATGGCTCAAAGGCCTCCGAAATTGTCTGACTAAAGCCGTGCGGCTTGTCATCTTTAGACGCCATCGTGTCCATTGATGATCGTGATCCGGTCGAGAAGCGCTGTTCAAGGTTGTGCTCAAAATTGAGTGTTTCCTGTAGACAAGATAGAAGCAGGTCGACGTCCAGCGTCTGTCCATCTCCTCTCCGCATCGAACGCTGTAGTATGGCTTTAAAATCATCCCTCGTGCCCTCGCAGAATGAGTTGGCTAGCATCTCGTTTACTTTCCAGTATGACGGGAATATTGCGGCATGCTCGACGTCGTACGTCTTCATCATGCGATTGAACCACGAGTACCGTCTTGAGATGTTGTCGAGCGAGCCGGCCTGTACCATGTCAGCTTGAACTTGACTGCGATGACAACCTAAGCCTAATCGCTACTGATGTGGGGCTGCGGATGCAAGAGTGGAGTTGGGACCTGCCTCGTCGTTCCCACGGAATACCTGCCGGTACTCTCGTAATTGAGTATTGCAGTACCAGTTGATGAGCCTAGTCCTCGCATGCTCGCCCAACGCATCGATAACCAGGCACGCCTCAGTAAGCATACCCCTCCTCGTTCCAACCTCTCCTTTTGCAAACACAACCTCAAAGTCCTCGCAGACCTGCTCCAATAGCTCGCGCTGCAGATCTGCCACATTCCTGCTCAGTGTTGCAATCTGGTCTATGCTCCTATAACTCTTGAAATGCGCGACCAACTGCAGCACAGCCTGCAGCAAGCTCGCACACTCTCTGTACTGCCTGCTCTTGCTCAGGCTCCGCAATTGTTCGTACGCGGTGGTGAGCATCTGAAGACGCTTCAGCGCGGTCATGGACAGTGTGAGATTGCGCTTCGTGTTGTCGAGGCGCTTGATGTCGGCCGTCATCTCGGTGATGGTCTGCTCGGTCTGCATAGCCCGCTCGCGCACGCTCTCGATCTTCTTGAAGAGGTCGGCGAGCTCGGCCTTTGCGTCTTGTATGCGCTGGACGCTGTCGGCGTCTGATGTGGTCTGGTAGGCCACGAAGGCGGCAATGTCCTCGTCGAGGTCATCTTGATATGCGCGCAGGGTGGCCGAGGTGTGCTGGACGGATTGGAGGGTGGACGGGTGCGTGAAGAGGGCGTTGAGGTGATCGACGGGATCGTAGTCGGCTGCGAGCGTTAGCTGGTATGCGCCGGGACGTGGGAGCGGAGTGGGCACACCGGAGTCGAGGGATGGAGCGGGCATGGGGGATGGTCAGGTCGCGTGGACCCGCAGCCTCTGCACTTCTGCTTTGGTCTTGTGATAGTTCCGGGGCGCGATAGAAGCAGCTACAAGGCTGTGGTAGATACGGCAAGGGCGCAGGCGGGGTTGCGCGGCGCAATGTTCGACAATGAAGCTGAGGCTATCCCTCGAGCTTGGGCCTGAAGCTGTGTCCAGATCATTGCCCGGATTCGGGCCAATCAGCTTCCAGATAGGCCGACCTTCCTCCGCATTCACATCCATCGCGGATACGTGCCCATATTGCGGAAGGATGCGTAGAACTAGGGAGCTGTTGTAGTTTTCTGTAGCAGTGTGCTTTTATATTGCCCGTGTTCTTCCACCTTCTTGCTATAGATGCGCTTTGAATCCTGCTGCGCCCCAGCTAACTCAGGTACTCTATTGCGGAAATAGCCCCAAGAACCCGTTATACACCAAGCTCCTGTCCTTCCTTGTATGCCCACTCACATCTCCAGTTCCCGTCCAATAGAACAGACCAGCCAGTCCATTTTGCCGCACATATCCTGCTTTCATCTGGACCGTACGCGGGGTGTCGTAGGTAACGAACCCTCCATCCCCGCCCACGCAGTACGCTGCACCAATCTGCTCGTCTACGTACTCCGTCGCGCCTGGTCGAGGCAGGTCTTGGTACTCAAATGTGCCCTCCTCTCCTGCATGACCATTGTACGAGTGTCCGATGCCTTTAGTCCCAGTGAACGAGCGTCCATATGCAGGCACGCCCAAAAGAATCTTATTCTGCGGGACACCCTGCCGTACCATGTACGACACAGCCGAATGACAGGAGATTGCCGCATCCGGGGAATGCGGCACCTGTGGAGTGTAGAGTTGTGCATGATGTCCGCACTTCTTCACCCATGATCCCGAGAAATCGTACGACATCAAGTTGATCATGTCCAGATAATGGGCCGCGTGGGCAAGATTGATGTGCTGAAGAGCCCATTCGCCGGCGGGCAGCGCCGATGTCAGCGTGTATTGGGGTCCGGGTAGATACGCTCTGAGAGTGGCCAGCAGCTGGATGTAGTCTGCGCCTTGTTGTGCATCTGAGGGGTGTTCCCAGTCGACTGATGACGAGTTAATTTGATGGATGGTATGAGTTAAGGGGGACATACTGTCGATGCCGTCGATTCCGAATTGCTGCACCAATGCCAATGCCGTTTGTGCAAACCGGTCACGGCTAGTCGAGTGGCGGGCAACTTCAGCGAACGGCTCACTTCCCTTGCCGCCTCCACCCACAGATAAGACGACTCGGAGACGGTTGTACCTCTTTTTGATGAGGGCAAACGAGTTCAGACACCCCGTGGTTTCTGGGATGCCCTCCGCGCCGGGCACCTGGATCTGGGAATCTGCCCATTCATCGCTAAGCTGTGTACATTAGTCGAGCAATCTGCTTTCAGGTAAGGCACATCATACATATACCGTGCCGTCTGGCTTTACCCTTGAACTAGTCAGCAGAGCAACTGTGAATGCGGGGAAGGTGCCCACCAAGCAAAAGCATAGAAGACGTGGGAGATAACGTCGAAGTTGAGTGACGCAGGTGGCTGGTTGCGGTATATCCGCCAATTGGGGTAGTAAACCGCATTGAAGTACATTCTCCCTGGAGGTTGCGAGAAAATGATGTTGTGGTCAAAGTAGGGTACAGGCACGGGAGCTCGGCTCATGTCGGTGGGTCTAGCGTTGTTAGTTGCGGTTCTACCTGGGTACGCTTGCATGTCAGAGTATAGACTTGAAACAGACGATGATCGCAAGATTATGGATCGTTTTTAAACACGATCGAGCGGGAATGCTCCATCTGCGATCGTGTTGTTGGTAGTACGAATCTGGGGTATGGCACCTGGTTCGTGACACGGCTGTCCTCGCATTATGGCCGTACTACAAATGCGAGCATAGCCAGAAACAGCTATCATTGGCGACACATCTTGTGAAGGCTCCTACGCTTATCCAAAAGTGTCTGATCCAGACAGATGAGTCGTCTGGGACTTCCCTGTGCTGTGAAAGTGGATATGCTTATTCTCAAACGGACCGACTTGGTGCATGAGGAAGTCCTGATCGATATTACGGTGAGAGGTACAACGAGATAATGATTGGATAGATAGTATAGTAATCCTTGAGATAATTCGGATACTTGATCCTGAAAACGATCTGCACGGCTTGTTTGCATGTGTTGACGACTGCTTGCGATGGAACCGTGGTCATTGCTGATCGAGCGTCCTCTGATAGGGTGGTATGCGAGCCGCGGGTGCAGTCCTGACATGCCTGCATACACAGTACACCCAGAGCTGCGGGCTTAAGGTTTGGAGGATTGGATTCGAGCTGTGTCAAAAATCGCCACTGGTCCTTCAGACGCGGGGTGGCCTGCCGTGCCACTCGCTGGTGGCTGGAAAGGCTGACTGCCAGAGGACACTAATGATTTGATGAGCGGACGACAAGGCCTGTGACATCAAATGGCCTGCCCTGCTTCCCCTCACCGCTTGCTAGTGTGGCGTTGGCGATGAGCGTCTTGGTTACACGAAGGGAAGCTGACGGCATTGGCGACAGTGAGGGCGATGCCATTACTGGCGAGATTGCTATTCCATACTCGGAGGCAAAGGTCCGATGCGGTCTTTCTCGAGCCGTTGCATTGCATGCATGGGAAGGCGATCCGTGGAGCTAGCGCACGCGGGAAGAACCGACTGGCAGCTGTGCTCCACACGTGATATGTCTTGGCACGTCCGCGCTAGAGAGTGCACATAACCACAAGCTTACCAGAGCTGCGCATCCTCACCACAACACGAAAGGAGTCGGCGTGCTTCACCACTACTGGCTTTTCTCAAGGCGCACGCTGCCAGGGCTACCAAGATAAAGCCTCGGCCACCGTCTCTGAGCGTCGCGCGACAGCTCAACCATGGCGGACGCCCAGAGTGTAACTCCGCCGGACCAGTCCCTGGCGCAGGCGGCGAAGACCACATACGACTTCAACTTCAGCGACTTCTTGCGGAGGGAATACCGTTTCGGCCTGGACCCGGACCGCCCGCAATGTAAGGCATATATGCAGGGACACTGCCCTCTGGGTAATCGCTGCCCGGACAAGCACCAGGTGTCTTCGTCATACAACAAGTACGCACACACGTCTGCTATCGAGAGAAAGGTTCCCGCTAATACTACAACTAGCCTGGTCTGCAAGCACTGGCTGCGAGGTCTTTGCAAGAAAGGCGAAACATGCGAGTTTCTTCACGAGTACAATCTTCGCCGCATGCCCGAATGCTCCTATTACGCCCGCACGCAGACCTGCTCGAACGGGGACGATTGTCTGTACCTTCACATCGACCCCGAAGCGAAGCGGCCGCCATGCCCTCACTACGACCGTGGTTTCTGTCCACTCGGCCCGCATTGCGCACTCAAACACAACAAGAAGGCCAACATATGCCCCTTCTATCTTGCCGGATTCTGCCCTGAAGGCCCAGCCTGCAAGCATGGCGCACACCCCAGGTTTCCCACCGATCTGAAGAAGCCCGAGGTTCGGGTGGAGAAGAGCCCCGAACAGCTAGAGCAGGAGCGACTGGAGAGGGAGGCCGAGCGGGAGAGAGAAGAGCGAGAAGATCGTGAGCAACAAGAGCGCAATCCTCATCACGTGGGTGGACACAAACAAGGAGGTCGGTGGAACAAGGGAGGACGGGGTAGAGGAAGAGGAAGAGGACGCCGCGGTGGCTTCTGATCTTCAAGCCTTCAGTCGCTTGATAAGTCATTGCCTGGCTCCGTGTTTGTCGATACTCCATTTGCTTGCACCTCGTGCATGCAGAAGAAAGATTGTGGATGAATCGGTGGATACATCACCTGCAGGGCCCGCATGGAAGAAATCTGGTGGTCTGCTCGCGCGACCAAGGGTGAGCTTAAGATTACCGCAGGGCCTACACTTGGACGCTAAAGCGACCTGCGGGTTCATGAAGTGCATCCAGAAGATTCGGTATGAGCTATCTGGTCTGTGCGATCCTCTCTTCGGTCTGAGCTTTGCGGCAGCTCAAATACTTGCGTTCAAAACAGTGCAAGCAAAAGAAAACACGATCTCTTTGTCGATTCGTGTGTTGGCATAGGGCGGATGTTTAGGTCCCGTAATTGCCCACCCACCTTTGAGCAGAAGGCTCGCACCCCGACCTACGAAGTGCTGTGGATAGCCAGCTCACTACACGCTAGCACCTAATACTGGTCGACCCTGTCGTGCGCGAGCCCGGATCGTCACACGACAGATCTGGTGACGTGACCTGATTACAGTCTTGCCGCTTTTGATCTTCCACGCATGGTGCATGCAGGTGGCAGAACTTTACATTCCTTCACATGCAGCTGCTGAGGTGACTTTGGACAGACGTTTCGAAGCCTTGCATCGAGCATGCGTAACCTCGTGGGCAGGATCAAACACCTTGGCTATGAACGAAAGTTCGAACATACGTAGGATAAACTATATCTTCCACTAATGCCTTACTTCTTGACATGGCTATCTTGCGAACGTGCCCTCGGCGCTGCCTCTGCTAAATCCTTAAGTCGGTCCAGGACGTACATCGCGCAACTTAACCGGCCATCGACGTATGATGTACTCTTCCGATTATATGACCCACAGGCGTGACGATAGAACATGCCATCGGTCTGCGCCAGCTAGGATTGGCTACCACTAAGCCAATAGAATTGTGCCCCCACTTCTTCCTACTGGCATTTGAATAAGTGGAACCGACCTGGATGTATCCTCATGTTGGGGTCTGCGCCCCCAAGTTACACATTTGAGACATGTATGCAACGGCCAATTACCGGGTATGCCCCAGCGCACCCACTCCGGTTAGCCGCCAGCCACAAACACATCTATCCACGAATGGGAGGATGTGACAGCTGTGCGCGAGGCATGAAGTATGCCTCTACGCGAGGTTTTGTTGCAGCCATTTCGGCGATGAAGGTAGCACGGTAAAGCGTGTTTCCAACCCGAGCACCTCACCAAGTCTGTAAATGCTGTGACAGAGCCAAAGTTAGAGCTAATACTGAGTTTGGTATATGTAGCATGTCTCTCCACTGGATTCAGAATGGCGGCGCATACCCGCACCTTTACCCGCCATCATGAAGTTGACTCTGGCTTGGGAGCGGTATACTCAGAAGATCGTCCTCCACTGTTCGATCGTCACAGCGCCTATGCTCGTCTCATCCCTCGTCATACTATACATTGTCTATGCCAACGTCGTCACCCCGAGCTGTGCTTCGCAAGAGCTGTGTCCAGCGTCTGGCCTCATTAACACCACGTCCCGCGCGTTTTACTACATTGACTTTCCTGCCGCACAGTTGGCTTTCGTGTCATCATGGTCAGCGACTGTCAGCTTTGCCCTCGTGGGCTTTCTTATGGCGTTTGCGTCGTATGCGAATGCAGCTGCGCTTCTAAAGGCTTCGGAAGGGGAGGAGCAGGACGATCTGCCAACTCCGCATCAGATGAGCGTGCTCTTGAGAGTCCTCAATGCCGAGATGATGATATTGTGGGACCTGGCTACTGTGAAGGTGAAGAATGTGTTCTGGCACCGGGAAAAAGAAGCGGACACTGTGAAGCGTTCATCGCCTATTCTCAATACAAGTGTCGTAGTCTTGCTTGTTAGTATCGTTGCTAGGTACGGAGGTTTTTGTTCGTTGGCCGAAACGTCCATCCACTGACGGCGACAGTCTCTTGGTTCAGGTTGCCGACATATACTTCCACATTGCCGCAGAAGCAGTCCAGCTCGTCCAGGTACAAGAGGTTGCGTCGATTTCTCGTCAATACAGTAGGGAAATCGCACCCTGGTGCCGCGATCGCCCCGAGAACGGTCCTCTTGGACCCAAGACCTTTTGGGGTTGCGCAATCACAGCCCAGAGAGCGGCAAACAACGGCACTTCCCTCGCCCCCACCAATGCAACCACAATCCAGGACATGAAGAACTCCGTCTCAGATCAACATGAAACTTTGAACTTTACCAACGCAAATGGTGTACAGTATGCTGTTGTCGGCCCACCAAACGCAGATCCAGCAGAAGACTACAAAGCTACCAGCTTTGGGGTCTCAACTTCGTGTGCGGCTATTCCTCAGGGTGGATGCGAAGTTGGACCACCGATCACCAATGTCACAGATGGACAAGGAAGTCCAGTCATGTTAGTACCTTTTTCCTGCAGCAAGAACAGCTCCGGGATTGACATCGTCGGTAACTTGACGAGCCATAACACGGTGACCAATATGCTCAACTTCCATAAGTATGCTTCAGAGAGCTCTCCGTTCCTGAGTAAAATCATGGAAACCCCGGACGGTCTCTCGAATGTCGATATTCTCACACGAATCCAAAATGAGACCGCGGATGAGGTTTTTCGTAATTCATGGTCGGTCCTGGCCCTCCGAAAGATTCCGTTCGCGCAACAGGCAGACTTCGAACGGCTGCCGAAGCCGTTTCGTAATGATACTAGAATCTGGAAGCACGACTTACTTGGCGCTTTTGCCCTGATGGTGTGCAATGTGACAGGTGCGTGAGTGCCTCCTCTAAAGCTTCGGAAATTAACGGAATCCAGTCTGGGACATAACATACGTAAAAGCCGGAGGGCAAATCACGTCGCTGACAAAGTCGCTCAGCAACGGATCTATCGCGGGCATGACTAGCATGCCTGGGACGCGCTTTCTCGGAACCCTCGCCAACGTCTTCCAAGACCTATCAACTGGGCCAGAGTCTCGCAGCTCACCGTCAGCTTTCATACGTGCATTCGAGATCGGGATGAGTAAAGCGTACTCTTTCCCGCTTGCATCCCAGTTGAGCAGTCGTGCGAGTCTAGCCGCCCAAGTGAGGAGCTCGAAGGTCGTCACGAGGCTGCCGGTTGCTGCACTGTGGACGCTGGTGGTTGCGAACGTGGGATTTGCAGCGTTGGGACTCGGGCTGGCGATTTGGGCTATGAGGCTTGCGAGTCCGGATGTGCATCAAACGCAGATGAGGTTGGGGGTGGCCGGGCTCGCAGCGGCGCTTTTCGATCGCGAGAAGTTTGAGCAGTCTGCCAACGCGGATGATGCGCTTTTCGCGGAGAAGAGCGGAAATGAGGGGGTCGATGTGAAAAGAATTGGTTTTAAGCGGACGGAGACTGGTGGGTCTACTTTTGCGGTTTATGATGCGAGGTTCAGGTTCGCGGAGGCGAAAGAGATGCGGAAGAGGTATTTTAGTAGTATAGTGGGCTAGTTTACCTATTGATTTCATTCGCAAGTGTTCTCCCAGTACTCAATTCAAGATACGAGGCATGATATCAATCACTGTTGCTTCGTTAATTCGATTATCTGCCGTTAGAAGATATGTGCGTTTGCTGCAATTACTTCAATATATGTCCACCTGTACCCCTCAAGCTTTCGCTATGTTAATCACGTTTGATCCGTCACTTGAGGATTGCAACTATACAGTTATATCCTGCTGTTTGTGCCGTTCTCTTCAATTTCAGCGCGTACGCCCTGCCAGCCCTCTGCAACTCTGAAGCACTTGTCCAACCACAGACTCTGAAGCACTTTCCCGTTACCCGCTCGGTAGTCGCGATCGTACTGCTCCTCACTCATCTGAGTAATCTCGTGTGCGCCGATGACAACTATCTGTCCGGACTCCCCCCAAGGCTCACCAGTCACAAACTTGATCCAATGGTCGGTCATTTGCGTTCCTGCCTTATTCGTCGCCTTGTCCAAGTGTTCCGCGTAGTTCTGGAGGAGCAAGGCCACGTCGAATTCGTGGGAAGCAAGCCCCGTGAATTCACCCTTCACTGGATTAGGCACGTGAAAATGATATCTGAAGCTGCGCTCGGCAGGAAAAGCGGACTTCCATCCTGAGTGAGCAGCAAGGGTAGGAATGTAGAAGCGCAAGTCAGAAATCAGGTCGATGAGGCTGCGGCGTTCCTGTTCCGGAGTAGAGGCAGGCAGGCTGTATGCGGCTAGGAGGGTGTTGGTCTCGGACTCGGTAAGATGCTTTGCACAGGAAGCTTTCAAGTTTTCGAAAGCGTTGGGGAGAGCGAGGACTCTTCCGTGAAGGATGGTGCCCTGCAAGTCAGTTAGACAAATTTGAGAAGAGCAGTGGGCTCAGCACACTTACATCGTGCCGGACGTCGCCAATCACAAATTCTTTGCACCAAGTCGGCTTGTGCAACTCTCGCGAGCCATCGGACATTAGTTCCAATGAAATATTTTCTTTTAGGAACTTGCCATCGACACAGGCGCAGTAATGCTGTGCTATTGGGAGCTTGTTGACCATCTCCATAGGATCCAGTTCTCTAAGTTGTGTCTTCCTCTTCTCTACCTCCACCTGGTCAAGGCCAAGCAGCTTTAGCTGGTCTTGGTACATCATGTCGTGCCAGGACCTGACTCTTGACTTCCGTAAAGTCGCGTCTCCGCTCATAATCACAACTTTCTCGAACAGTGCTTCGCCCCCAGTATCCACGCAGAGCAGCGTCGACAGCGAGATTGCACCAGCAGACTCTCCCGAGGCTGTGATCCGATTCGGATCGCCACCAAAGCCGGCGATATGTTTCTTGATCCATTGAAACGCCAATACCTGATCTTTGTATCCAAAGTTGCCATCGATATCTAACTCCTTGCTCGCCAGAAAGCCCAAAATTCCGACGCGGTAGTTGATCGCGACGCTGATAACTGGCTTTCCAATCTCCACGCTGCGCTCCACGAACCGCGTAAGGTCGTATTGGGGCCAGTTGTTGCTGCCGAAGCTCAAGCCGCCACCGTGCACCCAGACGAACACGGGTAGTTGCTCGCCTCGAGCCGCGTTTTCAAGATGGGTCTTCGGTACGGTGACGTTAAGTTGCAGACATGAAAATTCGTCCATGGGTTCTTGGATTCCCCCTTCCATTGGCATAATGACGTCCCCGACGAGAGTGAGATCCCATGCCTGCGCCGCGCGGTTGAAGGGACAGGATGGGCCGAGCTGAGTTGCATCATATACGCCATCTGTATTGCTGCTCAATTCCTCATTGATCACCGAGTCCTCCCATCTTCCAGGTATCGTTGCGTATTTGAGGTTCCGAAATTGCACTGTTGAAGTTGACGGTTTGCCGCGTATAGCACATTTTAATGTGGGGTGGTGCAGTGTATCTGCCGCCATTCTACAACAAATAATGCGATCGGCGTGGTGGCGTTGGTGAGACGGAGAACCCTAAATCCAGGTGAATGGCCGGGGATTCCAAGGCAGTGGTACGGTGAGCTGAGAGGATAGAAGGGTAAGCGCCACGTGGGTAGGTAGTCGTGTCCCTAAGCCGAGGGTAGACCTCGCGCTAATACATGTGGGGCCCTACGCTTGAACTTTGAGGAGGAACAAGCGACAACAAAATGAATTCGCCCTTCAATATAAGAATGTCGCCTTGTACCTGCACGTCCGCATAACTGTTATCCATTTTGCCCCAGTTTGGATGTATACCTCGGCGGCGGAAGTGGAAGTTATCGCGTTCTTAATGCGTTGAGCATCGAAAGGTAAGTAGTTCCAGCGATCGGCTAAATTAGGTACCCAAGATGGTAGACCATGCCTCCTCCGCGGATTTTGGCAAACGGCGAGTATGTCTAGATCTTTCTCTTCACACAATGCATGTTTTGCAGCTGTTATGTAGATGCTTCGGAGATCTCCTCGATAATCAGGCATGATCGTGAAAGCCCCTGGGTCAGCCATGCCAATAATAGAGAACACCATATCGCGTGTATCCGTTGCCTCGCAACCCCTCACATCCTGGATAAGCTGACCCAGCTGCACCCAATGAGCACCACTCCCTGTAGCCTTTCTCAACTGTATCAACTTCGAAGGGTGGTAGTCCCAGGGAAGTTGTCCAGGTTTATATGTATGCCCTGTACTCAAAGAAGCACTGTCATATCCCATGCTTTTGACATGATCGATCATGAGTAATGCAGGCTCGAGCACAGCTATGTCGAGAGTTTTGTTGCCGCATGAGAGCAAGACCTTTTCGTGGAGAGCAATCTCTTGTCTTATCCACACTCGCTCGAACCACGGCCGTGTGAAAAATGAGCCAAGAGCTATCCAATTAAGCTTAACGTCAGCCTCGCTAAGTGAAAGATATTGAATCGCCTCTCCAGGAGCATTCTCCGGTGGCGCCCCCAGGATGGTCAGCAAATCAATTGCTTTCGAACTGGTGTCTGACTCGTCGCCAAGCCAGACATGGACATTTTCGGCTTTTTTGTATATGCGCCTCATGAGCGAGACCTGACTACTTCTCTCGTCAAGATCGCTTTGGTTGATGCACAATTGATCAATCCAGAGGTACTTTTCCCACACGGATATGCCATCGGTGTAGAAGTCTCTGAGGTATCGCAGCGCTGAATCAAGGCTTTTTGTAATTGGGACTTGGTAATTGTCTACAACGATGAAGTGATCCATGATTGGAGGACCCCAACAATACGACAATGCTGTAAATGTGCTTCCAAGTTGTTCCGGACGTTTGATAGCAGACACAGGTGGCTCTGCTAAGTCTATAGTCTTTAGAGACGCAAAAAGCGTGTCCGCAGAGCTGGGCGCCGAGTACAGCTCTAGAATTCGTATCTGGGATTTGGTCGGATCCAGAGCGGTGTAAGGGTACGGCCCGTCTAGTACGACATGGGCAGTTTCGGTGGGCGCTGCCTCGGTCTTTGTCAACGCGGGAGCTGTGCGTGCAGCGTGAGCCTGGTCTTGATCACTACCCACATGCAGATGGTCCATTATCTTTTGGAGAGCTAGATCGATCCGAGTCATGCGCTGATTCAGGTCTGTATAGTGATCTTCCAGTCTCTCTTCGATTCGATCCATACGTTCTTTCAGTTCTTCAAACTGTGGCTTATCAAAATAGCTCGACATACTTTCGTTGGGAATGTATAGGTGATAGTGGAGGAGGCGGGTTTGTGACGTGTTCCGGCTGTGGACGCACCAGAGAGGGTATGTGCGGGCGGCCTCTTCATCACGTACCTAAGCGAGAACCTTGGAAGGGTCAATCGTAACCGCTTCGTGTTGAATATACACTTGTGTGGTGAAACAAAAGTTCCAAGTGAATGATGGAAGGAGACTTCTAGTCATTGCATAAAAAAACAAATAATGTAGTAGTCAACATGAGAGTACACATACTTCATGAACAGCGAGATGATAATCAGAATGGCAAGTATACTAGGTCCGTTGAAGCCCATACCTGCGCATGATACTGTTTGTCACTGCAAGCTACGCTGCACGTATATGTAAGCTATTGTGCGCCCTTGATGTTTGAATAGTTGACACCCTACTAATAGCACAGATACTGTTTCATCATCATCAGATGTTCAATATTCTCTGACGAGCCGGACCATTGCCCTTATATTGGCGTGAGTCGCTGGAACATGTCGCTTGTTGAAGTCAGATGCCCGTAGTGTGCCGTCCTGTATCGTCAAAGCGCATTATGTGAGAAAATGGCGACACTCAAGGTGTGCTCCTGGGGGCTTTTATCAACTTAGATTCCCATTCGATGAACAAACCAGTCTAATAAAATACGAGATTGACAAAGCGGTGGCCTTCTTTGTGGACATCGGCTTGAGCACGGATGATGTACAAAATGGAGCGGATCCCCCAAGCGACACGACTGCCGGTTTGACCATTTGATTTCCTCGGAAATGACTATCTCAAGCTCAAATTCTGCATATCTTGACAGAGGAGGGACATTCACACGAGTGCGGGCTACTAGTGGTTGATGCCCCGAAGGGTTAACCCTAACGAAGAAGGCAGACACTCATGCGCCGAGCAGGTTTCTTATCTTGTCCAAGTAGACTGGACACATCCTATCTCACTTCGATTAAGATGATCCTGAAATATACGATATTTGTCACGTGGGAAAAACCCTGATCGCCTACTTTATCGACAGGCATGTTTTCACACCTCGTCATACAGTGTCTGACCTAGAGGTAAAACGTCGTTTCATGAGCTGGACAATTTTCCAAAAATGGGGCGGACGATATTTCCAGCGTGGCAAGGGGTATGTGACTTAAATTGAGAGCTATACACGATAGAGAGGTTCAAGGCTATGAGTGGTTCAGTGTTACCGACTTTGCTCCTGACGTAATAGAGGAAGTCTCTACGCTGGACCTAGAGTTGTACATTACACACGAAGAGTTGGTGAGTCTCTAGTCAGACTCTTTTGTGACTGCGATCAGGAAATATAAGAAAAAACCCTGAGAGTTAGTTGTAAAAAGGAAACGACAAGAAAACCTCATAGAACTGAGCAGAAACGAGCCACCCGTCACCATGTGATAAGCAATTATAACAAGCAACAGCAGTACTTGCCAAGATTGCAAAGAGTTCGTACAAAGTGTCAATCGAGATTTTGAATTTGATGTTTTTGAATCGTCTGCAGGGGCGAGGGGCGCGCGTGACGATTCAATAGGGGTCTCATTCATGCAGAAAGACATCGCGCTCTATGTCACGTACACAGGGTCGTTACTTTTGATATATGTTGAGTACTCACTATGAGAGAATGATAGTACGAGTTGGGCTACACCGGAACATATTTGCTGATCCATAATTTCGCCGTAGCTTCGATGCATCGGTAGGTTACGTGTGAGTCAGGGAAAGGACTACCTATTAGAAGTGTCTCATTGATCCCATGAAGCCAGCAAGGCTCCTCCTCGCTATTAAGAACGTACCGCAGCGACATTATTCACCGCTTCGTAAACTATAACTCTACTTCTCCTCTCTGTCTTCATTCCCAGCCCTACCCTCAGAACAGAAGATCTTTGTCCCACCACTCCTTCCTTACCAGACTACTCGGTCCCTGCTCTATTTCCTGGCCCCTTCTCGTCATCTCCTTCTGCCTCTCCCTGTTCGCGTGTCTTACATCGAAGATCTTAACCCCATTCCGCAAGTACCTGCCTCCCTGCGACCTCCGTTCGTACATAGATGGGCGTGGATCTTGCTCGACGTCGGGATATGGTGGCCCATAAAGTTGCGCGATGTTGGCAATCGGATTCGAATCGATCGGCGGGGGAGGGCCCGCGGGAGGGGAAGCTTTCTTCGGCGCCCGTCGGCGCCAGAAGAAGGTTCCGCCGATGACAGTTACGAGGATGACGATGATCGGGATGGCGATAAAACCGAGCTTTGGGTTGGAATTGTGTGGAGCTGGGGCGAGTGCAGGGTCGCTCTGCAGATGAATCAACAATGCAACTACCAATAGAGCAGAAAGCGACAACACACAGCAGTAGCCGTTGTCAACGCACTCGACGTCCTCGTAAACCTATCCCCGAGCATGGCTAACACATCCGCCACCCGCAGACAGAAATTGTTGATCACGAATCCATTACACCAGGCGTTCGGTCCGCGAATGTCGAGGTCCGGCGTCTGGAACACGACACTGGCCTGCGGCTTCGGCCAGCCCGTCGGTGGGAACGCTTCGTTGTACATATCCAGCCAGTACTGCCACGGGACACATGTTTCGTTGACAATGAACCCATCGCAGCCGGACGACGGCCATACCACGTCGATCGATCCTGTCGGCGAAGCTGGGCCGTAAGTCGAGATTGATAGAGTCGTCGAAGATGGAATTATGGAGGGCGTCGGGAAAACCACAGGAGTAGGAGTTACTGTAGTGTGTCCGGTGAGCAAACAGTTTTTCTCGACGGATGGAGTTGACATCCACCAACATGGCTGCGGTCTTGAAATCGTAGGACCGGGAGCGGTGATAACGGTGAGGCCAGATATAATGGTCATGCTGGACACTGAGTGCTGAGTTTCGCGGTGTAGCGGGGACGTTAGGTGGAAACCACGCAGAGACACAAGAAGAAAATAGTTGGGGCGTGTGATAGTTTATGTAGCCGTTACTAAGCGAGGCGTTGCCGCGAAGAGACGCAAATTAAAATATGAAAGTGAATGGGAGACCCGCACCTTCGTTCATCGACCGCTGGCAAGATGAGGGGCAAACGCGCTGCTCGTGCGCTGCCAACAGGACAAGCCAGTGGAAGGAGCTGGGCCTCGGGAGCTATTCGATATCGGCGGCGAAGAATTGTTGCGGTCGCGAATGGAAGAATTGGGGCACATGTCGTTATTTATTCTAACGCTCCTGTGGTAAAGCGATATGAGCGGAACAAGCGCGCAACAAACCATAGAAACAGGTATTGAGTCTGTCCTCAATGCTGAAAGGTATTCTACTTGGAAGAAGACTAATAAAGCTAATTTAACCACTAATAATACGATGTGAGTGAAACTCACTTCAACAGAACGACAACCACTCAACAGCGTCCACCATTGCTCGGCCCGCCCAGTATGCTTCGAGCAAGACCCCTCCGAATCCGCCTTTTTATCTCTCCCACGTATTACTCCCTAACAAGACATCTCCACAGATTCCTATACCCTCTTACTGCACTTGTCTCACGCACCCAAAAGCCCACTGCCCGTTCCACTCTCCCTGTACTTCCGCTATCCTCCGGGTTTCCATTTGCCCCTTTCCTCATCACTCGCTTTTTCCTTACTCGCCATCTCCTCAATGCCCTTCTCAAACGCTTCCGCCCCCGCGAAGTTGCCCGCTTCAAACACATTCTGTCCATTGATCACCCTAGGTGCTATGGCAACGGGTGGCGACGATGGGTGACGTGGCTTGCCGCTGCGCCAGACGGTACACCAGATACCAAAGGCGACGATACCGACGGCCGCGAGGGAACATGGAATGAGGATGGGGAGGATGGGTGTCTTGCGCTTGGGGGGTATAACCTCTGTTGGCACGGGGGTGAGGCCGGATGCGGGAGCTGAGGAGAGTGGAATGGAGGATGTATGCGGCAAGGTGGACGAGATGGGCGGTTTTGTCGGTGTGGGAAGGGATGTTGATGAGTTCATTAATGAAGACGATAAGGTGTTGGTTGGAGAAGCGGGCGCTGAGACTGGAGTGCTCGTAGTCGTTTTGCTGGGGAGATCTGATGGATCTGGTACACCAGGTATACAACATCTTCCACCTGGTTCAATCGTTCTCTGGCAGTCCTCGTAGGATGACTGTTGCTGATCTGTGGCTAGTTTAGTACGGAGTAGTTGCCGTTTTCAAGTAATGGAAATACCCAGCAGAGCAGTATTGATAGGACAAGGACCGGCAGAGTCGCTAAGATTAGGCTCGACTCCAAGGTGAGGTGTTGCATTCAGGACTGGACTTGGGGTAATAAGTGGAGTTATAGAAGTCTGAACGAGTTCTGCTGGGGTCGAGATAGCGGGGATGCTGATACGAAGAACCGGATTGTCGGGCAGGACACCTTGAGAATTGTGTTGCGACGGTATGTCAATGACAGTAACCCAACCGCTTGGTAGAATGGTCTCGTGGTCGCCGAGGATGACGACTGAGCCGGAGATGGTGACCAGCTTTCTCACTGTATTCGCGTAACACGAGTCAGCCTGAGGCGCGCAACCAACGGCAATGAAGAGAATGTTAACCTTGAAGGAGAGATGGTTGTTTTGTCAACACTGCGTGTCGATAATGTCAACAGAGCACTTGGAATGCGTACTATCACCACTTACTGTCACGCCTGTCTCTGCCGCCCAAGGCTACGCCTCCTCCATTTGTGAAGCTCGTAATCAGTGTTGAAGGTATGGCAGCGGTATGAGTGACACCAAAGTATACCGTTGCTTCCATGATTGTGATGCTGCGTTGGTCGCGCTGCTGCTCAGAGAGTGTGTGAAGCACTAGTTGGAAATCTCGAGTTGAGGAAAAGTGGAGGGGTGGACGGCACAAATATATGCCCGGATCCATAAAGTAAGCGTAATATGCAGGATGATGGGACTAAGCACCTGGAAATACCTCTTATCATTATAAGGGATAGTCATGGCTCGCGCCGAATGATAGCAGACCATGATCTGTTCGTTGCAAACGCTATTCCTATGCCCGGCATGCCGGGTCACACATGTGACAAGAAAGGTTCTCTCCGGCACCTTCAGAGCCAAACAGTAAACTTCAGTGGTGATCATCATCATGGGACCACAGTGGCTGAGATGGCCCGCAAAGGGTCCATACCAAGCGCTCGTCGCGGGCTGTGACGAGATCTCAGCTCTACATATTCTCGACATGAAAAGTAACGTTATGATGCAGATTACGGTTGTGCTGAAAGGAAAGGAGTTCTAACTGGTTACTGGACAGTGATCCGGAGCCCCGTGTCTCACGCTCAGACCGTAGCAACAGCCCAGGATATGTGGATCCAAGACAACACGTCTGGAACATGTCGGTATTGTCCGGACGATCCGCCCAGCCAGAGAAAGAAAAAAGACGAGCAAGATACAGCAGCGTGAAGGCACAGCGAATGATTACGTCCAAAAGCGACTATTGTTCATTGGGTATATTTCATGCTCAACTGAGGCGTCGACACTTGGCCGTCATCACTCTTTATGGCGAGTGATAGTGGTGTGACCACGGTTCGCTCTTCTTCCCTGACTGCTCAAATCCAGTCATTGGTAGTGTCGATTCTCTGCTTCTGTCTTTCTTCTTTGTTGCCAGGCGGCGGACGCCATGACTTACGCTAGTTTATCCAAGTACCATCAACATCTCACTTCGCCTTGTTCTTTGCCGATTCGGCCTCTCTCCTGGTCGCATCCTCTAGTAATGCTGTGTCGACGGCACCGCTGGGCAGGTGTACGTATCGAACGACGGAGCCTCGAATGAACATGTCTTTGGTGGAGCACTGCGCATAGTTAGCACGATTGCCACCCTTGCGCCCACTAATTCCCAAATTGCGAGGGCCTAACGAAGCGTACCAGATGTGGCCACCTGAGCTCGTCTGTTGCCTCTGCATTGTCCAACTTGATGTTCAGATACTGATCCACGCTCTTCAGCGTCCCGCGTATGCACACTTCGTTCTTGAGTTCGACAGTGATCTCGGAGTCAACGAGCGTCTTGAAAAAGCTATGCGCAGTAACTGTCAGCGTTTGCGCTTCTTAAGGGTTGTCTTCTCGGCGTCTTGTCGTTCGCTGGCTACGTTGGATGGCGCAGTTTCCGAGGGACCAGATCGTTGCGCAAAGCAAGCCGGCATTTGTTGACTTACCTGAAGAACAGCATGTTTGCAACAAGGGAGTAGAGTGGGCGCAAGCGCAATCGTGGATGTGCTGACGTCGAAACGGTCGTCAATATCGCGAAGCTCGGGGCTGCAGGTCGCGCTCAGACCGCGTGGGGTCGCGCTTGCCTCTCCGGATTTTAACCGACATCACGTGCTCGCTCTTTCATGGGCACGTTCGATGGTAACTAACGCGCTCTACCTAGGATGGTTCCATTATAAGTTGCAACCACTTATTGTGGTCCCAAGTTTGTACTTATACTCGCAGCGGCTTTTGGCACTACCCATCTTTAAGTGATGCAGGTTGTTGATTCCCAACTACTTTTGTCTATCTCTCCTCATCAATTCATAGGCGGCGTTTACATACATATCGATCTACAATATACACCTCTCATAGCTTGCCTCTTCTCGAGTCGACTGCCTCCCTGAGCTTCTTGATGACTTGTCCTGGGTCAGCTGCCCCGAATACAGCGCTTCCTGCAACGATAACGTTAGCGCCGGCGTCTGCTGCCTGGTCGATAGTCTTCTCAGACAAGCCGCCGTCCACCTCAATGTGCATGTTAGGATATTTCTGGCGGAGCGCTGTAACCTTAGGAAGCTGGTCGGCCATGAACGATTGGCCGCCGAAGCCGGGCTCGACGGTCATGACGAGGACCATCTGTCGAATGTTAGCCAAGCTGTTTGTGATCCTGCAATGATGCAATGATAGAACGAAACGCCGACGGGTAGAAGAGTCATCGTGAGCCAGGATCGGCGTTGGCTAGCTGCAAAGTCGTAATGGATGTCGGAAGTACTCCCCCTTTGTAGGGCTTGAGAGGGTAGCGAAGCGTTCGAGGTGCAATGTTTGCATGCTTAAGCGCTGGCTGACTGAACGGTCGTATCCAGCCGTATGGGCCAAGGCCGACAACCGCTTTCTAGACCACGCAGCCCGAAACACATGGTATGTACCGAAATTCTTATGGCCATTGAAAGGGAGGTAAATGCAGAGCGATTTTACTTACGTCAGGTACTTCCTCCTTGACAGGATTGTCCAGAATCTCCCAGAGCACATCTACAGGAGTCCCTGGCTTTATCGCGATGCCAGCCTGCAGACCTTCACCATGTATGAATTTGATCAGCTCCTTGGGCGAGGTCTTCGCGGAGGAGGTGCCCGAGGGGGAGTCGGCGGCAGTCGAATCGACGGCGGCCTCATAGTGGAAGCAGTACAGATCGCAGCCGGCCTTCTTGAAGTCGCGGACCCACCGCTTGGGCTCGGCAATCATCATGTGGCAGTCGAAGGTGCCGCGGCCATGGGCGGCAGCAGGACGTTCGACGTGGGAGCGGATCTTGGTAACGACTGGGGCGCCAAAGGTCATGTTCGGGACAAAGTGGCCGTCCATGATGTCTACCTGGAACGCGTCAGGGCCGCTCTACGCACGCGAGAGCTCAGGAGACAAACATGGAGCCAATCGGCGCCCTGGTGGATGGTGTCAGAGCATGCTTTGCCCAGCTCTGCGAAGTCGGCGGACAGAATGGAAGGCGCGATGATGGCGGGCGGCGACATGGCGGCGGCTCTGTGCGAGGATGGAGCTGTATCGAGATTCGCTGATGACGTGGGAAACTCAATGGCGACTGGACGGCGTGGGAAACAAAAGTGTGATTATTCGGCCTGGCTGCGTGGTGTTGACATAACGAGCTCGATGCGGCGTCACGCCGACCCCACTACCGATGGCCTGCCCCGCGCCTGTTTCGAAGCTCTTCATGCGCACCGCAAACACCGTGCTCATTCATTGTTCCGTTTCTGCGCCTGTTTCGCGGCCCTCTGCGAAGTATCATGGACGGTACAAACATAGATGCCATCAATCTCCGTTCTTACCCTGACTGTCTCTGTGCCTCAAGTTGTGGCGGGGTGCATTTCGGTCATGGCACACGGAGCCAGATGCCGAGCGCTCGCGAGCCTCGCCGCATCCTGACAGACGATGACTGAAAACCAAGCCTGCGAGCTACGAACGCCTTCTCCATCGAGTTCATCGGCGACTATGCTGTGCTACGCCGTGCGGCATGGCGATTGGGCTGTCACGAGATTCGATGCTTGCGAGTGGACCCAAAAATACCACGGCGGGCGCTTAACAAACATCCGTCCAATCCGCCTTCGCCTAACGACCAGTCATCCAGCCCCCAGAGGCGCCCGCGTCCAAAAGCGTGACCACCCTGGAGACTGCCCATGTTCGCATGTACAGCGTTGCACCGCACGCTGGCCAACCACGAACGAGAAGATGCGGCCGCACTGTCGTGGCCGTCCTTGAGCCGCTATCGCCTCTCCACCCACATGGTGGCCGCTTTGCGAGTGGACAGGCGGGACCAGCATCGCGTCCGCGAACGCCACTACCTGTTGGCCAATATGTCTGTCGACGCGGGCGCGGCTACGCGCGAATTATACATACTATTGCTCGGCGCGCGCTCGCGGTGCCGTTGTTCTCTGGCATCTTCTTCTCCCTCCCTCCCGAGCTCCCTACCACGCCGCAGCTTCGTCGACCGAAGCGCTTCATTTCTATCACCGAGCTGTTGATCAGCCAGGGTTATTGCCCACTAATTCCATCTGCATTCCTTCCCTGTTAATAGTTTATCTTTTGACCGCCCCCAAGACCCAAGTTCGGATTCCCAGTATACAAATTCTTTAATTTTAGCACGAGGCGGAGCTCACATCAGCCCAATATACAATATGCCAGAGATACTTCCCACTGCAGTGTACGCATCTGCAGCCATTGGCACTGCCGACTTCGCTCAATACCCCGTGTCTCCGCTGGACGAGAGACACACTCTTAATGTCGTCGATGACGACTCAACCATCCCACGGTACTACTTCACGCCAAGGTTTTCCACCACCTCGACATATCAGCCCAGTGCCGACTCCCCTAAGAGTTGCCGGGACTTTGCTCTTCCAAAGGCACCTGCACCACTGCTCGAGATGATGAAGCCGTCACCTGTCCCGTCGCCTAGATATGCCTACCCCTCCTCAACGTACCCTGCCTCGTACCGCGCAAGCAGGGCAGACAGTGACTTCGACTCGCTGTACGACATCACAGACGACGAAGCAGAAGTACCTCTGCATGCATCAGCTTCGGTCAAGAAGATTGCGCGCACAAGTCGCAGTCGCTATCCTTCCCTCATCATCCCCTCGCCTTCCGCTTGGCCGACAATAGAGAAGCTCAAGAGCGCGATATCAGCGCAACCACATACGCCATCTCAACTGCTCACTCCATCGAAACAAGCCTTGTCATTGATCACGTCGCATAACCTATCGGTACCGGCCCGCTCGGCCGCCCCCTCCCTGGACGGAAGTCTGACTTCAGAAGAGATGGACAAGCTGAGCTGCCCTTCCACGCCCGAGACCCACAAGCGCGAAAGTATCGGTAGTGTGGACTCATGGGCGCCTGTACAGCTGGACAACCAAGCATTGGAGACCCTACGTCACCTGTCTCGGTCACGAGATTCGTCAAGAGGTTCATCACCAGAGCGATCGCCATCGCGCGGGAACGATGGTAGTGAAGGTGAGATGAGAGAGGTTCGTCCCATGCTGAACCTGAGGATTCCCTCCGGTATCGTGCAGACTTCGTCTGGCAACACACCGGTGTCAGCACTTTCAGTGCCTTCGCCTGGTGGGTTCTTCTCGTCACTCCAGTCTACTGCTCGGCATACTTGGAGCCTACCGAAACGTGACGAGTCCATTCCAAACACTTCTACGGCCGAGAAATTCTACTCATTGCCATGGGCATTCAAGCGAAGTCCTATTGCCCAGCGTGCCATTACATTGGCAGGCTCGACACTTGACGGCTACAATGACGGTCTACCGACCTCAAGACCTGTCATGCTTGTTGAAGCTGAAGAAGCAGTGGAAGTCTCTGAGATCCACCCAGCTAAGACGATTTTTCAGTACAACGAGAATTACCATGTGGAGCTGCAGAAGCTTTCATCCGCCAACATCGAACGCACAGGCCATTGGCTAGAGGAGCAAGAAGAGTTACAAGCTGCACTCCGAGACATGGACATCATCGGCTCACCCAGTCTGTCCACCGGTACACACAGCCGTGGTAATTCAATCGATAAGGCAATCAAGAAGTCAGTCAAATTCGCTGAAGAGCCGCTCAAGTCGCCCACAGAAGAGGAAGAGCCAAAGAAAATCATCACGTACGTCCAGGGCTTTGAGTTCCTTCGACAGCGAACTCGAAGGATGGACGTCTACATCCATCGTCAGACCCGTGCAGAGGCGATGCATGTCCACAGGCGATGCAACCCGAAGTCCCACCAGGACCAGCTGCTGGGCAAGTTCGAACTCACCAACCCAGTACGGCCAGCTCCGCCACGACCTGTCTCGGAGTTCTACGTCAACGACCCGACTGTGTTGAAAGAGCGCATCGCCCGCGCTCAGATGGAGCGTCAAGCCCTCGACCAAATGCTGCCAATATGTTGGGTCCTCCAAGCACTTCGACAACTCAACGGAGGAAGGCTGCTCAGCAAATATGCTGCACGGCTTGTCCGCCGGACCAGTGTACCCAAGATTCTTGATGTGGGCGGCGTGGCAACCAACGATTGGGCATGGGATGTAGCCTACGACTACCCCTACGCAACCGTTACGACTGTCTACACTGCCGGCAACAACCTGACTTCCAACGTCACCGGCCCATCCAATCACAAGCAAACGACGGTGCCCAACCTCTGGACGCTGCCATTCCCTAGCGGTCACTTCGACGTCGTCTCTGCCCGCACTCTCCACGAGCTCCTCAAGACCGACAAGCCCCTTGGCCGCTCACTGGACGAGTACGACCTGTGTCTAAAAGAGTGCTTCCGGTGCCTCAAACCCGGCGGCATCCTCGAGTTCTCACTCCTCGACGCAGACATTATTCATGCGGGGCGCCACGCGCAAGCCCTTGGTGTCGAGTTCGGCTTCAACCTCAAGACTCGCGGGTACGACGCCGCGCCCACAAAGTCCTTCCTGCCGCGTCTTCGCAAGGCTGGCTTCCGCGAAGTGCACAGGACGTGGATGGTTCTTCCTATGGGCAAGACGGCGGCGAACTGGAAAGACACGCTTCCCGTACTGCCTGCCAAGGCGGCTACGGAGCGGAGTATCAGTCCCGAGGGCGAGGTCGTGGAGTCGGAGGCCCCGGTGTGGGGTACCACTGTAGATGCGGCGATGATGACGGGAATCGTCGGGAGTTGGTATTGGGAGAAGTGGATGTTGAGGCTGCAGGTTGAGATGGGGAAGGAGGAAGAGAGATTATTGGAGGGAGTAGTGCAGGTGCTTGAGGAAGGTGCAGAGGCAGGCAGCGGGTGGCGGTATCTGACCGGTTTCGCAAGGAAGTAGATATCCTCACCGTGTGGAAAGAGGGTGGCATGTGTTCAATTTGGCTTGGTTTATAAGGTCTTCGCACTTTAGCATGGTGTTTGTCGGCTTGCTTTGAGTCTTGGGTCTGGGTGGGGTGGTTGAGGTCGATACCCTCTTGTATGCATAGCGACATTAGGAGATGTGCGGCATAGAGGACGGTACCGTGGTGGTGTGCGTTTCTTTTGTTGGTGCTGGGTAGTAAATAGCTCAGTCGATGGTGAGGGATCGCGTATCTTTGCAATCCGCGATGCATCGCCAACAGAGACATAGTTCAGCAGCAATGAGATTGACATGCGCACATGGGGAAACGGCATCAGCGTTCTATTTCCATTATTGGGCTGACACAGAAAGCTTCAAAGTGATATCAATAGATTGGCGATGAGCGCACGTACAGCTCATTGACTGCCAGTGCTCATTCTATTCCCCGTTGCTTTCCTCCTGGTCACTGTGATATTCTTCTTCATCCTCAAATTCATCGTCATCGTCATTTTCATCCTCGTCTTCATCCTCGTCTTCATCCTCGTATTCATCCTCGTATTCCTCAAGCAGGCCCCTGCCTCTCATTCCTTCCACATCCAGGCTTCCCTGCACAAAATTCCATGTGTCTGTCACGACAATGTACTCGACCGTTCCGTCGTCCTTCTCGCCTTTGCCAAAATGACTCCAGGTTTGTCCGCCCAACTTGCTGGTCCCTTTCCAAGTCCATTCCGATAAAGCAGTCTTCTCAGCACTCAGATAGCCATCGAACTCGTTCGAATCTACGTCAGTTCTCACAGGCAACTTCCACTTTTTGTTCCTCTCGACAATACGCATCATTTCCTCTTTCTTCCAGCTCAACGTCTCGTACTCAACTCTCAGCTTGCGCAGTCCTGGGCTCCCGAGGAAGTTACGTAGCCACGTTTCTTTCATCGTCATAGGGGCGTTGTCCTCCCACCACCACCAATCCGAATATCGGATGGTGATTGTGAGTTCCGAGGGACGAAACTGTGGCTCCGCGAAGATACGCCGGAGATTGCTACCGTCCTCGAGCCAGTACATCTGCGTAAAGAAGCGGACTTTCTCCAGAGCTTGAGCGGCCTGTGGGCTGAGATCGCTGAAGAAACTCAAACATGCGACGTTGCCGGAGCGGCCAGATGGTCCACGGTCTAAAATCCATTAGCTGGACTGTATGTAGTCGTGAGAGCGTGCTGCGCTCACCGAACCAGAATGCCCACTCAAGGTCCCTCAAGAACACTTTTTGGCCCTCTGTATACACTGCTTTACACGTTTGCAGCAATGCGCTGTTGGCTTTGCGCGGGCCTGAAAAACCTGGTCTGTACCAGTACGAGTCCTCCGGGTAAGATGCCGCATCATCTTCATATTGCATGAGTGCATACGCAAATATCTCATTCCTAATCTCGCCTGGGAGGACGCCAAATAATGGACTTTGTGACTGGAAATTGGTTGGCTGAAAGGTGAGGGTAGAGGCCATTGTACGGATGACTGGCGTGCGTCTTAGCAGTGCCTTGGAGCGGAGGAATATGGACGGGGATATATGAAGATTGCGAAAGGGAGTGCGACATGCGCAGAGGGCGCAGGAGCTTCTTGAGGTCAAAAGTACATGCGAGAGCCAAGGCAAGTGAAGGGCTAACTTCATTCGGGTTTAGCCTCAATTAGTGTAGGCTGCCACCTCTCTGGGACAGGCAACACGGGTCTCAGGACATGACTTTTTAGTCACTGAGGCCATGGGCATCCAAGGAACATCTTCACCATCTAGTTTTTCGATTATTCTTTGGAGCCTCACAGTCGAAAATGCTCGGACAGTGGGCGGATCAAACCCTATCCTGCCCATCCAGATGACTTGAAGCACTCAGCTTTGACATTGCTATTCCATGGTTTAGCGAGGATGGCGTGGATTAAACGGGTGGCTTTTTGATCAAGGATAAGGAGCTGGAAGAGAAGGCAATAAAGGTTACAGATAGGGCTGAGGCGAGAATGGGAACTAGAAGCAGATACTTGGCGTGAGCAGGCGCGGGTCTGGGCCTCGGGTAGGTAAGGCCAGACCGCACAAGAATCCTAAACCTCGGAAACCAATAATGCCACGTCCTTCTGAAGGATGGATCAATCGTGATGGAGATATCCGCGGGGACTTGGTCGATCTGGGGCGGCTAACCTCATGGCTTCTCTGCGGACGTCTGATTGGGCACGAAACCATAAAACTCAAGGGTACCGGCAGGGCTCCAGGATCACCCCTCCACCAGCGGGCATGTTCAACCGTCGATGCTGTTCCACTCCTCGCACTGTGCTACGCACGAGAATGATCTCACGACGGTTCTGTCGAAGAAGTGCACCCGTTGATGAGACGATGATTGCCCTCGCGCTCTCAGTGAAGAGTCAGGATGATTGCAGCGCAATCTTGGAGACGGCAATGCGCCGTTCCGTTTTCGTATTTGCCGCGTAGTCCTGCCGTTTGAATCCGGCGAATCCACTTCGGCGCCTCTTTCTATAGGAGAAATTAGGATGGTCAAAGCTTTCATCCCGCATGGAACACACAAGGTGCCTCGCGAACTTCGAAGGATTCATAGCGCAGCGGTAGTCGGTCCGATCCTGCAATTAGAGTCTGGGGGGAAGCTCATGCACTCTACAGGGTATCTATTGGTACAGCTCCATATGGTATAGACGGTTCCCCGCTCGCCGTGAGCAGCGACCTCGCGTTTGCTTCGACTTCTCCACGATTCCGATGCGTGATTGCGCGAGCTGTTCGCTCAGGTAGACGCGTCCCTTTCTTCTTTTCCCCTCTGCAAGGGGCTTGCATTCGTTGTTCAACGTGGTCGTAGTTTCTGATGTGTCCACGATGACTGCGACGATGGATACAGAGCAGTGGCCGAACAAGGGCGAGGAGGTGATCAGGGTCGCTATTACGATGTCAGTCCTCTCCATGGTCTCCACGATTTGGAGATTGGTAGCGCGATCCCGGGCCAGTCTTTTCATGGGCTGCAGCGACTGGCTGATGTTGGCAGGCAGCGTAGGTACCCAGTGCACGACCCAGCATGCTGCTACCAGGCCCAAAAACATAGCTGACTCCCTACAGGCCATGAACTTCGTCTGCAACATCCCATTCGGCATTCTCTGTGTGCGCGCTGGTGCTGGCCGGCTCGTATCTGATCCCTTTTGGGCGTCGCATCGCGTTTATACTACTATCCACTTCGAGTTCATCTCAATTAACTTGCAGATGAACGCCATGTTCCTCGTAAAGCTTTCTGTTTGCACCTACCTCTTGGCACTCAACTTCTCGCGAAGGTTTAGGGTCATAATGTGGCTCGTCACATTAATCGTAGTCATGTTCAATCTGATCATGCCGCTCTTGTTCAATTTCTGGTCTTGCCAACCGTACTACTTCCGCTGGCATCCAGAAATTGTGCCTGAGTGCTGGCCTGAAATGGTCGGCATGGTCGCTATATATGCGCAGATCGTCTCTAATATTTGCACCGACTTGGTGAGTAGATAACACGCTGAACATGTACTCAGATTAACATTAGGCAGGTTTACGCATCTGCACCCCTCGTATACTTGAGACAAGTGAAACTCACGAAGCAGATGCGCTGCAAAGTGAGGATCATGTTCCTTCTCGCACTCATGCAAGTCATCCGATTGCGTATATTGAGCTGTTCTAACATGCATGCAGAGGCACTTCGTCGTCTGTCGTCAAGATGTACGTAATGCACCAATGGCTTCATTCCAGCGAGCCATTCTATGACATTGCCGACTTATCTATATGGGGAATCAATGAAGTCTCCATCTGTATCGTTGTCGCGAATCTTCCCATGCAGAGCAGGTCAATATCCAGAGCTATAGCATTCATTGTTCCCAATTGCCTACACCCACGGCTCGGTCTCGAAAGCGACGAGGGTTATGTTGAGGACGACTCGTTCACGAGCACTATTGACAACCTGAGGCAAACAAGAAGCATCACACCTGGCGCAGATGATGGAAGCGAAATGGCCATCATCGAACTGGAGAACGGAAGGATTGTCATGGCACCGAGGACACCAACACCGGCTGTTGTCAGAGATAATGGAAGCCAGGGTATGCTGGCAACATTCTGGAGAAACGACTCCAAAGAGTCCATGACTTGAACACGTCCGGGTAAGGCTCTAAGGCTGCTTAGACTTGCGCCAACGAGCCCATGCTCTACCACCAATGATACGAAGGCCAGATTTACGAAAGGAGGAGCCATCATAATCGTATAGCAGCTTCCCCATCTATTTATCTAGAGATACAAGCTATCGCTAGTATTACGGCACGTCACCAGCTACTCATTGACCGGACGACGCATCTTTTCGACCTAGAAATGATCGCACACGCCGATCGGCTGAAAGTCCTCACTCCCGAGCAGAACAGCAGCACAGTACGGACACCGAGAGCACGGCTAATACATGGCACCTATATCCGAGTAGCTGAGCCCCTAAGCTACGCATTGGATAGACGAGACACAGGTTTATACATCTCCATGTTCGAGCCAAGCTTGGCCGCACAAGACGGTGTACCACGCTCTTGGGCGAAAGAAGATAAGAGGGTCAGGCTTTATAGTATTGTCACATATTTTGATACAGTTGTTGTGAGAGGCCAATCTCAGTATTCTGTTCAACATCTGGCTGTATCCTGATAATACTATTTTAACCTTGGCACTGCCAGGGGCAACAGTCGCTTAAACCGCCTCACGAGTCACATATACCCTCGGTTGGCCAAACCTACAGGGTTACGAACATGATCTGCTCAGTTGACAAGGGAATTAACCCACACGTCATATGGACCTCATTGAACTCCTTTCCTCACAAACCAAGTCTTAGACACTGATTCCATTGCATCGGTTCCCCGGTTTTCTTAGTTAGTATCTTACGACATTTCTTGAGCTGCGACAGCACGCGACAACACGATGAGCGATCTGGACATTCTTGTCAGCAATGGCACGTGCTATACCAAAGCAGGAGAAAAGCTAGATGAGAGCTTCATACCGTGCGGAAACACGGCTTTTGGATTCCAGACATGCTGTGGAGCTGGTGACAACTGCATGGCGGATAATGCGTGTTTTGGAGTACACGGCTCTGGATATGGCTCCCAGTTGACATACCAAGCTGGATGTACCGATCCGGATTACAAGGATAAGAGTTGCCCGGATAAGAAAGGAATAGGTAAGGGACCTCGATGAAGATGCGCACGACCATTGATCGATTGTTAACGCCTACCAGATCAGCCATGGATAGCACTTACCCGCTGCGACGACGATGAAAGCGTCTGGGGCGCATGTTCACAAGAAGGAAACCCCTCTACGCTCCAGCCTGGCTCACAATGCAGCTGCACCGAGAAGGCCAAATTCACGCCAACTGCGTTCTCAGATTCACCAGTTCTTGCTCTATTCGCATCGTTGCCTACAGGTACCGGCGGGAGTATCAAGTTCGAGACCGGACATGTTCCCACTGGCGACCCGACGAGCGACTCTTCGCCCGCTGAGACCGGATCGGCGTCCACTGGGGGCTCGGGCTCGGGCGGAACTAATCAGAGTGCAAGTCAGACCGGCAACAGTGCAACAGAAGGAAGCGCAGGGAACAACGCGACGCCATCGCGAACGGGAGCAGGGTCGTTGAGCAGTAATACATCATCGGGCAGTGACTCGTCTTCTACTGGTAGCGGCTCAAATAACGGTGGTTCGAATAACGGTGGTTCAAACAACGGCGGCTCAAGCGACAGCAGCTCAGGCCTTGCATCAGGCGCGAAGATCGGAATCGGTGTCGGCGTGGCCGTCGGACTCCTCCTCCTCATCGCCATAATAGCAGCGGTCCTCCTCCGCCGCCGAAAACATCGACGATCTGCGGCCACAGCTCCTGAGATCGAAAAGGGGGACAAGAACGACGCGTCGTCACTGACGGGCGCTGCCGCAGGTCGCGCGTCCGACGCAACAGGTGCCGATCCACGCCTCTCCAACGTGACCGGTGCGACTGAGAAGACGAATAACATCTCAGAGGCAGATGGAAAGCCTTTATCGGGGGCAGCCAAGCCTGGCGTAACTGAGCTTGACAGTGAGGCTGTCATGGAAGTCTCGGGTCAGACTGCGCATCCTTGGGACAGAGGCGCAGAACTTGATGGCAGGCCATTGAGGAAGCCGTCGAGTCCGAAAGAGTTACCTGGAAGCCTTGCGGCTGAGTCGCCTCCGAGTTGGGTGGTCCGATAGTCAATGTCATGAGCAATCCCGAAAGAGTTTGAATTTTTCGCTCAGGAAAGCGCATGTCAGCTTGGTCCGGGATTGTCATGAACGACGTCTTGTTCTCGATGGCCTAGTATCGTAGTTCTCGGTCTTGTATGTATTGTAACGATATTCATGTTTTAATGCGCAGTACATCTGCCCTGATTTCGTGTTTGGGCCGAATGTTTTTATTTCTGTTTCGTATAATTGATAGGAACAAAGCAGCATCAACTTGGGCATATCGAGGCTCGTAGCGGGGACGTAATTACTTTGAAGCAGCCTCAGGCTCGCGTTAATAAGTGATGAGAAAGAAAACTCCGCAGCAAACGAATGTCAAGTAGATGCTAGGTTAGAAGGTAGTTAACGACGAGCAGATGACATACAGGTATCAAAGAGACACATGTGGCGGTAGAGCTTTTTCGCTCTCATGAAGGACAAAGCATGGATTAAAACCGGGGTGGAATCAATGTGCACGGAGGATCAAGTTCGACTCTGGTGGGATAGTACAAATCACGATGCAATCAAAGCTGGATTGTTCATCAAGAGAACTGAATTGATTGGCCAATTCAGGAAGGTCTCGGCCTTTTCGATTGTCGAAAGTTGGACGAAATGGGTTCCTCCCCAATCACGTTGCTGTCGATGACTTTTTCATATTCACCGCGATCCTCGAATGCGAACTTTTTTATGAGTTTGTTGCTTCCCTGATTCTGTAAAGGAATCGTAGCGCACAGCCGCTCCGTCACTTGCACTCCAGGCTCGGTCATCTCCCGGATTCAAGCATTCCGGCTGGGTACTTATGAATATCGGTTGACGTTCTAAATTCTACCGTATCTTGAAGAATGTGGTTATGAATTTCGTGCCGTATCCTTTTATCTGATACCTAGGCTCTTCCACCATATTCGTTTCGCTCTTTATAATAAAAGAAATCTCGGGCCGCTCGTGTTTGAGTCGGTACACGCCTCCTTCGCCAACTATTTCCTCTTCACCACTGTCATTTATGACGAATAATCCAAGTCGACTTAGCTTAGATTTTGTCGTGTCGAAGCATTGTCGAAGGGCTTTCTCATCTTCTGTGACGTCCATGGTAGCCTGTTCCCATGCGTTATCTTTCATCAGTTCGCAATAGCTTGAGAAATCTTTATCTTGGTCTAGGTCCTCAGCAGTCTGTTGCTCAGCGATAACGAGCGGTCGAAACCAAATTGGCCATCCTCAGACATGTAGGAACTCTTTTGGCGCATGCTTCCAGAGGGCAGCGTTGCAAAAAACGTCGCGACTGGTTTTCATCTCGCTTGCTGGCGGCCTCGTACCTCTTTTCAGTGAGTGATCTTTCACCTATGGCGATATGTGTGTTGTCAGTGACTGAGGTAGGAACGACTGTAATACTTCTGCTACACGCGTTCTATATTATATACCCCGAATGTACAAAGGAACAGCTTTCCCTCCACAGCAAAAGAGCTGTTACCAACATCTGGCAGTGAGACAGGCATACGTGCCCTTTTCATTACCGTACACGAAGTAACAACTGCCCTCAGAAAAGCTTGAGGAGGTTCCTGAAAAGGAGCATTCTCATAGCCACGCTGTTTTGAAACCAGTCGTAAACTTGGCCCTGAACTTAGCCGTAACTTCCACCTCTCTGGCATACATGCGTGCAGTGTCCGCCACCATCTCGGCCCATGTCCAAATTCAGCTGCGAGATTCCGGGATACACTCTTGGTTAAACTCCCAGCTGGCTTCCGGTGAGTGTGCTAAATGATCCTGCTCTTCTAGTTCATCGGGATAGGTATGCAGAAGAACATGCAGCGTCTTTATCGATTTCAACGCCGGCCGCGCCAGCCAACACTCGACTGCCTCCGGGTCTCCGTTTTCAGTATCCCAGTAATCATCTGGATAGACCAAAATTGACCACGTCATATCCCAAGTGAAATGGACCTCGAGATTCGCGATGGCCTGCTCGACGTGCAGAGGCAGATAGACGCGAGGGTCACATGGAGCGTATTCAAAATCCCATTTGTTCCAATTGTCATGCGCCGTTGGATCGTCGACGACTAGGGTTCTAGACGTGAATGGCAGGAGATGAGCCTCTTTGTACACGGCCCAGCATGTTTTCAGCAAAGCTAGACCATGGCCAGCGTTTTGTTTGGAGAACTTTGCAGGTCGGACTTGCCCACCTGCCGCTGGTCAATCGCTCGGGACTCGGGGTATGTGATAGCGGTCACCGAAGACGAATTCATAGATTCGATTTCGGATCTCCCCAGTACGCTGCAAGAACGGCGACAATCCTTGGGGCGCTGGGCTACAAGGCTGTCAGGTCTTATCGTCTTATACACCGTTAGAATACTAACGCAGTTTGCAAGATATTTTATTCGATTTTTCTCCGGAAATTGACGCCGGGTCGGCATGCTGGATGGTAGCGAGGCGTATGTGCGTTGAATGGGCGTTGAAATTATAATCAGTAACTAAGTGACTGCGTGTGCTTTGGCGCCTAAAAAACGTGGAGCGTGGCCCGGTTGTGTGCACGGGGTACGCAAGGTGAAGGCATGGGCTGGGCGATGCAAGATGAATTGGAGTTCTCACTGCCTCGTGACCCAAGCGGCGGCTGGACTCGCCACGGTGTCTGGATCCAGATCAACAGGTTTTCACGTCTCAATCTCCACCCATCCTTCAGTAGGTCAATATCCAAGCTCAAGATATCAACATCGGCGCCTTGAGTACCCCTTCAAGCTCTCACAAATCACCCCATTCCTTTCCACGAAGGCATTCGCCATCCGAAATCCATATACATGCCCAAACGTCTCTTCATTCGGGTACAGCGGCGGGCGAACCACAAGCGTACCCTCTACCGGAACAGGCGCATACTTTGCAGTCGTTACGGTGGCGTTGAACAGCGTAATGTAATTATCACACAAAGGGATACCATCTCCGAACAGCGGCTGATTCAGGACATTTATGAAACTAGCAAGTCAGCGAAGATTCGGATGAAACCAGACTCGGGCATGCCTACGCATCAATCGTATACGGAATACTCGCCGCCGTGCGAAATGACATGTCAGCGACGGGCTTAGCATTGGGTAATAAGGATTCGGCGAAGGTATACGCGCGCATATACGTCTCGCTCGGCCCACTACTCGCATACGCATCGCAGGGAGGCGCGAACGTCCCCGCGACCGTATCGCCATAGATCGTCGAGCCCAGAAGCGCAATCAGGTTCGTAGCGCTGACGAGCTGTGGCGGTGTGTATTTAAACGCTGACGCTCCGTCATTGAGACGGTCTACGAAAGGGAACTTGAGTGCTACGCGCTGCGCCAGAGTTAGTCTCAAGAGTTGACATCTGGATCCGGGTTCATGTGTTGACGAGACTGACCGTGAAGTCTGGAATCTTGAACGGCGGCAGACCGACGTCGTGGTCCTGGACTGCTTCGAGGACAGCGGGATACAGGCCATCGCCTAGGGTTGGGAAGACTTGTTCGTATGCCGCTGTTAGGATGGGGTACTTGGACGGAACTATGCTTCTTGCGACGGCGTAGGGTATCGGTACGATAGCGGTCGTACCGTTTATGACGCCGGTCACGTCTTTGGGGTAGTCCTCAGTGATGGGATTCGGTTGGGTGTGCGAACGGCAGATCAAGGGACTGGCCAGGGCAGGAGCGAACAAACTCGCGAAGAGAGCAAAAGTCGAGCGCATCTTCGCAAGACAAGTCCCTGTACGATATTCCAAAGTGTAGCTCTGGTCTTAGCAGAGGGCGAACTTCGCGGTGCGAAGCTGCGCTGAGGTGGTGCGGCACATTTTGGGTCGTCAGTGGCTTGCCCTTGCAATACGGCGGCTGAACATATACTATCGTTCTGCAGCTCATTCAACAGCTCAACATGCTCAGTTGTTGCACGATCTGCCGGACATGTTGGTATCCGGGCTGGTCCTATTCGCTAGTAGCAATTTAGTTTCATTGACATGGATTTTAGGTTCAGTGAGCTATAATATATGTAGAGGTAATGACCTTCGTTTGTGAGAGTATAAAACTGCAAAGAGCAGCATAGCTTACTTGCAATTCTTCTACTTGAGCACTTCGGTGTGCATGGCGGGCTAGTGGGCTTCACTGCATTTGCCTTCTGAAGTCTAGATGTGGTCTAGCGGGAAATGCTTAAGATAGTCAGCTACATGATTTCATGTGTCAGTAACGTAGTGGACAGGAGGCAAAGCGGGTGGGCTGAATGAGTACGTCAGCAGATTGGCACGCTGGCAGTTCGTATCGACCGTAATAAGTTATTGCTGCTCCAGCTGAACGGCAACCACGAGGTTAGAGGTTATCAGAGAACGCGGAAAGAGTTTCCTCGCCAGACTGCGCGCATGACTAGTGGCGAAAAGAGCCGCAGTCTGGCGGAGAAGGGCCGGTGCTGGCTCGGATCGAGGCTTGTGATTGCCTCGCAGAGCCAAAGCAAACGAGCCGAGGATGTTTGCTGCCCGCTCAGCACGAGCCGCAGCACCAGCGCGAAAGTTCACGCCCGTCTTTGCCGCCTCCGCAACCCCACAGCCATCCCTACATTCACTCTTGAGATCGCCTCGCCGTGTGCGACAGTCTCAGAACCGCCTGCATCGAGGTGCTGCACGCCTGCGGACCCGCGCCATCTCGTTAGCGAACACGCGAGCCCCGCAAGCGACCATCGGGCGCGCTTCTCCAGGCCCAGCCCGGCCTCTTGACGTCGCCCGACGACCTACCTGCGCTCCAGACAGAACCTTTGCGTCGCCTGCGCCCGCCCCAGCAGCCTGTATACGCGCCTGATGACGGGGTGGTGAGTGACGACACGTCCTGAGCATGGCATCGCCGTCGCCGCCTAAGCCGTGGGAGCGAAGCGGAGGCGCAACCAGTGCCTCGGTTGGTGAGTCCAGGTCCGCAGACGTCAACCACTCGCAGACACTGACCATGCCAGGCTTGACGGGAACCAACACAGCAGCAGCGCCGACTGCGACAGCATCAACAGCATCATCAAATCCGCCGCCACTGCCCGAGGTCCCCAGCTCCCTCAGCACGGTTGCGAACCGCAACGCATCCAACTACTCGACCATGAACGCAAACAGATATGGATCGCCCTACGGAAGCACCATGGGAGGCATGGGCGCCATGGGGGGGATGGGCGGCTACTCTTCGCCATACAACCGGATGGGAGGCTACGGATCCATGTACGGCGGTGGGATGGGCGGCATGTACGGGGGCATGGGCGGGATGGGCATGGGCATGGGAGGCATGTACGGCGGCATGGGCATGCCCGGCGACCCCAACAACATGAGCCTTACCCAGTCCTTCAGCCAGAGCACACAGACGACCTTCCAGCTGATAGAAGGCATCGTCGGTGCGTTCGGCGGCTTCGCGCAGATGCTCGAGAGCACGTACATGGCGACACACTCCTCATTCTTCGGTATGTCACTCACACGTCTCCGCTACCACTAGGAACCACAACCGACTGACACTGCGACAGCAATGGTCTCCGTCGCCGAGCAATTCGGCAACCTCCGCCAGACCCTAGGCTCCGTCCTGGGCATCTTCACTCTCATGCGCTGGATCCGCACCGCCATCGCAAAGCTCACGGGGCGCCCGCTCCCCGCCTCCTCCAAAGACCTGACCCCCGCCTCCTTCGCCGCCTTCTCCGGCCGCGCCCCAGACGGCTCCGCGCTCCCCGCCAAGCCCTCCAAAAAGCCCTTCATCATGTTCATGCTCGCCGTCTTCGGCCTGCCCTATCTCATGGGCAAGCTCATCCGCACGCTCGCCCGCAACCAGGAGGAGGAACAAAAGCGCCTCATGGCCGCCGACCCCCTGGCCGCTGGCGAGCCCCTCGACCCAAACAAGCTCGAGTTCTGCCGCGTGTTGTACGACTTCGTGCCCGATGCCACCATGAACGCGCAGCCGGGGCTCGACCTCGCCGTCAAAAAGGGCGACATGGTCGCCGTGCTCTCCAAGAGCGACCCCATGGGCAACGCGTCCGAGTGGTGGCGCTGCCGGAGCCGCGACGGCCGCATGGGGTACCTCCCCGGCGTGTACCTCGAGACGATCCAGCGGCGGCAGCCCGCGCAGATTACTGCGGGCAGCCAGCCCGGCAGCAGGGCGCAGACCATGACGAGCAGCGTTGGCCTCGATGCGAGCCGCGCCGCGAGCCTGACACAGAAGAGCGTTGCGCCGGCGCCCAAGGTCGAGGGCAAGGCCGGCGACATGGGCGTCGAGAGTTTCCAGAAGGGCGCGTTCTACTCGTGAACCGTCCCTGCATTGATCCTTTCTTTCTTCTCATAATTTGGAATCTTGGGAGAATACTGCGTGTACAGGACATCACGGCGTACTACAGGCAGCATTGTTATCCGCGGTTGGCTACGCTTTTTCTTGTGTATACTGTTTTTTCTGTCGGGTTGGCCGTGGGATGGGGGCAAAAGCTGGAGCATTGGCTTGCTACTCGGTTCCATTTAGTGTAGATGGTACAGGCTCAAGATACGACTTCGAAGACGGATCTGCGTGCACAGTCAATGTGATTTCGAGGTTGTGTTTTGCGTCGGCTGTTCCTGGGGTTTTGGACAAGTATTCCGGTTGAAACAGGTGAACGCAGTGAAGTGAATTCGCAGTCATCCATCACCGAGTGCATTTGTGGGTCCATGCTACGTTGAGGCACCCTGAGATACGGCATGTGTACATGGTAGTGACTGTCACAGCAAACACCTTGAAGCACAGTATCACTAGCCATCAGAGGATCACTGCAAATCAATGCGGGTACACGTTTCAACCAGTTCATTGAGTATACGATGTTGCTTCGCTCCTTGAGCGGCCCATGTCTATGCCAATCTATGCCACTCATCCGCGTTCATTAATATCCTACAATGCCATTCCATCAACAAAGGAAAAACCCGCCCCGGTGGTCGTTGACCGCTCCCTATATTCGTACACTCGGCGTCAGTGCGCCCATGCCCAGGACCTCAAATCCAGTAAACCTTGCGACTCGTGTCTGTGTGCGGGAAATATGCAATGCTCTTACTTCTGAAGCGCGACGTGCGCGGGGTGCGAAGTTCCTAAGCCTCGACCTTCTTGCGGCGCATGCTGCCGAAGCGCTTCTTGAGAGCGGAGCCCACGCTCTTCCCCGTGGTGTTGCTGCGGCCGATTCCGCTAGAAGTGCCGGCGTCGAGGGACTCAGAGGGGAGGTGACCAGGGATGCCGTTGGAGCCCATGCTCACGTTGCGACGGTGCGACTGCATTTCAGAGCCCGTGTCGCCGTACGCCTTGTGGTCCTTGAGCGCCTTTTCGATGGAGTAAGAAGGCTCGCCCTTGCCTTTGAGATCATCCGGGTGGTAAGTTACACCGGCCCAGCGCTTGTAGTCGGCTCCAGGCTCCCGCATAAGGTCAGCGCCTTCCTTGTAGTCGTAGGTCCGGCCCATGCGGTCGGGCACGCCTGGAGGGACAATGGCAACGCCCTCCAATGGGCGGTGCTTTTGCACCGAGTCGACAATGTTCTCTTTGGGTGTAGCCCTCAGCGCTTCCTCGTTCGACTCTGCCACAGCTGCAACAGGGCTGTGCTTAAAGTCTAGGTTGCGCGAGAGGTTGGTCGCATCGTATGGACCTTCGTGGTGGTAGGCGGCACCTCCAATCGTCGTCTTATCGAGACGATCGATGATGTCAGCGCCGGTGAAGTTCTTCTTCCTGAGGTGAGGAGCGCGGTGCGCGTTCTTGGTTTCCTTGCGGATGGTATCCAAGGGCCTGGTGCTTGGATCGCCAGGGTACCGCTCACGCAGAGAGCCACCACGTGTGAGACCGCCGCCCTTCATCGGATTAACGCCGGTTGGCTGGCTAGATCGCCTGGGACGTCCTTCGCTGATGGACCCAAAAGCTTCCCTGCGGTGGTCCCTGCTGAAGTGTTCACGGCGAGGGCTGGCCGAGTTTGGAGGCGAAGGGTATTCGTACTTGGAGGACCTCCGAGGCGTGGTCTCTCCATGATGAGGTGCTGGGCCCTGGGACGCAGAAGAGGCTCGGGAGCGCCGGTAGGGATTGGTCTCAACGGAATTTCCAGTGTTCTGCGAACGGACGAAGGGGTTAGAGTTGACGCTGCTCCCAGTGTTGTGGTTGCGGATGGTCGCGGATGGGAATTCTTGAGAGCCGGCGGAGTCCGGCGGGGTGTGGAGGCCCGGGCGAGGAGCAAAAGTCGAGGTAAAATGGTTATTCAGGCCAGTATCGTCACTTGGATCTGGTTCAATGAGAGGGTCGATGAGCGAGTGGTGTGCCTGTGTTTCGCATGTCAGCCAAGAAAGAGATGGTTGGCGAACTAGGGATCGATTACCTCGACGAAACCTTTGTCACTGCCCATGGTGATTGTGGAACAATCGATCGAGTCGAGCCTGGAGTAGGGAAAGTGTTGATAGCTATTACAATCGGCTGCTTCGTGGCGCAGCGCGTGACAATCAGACAATGAAGATGGGATCCAGGCAGGTGACAGCGGACGCTTTTGTAATGGTGCTTGCGGCTGGGAGCAGCAGCCGCGAGTCACTTGGCAGGAACGACATACGTAACACCTCCATCCTGTCCGCATTAGTGGCAGCGAGCTGCCCTACCCTGCGTCGTGATCGCAACCGTTGGCACCAATCAACCAATGACGTAGCCTTTGTCGCCGGTTTTCGCGCAGAGGGACGAGAACGCATGGGCCCACGGGCGCGCCCACGCTGCCTTACATCAACGTCGTCACCGTGGATCGTCGGGCCCTGCAGCCCAATCCACCAGGTCGACCATGTCCCTGGCGCTGGTGCAGTATTCAGACTCCGAGTCCGATGATGCAGATGCCAAACTACCCAGCAATAATGCTCTCAAGCGCAAACGTAGCGCCTCGGCCCAAGCCAGCACCAGCTTGCCGCCGCTTCCGGCTGCATTCCACGACCTCTACTCCACAAGTGCCCGTGTGAGCACCAGTGACGACCCCAGTCTGCACGGTGGGCGCAAACGCGCGGTCCCGCATATCCAAGGGAACTGGCCTAGCCACGTCTATCTCGAGTGTAAGCCATCCTCGGTCCTTCGTCTCGTCCGTAAGCGAGGAACAAGTAGGCTAACGTGGTCGAGGGTTGCCGTCGCAGGCTGAATCCCAAAAGCTGAACAGCCTCATAAAGCATGTTCGAAAAGCCATAGAAGGCGCAAATAGCCGCATGAAGAAGCCGCTGTCGATCCCAGAGATCCACCCCTCGCTTCTGTCTGAGCTAGGCACGCCAATCCCTCTTCATGTCTCATTGTCGCGAACATTGCAGATCAAGACTGACGACCGGGATCAATTTCTGGAAACCCTGAACAAGTCTCTTCACAGAGCAGCTGTGCGGCCGTTTGATGTCCGCTTCACAGTTTTGAAATGGGTACCCAACTACGACCGGACTCGCTGGTTCCTTATCTTGGGTATTGAGAGGCCGGCTCAGGATGAGCTAAACAGGCTCCTCCATGCCTGCAATGACGCAGCCAAGGAGTCTGGACACCCGCCGCTCTACGTCGGAGGGAAGGGTGATGGACCAATGGAGAACGATGGTACCATCGATATCTACATCGCAAATAAGAGGAAGAAAAGCGTCCAGGACGAGGATACAAAAGAGAAGGCCAAGTCCACTATTGACCGTACCCAGAACTACCACGTCAGCATTGCTTGGACCCTGACCCAGCCTGACCTTGAGTGGATTACCCTTGCGCAGGATGTAGATGTTTCCACGTTCATTGAATCACCGCAAACGCCTTTTGAAGTAGTGAAGGCTAAGATCGGGAACAATGTTCACAACATAGAACTGGATCCCAGAAAGACAAGCCTTGGCAAACGACGTGGTCTGCTGGGCCTTGGATGATGACTTAAAGAGGTGTCCGAGGCCCTCGCATTAGTGCAGCGTGCCCGCAGGGATATACATCGTTGCGATTATCGGCCCTATTCATGCGATTTGGTGGTCGCCTTTGTACGACCCTTGGGTCCATCACCAATGAGATCCAGAGTGGCATCATTGGATCGATAAGCTGGTATTCGGGGTATGCAGTATGCATGTCAGCGACGTTTGCTGCTGCAGCTATACCTATGACCCTAATCAAATCCCATGAGAACTTTGCAGCGTTCCATCTCCGTACAATGATTCACTCCGCTTCCATACAACTTCTGCTTCCTCCAACAGCTCAGTCAAATGCACAGCCCTTCAACGCGCTTCGAGTAATTTCTTCCTCTTTTCAGCTGCCTGTCTTGCCTTCCTCTTCTCTCTACGCCATGTCAGTCTCATGAGCGCAGCGCATATCCAGAGTCGGCGAACACCACTTACTCCGAGATTACCGGCCCAATAGCCACATACTGAAAGAGACCCAAGCAGTTCAGAATCTCATCCATGGGCTTTTCCATGTGCTCCGTGACGTCCAACCCATCCTCACGTGCCTCTTTGTCATCGATATGCATTAGTCGCGCGAAGCACCGGACGCTTTCGGTGCGCTCTTTGAAGAATTGCAGGATAGGCTGGATGGTTTTCACGGCTGTCTCGATTTCGGGGTTTACGCTGCGCCAGCACGGGTTTTGCGCCATGTCGATGTACACGCGGACCTTGAACGCCCGGTCGATGTCATCCAAGTAGCCCGTGGCTTTGAGCCGATCGACTGCTTTGGTGAGAAGCCCTAGTTCATACTCCGTGCGCGTGCCCTCTACGATGATGGTCAGGCCTGGGATTTTCTTGGCGCCAGTGCAGCACTGCATGAAATACTCAATGTCGTCGGTGATGAAGGGGTGGTAGAGCATCTGCGGCACGTTTTCGTAGTACCCGAAGAGGCATTCCCGGGAGAATTGGAAGCAGAATTGGGGGCTTGTGAAGTGGTCGATGCGTTTGACGTGCTTGGTTTCTTTGTCTAGACTAAGATGCGAGTAGATTTTGTTGCGGATTTCGCGGGGTAGATGGCTGCATATTTTGGTGCTGAGGGTGAACGTGTGAGTAGAGGTATCAGCATGGGAGGATTTAGGGCGGTCGGGAACATCGCACGCGTCGCTGTGTTCTGCCATGGAAGAGTCGTGAGGTGAGTACTGAGAAGTGGGACCCTAGTCGCGGCGCGGTTGTGCATTATGCGGGCTCGAAAATAGCTTCCTTGGATATGCGTGGGGGCCAATCTGGTGACGCAATATTGCAGGATCAGCTTGGTATTCTGCTCAAGATAGCCTGTATTCGCAGTTGCGGTGCCATTGGAACTTTCATGTCTCTGGAAATATTCTATCTCCGGCAAATATAATTTTCGCATCACTAGGGCAAAAGTCCGAGTACAGTGTGTTAACCCAAGGGAGCCAATATATAGGCTGCTTGCCCATACCCTTGTGTCCTCTTGATATAGAAATAAATCCTTATGTTTGAAGACTGACCATCGGGACAATACCGGACACTAAGACTTATCGTATTCTGGGTCTTCAGATCATCCTTCCTTCTTTCTCAAGCCCGATGTTTACACCCTCTCTTTGACCTCTTCCCACCATTTTTTGGCTGCTTTCCGCAATTGCATACCTCCATCAAAAGGTGCAACGGCCTTCAAATTCCCCGCTCTTCGTTCGCTCTCAATTACAGCTCGACTCTCTCGTTCGAAGCATTCACAATCGATCTCGGGGGACCAGTCTATTTCATCGAACTGGGCACGTTCCTGTGGCTTCAGGTCGTCGTCCAGAAAGGCTCGTAGGGGATTGACCGGGTCCAGGCGCTGTTCTGATAGATGTCCTCTTTCAATCAGATAGTTCAGGGTTTCTGTTGTATCCAATGTCGGCTGTTCCAAGTATTTGTCGTGATAGAAAAGAGTATCGATATCATCCACTGGTATGTCGTACACAGGCCCTGTGACTGTAGTTGCAGGGTCTTGCTCGGCCGCCAGATTATGTAAATCTGAGGTAACTTTTACATGGAGTTTAGAGTCGCAAAGTCTCGCATTGAGTTCCATCAGATCCATTCTTAAGTTGGTGTTGTTGATTGGCTTCGATACACAACGAGACACATGGTATTTTTGCTTTGAATCGTCTTTTTGGACCTCAAACTGTAAGGCCATAGTTAGCTTCTGGGAGCGAAGCTGTCCTATACGACTCATATCGTCGGACAGGAATACACGTAGCGGAGATTTTCCAGCGAAAAACAAGTCATGTATCCTAGTTTCAACCAGGATTGCTCCCAGGTGTCTGTCTGTGTCAATGCCCTTTGATCCGTGACGCGGAGTTCTTAACGTGGTGCCCCACTGGCTCGCCTGGCTCCCTTGTGGACGAGTTGTATGCCACGGAGCTATTGTCAACACTCGCCTCTTGGAAAGTGATTCGATGCCGCCACACTTTTGTAGCAATAAATTGAAAAGTCGTTGAAGGTTGTCATTGACATGGGGATTTTTCAGGTGGTTTTTAGGAGCCGATTTCTCCAAAAAACACAGGATATCCTCAACTAACGAATTTTCAACGATAAAGCAAGTGCTGTTAAATAGGTCTTCAGGACGGATACAGTCCAGCAGTTCAACCATCAAATCGCATCCGTCACGGAGCCATGAAATGCGCTGCTGCCGACGACACATACAGGACAACAGTTGCTTCTGCAGCAAGTATGCATCATCTGGAGGTATCTGCCGTAGATGATTCTGAAGCTGAGGACTGAAACCATTGAAAGTAAGGCTGGACCATATAAAACCATTCGCACCAATACTTCCCCTTCGCTGTGATCTAATTCCAGGTGTAGTCCATTTTGGCCTTCTTTGGCAAGCTTCGATAGTTAGATCGAACACTGCTGAAGCGAATTGGGGACTTCGGAATTCATGACGGTAGGGGGTAAGCGTAAACGCGGAAGAATAGATTCCCGCATGCCGACCAGTGAGAATACTATGGCACATTGCTGCTTTCCCTTGGCAGAGGGTGTGTTCAATTGCCGATGTCCTGTCGTAGTTCAGTATCTCTTGACCTGTAGAGGTTTCAAGCAAGAAATCAGCTGCACTTCGGTGGCCAAAGGACATCCTAAAAGGGCTCGTGTTTTCAAAAACGTCTAGCAATCTCTCCGCGAGAGACGTGTGGAAAAAGGGTTCTTGACTTGTCGCTAATCTTTGCGGTGATGGTATACCGCTGGTTGTGACTAAGCCACCGCATCTTGCAACCATTCTCACATCGAAACGGGAACATTCATGAACAAGAAACTCTAGTGAAACAGCTTGACCTCCCTTGAAGATATTATCTTGGACATTAACACTGAATTTCAGCATCATCATGAGTAATTGGTCGGAGTTCCAGTAAGAGTCCCTTGCTAGTAAGGTGTTCAGATAAGATGCTGTCTCGGCACGATAAACATCACTGTCGCCGTTGTGTCGTTCCCACATTGCCTTGTACATCGAGTGAAGTCCGGATGGCAATTCATCCACTCTTTGTACCAACATTTTCCATGTCGGAAAATAATCTGCATCTGTTCGAATGTGCTCAACCACAAGATGGGCCCAGAGAAAAACACCTTCGGCTCGATCCACGATGGTGGCTATTAAGTCTTGAAGATCTTGTGGCGAGGCTTTCAAATCGGACTCGAGCCCACGCAGACTATCGGAAACATAACGTTCGGTGTCCTTCGCTGTGAGATCTTGTACCCGGAGGTGGGGATGTTCTTGGAGTCGGTTCTCGAATGTCGGCTCCGGGCGGCTAGACACACAAAGCTGCAGATTTTTGAGATTGCGTGCACTCTCTAGCCAACCCATAAGCCTAGTAATTTCAGTTGGCTTGGACCGATCGATTTCATCCAAACCATCGATGAAGATGCACAAAGGACGCGGACAATTCTCAGCGACCGTAGAAAAGAGCAAGACCAGCTCTTGCAACGACCAGTCCGAACTTTCTTGTTTGAGATGGAATTCGCCTTGCCTTCCCCTAAACTGGCACCAACAAAGTTCCCGATCTTGCGCGAACATGTCGTAGAGCAGCGTGCACAGCACACCGATGAGGGTTTTCTGCATACTGGATCCTAAGCTCCAGATGAATGCAGAGACGACCATCGTGTTTGGACTATTTTCTGACAGTATTTGTCTGGTCCTCTGGCTTTCGAGCAAGAACTTCATGAGAGTGCTTTTCCCAGCCCCAGCTTTGCCGCTGATCCAATACAAGCCAGTCCCCCCACGGAGCCATTCCGGAAAACTGCTCCAATTCGGCGCGACGTCGTCGCTACTTTGAGAGTCTTCAGGTTCGGCGAAGATCCATTCGAATGTTTCCGGGTGTGAAAATTCAATTGTGTTCCGCCGCGCGTTAATGTCCACGAACCGAAAACTATTAAGAAACTGCTGATAGGCCGTATCGTTGATCCGCTCCTTATGCGTCGCGTTGATGAAGTCTCTGGTTTCTTGTGCACTCTGGGAGTTGTAATTTCGGGTCTTCTGCGCTTCGTCCGCGATGGTCTTTTTGATTTCGCCTGACTCCCGGTCCACTAGGTCTTCCAAACGCGTTTGGCCCGCAATAAGGTTGGCACGAAAATCTATCAGATCTTTGTCCAGAGCCTGGAGCCGGTCAACCAGGTCGGAGTGATCTTGTTTTAGTGTTTGTCGCAAGTCGATCAGAACCTCGGATTCCATTCGATGTTGCAGCTTGTCCAGCTGCCGCGAGAGCTTCTCCGTCGCACTTCTGTGCTTGAGCTGAAAAGCAACACTCTTGCGAATGAGTTTTGTTTTAGATTCTCCCTTGGCTGGCAAAGACTTCTGGGCATGCTTATGGAGCGCATCTGCCACGAGAACAACTTCGTTGCAAACTTGAAGGAGGGAAGCATCCCTTGGCACCCCGTGGATGACGGACCGAGTATTGAGCGTAGACTTGAGCCGCTCCGTCGCTGCGACGAGTGACTGACTATTTACTTCCACGTATGGGTCTGGTGATTTGCCTTCGTTCAAGCGTCTAAAGACCGCCATCGTCTCAGCCGAAAACTGGATGACCTGCATGATGTTGCATGCCAACGAAAGCCCAGCCAGAGGGTCCATTGCAATGAGTATCGTAGCGCTCGTGCCTTAAGCGCGAGCTGCCAGATTCGTGTACCAGTCGAGCGATTGGGATAGATTTTGTGGGTTTAGGAGTGATGAGGTGCCAACGCGAGGCGACGGGCGGGGTCCATTACTGTCACAAGGCTGAAAGCTGCATGTGAGCTGCAGTCGCTGCGCCTCACACCTCTAACAACTTTTGAGAGCAGCGCAATGCAGGCGTACAGCGGTGGGTGAGAAATATAGGTCATTGGGTTTTCTTATACTGCATACAAACTAAAGATTGATACGATATTGAATCACGGATCAAACATCTTCTAGCAGATAACACCTACGACGCCCTCATTCGCCATCGTGGCAGCCTCTTCCACAGTCTCAGCCCGTTTGTACTTGGACGCCTTGGTTCCCTTCTCAACGCCTTCCTTCATCGCGCCTACAAACACCACGGAATACCCGACTAAAGCTTCATAGTAAATGAGGATACCTGCAGCCTTGCGGCTCCCAGCCGTGAGCAGTTTTATACCCCCACCAACTCGCCCAGAGTTCCGCACCACAATTACGAACCTAAACTCCATCTCCGACGACTCAGGAACAACAGCAGCATCAAGTGCGCGCGAGAGGTACACACAGGAAATTTCGGCTCCATGGTCGTACGGATAGATTGGAGAACGGTCGCGACGACCACGGTGCGGGACTGAGCGAACCGTAATGCGGCCGCGACGGTCTCCTGGATAGAACCAGTCGTCTTCATCGTCGCCATCATCATCTCGCATATCTCCTTGCTTGGACAGGAATTTGCCTTCGATGCCCAACTGCAACAGCCAGCTCCAGTCCCTCACGTCTTTGTCGGTGAAGGGAAATGTAGAGAGGTAGATGCTTGATTTGGCAGGATAGGGAAGATCAGCAAGTCCATCGTAGTTGAGCTGATCGAGCAACTGGACAGAGGAGTTCAGTATAGGTGCAGCTGGATCCGTTGTAGGCCAGCGTGGAGGAGGCGGCGGAACGCGCCGAGCGGGGCGCGCTAGGCGAGGTGGTCGAACGAACTCGTCATATGGGTCGAGGGGGCGAGGTACGCCACGACGGGCGAAGTCCACAGTGTCTGTATACCAAGATTCGGTTGTTTCGTTGCGCTTTAGCTGCGGCGTATCCTCCTTCCTCTCGACGAAAGACGTCTCGGTTGATTTGGTGGCTTCAGAGTTCTCAACCTGTGGCTCGACCGAGCAGACATCAGGTGACTGCTCATCGCTAAAATAGTTTGGTGGAGCTGGTGGCATGGTCGTTGGCTGTTGGATGAGATTCCAAGGTTCGTGATCGATGTGAGAGGTCATATATACTGATACGGGGGCTGAAAGTAGACTGTGACATGCAACATGCCTTCAGTCGCACCAAATCAAAAGGAAATCTTATAGCTGACATCGCGAGAGCTTGTTGAAGAGCCCCCGCCTTCTGCCTAATCTGGCTGAGCAATCGTGAGACGGCGCATCCAATGAATAGCTCGTGTTAGATTGCTGAGGCGCTGCGGCCTAGAGCTGCGACGGAGCTGAATGCGACACGAGTTTGCCTTGTTGCCTCCCGCAAGTCATAGAGTGTTACGTGAACGGCCTTGCCATTTGCGATGGTCATCTTGGGGTATGGGGTAACGCGCGATTGTCACGATTGGAAGCGACGTGAATCTAGTTCAGACTGTGACCGTCTCTCCAACGTCGCACAAGCCAACATCTTCTCCCCATCGCAGGCCTGCCTTCTCAGCGGCATTCTTGAATCGCTGCGCTGGTTCAGTAACCGGCTCATAGTTGATACTAATGCCCCCTCTAATCGTGCCATAATGCATTCCGATGCTCTTTTTGCTCCTCACGTCCTGATGTATGGCGATGGAGTCATCTGGCGAAGAGTGCTGTCCAGAGAGGAGCGATCGGGGTTGGTAACAGCCAACAGGGAGGAGAGCTAGATCGAAGGGGCCGTAAAGTTGCCCAATCTCTGCAAATGCGGGGCATGGTGGATACGGCGCGTTGTGGTGCGATGGCTCATCGTTCGAGGTGACATGACAGTAGCCCGTATCGCCTGCAAAGAACAGCCTCTTGCCCTCTTTAGAAGATTCTTTCAATATCCAGCTACACCACAAGGTTCCATCAAATCCCCACGGTGTTCTCCCACTACGATGTTGCGCAGGCGTGCTGACCAAGTCCACACTGCCAATGCCCTCTTTCTCGATGCGCACTGTGTCCCACCAATCAAGTTCAGTCACTTGCTCTGCCTTTATGCCCACGCCCAAGCCGGTCAGCACCGCCTTTACGCCCAGCCCACAGAAAAATTGCAGATTCCCATCGTGGCTCGCGTTGAGCCTTTTCAGTGTATCAGAATCGAGATGATCGTAGTGATCGTGGCTAATGCATACAGCGTCGATCTCGGGGAGCTCCTCGAGCGGACAGGGCGGAGGTGTAAATCGAACAGGCCCGACTACGCCGTAGGGTCCCATACGGTCGCTCCAGACGGGGTCGAGTAGTATCCGCACGCCTCTTTGCGCGCCCTCGGCCTTTGTTGTCTCGATCAAGAAACTCGCATGTCCAATCCATGTTGCCTTCAGACCGGCGGCTGCTGTTTCGAAATCCGGCTTGCGAACTTGGACGAGGCCAGCGCGGTCACTCGGCACAGCAACAAAGTTCTTGGGCGTGTTGAACCGCGTGGTGAAGATTTTGCTAATGGTAGTGCGCGAGTACGAAGGCCATGGGTTTCGGAAGGATGTCGGCGGAGAGCCAACGTGGTGAAGTGGAGGGTCCTGGTAGGACGCCGGTCGTCGTGGGGGCAGCGGTGTTACGGTGGTCGACATGGCTCTTCGATAGGAGGCTCTGAGCAATGCGGGAACTCTGGCGCGATAGACATCTCGAAGGGGCGGAATGGTGGTGTATGTGACGGAGGCAAACGGAAGATGGGCGTCGCAACGGTCCTTCGGCGGGACTGTTCGTCCGCAGCGCCGTTCGCAAGGGGGCAGATAGATTACGTATGGTTAGTCTACCTCGGCTGACACAAGAACCACCAGGTAATGCGCCTATATCCAGTCGTGGTGTGCGCACTCAGATGCGCCGGGCCTGCGGGTGATGACGTCCACAGAGGATGCCAAGAAGGAGCCGAGGCCGCGGGAGGGAGGACCACCGGGCGGCGCCGCGGTGTGCTTCTGTCTCCACTATTGATTGGGCAACACCACCACGCTCGAATTCACACCCGATGCATTTCCAGCGTCCAGGTCTTGGGAAGCCACCAGGTCCACTATGGTGCACCCTGTTGCGTGGTGCTTGGGCTGCTAACTGCCTGTGGCAGTCGCGCCTCGTTCGCAAGACGTCTTTCGTTCGCTGTTGCCGATGAGCCGCCTCTGGCTCGGAGCTGTGGTCATTTCTCGCCTCCATTTCCGTGCTCTTATCAATCGCAGAACCAATGAAACGAGCACGAGGTACATGGCCTGTCCCTAGTGTACGCTGCAGGTACCATCGCTGTTCGCCGCGATGGAATTGCCATTGGACCCGTGTAACATGACCTTCCTCATGCGGAAAGGAGCTCCACGCTTGTCGACTTCATAAGTTGAGGACCGTAGCTAAAAGTTTGGACCCTGGGAACTTCGCTCTGTGGCTCTTCGGATTCCTCTTCGACTGCGCTGCCAAAGCTCTCGACTCGGCGACCAAAATGCGTTCTACTTCCGCAGCAATTGTTGTGCTGGCCAGCACTGCGTCAGCGCAACTGTACCCTGGTCAGAGTCCCTACAACCACACCTGCGAGCTTCAGAACCCATTGCTTTCGTGCCCGCCGCAAGATCCATTGCTCGTGGATTCCTGCTGTGTTGAGACCTTTGGTGGTCTCGTGCTTTCTACTCAATTCTGGAGCACGTACACGGGCGGCGAGAGTGCCGGCCAGCTTCTGCCTCAAGACACCTGGACGCTCCACGGTCTGTGGCCAGATTTCTGCAACGGTTCATACACTCAATACTGCGATCTTACTCGCCAGTACGATCCGATCCCATCGCCCAACACTACTACCGGAAAGCCTGACGGTGTACCTGTCCCCGCTTACAATGGCTCCAACATCGGAACCTTCCTCGAGCCATTCGGAAAGTACGATCTGCTTGATTACATGGACAACTACTGGATCGCGCAGAACCAGGACAACCCGGGATTCTGGGGCCACGAATTCTCGAAGCACGCCACTTGTTTCTCGACTTTCAATGTGCCGTGCTACGGTCCGCAGTACCGCAAGCACGAGGAAGTAGTCGACTTTTTCGAGACGGCCATCCGATACTACAAGCGCTTCCCTACCTTCGACTGGTTGGAGGAGGCCGATATCACGCCCTCCAACTGCACAACCTACTCATACGAGGAAATCCGTGATCCTCTTGTCAAGCAACATGGTGGACTGCCGTTCATTGGTTGCACTGGCCCTCGCTACAATACGACCGAGGCAGGCAAGAATAGCACGGATAACGGATACACTGTGCTCTCTGAGGTGTGGTACTACGAATACGTAAGTGCAAGCTGTGCAATAGAACTAAGCATAGAGCTAACATAACGCAAAGGTCTACGGTCGACCTCAAGAAATGAACACGGTCCCTGTAAACGCATCGGCGACCTACTACACGAACTGCGCAAAGAGCGAGGGAGCTATTCACTACCCCGAGCGAACCAATGGGTCCGTGAGAGTTCCCACCCTCCCATACTAGACGTACATAGATGACATAATGGCTATAATGTTGAATGCAACTAAATTTGAACAATCAAGCCATTTGTGAGCTATTGCAGTGGGCCCGCAGTCAATGTACATGTATGATGAAAGATGATCGTTATAGGATCGCCCGGCAGTTCGTTCATGAAAAGCCAGCTCTTCCCCCATAATCCAAGGTAGGTTTACACACACTCTCCCTCGTTGTCCACACGAACGATTTAGATGCCGCTCTTCAAATCATTTGCAGCTCACGAGGGGCCAGCCTGTCTGACGTGCGGTAGTCTAGCGCCATCCCTTCCGCTGCTTGCTCCGAGTAAGAGAAGACTTCCGCGATCGTTTCTTCCTCCAGTACGGAGAAGAAATCCATGGAAACACCTGTCCCCTCAACAAGCATGACGACGTGAAAGTACCTGCGTGGAGACAAGTGCATCGGCACATGGCGTCAATTATATTTCAGAGGTAGCCGCTCGTATAAGCGCGATTCCGCAATGCGGTGGTACTTCTGCGAGACCAGAGGGCTCCGCTTCTCCATCTTGTTCCGTCGGATAAGATTTTTGATACCAGGTGTGGATTGGGCTGCCAGGTGCGAGGACATACGAGGGTGCTGCCATGGCGAGGCAGTGATTCATTAACGGTTGGGTCAAGCACAGGGCATTCTTCACCGCGCATGTGCCCACAAGGATTCAAAATTTGGCCGCGTATATTTGAGCACCTTTCACGTAACGCTACGTCCCAGACTCAGCTCATTAGGTGACGTATTTGCCCCGGCGCTTCGCAGGCTACCTTTCAATGCATGACTTTGAGATCTCTGATATCACGTTAGTCTGAGATTTAACCTGATACAACTCGATGGTTTGCTCAAAAGTGCAGTCCTCATGCCTGAACCCTCCTAGATTAGTATTTAAGCGATGACTGGAGTTGGTGGGGCGCTACTAAAGCTTATTGTCAATAATAGAAGAAGGAAAATGGGAATTTGTAACGGGTCATAAGCGCAAGATTGGAATGATGTGACTGTTGGACAATTTGTAGACCTTCCTGTCCTGTCAGAACTGTTCTCTCATTCTAGTCGGAGGATCGGGAGCTTGCGATGAAGTCGATATTCCATAAAGCTAAAGTCCATGACTCCCTCCATAAGGATATTGCGCTAAGGGCAACGACACGACAAAACCTAGCTCTACCTGAACCTTCGCTGAGAGCTGTGAACAGATGTCCAGAGTAGCAGGCACTTGAAATTTCCTTGGATGGCTAGATCAATACATCAAGATGAAAGATAATAACGCCTTAACCCTTCCAGTTCGACTTCTGTGCGCCATTATTTATCGAAATTTACAGACCGTATCCTCTGCAACTCTTTCTCAATCACTCCCGTCCGGTTGAGACCTTCATAAAGCGCCCATGCTGACAACGTCTTCGCATCACGTGCACCTTCTCTCCACAGAGTATCGTATTCAGTTACACGAATAGTGATCAACTCGCCTTGTGTTCGCTCGCCTCCAAGTTGAGATCTCATGCTCATGATATCCTTGCGGTCCAACTCTTTCTCCCACAGAAGCAAGGGAATAAATTCGTCCAGATTAGCAGGACTCATATAAATCGCCTGTTGCAAGTCCTCTACAGCCTTAGACTGCCGCAATGCCAACTCGGTGAGGTTGATCAGCTCGTCTGCGCGGACCTGTAGGTTCGTTTCTTCCTCTATTTCTTGGATAGCCTTGCCTTTGATGTTTCGGGTTTCTTCGTCTAGCATACCCGCTGGGATTTCGAGAAAGGTTGTACTGCATGCTCCTAACCTGGGTTGGTCTGTCAGGATCACATATCGTTCGTTCCGGTTATCCTTTGGTCGTAATATCATAAGCACAGCTACGCTGCCGCCTCGTAGGAAAATAACCCTGTCCAATCTGTTTTCCAGCGCCTGGCCATCGCCCTTGCGGAGAAAAGCTTCAATGGTCATAAATCCAATGTTCTCGCCGAATAGAGTGACATGATGGATCATGACTTTTTCCAATCGCCATGGGTCTGTAGAGTACACTTGTCCAGGTCTTTTTTGTCGCTCCAAATTTTCCCTCAGTGTTTTTTGCCAGCCGTTGAAGGCCGGAAATTTGAGCAGTTTCTTTTCATCGAGGTCAATATTGTCGACACCCAGTCCCACTACTACCGGAATATCATTCCAGTCTGAGAGCGTAAACTGTTTGGACATGTTGGAAGGGTGAGTGGTGGCCCGACGTTCTTTGCGAAAAAGTGATAGACAGCCCATAGAGATCAGCTAGCTGTCATCTGAATTGCTTAAGGATGGATGCATTCCAGGCCGCAGCATTTTGTCATTGCTGGGACGGAGGCGCAGCAGGGACGGCGGACACGAGGTGGGGTGGATTCCAAGGTTGGGCGCCACGACGTGACAGTTTTCTTTAACAGGACTAGCGCAACAGGGGTGCCCCTACCAAGTCGCTTGACAAAGCCCATTGAAGTCAAGGCAACAAGCTCTCTCAAGTCCCATTCTCCCACCGACATCGACGTTACCAACGCAACACTGGAGCGTGCAACACGGTGTCTGGCTTCGACTTGATCCAGATGGTGTAGCTACGCTCAGGACTATTCCCAGTTTGGGTACACAGGATTGCGAGACCCATCTCATACCACAAATGACTGTTGGACCATCGGACACATTATCTACGACGTTGCCACCAAGAAAGGAATGCACTGTACTGACCCAGAGCGAGCATTGAGCAGGTCGAAAGCGTGCCGAAATTGTCTATCGAGCTGCGCACGATGAGGCTCTGCAACGTATGCGTTGGCATGCTTCGAGGAGGAAAGGGCGATATATGGACCGGAACCCACGACTTGACTTTCGAGCATCATAAGAGCACTGCCAGTCTGAGACGGTCTCGGAAAGCAGACTGCATGATTTGCGTCGTCTTGGCTGGGCTCTATCGTCGAGCCGGAGCAGACATCCTAGATGATCGACCAATGTCCATTCAAGCCACGATTCACAGACTTGAGGCTCACCATCATAATCTTCTCGACGAGAGAACTCCTGCAGAAGAAACGACCAACCATGCTGCCGCCGTCTCTACTCAAGTGCAAGGTACTGATTCAGCTCGCCGTCTCGAAGAGTTGAGGCGAAAGTTCACCGCTGTATTTGAAGAGAACATCAGCATCGAAGTGTTACCCCAGAATGAGTTGCGGGAGATTACTAATGAACTTCTCAAACTCACCAAGAAGAAGTCTAATTTCAAGGGTTTCCGGCTCGATTTTGATATTGAAAAGCGGTATACGCGAACTTTTCTACTGAAACCAATAAGTAATTCGCATTGATTGTTCTAGAAATGAGATGTAGCGTCAACTAATTTCGATAGATTACGATACCAGCGCGTTGCGTACGCCAAAGTCTACAAATACCTCGTCGGATGAAGTATTCGAGAGAGCTTGTGACTGGATCGCGAAGTGTGATAGAAAATGCGACTGCTCTCGAAAAGCAAGCACGGCTTGGTACGTGTTTCAGTTTCCCAATATATGAGCTATAATTCCCAGAAGCTGTACAAAAATAGTCGATATGCGCACTTTGACGCTTGCTAACGATATCACAACAGGTATCCCAAGCGCTTACTGGACCTTGAGAAGCTGAGTAAGGCTCATGGACTCAAGTTTCCCGGCGGTCTCAAGGTCTTGTCCGAACGTGCTGATCTACGGAAGACAAAGGTTCACTTAATTGACGGCACTGAGGCGTCCGGGCGCTACGTGACGCTGAGCCACTGTTGGGGCAAGCCGAAAAGTGTGCAAGGTCAACTGAGGTTGACAGGCAAGACTGAGCGGAAGTTTAGAGTAGAAGGTATCGAATTGCGTGAACTGCCCAAGGTAAGCAAGCCCCCTCTTAGATGACATTTTGCGATAGCCAAGGACTGACTATCACCAAAACAGTCTTTTCGTGATGCAATGCTGTTTGCCTCTCGTCTAGAACATGTTCGGTACATCTGGATCGACTCGTTATGTATCTTACAGCCTGCCGTATTTTCGACGGACGACTTTGAAGACAAATCGGAGCAAGACTGGCGAGAGCAGAGTCGCGTGATGGGTGAAGTGTATAGCCACTCGTACCTTAACATCTCTGCCACCGCTGCGAAAGATGGCGATCAAGGTCTATTTGTACCTCGCCGTCCAGAATATCTCTGGGAAAATGAAATCAATGTAAACTATACCGGCACAAACTCATTTGGCTCTGAAGGAGTAACGATGGGGCGGGACGAGTTGACACGGTGTAACATCATCGATCTTTCGTTCTGGTCAGAGCTAGTAGATCAAGCGCCTGTCAATCAGCGTGGCTGGGTTCTTCAAGAGGTGAGTCTTCGCGATGAAAGTCTCTCAGGACGGTTTCTGATTTCCTAGCGACTGCTCGCTCCGCGAGTACTCCACTTCTGCCACAACCAAATTGCTTGGGAGTGTGGCGGCTTCCAAGATGTTGAGGGCTATCCAGACAAGCATACGACACTTAAGGTACGATACGGTGACATAATAGATGAAGGCCGCCTAAAAGACCTTGACGAAAGACACGGCCTTCGATTACGGGATTTCCGCCTCAAGGGCTCCCCGGACCCAGACAAGCACATGCCCAAGCTAGGAGCGTATGAACTGTGGAAGTGCATGGTCGAAGTGTACTCTCGTACAAGGCTCACCGTGTCGCGAGACAAATTAATCGCGTTATCTGGTATTGCTCAAAAGTTCTTTGAGATAACACGTTGTGAGTATGTTGCTGGTATGTGGAGGGAGCACCTTGAGAGCCAGCTCCTGTGGCAAGTGAACGAGCTGTATCGAGACGGTGTTTTCGAAAACCCTGCACATCGCGACGCGCTACGATCCCCGTCGTTCTCGTGGGCAGCTATTGACACTCCACATGGCATTACCTACGGAGAGGTCACGGATTACGGCCGAGACAGACAAGAACAGCTTCTCTTCGAAGTAACAGGGACTCAGATCGAAATTGACGACCGTAATAACCCTTTTGGTCTGATAAGATCAGGTCAGCTTCGCATAAAACCCAGATATCTACGCCAAATCATTTTGCGCAGACTTGAGCCGCCATGGCGTGTTCCATATGGTTGGCGCCTACGAGACGAAGCGTATCCAGGGCAAGCAGCTCCTGCGGAAGAGCCATCTGCCGAGAAAGAGCAGTCGGCTATAAGAAAGGTTCAATCCATCGAGCACTACAACCTCAACCTTGACGCGCCTGAGTCCGACGTGGATGTCTTCGCACGCGACGCTGATTTGTATTGTATGCCAGCAGCATTTGGAGACAGAACAGTCAAGAAACACTGGCGTGACTTGATATGTCTTCTATTGATCAAAGATAAGGCAACTGCGTCAGAAGACATTAGATCCACAGGCCAATTTCGAAGAATTGGCATTACAAGGCTTTCCAGTGCTGTCCACTGGAAGTCTCATCGAATCTTGACGGAGCAACCGTTTGATGGTGACATCATCCTGAATTGATTTGTGGTCCAAAGCCTAGATAGGAGTTTGAGCCTTACAAATAGTTGCGAGAAATATGGAACTCTAATGCAACGGTCCTCCAGTGACAGTGAACCGTAAAACCTGCTCAACAGGACAGAGCCGCACAAGCACGCCCCGGCACCCCTCTCACCGACTTAGTTTCCAACACATGCACAAGCAGCGATCGGGCATATTCCCACAATCTGGATGCTGCGGCCGTACACCTCACACACGCAGTGCGTATCTCTTCACCGGCAATCAATCTACATACCCCTACCCAAGCAAGACTCACGCGAAACACCGCCCTCACGCGCAGCACCCCTCCCCCTCCTCTACATGCACAGCGCTTACTATCCTAGCACGCCGCAGATCCACGACTCCCAATTTCCACATCTCCTCACTTGCCGAGCCCCCGTATCTGCGGTCTCAGCCTCCATCTCAAGCATTTCTCGCTGCCTGAGGACCGCCCGACGATTTCAGGCATAGCTGGGCACGCAGGAAAAAGAAGGCAAACGAAACGTGACGGCGGGTGGAAAGGGGGAATGTGACGTGTCAATTGGGCGTCGCAAATGATGGGGCGGGAGGGCGTTGCACGACAGCGGCGGTGCGGGGTGGGCGGTGGATTGATTGATTGGCAGAGGGGTGGGATGCGACGTGATCGACTGATTGTCCTGCGCGCAAACGCGACTGCCAACACGCACATTGCGTTCTCTCGGCCGGAGAGGAAGACGTTGACGAGCCAGCGGTGTGTCAATTACGGTGGGGATTTTCGGTTCTGTTCTCGCCCGACTGCGCTGCACTGCGCTGCATCGGCGAGCGCGAGACCCTGGGGTCCCTCTCCCCCGTGGACTGTGTCGTCCTGTGTGCCTCTGGATTCTGGGGGGCCGCACCCATGACGCGTCCGTTCGCTGCGGGACACCGCCCGTGTACTATCCCCACCGCAACGTTCTCCATGCCCGCCTCCGATCTCCCAACATACCCCCAAACAGACTGCACTCCTTACCGCCCACAGCAGCTCGACCCTCGATCCTGGCCCCAAACAACTTCCGACAGCCCGCCCTCACGCTCGCTCGGGAACACTTCTCGAAGCTTACAACTGCCCGGCGCACGGGGGCACGGGCGTGATCGTGTCCCTGGCGAGGAGGTGAGGCCTCCTGCAGCGTCAAAGCTCCGACGCCACGATGCGGGTGTGGGCCTGGATATAGAACTTCTGCTCCGTGCACTGGACATAGCAGCGCGCCGACGCCCACAGATACTGACATGTTGTGAAGTATTGGTGTTTCATTCTCGTGGGTGCGGTGCGCATGGCGAGTCCTTGCCATGCGCATGCGGTGGAGGGGGCTGAGACCGTGGGAGGCGTGTTGGCACTGGGGCTGGTGCGTTGTGTTGGAGGACTGGTGGCAAGAAGGGGAGGACGGGCGGGGCTGTGCGTGTGTTCGCGAAGGACATCGTAGTACACTTGACGGTGGAGAGGCACAGCAGTCCGTGTGTCACTGTCAGAGGACTAAGCGCAGTGGAGGGTATTGGTAAAACAGTAAAATGTCTATTCGCAACCCTAGTAGATACAAACGATACTATCTTTTTGCAATGCGTTCAACGCGATGATGTGTCATGACGAAAAACGCGGCGAACCCGGTAGAAAACGTACGCTCGTCCTGAACGCCAAAGGGTATCAGAACATAAGGAGATTCGTGAGTGTGATCCATAGCCCTCAATACAGCCCAAACCAATAGCGCCGAAACCCATCATATCGTATCGCCAGTCAATGACAGTGTGAACGCTGTGTTCAAGCATCTTCATCAGATGTGTCGTCATTGCTCGCTCCAAGCCTGCGCGGACGACCATCGCCAATCTTCCAATTGCCCATCTTATCCAGCGCAATGACGCCCTCGTCGAAGAGCCACCGCTCAAGCTCCTTGTCGATGTTCCAAGTAGCAACATGTCCAATTACACTGCCAGCCTTACGGTCCTTCTCCAAGTGCCGCCCAATATGTTCCATGCGGTTCTCCCAAGAGCTATGGCCCGTGAAAGTCTCATCGCAGTAGAGGCAGCTAGACTGAGCCGGGGTCTCGCGAAGGACCTGGAAGCATCGCTTCTGGTGATCGGCGATGTTCTCTTCATTGACTGGGTATTCTTTTTGGCTGCGGTGCGACGAGTTAGAGGGTGCGGCGTGCATACGGCGAAGGTGTTGGGTGAAGAGGTCCTTGCGGTTGAAGTCGTTGTGGTATACTGACTGCGGGTCGTGCGGGTCGACAGTAGTAGCACAGAGATCGCATCGCCAAAAGCCGAGTTTAATATGTTGTGTGCTGACGTGTCGTTTCCACTCGTTCTTCGACGAGAACGTGGACAGGCAGCCATACATAGTAAGCGGACAAGGGAAGTGTCGTTGAGAATCTACCGTATAAGTCTCGCTCAACACCTTGTGCGGTCCCCTGCCGCCCCTTTTGGTCACCCTGGTGGTCGGGATTGTTGCGGTGGAAGAAAGCTTCCGTCCGTTGATGTAAGAACGACGGCGACCTTGACCTTGGCGTTGAGAGCTATTTGACGAAGCAGAAGAACGTCTTCGTCTTGTGGATCGCGGAGTATAGTCGGCATCGGAAGACTCGCCTTCGCTCGGCTCTATAGGTTGGACCGACTCAGCATCTCTCAATGAATGTTTGACAGTAGAGTCGGTTGAATCTTTATATGTCTCTGTTCCCGAGTCGACCCTCGTGTAGTCTGGATCCGGTTCGTAGGTGCCGTCGAGTTCCATCTTTGTCTCTGCATCATCGATTTCCTCGACAAGAGATTCTGGTTCTGGTTGGTGGTTATACAATTCTAAATCGCGCATATTCACACTGACACCGCCATGCGCGAACTCTGGGGGATACGCCTCCTGCTTGATATGGTCCGTCACTGGATACGGCGAGCTTAACTGGCCATAGTCTGCAGGGCTGCCATAGGCCACGGGAAGGGTGCGAGGTGAGCGAGCTTCGTTTCCAGTAGCGTAGCTAGAGTTGCCCGAGGTTGAGGTCCTATCCGGAGAAATGTGTCGGGCATATTCTGGTGTGGGATATAGGCTCAAGACCTGGCGCTGGTGGTGGATGCCATGGTTCAGGTTCGCATGCAGCATGCCCGAAGTCAGTGGTGAGGGTTCCCCTAAAAAGTACTGCATCCTCTGCAGGCGCATCAGATCGTTGCTGGCCCGTTGCGGATAGCAATGACCATCGCCCGCCACGAAAAAGCGGTGCTCGAGTGTCGCCGATGGTTCACCGCTCCATGTTGTAGAGTGAGGTTCCGATTGGAAAGGGATTTGTGGCAGGTCTCCATACTGATTGTATGGTTCCATAATGTATGTCACGGTGATTGAACAAGATCCCGTGTCGAGTGTCCAGATACGACGAGTATCTGATATCAGATCGATCTGCTCTCTGAGCAATGGATGGCTGGGTTGGGCGATGAAGAATATGTCTGGTACAACGTCAGCTTGGTAGCACAAAAGTGCAACCCTTGGGAGATATACATGAGTATCGTTGTGTCTTGGTGCTAAAAGCAAAGGATGGGGTGCGCTGTTATAACCAACTTCAAGAAGACGAAGCCCTTGGTGGGAAAGTCGCAATACTTCGGAATAGTGATTGGAGGACAAGGGGGCGAAGTAGTGGAAATACGTATAGTTCTTGAAGGCAGAAAGATCAAAGTTGCATTGAGATTTGCACTGCCCACTTCTCTTGGTGTTGTTTACCACCACGGGCGCCCGCATGCTCAGTCTTGCTTTATGGTGGATATGCTCGCAGAGCCGCATTCACAGAACCAATCAGATGGGTGACCACAGACCAGCTGCAGCGACAAGGGACCTCCTTGCTAGCGTAGTAACTTGCATTCACCGGTGGCTCACCTTGCGGAGCGCCACCACTCAGAGAGGAGTAGGCTTGAAGCTCTGGGCTTCCGGTATCGTATGAGGGAGATCTTAGGCGAGTCTCAAGGAAAAAGAAATATGCTCGCATGAGGATCGGTTCTTGCCTATGGATTCCAGCCGCTGCCACTGGCCGCGCATGGTACGAATGGCCTGCAAGTTCGGTTAGCCCACCCGACTTGAAGCGGTAAGTGAATGCTAGACCACCGGGCTCGAAAGATGGTGTGTCGGTATTGGTCGGACAGATGCCCTGACAAGCGCAAGACCACGACACCGCGAAACATAGACACTCTCGTGCTAGATGCTAAGATGAGGCGACTGCATGGAGCCCTTGCAATTGCGGAGGACAGCGAACAGTGCGCGGAAAAGGAATGCTGATTGAGCAGCCCTGATCCCGATTCGAACGCGAACGCGACAGCCGCCCAAGAGCATGGTTGCGGAGGGGGTGGATGGCCCGTCCCTCGATTGGGCAGCCGAAACGAGCGTTGACCGAAACGGGCCTCGAGAACGCTATGGTTAGGCACCTCCCGAAAGACAGGGCGGTGCACTGTTTGCCTGCACTAAAAGGTTGCAGGTTGTTATGAGGGCGTTGGGTAGATTTGACAACGAAGCATAGCCATCCAAATAATGAGGAGATTTACGAGTACGCCTATGCAATTCTCGCAGGACTTGCTCGCTGGCAACTGTGACCGCTGTCTCGGTTTTGATGGGCGCCCTCGACCGATCGCAAGTCCGAGACTATCACTGACAGAGGCCAGAGCTTTTGGGGCGCAAAATAAGTGGCACCTAGTACTGTGGTGGCATTGGGGGCGGCGCATCCCGCTGAGCAGACCGAATTGGACCCTCCGATGGCGGGGGAGGCGTGACGACAATTCTAACTCGAGTGGAGCGCTACAAACCCCCCTGCATCGGCGCTTGGATGGACGCTGCCGTCCAGGCCCGGTGCTTCGTATTGGAGTTGGCCGCTTTATCCGGGGGCTCTGCGAGAGTCAAGACGGAAGGTGAACAATGTCGCGATGTCGTACGGCAGCCCAAAGGTGCCGTAATAGACAGCTTGGCACGGCATCGCGCAGATCCACGGCCCGAAGTGCGCCTTCCATCATCCCACATTCAAGTTACCATAGTGTTGGGTCAATCTCATTCATGAAAAGTCAAAATACTGATAGTTGTCTGGCTGGCTGAGCATCATGCACTAACGTGTGCGAGTCACAGCGCGGCGTTATAGCTAAATGCGCCCTCTCAAAGCGTGGACTGCGCCTTCAGTCCTTCCACTGCCGCAGGTGGCTGTGACTATGGTCGTTTGACATCCCAGCAAATGGCAGGCTCTAGGCGGCCATCTTCGCGATCAGGCGATCTTCTATTCCGTCCAAAATCCAGCGGTGTTCGAGCACCTCCAAGTTCTCGGCCTCGCTCAAGAAGAGCTTATCGGGGTCCTGCTCGGGACCCATCAGACCAGCTCCTGGATTAGCCATGGCCATCTGCTGCGTTACGTTGTTTGCAGCTGAGATCTCATGTCAGCCGTTATCAGAGCATTGACCATGCACTGGCTACACCTGGGTGCACTTACAGTTGTTGCTTCCAAGGATGAAGTTATACACGGGCTGGAGCCCAAATAAGGTAAGGAAATACCAGGAGAGACTGGAAACCCATCTCACATCTAGATCGCGGGTGCCAACACCTGACTGGAGCATCGACTTGAATTGTGGCGTTAATGGAAAGGGTAGTTTCACTGTTGGGTAGCAACGGTTAGCGAGAGATGGCAAGAAAACACGGGGCGATGAAGGGTAAACCCGGTGCATCAGACTTGGGACCGACGCAGCGGAGGGTTGAGATCTCGGTCTGAGTTCAATAAACTGCTCCGCGGAACGAGCCTATTTGCACGGAGAACCTAGTGTCGCCATTCGCAGTTCGCATTCGCATTTTCGCAACTCGTGCTTCGCTAGTCGACCTGGAAGGAAAAGGAAGGTGCGCAACTCACTGATAACAAAGCCTGAGAAGAACGCATTGATCCACCCCATGATCAGCGTTTGCGGAATCATCATGGCCATATTCCCCTTCATCATGCCCATCATGCCTTCCATGGCCGCGGGGTCGCTCATGGGATTCGGTCTCGGCTTGCCCCTCGCCTCCGGCTCCGCCAAAAACTTGCCTTCCTGGAATGCAGACACCATGTACGCCTTGCGAGCCTGGAAGGAGGCAGGTGTCAGGACATTTGCATTGGCGCGAAGGTTGATGCCGCGGACGAGCGCGCGTTGTTGCCGGATCTTGGGGAGCTCTTGCTTCTTCGGCGCCGTCTGGAGGAGGATCATTGCGTAGTGGCGGAGGATGCCCGTCAGGACCTGGTGCTGATTAGTGGTAGCCATGATGCGTGATGGGGTTGCATACCATGACCACAGTAATCGGGAGCAGGATCCACCAGCTGCGAATATGTTAACATTGCCGCAGTGCCGTGAGCGCGACGGGTGGTACGCACAACAGGGCGGGATCCCGGTGGATCGTCTGTACCAGAGGTTGTCCCATGTTCGCGGAGATAGGTTGGGCGAGGGGACGTGGTGTCGTGGAAAGGCAGTGTGGGGATGATGGAAAGCTCCCAGCGGAGCCTCATCGGCGGATCTGATGTGACAGGGATCCGCCCGTGCCTTCCTTGTGAACACCTTACCCTCAGCAGCAACCACGCTCCGGCGGCGTGAGCTCGCGATTCCACCACCACACTTCTACTCGGCACGCGCGCTCGAGAAATCTATACTGCATAGCCCACCATGTCGGCGACAACTAAAATTGCAGTGCATTCTCTGTCGGGTGCGCAACTAATCCACCCTCGACATCACCTCCATCCCGCCATGCTAACGGCTCCCAGACCTGAAGAACACCACCGACGACGCACTCCCAAACTACCTCCACTCCCTCAAATTCAAGCAGATCCACAAGCAGACCGACGTCCGATTAGTCATCGGCTACACCGCCGTCATCATCGCTGGAGCCCTCTTCTACTACGACTGGAAATTCGGCTGGGAGGCGTCAAAGCCGTACACCCTGCCCGCAGTAGTCGCATACTTCCTCCTCAACACGGCCTTCAGCTACTGGCTCTGGTTCGTGGAGGCAGGCACGGTGTACGAGGGCGAGGGCAAGACAGGCAAGGTAAGCGCGCTCTATGCTTCGTGCGTTGTTCCAAGGCGCTGTGCTGATGGATGAGCAAAGGTCAGGATAGCGTCTTCCACCAAGAAGCACATTCCCATCTACGAAGTCGACGTCACATTCACCCCCGCTGGCTCGAGCCACCCGCAAAAGATCCACATCCGCGCTCCCTTCACCCGGTGGTTCACATCAGATGGTTACTTCATCGCGAAGCCATTCCAGCAGTGGCTTGCTTCAGAGGTGCCCGTGGTAGGCGCTGCCGATCCGAACAACGTTGTCGAGGAGATTGGCCGCGGGAGCGAGGCGGAGAACGTATTGAATGCTTCGGGCAACCAGAGTGCGATTGACATTCTGCAGCAGCTAAAGGCTAGCGGAGCAAATGTGTCTGCTGGCAGCGGCCGGAGAAGGAAAGCGTGAGGTTGTAGAAGGATAGGCAACATGCTGAATGCGGATGGGAAAGTCGGAGGGCGATTCGCGTCGACGTCTAGAACGTTGGGAATAGGAAAGCGGTCAATACCAAAAGGTTAGGACGGAAAATAGGAACCATGGCCTTGAACAGTGAGCATTACATGGATACCATTGATTTATACATAACGTGTGCTATGAAGAGGTCCTGTCATGACAGTTGGTCGTGGACACTGCCACCAATGCATGATATCGACACGTGGTACATGTTGATGCCCAGAAAACAAAACGCCGCCGTGGATGCAGATGGAGAAAACGCTGACTTAGAAATGCAAAGAGGCCTTCACGTGCGCGCGTCAATTCGTGTAACTGATCGGACAATTTCCCTTCACAACCCACAACTCTTCCATAACTAGTGGCCATTTTAAGCATCCCTCTGGGTATGTTCTATTCGTCTTGCTCCAATAAGGGCAAGACTTCCAGTTCGCGTCTGATTATGCGCTCGAACTCTTCCCTCTCTATGCCTGACGCCCTCGCCAAGCGGAACAAGCTCTTCATGTCTGTGCTGATGTGCTGCTTGATTGCAAGCTCGGCTTGGCTATGGTTTTGCGCTTCACGCTCCAGCTTTTCCACCGAGGTCGATGAAGCTGAGGACGCTGGTCGCGGGTGGTTGAGGTCTTGAAATCGGTTGTCCCCGACTGATTCAATGTGCTCGGGCTTGTCGTGAGGCGAGTCTCGGCGATCGCCGTTGGTCCGATCTACGCCATTCGCAGTATCTGATAGCCTCCTAGTGGGTTCTGGTATGCTTTGCTGAGCAAATCCAAAAGAGTTTCCATTGAGTGTCGAGTCGCCTAGGCCAGCAGCCTCCTCGTCTGGATCATGAGGGTCCATTGCCGGCTGCACCTCGGATGCATAGCGGGCAAAGTACTCGAGCTCCGTCTGCGTGGGCCCGATCTGTACGCGAGCGTTCGTCGGTGGTGCAGGAGATTGCTTGTTCGGGGTAGGGCCTCCTGGGGTCTGATCATACGCAGCCCAGTAGGAGCCGTCGTCGTCGTCATTCTGTTGCTGTGGTTCGGGTTCCGGTTGCAGATAGGCTTTAGGATGTGCTGTGGCACCGTTGGTGTTGGAAGACTTCCTGCGAAATCCAGCATCGGCCGCTTCACTCATGCTCGGGAACCACTCGGTGCCATCATCCATGTCCTGGATGCCCCTCAAGTCGGAGAGTTCCCAGCGATCGCCCTGTTCTCCACTCGTACACCATAGATATGTAGGCACAATGCCATATTCTCCTAGCACCAACTTTGCGTGTAGGGTCTCTGCGTCGGAGCGGCGATACAGAATCTGATCGGGGTCCTCGACTTCAATCTCGCCAGACGCGGGGTGTGGCTCGACGTGCAAGTTCCTGACGACTTCTGGTAACCGGGATGCGACTTCCTTGTCCCAACACAGCAGAGATAGCCAGTCTTCCGAAGCGAGCAACTGAACGCGCTGGCGGAGGATTGGCGACAGCAGCGGGAGCAGCGCGGGGGGCGGTTGTCGTGAAGCGTTGGCAGTGGCCAAGCAGGCGAGCAGCGGTGGGAGAAGATCCCTCGCGTTGGGTGGTGGTGCGACTGAGCCGGCCATGTGGTGTGCGGTGAGTCGTAGCTGCGCGAGTTTTAACGGGTGCGTTGTCGAGGCTCGCTCGGAGTTCGCAGATGGGCGGATCAAGGAACCTGTCAACAAGTTCCCAACAATATTTTCAGCGGTCAGCCAGTCACTCCTGTCTGAGAAGAGGGCGGTGGTGGAGGAGTGGGTGACGTTGTCACATGAAAAGCTGTGACCTGTCGACGTTCAACTGTGTGACGCTTGGACTGCGGACACTGTTGACCTTGTAGAGCACAAATGAACCAGACTGCCGAGCGGAGGTCGGGGACAAGGAGGGCGACAAGGTGCAGAATAGCAGCTTTGATAACTCTCCATAGCGGCTAGTTCGCGGGCTTACCTTGGAGTGGAGTGTGGTTCGTTGCCGTGCTAGTCTTCCATCTGCCCGAAGCATTCGCGCCCGCCTGGCCAAAGCACCTGCCCCACCACGTGCACCCGTGTTGGCTCCGGGCTTGTCGCGCCTAAGATCTTCCGCGTCGGTGCCAGCTTGCGCAGACCTCGAGATTGTAACTGTTCGCTCGACTATCACTTGAACCTCTTATGAACGTTGTGCTCTAGGATACCCTCGTTCATTGCGCTTCCAGTACGACTCTGGCTTCCCTCCAACATCGGCTCGTCTCTATTGGAGTTTTCACCCTTGGCATCATGCTACTTCTGAACTTCATCCCAAGGGCACCTGTGGCGCTGTGCTATAGTATACAATGTCTTTGGGGCTCTGCCACAATGGTTGACACTGCTAGTTTCGTACATTACTCTCCTCGTGCATCTCACAACGCTTTGTGTCAGTCTCGGCGTGAAGAGAAACATAACGTGAATTCCTGCTTTCAAGCTAGCTACAAGCCCACTGACTTTCCCTTGTTTCCCTTGCGCTGCTATCCTCACCACCTACGGATCCCCAGACTCACACTTTGCTACCTTTATGGACATGGCTTCTGTAAGCCTCAGTACTAATTTCCCTCAACACAAGTACATGGTGTTGACGGGTTTCAAGAGATCAGAAAAAAGCAAAGGGCTATACATCCAGATTTGCGACGAATTGGGCCCTGAAACGACACCATCAAAACCTACCTGCACGTTATATTCCACCATGCAGCAAAGAGCTCAAAGATTTAGCTTGCAGGTAATCCGGCAGGGCCCCTCGCCTCGCCACACCTCCAAGAGCTTGGCTAGTTCTCAGACCCAACCGACTTTACCACCATGGTCGAAACCGTTCCCATTCCTTTCGTCCAGCACACTGCTCAGCAAGAGGCCACCGATTCCCATGCAGATGACGTTTTAGGAGCCTGGATCGATAACGTACTCCCGTAACTGAACCAACCTCAGCATGCTAACAACTGGCAACGGAACAATGATAACTCGGTATAAAAGCTGTAGAGGTCAAGTGGCTGCTGACAAATGCTCTTCGGGACCGGGTCTCGTAGGTCATTAGAGAAACTATGCGGATCTCTGTTTTATTGTGGTGCTCGCTCTTTTATTTCTCCTTATACAGCTATATACGCATATGAATCCAATTTGATTTTGGAATGCCCGAAGAACCTAAGATACGAACGCGCTTGATATCTTCGAGGTGTTCAATCTCGGCCTCCTCATGGTCGGGTTCACAAGACTGTGTCGAAAGGGGAAGTTCGGTCGAACAAAAAACGCCAACATGAGCTCCTCGTAGGTGTCGTAGGGCCCTGGAAAGCCCAGTTTCATCGAACAGATGAATGTTGTTAGGTAACTCCAGTCCTGACAGTTGACTCTACCATAGTATGCGCGGCCTTTAGGCTTAACGGACCGCAGGAGCTGCAGTTGCTCGCCCAATCTTGGAGGATCATCTGCTGATCCCGTTCCCCCATTGCCATGAGCACATCTTCCATCATGGAAATGCCATGTGCAAAATCCATGACTAGAAAATTCATCAACACCAGCTCGTCGCCGCTGCCAGCATATTTGTCTTTATATGCGGCATATAGTTTGGGCGCTCGGACTTTGGTGTGTTCTTCGAGGTAGAGTATATTTTCTGCTTCCTGAACACTGTTAGCCAACGCTTGCGAGCTCCTTACGAGTCTGCTGACGTACTTGCAAGATCCTAATATCATAGCTAAATTTGATAGCGAGTGGGCCTACCCTGCAAACAGAACATAGCCCTGCTGGCAGTGTAAGTTTGGATGTTTTCAATGCCTGCCTTATCTCTTCCACAGAGGGTAGAGGGGGGTAAATGGGCGCTTCATATGGGAGTGCGACCTTCACGGTTCCAGGAAATCATGCATTGTCCATGTTTTCGACCTCCATTTGCCATATTTTCTTTCGATCTGTAGTGCCAAAAGTATACTGTAAGTATGCGGCTTTTGTACGTTGCATGTTTGGTGTTGGATACGGAAGGATGCCTCCGCTGAGCTAATGTGATAGAGTGCTGCTGGACGTAGTATGCGAGCGAGCTTGAGAATGAACGCGCCCCTTTCTACCAGAAAACTGGACAAAGGCTGTGGTAGTCATTGTATGCCCACCAAATAGCTCAGGTTTTTTTGACTTGGTGTAGCCGTGTGGCCCAGGACGCATTAGTGCTATGGACAAAGGTGTGTATATCCCGTATGTTCGAGCCTCGATGCAGGCGTCGATTACCCATCAGATACTCTGACCCACATGTAGTGGCATCCATCTCTGGTTCCATCCATCGGACACGCAAGCATTAGACAAAAAAATCTCGCGGTGGACTTCTGCTATGTGCTCTTTCGCAGATTTCTGGCACTAACGTGTTCCACCAGTCATCCGCCACCCCACCAGAATTGCGCGACACCTCAACACTAATTTCTCCACATCCATAAGGTGTTCTTGTATAGAATTTTGTATAGAATTTTGTATAGAATTTTGTATAGAATTTTGTATAGAGATAGCATATTACTGTCTACACTGAATCCTCCTATGTCCTTGCTCATGGCACTTGCTACACGTTGGTGGTGCTCGCTGGCGTCCCTGAGTAGGCCCAGCCTCAGCAGCCTCAGCTAGAGCTAGATGAGCAGTAGCAGCTAGAGCTCGGCCCTGCTCAGCCTGTAGAGCGCCTCCAGTAGCAATATACTGTCGTCGCCTATTCTGCCTTTGTTTCTTACGGTGATTAGCTGCCGTAGCTTCCTATTCTCCTCTGCTAAGATCGTCACTGAGTTCATCGCAGCCTGACAGCTCTTAACAATCTGGGCGATAGCTCGGCTTGTAGGGCTCTGAGATTGTCGATGGAGGCGATCACGTATAAGCCTAGCCTGCTGCTCAAGCTGAGTAGTAGTATGAGGCGTCTCAGCTGTCCATGCTGCCTCAGCGCCTACTGCTGTCCCCGGCGGAGACGGGGTCCTGGCTACTATCAGGCATGAGAGGACCCGCTCAGGGCAGGGAGGGATAAGTCCTGTCGCCTGAACCCCACTTTGGATGTTCTGCTCTGTGAATACAGACCTGCGAATACGTGGGTATATGGACAGAAACTCTCTCTTGTCAATGTGGAAGACACCTTGGCGGGCAAGCTCAGCCACCTCGTGGTCATATGCAGCCTTGAGTGGGGAGAAGCAGCTCACATCAAGGGGCTGTAGGAGATGGCTACTGTGCGCAGGCATACAGAGGCTGATTATCCTATGTTCTGCACAGTAGGTATCAAACTCTGGAGTACCATGGCTGCTGTGGCCATCTAGGATGAGTAGACCCCAGGTGCCTACTGTACGAGCCTCTGTATGCCGGTTGAAGTGCTCTAGCCAGGCAAGCCCTTGCTGATCTGTGGTCCAGCCATTGTCGCTGACAACGAGTACCCAACCAACAGGTAGGTGCTCATACCAGCTGGCCTGGTGGAGCTTGCCAGACAGGATGATGAGGGGTGGTGTAGACCAGCCAGACGCGCAGATACCCTCAATCGTCGTGACCCAGTTTCTGTTGCCTGGCTGTATGCGTATAGCTCTGCCTATAGTGTCTGAGCTTGTGACCACCTTAGGCGATGAGGATCCAACACCCATCATAAAGCCAGTCTCGTCAAAGTTATAGGTATCTGCATCCTGTATACCGTAGGCCTGGCGCGTCTCCTCCACAAGCTTGTACCAGGCAGAGATCTTGACAGGATCCTCACATAGAGCGCTGGCTATGGAGCTTCCTATCCCACTTTGTCTAGAGCTCTGGCTGGGTGTTGATGAAGCGTGATACCCAGTTCTTGCCTGAAGGAGCTGGAGGAGGGATCTGGCCGCGTGCAGCGAGTAGATTGTCTGCCATTCGTCATACGTCAATGATCTGGGGTGGAAATCCTCGTTGGTCAAGGTCTAGGATCCGGTGAACTAGAGACTGCTCCTCTATAGGGTGTAGCTTTCGTTTCTGTGCGTTGGCAGCTGCCTGAGGTAGGGCACCGCTTACGCGTCCTTGGAGCGTTGATTGAGGGATATTGTATAGCTGTGCAGCATGCTGGGTACTCAAAGTCTGCTTATTTTGAATTGCCTGTATAGAAAGAGCTAGTCTGCCTTCTTTTTGGGATTGCTGAGTATTCTGGGTGGGTGGCATAGCGCGTTGTGTAGAGGACGGGTCGCGCAATTCTGGTGGGGTGGCGGATGACTGGTGGAACACGTTAAGTTAACATTGAGACCTTACAAAGACGACATCACGAAGCCGTGCCAGACAAAACATTCCTTGAGGACGAACGATACTGACTCGCTGGCATCGGATCTGGTTAGTGCAGGGGCAGAAACTCGTGCGTTTGAAGCCCTGCACGAGAGTTTCAGTTGCTTAGAGGCTCAAGCGAAAGGATCGCCTGGCCCGCGGTGGTATCGATAAGCAACATCGCCCAGGTGGATGAATAAGCGAATGCGATGCGCGCAAAGCACGCAGTCGATCTTTGTCACGGGTTCTTCAACCAACCAACCTGGGAAGGTCCGGCTGTGCTCAGCTTTGATGCCCCTCGTGTGCGGAATGGCCTTGGATTGATTCATCAGCGGACGCCGTGTCGGAGGCACCAAATCGCTTCTGGCATCATCCGCCCCGGGACTGCAAGCTGTCAATATCCGTCCACATATAATAACAGGTGCTGTGACGGAGTCCATCACAGTCAGCGTCGATGTCGGTGGCGGCGCCTATTGGGGAACGTCGCATAACGTGGCTCTTGGAAATGGCCTAGTTCTGGGGAGCAACTGCTCGCCAACTCATATACCACACGCGGGGCGCTGGCACATGGGATGTCAGCTTGAAGCGGCCTCTCGAACCGTCGATATGCCCCACTATCGCTGCCGCTCCCGCGGCGGCTGGGAGTGAAGCGGGAGCCGGACCAGCGTGCTGATGGCCGCCTTCGCGACAGGGCTGAGGAGGCTCAATGCAGTGCATGTCAGGCCCACGGAAGCTGGCGCTCGTCGCGCCCACCATGGCGGTAGTGCACACGCCAGGCACAGGAAGCTTCGATGGCGATGCGCGGAAGTTCCAAGTCGCTGCGATGCTGGGAGCGTCCCATGCTAGCGACCCAGTGCTTGGCCTCCAGCGCCTGATATAGCACGCTCGGCAGCCCATTTAAGCGCCCGGGCAACGGCGTGTACGCGTCCTCATGGCAAGCGGCCGCGCTGAGGTGATGCTCCCGCTGAGTCTCCAGCGTCCAGCTGCTGTGAGGGGCCCGACAGACTTGGACAGACCAGCGGGGGCAGACAGGTGAGGAGAGCACCGTGGGTAGAAGAAGCTGGCCGTCGCCGGAGTGGAGCAGCATAGCCACACACGCGCACGCGCCCGCTCCCCCAGAGCTTCACAGAGCTTGAGGCTGTGTCTTGTCGCATATCTGTAAATCTGCCTCGAGTTGCCACTTAGCTTGCATCTCGTCATCGCGCTCGACCTCCGACCAAGGTGTAGCTGCATCTGCTGCTCTCCCCGCTGGCGCACTCGGGCTCCAGAGGTAACGTTGCCGCTTGCCGCTCACACCTCGCGCCCCTCGCACCGTCTTGGCACCGTCTTCTCGGGAGTCAGCCTTGACCGGTGCCTCGAGTCTTTCGCTGCTGCTGCTGTTGCTGCTGCTGCTGCTGCTGCTGCGGCTGGCCCTTCGATCGCAGCCACATCGCACGCTTCCCGCCTACGTTTCAGCATCACAGCTCCCCTGGCGGCCCGCCGCCTTCATCTCTCGACCTCCACCCTCGAACGACCGTGGGGCTTTTCGTCCCGTGAAGGACTAGCACTGCCCATTAGCCTCTGCGGCTGTTCTACTATCCCTGTGCGAGGCGAATCCCGCATTGCGACACTTTCATCGTCCAACATCTCTCTTCTCGCGGGCGCTTGCAGCTGCTGCTCTCGTCTGTCGCCCTTCGTGTCGCTTTATCCACCTCTCGGCGCATCGCGAGCAGCAATCATCGCCGCTTTTTGACCTCTCGCCTATTTCATCTTGTCTCTGCTCTAGGCTGCCAGGCAGCGCTATGGCTCCCTGAGCTGCAAACGCGCCAGTCAGTCACGTTACTGCGGACCCTTTCCTCAGCCGAGGTGGATCTGGTTGACGCGGGATCCTACGTCTATCGCCGCTTCCATCGCGACTCCAAATTCGCCTTGGGTTCTGCCTTCCAGGACCCGGACACTCATAATGAATACCATGGACGACCGCCCACAGGCTTTTAATAGTCAACGGCGCGAGCAGCGCCACACTGACGATGGATCGACAAACACGTTTCTCCCCACCTCCACCTCCTCAGGCAACTTCTTATTGCCCGATGCTCATGGCCAATTCACGTTTTCTGCTGAACCGACTTCGATGATCGACTATAGCTCCATGACAGCACCCACTGGACAGGAAACCGTCTTCACTCCGAATACTGCATCCTCCTTCGACTCTTCCTTGCACCCTGATGTTATCAACCAGACATACCCTCCTGCCCATGTGTACATGCAGACGAACCATTATAGTCTTTCTCCACACAGCAGAAACGGTCAGAGCATTTCGCCTTCCCACTCCGTGGACCATCTCAGCCCTGAGACTGGGTACATGAGCGACCCAAGCTATCAGGATCTAAGCAACTATGCGACTCCTACGTTCAACGGCCAGTTCCTCGACGAGTCTTTCCAGCAGCTGAATTTTGCGGACCGCGTCGGATCTCAAGCTTTCCCTCCATACCAAGGAGAAGTCGACATGGCTATGTTGGCTCGTAATACCTTGGCCACCTACAACGCTCAAGCGCCTACTATTCCGAGCAACGCACGGTTAGATTCTCACTCCCAACTTTTGTCGCCCTGTCCAACCAACAACCCTAGTCCTGTTGTCACAGACGAAATGTCGAGAAATGCAAACTTCTCTAACGTCCAGTATACGGGTCTCGAGTACAACAGTTCTTCCACCCCACCCAGTCGAACTGCACTACCGCAACACTCGACACCGATCAAACAACAGAAACAACAGCAGCAGCAACCAAGTCCAGCTTTGACGAACAGCCCCAGCAACTTATCGCTTGCCAATCCCCAACCCCGTGCAACTCATCTGACCAGCCCCATCGTTCGTGTAGAAAACTATGGCGGCCGAGACTCCCCTTCCCACTCCGATATTAGCAGACCTATGAGCAAGCGCAGTCATGGTAGTCGCCGCTCGGGTAATCACCTCTCTCCTTTCCCCAACGACGAGTCCTCGGATGATGGTGGTGATGATGACGATATGCAACGTCCAGTGCGAGTCCAGCCTGTTGTTCGAAGTGCTCAGCGCAATGACGATGGATCATGGATAATCAGCCGTGCGTCTGGTCAAGCAGGGCTCACACCAGAAGACCGTGATGCAATAGGCGATGCATGGATTCCCAGCCTCGACGAAAGCGCCGATCATAGAAAAAAGGAAGAGAAAAAGCTTGACGTCCATGATTGGCTTTCCAAGAGCGAGGTTGGTAGTGAAGCAGGGGACGGAGGCTCGTCAACAAATCTGCTGAAACCATTCACCACTCGAAGAAGAGCAAAAAGCACGAACGATGCTCATGGCCGTCAAGCCATGGGGCCTGGTTATGGACTTGGCGTGCGCACTGATTTCGATCGATTTGACGACTCTAACATTCCCGGTCCCGGACTTTACATAGACGAACGCAGTGAGAATGATGATGAGAGCGATGAAGAGGAAGAAGTACCCGAATCACCGCCAGCCGAAGTCAGTGTTGTTGCAAACCAGGTCGATAACGAGGCGTCGTACTTTCCACCTATCCAGCATGGTGGCTTGCTAGGTGCTATTGTCCGCCCATGGGTGGACGTGCCTTCACAACCCGCAACATCAACGACACGTTATCAACCTCCCACTTCGAGTGCTGCAATGATGCGATTCCGTATCCGAGCCAAAGACGTAGAGTCCGCATCGCTCGCGGCCACCGTTGGGTCGCGGCGTCTCAGCGAGTCTGACCTGGGCAGCATTAGAGCTGCCCCAGGCGTAATCAAGGCCATTGAACCTGACCTCAAAAAGCAAAAGGACAGACAGAGACGTCCGAGCTTTTTAGAGAACATTCTCCCAACGCGTAAACCTACCAACCTGTTGAAACGCAAAGGCAGCATCCCTGTCCAGCCACAATCGCAAGAAAATGTGGCCGAGAAGCCCAAAGAGCCTGTGATGGAAAAACCAAAGCGGATGGGAAGCTGGGGCCGGCCGAAATCACCACGCTTGGATACCACTGTGGCAATACATACCCGGGACATCGGACCTCCCAGTTCTACAGGATTGACACCGAACACTGGAACTTGGTACCAAGGAGCTAAAAATGCAATCAGACGGAGCAGGAGCCGAAGCGATATAGGCAAATCTCCTGGGCTAGCTGAGCTTATGACTCAGCATGGAGGGCCTCCGATGCCGATGTTGGCTTCACCACTCGCAGAGACAGAAGCCACCAAACTATCAGCCCAGCAAAGTCCGACTGGAGATGACGATGAAGACGATGTTCAAGACGTTATCACTATGAATCTGGAGGTTCGATCCGATCCTATCATCCCAACGCCGGAAGGTTTCAAGACGCATGCCAGGCAACTCAACCCGCGGCTGACGGACTACATGGTAGAACGAATCACCCAAGAACAGGTTAGACGCTACAAACGCCTACTGGAGTTCAAGGTTAAGCATCGCATTGCAGTCGAAAATGGGAATTGTTCATCCAGCAGCTCTTCTCACAATTTTTGCACGGAGCTGGGTGGAGACTCTAAACAATTGACACCGAAAGCGGGGAATAAGGACAGTGAAGCACCGTTCCTTGGCTTCCAAGTTACAGCACCAGGATCCGATGACGACGATGGCGAAACTCCAGCAGAGGGAACGCTCGCCGCAGCCGGGTTCCCCTCTGGCGTTCCCTTACCCCCAGTCAAGCGTCTACCTGCCGAATTCGAGTGTCCGCTCTGTTTCAAAGTCAAGAAGTTTTACAAACCGTCTGACTGGACAAAGCATGTTCACGAGGATGTACAACCGTTCACTTGCACTTTTCCCAATTGTGGAGAGCCCAAATCCTTCAAGCGTAAAGCCGACTGGGTCAGGCATGAGAATGAGCGTCATCGCCAATTGGAACACTGGACATGTCAGATTGCTGATTGCAATCACACCTGCTACCGGAAGGACAATTTCGTGCAGCATCTCGTGCGAGAGCATAAAATCGCAGAACCGCGACAGCGGACCGGTAAGGGCGCAGCCAAAGACGCGCCCGGGAACGCGGATTCAGGTACGTTACCCTGCATCTTGAAGGATGCAGACGCTAACATGCGTGCAGATGACATCTGGGGACTTGTAGCTCGGTGCCGCCGTGACACGACAAAGCAACCTAAAGATGAACCGTGCCGATTTTGTGGAAATATCTGCACTAGTTGGAAGAAACTGACCGTTCATCTCGCAAAGCACATGGAGCAGATAAGCATGCCAATTCTGCCACTTGTCGACCAGAAACAGATCAGTGCCGACACCGTTATTAGCCCTGTCGTTGAGATTCCAGAATCTCGCAAGCTTTCGGTCACGCCGAACCGATCGCCCGTGGACAACCCATCTCGCTATAACCCGAACTCCACCCTGGCGCCCGGAATTGACCCGTCGTATGGACAATATCCTTCCGATTCGCCAGGTGCAGCATCAAGTGTGATGCACACATATCCGCCCCCACAGATTGTGCCCTACAAGAACCCACAAGAGCAAGTGCCAAGTAGCAACTATGCGAGTTATGCTCTGCAAAATCCCCACAACTATTCTGGAAGGACATATCCCGGGCTACAGGAGCCCTCAAAAGGCCGGGGTGCATATGTCAACAATCTCCAGATTCCGAACCAGCAATACATGAATGGCAACCTGCAGAATGGAGGCAACCGATTCCCCATGACACCTGTGTCGGCGATCGGGCAGCAAGCGCCCATGTTCAATACTTCTCCAGTTGACACGGCCACCTTTTCGACAGACACGATGGCGTCGCAGTACTTCACGCAAGAGCCGCAGAGCATGGGCTCTAACGGCATGACTGACATGAGCGGGTTCGATACAACGAACCCCATACAGTATCAGCAGCCTGCTACGTATCCAGACATGGCATACATGACTGCGCCGCAGCGAAACTATCAGTATCAGGCACAGTAAGCTGACGATGCGTTACGCATGGGTGCTGCGTTGCGTTGTGCAACAGTGAGAAATGTAGTTGCACTCGTTTAGTTTTGGATTTCGGTTTATTTTTCGCTCCGTTTCGCTTCTAGATATCCCCATGGTATTTGGAGTTCTCCTCAGTAGAGGCTATCGGTGTTGGTGGGCTTTCTTGTTCGCGGACGGCGAGGATGGTACACGCTTGATTTTGACGATAGTGATGAAGGCCATGCGTGGACGCATTTTAGGCGTTCTTACTTTCGCTATGAAATTTCGTTCTTGTTGTTCCCTAGCATCTGCGGGTACCGAGCAACTGTATGTTCAGAATCGAAGTTTTATCACTATCAGGGCTATGCGCCGATGATGTTACCTGCACTCGGCCCGCGGCCATCTTCTGTCACGCCCGCACGCCCGCACACCTCTGCCCTAGAACATGGGCATCGCACCGGTAAGGTTTGTGCGGCTCATGGTGGCGATTGGCCAGCTGTCAGTGATTGACGACCCACATCGGTAGGCTGGGCTGAGAGGCAGAAAGCGAGCCGGAAGGGGCAAGTGTGGATGCGGCCTGCAGGTTCTCCTACGATTTGCGATGCGATTGGGCGTAGGGCTGAACATCAGCCTTGCCCCATGGAGTGCGCGTGAGCTTGTAGGCTCTCCAATATTGCCGCGGGCTCGAGTCTCTGCTCTCGACTGTATCTGCTGTGTTGAATGCGCATGCGATATCTAATGCACTTTCTAAGCGTAGCTGCCGTGCTGCGCTGCTCTCAGCAAGCCACACCAAGGGCACACTCGATGACGATTATGTGCGCCAAAAGTGGTTCTGTCATGATACGGCAGGCTGAGCCCACGCTCGCTCTCCATTGGCAGCCTCTGCTCGACACAGCCACCCATGTGTGGGCGTCGTTGGTTTCCGCGTGGTGGTAGTGTTCGGCTTGGCAAAGAAGGCAACCGTCGCCTTGTGCCCTCTGGCAGAAGGAGGCCGCCCGCAGCAAACCTTCACCACTGCCAGAAGTGGCTAGGGAGCCTGGCTCTGCGCATACCAACCTGCCACACGATCCAGGCCTGCGTCGAACCCACGTCGCTCGGCAGCACTCACAAATTGCTGTCGCTTGCGCCGGCATCCCGCTCGACTGGGCCGTGTTCTACACCGGTGTCCGTGCGAGCGGCCAGAGGTCCTTCACCCACAGTGGACCAGTTTCCAATCAGCGGTCCGACGTGTGACAGTCATCAGCGCATGGGGCGGTGAGCCGCATAAGGGTATACTACTGCAATGATCGCTCACTTTTCCCACTTCCTGTGACTTTCTATCACCAGACCCGTTGAGGCGCGATCAGGCTGAAGGCTGCCGCCTACCTTTTGGCTGGCCGGTTCGCGAGTTCCAATTTCACGTCGAGACGACGTGTCTCAAAGTGATACTTCGGTAGGTTTGAAGGTTTGGGAAGAACGTCCTGTGGATGCATGTACACGTGGATGTTGCGGCCTCAGGCAGGAGTCCCCGCTGACAATCATCAGGCATCGATATGGCACAGCCGAACGAAAACCCCGCCATACAGTACATTGGAGCCGATGGGTCGTCTGTATGTGTCTCCCCACCCCCGTTCCTCCTAGTTCGGCGATTTTAATTCCTGCAGTACTATTTCGATCCTCAGGAAGCACAAGCCGGTAATGAGTATCACTCACAATGGAGACATCCTGGACCAGTACCCGCGCCGAATACACCAAGTCCTTCAGGATCTCATTCTACCGTATTGACCGCTCCTGTGTTCTTCAATGGTCACCAGGCAATATCACCCAGTGTCCACCCACAGGATGGCAGGATGAGTAACAATCTTCAAGGCCTTTCTCACCTGGCTGTGCCGAGTCACTCCGGACGCCCTCGCTCTACTATCGGTAGTCCCAGTGATACGGACCATGCAACGTCTCCCATATATTCGTACCCGTCTGGATTTGCTGCCAATACAACAGGTGGTGTATCTCATGCCGCAAATTTACAGACAAGTGTCGGCCACGGAATGACTAGTGTAAATGGAGTGACAGAGCATGCTTCGAGTATGGGATCGTTGTCTTTACGCATGTACAGCAATGATCAGCATAGTGAGCCTTGGAATCCAATGCGGGCAGCATACAACGATACTGCCGTGGATCGTGCTTCGTTCCCTGGATCCCACATGAAGTTTGGCCCTTATCGCCAACAGCAAATTTCGGACATGGAGAGTGTTGTAGGACCTAGGTCCGACTCTGGTTACTTCACACATCCAGCACCGCAGTCCGTGATCAGTAATGAGCTAGAACGTGCCGACCAGGACCTTCCAACTGGCATATTCGAAATGTCAAACCTCAATGTCAACTCTGCACCTAGCGAGTCGACAACCGAGTATATTCCACCTCCTTCAGATCAGGCATCGGTATACAGTGGCCGTAGCCAAAACCAGGGCAAGAGCATCTACTTATGCTCTAAGTGCAAAGAAGTATCTAAATGTCCCTCTGACTACAAGTATGTACCGACCAGTCTGTCCAGCATCATCTTTGCTCATTCCCGGCCTGCAGGAAACATATGCTCAAACATGACAAGCCACACACATGTGATGTCCAGGGTTGTCGCCGAGCAGCTCAAGGAAAAGGTTTCACTACGATCAATGACCTCCAGCGACACAAGAAGAGTGTTCATCGTATCGGGGTCGAACGAGACTCTTATCAATGCGCTTCTGAGCATTGTCGTAATCGAGGCAAAATTTGGCCACGGCTAGACAATTTTAAACAACATATCAGTCGCATGCACAGAGACGAAGATGAGGCAGACCTTATTCGCAAGTACGTAAATGCCTTGAATCGTAACTAGGCTGTTGTGCTGAACCCTGCAGATCCTCGTATAGAGGCCCAATGCCTCCATCGACGATGAGCCAGGCCGATATGCTCGCCGGGATTGGCATTGAAGCGCAGGCTGCTGGTAATGAGCTAGATGATCCCGCGTCCTTAATAAGCTTAACCCCAGACCAGGACGAGAACCCTTGGGCCGCCAGCTTTGATTCTGGTTCCCACAAGTACGCTTTGGACAATGATCGAACGACTCGTCACGAGGGCGGCCACTTTCTGAAAGCCCCAGACTTTTACACCGGAGCCAAAAGCGGAACAAGGTCCATTTCCCCACTGTCATCAACATCTACAGACCCCAATATGAGGAAGCCTCGGCTTCAAAATTCCCTGAAAATGCTTGCCGATGATGCATCAACCCAATCACCCACCGCTACTGCATCACTCCACCACCTATCTAGTGCACCTCAAACCAAGGCTGAACAGCAGAGACAACTTACCCATGCAGAGCAACAATGTTACGCTCTTCAAAAGTTTGGCAAAGCCTTGATAGCTGAATGCCAAGCTGACCCTTCCGTCGATGGTACCGACCTGGGGAACGTGGTTTTGCGGATACTCTCGGGTACATCCCAAAGATTCCAGAGCGATAAATACGAGCCTGACGATCCACGCTTGGATGCCATCATGACGAAAACGGAAGCGCTCAAAGCTTCGCAGGCAATTTCCAATCTTATCAAGCACAGTCGAAATTCCCCATCCATATCTCGACCGCGTCGATCTTCGAGGGGTTCATCTTCAGACAGACTTCAATGCACTCGCTGTGAAGTGACTCTGGCCCGAGCTTGCGATATGAAGAAACACATGAAACGTCATACTAAGCCTTATGGCTGCACATACCCCAAGTGCCACAAACGTTTCGGGGCAAAATCAGACTGGAAACGTCACGAGAATAGCCAGCATTTTCAGCTGGAATCCTTCCGCTGTCAACGAACAGATCAGATCCATGGTGGCCCTTGCGGAGAGCTATTCCAGCGCGTTGAGCTGTTCAAACAACACATTGTAAACGAACACAGGGTAGCCAAGGACTCTGACATGTCCGGCGAAACAAAAGCCTGTCTTATTGGCAAGAACTACCAAAGACAATTCTGGTGCGGCTTTTGCCAGAAGATTGTGAAACTGAAGGAACGACGCAATGCTGCATGGGACGAGAGATTTAATCACATAGATGCACATTTCAGCATCGAGAAACGTGGGATCGAACTATGGATGTGTGTGGAGACACGGAAAACGAAGGGAGAGTTACTGAGAGAGATGGACCGCACGAAGTTTGATGACGATGACGGCGACGAGGATGGTGATGGCGAACCAGATGACAGTCCCCCCCCGACTGCTGACGGTGCAGGCAATGGATTGTACCCTACCTACGACGCATTCCCGAGACCGCCCTCGATACCGCCACCGGTAACCATTACCGAAGACATGACAAGGAAAAGGCAGTACCCAGCCGACGACGACTTTGCGCCAGCGCCAACCTCCAAGCGCCGGCGGACGGATGTAAATCGCTACTGCGTTAGTCTGTCCACCCTCTACTGAACGTCAATACTAATAGGACTGCAGTGTTCATGCGGAAACGGGCCGTGGCAAGGGAACATGTATGTGATGTGTATGGACTGCAACCATCATCTTTGCAGCAGCTGTCCGGCTGATGGCGTGGTGGGAGGACTTGACGGCGGAATCATGCTGGTTTGATTTGAAATGGGCCATTTCGACCGTGGCATTTGGTGCGCAGCATTTAGTTGGATACCCGAGTAGTTTATTTACTTTGAAAGCTCGATGGGCGCTTGAGGACCAGAGTGTTCGGCGTCGCTTGCATGAAGGATAGCGGTTTTGGTTAACGAGGCTGCCCAGGCCGCCTCAACTTGTGCTATGTGTCGAGTGCGCCGCGCAGTGAAGAAGCTATGCACCCAGCCTGAAGATACTACGGTGACTTTCGCACGACGTGGTTCGCTGCAGGCTGGTGCGCCCGTGCCCCACGTTGTGTGGAGTGAAGGGTGCGGGCACGTGCGTTCGGCTTGGCACTCGGTAAACTGATACAGGTGTCCTCGAAACCGCGAGCTTAGCTCGAGAGCTTCGTGACGCGGCCTGGAGTGCAACGTCTCTCTTCAACACCCAATTCCCTCCACCATGGCGGCTGCAGAGTCCGAGACAGACAAATTCATAAAGCAGGTCAGCGGCCGGAACACGCGAGGCCTGCTCCGCGTCATTATCCTGTGTCTGATTGCGGGTGCTGCCGTTGCGAGTCGTCTGTTCTCCGTGATCCGCTTCGAGAGCATCATCCACGAGTGTGAGGACGCCTATCGGAAGCCACAGGGCTCTAGACTAACTGGAACGCAGTCGATCCGTGGTTCAACTTTCGAGCAACCAAGTATCTCGTTCAGAATGGCTTCTACAGCTTCTGGGACTGGTTCGACGACCGTAAGCACCCCTCGCGCCCAGCACGCCCACATCACCGTGGGAGCATCGAGATGGCCCAGCTAATAGCAATGGAATAACAGGAACATGGCATCCTCTCGGGCGAGTTACTGGTGGCACCCTCTACCCTGGTCTGATGGTGACCAGCGGCGCCATCTACCACCTCCTCCGCTTCCTCACGCTCCCCGTCGACATTCGCAACATCTGCGTGCTCCTTGCGCCGGGCTTCTCGGGCCTCACTGCTCTGGCGACGTATCTTCTGACTTCCGAGATGGTCACGTCCCCGTCTGCTGGACTCCTCGCCGCCGCCTTCATGGGCATCACGCCCGGTTACATCTCGCGATCCGTGGCCGGAAGCTATGACAACGAGGCTATCGCCATTTTCTTGCTGGTCTTCACCTTCTTCCTATGGATCAAGGCGGTTAAGAATGGTTCCATGTTCTGGGGCGCGCTGACGGCGCTGTTCTACGGATACATGGTGTCGGCGTGGGGTGGATACGTCTTCATTACCAACCTGCTCCCGCTGCACGCATTCGTGCTCATCTGCATGGGACGGTACAGCCCGAGGTTGTACGTCAGCTATACTTCGTGGTATGCGCTAGGCACGCTTGCAAGCATGCAGATTCCCTTCGTCGGTTTCCTACCCATCAGGAGTAGTGAGCACATGTCCGCGCTCGGCGTCTTTGGCCTCCTTCAATTGGTTGGGGGAGTCGAATGGATCCGTACCCAGATCCCCAGCAAGCAGTTTCAGACGCTCCTGCGCGCTCTCGTCCTGTTCATTTTCGTCGTTGCCTTTGGAGGTCTCGTTCTGCTGACCGTCTCCGGCGTCATTGCTCCCTGGACTGGCCGATTCTACTCGCTCTGGGATACCGGGTATGCAAAGATTCACATTCCCATCATTGCCTCCGTCTCCGAACATCAGCCGACCGCATGGCCCGCCTTCTTCTTCGACTTGAGCATGATGATCTGGCTGTTCCCCGCTGGTGTTTACATGTGTTTCCGCAAGTTGACCGACGAACAAGTTTTCATCGTCATCTACGCTGTGCTTGCCAGCTACTTCGCTGGTGTCATGGTTCGTCTCATGCTCACGTTGACCCCTATTGTCTGTGTTGCTTCTGCCATGGCCTTTTCGCAGATTCTCGACACCTACCTGGACGCCAAGACACCAAAGGCTGAGCTGCCCAAGGAGAATGGAGACTCGAGGGACGCTGCAAAGGTCGCCGCTGCTGCAGTGCTTCCGGATGGTCTTCGTTCCACGCGCCAGCCCCTGATCGGAGTGTACTCGTACGCCTCAAAGCTCACCGTCATGGGAGCTTCTGTTGTGTACTTGCTCCTCTTTGTTCTCCACTGTACTTGGGTCACTTCTAACGCCTACTCTTCGCCTTCAGTCGTGCTTGCGTCCCGCCTTCCAGATGGCAGCCAGCATATCATCGACGACTACCGTGAGGCCTACTACTGGCTCCGTCAAAACACCCCTGACAATGCCAAGATTATGTCTTGGTGGGATTACGGCTACCAGATCGGTGGGATGGCCGACAGACCGACACTTGTTGACAACAACACGTGGAACAACACCCATATTGCTACTGTCGGTAAAGCTATGAGCTCCCGGGAAGAGGTCAGCTACCCGATTATGCGCCAGCACGAGGTGGACTACGTCCTGGTCGTCTTCGGAGGTCTTCTGGGCTACTCTGGTGACGACATCAACAAGTTCCTCTGGATGGTCCGTATCGCCGAGGGTATCTGGCCCGAGGAGGTCAAAGAGCGTAACTTCTTCACGCCACGTGGCGAGTATCGTGTAGACGAAGAGGCCACGCCGACCATGAAGAACAGTTTGATGTAAGCGATGAGGCCTTGCATGCTTTCGCACATACTGATGCCCAACAGGTACAAGATGTCCTACTACAACTACCACTCGCTGTTTCCGGCCGGACAGGCAACTGACCGTGTTCGTGGAGCGCGACTTCCCGCCCAAGGCCCCGAACTCAGCACCATTGAGGAGGCGTTTACCAGCGAAAACTGGATTATCAGGATCTATAAGGTCAAGGAACCTGACAACTTTGGACGTGACCATCAGAGCGCCACGTCGTTTGACAAGGGCCACAAGAAGAAGAAGGCCCCGAAGAGGAAAGGCCCCCGAGTTTTGAGGGTCGAGTAGATATTTCCCACATAAGCGTAAGCGTAGTTTCTTAGTAGATTTTGAGCATTGTAAAAGTAGGCCGGTTCACAGCCCGGACAGGCAGGCGTTGGGTGGACAATAAAAGCAAAACAGCTCCCAAAGTCGCTTGGTACTCGGCCGTGAAGCACACGTCAGACAGATATATGTTGTGGAAGAGGATAAGCGGCACAAAATGGTGAGGCAGAACCGTAGCACAATAGGAGAGGCATTGGCTGGCACTGTGCTGTGGGTCCGAGGTAGCCACAGAGCAGGAACGCAAAATGGTCACTCCGATTTCGTCTTTCACTTCCTGATCGCTTCCTGACCGCCCGTCCAATGAGCTTCCGCCGTCACTTCCCGCCCCTTCTCTCTCTCTCTCTCTCTCTCTCTCTCTCTCTCTCTCTCTCTCTCTCAACCCCACTTTCGACTCTCCAGCCCCGTTCTCCCTTTCTCCGCGTCTCTTCGCTGTCAACCTCTCATTACACCGACCTCGCCGACCCGCCATCGGGTCTTGCTCGAGCACTCAAGGCTCGTGTCTTCCGGGTGTCGCCATGTCTGCCGAAGCGCTCAGGGCATATCAGCAATACATGGGCGGTACCGCGGGCAGCAACGATGCACAGCAGCAGCAGGGACAGCTAGGGCAGCAGCCGGGCGCAAACTTTCAGAACCCATATGCTGCTGCCGGATTCGGCGCGCCCGCGCAGCAGGTGCCCCAGGGCATGCAGAACCCTTATGCCGCCCAGCAGCACTATCTCCAAACCAATCCTGTGTACGTACCTCAAAATCATACAGTGCCTCTGATGAGGGCGGGTGGCTGCACGACGGCAATGGCTAACCCACCCACCAGGAGTAAAGCCCGTCTCTTTCCATTCCCTCCGCCGTACACCTACCCATTAGATCTGTCCAAGCTCAGCACCGCACTTGCTCCAGCACGTTCCACTAATAAACCTCAGTTCGCGCGGGCCCACGTCCCGCCCGCTGCCCCGACTCCACCTCCTGCGGTGCCACCAACACCGGCCTCGCATGCTGCGCTGGCACAGCACGGCCAGCTGCAGCCTTACAACCCGCAGGGACCACCTATTCCGCCGCATGCCAGGTCCCAGGGCTATGCAGACCTTCCGAGAGACTATAACTCCCCGCAGCAGTCCCCTTTCTCTGGTGGGTGGCAGTATAATCAAGCTGGACAGCTGCCGAGTCAGCTCGGCTACAACAGCGCGCCTGCGATGGCACCGGTATGGGCAGGTCACGCGGATGGCTTGTATCATCTCGCAGTTCGGTGTCGACATGACTGACGATCGCAGGCCCACAGAAACCCTACGTACCACCCAAGAGATGGGAGCTTCGAGAGCACGAGGGAAAGCAATCGCGCTCGCTATTCCGGACCATGGCCACCCCCAGATGTTGTGAGGGTGCCACCATCACAGCTCCCAGGTAAAGACGTCTTCCCACCGCCCGATGTTCCTCCACTGGCCCTCTGCCATGTCTGTAGTGTATGCGGCCAGATGCGCTCAGCGGGCTATCATCGTCATCATCCCATTGTTCCTGGCCAAGCCCTTATCAGCACCCCTTGCCGCCGTTGTAAGAAGCGCGCAAGAAAGATGAAGGAGAGGAGAGAGGCGGAGAGGCGGAAGCACCAAGAGAAAGAGGCTTCTTCGATCATTACAATTAAGATTGACGATGGCGAGCGCCGCGGGCGCCCTCGTGGACGAGAAGACCATAGATATCATTCTCTCAGTCCTGAAAGCGGTATCTACAGGTCTACCATTCGCGCCTATGTTGGACCCAGAGAGTCTACACACGTCAAATATCGCACTTCCCGAGGAATCAGTCCAGAACGAAGCCCACCACACGCTCTCAGGCGTCGCACGAGGTCCGAAGTTCGGTTCTCCTCTGGAAGGCCCCCTACAGATGGTGTGCGAGTCCGCTATCAACGCAACCAGGAGTATGAGCGGCTGCGTAGTCCTTCGCCAGATGCTAGAACCCGCCTTGCTGCGCACCCAACACCATTCCGTACATTCACGCCGGCCAATATGCCCGGTCGCTACCCGGAAGAGACACAGGGTCCACCACCAGAGCCACCCCGTGGAATCCTCAAGAATCCTTTTCAAGTCTACGAGCCACAATCTTCCCGGCACGTGATAGAAACGAGCTATGATAGCATGTTGCCCGAAGTGGGAGGCAATCGTGTCCAGTTCGGCGGCGAACACAGGCCTTCCGAGCACGTGGGGGAGTCTCATGCACGGTGTGTGACTTGCAGAGGCGAACAGTGTGTCTGCGATAACGAATATGCCTACCTGAATCGTCGAAGGTACCATCATCAGCACGGACATGTCGAGGAGACACCTTCTCCGGAACTGCCCACCCAAAAGCTCGAACAACTCCGCGTCCGGGAGGAGTCACCGCCACATTCATACACCCGAGATAGATCGCATCCTCGGCGACGCGAGGTCGACGAACTCCATTTCAGCCGATTCCACTCTAACTCCAGGCGCGATATACACGAGTGGCGAGAGAATGCTGCGAGTCAGCCGCCCCTTGACGACCGTGGACGCACTCACTATCCCCCCGCTGAACCTCGTCGCGAAGCATCCCCCTTAAGGAGGGCAACGTCTCAGATACGAAGCCTTGGCCAGAGAGTTCGGCGGAGGTTCTCGCGCTCCCCAACACCGCCGCGGAACCGCAAACACGAGGACTGGGACGATGCTACAGATTCAGGCAGCGAGGCTAGCGGAGAGCATTACATAGTGAAATATCGCGAGGTGGACGAGAACGGAAGACCGTACACAATGTACGAGGAGCGCGTGAGGAAAGCATTGCCTGCTGGTGATGGGATGCCTGCGGAATCATCCATGTGCGGGGGACTCGAGGGACCGGCTATCACCAGGGGCTTTGCGCCTGTGAGGGGGAGGTGAAAAGCGGACTTGGAATGGAGGGTGAGGTTTCAGTTTGGCCGTGATGGTCAACACTCTGCATGGTCTGGTTTCTGGCGGGCCTTCTTTTTGTTTCCTAATGTTTTCTCCCTTGTGTTATCATTGAAGGCACTTCTCTTTCATTTGTTTTGTCATACTATGCATTCTGGGGTGACTCCCCCCAATGCTCTGCACGTCTGGTGTGCATGTATAGGCAGCCCAGCTAACGCGCACATCCCAGAGAGGATGTATATCTCGGGCTTTTTGGCGACTTGGTAGCTGATGTCCTCTCTCTTCTCCACGGAGTTTCAGAAATGTAATAGACGCCCTTCAACTCTTCATGTAACCGTTATGCAGGGGTCGCTCTTGCATCACATAACGCTAAACAGATGATAGGCTATATAACATGTGCGATCAATATCAAATGCAGGATTGCGATTCCCAATTGTACTTTACTACACTATACAGCTATAGCGGCCCTGATACTCGTAGAGTATGCGGTGCTATAGGCGTCGGTGACGAGTGCTTCCTGTCCAACGTCAACTTCAAACTCCCAGCTCCCAGCGAGCGACTCTGACGCGAAGACAGATTTACATCGAGAAAGGGGTGAGGGGGGGTTAGGCGGCATGGCTGGCGTAGCGTTCACACCACCACACACTTTGCCAGCGCCACGTGCACGCCCCCGCACGTGCGTGTCGTAGCAAGAGGCTCTGCGAGATCGAGTGCGACCACATCCGTGTGTCGCTTCGGCGGCGGAGGAGGTGGCGGGGCAGGTGCGGGCTGGTATTCTCCCTTGCCCAAGTCCCTTACGCCTAGCTCTGTGTCCACGTTAGTGTGGCGCTTGGGTGGCGGCGGGGGAGGTGGAGGAGGTGGGGGCTGATATCCTCCCCTGCCCAGGTCGTTCAGTTCTGGACGGATTGGTGGGGGCGGCGTGGAAGGCGGAGGTAGTGGAGGGGGCGGGAGACAGCCTGGGGTGGACTTGGATGGAGATGGCGGCGGAGGCGATGGCGAGGGTCGAGGGGAGGGCTTGGGTGGAGCTCGCGTGGGGACCACAACACGTTTGCTGGGAGGTGTGGCTGGAGAGTTCGGAGGGGGCTTGGGCCAATGGGGTCCGGCATCGATGGTTCTGGATCGGGGAACATGGGTGATTGGGATTCGTTCTGCATCTTGGAGAGTTTTCGGGTGAATTTGGTTGGTTGAAGTTTAGATCGTTGACTGCAGTCAATTTGATGCTTTGGATTGGATTTAGGTGCTTCGATAAGGATATGAGGAGGGAGCCCGGATTGGGGTATATATAGAGACAGGAGGAACGTCTGATGACTGATGGGAGCACGTTGAGTGGAAGAGCGTGAGGGTTAAAGTAGTGAATTCAAAAATCAAATGTGTGGCGAACGGGTGAGTGCAGATACTCTTCACCGTCTCCATGCAATGTCCTAGAGTTTCAATTTGCAATAGCAATGTGCCTGTGAACAAAGAAATATGTTCTTTAGATGAGGGTGGCGTCCGAAATGACTATACTTTCTTTGATTCGCTACGGCGCAATGCTTCCGTGGACGTGCAGCTCAGAAAAAGCAGTCAGACAATGGTCGTGCGTCCATGATGGATGCGCTGTAGGCGCCCGGAGCGATTGCGATGCCTCTGAGTTGTTCCAAGTCATGTACCAACACCAATGTGTCAACCATGGATGATGAGCACAGCGATTCCTGGTTCGGGACTCAAGTCATAGCATGGTGCTCTTCAGAGCTCTTCACAATGCAAACTATACATGCATTGGATTCCTCTGCCTACTTGATTTTACGAACGAAGCTTCTGCTATTGTCATGCATCTATTCACTGTCTATACTGACTGGCAAATCGATCTCTCCCAGCGTCGTCAGCGGTTAACTCATGAGTCATTTTGTAACCAGATGCAAAGTTGCGAAAGCCGGAACCGGTTTGATTAGTGCTTGAAAAGCTGCGTTTGTATGTATACTTCAGGGAATTCTCACTAGTGATCACTGCTCTTCATCAAGCCACAGTACCCACGATCGTTCAAAGTGTCTCCGGAATGTCAGTGCAGACAGCGGTTGTCCTCGATGAACAAATCTCACTCTGTTTCTTGTGTACATAGAGCTACATTCAGTGTCTCCACGCATTGAACGTAGAAGAGGAAGGATTACAACCATCTTACCCGGCCAAATTCTGGAAGGAGAAGGAAATTTATCACTTCACAACTTTGGAACCGTACGGGCGAACTGCTGAGCTTCCGCAGGGCGGATGGAGACGCATACCAACAGTATCGGGAAATTATCAGTGCAGCCTATGTCGTATGCTTCGTCTTCTTGAATCGTGTTTTTAGAGCGGGAAAACTGCTAGGTGGAGCAGAATTTACGAGGTGGCAAGTTGAAGAGCCATTCTCACCGATCAATAATGACGCTAGTTTCTTGCCATCTTTGACGTAATAACAGCTCATGAAGCCCTGAACGAACTGGGAGAGCAAAACAGCGCGATGGCACGGTCGAAAGTCGGATGCCACACGTTAAGATGGCGAGGGTTTTCGGATTGAGGAGGAAGGCCAACGTCGGTATCGATGTGCCAAGCGCGGAGAAGAACTTTCTTAGAGCCAACTGTGAGTTTATGTTGGTGGAAACGAGGTCGTTAATGTTATGAGGATTATGTTCTTCAATGATTAAGGCCCTATGTGATGGAGGTGGCCTTTTCGTTGTGAAGAGGAAGCATAGTGGATATGAGGGCGTAGCCATGAGATAGTATCCCAACCCCCCAGAAAAAAACCCGCAAAAGATGCTGTAGCGGTGTACTCGCACGATTGGAACCTCCCTCAGGGAATGTATGGACAGCGCGTGTTGTGCGTATTGTAATGTCGAACCTTGAGTTTGAAAGTGAACATGTAGATAAAATCCCCAAAACGATTGGAAGATTGAGAGGGAACGACTCTGCAGGAGCAACATCTTTTGTAGGCCACACATCTGGCGCAGGCCACACATCGGGCGCGGGCCACACATCAGGCGCGCGACACATATCGGGCGCAGGCGACACATCGGCATGCAGATGACTGTATTGCTCTGGGCGCATTGGGGTCACCTTCGAGAGCTCCCATCGCCGCTTCTGTTCCTCGGATGACATGTCGTATACATCAAGTTTTGTATACTTTGGATGGAAGCAGTGTTTCAATCGTATCAACACCACCCGATTCTTCGGAGTAGTACCTGTGCTTCTCGAATTCAGGCCAACTTGTGTTCTCATTGTTTCCGTCCTTAAAGGCCAATAGGCGGAAAGAAGAGAAATTCTATGGTATTATCCATCATCAAATCGAGACCCGCTTCGCTGGTAGACGTCAATGACTTTGGTACTCGTTGTCAAGAACCTCGAGACAATCTGACACTACAACCGCGGCGAGAATGACGAACACGGGCATGTGCGAAGTTGGCCATGTTCCAAGCAAGGTTCGATGTTCGTAGGCATCGTCCGGGGCTGGCTCTGGATGCTGCGACTCGCGCTGCAGACGGGAGCGCACGAAGCAGCCGCTGAGCCTGCAAGGGCTTCGCGGCCGTCCTGCCCCCATCGTGGCCGGCGGAAGAGCGCTCCTGTCCTTCCGCTTCGCTTGTTGTCATTTTACTCCAATTATGACGAAAATAGTTAGACACACTCTTGAAGTAGCTAGAGCTCTACTGTGGTAGTAGTATGTTTCACTTCTCGGGTTTTTGAAGCGCGGCGCTGGCACGCTATTCCTGGCCCAGCGATGGGGGATCGCGCCACTAGCGCCCTTGGAATCCGCGCTGTTGGTGACGGCGGGCGGTGGATGCTGGAGCATACCGTAGGCGCAGGCCTCTGCCGTTCAGCGCGGTCGTGCCCTGGCCTCCTCTCTGAGGACCGCATCGTGGCTGCTTCCTCCCGCTCCAGCATGAGTGCATACGTGTTTACAAGTGCGGTGGAGCAGCTCCAGACGCGGTCAGCACTGGCTTCCGCTTCCTTCCCGTTCCAGTTGGAGTGCAGCGTCCATTCCTGAGAGACCGCAGATAATTGGTCTTTGGCACACCGTTCTCGTATTGATTCCTGCCGAGTGTGCGTAGTTTTCTAGAAGCACCGCGCAACGCCACACTCAGTCATGCACTACACTGTGCATACAGGCGAGCGGCGTGTGGGCGGCCTCTTTGTCTTTTCGTTACGGGGAAGTGGCGCGAGGGCCGCTTCGCTATTATACGGTACATTTCCATTACAGGCGCCCACCCGTCCCTGGCGCATACCTAAGCTACCCTTCTGACTTCAACAGATATAATGTCATGGCACCGTTCTATATTTTTCTTCCCGCCACTCAGACATTTTGTCCCTTCGCCTTCTTGTATCGTGTGCATATAAACTACCGAGCTTTTTCTTCTTCCTCTCTACGACCTGGTATAACTGTCTGCGATACCACACGTAATCAACTACCCAATCACTGCCCTGCATCGCCTAACCAATATGTCTCGGTCGCCCATGCAGAGGGATGAGGCTCGACCTGGGCGTTCCCTCGAGGCCCATGATCATTCCCACTTCCAAGGCCTGAAGGAGCATCAAAAGACTACCATCAGTATGTTCATTGAGAATGGCATCAACCCAGAGAGCATTGTCAAAGCCACTCAGCATGGTGGCGTTCAAAACCTTCTTCTAGAGGCCGAACGCATAGTTGGGGTCGCGGATGCATGGCAGACGCTCTATGGCATCGATATCAATCCTCTTGTCCAACTGTACAACAAGTACGGGAGAAACGTGGTAGAGGTCTGCCTGATCGACCTTGTTCAGATGTCGCAACAAGGCCTGCTTCATGTCAAACCAGTCGTCGGTGCGTGGACACAATCGTTTTTCACAATGTCCAACTCACATAGTCATAGCAAGCGAAGACATGCCAGCCGAATCATGTGAAAATGATGATCCTGAGCTCTCCGCTCTCGCAGGGGAGAGCCTGGATCATCCCTCCAAACCCACACGCAACAGAGTGGAACCAAACCCTGTTGAGATCAGAACGCCGCGTTGTGCTCCTGTAACGGGGAAGCGTCCACCGCCGTCAGCTACCATATTCAAGAAATCTGTGTCGTCAGCTTTTGTTGGGAAACGCCGTGTTGTCGGGCAAGTCTGCACAACACGCTGTACCAAGTACATGAAAAGACAACACTTCCTCAACCACGCTGTGCTCAAACACAAAAGCAAGCTCCCCAGTCAAATGTCCTTCCTCTGTTGCTGCGACCACTACTACACAGACGATGAAGCCTACCTCGATCATCACTGGAACAAGCACTCGGATATCTTCCCCGTAGAGGAGAGCGAAGCTGCGGTGACGCCTCGAGAGCAGCCGGATGCACCATATTCGACCTGCTCAACTCCACCGGGGCCAGTTGATCCTGTGGAATTCTGACAGAACATGATTCCCCATGCCTTTCTCGATCAAATACTGATGTCAGCCTTCATTTCTATGAAATCCTCTTTTTTCGTCCACCTTACCCTTTCATAGCGTCGTGTGGGATATTAGTTACTTCAGTACTGGCAACGCAGTCCTCAATTCTCAACTTAACATCCCTACTCTTCTACATTCTCCCACATGTATTAATATACTATCCTGTTTGCTTTCTTCTCTGTCCCGAAGCGTTCTGGCATTGGCTCTGCGACCTGTCCCCAATTTTTGGCAAGCGGTAGAAATCAGCATATCGGCATTTTGGCTGAGACTGCATCAATGCGATGCTTGTCTCGTTTTGGCAGATTATCTAGACTTATGGATTTTATGGATACAGAGCATCGTGATTCACAACGGCGCTGTGGTCTTTGGTGTTGTAAGATGGCGTTCATCACATCGAATGTTATGTCTAGTAATGACAGGTATAGACCTCAGTTTGAATGAAATTGTTGTCTGTGCTTTCATGCAGCATCGTTGTCATGTTCGCACAACGGTCCAAGTCCTCGATTATCCCTCTGTGAGATAATCCCAATACATTTGTTGCTACCATTTGTCGAATCGAATTTTGAACATGCGTACTATTTGTACCAGTGTGGGACGACACTTGAGCTAGGGTCTGAGGCCGCAAAGGCCGCTCTCGTATGCTCGGAAATGTCTAGGTACCTGGCTGTTATGCTCTACTTGTTGATGTTGTCAACTTAAAGCACATCAAAGCGATGGAAAGTAATGATTCTCTGGTCGCCTTAGTCCCCATTTCGAGGATCCAGACACGTCCCGAAGCTCTTGACAACACTTATGACTACTAAGGGAATATCTTATCAGGAACGTTGTTTCACAAACAGAACAGTACTCTTGGCGCATAATTATCTCACAATGCTTTTCGAAGGTAAGCAAGACATCGACAAGCTTCACGCCTCTAAGCTGTTTACCTATGTAACCCACATAGTATCGTGACGAGCTGGCTCTTGTGAAAAAGGTGTTCACCCTGTTCTTGAGGGCCTAATGCGATTGATGACTGCCAAAATAACAGCTCGAGAGTTGAGAAAGCCGCGGCCGAGTGTATCGTGAGACCGATGTAGAATACACGAGGACTCGAGATTGGTCACTAACTTGTTTGTACGAACGAATAATTGACCTGAGGCCAAATCATGCGACAGGTGAGCACAGTTACTGTTTTCCATCGAGTCCATATCAAGGCCACCCTCCAAGCCAACGTAAAGTCCCGCGTTGCATCCTTATCAGTGGAACCTTCTGCTCCCTCTGCAAGTCCCACCGATCGATTCGCCCCTTATCCTCGAAATTTCACCGTCCTTCTGTGCACGCACCTTCACGGCTCGTGTCCCCGTTTTCAACTTGAAGTCTGCTGACCCCAGCGTTTGCCGCTCGAATAACTTGCTCACGGCACGTCATATCACGTGCCTTCACGCTGGTCAATGCACCCTAGCGCACCTCCCTAGCCGCACCCTTTCCCATAAAAGAACCCTCACCCTCACCTCAGTGTCCCTCTCTCTCCACACACGACTTCGACCGAGTTTCAGAACAGCACGCCAAACACACTTGTTCCGACACACCTCCCTCGGTCTCACATATACATACATTCTTCGAACTCTTTTACTCGACTACATTTCTACATCGGTTCGGTATCTTCGTCACGATGAAGTTCACAACCATTTTCGTCACCGCCGGGGCCATCCTCGTGGCTACCGTGTACGCTGTTCCGACTCCCCAGTTCGGCGGCAACTCTCTCCAGGACCGCCAGTGGGGCGGTGAGGTCAAGGCCGACGACAAGCGCGCTGCGTAAGTACATCCACATCCGCACTGACAATTGCAACACTGACAAGTATCTTTCCCCAGTCGATTCGGAGGCGACGATTCCAACGGCGCCCTATACGTCCCTTCTGGTCCGGCTAAGGCGGACGTGAAGCGCCAGTTCGGCGGCGACTCTGAGGAGAAGCGGTAAGTGCATCTATTTCTACGTTTCAGGTATCTGAGGATGTTGCTAACATCTCTGGTGTTCTAGTCAGTGGGGCGGTTCATCTGATAAGCGCCAATTCGGCGGCGATGTCAAGCGTCAGTTCGGTGGTGACTCTGAGGAGAAGCGCCAGTTCGGTGGCGACTCTCTCCAGGACCGCCAGTGGGGTGGCTCGGCCGACGAGAAGCGCCAATTCGGTGGTGATGTGAAGCGTCAGCTCGGCGGTGATGCTGACGAGAAGCGGTACGTATCTTCAGTTCCTACTACCCAAACAGTCCGGGACAAAGCTAACAAGCCATTATTTAGTCAAGTCGGCGGCGATGTCAAGCGTCAGTGGGGTGGTTTATCTTCCGACAAGCGCCAATTCGGCGGCGACTCTCTCTCGGACCGTCAGTTTGGCGGCGATGTCAAGCGTCAGTTCGGCGGCTCATCCGAGTAGCTTCTTGCTTCACAGCACGGTACTTTGGTCTAGGCGTACAGTGTAGCCTCAGCATTAGCATGGCTTCACGGGGGTTGTTTTTCTAATCAGCCTTTTGGCTTGATATGGCGTCTGTCTTAGTAGACGGGATGACGAGTCATGGCTCGGATACACGGGGTTTTTGTTTTCCTCAAGTCTTTGGGCTTGATCAGCTGCTTGGCTGGCTAGTTAGCATGGCAGATGGCATATGAATTCAACTGGTATTTACTATTGATTGGTCGATTTGTTGATTGAGTGAGCACTGTGGCTTGAGATTGAGAGATTTGTGCAACCGCTTTGAAAGATCATAAGAGTATGGGGTCGTCATGTACGATGCTGGTGCAAATCGCGGCGGTGACTAAGACAAACGAAACATCTAGGGAGAAGAGAAACAGTGTTATGGACATGAGAGTGTGTGTATACATTGTGTAGAGGATATTTGATCTGGAGTCGTTCCTTAGGCAGCAGATCGGGCAGGAGTAAGGATGCAGATGTTGCAAGGGATGTGGATCTGACATCCGTACATGTGCTGTTCCTTGCCAGGCAGCGCACATATCCCACACGATAACAGATTTCGCTAGTGATTCTTCGCCATACCTTTGCTGTAGAAGGGGCTGGTCTTGACCTTCTCCCAGTCATGCAACAGGGCCGTGTTCACGGTGCAGCTGCGCACTTCGTCTCCCGCACGCTGAATCATCTCCTCTTCGAAGCTGGTGATAGCTTGGCTTCTGTCTGCACCTTCGCGGATCTTGACGAGGGTGTCGCGGAGCTTTCCAGCGTCAGTGAGGGAGTGGTTGAGGCCTTGGCCACGTTGGTAGGTCATTGGGTGGGCGGCATCGCCGACCATGGTGATGAGGCCGTTGTGGTCTGGAAGAGTTAGCTGAGTTTGAGATGGCGTGCGTTGTGGCGGAAGATGCAAAGTGGAAGAAGCGCTGCGGTACTTACTGTCCCATCGATGGCCCTCATGGCCAGGGTCCCACTCCGTCATGCCCATGTACCACACTCCAGCATCTTCAGTCGCCCACTCGTACGCACTCTTCCAGGGCTCGCAGAACTTCTTTGCAAACTCCTTTTGCTGTGCCAGGCGCTGGGCATCGGTCCAGTGGGCCGTAGCTTCCTGCTCTTCCAGACTGCTCCGCCACGAGATGTAGAACTTGAAGGTCCAGGTGGTCGGGTCCTCAGGGTCCTCGACAGATTGGGTCGAGAAGAAGCCCATGTAATTATCGGGATGTGCAGTGGCAAGGTACAGAGGATGGAAGCTTCGCAAAAAGAGGGCCTGCTCTTTGGAGTAGCTGGATTCAACAAAGGTGGCACAGTAGGGGATCTTGTTGATTGCACCCAACTCGGGGCCCAGCAGACACTGGCGAGTGGTTGAGCGTGCACCATCGGCGCCGACCAACATGCTGCCAGTAGCCGATGTTCCGTCAGAGAAGTGGGCTGTAAGTGACTGTGCATCCTCAGCAAATGTGACGCTGGCTAGGCGCTTCTCGTAGCGGATGTCGACTTGTTCTGAGAGCAGCTCTCTGAGCTTGCTCCTGCGCAAGCGGTAGAAGTTGCTGATGGGAAAGGCTGCAATGGTGTTGCCATTGTCGCCCTGGACGAACTTCATGGTGTCGGGATCCTTGGGCGGTTCCGAGGGGTCGGCGTGAACGCTCTGGATGCGCGGCCACCACTCATCCGGCATGAGGCTCTTGAGCACTGGCGCGCCCCAGTGCAGGCCCATGCTCCAGTCTCGCTCGCCGACTTGGGGTGCATTCTTCTCGAAGACGATGCACCGGATGCCCGCCTGGTGTTGTCAGCGAGTGTGACTGTGGCACCCGGTGTGCAAAAGCCACGTCTGCACCTGTATCACCTTGTGACAGCGGCACAACAGACGCGCGCATGGCACTGGGGCGCTGTGCGTACCTTGCGGAGGCCCTGGGCGAAGGCAAGGCCAGTACTGCCTGCACGTCACGTCAGACAGGGCTGCGGCATGCACGCGGGCTGGTGGTCCTGCCTACCGGAGCCGACGACAAGCACGGGCAGATGGGCTGCGGCGCCGTTGGCGACGTGTGCGGCGCTGGGTGTGGCGGCCATGTTCAGGACGGCGGTCGCAATAGTCACTCGCCCTGGTGTGGCGGGACGGTCCGTACCACGCTCTGGCAGCGGGCGAGGCCATTGCCAAGGCCTGCCCCTTCCCTTCGCTCGTCGTCGTCGTCGGCAGCAAGCTGCCTCGCTCGCGCCGTGCCGTGGCGGCGAGGCCTGCTCCACTCTCACGTGGCGCGTCTCGATGGCGTGCAGCGAATGGCGGCGGGGCGCTCGTCGGCCGAGGCCAGAGCCCTGGCGGCTGGGAGTGCGGTGCTCCTTCGGCCGCTGCCCACCACCAAAGCACCCAGTCTCCCCACCAAATCCGACCGCCCGGCTCGCTCGCGCGCTGGCGACGTGACTTGCGGGCCCTCTGCTCGGCCTCGTGTCCCTGCTTCCTCCCTGCGACCGCCGAAGACGCGCCGTGAGCCATGGCAGATCCTCCTCGCGCGCCCAAGAACGCCGATGCGTTCAGCCTGCACTCCACGGGGCACGACAGCGCCGTCCACGTCGACGACCACCGCGAGCCGCACTGGACCCCGCCGCCGCCCCCAGCCATCCCCGCCGATGTTGCTGCCCCAGCGCAAGCACTTGCGCAATCCGACCATGGCGACGACGACGACGACGAGAATGCACCGCACGAGTACGTATCTGACTCAGGCTTCGACAGCGAGAGCCTGCTCGGCGACGAGACGGACACGCTGGCCTCGTCCATCATGAATTACCGGATAGAAAACGGAAGACAGTACCACGCATATCGCGACGGCGCCTACTGGGGCCCAAACGACGAGGTGGCCAAGGAGATTCTCGACTTCGCACACCACATGTACCTCTTGACCCTCGACAAAAAGCTGCATCTTGCGCCTATAGCCAACCCGCAGCGCATCCTCGACGCAGGTACCGGAACTGGCATCTGGGCGATAGACATGGCCGGTGCGTGTGCTCCCATGCCCAGGTAGCCATGCGTGCTGACACAACCAGATCAATACCCCTCCGCGACCGTGGTTGGTACCGACCTCTCCCCGATACAGCCCGAATGGGTCCCCCCGAATTGCGTGTTTGAAATTGACGATGTAACCCTGGACTGGACATTCCCGCCCAATCACTTCGACTTCGTCCACGTACGCGAGCTCTTCGGCTGCGTCCCCGACTGGGACTTCTTCTTTGCCCAAGCATACGACCACATCGCCCCGGGCGGCTGGATCGAGATCGTCGAGCACGGCGTACACCCGCGCTGCGATGACGGCACCATGGGCGAAGACCACTTCTTCCACACGTGGGGGAAGACGGTGGTCGGACTGAGCGAGAAGTGGGGCAAAAGCTTCACCATCTGGGAAGAGGCCAAAGAGAGACTGGAGAAGGCCGGCTTCGTCGATGTCACCGAAGTCACCTACAAGTGGCCCATGAACGGGTGGCCCACGGACCGAAAGATGAAGGACATTGGGCGATGGAACCAGCTGCGGCTCCACGAAGGGGTCGAGAGCTTCATGCTCCGGCTCCTGACACAGGTCGGCGGGGTAGGTCCTCATCTACCTCATGCAGCTACGTCGTGCTAACCAACACAGTGGTCTGTCGCTCGCGCCCAGCTCTTCCTCGCACAGCTGCGTACAGAACTGAAAAACTACAAAGTCCATGCATACCTCCCAGGCACCGTAGTGTACGGCCGGAAACCCTTACGAAGCACATGATGTCTCTCTCATCTCTCTTTCCTCACATTTCCAGCATCGAGCCAAGGAGTGATACCCGGACGGAGTTGGCAGCGCGCTTTACGTGGAACCTGGGCGCGTTATGGACATGGCACTTTTGTATCGACTTTTTGCATTTGTTATCATTTTTTCGTCATCGACGTCCTTTTGTATCGGATCATGCGTGTACGACTGCTGTCCGAGCACGTCTGCCCTAAGCTGTGTCTTTGGTTGGCAAGTAAACCAACCCGACTCCCCGACCCACCACGCACGCTTGCTCAGCCCGATTAGTTGTATATACTCTGCATTCCGAATACAAGTATGCATTTCCAGGGAAAAGCTCCCTTCCCTGACGAGAGGTGCCAGCCCCTATTACACAGCCCTACCCCGAAGGCTGGTTGCTCGGTTTCCTTAGACTGACGACCAGTACCGCTCACGATCACCAAGCCTGGTCTCGAACGAACGTATCGATGGTATGTCTATCGTCCCCGTGAACAAGTCTGTTGTCAGTCATCTCGTCCCTGCAACTCTTGGTAGCGGTTGGCTTCTCCGGCTTGTGTAGGCTGGCATTGAAATGTTACGGCAACAACCTGATGCCGAGCTTGTCTCTAGGCAGGCAGCCTGTAAAGAATGGTGAGGTTGTCAGCATTGTTGAGATTGTGGTGTTCAAGAGATTGTTATGCTTTGTGCTTCTGTCGCTAATTACTGTTCAGGACATATTGGATTGCGTGAATCGCATTACGTGCATTGACACAGATCTATTGTGGAGGCAACGGCTCCAGGCGTTCGAGCCCAAGCCCGCAGAGAACGCATTGGCTGCCCTCGACGAAATTCCCGACAGCGTGTCGATAAGTGAATGAGCATCCTGCATTCTCCACGCGTTCCAGCCCATGGACGCCATGCACCCTCTCGTAGTGCAGGAACCCTCGCTATAACCACCTCGGCACCACACCAAAGAGGAAGTTCGAGAAGCCAAGCAATCAAACAAATATTACGGAAGCATGATCATGCCATGCGCATCAGGAAGTTGCGCTGCAATCGACGCCGGGATGCCGCCCCTCAATCACGTTTCACTCGGCAGGGGTACGCAACTCGCTGATCGACCCCGCCGGCTCACAGCCTCAAAACAGCCATCGCCGCGACGTAGCGTGCGATGCGCCCCCGCAGTCCTCGTCTAGCCGACACTGCACGCCGGCGGAAGACTGCACGCGTGGTGAGGACGAGCGGTGCGAGAGAGTTATCATGCTCGACCTTCCACTTCGAGCTTGCGAGTCCGCTGGCGTAAACGTCGAATAGCACCGATGAGGTGCACCACAGGACCATCGTGATTTAACTGTGATGGAGATCAGGGCCATTGTCCGACGAGGGCAGCACCGAGGCAGACGTATAAGAAGACTGCAACTCGCATCATCGTTGACGGGGTGTGAAGCAGCAGTAAGAGTAGCATTCGTTCATTCTCTCGCTCGGATCCCCAGCCTTCGCTTCACTCCGCCATGTACACCTCCACCCTCCTGACCCTCGGGCTCGCAACCCTCGGCTCCGCAGCGCCCACCTGGCCCTCCCTCTTCGGCCGCCAGAACACGTGCGTCTCGGGCAACGCCGTCTACATCATCAGCGCGCGCGGCTCGACCCAAGCCGCCGGCGAAGGCTCCCTCTCCTCCGTCTCCTCGCTCATCAAGCAGGCGCTCCCGGGCTCCGTCTCCGTGGGCCTCAGCTACCCAGCCACGCTCGACAACTACGAGTCCAGCGAGAACACTGGCGTCGTCAACCTCAAGCAGGCCATCACGTCCTACACCACCTCGTGTCCCAACTCCAAGATCGTGCTGTTGGGATACTCGCAGGGCGGCCAGGTCGTCGGCGATGCGCTGGGCGGCGCGAGCTTCAGCTCCGAGGCGCCCCTGGCCAGCACCTACACCAAGAACATCGTCGCGGCGGTGAGCTTTGCCAGCCCCGCGCACGTCGCGGGCAAGAGCTACAACGCGGGCACCAGCAAGGGCAGTGGCATCTACAAGCGGGCCAACACCGCGACGCTCGACACGTATGCCAGCCGTCTGGATGACATTTGCGACTCAAACGATCTGTTCTGCGACAGTGGGAGCAGCTTGACTGCTCACACCCAGGTGGTGAGCAAGTATGCCTCGGCGGGGGCGAACTTTGCTATTGCGAAGGCGAAGGCGGCCTAGATCTAAGGATTTGAGCTTGGATTGTGAAGTGTCAAGGGTGGGTCGTGGGGTGTTTTCTCTTCTCCTTGTTCATATCGCTTTTTCTCCTATGCTTCGATGCAGATATGAATTGACGACACTGGCGGCTATGGGACTAGGGAGCGCCGTGGGGTGATGAATGAATGTTATCTTGGACTACTTCTTGATTATCAAGCATGCAATGCGTGAATATGGACTACCGAACCAGGCGTACGCATGATTACATACCTCGTGACCTCATCAATTTCGCCTAGTAGGCTTTTCTTCCGCTTCAGAGTCGCCATATGACCCATGTCGCTTGTCCGGAGGAGACATTGAAGCGTATCCTCTCGGAGTCGAGTGGTGGCCAGAGGGAAGTTGATGGGGTGTGTAGTTCGCCAAAGCGACAGGAGAATGCATGGCCAGGGGGTATGGCATACACCATACCAGAGGGCCTACATCGACGTAGGCCTGTGAGTGTCTCCTTGGGTCAGTGAAGTGCACTGGCCTGAACGAGCTATCGCGAAGCCTGAGTGACAGGTCGTCATGCAAGAAAAACGTAGCGAATCCATGTTCACAATGTTCGCTGAGAATAATGCTGCTTCCGGTAACTGAGATGCATTAGTACTCTCAGGAGGGTTTGGTAATAGCATGGAAGTGAAGTTTGGCCAACTGCTCCTCAGCACTGTGAAGAGTGCGTAGGCTCCGCAGAAAGGCTTCGTCCGTGATATGTTACTGACAAGGGAGAAGGGGTGCTGATTGCTTCTCTTGCCCTACTATAGATTCAGATCTCTAATGTTTACACAATTGTAGTTGTTGAGATTCCGTGAATGCTATGAGCGCAACGCAGCGTTAGGCGCCTCTCGTCCCGACCCGGACTTCTTTGGATGATGCGCATGTCTCGTCATTTTATGGTTGAGAGAGACTTGCCTAAGAGATTTTCTGTAACGCTTTTGATACCTGACACGCTCGGTCTTGCAATGGCGAGGCGCAGATGCGGAAGGCTTGGTTATTAGTGATATCATATTTGAACGTGCTTGAATTGTCGAGGCTTTCCCAGCATTGAGACTAGTGCTTCTCTTCCGGCAGGTGCGGCGTTCTGCCGAATCCTCGCGCGTCAGTCTACAAGCCAGACTCTCGTCTGAGCCTTAGAAACGATATCCCCAAAATTCCCGCAAACAAACTCTTCGATGTTTCTCCGGGTAGCGTGCCTGCGAAATGACACCTAGTTCCTGGTTCGTGAAAGCCCAAGATCGTGACAACATCGAAATTAACACGATCGGAAGCGGCTGTGCATATCCAGATTGACGAGATCTAGATCGACGGCAAGAGTGAATCGCATGAGAGGAATATCGAATGGTCCCGCCTTCCGCGGGAACCCCTCAACATTTGCTTCGGTTCGTGAGAAATTGGAACGCACGTTGTAGCACTTTCCACATATGGGCTAGTGTACGTGATCCAACTTTCCTCATGGGAGAAAGGCATCACTTGGGCAGGTCTGCGTCTTCGGCTCCAGCCGTGATCAATAAATCCAACATCTCGCAACGAGCTTGGTTGTGACGACGGAGGAAGCGATCATTTACTTCATGGTTACTTGGTGGCGTCCGGTTCCATGTTGTGTTGCCACCCTCACCGCGACTCTTCGGCTGTGCCCGCGATACGAGAAGTCACACACGGTCGGTAAGGCAGGGCGGTGGAAATGTGCGTAGAGTCATATGCTGGGCTGGGCGCATTGCATCCCGGGCGAGTGGTAGCACGATAGAACCTTGGCTATATGTCCAGCTGATGATTCGGTTCGGCTGGCTGTTCGGCGCAAGCCCATGCGACAGTAAATGAGCGCGTCTTTACTGTGGAACCTGAACATCGCCGACCATTCTGTTTGGTGAATAGGCACGCGGAATAGGGCCAGGACAAGAAGATATGGCGTGGATGGAAGACTTTCCGTCTGTTGTGAGACCGTAGCATCCTTGAACGGCTAGCTCTTGCATCGTGACCATGTGCCGCGCACGTCTTCCCACATACCCGGTGTTGTTGGCCGGTATGCAAGGGGCCTAGACGCGTTGCCGCCGAGAAAGAGGACGAGGGAGCGAACGGAGGCGTGTCCGAACTTCGATGGGTTACCAGTCGGGCATATGTGCTTGAGGCTCAGGACGGGCTATCGTTAAGTCACAGTGAGATCAGCGAGGGGGCCTCAGGCGGGTAGATAAGCAGTGGTCAGCCAGCGCCCTCAATGTCGCCGTCCGAGGCGCAGAATAGAGGTATCTGGCTGTGACGCGTTTGTGCTGGGCATGCACCTCAGGAACCGTCACACGCAGTCACAAGGCTTGCCCCTGAGTCGCGTCTGCTGTTTCCCCTCCGAGACAGCGCTCGTAGCCTTGCGGTGTCCTTGCCCAGCTCCTTTGGGGTCAAGTGACGGGCCACGGCGAGGATACCGGTGCAAGTCAGATGGCTAGCCAGCGGACGCTTGCGTGGAACCGTCGCTCTGCAGCCCCTTCCGTCAAGGCACCACACGCTCGGATCGCGAGGAGCCGGCGCGGCAGCCCTGTCGCACACACCCTTGCGAATGGCTCGCGGGGTAAATGCGTCCAAATCACCACATGCGCTGGTGTTGGGCTGATGGGGGCCGCCGGGCAAGGAGAATTGTTGCTGTATCGGGGCACGCAGGCGATTTCGTCGCTCGTATCGAAGGTTTCAGATTCTTCTCGAAGGAGTTAATCGGGCAAGTAAGGTACGGGCACGTTCTGGGGATAGGCAGAGGACTGAGCTTCGTGGGCAGCGCAGCGAGTGGTGCCTCTGGCTGGTCGGAGTCCGATGACTGCATGGGGGCGCATACGCGCCATGAGGCCTGAGGCGACGTGCGCAACGTTGCGCGACGAACCATGGGGGCTAGCCAGACTCAGTGCATGAGATTCGTCACTGCCTCTGCCCGTTGTGGGCTTACGCGGCACGTGACCAGGCTCGCAGATGGCTTGTTATGCGAGACGGCACCGGCTATGCGTGACTGGGACCGTCCTGTTCATGCTGCATGGAAACTGGTCGGCGGGAGGGCCACACGTCAAGAAGCAATATTGCAGGGCCGTGAATAGCAGATTCCGCAGTGGATAGATTGTTGCGCGCGTGGACAGTTACATTGGCACAATCTACAGCTGCCGTGGGGGGCATAGCGTGTGCTGGGACGGCGTCTGCGATCAGGTCGCCTGGGGACACGGCGCAGGGATCCATTGATTACGGACATGGAGTCGTCCCTAGTCCCCTTCGCTGCACTGGCGGGCGGGCGGTAGGTAGCTGACTTAGTCCTCAGCCCAGCTGTCCTGTCCTGCTGCCCTCCTGCACACTGAGTGCCATGTAAGCTGCGCGCCTGCACTCCGCTCTGACGCCTGTGCCTGACGCTGTCTCTGCCTGCCTGCCAGCACGACCTTCTCTCCTCCACCCCCTCGCACCAGCTATCCATCGCACGCATCCGCCCTGACAGTCGCTCAGCGTCCCCCGCCGTCATGGGCAACATGGAGGTCATGACTCGCGAGCACCTGGAGATGCTGCGCAGCTCTGCCTTTGAGAGCGAGCACGCTCAGCTCTACGACACGTCCTACATGCAGCACGAGGCCGCCGCCCTCGCCCTGGAGCAGGAGATTGAGCACTCGCTGGTCAGCATCTCGCCCGACGAGAATTCGGACGAGTACCGCCGCATCGCACGCACCCAGATCATGTTCCACCGCGAGCGCCAACGCGCACTTAAGCCGCACCTGGAGAGCGGCAGCGGCTTCGAGGACGAGGACGGCAACGAGTGCGTCTTCGTGCCCGCGCCCAACCACTGGGGTGCAAATGGTGACCTCGACGAGGAGAGCGGCAGCCTGTCGTCGGTACGTTTTAGTGCGGGTCCTGATCATCTTGGTTTGGTGGGGAGCTGGCAACGGCCCGTCGCTAACGCCAGCCTAGGTGCACAACCTCCTCACATGGCAGGCCAACTACTCGCCCATGTCGTATACCCCACTGTACGAAGAGATGCCCTCGCCCGACATTCCCTTCTACACCATGCTCGACCCCTCTCAGCCACCTGTAACCTACCATCTGCACCGCACCCGTGAATGGACCACCTCGGCCTCCCGCAAGTTCATCTACACGGCCCGGGAATTCTCCGACCGGTACTCACTGTATAGACTGGAAGCCGAGTCGCATCGCGGTGACAACCAGGTCACTTCAGCCAATTTCTTCCGTGTTGCCGAGTACCCGCAATCCTGCATCGACGTCTTGCTATCGGGCATCGACAAGCTCGACGCCAAAGCCGCCTACAAGTCACGATGCATCCATCTCCGTGGTCCGTTCGCCACGCCGATCAAGGAGTATCCTGATAGACAAAACAAGATCCCGTGGTCGCCGCGACGGTTCACCTATGGTGGCCGCAAGTTTGTCTGGAAACCAGGCGACCCACATGACGATGTGATGCCGGAGACACTTTACGAATACAAGAAAGATTACGTCAAGCCCGGCAGCCGGAGCGGAAAGAAGGTGGATGATGCAGCCCCAACGAAGCTGGTCTGGGGCGAGAAGAAGCGAAAGGGTAAAGTCGAGAGCTATACGATCCATTTCGCGGGCGGCGTGGATCAGGTGTTCCGAGAGCTCCTCCTGGCTAGCCAGATGGCACGACAAGTGTGCCTGTTCACAGCCATGGAATGAAGAGACGCGATCATAACAAGGATGGCGGTCATTTGAGGCGGGACTTCGAGCCCATGTATTATTTTCCATTCCACTACACCGCAGCGACTACTGATTTCTTTGGCTGGGGCTATTACGATTACGGATCACGGCATAGGGACGAAAGAGCCCCGGAACTCATGGATACCATTTAAGGCGTTTTTGGACTCACCACAGCGAGAGGAACACACCCCCAGTACTCCGCTCTTCGGCCTTCTCAGTCCAGGAAGGACTGATGGGGACGGTGCTAAAGCAATTTTCATTGAAACGTTTACTATACTTTTATTGATGCGAGCCTACTTCTACTTCTATAGAGAGCTTCGCTGGATGAACAATGGCATACCAAACTATATCACACTCCATATACGAGTTCTACTGGTTTGGCTTCAGGTTGTACGTCGCACTCACTCACCGACCGCATCCCAAGCACTAAGCGGATCCGCCCAAATCTCCCAATGCCCAAATCTTCCCTCAGCATCGAACTCACTCAACCGATAGATGAACTGCTCATCCCAACCCTTCCCCGTTTTCTTGCTCTTGAAACGTCCTTTCCCCACCACACTCACCATGCCCGCCTCCGCATCCACAATAAACCCCTCGGGTCCCGGCAGCGCGTCCTTGGGCAACTGCATCTCGAGCACATCGCCGAGCAGACCGAAGTACTCCTCACAGCCGTCCCGCCCTTGGAATGTTTTCCCTAGAAATGGCAGCCGGGACGCCGCCCAGCGCGGCCCGTGCTCGGTGATCCTAGGCGTGGAGGTAAAGTACGTTTGCAAGAGTTCCGACGGGGCAGGTGGGGACAGCAGCGCGGCGCAGAAAGCGTGCGCGCCTTTGCGGAGGGCTGCGGCGGAGGGTTTCTGTTGCTGCTGGCCTGATGACATCGGTGCGTTGCGGATTGGGTTCAGGGAGGCCTGGTCCTGGTCTGGGTCGGCGTACCGTCTCGAGCAGGCCGTCTGTCGGGAGGAGCCGGATACGAGTGCCGGTGGGAGCTGGCCTTGGGCTGGGAACGAGGGCGGCGCGTGATTGGCGTATGCGCGGCGGTGTGGGGGCCGAGCTGGGGCTGACCAGCGGGTGGCTTGCAACGTTGGGTCGGTTAGGGCTGCGATTGGGATAAGGGGGTGCCGTGGCGGTCAGGGATGAGCGTGGCGCAAGGCTGGGATGTGTAAGTTGGGAGTGAGATTTTGGGTGGGGTGCGCTTGGGTTGGCGACGTGGTTGACGTAATGGGTGTAGTAGGCCGCGTTGGCCGGCGAGGGGTTTGCAGCTGTAGCGGGTGAGCAGAGTGTGTCGCAGGTGGATTTGCCGTCACGTGCGGAGAGAGGCTGATTTCGAGGGTGTCAATGTGCAGATGATCGGTGAGGGCTGCGAGGATTGATAAAAGTTGGGCGGCTACTTACGTCACCGGCGGTTGTGCTTAGTGAGACCATACCCGACACTGTGTTTTCTTGCCGCAAAAGCAACTACTGAACATGTAAGGAATACTCCAACCGCCGAGCCAGTGAGCTGGGCCATGATGTGCTTAATGATCCTGCGGTCATCAATGCCACAACGCCACGATGCGGAGTCTCTCTGCTCGGTATCACGGGTACTGCCACTTCTATCTTGACGATGAGAGACGGCAACATGAAAAGAAGAAAGCCGTCGTACCTTCCCAAAGCTCCTTTCGATAGCCGCTCTTAGACACGACAGTTAGCCGCAACCCCGTTGGCCGCAACGGCACCTTCTTCACCATGCCATGGCAGCTTGAATCCGATCGCGCCTCGGGTAGGCATTATTCCTTCCCTTCGGTATCGGTGTAGAATTTTCTACCTGCTCCCAGCATGCACCAAGGCGTAGTCTAATCAAATTTTGATAACTTTGATCACCTCCCAGTCATACACGATGAACGCCTTCGTCTCAATCAAGCAGCGAGTTCGAGCCAACTATACACTCCCGTGTAAGAAGAAGTTCACCGTGCATCGGAGTCTATTTGCTGTCCAAATTGAATCAAAGCTGTTTGCTGGGTGATCATGCGCAAAGGCCACACATCAGGGAGACGTTCTGGTCACCACGGCGTCGTGCCTGCGTGAAGCAATTTTAATTCAACGCGACCTACCAAAACTTGAGGCACCAACGCCCTGAAATCACTAACTATCAAAACGCTTCGACGTAAACCATATTCCTCATTGTGGCTGCAAACGAAGACACACACCTCGACCTCGAATGGACTACTATCAATGCACGAAGAGTGACTTACACCAAGAGCTCACTCGCCGAGGGCTCCAAGCTTATGGGGACCAAGACGAGGCCGCCGAGCGCTTGAAGCAAGACGATCACCAGCGTGGGACTGTTGCTACTGAGATTGACGCTACTATAGGACTGTCCAATACGGTGTACACGTGGAGATTGAGCAATGAATATGGCAAAACGGTCGTAGCGAGCATGCTTGTGGGCGAAAGTGAGTTTTGCCTGTTCCCTTATCTTTCCAAACCGCTCTTAACAAATTCTCCAGGTATTGTACATTGGACAATGAACCAGTTTTTCCCTGCTGTACAGCTCTTCTTTGAGTCGGGTCTCTCTTGCTGGATTGAAGGCAGCCAACTTCCCGGGGCTTGCATCGGTCTCGATTCGGCACTCCGCTTCCGCCTTACTGATATCGCGCATGCAGAGGATGGCTGTCTCATCAATACTATTCTTTCCAAGCGGGACTCCGCCTCTGACCCCTCTATCCGTATCTTGGAAGCCACGGTGGCGAATCGGAAGAGCATCGCTGTGAAGGAAACCCACCAGTTTGTGGAGGCTCGACCAGTAACGACCATCGCGCAAGAGCAACACATTGTGGTTGGACTACGACTTGAAGGGATGGAGAGTATGGGCTACGTGTGGGCAAGGCTACCGAGCACTACTGTTGGAGTAGCGAGTCGCATGTGGGGCCACGTTCGTATCGCAGGTATGAGGATTGACATTCCTGTTCCTTTCGTACGATTTCCTCAGACCGGTATCAAGCCAGGAGCGCAATCGAAAGTGGTGTTGAAGGAGAGCGTGATTGATCCCAAGCTCCGAGGCCACCCAACAATATGACACGCTAGTTCGCTTGGGCGAATTGGGATGACGGCAAAGATGGATGACAGTATCGTTCTGCTTCTAACGTTTTCCTCCGAAGCAAGACACGCACGACCACTGTTGGAGGACAAGGATAGCTCATTGATCCCTGTCAGGATTGTAGGAGCTGCTAGCTGGAAGAGTCGGTTTTGCTAGATGTTGGGAATAGGTTCTTTCCAGATGGGTTGCGGAGTTTGTCATCAGGCTCCGTACTGTAATTGCTCATACATCTGAGATTCAGCACGAGAGATAAACTCCGTTGCACAAATAGCAAAGTAATTCATCCTCGGTATGAAAATATAGCGCGCTGGACATAACTCGCAGTCAGCCATGCTGTGTGCACCACGGAGGTACGGAGCAGATGGTGGGACTGGACCGGACCGATTGCCGTGTTGCGGGCCCAGCATCCACATGCACCCGATAGCTTACAATTAGCCTACTTCTTTCACCTTAAATATCTCGCAGCATCTCTTCCATACAAGCAGAAAACTATCATTGCGCGCCGGAAAGGTAGCACATACCTGTGCATTTGATGCTCCAAGCTGACCCAGGCCAAGCTTTATCACAACATCCAAAATGCCCGCCCACGTCTCCGTCCTCTACCCGCGCAAGGCGAAGTTCAACATGGACTACTATCTCGCGACACACATGCCGCTCGTCACAAAGCATTGGACGCAGCACGGTCTCAAGAAGTACACCGTGACGCAGTAAGCGCCGATATTATTGCCCAACTCCCCTGCTCTATCTTGCTTCACTACTGATCACAGCGCGCTGTGTAGATATGACGACCCCGAATCCCCCTACAGCGTAGGCTGCGTGCTCGAGTTCGAGAGCCTCGAGGAGTTCAAGAAGGCGGGCGCTGCGCCCGAGGCCAAAGAAGTATTTGCTGACATTGACAACTTCTCCAACGAGAAGCCCTCCATCGTCGCAGGGGAGGTCAAGGAAGCCAAATCGACGTCGTAGGCGTGGTGCGGAGTTAAGGTGGGGATTGAATGGAGGGGTAGGAAAGTGAGGGGTTGCCGAGGCTTCTTCTCTGCGGCGAAGCCAAATGCGGCGTGTCTAAACGTCTTACTGTAGCACTCACGATGGCAATGACTATGCGATGTTGACTCCTCCATACAAGTTGCATTGATATACTGTGCAGGCCCATTGGCCTTTGTGGAACTTAGCTGGAGCTACATATGTACCCATGACAGGGTCTTGCTTCGGGGTTAGTTACGGATCAGCTGACGTCGGGAGGTGTAATACTCCGCAGTTAGGGTTCAGTGAGAAAAAAATACCACCGGTATAGTCTATGAGTATCACGAAGAAACAATTGACTGCTGCGATGTTGTGACAATCGACTCGAATGGCGTTCTTGGAAGTTCACGACTCGGGCTAGCCCCAAAAGGAAGGTCAGGTCTAGGATGAACCTTTGTAACGAACAATTTACAGGTAGATTTACAATCGGTTGCAAGTCACGCAATTACAAGCATCTCGCGTCGACGGAATGAGGAAGGTCGTGTCTCCTTGGCATCTCGTGTACAAACAGTGCCTGAAGATGTCAATAACGAAATCTCTCAGAAATATAAAAAGAAGCAGTAGCCATCATTCGCATAGCAGCATCGCTCCTCAAGATGCGTACCACGATTCTGAGCTCTGTATGCCTTGCGCTGGCAACGTTCGCCACGGCAAGTGCAAAGTCCTCATACGATGGCTACAAGGTCTACCGCGTCAAGACCGGTATTAATGGTAAAGCCGTCCAATCAAAGTTGGCGAGCTTCGACTTCGAGCAATGGAATCATGACAGCACTTCTCACATCGATATTCTAATTCCGCCGTCGCAAACCGCCCCTTTTGAAGCGCTTGGTCTGGACTACCATGTTATGCACGCCAACCTGGGAGATTCCATCGCTGCAGAGTCTGCAACCTCGACATCCAATTTCAAGCGGCAGGCAGACAACTCCACCTCATGGTACGACTCGTATCATCCCTACGCGGATCATATCCAATACTTTGACGACCTACACGCGATATTTCCGAACAACTCCAAGAAAATAAGCTCTGGTAAGAGCTATGAAGGAAGGGATATTTATGGCCTGCACTTGTGGGGAAGCGGTGGACCAGGAAAGCCCGCAGTGCTGTACCACGGGACCGTTCACGCAAGAGAATGGATCAGCGCTCCAGTACGTCCTAGTCAGTTATGAACTCGAAATCATGCCTCCTACTGACATAGCCAGGTTGTCGAATACATCACATACCAGCTTGTCACCGGCTACAAGTCCAACGATGCCACTGTCCGCACCTTCCTCGACAGCTACGACTTCTTCATCCTTCCTTTCGTCAACCCCGACGGTTTCGTCTACTCGCAAACGACCCAACGCCTCTGGCGCAAAAACAGACAGCCAGGCCCTAACAACAGCACCTGCTTCGGCCGCGACATCAACCGAAACTGGGAGTTCGCCTGGAACGCGACCGCCCGGGGCGCATCTTCGAACCCCTGCTCCGAAACCTACAAGGGAGAGGCGCCCTCAGATACACCCGAGAACAAGGGCCTCGACGCGTTCGTAAGAAAGCTGCGCGACGAGCAGGGCATCAAGCTCTTCATCGACTGGCACAGCTACGGTCAGGACATCCTGAGCCCCTACGGCTACAACGAGACGCTGTACGCGCCCGAGCTCGGTAAGTGGACCAAGGCTGCGAATCTCGTTTCGAGCGCGATCAGGGAAGCCACGGAGGATCGGACAACGTTCACGTTCGGACCGAGTGGTGCGGCGTTGTATGCAACGACGGGCGCCGCGCCGGATCATGTGTATAGTATTGGAGGCGCGGAATTTAGCTATACTATTGAGTTGAGGGATACTGGGGATGCAGGGTTTGTGCTACCTCCAGAGCAGATTAGGCCGAGTGTGGTGGAGCAGTGGGAGGGACAGAAGGTCTTGATTAGTTTGTTGGATGAGGTGTTCTTTGATGGGAAGGGTCTAGCTTGATAGATTTGCGAATGTGGAATGTGGAAAGAATGACCTGAATTTAACTGTACTGGTAGATGCACCACTATTGTAGACACCTATCACTGATTTGACACCATGTAGCTGGAGATCTAGTGCAGAATTAACAAGGCAATCCAAGCAATCATCACTTTTCTTCTCTCTTAACTGTAGTCCGGGCACTTCAGTTTTTTCCAAGCCTTCCGATCTTTCTCTAACAGCTTGATTTTGCTTTTGATGTCAGAAAGATCTCCACCTGCCTTCTTAATCCTCTTCTTCTCCTTTTCGGCCTCATCGATCCATTCATCAAGTTGCTTCGTAAAGAGTCGTCCCAACTCCGTGTCGCGTAGCTGTCTCCTGGCTCTTCCGTACACTTCAGTATATAATTGTAGCTCATGCTCACTGGAATTAACAATAGCTTCAACAACTTCGTCAGAATGGTCTTCTTTCGTGCCTAGGGACTGGTTGCCGAAGAACTCTCGCCATGTCGAATCCATTGCTTGTGACATTGCCGCCGCCTGAGGTCCTATAGGCAAGCGATTTTTGGCCAAGATCGCAGAATTTGGAGACCTGGCACCTATGAAACTTTTTGCAAATTTAAGGTGAGATTTGAGTGCCGAGTAACGTATTGTCGCAGGCAGCTGTTGCTGACGTATAGTCTCCTGCTCATGGCTAAGAACGTAAACAATGCCACTGACGCGCTCGCACGCTTCACTAGTGAAGTGTCAGAGTCTAAGTGAGATCAAGATCTGATTAGGCGATGTAGTTTGTCTCACCTCAGCAAGAACTCAGTGAAGCGGAGAAAGAGGTTGTAGCTCCCAACGGGGTTTTCGAGAAATGATGGTTCCTCTTGGAAAAAGCAATACCGCCCCATTCTTCGCGAATCAAAGTAGTATGTATTGCTTCTATGTGACTCATTGGAGTGGGCTCGAAAATTCTCTGCATACTGCTCTGAAGTACAAGCATCAATGAACTATTCTGTCAGCTTTGTTCAACACATGGATACAAAGATCTGCTCACGGACTTACCGTGGTCTTTCCTGCGCCTGACCTCCCAATAACGCTGCAGTCCAGATAAGAATGTTCCTTACAGTTTCTTAGAGCAAAATTCTTACAGTATCACCGATTCGGACTCTGAATTGGCCCTCATTGCATCGTCTATCACATCCATTATTGGAGATTAGTATTTCCTTAGCGAAAAGTCTTCCTGGTGCGCGTCTTTTTTGTTACATCACAACACGGTCCAATTGATCTGTGGGCAAGAGGCTCCCAATATGAACGCTCCTCCAAGCCTAAGGAAGAGTGATACGAGCGGGGCAGAAACCCCCAACTCTACTTTTATTATCGCGCCTGGACTACTCCAAACGAAACAAGGTCAACTTCTTATACGAATGGTATGGTTTCGGCTGTCGTGGCTGCACGCTATTGGCCAACTTGATGTTCGTGGAGTTGACCTTTCAGCTCGGCTTGCATACACGAAGTTGACACACCAATCACATCAAGATGGCGTACCTCTTGCGCAGATCGGCCAAACTCAACTCCACATACGCGGAACGGCTGAATAAATGCACTGAATTCGCTGCTCGCCAACTCAGGTCATACTTCAGAGTCGAAGACTCCGATAGTCTTCACTCACGCGAGAAAGACTGAACTTATTGCTCTTTGTGCTGTTTTTAGTATCTTTTCGCGACGATCTATCTATCACTGGGGTCAACTACTATCGGTGCCCAACACGGGCTGATAAAGCACGGAAAACCCGGAGACATAATAAGGTCTGCCTCAGTCACGGTTCGTCGGTCAAGGTTTTCTCTAGGCACTCGAATCGTGCTTATTGAGTTAGTGATCCTGAGACTTCCGCCGAACAGCGTCAGAACTGCAGAGCCTCTTTCAGGCGTTTTGAATGTGGCATAGGTGCATATGTGTTTAGATTTCCCAAAGGAATCTAGATGAGCTCACGCCCTTCACCTAATGAGATTGGAGAAGTTTTCCGCGATCCGATCACGGCGGCACCGAATCTCCGTAAAAAAAGGAGAAGAGTCGCCACCAGTAATGGCGCCACGAATTAAAGATGGTACTGGTCCGGTACCAACACGCTTCCTCAGCGTGCTGAACATGCAAAGTAATGAACAACGTCGACGAGGTCGTGTTGCGGTGTTTCAAAATTCTGGCATGGTAAATTCTTTCTCTGAACCTCCAGCGAATGACAGTTCAACGGAGGCTGAGAGGTTTCTCGGCGAAGACCCGCGTCTCGTCATAATCGAAGACATGGGAGCGGACTGGATAAGACCATTCGCCCGATGGCTTCATCTTCCAGAGCACTTGTTTGCCCTTCATTGGGCAGAGCCTAACGATTTCCTCTTGGGGAAAGTTCAACTCCCCCTAGCTACGGATCCTCTTCAACATTTCATACTTCAGTATAGACAACCACTGCCATTCAAGGTCATCAAGCCAGATATGCTTTCGCATACTAAATTGCGATGCATCGCTCAACGAAAGATGGTTCGTCGAATCCGCACATTAAGAGAACTGCAAATCCATGACACAGAAGTGGCTGAGCAACTACTCAGCTTTTTCCGTGGCAGCTATAATCATAAAGATATAGGTAAGTCAATCAGTCTCCAGATAGCTGACGGTCCAAAGTCGAGTGAACGCTGATATGATCCGGAGATAGCTGTTCTTTTGGTCGACCCTTGTCCCAAGGTCGATGAGCAATTCTCCGAGTTCTCCACCATAGCAGTCCCCAAATCAACGCCACCGCGCGTAGCCATTGATCTAGAGGAGACAGATTGGCTTGATGTAAAAGAAGAAGATGTACGTCCGAGGAAGCTACAGTTCGAGCAAACCCTTTCTATGTATGATGACCTGGTCCAAATCGTTGCGCCCCGAAATTCGGCTATCACTGCCGCTCTTGAAGGAGGACCACCGTATTACCTAGCAGACTTCTTCGCCAAGAATGTCGAGGCGAGAAACGCTTCGACTGTCCAATCTCTTTTCGTTGAGACTTGGAGACTTACTGGAGTAGCTTCAACGGGTGTGCAGAAACTGGCGGACTTCGACTTTAGCAATCTGGAACATAAAGCCTGGTCGGATGAATGGAAGGGGAAGCTCTTCACCCAGTTGTGGGAGCTGCGCGAAGAACTAGAGATACTGCAATACAAAATGCAGGTAAACAGACAAACATTGAGTCAGTTGTATGAGGGTGATAACAAACTGCTCGGATGGGACAAGCTTCTCAGGACGAACAATTACGCAATACAACTTATGAATCGCACAACCGATACATACGTGCAGGCTATTGGCTCTACAGCAGCACAATTTGCCAATGAGCAGACCAAAAACTCGAAGAAACTGACTGGGTAAGTGTGGTGTGGTTTGTGAAACGTTGGGACGTAGCTGCCTAAATGCAGCCGCGATCATCGTAAAATTGGCTTTGTAATGCTTCTAAATATCGCTAACTCTGGTGTAGTTTCGCTGCAGTCTTCGTCCCCGCAAGTTTGTGCGCAGCGATTCTGTCAGTCTACAGATGTAGTATCTTCCTACCGAGCTAACAGAGCCAGTGCTATTCCGTCGTTCACTCCCGATGCAAAAAGTATCACCAAATTCTGGTACGAAGCCCTCCTTCCGCACAATAAACATCCGGACTATTGTGGCTAATAGGATCAGGGTGTTTTGGGTAGTCAGTGTCCCGCTTGCAGCAATCCTTGCGATAGTGTTCCTCACAGATTTACCAAAACGAATCAAACAGCAGTGGAAGATGCGACCGTCACAACTGTCGGCGGATGATGTGAAGGACAGAGTTCGCCATCCTCGAGGCAAGGAGATCGCTCAGAGAATGTCTATCCCTTCAGCTTGATGCAAAGCGACGTCAAATTAATTAATTCATAGAATACCAGCAAGGCTTTCATCAACAAGGCGATGTGCGTAAGGTCACATATATAGTTATGGAATTGGATACTCTCGTATCAATTTGCCCTTTATGCTGGAGAATCCAAGTTTTCAACAACCAAGAACTCCATAGCCGCAATCTTCTCTTCTTCTTTCCTCTTTCTCTTATCACCTTTCTTTTCGCTCTTGACAGCAGCCTTGGCAGATTTCCTAGCCGCCTTCTCATCATCCTTTTCTGCCCTGCGCTCGATTTCCCGCTCTCTCTTCTCGATCTTCTTCTCCTTCTTCTCTGCAAGCTTAGCAGCATCCTTCGTATTCGCTTTACTCATCTTCCGCTCCGTCTCCCGCTCAATCTTGCGTATCTTCTTATCTGCATGCACCCCATCCTCATCGCCTCGTACAGCACTCGAGTCTGTAGAAGAGGAGCTAGAGCTCGAATCGGAGTCGTAACCCTCATTGGCACGATCAGTAGCCTGCTTACTGTTCTTACGATTCGCTTTCTCCACCTTCTTCTTCTGCCTGCTCTCTCTTTTCTTTACCCTTCGCTTGAGCGCTTGGGCGCTCAGCTCATCGAGGAAATGTCGCTGCTTCGACGGCGGCGGGACATCGAACGTAAGAGGCGCAATGCAGGGTGATAAAGCTTGCATGTAGCGGTCTCTAAGATGCTGTTGCGTCCCATCTGAAGCCAGACTCTCTGCAGGTCTTCAACTCAGTCAGTAGTGCACATCCATGCCAACGCGGCGTCGTAAAACCCACAGCGAATCCACTGTAATAGGCCCACAGCCCAGTTTCCCGGCTAGTTCCTCGCTCTTGCAAATCCCCGCCTTTAGCCCCCTCGGCGCAAAGAACTCGCGATTTACCTTCTCCATGAAGCGCCTCGTGCGGACAATGGTAGTAGCAGCCGTGCCAACACCCGCAGCAACACCCATCCCCGCACTCACGCCCATCGCCACCGGCTCCGGCCTTTGCCCCAGTCAGCCACTATAAAAAAACTCCATTCCCTCTCTACAACATAATAAACATTGAGGACTTACACAATCCCTACAACATGACTCGCCGCATCCAGCATCTGCAATGGCACTGGTGGCGCCTGACACACCGCCAGCATATCCATAAAGCTCATGAACTCCCCCTCGTTAATTCCATGTGCGCGCAAAACATGACTGTATGCGCGGACGAAGGGGAGCTTGGCGGAGAGGACGCTCGTGGTGTCGATGCGGGGGATGACGATTGGGTGCTGGGGGTTGGAGTTAGTGGGACGATGGGTAGGAGCGTCGGTTATGTATTTACGAGTAATTTGGACGCGGTGGTACTGTACGGGGGTGGTGGCGTGGGGATCCAGGAGGTCATGAATTGGGGGGGAGGGCCTTCTTGGTCTGGGCCTGGGGGGATTGCGGGTGGTCCGTTGGGGTCGATGACGCACACGGACATGTTGTATCTTCGTCCTGAATCGACCAGATTTCTCATCTTTCTGTTGATTTAATTCAAGAAGTGTATCTATTCGATGGTGGTTTTGGTCTTGATATAGAGACTTGTTCTCGCAGGTAGTGTTGGTCAGCCTTCGTGGCTTAGCATAGCCGGCAGAACAAGGGTCACTTACCGCGAAGGATTATTTCCTAAATGGGCGTGCAGTGCGAGTGTGTCTTTTCTTATCGACAAATCAAAAGGCAATGCCCAGCGACGGGGGTACTTTGCGATTCAGAAGTCGCGAAGCGACCTCTCAGCATGCTCCATAAGAAGTGTAGTCAATTGTGTGCATACATAATGGTAAACCTGACCTACTGCGGCTCTAGCTTCATTCTGTCAACATTGAGCTGCAGATATGCCCGTCGTTTACTTCAGAAACTTGCTGGCCAAGTTCATCAGTCCACCCATGCCACCACCCGATCCTCCACCGCTAGCAGCAGCGCCACCACCGCCCATCTCGCTCTTCATGTAGAACTTGAGCGCCATCTGCGCAGCCTGAGCAACAGCATCCTGCTTCGTAGCCCCAGACTGCGTCTTGCCCTGCGCACTCTGCTGATCGAAAAGCTGCGCAGCCTGTCCCATCGCCAGTCCAATGAATTTGTTCTGTCCGCCAGAGGCCTGCTCCTGGTTGCCTCCAGTGAACATCTTCAAGGCCTGCATAGCAGCAGCGGTACCGACACTACCAGAGGACGCTGGCTCGTGGTCGTTGCCTCCTCCGTACAGTTTTTGGTGCTGCTTAACTGCATCTTCCTCGTCAACGTCTTCTTCTTGGAGCTTGGACTTCTTTCCACCAAGGAGGCCCAGCGCGGTGCTGAAGAGGTCCGAGTCGCCAGCGCCGCCAGCATGAGATTGCGCGTGTTGAGCTGCGCCGGAGAAATCGTCAGACGCGTAGCCGCCCCCGCCGTAGGAGGTGCCACTTGAGTGCTGCTGGCCGTATCCACCGCCGCTTGAATGCTGCTGCTCGTCGCCATAGCCTCCGCTGCCGCCTCCTCCTCCATAGCTCTGGCTGGGACGGTCGTTGTAATCGTCACGACCTCCACCTCCGCCATATCCCTGGCTCGGACGGTCGTTGTTATCTCCACCTCCTCCATGGCGACGCTCCTCTCCATAACCTCCACCTCCGCCATAACCTTGCGAAGGACGATCGTTGTAGTCTCCTCCACCCTGGCGCCTGTCTTCGCCATAACCACCACCACCTCCTTCATGGCGCCTCTCTTCGCCATATCCGCCGCCTTCATTTCGACGCTCTCCGTATCCCTCACCGCGTCGTTCGTCTCCGCCGTAGCCGCCGCCTCCACCGCCGCTGTAGTATTCGTTCGATGCCATTGTTGGGTGTGGGCTGTGAGATGCAATTAGCGAAATATGGACAGATCTATGCACCTGCTGAGCGAGAGTTGGGCGTTAAAACCTGTGGAGAGATAGGGAGGGGTAGCATGTGCTTCCAGCCCTAGAGCTCCCCGCTCCGACCACGAACCTCAACATTGAATGTACACGTACCTATGCTATCGTTCTTACAAACGCAGGAAATGTCGATGAGTTCGAAATGTAAAGGAGAAAGCTTGGGAAGGAATGAGAGATCGTACCTGGCAGCAGATCTAGGGCTTGCAGCGGGCGAGCTGAGGTCAGTGAGGGGCACTAGTGACGTATACTTCATGCACGCGCGGACCCCACCGCCTTCATCGCCCGCTTGTTTGGCACAGGGATCGAGCATTCCACTGTCTCGCGGGAACGTGAAGTCCGGTGATGCATTACGAGGTGACCGTTGCGGACTGTCATATAGGAGCGCAAGTCACGCCAGGCTCATCTGTAGAGAATCTGGCTCGACATGTTCGATTTATCATCCTAGTCATTTGGTATGATCAATTCGATCTTCGGACACGTAGATCGGTAAGAATGAGCACGTTTGCTTTTCGACGCGTGCACAATCCTTGGTTTTGGGAGCGTGGGGCTCTCATGCGCTCGTCTATCTCAACTCAATCATCTAGCGAACCACTTCGCCGATCACCAAATCTACCGAAACAGTATCAGGTCGTAGTTCCTCAACTCACCCCAAAACCACAATCCGAGCCGGCCACCCCATGTGTCCCACCGATATCAGGTCTTCAAGTTGATATGAGAGGAGGCATGTGTGATGTGTGGGGCAAATTGAAAGCGACCTTGAACTATAAATTGACTCCCAAAGAAAAGATGAGTACAGTATGTACAAATGGCCTACTTGACCTCCCATTTCACTTCTCTTTCTCTTTCTCTTTCACCCTCTTAACTCTCTCCACTATCTGTCAACCTCTCCAAAAACGAGATCCATGGTTCCGATAATCGCGACGGCATCTGCAAGCAAGTGACCTCTTGAGATCTGGTCCATGCAGGCCAGATGTGCAAATCCAGGTGCCCTAATCTTACACCTGTACGGCCTCTCACTGCCATCCGAGACGAGGAACACACCCATCTCGCCCTTGGGCGCCTCAATGGCGCTGTAAGTCTCGCCAGGCGGGACGCTGTAGCCCTTGCTGTAGAGCAGGAAGTGGTGGATGAGCGCCTCCATGTTCTCCTTCATGGCAGCACGCGGGGGCGGTGCGATCTTGTAATCCTCGACCTTGACGGGGCCAGCAGGCATGTCGTTGAGGCACTGAACGATGATGCGGAGCGACTGGCGGAACTCCTCCATGCGGCAGAGGTAGCGGTCGTAGCAGTCGCCGTTGACGCCGACGGGCACGTCAAATTCGACCTTGTCGTACGCGTCGTACGGTTGCGACTTGCGGATGTCCCACGGAACTCCTGAGCCGCGGAGCATAGGCCCGGTGAAGGAGTAGTTGATGGCGTCTGCTGCTGAGACGACACCAACACCCTTGGTTCGGCCGATCCAGATACGGTTGTCCGTCAACATCTCCTCGGTCTCGTCGAGACGGTCACCGAACTGAGTCGCCCACTGGTAGATATCATCGAGGAGACCGATGGGCAGATCCTGCGAGACGCCGCCAGGACGTACGTAGGCTGCGTGCATACGGGCACCAGATACACGTTCGTAGAACTCCTACATGCTAAGTTAGAATCATGCTGGGTACGTGGAGCTGGACCGGGGCCACTTGCCATAAGCTTCTCACGCTCCTCGAAAGCCCACAGGAATGGAGTCAAAGCACCGACATCCATAGCGTGCGTGGTGACGGACATGATGTGGTTCTTGATGCGGGTGATCTCTCCGAATAGGGTCCTGATATACTTGGCTCGCTCGGGAACCTCGATGTTCAGCAGCTTCTCGACGGCGAGCGAGAAGCACTGCTCGTTGGTCATCATGGAGACATAGTCGAGACGGTCGAAGTACGGCAGCGCTTGCAGGTACGTCCGGTACTCGATCAGCTTCTCGGTGCCGCGGTGCAGCAGGCCGACGTGGGGGTCGGCACGCACGATCTCCTCGCCGTTGAGCTCCAGAATCAGTCGCAACACGCCGTGGGCAGCGGGATGCTGGGGCCCGAAGTTGACCGTGTAGTGTCTGATCTTCTTGCCCGAGGTGCCAGACACGTCGTCGTCGTGGCCGTGGCCCAAGACGCCCTTGCGCTCTGGGTCGATGGGGCCGGAGAAGTCGGCATCGGTCGGGATGAGCTTCGCGCTCTGCTCGTGCTGCACATCGGCATAGTGGCGGGGGCGCGAGGTCGAGAGGGCGCGGGCAAAGGGCTGGAGGCGCGGTGCGCTGCTGGCCACGGTCGGTCGAGGCGCCTGGCACAGGCGTTTGGCGGCGTGGCCGGCGTATCGCGCCAGAGGGACGGGCATTGCGGGTGATCGAGGCCGGCGATGCCCTTTTGCGGCGTCAATGGGTGGGCGGAGGGGAGATTTGGGGGCGTGGCGTTGGAGGGGAGCTCCGTTCTTCAAGTGATGATGCAGAGGATTACCGAGCTTCCAATTGGCCTTAGCGGCGGTCGCGTCTTGGCGCCATCTCGAAAAAAGTGTCGACGACTGGAGAAGTTCGAATTCCCCGCCGAAAACACCAAAGTACGCGCCAGAACTGCAAAAATGCCTGCACCAAGCGAAGACGTGCTGATAGAGCGCAAGGTAATTGCGCGATTCAAGTTCTATCAAGTTGACTTACTAACAGCGCCTGCAGAAGCTCAAAGTGGGCGTCGAAACTGTGAGCAACCAGCAGTCGACCGACTTTCCTGGACACTGGCCAGGCGAGAGCCATGAGTGGGACCTGGAGCACTTCAAGAACGTGCGTCTATTCCCGTGCTTCTATTTCTTTCAAACTCAAGAAAGTCAAGACCATGTACTAACTTCCCCCAGAACATGCGCATTGAGTTCAATCACGAGCACGCCAACAAGCTCGACCTGACCTTTTCCCTCGTCGGCGTCGACACTTCCCTTGCCAACGCCCTGCGCCGCATCATAATCTCCGAAGTCCCCACGCTCGCCATCGAAGACGTCTTCATTTATCAGAACACATCCATCATCCAGGACGAAGTCCTCGCCCATCGTCTGGGCCTGGTACCCCTCCGCGGCAACCGCGACGCCCTGCGCTGGCTCAAATGGTATCAGAAAGACGAAGATGTGCCCGACCACGAGCCCAAGAGCGATGAGAATTGCGTGCGCCTCAGCCTGAACATGGAGTGCCGGTGGAAAGAGGGCGGGCTGGAGAAGGCGAAGCAGGGCGTCACGGACCCGGACGAGCTGTACGAAAACCACAACGTATACGCGCGGGACTTTTCTTTCGAGCCGTGGGAGCGGCAGACGGAGAAGTTTGGCGACGACGGTGTCAGATCGAGCTACCCGGACATCCTCGTCGCGAAGATGCGCCCTGGCCAGCACATCGAGCTGCTTATGCACGCGTTCAAGGGCATCGGCCAGGACCACGCAAAGTTCTCGCCCGTCGCGACGGCTACCTACCGCCTGCTGCCCACCATCGATATACTCAAGCCCATCGTCGGCGCCGACGCAAAGAAGTTCGCGCGGTGCTTTCCCAAGGGTGTCATCCGGCTCGACAAGGTCTCCTCGGAAGACGCTTCCGCCCACGAGGAGTGCGCCGGCAAGGAAGGCGAAGCCAAAGCCGTCGTCGACAACCCCAGCCTCGATACCGTGAGCAGAGAGTGTCTGCGCCACCCCGAGTTCGCCGACAAAGTAAAGCTGGGCCGGATGCGGGACCACTTTATTTTCCGCATCGAGAGCACAGGGCAATGGGACAGCGACGAGCTGTTCCTCGAGAGCATCCGGTTGTTGAAGGTCAAGGCGGCGCGCATAAAGAGGGGTTTAACACGGGTCGATGCACCGGTACAATAAGCAAACAGCGCAGCAGCCGCGTTCGGCGTTTTACAAGCATTGCAGGCGTTTATGGGCATGGGTTGGCGGTTTGGAAAAGCGTTACGATATCACGGGGCGCACTGTGCGATAGAGAGCAAGCATCGATCTGAAGATTTTGTGTAAAGCCTGGATACCTCATATGTGATGTGTTCGACTGTTTCATTCATCTCAGCATTCTTGTCGTGCTTCGCTCGTACGTTCTTCTCATCCGAATGCGTCTTCATAACCCCGTCATCCATTCAATCTTGGATCTCGCGATACAAATACACAAAAACACGGAGCAGATGCAGGCTAGCCCAGCAACGCACAGCGGGATACAACAAAGCTAAGAAGCAGCTGGTACAAGTGGTGAAATAATACAACATGGGAAAGAAAAGGGTATCGAAAGACCGGAACTGTAAGGAAAAGGCGGCTTGCCACGGCGAATATGTTCAAAGCAGAGCCTCCGCTAGTCACACAGCATGAGGTCTGTAACCAAGGCCACAACAGGCTAGGGTGAAGATTATGAAGCTCACAGCTCAGCCAGCGCCTCATTGCACAGCTTTTGGATATCAGCGGGATCGAACTTTGGCCGGAAGTTCAAGTTCTTCCTCATAGAGCGCAGCTGATCCAGCTCGCTCTCATTTGATCCCGTCGAGTCGCGGCTCTGAGGTCTCGAGCTCCAGGTCGAGGTACGGGAGCGTGAAAAGGAGCATCGTGGCGTGGTTTTATCAGACTTCAGCTGCTTGACACCGCGCAAATGTGCATGCAGCATAGGCAGAAGCGCGAACAACTCGGCGGAGAACCGATCCTCGTGGTATGCTCGTGAGGCGTTGAAGGTTGTGATGGGGGTAGGTCGTGGTTTGCCCGAGCGGAAAGAGTGTGTGGGTGATGGGGTGTCGTCGTAGGGGCTGTCGACGCGGTCCCAGTTCCTATCCTCATCTTCACTCATACTGGAAGCTGCTGAGCGGAAGGAAAGGCGGGAGAGGCGGTGGAAGCCGGCAGCACTCAAATACTCCGAGGTGGGCGACAGCGGTGAAAGGAGATCGTCCAGATTGTAGGGCTCGCTTGGTGTGAGGATCTCGATGGCGGCGCGGTAATGATGTTCTGCGAGCTCCAGGCCGGTGGAGCGATGCTTGAGGGTGGTTTCGCGCGCCATAGTGTCGTGGACCAGAGCGAAGTAGAAGTGCAAGTAGACCCTGTGGACGGGATGGATCTGTGCCACGTCAGTTTAAGCATGATCGGTCGGCAGAGTCCTAAGGTCAAGGTGCTGCATTGCATGTCGTGGATTACATTACATAGCGCACTGAAACTTTTGGTAAAGCAGAGCAGAAGTACGATATGCAAGGTGGGTGTTGCAACAAGAGTTGCTATCACAAACGTACCTCATCATAATGATGTGACAGAAAGCGCTCACAAACATTGGCACACTGGATGTAGCGCCGCGACTGAAAGAGCTGCTTGACTTCTGGCATGACTGCCTGCATTTGGCAGTACTGACTTTCGGGGATCATGGTGCTGCGCAGGTCCATATCGTTAGTTTCCGGCCACCTATTGCGCATTTGACTGCTGCAACTTACTTATAGAGTTGTTTCTAGCCGTAGAAGTAAACTTGATAGGCACCGGAGGTATCACGATTGATGAGTCAAAGCCGGTTTCGCTCTGTCTCGATGTTCAAATGAAGGAGTGTATGGAGAAAGTGAGGTAATGAGAGAAGCGATCGGTCGGCGCCAAAGATAAGGCGCGTTGATGAGGGGCCGGAAAAGAGAAACGAATATAGGCGCGAGCACTCGAAGCAGACCGGCTGAAAACGTGAGACGTGCGCGCTGCGCTGTAGAATGCAGGTTGTCGGCGGTCAACTCTAACTTGCAGGGGTTATGCGATAGAAGTAGCAGTACTTCGCAGAAGTCGTGTCGAACGTAGAACAGAGGGAACTGGAACAGGAGCATTACCAGGTCATGTTATAGACTCGGCCAACCTCCCCTGCAGACGTTCGCAAGCCGGGTTGCTGGGGGCGGCAGAAGCAACTGGTGGTTTGTTTCAACCGCCTGCACGCACTTGCAGAGTCGAAACTTTGAAACACGCAGCCACCTCTTACGCTTTCCTGATGCGGAACGCACTTGTCCGGTCTGGGATGTTCGCATCCAGACCAGGCACGAAAAGGATTATCATCCGACTCAGTCGTGCCGCTTTGCGTTGGGTGGTTGTTGGAATTTTGTCTCTGGTCATGGGTGGTGCGGACACTGATACGACGGCATTTACAGTGATCATCAGCCACCCGTAAAGATCTGCTCGATTGGCCAGAATGTTGTGGTTCGACACTGCCTCGACATCAACGATACATAAAGCTTTTTGGACACTCGACTTATGTTTTCCCCATGTGAAGCTTGATCTGCATCCGGTGCAAGTTGGTTCCAGGACAAATGAAAGAGCTGATCATCTGACCGTTGCGCTGTCCACGGCTGTTGCGGTTTAGCTATTGTGGTAGTCCTCAAGGACATATGGCGGGTCTCGAGATGAGTGCGCGGTAATGGTCACTCAATAGGCTTGATTCGTGTCACGTCTGAGGGTACGTCTGCATTGTCGTCTAATTAATTGTGTGAATGGTACCCATCCCCACCCATCTTCTATGGCGGTGAGTGATTGAGACTCGCACAGCTTCGCAACAATAGACTTTTAGGACGTCACACGAGAGCATGGCTGCAAATGAAATTGGTGACACTAAGAGAAGACCAGAGGCTGATTAGATGACAAAAGAGCATATGGACAAGCTTTATTCTACACAGCCTGGCTCAGGGTAGGGAGCCGACATTTTGGGTAAGTAGTCTAACATCGGGAATCCTCTAGCTGTCCTCTGAAGCGGCCGCACCGGTAATAATCTCGACAAGTTCGCCAGTAATGACGGCTTGACGGGTACGGTTGAAGAGAATCTGGAACTTGGTGATCATCTCACCGGCGTTCTTGGAGGCGTTCTGCGACATGTCAGCACTTGATCCAGCTCATGTGTATGGGTTGTACGTACGTCCATAGCGTTTCGTCGGGCAGACTGCTCGCATGCGTGGCCCTCGGCAAGCGCCCAGTACAGCGAGTTGGCAAGAGCGTATTCGCGGAGATTGCCGAGAACTTCGTCGTCGATCTCGAAAGCGGCGTAGTTGGCTGTGACTATGTCAGTTCTGTGTCTCCAGTCCTTGTGTACTCCAACTTACGCGACTGCCTGATGGCCTCCTCAGAGAATGCCTCAATCGGGAGAGCCTCGTAGCTCGTAGCGTTGATAAACTTGTTGTAGATGATCTTGACGGAAGAGTAGTCGGTCGGGAGCGTCGAGATCTGGTCGGCGATGGCGGAAGCGTCGGCGAATGTGGGAACGTCCTTTCCAACACCGGCGAAGCTGAGCACCATGTTCTTGCCGTTGGAACGGGACAACTGCGCCTTGCACTTCTCGCCGATGACGACCAGATCGGCCTCGGGCTCCTCGAGGAGGATCTTCCTGGTGGCCCTGGACATACCAGAGTGGATACCACCGCAGAGACCCTTGTCGGAGCTGCAGACCACGATCAATGTCTTCTTGCCGTCGCCCTCCACAGGCTTGGTCTCGGCCTGATCGAACACGGTGTTGGACGTCTGACCGTACTGGCGGGACGACTCCATGGCCCTCTGAGCGCGGGTGAGCTTGGTGGAGGCGACGATCTTCATGGTCTTGGTAATTTTCTCAATGTTGCGAATCGACTTCAGACGGCCCTCGATCTCGCGCAGGGTGGCATAGGTGGCAGCAGATGGGGCATTGAGGGGGGCGGGCCTAGAGAATCGCACGCGGGTCAGTTGCTGATGCAATTGGGGATGCAATGGCTGCTGGGTGGGCGAAGGGGAGACAGCTTGCGAGCAGGACTCCGTACCGTGCGGCGGCGGCCAGGCCAGCCCTCAGAGCGGGGCGCGCAGCTCGTGAAAGCATCATGGGCGCAATGAGGAATTGAGATGGAGCGGAGATGGCAGGCAGCCGGCGGGTCTGCGTGTTGCTTGCGGGAGGTGCTGCTGGTGCTTCGGGCTTGCGCTTGCAAGAGTTGCACCTGCCTGCGCTTGCCGCTAGCGGTAACATTACATAAGCGTCTCGCAGCGTCGGCAGGCACGACCCAGCCAAGGCAGCGGCCACCACGGCGAAGGCAACTTGCAGGGCAATATGGAGCAGCGCGGCCGTCCGTGAACGATAGCATTGCTTTCACTCACCGCATCAACAATATCGCGTGCACGAGGGCGCTGGCCCTGGTGGGCGCGCGTTATTTGCTGCGACGTGGGCGATTGTTACGGGAATATTACCGACTTAGCGGCTGCAGCAGGGACTCGATCGCGAGTCTCGTTCGTTCGTGCCTTTGACACTTAAAGAACCCGCAGCCCTCATTCTTCGCCCACACCTCGCCTTTTCCCTTCCACCATCACTTGCTCGTCGCACCTCTCGCGGCGAGCCCACATCTGCCTTGCACGCGCCCTTTCAGCACTGTTCCAGCCTCCCGAAGTACGCCAATTCGCTGCATCGCACGCCCGCGGGCCCTTACTGGGCGGAGCTGAACTTCGTCGTTCTCGTTTTCTCAACGTACACCGCGCACCCCAACGGCACCCTGCCACCCTCACCATGTCTTCATCTGACGACGACGCGCCCATTGCACGTGGCAGGACTAATGGAGGTGAGTCTCTCTGCCCTCTGCGCAAACCGTCTGTTTCACCTTTCACCTATAAGTTCGCTCACCCTGCGACGCTTCCGCGTCCTTCGTCGCGCCGGGTCTTACCTCAATCACACTTCATCGCCCGCCAACTCTCTGCACTATGGCCTGGACTGACACTTCCGCAGTAGCAAAATCCGAAGCCCGCATTCCCTTGGAAGTCGACCAAAAATTGGACAAGGAGTTCCCATCCAATGGCCATGTCGAGCCTGGCGTCTCCGTACGTATGGGACCGATTGAGCCTATGGACGTCGATCTTCCGGCCACGAATGGCACCGTCAACGGAAAGCGCAAAGCTCGCAACAGCATCACGAACGGGAAATCCTACAAGGAAGCGAGCTCTGATGAAGATGACAAGCCCCTGGTGCGTTTTATCGCCAGCTTCTTTGTTTTATAGCGCGCTGACTGGCCTCAGAACAAGCGTAGGCGAACATCTCAGCAGGTCGCGCAGACCAAAGACGACTCCGAGTCCGAACTCAGCGATGTGCCTCTGGTGGCGCGTAAGCCCCCAAAGGCCACAGCCACCCAGATTGGAGAGTCATCGGATTCCGACACGCCTTTGAATGAAAAGCTGGTGAAGCAGAAGGAAAAGATCGAACAGGCCGCTGCGAAAGAGGCAAAGGCTATTCGCAACAAAGAGAAAGCTGCACCTAAGCGCAAACCCAAGGAGGAGAGCGACAGCGACGACGAGCCCATCATCAAAAAGAAGAAACAGCCCGCAAAGCGTGTATCAAACGCCGTCAAGGACGAGTCAGACTCCGATGTTCCTCTTGCAAAGAAGAAGGCTCCTGCAAAAACCCCGGCAAAGAAAGCGAAGGCTGAGCCCGCGACTCCTGCAAAGAAAGGGAAAGCCAAAGCCGTGACCAAGACCGAACAGGACGAGGAGGCGGATCAAGAAGAGGATGAATACCGTTGGTGGGAAGATCCAACCAAGGGCGATGGCTCGAAGAAGTGGACTACCCTAGAGCATAACGGCGTTGTATTCCCGCCAGAGTATCAGCCTTTGCCGAAGCATGTCAAGCTCATCTACGACGGCATTCCAGTCACGCTCCATCCCGAAGCTGAGGAGGTTGCTACTTTCTTTGGCAGTATGCTCAACTCTACCCACAACGTGGAGAACCCCACCTTCGTCAAGAACTTCTTCGAAGATTTCTCTACGCTCTTGAAGAAGACCGGCCATGGAAAGGACAAAGATGGGAATACTGTCAAGATAACGAGTTTCGAGAAGTGCGACTTCAAACCAATCTTTGAGTGGTTTGAGTCTGAGCGCGCGAAGAAGAAGGCACTATCCGCTGCCGAGAAGAAGGCTCTCAAGGCCGAAAAGGACGAAGCTGAAGCTCCCTACATGTTCTGCACGTGGGATGGTCGCAAGCAGAAGGTCGGCAACTTCAGGGTCGAACCTCCAAGTCTCTTTCGTGGTCGTGGCGAACATCCCAAGACCGGGCGCGTCAAGAAGCGAGTCATGCCGGAGCAGATTACTATTAACATTGGTAAAGAGGCCAAGGTCCCGGAACCTCCCGCAGGGCATCGTTGGAAGGAGGTCAAGCACGACCAAGAAGGCACGTGGTTGGCTATGTGGCAGGAGAACATCAATGGTGCTTATAAATATGTCATGCTTGCAGCCAACTCCGATATCAAAGGTCAAAGCGACTACAAAAAGTTTGAAAAGGCTCGAGAGTTGAAGAAGCACATCGACAGAATCCGAACCGACTACAAACGTGATCTGAAGGGGGAGAAGATGGCGGACCGTCAGCGCGCCACAGCCATCTATCTCATCGATCAGTTCGCTCTTCGTGCAGGTAACGAGAAGGGTGAAGACGAAGCCGACACTGTAGGTTGCTGCTCTTTGAAGTTTGAGCATGTCACGTTGAAGCCACCGAACAAAGTCATCTTCGACTTCCTGGGTAAAGACAGTATCCGCTTCTACGACGAGGTTACTGTTGATGAACAGGTGTTCAAGAATCTTAAGATATTCAAGAAAGCACCCAAGACGACGGGTGACGACATCTTCGACAGGCTCACCACATCAGCCCTCAACAAGCACTTGACTTCGTACATGCCTGGTTTGACCGCCAAGGTCTTCCGTACCTACAACGCGTCCTGGACCATGGCTAGACTTCTGAAGGAGATGAAGGCCACGGGCACCATCCCCGAGAAGGTCAAACAGTACAATGACGCCAACCGTGAAGTCGCTATCCTCTGTAACCACAAGCGAACCGTCGCTGCCGGCCATGCCGGCTCCATTGAGAAGATGCAAGAAAGAATCAATGGTCTGCGGTATCAACTTTGGAGGACCAAGCAGATGATCATCGACATCGACCCTAAGCAGAAGAAGAAGAAGGGTGCCGACTTCTTTGAACGCCCGGAGGACCTCACCGACGAGTGGGTTGTGGATCACATCGAGAAAGAGGTGGAAGAGAAGCGCACGAAGATCCAGAAGAAGTTCGAAAAGGACAATGAGAAGCTCAAAGCCAATGGCGAAAAGGAGATGAAGCCGAAGGCGCTTGACGAGCTCCTCAAGGAGGCTGACGACTTGGGCAAGAAGATGCGCAAGGAGCACAAAACTGGCAAGGTGGAAGCGGAGGGCAAAGGTCCTACCGTGGAGAAGATGGAGGCCAACATCGAGAAGCTCAACCAACGCATAGAGAACATGAAGATCCAGATGGAGGACAAGGAGGGTAACAAAGAGGTGGCCTTAGGCACCTCAAAGATCGTGAGTCTCTTCACTCTGGCCAATGTATGCAAACACTAATGTGTAGTAGAACTACATCGACCCCCGCCTCACGGTTGTCTTCTCTAAGAAGTTCAACGTCCCAATCGAGCGTTTCTTCTCCAAGACTCTTCGCGAGAAGTTCGATTGGGCGATCAAGTCAGTTGATGAAGACTGGGATTTTTAAACGCGAAGGCGCGGCCTTCGGGCCATGTCTCGGGTACTGCATTCAGCATTTAGTGAGGCGTTGATCTGAAAAATGCTATCTAGTGGATGAAGCAGGGTGGATTGACTCTGCGTCTGAGCCGTTCTGTACGGGCAAGATGGGTATGCTTCGAGCATTGTTACTATGCGAGGTGGTGCGAATTGGTTGGCTCTGTTTCTTTCCAGCATAGCGGTCGGGTTGCCCAGTCAAGATTTGAGTCTAGTCACCGCCTCACCGCGTAGAGCTTGCCTAAAGCTTGCATTGGTGGGGGCATCGAAAGCTAGACATTCGTAAATCACAAATCCTATATTACCATCTTGGTGTGCAAAGTCCGCAGAAACTCGATGGAGGGTTTCATTGGCTGGTGAGGCGAAGATGGGACGGCAGAGGATGCATGCAGGTGCGGGACGAATGTTGCATTGGCGGAGCGCTGCAGCAGAACCATGGCAGCAGGTGGGAGCGACATGGTATTGGAGAGGGCTTATTTACCCGTCGGGCTCGCCCTCGCTCTCGCTTGGGCTGCTCGTTTCCGTCGACTGGGGCGCCGTGGAAACACTTGTGTGGCTTCGCAAGGCATTGAACCATTGGAACGAGGAAGGCCGTAGAAGCGAAGTGTTCGCCGCGGCCAGCAGGTCGACAAGTTATGTGGGTTGATGCTTGTCAGTTTTATTGCCGTGTTGGATATGAGCAGAGGGGCTACATGGCTTCTTAAGGGGGTTCCTGCGTCCAACCCAATCGGGAGTGCATGCAGCTTGATATGCCCGCCCGTTGATGTGCAACGCGATGCGCGCCCGATATCGTGCCCAGGATCGTCCGGTGATACACGGATGGCAATCGACAGATGGCAGGGCTTGAACGACTGTGGGTCTACGTGGGCATGATTGCGTTGCAGAGGTAGGAGCGTCGGTGTCAGAGTGAAAGAGTGCATGGCTAGCATGGTCGATTGACTCGCGCCGCAAGCGTCCACGGAGGCGCCCACGATCTCGATGGCGCGCAGAGGGATGATGCTGCTGCTGCTTCCAGTGCTCTCGACGAACCACAGTCGCGCTGATGGTCGCGCACAGAACGCATTTCTGGGCTGCGACCCGCGAGCAAGGGGTGAAAGGCGCCTCTCCCCGCTAAGGGTGGATGTTCGTCATGCGCAACGGGAGCGTGCCGTCAATCAAGCGCCCTTGTGGTGTGGAGCCCGCCATGTTAGCCTGGCTCTGAAGCCTGGTACCGCGACGGACACGGCCAGCAGCCGCCCAGCAGCCGCTTCGACGTGCCTGGCGGACGCGGCCATGGCATCGCGGGGGGGTTCAGACGTCCAGAACAGTGAAGTCTCGGTGAGCGTCACGGCGGGCATGCATGCAGCGATGCTCCACAGTGTTCCCACCGCGAGCCCGATGCAGTGCATCAGACAGCGCGATGCTCGTACCAGGACGCTACTTGACGCCTCGGTTGGTCAATGAGAAGGCTGCTGCATGCCACTGACTCTGGAGCACACAATAAACTCGACGTCGCCACAAGACCTCACCGAGATTGCCGTGTCGCCCATTTTTCTCTCCTGATCCTGCCTGCGCCTGCTGCTCGCATCCAGCGGCGCGAATCCCCCTCTCCAATCGCCAGTTACGCGCCCCCTGTACGTCCTGCCCGCTGACGGAATCGGAGACACGGCCCTGAACCAACGTCCATCCTCCGCTCCGTGCAGCGTCCTGTGATAGCAGATACACAACAGTTCCTCCACACCAGAAAATCCGCCGCGCTGCTGCACTGAACCACCTTCGACGATTTCTTCTCAGTGCTCGCGCTCGCCATGGCTGTCGAAGAGGGCAGCAGCACCCCCGCCGCAAGCGACAAGCCCGCTGTTCTGATCATTGGTGGGCTGGGTGCGTCATGCGCGGGACACTTTCGCGACGACGACGACTGCTAACACTGCGAAAGGCTACACCGGACGCTTCCTCGCCAAGTACATCCACGACAATAACCTCGCCTCGGAAATACGTCTCGTCGACAAGCACCTGCCAGAGCTTGCCTGGCTCGCCCCAGAGTTCAAGGATGTGTGCACTAGGGAGCGCTTTGTGCAGGCCGATGCGTCGAGAGAACGTACGTCTCCACAATGCAAACAGTCGCGGGTTTGGACTATACTGCTCAGGAACAGCTCGCTGACCGCACACAGAGTCGTTTCCCCGCATATTCGACCGCCCGAATGGCAAAGAGTTCGACTTCGTCTTCAACTGCGGCGGCGAGACGCGCTTCTCGCAGGAGGACGAGGTCTACAAGCTGAGGACGTACGGCCTCTCCATGGCCATGGGCAAGGAGGCCGCGCGTCGCAAGGTCAAGTGCTTCATTGAGAGCAGCACAGGCATGGTGTACAAGTCGGACTCTGTCCCGCGCAAAGAAACGGACAAGACGAAGCCATGGTCAAAGCTCGCAAAGTGGAAGCTGCAAGCCGAGGAAGATCTTGCCAAGATCGAAGGTCTGAATCTGCTGGTATTCCGCATGTCGCACGTCTATGGCCCGTACACGAGCAAGTTTCTAGCAACAGCGCTGTGCATGGCCCGCGTTTACCAATCCCTGGGTAAAGAGATGAAGTGGCTATGGAAAGAGGACCTGCGGACCAACACAGTCCATGTCGACGATGTCGTCCGAGCATTGTGGACAGGTGCAGAGTGGTTCGTCCAAGCCCCGCGTACCTCACCACAGACCTTCAACATCGTGGATCACGGAAACACTTGTAAGTTGATCATCCCGCGCATCCGCCCAATAGCATCCTACACATCTCCAACTATTGATTGCGAAATTTCGCTTCCTGGAGCATTGGCCTCTCCCCACTCGTCTGGCCGAATTTGACTAACAATTCGATAGCTCAAGGCCTCATGGCGACACTAATGCACGACACTTTCAATATTGGCACAGGGTTTCACGGCACGCTCATCTCGACTTTCGCGAGGATGAACCTGGACCACGTGGTCGACGAGGTCAACGACGAGACGCTAGATCCGTGGGCGGAGCTACAGAACCAGGCCGGCATCAGCAACACCACCCCCCTAACTCCCTTTATGGAGAAGGAACTCCTCCACAACACTGACCTGAGTCTGGACGGGAGTGCTTTCGAGCAGGAAACGGGCTTCAGGTGAGTCATGCCACAGCTCCAAATTAGCAAAATATACTAACGACCCCACACAGATACCAACACGAAAAGCTGACCAAAGAAGAGGTGGAGAAGGTGATAGAGAGCTACAAGACGATGGGCTGGTGGCCGTAGCCTTTCCCCAGGCTCGCCCTTCTCTTCCCCTTCCCCTTCTGATACCCTTTTTCACCTTTCCATGCTTCACCCTTCACGATATCCCGATCCGCACGACGCCTCGCTCGCTACGTCTCGACGGACCTTTTGTACATCCTTTAATATTCGAACCGGAGCGTTTTGCGCAACTTCCTCAGCCGAGCACACGGCCGCCCTTGCATTCGCGGAGTTGAGATGCCTGCTTGCATTGTTTGGAGCGTTGATCGGAGCTGTCGTTTTTGTTGTTAACCTACAGGCATCTGCATATTCTACACCCGATGAGATAATTTGTTTTTTACTTGGGGCGAAGGAGTGGATGCTAGGTATATATGCTTCAACGCAAGAATTACTATACTGAATCTGTCGAATAATGTGGTGAGGGATTTTCGCAAGATTATAGGGCTGTTCACATGATGGTAACACGACGAGTCACAGCAGTTCACGCAGAGAAACCGAAATTCTGGCGCACCTGATCCCGGAGTACCTCGCTCTATTATACGTCTGTAAAACTGATTTCTGATAACTAACTGTGTATGATCACATACAGTAGTCCGCCATAAAGAACTTAGTCCATTTGTCAGCCACTTTGGGCAGCGTGCAATGCGCATATTCGGTCAGCCTGCTGGGAGAGTAGATGGAAGCCGTGGTGTAGACAACAGTCATGCTTCGGTTGCAAGTGGCCGTGGTGAGTCGCTCGTTGCCGACGAGCCGGCGACGGGCCGATGATAGCATTCCCACTTCCGCGATAGGCTTCGAGGAAACCATGTTGAAGACAACTGAGACGCCCGCAAATTCCAAGCAAATTTGTTCAAATTAGCTTAAAAAGGTTCGACTCTGGTCTCCGGACTGTGCAGAATGTTCGATCCCTTGCATCACAGCGCTCATGGGGATTCCGACTTTCCCATGTTGCTCCTCCCGCTAGCGTTAACGTGACATGAGGGAAGGAACCACCGGGACACCCTTCCCTCTTTCCCCACAAATCGTGTAGATATCAAACACACACAATCATGCAATTTCTCACTCTCCTACGCCCTCCATGACACCGCCACCCAGTAAACCCACCCTGCCATCCTCATCCCAATCCTTTCACCTCTCCGCCCTCAACGTGCTCCCACCCCCACCACAGCCCGACTCGGGGGCCTTCCTACGAGCAGACAGACACGGCACCGCGCAAGAGCTAGAAGACATCCCTCATCATCCTGTTTCTGCGCGTACCTCTTCACGAAGCAGTCTAGGCTCCAGCACGCGCCCCTCCCACACCAGCACAGCGGCAGATACCTCGGGCTCCAGGCTCCGCTTGGGAAGACAGACACTGCGATGGCACGACCGCGTGGTGCGATTCTGGACGAGTAATGTCAGTGTGACGATTGAAGAGGGCGCGCACAGAGATCATCTGGGTATGGTACCCTCTCCCTCCCTTCCCCCCTCACATGCCATTGGTTGATATCCCCCAGCCCTCGAGCGCACCTTCCTCGGCTACCTGCGCACCTCGCTCGCCCTCGTCATGACGGGCATCATCACCGCGCAGCTCTTCCGTTTGCAGCACTCTTCCTCACCCAATCCGCGCATCGGGTTCGTTGTGCTGGGCGTGCCGCTTGCGGCGAGTTTTATTGCGCTCGGCATGCTAGTTCTACTGCTAGGAGCGCTAAGGTTTTGGAGGCAGCAGAGGGCGCTGGTGAAGGGGAGGGTGTGGGCCGGGGGCTGGGAGCTGCTTGTGATTATGGGGATGAGCTTGGCGGTGAGTTTGAGCGTTGGAGGTTGGGGATGGAGAGAGGCTGATTTGGATAGATTACTGCCGTTACGTTTGCGATGCTGGTTTGGGTGGATGTGGATAAGGGGTAGAGGTCGCTGTGTGTGAGTTGCGTGGCACAAGAGGGAGCTCTCATGGAAGGTGTACACCGGCGATACAGCACTAGGCCCGCATGCTGAGTTCGTGTAGCCGTCCAAGTCACTTCCGGATCATGACAGATATCTGACCGGCGAAGGCCTCAGCATATATCCGGTGTTCGGGGTGCTACGGGAGGAGAGGTTGATGTTCAGGCAATGTCGGTATTAACACTAAAATTATATTCTTGTCCAGATATGTACATGGAATGGTGGTCACATCAGTCCAGCCCCGCTGCCTACACAAGCGCAACCACAACCACCGCAACAACTACCTTCTCCACCATTCCCCGCCCTATCCTAACAGCCAACCCACTCGTCGCACTCGTCGCCGCAGCAACCGTCGCACTCGACCCCGTAGCCCTCGCAGTCGTGCTCACCGTCGAGCTAGACGACGTGTTATTCCTCTTCTCGTCCACATCTCCTGATGCATCAAACAGCCCCTTCCCATCCGTCGCGCGGGACCAACCTAGCGCACCCCCACTTCCATTCACGGCCCTCGCCCTGAGATACGTGCCCAAACTAACACCCCCAAGCTCCACGCTCGTCTCGAACCCCGTCCGGTTCGCCGAAGCCGCATACCGCCAGGTCCCGTTAGTCGCGTTCGCAGAGTAGACGTCCCACCACTGTACCTCCGTGGCACCGTTCCAGCTGACGTACGCAGTGTGCGCGTCGGTGTCGAGATGGATGTCTGGCGTCGTGATGGGCTTGCCGGTCCAGGGGAGCTTGTAAGTGCGGTAGCCGTTGACGGTGTTTGTGGCGCCGAATTGGGCGTCGAGGAGGAGGGTGCCGTTGGAGGAGAATTCGGCGAGGAAGGGTTGGTTGCCGTAGCCGAGGAAGTAGTTCTAAGTGAAGTCAGCGGTTTGTATTGGGTAGGGTGTGAGGTGCATACCGTGTCGCTGCTGCTGGGATCGAGGACTTGCAGGCTGCCCTCGAACTTTGCAAAGGTTTTGGCGCCGTTGTAGAACTCGTGAATGAGGCTCACAGTCTTGGCGTCCTGGTCGACGGCGAAGAGGAGACCGCGGGAGTAGCCTACGGCGTCGGTGGGGCCGTTGTCGAAGATGGTCATGCGTGTCTGGTTGCCATCGACCCAGCGGGCGTCGTGCTGGAACGCGAAGACGGCCTCGTCTGCGACGTCGAAGTCGGACTGCTTGCCGCCAAGACGCCAGATGATGTCGCCCGAGCTGGAGATCTTGAACACGGCGTCCATGACGCGCCCCGAGATGAGATACTCGCCGTTCGCATCCTTGAGCACGCTGTTCATGTGGAAGTAGTCGAAGGGGCTCCCCTCGCTCCCGGCGTCGCCGAGCTCATTGACCGTCTCGTTGACGCCGACATGCGTGCTGGCGTTCCACTCGAAGACCAGCTTGCCGCTGCCGATATCGATCTCCTGGAAAATGCAGTCGAAGATCCAACCATCCTTCTCGCCTCCGACATCAGACAAGTCCGCCTGCTTGGGCGTGTAAATGATGACGAGCGCCGTGTCGTCCGACGTGATGGTGAACTCGTGAAGATCGCTCAGCTCCTCGTATCCCACGGCCGAGAAGTGCGCAATCTCGGCGTAAGACTGGTTGAGGATATAGTAGGAACCGTGGCCATACCCATCGAGCAGCTCGCCGCTCCAGAAAGTTAGCACGGGCTCTCCCTTGTACATCTGCGTTCTGAAGTCGAAAGGCTCGGTGTAATTTCCTGTCCAGACTAATGTCCCCAAGCGGTCTGGCGAGAAGTCCCAGATGGTAGGCCAGTTCTGGCCGGAGGTAGGCGCACCGTCGACGCCGACGAAGACGAGGCCGTCAGCGAGTCCAGTCTCGTTCTTATTGATCTGCATCTGGGGCGGTTTCACATCTGCATTCGATTTGAAGGTCTGGTAGGGCGCGCCTGAGGCATCATCCTTGCCGTAGGTATCGAAGTCGAAAGAGACGGAGTCCTGCGCGTAAACACATCGGAGCGCAGCGAGGCCCAAAACGAGCGTTTTCATTCCCATACTCTTACAATCAGTTCCACGACGGCTGTGTAGAAGCGCGCAATTCGAGGTAGAAAGCACATCATGTGGGCAGATTAAGTGTTTTATTTGTTTGCCCTAGGGCGATGCGTAAGAGACTGACTAGACTTGGAGCCATCATTTCGGGTGGTGGCGCCGTAGGGAGCGGCTGTTAGCTGCAAGTGGCCTAGTGATAAGCGGGTTCGCGTGCAAATCGGTATGGCGGTACGCGTCGTCGCGTGGTACGCTGACTCCAATGCTGTATACTCCGCGGACAAGCAATCGTGAGCAGCGTGATGTCGCTGATCAGATGAGAGGAGACGCTGCAGGTGGTGTTGCGCAACATCCGATGTGAAAGACAGGCAGGAACGCGCGGCTAATCGTTCCCGTAGCGTGCAGCTATCGCGAACTACTACCAGTGTCCTGGGACGAACAAGAACTTCACTTGGATAACCAGGACGAGACGGCACCGAATTCCGATGCTTGTACACTAAACTTGGCCGAATGCCCCCTTCTGACTAATGATGAGTCGTCCACAATGAGACTTCGCAGAGACTATGCTTTTCGTGGCTGCTGTCCTATTCCACGCAGAGGTGATTTTCGAAAAATATAACAGAAAGGCTGTCACAGCAATGGCACTCTTCTCTTTCCATCGAACATTGAAAATGTTGATTTGATGACATTTGTTGAGGGGGCTGATGATGCGCGAGATTTGCTCTAGGTATTGGGACGGATGGGGTGCAATCATATCTCAGACCACCCTAAGGTGTTTCTGCGGGTCAAGTACGCATTCACTGTAGCCGACAATATGGAATAGGTTTTTTTGGACGCATGAACATTGAGGATAAATTATAGTGATATAATTCTACGAGCGTATAGTGTAATGAGTTACCGCTGCACTGGATATGGTCTAGTGATCTAAGTTTTGTGTTAGCCACTGTGGTTCTTTCGGAAGTAAATTTCCTCTAGTCTTAAATCTCCAGAAAGAAAGACCATGGGAGGACTGCTGATCAACATATCGTAAGCGCACATCCAAAGCGTCGCAGAGTGAAGGTTTTGATCAGGTAAACTTGCACCCACCCAATTCAATGGATACAGCGTGAAAAGTAAATACAAAGGCTTAAAAAGGATGAACACAGCGAACCCACCGGTTCTTGCCTCCTTTTTGTGCCGCCCCAAACCCTAGTAGAAGGGATGCCGAGTTTGCTCTCTTAGGCGGTCTGCGTGCACTCTAGCAAAGTCTGGAAGCGCGCCATTCCGGCAGTGACTTCACACTGGATATCATGCGTCATATCAACCCGACAAGATCCCACAACACCACCCTCCAGGTTCACCATGGTATTGTCGCGGTCAGCATACCAAGCTGCACCAAGCCATTAGCCACACCCTCTCATATCTTTCACTCAACTGTACGTACTCTGATGAAATTCCGGGAAGTGCTGCTCCACTTCAGTAGGACATTCGGTGGCCCACCAATTACCCCCGTGATCGCAGTCACCCTCCTCGGACTCCATGCGTACACCCTGCTTGTCGCCGCTCACGTCTGATCTGTCGTTCACGAGGGGCGCGTCGATCATGGTGTTGCATTCGAGATTGTCGACGTGTATCCACTGGTAGCCATCACCGCCGACTGGGCCCGGTATGAAGGATGTGATATCGGTTGCTACGAGCCAGTAGGCTTTTGCTGAGGAGATGTTAGAGAGGCTGGTTGCGAGTGCGAGCAAAGACGTCCTGGCGAAAAGCATCTTGGAATGACAAAAGAGGTATAAGGTGTTGGGATGGTGTGCTTATGTTGTGAAGTGTTTGTTCGCTGTGATGACGAGAAGGATGATAGGAATAGAGTTGAATTTATAGATGTGGTCGGCAATGCACTCCGTTGTCTGGTGGAACGCTGATGCGTCCATTGCCCCCATGATGCGGAGGTGGTTGTGAGGACCGTGCTACCGTTGCATGTAGTATGACAATGAACTCGAAGGATTGGAGTTAAGCTTCAGCTTCAAGGTCTGGTATTGGGTTTAAAATATACTGTCGCCGTGACATACTACTATAGTAAGCGTCCTTTCCCCCAAGCATTTGGATAAAGGTAGAATATATATAATACAAGCGCTGTGTATATCTTTTATGTATGAATTTACAGTTACTCTCTTCCGACGATAAAAGCGACGAGTATTTGAGTCTTGAGAAGAAGAAATTAAGACTACGTTTGTTTCGATAGCCATCTTCAGCCGCTCGGGTCAGCGTTTGCTATTCAAGGGAGCGTGGATCCTGTGAGCACGGATATATTTCGAGGCACCAAAGACCATTGATCTGCATTGACACAGCAACGATCTCAATTTGAAGCATCCTTGAAATGCAGGAAAAGTTTCGTTCCTGGCAACAATCTGATTGCGACTCCGTCTCGGTGTTATGACACTGTCAGTCTCAATAGCTTTCTATCGACAGAAATTGTGTTCCTCAAGCATTGGAGACTGCCTGTTACAGCAGAAGAAGTCCCCATCGGCGATGAGTTGCCGACGAAGAAGATTGATTATGCCAAAATAGGTAAAGTATCATCGAAGATCTCGATGAGTCGCCAAGAGCTGTCAAATAAATCAGGCAGCGGACCATACGCTCGGGTCAAAAGTCTGGCAGGCAGGTTTGGGACATCTTTTTCGTAAATGGACTTGCCATGATTTGCGATTGGCTACCCCTTTCACAGTAACCAGGTTTGTGGCCCGAAGGATCACCGCTGTCTCTTGATTAGGGTTATATATGATGTTTTAAGACAATTAGGCACAATCTCACTGGTCACTAGACAGCTTTTCATGCTACAGTGACGTATGGTCTCACGACATCATAGATGTGAACAAAATGCTTGACTCGTAAGGGCATCTCAGAATGCATGTTCAAGTCTCGTGTTTCTCTGTTTTAAACGTTCTCAAGAGTTATATCTTCTACTAGAACCCCAACATACAAATATATAATATCTAGGTAAACGCTAAGAGCTCGGAAAACGGACTATAATGATGTTCCGTTCACTGATGTAGAATTCGGAGACTTGTAATGAAGTCATATACCCGGTGCCCTTTGACACAAAGAAATCCTACACTTGGCATGGAGGCTTGCGTCAACTAGTGACATACTGCCTCCAATGCCAAGTCCGCCCCCAGCCATCTCACTCGCTACACTACCGCCAAAAGACTATGACGCAAGAGGCGTTGGCGGAATGGGAATATCCCCTGCTCGCGAAGGAGCTGTCTGGACCATTTTGGGATACACTGGACACATAATATTACCCGCTACCCGCCTGTCTCGCCTCAGACATACGCTCCATTCCCTCGAAAGGCTCCAAGCATCTGTCAAGAATATGTAGTTGTCCCATTAGCTTTCGAAGTAAGTAATTAAGCGTAGTCACGCCACAGTCCGGGGCCCCGCACATGTTTCGTAATATCGGGTGTAATGTTGTGGTTCAACCGTAAGCATCTACCCTTCCAACTCCACCATCAAAGCCATCAGACTAAACGCCACATTCTCCCCACCCCCTTCTTCCCTCATCCGCTCCCTAATAACCCTCCTCCCTGTCTCTCCCAGCATGTCCTCACCACTACCCATATCCTCCCCCCTCTTCACCGGTCCCATCTTATCCCCATCCAACTCCCAAATCACCTTTCCCTTAACATCCTTGGTAAAACACACATAGTGAAAATTTACTTCATCCTCCGGGTTCTCAGAAACCTCACTCTCACCCTGCTCAGCAGCATTCCTGTACGCAGCCTCGATCTCTATGGAGCCCTCCAGATATCTCGCGCGCTCATCTGAGCTTAGGGAGGCACATTCCTCTAAGAGTTTTGAGAGCGTGGAGTTTGGTTCTTGTCGTGATTAGTTGCCAGTCGTCAAGGGAGAATGGGCTATGTACGTATATACCGTGTTCCCTCCCCATTAGCAGCAGCATGCAGTATAGCATAGAGTCCGCAGGCGTTATTGATAGTCTGCTTGAACCACAAGACATCCCCATCTTCATGCCCTCCAGCCTGAGGCTTCTGCGATGCTGCTTCCGTGGCTCTGCGCTCTTCGTAGTCTGCGGTTGTCGGAAAGGTGAGGATCAGGGCTAGAGCTGGGTTCGGAAAGAGTGAGGGCTCATCGAGGGAGAGGACGTCCTTGAATCGGAGGGCGGGAGAGGCTCCGAGGGCGTGTATGAGCTGGGTGAATATGAGAGGATCAGACTCAAGTGGGATGAAGTGTTTTGTGTATTTTGGGGGGGCCATGATCGCCTGGTCGAGATGATATGGGACCTAAGACGGCTACCGATTTGTAGATGGAATGGCAAGCTGGGAGATTGTGGGTGCGGTTGCCCGGATGGGAAGCGGGGAGCTTAGCAGTGACATCGGCCAATCAAGGCGCACCACTGTTCACACGGAGGAAATCATCTCAAAATCTCCATTTGATCGTTACAGTACTAGACCGGGAGTTTGGGTACTTCATTGCTCCTCCTATCGTTGCATGGTGTACTCAAGCCTTTTGCCAAGACGGTCCAGTCGAAATGGTAATCGGCCATTTGCAGTCTAATCGAAATCAACATTCACCTAGTGCCACCGTCCCACCTGCCAAATTGCACATGTCCTTGTCCTCTCCTCCGCGCGCTCGTATGTACCGCGCTTCCTAGTCCGTTGTAAACGTATTCTCGCCCCATCCAAGAACCCGCTCCAAGCGCCTCGAAATCTGCAAGAGCTTCACACCTTCGATACGCGACTGGTGTGGGCGATGAATAGTCACGTCCTTCTGTCCAGTTTCCTTTTCACAAGGACTGAAAGTAACAACGGATCCAGACTTCTGGATGGTCGAGAACTTCAGGTCAGCCATAGCCGCCGTAAAAGCGTCCCAGGTGATTGAGCCACGGGCTACGGTGGACTTTGAGAATAGCGTCGAAAAGGCAGCGAAGGTGGACCCCTTGACCTTGAATATTTGCTGGGACTGGACGGGCTCCTCTCGAATGCGTGTGATTGCTGATTGCTTGCGGCGTGAGATCGTACACAGATGAGTGCGCTTGGCGTGTTTTCTCCTTCTGTCCGCGCTGTTGTACTCGCGCCTCAGAGGTAACAGGGGCGGCGGGGTTTGTATATTCTGTCTTCACCTTTTTGGACTTTTTTTTTTTTTGCTGCTCTACTGGTTCGTGGATCTTGGAAACACAATCGTCCACCAAGTCTTGGTATAGAAAGCCAAGCTTGGTGCCCCTCGTCTCCACAACATATTCATCGAATGATTTGAGGGCGCCATTGGCCATCCCTGGCTCCAGTAAGTTGTCGACCTCCTCGACTGCATGAAAAGCCGTAATGAAAGACCGCCCCTTCTTGTTGCTGAAAGCAGGTAACGGCACTGTTGAAGAGAGAGACGGGATGAAGGTGACAATCAGGGCAAGGTCGCCTAGAGCATTGAACTCTCGCTCGTCCATCTTCTTCTCTAGAAGATGAGCCCGATGCAATACCTCGAGCTTCTGAAGCCATGCAGCAGATTACCACGTTGTGTCGATTTGACAGAGTGTGAGCATGTAGTGTAGTTGTGGGTTCTCTACCGTAAAAGATTCCGGGTCGCGCTTCATAGCGATACGAACTGTGCGGTTCTTTTGCTTGCCAGACATTCGCTTGAACCACTTGCTGCCACCTGAGCCTGTGGCTACATTTCGCCTGAACATGCCCTGTGCTTGTTTATATTCTAGATCGCACACGTTGGAGAGTTCTTGCAGGATAATAGCGCGAAATAGCTTATCAGACGTGCCGCTCAGTAAAGAACATGATATTCACCTCATATGCGAGAACCGTTGGCTCCGTGCAGATCATTTCGAAGTATTCTTCCAGATACGATTGTCGGTCTAGAGAGCTTTCGAGAAGCTCAACAAGCTCAACCTTTTTCGGAGGCGCTTGAAAAGATAGATTGGAAAGTGCTGCGGTCGCTGCCTCGACAGACTTCTTTGGTCATGTTTTCTGGTCACGGGTCGTAGAACCGGCTTCAAGGATGTCTTCGATAATGATGTTGAGAGATTGTAGCAGGTGCTGTTGTCGAAGCAGAATGAGATTACCGGTTGATTAAGGGACAACCAATTGAGCTCGCATGGCTGGAGCCATGGCAGCAAGGAACCCTTTTTTTGTTACCACGCGCGGTGACCTTGACTGACTTTCCGTAGCTCTCTTCGTAAAAAATTAGTGTATAACCATCCTTGACCTTAGGGGCGTCTGCAAGCTCAAGGGTTTTTTTATTCATCATGTCGACGATGTGTAAATGGTCTCCAAGGCCACCAGTGACCCCCGATTTGTACTGCTCTTGCAGCGGGATTGTTGCTCTATGCTTGAGCATATCGAGAAGGAAATCAGAAGATAGGCCTACGATGTCCCGCGAATTTCACTCAGGCTTGAAATTACACACATTACCAAGGCTTGCATCTGTGGGGCTCTTTAGGACGTCACCAGAGCCCGCTGTCAGGACTTTTGCTTGTTGTACTTGGTTGAGCGAACGCCACATTTGCTCACTGCGAGGGCCATGGCGTTTGTACTTCCGTGTCTTAAGTCGCGATGGAGGGCCTTGATTGACTCATCCATTGCATCCAAGCCGGGGCCGAGGGGATTATGCGTGCTATTGGCATAGGGGTGTGTGTGATAGCTGTTTGACCTCGGTTCGGATCTGGGGCTCTTGGATCATAGCGAGCCAGCGAAGGATGTCTTTGGGAATTGTCAGGTGTGATGTTGAGGTGCCGCGAATGACAGCGAGAGTGCAGTAGCAGAAGCACTCCAGGGGCTAAGTACGGACAGTGTTGACGCTCCGGTAACTCAAGGTAGGTACGCATCACCTGCGTTTCGACCTAGCATGTCTTGGCAATCACGTGGCGATTCTTGCACAGGCAAACTTCAAAGTCGCTGCTAATATTCCGCCACAGCAGAGCTGATAAGATCGCCAAGACATTAACACCAGTATTGCATGCTTCCCTCAACAAATGATTACACAGCCCAAGCAAGAAGACAAATCATCAAAAAGCCACCCTGGGTATATGCGAACGCATCTCTGAAAACAACATACAAACTCCCTTTCTAACGCCGTTCATTATCATGTGTCTGGCCCAGGGGCCGTATTCTCCACCTTGATCGCAGGTGGCGGAGGTTCCTCTGGCTCGTATATTGGCCTACGAGGCGGAAGCGGTCCTTCTCGCCCCTCGTGGTAGACGTACTCGGGCACACCGGGGTAGTGGCGTGGTCGTTCGTAGGCGACCTCCACGTATTGAACATGCTCCGGTTCGAACTCTACGTATCGTCCGTAAGAATGGCGCGGCGGACGAGGGTCTCGAGGTCCTTGGATGACTTCGTACTCCTCGAGTGGTCGTCCGTACTCATCGACATACATGGGCGGCCGGCCCCCGCGCAGCTCCTCAGTATGACGACTATCAGCGTAGCGTAATCGCGGCGGTGGATAAGGATGCAGACGATCCTGAACGGATATGTAGTCTTGTTGAGGACGCCGAGATTGACGGGGGGCCTCCTCAGCGACTCCTCTTTCAATGCTTTGGTCTCGGGAGTACGTAGAATCCTGCTCGGCGCCTGGCTGCGGGGTCTCCTGTTGGTCGAGCCGACGGCGTTGTTCTTCATATCGCTTACTTTGCGAGCGGCTCATACTAGCCCCTCGAGCATACGGCTCTTCACGAGCAGCGCCTAGATATCTATGGTAGCGAGAGGGAACATGGTCATGGTATCTTTCCCTTCGGCGCTGCGGTCCAGGTCTCCTTAGTCCCCGTGTATTATCCGGCGTGGGAATTTGACGTCCAAACGAAAGGTAATCATCATTTTTTGAACCATTGGATACAGTGGAAGCTGTGCGGTGAGGGGCCACATGAGTTCGACGTTGTTCTGGGACTAGTTCGGGTACGACAAAACTGTGTGGCGGCGGTGTGTATTGAGACCCATCACCCGGCTCCGGACCTGCTGCACCGGGCTGGTGCACCTCAAGACGTGGCGTTCCTTGACCTGCGGGTGCCATTGATTGACTCGGAACAAATTCTTCCAAAAACCGGTCGGCTGTAGATTTGCCATCCACAGGACTGGGGCCGATCGATCCAGGTTCATTCCTAAGCTGATGTCCGGGGTGCCTAGTGTCATCTTCTACATACCGGACGTGCCGAGAGACAGGTCGATAGTCTTCCTCGTATCGTCCTGCACGGGCATGGGCGAATACAACTTCATCACGCCGATAGTAGGCTTCCTCATCGCGATACAGAGGTCGTCTTCCCGGATATTCCTCATACACTGGTTCGGGCTCCCGGTGATGACGAGGTCCCGGAGCGTACTCAATGTATTCCTGCGGACGATCGAGCTCCTCACGGTTAGGGTCCAAAGGCTGTGGTAATGAATTTGTGTTAGCCCCTTCACCACGAATGTTGACTTTCGCGGTTGACCTACCTGGTAACGTGGCTCGGCATAGTAACGCTGCCTGTGGTCTGCCGGACTGCTACGGTAAGAAGCTCTCCCGTTCGTCCTGGTTGAGATCCGTGTGGACAGAGCAGGCCGCAGGGGGTCATACTCATCCTCCATTGGTTTAGACAGCTTTGGAGAGCCGGTGTATGGCGATGCTAATGATGACGGACCGGATCCTCCAATGGATCTTCCCGGAGTTCCGCTAACATTTGCAGCATCTTTTGGATCCTTCGGCACGGACTCACCGTTGTCCACCTTGCCAATTCTAGGAAGTGGGGTAGGGAACAGCTTCGGAAACACGGTGGCTACCGTATGCAGCTTGTCGTCGTCCATGCCAGGGGCGTGGATAAGGCCAGAGATGAGGCGGTCGCTTGGAAGCTCTATCATGTCTTCCTTCCAGTCCAGAGATTTTGGCAAATGGCCGTTTCCAAATATCGGAGCCTGGGATCCAAGATGCTGAGACTTGAAGTGCAAAAATAAACTGGAGACTGTGTAAGTTTTCCTTTCCTCTTGACGAGGGTAGTGAGAAACTTCATCCTGGCAAGCTTTGCATGAAAGACCAGGAGCGTTTTTCAGAGCGCGGGGTACCTGGTGGCTGGAGAAAGCGTCAATAAAATGGTCCAGGTTAGGCTCATGGTTGAAGTCGACATGGAATTTGGAGATGACACGCTGCATCAAAACGTATACGCGGAGACTGTTCGGAAGATCCTTGACGCCAGAGGTCTGCTTCCAGATATCCAGGGCCATGTCAATGACTGTACTCACCTGCTTATCGAATAAGCTTGTGCGATGGTTAGCGTCATCTGACCTGTGTGACATGTCCTTCATGCCAGCAGCTTGTGATGGACCGCTTGGAGGAGGTGCGATGGCGGTATTGGACATCGCTGGAGAAGTCATGTATCCATTTCCCGGATGTGCTCCGTAGCCAGGTGGTGCCATGGATTGGTATTGATAAGCATCCATGGACGTGCCGTACGACTGGTTAAACTCGTACCCTGGCATTCCAGTTGAGCCCATTTGAGGAGGAGCAAATGGTCCCGGGTAGTGGCCATTGTACTGATACGGTCCGGGACTTGCTTGGGGAAGATGAGCTTGCATATGAGGAGTGGATGTTCCCGCACGCGAATACCCACCGTAGTAAGCGCCATAACCGGAGTGGGCAGCCGTGCCTGACGCGGAGTGGAAAGCAGGCTTAACAGAAGTGGGGTCTGGGTGGAACGGGGCTTCCTCTGGCCATTCAGCTTCTCTCCATGCAACAACAACATTGCCAACGCTGAATGCATTAGTGTGCTTAGCTCCAAAGTGCTGGACAACACCTTCGAAGCCGTAGAACTTCGTATTCCCTTCGCAGCCGGATCCATAGCACAGGAAAAGCTCTTTCCGGAACTGCTCGGTCAGATTCTTGATCTTGTTGTCATATACCCACTTCATACTATCCAATACAAGCTTGGGCCTATTGGGACCTGAACCGTCGTGGGATGTATCTTGGGAGTGTCCTGGAGCAGATGTTGCGCTCTCATTGGCAGTGTCGGCCATGAATATGCGGCGCACGTATACCAAGACATCCACGGCAAACTTCGGGCTGCTTTCGTAAGTCACTGCTCTGCCGCCGTCCCAGTCTCTGTTGATAAAATCGTCGGCAATGGCGCTGAGTTTGTCGCGAATGGGACGCTGCGTTTCGTCCCATTCCCGATCCATAATTTCTTTGGATTCCTTGGGGTTGACCTCCGAGGGACGGCGGTCTAGTGTTTTGGGAAGGGTCGTGAGACGCGACACGTGGTCAGCCTCCGCTTGTTGGGCAGCAGGGAGTTGGGCAACAAGGCGGGGCTCAAGCACGCTCCACGCATCATCGGTCATTGGCTGGGATATTTGAATGGCTGCCCTGAATGAGTCCATGTGTCGTAACACATTTGGTGGAATCGAAGGCCGCATCTGCTGACACCGTCGTTCGATATCTGCCCTGCGGTTTGCTTTGGCCTCGTTTGCATCGTGCAGTCCGCGCGGGTTGCCAGGCTGCGGCGTGTATTGCTGAGGAACAGTCGGCGGTCGCGAATGTATGTAAGGGTAAATTGGAGCTGGCTCTGTTAGGCTGTAGCCAAGGATGTGCGAGGACTGCAGCAATGCGCGATGCTCCTGGGCAGAAGCGAAGGTCGAAGAATACTTACTCGCTGGTAGAGGGGCATGGATAACAAGAGAGGGGGTATGTTGCGTTGGTGATCGGCCCAACTCGTTCAGGAACGTTTGTGGAGGGGCGGGCGTGCTCGATGCTACTGATTTTGTGTCGTTATGGGCCGACCACGACTGATACTTATCCTCCCAGCGACTCCAATTTTCTGCCAGCTTCATACGCTCATTACCGCGAGCGTCTAGTCCTTTTGACCACTCCTCTGCCGCGGCAGGCCCGAGGGCCAATGCCTCGTCTAGTTCGCTGCTGATCTCTTCTACCTGCGGCTTGTAGTAGTATTTGGCGATGTCAACAACGGCTGGGATGCTCGAAGCTTGAAGTACATGGGCAGGGACGTAGTTGCGGTCGTTCGTGATAAAGGCATAGGGCAGGGCGGCCCGAAGAGCGGATACGCTCGAGAAGAGCAAAGTCGCGTCCTACAGGGTCAATGCTTGTCCTCTGAATGCGTTGGTTCGACTCACGGTTTGACATCTTTCCATCAGACACTCTCCGCATGCCCTGATTCCAAACGGCCAGATGGTCCGTACACCGTCGTTGCCAGGACCTTTCTGCCAAATCTTCTCTCCTGTTGTTCCCAGGTCGAGCTTGTGGCAGAATTGGCATCTCCTAGACCAGGTGAGCTGCCACATCTGCAGCTCGGAAAAACCTGGAAGAGGTTTTGGAGATTTTACAGGAAGCGCATTGCGGGCTGCAGCCCAGATAGAATCAGACTTTATGAGACGCAGCGACCCAGGATCTGGGTCTGAAACAGAGACATCTTGCACATCGGTCAAATATGAATGAAACGATCGATTGACTTGAAGCAATCGACCCAAGTCAAAGAGAGAACAGCGAAGAAACACATGCTGCCATAGTGCTGGTGAAAGACCAGCACATGGTTTGAGCGCAGAAACACGGGGAGACGTAGACTCAAGCCTGCGCTTCTTCTGCTGGGGCAAGGCAGGCTCTTCTGCCTTGCGCTTTGTATTCACGACATCCTCTCGATGCTGTGCCGGGGGGGTGTTGGGCCTCGTCTCAGACCCGTAGAAATCCACCGAGGAAGCCGTGCTGGACTCGCGGTCGTCCATGGCTCCCCTTGGCAGGCGAAGCTCACAGGCGGAGCTCCACCAGACGCGCGCGACAGGCTGGCGACATGAATCGGCGACGGGACGGTTGCGCACGTAAGTGGGTGGTGAGTTGGGAGGCACGAGCTGCGGTGACGGAGCGGTCACTCGAGGGCAGGAGAATGCAAAAGATCGTTGGGGTTGCGGGGCGGATTCACATGGCCTGGAGCTGGTGTCGTAAGGTCTGGGGAGGAGGACAGGCAGACGGCCAGGGCCGGCGAGCTCGCAGAAGATGACGAGCCGCGGCCGTTGCCAGCCAACCGTTGCGTGAGGCGAGCCGCGGCCAGTGCGCTTGGACGACCCGGAGCCTCGCTTGGTCATGTGACAGATGACGCTGCGTGCTTGGCGGGCTCTGCTGGGGAAACAGCGGCCCGAGGAGGCTTGAGGCTGTGCGGCGGTGGTGGAGCAGAGCTGTGCTGATGCATGCACGCCCACGTAACGTACACAACACGAGTGCCTACGTGAACACGCATCCCCAGCCTCACTGTGCGCCACGCTCCCGGAGGCCCTGAATCACGTTTAATCGCGGATCCCTCCCCGTGCCAGCTCGACATCCTCGGACCCTCCGCTCCCGCTGTGTGCCCAAACACAGCACCCCACCGTCCTCGCCATGTCCTCGCTCAACACGTCGAGCAATGGCCCTAACATAAAACGGAGCTACGAGAACGTCGTCAATTCGCCGCCCCCGTCCGGCCCCCAGGCGAATTCGCCCACTTTTGGGCAGTGGGCTCTCTTTACCGTGCAAGCTCCCCTCGTCAGCGCCTTCCAGCACGATGGCGGCAAGGAGAGCGTCTTGAAGGTCCAGACGACCGGCGAGGGCGAGCTGGCCGATCTGATTGACGACTTCTCAGACGGGCGCATCCAGTTCGCATTCGTCAAAGTCAAGGACCCCAACTCGTCGCTTCCCAAGAATGTCCTGATTGCTTGGGTACGTGGCTCATGGATCTCGCTAGAAGCCAGGCTGACAGTTGTAGTGCGGCGAGGGTGTACCTGAGCGGACCAAGGGCTACTTCGGAAGCCACCTCGGGGTTGTCTCCAAACTGCTCCATGTATAGCGTTCGCCTCTGCACCGCGCCTCCAAACACTGACCACGTGTAGGGATATCACGTCCAAGTCACCGCGCGATCGGATGCTGACCTCACGCCCGAGCGCATCGTGCAAAAGGTGTCCGAGGCCTCTGGTGCAAACTACTCGGGGGCTCCGAGCATTCCTTCTTCCAACAAGCCCCCGCCCGTCGCCGCGAAGAAGCCCGTCTTCACACCTACACAGATTGGTGGTGGAGGTGCCGGCTTCAACCCGCTAGCGCGATCCCGAGCTGCACCCACGCAGGAAACTGACGCCGATGGATGGGGTGCTGATGCCCCAGAGGTTACCCGGTCGCAGCTGCAGAAGGTGGAGTCTGCCTACAAGCCCACCAAGGTCAACCTAGCAGAGCTCACTTCCAAGAGGGAGCCGTCGCGTTACCAAGCGCCAGAGCCGCAAGCTACTCCCTCAGACGTTGTCAAGGGTACCTACCAACCAATTGGCAAGGTGGACATTGCTGCACTTCGCGCCCAGGCGAAGTCATCGGCGCAAGATGATAGACCTACGGTGGTCAAGGGCGCATACGAGCCCATTGGAAAGGTCGACATTGCAGCTATCCGGGCCAAGGCGCAGGCCCCTCCGCCTTCGTCCGGTCTTGCACCCGCAGCAACCGGTTCCTCCGCCCGTAGCGACGACAACGATGAAACTCCCAAGTCCCTCGCGGAGCGATCAGCCGCGTTCAAGCAGCCGGAGCGGCTGACTAGCCTACCAAAGCCCAAAGTCGCAAACAAGTTTGGCGGCGCAAGCGCATTTACTGGTACGAAGGCTCCCGCGCCCAGCGAATTTGGCGTCAAGCCTGCCATACAGGCAACCGCCCCAATTGGCAGTGCCAGCAAGACCTTCGCAGACCAGGGAGGAAAGACACCGGCGCAGCTATGGGCAGAGAAGAAGGCCGCGCAGGGCCAACCTGTGAAGTCTTTCGCCACTGGCGAAAGTGCCTCAACTCCGGTACAAGCCCAGAAGAGCGGCGGCGGCGGCTGGCAGAGCGGATACACGGGCAAGTCTTGGGCAGCAGTACAGACGACCCGCACCGGCCAGTCTGCAGCCAGCAACCTTAGCGAGCAGCGTACCGGAGAACCTCAGCAGGAGGAAGCGCCCTCTTCTCCAGCTGGTGGCGTTGGTGCCCTCAAAGATCGCTTCGCGGGTGCCGCCCCTATGGGTGCTCCCACCAGCCGTCCCGTACCCGAGCCCTCTGCTCCTAGCCCGCCTGCGTTGGATAACTCGAGCAAGCCGAACGCCAGCGCACGCGGCGTCCCCATGCCAGGACTACCCAGCCGTCCCGCAGAACATGAAGAGGAAGATAACGATGTGCCCGCCGTCCAGCATCAACGCCTTCCTTCGCCTCCGCCTCAGCCTCCACGTAGCCCTTCACCGGAGCCCTCTGGCTCGCCCGTACGCATAGCTATGCCTGTCAGCCGCAACGCTGCACCTGCAGAGCTTTCGCCGGCCGAAGAGCAAGCCCCGCCCATGCCCACGCGCGGGCTCAGCCAAGCTGTTAAGGAGCATCGCGACCTCTCCCCCGAGCCTCAAGTAGAGTCGAAAGACTCCGCACGAGGTGCCAGCGCTGCTGTTGCGGCCGCCACCTTCGGAGCCGGTGCTGTCGCTGGCGCTGCGGTCGGTGCTGCAGCTGGTGCAGCGACAGGCGGAGGCAGTGGAGGCAAGCGTGCCGTCGCCCAGTACGATTACGAGAGAGCAGAAGAGAATGAACTCGAATTGCATGAAGGCGAGTTAGTCACTGACATTGACATGGTAGACGAGGATTGGTGGATGGGTACCAACTCCCGCGGTGAACAAGGGCTGTTCCCATCCAACTATGTTGAGTTGGTTGAAGACGACGGTGACGATGATGCTGGCGCCGGTGCACCTCCACCTCTGCCAACCCACCCCGCTGCCGAGGAAGAGCCCCCAGCAGGCCCACCGCAGCCCGCTGGCGGTAGCGGTGCCACTGCCGTAGCTATCTACGAATATGAAGCCGCAGAAGATAACGAGCTCAGCTTCCCCGAAGATGCCACAATCACCAACATTGTAAGTTATCTATGTTCTTAACTTCTACCGTTATACCGTTCTCTAACTCGTTCTCAGGAATTTCCCGACGAAGACTGGTGGCTTGGTAGCTATGGCGGCAAGTCCGGCCTTTTCCCTGCCAACTACGTGCAGATCAACGAATAGATTCTTGGCTCGAGTGTTCAGTTGTGTGGTATCGATAGGGTTAGTGAGTATCGATCTTGCATGCAGGTGGGCGCGTGTCGCTGCGCTTGTTAAGTGATTGACACGCGCCCGTTGAGTGATGGCATCGCAAGATGCATCGTTTGGCACAAAAAGTCCAAACAAGATCAAATGTAAATGTTACCTCTTACCTGTGCCCTCAAGCTGAAGCTTCACCATATGTCAGGTTGAGTTGACTTTGCGGGCTGGAATTTCGTAGTGCGCATACTTTGTTCCACAACACACCAACGGTTCACTCCACAGCCTATCCATGTCTCTCCACACCTGAACCACGTTTCCACACGAGTATTGAGGCCGCTAGCTCCTGAGCGCCTGTTTGCTCTTCCCAGTCTGGCGTCCCAATACTGTCCCTCGGTCCGTTTCTTCTCGCTCACCTACCGTCTTCCAGCAGTTCAGTGACCTAATATTTCTTCTCAGCACTGTCTCCCCCATTTTCTTTCTTTTTCCATCACATTACAACAGGTACTGAACTCGCTTCACTATTGAGTCTGCCCAGGCTGCACCATCGTTTTCAGAACCTTTCCACTCATATCACTTCAGACGCATCACCGTCCTCCATAGAGCCTCTTTGCCCACTACATCTAAGGTGAACAAGTCCATCACAGGCCCATCATCGTCCTTCAGAACAGAAACTGTTCACAACCTGTTCAACACTACTTGACAGGTCATCAAGCCCATCCCAGACTCATTACCACCTTCTAACTCGCAATAGTGTATTTTATAATACCACCCTCCCGGCGTTTTAAAATGTCACTCACTACAGCAATCGCCTCTATCGTCGCCACCCTCCCTTCCTTCTTCGCCGCCCTCCGCGGCCCCGACCCCACAGACTTTGACTTTGACTTCGACGACGTCTCCATCCCCACCTCCCCCAACGACGACGCCCCTGTCCCCGCCCAAATCCGCGTCCTCCGCGCCACCAACACCGCCCACCGCCACCGCATCTTCACCCTCGAGCTCGACCTGCTCTACTTCCAGCAGCGCAACGCCGCGCTTCACGCCCGCGAGCAGGTCTTTCAGCGAGATATCGCTGAGACGCTCGCCCTCGCAGACAAGCTTGCTAAACCTAGGCCGGACCATGTCTTTGTGCCAGAAAGACTCGTGGAGGAGGCGGTTCGCGAGGCGGTAAGCCAGTGGAAGGCGCAGTGTGCTACCGTTGTGCAAGAGAAGGATGCAAGGTTTGACGCTGAGGCTCGGGCGTGGCAGGAGAAGTATGCAGCGTTGAACGCGCAGGTTTCGGCGCTGGTGGAGGAGAACCAGCAGAAGATCCGCGACGTAGATGAGGCAACGAGCCAGAGCAACAGCGAGGTGCAGCGCTTGCGAAGGGAGCATGCGGCGCTGAAGGCGGCGCTGGGGTCGGCGTTGAAGAGTCATGCGGCTTGTGAGGCCGTGCTTGAGAGGGGGAGGGATGGGATGGAGGAGTGGAAGATGGCGGTGAAGAAGGAGACGTGGGCGTGGCAAGCGAAGTTCACGGATAAAACCAGGAGTGAACAGGCGGACAAGTATGCGGTAGAGCATGGGGAGCAAATTGAAAAGGTGGTGAGGGAGAGGTATGTGGCGTTGATCAAGGAGAGGGATAGCGCTGCTGAAGCGAGAGAGAGGCTGGAAGGCGAGCTGGAGAAGCTGAAGCAGGATCTCGAAGGCGAACAGTTGCTGCATCGGATTGCGGTCGATGTCACGCAGAGACTGCAGGGCGAGCTCGAAGACGAGAAGGACAACTACGAGCTCCTTCACATCGAATTTCTGCGGGTTAAAGGGGAAGCGGTGCGGTCGAGGGAAGCGTACAGCGAACTGTCTGGTGTGTATACGGCGAAGCTGTGGGAGGTGCACCGTCTGCAAGAGGAAAATTTACGTGCCAGCAAAGAAGAAAAGCAGGCGTATGAAGTGCTGACCGCTGCGCATCTTCACATGTTGAAAGCGTTTCAAAAAGGCGAGGCAATGGCGGCTAAAACCCAAAGCATGGTTATCGAAATGCGGGACCAGCTTCTGACCGTCAAAGCTCATATGAACACCTCGAAAGGGCAGTGTGACGAACCTCGGCAGCGCGAAGAATTTTTGAAAAAAAAGTTGTTGCATCTGAAGGGGGATCTGGATGCCATGCTCGAGAAGTTGGTGGTGGTGTCTAGACAGAGGAAGGAAGCCCTCGAGGGACAGCGTGAGGCCTTGAAGATGGTGGATAAGTTGAGAAATGGAGAGGTATTGGATGATGGGAAAGAGATTGGGATTTTTGGTGAAGATGAAGAGGTAGTATCTGGGACTCGGGAGGGCTCTGATTCTGAAGGTCGGGAAGATGATGGGTTTGAGGCGACTGGGCTCGAAAGTACCAACCGTGACGAAAACAAAGAAACTGATGGTGAAGATTTAGATGGGGTGACTATACTTGGTACTGAGGATGCGGAAGATGATGGGTATGATGTTCGGGGTGAAGACGAACGGCAAGTTGATGCCGAGTACGAGGATGTGAGCCAAGGCGATGCGAGCGATGCTGAGGAATGGCGGCTCTAGCTCGAGCGACATGCCTTATATATGGCTCATTGCGTGTCTTGTCCCGTACAAAAGGGAGTTTGTTTCAACTTTACTTCATTAAGTATCTATCGTACAATGAAAGCCCTCTTGGATATCATATCCTCATGAGATCATGTCCTACTGTCATGATGTCCACGCTTATTTCTTGGAGTCACCAGTGTCGTGGATGGCGTCGGGAAGTGCGCGCTCAAGCTTCTCAGGCACAGCCTTCTGGAGGACTTTGGGGACAATGGAAGCATCGCCGCCATCCTTGGCATGTGTCTGGCGGCCAGTGCCGGAGCCGGTGTCGTGAATCTGGTCATGTTAGTTGAGGTTGTAGCAGAGCATATTGATAACGCGGTACCTTGTTGGGCAGGCTCTCCTCGAGACCTTGGGGGGCCTTATTCTGAATAGCCTCGGGGACCTCGGATCCGCCAGTGGCATGGGAAGCACCCTGTCCGTGTTCGTTCTGCATGTTGATGGCTGGGAAAGTTGGTTTACTTTGAGGCGTTGTTTGAAGTGTTGTAGTGTGAATGTAATGAAGTTACACTGATGTTATTCACAATTTCGAGGAGACAATAGGTCTTTATACACCAACGACTACCATACGTACACTACATCTGATAACACCTGCGTCACGGTATGTCGTCTGGTCTCAGCCACTGTCAGCGTCCTCACCGCGTCATGGATATACTAGGCGAATGCGAAGTCGGACTGTTTCTCGTCCGCAGGCAGTGCAAAGGCTGATGTGTTGTGTTACTGTCGTCAGGATGATGGTCGTCTAGCAGAAGACCCGGCTAGGAGCGTCATGCTTCTCGGATACGAGTTGCCTCAAATAGCGTACATTGGCATGCGCATGTTGTAATGAGGGGAGCTCTAGTTAAAGTTGATAGGGAACATCACCTAGGTACTGATGCCCGCGGGCATACAGCTAGGCGAGCCATACGCAAGAGCAGGGGATTAATCCATGACGCTGCGGTGATAGCTTGGCGATGGGCTAGGTCGCTTTGAGTATCGTAAACAGCGAGAGGGCGGCGAACAGATGGGGGCTTTTGGAGACGTTCCGAATCCGATGGCAAAGCGGAGATTCGGTAGAACCACAAAAGACGAACGCGCGATACGTGATGCAATTGCTCTGTACGTGTCCTCTGCGACTGGCAATGTTAGATGCAATTGCTTCTTCATAGCGACAATATGACCTCATGAAATGTGCTAGCCTCTGCGAGCGTACATCGCTGTGCCACGACACTCTCTGTGCATCGTGTTCTTCATGAAGTACACCAGTAAAATGATTATGTCTCTGAATCAACCGTATCTCGTTAACGTGATTACCATAGCTATTATAACACATTCATACACTTCCGATCCGAGCGATGCATATTTTAATTAGAGACCCCCAGTCTGAATGGTGCGAGTCACAGCGTGACATTAAAGAAGAATAGGTCGGCCGAGACATCAACACCATGGCTTGATCTATGAGTGATGGCCCGGCGGTGGGATATGTTGCAACTCGATTGGATGTTGAGGGTGAGCTGGGTGATCTGAATATGCCGCACCATCGGAGAACGGATTTGGTGTTGTAGGTTCAGAGTGTTGCGGTGGCGGTGATGCCATCCATGATTGTCGAGGATCATGAGGAAGAGGTTCATTCCTCATGGGCTCAAAGGGTCCTGGAGTACCAGAACTCGGGGCGGTGTGCTTTGCATCCACAGCTTGTCCGTGTCCGATCGCATTGTACTTTGTCTTCTTGCGCCAGTGGATGAGGGCCATTATTGCCAAAGTTAGCAAGATCCCAACCACTGCAATGACCCCAATTGCAATTCCAATCTTGACCGCAGCAGACATTTTCTTCTCCACTTCTGGGTCTTTGGCATATGCTGTAGTTGATCCAGGCACTATCTTCGGAGGACTCGTACGCTCCGGTCGAGCGACTCTCGTTTGATCGGTGGCAGTCATCGATGGCTGGAAAGCGCTCGCTACAGTAGCGCTGGCTTGGTCGTCGTTCTTTTCATCGGACAGAGTCTGGTTGAATTTCCCGCCGCAATCTTCGACGTCTTCGCCCTATTTTTATATATCTGTCAATAAATGCACAATTGGAAGGAATGCACTATGCCCACATCAGCACAGCAGAAAGCAACGTTCTCGCTCGTGTAGGCGCAGTAGAAATCCTTGAAGCAGCTTGCTATGTCTTGTCAGCCATTTATCACGCCCCAACATCTAGTAGGAGCACGTACTGCCGTATTTGTCTTTGCAGCATGTTTCTTCCCGTTTGGGCTCGTAGCAAATGTTATCAAGCTTGTCCAATGATTCGCACAGCTTTGCTCCCACTCTATCATCGCCTGGGGAGGAGTTACAGGCTGCACATGAAGTTGCGTTCTTGTCCGCGCAGATCTCGAAGATGGGGTCATAGGATTCGGTATCAATTTCGCCCTGGTAACTCCACCAGAATGTCTTCGCAGTAACTAACGGAGTCGAGATCACGGCAAGGTATGCAATAAGAAGTGAAGGCAACATTGTGAACGTCGCCCGCAGTAACACGATACTAGACGCGGCCCTTGCAAGAGAGAGCAACGGACGTGCAGAGACGGCGAGGGCGACGCGCAGTAATAAAAAGCATGGCATGCACAGTGCGGCGGCACAGCCTTAGCGCAGCATTGGTTTACGTGCAGCGCCTAACTATGCTTGTTATTGCTTGAAGGTCCGTCCTTTGGGGCTGCAAGCTCAGCCAAACCCCGGCTGGAGGCCTGGAATAAAACGATCATTCGGGGCAGAATTTGCTGAGCGCGACTCATAGCCAAACGTGGCGCATCGAGGTTTGAGCGCTGAGGCTATTATATGGAGTAGGATTAGCGCGAGCCAGGGCAATAATTTAGAGATGGCGCGGGGGACAAAGGTTGAAATGGGGGCTGGAGATAGCGTGCCAGGCCGTAGTCGAGACAATCCCTACGGCTGGAACGCCAACGCGTCTACGTCTCCAGCCTCAACCGATGAATGCTGTCAGCTTTCGGTCGCACCGCAGACTGGCCCGTTCAAGCTCCACTCGCCTCTCTGGGATCCTCAGATTGCAATTGGCTGAACGCAGTTTATTCTAGGTTTGACCGCTGAACTACTTCAAGGCGCAACGAGGACCGACGAACGAGGACGGCCTCATACGTTGACATGGACACCAGCGATATCGTACCGTGTTGAAACAGCAGATACTCACTGGAGTCCAAGTCATACTTGGGGCACTACCTGGAGCCGGCCTGCTAGTGCGCCACCCAATACTGCCGGACTGGCTTAAAGATGCGCTTTACATGGCATCAAAGTGGGAGTAGAAAATGTCCCCCTTCAATCAAGGAGTAGCAGAGGTCCAAGAGGGCCGTCGATTGACAGTCCAGGATACCTCAATCTCGTTCTGTTCTGCGATATCGTAGATTGCACCAACAACGCGTTCAACCGTGTCGCTTTTGATCGGTATTCTGTGCGCACCCTCCCACTCGACCAATCTTGTGCTCCCTTGCTCGCAGTACTCTTTGTACAATCTTCGGTGCAAATGCAAACCCGCATCGGCCATACCATGAACGTGGATCGTCGGCTGTCTCAATATTGCCTCATCATCAACCTCTTTCACAAACTGAAAGCCTTCCGAGAGGTCTGCAGCGCTCACAAGTGCCTGACTCTTGAGCAAGCTCGGATTGAGGTTGGACATGGGTGCACGGCCTGCCAGCAGCACGCCGAATCTCCAATTCAAGCCGGGTATGCCGATGGGCCCAACATCCCACTTTGTCTTTCCTTCCCGGACTGCCTTTGACTCTCTGGCTTGTTGTTCTAGCAGCAGACTCGCGCTCAGCTTCGCTCCTTGACTGAACCCCATCAGGCCGACCCATTCGCCCTGGCCACCGTCTCGATCGTCATTTTCCATTGCCGTCCGTATTGCGTAGCCTATCTCATCGATGCAGGTCTCCGCATCAATCTCTGGGTGTTCGGGCAGCCATCGCAGCCACCTTCGGAACGGCGCATACGAGCCGTATACTTGGATGACGTCGGTGTGGGGATCGCAAAAGAACGGGCCGTCAACCCAGATGAGGCGAAACGAATGTTGTAGGTGGCGGATGAGCGAACGCGACTGGGCTTTGAAGATGGCAGCGTTGACGCCTCCGCCATGGAGGCAAAGGATGCGCGGAAGGTGGGTTGAGTCGGGTATCGTGGAAGGGATTTTGGACCCCGTGGACGGCATCTTTGAGGATCTTGCTGGGTTTTCCTGTCGGTTACTATGATCGCACCGACATGAGGGCGATTAGCAGGTATAGTCAGAAAGTCGTGAGTCGTGTTGTGGGAATTTAAGCTTCAGAATTTTCAAGGGCAAGACAGATGTCAGCCGCATGATAAATGCGACACATGTAAGCGTAAGCCAACAGTTTCAAAGCTACAGGCAATCATTGCCCGGCCATGGCCAGTTCTTCGGGTAGCTGTTGGTGCATCTCGGAGTCCGGTAGGATTTCGGTACCAGGGGATATGGTATCTTATCGCTAGCCGCGATATCTTCTGTCGGAAACGATCATTCGAGCCTGGCGACTGCATTTATCAGCAGCAATAATGATATCGCTCGCGACATCGTGGTTGAGAAACCGCGATGTTTTTGGGCACACGAAGCAGCAGCGAAAGGTCGACAGGGGTAGGAGCGGAGCGGGGCCGAGGCTGCCTGAGTACAACAACACGCTAAACTGGGAACGATGCCGACCTACCCTTCCACCTCCTTCTCAATAGCACCACTCTTGCCCATCCCACCACGATGTTCGCTCTCCTATATTCCTGCTTCCGTCACCACTCAGAAGAACCAATGTGGCCCTTGCCAGAACAACTCCCCCGCATCGTTTCTGTGCCCGCTTTGTCAGGCACTGCACCCAAATGCCGAACAACGAATCTTGGCGAAGCCTGCTATTGAAGCATGGCTAATGTATACATTTAGCACCTGAGTACCCCAATACCCCTTGACGTGGCTATTGGTTGTGGACGAGTCCGTAAGACCCTGACAAACAGGGAGGGCCTGTCTAGCGCTCCCACACTATCGTTCTTTACAACAGCAAAATGGCACTACGATCCAAGGTCGTGTATTTGGTTACTTGAAAAGTGGATTTACCGAAGTCAAACTACCGAGTGAGGCCAAAGTGAGTGAGTGCATGCATCCAATTTGCATGTCCCTTTCGCGGTTGAGCACCGTTCGCACGCCTATCTGGCTATTCCTCAGATGCGCATCCTATTGACAGGTTCAAAATCCTGCTTCGACCATTCACTACAACCTGACACGCTCGCGTTGTAGCACTGCTTGTCTTCTAGCAAGCAAACTTTTGTTTGGTAACCCAGTCGCACATGACCTTGCCTACGCAGTTGCAGCATTTGCAAGCCTAGTCACTCTGTCAGTAGAGGGACTCAAAGAATCCACGCGTGGGCTGGGAGCGTACCCGCTTCTTCTTCTCCGCATCGTCCTTTCCTTCGATACATTGCAATGTTTGGGCGTTTCTGAATCCCATTTTGTTGTAGCAGGCGTTTGCGTTGATAACACCTGCACATTCGTCTGTTCGAACCAACTCTGCAGTACACTCTGGAAACGATTGTGCGAGTGAAATCGACACGAAAACGGCAAGTAAGCCAAAAGTGAATTTCATTGTTGCGTGATGCGAAGCGTTGTGCAAGAGACTTGAACCGTTGGGAGGACGCAGGCGTTTGCCGAGTGAGTTCCTCTGGTTGAGTCTAGCTAAATAATTATCGGAACAAAACCGACGACGCTGATAAGAATCTCTGAATGATGTAAATGATGCAGGTCACACTACACGAAAACGTGGCATCACTCTAGGGAGTTAGCCTTTCCCTGCAATGAGGGTCGGCACGATCTGCCCGCTCATCATAGTATCAGTGTAACCCCCTTTGCCACGCGAACTTAGATGCATTTTCCTTGTCTAGGTGGTACATGAACTGGCGAACTGGCTCCGCATTGGTCAAGTAAAGCCTTTATGCTCGGCATCGAGCTTAACATTGGTCATTTGCTAATATCGACCCAGATTAACCTCAACTCCCGAAACCAGTTTTCCGCTCCAAGCATGCAAGAACGTGAGCGAACAATCAAATGGGGAAACAGTCCAATCTATAATTCTCCGTTGGTGCGTCAGTGAGACGGCAACTGATGTTACTTGCTTCTTGTTCTTGCCTGATAAGATGATTACCAGACGTGACCGAGTTTGGATCCTGACCCTCTTCAGTGTGTAGAGCTTGCCTTTCACAAATCTTTCTTCATCCTTGAGAGCCTGGAATCATATTGAGTTATACTTTCACAATGAAGGGCGTCTTTGTCGCTGCTCTGGGGCTGCTAGTCCCAACCAACGCTCTGCTCCGCTTTGGCTGCGCAAAGTCGTCTATCCAACGTCTGGACCCATTGGTGAATCCTGGACAAAGTCCTTCACCACACCTCCATCAGATCATTGGTGGCAACTCGTTCAACATTTCGATGGACCCAGCGACTCATGATCTGGTCAAGCAATCTACGTGCACGAGTTGCCAGTTCACCGAAGACTTGGTAGGTACAATGAAAAGCTGAGTGGGCTGTGCTAAGAAGTGAACAGTGAGTTTCCAAGACCTTCAGGGAGGTTATACGAACGATTCCTCTGTCGAACGATGTATTATCAATTCTGTTTCAGATACTGATCATTCATTTCATAGCTCTAACTATTGGACCGCCGTGCTCTATTTCAAGGCCAAAAATGGCACCTTCAAGCGTGTCCCTCAACGCGCTCAGCAGGGTATCGAAAGCACTCAAGGTGGCATGATGGTCTACTACATGTCTGATGCACTCTTCGACCAAGCGCAAAAGTCCAAGGTCACTGCTTTCAAGCCCGGCTTCCGCATGCTCGTCGGAAATGTCAACTATAACAACCGTGAGGAGGCACGCAACTTCCGCCAGCTCACCTACATCTGCATGCAGAATGAAGGTACCCGTGAGCCGGAGACGATTAACTTCCCCGACAAGCCATGCCCTGCAGGTATCATGGCCAATCATCGAGTATGTTAGCATACCCGAGACAGTCTCTTCAGTATCTAACGGGAACAGTTCCCGACATGCTGGGACGGTGTCAACGTTGACTCGCCCAATCACCAAGACCACGTCGCGGTAAGTTCACGTATACAGAATGGATATATCCTCTTAGAAACCAAAGAATGTCTTTGTATCAGTCAGAAGAGAACGAACTTTTATTTTTGGTTGGTCACGACGAGTCCAGCCTCATCGCCCTAATTGCGAGAGAACCACACTGACTTCGTGCCTTGCAGTACCCAGAGTCGGGAACATTTGAATCAGGTGGACCCTGTCCCAAGACGCACCCAGTCCGCCTTCCTCAGATCCTGCTTGAGACGGTCTGGGACACCAAGGCGTTTAATAATAAGGCAGACTGGCCGTCAGACGGAAGCCAGCCATTCGTATGGAGCAGCGGTGACAGCACTGGCTACTCTTCACATGCCGACTACCTCTTCGGGTGGAAGGACGACAGCTTGCAGAAGCACCTTGACGGCCACACGTATGTTTCCGCGCCGACGCTGAAGACGCAGAGCATTGCGCAGCAGAATAAGTGCACTGTTAAGGATATGGTGGGCGAGGACTACGATAGCTGTAAGTGGTTACCTTTTCAAAAGTATTATTGTGCTGACAGTGTTATGCAGGGTTGAAGGCTTTGCCTGGCAATGTTATGGTCAGATAGGCGGAGAGCCTAAGTCTATTGGGATACCATTTCGGCGCTCTGGTATCATGTTGGTCGATTTTACCTGAACCAGTATCATCCAATCAGATAGCTCGCGCTGCTCTGTGTTTTGCCGTCATCTTCCGTCATGCTTAAGCCATAGTGTGACGTCTTGTAGCTGTGGGATCCAGAGTGAAATGTTAAATAGGAGTGTTACAACTTGATCATATAGTGAGTTCCTACGGAATGAGCTGTGCGCTGAAAGTACAAATTCTTGTGTCAGCCACTATGTTCGGAAATAATGATCAAGGGCGCGGAATTAGTTCGAAACACATTGTAAAGAACATCCCGGACTTGAGGTTGGCGAGACGTCAGAAGGATAAATGGCCCCCAAACGTTGCGTGCGACCAGGTAGAAGGGCAGCATATCGTGGCGCGTTCGTCGAGATGCGCCGGGTCTAGCTGCTCATGGAAGTGAAGGTAAAGGTAGGTGAGAGTGGACGGATGGAGCCTTCCAGCACGTTAGTGTTATGCGCCGGGTTCACCTGCTCATATGAGCAAAGGTATCTGGAGAGGTACCTAGGTAGTTAAGTGAGAATAAGCAACCTTGGAAAGTTAAAGGCAGGCGCAGCGATCGAACCTTGTAAAACCATGGAACTCTTCTTCCTAGACGCACTCGCTGCTCCTTCACGATTTTGCTACTTTTCAAGCTTCCTACATTGGTACCATACCTTTCTGGACATCGGAGGTGGCCAAAACTAGTTTCACACACAATGCCATCTACATTCGGTATACCAGCGAAGCTGCCCCGGTCAAAATGGTGAGATGCTTTCCATTATTCAAAACACCATTATTGAGCTAAAGCATGGAAGGCTGCGAAGAAGAAGGGCGGTATGCCATCGAAGCCGGCACCCGCCAACCACCGCGAGCAAGCAAGTCATACCTGCTGATAAACACACCCATCAGTGCTGATAGAATCGCGAAGCCCACACAATTCAGGTCCGTCAAGACCAACCCGCGCAAGAGAGTGCGCATGGAAGGCATCTTGAAAGAAGAGATCGCTAAGGAAGGCGTATGTCTGCCCTGATGAGATTTCCGGTACCAGCCGTCCCAAACGCGGACCACGTTTACTAACGATAATAGGACGATGGTGGGTCCACATCTAAGGCTACCATAGGCAGGCCCAGCTCGATGGCACAGAAATACTCCGACGACTCTGACGACAACTGTGTTCCCATGTCGGAGTCATCGGACGAAGCGACTTTGAAGAGGACGAGGATAAGGACGGCAAGCGAACTGCCAAGCTGAAGGCATCAAAGCCTTATGAAACCGTCGAAGTCGAAATCAATTCGCAAGGAGGATTGAGCAAAGAACGTGAAGCCGGCCTAAGGAAACTGGACGATATGGTGGCGAGACTTGAGGCAGACAACGAGGATCAGGAAGACATTGCTGACGACGAAATCCCTGGCGTACTCGATTGTGGATACTACACGCTTGTGCCCGATGAGAATGGTGAAATTCTCGTTCCTATGGGTGGAAATAAGTCTTTGTCTGACGACTTCGATGATGGAGCGGGAGCTTGGAAGAAGGTTTCAGAAGCCAGCACCTGCTACGGACAAAAACCAGAAAAGTGCGCCGGAGCCTATGGCAGGTGGCTGGAATGATGCCAGCTTCCCGAGGCATAAGCACTTGGAATTATACGAAGAGATAATGGCTGACAGCGGAATTAACAATGCTAGCAAGGGCGAAATCATCTACCAATACAGACCCCACAAGTTCAGGAACGCGGCCCGCGTTCAGCATCAAGAGAAGGAGAACAAGACCGACGAAGGAATACGGGAGCCTGCAACTGGCGTTGGAGAGAGGAAGAGCGAGAGTGAGAGCGTGACCAGTGGCGACGGTCATGGCGATGAGAACGAGGATGGCGATGAGGATCATGTAGCGGCTGGCGGACAGAAAATGTGCAACAAAGAGGATGAGGACTGAGGTGCGGACAGCAGCTCAGAGCGAAAAGGTTTCGGTTGCGCCGCAGAACATCAGTCTTTTGATACATGAGACACATTATCAATGCCCGGCAACAGTACCTAATACTTCTATGAAAGGCCAGCGGTTTGCTGAAACCTGATTGCTGGTCGCTAGGCATGCGACATGAATGCCTATCTTATTGGGTTTTCTATTTCAAATTTATTTGGTACCGTTTTCGTCGCGCGTGTTTGGTTATGCAGGTTCCATTGTTGAGTACAACGACTGACTCGTTGAGTCTCGCCTTCGATGCGACTTGATGAGTCATGTGGAAAAAGAACCTATTTCTCTAACTATGGCCGATGACGTGGCGCCGCGTCGGCCAATCAATACATGTCCTTATAAGTCATTAATTCTACGATTCAGCATCAACCTGGTCTTATGGTCTAGTGGTAGTAAGTAAAACTCCCCAGATGAGTTTGACGTCATCTAACAATTCTCTAGTGATTCTCGCTTAGGGCTGTTACCTGAGCACATTTGCGAGAGGCCCCGCGTTCGAATCGCGGTAAGACCCAGTCTCAGCGCATTGCGCTTTCTTTTTGGCTTTGTAGCACTTTCCGTCAAAACGTTCTCCAACCCTCCCACGAATGTGCGAATGTGGATACGTTCTCGGCGTTCCGGTGCTCCAACAGCCTGTTTAGTTAGTTTTTGTAGATTTGGCATAAAATCTATCTAGATTTCGGCTAACTCGGCTGCGGAAACGTTGCCCAGGGTTACGTTTTCGGCTCCACGGAACAGAATAACGTTATATATGCTTATAATTCTCCGCATCTTGCATATGAGTGGATATCTATAATCTACGGTCGCGCGAGGTGCTCTAGATTACCTTCCCGTGCGTAGGTAAATCTGTAGATTTGACCTCCGTTTATTAACGTTAGTCTATTTTTGCGGGGCGAACACTCCGCTCTAGTCTGCCGTTATCGTTTCCTCAACCGTCCAATCCTCAGTTGCCGACTCTTCGGTTTTCCACTTATTCTGACTTTTTGAGGCCCTATTTTAGCCTATTTAGGGCATCAAACTGTTTAAATAAGTGTACCACAGTGAATTCACCTACAGGGAGGGATGTATCAACAATCTACAAGTCATGAATCGAGATTCACATCCAAAAAAAAAAAAAAAAAAAAAAAAGGAAACGTGGCACATAACCATTCGGAAAGCATAATACTGGCCCAACACTCAGCGTAACGCCCCTCCGTGACATGGGGCCAATTGTCGAAGTATCAAAGTGACCTAACTGACAGCAGTGATCATGTGTGGCTTGGCAAGATGAATGCGAAGGCGTCCGCGAGGTGCATGCACGAGCGAATAAAGTCTCACATCCAGCGCTTGCCGTCAGTGTCGTCGATATCATCATCGTCGATAATATCGACATAGTAGAAGTGACTCCAAGACTGTCGCCGTTTAATATCATAACTAGGGTTCCACTCACCCGTCTTTGCCAGCCAGGCGGCTATAGGGTTTTCAGCAATCGAGTCCTGGTCGACGAGAGAATCGAGTGACTCGGGACTCTCTTCTTCTGTGAAGCAGCCCAGATTCTGAGTGGCAAGCAAGGCCTCATTAGCTTCAATTTGTCTCTGTTCCTCTGCCTCAGCCTCTGCTTCAGGAGTGTCCATACCATATTCCGGTCGGTCAGAGTAAGAAAGCGCTGACTCCTCGGCCTTCCAAGAATTCTCATCTGCTAAGGCAGCCTCCAGCTTCTCTACAAGCACTTCGAGGATTGGTACACAGCTGATATACAGCGCCCTGATCGCGTGGTAGTACCTAAGGTCGCTGCCATACTTTTCACGCAGGAACGCGTGGCTAAAGAAGTTTCGACATTCTCGGAAGTCGTAGTCTCCGAAGACATGGTGGACCTGGTTCCACAAAGATCCCGCGACAGAGAGAGGCACACGCCACACCTGTCGATTTTCATGCAGTAGAACGTGGGCTGAAGCTACAGATAACTTGGCTCTAATCGCCGCCTTCGAATCGGAGTTCGTACTGGGGGACGATATCGCCCTCCAAACGCGTCCATTCTCACAATCCTCGCCTTCTTCAAAGTTCTTGTCCTTGTCGTTAACTGCAAGTAACTCCGTCAGATTGAACTCCTCAATGGATTCAAGGCTCATTGACATCGTACCGTGAATAAACTGCAATTCCTCGAGTATATTTCGAGCCCTAGATTTAGTCATCTTCAAACCGCAAACACTGTTGAAAAGGTCTTTGCGAGTAGCAGCTTGGGGAACAAGAATGAAATCGTTTAATTCTTCGCCATTTGCGGTCCAGCCGTTGGATAGCTCAGTTGAGGCCTCGAGAAGCATTCTCTGCGACAATTTGAAGTTTTTGTGGCCGAGGTGGTATAGCAATGTCGTTGAAAGAAGAGAGACGCAGTAATTGTGTTCGTAGTTGCCGTCTATGCGTCATGCTGATGAATATATCGAAGAGAAATATACAATGCAGTCCATTATGCATGAAAAACGGAGGATCAAAAGGCAAAAGGAACAAAGGGTCCGCAGCTCGACAAAACAGTGCGAAAAATCAACGCTTCAAGTTCCAAATGGGAATAAAGAGCCAGCTGGTAGGCATTGTGGGATAACGTTGCTCGGATAAAGCTGAACCTACTGGCATGCACATAAGAAGGCTTGGACATGATGCTTGATGACTGGGCTGTCCCCGAAGGGGCGAGCGAGCTTGAGGCTGCAACAGTAAGGCCTACGAGAATTGTGCAGTATATATACATGCCTCGCAACAAACCCATGCACTTGTCGAACACCCCTATGTGCTGATTGCTTCAGAATCAGTAAACACGGCAATCGATATGATTCAATAGAAATCAATTATAAGCACCAAAAAGCGGGGAAAATAGAAATATATAAAATTAGCAATTAACATTTACCGAAAGTAGTAACGACCGTATGGACAATCAAATCTACAAACAACACCAACAAGAAGCAAAGCACACTGTGATCAACCCTCAGTTCATACCTCCATGCGACAAGCTACAAAGCCTCTATCCTTGGCATATGTCTTAGTAGTACTTGGGATTGGATGGGTCAGTCAAGTCGAAGATAACTGCAGAGTGGGGCCTAGCTCCACCCCTGTTACCGCCATTACCAGACTGGCTGAACACCTTCTCGAAGTCAATCGACCTGTTGAAGCTCAAGCCACCGTTAGGCAGAATGTCAATCCATTGTGCCTTGTAGTCTGCCGGCGTGTTGACGACTCCAATCGAGCCTGTCTGGACGAAGTAATCGGTGACAAGCAGGTTCTTCTTGTCGGGCGAGATCTTAACGTAGTGAGGGCCAATGATACCCTGGTCCTCATCTGGGTCGTCGAGGCGCTTAACGTTGTTGAGGTCCGAGATGTCCAGAGCAGCTACGTGGTTGCCGAGCGTAAGCGTAAAGTATGCGAGCTTGCCATCGTCCGAGATATCGGAGTAGATGGCAAGATTGTCTCGAGCCTTAGGACCGAGATCAAAGAGGAGCTCGGCGACACCCTGCTTGCCGTTGGAGTCTTTGCGGAAAGGATAGATGATCCAGACCTGACCTGGACCGACAGCAGTTGCAAGTGCAGCAGACTCAGAGTTACCTGGAATGAACTTGACATCCTGGATACCCTTGCCGTCGGGAATCGTGATTGTGGAAATGATCTTGCGAGTGGACAGTTCCCAGAGACGCAGTGTGTTAGCTTTCTGGATGCCGATGGCGGAGGCGGGTTTGAGGATCGTGACCGGCACGACGAAGTCGCTCGTCAAGATGATGTTTTTCTTGAAGTCGATGCTGAGGCCGTGCGGCGAGAATTGCTCCCCGAGGATGTTGAGAGTGGAGCTGACATCTTCAGGCCACTCGTGGATGATGTTGAAGTTGGCATCTGTCTCAATGAGACGGCCTGGTGAAGTGCCCACAGCGGCTAGATACTGAGTCAGTCACGGTGGCGGGCGTCCGATGCCGGAGTGACTTACATCCCATGTAGGTAATGAAGAAGCCACCATCAGGCTTAGCACGGATCTCGTCAGTGATGGACCCCAGCAACGCTCGGTTGCTCTTCTTGAACTTCGGTTGATAGGGGTTGGTGGTGTCGAAATAGTAAGCAGTGTCCTGCTATGCGTTAAATGACCTTGTACTACAATCCTGATGAGAAGAAATATACCTGAGTCTTGAGCAGAGACAGCAGACCACCACCGACCAACGTTTTTCCATCGAGCGTGGGCCCAAGATGATGTGGGCTGTTACCACTGGATGGTACATCCGTGACCCAAAGAAGAGTGCCGAATGTGTCATCGTCGAGTGAGTAGGTCGCAAGGAAATCCTTGTGATTGTTGTCACCTGCACCAGTCCAGAAATAGCCAATCTTCTTGGGCTTTATCTGCTGGTTGCTCGTGAACGGAGGGCTGTCAAGTGGAGGGGTCGGGACCTGAAGAATAGGAAGAGGCGGCGCATTGGTAGCCAGAGGCTCAGTCACACCAGGAATGGCCGGAATGAGTGGAGGCAGCGAGAGAGCATTGGCTGAAGTGGCCAATGCCACAGTAAAGAGCGCTTTTGAGAGCATATTGCAACAAGAGGTGGCTGATCAGAGCTGATCCCAGGGAGTTTGAGCAAGATTCGTGCTTGATGCTTCTACTTGGAGTGATTCCATCCCCATATTTATATTGCAAAGCATTCACGTCCGCCTGGCCTGCTTCCACGCTTTCGAGTGCCGCCTCCTCTGCCTCTCGAGCATCCTCATCTCTCCGGTCGATAGCTTGGATGGTGCTATCAAGCCATCTCTTGACGTTCGATGTCGAAATTCTCCCGCCTCGTCAAATGGGTGACAAGCATCGTGGATCCCAATGGAGAGAATCGCCGACCAACAGTTCGATGATGTTACCATATCGATACAAGGGCACGCCCCAAGACGGCACTGGGTGCCAAGAACAGGCCAATCTCCCATGATGATCGTCGGACTGCATGCGCCTGCATGTGGGCTAAAGCTATTAGGGTAGAATACATGGTCTCGTGGGCCGAACACGGCAGAGAGTGTGAGGCCGCGGATGCCATTTCAGAACGATCTTCTCAATGTTTACTGAAGTAGGCGGGCCGCATGCTGCAAGACTGAGCCTCGTTGCCAAGCATGATCGACTGACGTTCCTGCCGCTGGAACATGGATGCAGTATCGGGTGAATAATTCCCAGTAGGGCTAGGGCTGAAGCCTCCGAAGGTAAGTTCAGCCCCCGTTATTGAGCTACTGCTTCATCCCCGAACGAACGGTATGGATGAGGCCTCGGAAGGTTGTGATCCGGATCTTGCGCAGTCGGACCCTGTGGTTTATCGAAAAGAAAAATCCGTTGACAGGCCGTTCGCCAACCAAGATTCCATTCGCGCTACTTTCGAGCGACGATGTGTACGCTCTTGCTAACCAATTTTTGCCCTTAGAAGGGGACCATTGCGCATATGAGCGAAAGCCCAATGTCCGAGAGTGTACATCATTTGACGCAATTCAATTTGATTACGATAAGGGGAGAAGGCCGCTGGCCCAAGATGAGATACTCCGACTTTAATCGTAGACTGTTTACATATCTTTAACATGATAGGACTATGCTGTGCCAGGACACCGAGAGTTGCTGATGACAGCTTCAAGGGAGACTGAGGCGTCCACGACCTTTCAAAAGGCGTCAATAGTCATCGTTGGAGGAAAGTGTACTAAAATGGTGAAATCTGTCCTAAAAGGGTTAGCATCTACTCCGTACCCCATCTTTAAGCTTAAAAGAAAGTGCAGATCTTGTATGCTTAGGCTAACCTGGCAGTGGGACTACCGATTCTGGGGTCGATCTGCACCAACAAGCACGAATTGCCAAGGAGGGCAATGACGACATTCTTGGCGGTATCACGAACGCAAGTTCGCCGACCAGCATCCTCGCCATTCCTCAGCTCGAGCGTGTGGATAGAAAAGGAGTCAAGGAAATTAGCAATGTGTAGGTTAGTGGCTTGATGGTGCATGCAGCTATGCACAGAATTCGGTAAGCGGATCGCGCAGCTGCAGTGTTCCAACCTAGGCATGCAATATCCAGGGTCTTTGTTATGTCGTTTTCGTGCCGGCGCATGCAGCACGTCAATGATGCAATCTCCTACATTGAATATATATTGTAACTTCTTGTGCCGCAAGTTATAAGGCACCTTGCTTTCTCTGCCTGCATCTTTGGTCTTTTCCACTGCTGCACAATGAAGCTCCAGATCGTGGGCGCCGCCCTCCTCTCAGCTTCTTCAGCATTTGGTGCTGTCATCAAGCGGGATGATGCGCAGTTCAAGAAAGGACAACCGATTGACGGCAAAGGCAAGGGTGCACCCATCCTAGGTATGTCGGACAAGTGCATCGAGGTGTCCCCTTAACCAATTGATTCCAGGTGGAACAAATCACCAGATTGATCTGGCCAACCCATCCAACCTCGGAGAACAGAGTACCGACTCCGGCACTGTACCCAATTTGAAGTGGCGGTTTTCCGATTCCAAGACCAAGATCTTTCCGGGTGGTTGGGTTCGAGAGCAGGTCATTCAGGACCTGCCACAGAGCCATGACATTGCAGCCGCGCAACAGCATCTGAAAAAAGGCGCAATTCGTGAGCTGCACTGGCATCGTGTAGTAAGTCTGCTGCAGGTAAATCTGTGTTCAATATGCTGATTAGATCAGGCTGAATGGGGCATCGTATACGAGGGCCGTATCCTTGTCTCTGCCGTGGATGAAAACGGGAAATACCAGGTCGACGAGCTTGGATACGGGGACATCTGGTACTTCCCCAAAGGCCAAGCACACACCGTACAAGGCCTGGACGACGAGAACGAGTATCTTCTGGCCTTTGACGATGGTGATTTTGACAAAGTAGGGTAAGTCCATAGCGCTGGATTGCACTCCGTGTTCAAGCCCTGAACCTCGGTGATCTGACTGCCTCGCTAGGACCACCTTCAACCTTGACGACTGGGTTGCGAAGACGCCCAAAGCCATTCTGGCGAAGAACTTCGGTGTTCCTGAATCGGTTTTCGACAAAGTTCCCGAGAAGAACCCATATATCTTGAATGCAACCACAAGCACACGCAACGTTACCGGCGGCAACGGTGAACTCACGGGCAACAGCTCATATGTATATCACACCTTTCAGCACGATCCTGAGCCCGTTCCTGGCGGCGGTGGCGTCTTTTACAAGATCGACTCAACCAATTTCCCGATATCGAAAACGATCGCTGCGACGTTTGTGACTCTTGAGCCCAAAGGACTTCGTGAGCTGCATTGGCACCCTACGGTATGCCATACCAGAGTTCGCGAAGCAATGGGCTTTTTCTGACGTACGACAGGCTGAAGAATGGTTGTATTTCCACGAGGGGGAGGGCCGCGCCACCGTGTTCATCGGCGCAAGCAATTCTCGCACCTTCGACTTCTCTGCCGGAGACACTGCTGTGTTCCCTGACAACAGCGGTAAGTATAATTCGATTCTTGCCCTGGTCGCGAAGTAGCTCACAATCGCAGGTCACTACATTGAGAATACCTCAGCAACGAAGAATCTAACTTGGATCGAGCTCTACAAGAGTGATCGCGTGGCGGATATCTCTCTCGCACAGTGGCTGGCTCTCACACCCGCTGATGTTGTCGCTTCGGTTCTTAAGATACCGATCGACGTGGTAGACGACCTGAAGAAGGAAAAGCAGGTACTAATCAAAGGGAGCTGAATCGGTTAGGGTAAGGCATTCTCGACAGTAGTGTACGGTAATGGTAGTACCTTTTCTTGTAGTGATTTGTAACTTCTTCTCAGGTAGCCTTCCAAGCTAACATTGTAATTCATCTGATAACCTGATACTTGACTACGTCTTTCTGACGCAAAACACGACGAACGTGAGAACCGATAGGTGCTTGCGAATGGAACATCGGTACGAGGGGTTGAAGCGCAGCGGAAGGCGAGATAGCGCGGTTATGATGTTGCACAAAGGGAAGCTGGCACTGCGTTATTGTGCGACGTCCGCTTTGAAAAAGATTACAGGACCGATCTTCTTGTAGCAGATTGATGCAGCGCACCGTTGAACAACAAGAATATCACTTACATCTTTCATGGCGCGCACATGGTAGGGATGAGAGGCTGAACGCGAGATGGTCACGAACGCGTCAAATGCTCAGGAACAGTGATTGGTCGTCTACCGGTACCGGTACCTAAGCGAGCACCAGACAAACATTCACGCCCCTCCCCATCGCGTTTCAATGCGACTCCCCACGCGCTGCTTGCCGCGTTCCATAGATGTAAAGAGCACATGCTGAGTCGCGGCTGCTTTGTCCGGCCTTACCAGCCATCACCACTGTCATCGGAATTGCCCAGGTACTTGTTGTGCCATGTGACACCTACCTTTCCGGTTCACCCACCCTGCATGCCGCTGAGTGGGACAGATTTCCATGCCACAAATCTGCCTCCTGACACACTTGCAAACCGACTCCGTTCGCTTCCTCAACTTGAAGAAGTTCCCCTTGCAATCCCCAACCATCCACACTTGCCTTCGCGGATTATGAAGAATTGAACAGCTCCGTTCGATGCATATCCGCAACGAGATCCGAGATGATACTTCATGCCGACTTGGGGGTAGTTGGTATCAATGCGCCGAAACCCTCCACATGCGTTCGTATACAGGTTGCTGTACCGTACCTGCATGCGATAGTGGATGTCCTGAAGGCCACGATCGCACGCCGCCGCGAAGTAATGGTCCGTACATTTTCACCTTATACAATTGAGGCATGTCCAGGCTATAATTTTGACCTGATAGAGCGCCGTGGACATCGATCGTACTTGTGTGCATTTTGCGAAGGCAATGCGAGCAACTCATTGTTCCTTTAGATGTTTGCGCAAGCTCAAGGAGACGTATATCTCAATCATCGCTGAAACTTCTCTAGAGACACTATCAACCGGAACGTCTTCTACGTCTGACCTGTTCATCTCGCCGAGCTCGCCATTGGTACAAATAGCGACCATCGTTACGGTTTCTGCGGGTAAAACTTTGTATACCACAATCACTGAATACTCGGCGCCAATCTCACAGTCAACCTCCGATCTAGTATCTGCCGACCAAGATTCAAGCAGTAAAGAACATATGGGCGCGATAGTAGGAGGTACATTGGGCGGTGTCGTGCTGCTGGCTGCAGCTGTCTTCCTACTATTCCTTCTGCGTAAGAGAAGACGCACGAAAGAAGAGCGAAGGGCTACGATTTCTCCAGCATATCCGGTAATACAAGGAGGAGAAGATATGTCGGAACAGCTGACTGGTAAGCCTACGCGCATACCTTCCAGCCCCATAGTGACTGAATGACGTTTTCAGGCACCCCAATCAGTAGTGCTGGGACGAAAAACATCGCTGGTGATTCAGCTCATACAAGCTCTGAATCTGTCCCTCAACTAGACGGCATCGCAATAATACCACCGAATGAGATTGGTTCAGATGCGCTTGGCATCATTCCAGAGCTCCCCGCCAACGAGAAGGACTCGTCTAAAACATCAAGAACGTCGAAAGTAGCTGAGGTCCCTCAAGCAGGAAATTCCAACGGCGGGCGTGTATGTCGCGATCCGAACAACCATGTTATGAGCTGGGCAAATCTCAACTCTATGGGCAACCGAAACGCGATGTCCCGGCTCTCTCAACCGCATGCGATTCCCGAAGGTGGTGTGTGGGAAAATATGAGTCCTACCAAGAATATGTAGTGCCTTATAGTGTTACGATCACCGTTTCTTTGGTATGGTACCCAGGTATATCCGGTTAGACGTGTGAGCTCAGTGACTCCAAACCTAAAGCAAATTTCATCCCTCCTGCTGGTATCGCATCGAGAATCTCTTTGTACGTGACCGATCAAACCATCATGTGACTATGTCTATTCTCGCATTGAAATGAATAGGGCAGGCGCTCCAAGTATTCCCGCAATTACAAGGTTGTTGGCATGTCACGTGTAACCTCTTGGCGTGGACGGTTGACAGGTCCCACTGAAACTGCAGATCAGGCAACGTGTGGCGCGCAGTCACCTTTTCACCTTGCGAAGCTGCTATCCCATACCCATCTCAAATTCCGTTGGCCTGTTTCAAGCATAAAACAAGCTCTGCAAATTTTACAAGTGTCCAACATCGCGGACACACGCTACCCCGCTGACGTCACTGTCGAGAACGCTCAGCTGCTACCCATAAAACATCACGCCTGCCGCGTTCCTGACTTCAGATAAATAGACCGATATCTATCGCGACCGTGCGCGGCCACTATGACTGAACAAGCAGCCGCAGCAGCAGAGGAGCCAGCTTCGATACCGCGCTACTTTCGCAACGATGCCGAGCTATCACGGCGGGAGCCACACAAGCAGCTGCTAGCCTCGCTCAATCGCTTGATCACCGACTATCCTCCTCATCAGATTCCTCCGGGTGGCGGCCTTTACTATGGACCTATTTCGGTCGCCTACCTGTTCTATGCGCTTCACAACATATACCCGGACCTGCTCCTGGATGACTTTCCCATGAACACTTGGTCTGCCGCGTATATCGAGCAGGCACAGGCCAACATCAAGAAGTACAAGGGACCTTCTCCGAGCAAATGTGGCGTGAGCGACGATATAATGGCTCTGCTGGCCCTGTACGCCGTGACTGCTAAAGACCCGGAGACCGTGAAAGAACTTTGCGATTTTGCGGCTGTAACAATCGAGCCGGAGGCGTCCAACGAGTGGCTCTACGGCCGTGCGGGTTATCTTTACCTGCTACGACTGGTCCGTGGAGCTTTCACCGACAACAAGGATATTACCGAGTTGATTGAGGATACCACGGACGAAGTTATTGACAACATTATGGCCAGCTCACGCCCGTGGAAGTGGCACGGCAAGGCGTATGTCGGTGCTGCCCATGGAGCCATCGGTATCATTACGCAGATTGTTCTTACCGATGATACATGGGCACCAAAGCTTGAGGCCGAATTGGGCGCACTGCTCAGCTACCAGTACGAGAGCGGTAATTTTCCGTCCTCGCTGCCTCCAGGGCGGGACCGACTGGTTCAATTCTGCCATGGCGCACCTGGCGTTATTGCTTCGCTGGTCTCAATCAAGAAGTACTTCCCAAAGCTAGAAGAGCGTATCGAACGTGTCATTGCGAAAGGCAGGGAATGCATCTGGGAAAGAGGGTTGTTGACCAAGGAGCCATGTCTGTGCCACGGAATCAGTGGAAATGCCCTAGCGCTGGACGGAGAACGCTTCGAGCATTTCCTGACCTACACTACCGGTGGCGAGATCAAGTCCATGGCTAAAGACGGTATGTTACAGAAGGCGAATGACCCTTCTGCGCTGTGGTGCGGCGAGGCTGGTCGTGCATGGGCGTGGGCAGTTGCCGATAAAGGACTGGAGAAGAGATTTCTAGGTTACAACGATATTTAAACGCAGCGAGGGCGAATTACAAAGCTTGCCATGGGGACACGATGTAACGAGGACACGATGCGACGAATTTCTGTCGAAGGCGCAGCACGGACTATGAAGATTCATGTTTTTACATTGGTATGTGCAACAGCTCCATAGCGTACGGACGACCACTGGCTGGAGCCAGCAGATATGATTCCCACTCCCGGGCTTACGGCTACTAAGTTTGCTGCTCCTGTTTTCACTGAGTGTATCACCAAGCATTGAGGTAGCGTTGACGAACCAAGAAAATCTCCCGGATTTTGTCCTTTCTGACCGCAAGTCTTGTGCCTTTCTGACGAACCCTCGTGAGATTCTAGTGACCCCTATCCCACGCGCTGTGACACGTTCTGAGCTTACCGTACATGTACCTCCCCGTTTCTGCTTGCACAGCGATCGCACTCCCGTTGATCAAAATCAGTGTTTCTTCTGTGTCGTCTCTAACAAGTCATGAAGGGTAGTAAATCGTGCCCAAGGAAGCATTTGACAGCTGACCCATGCGTGGAAGCGCGGCTACTCTCGGACCACAAAGCGTGGAAGGAGCCCTGGATGTGACAACAAGCCAGCCAGCGGGGCTTCGTCCTACAGGCAGGCACGGCAGTCACCACCAAAGGACGGCTCCGACACGTCACCAATAAACCTTCTCCACCCAACGCCTTGCCGCTCTCCTTGCAATTGGCGGTCAACCCGTTGTGCGGCTTGTTTGTTTGCCCTGTACTGACTTACGGCGCGGCCCTCTCCTATATCCACTCGCTGAATCTTGCTCGTTCATTTAGCGCATAAACGATCAGAAGCAAACGATCGCCATCTCGACTACTTGAATATTGATCTATCGATATCTACCCCACCCATCATCTTCGTTCGTGTGCTTCGTACCTTTGGCTGTTTGCCCGTAATCAACCTCGTGAAGCCAAGCATTCTCTTGTTGCACCCCGAAGAGCGAACTTGATCCATCCTTGGCGACAGCCCATTGTGTAGCAACCCATTGCACTTCGTAAGTCTTCAGGACGACCTGATGTGGAAGAAGTCTGACAGATGTGGTTCAGAAATAGGGTCTGGTCCATCAAGATTATCGCTGGAAACACGCAGGCACAAGATGCGGTGGTCCGTCGGTCCTTTTTTCACAGCGGTCTTTGCTGCATTAGCTACATGCATGCCTGTCGACTCCGCTCCTTTTCCGGCGATGAAAAAGATCGTTGAGGAAGGACGTCATCTCACAACAGGGATCGGGACGCGGGATAACGGCAAGTACTAATGGTCAGGACCAAAAGGCTACTGTTGACGAGTTCAGGCGGACATCCCCACATCAGACGAGAGATCCGTGATCTTTACGCAAACTATCCGGACCAATGGGCCCTGTATCTACTGGGTTTGCTCGAGTTTCAGCAAGTTGACCAGAATGACCCTCTTTCATATTACCGCATTTCAGGTGGGTACGAACATCTCATCGTCACAAGCTTGGTGTTAAGACGCATGTAGGGATACACGCTCAGCCATACGAACTCTGGCAAGACGCGCACGGTGTTCCAGGGATGGGTGTTGGTGCCTATTGTCCTCATATGAGCCGACTGTTTATAACTTGGCATCGTCCATATCTGGCACTGTTTGAGGTACAAATAGACCTTGAGCCTACCTTTGACAACTGATACACTGAAACTTGCGTAGCAAGAACTTTGGAAGCACGTCAAGTCCATTGCCGACCAAGCTCAAGTAGATCGTGAGCGATGGAATGCAGCCGCCGATTCATTCCGTATACCATACTGGGACACGGCGCGAGGCGCTGCAGACGGCAGTATTCCCGGATTTTTACTCTCTCCGAGATGGCCAGTCGTCGGACCTAATGGATCACTGGTCATTGACAATCCCCTTTATTGGTATCAACTTCACCCATTGGACCCAAAGGATTTCTCAAACGCTGATGTTAGTGATTCTAAGATATTACTTGACGTACACGCTGATTGATTTAGATCGCTCGTTACAACTATACTCTGCGCTGGCCTACTACACACAGTTCAGACGCAATCCCACAACTAGGGGAGTGGCAGAAAGCGTATTCCGAGGGCGCAAAATCGCGCCAAAACGACATCAACTACGCCTTCCAGTGGGCTGGCTCGTTCCAGAACTTTTCTGAATCTCTAGAGAACGCGCATGGCGCGATTCATCTCATTACTGGGGGCTACCCCAAGGATTTGAATGGGCAGGAAATTCATGGCCACATGTATAACACAGAAACCTCAGCCTTTGACCCAACTTTCATGCTACACCATGCGTAAGTAATGATATCTCCTGGCTCGAGAATATTCAGTTGATATTACGTCCTAGGAACTTTGACCGCCTTCTAGCTCTCTATACAACAACGAACCCTAACGTATGGCTCGAACCGGCAGCTGTCGGTGGCAGTCGAAATTGGCCTAGTTTTTGGATTCCCTCGGGAGGGACTACCGATGCAAATACTGGACTTCCGCCGTTCTGGAAGAACAAGAACGAGTTTTGGACGTCCAACGATGCTCACCACACTGATGTGTTCGGCTATGCGTACCCAGAGACCCAGTATTGGAATTTTGCGTCGGATGAAGAGTGGAGGAACAACGTCCGAGGCTTGATACAAAGTCTGTACCCGAATAGTGCTCGGGAGACTCTGACCAATACTGTAGCAACTGGTGACAGCATAGCGCATGTGGTTCATGTGGACAGCTCGTTTACGGATTGGGTCATTCATGTCAAAGCGTCTGCAACGGAGATGCCATCAACTTTCAGAGCCATGTTCTCACTCGTTGGGGATTTTTCGTCCGACGCAAGCACCGAGATTGCCATGTGGACAAGGATGCGTGTTGACAGCTATGGCAGCGAAGCGGTGAAGGTTCGCCAGGCAGAACGAAAAAGAAAGCCCTCCAGCACGACCGAACAGAGCTTTACGCGGGCTATCGGTCTCACCTCGAGCTTGTTGGATCATATCACGGCTGGCAAGTTGGAGAGCCTGGATCCGGAGGCGGTGATACCATACCTCAAGGCCCATTTGACGTGGAACGTCTATGGAGTAGGTCAACTTCAGCATATTCCATCATCTGACACTGACTGGATCCAGGGCGATGATTCAAAACGTCTGACACCTGCGCAACTAGAGACCTTTGGCGTTGAGGTCACTAGCACCAAGTTATACATTCCGAAAGACCCCTCTCAGCCGCTCGAATACAGCACGGACACAACCTCGTACCCAATATGTAGGGTATGATAACGCGACCTCGGAGTGGTCCAGATGTCGAGCCGTCATACGTCAGCTCTGGAACAACTGCAAGGCGCGGGGCATGCTTCATCCTGATGCGTGTAATGGAGGCTTTTGATCCAGTTATGAGGAATTTGGGGGGGGGACTGAAACATGGAGCTGTCACGGCAAGGACGTAACGTGAATGAATTGCGCGCTTTTCGCAGAATGGTGCTTACATCGCTCCAAACGCGGTGCCTTATTTCCGTGGGCCCCGCTCTGCCAGCTATGATTGGGCAGCCCTGAACCCTGACGTTTTGCTGCAGCAACATCCACCGTCTCTTCTGGTCTCGGTCAATACACGTAAATCTGCAACAGTCACAAGGTAAACGTCAATTGCAATTTTTCTTTCGATCTACAGAGGCATTTGTTTCTTTAGTACCTGTAATATCTCCACCGCGGCCGTGAGGTCCTCACCATTCACGTAAAAATCTCTAAGAGCATGCTCCGTCCAAGTTCCCTCAGAGCCATCCATCCCACCACAGCATCAAGATCCCAAACACAAGCACTTTCGCTCCTCCGGAGGGGACTCCTACACCACTCCACTGCACCGTTTGCCCTTCCATCCCGCACCATGGCCTCCCAACCCAAGAAACAAGATTGGTCCGCCACCCAGTACATGAAATTCGGCAACGAGCGCACTCGCCCCGTCCACGACCTCCTATCCCAAGCCCGCGTCCATGTCCAGACCTCCACACCCCGGATCTACGACCTCGGCTGCGGCCCCGGCAACAGCACCTCGGCGCTGCTCGCCGCGTTCCCCGGCGCGCAAGCCACCGGCATGGACTCGAGCCCAGACATGCTGGCCAAAGCCTCTGCGGCGCTGCCGGACGCGCAGTTTGTGCACGGCGATCTCGCGACCTTCGAGGCGCCCGGCGCGGACGTGCTGTTCAGCAACGCCGTGTTCCACTGGCTGCGCTCGCCGCAGCGGATTCCCACGCTGGTGCGCTTCTTCGAGGGCTTGAAGAGCGGCGGCGTGCTCGCGATCCAGGTGCCGGACAACTACGGCGCGCCGTCGCACGCGCTGATGCGCGACGTCGCATCTACGCCCGGGGCTGCGTGGTCGTCGTTCTTCGCGGACTGCAGCGTTGGAGACGTGAGCGATGCGCGGCGCCCGGATCTGGATCCTATCGAGGCGCCGAGGACCTTCTACGATGCGCTGGCGCCGTATGCGCAGAACGTGGATATCTGGCGCACCGAGTACCAGCATGCGCTGAAGGATGCCGGGGCGATTGTTGAGTGGGTCAAGGGGACGGGGCTGCAGCCGTATTTGCATCGGATAGGGGATGAGGGGGCGAAGAAGGCGTTTTTGGAGGAGTATGAGAAGAGGTTGGCGGAGGCGTATCCGGAGTTGAAGGATGGAAAGGTGTTGCTTGGGTATCCGAGGTTGTTTGTTGTCGCGGTGAGGAAGTAGGGGCACGCTTGGACAGAATAAATGAGAGGTGTTTGTTTGAAGGCGCCGTATGTATTGGAGTCGATTGACTCGAAGTCTATAGAGTCCGATACTTATACGCGCAGCTCATTGATCCATTCGTGATGCAGATCCTCGTTACCTTAAGTCTTAGTTGTTGTTCTTAACTAAGTCCATCACCATATTCATCGGGCATTGTCGGAGATATTTCCAAAGAGCCAATGCATGCAGTCTCTTCTGTGCGTGGTCTCTTCTAGCGGCATTGCCTGCACACCACCCGGCCACAACCGTCGCAGTGCCACAGCCAAGGAAGCCAGTCTGCTTGACATCCCAGACACGGAAGCTGTATGGCCATCGACTCGGAAGCGTTGACGCCAATAATGCTGATGTATGGGAGGGGCATTATCAGCAACTGCACCGGGCCAGACGTCTTCTTGGGCTGCATGAGCACAAGCGCACGTCTTCCATCGGGCCTGACAGAGGTAGCAAAACTGATGCTTGCAGCGACACCTGGAATCGTTAGTTCCAGGTTCGGAATACGAGGACCGCTTTCGAAACTGGGCCAGAATAAATTCTTCGGACCGTATGTTTCAATAACAGCAGTCACAATGGATGTCCAGGGGCGGGGAGGCTATAAGCCAAACTTACGTGATGTGATAGCAACCGGACCTCAGCTCTACCATATTCTTGCACTCCGGGCAACTCTTCCAGCGCCTCTGCTTCGCCAAGGTCAACAGAGCTTTCACATCCTCATCCTCGCGACAAAGCCCATCATGAAGCGCTGCGTTGCAGGACGTGCAAGTCTCTTGAGCACACGTGGAACAAGTCGCCACGCCGGCCTCGATATCCACTGGCTTTATCCACTTTCCACACTCGGCCTTGCTGCAATAGGTACGGTGCGGCGTGTCCAACTCTTCCTTCTTTTCCCGAAACCGGGCAATGAGGTCCTCGGAAAAGAAAGGCATGCAGTGGAACAGTTCGAGCGGATCACAGCAGCGAGGGAGAAAACAGCCGGAATCTGCTATGGCACCTTCGAACATGTCCTTGAGACAAGTCCGATAGTATGCATGCTTCTGAGCGCCTTAAGAGGCACAGGAGAGCTGGAGTATGTCTCCCTCACCGAGCACCTCCGAGCAACCTGAACATTCTACACGGCTCGCAATCTTCTGAGGAATTTTGGTGGTAGCCTCCTCATATTGAGACGTGTCGATAGGATCTTTGTCATGCAGAGCAGCCGGAACAAGGCTTTGTTTTGTGGCCTTCTTGCTTTCTTCGACGGTAGGACTATCAATCTTCTGCGTACCGATAGACTTGCGGGGCTTCGGGTCGCGATTGAGGGAGGATGAGAAGCGAGCGTTCGCTTCATCTGAAAGGCCATGTTGGCGCAGGTCAGGTTTCCGTCCCTGCTTCTGCTCCTTCAGCCTGGCGGTCGACTCTCGGTTCATGCTCTCGGTAGTCTTCTTCTCTTTGGGCGCTACACTGGCGCTCTGACTCGAGCTAGAACTCTTCTCAACAGGAGGAGCATGGCCTGTTTGCACCACTCCCAGGTAGATAGCAAAACGCCTCTCTGGGTTGCCGTTGAAGATATCGCTGCGCTCATCCCGGGCAGGCTGTTCAGGAAGATCAGCCCTCGGAATAGGCACCTGGCCGGCCAGCTCTGAGGCCATCACATGGTCACCTACATATGATGTAGTCAGTTGCAAAGTCTCATCGAGCATTCTAGAGTCGCGGAATACTTGCCATGTGCCTGCCTCTCCTCGGCTATGAGGCTCTGATGCAATCTACGCTTGCGATGCTCGTGGCGCAGCATGCTCAAAGCCGTACATCGATCATCAAACTCGTCCCTCGTTCTGAGCAGCTCGGCGCGAAAGATACGGAACGCTTCTGCTCCGAAGCCACCATTGGCGGTTCGTAGCACGTTTTCGGCACCCTGAAGTTGAAGGTTCAGCGCGAGACGCGCGGTGTCGGGATCCATGGCGAGGGCAACGGATGTGGGTGCAAGAGCAAAAGAGAGCAAATAGAAGGAAGTGATCCAGTCGACAGTGGCAGAAAGTGCAATCGGACGTCTCACACTAAAGTGAAAGTTGTGCGTCAAGTGAAGGTGCGAACACTGTTACTATGCGAGGTGAAGGTGGGAAACGGCAAGATAAGCGCGAAAGGAACAGCGACCGATGCCACATGAGACGACGAGGTAAGTCTCAGCGAGCGTGAAGTTTTGAGTATGATCCTCCCCTTCGGTAAGCTTCTTTGATTAACCCAACCATCGCAATTCCCAAAATCCATCAAAACAAGCTGCAGCCCACCACCCGCTGCAGCAGAGACCATCAAGCGATTGACTTGAAGCCCATTCGATCCCCGTCCACCACACGACAGACCGCTCCCACTCCGAGCCTGCCTACCCTCGATCATCAAGTGCTCACGCCATCCACCACATGCAATGCTCCAGGCCCCCACAAGTCCAACACCCAACAAGCCACCCCCATGAAGTAAAAGCAACGCCTCAAAGCAAATGGCACCTGGCAGATCGCAGAAAACACACATGGACTTACCCAGAAACGCCCTTTCCAAATGCCTTACACAAGGTTGTATGCTTTACGCCCCCAAGCCCTTCGACGTGCCAAACTCAATCGTTCCTGCGTTCATGAAAGCCGTGCCATGCCGTGACTGATGATGATGCGACGGGACACGAGTATGTATGTGTGCGGTGTGCCCGAGAAAGTGACATGAAGACCAATTTTCCGCTCAGAGATATCTGCCCTCGCTTGGTATCGTTTTGCGAAATAGACGAAATAAAATGAATCGAGACCAGCACCTCCGTACTCCTATTATTGATTAATGCCGTATGTTCATCACCCGGCGCCGGCTGTGCCGAGTGATTGCTTCTGCATTGCCGGTGACCGGTAACTGTGACGATGCGGCGACCCTGTTCGGTGACTCTCAGCTGACCCGGGCGCGGGTTGACTGTATGGGAGATTGGGAGCGCCTAGATCGTATTGCTGTGGTGGGGTACTGTGGTTGTTTGGTCCACCAGCGCCGGGAATATGGCGTACAGAAGATTCACCTGCGAATGCTTGAGGGTTGTGATCCGCTTGTGTAATGTGTGGAGCGTTACGCTGGTCTTTCCTCGACGAGGCACCAGACTGATTGCGCGGGGACATTGCTGGGGCTGCCGATCCTGGTCCCGCCGGGTTTCTGCCGCGTTGTTCCCACTGTCTCATGATGTCCTTAGGAGTCAGTTCGGAGGAGCTGTCATCGTAGAGAAGATCCACAATTTCTTCGGGCACCTACGCCAAATCAGCAATGTCGATAGCACGTACAGGAGAGTACTAACCTCGCAGAACTCATCATTGTTCTCGATCAAATCGAAAACGACTCGCACAGCGCCTTGGTCTACGCTCTTCATTTCCTTTTCGTTGTTCTCTCGCAAGATGTTCGGGGCCATGACTGTGGCAATGTTCCATGTGTCCATCTTGTTACCGGTTTCCTCATCTACAGTGTGGAACGAAGAGACCCAATTGAGGAAACAGAACAACACCTCCATGGTGTCGCGATGCGCCTTAGGTAACAGACAACAGACAAGATGCAACACCTTCATTCGCTGTACCTCGTCGGCCATTTCTGTACAGGTTAGCATACGTTGTGGAACTGTGACAGTGTACGCACCATTTGCTGTCATGAACAAGCGGTATAGCTTGAGTGTTAAAACAGGATCCGGCATTAACCGAAGGAAACGCTTGAGAAGATTCGCCAGAATGACGGGATTCTTTGTGTTCAGGTCCACCTGCTCCACACCCTTCGCATCGATCTCTTCCTCGAGCTCTCGCAGGGCCTTTAGGTTACCATTCTTACGGAAGACACCTTCTATTGACATGTCCATGTTTCTCATGGCGCTGACAGCGTCTTGCAGTAGGGCGGGTACTCGGAGCGTGCCCGGTCCAACACCGTCCGTTGACTCGGCGCCAAACCTCTCCACGAGCCATTCAAGAGACTGCCTGAACGTCGCTTTCTCGGAAACAGGCTTCTCAACGCTTGTCGGTCCCTTCTTAGGCTTATTCTTGTTCTTTCCAAACCCAATCTTGCCCCAGAAGTTGGTTCGCTTCGTCTCGATGAGATCCAAAAGGTCGCCTTGGTTGTACTGATTGTCATCAAGCAAGAGGCCCAGTTGGAGCACCGCGAGGCTCTTGAGTTTGAAGTACTCAAGGGGTGAAAGCTCAGAAAAATAAGTTCGTGGTCGTCCCTCCGGTTGAAGTTGACCTGAAGACATATCACGGCGATGTCCGTTTAAGAGCCTGGCCTGATCTTGTTGACCAAGCAACGCACTGCCACCCGCACGGAATGCATTAGGACGCTGCTCACGCTGCTGCTCTAATGCTGCCATGCGCGCAATGTCGTCCAAGGCAAGCGAGTTGACAGCAAGAGTAGTGCCGTCCACATCGCCGGTCTCGCGTTCTTGCACGATTTGCATCCCACCTTTGCCTTGGCTATCGCCACCTGTTCCCGAGGCCTCTGGGCCATCGATAATCCTGGATTGGCGGGCGCGCTTCATAGTCTGCGAGAGGTGCTTATCAAGCCTCGTAGATCGAAGTCGTTTGATATCGGTCATGGACTGTTCGTAATTCGCGTTAGCAGCCTGAGCGTCAGCCGACGAATGGCCACCAAAAGATTTGGAGCGGGCGTCCTGTCGTAGTTGAGTTGCTTGAAGATCTCCACTGGCATCGCCCAGACGGTGGCCTTGTGAAGAGTCGTAACCTGTCAAGTTCGGATCATCTAAATTTCAGTGAGTGGAGGGAATTCTTTTGCGGCGTGGGGGGCGAGTGCCTGATCATGGGTGTCAAGACTGTATGCTCACAGGTGCTGGTGGGTTGACGACGACTCAACAAAACCTGACTTACCAGAAGTGTGTGGCAGAGCTCCACTGGACCGCAATGTTGCCATTAGGCGAGCGTGGGCAACCTTGAGTAGGTGTACATATTGCCGCAGTTTGGTTACTTGCTGGAATCCGTTCTCTGCATCAGGCTGTGCTGCAGCGCACGCCGGGCAGAAGATCCTCTGTTTTGACTTACTCCAGTAAGCATTCTTGGTGTCACTGCGTAGGTCGGCTCCACAGCCCCTGCAAACCATGCACCCGTAGTTGAACGACATGTTGTCGAGGTGCAAGCACTTGTCCTCAACCTGAGCATCGCATATCGGGCAGGCGTCCGCCCATCGCGGAACAAGCAACAGGGACTCGGCGGCCTGATCTTTCTGCGCCTCTTGCTCCAACCTCTGGTCGAGTGAATTTACTTGCGCAAGGAAATTTGTCAGACCACTCGCACTCCGTGTCTCTCGCTCGAGCTTCAAAGCACCCTGTAGGCAGATGCGGATTAACAGCTTCAGATAGTGGGCTAATCCAGTGACAAGGGATAAGAGCTCTTGCGTAACGCCGAGTCTACGCACACCGGTACCTTGCGATTGCGTCAGAAGCGCGAAGAAGGCCACGACCTTTTTGCATAGCAGTTTTGACTCGCGCGAGTACGTCAGGCCTTTTGGTGTATTTGTGGTAAGCTGTGCGTCAAGGTCGTCCGCGGCATGGAACAGGAGTTCGACATGGACGATGAATTTCTTCGCAGCCATGACACCGTCAACATACGCGCCATTGCTGACGTGGAGGAGCATGTCGGAGATGCAAGTGGCCGACTTCTCCTCGAACGCGGACAGAGTCTTCCAGATCCAGTTGACTTTGGCTTCTATCTCTTCTTCTTGTTTGCGCACTCTATCACGCACCTCGTCCGATGCGTCGGAACCCACGTCCTGCGGGGCCTGGGCTATGGGCTGACCGGTTGAGTGCAAGCGCACGTTCCAGTACTTGTGGATCATGTAGCATTCCGGATGCCAGTGCTGGTTCTGCCCATTACGGAAGATCTCGACAAACTGCTTTAGGATCGACGTTTGGCAGCCGTTGCATCGCTGAGCAAATTTGGTTGAATAGTGGTAGTGGCAGTACACGCTGCCCTCGTGCTCGTAGTAGCTGTCTGACGCACCGAAGACGGTAGGACAGACGGAACAGGTGAAATGCTCGATGTGGTATTTCCGGTCTAACGCCGTGATGTACGAGCCCCGCAAAGCTTGTCCACAGTCAAAGCACAGCAGGTCGAGCCGCTTGAAGTAATCGGTCTCGCAGAGCGGATATTGACCTGGGGGCTTGTCGGGCACGGGGAAGAACTTGGAGGCGACGATTTTACCGCAATCCTGTGTCGTGTCAGCAGATGCATTCAAACGAATAACGCGCAACAGTAGTCGCAGGGTCGAGAGCAGCGACGTGTTGCAGCACCGACTCGCCAGCGGCCCAATTCCGAGGGACAAGGGTTACGTACGTGACATGTAAAGCATTCCAGGTGGTATGTGTCGCCCAATGCGCGAACGAATTGCCCCGTCAAGCCCTCACCACACTTGCCACAGATCTTGCTTCGACCTCGAGGCTTCTCTCGTGCTGGGTCCTGCTGTTGTGGGTCTTGGTTTGTCGGGTCGGTAAGGGAGCGGGAGGGCGGGCCGTTGCCCTTGTGGGGAGACAGCGACTGCGGCGGCGGACTCTGCATGTCGTAGGGGTTCGTGGGCTGCCGCTGGAGGCCGTTCATGCGCGGGTCATAGGCCTGGTATTGCTGCTGCTGGGGTTGCTGCTGCGGGGCGTCGTGGCCTCCCAGCGAAGGCGGGCCGTCGCCGGGAGTTAGTCCACTCATGGCGGCGGTCTGCCAATGCTAGGCGTGTGTGCTGCGATCCCGGAGCGCGCACGTTGTCGAGGGGCCCAGGCGTCGGCGGCGAGGGGCGTGAGGGCGCGCGAGACGGGGCGGTGCGCGCGGCGGCAACGACAGGCGGCGGAGGAATTGCAGAGGGGACAACAGCGTGCGTTGACGTGGGATCAGGGCGCCTCTGCAGCGGTGCTGTTGCTGCGGGAGGAGGGAGGGGAGGGGCGCGGGTGGAGCGCTGAACCGTGCCCAGCGGTGAAGGTTGGCCAGCGCTGCTTGGGGTCGTTCAGGCGCTCGGTCGGCAGCATTCGTCGCAGTCGAGCGGGCAAGGCGGGCGTCGAGGGACGTGGCGGAGAGGAGATGCGAAGGGGACGGGGGCGCTGGGGCGGCTGAAACGGTGACAGGCGGGCAGCAGGAGCAACAAACGGCGCGCGTGAGGAAGAACGGCGGGCATGGGGCGTGTGTTGTATGTACGGGGGCTGCCGCCAAGCTTGTTCGCTCTGGAGAGTCCAGCAGAAGGCTGCGAAATTGCGACGACGATCCACATCACACCGCGAGAGAGACGGCGCTGCTTAACACAGCCCCGGCCACGGCGCACAGCGCGTGTCCGGCGCAGGCTCGCGGCATTACTTGTGCGTGCTGGCCTTGCACGCCGCTACATAAAGTTGACCACCTCACGACGGTGCACCCGCGATGCAGCGATGCATTGGACTATAGCGCCCGCTGCTATTGCCCGCCAGCGCCAGAGCGCGGCGGGGCCTCCCAGGCTGAGCCAGCCAGCCAGAGATCGCCGCGGACCGTCACGTGCAGCGCGACCGCAGGAACCGCACCGCCGACTGCCAGGCGCGAGGGCCGGCGAGATGCGAAGCTGAGCCTCGTCAAGTGCCTGAGTCCTCCGTTGCTCGTCGCTCACCGTCCCCAGACGCCGCATCCACCGCCGCCGCCGCCGCCGAGCTGCTCTGTGCGCGCCCGAAAAGCGCAGCGTCCGGCCCAGCGCCTTCACTGCCTGCCACGCTCTTTCACGTCCGCACGCGCAACCGCGCTCAAAGATCCCTCCGCAACAAAGCCGCCCACTTCCACGCGCACCCGACCGCCGTCCCGCCGCTCCTCCCAACTGCCCGCCATGGAAGACGAGCCGCAAGACGCACCAGCCCACGTGGCCGTCGAGGCGCCCACCTTCAAGGCGCCGCGCATGGTGTCGCGCCCCAAGCCGCAGCAACAGCAGGAGGAGGAGATAGGCTCAGAGCTCAAGCTGGGCGACTTCGAGGGCGAGCAGCCGCTGTCGATATCCGAGGCGCGCGCCGTCGTCACAGCCGTGCACGAGAAGCGGAAAGTGAAGGCTGCTGAAGGCCACGGTGTGCTCGGCGACAGGACGCACAACGACAGCCAGTATGCCCACCTGCGTGCTGTCTAGGGAGAGAGCCTTTGCTGAAGAGCGCAGGTCCATACAGCAGTTCGTCGACTACCTCGAGATGTTCGCGCGCTACAAGGAGCTCAACAACCTGACTGCCATGGGCGGTGTGCTCGACGCAAACCCGCAGTTCTCCATGGCAGAGCGCGCTATGCTCGGCTCCCTCTGCTGCGACACAGCCGACGAGGCGAAGACGCTGATCCCGTCGCTGGCTTCCAAGATGGACGACGAGTCCTTGCAGCCGGTGCTGGACGAGCTGCAGAAATACCGTACGCCTACACCTTCTCCCCCCTTCTTCTGGCCGTGACTAACTTGTGCATCAGAGGATCGCTTAACCATGTGAGCTACCTGCGCGCACGCCGAGAAGCACATCCACTACACAAGTTCGAGGAATGAGACCGCGGCATAAAGGCCGAGAGTTCGAGACGGATTCGCACCAACGACGATACACGGCATCGCGAATGACGGTGACAGCCTCAGGCGGCGAAAATGCATGGTCGGGAGCTCCGGGTTTTGCGATACCAAAGGATAGACCGGCCCTGCTGGGTCGATGTAGCAAAAATTCCATATTCTTCCCGTGAAGGGCATACATTCTCTTTCTGGTCGGAATCGTGCAATTTGTTCATGGTAAATTAATTGTTCATACGTCTATATCACGCTTTTACTCTCACTTCTCCTCGTCATGCTTGCAGCTCCCCATCCTATCCTTCATCCAGCACTTCACGCAGTACACCCCGCTGATAATGAGCCCTAGCCCACTGAGCCCGACCGCCATGTACATAGCGGCCCTATACCCCCTCAGCGTATCCTCCGGCGTTGTCCCCCCGTTCACAACATACACCTCCACCGTCCCCGCGAACCCCAGCCCCAGCGAAATCGAATAGTTCACCACGGTGTTCACCAGACTCGCTGCGATCCCCTGATGCTCTTTGGAAACAGCGTCGGAAAGGATGAGCGTCGCCGCGGGAAACGACATGTCCATGCCCCAGGGCGTGACCACGGTGCAGAAGAAGAACTGGCCCCAGTAGATCTGGTCCACAGGACATGTCATGATGAGTATTGTGCCGATGGTGAAGCAGGACAGCGCAATCATCATCACGGGCGGCGGCCCAACTTTGTGGATTACTAGCCCCGTGACCAGCGCCGCGATACAGCCAGATGGCACGACAGGCGATATCCACGCCGTCGCAAGCAGCGGTGACGCATGTCGCAGCACCTGCGCAAACTGCCATGTGTAATAATACCATATCCCAAAGCAGGCCCAGCCGCAGGCGACGCAGGCCAGCACGAAGGCGACGTCCGTGGAGAGCACGTCGAAGGGAATGAGCGGCGTCTTGGAGACGCGAAGCTCAATGTAGAAGAAGAGCGGGAGGAACAGGAACGACAGGATCAGGCAGACGTAGACGTAGGGTTTGTCCCAGCCGACAAGGGGCGCTTGGTTCCAGGCGAAGTTGAAGAGGACGAGTGCGGCGACGCCGGCGAAGGCGCCAGGGAGGTCGAGGTTGGAGATTTGCTCGCGCGCCGACATGTGCGAGAATTTGGACTTCTTCGGGGGGTCCGGGATCATGAAGAAGCCTGCGGTGGTGAGCATGATCAGGTAGATTGCGCACGCCCAGTATGTCCATGGCCACCAGGCGAGGTTGAAGAGACCGGCGAATGCGCTGCCTATGATGCTGCCCGTTGGTGCGCATGCCCCAAAAATGGCGAAGACCATGTTCTTCCTCTTTCCTGGGGCGTAGGTGGCTCCGAAGATAGCCAGGGCGTTGGGCAGCATGATGGCTGGTCCGATTCCCTGGAATACACGGGCGAAGGTGAAGAGGACGTGATTAGAGTAAGCAGACAACCCTAGGACCATAGACCACAGAGACATCCAGAGAAAGCCGATGAGCAGCATGCGTTTGTATCCGAACACATCACCGAAGCGACCGGAGGGAAGGATGAAGGTTCCTACTGTGAGAGAGTAGCCTGCGATAAGCCATGGCAGCTGTGCGTCTGAGAGACCAAAGTCGTTGCCAATGATGTGAACAATAGTTTGTACATTTCCTAATCCAGCTTCTGTGTTGGTGTTAGAAAAGTTTTCAAGTAGTGGAGGTTGACTTACGCGTCAACAGCTGCGCACTGCAAACAATAGCCACGAAGGTAATCTCTCGTGGCAACGACAGCGTCTCCGCTATCGACTTCGTTCTCGCCAAGTCCATATCATTCCCCTTCTCCACCTCATTTGGCACGGAATCGCCATCGTGCTCTGTGGGCGACAATGACGCGGTGCTGTGACTTCGTGGTTCCTCAGCTAGCTCTTTACCAAACATACTTCCCGACACGTCCTGATCTGCTCGCTTTTCGGATATATATCCCGACATCTTGACTTCACGAAACGACCGCCAACATCTCAGGTATCCTCCACCATCGCGGGCAGCCCGGGCCTTTAATATGGCGAGCCATCGGAGCTATGCACCTTCAAAGCCGGCCCGTTACGTCGTCTGAACTTTTTGTAAGTTAGCGGCAAGCTTAGGTTCCACCGCGGAAGGCGATCCGCGCCTTTAGTCAGATAAGACAGCCGCGCGCAGCTTACACGATGCTTGTGTAAAGCCGCGTCGAGTGGAGTACTAATAACACGGCTCTGGAACCCGCTCATCGTTGCCTGCGACAGCGCAAGGGCGCGGCGTGTGCTGCGTCTTCGTAACGCATGAGTGGACAGGCGCCGTCGGCTAATAACGGCGAACAAGCAAAGCTCGAACTTTTACAGCAGCGAAGTTTGAAACGTTGGGTGGGGGTTGCCGTGGAATCGAGTCAGACAGGAGAAGTTCTAGAAAGGAGGATACCTATATTTTTGACAAGAAGGAACAAACCGAAGGCCATGGCACCTGCCTGACGCGACGACACTCGGCAAATCTGGAAGCATAACATCAACGCAAGGTATCAAAGTATCCTGATTCATAGAGCTCGTCCGTGTACGCATTGCAAAAACCTATTTTCGAGGCCCAATTACCGATGCTTGAATTTTTGTGCAGGCCCCTTGTACGCCAGAACACGCGCGCCGCCTTGATTCCCAATCCGCGCATGGATTCCCATTGCTCAATTCCGAACTTCCGTCCCACTTAGTATCGCAGCATAGATTCCCGACCCTACAAAACCCGTCGCCCGTCAACCAAATCTACTAGGGGAGTGAACTCAAAACTAGAATGGTCTTTGTTGGAGCAGCTACGGCCAGGATTCCGCCACCGCCCGGGCCATTTCTTCTGCCACTCTGAATACTTCCAAACAGTCGTTGGAAATGGTAGCAACCGTTTGGGAATGGTGGTATCCAACGCCTGAAGCGTGTCCAGGTCATGTTGGACGCTACTTATAACGGCGCCATGGAAAAATCGCGACTACAGAAAATTGTGTCCCGTCAAAGTTCGCTGAGGTGTCGAGTCTTGGACAACAGTGCGTGGAGATCAAAGGCGGTTTTTCTGGCGAGAAGGGGAACGAAGCAGGGTTATGGGACGCTTCAATGACTTAATGTGTTGAGGAATTATGTGCGTTGAGATCGTGAAGTCTGGTTCGGCTACCGTGAAAGCTAATGTCGCGTGGTGAAGAGTTGAGGCAACGAGAAGTGGTGGATGTGCGTACCATGACAGGCAGAACAGCGCCATGGCAAGACAGATATAGCTACGATGTTTGATTGGTCGGTCTCAGATATGTTCCTACCCTTCACTTTGTCCTTCTTACTGTCATGGGCATCCCATCAATCGGTTTTGCTTCGAACTTCATGACCGTGAACGCTCGATCTCCAAAGATCGTATCTAGATCCGTCCACCCAAATCTTTGCTTCGTAGGCTTGAGTCCGCTACACTCGAAGTCAAAGTCCCTCACCGTCAGCAGGAGGGTGACTTTCATCTCCTCCATCGCCATCGTCTGTCCTAAACACGCCCTCTGCCCACGCTCAAACGGCCGCCATGCGTTCCGCGGCACCTCGTTGCGAGTAAAACGGTCTGGGTCAAATTTTGTAGGATTGGGATAAATTCTGGGATCATAATGCATGGTGTGCTGCACGCCAGTGACAAGCTGACCTCTAGTGGTAAGCTGTTGGCCTTTGTAAGTTAGGAAGCCTGTGGCATCTTCTCCGCGGGCTGAATTGCCGATGGGAAACAGGCGGAGAACTTCTTTGATCACGTTCGTTGTGTATTCGAGCTCGTTGAGCCTATTCGGTTCTGTTTGAAGCAGATCGTAGGTGGCCTCAATACCAGGGCAGAAGACAGTATCATGCTCGCCTCGTAGTTTTTGAAGGACCTGCGGGTTGACGGAGAGCAGTGCGTAGGCGAATGAGAGTGTACCTGTCGTGGTACCGGATCCGGCTAGCAGAAGGGTGCGTACTTGACCCCAAGTCAGAGAGAAAATCTACGTGCGCAGTGACCGACAAAAAAAGTTGGACTTTCGTAGCTGTGAGAATCCAGAGCAAACTATGCAATGATAGGTTTACAACCGTATCATACAAAGAGGTCCTACAGGATGAGGTGTGCACAGAAGGTCCAGCTTTTTGTGCCAGCCACTGTGGTGTAACTCGGTGAGCATTGCTTACCTTGTGAAATTGCCATATGCATGAAGGTCGGGTCAAGAGCCTCTTTCTGCGCCTTTCGTACCTCGAGCAGGTGCTCTCGCAGTATGAGGTCCACCGTGCATAAGCCTCGCTTTTGACTGACATCTGCATTATCCCGTTGGAGTTTTTCGTAGCGAACACGAATCATATCTGCCAGCTGAGCTTCCAACTCGCCATTCAATCCACTTAGCCTCCGCCGAGCCAAGAAGCTTCCAACAGGGTTCCATGATTGCATTATATATACGTTCTCTTTGCACGCTGCATGGAATTTTGCAAGCATCGGAGTTTCCTTGCGCTGTGCATCGAGCGACTCCTCGAAAATCGATCTGGCAACAGTATTGAGCACGAGATTTTGGAGGACTTTCTCAAGTTCAAACACCTCGCCACTCGAGGCCATCTCTCGCAAGATTGATCGGAATACCATGACCTCTTCCGCCATCATACCGGCCATGTTCCTTTGATGTGACACCGAAAAAGCAGGAGCGACCATGTTGTGGGCAGCTTTCCACGCCGGCCCATCTGCTGTTGCTATGTTGCCTGTTCCTAAGACGGCATCCATGGAATTGACTGCCGCGATATGTTTTGGGTGATTCTTCAAGACTGTGAATTGGTTCGCTAAATCCGGATCTGTGACAATCAATTGCGATGGGCCAGCTGGCCATAAATCCAGATACCATGCTCCGGGCATGTCGTACTTTTGCGAGATTGTCGTGATGACTTGCTGATAGTGTGCACCACTAGGGAGAAGACTCATTGACTCCCCCATGAGTTTCAAGTGGCCCCACAGAAAACTGTGCGGTGGTGTAGGCACATTGCGGTAGAAGCGTCTGTGAAGATGCAGCTTGGCAAAGAAGTACCCCAGCGAAGCGATCAAACCGGAACAAAAGAGCGTGAGCCATGACGGTATCGTCATTGCTATTGATAAAGAGTGCAGATGCAAGGAAGACGAAGAGGAAAGGGGACGTAGATTGATGTTTATACGGCATGGACGCATCAGCGCTACGCTAGTTCTGCCGTGTTGGGCGTAGCTCACTTCATAGCGGGCAATGTAAGCTCCGAGATGTTTTCTCCAGGATTAGGCAGGCAACGTACAACGCCAAACATCGCGAGTACAGGTCTGCTTCGAGTCGTGCCTGCCTTCCGCGTACTTCCTGGGCACCCGTCACTCCCATCCCAACTACAATGCCACATATCCTATTAGGCTACCTCTTCTTTTGGTATTCGCTCTCTAGCCGCGACTTGCATATGCGGATCGAGTAGGCCTAGAAGCACCTTATCAGACCCTCTTTTCAGCCATTCGGCATCGTGTGCCAATGCTACGTGGAAGCCATGCTCTTTTTCCAGCACTCGGATCTTTGAGATTGTGTCTTTGGCGGCCTCAATATCGGCATGAAGCGACATCGTGCCTTGCCGGTGCGGCACGCAGAACTGCGCGATCTCATGGGTTCCATCGAGGATGCCCCTGGTTCTGTCAGTACGGGGACAGTACGTTCTGGGGAGGCGCACCTTGAGTGGCAGCAGTCGCTGCCTAGCAGGACCCAGTCGCCGCTCTCTAATCGTGCCGCTGCACATAAATTCCCAGGCATGTGCCCAGGCGCTTGAATTACCCAAAAGCTGCCGTCGCCGAAGAAATCCATTGCCTTTTGGAATGGCCCGAACGGAGCCCACGGACCACCAAGCTCTTCAGCTCGTTCAGTCGCTCGCTCAGGGTCGAAGAACCTTCCATCCCATTGCGCCATTGGGTCTGCAAGATGTCCTGGTGCACACCCTGCTTTTGTACCGGGCCCGAAGTATGCCGTTACATTCGAAAACGCATCTCGAACTGGTCGACAATGGTCCCAGTGCGCGTGACTACAAGATATTAGCAACGTGATCAAGCTTGGGGTCTGACGTTGCGCACCTGAAGATTATCGTTTTAATCTGGGCAGACGATACACCTCTCTCGCTCAGCTGCTGTACTATGCTCTTTCTTGGACCTGCAGGATTCACATAATCCAGCATGAACTTGTTGACCCAAGGCGTGTACAATGAGCGATCCTACCGTTTGTGAGCATATCACGTCTTCTACGGCGCATAAGCCTACCTCATCGAGTCCGAGATCCCACACAATGTGTTCATCGCCATGTGAGATGCAGAAGGCCCAATTATACATTCGAAATTTGGCATTGCTGACATCTGCATGCAGCTTATCTGTGTCTGCGATGAAGCTGCCGCCATCCAAAAGCGACAGGCCGACGAACGCCGTAGACAGCGGTATAGGGCTCGCGGGCATCTCTGCTACTTGGTGCATGCGCTACAAGGCCACTGAGTTGTCAAGCTCCAGTATAAGTACAACGGAATATGTTAAACGGCGGGCTCCACATATTGCACTATGCCTTTGCAGGGCAAGTGCAGCCTAGTTAGATCCTTGTCTCTAAATGCAGGCATGCCGCGTATCGCCTCAGCCTCCTCAACTGACACGACTACGATCCTTTTCTAGGCTCGGTCGAACCGATCATCGTCCGCGGTAAAATCACTCATACCTCATCGCAGATGTGAAAGAACGGACCTTTCAAAGAGCTCTCCCCACATCATCCCAAACCAGCAAACGGCCCGCATTATCGACTAGTCTTTAGCCCCACCTACTCGCGACATAGCGGGGTAGCTGTTTGCGACAGATCAGCACTTTATCTCCCAACTCATTACGCTCTTTTGAGATGCATACATCTTTTGACTAGAATCGGTTCATTAGCATTTGTTTTCTTGTCGTTGGAACCGTTACACAATACTGGTAAACTTCCTTCCTCGTTCAAATGAGGACCGCGTACAAACACAAGGATCTTGGCGAGGTTCATGGAAACAGCAACGATGGTGTGGTCCAATTCTTAGGCCTCAAATACGCTTCATTGAAGAACCGGTTTGCAGCTCCATCGCTGCTAACCGACTATAGCTCTGGACAGATAGATGCCACCAAATTTGGGTACACACTATGCCTACCATACTGATAGACCGTCACTCATATGTACTAGACCTCCTCCTGTCTCACCTGTAGGCGCCATAAACAACGAATTCGGCTTTATACAAAAAGAACTGCCGTTGCCTCCAGACGTTCCTAGTCACTCGGACATTGAAGGTCTGAATTTAAATATCACCGTTCCAAGAGGCAAGAATGGTGATATCGACAACAACGCAAAGCTTCCAGTGCACGTTTTTGTGCATGGGGGCGGCTTTGCTGTGGGCTCGAGCTGGTATCCCCACTACGATCCGGCGCCACTCGTCCGAATATCTATCGAAAAGGGCAAGCCCATTATCGGTGTGACTATCAAGTATGTAAATATACAAAACAAGGTCTCATGGTCACTAATGGCTACCAGCTACCGCCTTGGCGTTACTGGGTTCATGACCTCGAAGGAACTTCGAAGCGCCGGTTACAAAGCCAACAATGGTTTCCATGACCAACGTACCGCCCTACAGTGGGTACGAAGATATATCGGTGGTTTTGGCGGCGATCCAGAAGAGATCACAGTTTCTGGAGAAAGTGCCGGTGGCTGTATGTACCTTCGAACGACCAGCGGCAAGAGCTTACGATGACAGTTTCTGCCCTCATGCTACTTACCTCGGGAGAACCCCTTGTTAAACGAGTTTTGAGCACGGGGGGTGCTGTACTTTTATTCAAGCCAATCCCAGAGGCTGTAACAGAAATGTCTTACTCAAAGATCATTGAAGCGTTTGGGTTGAAGGATAAGTCGCCGGAAGAGCGTGTACAAGCGTTGCTTTCTCTCCCAATTGATGACCTTTGGCAGAAGGTTCCACCTGGAACACCGCTAATTCCGTCAGTCGACAATGACACTGTGCCTGGTGTTGCGACTTTTCCTGGAGTGTCTTCTCAATCAGAAGACCCAACGTTTCCACTCCCCGGTCGAAAATGGTGTTCCGCAGTGATGATAGGCGATTCGAAGCTTGACGTCAGTACTTGTCCCTCCAGCGTATAAAAGAGTACTAATAAATCCACCAGGGAAACATCCTTGCGTACATGGGTCTCGATGCAAAGCTGCCAAATATCGCAGCGCAGTTCATCGAGTCAGTCAACGGAACATTGTCGGACCATCCTGACGCAATTTCGACTCTGCTTTCGGCCTACAATATCACACCCTCGAGTAAGGATAACGAGGCACTCCTCTCCATCCTTCGTTTCGGCACAGAAATCAGCTTCTACGCGCCTTCTCTTGCCTTCGCAAAGGGCTGGCCGCGAACAAAAGACAACAAGTTCTTTCTCTACCACTTCAACGAAGGCATTCCGTGGGACGGCAAGTTCAAAGGCGAAGCAGGTCACATTCTCGACGTTGCGTTTCTTTTTCAAAACTACAACGAGCACCTGAGCGACAAACAAAAGGAGGTTGCACGCGCATACGGTGAAGATATTATTGAGTTCATCAACGGCAATGATCCATGGCCGCCCGTCGAGGGCGAGCAGTATGGGGCAAGGGTCTACGGGCCAAGCAGTGAGGGCATTACAGCACAGTACGTCGCATCAGGCAACCCCGCGGAGGTCGGAAGGCATGACCGCGTGCTCAAGCTGGGCGAGCAAATCGGCTTTGATCTGGTCATGGATGTGTTCCAGAACTTCGCGTTTGGTCGATAGTCAGTGATACATAGAAATCGGAATTGAGAAACCGATTGCCGTTTTCAGTTCCGGCAGGCTAGCCTCATCTATTTCTAGTGAGGGGCAATTTGTGAGGGGTGAAGTGGACGTTCTCCCCGCCCTATGTTGCGTGTGGGGTGCGGGGAACTCCAACAATCAACAAAATCGTTGGTCACGCAGCATGGCGACAGCATCAACCCCTGTAGATTGTGTGCTGCAAAGCTTCTGTTGATATGGTTCACGTGCAATTCAATTCGGAGCTTCTTAGCACCCTCAATGGAAAGGTCGTGGTGCTCACAGGAGGAGCGACAGGAATTGGGAGAGCTGCAGTAACACAGTTTGTTGGCAAGCAATATCTATTACATTTATGAAGCTTTGTTGTCAGCTGACTTTATTACAGAAGCAGGGTGCAAAGTTGTCTTCGGCGATGTCAATGAACCAGCAGCGCGCGACCTTGTGTCTACTCTCGGTGACGCCGTTCGATTCCAACACTGCAACACATCATCCTACCGCTCCCAGCTCGATCTTTTCGCTTTAGCAGAGGATGTCTACGGCAAGATAGATGTCGTCGTTGCCAACGCCGGAGTGGCGAATCATAAAGATATTTTCGACCCAAGCTCAGACATTTCTGTCGAGCCCAGCATGACGGAGGTGGATATCAATCTGAAGGGCGCGATTTTCACTGCGAGAATCGGAATGCACTACCTTAGGAAGATTGGAGGTGGTGATCTCGTTCTTGTCAGCTCAATCGCAGGCTTTAAGGAGTGCGGAGGGTTAGCACCGTATACCGCTAGCAAACATGGTGTGTTAGGACTTATGCGCGGTTTGCATATCGTTGCTATTGAAGAGAACATACGAATCAACGTCATATGCCCGTGGATGACAAGTAAGTCTAGTCTTCTGATTATTACTCATTGCAAAATGATTCTAATAAGCATGCAGAGACCAAGCTTGTTAAAGGTATCGAGACCGGCTGGCGCGAACTTGGCCTCCCCGAGAACGAACCCGAAGATGTTGCAAGAAGCATAGTCCTCTGTGCATCTGCTAATCGAAGCGAAGAAGGCGAAACCCATACTGGAGCTAAAATGCCTTTTGCGGGTAAGATACTGTGGATCGCGGGTGGGCAATCTTATGAGATCGAGGATGCAATACAAAGTCTTGAGCCTCAATGGCTAGGCGAAGAGAACAGCAAGGTACTTGCGAAAGGGCAAGCTTTCCTTGCAGGTCAGGGCACAAGCTGGGATGCAGATAAGCTTGAACAAAAAACGCCATAATTCTGAGCCAATCAATACCATTATTCTGTTCATCGCTCTGGCAAACAACACATCCGCTTTCATTTGCTTCCACCTTCCACGCTATCCAAAGTCAAATACGCAGGCGCTGGCTTGTCCTCACTGATGTCACCCCATGCACTCCAATGCTTCCCAACCAGCTTCTCATTCTCCACTTCATCTGCGATCGCGATCGCCATGTCTGCAACGCTGATCCCGGTCAATCTCCCCTCGAAGATACTATCCTCCTGCTCTTCCCCGACTAAGACCATGTCATCAATGCTTATTTCATACTTTCCGGTCCGCACCCCAGGTCTATATAGCGCAGAAGGAGATACAAACGACCACTTGAAAGACGTGTTGCCATCGAAGAACATAAACGCGGTGCGCCCAGCTTTGATGAAGTCTGTCGCACGATCTTTCCCCTTGACAGATGATTCATATTCCTTGATGACTTTCTGGTGCTCGGCCGTAGCGCGTCCTCTCTGCTCTGCGAATCGTGCGTCGCGATATGCGCGGAGAGCGGTACCCATAATCCCCAAACGCTCTTCCATGTACACGATATGCGCTTCGGAAGTTGCTATGGCACGTCGGTAGGCCATGAAGAAGTCAGGATGGTCGACGCAGCACTCAGGTGTGCCTGGAACGTGGAGCGACCCGGCGCCGCCGACGAAGAGAAAGTACTTGACGTTCGACTGCTTAACCGCGAGAACGATCTTGCGGGCCGTCTCGAGAAATGGCACTACTTCTTTCAGATGGGCGTTCATGGGAGGTAGTAGAGTGCTCACTGTAAACCAATGCATCTGCGCCCCCGGTGTGCGGGCCATACTCAGATACCAGTACGTCAATGCCTTCAAAGTGCTTTGCGAGCTCGGAGAAGGAGATTGCGTCGATGTCGACAGACCGTGGAGAGTAGCGCTCGTGCGAACCAAGCTTCTCAGGGCTACGGGATATCCCAATGACACTGTGACCGCGGTTCAGGAGTTCTACACAGAGGTAGGAGCCTCCAAACCCTGCTGGGCCAATGACTCCTACTCTGAGCGGCTTGGAAGGTGCCATATCCGCAGTTTGGGTTAGCTCTGTGTTAGCAGAGTTGCAAGCGTATAAGCCTGGCAAAGGAATAGGCCTCAAGCACTTGGGATAAAGAGAGATATGAGGCCTGGTATGTTGCTTCCTTTGAGGGTGGATCAGAGGCGGACGTTTGTTGTTCCTCTGCGATCAGCAGTTGCTTGTAGAGACTAGTGGCGTGGCCGAGGGTCATATCGTTACGGCAAACTTACCGTCTTCGACCTAGTTCCAGCTGTGGATTGGACGTTTGGGGTGAATATGGGGAGTGAGGGGAAGATGTGGGGCACCGGGTCGATCACAAACAGGGACTAGTTGCCTCACGAGAGGATACTACTCCACGCTGTACACAGTAGACAAATCGCTATTGCGTCTTTATCTTGCTCTCTGTGCTCTTGAAACCTTATACTTAGAAAATGGCGGACAATTATGCTTTCATTGGTAAGTCCATCAGCTGGACCTTTCACGATTCTGACGCCTTTAGGCCTTGGAGCAATGGGCTACGCAATGGCCTCAAATATAAGAAAAAAGATGCAAGCATCAACAATACTATACATAAATGACATCAATGCTTCTGCCTGCAAGCGCTTCCAAGACGAGTACCGCAAGCATGGGCCAATAGAGATTGTGTCGACCGCACGCGAAGCAGCAGAAAATGCAAAAGTAGTCATATCAATTGTGCCCGGTGCAAAAGACGTGCAAAAAGTCTACTTGGATGAGACAGATGGAGTGATAGCTGCCAGGAAAGATGAAGAAAGGGTGTTGTGCGAATGTAGCACGATTGACGTGAGGAGCACGCGAGAAGTCGGTGAAAAGTTAAAGGAACGAGGATTAGGAACATACGTGGACACACCCGTCTCTGTAAGTACAGACATTAACAATGGCGAATATATCCATAACGCTGACACTCACTCCTAGGGCGGCGTCCCAGCAGCAGAGCGAGGCGACCTTTCCATGCTCATCGGCCATCCCAAACCCTCCGAGGCTAATACTTCATCCAAGCGCCTCGAAACCGCCCTCTCAATGATGGGCTCTCCTTCAAAGTTCTTCTACCTCTCCTCCCTCGGCGCCGGACTGACTGCAAAAATCTCGAACAACTACTTGTCCGGCACTATCCTGCTGGCAACTGCAGAAGCCCTCGCGATCGGCGTCGCCCAGGGCCTCGACCCCAAGGACCTCTACTCTGTGATACGCGCGTCTACAGGCCAGTCTTGGATGTGCGACCACGTCATGCCAATACCAAATGTGACGGATAGCTGGGTGCCGAGTAATAGCGGGTACAAGCCGGGTTTCAAGACGCAGATGATGCTGAAGGACTTAGGACTTGGGATCGAGAGCGCGAAACAGGTGGGGCTGAACCCTGTCATGGCGGAGGCGGCATTGGAGGTTTGGGAGAGTGCGAGCAAGGACGAAAGGTGTTTCGATCGAGACGGGAGTAGTGTTTACTTGCACATTGGAGGGCAGTTGCCAAAAGGGTATGAGGACAAAGGCAAGAAAAGCGATGATGGATCGTGGCAATTTGAGTAGGAAGTTACCGAGTGATGAAGTATGAGGATATTGTTCATTCTATGCAGACCCCTATAGCGCCAAATGCTAAGCTCAAAGCCCAATGCTGATATCAACAAGTAAATGAATGCGGAAGAGAGTCTATATTTCCATCTCCTTCAAGTCCTCAGCCACCTTGAAAGGTGCCTCGGTCTTCGCCTTAACCTCGTCAACAGTGACACCCTTTGCGACTTCTTTCAGAGTGAGCCCTTCGGTAGGGCTGACATCGAAGACAGCAAGGTCAGTGATGATGGTCGATACGCACTTCTGGCCGGTAAGCGGGAAAGTGCATTGCTTGAGGATCTTGGGGTTTCCCTTCTTGTCGGTGTGCTCCATGGTGATGACAACCTTTGTCTGCGAGGGGTTGGCGACGAGGTCCATGGCACCGCCAATGCCTTTGACCTTTCCTGGAAGCATGAAGTTGGCAAGGTCTATACCACGTCAGTAAGAGTGCTTATTTGTGTGACTGGTATGTGATTCACTTACCTCCATAAGTGTTCACCTGCATAGCTCCGAGCATGGCGACGTCGATCCTGCCTGATCTGATCATGCCGAATGATTCGTGGCTGCCAAATGTCGAGGCACCCTTGATCAAAGTGACAGTTTCCTTGCCAGCGTTAATCAGGTCCGGGTCCTCCTCTCCAGGCTTAGGGTATCCGCCCATTCCAAGGATTCCGTTCTCCGACTCCAAAACGATCTCGACACCCTTAGGAAGGAAAGCAGGTGCTGCGAGGGGCATGCCGATACCGAGATTGACATACATTCCATCCTTGAGTTCCTGTGCCGCCCGTTTGATGATACGCTCGCGTTTCTGGGATGCTTCAGAGGAGCCTGCTCATATGTTAATTACTGAAAGGTCATGTGCAAAGCAGTAGATTGCACTTACCCTCAAGGATTGCACGTTTCTGCTCTTCGGGGTCCTTGTAATGTACCAGGCGCTCAATCTTCTTCTCTTCCGTACTCTTAATGACCCTCTTGACGTAGATACCCTGCAGATGAATTTCTTCCGGTGCAATGACTCCATCCTCGACAATCTCATCAGCTTCAACGATCGTCATCTTAGCGTTCTTTCCCATAGCTTCGTTGAAGTTGTTCTGTGCTTTGCGGAAAGTGCAGTTGCCGAGACGGTCCGCTTTCGCGACCTTCACGAACGCGTAGTCTCCGAAGATGGCCTCTTCCATCACGTATGCTTTGCCGTTGAATTCGCGTGTCTCTTTGGGAGGCGCCATCTTTGCGATCGTTCCATCTGTGTTGTACTGAACGGGGAGCTCGCCGGTTTGCACTGCAGAAACCAATCAGCATTCGCGCCGCGAGTTCTTCGTAGATCGACTTACCTATTGTTCCGTAGGCCGCGGGCGTATAGAAAGCCGGTACACCTGCCGCTCCTGCCGCGCACTTTTCGGCAATCGTTCCTTGCGGCGTCAACTCCAATGCCAACTGTCCCTTCAAGTACATCTGTTCGAATGTTTTGTTGTCTCCAATGTAACTGGCGATCATCTTCCCGACCTGCTTGGTGTCCAGCCATTGGCCAAGTCCTACGCCAGGCATGCCCGCATTGTTGCTCACAACCGTAAAGTTCTTGAGATCTGAACGGTCGCGCACAGCATTGATGAGTGTGTTTGGCACGCCAGAAAATCCGAAACCTCCAACAAGAACAGTCGTATCCGATTTCATGTCCTTGATGGCTTCTTGCGCGGAAGGATAGATCTTGTTGATCGCAGCGCGAGTGGCAGTGTTGGAAAAGAAGCGAAGGGCAGGCGCACTGCGGCGCGCCGCGAAAAGGAACGTTCGTTGCATCTTGGAATGTGTCGTGTGTGGAAACTGCCCCAACGTAATGCTCTGCCGCTGTCGCTCGAAGCTCTCCAATACACCTCTAGGGGATGTAAATGTTCTATGGAAAGCAATATACAGCCAGAAAGTTATCCGTAAGCTACAATGACCTTGACTCCAGCTCCACGTGGCTCCGCAATGTTCAATACGCAAAGGAAATGTGGGAATGTGGGATGTAAAGGCTGCGACTGCAGACCGATTGCGTTCCCCACACGACTTTTGAGAGCTTGCATATCGACACTAAACGCAATCAGGCGTACCGAAGCACATGCCGTGCCGGCGCCGGTGGAGGTTCGGGGTCGCCAAGGACTCCACACTTGCGGCGGAAGAGAACTTATCCGCCATTTTGCCCGCGGAAAAGCGTTTCGATTCTGCTTCCAGGCCTCTAAAGGCCCGGAAGGCTTCGCTACGGATACATTTCCCAGGATTGTCAAAGGATCACACTCCGGAAAATGCAGAGACTGCTATCGCAGGTAGCCATCCTACCCGTGGATCTGTACACCCCTGGACATTTCCAGCCCACGTGACGTCCATCTGCCCCAGCGGGTAAAGCACCCAACAATGCTCCGACAGCAACCCTAGTACAGATCATGCACGATCTTTTTCACTAGATACAGAATCAGCCTCATTCTCAAAAATAAGTCGTTTCCACTTACAGTTTGCAAAGTCCTTGTGCTCTTTACTATGCAATGCACGCGAGGCAATGGCCTCTTCCTCCGCATCGCCGGTTGGAACGTTATACTGCACGTGGTTAGCCGTATCAAGGCGGAAAAGTCGATCTTACTTACAGCAGTCAGCGTGGTCTTATGCCCTAAAGCTTCGACCAACTCGGCAATCGCATCCGCCACTATATGGGAATCTTTCTCGTCACTTCCGGTGCTCTGCTTGCCGATATACGGAATGATTCTTGCAATCTGTTTCGCTTCTTCCGGATTGTTGGCCTTGAAATGTACTGTGGGCGCTAGACTGAGACAGCTGGTAATACCATGTGGTATCGAGTAGGTTGCGCCGATCGCATGGCCGATGCTGTGGCTGAGACCTACGCCACCGGTGTAGAGGAACGGAAATAGTGAAGCATAACATGCGAGGAAAAGCTTCGTACGGACGTCAGCATCCTCTGGATTCGATTTTGATTGCGGTAGATAGGTGAACAGATCTTTGATGGCCTCGAGGCACATGCGTTTGGTGGGGATCTCGGATGCAAGTGGATGGTACATGAGCTCGACAGCGTGGTCCAACGATCGAATCTAGATTTCGGTCAATTGACGAGTCGGGGTTGCAGGTTCGACGAGTCTTACTCCAGTGCTTGTCCACAAGGTCAACGGCGTATGCAGAGCGATCTCGCCATCGTATACCACCGCTTTAGGAACAAGCTCGGGATCGCTCACAGCAATCTTGTGCTTTTCTTCAGTTGTAAAGCCAGCGTTCTGAGTAGTTTCTGCAACGCTCAGAGTGGTAGGTACTGCAATACTCGGTATCCATTTGCCAGTCTCTTGGTGGATGTTGTATGCAATCGCCTTCGCGGAATCAATCGGAGAACCACCTCCTATCGAGATCAATACATCACACCCAGACTTGGCCATCAGAGCAGTCGCTTCGCGGATATCGCCAATCGGGCTACCGCAATTAGCGCGTCAAACTCAGAAGGCTCAGTTATACTCACGCATGTTGACCGATCTTGCTGAAAGTGCCGCCGTGCACCGATCCTAGACTTTGCTCAATTTCCTTGATTACTGGTGTCTTTTCGTAAAGGGAGCGACCAGTAATGATGAAAGCTTTGGAGCCGCCGAGCTCTGACACCACATCTGCAAGCTGTTTGCTGGTTCCTAGATAAGACAACTTAGTATATGTCCAAGTCGAAAGCAGTTCACCGTACCTGCACCGTAGATGAGGAGCTTGACGGGCGAGGCTCGATACGCTCCCTTAAGCGAGGAGTCGATGCTTCCGTTCTGATACTTGCTCGGCAGGGTCATCATGTAGTTTTTTTTATGTTGTTTCAGCGAATTGTACAGCAGAAGCGGTTCTTTTCCGCCTTTGCTTGAGCAAGAGCCTCGTTGTTGTGATTCGTCATCGAGGGGTAGCTCCGGTCCCGCCCCACATCCTTGCTGCTGCCCCGCCACGTCTGTTGTGTTGCGGCTGCGGAGCGGCAATTTCAGCATGACTCGGCGTACGGCTTTCTTAGTTGTTTGCATTCGAAATGTCTGGGATCCAGCAACGCAAATCGGAACGTTATCATGGCGGCTTTCAACAGAATAACACGCAACGTGCTGCAAAAGAGCCCCAATGATGTCGTTCTGCTTTCTGCCGTACGGTCTCCAATCAATCGCAGCTTCAAAGGTGGCTACAAAGATGCGCACCCCGAGGACATCCTGATGCCTGTAAGGTGTATGGAAACAATTATGAGCCAGCACACTAATAACCGTAGGTTATGAAAGCTGCTGTACAGAGAGCGAGGATCGAGCCCAAAGATGTGAATGATGCCATGATTGGCAACGTACTCGCTGAGCTGGGCTTTGCAAAGACTGGTCGGATGGCGCTCAATCATGCTGGGTTCCCAAACTCGACTACATTCCACACCGTCAACCGCCAGTGTTCGAGTAGTTTGCAAGCCATCACCCACATATCACATGCGATTATGGTGGGCCAAATCGATGTCGGACTCGCCGGGGGTGTTGAAAGCATGTCAAGAAATTACAGCTCACGAGGCGTCCCGACTGATGTCTCGCCAACTCTGTTGGGATCAACGGTCAAAGACGCGCGTGACTGCCTTATGCCCATGGGTATCACCTCTGAGAATGTCGCAGAAAGATTCAACGTTGACCGGAAGTCACAAGACGAATATGCTGTACGAAGCCACAGCCGGGCAAGCCAGGCACAGAAGGAAGGACGATTTGAGTGGGAGACTGTGCCTGTTACCGTGCAACGCATGGATGAGACAACAGGCCAGCTGGCAGGATATGAGGTTACCAAAGATGATGGTATAAGACATGGCTTGACCTTCGAGAAGGTATCAACGTTGAAGCCTGTTTTTGGCGAAAATGGCAAAAGCACTGCTGGAAACTCGTGGGTGCACTTTCGTACTGGTACAAATCCCCGTAGCTGACATCGCAGATCTCAAATTTCGGACGGCGCCTCGTCAACGATTCTTGCCCGTCGGTCTTGGGCAGAAGAGCGCGGATTGACGCCGTTAGGGCGTTTTGTTGGGACACAAGTCAGTGGTTGTGCGCCTGACGAGATGGGCATCGGCCCCATATATGCAATACCAGCACTGCTCAAGTACACGGGGACTGATCTGAAAGACATCGATATCATGGAATTGAACGAGGCCTTCGCCAGCCAGACATTGGCATGCATCCGCGCGCTCGGCTTGGACGAGGATAAGGTGAATCCAAATGGCGGTGCGATTGCTCTGGGACATCCCACTGGGGCAACAGGCGCACGTCAGACTGCAACTCTGTTCGGAGAGCTGCGTAGGCAGGACAAGGAGCTGGGCATTGTGTCCATGTGCGCAAGTACTGGCCAGGGCGTCGCGTCGCTCTTCGTGCGCGAGTCATAGTATGCGAAGCTAGCGGGCAGCAACGGACCCCTTACAATTAGTGTACTTACTGTACAAGACTTTGCACCGTGTTGAGCGTCTTGGACCTCCACATCACGAAAGTGACGCGACCCCACGTAGCTGCACGTGAGCACTAGCCTTAATGGTAATAGAGCTTGCAAGAGCCCCTTCCCCACACTGGTGCACACTCCGCCGCATCTACCGGCGGCCATGGGTCGTGACTTGTGTCAATTTGAGCTTTGCATCTTGTTCTAGTGTTCTCGCTCTGTTTAGTTATTTCCTTACCACTTCTTTCTACAGCTGCTCATAGGATCATGTTTCTCATCCGTCGCGCACCCTTGAGGGTCTTTCCCAAAATCGCTGCGCTTCAGCAGCGCCGAGCGCTCGGTAGTGTCAGTGCCATTGACTCTGCAATCTTCAGAACACTGTTCGGCACCGAAGAGATTCGTCAAGTCTTCGATGACAAGGCCTATTTGAACCGCTGTGTTGACGCCGAGACGGCGCTGGCGCGAGCGCAATCACGATGCAACGTCATTCCATCTCACATTGGCGAAGTTGTAACTTCCAAGTCTCAAGGCGCGGAGCTCGATTTTGACAGACTGCGACGAGAGACCGAAATAGTTGGGTATCCCATCCTCCCACTGGTACGGCAGCTTTCGGCACTATGCGGGGATGAGGCTGGCCGTTACGTTCATTGGGGTGCGACAACCCAGGATATCATGGATCTCGCGAGCATCCTCCAGATGAAGCAAGGACTTGAAATCATCGAAAAAACTCTGAGATCTGTCATTAAGAACCTGGAAATCCTGTCAAAGAAGCATCGAGACACTCCCATGGCTGGTCGCACGCACTTGCAACATGCATTGCCTATCACGTTTGGACACAAGACCGCAATCTGGCTCTCTGGATTCCAGAGGCACCTTGAGCGCTTACAACAGCTCAAATCCCGCACACTTATGGTTCAGTTTGGCGGCGCAGCGGGCTCGTTGGCGTCCCTGGGCTCCGGCGACGACGGCATTCGGGTTCGAAAGGAGATGGCTCGGGATCTAGGTCTTACAGACCCTCCCATCACCTGGCATGTCGCGCGCGACGGTATTGCTGAAATCACAAACTATCTCGCCCTTGTGGGAGGCAGTCTAGGCAAACTCGCGCTCGATATAATCATCATGTCATCGAATGAGCTGTCAGAGGTATCTGAGCCTTTCGTTCCTCACCGCGGAGCGTCTTCTACTATGCCACAGAAGCGGAATCCCATCTCCAGCGAAGTCATATTAGCCGCCTCTAAGGTACTACGTTCAAATGCTGGCCTGGTTCTTGATGGGATGGTTTCAGACTTCGAACGCGCTTCTGGGCCCTGGCATCTCGAGTGGGTGGCTGTACCCGAATCCTTCGTTCTTGCTGCGGGTGCCCTCCACCAGGCGGATTTCGCATTGTCTGGTTTGGTCGTGAATACAAAAGCGATGCTCAACAACCTTTACTCCACTCGAGGGCTCATTGTGGCGGAGGCGGTCATGATGGGGCTTGCTCCGCATGTGGGTCGCCAGAAGGCCCACGATATCGTGTATGAAGCTTGCCGAGAAAGTATTGAGAATGACACCAGCCTCCTGGAAGCTCTTCAAACGCGGGACGAAGTCACTGGAAAGATATCTCACGAGGACTTGAGTTCACTGTGCGACGCCAAGAATTACCTTGGGTCATGTGGCCTCATGGTCGATGAAGTTCTCGCCAGGTCTTTGTAGTCAGCTTTCTCAATGTGTGTGGTGGTATATTCAGGATGAATAAGTTCGAGATTAAGACACCAGGGGATATGACAACTGTTACGTAGTTTCTAGAACGCGAGGCGTTCACATCAGCATTTCCAGGTTAGATAAATTCGCATTCGCATTTATTCATCGATCACCCTCCAATATCCCGGTTGCAAACTAGTCGTCCTTCGCACACTCCGCCCTCGGAACTCGTTCGCCTTGTCGAACAAGTCAATGCGTACCAACCCCGCCGTTACTGGGAGAGCCAGTCGCCCCACATCACGCGGATCCCACGCCGGTCAGCAACGGCAGATCTAGTGCTACGCCCCCAGATAGCGGTTCAATATAAGTCGACTTACTGTGATCAGAGGAGTACATTCACAAACATTATCTCTACAACATGCCTGAATTCAAAGAACGCCAACTTGTCACTGACCCTCAGAAGGCCTTTCATTTTACCGACCTCCAAAGGCTAAAGCCCACACGCGAGAACGATCCCTACGAGTACCAAGCAGGATGGGGCAACCGTCATCAGTCGGAGCTCATCCCAGGAACTCTACCTGTAGCACAGAACAATCCACAAGAAGTTCGTTTCGGTCTATATACTGAAGGGATCACCTATTCTGCATTTGCCGCACCGCGACATTCCAACTTTAGCACGTATATGTACCGCTGCAGGCCAGCGGCCGCTCACAGTAAGTCTGCTCGTGCCCAATGTCGTCTCTCCAATTAATCCTATGCAGATGGTTACGTACCTATCGAGACAAAATCACACATCGAGAACTGCTTCCTTTCAGCCAACCCAAAGGTCGAGACCCTGCCAGAGCAAGCGGAGTGGCATCCTTTCCCCCTCCCCAAAGATGAAGACAAGATTGATTTCGTAGATGGTCTCCACACGCTGGCGGGTAGCGGCGACCCCAATATTAGGGAAGGCATGGCTCTCTATGTCTACATGATCAACTCTAGTATGGAACGACGAGCGTTCTGCAACACGGATGGAGACTTTCTCATATGCGCCCAGCTAGGCAGTCTCGACATCGTAACGGAAATGGGGAAGATCTATCTTCAACCTGGAGAGATCTGCGTTATACAACGAGGTATCCGATTTTGTCTGAACCTAGCCCCGGACACCAGAGTTGCGCGAGGCTACATTACGGAAGTCTGGGGTTCCATGTGGGTGCTCCCTGATCTTGGTCCCCTGGGTGGACATGGATTGGCCAATCCGCGCGACTTCCTATACCCTGTCGCTGCTATCGACGATGAGCTCCACGTGGATTGGCAGATCGTAAACAAAACTAATGGCCAACTCACTGCCATTCAACAAGACCACAGCCCTTTCGATCTCGTCGCATGGCATGGCAACGTCGTTCCCTACAAGTACGACCTCACCAAGTTCTCTTCGCAGAACAGCACCTCAATCGATCACACGGACCCCTCAATCTTCTGCGTGCTTACTGCGCCATCACGCGATCCGGTGACCCCACTGGCAGACTTCTTATGGTTCGGACCTCGATGGGATGTCGCATCGAACACATTCAGGTTGCCATACTTCCACCGTAACTCCGCCTCGGAATTCCTAGCCTGCTTGTATGGCCAGGGTCTTGGTAGGAGCGATGAATTCCTCCCTGGTGGCGGTAGCTTCGAAGGATGCCATACTCCCCACGGCGGCTTTCATGAGGGTTACCAGCATGGCATGAGAATCCACGAGAATGTTCCAGAGAAGATTCTCACAGGTATGAATACTCCCCAACATTACTATATGCATCTGCTCATGAATGATAGATCAATTGACCATCATGGTCGAGTCAAGTCGCTTGTTCCTCTGGACCGAATATGCTCGCAAGGGTTGCGGTACGATCAGTACCGCAGGTACTGACTACAAGGTCTGGGATGCACTACCAGTAAGAACCTTCACTCAATGTTCTTCACCATCACTAACACCTATAGGACCGATTCTCGGCCAACTCCAAGGCCAAAGAGTTGCTCGCCCGTCTCAAAGAAGACAAAATTGCGGAAAAGAAGCGATTGGCGCCCTACTACATTGGCGGTTTCGCTCACGGTGCTAATGCGAGCGACACTGAGGGAGTCCACTCAAAGGAGCTGAAACCATATCTCAACGGAACAAATGGTGTCAGACACGACTCATTGGACGGACAAGCTACGCTTCCAGCTGTGAACATTGCTTAATTTGCTTTCGGGGAATCGGTTGACTCAAGCGCTTATCGCATATCCATCGGCATTGCAAGTACGGACTACATATTCTATATCCTTTGACCAGCAATACTATTCATTTCGGCTTTGGTACGTTCTATCTTAGCAAATGTGTCTGTGCATATCCGTTTTGGGATGGTTTAGCGACCCCACATGCAGGATGTGGGGCCAAGAATCTCTCACTGCTCTCTTTGGATATACATAATGCCAGAGACTGCTATACCAATGGCATAAGAATCAATCAGAAATGTTTCCAAGGTCATGTGCTAGGCTTGTTGCCCGAAGCGAACAGGGCTGGTCCCTAGCGCGCGGGTTTCCCACGGCGAAATTGGGGACATGGAAGCGCGGGAACGCGACGGCAAGCACAGTTGACAAGAAGACTATCGAGAAGCTGCCATTGGCTGGTATCAGAGTACTTGATATGACAAGGGTTCTTGCAGGAGTAGGTCGTCACCTGATCAGGAGACATTGCAAGATAGTGACACTTTCCAGCCTTATTGCACACAAATTCTTGCAGACCTCGGGTACGTCCTCAGTCCTGCTCGTGAAGAGAAGTACTAATTCTAGCTAGAGCAGAAGTCATCAAGATCGAGCATCCAACGCGAGGCGACGACACACGTTCATGGGGTCCGCCCGATGCGCCATATACTGATGGCGTTGAGCGTCAGTTTCCGGGAGAAAGCGCGTATTACCTCTCTGTAAGAACCCTTTTCTGAAGCTACATAGCATCCCCATTTCCTAATATTCCTATAGGTGAACCGCAATAAGAAATCTCTCGGCCTGTCCTTCAACAATCCCTCTGGCATCTCCATCCTGCATTCCCTCGTTCAAAAATGCGATGTTTTAGTCGAGAACTACCTTCCAGGCTCACTTGCCAAGTATAAACTTGACTATGCTACACTCTCAGAACTGAATCCTTCTTTGATATATGCCTCTGTCACAGGCTATGGGCAGACTGGACCGTACAGCAATCGGGCAGGTTACGATGTGATGGTCGAGGCCGAGATGGGACTCATGCACATCACTGGGGAGCGAGATGGTCCGCCAGTGAAGGTTGGCGTAGCAGTCACGGATATATCAACTGGGATGTACACCGCAATCGGTGTACTGGCAGCGTTGTACGCAAGGAAAGAGACTGGCCTTGGACAGTGGATCGATGCGAGTCTTAGTGACTGTCAGGTCGCGGGACTGGCGAATATTGCGAGCAGTGCGCTGATTAGCGGGAAGAAGGACAGTGGTAGATGGGGGACAGCTCATGGTAAGTCGGGATTTAACAAGCCGTCTGTTGAAACGTCGCTGACTTTTCGAACAGCCTCAGTGGTGCCGTATCGGGCGTATCAGACCAAAGACACGAACGTCGCGGTGGGTGGGTGTAACGATAAACTCTATGGTATCTTGTGCGACAAGATTGGCAAGCCGGAGTGGAAAACAGATGCGCGCTTCGTCACCAATGCGTTGCGGGTAAAGAACAGGGATACACTTGACCGCATCATCGAAGACGAACTCAAGACCAAGACCACGAAGGAATGGCTCGAGATCTTTGAAGGCAGCGGCATGCCTTACGCAGCTGTGAACGACATTCAGGGCACTATCAACCACGAGCATGGTATGTTGCAAGCCTCTTCTCAAAACGACTCACCCCACTAATCATCCCTTCAGTACTTGCACGTAACATGATTGAGGAGATAGATCATCCGAAATGTGGACCGATTAAACTCGTCAACCACCCGGTGAAGTACTCGAGAGTAGAGCCGAAGATCAGGACACCGCCTCCAATGCTGGGTGAGCACACGACTGAGGTGCTGAGAGAGCTTCTTGATTACAGTGAGGACGACATACAGAGCCTTAAAAGCGAAAAGACAATTGCATAGAATTACGCAGCATGAGCTTTTTTTCGTACATTCAACTAGCATAGTTCGGCATTTCCGGAGTCTATAGGATAGAATGTACATTTGTTTCGCTCGTGAGAGTCGCCTCGGTAACCTGTTCGGCGTTTTGCAGCCTGTCTCAGTTTCGCAATAGCAATCACAATTCACGAGCGCCCTTGAAACACCTGTCTCTTCCTCCCTGCCACCAAATTGCCTGAGTAGTATCGTGAGTCTCCCCACATGGCGGTCGCTCAGACCCCTGTACTTCCGCACCGTTCGGGCTAGCCCCACATCAGCCGCCCCACATCTTACTCCAAGTCAGGAACCCTGCAGCAACACCACTATCACAGCTACCGGGTGGAAGGGCACACAATATGGATGCGCATGCGAGTAGAAGGCCCATTGCGGCCATGCTAGAGAAAGGGTGGGGGAATTGTAGTGGAGTTCGTTATGCGTGACATCGTGGGAGCTCTGGAGAATTCTTCATGTGGACCTCAGAGGTTGCACTGCAACATTACTTTTGTATGGGTGATATGGCTTCCAAGACAGCACAGAATGAAAGCGCAAAGCCAGAGAAGAAGACTGTGCTACCTTTCCGGTACCAATTCGCTGCTGGAGCCGTTGCAGGCATCTCTGAGGTGAGCTTGTTGACTGTACAACGGACAATTACTTATAGAATCTAGATTCTGGTGATGTGAGAGACCATTGCCACTTATAGTGTCTCGAAACTAAGAGTGTAGGAAGGTACCCGCTTGATGTAGTGAAAACGAGGATACAGCTGCAACATGGCGTCGCGAAAGACGGTCAAGGCTACACCGGCGTGCTTGACTGCTTCAGGAAGATAATCAGGAAGGAGGGCGCGTCGAGACTATATCGTGGGATCACAGCGCCGATATTGATGGAGGTACCTAAAAGGTGACTGGCTCCATGAACCATCCAGACTGAGACTCTTCACTGACACAATGGTAGAGCGATCAAGTTCTCGTCGAACGACACCTTCGGTCCCTTCTACCAGCGACTTTTCCACGTACCAGCCCTTACGCAGCCCCTCGCGGTGCTCACAGGAGCAAGCGCTGGCGCAGTCGAAAGCCTAGTAGTAGTGCCCTTCGAGCTACTCAAGATCCGACTCCAAGACAAAACATCTGCTTCTCGATACAACGGACTTGTCGACTGCTTCAGCAAGGTGGTGCGGCAGGAAGGAATCTTGGCGTTATATAATGGCTTCGAGGCCACACTTTGGCGACACATTGTCTGGAACGCTGGATACTTCGGATGCATCTTTCAGGTGCGAGCTCAGTTGCCTGACCCATCGAAGTCCGCGAACCCCAAAGCACAAAAGACCGTTAATGACCTGGCCGCCGGCTTTGTTGGAGGTGTTGTTGGTACCACATTCAACACGCCGCTTGATGTGGTCAAGAGCCGGATACAGAGCGTTGCAAAGGTCAAGGGCGTAAGAGGCAGATATGAATGGGCATGGCCCAGCTTGGGTGTCGTAGCAAGAGAAGAAGGACTGAAGGCGTTGTATAAAGGTTACGTAGCTAAGATACTCAGATTCGGGCCTGGTGGTGGTGTGTTACTGGTCGTCTACTCCGCGGTGGTAGACATGTTAGGGAAGGTTGCATAGACATGGAAATCGATCACAATAGCAAGAAAGCGTTTTCATGCACTCGGTATCTTCCGAAGTGATGGTGGACACACCGTGTGCAATACTAAAGGTGAAGGTGTTTCGATGAATTTGGAATTCAGTGATCATCGTCATCGTGACCTGACCAATTAGGAAATTTTCTCTGGGTCCGCGAGGTCGCATCTCGGAAGTCGGACTCGTATATAACGCTTGTTGAGAACCGGGTAAACCAAGACAGAAGCGTGACCAGCCCGTATATGCAGTGACGAACCAGTCGCCCGAAGGCCCGAGAGATGTCCTGACAACCAAGCGCTATTGACACGGTTAGTATTCCTACTCAATATATGCGCGAAGCTTGATCGACGGACGATGCGACCCAGATCTGGAATTCTAAGTGCGCATGAAACATTTATATGGCAAGTTGATTGTCGACGAAGATCCATCAATCACATGCAGTAGATCTTTGGCTTCTCTTTTCGTGGAATGCTTCTCGAAGGAGCTGCCCAGGGAAGCTGTATGCCCCACTAGCGCATGCCAGGGTCCCCACATGCATTGGTGTACCGCTTGTCCGGAGTCATGGGCAACGGCCACCAGCCCTTCAGCTGCGTGGCTATGGTCAGCTGCTTCGAAGCTTTGCCAGAAGAGAACAAAGTAGAGCGAAGGCTGCGACCGGCATCCGCGGAAGTTTCTAGTGTGGACAGGTTTGACGCGCAGTAGGATGCTGGCAGACCTGGAAGCCAACATTCAATGTGCATCCGAATGCAGCTCCCACTTTCAGGTTGAACGCTGACAGGCGATCCAAATGAAACGGTGAGACTGCAGACAGCATGCAGCAGTAGGTAGATGAAGGATGAATATGGCGGGAGGGTGCATCCCGGGCTTATATTGGATCCACGCGAGTCATGGGTAGCAACTTCCCCGCAATTGAGATCGCCAACCGCGGCGTCGCTCCAGACGTGTCGCCCGGCACTTCGCTCGTCTATTCACTCTTCAGGACCCTTCCCCGACGACACTGGACCGCTGAGGGCATCGCTGCTCTCCCGCGGACTGACCGCTTTACCCCTATGGCCTTGAAACAATGCAGCCTGTGCGACCGCAAGTTCACGAAGCTTGAGCACGTCAAACGCCACGAGCGATCGCGTACGCGCAATTGGCACCGATACGATGGCTTTATCATGACTGATTGTACATGCAGATACCAGAGAGCGCCCGTACGAGTGTCCGACGTGCAAGAAGCATTTTTCGCGCAGGTGAGGTCCATCACGTCGTGCCGCGGAGCAGAGCCAACAATGAACAGCGACGTCTTATTTCGCCACTGCAAAGGCCATGCACAGAATGCTCTGAACAGATTGAGCAACAGCCAGCAGAACCAGCAACAGCAGCAGCTAGGTACTGCGTCCGGCGACAAGCAGCAGGGCGAAACCGGACCAACATCGGAGCGGACGCCGCAGCTTCCACAAGATCCCTCCCTATCTCCTTTATCAAGACGGAAGAGCTCGCAACAGCCGCCTCAGTCCGGAGAGGGACCACACAATTCACAGCACTCACCAAATCTCCACGTGCGACACTCATCCGTACAACAGCAAACATCTCCAGGCGAGAGTCGGTTAGAAGCGCTTCTCAACGCGGCGCAGCATCTCGGAACACCAGCCGACGTCCCTTGGAGATCGCCATCTCCAATTAATCTACCCGCTGACCATGAACGGTTCTTGACGCGCCATCCGGATAACATGCCCCCACCCATTGACCCAGCGATGGATATGCTTTCGTTTTCGCCCCAGGGCCATGTGTCTAGTCTCGATCAGTGGGCCTTCGAGCTAGTGCAGAGCAACCATCCACTTCCGAACCGAACACCAGCCGATGCTCTACAGACATGGCTTTTCCCCCTGGAGAACGACATCTTGGCCTCGGGCGGCTCGCATCATATGGCTCTTGATAGCCACTTTGATAACGACATCTTTCGCAACGGCGGAGACAACCGTGCCAGTCCATCTGGTAGCAGTGTGTCAATTGCCAGTAGAATACCCAAGGAGCGATTTGCAAGGGTCGAAAGCTGCTGGCCATCAAAGTCTCGAACGCCGTCTCGGCTGATGCCAACCCTGTGGCAGAGTTTGGTATCGTGCGATTGTTCCAACATACTGTCCGAGATCCCTTCCGGCGTCATCGAAACCCCCATCAGCGAGCGTGAGAGAAGAAATTCAAGATGGGGTCTTGACGAAGAATGCAGGGATCTGCTACAGGGCGCGCTCAACAATGCGCCTCAAGCTAGTAGCCTTCGATCGGAATCGTATGGTGACACCGCATCATCAAATGGCGAAGCGGGAGCCAGCCCAGGCATAGAAAATATCCGATTTCCGCCCGCCGAAATTCTCGATATCGCCTTGGAGATGTATCTGTATTATTTCCACCCGACTTTACCCATCATCCATATCCCTACTTTCTCAGCCAAGAATGCTCCGAGGTCGTTGCTACTCTCGATGTGTCTCATTGGTTTGAGCATTCTTGGAACGGCGGGAGCTGGGAGATTTGTATCACGGACTTTTCCCGTAAGTGTGCAGTTATGTGAGGACACAAGGACGCATGCTGATCTATTCGTATAGGTGGTTCTGCAGATGGTTTCCGCAGAGTTGCAATCTATATCAACAAGTAATCACACACCACAGAAGCAGATGCGAATTCTCGCGACTGGCTTGCTTGCACTAAACTTGGCGTCTATAACTGGCGTAAGCAGGAATGTGGCAAAAGGTGAATCGATCGCTAAGCGAAAGCAGCGGAAGAGTCGAATAGCCCAAGCCGAGAAGCTCTACAGTGACTTAATAACTGTAAGTGGTCCATAATATCGAATCGACTTCCGGCTGACAGCATCAGGCCGCGCAGAAACATGGACTCTTCTCGGCGAACGAGAGTGCACCGCCGGATTCATTCCTGGAAGACATACTCGACATTGACGCCCGGTGGAAGGCTTGGTGTCGGGTTGAATGCGCGAAACGGTAAGTTTACACAGATCTGTATCGAATTTCTGCTGATGTTTCAGTATCATATTCGGCCTAGTGGAGGCAGATTGCTGGTACGCAGCGTACCTATCGACTTCGCCCATGATACGACCAGAATCCGTCCAGATTCTGCCCCCATCAGAATACAACTTGTATCACGCGAACTCTCCCACCAAATGGTTCAATCTAGTACAGCGTGGAGCTCGGATAAATTCGAACAGAATTACTCCTTCGTATCTGCCGACACCTGGACTGAAGCTAGATTCCGGTACTTTGCGCAGCCTCTTAACGCTTTTTCTCTTGCGAGTATACGAAGCCAACGATCGGCTCGCGAATATCAACGGGCCTCACAAGCACCTCGAGCCATGGCGGATATACTCGGAAGATACCAGGAGCCGCGAGCTAATCCCACTTCTGGTCAACTTCTCGTCATCTTCCATCGATGCATTACGTACAGCGGATCTCAACTCTGCGGTTCTTTGGCATTCTACATGCATGATGCTAGGTGCTAACATCCGCTACTTTGAGCTTGCTGCCGGGCGGGCCGGCTCGGGACCCGCGGTCGCTGCTTTAGAAGATATCTCGGCATGGTCTCAAACGCAGTCGGCACGAAGATCAGTACTGCATGCCGCCCAGATTTTCAAGCTCCTTTTCGACCGCAAAGTGTCTGACATTGTCAACCCGCACAGTGTTGTCGCTCTATTCCAGGCCGCGCTTGTCCTCGGCCTTTACATCTTCACCCTTCCTCCCACGACCACATGCGGTATTAACGACAATTGTATCGAGCTGCTTGACATTGTCGATTGGACTCATGTCGGCCAGGTTGGCCTTATCGATTCGCCGCATTCCCCCGGGACATCTCTTGGTTTTGGCGATGCCTCGGTAATCAATTTCATTCGCAATGGAGGTCCTTTCAGCATCACTGGTATCGCACTTGAAGGAGGGTACCTTGCGGCACGGCGCACACTTTTACACTGCGCCGACTTGATGGATGGTGTGGGCCGTTGGAAAAGCAGGACGTTCTCACAGATTCTTCACATTATGAGCGATGATCTAACGGAAATGGATGGGGATAGTGATGAGGCATGACGGTTGCCGTCCTCTTCCTTGTGCTTGTCAATTACAGAGCTTAGGGACAGGTGGGGAAGGGGATGAATGTACGATCTGGTTCGACTCTAAGGTTACGACTGCATATCTAGGTGTTTGTATATACTTTGGGACGACTTTGGTCACTGCGGTCTTGGGGGAAAATAGAGCTTCAGGCTCTTGGGCGGATAGTCATCTCTCCAGGTCTGAGCGCTACGATAACGCTTCAACACTGCGCAATAAAATCGCTTTACTATGAATATGAGACTGGTCGTGATGAGCAGATGACAAATGATATCAACCAATTTGACTCCAACCGCTTGAACTAATGCGCTCCACATGTGCCCGATACAAGGGGGTGGTTCCCATGCACGTGCGTTCTTACCCCAGATATATGTGGGGTACCCCCAAAGGGCTATTGAAACACCACCGCCTCGCACATCACCATTCTTACAAACTATATTCAACGAGACTCGTACTCCAAGACTTGTTTTTCTATCTTAAGATCTTCTCGTCCAAAGCGTACTGTACCATATTTCACTATGTTCCTGACACTCATTATTGTATTGTGCATAGCGGCATCGCTCGCCTACTACAAACGCGGGCGTACCCTCATACCAAAAGGACTTTCTCCTGCCCCCGGTCCCAAAGGTCTTCCGATAATCGGCAATGCCCATCAGCTCGGGGCCCAACCGCATCGACAGATCACATCCTGGGCGCGTACATATGGCGAAATCTACAAGATCCGGCTCGGATGGAATGACTGGTATCTGTTGTGCTCTCCCGCTGCCGTGAAAGAGGTGATGGATCGTCAAAGCAAGGACTCGAGTTCGCGGGCCCCGATGCCGGTCGCTAACGATGCTTTGAGCGGGGGGTTGAGATTCTTATTTATGGAGTATGGCCCGGAGTGGAGAAAGCTGAGGGCGATCAGTCACAAGCTTCTGACGCCTGGCATGAGCAAGACGTTTCAGCCGAGTCAGGAGTGGGAGGCGAGGATGTTGATGGAGGAGGTGTTAAGGGGAGGCGACGCCGGCGAAAAAGGGAGTGAGGTCGGGTACAGGGCTATAAGGAGATACACTGTCAGTGTTATCATGACGAGCACTTATGGGAGAAGGATCAGTGATTGGGACTGTGATGAAGTGAGGGAAATCTATGGTATTATGAACGACTTCTCCACTATAGCCGCCCCGGGCGCATATCTCGCGGATACCCTTCCCTTCCTGGGCCGTCTGCCTCCACGACTCCAATGGTGGCGCAAACCGCTAAAGCCGTACTTCGATCGTCAAGCCAACCTCTGGATGTCCCTGTTTTCTTCTCTCAAGACGCAAATGGAGACCAAACAAGCTCCCGAATGCTTCGTAAAACAGCTCATCGAAAGCAAGTACGAGGAACAAGGAGTCAGCGAACTCCAAGCAGCTTTTCTAGCAGGCTCTCTTATCGAAGCTGGAAGTGAAACCACCAGCGCAGCAACTAACAGCGCCGTGCTGTATCTTTCCGCCTTTCCCGAGGTTCGTCAGAAAGCTTTCGACGAACTCGACAGAGTGGTCGGATCCTCGCGATCACCCACCTTCGAGGACGAAGAGAATCTTCCGTACATCCGCGCCATTGTCAAAGAGACGATGCGCATCCGGCCCGTCACAAACATTGGGTCGCCTCACTACACCACTGCTCCCATCGTCTACAAAAACACATATATCCCCGCAAATTCGATAGTCGCGCTGCAACAGTACCCTATCCACTACGATCCTGAGCTCTTCCCAGACCCGATGCGTTTCGCTCCCGACCGCTATCTCGCCTTCCCCGAGAAAGCAGGCTTCTATGCTGGCGGCTCAGCGTCCTCGCGAGATCACTGGAACTTTGGTGCTGGGCGGCGGATATGTTCCGGTCTACATCTCGCGGAAAACAGCATGTTCATCGTGTTGGCGAAGCTGTTGTGGGCGTTTGATATCAGACCGCCGGTTGATGAGGGGGGCAATGAGATGCAGGTTGATCTCAGTGATGATGCGTTTGAACCGGGTGCGAATACGATTCCGAAGCCATTCCATGCGAGGTGGGTTGTTAGGAGTGAGCAGGTAAGACAAACGATTGAGAGGGAGGTCATGGAGGCGAAGCGAGATGGCTATGTGCTCAGGGGAGTGAAGGTAGGGGAGGACGGCATTGAGGCATAGAGTCGCTACACTGTTTGTCTCCCATGTTACTTATTATGGAAAGTGTATCTTGGTATTAATTTCATTATTCCAAAGGTCGGGTGAGGTCACAGGCCATGTTTTGGTTCACGTTTGCGCCCAACCCGCGCCTTCTGTTTACAGAACGTGCCTTCCACGAACACAGAGACACGGCCCTTCGTAGCGCGCACTTCACACCTCATAAATCGAAACTCAACTGCTGCGCTTCGCTTCACAAGTGTCAATACTACCCTACCTACGCTTTTTCTGCCGCCCGCACCTCCACCCGTTGTGGCCATGGTATCTGGAAAGGATAGCTCTGCAGCAAGCCCGCAGCACACGACCCAACAACACCAGGGCGAGAGAGCGTTTAAATTTCAAACAAAAGGTTCGAGAAACATGGACAACAGCGTTCGAGAGCCTGAGTTGCGCGCGCTGCCAGTCCAGGAAACCGAAGGAAACGATTGCGCGATGAAGCAGTCCCCGGAACTGGTGCAAATTGGAGCAGCATATTCGTCCCCTCCAGTCGCTTCCGACCAGAACGACATTCGCTCTACAAGTACCGTGTACTCTTGTACCTCCTCTTCAAACGGAGGCATTCAACTACACACTCCAGGCCCCGCCGTCGGTGCAGACATCGGCGATGCGTCTCCATCGCCCGCTACGTACCCCCATATCTCGCCAGCGTCAGTCAGTCAAGTCTTCAGCTCTTCCCCGCTGCGACAGTCGCTTGAACCGCGCTACTCTCCTCCGAGTCCATCAGCTGTCTCCAGCTCTTCCGCCTCGCCGGTAACGCCCACTTTCTCTCGGCCTCGTCACCCGCAGTCGGGTTTGGCTGATGATCCGCTGGACATCGCAACTTTAGAAGATGCCGAGAAGCCAGCGAAGGATGGCTCGGACTGCCGAGAGCATGACTCAGGTCGCGATACAATCGACTATGCTGAGAGTGATGATTCCAGCGAGGCCGATGATGAAGAGAGTCGGTTACTGTACGTTGATGGAAACGATGTTACGAACTTGAAACCACCTATTAAAGACGACACTGAGGATGTGATTAATTCTCTGATTGACGGAAGAGATGGCATTGTGGTCCCGCGTATTGATGAGATCACTTCCATCAAGTCGAATGAGATGGATCTCCTCATGGAAACTGCGCTGGATGGTGTATGTAACCCCAGTCTCAGCGAAGCATAGCAACTAACAATCTAAGCAGATCACACCAACTCGCCGCGGCGCATTTCCCCAATCTGTTCGTGGCGCATCCTTCCCCACAGGCCAGATCATGTCGCAACTTGCCGCACCTAGCTCGATTCGCGATATGGCCCAATCGCACGTGCAGTTTGCGACCAGCACGTCCGTTCAAGACACGCTTTTCGCCAAGACACTGAAGTACTTCAAACAATCCAAAGACAAAGAGAATACGCCCTCGAGGTCCCGTCGCAAAACATTGCTGCCAGATGATATCGCCGAGCTCGCGAAGGATGCACAGCAGGAAGGCATCGAGGATGACAAGGCGCTGTGGGATGAATATAAAGACCTTGACTTCGCGCCGCTAGACCCAGTTATGGACAGCCAAATTGCAGAAGACCTGATCATAGGCACTCCAGTGCGCAAGACATTTGCTAGCGTTGAGGAGTATAACACAGGAATCGATCGGTCCCAGGTGATCAGGATCCTGCCCAAATCACGCGAAATCCCCTGGGGCAATAAGAAGAAGGACAACCAGGCATCTGCTTCACTTGGCTTGAAAGACAAGTTCATCGAAGGACATGCTAACGAGACGGGCCCAATGTACCTCGTCAACATACCTGGACGCTTCAGTGACGCCTTTCAACTACGATTTCGCAGCAGAGCTTCTATCGGCCTGATTGCGTCCTTCTTGCGCGAGCGCGGTGAGGCTTTGGATGCTAGCAAGGATGACATTGATTTTCTGGTCAAGGTGCGCTTCACGTTTCATGAAGTAACTGCATTGCTTACATACCTTTGCAGGAGTTCCTAGAGTACCCCATCGAATTCACCACCCGGGAATCCACCGAGAAAGAGCCGTTGAACTCTGACTCAGACAACGGTGTTAATCTTGAAGACAATCAGAAGAATCCCGGAACCGGATCTGTGACTTGCCACGGTGACGACTATGGCCATAGTCCGGACAATCACACGCACGAGAAAGAAGTCATATCTCAGGCAGAGGACCCTGCTTTTGTGAAGGCTCTTGGTATGGCCCCGGAAGCTATGTTCTGGGTCGTCGCACAGCCGATTGCACGTTACTCCTACAAGATTTTGGGTGCAACCATCAAAGCTTTCGACGCAGCGTTGCAACAGCTGATGGGTGTTTCGTTGGATGAGCCGCTTACGCCAGAGTCTTGGTCATCTGAATCGTCTGAGTCGTCTGAGTAACACGCCATGGGTGGCACCGTCGCACGGATTCGTACCTTTCCGGGCTGGAGTCGGGTCGTCACATTCTATGGACATGAAAATGGCTGGATTTGTTATTGATCCATGCGAGAGCTGGGTAAAAGGGGCCTGTAGTTCACTGAGTGGGATACTGTATCCGGGGCGTAGGGAGTGTGACAAGGCACAGTGAAAAATGGGCTTAGCAGGTTGAATTAGATGAATATCGAAGAGTCTTAACGGGCTTACAGTGACGCTAAAGAGGAGTGATCGTGCATCGTGCATGTGCGAGGCACAGCAATGCTACGCCGCCGGTGAAGGGTTGCATCCAGAGCATCATGTTCCCAAAGAAAACGCATCTTTGATATCTTGAGCGGTAAAAACCGTTCTTCCATCGCCGAAGCAGTAGCAAGCATTGGTACACTCAAGGCGTGGGGTGCGAAGTCTTGAGGCGGTGCTACTCAGCTTTTCAAACGGTCATAAGCAACTTCATTCTTCTCGACAGATATAGTCGCTCTCCCATGTCTAGTGGAAGTCTTCATAGGCGCCCTGTATGTTGGGTATGGGATATTGAACGGTTGCATGTGCCTGGGTCCCGAGATGCGGTGCGTATTGGAGTAGCTGTCCAAGAGAAATTGGGCATGCATGACTTCCAAAACATCTTTCGCAACGACCTCTACGATCTCGTCAGTTGATTTTGATCTTTGTTGCGGAGGCACCAAGTGTTGACAAGGCGGAGTCGCACGCCCCGTTTCCGTCGTCGACCAAAGAATTGCATAGGCCAGGATTTCGTCGGTGACCTCCCTGGGCAACTGAGAGAATTGCATGTCGAGTCGCGCTAGAAGTCATCCAACGAGAGGGTAAGTATTGTACCTAACGAAATCCATGACCAAGTTTGCGGCGCAGCGCACTGCAGCCTGCCGTAGGAATCGCTAGCAAAGAGTGGATCACTCAGAACGTAACCTCACCGCACTTGCCCTTCGACATGTTTGAACACATATTCAATTGTACATCTTGAACAGAGCCTGTAAGAGGCACGCTGAAAATATCACTAAAACGCCTCTCTAATGCTCTCTTAACAGTGCCACTCTACCAGGAAACAACGCCAAGGCTATGCACCTATATACAACATGAACGCACCCACTCTATAGCTCGTGGTGCTGCGGGATGTGGATATACCAGCTGCGTGGACCAGGTGTCACACCGAGCCACCAGTTCCACAAGCGACCACTTTCGAAAATGAAGATCTTCGTGCTGCAAACGATTAGCAATCCCAATATCAAACCATGCGACGCAATTGTACTTACAGTCTCCCTGGCATATCCAACCAACCCCTCATCACATACTTCCACGCTCTGAAAACGAGATCAAACTCGGCCCAGAACTCCTCCGCCAAGGTCATGTTATTCGGGTCCCAGTTGCGCTTAAAGTCCGGCTTTTCTGGCATGCCATCGTCGGTAGGAAGAGCCTCATCGGTATTTGTGCCGTCGCCCAGCACTTGTTTCACTTTCTCGACCTCCTTCTCGGTCTCTGGGGCGGTTGGGACCGCGGCCCGGTGAATCCCATCACGATCTTCAACCATCTGACGGAACTCTTTGATGGCCGTGAGAGAATGCGAGAGTCGGTGCATAGTATTGATGAGCGCGACCAACTCTGTGCGACGAAGCGGCGGATCTTTGGAGGAATCATGCTCATCAAACTCGAAAAGCACCTTGAGGGCCGTGCCGTAACCGTTGGTCTGGATCTTGCCCCATAACCGGCACTTGTCGCAACCTACGCAGTCCATAATACGACTCACGTTCCTGAAGCGGTTGCGGAAGTCCTCCTTCAGGGCAACGGTGTCAGGGTCACGAAACATGACCGTCTCGTCAAAAACCTCGGGGCCGTCTGGGAGCGCTGATGCAAGGCGGAGTACTGAGTTCTTGGTGCGCTTGTCCTGCTCTGGGTCCTGGGAGCAGAACGTGTAGTCTTTGATGTGCTGCTTTATCTTCCCGACAGCGCGCATGATGAGAGCATAGTTGAAGTAAAGGTTCGAGATGCGGTCGGGGTACCTTTGCAGCCGCTGCTCGTAGCAGGTAAGGTTGGGGCCCCATTCTCCTGTTGTCTGGTTCAGATAGTCCCAGCAGAGATGTGTAGAGATGGACGCGTGCATCCCTGAAACGACACGGTGGAAAACGCGCTTCTCAAGACACGTGTCGTCGAATTCGACAGGATCCAAGCGTGCCGGGTCTGCTCCCTTGGCGATGGCAGACTTAACAGTCTTGCCAAAAGCCTGGTCTTTCAGGACATTGCGCAATTGGTTGGCGGCCTGTAGCTGTTCAGGATTGTTGAAGCCTCCGAAGGGCGACGCTCCGCCTGGAGATGACTGAGCACTCGACTGAGCCACCTTAGGTGGCTTGCTAAAGCAGTTCTCACGATAGATAGCCTCCCACACCTGATGAGCTCCTACGCCGGCGTAGCCCGTAAAGCGCTCTGGGTTGTCCACCAGCGACACGTAGTCACCTTTCGCCGTCGCGGATGCGTCGTCCGGGATGCAGTAGTCGCGCTCGTCGCATTCGTCATCGTACTCGACCACGCAGCTCTCGTCGACCTGGTCACCCAACCCGCCCTGCAGCGGCTTCTGTGGGTGCTCTCTCTGCTGCTGCCTCCCTGGGTGTTGCGCTGTCGGTCCCTCGAGCTTTCCCAACTCCTTTGCGCGCCAAACCAAGGGTATGTCCTCCTCGTTCTCCAGCGTGTTGACCGCACACGCCCTGTTACCACACATGCCATCTTCGTCGTCCCAGAACGGACATTTTTTGCTGTACAGACTCAGTCGGTAGTGCGAGAAGAAGTCGGTGTTCTGCGTGATCGAATGGAGGTATGGGTGTATTGCTTCATTGAGCTGCTCGAGGGTATCGTAACTTGCACACGCATCGGAAACAATAGCGCCGGGTTCGAACTGTACGACGGAGTACTTAGTATGTTTGCTCGGAGGCGCATAGTTGCAGTGGGTACCCGAGGAACGGTTGCTTACATCGCAGACGTCTGCTGGCGCATCCTTAGACTTCGCGGAAGCGGCATGGCTGGCAGCATGCGAACTACCCAGCAGCGCGAACACCGCCAGGTAGAACACTTGAGCCGCGGACCGCATCCTGTGCTTTGGGAAAGCGAAAGTCTCCTTGAAGGTCAGCAAACGTCTGCGAGCAGCACATGTCGCGATCCGGGACTCACTATCCTTCACCCCAGGCTATATATCGTGCGCCCAGGCTCGCGGAGCCGACAGCCAGCGGGGTACTCAAAGAGGCCAACTGTATTAATCGCCAATGGACCACGGGGCAGCTTCACAAGTGGGCGTGGCGGTGGCCGGCGGCTTCTATTCAGGGCCTAATATGGGAAGACGAGGAAATAAATGAAAGGCAATAGTGCGGGGCTCGAGGTGCCGAACGGGCAGGAGCGACAGGTGAGGGCGCGCGGATATGGAGAATTAAATGAAGGAGCGAAGTACCCTGCACCGAGACTTGTAATCACGCTGCCGTCGGACCATGTTGGAGCGTTGAAATGTGTCCACTCCTTCTGACGCTGTGGCGAGTGCTGTGGCGGTGGCAGATCGCCCTCCGAAGAATAGAGCTGAGAGCGCCCCACCAAGGCGGCTGCTGGCCAGCAGTGCAGTGGGCACGAAGCTCATCACCCAACAAACATCCACAACAATGTCCGAAGCACCCAAGACCAACTGGTACGACGCCTTTCCGGCGCCCAAGACCACGGCGGCCCTTTTGTCACGTGAAGCCGCCCTGGCAAGCCTGTCTTCGTCCCACCTCCTCGTCGTGGACGTGCGTCGCACCGACTATGAAGGCGGCACCATTCGCGGCAGCATCAATCTCCCCGCGCAGTCCTTCTACATGAACACTGCTGTCCTGTACGATCTATGTAAGCGCGCAGGCGTGAAGCAGGTCGCCTTCTACTGTGGTACGTAAGATTAGCCTCCCGTGTAAAGCCACACGCGCCTTTGCGCAGTCTACAGTACGACTCTCTTTATGGCAAGCAAATCATTGCACGTTGGGCGCACCATGGCGTGACATGTCACGTTGCTCCGACCTCTTGTGGGTGGCTGTGGCTGATCCGCTGCAGGATCAAGCAGCGGTAGGGGACCACGGTGTTCCGGCTGGTTTGCAGATTATCTTGCTGAGAAAGGCGAGACTGAAATCCAGTCGCTTACGCTGGCTGGTGGCATCAAAGGGTGGGTCAAAGCCGGTGCTTCTTTCACGCAAGCAGTAGACAGCTACGATCCGGAATACTGGAGGCAGTTTGACGAAAGCAAATAGATCGACATAATCGCAATCATCGCGACGTCCACATCATGTGCAATGGTATTAGGCATGTTCCGGTGTCCCGGTGAGGGATCGAATGGGCATTATACACTCTATATCAACGGTTTGTAACCAAATCATCATTCGTCATCTTCATCATCCTCCACAACTCGCCGAGCCTTCTTCCGGGGTACGACTGGTTCATCGTCATCGTCATCGTCATCGTCATCCTCGATCTCGGAAGCGGAGTCAATAACAAACGCTCTCGCATTCGACATTGCCACTTTGCTCGTCCGAAGCGGACCATCGTCATCACTATCGCTACTCACGACTGCATCATTATCGCTGATATCGCTAGTGAAGATCTTCTCTGCCTTTCTGGGTCGTTTCGGTTGCGCCGCTTTCAGTACAGCCTGCGTGCCCTTCCCAAGGCCGCTGAAACTATCGCCGGGTAGACTTGACGTTGGCGGCAAGTCCACGTTTTCGTCGTCCTCAGCGATGAAACTGACTAGATCAGAGTCCAATCGATAAGCTTGAGTGTCCTGCGGGCCGAACGCCCCTTCCGAGTCTTCGGAACCTAATGTCTCTGCTTGAGACACTATCCTCATTCGAGGATCTGTGAGCGGGGGAGAAGATTCCGCACCCTCGTCAGCGAGGCCAGAATCTTGCCAGGTGTGTCTTTTGGACATTGTGGCCTTCCTCTTAAGTGGGCGCGTAGGCGTTGTCGTCGCCGTTGCGTCTTTACGTGGACGTCCGCGTGGCGCTGGTTGCTTGGGCAACGCTGCGGCTTTTGGTCGCGGTTGGGCCTTGGCTTTGGACAATGGCTGTGAGGATGGGTCTTCATCAGCCCACATATCTCCAGGTTCTACACGCTTGGGTTCTACTCGCGCTCTAGGTTTAGGTCCGCAGTTTGCCTTTGGGTTTTCTTGTCGCAATAGTTGCGAAGCCGGGTCATCCTCTACCCACATATCTGTGATGACCGGGGTCGTAACCTCATCTGACACTATGACGTTTGGAGGCATTTCCTTCATATCCTCAACGTGGAGTTTGCTTTGAAAGTTGTCCACGCGATCATCATCCATAGCGTGCATTCTCTGAACCGTCCTTACAAAGGCGTGAGTTGCCCGACCATGGCGGGGAAAATTGTGCGTTCCGGACAGTATTCGTTGGTGATCTGGATGCGCTCGCAAATTTAACGCGCTGATCGATTCGTCATCTTCCTCAAAAACACGACCGTAGCGGTGCTGGAGATCTTGGGACGCCGGTTCGTCCAGGTATACGGTTTCCAAGGGTGGTAGTTCCAGCACCTCCTCGCTCGGATATACTCGGGTGGCCTTTTTGGTTCGGCTCTTGGGTGCGATCTCTTCGTTGATACAATTAGCAGTGACGAAACCGGTAATAACACCATCAGGCATATTGAACTTCTTCGGAGGTTTTTTCGGGGCTCTGCCTCGCTTCTTCTTCGGCTCTGGAAGCCAGTCTGACTGAGAGTTCTCAATCGGAATCTCGATGATCCTTCTTTCCACGACCGGTTGGACATCTCGAGGTAGTATTCGGCGAGAAATTTCGTCGTGGAAATTGAATTTGGAGCCTTCCGCAATGAGCTCCTGCATCATCTCGTAGCTGTCCTTGGCCTTGTTTGCATCGTTCTCCTCTTTACCTTCCATTTGCAGGAAGATGACCTTGCCTTCACGCTTGCGCCCAGTACGACCCATTCTTTGCAACATTCGTATAGGAGAAGCTTTCGAATCGTATAGGATGATCAGATCCAGGTCACCAATATCTAGACCTTCCTCGCCAATCGAGGTCGCAACAAGGGTGTTGAAAGTACCGGCTTTGAACTTCTCGATAACATCAAGCTGCTCTTTTTGATTCATGCCTTCAGAGTTTTTGCCCGATGATTGACCGACAAAGACACGTGGACGGATCATGGGATGATGCCTTCGGAGGACACGCACAATCTCTTCAGCACTGTCGCGGAAGTGAGCAAACACCATAATGCGAGTTTGGGTTGCAGCAGTATCGGTGCCCGACCCATCCCCAGCGTTCACAAAATGGTCGAGGACGGCCTGTTGAAGGAATTCCATTTTCGGGTGGCCGACAAAATTTTCGTTGCTAGTCCACGTCTGCAGCCTGACCATGAGCTTCTTGAACGCATCGCTGTTGCAAATACTCTCCTTGGTCTTCGATTTGCCCTGCGTTTGGGATTCCTTGAACTCTTTCATCTTTACGTAGAACGGACCAATTCCATGAAACTTCAAAAGCTCCATTCCTTGTGAGATAGATCCAAGGATGGTAAAGACCGAGTTAACCATGCCTTTTTGCGCTGGGGTAGCGCGCTGGCCGGCGTCTTGCTGCCACCGTCTGCGAGCGAGCGTCACTCCATATGGAGTGATGTCTAGAGGATCCTTCGAGTAGAACGCATTTAAGCCAGCCACCTTGTTGACTGTAGGTTGAAGTGCCTGTGCATACAATTCTTTGCACATTTGTATCTCATCGCTATCTTTGAAAACGTGCTTCTCGACTCTGCGATGGTGTATGTATTTGACGATGTCAAGTGATCTCTCAGTCCGGATCTCCACGCGGGAGATGTCCAGTCCATCGATGACTTTCTGAACAGCCTCGATATCGGCACCTGGTGTCGCTGTAAGGGCGAGAACGCGGAAGCTGTTGTTGAAACGGCGTAGAAAGCTCACGGCCTCTACATAGGCATACGCGCCGGTTGCGCGATGCGCCTCGTCCACAACGAGCAGTACGATCCTTTTGGGATCTGCGTAGCCGTGCTTAAGATCATTGACGAGCGTTTGCGGAGTCATGAAGAAGACTCTCTTACTCGCCCACTCTTCTGCGCGAATAGCTGGAGCAACACCACCGATCAGCATGGTCGTGGCTGAGCGGGGTATGCCGCAGATATGGAAGCAGGCATCTATTTGCTGAGCAACCAGAGGTTTCGTGGGAGCAACGAAAACAATCTGCGCATCGGTTGTCCATCGAAAATAATTCAACATGATGGTAGCTGCGATGAAAGTTTTCCCAAGACCGGTCGGCAGGGCAACCAATAGATTGTGGAAAAGCCCTCGAGCAACGATGTTGAATTGATAGTCTCGAATAGAGCCCAGATTGGTGGGGTAAACCCACGTTTTGATGGCTTCTAGGTCCAACTTGTGATGCGTGGGCGCCTCTTCCTTTTGGTCTACAACAAAATTGTAACGTTTGTTAGCTTGAGACTGGGGGATCTCGCCGTTCGCAGTCGGGCGGCCGAATAGGGTTGTTTGCCTCAGTCCGGCCTGCGTTGCTGCAACTCTGGTGCGCCTTTCCGAGACAAGTACAACCTCGTCAAGCTCTTGGGGCGAAGATGGGGAAGATGCAAAAGCATCCGAAGGTAGATCAGCCAGTTCTTCTGTGGCATCGTACAGCATGGACGTTCCATCAATTGCCGGAAGCTTTGGTATTCCTGCTAGCCTTGCAGGGGAAGCCGACTCTAAGTGTCTCGCGACTTGTGACACCGGTCTTGATGCAATAGACTGCCTGCTAGGCATCATCATCTTCATGGCATCGAAAACGACAGGCGTATGTACACCAATGCTGGTTGCGGGCTTTTTCCATATGGCTCCTCGTGGCATCCAAGGCGGAGACGCCTCTCGCGGTGGCTGAGTCAAATAAACGTCTGTCAAGTCACGGGCAACTGAGGGCTGGTGGATCCTGTTCTGTCGATTTTCTGCAACACCAGTCTTGCGCGGAGACACACTATCTCGCCCATCTCCATCGTCATTAATCTTTGGCCGCCCTCGCTTATTCTGGGTCGTCCATGCAACACGTGTTGGTACGGTGGAATCATCGCCATCGTCATATTCACTCGAGGCGCGTTTTCGGCGGGTTGCTACTAGTGCAGTCGCGTCGTGATCCTCCTCGTCGACGTCATCATCCTCCCCAGAGCTCACAAACGGGCGTGGACGTTGATTTCGCGCATGCTTTCTTGGTGGCGTTGGTCGGGTCCTTTCATCTTGGAGGTCAATCTTTCGCCGCTTGAGCAGCCGTGGCAATGCCGGTGGCGTGTTCTCCTTCTCGGCCTGTGTCGCCGCCTCGAGGAATGCAGTGTCATCAAAATCGTCTCCAAAGTCGTCGTCGCTGTCCATTCCGTTCCGGCTGTTGCGGCGGTTGTGTTATAGTCGCGTCCTGGAAGGGTTGGCTGAGGTCGCGTTGTTTGCTTCGCGTGCGCATGTGACGCAGCCGCACCCGACGGTCCGATTCCCTTAGCGCGCGCTGATCAAATGGAAACCAGCCGTGCTCCTTGATTCCCCACAAATGACTACATAACACAACAGGCGAGACCTGCCGGAACACGAGCGCCTGACTAGATCTTAGACCGACCAGGCAAAGCAGACCGAGGCAGCGTACGCCGACTACGCTCAACAGCCTTCGTCTCGCGACACACGACTTCCTGAACGGGTGTAGAGTAGCAAAACTAAGAAACATTGGTTTTCGCAAAAACCCGGAGTGCATGAGACCAAGCCGGGCTAATCGCGCCACATCACTCAGCTAGTCCTGCCGTGGTTACCGTGTCCAAGCCATGCAAGATGAGGTCCTCCCCCCTGAGACGAGCCAATATTAAAACTGTTGCCATCGCACCAAGCGTTCCCGTTCAACATTCTCCAAACACACTCGCTTTTGTTTGATTGTTCATTAATTCGTACACTCGCTCACGCTCTAATCAATTACTAATTCGCAACGCCTTTCGACGTTTCATCTCTCAATTCAATCGCCGTTAATTTCAGCACCATCAACAAAGTCAACATGAAGTACTCCGTTGCCATTCTTGCTTTCGCCGCTGGCGTCCTCGCCTTGCCCCAGGAGTCTGCCTCCATCACTTCGGCTCCTGTCGCGTCTGCCAGCCTTACGCCGGCTGTCAGCTGTGTCCTCGACTGCACACCGGGCGATGTTACTTGCCAGGCTGCGTGCATGGGTAACGCTCGCCCCAACTCTCAGCAGGTCGTGGACACCAACAAGTGCGCTGCCGCCTGTGACCAGGGAAGCGGTTCCAAGGAGGACACTGAGGCATACGCCAAGTGCCAGCAGGATTGCTTCGCCAGCCTCTTCCCCAGCTCCCAGACCAACTTCCAGGGCGCTGCAGGTGGTGTTTCTTCCGCCGCTTCTGCTGCTGCATCTGCAGTGACCAGCGCTGTCGCTAGCGCTACCAACGCCGCTGGAAGCGCCCTCTCTTCTGGTAAGCTTATTCGGCTCAGAGCTTCACATCTTCAGCTAATCATTATGAATAGTCGCCTCCTCTGCCCGCTCTGGTGCCGAATCTGCCACCAGCTCTGGCGCTGCCACTGGATCCGAGACTGGATCTGGTGCTCAGTCCACTGCGTCCCCTGGAGCTGCTAGCGCCAACTCTGTGAAGATCGCCGGTGCTGGTCTTGCCGGTCTCTTGGCCATCTTCGCCTTGTAGAAGGTGCAATACAGCTGCAGCTGGGAGCCCAGCATCGCCAGGGGAGGGTTTGGTCCAAGACCCCATGCCGCGCGCCCAACAAGAGGACACGGTGCCGCGTCCCGCGTCCGGGGTGGAATGATGGACTGATGTCTGGGGTTAAATCAACATGCGTAACAGCCAATGAAGGAAGTATCCCTGGAATGGTGTGGGAATGTGAGCGTGTGTAGCCGTAGATACGCTCAATAGCAACGCGCATCTTCAGTTCGAATCGAGCTTCCTTGCATGATGATCACGTGCATAAGATCAGTGACCTGTTCCGTTGCGGCTTAAGAGCCTTGGCTGTTTCAAGTAGAGTACTAAAGGGGAGTCGGTCGTCAGATGCCCCAGTGCAGTGGTGAATTCGGGGGATTGCCAATGATTAACGCCGCACTGAAGATGGGTTGAAATGCGTTGGATGTTGGCAACCACTAAGCGTCCGCAAAACCCACTATCGATACTCTGTCGCTCAGAATCTTAATCGCATGTCACTGATTGTTGGGCTTCACAGTCAAGATTCCTGGCCTGGTCGTTCGTGATCTCAAGTGCGCCGATACTAAGAAAATGCTGTCCACAATGAGTGTTGCCTCCGACAGTCACACTCAACGTACAAAAGCGATTTAAAAAAAAATTGGATAGATCACTACTGCAAGAAGACGTCGAGTTTCTTATTTTCGGTTATGTGCTACTTACACCGCGGTAGCGTTGTGCGACAGTGTCACATCAAGGCAGTTGTAGCCGCAAAGGTATTCCGCGAACTAATATCACGTGTGATACTTGCGATATCGGGAAATATGTGCGATCTCGCAATGATGTCTGCGACTTGGAAAGCTCTGCCGGTGGAATCGAAGCCTGGAAAAGGCAGGTCCTGGTGTGATGCAATTCGACGCGCAATCAAGACGAAGAGACAAGTGCAATATAACCTCCAGGAAACGAACCCCTCGAGGCTCTATCGTGCGTCGGCTATTCATCGCGTTCATTTAATGTAAGGTTCAGGTACGAAACAGAAGAGTGGTTGAACGCTGTCACTGTACGCGATATACCACGGTCGGAGGAGGCTGAGCACACCGAAAGGTGTGACTGTGTGATGTCCAAGAATTGAGAACAAAGACCTTAGCCGCACCACATGATTACTTTGTGAAGATTTTCAGCGCAAGTTGTCGATACAGCGGCGTGGGTGCCTCGAACTGCAGGTGTCGTGTACCATGGGGTCGCAAAGGCTTGGCTCGAGGTCAGTTCAGCGTTGGACGTGCGTCCAAGCGAATCTACAGCGCTAAGCAGCATCAGCAAATCAAAAATGTCGATTTCTTTTGGGGCACAACATGCGAAGAACAGGCCGCCGCTCCTAGCGGCAGCGCGCAATCGTAGTGCTTCTACTTTTTCCAGCAAGACATCGACCCAAGCTGGGCTCCTTGGGAGAGCGGAGGGCCGACCCCTCGAGCCACGGCTATCCGCGCTTGGCTGGCCAGCGGCAGGGAGGAGCCGCGCTGGAAGAATCCTGCGACTTGTCGTACGCAGCCAGCGCATGTGGGATACAGCCAGAGCGCATTACACTATAGCTGCGAAATTACTGTTTAGCAGTGGAAGAAGGCTAATGAGTAAGAGCGTCGTCGAGCCCGCTGAAAACGGATGCGCCTTGACGGCGGTGCGAGGCGCAGAAATACCGAGATAATGGCAAAAGACGCATTCAAGGCGGGCGTGAGTCGTCTCAGGCTGTTACTGGAGGCAGACTCCTGCAGCTGGGGATCTCGGGTTGGGTAACCCGCCATCAGGGGAGTGGCAGTCAAAGATAGGCCTGGCCTGGCGCATGGCAAGCCGTGTCGACTGCGTGGAAAAAGCATTGCCCTCTTCCCTCACGCAAGTTCGCTTGAGATGGATGGCCATTGTGATGGTTTTGTCTGTGCCACGACGGCGACCGACACGAGGGCCTGGGTCTTTGTTCCTCAACACTGATGTTGTCTCTTGGGGACCCTTGCCACGCTAAAAGAAGCGAGACCAAGGTGGCTTAGGCCTTCCTGAACTTCACTGATTCCATTCGTACCTCGCCTCCATCCATCGCCGTTGACTGGCCGGTGCGCTTCCTCCACCCATGTTTGCTCCCGCCCTGCAGCCAGATTTCATGCTCGAGCGCTTCGTCAGAAGGCCCGGCACGCCAGGAGCACGCTTAACGTGTACGGCTGCTGTCAGCTTCCATCAGAGCAGCGCCTTACTGGGCATGTTCCATCAGGAACCATCTCGTAGTACACCAGGCGTGCACGATAGGAAGCGTGTGGATCCTGACCCATAATCCCACAGTCGTGGTCGTGAGGGTGGGCATGTTGAGGCTGTTACCGCACGCAAAGCAGTCGGCAGCGGCCGAATAACACTGGAACTTCGAATAGATGCAGAAGGGCTGTGGGTCCGAAGCCCCATCATCTCGACGTGGAACAGCGCCGTAAATGTGTGCGAGGCCGCGGCGCAGCTGGGCCGAAACCAGACGGTTGTTAGCCGATGATGGAGGTGACATGATATGATGAGATCGCCGCACCTGCAAAATCGGCCCTGGTAGCTCCTGCGCGGTGCAGCGTGCAGCGCAGCGGCTGCATGCGCCACGGGGAAGAATGGGCGGGCATGGCATTGCTGATCTGAAAGTCCCCGGACTGACGATTCGTCTTCCAGAGGACAGGGATGCTTCTGAAGAGCGCCCGGTAATCAGCAATGGTCGAATGCTTTGGCTTGGCGTGGTAGGACCGGCATGGCGGGCGATCGTCTGCGCCCGACTTCTTCTCTCCCGCGTCCCCATCTGTCGTCTACTACACTTCCTCTCACCTCCATAATCCCCTTGCACGCCCACGCTCTCCTGAACTCGGTCCCCCACTAACCTGTTCTCGCGTTCCTCCAACGGCCTTGCCATCCCGCCACTTTCCCTCCTTTGGTTATTGCCGTTTTCGAGTTCCCTCCCTCGTCAACTCGCATGTATGCACTTTTAGGGCCTTCCATGCTGCTTGATATCCGCCTCTGAGGGAGTTTTCTCACACCTGCCGCCACGACGGCTTGCGCTCCCTCGTAGAGGCGCTCTTGCCGTCTTCTCTGCGCGTCATTCTGGACCATTTACTCCTGCACCGAGCATTTCGCCATGGTCGATGCTCGGCATGGGGGAGGCGAAGTTCCATCTACGAAAGTCGACAGTCCACCCGCCGCTGACGCGCGGCGACCTGGAGACTTCAAACTCGACACTGCTGCCGGTCTCAACGCGCCAGATGATATGTCATCTTCAAAAGCGCCCAGCAAGGCATCTTCCACCAGAACGTCCACACCTGCAGCGGCATCGCTGGAGGACGGCCAACCCAATGGCTCACCAGCTCCCACCGAGCAGCCCCTGCAGTCGCAGCCCATGAGTGCTACGGCATCAAACTCGTCAAATGCCGCCACCAAGGAGTCCACGGAAGCGCCTGCTGCGCCCTATGGCACGCGCTCGCGCAACCGTCCGGAGCGCAAGTCGCGGGTCAATTACGCGGAAGACGTCGAAATGGACTTTGAAATGGCGCCCGACCCAACCAACGGCAACAGCAACGGCAACGGCTCTGAACCGCCATCGCGTGGCTCCGCGGCCACAGAGAGTGGGCAGGCGGCCGGTGCAGGTGGGAAGAAGGGTGCCGGCGCAGGCCAGGGCAATGCGTCGTGGGGCGCTTCCGGACCCAACGCCAAAGACATTCCGCCGAACGCCAACACGCCCGGAACATCAACCTTGACTGCCAGCCCGGCGACCACGCCTGCACCCCAGCCGCAGCCAAAGCGACGCAAAAACGCGGCCAGTCACGCTACGACCCCAAGTCACGCAAATGGAGCCGCGCCAAGCCAACCAGGCGCGAGGCGCGCGCAGAACGCGGTCGCGGCCGTCGCTAGCCCGCGCGAGACCAATATGCTAACTTTTGAGAATTCAGGCGCACGCCTCAAGGATGGCTGCCTCGTTGCGGACGATGGCCAAACTGTTGCAATCAATGGTAAGTGACCCTGCGTTGCCGAGTCATGTTCCGTGTTCCACGGCGCATGCCACGTCCTTTTCTCGAACCTTGTTCTGATTGGCCGTGCAGATCAAGTCTATCTCGTATGCGAGCCACCCGGCGAGCCTTACTACTTGTGCCGGGTTATGGAGTTCCTCCACGCCAACAGCGACCCCTTGCAGAAGGTCGAATCGCTCCGTGTGAACTGGTATTACCGCCCTCGGGATGTGCAGCGATACAACAATGACACACGCTTGGTGTACGCGACCATGCATTCAGACCTATGTCCCTTGACCTCACTCCGCGGAAAGTGTCAGATCTCGCATCGGAGCGAGATTGACGACCTAGATGACTATCGGAAGACGAAAGATAGCTTCTGGTACAACCAAGTCTACGACCGCTTCAGCCACCGGTGGTACGACGTAATTCCTACCTCGCAGGTCATCAACGTGCCGGACAAGGTCAAGAAGGCCTTGGACGAGCGCTGGAAATATATTTGCCTCGAGACCAGTCGCGTCAAGGAACTCACAAGCGCCGTGAAATCGTGCAAGCGCTGTGTTGGGTTCTGTGCCACGTGAGTAACACCACACATTGACACATAATAGCCACTGAACATTTCTAGCAATGACTCGGTACAATGTGCCGTCTGTCACAATACATATCATATGACTTGTGTTCGACCGCCTCTGCTCAAGAAACCCTCCCGCGGATTCGCATGGGCTTGTGGACCCTGCAGTAGGGCGCAGGAGAAGAAACTCGAAGCCAGGCGAACTCCACTATTAGGCTCTGGTAACGATGAAGGCGAAGATGAGGAGATGGTTGAGGAAGAGGAAGAGGAGGCGAATGTGGAGACCACTGCTCCCAGTCCTAACGACTCTGAGACACAGATCGACCATCATCCTGGTACCCAAGCGGAAATCGCCCTAGCAAAAATGTGGCCCATGCGCTATCTAGGTATCCACTGTCGCATCGAAGATGCGCTGCAGTACGACGACCGAGCCATATATCCACGGGCTAGTTCCCGACTAGGACCTCGCCACCAAGCTAACGTGAACGTGTGGCATGGACGACCGGTAGAGCTGGTGAAGCCAATTGAGATTAAGAAACGCTATGTCAAGGCTGCTGGCCACAAGAAGGACACAAAGCTGTCCAAAGAGACTGTTGCAGCCATCGAAGCGGATAAGGCAGAAAAAGCGAAACGACCGAAATGGGTGATGGATGAGCCGCCTGGGTATGTTCGACGTGGCGAGGACTACCCCAACAAAGATTCTAAATGCACTGCTGAGCTCACTTTCAAGATGCCACCTCTCGGTGTGCATTCTACGAGGGGCGAAGACGATGCATCTAGCATCACGCCCGAACAGGTTGAGGGTTACATGACACGTGCAAGGGGGTTCGCAAAGAGCCACGTTGGCGTTGAGCCGTTCAACACGAACTTCTTGACTAGGTGTCTCGCTCTCCTTACCAAGCATCAATACGACGTCGAAGCAGCACTCAAGGCCGTAAAGAAGATAGACAAGCGCAAAGACCTCAAAGAGCCGGAGCTGACCAAAGAGGAAGAGAAGAAGTGGAACGAAGGTGTCAGCAAGTATGGCTCGGAAATACGAAGTGTGCGCCTACATACGAGTAAGACAATGCAATATGGAGATGCTGTGCGGTACTACTACATGTGGAAGAAGACACCCAAGGGAAAGGAGATTTGGGGGTCGTATAGCAACCGCAAGGGGAAGAGCAAGAAGACCGAGGTCGATCCTCAATCCAGGCTCGTCGACGACATCGCTGATGATCAGGATGACTCCGCCTTTGACAATGAGAAAGCTGTGCAGCGGAAGCGCAATTTCCAATGCAAATTTTGCAACAATCGACATTCACGCCAATGGCGGCGAGCACCGGGTGCTTCGCCAGGGCAGACTGTAACCGCAGATGGCAGGACTAGCAAAGACAGAGCGAATGGCTATATTGTCGCATTATGCCAACGATGCGCAAACCTTTGGCGAAAGTACGCAGTCAAATGGGAGAACACGGAAGAGATTGCACGGAAGGTCGCTCAGGGAGGAGGTAAGGCTTGGAAACGACGATTCGATGAGGAGCTCCTACGTGAGGTCTACGCAGCAACAACAAACCCTGCACCAATGAATGGTCTCGTGGATTACGTCGAACCTCCGGCTGCTACGGTGCAAGCAACGATAGAGCAGCCACCGAAGAAGAAGCAGAAGACCGCTGTCGTTGGAGCTGCTGATAGTGGCACCTCTACCCCGTTATCCGAAGCGGCTTCCAAGAAGAAGGAGAAGGAAAAACCCATCGCGCCGCCAAAAGCTCCCACACCACCTCCAGTTCCGGCGCAGCCACGACTGAGGGTGTTGCCGTGCGCTGTCTGTCGACAAACCGAGGGTGCACGGCTGGAATGTGCTGCATGCCGAATGAATGTCCACAAGACCTGCTATGGAATCGAAGACGTTCGCCAAGCCAACAAATGGTATTGCGATACGTGCAAGAATGACAAGAAAGAAAGCGTTTCATATGTAAGTAGCGCTTTACTGTACGACTTGAGCGCGCGGCTGACAATAATGCTAGAACTATGAGTGCGTTCTGTGCCCTCTGCGCACGACTGAACCAGATCTCTACGAACCTCCCAAGATTTCCCATAAGAAGAAAACCGACAGAGAGCGGGAAAAGGAGCGCTTAGAGAAGGAGCTAGTAGAAAAGGCTAGGGACGAATATCGCGTCAGACAGCTGGAGAAAGGCAGGCCTGTAGTACCCCGAGAGCCGCTGAAGCGCACCGCCGACAACAATTGGGTGCACGTCTACTGCGCTCTATGGCACCCGGAAACCAAGTTCAGCAGCGCAGTCCGTCTCGACATGGTTGAAGGTATCGGCGCACCTACCTTGAGGTACGATGCGATGTGCAAGCTATGCAAGAGCAAAGACGGTGCTTGTGTCACTTGCCAGCAATGCCATGCCAATTTCCATGTTGGATGTGCGCACAACGCGGGCTATACTTTTGGCTTCGACATGACACCTGTCAAGGCCACGCGACGAGACACTGTGCCTACAGTCACGCTCAACGGGGAGACGGGTACGATGATGGCCGCGATCTGGTGCAAGGACCACACACCAAAGACCGTAGTCCATCCGATGTACGAAGAAGTGGAGGGTACTGACATGACCGCTCTCCAGCTATTTGCTAGGGAGTTCAAACAGGCTGATCTTACGCTTACGGGCACTGCACGTAAGGCTAACCTTGTCGACCAATCTACACGGGTGGTAGTGCCGCCAGTGCCAACTCCAGCACAAATCAATCGTCGAACCTCCACCGCCACGACACAAACCCCGACATCTGCTCGCGGGCGTCTTTCGAACGCTGGGCTTGTCATGAAAGAAGAAGAGCCCCCAGAACCAGCTCCGACAAAGATCAAACCAGAGCGGAGATGCGTACGATGCAAGATTGACGCAAGTCCCCGCTGGTGGAAAGTGGAAGAGACTGTACCGCCTGAGCAGAACGGGGTTCGCATTATGAACGGCCCACTAGCAGCAAATGGTGTAGAGTCAAGCTCGCGCCAACTGTCAGATCATACATCACATCCAGACCACCCTGAATCGACCAACGGTGCTATCGATCATCCTATGCCGGACGCGCCGCCTGTCGCTGTCCACGACCAGCCGGCTCGTCTTCGAGTGAAAACCGACGTTCGTAGCGCATCATCTGCCTCTTACCTTTGCCAGAAATGCCACTGGAAAAAATTGAATGCGCCAGACGAACCCGAAGAACGCGAGCGGTCGGTGTCTGTACACCCGGAAGCCGCACAGCTCCCGCTGCGGTCTCCTCCAGTGCAAGCTTTCGTGGCTCCGCCTCCACCATCTGCACTTGGAGGACCTTGGGCGCCACCACCGCAACAACCACCCCCACTATCTCACTGGCATAACGGTGGACCTCCAGGACCTCCTCCACCTCACAGCCTACATAACGGCATCGGTCATCTGCCGCCGGGATCTATGGGACATGCGCCTCCTTTCCATGCACCGTATAATCCAACTCATCAGACGAACGGCTACCCAGCGTACTCTGCACCTCCGGTTCATTCTCACATTCCTCCTGCACCTCTCCGAGGTCCATACGTGCCACCGCATCATCATAATGGACCTCCTCCATTACACTTAACAAACGGTGGAATGATGGTTAATGGTATGCATTCACCTCGAGTGCCTTACTCACCAACCCACGTACATGGTCACAACTCATCGCGCTCTACTGAGAGTCCCTACAATGCGCCGCCACAGTTACCATACCCTCCGATTCATCACGGCAGTCCTCCATCTGGTGGAGTACCAGCCTCGAGGGACGCTCCGGCAGTCACGGCACCACCGCCGCAACCACCGCTGGAGCGCGTCAATACGGGAGCTAGTGCATCTCCTTCATTGCGCAATCTCTTGCACTAGAACGTATCTTCACCGAAACTCTACCCGGTACCATAGCTAGGGAGAAACATTTCAAGAGACTGTGCAGCGAGCGAGCATGGCAGTACTTGAAGTAACATTGTGGGATCTTATGGCGTAGTGACGGTGCTTTATTTGGTGCCGTTGGACCGGATCAGAGGCGTCCGGAAAAGATACCATCACATTTGTTTGCTTGGTTCGTTTTCCACTTGCATTGCGTTGGACTGAGCGGATGTTTGACCGCTCGACTGTATGTTTAGAAACTCAGAATAGGTACACGGAATATGCCGTGTACTCCAAGGAGCCGACGCGTGTTCGATAGTTAAAACCAAGAATAGTTTGCAAAGCAGTTTATACCTCGGATAGCTGTGTTCCGTCAGATGTGGACCCGACGACAGCGAACGACAGCAGAGCATGGCGAGTAGCAAGCGCCGGAATTAGCTGAGCAGCGCCTCGGTCTGAGTACGGCCACCTATGGATATTGTATGCATCGGTGACGCGCAGTGTTTGCTCTCCGGCGGGAGGAATGCGAATGTGGATTGACGCCACACGCTGGACGTTGGAAGCCAAGCTTTGTACCCCGGCTCCTTCGTGGGGCATCATGCAAGGGTTCAAACGGTCCGCCTCCCGTGCATCATGCACGCGTTTTCCAGCCTCGCGGTATGCCAGCCAACCTCACCCCTCCAACCACCGCCACAGAGATACATATGCCGACCAACATGACACCCGTAATCACATCTGTAGATGCTTTCTGGATTGATCATGCAATACAGAACGTTTTGTGGCATCTTTGCTGAATTTTGTGAAACTCGGTGCGGTTCGCTGCGAGGGTTGCGAAACAGGACTTGTGTGAAGCCCGGAAACTGAGACGGCAACACCACCCGGGAGCCACACGCTCCCTTCGACCCCTCAGCCTCAGCCACTACTACAATCCACACTCGCCGCTGTTTGCTCGAGCTCTGTTACGCCCGCACGCTTGGCATATACGCCCGAGCATACCATACCAACCCTTGGTGGCTGCCGTTCCTCGTCTGTCTCCCTTTCTTACCTGCCCGGCTCGCCACCTCTATTACATTCTTCTGGGCTGCGCCTACGTCGTGGATTAGCATCCTATTAACTTAGGCGTACACTTTGTAATCATGGAGTTGACCAAGAGGTATTGCGTGCAGTATCTGGACGGCACGGTCGAGTGCTTCCGCGATGGGTTCTGGTATTCCGACGTGAGTCTGCCCACGCCGAGGCATTGCCGGCTGCGTATGTGTATACTAATGGGTGCCGCGCAGACGGGTATAATAGTAAAGTGGGCGATCCTCGCGAGTTTCTTCCTCTTCTTCATGGCGTGGTTCCTCGGCGGGTATCTGCATGCGAAGGCGCGGCTGAGGAAGGGAAAGCCGCTGCTCGCATACCACCGCGTACGTCCTTGGGCTCTCGTCCATCCCTCTGGCTTGTGGGCCATTGCTAACGCGAGACGAAGTGGCTCGTATCCTACCAGGACCGCAAGCGCTACGGCCAGACGACGCAGAACCGCTACGAGTACTACGCCCAGCCGCCCTACCCACAGCAGCAGCAGCAGCAGCAACAGCAGGCCTACGGACCCCGTCCAGATGGCACGTGGCCCGAGCCGCCACCCATGTACAACGGCGATGCGCCCCCGGGATACGTGCCGCCCCCGGGTGCGTCTAAGATGGATCCCAATCAGGCGCCGGGCAACGTCGAGATGGGGCAGTATCCGCCGCCGCCGCCGATGGGCGCGCAGCAGACGGGTGGGCAGAGCGGCTTCCAGCAGGAGATGCCGCCGCGGCCAGCGCAGGCGAGGCTGGCGGGGTTGTTGGGCAGATTCAGGAAGTAAGAGGGTAATTTATTTGGGATATGCGAGGGTTTGGATGGAAGGGCTTGCGTGACTGGATCACTGCATTATGAGCGATGTTACTAGTAGATACAATATCAATACCCAGTTCAGATTCTTTGAAGGCGTGTTCGCTCGATTTTATGGAAAGAATGCATTACGCCATAGCTAGATCCTAGTCGATGTCCATGGCATCCGAATCAAAAGACGGTGGGGGTATCTCTGTCGCGCTTGTTGCCGCTGGGGCTGTTGCCGGCTCCACGGTGCCGCTCCTGCTCGTCTGCCTCTCTCTTATCCTCCCACGCGCCTCCACAATGGCCTTGCGCACGCTGTCCTGCGCCTCGGGCACCGTCAGGCTGCTGGGCACGTTGTACAGGATCAGCTGGTTGTCCTTGGTGGGCTTCGGCTCGGGGCCCGTCAACACATGCTTGGGTATCTTGGCGAGGTGCTTCTCGATGTCCTGCAGGAAGATGGGGTTGTCTTCGTCGGACTCTATGTCGGACAGCTCGGCGTCCAGGTCGGCGATGTAGACACGGTGCGGCGTGTCCTCGACCTGCATGCAGTCGTCTGGTGGAGGCGGCCGCGGCCGCTTCGTCTCTGTCTTGGGCGCGGCGGGGACCGGGACTGGTTCTGCGGCTTGTCTCGCGCGTTGGCCTGGGGTCAGGGCGGCGTCAGACGACGATGCGACGGGGAGGTACAGGCGCGTGCCATTGTCTGGGCGGGGGTCAGCGAGGAAGGGCAGGACAGAACGGAACGGGGGCATACCGAGATTCAGCAGGTCGAAGCGCTTGCTCAGGCGCTGCTCCGACTCGAGCTGGCCGTCGGCGGCGCGCTTCTTGCCGTGCAGGCGACGCGGCTGGGTTGGGGGCGTGTCTGGGTCTTGGCCGGGAGCTACCACCTCCGCCATGCATCCGACATCCACAGATAGATTTTTTTTCTCTGGCCGATGCTAAGCGCGCAAGCGTGTGGGCGACTGCGACTGCTTCCTGGGATTGCGATAGCGGGCGGTGGCAACATTGATGATATAGGGCCGGCCAATCGACGAAGTTTCTGGAAGCTTGGGGGACGCCGCGTGGGAAGGGCCCAAGAGCGCGTTGCTGTGGCGGGGCACCGCTGCACCTAACCGTGGTGAATGCAGCGCCTGCACAGGGCCCCTCTGAGTCACGGGCGCAGGCTCGCAGCGATAGCGACCGCGGCCCACGCCTGCACCCCGCGAAGCACCACGACGCTGCCTCTGCTCCGACCACGCCCGTCGCCTGCAGCAGCTCCCACTCTGTGCGCGCCGTCCCGCCCAGCCCTGCTGCCCCTCCTTCACGCCCGCCGCCTGCACACCTCACGCACCACCATGGCGCAGAACGACACCACGTCCGAGTGGGGGGCTGTCCGCGTGCGGACCACCTTCCTCGACTACTTCAAGGAGCGCGGCCATGCCTTTGGTGAGTCCTCCCCGTCCAGCCGCCCCCCCAATTCGCCCCGCCATGGCTTTTCGCAGAGCAGCAATTGACAAACCCAGTGCCCTCCTCCTCGGTCGTGCCCCTCTCCGACCCGACCCTCCTCTTCGCCAATGCCGGCATGAACCAGTACAAGGCCATCTTCCAAGGCACCGTCGACCCCGCCTCCGACTTCGCCCAGCTCAAGCGCGCCGCAAACTCGCAAAAGTGCATCCGTGCCGGTGGCAAGCACAACGATCTCGACGATGTCGGCAAGGACAGCTACCACCACACCTTCTTCGAGATGCTGGGCAACTGGAGCTTTGGCGACTACTTCAAGACCGAGGCCATTGGCTTCAGCTGGGAGCTGCTCACAAAGGTCTATGGCGTCGACCCCAAGCGGCTGTACGTGACGTACTTTGAGGGAACCGACGACCTGGAGCCGGATCTCGAGGCCAAGGAGCTGTGGAAGAGCGTCGGCGTGCCCGAGGACCACATTCTGCCTGGCAACATGAAGGACAACTTCTGGGAGATGGGCGACCAGGGTCCTTGCGGGCCTTGCTCAGAACTCCACTATGATCTGAGGGAGCCGGAAAACGGTGTCTACAGGAACGCTGCGTCGCTGGTCAACGCGGACGACCCCGAGGTCATCGAGATCTGGAACAACGTCTTCATGCAGTACAACCGCGAGCCGGACCGGTCGTTACGGCCACTGCCCCACAAGCACATCGATACCGGTATGGGCTTCGAGCGATTGGTGTCGGTGCTGCAGAAGACGAAGTCAAATTATGACACCGATGTTTTCAGTCCGTTGTTCAAGAAGATTCAGGAAATCACAGGTGCGCGAGAATACAAGGGCAAGTTTGGCGAGGAAGACTCGGACGGCGTTGATACCGCCTACCGCGTTGTTGCCGACCACGTCCGTATGATGTCGTTCTCCATTGCTGACGGAGGTGTACCGAACAATGTTGGGCGTGGCTACGTTGTGCGCCGTGTCCTGCGACGAGGAGCGCGCTACGCTCGCAAGTACTTTGAGGCTGAAATCGGCAGCTTCTTCTCGAAGATCGTACCGACGCTTGTGGAGCAGATGGGCGAAATGTTCCCCGAGCTGAAGAAAAAGGAGGCTGATATCAAGGAGATTTTAGACGAGGAAGAGAAGAGCTTTGCCAAGTCTCTCGACCGAGGCGAGGTTATGTTCGAGAAGTACGCACAGAAGGCCAAGGCCAAGGGCTCGAATGATCTTCCCGGTGACGATGTCTGGCGGTTATACGATACCTATGGTTTCCCTGTCGATCTGACCAAGATTATGGCCGAAGAGCGAGGCCTCCACATCAACGACAAGGAAGTCGAAGAGGCGCAAGACAAGGCCCGCGAGGCTAGCAAAGGCGATAAGAAGGCTACCGCTGCGCTGGTCAAGTTCGACGTACACGACCTCAGCGCTCTCGACAGCATGGACGATGTGCCCAAGACGGACGATTCGCCCAAGTTCGGTCGCGAGAACATCACGTCTGTCATCAAGGCTATATACCACAACAAGAAGTTCCTAAAGAGCACAAAGGAAGTTCCTGAAGGCGAACAATTTGGTGTTTTACTTGATAAGACAAACTTCTACGCTGAGCAGGGAGGTCAAGAGTATGATACCGGTAAACTGCTCGTCGATGGTGAGGCCGAGATCAGCATCGAGAACGTCCAGGTCTATGCTGGCTACGTGCTACATACCGGATTCCTCAAGTACGGCGAGCTGAACGTAGGGAGCGAGGTCATTGCAGAATACGATGAGCTCCGCCGCCACCCAATCCGGAGCAACCACACCGGAACGCACGTTCTCAATTACGGTCTCAAGGAAGTCCTCGGCGACGATGTCGACCAAAAGGGCTCGCTTGTTGCGCCCGAGAAGCTACGCTTTGACTTCTCGCACAAGGCTGCTGTTTCGGACGCCGAGCTTGCTAAGATCGAAAAGGTCTGCACCGAGTACATTCGCCAGAACTCAGAGGTCTACGCCAAGGATGTGCCTCTGTCCATCGCGCGCGAAATTCGTGGCGTGCGTGCTGTCTTCGGAGAGACATATCCGGACCCTGTGCGCGTTGTGTCGGTCGGTGTTCCCATCGAGGACCTCGTCGCAGACGTCAAGAACGAACAGTGGGAGAAGGTCTCCGTTGAGTTCTGTGGTGGTACACACGTCAAGCAGACGGGCGAGATCAAGGAACTCGTTATCCTCGAGGAATCTGGCATCGCCAAGGGTATCCGCCGCATTGTCGCCGTGACAGGGCAAGAAGCCTACGATGTCCAACGACAGGCTTCCGACTTCGAGGGAGAACTCAGCCGTCTCGAAAAACTCGATTTCAGTTCCGAGAAGGAGGCAAAGGCCAAGTCGATGCAGACTGAGCTCAACCAGCTCGTCATCTCGGCACTCTCAAAGAGCCAGTTCCGCGAGCGGTTCGCGAAGATCCAGAAGAGCATTTTGGACGAGCAGAAGGCGTTTGCGAAGAAGGACAACAAGCGCGTGTTGGATGTTGTAACGAACTACTTCAACAACAACAAGGATGCAAAGTTCTTGGTGCAAAAGGTCGACTGGTCGAGCAACGTTGCGAAGGCTATCAGCGAGACGATCAAGAACGTGTCGGGCCCGAAGAGTGCGCTCAAGGACAAGAGCGTCTATCTGTTCAGTGCGGGTGACGGGAAGGTGGCGCACGGATGCTATGTCTCTGAGGTATGTCTTTTGTGATTGCGGAAATGAAGATGGATGCTAATGTGGCGCAGTACTTTAAGGAGCAAGGTGCCGACGGACCTAAGTGGGCCAGCTCAGTCACTCCTGTTATCGGAGGAAAGACGGGTGGTAAGCCTGGTGCGCCTACTGCGATCGGCAACGGCACGAATGCAGAGAAAGTAGACGATGGCGTAGAGGAGGCTAGGAAGTTCATTGAGAATTTCAAGCTGTAAAAAGAGAAGTAGGAGCGTGGATCCCCTGGGGAGATACGGGAATATGTATGAATAGAATAGGATCAGGATTCGAAGTCAACTTTGTTCTCACACTTGTCGTCGTATGTCCTGCGGTAGGTCCCTGGCGCTGAGAACTGGCAACAAGGTGCTTTGGTGAGTTGACGTTCAAGCTCATTGAAACTTTCAAAACGTGCGACTTCATTCTAGAGTATCCGCATTGACTCTGCCTTCAACAGCGCACTGATCGCCGGTCTCACATCCCGAGTCCCCACTGCGTCATTCGAACGCTTCTTCAAATCCTTCGATCCCGAACACGCAAATGTTCAAATATGGCGATGTGGCGATTGCCGAAGCAGCACTAGCCTCTACACGCACTCGCAACTACAGACAAGGATTCGCATCCTGCACACCGCCTCCAGGCCCCTCCCCAAACCCAGAAAAGTATATTAATCTGCATACAGCACATGGCGAAACAGGCATCGCATGCCAGATCGCGGCGCTGCTCTCACCCCACGGACTCCGCCCCGCCCATCTCCTGCCCGAAAGTTCGTGTACATAAAGCAGTGACTGGCGAGTCGAACGACACCAGAGCATCACCCCGCACTCCACTGAAGAATGGGCTCCGAACAGACTGAGAACGAGAGTGCGCCCGGGGCCCGCTTCCCCGTCGTGGCCCCCTCCGCCTTGTCCGCAGACCAAAAGCCTGTCCATGATCACATCACCGAAGTCTCGAAATTTGTGTTCGGCGCGCATCCGCCTTTCGAGTGGACCGACAAAGAGGGCGGCCTCATCGGGCCCTATTCTGTGATCCTGTAAGTTCTACGCATTGTGCTGCCCTGCCCATAACGATCCCCCCACAATCGAGCTTTCTTGGGATCCCCATCGCACGTGCACGAGCGCACCACGCACTCTCCTTCCCTCCCCTCGTCATCTACCACACACATGTGTTCGCTCCGTGGCAGCTAGACACGCCTGCTAAGCCCCCCTCCCTCCAGCTACACGCCCTCGACCGGCACCGGCTTCTTCGACCACGCCATCAAACTCGGCACCGACAGCCGCCTCCCGATCCGCGTCAAGGAACTCGTCATCCTCGCCGTCGGCGGTCACTTCGATGCCGCCTACGAGAACTACGCGCACGCGCGCCTCGCCAAGCTCATCGGCCTGCGCATCGACCAGATCGCGGATGCGCTCGCGGGCCGCGAAGCAAAGGACTTGGGCGCCGGCGAGGTGGCGGCGTTTCGGCTGGCGCTGGCCATGGTCAGCGGGAGGGGGCCTGTGAGTGAGGAGGTGTGGAAGGGGGTGCAGGAGAGCTTTTCAAGGGAGGAGAGTGCCGCGTTGGTGTGTTTGATTAGTAGTTATGCGTATATTGCGATGACATTGAATGCGGCTGGGGCGCCGGCGCCGGGGCCGGTGATGCCGGAGTGAGGATGGAGGAGCGAGTGGAGTAGTTGGGAAGAGGTAGTTGATACTCGAGAGACTGTCGGTGATGGCCATCGCTGTGCTGACTCAGTTGAACCGCAGGTGTACTTGGTACTTGTTTGTGGAGGGCTTAGACGGCTATTCATCGGTTTTGAGGTAGTCACGGTGGCTGGAACATGCAGCAGTGTACTGTGTCGTGCCCATGCCGTGCGTAGATGTCAATTCTGATATCGCCGTTCTCTGTGCCGATGTTCCTAGCTCCAATAGGCAAAGACCTGTATCACGGTACCATCGAAAGGGGTAATGGGCCTAGTCCAAAGGTTTACCGGTACGATGCATGGTCTCCAGGTCTGTTTGCTTACTTGGGCACTCCCCTTCTCCCCTTAGTTTCAGAATCGAATATGTCATTCTAACACGTGTGTCTTTTCCATGAGGATATTTTACTGTGACCCCTTTCGCCTTCTGCCACGTTCTACCTACTTACATGGTCGAGCTGGTAAATCGCACGTACTGTCCTTAACAGGCGACTATGCTGTATTCGTTATGCATGCTGCAATTTGACATTATGAAGACCAGTAATTCTGTTGCGAAACAATTTCCTCCAGAACCTAGAATACCATCGATACCTAACCAGCGTAAACCCGGCGCAATGCCTGTAGCCCTTGTACAACCCTCTGATACATTGCCCTCTCTACGAAACTGCATTCCGGATATCTGTGGACAATCGCAGTGTCCAAAGAAGCACCGTTTTCCACCACCAAATGCGCCATCTCCGGCGGTCCCAGCTCGACAGCCAACTGCATCGCTCTCCCACACACGAAATAGATGTTCTGATCGTAAAGGTGAGATTCGAGGGCATGATACTCCGCATCGATGTCTGCCCCACGTGCAATGAGCCGCCGTGCAATCTCCACGTTCCCATGCCGAACAGCCTGCACAAGCGGCGGCGTAAAACCCACGCCCCTATCGAAGAGTTGCCCTTCTATCTCAACATGAGGCCTTTCGTTCGGGGGATATCGGCATTACGGAAGTTGCACTGCACATCTGCGTCGAGGAGGATGTCGATGATCTCGATGTTTTGCTTTTCCACGGCAAGAGCTAGGGCTTGAGTGGCCGCTCTAGGATCCGGGCTCGCTTCGCTGCGATCCAGGAATGCCTGGACGAGATGGGATTTGTCCCACATGACAGCCCATTGAAGGGGTGTGCAGTACAGGCCCTTGTGTCCAAAAGCAATGTTTAGGTCGACTGTGTAATCTAAAAGTTGCAGGGTTGCGCAGTCGTAGCCGTTGATCATGGCAGCCTCGAGCGCGGCGAGCATCTGGTATCGATTCGGCGAGGGTGTAGTATTGGCGTGCGAGAGTATTTCCTCTCCATCACTAGGGCGGTGATCTTCCCGTCGAAAAGGAATCAGACTCTCCTCTTCGGTCAGCCGATTGTGGAAGCGAAATTCCAGTGCTGTGCTATCCCACACAAGCTGCCAGTCATCGTTGCGCGAGACGGTGAGAGCGGAAGCTTTCGAACAAGATAGTGCAGACGTTATTTCAACCGGGATTTCAAATTGTGGTTTTTTACCCTTATACGACCATCCAGCAAACTGTCTCCGCATTGCTTCATAGTACGACAGGGGCAGTTCATAAGGATAATCCACCCCATAATGCTTGTAACAGCTCGTATCATCATTAGGGACTAAAGTGGGCGTATAGCCCCGTTGCAGCACTTTATGCCAATTAATACTGCTAAAGAAGGCCTGTGCTTTAGTCTCTGCAACTCCACCTGCTCCGAGCCGCTGCTTAGGCTTGGGTTCCAAAAGCTGCACCAAAAGCTCTCGAGCCGAGGGACTCAAAGATTCAGGAAGAGTGATGTAATGATCTAGGATCCTCGTCCGTATTGTCTCGGGGTCATCGCTGTAGAACGGGGGCATCCCCGTAAGCATTTCATACAAGAGGACCCCTAGTGTCCAACAGTTGGCGATCTTGTATCCGTCTTTGTCGCGACAGACGGTTTGCGTGCTGTTGTTTTCCTCGATAAGTGATTCCGGAGGAGGATATTCTAGTCGCCGTGCACTGGTTTCTTCATCCTCGTCAGATCGAAGAAAAAAGCCAAAGTTGCACAAAGTAACATGCCCTTGGAGATCTAATAAGATGTCTCCAGACCTCAGCCAGAAGGCAGTATCCAGAGTATCGTGTAGATATTCCAACCCACTGATGATCTCTGCGACGTATATTCGGCCTGCGTCTTCTTCAAAGTGTCCGACCCTTTGGAGATGATGGAAAAGGTGCCCGCCACTGATACAAGGTGCGTACAGTTGCAGCTTACCGGGTAGCTGGCAAGTGAATGAAAGCGGCGCAATAAACTGATGGCTAAAGTTGTATGCTTCCTTAGTGAGACTACAGTGCTTCGCCGGACTTAGTTTTCCATTGCCCAGGTTGGTCGAAGTGTTTTATCACCACATTCCTCCCATACTCGCAGGACCGTCCGAGAGGAATTTAGTATTTCGAAATCAGATATCTCCAGGCCGAGTGTCTTGTCTTCAGCACACGGCAAATACTCTATATTGACTTGAATCTGGTCGGTGCCATGTTGGACATTGAACCATGGCGAACCAGAATTGGTCGCGCCATCAAATAGAGTGATTGTAGCTGTACCAAGAAATATATGCTGGCTCCTACAAGCCGATCTGATATCCCCCAGAAAGATGAATATCGTCAATTCAGCGGCTCGTGTAACCTTCAAGCTGAATGTTGCACCCTTGCCGACACCCCACCGAGGTTTATTCGTGGCCCTTCCGAACGAATTGATAAAGACTTGCGCTTTGTCATATTCTAAGAGAGCGTAGTGGCTGTAGAAAGGACGATGACCGTCCGTTAAACCAGAGGTCAAGGAACTGTCGGACAAATTTTGAGGTTCCTCCTTGAAGTCCGCACCTTGGTAGAGAGTTATATTCAGGATGCCTCGTGGGTCCAATGTGTGTTTAATCGGCGGGCCCTTAATGGTAGGGGTCGTTGAATCACTTGATGGTGCATTGGACTGCATTTTAAATTCTGCGCAAAGGCGTCAGGTTCGTGGAGATGATCACGTTGGCGAAGCTTTGGGAAAGCTAAGACGAACTTTGGACATACTCTTACTCAATTTCCACCCCGTCATATTTTCGCAAGTACACAATTCAACACGAAAGTGCTGCCTTGTCCTCCGCTGACAACTAAGAATATAGCCTATCCACGCACATTTATAAAGGGAAGAGTCTGTTAGCTATCCGGTGAGGATCCAGACAGTATGATGGACGAATATGCGAACCTCGTCCCAAGTTGTTAGGTGTAGGAAGCGCGATTAAGCGTGGCAAGGCGCGTGGGACGAGACGCCTGATACGTAATAGAAGTCGCTGTGCCGTACAGGGATTCCCTGCACATGCCAAAGATAAGTCACGATTCAAGTGGCGGTTCGCTTAGCGCCGAACTGGGCGGGCCTCAAAATAGTGCCCACGACCTCAAAAGTCGCCTAACGTCGCAGATAAAGCATTCCTTAAGGGATCGCGTGGGGCTGCAGATCGGTAGCACCATTACAGCGCTGCAAACACATCCAAACAGATCTTCGAGTTTTCAAAACTCTGGTATATATATTTCTAATCTTAATTACATCCCATGGAATTACCAACCGCATCGGTGGTTTAGTGGTAAAATTAGCCGTTGCCAAGGAACTGGATTCTGCCAGTTCCACAGTGTCGGCTAGCCCCGGGTTCGATTGTGAGTTGCGCCACCATACAAACATATACAATTTCTAACATTGACTAGCCCGGCCGATGCAATCAATCACTTCCTTTTTGTTTTTCTTTTTCCTCGGGGTGGCGTCCACAGGACATAATCCTGTGGTAACTCTTTTGATTCTACCTCTAGAAGCCTTCAGTGTGAAAGTTCGGCGGGAGTGTTCATAGTAAGGCCCTGACGCAAATCTTGACGGAAGTGTGACCCACGACAGTCAGACCGGTGCGTACCGCCGGCGATGGTGCGCGGCTGGCATCAGAGGGAAGCTTGCTGTGAGTAACCTACATCGTCGAGGATAACGAGAGGATTTTTTTCTGCAATGGCTGAGTCGATCGCGAGAATTGTCACCTAGAGCTCATCCGCGAGGCGATTGTCGCCAGCCCGCTTTGCGGTGGTGACGGCTGCTGTTTACATGGCTCCTAGCAATCGGACACGAGCGTTGTACGGAGTGACGATCATGATGTCGTCACCCGAGACATGGCGTAGCCGGTTGATGAGATCATGCATTGTCGTCAGGCTTGTCTCGACGCAGTAGCAAGAGCCTGTAGCGTCTCGTGTCGGTGCTACGTCTTCTATGTTGAGGACAACAATGGTGCTTCGGATGCCCCTAATCCGAAGGCTTGTTGACTTTGCCCTATGCTTTGTGACATTGTTGAGCGCTCCAGGATTCTCACGGATACCTTCCGCATCATGGAGTCGCTGGCAGAGCTCCAGAAGCGCAGCGTTCTGAAACCTTGATGTGTTCATAAGCTCGAGGACAGGGAAGCTGGTCTTTGAGAGTCGCACCAACGTAGATGTCGTGTATTGCGAAGGAATAGTTTATCGAGCTGAGAGCTGTATGCCTGTGGGCCCAACTGACGCCGGTCGCCGACGGCAGTCGACGTCCCAGATTTGGAGCACATGCCCATGATCTCCAGGTCCGGTGCCCGGCCAGCTTCCTCGAGGCAATACGTGACAGCCCGGCGATGCACCTGGAAGCCTGATGATGCTGTAGCCGCAGGGGTTGTGCAAAGGGCCGGAGCACGTCCAACTACATGCCAGAACCCTACCTTGAAGGTGGCCTTCATAGTCTTCCTTGTATCGTCGGACATCATACCCTCGGTGTCGATATCTCGGACCGCCCTGATCACTGTTGATGCGTTATCACTTTTGGAATTTAGATACTCGTAGTGGCCTAAATTACCCCAAAGTCAACGGTGTGGACATTCCATGAGTTACCCAGGTGTCTGGTCCTGTAGTAACTCACTTGACCATACCGTGATAAACGTTTAGCGTGAAAGTGCAGCGTGAGTATCCACACTTTGCGCTTGGCGGCAGGCCCGCCGTCTTCAGCATCCCTAGTACCTGTGTGAGAGGGTGATAGTTGTGGCAGCAGGGCAGGGGTCAGTTTGGCTACACTGTGTCACTCCAGGATTGGCAATGTATAGGCCGATTGTACCTTGATTCCAATCACAAGTACTCGCTCAGTGTTAGGATAAAGCTATCAATCTTTCTCAACTTTGAGTCTCGCTTTTCTGGAAGTAACATCGAGCCGCCACTCATACGTGCTCTAAATATAGAGGTTGGAGAACTGTTTTGATCCTCCAAGGGGTGACCCGGTGTACTCGTACACATGACCAGCCACTGTATTCCGTCCCATTCAACTGACGACTCGACCTTAAAGCTTAGCATTTTGGGTAGCAGGCCCCAGGACATACTCTATAGCCTTTGCCGTTCGCTGGACAACTAGATCTATCTCCTCGCGATTGATGTTGTACGCCGGAGCCAGAACGATCAGGTCGCCGTTCACGCCATCTACCACGCCGCCACCGGGCAGCAAAGCAATTTCGAACTTCTGCAGGCCTGCTGCATGTATTGTAGGCGCCACCTTCTGGTTGACGGGAAACGGCTCCTTGGTCTTTCTGTCTTTTACCAACTCAAACTGCGATGTGTTAGATTGTCGAGGCCTCGATCAGAGAAGGATGTAATACATACCGCCCACGCAAGACCCCGACCCCGAATCTCGCCAACATTCGGATGAGCGCCCAATCGCGCTCTCAGTCTCTCTCCAAGATATTCTCCCATCCTTCTGCAGTTTTCGACCAAGCCCTCATCCCGGATAATCTGCTGAACCTCGTACGCCGCCGCACACGCCAACGGATGTCCATGATACGTCTGTCCTTCATCAGCACCCTCTTCCCCCCCTCACCCCATCTTCATCCAACTCACCTGAAAATGCATAAACGCCTTGGAGCCCCTATCTAAAACATCCACGACTTTCTTCCCCACCATCAGCGCGCCGATGGGCATATACCCGGCCCCTAGCCCCTTCGCCACGGTCTGCAAGTCCGGCACCACTCCCTCCTGCTCCCACGCATGCAGTGTCCCCGTCCGCCCCATCCCCGCAAACACCTCGTCCAGAATGAACAGCGCACCGTGCCGCTCGCAGACCTCCTTCATCCGCGCGAGGTAACCTGGTACGGATGCCACCGCGCCCAGCGTCAGCCCTGCCATCGTCTCGAACACCACGCCGCAGACCGTCTGCGGGCCTAGCCGCTGGAACTCGTCTTCCAGCTCCTGCGCGAGCCGCTCGACGTACGCTGCCGTCGACTCGCCGGTCCGTCGATCGCGGTACGGATAGCACGGGGAGACGTGCGATGTGGACCCGGAGAGGAGCGGCTCGTAGATAGTCCTCCGCGCCTTGTGGCCCGACACATCGAGCGCACCGAACGTGTTCCCATGATAACTCCTGTCCCTGGCGATGAACCGCTTCCGCTCCGGCTCGCCCTTCTCGACGTAGTACTGCCGCGCCATCTTGATGGTTGCTTCCACAGCCTCGGAGCCGGAGCCGGTCACGAAAACTTTCTGCAGGTGGCCGTTTGTCGAGTCGACGAGAAACTTGGCGAGTTTCTCGTACGCTGGGGTCGTGAAGTGGGGCGCGAAGCAGTACTCCACGGCGTCGAGTTGCTGTGACATGGCGCGCTTGACCCGCGGATGGTTGTGCCCAATGCAGGATACTGCGGCGCCATTGGAGGCATCGTATATGGCGGTTCCGGTGGATGTGTGCAGGTAGTGGCCTTCTGCGCGCACTATCTTGGGCGGCTCGATTGAGAGTGAAGCATGAAGAACAGAGCTGGGAACTGCTTCCGTGGAGATGGTTCGAGAGGGCATTGTAGAGTCTGGTGGTGGAATGCTCGATACTCTCTCAGGAGTGGAACTCGTTCAGTGTCATGCATTTCCATTACAATCTTGTGCTTGCGTCTACGGCGCGTTGAGCATGGAGGGGTAGATAAGCGTTGACGGAACTAGTAGCCGATGCGACGTGGGGTAATGCAGCTAGATTTCAAGAGTGGGAAGCGAAGAACAGTGAGTCGCGAGGTGGTGTTACTGTTTGTCATCTGTCGTGAGGGCTAAGTGCGTTGAGTTAGTGGGTGTAGGACCCCGAATTGGACTGTGAAGTCATGGTGCCGGGCATCAACTGCTGCGTTTCCGAGTTCTTGCTCCTACCATGTCGTCCTGATCAAAGGAATTAAACCCAGCATCTAGTCATTCTCATGAGGTTCACCGTAACTCAAAAACGACTGGGATCTAATGTCACTGCACCAATCATCACCATGTAAGGAGCGACATAAAATGTCCGTGTCGTAAATTCGAGCCCTAGGTATAACACATTGAATTTTCTCCTCCCACAGAACGCCGGGGCTTGCTTAGTCCAAATCATGCTTCCTTCGAATCCCGCAAAGAGCTATGCTCACGATACCATGCCGACATCCTCGATGCGCCCCTCAGTTTATGAAGTTGATGCAGAAAAAGTGCAGGATTAACGAGCCAAAGACAAAATCGGCGAACGCGCGCTCGTGCGAGATGCTCTCGAACTCGGCCTTGTTTTCGGGGTTGGTCTGAATGCGGAGGGAGGCGGTAAGGACGAACTGGCCGACGGTTGCACTGAAGCCGGAGAGGAAGGCGTTGAAGGGCTGTATGTCTCAGTCAGCTATTGCCCATTCAAAATTGCCTACGAGGGCAAAATGAACATAGAGCAGCATGCTACATCCTGATAGGACGCAGTGGTTGCGGGGTCTGCTGTGAAGATGGAGGTTTGGGATATACATACGAAGTTGCCGACAATCAAGCAGTAGACGAACTGCAGCACACCAACAACGATCAAGAAGAGCATGAAGCTATCCAAGAGCTTGACCCGCTGTGGCGTCTTGTTGACATATTTGTTCCACACGTCCTGCACGATCTGTTGCGCGTCCGCGGAGTTGCCCTTGTTTGCTTTCGGCGCACTTGACGTAGAGGCAGACGGCTTCTCGGGAACTCGCGATTTGGGCGCCATATGGACGTCGATTGGGGGGTGGGCGGGGGAGAATTGGGAGTGCGGATCGTGGTGGTGCTCTGGAGCTTGAGGCCAGTTGGAGAGTTGGGCGGCCCGTGCGTGATTACGTGGACGTGTTCCTGGCAGGGATGCGAGCTGAGCGCGGAGACGTCGGCTTTTCGGAGCGATGATACAATGATGGGTGCGCAAGCTCCGCAAGCTCCCCGCGCGCAATAGCAGCTGTTGGTAATCGAGGCTTCCAGACGAGAACAACATCGCAGCTACTTGCACGACCATCTTCTTCACTTTCGCTGGACCTACTCAATACTCACCCCTACATAAAGCAAAAATGGTGAGCGAATTACATGCCGCGCATCGTAATGCGCTAACACAACACCAGGCTCTCGACAACATCGGCCTCATTCTCGGCGCTCTCACTGCGGGCGGCGGCATCACTGGCTACGTTCGCACTGGCTCTGTGCCCTCTGTTGCTGCAGGTGTCTCTGTCGGCACTCTGGTTTGATTCCCACCTCACGTGTGGCAAGAAGCGCACACTCTAACACCAGCTGCAGTACATCCTAGGCGCCCTCCGCATCCGCAACGCCCAACCATACGGCGTCGAACTCGGCCTGCTCGCTTCCATCGTACTTGCTGGCAGCTCCTTCCCTCGTGCGCTCAAGACGCAAAAGCCCCTACCAATTGGACTCAGCCTGCTGGCTGCTTTCGGGCTTTGGGCTTTTGGTTCGGCGTGGTCGCAAGGACGCAGAAGCTAGGTTGGAAGGAAGAAGGATTGAGAACGACATAGTGGAACGGGCTAAGAGGCAGAGGAGTAATATGTTCGCGCTCGAGATTGTACGAATCTAGGAACAAAGCAATGATATGCCCACTTGAGTTGCCCAAGTTTGCTGAAATCGTGTCCTTTATTCCAGAGAGTGTCTACATGCGAGAAGTCAAAGCGGATGATAATGCGACTTTTATCTCTAAGCTTTCAGTCAGAGCGAACATACTCCTGTGATGACTTGTACTAGTTGCCTACTCTCTATCTTTCCTTCCTCTCTTTACTCTAGATATTCAGATGTCATATCTAGTCGTGCTGGTAGATATCGTGAGTGCTCGCGTGGCAGTCATGTGCATCGTATATCAGAACGAGAACACAGCCAGAAACCTTAAATTCTCTCTGTCGTGCTGAGCCATCCTTCTCTGCTTGTCAAAGCTCTTGCAAAGCAGCGAGTTAAAGGTAGACTAGATCTAAGTGCGAAAATATACGTTCAAGGGTCTTACGAGGGATATCGTGCCATCACTCGCAAAAAGGTGCGCCAAGGGCGATTGCTCTTTCTGGCATCCAGCACCTCAGAAACATGTTCTAGAGTGTTCTAATGCATGCAAAAAGATGATGACAACGGTGGGATTCGAACCCACGAGAGCAAAGCTCATGAGAATGCGTCCTACAGCTGTAGGAAAGGTCGCTCGGAAGCTCACTTGAGTCACACGCCATAACCACTCGGCCACGTTGTCTTTGATTTGATGGAAGTTTCGGCACAATCAAACATTATATAGCAAATATTGCAGCTGGCGAGAGTGCGAGAAGTGATGTGTGACACTACTGAGTTGCCAGAAAATTTCCGCAACGAAGTGGGGTCAACGGCCACCCGACCATCTCGGCCCCACTTTCGTATCAGGTCCTGTCTCGCTCGCTACTCTCTGGGTTTCTCAAGGCAATGAGAAGACCAGCGCTTTGGAAGATTAAAAACAAACCACGCAGTAGAGTTTGAGGTAACTTACTCCACTATATATCCCATGTCTATATGTTTTGAGCACATGATCGCCGGTGTTCATGTTGTCGCGAGAGCTGGTTGTCGCGCAACCTGCGCTCACATGTGTACCGGTACATAGGTACCTGAATCAGATTCGATGAGTCGGCCCATGACCACCGTAAACGAACGGACAACTCTTGAATAGAATCAAACTATGTGTGGAACATATTTTCGAAATGGAAGGATGTGTATTCTTTATGTAGGTCGATGCTAGTCTTTGTGGTGTCTGCTGTCCAAGCCGAGCCGTTTTTCCTTTCCAGAAGCTCAACACCACCTTCCTGGTTCTCTCATCATCGTGAACGCTAGACGCATGACTCAAGTGAGCTTTCGAGCGACCTTCCCTACGTTGTAGGGTGCATTCTCATAAGCGTGCCTTGTCCTGAACCCCGCGACTACGGCCTGAACTGATGAGCTGTGCTTTGAACGCGTCGCGTTCGAGACGCGCATCTGGGGACACGCCGATCCTCCCCAAGAACACGCTGTTCTCCGCAGCAGGCGGAGCCGTGAGCAGAAAATACGGGACTAGCTGCAGCCACGGCGCGAGTTCCCGCATGCGTGCCTATCAAATGCGATACCAGCCATCCAATGTGGCTGTGATCACTCCTCTCGTCTTCTTGGGGTTTCAGCTCGAGCAAGGCACATTTGACTTCCAGCTTGTGTTGCAACGCAGGTCTCTCGGTCGATTGTTGGTCTATGAAGATGTGCTCAGTTATTAACACGCTCAGGTTCGAAAAAGACAAACTTGCAGCAGCTCGAATGCAACATGATCTGAATTATTCCTGATGATCCGGAGTACCAAGCCACCAACCCTCCCATAAGGCCGGATATTGGCACCGGTGAGCAAGGGGAAGCGAAGGCTTCGCAATCGAGGTCTGCCTGATAAGAGGAGCACAGCATTACTCTCTTCGATTGTCATTGTTCCCCTAGTCGTCTCCAAAGTGCACTTAACATTTGTACCATCATGGAGGCCGCCGCTGCGGTTGTAAGTTTTGTAGGCCTGGCAGGTCCCGTTGCGCAAGGTCTAAAGTTCCTATACGACTTCACCACCGACATGAAAGACTGCCCAAAGGATATTCGCGAGATGAAAACCGATCTTGAGTTGGTGGAAGCCTTGATCACGAACGTGATTAAGCAATGCAACGAACGCGACTTACAACTTCGAGAAAGCGTCGCGCTGGCGAAAGCGATTGCCCGCGCTCAGGAAAGCGTTCAGGATCTCAAGGAGGCGTTGGCTATGTATATGATGAATGGGAAACACAGGCGGTTTAAGTTTGCGGCCAAGCTCAGCCAAACCCAAAAGCTCAGAACAAGCTTGGATAGGACCAAAACCATTATGTTTGAACTCAAGAATCAATTGCAGAGGTAGGTCGTTCTAGTTCTACTTCCTTTTGGTTGCTAATACCAGGTAGTGATATTGTCTATGACATCCGCGACACGAATCAGAAGATCCTTAGAACAGTCGAAAAGACGAACAAAGATTTGGAAACACACGACAGAAGCGTTCACCACGTCGCTCAACGACTCCAGAACCAGGCAAGAACCACGAATCGTACCATGGACACGATCGGGCAATCGGTGCAACAGGCGAGCGACAACTCGTCCGAAGAATTGACAAACATCAAGCTTGTGGAGAAGCAGCTCGAGCGCATCACGGACTTGTTAGAGGGCACAACAATCTCACCTTCGCCGAGTTCAACAACATCAACACCTGCATTATCACGCGAAGTCAGTGATTTTTCTGTGATTTCGTCTCAGGAAACTATCGCCACCAGCATTGCGAGCTCTCCAAGCATTTCGCGGTCAGTCTCGCAGAACCCACAACCAGTGGACAGCATCTCCGAGCACCCCCTTCTGCAGTTCAGAGACAACCAGGTAAGATTAGGTGCTGACATACTGCTACGTCCCTAACAATTTCACAAGTTCCACTTCTTGGTCGCATGCATCTTTACGCAGCGTAGCCGCAACCAAAGGCTCGCTTGTCAACGCGCTTCAGAATGTCTGGCAGCATATCCAACCCCAATCGCACTTGCAAAAGCATCAGAGCAAGCTCTCAGTCAATACTTCGGTGGCATAGGCTTGCAAAACATGAAACCACCACGTTTGATCGCACTAGCTCAAGCATACGTTAGAGATCCCCCGAAGGCAGGTGTCAATCGTTCCAAGACAAAGAAAGGTTCTTGTCCTGAATCTGAGATTACGCATTTACCATGGATCGGGGAGCAGTCGGTCAATACTTGGTGGGTATATTGCTGCGAAAGGACGGATGTAGCGACCAAAGAGAAGCCGCTGCTGGAATACATAGAGCATCTGAAGGATAGGAACGGAGGCGCTCCGTTCTCGTGATTGCGTGTGTTGAGGCTCCAAAATTGCGAACGGAAACAGACGCACTCAACAATGGCTTCGATACAGGCGCCATCGAGGTTGAGGGCTGGAGGCTGACGAGGACTTTGACATCGTTCCGCCTGGCGCAATGGGGTTGCGAGGTTTTCAACCACGCTCAGCCTTGTCAACTGTCAAGGCTGGCGCGCGGCGGCATGTCGGTACGAGGCAACGCGCTGCATCGCGACTTATCGCGATGCATTAGCTTCGGTGACGCCCGCTCCAAGGAAAGCGCCCCGCTCGACCCATGCATTCGGAACCACTCGCACCTGCACCCTCTACTACATAAATAGAGGGCACCCCGCTCCTGGGCGTGCAAACACTCAAACAGCCCTATCAAATTCCACCAACACCCAGAGACCAGAAACTCCAAGATGACCAAGGGCTCTTCCAACAACTCTGGCTCCGGCTCCGGCTCCGGCTCCGGCTCTGGTGCGGACTCCGGCGGCTATCAAATCACCAGCTCTAGCACGAATAGTCAAGTATGTCTCCAAAGCTAGCAAGCTCACAGTGTTTGTCAACTAACGCATCGACAGGGCAACCACTACTGCCACCGCGACTACGGAACGGGCGCTTCCAACTCCAACTCGTACCACTACTCCAACACGGACGGAAGCTACTACTACAGCAACCCCAACGTAAGTCTCGCTTGGTGTTCCGAATCCTATGTTAAGACTATTGAAGGGCTCCACTTACTACAATGACGGCGCTGGCAATTCCCGTTACAACTCTGGCAGGTAGATTGCGAGACACGACGCGGTCGAACGCCATTCAACTTTGCTTCTCTCTGGTATGGGGCTTCAGTCTTAGAGTCCTGTATCAGCAGACCTACAAGTTGGGTTTCGATCATCTAGCGGTGGAGACATGGCGCGGGCACCAGTTCCCGCAACGGGCTGTCAGGTCTCTTCATGGAGGTGGATTCACGGCTTCGAAGATTATCAATGTTACTCATGAGTCTAAGTTTTGAAGGCACATAGTATAATACAGGACCTCTACTAGTCTTTTTTGTGTCTGAGAACCTGCCAGCGTGCAGTAGTTGCATTATACATAACTAGTTCAGGTACGGATTCATAAACCAGACAAGAAACCCACCCGACACATATATCAGTCTACTCCACCACCAATCCAACTATCGTCTCCACTCATCGACTTGTGAAGGATCCGTTCCACGCATCGGATACGCAGGCTGCGGTCGCGGAGAATGCAGCCCCGACACCTCGACAGGAACTGGATGGTACATCTCCACCGAATTGCCTGGGCTATACATTCGTTGCTGCTCTGACATGCGCGGGCTCGGCGGTCTAGGATAGTACTGTTGCGGAACCGGCGAACTCGCCAACTCGTACCCATACCCTGCAGGGGCGTACGGCGGACTGGGCGACGTCGTACCAGTCGTCGGCATGAGGTCGCTATATCTCTCTCTCGGCGAGTGGAGCATCTGGTCGGCGGTTGCGGCGTATTTAGCGGATTGTTCCTCGGTCATCGGCTGGCGTGCGGTGTGTGGGTTTGGGTTGCTGTCCTGCCCGGCAGAGGTAAGGGCCGCGGCGTGTTGGTGATTTGACTTCTCCCGGTGGCGTCGCCAGAGGAAGAAGACGAGGGCGCATATGACGAGGGCGCCGACGCCGCAGCCGGCTCCAATGCCGGCTTTCGCTGCGGTGCTCATGCCACCTCCGCTGCCGCCTCCGTTTTCAGTTGTACCTCCACTTCCAGTTGTGCCTCCGCTTGCATCTGAAGACTGGTTGTCTTTATCTTGTCCATTGGAATTTGCTGGCGCTGCAGGCTGGGTGATCGTCGAGGTGACTGTGGTAGTCGTTCTAGCGTTGAGGACCGAAGTAAATGTGGATACAAACGTCGACGTCGACGTGCTGGTGACCGAGGACTGTCATTTATGTCAGTATAAGGCGCCGCCACTTGATGATTATGCATACAAAGTCTGTGCTAGTGACCTGATCCGTGTCGGTCTGCGTCTCATAAGAGGTAGAAGTGGCTATTCTGTAGTCAGACATTTGCAGTTATTAGAACGCGAATCTGATGAGCTTACTGGTGATTGTGCTTGTGATTATATCTCTTCGTTGCCACGGCGCGTCAGTAATGAGCACAATTCGTCGCTCTGGAACTGCGCGAGGGTGTAAAGCGGTTGACAGTGCCACTGGGGTGGCTTTGGGGATCAAAAGTCTTCTTGCGAGCCTCGCGGGGGCAGTTTGGGTAACGAACTTCACCTCAGTGGCGATGTCGGCGCTGGAAATGGTTTCGACTTCTGCGAGGGGTTGATTAGCCAACGACATTAGGGCATTCATGGATTTAGTCGCAGGGTGGACGCGATATAATGCTTAGGCGATGGTGAGATGAAGCCTTACCGATTGAAGTGGATGTCACCGTTGACCATTCGGTGGTTCCAGCTTCAGTGACGGTAGTAACGTCTGTGACAGTCTCGGTTATTGTTCCAGTTACTACCACTGTAGTAGTCTCCCTAGGGAGCAAGTATTTTAGCAAAGTAGACAATTCTGTTGCAAGGCTATACTCACATGGCCCACGAGCAGTAATTCTCGTTCACCCCGTCACCGCAAAGGTTTTGCTCGCCGCAGCACCATGATCCGGCATTGACATCTGATCCAGTGCAGCATCGCCCTTTACCGCCACCTTCGAGGGCGGAGCAGCTACTGAGGTCTGAACATGTGTTCTTATGTGGCACACAAAAGTTCCCATTACCAGGGCCACAATCATCGTTTTCTCCACAGCACCAGCCTCCTCCATCTGATGTGTGGCAGCACTTGCCGACCCCGCCGTCCGAAAGGTTCCTGCAGTTGTCATCGCAAGAATCCCTCCGGAATAATCTGGCGAACACATTGGCGTTTGTGCTGCCCGCTACAGCAGAAGCAGGACCCATCGCTGCGGGAGCACGGAACATCGGTTCCCGAAAAGACGCGTTGAAATTCGACCGGGACGTTTGCTCGAGGTTATCAATGCCTCGCGGCTGCCGGAAGCCTCGTGGGGCTCGCTCCATTGTGGCGGATATATTTAAGGAAAAACATAGTAAAGTAACGGCTAGCCCATACCAAAGTTTTACGGCCATTTTGTATGTGCGGAAGTGGTGAATGGCAAAGCACAATGGACTTGCGAACAGGTAGTTTTACGTGCTATACATCTAGGCCTTCAACACGGGTCCAATATCGCTTACACAGCCAAGGAGGCATATACGAGTGAAAAGGCAAGGCTACACTACAGGATGAAGCCAAGAGCTTCTCATCAAGGTACGCGAACCACTGAGAAGCATTGATCGCCATTGGCAACTGCTGACGCATCTTCAGGCGCGCCATCTGAATCGAAGTTTCCGTGAGGCCTGACCCAACTGAAGTAGTCTATGAGTCTGGGACTTTCGAGGGTGGGGGCCAGCCTTGTTGTGAATGTGCTGGAGGTGGACCAGGCCCTGCCGCGGACATTACTGAATGCTGAACACTGCAATATGGTTCAGGTACAATATTCTGTGTAAAATAAGATACATAGGGCTGCGGAGTCAAATGACTGGTGTCAGATTGGAGGTTTGACCATGCGCAGCTCTCGCACTCCGATGTTTGCGAGCAGGCGTTCAAGGCTAGGTAGAATACTGACTAGCACCACTAGACGCAAACGGTGAAGCGTGCTTGGGGCCAGTCGGCTTTAGGACAGGTTATCGTCGTACCTATGGCATTCTTTGGAGACTTGCGAACGTTTATGAGAACGCTAACAATGTATGGACGTGCTTTTCCTACGTCTTTACATACGCAAAACCACAAAATCTTGGCGAAGCTGGTGAGGTGGTGAAGGTACCGAAGAAAGTCTGTTATCTGTCATTAGGATTCATTGACAGTGCGACATGGTGCTCGAATTTCTGGAGAAGAAAAGAAAAAAAAAAAAAAGGTATGCACGAAACTGAACTGTGCGAATGCCAGTTTTTGGTGTAGTTAGATACATGTGCTACGTTGTGAGCGGATCGTGAAATTATTTAGTTCAAGCAAGGCATCTCTCGACTGTGCGACCGAAATGCTGACTTCTGCGAATTTAAGTGTCTAAGAGGACACTGGAGGAAAAAAGATTTCACGTACGAGTGTATATGATACTGTTGTCGATGGTATCGAAGAGGACTTGGTAATATGGAAGCTAGGACTACACTACATGTGAGCGGTCATTCTGGAAGTGGGAAGAAAATGAATGGTCGAAGAGACAATATTGTGGCGTCGTAGAGTCAAGTCTCCGGTATGGAAGCGTCTGCGCCCCATTGCGGCCAAAAATTGGTCCGTGGCAAGAAACTTCTGCGGAGGCCTCAATTCATTTGGTCAGAAAAACAATGACGCAGTGGAAAGCGTCGCGCTCGCCGGTCGGCTGTTCGCGGCTTTGTTGTCCGCAGTTTCCTTTGATTGCCAATTGTGCCGCCGAGGAATCTCAACGAAGCTAACAACCTTGATCACATGGCACAACGACGCTAAGTTTCTTACCCAGTCGCCGTTGATATGAGCGCGTACGCCAATTTCACGCCGCTGAAGGCCTTGTATTGCCTCTGACCTGCCATCGATCGGGAAACCACCATCAAGGTACTTTCCCGCCGGAAATCAAACTCGTCGCGGTATCGATTCTATTCCGAATAGTAGAGTACGTCATCCATATGTGGACCACGCATGCCACAGCGATATTCTTGTATTCCGATTCAAACGGGAAACATCTGCTTGGACAGTCGCCATGTAAATTCGTAGGGCGTGGTCGGAGTGTTCGGCGCAACTCGGCGTGTTTGGTTAGCCCTGCCGATTTTGAGACTTGGCCCTGCAAGAAGCGAAGGCGCAAGCCTTTCATTCGCTGGTCCGCTCCTAGCCGTACCGTAATTGCCGTTTGGGGAACAACAAAACGGCAGGTTTGGATGCAAGATTGATCTTTCCCAGACGCTTTATCATCGATCTCTGCTGTGAAAGATAACATTACATAGGGCGGGCATCCCTGTCAATTAGTGCAAAACCAACCCTCGGCCATTCTATATCATTCTCAGTCCCACCACCACTTTCCACCGTCCACCACCATTCTCTTCCCATTTTGAAGTCAAGATCTCGACCGCCAGATCTTGAAATGTCACCCCCAGGCGCAATTGACCCCTCGCCAGAGGTCACAGCCATCACTGATACCGCTGCCGTCACTCTTCCGGATTTCCTGGCCGCACCTATACAATCGAACGAGATAGGCAAGAGGAGGAGAAAGGCAAGAGAGGGCCAGTGGGGCATTGCTGCACCGTCAGACACAAGAGACTTCAGGTTCAAGAACTACGAAGGAAAGCCGAAGGCCAAGAGATGGGATCGTGAGTAATGCTTTGTCGTATACGCCCTATGCAATGCTAACCCCGCAACAGACTATTTCAGCCATGAAGCCAGAGTCCGGAAAGGTAACAGGCTCAAGGGTGCAGCCAAGTTCCTCACAAGCAAGCCTGGAATCATCAGCTTGGGAGGCGGCCTGCCATCTAGCGAGTACTTCCCTTTTGAGGAGATCTCAATCAAGGTGCCGGCGAAGGGCAAGTTCTCGGAAGCTGAGACCAAGGAATCTGGCGTGGTCATCACCGCAGGAAAGCATGACCTCGCTAACATGAAATCTACCTACGACATCTCCACTGCTTTCAACTACGGCCAAGGATCAGGATCAGCACAGCTTCTCCGATGGGTCACAGAACACACCGAGTTTGTGCACAGCCCACCGTACCAGGACTGGCAATGCACGCTCACCATCGGAAGCACATCGGGTTGGGATATGACTCTCCGCTTGATGACACGACCAGGAGATTGCATTCTCGCCGAAGAGTACACTTTCTCCGCTGCTGTCGAGACAGCTCTACCCCTCGGCGTCCGTATGGCAAGCGTACCGATTGATGCCGACGGTCTTATTCCCGAAGCGATGGACGAGATTCTCACGAACTGGGATGTCAATGAGAAGGGAACACGAAAGCCGCACTTGCTATACACAATCCCAACGGGTCAGAACCCCACAGGCGCAACAATCCCCGGACCCAGGCGGCGGGAACTCTACAAAGTCTGCCAGAAGCACGACATCTTTATCGTGGAAGATGAGCCCTACTTTTTCCTCCAGATGCAGCCGTACACGGGCGCCAACGCACCCGATGTCCCGCCACCATCCTCGCACAATGATTTCTTGAAGACGCTTGTTCCCAGCTTCCTCAGCATGGACACAGATGGCCGCGTGCTCCGCATGGACTCTTTCTCCAAGGTGATCGCCCCGGGCTCCCGCATCGGCTGGCTCACCGCATCCGAGCAATTCATCCACAAATACCAACAGTACGCCGACGTCTCCACGCAGAACCCCTCCGGAATATCTCAGCTCGTCCTCTTCAAGCTGCTCGACGAGCACTGGGGCCACGACGGCTACCTCGACTGGCTCATCCACATACGCATGGAGTACACCAAGCGCCGGGACGTCATCCTCGGCGCGTGCGAAAAGCACCTGCCGCGCTCCATCGTCTCGTGGAACCCGCCCATGGCCGGCATGTTCCACTGGATGCAGGTCGACTTCAAGCAGCACCCGGACTACCCGCAGAAGAGCATCGAGACGATCGAAGAGGAGATCTTCATGCGTGTGATTGACCACGGTGCGCTGGTCATGCGGGGAAGCTGGTTCTACGCGAGCGAGGAGGATACGCATGATACGCTGTTCTTCAGGGCGACGTATGGGGCTGCGAAGGCGGATCAGATTGAAGAGGCGGTGAGGAGGTTCGGCGAGGCGATTCGCGAGGAGTTCAAGCTGGCGAAGGGGTCGAATGGGGACAATTTACATTAGTCGCAACTCCTCTGAGCGCAGAAAAGCGAGGGTTTGGGGGAAAGGAGATATGCTCCGGTGCTCAGGATGATTGATGAAAGCATGGCGGTTTCAAGGCAGGTACAAGTCTACCTGCGTCTGAGCATTTCTTCTGGCGTTGTTGGTCGAGTCCACAGTCATGTTCGTAGCTGCAAACAAAGCAACCACGGTTGCATTCCATACTACAGAAGCACATCCTCCACAATGTGCCCACCTAGACCTACCACAAAGCAACATTGAACCAAATCTGCCTGCTAGAAGCCGCTGAATGCACTACTCAATCTAACATGTTATCTCATCACGTCTTGCAAAGCACCTCGGCACCTCCGTACCCATCTCCCCTAAACAAAAATCCTCCTCGCTCCACATGCACGAGGTCCATCACCATCCGCTCGGCTACCCACGGTCACGCGGTCCTCGCGACCCCATCGAGGTCGCAACAAGCACCGCAGTGACGTGCGCGGCTCAGGCAACCCTGTCGAGCCCTAACCCGCGCGCTGGGCATGCAAGTGGTGTCCACATGACCCGTATCGGCGGCGGCATATGCAGATGGGTGGGGAGTGGTGCGTGCTGTGGTGGTGGTGAGCACGAGTAGGGCGCCGCGAACAGCCGGCCAGCGGGAGCAGGCGGTATCCACCACGTGCGCGGCTTTGCACAGCGAATGTTCGGAGTGTTATGCGATTGGAATTGTAGGGCTGTTGTCCAACGGCATGTATAGTTATTTGGCAATTGTTGATTAGCGCATATCATCAAACCATTTATATATCGGATTCGCGCATATCATCCATTGGTGTATGTTAGCAAACGTCATCTACATGCCCATACGATCGATTGGCACTTTACTGACTGCACTGCCTCGTACAACACGCAAATGCTCAACAGACGCCATCGATTCGTCTCCAACTCATTACGCTATTAACTCGCTAGCCAGCCGGGTATCCAGGCCTCACATACAAACAAACAATGATGCAGACGCCTGTCCTCCAGGGCCGTCCCGGTGGTAACAATGCCATTGATCGAACCGGTCCCACCAGAAAACAAGTACCATGCAAAACCTCCATATCGCCAAAATGCCGCCAAATTCGACCCCGAAAGTAGAAGAGAAAAGAAAAACGTACGACGGGACCCGCCGAAGATTAGTCAAGATGGTAGATAAAGGCCCCCAATGCCAATGTGGATGCGGAAAAGCGAGAAGCAACGCCCAAACAATGCCTGTCTCCAACTGCTCACTCACATAACCAAGCAATCCTTGTCGTCCTTGCCTCCCTTTTTGAGTTTGTTGCTTTTGTCGTTCGCTGGAACATGCGTTTGCCCCGAGGCGGCGGCCTGGATGATGGCGAGTCGCTGCTTGGCCCGCTCGTCGCCGTGGTCGGCGGCTTTGACGTACCAGACGTTGGCTTCGAGGGGGTCGCGGCGGCACCCAATGCCCATTTCTGTGAAATAGCCGCAGGCATACTCAGCTTTAGGAAGACCTGGAGGAATTAGTTGAAACTCATTTGTAAGATCGTCTGACAGCATACCGTGCTCTGCTGCTCTCTTGGCCCACTCGTATGCTTCATTTTCGTCTTTCTCCAGCACAGGTTCGGCGCCGACCATATACCACGCACACAGGTTCATCATCGCTTCTGGTATATCGGCTTGCGCAGCGCAGTTGTAGTAGTGCACCGACAGAGCGGCATCCTTGGGGCAGCGAAGTTGGCCGTGTTCGTAGCATTCGCCCAATCTTAACGCAGCTTGTGCATGCCCAAGCTCTGCGGCCTGTGTAAACAGCTGGACCGCATAGACCTCATCCTTGAATATGTCGTCGCCGTAACCCGTCTCGTGTAAAAGGCCCAATTCGTACGGAGCGTTGTTGTACTGATGGTCAGCCGATTCGGTTGCTCGTTTGAGCCACTTGACGCCCTCTCGGTATTTGTTCAGCAGACCCATATCTCCAGTTAAGCATGCCTTTCCTAGGCGCGCGGCAGCACCAGGATGGTTTTTCGACGCTGCAGCGCGATAGAATTGCGCAGCTTTGGCGTAGTCCTTCCGGCACCCCCACCCGAACTCGTAACAAAGCGCAGCGCGGTACCCCGACTCCGCATGCCCGTGCTTGCTGGCCGCCACGAAAAGTGGAAATGCGCGATCATAATCAGGCTTATCCTTATTGAATAAGCCCGATGCATATCCATCTGCAAGATAGTATTGCGCGAACGGGTAGCTGCGATCTGCAAGTTTCTGGAGGATCTGCCGTGCCTCTCGGAGCAGCTCCGGGGATGCTAACCCCTGGTCGTCAACGGAAGGGTCCGCTGCCATGATTTCACGTGCGACCTGCACCATAAACAAAGCAAACTCGTACTGCACCGCACTGTCTTGCGTCTTCTTTACATTTGCTCTGTACATATCGAGTGTCTTCTTCGAATCCAGCAGCGATGCATTTGCACCAACAGCACCACGAAGCTGCGCATTTCCTATGTTCGCAGCTGGTGCAATTTGCTGGTTGTAAGGGAGGTTCAAAAGGTCAACGTATGACACCGGTCTGTTATCGGGTGACCTGCGACTGGCGGCCAGCTGCCTAGCGTAATTGGCCTGGGAGCCATTAGACGTTGGGGACGCCGAACCACCTCCCACCGACAAGCGTGGTGAGTGTCGATTTTGAGCATTGAGCTCGCTGCCTAGTGTGTATGCAGAGCTGGGCCGCGGAAGCGACGTGCGAGGAACCTGCAGAGGTGAGTTGGCCTCAAAGCCAAAGTTAAAGTTGTTCTGTCCCCCGCTGTTGTCGCTCTGGGAAGAGTGCCGCGAGCCGGCTTCGGGAGAATAGGCCGCACCGCGCGGCATGGAAGATTGACGTGGGGGGAGCACTTGGTACGCAGGCTGGTCGTAGGCAGAGTCAGGAGAATATCTGGCTGGGTCGTCTTCCTCGGGTATGTTTGCAACGTCCATTTCTGCTACAGATGAATACCTGGCATTGTAGGAGTTATCGCTGATGTTCAGCTGCCGGATAGGAATGTCTCGCGTTATGGGCTCGATGCCTCCTGCTGCGATGTCCGGCGTTTCTCTCGAGGGTGTCCGCGAATGACCGGTGGAACTGGGCACCACCGACGACGCAGACTGCATGGATTCACGAGCGCCTGCTGTCGTGTCCTCATGTTCGTCAATGCTGAAGGAGGGGATGCCGGACGGCGTGGTACCGGGCACCGGCTTCCGCCTGAGAGATGGTGTCCGACTGTCGGTGCTGGAGCGGCTTGATCGCCTGGTCTCGAAAGAGCTGTCGGGTCGCCCGTTGGCGGCGTCGGTCGGAATTGGAGGCAATGCTCTCGTCGGCGCAGGAGGAATGGCGTCCGCCATGGCCATGGTGTCGAGGAAAATGTTGTTCGAGGGGTTACTGCTGCTGCTGCTGTTGTGGGAGTTGTGTTTGCCTCTAGGGCTGCCCTGACTCGCAGCACGCCAACCGCGGGGTTAGAAAGTTCGCCGAGGGGCTGTCGACCTCTGCAACAAGACCAAGGGAGTCGGGATGGATGGCAACAAGGCGCAGAGAGGCGCACAAATTCACCTAAAGGCACACATTAGCTGTGTGTTGCGCGCAAAAATCTGTCGGAGGGTGCGTCGCATCGATGCGGCCTGGCGAGCTCGAGGACGATGATCTACACAGGAATGGGAAGGAACTCACCACAGACCGGAGCTGCCGGCAGGGTCTCGTGGGCCGGTAAACGACTCGTACTAAATCTTTTCTTTTGACGCCTCGCGCCTGAAATAGCTCGCGGCTGGCGCAATGCAGGGCTGCTTGCACGCTACCCTATTCACCCCACAAAGCTGCGTACGATCCAATACCCGCGGACAAAATTGGCCGCCCGTATTCGGCCCAGTCCAGCTGCTTTTCAATTACAGCCGCGGTTTGAAGGCCCCTTTCGGGAGTCCTTTGTTGCGGTGCAGGAGCGAATGCTGACTCGGCTCTGCCCAGCGTGGTTAGGCGACGTCCAACGACAGGCTGCAACAAGTGATGATGATTGTAGGAATAAGGACGGAACGCGGTGGACTTCAAGTGGGCGAACGCCCCAGCGTTACGTACCCGCACTGACTCGAGGCGGCTGAGACCCTGAGAAGTAATCTTGCGGTTGCACACCGGCGGCCGCATTGATATAACAAGCGCGGGCTGGAGAGCGGTGGACTGAGCTTGAGACAGAGCGCAACAGGCAAGCGCCGTGCACCTCGCCATCTCCATTGCCTGTCGTCACCGCCAGCAATTGTGATGGGTCAGCATGCGCAGGAATGGGCCCTCCCATTGGATACGTGCGAATGACCGTGAGGAATGCAAGGCTCTCCACTTCAGCTTCAAGTTTCCCGGCCAGAAAAGCTGGCGAGAAGTGGTGTCCAGCGGGGATGCTACCCAGTCTTCTCGTCAACATGGGACCGCGCCGGGGGATTTAGCCAGTCATGCGGACAGACAGGCGTGGTGTTTACAGTTTGACCCCAGACAAAGACTGAAGCAAGTTACGTAGGCCACGCCTGCCACGCCTGCCACGCCTGGGACGTATCCTCCGGCAGCCTTGTCAGCTTGACTATGAAAAAAGGGTTGCTGCTAGGCAACACGGAGTGCAACGTGAGGTGAACAATAAAGCGCCGTCGAGCCCAGTAGACCAGGGTCCTATAGACTGCACGTAAGAGGTAACTGCATACATTGGCGAGTTTGGGGTTTCGGCGCGGGCTCGCTACCAATCGAGGCGGCTTGCCCACCATGCGGCGGCCGTTTGGAGGTGTGCGGACAGATGATTACCGCCGCAGTACCACGACGCGCGCACACCTCAGGCCGCTCTCATGGCGGTGTGTTGTTGTTGTGCCATGACCTATACGAAGACCAACTAAGTACATGGTGCATCGACAGGCAAGGAGACCGGTTTCTCCGCGCCGCCCGCTGTGGAGTGCAAGTAGGCGCACGATGGAAAGTAGAAATGTACAGGGTACACCTGGAAATGATCGTGTCCAGAGGTGGTTTCACGTCGCCCGATTGGGGCCTTTGCTGCTTAGCCGGGGCCAGGCCGAATGGGCGAGCAATAGTGCGTCAATTCATCGCGCTGTGGCACACCAGCGCTGCCGGAGAGCCCACCGCAAAGCACGTGGAGGAGGTACCAAAGCTGGGGACCGGCGCCTCGAAGCCAACACCTCCAGCTCGCGATGGACATGTGCATAGCCAGAGAGTCCTGAGAAAGCGTGTTTCCTTGACGCGCGAAACAAAGAGGCTCTCGCCTGGAGTCCGCCACCTCGCCTAGCCGTCTCTGGAGCAACTGTAAATAGCGCCCTGAGCCCGCCCATCCTTCGCGGGGCGGCGTACGATTCGCTGGTGTGCCGGCCCCGATCAGGGGCACTCCTGTCTATCGCCTCGCAGGCTGTGGTTCCCACTGCAACCCCAGCTCGAGGGTTGTTTTGTCCCTCGTTTGACCTGAGAGTCGTTCTTTCCGCATACGCCGTGTGCATTTTGCCGTCGCTCGCTCCACTGCGAAGAGCCGCAGCCGTCTCCCCTCGCACCACACCCGCCGAGGACACACAACGGTGCCTCGCGTCGCCCATTCCGTCCCTCACTCCGCCTAGCCTTATCCCATTCTTCGCAGCAGCCGCGAGCCCTCGACGCCCCTCGGTGCTGCCGCGCCTATTCCGCCGGCCGCGTGCCACGCAGACGCATTCCGCGGCTACATACCACCATGTCTCTGCCTCAGCGACCCGACGCCTCCTCGCCGCGGCGGGACCAGCGCCATGTCTTCCGCGAGAACACGTCCTCGCGACGCCGCCGCACCTCCGACGTAGAGAATACGCGATCGCACGAGCGCACCCCGAGCAAGACGGGCACCTACTCCATCACCAACCGACCGCTGCCCTCGCCGGGCACGCCCGTCCCCATGGACCGCGACCCTATGATCGCTGCAGCCCCCTATGGCTCTCGCTCGACCGACCTGGGCCGGAAGCGCAGCCTTGTCCGCCCTGAGCGCCAGCGCATCGATGAGAACCACCCCAACTACCACTACCGCAAGCATGCCAAGAAGATGACCGTCCATCCCTCGACCACTGGCAACGACCCCATCAGGGAGAGCAGAGAGGAGTATGAGTCGGAGACTGTCAGCTCCGAGAGCACAGATCTCAAGCCACCGCATCTTCGTAATGCATCAGGCGGAGGCTACAACGACAAGGATGCCCCTCTGGACGACGAGATGCACCAACAGCGCAGGCTGAAACGCAGTAAGACGCAAGACAAATTGGAGAAGCAGCGTCAGAAAGAGAAGGACGCGTTGAGACCACCCAGTCTGTGGAACGTGTACTGTGCTATTGTTACTTTTTGGTGTCCCAACGTGGTTCTCAAGTGTTTTGGAAAGGTGCAGAAGGCCCAGCAACGCGCGTGGAGAGAGAAAATGGGACTGTGCAGTATCATTGTCATCATCATGACCGTCGTTGGTTATCTCACGTTCGGATTCACCGAGACCGTGTGCCCTTCGGGAGGAGGCGAGCGCCTTCAAGTTAACAAGGTGGATACGGGTTATCTAATCATCCACGGCAAGGCTTACAATCTCCTCAACTCGCACCACCCCAGAGCTTTCGGCATTCAGGATGGACAGAATGTGTTGTTCGATCTCCCGGAAAAGCATGGAGGACAGGATGCAAGCTTTTTGTTCCAAAACGTCAATGGTGCCTGCAAAGGACTCATCACCCTGAAGCCTGGCTCGGATGTGCCGACCAATGCGAACGGCGATCTAGCATGGTATTTCCCTTGCAACACCTTCAACCAGGATGGTTCTACCAAGCCCAACACGACGGTTGGCCGTTATCTTGGGATGAATTGCCACACCTCGTCCTTGGCTAGGACGGCTTTTTACGGACTGAACAGCGCTGGAGACGTGTATTTCACTTGGGACGACATCAAGAATAGCACTCGCAACCTCATGGTTTGGGGCGGCGATGTACTGGATCTGGACTTACTTGAATGGTTCAACACGACCCAAGTGAGCGTACCCGACAGCTTCGAAAAGATCCGGACCAATCCCGCCGTGAAGGGAGTCGATGTGACGCGCGCATTCTCCTCCAGCACAGACAAGCAGCTTGCCAAGTGCTTGACCGAGATCGTCAAAGTCGGGTCCATCGATACCGAGAGTATCGGATGTATTGCCTCCAAAGTCGTGCTCTATGTCTCCTTGGTGTTCATTCTTGCCATTGTTGTTGCCAAATTCGTGCTGGCTCTGGCTTTTCAATGGTTTATCAGCAGAAAGTTCGCCGCGAGCAAGACCTCTCTTGGACCCGTCGACTCGAAAGAGCGAAAGAAGCAGATCGAGGAATGGAGTGACGACATCTACCGCCCTCCACCAAAGCTGATGGACCCCGCAGGCCCTGACAGGAGCAGCAAGCGTGGTAGCAGCATTTTGCCGTCCACCTCCAGATTCACCAGCCCGTATTCTATGGAGAAGAATGTCAAGACTCGCGCTCCTCCCACGACCATGACCAGCCAAAGTGCCTCGCGCGTTCTGTCAAGCTATGGCGGGAGTGGCATGTATAAACAACTGAATGCTAGCCAGGGAACACTGCCAGTGGATGCGAAGGCGCCAGGAAGCCGATCGAGCCTGCTCCTCTCTGGAACGACCCCCGAGCAATACCGTTCAAGCACTTACGGAGATTTTGAAGGTCCCGGTCCTGCTGGGTTCATCCACGAAGCTGTTGTACCGCAACCACCACCAGAGTGGCAGCCCTTCGGCTATCCATTGGCCCATTCTATTTGCTTGGTGACTGCGTACTCGGAGGGAGCGGAAGGTCTCCGGACCACACTGGACTCCATCGCCACTACCGACTACCCGAACAGCCACAAATTGATTCTGGTCATTTGCGATGGCATGATCAAAGGTGCCGGGGAAGATCTTACCACACCTGAGATTACTCTTGCTATGATGAAAGATCATGCTGTCCTGCCCCACGAAGTCAAGCCTTTCTCGTATGTGGCTGTTGCGAGTGGCTCCAAGCGCCACAACATGGCGAAGGTCTATTCTGGATTCTACGACTATGGCGAGAACAGCCGCATTCCCACCGAAAAGCAACAGCGTGTCCCGATGATGGTTGTAGTCAAGTGCGGAACCCCCGATGAGAAGAAGAACTCGAAGCCTGGTAATCGTGGAAAGCGAGACAGTCAGATCATCCTCATGTCGTTTTTGCAAAAGGTCATGTTCGACGAGCGTATGACGGAGCTTGAGTTCGAGATGTTCAACGGCATATGGAAGATCACGGGCATTTCTCCGGATTTCTACGAAATAGTGCTCATGGTCGATGCGGACACTAAGGTTTTCCCTGACTCTCTGACGCACATGATTTCTGCCATGGTCAAGGACCCCGAGATTATGGGCCTCTGCGGCGAGACGAAGATTGCTAACAAGCGAGACTCGTGGGTGTCGATGATCCAGGTGTTCGAATACTTCATCTCACATCACCTGTCCAAATCTTTCGAATCGGTTTTCGGTGGTGTTACGTGCCTTCCAGGATGTTTCTGCATGTACCGCATCAAGGCTCCGAAGGGCGGTCAAAATTACTGGGTCCCTATACTTGCCAATCCCGATGTTGTCGAGCATTATTCCGAGAACGTGGTTGACACGTTGCACAAAAAGAATCTGCTGTTGCTCGGCGAGGACCGGTACCTGTCAACACTGATGCTCAAGACGTTCCCGAAGCGCAAGCAAGTGTTTGTGCCCCAGGCTGTCTGCAAAACCACGGTACCCGAAGAGTTCAAGGTGCTTCTATCGCAGCGAAGGCGATGGATCAATAGTACGGTCCACAATCTGATGGAGTTGGTGCTTGTGCGCGATCTGTGCGGTACCTTCTGCTTCAGCATGCAGTTCGTCGTCTTCATTGAGCTTATCGGTACTTTGGTCCTGCCCGCCGCCATCGCCTTCACTTTCTACCTAAGTAAGCGCTCGCCCGCATCCACCCAACCGTTGCAACGTGCTGACCCTGTTTAGTTGCAATCTCCATCAAAGCGGCCGTGCTGCATACTGCGGCACCTCTTATTCCGCTCATACTACTTGCCCTTATTCTGGGTCTGCCGGCGGTCCTCATCGTAATCACTGCTCACCGATGGTCGTACGTGGCGTGGATGTTTGTCTATCTGCTGTCCCTGCCCGTTTGGAATTTTGTTCTGCCGACGTACGCTTTCTGGAAGTTCGACGACTTCAGCTGGGGCGATACACGCAAGACGGCGGGTGAAAAGACAAAGAAGGCAGGTCTGGAGTACGAGGGCGAATTTGACAGCAGCAAGATCACGATGAAGCGGTGGCACGATTTTGAAGCAGGTAAGCGATCAGCACAGCATGCATTGAATGTCCCGATGTTCACTCACTGACTTGGGAACCTTGCAGAACGGAGACTCAAGACACCGACTGGTGGCGGGTGGTCGCAGCAATCCACGACATCTGGACAGTGGCCGCCGCCAATGCCGCAAGCAGCATCGCAGCATGGGTACGAATCATACTATGACAATTAGATTTCTTTGCAAGGTCAGCAAAAACCACACGACACGACGCGGGTTCCTGTCTGTGGTACGCGAGAAGCATGTTATTTTTACCGCATCGCCAAGGCTGTTGCATTTCTTGTGGAGCGTTCTGGTGGGGTTTGGTTTGCCCCCTTGTCGTCTTCTTTCTCGTGGGCGTGTAAATGTCGAATGTTGTTACGGGACCTGGCATGTATAGTGGCCATGTAGCCTTTAGTCATAGTGGTAATAGTCATCATATTCTTCTCACGTCACGGGCAGGGAGGGCATAGCATGGCATGGAGTGCGTTGGCGTACTGCCGTGCTTGTTTGCTTCGTCTAGGTGCATGCTTGCACGGGACGGATGGGGTGGATGACATGTCTGTACCGCTTCTCCGGGGCCTCGCTAAGACGGTGGGCCGTTGTCGTTGTCGAAGGGAGCGGTGGGACGGCAGCGGTGAGGGGCTCGGGTACAGCGTGCTCGCTCGCGTTGAGGCTCTGGTCGCACAGGGAGGGTCGGCGAAGTGGCCTCTTTGGCCTGAGGGCACAGCACGCTCGTGACACGGTGCAGAGCCCGACAGCTGCGCTTTCGTCCCGAAGTGGACGTGACGGTTCGCTTCTTGAGGCTGCGCCGCTGCGGAGAGGTCGCACGGGCACAGTCGTGGTCCAGTTAGATGGGGGAGTGGGAGGAGGGGTGCAGCCAGCGAGCGCGTCGCACGCATGGGGACGGAAACGGCGCGGGAGGGTCTGGTGGACGTGCCATGTGCTGTGGGGGCGTGGGCGGTGGTGTTGAGGCGTGGAGGGAGCACTGCTGGACTACATGGACACGATGCTGAGGCCATTGATGTCGTGGTGAGGAGAGCCGGGGTGCACCCGGAGCGTCACGGTGCCTTCATGCTCGCGGTGCATTGAGCATGGATGTGACTGAAGGGTGCTGGGCGTACAGCCATGTGTCGCTGTGCTTGTGTCGCGCCAGCGAGGGATGGGAGCAAAGGACCCCCCGCTTTTCGTGCGTGATGCTCGTTGCGCGGTGCAAAGACTTCCGCTTCCATCGTCGCACTAGCCGTCTACGCACGCTGCTCCCGTCCGCATGGCCACGCACAGAGCGTGCAGCGTGCCTCCGCCCGTTGGGCTCTGCGCGGGCTGACGCTGGGCGCGTCGTCGAGCACATCGCAATTCCGACTGCGAACGAGGGTGTGGTTTGACGTGTGCCAACAGCCGCGCTCCCGCATTTGCCACGGGCTCTCGGTAGCCCCGTCTGGGCCATTCACCCACCCCCGAGCCGCAACACGGCCGGGCCTCGAGGCAAGGAGCCCGCCCACGCACCGAAACGATAATACCAGCAACGACACAGGCCGTCAGCCCGATATTGCCGCACGACGTCGCCGCGCCCAATCGCCGCTCAACCCCGGGCCTGCATGCGGGCGCAGCAAGACAGCCGCTGCCCCCACATCTCACGCTGCCCGCCGTCGCCGCGTCCAATGCCCGCCGCCAGCCCGACGCACCCTCGCATGTCGTAGCCACCGTCAAAACACCACCAGCGCGCGCAGGACGCTGCCCACCACGCCTCGCCTGCCTCGCGCCTTCCAGAAGCCGCCGTGCATGCGCGCCCCTGGGCCCTTGCCCCGCGCAACTGCACACTGCACACTACTGCCGCCCTCACGCTCGACATCCACGACGCGCGCAGCTGCCCGCTAGCGCCGACGCACTCGAACCTCCTCGCCAGGGCAGGCCGAACGGAAGGGCTGGCGCATGGTCGGACAGGTAGCCATGCCCGGCTCGGGGCCATCCGGACAGAGCACGCCCTCGCCGGCCCACGACAGCACCCTGAGCCTGCTGCTGCCCTCCCTCTCAGCGCTGGCCCAAGCGACGGTGAACGCAGGCCAGCCCGCACCCTACACGCCCTACGAGATGTCGGCGGCCGAGACGCTGGCGGCGCTTCCCACCAGCAGACCCTCCACGAGCCACGCTGCCGAGCAGATCCACGACGACCTCGTCCAGAGCGACGACGAGGGGGGGATCACGTTGCTGGACGTCTACGACCATGATCCCACGCAAGACTATGGCGTCGACGCGGCACTCCCAGACCCGACGACCTCCTATCCAGTCGAGTTTGGGGACCAGCCGCTGCTGCCCTTCGTACCCCCGACAGCCATGAGCAGCCTGAATACGGCCCAGCCCTACTCACCACACACCACGCTCGATCACCATGTCTCAGCGCTCGAGGCGCTCTCCATGGACCAGCAACAAACACCCCCGGCCACTGGGTTTGCGCCCTCGCTAGACGCCTCTCCTGTGATTGACTTCTTGACCAACAGCGGAGCCGTGACGCACCAACACTTCCAGGACTACATGGCCCACGCCTACGAAGAGCATCTCAATTTCCAGGACAACACCGCGTTCATGAGCCCGCATCTCTTCTACCTCAAGGCCTCTTCCCAGAAGGACTTGATGATGGGCTTGGAAGAGGCTGAGGGCGACCATCTATCTGTCATCACTCGAGATGATCTAGCAGGGGAGGATCGTGACTATCAGGGTATCATCTGGTCGAAGCGTATGCCGCGGGCTGAGTTCCGGTCAAAGAGGAGGAACGAAGAGAAGGCCAGACTATCCAAGGTCATGCGGCAGTACAATAAAAGACACCCCCCAATAAATCAAACCGAGAACTTCTTCTCATTCCGGAGGATGGATAAAAGACATCGACCGTGGGGTCCACATTTCCAGTTGCGCAACATGATGGCTGTTACTTCACGGCAAGACATATACTACGCAGAACGTCTAAAGGGTATTTTCAAGACGGACGCATCCGGATCAAAGGCTCAACCCATCATTGATACGACCAAGCACACCGTCAACGGCAACATGCCTATGATTACTACAATGGCGGCCATGGACCAAGTCCTGATTGCGGGCGGGTTCGAGGGCGAGTACGCCGTAGTGGATCTGGCTTCCAACAATGGACCCCATACCTCGATGGACGTCATCCGAGACTGGGCTCCAGAGACGAAGTCCTTCATAACAAACCACGTCCACCTCTTCAATGACCGTTCCTCCTACACCCCGCAAGCCGTCCTCAGCTCCAACGACTTCAGCCTCCGCGTCCTCGACTGCGCAACCAACACCTTCCGCTACAAATTCCCCTTCTCGGCCGCCGTCAACTGCTCCGCCACCAGCGCCGACGGCCGCCTCCGCGTCGTCGCCGGCGATTTCCCGGAAACCCTCATCACCAACGCCGAAACGGGCGAAACCCTCCAGACCCTGCGTGCACACGAGGGCGACGCGTTCGCCTGCGCCTGGGCCGACGACGGCATCCACGTCGCATCCGCTGCGCAGGACGGCACCATTGCCGTTTGGGACGCGCGCTGCTGGCGGGCGCCCCTTGCCGTGCTCCCCTGCGAGCTGTCCATCCCGCGCGTCCTCCGATTCTCGCCCCTAGGCTCCGGCCCGCGCGTGCTCGTCGTCGCCGAGGCGGACGACTACGTCTCCGTCATCAACGCGACGACGTTTGCCAACAAGCAGGTATTCGACTTCTTTGGGCAGACGGGCGGCGTGGATTTCGCGCCTGATGGACAGAGCTTGTTCGTTGCGAATAGCGAGTTTGGTCTCGGCGGGATTATCGAGCTTGAGCGTGCGGGCGGGTGGGATGCCGAGCGGGTGCTGGGGGACGTGGAAGAGCGGTATTGGGATGGCAAAGTGGTGGATTGGGCGGGTGAGGACGAGATGGATGGGAATTACCGTGTGCTGTGTGGTAAGGGAGAGAGAAATAGACGGGGCTTGGATCTGGGGAGTGTGGATGTGTGAATGTGGGGTGTAGATGCTGGATGTACAGGTGATATATATGGGGTATATGCGTGGCATTTGGTATCTTTTCTTTCGCGGAGCCTAATCCATATCACGGACTGGATGAGGTAATGATAACAGGGGACGGTGTTTCTAGGGGCTGTTTATCTCTCTCTTCTTTTTTATCAGGGCATGGCATTAGCATGGACTAGCTGGGCTGGGTATTGGCGCATGCATTTGTATACTTGGGTGTTGGCGCGCGGATCAGGATATATCTTAGATGGGGGACTGCCCTCGCGGGCTTCTCGGGCGTGCATGTTTAGCGCTAGAGTGCAGCATCGTCTTCCACGATCGCTTATCTTAACACTGCTCCCTCGCACGATCATCTGTATCCGTGCGTGCCTGTCGTGCGTATGGGGTAGCCTCCCCAGATCCAAGATGGTATGTGATGCCGGTCCCGTGCGTGCGCCAATTTTACTCCCGCCTGGCGTGCATCACCCACCCAGTCCCGGGTTCGAACAGCGTGCTAACAGCTGCTGACATAGACTGACGCTACCTGTGCAGTGCTGGACACGAATTCTCATGGTACGGTAGCGCGGGAAGCTTGCTTCCACGCCGTGAAGGGAGAATTTGCGACGTCCTTGTGGCGTCGCAGGGGATGGCGCGGGAGTTCGTCATGGGGCATTTCAGGGTTCGCCATGCATGCTAAGGCAGTGAGTGTCAACGTGCGGGGACGAAGGCAAGGGGGAGCTTGCGAAGGGCTGCGGGCGGGTATGATATGGTCGGGCTCGGCTGTTTTGCGAGACGCGGGACCATGCTCGGTGCTGTGATGAGTGAAAGAGAAGGGTTGGCGAGCCCCCGATCGAGAAGGCCAGCATAGTTCACTACAGCGCGGGGATTGGCTCGGGGCAGTGCTCCCTGCCAGTGGAAAGGGATGAGAAAGGAGATGAATTCTAGGTCTAGTGAATGTCACGACAGTCGCCGCGGCGGATCCGCAACCACAGGCGTGCTCGCAGCACTCACACTCGCCTGGCTCGACCCGCTGCTGCGCACCTTGTGCCCCTTGGCGCTGAGGTCGTCCATGGGAACCAGCTGCTCCTCGTCGTCGCCGTGCCGCACCTCGAACGTCGTCGTGTACGTGATGGCGTTGGCGTTCTTGCTTGCGAACGCGTCGTCGTGGCCCATCTGCGAGCGGCCCACGCTGGCGTTGTGTCCGCTCTTGAACGCGCCCGAGCGGTTCGTCCCGTACTTGGCGTAGTACTGGTTGGAGGCGTATTGCGTGGAGCCGAGGGCGCGGGGGAAGATGCGCACGAGGATGAGGCGGAGCGCGGGCATGCAGGCGCAGATGATGCCGACGTTGATCTCAATGGTGGACCAGTTGGCGGCGTCGGCTTGGTCCCAGGTGGGGTTCGTCGAAGTGGCGAAGGAGATGAGGGACTGGAGGCGGATGATGGAAATGACGGTAACGCTGGGATGAATTAGAAAGAGACATGTGCAGAGGGGCGCAGCGGCACTTACAAAGTACCTACAAAGAACATCATAGCTACGCTGACTTTCTTCTTCCACGCCAGTTTTAGCTGCAGCACTTGCCACAACGGCAGGGCGAGCATCCATATGTCTAGGAGAATGCTTATAGCAGCGTTCGCCCACCCCAGGGCATTCAGGTTGATGCATTTGCCGTTTACGTGTTCGCCGTCCCATTTCTCCCAGTAAAACCTGATCGGTGTACATTGGAAGATGGCGGTCACTATGAACGCGATCCCGAAGCAGATATTGAATGCGATCGTAGCCCAAAGGAGTCGTTTGATCGGTTTAGCCGGAAAGATTCGTAAGAAGAAGAACAGTAGCGACAGCTTTAACATGGCCACATTGAAGAAGTACAACACTTCGATGATGTAGAACCACTTCACAAAAGCGGTGATGGTGCCAAACGATAGGGTCCATACGTCCTTCCCGAGCCCATGTTTGATTGTTCCGATGTCCTGTATGATGGTCGATGGAATGCCGAAGACAACAGTGGCGAGAATTATGTAGTCGTCCCATCCCAGTTCACCAGCGGAGAAAAACGACTTGTACAGAATGCGGGTAAGAACGCAGGTTGCGGATACAGCTCCCAGGATGATATTGGTAAGCTTCAACGTCATGTTTTTGCTGCGTACAGGGGCGTGGCATGTTGTGGTCGTGAGGTTTTTAGTTGTGAGCGACTCTCTCAGAGTACACGACCGGAGAACGCAACCCTCCACGTTGGCGTTCAGTTCGGCGTTTGTGCAGATACATGCTGTGTCAGTCAGTTCGCATGGGGACGCCGCGATGGCCTGTGTGAGGCATGACAGCTGGACAAAGTCAGTGAAAGCCTGAAAGGCCAAGGTCCCTAGACATACCGCGCACGAAGGCAGCTGCGTAATGATAGCAGTCAAGCCAGACTCCTTTCCAGCCTGCTGTGCGAACCCCAGCGGAGCGAGTGATAGAAGCAGCAACGATATGCTAGCCGCGAACCTCATCGTATCCTTGAGCTACCGCACTGCGGAGCGGACGTCTCTTCGAGACAGACGAGAGGGGAATTTGTGAGACTCTCGAGTCTGGGAGATTGTAGGACATCACAGGCTGAAATGCCAGCAGAACGTCCCTCTGGTCGAACTAGCGACCCGTCGCAATGCATGAGATTAATACAAATGGTCCACCGCCACCACACCAGCGTGGACGTTTCGCTAATGGTGTCTGCACGTGAAACTTAGTGCTGATAGAATGCCAGGGACGGCAAGGGCCTGGGACAGACGATGCTCAAACGCGTTCGACTCCACAGGGTGAGTGCAGCAGGTGGGTCGACGGGGGACGGTGCACTTCCATTCGAGAGTGCTCTTAGCCGCGATCAGGACCGGCCCCTTGCCGCATGGGTATGCTTGATGGGCGAGAAGTAGCGCTCCAGACTTTCAACGTTGACACTGTGCTCATCGGCGGAGGTTGAGCCGAAAGATCACGGGTAAGTGAGCATCGGTTGGTCGTTTCAGTTAGTGGGGCCGCACATGGCGTGCCTCTTGAGTAAGTGCCTTCTAGGACAGGAATGATGCTCCGTCACACATGCGCGAGAGAGCAGGCCGGCCGCGGTGGGGTGTCGCGTGCGCCTAGGCGTTCGCCGATGGCGACGTAACGCCAGGTATCCGTATAGAACGGTGCCCCTGGAAGACAGAATTTTTCCACGTCGCGTCGTCACGCACCGAATCTGTTGAGGGCTCAACGTCAGTCGTTGGCCGGGTATGTTCGCGCATGCAACGGCGAAATCATCCCACACAGGCTGTTCAGATCGAGTTTGGAGAGTCGGCAGCCGTGAACGGCAGGGGCCTGCCACCTAGTAGCTCTCCCTCGGCTGCGGATCTTCCAGAAGGCAGACACCTGGGTACGATCCCTTGGCGACTTCTCCCAGTTCCCCCAACCCACCGCAACCCACCGCAACCCACCGCAACCCACCACCCACGCAGATCCTCCTCGCTACATGCCTCGCACACCTGCCTGCTTGAGTCACTCCCGAAGTCTTTGCGATTCGTTCCGCATTGCATCCGGCGACATGGGGTAGTGCCCAGGTGTTATTTCACCAGCTTTGCTACACACGGCCAAACGAACTTCCGGGGGGAAGTCGTTCCGACTAGCTTCATCGACTAAGCGTAGTCGCTGTCCGTCCACTGCACAATGATGGCAGCGCCCGCTTGACAGGACACCAGCGCCAGAAACTGAACTTTACGCACACAGGTCCACTATGCTATGGCCAGCCCCTTTGCCATCCACACACGATGTCGCCTCGGGTCAATTCGGCACGCAATCATGTCTTCGGCTGTTCAGTTGCGTACTGGCGAGTGCACTTCGCTATTCAAGACACCACGTAATGGATGCAGCGAACCGCAGTTCGAAACATTCCCCACAGATCGATCACCTTCTCAAATCTTGAAGCGTACTCAACATCGCCTTTGTCAATGTGTACTTGAAGGTTTTGTTCCTGTTTCGATTTACGCGTTCGCTCGCTTCAGTCTCTCTCCACCAGTAGTCCACTCAATTTCTCGCCAATGCCCGTCAATAGTACCGCTGGCACGCCATGTAGGAAACAGGTCGTTGTCCTCTTTTTAAGGTTTGAAGTGGCACACGATGCAGTAGCGCGATGCCCCTGACTTTAGTCCTGCGCACTCTCCGTTCCCGGCTCAGGGACCCCGGTCGGTCTAGGCGCCGCTCGAGCCCATCCGACGTCAACCTGGAACAGATTTTGACACCTTTTGCAAACGAGCAGTGTCTGGCTCGGCACATCGACTGTCAGCCCTATCGACATCCCGGAAGATCCCCCGTCTAAGCGATGCTGGGCTTCAAAGTCTCGACTTCTAGGCACAAGGGCCGTAATCTTGCGGGTAATATATTGAAATTTGCACTTGACATAGGATGGAAGTTGCTTGCATCCAGGCTCTGCAGGCTCCCTGCTCCTCCCTTGGGCCGAAGAGCCGCATCCCTCGACCTGGTTGTCGGCTCAATGGATGAGGACCCTGTACCGCTTCAGAATGTGCGTGGTTCAAACATGCCCAACTGTCGAAAGAGTTTCCGCGGGATTGCCATGCTAGAGAAACCTCTTTCACAGCCATCCACGGCGCCACCATTCGACGCCAACTACCCCAGATCTCGCTGATATGCAGCCGACGGCTGTGGCCATTGAATTCGGCTCAACTTCGCTAGGGCTCCGATACTGGCGCACCTGCATAATGACTCGCTTTGGAATGTGTACCGATATCGTTTCAAGTCTGATGATGCATGAGGTATGTCTGTTTGACAGCTCAAAACATCCTTCATCATTGCTCTGGGCCTGAGGCACCCTATACAATGCGTCCAACTGCCGATGCTATTTGTCGGTCTCTATTATCGACCCACACCAGACCTGTCAGTTCATGTCACCGCACTATTAGTGCCTCGCATTAGGCATGGCTACTCGACGAAATTGCCTCTTTGAACAACCATGGCTAGTACTCACTGACTCATGCAACATATTAGGATGCTGCTTACATCTAACTTGGTTCATGAGGCCGCCTCTGACCAGATGCTTTCCTACCTAGGGAGGGCGCTATTGGTGACGTGTGTGCTCGATCGTAAATCCACTCGACGGTCACAATCCCAGGCCAGTGTTTGTGCGATGTGTCGACTTCGACATATACTACTTTGTACTCGCGTGTGCAGCAAGCGCTTTACGTTACTGATTCGAAGCAAACAATACTATAACTGATCGATGTACCAATCTCCAAGTGGGACTCTTCTCAGGCGGAAGAGGGAAACTCAGACCGCCGATCTCCCCTTTTCGCGTGGACTCTACGCTTCGCCATAAACCCCAGTGAACTCGGAGCGGCGATCCCTCCTCGCGTAGAGTCGATTCTCTCCGACCCTCGTTTTGAGGCGTGATGGAGTGCTGATCTCTTCTCTTCGTGGCGCCGCCCCTACGCTTTCGGCAATCTACCCACTGAAGCTACGCGAGTCTCTTTCCCACGGGGCTGGGTCAGTTGGACGCGTTGGAGATCCAACAATGGCGCATGGGAACCGATCGCTATCTCCCGATCGAGGCTCTGCAGCGGCAGGTGGAACGCCTCACAACGGCCGTCTCTAAGAGATTCCATCATCAACGGTCTAAATCAGTGGATCCCTTCTGAGGCAGTACTCCCAAGTTTCGTAGCTAATTCCACAGCAGCGCTGCTTTGAGCATGTTTTCCTCCAGCATCGGATAAAATCTCAGGCGCGACCTCAACGGTATGATCACCATCAGCATCTAACCCCCGACGAGCAGTGTTTTCACCAACGTGACCTACCCGCCGACAAGCCGTACACTACTACGATGACCATCGCAACTTACTCGCGAATAAGCGGTATGATCATCACCGCAACCTATCCGCCTCCAGGCACCCCCGGAAGCCACGGAAGCCAAGTCCGTCTCCGTCCTCGTAGATAGGACTCCAAGATCAGATGTGCGAATACCATGGTACCTTCTAGCGTTTCGGCCGACTACATCACGTCCTCAATCACAACGTCGCCGACACTAACCGCACGCGCACACGATCGAGCATCTTTTCTCCATTCGGTATCAGGGCTCTAAACAAAGATTTCCGTCCGTTTTTGCACATTCCAATATTCATGTCAAATTAGTGTACAGGAGCCGCGCTTTCCATTTCCTCTTGTCTCCATGCAGCGTGTCGCTTGCTCGTCGCCGCGGCTCATTTTTGAAGTTCAATTCTACCCCCCGCACCGGCGCAGCCGCTCGACGAACCACCCCACCCAAACTTCAATTGCTGGCACCAAGCAAGCACCGCCCAAATCCAGTGAGGAAACGCAGAGGCACGAGCGGTAGGGGCATGAAACACGCAGAAGCAGTCTACCACGCCTCCACGTCGAAGCCTTCCTCCGAGAACTCGGTTGCCAAAACCGTTCTCCGGGAAAACTGCCTTCCGGCGAGACTCTTGATGGCCGTCTGCGCCTTGTCGGCGTCTTCGTATTTGATGTAGATTTTACCGACGCCGGCGCTTGAGCGGACGCCTGCGGGGCGGGGGATCTTGACTTCGAGGATGGCGCCGTATTTCGAGCACTCTTCTTCGATGTCTTCCTTGATTTCTGGATCCGCTGTTAGTAACTAGGCCAGTGCATTGTGAAAAGCAGGACTTACCGTCGTATTCGTCGTCGTTGAGAAGCTCGTCGGGAGTCACCATGTTCATCAAGCAGATGACACGGCTCCTCTCGCGGGTATCGGCAGCAGTGGCGCCGGCAAGCATCGAGATAGCGCCCACGCCGCCGTCAATGGCGATTTGCTGCTGCAGACCGATGGTGGCGCGGGTGACCTTGAGGGTTCCTTCGCCGAGAGGGATGGAGTTCAAGCCTTCAATGACGTGCTCTACAATCTCAGGGTCTACATACTCGCAGAAGGCAATGCCCTATTTTGTGGGTTAGCACAACTCGCGGAACCTGAATTTAGAGATACTTACGCGATGCTGCTCGGTGCTAGTGTCCTTGACCAGCACGAAGGCCTTGAGTGCGCCAAAGGTCTCGACGAGCTCACGCACCTGCTCCTCGTCCACATACGTAGGAATGTTAGTGATGCTGAGTTTGTTGGGGCTGTCTGCGACGTGCGAGGAGACTGTATCACCGGTGGTGGCAGTGCCGTCGGCGACGGGGGTGATGTAGTCCTTGGGACGTCGAATTGAAAGGCCGACTTGATCGCCATCACGCATGGAAATGTTGTCCATAGCCAGGGCCACGGTCGCGTCTTCGGCGGTCTTGAAGGTAATGGCAGCGTAGGCGCGGCTGGTGGCAAGCTGTGCGCTGACACATGGATCGCGGCCTGACACGACGTTGAGACCGTTCAGCTGCAGATTCCAGAATTCGACAATGTCGTCGTTTGTGACCTCTTGCGGGATGTTGTAGATGAACAGACGTCGGGCTTGCAGGGAGTTGGACGGCAACAAGCCTGAAGTGGAAGCTGTGCCAGTTTCCGGGTTCGCGAAAGCAGCGAGCTTGGACGGGTCCATGGGAGCAGCGCGAGGGGCACCGGGCAGCGGGAACTGGCCCGAGAGCTTGGCCTGCTCGGCCGTGATGTTGTCGTAGCCTGCGGGCTTGATGTCCCACTGGGTCATGCGGCGCGGGTGGTTCAGGATGGACACGAAGCTGGTCAGGTCGGGCGTCGGTTCGCGCTTCTTGTACGGAGGGGATGCCGACTTCTGCCTCCTGTCACGCCCACCACCGCCAAAACCGCCGTCACCACCACCTCCACCACCACCACGTCGTCCGCCTCCGCCTCCACGTCCACGGTCTTCAAACTCTCGGTCGTTCCTGTCTCGGCGGCCGTGTCCGCGGTCGTCGTCGCGGTCGTGTCGCGGGCGGTCGCGGCGAGCATACGAATCGCCCCAATTGCGGTCGTCACGGCGCTCGCGGCGGGCGTATGTGGTTTCGCGCTCGCGCTCGCGGTAGTCGCGGCTCGACGAGTACGTGTCTACCTCGTAGTCGCGGCGCGAGCTGTGGCGCGGCGAGCGCGAGCGGCGGCGGCGCCTGTCATCGCGGTCGCCTCCACGGTCGCCTCCGCGGTCGCCTCTATCGCCGCGGTCGCCGCGGTCGCCTCTGTCGCCCCGGCGGTCGCGATGGTCATCCCTCGAGGACTGTGCCGTCAGCTCCTGGCGCCGTGGTTGGGAGCTGGGTGCACTCACGTAGTCTCGGCCTCCGCCTGAGCGCCCTCCGTCTGCTGTAGTTAGTAAGCCATGTTTGTTGAACTGTACACCAGTCAGTCTGTGTACTGATCAGACCGGCTTACCTCGAGAATAGCCGTCACCGTTCATGCTGTCGAGCTCTTGCGCGCGTCCAGGTGCACTCGCGGCTCGTGCAGCGGTTTGCTGGCGGGTGTGGGCTTAGCACGTACAGCCGGGCTGGGTCAGAGAATGCAACGGGCGGGTCTGTGAGCGCGCGCCGTACGAAAGCGATGATGATAGTTGGAGACGGGGCCGCTGCACCTCGCTATGGGCGTCGTGAAGAAAGTACGACGGGGAGCAGCTAGGGCCTTGGCTCCACGGCACCCCTGTCGCGCGCGTCCAGAAGTCCAGGTGCATGCATGCTGCTGCACGAACACCAGTCCACATTCACTGCCATACCACAGGCAGGAGCAGCCGTCACCATGGCCGTGCGAGCTGCAGAATGGCACAAGCTGCCCCTGTCCCTCACCGAGCTCTGCATAAACACAACATTGCGCTGCGGCCAGTCCTTCAGGTACAGTTGCCGCCCTGCGCGCCGCAACACCAGCTAACACCGCATCTATAGATGGCGGAAATCAGCAGAAGACGAGTACTCCATGGCCCTCCACGGCCGCATACTGTCCTTCCGCCAGGACGCCACCCACCTCCACTACCGCGCCATCTTCCCCCCCTCCCTCCCCACCCCGCCGCCTTCGAATGCGCCCTCCCTTGCGCCTTCAGTCGTATCCGATGACGACGACACTCTCGCCCTTGTTCGCCATTACCTCAACTTGGAGCCAAACTTGGTGCAGCTTTACGAGCAATGGGCGTCCGAAGACCCCAACTTCAAGAAGCGTGCGCCAAAGTTCACGGGCATACGCATCTTGCGCCAAGATCCGTGGGAGGCCCTCATAGGCTTCATATGCAGCTCAAACAACAACATCAGCCGGATATCAGGCATGGTCCACAACCTGTGCAAGCACTACGGGCCACTCATTGGACATGTCGGTGACGAGCCGTACCATGACTTTCCTACGCCGGAAGCACTCGCAGACCCGAAGGTCGAGGCGCATTTGAAGGAGCTGGGCTTCGGGTACAGGGCGAAGTACATTGCGAAGACGGCGCAAATAGTGGCAACAGACAAAAGCCTGGCCTGGCTGGAAGAGCTGTGCAATCCCGAGAGTCCGGTGTTTGGCCAAGAGCCAAAACCTGCTGGACAATTAGAGATGGGCGGGCGCGAGGGATATCGGAAGGCACACGACGAGCTTCTTGCCTTGCACGGTGTGGGTCCGAAGGTTGCGGACTGCGTTTGCTTGTTCGGGCTCGGGTGGTCTGAATCGGTGCCCGTCGACACCCATGTATGGCAGATTGCGCAACGCGACTACAAGTTTGGAAAAGGCAAGCACAGCAGTCTGACCGCAGCTACATACACTGCTGTCGCGAACCGCTTCCGCGCGCTCTGGGGCAAAGAGGCAGGATGGGCGCACTCTGTGCTGTTCACCGCTGATCTGAAGGCTTTCTCGGAGCGCGTTGTTGCCAAAACCGAAGTCAAGGAGGAGGTCATCACCGTGAAAAAGGAAGAAGACGGTACGGAGGAGATCGAAGACGTGAAGAAAATAGAAACAATCAAGAGGAAGCGAGTTAAGAAGGAAGTCGACGAGCCAGAGCACATCGTCGAGGTCAAAGAAGAGGTGTTGACGCGCAGCAGCAGGAGGCGGAGGGCGAGGTAGATGACTTCCCTTTGGAAACTCAATCAATTAGGCATGACTTTGAAGGGCTTGGAAAACCCGCTACAAAGACACTGGTCTGCACTTTACACATGTCGCAGGCTTGCGAGTGAGCCCGACGACCTGACCTAACCTCGCCGATTTGACACCGTCTCCGTTCTCGCACCCCATTCAACATCACTTGTTCCTGCACCACCGCCTGCTAACAACTGACGTGGGAATTTAGTCGTCCTCGTCTACGACGTCCGTAGTCGCAGCACGCTTCATCCATCCTGTCACGCTCGACTCGATGTGGGGGCCCTGCCGCTTGCCTGCATCTGCGGTGGGCTGTGCTCGGCACGTCCAACACGTCACACTCGATTCGATGTGAGGTCCTTGTCGCCTGTTTACGTCCACGGTGGGCCGAGCGCGCGTCGTCCACGCCGTCGCATTCGGTTCAATAGGAGGGCCTTGTCGCTTGTAACCGACAGGAGGCCCAGCACGCTTCTCCCACCCCGTATCGCTGCGCTCTGGGTGGACAACAGCTTCAGCACGCTTGTTCATGCGGATTGCGCCGCCGTTGCGTGCTGTGGCCGTGGAAGGCCGCGGCACCGGGGAGAAGGTGATGAGCGAGATTTGCGTGAGGGTGGACCACCATTCTGAGTCGGCGGTCTGGAGTGGAGGGAATTCTGTGGGTGTAGGCGTCTCGATAGGTGTATCCGATGATATGGGAGTCAAAGTCCATGTGGAAGCCTCGGTCGATGTGGGAGTATGTGTTATTGAAGACGTTGAAGCCGGTGTGTCTGTCGATATGGAAGTCAAAGTCCGCGTCGAGGTTTCCGACGTCGTGGGAGTTTCGGTCGACGTGGATGTTCCTGTTGGTGCGGGAGTCTCCGTTGATGTGAGGGCTTCTGTCGATGTAAGACTATCCGTTGGAGTGGAACTCTCTGTTGAAGTCGGGTCCTCAGTGGATGTGGCAGTCTCTATCGATGTAAGAATCTCCGTCAAAGTGACACTTTCGATCGATGTGATAGTCTCCGTCAGCGTGGAACTCTCCGTCAATGTTGGTGTCGCCGTGGACGTGGGAGACTCTCTGGTCGTGCTGGACGTACTCGAGCAATCACACGGGCATGCCTCTGTGTTGGAGCCTGCCGCGGGGTTTGTGATTACCGAAGTCTGGGACGAGATAGTGGGCAGAACCGGCGTCGCAGTTGTATAAGCCAGATTTGACGTGGCAGACGTCAAGTTGCCGTTTGTCTAAGGCACGGACCATGTTACAATGACCGTGGTTACAATGGTAGAAGGACGGTGAGAAGACGTAGACTCAGAGGCAAGTAGGGTTGTCTCTGAAGCCAAAGTGAGCGAAGGTGTACTCGGCAAGGATGGCGTCGGTCTAAGGAAATCGCTCGAGCTGGAGGAAGTTGTGCAATCTTCTTTGCGCTGTGGCGAGTTAGTCGTCTGCATTCTGGAGTTGTCCTCGGGGTACTTACCTTGCCAACCTCACCAGGCACAGACACCGTAACAATGCCTGACGGTGTCGGTGTGCCACTGACTATTCCCGTTGCCGTACCATCCGGCCAATCTGGGTCAATCGAACTATCAGGCCATTCGCACCTGTGATTAATGAATACAAAGCTTCGCGCTGTACCCCTTGATCCGTGAAACTCACCACAAGCCAAAGTTGGGCGGTTGCTCCTCAAACGCCTTTTTGCACTGCCCATCCAATAACCCATAGTTGCGGCATTTGTTATCCTTGCACAGGACTGTATCGTACACTTCTATGCCATGGCGCGGAATACCTGAGACGGCACCACACCAGCCACACAGCCAGCGGCCTTCGGTAGGGACGGTCTGGTTACCTGTGGCGCAGTGGCAGATTGTGTCGAATTTGTCGCTGGGCGCGGGAGTCGGGATTGTCCGAGTGAGAGAGGGCGTAATGATCTGTGAAGTGGACGAGGGTATACTTGTGGGAGATAGTGTCGGCTTGAGGGAATCGCTAGAGCTAGAGGAAGTTGTGCAGTCTTCTTTGCGCTGTGGTGGAAGTTAGCCGCTTGAACCCTTCGACGTTCTCCGGGAAGTATTGCCTTGCCAACTTCACCAGAAATGCCCTTGGGTAGATGGACACCAAGAACGCCTCTGCCTAGCAGTATGGTACAGATAAGGCTTGAGACACGCATCTTACCTATTAGTCTCCTCGAAAAAGACAATGTTGCAATGGGAAGCTCCTAGTAGCACTTGAGGGAACAAGGAGGCTGAAGGGTTAAGACATCAAAGTTCATCCACTACAGCTTAATTACGGAATTCGACAGCTGCTCCGTTCGCACTATGAACGAACGAGTGGCAGGCGGTGGGTTGGCGTAGGAACTTCTGTTTGCACCATGATGTGCTTATCGGAGCATCGCCAGACAGCGATCGAGGATCGGGGATGGGTAGTTGGCGCGGTTGAAGGTCAGCAGATCTCGAATGCACTACATACTGTTCACGTAGGCCTAGGTTTGGCTAGGTGTTCAGTGTAAAAGAAGACACCAAGTGTCGCCATTGAATTACCTTGAGTGTACAGCGCCGCTTCAAAAGCCAAGTAAAGAGTGGCTACTTGGTGTAGACAACATGTCGGCCAGTTGTCCAAAGACTTCTGTCTTAGACTCGAAGTCGAAACTAAAGGGCCTGTTCATGGCAACTAGGTAAAGTAGATTCAGTCCTGTGAAGAGATTCCGTTGAAAGAATAACGGATAATCGTGAAGCGACGTAAGCAGTATAATTACTGGACGCCAATGTAATCCTAGGCCAACAGCGGTAGTACTTGACCGTTGTGTGACACTCTACAGGGCGAGAACACTAGTTGAAGGTGGCAGCAGATTAGCAGCATTGGGAAACACAGTTGTGATGTGATCAATCAAATTGGTAATTGTAATCTACTAGAAACCAAAGCCGCAAGAATATACAAAGCAAACCGACTATTGATGAAAGTAACAACTAGTGTCTCCATGTGCCTCCAGTATCGTAACCCAGGTTTCCAAAGACTACAAATTAGCCGTCACTCCAGGCTTGATAGCCTCCAGTTTCGCCATGAGCTCGTCCCAGACCCTGTTCTGTGCCACGTATCCCTCGTTGCTGAGCACATAGTCACTCGGCAGCGTAACCTTGCAATCGCTCAGATAATGCCCGTGACTCTCAGCCCCCGAAGCCGCAGCATGCACCAATGTTCTGCTTCCGCATTCGGTAGTACGCGCGAGGAAAAACTTCACAATGGTCAATGCAATGCCCGAGTCACGCGAAAGCTCGCTATGGCAGAGGCCCGGATTGACGCAGTTAAAAGTAACAGGAACAGCTTGGGCAGACTTGCGGTCTGCCATTGCCCGGGTACCGAAAACGTCGAGCAGTTTCGAAACCTGGTAGCGGTTGCCCAAGTTGTCTGCATTCAGCACTGCCGGCTTCTTGTTGAGTTCGTGGAATATCTGACCGTCTGGTGCATTTTCCTCGGGGAACTTGGCCCAGAAGTGGACTTCGGAAGCGACAATTGTGAGAGTGGGGCGAACGTTGTATAGGTTCGCCGTTTGCTTCATCTGAGGGAGCAGCGCAAGAGCCAGTAAGAATGTCGATACGACATTCACGGTAACTGTGGACTCGTCTTTCTCGAACACTTCCCACGTTCCTTTTGCGACACCGGCGTTGAGAATCGCAATGTCCAGCCGCTGTAGCTCTTTGCTTGCTCGCGCGGCGAACTCAAGGACTGACTGATAGCTTGACATGTCAAGTTGCCATACTTTGATGACACCTTTCTTTCCCACGCTCGCCTCAATGTCCTTCTTGGCTGCTTCGCCTTTTTCGAGTGAACGTACAGCAAGAATAACTGTCGATGCATTGTTGCGCGTAATATGGCGAGCGGCTTCCTTGCCGAGACCGACATTGCTCCCCGTGACAATGACGGTTTTGCCTTCGAAAGAGGTGGTGGGCTTGGGAAGCTGGGTAAACAACTGTCCGTAGACGAATTGAAAGAAAGATGGCATGGTGGTGGGCTCGCGATTCGCGTTCGGTTTGGGTGCGAGTCTAGGTAAACGAGGTGTGCAAAATAATGCTCAAGTAGTCGATGTATGGAGATGCTTGTTGTGTGAAGAGTATTTTTTGGGCCTTACGGTTCTTTATATGTAGGTGTGCCACACTGCGTTTTCGGTCGTTCGGGGTTTGACCCGTCGAAACTGAGCTCACCACTACCCACACTTGAAGCAAATCCTGCCTGCCTGCGGCTTTAAGGAAATGATATCGGCCATTGCAAGGCTAGCCTTGGACCGCATTTAGTGCGTACCAAAAGTGTCATGCTACATCATGGAGCATACATCGCCTTCATTTCGCACTAAGCCTTTTTTGCTGGTTCGATCAGAAATCAGAAATTGACGAAACGGAGAGTCGGGGGAATTTTACCTGCAGCCAATCATACAAGTGTAAGAGACAATTAGGGCGGACGCTTGGTAAGTCCTAACTCCAGAAACTAACGGACAACTCCCGCGCAATAGGGATATAGAAGACGTCCTGGACTTTGGATGTGAATTAAATTACTGTTGCTATTTAATCAGAGAAAGGCTTTGGCAGCTTGTTACCAACACCGCCAACTTAGACAATGTTGAAAGAGCCGCCCAACAGGAGGAAGAAACAGCACTATCCGGTCATCGGGTACTTACGATCATGGAGGGACGATCTTGATTCTTTGGCAATTGCATACGCTTTCTAGACTGCCATTAGTTGACACAAAGCAACTATGGCCGATATTGTCATGTTCTGGCTCTGTGGAACTTGAGCGGGCAACTTGTTGGCCCAACCTCCGGCAATCTCGCATACACGACCTCCCCATCGACTTCCCAATAGTCGCACCGATCCAGTATCGTGTCCAGGAAGATTCTCATCATCATGCGCGCCAACCCCACCCCGGCACAGCGATGTATTCCTTTTCCAAAACCCAGGTGAGTGTTGATGTTCTCGCGATTCAAGATAAACCTGTCTGGATCGGGAAAATGCTCGGGATCACGGTTCGCTGCGGAGTATACGACAGTGATGGGCTCTTTAGGTGGAATGGTGGTGTCGTGTAGGGTCTCCGGCTTGACTGCAGTGCGCGAGAAGCCCCGATAAGGCACATAAAGGCGAATGAATTCCTCAATGGCAGCAGGGAGAAGCGAGCGATCATTTCGCAGTTTGGTTTGTAGTTCGCGGTCCTCGCTGAGATGTTTCGCGATGGCAGTAACAACAATCGTGGGTGCGACCATGGCGATGATCACGATTTGTCGGATGCAACCACTGCATGGTATGTCAGCGATATGTTCCCCGCAACATTATACAACTTACATGATATGTTCTTCCTCTAGTGGATTACCGTTTCTGTCTGTCTCCAAGAGTAAGCTCGAGGCAGGGTCAACTTCTGGATCCAGCGGGTGCTCCTTCCTGCTCGCTACGACTCTTTTGGCAATACCATACCAGGCGTCACTCCACTTCTTCACTACATCCCACTGGTTGCCCATTCTCCACGCGGTGACGAAGGGGCTAAAGCTCTCGACCAGAATCGCGCTATCTGCATCGTCCAAATTTAGCCACTCTTTCTCAACCCAACTCGTCCATTTAGCAGCGAAATCCTCGTAAATGTCACCGTGCCCACGATCGATCAATACTTGCAATTCGCGCTCGCAATGCTCACGGATGATTGGCTCCAAGCGCTTGATTCGTGCAGGCTTCATCGTTCGATCCACCGCCCGGCGGTAGGGCTTGTGCTGCTCACCATCGAATTTGAGTGGCGGACGACGAATACCACGTGGGTCGGCAGGGACGATGGCGCACTCGTATGAGATGTACTTCTCGTTGTTGGAGGCTACTTCTTTCACATCCTCGTATCTGCGACTTAGTGTTAGCTATCTGCGGAGTGCAGGAAGGGAGTGAATCGTACTTGGTCAGAATCCAATATCCGTTGTGCTTGTCCACGTGAGCGACTGGACACTGCCTGCGTAGATAGGCGTATTCTTTGTAAATCTCCTGCGGATTGTCGCTGTTCACTATCGCACTATTATTTATGTCCCAGTCATCAAGAACTGTAGATTTGCTGGTTTGTACGTCGGCTGAAGTCATATCTAATAACGCGTCAGCGGTCCGGGGCCCAAATTCAGGACCACAGCGACTGTTGACAGGTGCATGTCAACGTAGGAGTTGCGTGAATAATAAGTCTCCTATTGAGTCGGCACTTCGGTCAGTCTGGCGTAACGCGATACGCTATGGATGCCTGGATCAATCTACGCGGGATTCTTTTGGGGCGATGGCAATGAGGCTTTCCCCACACTTCCCCACAGATGTACGATGCCAATTGCCAACCCTCCCTTTGACAAGGACATGGATCGCATTACCTGCCTCGCATGCAAGCGCGCCTCCTGGGATTTGTTATATCTGACGCCTCTGATGTTACGGTAACAAGAATCGGGAGATCTGGATACACGATCGCAGATTCGGGACCCTTGACAGCATTCAACGGTGACAAATCTTTCAGGAAGTCGATCTCCGGACACTCGGCGGTGGCTCTTTCCCACGGTGCCACACATACGGCCTACTGATGGCTAGTTTCGAGCAGGCAGAGCCTGAAGTTGTTCAGCGTATCACGGTGGTCTCACGGCTCCACAGAACTCGGGTCCTTTTTGATTGAACAAGCTGAATACAGGTCGGCGGTCGTGCAGAATGTATATAAAGCGGGGCTAAAATTCCCCAGATCTTCTCAAAAACACAAGGAGCTGGTAGGCTGACATCTCCACGACCCACAGCTAGGAGCGAGTATCTGACAGACCTGCTTTCCTAATCTTACTGTAGTTATTAACATGGAAACCAAGTTCGGAGATTTGGAGCAGCACGAGGTATCACGTCCGTCGGCGGCGACTTCCCAGCGACCTGGGTACACCGCCAGCACCCCAGGAGAAGCTCGTCTCGACAGAAGCATCAATCTGAAGTTGGACTTCATTGTTTGTCTTCTGCTAGGCGTAGGGTTCATGGTACGTCTGGAAAACTTGTGACGGCCGTTTCAGCCAGTCGCTTATAATTCCCAGTTCCAAGGTATTGATAAGGGCAACATCGGCAATGCAGCCACAGCACATACCTTTTTCAAGGATGCACACATCCTCGAGACCGACGTCGCCAATTCAGTCTCGCTTTTCTCAGCGACATACGTTCCCGCGATCGGTATTTCTGTGGTCTTAGGCCGCATTGTGGGCCCAAGATGGTGGATCCCAATAATGTTGCTCTCCTGGGGGGCTGTCACGACAGCCCAGTGTGCGCTTAGCAGCCGTGCTATGCTGTATAGTCTACGTCTGCTTCTAGGTATGTGTGAAGCTGGTTATGTTGCCACGACATATTACTATGTGGGAACTCTATATCCTGCATACATGTCTGGCTTTCGAATGGGCTTGATCTCTACCAGCTTTACTTTCTCAGGAGCCTTCTCCGCGATAATAGCATACGGGATCTTCCACATGAAGTCCAAATCTTGGGCTGATTGGCAGCTTCTGTTTCTCATCGAAGGCGCAATCACACTCGGTATTGGTGCCGCCTGCCTGGCTGGCCTTCCAACAAAGCTTAGCACAGCATGGTTCCTCACCAAAGACGAACGCCTCCATGCAGTACGTCGCATGGCGCTCGACACTGCCGCAGTGGACAGTGTTCTCAATGCGAATTCTGAGGAGATGGACCACAAGGTTAGCTGGGCAAATTTCAAAGTTGCATTTAAGGACTGGCGTAAAATGCTTATTGTCCTCTGGACCATGTGCGCAACAGTTCCCTCGTATGGGTTTGCCATATTTCTACCCTTGATGGTGAGAGGAATGGGGTACTCAAGCATCCGGGCCAATCTTATGGCGGCACCGCCTTTCATCGTTGGCGCAGTGGCACTTATCACTTGGGTCTGGCTGTCGGACCACTTCCATGAACGATCACTCATTGCAGCCGCTGCAATGTTTGCCTCGTGCATAGGATACATTGGGCTCATCGCTAGCCATAGCAACAAAGTCCGCTATGGGTTTTTGTTCATTGTCATGATTGGTAGCGGGACTATTCCTCCGATCGCAGCAGCGTGGCTTACGGACAATACGCCAGACAAGGCGACGCGGTCTGTCATGATGGGGATTTTCGGGTGGAATAACGTGGCAGGAGTCATTGCCGGCCAGATATATGGTTCCCAGTACGGACCATCATACCGAGTATCTGCATCTGCCACGTTAGGCATTGTTTTACTTGGATGCTTTGGCTTCATCGGGTCAAGAATTTTATACATGCGAGAGAACAAGAAGCGCAAAGCGGAAATCGCAAATTGGAACGAAGAGCGTTTCGAGGAGGAAAAGACAAATTTCGAGAGGAGAGGCCACGAAAAGGAATACTTCATGTTTGGGTATTGAAATGATTCGACTCTGATTGGGAAACTGATGGCGTGAGCTGACATCTGTGTCGCATTATTCATGGCTGTGTTTCTGGCACGCCTGAAGTCAATGTCAGTCACTGCGCGCACATGATTTACATCTTCAACTACGGATAGTCGGCGATGTGGAGACAAGTGATCAGAGAATCGCCCTTGGCAGACATATCTTCCACCAATGAACAGCGTCAATTCCTCAACACCAAGAGGTACCCCACGAACATCTCTCGAAGTACAGTAGCCACTTCTCTTTCTCCACCTCTCTGCGAAATTCGTCATAATGGCAGCTTCAATTGAACCTTCCCGACTGCTCGCGTCCCTGTCCAAAGCCGCCCTTCTACCCTCTACAGTCATCCCTGAGACCTTCAAGCCCTCGGTCGAGCTCTCAGTCTCTTTCAACCAGAAATCAGTCGTAGCGGGGAACCTCTTCAGAGTGAGCGAGGTCAAGGAGGCACCGACTGTCGCATTCAGTCCAGAGGTATGCCTAAGCTGGTCCATACATTCATGCCCTGCGTTCTTTGCTTAGCACAGAGTTCCACACCTTTATGAACAAAATTCACGCACGTGATTGACATCCCCTAGTCGAATGTCCCTTCCGATGCAACATACACCCTGCTCATGATCGACCCTGACGCACCGACTCCCGATGATCCCAAGTTTGCTTACTGGCGCCATTGGGTCGTTACACGCATCCCGTCTGGTGCCACAGTAACAGCAGGCGAGGCACTGACGCAGTATCTGGCCCCGGGGCCCAAGGATGATTCCAGGCCTCACAGGTATCTGTTCCTTCTTTATCGTGAGCCGGAGGGAAAGCAAAAGTTGAGCAAGGAGGATGTTGGCGGAGAGGAGTTCGTGGAGCGACGGAGCTTCGACGCGCGAGAATGGGTTGGGAAGTGGGGGTTGCATCTGGTCGGTGTGAATTGGATGTTGGGGGCGGGCGATGGGTGGAATGGAGGAAAGGATGAGCTGTGAAGTGGGTGCGTGTCTGTATCCAGTCTTTAGGATCGATTATTGGGAGACATGGAGCAACACGGAATTTCGAAAAGGATTTCTGTTCAGAGTATGAACAGGCGTATAATACGTGGGTGACAGGTACGGAATGTTCAATTCGCGCTTGCGATGACCTCACTCTTCTTCTTCCCTTTCGCCTTTTTCGAGGCCTTCCTCTTAATACCATCTGCAACTAATCCTCGCTCCTTCCTCAATGAATGCAAGGCTTCTTCCGTCAGCCCTTGTCGAAACATCTGTTCTACCACGAGCTTCTTCCTGCTCCGTTTGTCCCCCACACTGATTGTGATGCCAGCCGAGATATTGCAGCTGATACTGCACGTCAGGATGACCGCCGTGAGTGCTTTTGGACGTTCTTTGTAGTATATGCCCCACGTTGTGCCCCCTAGCGCCATCTGAAATAACGAGTGGCAGTCTAGAAGCACGACAATAGCTATGAGGAGGCGGACGGAGAAGGCGTTGTGCGTGGTAGTTTCGTGCGGTTTGTAGAATGTATGTGAGTTAGCGAGCTTATTTTGATGATGATCCAACTTTTCCTGCTCAGCTGTGGTGAGAACCGGTTGTTCGGCGTCGCCATCCTGATCTTGGTCAACCTCCCAGTTGTGCGTTTCTGGAAGAGTCGGAAGCTCGTTGTGATTTCTCAGTGCGGGGAGTCCACGCTCTTTCCTTAGTCTCCAAGTCTTGTGCGCGTATTTGGCCACGTACGCCATGTGGTAGGTGTCAATAGCCCTCCAAGGCGCCAGGCCGATACCGACCACACAAAAGAGTGCTGTCAAGATCTGATCACAGATTTCAATAAAGTATGCTTGCCGGCCACCGACACCGATCCAGCCGATGAGGAAGAGGACCCAAGCAGCACCCCAGAATGTCAAAAGGAAAGCGTACAAGGTGATGAGAAATCCCACTGGCTTGCGCACGTATCGTCCGAAGCCGCGCATACTGCGCCTGAACCTTGCTCGCCTAGAATGGAGGAGGTGTCGCACGCGATCGTTGAGCAACGCCTTTTCCTCTGCTGTCCACCCTGGTAGTGACGCGCCATGTGGAAGCACAGCGTAATTATGGCCTTCTGAAACGCCAGTGAGGACAGAAGAAATGGTGTTCGTCCGTGATAACCGGCTTGAATCACCCGGTCGCAGATGTCCAGTGGAATCCTGGTTCGCTTTTTCATTCGCGGTGCCTTCATCCCCACCCTGCTGGCCAACTGCTTGTGTTTGTGCCATTTCCTCGTCGCTCGTAGATTCGGATTGCGAGAGCTCATACGTGGGCCGACGGTCGTAGAAACGTCCGAAATTGGGTATGAAGAGCGAGTTTTGAACGTTATTCAAAGTCGTGAGCGTTGATACTTCGGGGTCTGCAAAGGGAATTAGCACAACGGAGACTGTATTTTCGAATATGCGTACCAATGACATCAAGCACATCTACGACATCCGCATCGTAATTGCCTGCCGGGAAGTTTCGCGCATGACGCAGACTAATGGCAGATGCCTGCCGTCCGAATGCTGGCCGCCGCGGATTCTTTTCGGGCACCACTGGAGTATAGTAACCCACTTGTGGTACCGAGTACCCTGAGCCTTCTTCGTGGAGCGTTTGCAACGGCGTGGCCGATGCATGTCGACGTATTTCCAGGTCTTCCGCTTCCTTCAGAAGCGCGGGCTGCGGCCTCTCCGGCTCGGAAAAGCTGCGCCTGCGATTCCCGTGTGTGTCCGCATCGTCGCCTTGTAGATTCGGATCAGCTACCGCACGGCGGATACGGATTGAAGGCTGTTGCTCGGTCTGCGTTCCAGCAGACGATCGAGGCGGTTGCGAGAACGGTATCTGATGCGTAGTCGTCACCGTTGGCGATACGATCGTGCTCGCATGAGGCGCGCTCGTTGTCACAGTCGTGCGAGGGCCATTGTCGGTATATGTTGTCGTAGTAATGGTCGGGCCGTGGGTCGTGGTGGTGGTGGAGACGGTGTTGGCGCGTCCATCGCGCCTTCCGGGTTGGCTCATCCTTCCCTGACGCTAGAGTCGCACACTGCACCGTACATGAGTAGCACGCGCGCTTTGGTTTGGAGTCGTAGGATGCGTAGGTCATTTCTTCGGTATATTGAAACCTGACTGCGTGACAAACTCTCCGTTAGCCGCGCCTGTTGGTGATCGGCAGGGTGGCGGGAAAGAGCCAATCAGTGCCGATGAAGATGCCTGTTATCCGCTCCGACAGCCTTGGTAAACGGCCCTTCGAAATCCGCTCTTAAGATGAGTCCGCACATCCTATGTTCGTGGTGCTCCGCGTCATCGTAATTGGGGCACTCTGACACGAGATAGCTGATCGCTGGCGAGATTCAGTCCGCGGACATCTACAGCGCGGGCACTGCAATGTTGCACCAGGGTGAACCGCTGCCACGGTCAGCCAGACATTGTCGAGCTTCGAATCATGAGAACTGCAAATCTTGGTGAACAGTCTGTGCATAGCGATGCATGCATGTTGAAGAGTCCGTGTTGGAGACCGGTCCATCGAGCCAGAGAAATGTCAAATTCTCAAATGCACTTCTTCTGAGCCATCAAAAACACAGCAATGCTGGATGGTCCGAAGGATGAAATGGAAGTCAATGACCCACCATTTCAATGCGAAATTTCACAGGCAGTGCGTCGAGTTTGCATCCGCTAAGATTTCCACAAAGTCTGCAACCCAAACGCCCCACAATCAGTGAAAGACAGTCACATTCAAGAGACATTTATGAGATACCAAGACGGATTGTGATCCAGAGAGCACAATGATACGGGGCCATGAACAGAGGGCGCAGCCCCACAGCTCTCTTTCCCAAACGATCTTATGCCGTCAGCAATCACACAGATCGCGTTCTCACAATGGGATCCAACACGTGTAGTATTTCATGGCTGTGCATTAACGCCCCAAGCGGGGCCGTAATCTGCCGTAACGACAATCTCCGCTGCCTCGAACAGGGCAGGAATATCACCACGCGATGCACAAACCGCCATTTTCAAACACAGCAGTGGGTCCTAATTGGCTGTTGCTCACGCACCGAGGCATTACTTTTGTGTGGAGTGATGCTGTCCTCATAGGACACATCTGGAAGTCCGTCTTTAGCCTTGACACAGCCTCACGATGTCGATCTCTTTTCTGTTTCGTTTTAAGGATACCATGGTCACTGTTCTGTTCAGTTCCTTCTATGTTTTTTGTTCGGACATCGAACTATACACTGCGCAGCTCTAGTAGCGAGTCCAAAAGCTGCGAACCCAGGAGTCTCCGGATCTTTTGTCACGGCAAATCCAAAACCGCTGTTCTAGCATTTAGGTGACTGCATCGCGTGCTGGGTATCGACAGGATGTTCCCCAATCAGCGCTACTTCGCTTTTCTTCTGGTTCCTGTATGTATTCCATCACTTGCTCGTTGTAAAAGCCTGACCTATTCTTACACAGAGTGCCCTTGCGCTCCCTGCAGCTCAAGCACAATCCAACTATATATCATCTTGTGGCCCGGATTGGATGGCTATCAATGATGTGAAGACAAATCACGGAACTGTGCAGCGGGTCGGATACAACACCGCAGTCGATTCGTTCTGCAACAAAGCTGGGGGCGTCTCAGTAGGTGCAGGTGCTTACACCTCCATGGCAACACGCGTCTGGCTTGACTACGGTAGCAACCCTGAGACAACTGGGCTGAATGGTTGGGTCTACTTTGAGATACACAATAAACAGAGCAGTACGCATCTAGTCAACGGTAAGGGCAGGAAGCATATGATTAAACGAGCGACAACTGATCCATTAGCAAGCTGAGAGTTGCAAACAATATCTGAAAAAGCTCTCCGAGAACACCAGTGGCAACTCATGCTACGGACCAGGAAACAAGGACACGAAAGGAGGCACTTGGCAAGTTGGAAGCGATGCTGTCTCTTACCACGCACTCGCGAACAAGTTCCCTCCAAATTCCGATTCGGTGGATAAGATCGTAACGCAGACTGGAGCAATCTCTGCGCTGGGTGACGGCGGCAAGGGCAACACGCTGGATCCTTTCCCAACTTATGCCTTCAACGATGTTACTCCCTTCGCATGCCACTCGCACAATGATTATACCCGCGACAAAGCGCTATACTCCGCTCTAAGCGCCGGCTGTATCTCTGTGGAAGCAGACATCTGGGTCCACAGCACGAAGCTCGTTGTTGGACACACCGATTCCGGGTCCAACGGCCAGACCTTCGTCAATCTCTACGTCAACCCCCTGAAGAAGCTTATAGACGAGCGAAAGGCAGTATTCCCTACGAAGCCCGACCAACCGCTTTCCCTGTTGATTGACTTCAAGAACAGCGGCTCCGACGCAGACAAAGCGTGGGATCAGCTTGTTGCCGATCTCCAACCCCTCCGAGATGCGGGCTACCTTAGCCACTACGATGGCAGCTTCAAGCAGGGTCTCGTCACCATCGTTGCCACTGGTAACGCGATAAAAGACCTTTCCTCATCTGCGCCATCTCCCATCGCCAAGGCCCTTTCTGATGCGACGAACCCTCAACACGCGATCTTCGTTGATGCTGTCATCCACAAAGATATGTCGCGCTTTGACTCGTCGAATGCTTACTACGCGAGCGCGAAGTGGAGCGATGCAGTGCCGAAAGGTTTGCCTATTTCTGGGGATTCGAAGACTAAGTTGGATGAGGCGCATTCTAAGGGGTTCAAAGTGAGATATTGGGATATCCCGGGCAAGGATAGCTGGCAGCAGATTGTAGACTCCGGGGTGGATCGGCTCAATGTGGACGACCTTCAGTACATCGCAGGTCTAGATTGGTAGATTGATCTACCAACATGGTTCAGAAATGTACACTTGTATTGAGCTACACGATATCTGATTTGGAAAAAAAGAAAAAAAGAAAACTGGGTTCGTGTACTCATACACCGAAAACCAGTGAGTGCCTGCTTGTAGTGGCGCATGAAATGCTACATCAGGCCGATACGGTCGATACCTTCCCATCCCTCCACCTCACCGGCAGTCCAGATTCTCCTCCTCCTTGCCCGCCTTCGCGCCCGACTTCAACATCATCTCACGGTGCTTCTCGAGAGCCTCAAACCTTCTTTTTCCAGCAGCTTGCTTCCTGCGCATCCTTGCTTGGTTCGCCCAGTAGCTGTACTTCCTCCCGGACCCCTTATGTCTCGCCCGTCGATCGTTGCCTGAGTCAGGCAGGTCTTCGTACTCGCCGTTTGCCTTGGTTTCCACAAACTTGAGCTTATTAAGCTGATCTGCCTCTTCTCGTGCTATTCGCTCGCGATTCTCAATGATGCTGGCGATGAAGTCGATGTCGCTGGGCGATTTAGTGGTCTTGGACTTCGACCAAGACCCCATCGTCATACTGCAGATAAAGTAGATCGCTAGAGAAGGGTTATTAGCGCGCGCTTTCGAAGCTGTACGATGTAGCAACATTTCGCCGAGACACGTACCGCACGCTGAAAGGCAGAATAGCAACGTAGTTCCCAGGCTGACTGGTTCATTCATACTTCCGACGCGGCGCTTGATAATTTCGAGAACTTCGAAAGGTGTGTAAAATGCGACTCGCAAGCAGTGGTTACGACCGACTGTGTGGTTACTCATTGTCTGTGCGAGTGTTTGTGCTTATGATAACGGTAAATTGGGTACAAATGCACGGGAAATGTGGCCGAGCTTGGTGAAATGTAGGTGAAGGCGTCTTGGTCATAGACTCACAGAAGCGGAAGGCAGCATAACGGCGGTAAGGACAGCTCAGCTGTTCATATCAAGGCCCCTGCGCTTTCCATACATAAAGATCGGGCAGTAGTTCAGAGTGAACCCGGACTGAATTTGGTGTACCTATGTAGGTACGGTATGGCGCATGTCAAGAAAATTATTTCGAACGGTGCCGCAGTGCACCTTCCGTTGCTTCTCTTCATGCACCGCAGTTTGTGATAATCAATCAGGTTTCAATCTAACGTGAGCTGTCAACGGGCTTGTGTTTGACATCCACACGTCCACGTAATGGCAGTCCAGGTAAGAGTCGCGATACTGCTTGCCCGTTCAAACAGCCACATCTTGACATTGTCGGCATGCAGCCTTTCTTTTCTTGACGAGCATTCAGAAACCGTCCACAAGACTTCTTTATATCACCCAGTTTCTAATTCAGCTCCTCATCGAAGGTTATTCGTGCTCCACGAGGAAATCGGCGAAATGTAGTCAGAATCAAGGGCTCTCGTGAGATTTTCTGGGTGTCACTTTGATCTGTATTGTAGTATACAGATCCAGACTAGCATAGGGTTCCCGAGCGTTACTGGTCATAGCGACTATGTTGAAGTTGCTTCATTTAATCGACGACACGTCTCTCAATTCACCACAGCGCACGTGCGCAGAGACTAGCGTTCCTACCGCCTGCGTTTATATAAACACAGAAGCGTTTGCTCGTTCCGATTCACTACTACTGGACAGGTTCCCAGTTGACGACCACACAAACATGGCGACGGAACGCAGTGCGCTGGACAACTCCGACAACAATCTCAAGGCTCTCTGTGCGCAAGCATCTGTTATATCTCGCCCCCCAACCGTCGACCCTCACGAAAGCGTCATGTAGTACCTGAGAAGTGAATGGAAATACTATGGTGTTTTGCAGACACGGAGTGTTGACGACTGGGAAGCGCGAATGCACGTGACATGACGAATTTGTGATGCGCTAACCCTTGATTCGGCTCTCGGTTACGAACAAATGCCTGCAGCTTTCCTAGCTACGCGTACTTGACATCTATACTTCTACCTATTATCCAGAATTCGCGATCCAATGGTGTCTGCCTCAAATGTACAGTCTCATCTCATGCTCATCTATACTGACACTGACAATTGACTGTTAGGACTCGCAAACGCCGCCGTTAGTCTCGCTCGCCGCCGGCGGTGTAGCAGGCGGCGTCGAAGCTTTCACGAGTGTAAGACTCCAACTAAGATGACGATCAACCAAGTATGAGATTTGACATAGCGTCTCTTTCCAGTACCCTATGGAATTCGCGAAAACAAGAGTGCAATTACGTCAACAGAAAGGCATCCCGACACCACGGAATCCTTTTCGGGTAGTCACACATGTCTACCAGACAGAAGGTCTGAGAGCTTTGTATAAAGGTTGTGCCGCTCTCGTAGTGGTAAGAAACCTTTTCCTTCGTTTCTTGAAGAGGTCACATCCTTGGCCTGTTGATCTAGTGATAATCCTCGTATTCCATTACCTCATATGTCGGAACTGGTTTTCCGAGACATTCCCGAACAGCAGGATAGAACCAAATGCCAACGTGTGCCAGGGATCAATAGCGAAGGACGGAGTGCGATTTCTCTTCTTCGATCAGATCAAGCATGCGTTCGCTGACAAGGAGACGGGCACGCTTTCACCTGGTCGCAATTTACTCGCTGGCATGACAGCCGGTGTGGTCGCCAGTATCACAGCGGTCACTCCAACAGAACGCATCAAGACAGCTCTGATTGACGATGCCCGCAATGAGAAACGATTCCGGTCCGGATTTCACGCCACCAGGGTTATTTGGCACGAACATGGAATTCTAGGCTTGTATCGTGGCTTCGCTGGGACGACGCTGAAGCAAGCCTCGGCGACCGCATTCCGAATGGGAACATACAACATTCTGAAAGACTACGAAAAGACGAGGAATATCGAACAGAATACCCTGGTGAATTTTGCCAACGGGTCAGTTGCTGGTATTGTCACTACATTAACGACGCAACCCTTCGATGTCATCAAGACTAGAAGCCAGTCTGCGCAAGGTGCTAGCACAGCGGAGGCCGTGAAGAGTGTATTGATCGACTACGGCATTCGAGGCTTTTGGAAGGGCACAACAATGAGGCTTGGCAGAACCGTGTTTAGTGGAGGCATTCTCTTCACGAGTTACGAGGCGGCGGTCAAGATCATCGAGCCGCTGTACTCGGGCGTCAAGCATAAAGTGGTTGAAGTGGTATAGAATCTGTTCCTAGATTTTGCGCAGCATTGCATCTTTTCTTTCACCTAGTTCTATCCGGTTGTCTAACTGTGCAGGTTACCCCCTACGGTGTTACATTATACTCATCGATCACGCTGACCGGCTTCACGAATCTGCCCAAAGGCTTATACTCCAGATGGTCCAGCCCGAATCCTTTCGGTCCCCCTATCTCGATACCCCTAGGAGTAGTCCACCGCTCGCTCGCGGTGATGCCAATAACCAGTACCAGTAACCCATAGCGATATTCAGGTGTCCCGATGGCCTCGCCGTTTTGCGCGTCTATGACCGAGATGAGGTCTGGCACAATAGCTAGTACATCCTCATTCTTCTCGTCGCCTGTCTTGCTCTCCACACCCTCATGGAGCCTGACTGCAGCAATGTTCTCATTCTTGAAGGGGATCTTGATCTGGCCAGCAAACTCTGTGCCTTCAGTGCCCTCAACTATGACCTCGCCATAGATGTGGCCCATCCAGAGCTTGCGCTCTACACCGACAATTTTCCCTTTGAACACGACACGTCCCGTCTCTGGTCCTCCCACAGCGTCAATAATTGACTCGGCGACACTATCAATGTGATTTTCTTTCCGCGCGCGAGCCACTTCTCGACCGATTCTCCACGACAGCGAAATCGTATGCTCGACTGCCCATCTGCGTGTCTCGGCGCCTGTAACAGGGCCATCGGCGGTGCCTACGTGGCTTCCCATTTGACTCAACGCCGCTCTGATCACTTGCTCGACTTTCAAGTCGCTCGTCGCAGTCGGCATGTACAAGACGTTGCCATTCCCATCTGCAACAGAGACGGGCGCGAACACGATCTCTCTCTCGCCGAATACAACAGGAGTTGTTTGCCACTTTGTAGGATACGCACGTCCCATCCAGTCACCATCCACGCATGGAATGTTCATGTTGGACGATGCGCCTAGCACGAGTCCTTGAAGCCCGTTCGAACCGCCGATCTCTAACGGTATGATGTGTGTGGCGCGTCCGCCGGGAAAGAGCTTGTACATGTGCTCTTGAGCATCCATCATCCTGCGTGTTGGGTCAACAATGCATCTCGTATACGTGTTGATTGGGAGGATATAAAACTTACTCGTCTCCAGCGAGCTTCTCGATGCCTACCGTCGGACTCCCTGCGCCGCCACCACTCCCTATCCGGTCACCATCCGCTAGGTCATCTGGACTCACAACGCGTATAACTTGACCTTTTCGCAGCATTTGGCGCACTCGCAGCATGGTGGAGTAAGGCGAGCCGCCCCCGCCTGTTCCCAGGATGTAGCAGCCGATGGTGATCCACTGGAGGTCGGTTTCGGAAATATGCCATTCTCGCTTTGTCACTTTCGGTCTGTAGCGTGAAAAATCAATATCCACCGCGGGGTCGTGTTCGACGCTCATCGCTTCAGTTGATGGCGTAGTATTGTTGCCCGGCGAATAGCTTGGCTCTATATCCTCTTGGTGAGTAGAGTTGACATGCAACGTAGCAAAGTCAGCTGATCGTTCATAGTCGAAGTCTCCGGCCGCTCTCACGATGAAGCGAGTCTTGTGTGCGATGTATGGCAGCGGCAGCGATTCTACCTCGACGACCTCTACCGAGTCTGCTGATGCGCCTGCTGCTATCGTCTTGCGTTTGGCCTCCTCTTCTATCTCGGCTTGCAGCTCTTTCGCGCTTCTTTTCTCGGTAGACTTCACCGTATCGATTACCGCACTTACGCGTGCCATTGCAGCGCCGATTGCGTTAGCAACACCGGACCACTCTGGCTTGATGACTCGACTTGCTCCTCTCAGTTCGTCGGGCGCGACTACAGCACCTCCACCGACGAGCAGTACAGGCAGGTCTTCGGGAGAGGTCTTCATTGTGTCGATGATCTCTTCAAGCATGCGTTTCGTTTCCACTTTGAAGGCATCAATGTCATCGCCTGCCAGCTGTCCTCGAACCTTCCTTGGGTCACCGATTTCAAGGTCCTTGGCTGCCGCGACTATGTAATCAGTCGCCGTCGGTACATCTCCGCCAAACACCAAAGATTTCTCTGGAAGCTTATAGCCGACGGACTCCGGTCCTACATGCAGCTTTCCCTCTATCCTGCGCACGAGCGAACCACCGCCTAGGCCAATACTCTTCACATCTGGATAAGAGAAGTTCATTCGGACACCAGAAAGCTCCGAGTATGCTGCTTGTTGCCTTGGGAAGCCGTTGGCAAGGAGTAGCCCCACGTCTGTCGTGGTGCCGCCCACATCAACTACCATCATTGGCTCGCCATGGTCCTGCTTTCCGACCAGAAACGCAGCTCCTCGCATGCTGTTCGTTGGACCTGAGCTGAACGTGCGGATTGGTAGCTGTGCAGCTGCATCTCCGGAAAGAAGTGTGCCATCGTTTTGGGTGATAAAGACAGGACAGTCCAAACCAAGCTTTTTGATGGGTTCTTGAAATGAAGCTATTGTTCGTCGTGCAAAAGAAAGCACGGATGCATTCAAGATGGCTGCGTTTTCCCGCTCCAGGAATCCCAGGTTCGCTACAGTCCTACTCTGGACGACATCGACATCGCCCAATTCCCTCTTCACGATTTCCGCCGCTCTTTCTTCTTGCCTCTCTACCGTATCGATGGGCGAAAAGATTCCGTTGATGACGATACTACGGATTCTCTTCTCTTTGATGATCTTGCATTGTTCAACGATTTCAGCTTCTTGAATGTCTGAGATGAGGTTGCCGTCGACTTCAAGACCACCTTTAAGCAGGGCATGATGCCCGAGGATCATGTTGCGTAGAGGGATTGGCCAGTCAATGCAGGGTGGAGCATGTTTGCTGAAAGGAGCGCCGAGACGGATGACAGCAACGCTCGAAAGGCGTGTACGATCCCTCGTTATCACTGCATTGACGAAGTGGGTCGTTCCTATGGTAACGCTAGCTACCGATGATGGCTCAATCGATGCAGATTTGAACATCGTCGTGATTGCTGCCGCGATGCCATGGCTCGGATCAGTAGTCGTTGGTGCTTTGTGCCTACGACCTCGGTCAGTGATGCGCCACAAGAAACGCCCAAGTATTGACATCCCAGGCTTGCGTTATTGGCATCTCTCACTTACCACGCGACAATGCCCCTGCCTATCTCTTGCGACTTTGCGGGATCAAGAATTACTCCGTCGGTGTTCGTGCTCGAGTCTGTTAGTCGCTTTGCGTGCACAGGCGACGTAATCACTCACCCACCGACATCCACGCCAATCCGAAGATTCCTCTGCCCAGACGCAGAATGCATGGTGTAAACTGTTGTCTCGAAGCAACCGCGTGGAAAGAGGCGAACAAGCAGCTCGGAAAGATCTGATAAGATACGTGACAGCTGAAGGTCGGACGGCAAAACTCCGAGGGTGGGGTAAACTCCAAACCGTTGCATCGCAGGGAACATCTTGATTCCTATTCGACGAGCCATCACATTCACTGTTACATTGGTTATCGATTGGATAACATAGAACCCCGCACTCGCTCTTTCCTTGTATCACGACTGCTGATCTGCACGTTGGGCCAAGCGCAACTTCAACCCATCCCAATGTTTCTTATCATGCGTCCCGTTCCCAGATCATCGGATGCCACATGCGGTACTCTTGTCGAATTCTTCGTCTCCCTCCGCTCTGATACCAGGTAGAATCATGGCTATCCGCCAGCGATTTGCGAGCTTGAATGAGAGTGTTCGGCTCCGGGGTGATGCAGCGCACCACGAGCAGACAGATGCGTGGAGTAATCGCGATCTCATTCCGCTACCGCCGTCGAGAAGGACTTGGGGCTGGTTCAACTTCTTCGGCTTCTGGTCAATCGCATCCCTGAATTTGGCCAATTGGCAGACACCGAATACGTATCTAAGTACGTCCCAATGGAAATAAAAGATGGGCTTTGTCCTAATCATGCGTAGCCCAGGGCCTCTCAGTACGCCAGGCTATGCTCGTCATCGTCGTTGGCCGAATGCTCATTGCCATGTTCTCCACCTTGATTGCCTGGGCCGGTCTCAAGTGGCATATCGGCTTTACGGTCCAAAACAGATACTCGTGGGGACTGCGTGCCAGCTACATCCCTCTCTTGCAGCGCATTCTATTGAACTTCATCTGGAATGCTGTCCAATGTTGGAATGGTGGCCGATTATGCGCGGTTTGTATTACCGCGATTTGGCCCTCATTTGCCCGGATTGAAAACACATTCGGCCCAGACATGCCAACGACTACCTATGAGTTCGTCGGCTTCGTGGTCTTCTGGTTTCTTTCAACACCTTTCTTGTGGCTTAGACCGGAGAAATTCAAGATCCCGTTCCTCATCGTGTGTACCTGGTGTAGCGTGGGTATGTTGGCGTGGATGATCTGGGCACTGACCGTCGCAAAAGGCGTGGGGCCTCTCTGGAAAACAGGTCAGCAGATCCCGGCTGGATCATCTTGGAGTTCGTCCTGGCTTATCATGGCTGGGATCAATCAATCTGTTGGCAGCCTCGCGGCCGGAATTACAAACGGTTCAGACTTTTCGCGATACGCCTCAGCTCGCAGGCACTACGTTATCGGTACCATTACCAGTTGCTTAATCACTGGCATTTTAGTGTCGCTGATCGGATTGGTCACTGCTGCAGCCGCACAAAAAATTTACGGCGAGATCTACTGGAATCCTCCGGATTTACTCATGGTCATGATGGATAGCGGCAATGGATCGTCGAAGGCACGCGCTGGAGTGTTTTTTCTGTCAGCTGGCTTTGCATTTACCGCCATGTTTGAAAACATATGCGGCAATGCCATTGCTGGTGGCATCGATCTGGCCGGCCTATTTCCACGCTATATCGATATTCGGCGGGGAGCTATCATCACGTTTCTTGCTGCATGGATTGTCCAACCCTGGCAGCTAATCAACCGTGCGACGACGTTCATCTCTGTCCTGTCTTCTTTCTCAGTATTCCTTGCCCCCATGATGGGGATAATGGCGTGCGATTACTACATCCTCCGCAAGCGAAGAGTGAGACTCAGTCATCTCTACCGGACCGACGATTCCATATACTACTTTTGGAAAGGCATCAATTGGCGAACCATTCCAGCGTGGATCTGCGGATGGGCGCCGACTATCGGTGGACTTATCGTAACGGTTCGCATGGACCCGAGCCCACCGAGACCACTTGTACAACTATACTATATGGCATTCCTTATCGGTACGTGTTGATACTTCAGAGTTATTTGCGTGCACCACTAATCGTGTTAGGCTTCTTCATCAGTGCGACGGTATTCTACGTTCTCAACCTCACATTCCCGGTACCCGACATGGACCAAAATGACGACGTGGACGTATATGGCACATTCACCGCGGCAGAAGCACGCAGAATTGGCGTCATTCCCCTTTCTGACGATACTTCTCCGGCTGGTATCATTGACCCAGAGTATATCCAGACTTCGGTGGTCGGCGGGGAGAAACGCAAGGTAATGCAGGAATACAACGCATAACCACGGAGGAAGGAAGTATAGTGTGCTCACCAATCAGCTTCCCTTGAGAGTTCTATTTCCGGATTACTTTCGTGGGGATGTTTGATGACGGGTGGTTCTCGTTTGCGGAACAGTTTGCTTTCACGGAGTTGTTCCTAGGAGCGGGGGACTGTGAGATTCTCGCTGCAGAGTACTCTTTCAAGATCGCGCAGCCGCACTCTGCGATGGACTTCGTCCTTGTGTTCGCGCAGCCGACCGCCGCGGATAAGTTTGCGGGGAAGTTGCTGTTGGCGCCTGCAGGGATCTGTTCTTCTATGCTGGGGATTGCAAGGATACGTACGCACGGGATTTGCGGGAGAGGCGTTTCCGAAGCTCAAGAGGACGACCACGACTTACAATTTCCAAGAGGGAGTGTGCTTGGGCAGAACTTTGCTACCAATGCAAAGGACATGTAAGCGGCGGTTGTCAAGTTTGTAGATGAGTTGTAGTCACAGAGCAGGACGAAGAAGTCAGTTTAGTGGGGTTGTGCTGGAAACAGCACTCGAGTAGATATTGCGGGTCACATGGCTGACTATCGGCATCTTCGATTACGCTCGTTACAGATGGCGCCGAGAGGCGTGTTCGAACCGCCACCCCGTCTCTTGTAACCGAATACAAAATCTAGCAAAAACTAAAAGCCACTTCGGAGTCCGGTTCAGAGAAACCAAGAATTTGATTTTTTGTTTGATTTTACAGCGCAGTTTGGAAAAGAAAAACTTATATAGAGGAGTTGATAGGAGTAGGGCGGGTGGATGAATGATTGAGGCAAGGCGAGGTGAAGTGACTGCAGTGACTTGACACCGCCCGCTGGAAATGGTCTCTGTGTCTGGACGTCCAGATGTACACTAGGTGAAAACATGATGTGTTGTCTTTGTATATCAAGAGCTATCGCGATCAAGTCGTATGGCTTTCAATGGCTCTTTAGTGGTGACTCCTTCTCTGCTCGTGTCGTTGAGAACATTCAAACGTTATACAGCTTCACTTCGCTGCAACCCTCGGCCCACGCTACTTTTCCCATCCCACCGTGTACGCCTCCCTACGCTAAATCCAAAAAACATCCTGTCCATTGCTAAACGACATGCGCCGGCTCTGTGCTCACATCCGTCTGACTTTTATGCCCCCTCCTCCTGTCGTCCTCCCCCCTCGACGAAACCGACCACTCCACGCTCTTAACAATCCCCCCATGCGCATCGCTCACCTCGCGTGTAATCTCCTGCTCGTCGCTCCGCGCATCCGCTTCCTGCTTTCCTGTCCATTTCCAGTCGCTCTTCATCTCGTAGTGCTCGCCCGTCACATCAAACGTATCCAGATCGTCATACCCATCCGTAGGTTTTCTTGAGCGGCCCGTGCCGCTGCGCTTTGCAGCGCTCTGCGCATGTGCCTGCGCGCTGCTGTTGTATCCCGAGCGCTTGCTCGAGGCGCGCGTCGACGCGAGCGACGGCACGCAGCTCGAGAGAATGTACTTGACCGTGGGTCCGCATGCGCCGACGATGGCGATGCTGGACTCGATAGCCGAGTACGCGGATTCCACCGAGTAGGATTTCGCTTTGCCAAGGAACGCGTTGTACAGCCATATCATGCGCGCGATGCCGACGGCGATAAGCACGACGCCGAAGGACAGGAAGGAGATTGTCATAACCTTGCGCCGCAGCGGCATCTGCAGGTCCCAGATGATCCAGGAGGGCATGAGCAGAACGAGCGCGTCGGTGACCAGCACGATGGTGACGTTGCCGAGGACGTATTTGTCGCCTTGCATGCAGTGCCCGGGGATCTCGGGGTGCCATTTCTTGCGGAGGGGAAGGCAGGGAACGAGTGCGACGCAGGTGGATATGATCATGTAGATGAGGTTGATGATTTGGATGGCCCAGAGGGAGCGTTGGATCCATTTGTTTGGCGATCGAAGTTTTTGTAGAGACCACAGGAAGGACATCTTGACAATGCAGACGACAGGGTTGTATTCGGCGCCGAGCGCGAATTGCAACTTTCCGCTGTTAGAGACGCTGAGGATGTGGTGGATCAGATCAAACATGCCTTGTTTGCGCGCACCCAGTCTATCGCCATGAAATTCACATCTTGGTCGTGATAACCCGTCCGCATCTCGAGCGAATCTGCATCCGGTCAATTCCGCAACTGGCACACGGGTACCGGTGTCCTTACACAAATGTACAATGATGCTGTTCCCCAGCGACAGCACCCACCCCAGAACAATCAGTGCGTCGTCTGTGATCGTCAACTCTGCCCACCAACGCAGCAAAGATCAGCGCAGTTCTTACCTCCTCCAAGCGTGCGATCGACCCGCTTCTTCACAATCCTTACAGCGACAACCAGCCCTGCGATTCCTGGAAAGAGATACAGCAGCGCGATGAGCAGGGGCTGCAGACCTTTGCTTGGGTTGGGGTTGAAGACGGGCATGCCGCCACCTGGCATTGAGCCCGGCGTCAACGGGGCCGACATGGTGTCGTGTGGCCGTTACGATGGAGACGTGGGCCTGCAGCGCATGTATGTATACAGTCCCTCGTTGTACGACCGCACGAGACGTTTATTACATATCGCTTGTGCATGTGCCTAGCGAGAGCGTCAAGTTGTCGGCTGCACTCACGGGGTTCCAGAGCCACTCACACGCAAGGGAGGAGCAACAAGATTTAGGTTCGAGCCACGGCCTGCAAGACAACCATGGCGAAACGTGTTGCGCTCTCTCCGCGGGACGCAGGTCTGATCCTCCGGAGGAAGCGAGGCGGGATACGAAGACTGGCCTTGAGAGAAATGCGAGGAGGATGCGTTAGGGAGGGGCTCCCTGCAAATAAGGCGGCGTGCCATGATGGTTCAGGAGCAAGCGGCCGTGTAGGGACGGGATGTTGATGCTTTGGTGAGTTAGTGCGGCGGCTAGTTCCCCTGCGATCTCAAGCAGGGACTAGTGACGCGGCAGGACAGCCGTCTACAGACCCTAGAGAAAGTTGGATCAGTGCAAGGGGACCGGGTTCTCGGGATACGATGGCCCGATGCTCTGCGAGCTTGCAATCGCAAGTCCAATGGAGGATCCCGTTGTCTACATGAGACTCTGCTCGAGGATTCGATGGCTGCGTGCTGCGTGCAACATGTGCAGCTTTACAGACGTGTACACCAGCGGGTAGCTTCCGATGCCGCGGTAGAAGGCGTCCCGGATCGCGAGCACCGCGCCTCTTCCTCGAATGGGCTTTGCGAGCTGTCTGTCGAATGTTCGAAGAGGGGTCTCGCCCAGGGCTGCATGGCTTTGCGGCTGGTATCATTTGGGTGTTTCCACATGGAGTAGTCGTCCTGCAAGCGAGATGGGCTATCGAATGCACTAGCACGACTGGGGCATGGCGCTACACGAAGCGGCATGTCGACAGGCTGCCACTAGCTGCGTGGGGTCTCTTCGATTGCGCCCCATGCGTTCCTTCGGTCGAAATGCGGATGGGACGTGTCGCTTTCGCTTCTCGACAGGCTCTGTACCAGCGTGGATGCTTTGCAGAAACCACGGGCAGAACAAGGTTCGCATCAATCTACCAGGCCGCAAGACATGTCCCGACAGCAGCGGTGCCTGGAGGGATCTAGAGTGCTCACCTGCACGTCGGGCGCACGGCAGGCGCATCAAGGCCCCTCAGGGTCCCGTACATCCAAGCCCACAAATGGGAACGCGAGGCCCGAGCCGCGTGCGCTTCACGTGTTCGGCCCAGGCACTGTGCGCCCACAGAGTCGGCGCCCATCTCCATCTGTCTGCGGCTCTGGGTGCAGGTGCGCGGCGTGGCTTCGCCACTCGATATCGTACTGACTCGCCCCACGATTCCGTCAGGCCCACTGGCCCAGCAAGCGCGCAAGTGCCGAACATGTCGCGATGGCCGGAGAGATGATTGCGCTCATCCCATTGCAGCTGCTCTGCCATCTTAAATAGAGTGGGAGTCGCAAAAATGGAGCTTTTCCTGCCGAGCACAAGATCGTCTTTGCCTCCAGCAGCATCTCCAGCAGGCCGTCCTTCAGCATGCTGGCACCTCTCGTCCTCTCTTTGGCCGCTGTGCTCGTGAGAGCCCAAGAGCCCGTGCCTTCTGTCCCTGCGTCCATCTCTTCCGCAGTTGCTCCTGCTGCGACTGAGGTGCCTGCAGACTCCACCGATGCGGGCGTGCCATTGTTTGAGGAGGAAACGACTCAGTTGACGGACGCTGTGGTCGCTGACATTGTCAACACCCCGGAGATCGAGGAATACGCCCATCTCTTCGCCTTCGAGAACACCACAACGCAATTGTCCGAGCGCGCCAAACGCCAGCGCCGCCTGGCCAAGTGCAAGTCTGCGCCTGGAGATTTATTGTACCCTGCCAAGCTTGTCTGGGGCATCTTTGATCTCCTGCTTGGTGGGGCATTGGAGCCAATTGTCCCGCTTGCCTCGTACTGCTACAAGGACTCCGAGTTCGACAACTACAACGCCGACAAGTGCGCTGCTGTTACCGCCGGTTGGACAACCGGTGAGCTCCAGTAAGACTTCCCTGAGATTCGTCAATTTTCAAGTCTGATATTTGAAGTTACAATGACCCCGGCTCCATGATGTTTCCGCTGTACACTGGTCCCACATGCCTGCTTCCTGGCGACGTTGCATCGCACGGCAACTGCACCCAGGGCGGCTATTCTGCGTACTCTGTCCATGTGACCAATGTGGCTCAAATTCAGTTGGCTGTCAACTTTGCACGTAGCTCGAACCTCCGCCTCGTGGTCAAGAACACTGGCCACGATTACAATGGAAGGTCGACCGGAAGAGGCGCATTGAGCCTGTGGACGCACAACTTGAAGGGAATCCAGTACATCAACAACTACAAGAGCTCCACCTACAGCGGTCCTGTTTTCAAGGTGGGAGCTGGTGTGCAGGGCTACGAGCTGTACCAGGCTGCCGACAAGTATGGCGTGTCTGCTGTTGCGGGCATCTGTCCTACCGTCGGCGTATTTGGTGGCTATTCTGCCAACGGAGGCCACTCCCCGTTGATGCAGCTTTTCGGAATGGGTTCCGACCAGGTTCTGGCCCTCGAGGTCGTGACTGCTAGTGGTCTCTTCATCACTGCGACGCCGACGGTCAACAGCGACTTGTACTGGGCTCTGCTCGGCGGTGGCGGCGGAACCTTCGGCATCGTTACCTCAGCTGTCGTCAAGGTCCACGAAAAAGTTCCCGTGACGGTCGCTACCTGGAGCTTCAATTCCTTCATGACTGGTCCCGAGCCATTCTGGGAGGCGCTCAAGTTCTTCTGGGACGAGATCCCCAACTACAACGCGAACAAGACCTACTCGTACGGTACCATCATCAATGCCGGTGTCGGCTACCTGTACACCATGGCCCCTTTTTTCGCGACCAAGAAGACCGTCGCCGAGACCAACGCTATCCTGAAGCCCTTCTTCGACAAACTGACCGCACTTGGCATCCAATACGAGTTCAACGCCACATACTACGACACCTTCTACCCCGCCTACCAAGCCAGCTGGTCCGACGACGACTTCCACATCGGCAGCACCGCCGGCACCCCCGGCGTCCGCCTCGTCCCCACCGACAACTGGGCGACCGAGACTCTGCGCAACCAGACGTGGTCCGCGATCCGCGGCGCCATCGACACAGCCCCCGTCATCACAATCTACAACCAGCGGCCCGCGACCCAGGACAAGATCATCAACAGCGTCAACCCGGCCTTCCGCAAGGAAGAAGCCATGGTGCTCATGATCAATGGGGTTGCGGACCCATCCACCGCGGCGGGACTCAAGCAGGCCGCGGATGACTTCGCGAACAAGATCATGGGGCCCCTGAGGAAGGTGACGCCGAATGGGGGCGAGTACGGCAACGAGGCGGATCCGTGGAACACCAACTGGAAGCAAGACTTCTGGGGCGACAACTACGCGCAGCTGGCGACGCTCAAAAAGAAGTGGGATCCCACGGGCTTGTTCTACGTGCACCACGGCGTAGGCAGCGACGAGTGGGTGGTCGACGACGGCGACCGCGGGATCCCGACGCAAGATGGGCGGCTGTGCCGGGTCTAAGACTCGGTTGCTTGGAGCGGAAAAGTTTGCCTTCTTTTGTAGATATCTTTGACAATACACATCTCTTAATCAAGTCAAGTAGCTTGGTCCACAGCGTTCGACTGTTGATTCATGCTGTGAGACGCTGCATACTGCATGATGCAATCGTCCCGCCCTTTCAATGCACACAAACAAGTTACATCGTTTCCAACCCCGGCAATGCCCCTTGCCCAGCAACATCACCCTAGCCTCGCAACGCTGCTTGCCTACCTAACATGACCACCCCTTACCACCACCCTTCCCCTAGCAATGCACCCCCTTTTTCTGCAGCTCTACAAAAAAGTCCGCGACAACGTGGCCTGCACTTGAACGCCGAGGCCAAGAACACGAAGAGCACATGGTATCATCGAAATGTACACTTTACATTTGGTATTTCGTGACCCGTGCTGTCACAGCACAACCCGCCCGCTGCTACACGACACGAAAGCGCCGCTATGCCTACCCAAGAAGCTCCGCCCGTCCGCCAGTCCAGAGGAGCAACATAAGTGTACATGGTCATGATACAGATCTCTTCCCGTTCCGTCCCCGGCGTATCCACCCGCCCGATCAATCCGATACATGGGTGGGTGGCTCGCTGCTCACCTAGGCGTTCCCATGGCGCCTACGCAGCAGCCTGCACCTCCACCACCGCATTCCCATTGCCATTCCCATTCGCCTCCTCCATCTTCACCTCCCCACCACCCGCCTCAGCCAGCACCTCCGGCCTCCACACCTTGAGCAGCTGCCCCGCCTTCGGCTTCGCGCGGTCATTCTCGCGCCACAGCTCCGCCGCAATCTGCACCACGACATCTTTGACCGGCGGCCGGAACATGTGCAAATACTGCAGGACCTGCGTCGCCAGTCCGACGCGCTCGGGGTCCTGCGCCATGGTCTTCATGCGGGATAGGATCTCGTAGTCGAGGGTGGGCAGCTCGGAGTACAGGCGGATGAGGCCCTTGTCCTGGGGGGCGACGTACGGGAGGATGCCGTCGATGAGGCGGAGGGCGCAGCGGTGGTAGTGGCCCTTTGGCGGAGTAATGCCGTTCGTGCTGGATTTCGCAGACGATGCGGCTGCGGTTTGCGCGAGGATGGCGTCGTTGTACCACTCCTCGTTGAGCCAGGAGACGGCGACATCGATGCGCTTCTTCCAGTCGCGGATGACGTAGTCGTAGAGCAGATCTCGTATTGATTCGCTGACGGAGAGGCTTCCTTTGATGTTCTTCACGGCGTACTCGTCTTTGATGCCATCGTTTGGGTCGTCTAGGCCGGCGCTTGCGCGGGTAGCTAGTCGGGTGGCGATGGTAATCCAGGCGTCCCGACCGTAGTCGCTGGCCGCGAGGCGGTTGAAGCCACCCTTTGTGGCCTTGCCTTTCTCCTCGAGCTCGCCTATTAAGCCGAATGTGCGCCGTACCGCGAGCTCGCCGTGTTGCTGTACCTCTTCGACGGAGAGACGAGGTGCCTCAGGCAATTTGAAAGCTGCTGGTGCAACGTGTGTAATATCGCCGGTGCTGTCAAGTCTGTTCGCTACTTGCTCAGCATCCTCAGGTTCGTAGTCGTCTGGTTCGTATTCGTCTTCGTCGACAGGTGCAAGAGGCTGTTGTCTCGACATGGAATGACTAAGTGTAAGGTAGCGACTACGGACGACCTGCGAAGAAGCATTGTATTAGCGGCGTTCATATATCATGAGACAAACCCAATGTGTAGGAGTTACGTGGTGGTTCCCAATGCAGAGGGTCACGTGAGAGCGCGTTCACGCCTGACCCGGAAGCTCCGCACCCACGGGAAGTTGGCCACGTCTTGGCAATTATGTGGGGTTTCACGTACATTGGTAGCTTCAAGAAGTTTCTTCTCGTCAATCGACTGCAGAATAGGTATAAGGATCTGCTGAACAAGTGCAGGATCCTGAAACATCTTGACATCAAAGTTCGCAGCAGCGTTCTCAGGGTCTATGGTGTACAGCTGACGATAGCTCACAGGACCAGGAGGGAGAGGGGGCACTGTTGCGGCGAGCGTTGGAGGTTCAGCTGCCAAACGCTGTCGCTTTGCAGGGTCTAAGCCGTTAGTAGGTTCAGCGGGAGCTGGCCGCTTCCGGCTGCTCTCCTCCATTATGTCGTGTCGCATACGATGCATACGCTCCAAGAAATGTTGTATCCGACCATTGTTGGGGTCATTTGGCCGCTCAGTGGTATTCCTGATTTGGTGAGTTTGATGCACGGAAATGCCTTGACAGCGGAGCATACCTCTTAAGGATGTTCACAAGCAGAGCTCGCGTTGTGCGTTCTATGGCCTTCATGCTGACCTTGTTCTTGGGTGTCATGGGCGAGTTTGCCAATTTGAGTGGGTTGAAGTTCAGCACGCTGTTGAGGACCTTGTTTGCAACGACAGGCCGTCGATGGATCAAGACACCCAGGCTGTTGAGCACAGAGGTGACCAACAACGCATCACTGTATCCCGTCAGATATGTTCCGCCACCCAGTGCCATGCTATCTGACCTATGATCTCCATGTATGATATCTAGCAGTCGATCTAGCAAGCCGTGCCCTTCAGCCTCGAGGTGTACGTATGTCAAGAGCGGATGATCGCGGGGTACGAGGGCGAGCGAGACGTCGCTGTGATCGGGCCGCTGTACTGTGTGAGCTGATTGCGCGTGTGGCCGTGGGTGTGGGCATAGTACCCTAGGATCTATCACGCCTGGTGTCTGCACAAGCACCACCTGCTGCACGAACTTGACGCAGCATATTCGGACGCCTGGAGGGGCGGTGTTCATCCGATTCAGTATATTAGATTTGATGTCGATCATGGTCTGCCAGTGCTGTTTGTCGTTTGGGTCGGAGATTCTGCAATCAAATTCAAACATAAGACAGCGTTCTCAAGCGCGCAATTACGGGGGACAGTGGCAGGTTCCAGCGTGATCGCGCATACCTCCACAAGTGCTGCCGCAGTTCGAAGTCTATCTAGCATGTGGGGGTCACTTACGTGTGCCTGTATACCAGAGGATAGACGGAAGCTGCCGCCTGGACCGCGCCCTTGATGACGCCGCGGTCGTGCACCTCATCCAAATAGTACTTGAGGGTGTCGAGGACCAGCAACGCTATGGGCTGCTTCGCTTCTGCAGACCACATGGGCGACGCAAACATCTCAGCTAGGAAGTCGGCTCCAAATCGTTGCACCTCCAGCGAGGCATTTGAATTGGGGCCGATGAGCGGCAGCACACCGGGCATCAAGCTGGGGTAGTATTTGCTGTCGGTCAGCGCAAGCGAGCGCGCATGCTCTAGGTGAGTGTTCGCCATAGTGGAGGTGTAGTGGGCAGCAGTGCACGATGCGACGGGCTTTGTTTCTGCGATAAAGATGGGTGACGAACACGCGCCGGTGCAGCTAAACAGGCCAGCGAACGCGCGCAATCAAGCTCTGATGTCCTCCGCTTGGAGCAGTCTCACCCCCGGCCGCTTCTGTCGTGGAAAGAAGTTGAAGGAACGTGCGAACGGGAGTGGTGCATTCTACGTCAACGAGGGTGATGGAAGGAACGTCGCAGCGCTGGCGCGTGCTCGGGAAAGAGCGACGGACGGGTGCCAAGGCGGCCTGTGCGCGAAGCCTCAATTGATCACGGCGAGACATGCGACGCTTCCCCGCAGAGAAGTTGATCGCGACAAGCAGCCGCCATGCCTTAGTGAGTGCGCGTCTGCTCTGGCACGGCATGCGATGCTGACAGTGGCAGTAAACCGTTCCAGTCGACCTACTACGATGAGAAGATGCGGCAGTCGCCCGCGCTGCTGCGTGCTCGCGCCCCGTACCTGATCAAGAACACCATCACGGGCTTCGCTATATGCACAATGGTCATTGGAATCTGTACGGTCTGCCCGCCGCGTCTTTGTGCCATTCTCACAGTTTGCAGACACGTACACCATCAACGTCATCTCTCAGGACGAGTTCGACGATGTCGTGGTCCCCGACGAGCCCATAAAGCGATCAATCGTCCAGATGCAGCCGCAGCCGAATGCTCCGAGCACCACCCAGAGCGTGCAGCAGGCCGTTGCAGCGCGCAAGCAGTAGGATTGAGACCATCGCGAACATCGAAGGATTGCCCATACTGGTCACTGCAGAGCACGGTTCGAGACATCTGCAGCTGTAAATTGTGTATATATACATCGGCATTGCTGGCGTTAGGAGACATCACGGGGAAATATAACATCATTCTGTCTCGCATCTAGCGAGCTGTCCATCAGATACACTTCTCTACTCCATGTTGCAACAGGAAAACGCATGCTATGTGCTAGAGGGTACAGCTGAATCTGTGCTCCAATCCGTATGTAATGAACAAAGAGACTGTACGAGGAAGGAGTTTGCACAGCGACTTTCGCCATATGAGATTTTCTACCTGCCATGCGAGCCGGAGCGGGCCAGAGATTGAGATACCCAGCGTGTCGACGCCTCGGGACAAGCAGCCAAGAGATTGCTCACCTATCCCAAGCGCAATAGGGCAGGACCTTCAGGAGGAAAAAGTGGCGCAAACACTTGGCTGTGAGCACTTCTGCACGCGCTACGTTCCAACGAACATCCCGTTCCCTGAGTGCCTCGTGTGGATATTGGCGGCGGCCAGCATCGGATCTTCCGGGGACAGTGAAGCTTCGACGACCATTTGCTCAATCGCATGTCCTGTGGTAACTTGATCTACAATGAGTCTCCGAATCCGTAACCTGATGATGAATGGCCGGCGTGCACATTGACGCAAGAGGACGTAGAGCGGATACGCGAAGCGTTACTGGTAAGGGTCCAGGCGCCACTGCCGTCTCGGTTCGACGCCCCCATCAGCCTTTGTCCGACCTCACACCAACCCACCATAGGCGCATCATACAATCTACTCGCGTCGTGGTATGATGTCGACAGCAAAATTCTAGTTAATGAGACACAGATAAGCCAAAATTAGAGCACGGTTTCAGGGAAGCTCGCTCTACAATGGGCGTTCAAACGTCGCAACATACTGCACTCACATCTACGCGACAACTGGTAGACGGCAGCAACGCGCTTACAACCTTGCACGAAAGCATAGAGGATTCAGATCGTCTCGAACGAATGCCATTTTTGCACAGTTCTGCGCCGATACTTTCCGGTGTGGAGGATGCGAAGTTCGCGAACGGTGTAGCCAAGGCCTTAATTATCCTGCAATATCGACCATCACCTTCCCACTTAAGCAGGAGAAGTTACTCTGCTCGTGCTCACCCCAACTATCACCCAAACATCTATTTTCTATGGGGTCCACAGTGCCACAAAAACCCAATGATTATGTGACAAGCACGTCAAAACCGATTTGCACCGCAGAAGCCATGATTACTTCCACACTACGTTCAGCGAGGCCAGACAAACGCTTTCGAGGACTTGAGGTTTCGCTGACGCCAAGCTATATCGCAATACGCCAAGTGATTGTTCTGCCCAGCCAGAAGCTTGATTCAAATAATCTCACTTGGGACTGCCCTGTTCAGGGCCCGACTTCTGTACCACCTTCCGTATGAAGAACGTTTATAGTGCTGTTGTTTGTAGTCCCTGGCTACCGGTAAGTCTTGGTAAGTCTAGAGCGAGTCATTCAGGTGCTCTACCGGTAAGTCGTAATCGGTATGAACTCTCTCGCCACAGTGAAGGGCTTGTATAAATACGACAAGCACTGCGCGCATATGAGCAGATTACAGCGGCTCAAGTCCTCCCCTGATACCTGGTAACCCTAGCATCATGAAGTACGCTGCAGCAATCGCTGCCCTTGCAGCGGCGGCATTCGCCAAAGAGATCCCCAAGGACCCGGAACGGGCCGCTGAGCTCTATGATTCGGGCGTCATGCACGAGAGGATCATGGCCGACAAAAACGCCCAGTGGGACCTGCAGGACCAGATGGGCGTGCTGAACTCGCTCGCTGGTCCCCAGTTCCCTGAGCTTCCCTTCGCTCAGTGCAAGAATGGATTGGCTGCCCCGTTGGACCCTTTCCAAAGCAACAACGCCAGCACCAAGTTTCGTTGCAATAACGTAAGTCCCTTCGGCCAGCGATCCTGGCCAGGTACTGATTTTACACAGATCAACCTCCATCACTTCCTTTCCCACACTGACCTTGGATCGGCCGTTGGCAAGGGTTCATCGTCGTGGGGCTGGGTGTCTGATGACGGCCGCGAATTCGCCATCATCGCTCAGGGTGACGGCGCTGCTTTCGCCGAGATCACTACAGCTGGCAAGCTCAGATACCTCGGTCGTCTGCCTCAGACGACTGGTGTCGCTCCCAGCCAGTGGCGCGAGATCCGCACATTTAAGCACTATATTGTTGTCGGTAGCGAGGAGCCTGGCCACGGTGTCCAGATCTTCGACCTGAAGAAGCTTTTGACCATCGACTACAAGAAGGGCCCTGTCACCTTCAGCCCTGACACAGACCTTACCGGGTACTGGAATGACCTCCCCCTTGGACGTGTGCACAACGTCCTTGCCAACTCTGACAGCAACTTTGCGTACGTGGTTGGTGCTCAGCCTCGTAACTCGAGCTGTCTCTCTGGCCTTATCTTCCTTGACCTCACGGATCCTTCCAACCCAAAAAACCCAGGATGCGCTCGAGACGACGGTTACGTGCACGATGCTCAGTGCGTCATCTACAAGGGACCCCACAAGAAGTATCTTGGCCGTGAGATCTGCTATGGCTACAATGAGGACTCCATCACCATCTGTAAGTTCTGCCACGCATACCTGGTTAGAAGAATCCCAAAGTTCTAACAAGCACAGATGATGTGACCGACAAGCAATTCCCCGAGACCATCTCCATCACCTCGTATGAGGGTGCCACCTACACCCACCAGGGCTGGCTGCTCGACGTCAACAATCAGGAATGGCTCATCTCCGACGACGAATACGACGAAGTCGAGGGCCGCGGCGTCGCCTCCAACGGCCGCCCCGTGACCTTCATCTGGGACATCCGCGACCTCGAGCACCCCAAACAGACGGGCTACTACCAGGGCCCGCGCAAGAACATCGACCACAATCAGTACATCTTCGGCAAGTACAGCTACCAGAGCCAGTACACGGCTGGTCTCTCGATCCTGGATATCAGCAGCATTCCGACAGACCCAACGGGCCGCGGCGTGAGGGAGGTGGGCTGGTTCGATACCTATCCCGAGGATGATCATTTGGAGGGTGGTGGTGAGCTAAAGTTCAGCGGCTCGTGGAGTAACTATGCGGGATACCCCAGTGGCTTCATCCTGATTAACACAATGGATCGCGGTGCGTTTGTCGTTAAGACGCAGAAGCCGCTTCCGTAGATGGAGTAAACTATTATAGCAGTAAGCTTAATGTTGATTTACGAATGCATACATTCATCCATGCATGACTGACTGTGCATCAACGTAGAGTGCTTTTCGTCGGCAGGGATTGCAGAGGCAGGAACCGAGGTCACGAAGTAAACAAGTTCGAGCAATTATGGCGCTAGTGAAGCGAGAGCCAATATCATGAGTAGGTGATTCAACCGTGGGGATAGTGGTCTTAGCGCAAGTGAAGCATGAAGTACCAAATCTGCAAAACATAGCCTCGGACGACTTAACTAGGAAGCGAGAGAAGAAATAGCGCCCCAGATTCACCTCGGGACGCAGTCTTGTAGCGACCTGGCAAGTCTACGACTTGATCGCGTGTCTTTTCTTGAGCGATCTGAATTGACAGCAGCGATGTCGAGAGAATGAAAGGACCATACGAAGCAAGACCGACGTAGAATCGACAACCCTTATGCGTCCTTTATAGCATGTATCTTACAAGCTCCATCTAAGAGGCAAAAATTGCAGATGCCACGAAGATGGTAGTCCGCCCGAGCAATGTTCTCTTCAGTCCCTGAGCCCTTGTCTTGTATTAATAATATCCCTTACCCTACGAAAGAAGAGCGAATTCATCCTTAAGTGTATGAAAGAGGAGCGTCTCGGGTGTTTGGTCCCAGTTTTGGGGCACTCGGGACCAGCGAGACCTAACCCTCGGCGGGGAGCATAAATCCGCCATGAAACCCCCTTGGCACCCTTACCGGTGACCTTGTCCCTAAACACCGAGGCATCACCCTCGTAGACACGGAATAGTTTCGAGTTCGCAGCCCAATATTAGAGCCATCACACATTGCGGCACGTGAACTCCAGTACGGCGCCTAGGGGAGTCAATAATACTAAAATGCCGCAATTTCACTTTAAGAAATGCTGATCTTTTAGTTTTGGCCCCTTGAAGCAACATTTTAACGTCTGTCTACACGATTTTCTGACTGAGATCGCGACATTCTAGTATCACCGACCCCTCCCCCCTCCCTAGCGCCATACTGTCGGCTGCCGGTCGTCTGTGTCTGCAAAGGGACCTGACAACCGAGCGTTTAGACTGCTTTGCGGGTTGACAAAATTTCTACGCCGAAAAATTGCGGCATCTCGCAGATAGGTGAAGCGGACATGTCGCAGATAAAGTTTGTTCAGATATTCAAACGCACAGTTCGAGGCCTTCCGCTCTCGCGACCGCAAGTAGAGGCGAGAAATCTCATAGGGAAGAAAGAATCTGCAATTCGAGGTTTTACGTTAATCGAAAGGCACCGAGTTGTCGTTCGCTGTCTAAGTTCCACTGTCGAGAACAGTGGAGAAAAGTAATACACAAGCTAATGACACCCTCCCCCCACTACCGGTAGCTCCGCCCAGTTGTACCCTGCACCCGCCTCTAGCACTCAACGCTACCTATGGGACATCCCTCCTAACCATGTCTACCCTCCAAGACGACCTCGTCCTCATAACTGGCAGCTCGCGCGGCCTCGGGCTCGCCATCGCCCGCGCCTTCCACGCCCACGGCGCGCAAATAGTGCTAAACTACATTTCACCCACCTCCGCAACCCCAACCTCAACCATCGCGCAGGAGCTCTCCGCCATAGCAATCCAAGCAGACGTGACCGATCCCACAGCCGTGCGCTCCCTCTTCGCGCAAGCAGAAGCACACTACAACCGCCCCATTTCAGTCGTCGTGAATAATGCCTTGGCACCATTCTCATTCAACGGCGACGCACGGCAGAAGATAGAAGACATCACGTGGTCCTCCTTCGACGCACAGCTCAAAGGCGCGGTGCAAGCAGCCCTCAACACGACACAGGCTGCGCTCCCGGGGTTTGAGACGCTGGGCCACGGCCGCATCATCAACATCGGATCCAACCTCGTCCAGCACCCCGTAGTACCCTATCATGACTACACCTCCGCCAAAGGCGCTTTGCTCGCTTTCACGCGGACCTGCGCAGCGGAGCTGGGGCCCAAGAATATAACAGTGAATATGGTGAGTGGGGGGCTGCTGCGGGTCACGGATGCGAGTCGGGAGACGCCGGAGGAGGTGTTTGAAAGTGTGCAGGCGGCGACGCCGTTGCGCAGGGTTACGACGCCGGAGGAGGTGAGCGGGGCGGTCCTGTTTTTTGCGAGTGCGTGGGGGAGGGGAGTGACGGGGCAGAATTTGGGGGTGGATGGGGGCCTGGTTATGGGGTGAGGGGGGTGTGGTGCACGGCGGTTAAGTCATCAAGTGAGCAAGGTCTTCGAGATGAATATATGTAGCACCATTTGTATTCAGAGACTATGTTGTAGTTTACACGCACCCGCTAAAAAAAAATCAACCAGGAATTGTACAGACCGCACGCGTCTAGAGCTCGCCGTGCTCCGGGATGGGAGCCTCGGGCTCTTCGACGACTTCCTCAATCTCGATCTTGATAGGTTCTTGCTCGGGGACCTTCTCTTCTTTGACTTGTTCCTTTTCAGCAGCAGCTAGTAATGACTCTGGGAGCTTCTCCTTTTTGCCGTCGCCCATGCGGATAGCATCAACCCACGACTCTACCTCAATGGGGCCGTAAGCAGTGCCAGAGTACTTCTTGTACCAGGAACGCTTGCCGTTGGTTGCGACGAGGTGGACTTCGTCGTCGCTTCCGAGGCTGAGCTCCTTAAGAAGGGAAGTCGCGATCGGGTTTGAGGATGGGACACCGATGAATGGGAACAGAGTGCTCTTCAGGTCGTCGTACTTCTTGTGGATGGAAGCGAGGGAGGCAAGAGCGGTTGTGGCTGCCTCAGCAGACTCGTCCTTGGGCAGGATGGCGAGGATGCAGGTCTTGCTCTTCTCATTGAGACAAGCGGCCTGCAATCCAGACGCATCGGCGATGACAGGAATCGTGGGCTTGACCTCAGATATAACAATTGGCTCGGGCGTATCCTCGTCCTTGAGGCTTGCATCGGGGGACTCGGTGGGCTTGTTGGCCTCTTCAAGAGTCTCGTCTGCAGCTGATGTGGCAGCAGAAGATGCCTCGGAGGACTTGTGTGAGGCTGAAGCCTTGGAAAACTTGCTTTCCTTTTTCGCATCTTTCTTGTCTTTCTTCTTGTTGTCCTTCTTCGCCTTGGCAGGAGGGCAATCGGGGTTCGGCGGGGCGATTTGAGAGAGAAACTCTACCATGCCTGCCTTCTCCATGGCTCCGTCGTACTTGATGGGCTCGTCCGAGCCAGCCTTCAGAAGAACCAGGGCGGGGAATTTGGTGATGCCGTACTTCTCGACCGCGGCACTCTCAGTCTTCCTGATCTGTGCGATAGGTACCAGTCCGGCGAAGTCGATGGCTAGGGTGCGCAACGTAGCGCTGATTGCGCCCTTCTCGCTGAACAGGATGGCCTTTGCGCTGTCCTTGTTCTCGTCCAGCCACTCGTCCAGCTTCGCGTCCGTCACGCGCTTGACGTTGTTCGGCACTTTGTCCTTAACGACCTCCACGATTCCCTTCGCCTCTCGCGGGCCGTTGTAGTCCTCCACCGTGGGTTTGCCAGGTTTCTTTCCCGGTCGCACAATCTTGAGGGTAGGGAAGCCCTGGACGCCCATCTTGCCGCACAAGGGCTTGTTGAGCTCCTCATCACAGTTGACGGCGGCGACCTTTGCGATGCCCTCGAGGGACTTGGCCGCCCTCTCGTAGGCAGGTTGAAGGTTCTTGCAGTGGCCGCACCATGGCGCATAGAATCTGGGGCGGTTAGCCACCGGGTCAAAAAGGTGGCAAAGTAGAAGCTCACTCGACGATTGAGGTGTAGTTGGACTTTGCGATCAGGCGGTCGTAGTCGGCAGTGGTGACCTGGAGCACCTTGGAGCTCTTGGGGTAAAGGCCCGCTGCGTCGGCCTGGAGGGCAAGTGCCGCGACGGCGGCAGCAATGGCGGTAGAGCGTACCATGGTTGCAGTCGACCGTGTTGAGTGTGAAAGAGCGGAATTGAGCTGCACAGCTCGGTAGCCGGAGTGCACTTATGTAGAGGTGGCTCACATCATGCTCTTTGAAGCCAGAGTGTCTTTTGGCTGTGCTCCAAAGCTCCTGCTGCACCCCGCGCCGCGCTAGTTATCGCCGAGGCCACCGTGTGCAGGGGTCCACATGACATCGCTGCCTCCATCACGAGCTCCCCGCACATCTCAAGCAGTCGCGATCCTCGTTGCTCTCCATCGCGCACACCATGGCAGAAAGCATACCTGCGAAGCTGAAGGCTGCCCAGATCACGCCCTTCGTTCAACGGGCGGCACAGCTGGAGCGCTTCAAGCCATTCATCACCTACTGGCGTGAGTGCGGTGCGGCTGGCGAAGCCTGTATGCTAATCATGTGTAGTGAGATACTACATAATTCAAAAGATAATCGCTGCTGGTCTCCATACGGCCGATGCAGAATGTACCACCTACACAGCGAACCTGATGGACCAGCTTGAGCAGACCAAGGCTGCGAACCCGGATGAAGATGCCTTGCACGACGAGACAGCCGCCCAGGCGTACTGTGAACAATTCGCCTTCACCACTTTCGCGAAAGGAGAGAAGGACATGACCGCCAATGCTGTGACTAAGAATACTGCAGACACACTTTTAGCGGCCGCGACCTTCTTCGAGATGCTCACCATATGGAAGAAGGACCCCGAATCCGAAATCAAATCGAAACAGAAATTCGCAAAGTATCACGCCGCGCGTATCCTCAAAGCCCTTCGCAATGGAGAAGATCCGAACGTCACGAATCCCGCCCATGAGACGCCGGCAATAGGCTCGCCCTCCGCGCTGGACCCGAATGACCCTGAGGTTCAGAATCTGGCTCCGGACACTGCAAGCCCTTCAACACGAAATCCATATCAGCCTTATGTTGAATCAGCTCCTGATACCACAGCACAACCCTCGCCTACGATCTCGGCGCCAAAGGTCTCTCCTCCACCAATGCTACCTTCCGCGCCCACGGACTACTCCGCACATCGCGACGTCTCTCCCATTTCGCAGCCAGGCAACAATTCGCGACAAGGATCTGTAGTATCTGAAGGCGGTGGCTACTTTCCGAGGGTCAATGTTCCAACCTTTACGGCCGACACCGCAGCACCAAACCTACCTACAGCACCTTCCGTCGAAGACGAGCCAATGGGCGGCAATCCATTTGATCCTTCATCTCTTGCGTCGTCTCTACCCACGGGTCCACAGATACCGCAATCTCCACAAGCACCAAGTCCTCAGGATTATTACCATAAAGCAACCTCACCTGCACCACTTGGACAAAATCCGCATCAGGCTCCTTCACCGCAGGTTTCCTACCAGCCGTCGCCGAATCCATATGCGACTCCACCTCCACAACCACAGCAACCAGCCTTTCAGCGTCCCCACCAGCCACATTTCAACAACTCTTTCGCGCCACACCAACCTCAACATGCGCCTCCTCCCCATCAGTACACTCAAGCCCCACAAGCTGCTATGCATCAAGGTCCGTTCAGAACCGATGAAGAGGCCCAGATGGCAGCTGCAAAACATGCCAAGTGGGCTATCTCGGCCTTGAACTTTGAAGACGTGAACACTGCAGTGAAAGAGCTGAGATTGGCGCTTCAGTCATTGGGCGCAAACTAGTTCATCTGCTCATGCTGTAGGATATGGTTAGATGAGTTTAGGATATTGCGCTTCACTGTTTGAGGTTGGAATCTTCGTATACCCCCCCAAGAGTACATAGATCGTATAAATAAAAGCTTCACCATGCACAATATGAATTTGTTCTCAATGTCGCGCCATGAGCCCGGTGAGTTGTCTGCGCAATGTCTCTAGTGCGGATGAGTCAGCAGACACCGTGCGTGCGTGACCCGATTTTCCGCTGCGCTTCGCTTCCAAGCTCCTCGATCCTTCAAGCTTGCTCTGCAGGCGACAGCAACATCGGGTCACTATGCCTGCGCACCCTGAAACTGTCTCCTCTGTCTCTTGATCGCCGACCAGCATGGCGCCAACAACACCATTCAGTGCCTCGGAAATATCCGAGAAGGCTCGTCGCGACCTGCTTTTGCTGCTTGAGGGTGTAGGGTAATATCGTCATCGCTGTGTTCTTCCTCCGCTTACACGTCCATCAGGTCAGGGGCAAGAAAAACCTCGTGCTTGAGAAAGCACTTGCGGGATCCGTAAACTTGCTCGTCAAGTCATCAACGCTGCAAGAATATGGCGTTGACAAATTCTTTTTCCTCGAGAATGACAACGTCAACTCATCGCAGCGGAACGTGGTTTTCCTCGTTAGGGGCGAGAAGGCCAAGACCGTGATGGCTGTTGCCGGTAGGTTTGTTTGCTTGCTTTATCCTTCATGCATGTCGTGAATTCAAGGGGCATGGGACAAAATGAGGCTACGCAGATCGAACCCCACTCTGTTTAGCCAGTCTTGCGCCCTATATCGATCATAGCATTTTTACTGGATACCCTCTCGCGTTACCATAGAGGTGTTATCTATTGTACGATGCTAACACGTAGCTCAGATCAAATTAAGCGTCTGCGTCGAGATAGCAAGATCGAACATGAATTCTCCATCTTCTGGGTTCCACGACGTACTCTTGTCTCAGACCAGCTTCTCGAGGAAGCGGGTGTGCTAGGCGAAGCAAGTGTGAGCGAGTGGCCGCTCTTCTTCGTCCCACTTGCAGACGATGTATTGTCGTTGGAGGATGGTGATGCCGTGACAGATCTATACTTGGTATGCCTGAGGTTTCTGCTTTCCAGAGTCGAGCTCATAGTTGTAGCGTCAAGATCCCACCTCAATATATCTGGCCGCCAGGGCACTCATGCAGCAGCAGCAAAAGCACGGCCTCTTTCCACGTATCCTCGGAAAAGGTGACAACGGCAAGCGACTCGCTGATCTGCTTATCCGCATGCGTACTGAAGTCACCGCTGGCGAATCCTCGAGTAGTAGCACCGCTTCCTTCTTGGGTTTGGTTCCTAGCTCTACCGTTGATAGTTTGATCGTCATTGACCGAGCGGTGGACTTCCCGACTGTGCTCCTTACCCAACTCACTTATGAGGGACTTATTGATGAAGTTTTCAACATCACCGCTAACCAAACGGAAGTTGACTCGTCTGTTGTTGGCGGCGCTGCACCGCAGCCGGGACAAACCGGTTCGCCATCAACGAGCATGAAGCGCAAGATTCTGATCGACCCCAAGGACTCATTGTACGCTACGCTCGGGGACTCCAACTTTGCCATCGTGGGGAATCTGCTCAACAAGGCAGCTCGTCGACTGCAAAGCAGCACCGGGCGTGACCAGCTGGCAGCCAAGTCCACAGCAGAATTGCGTGATTTCGTCGCGAAGCTACCTGGCTATCAGGCCGAGCAAGCGAGCTTGAAGCTTCATACTTCACTTGCCGAGGAGATCATCAAATTCACACATACTGACATTTTTCGGCGGTCTCTCGAAGTTCAGCAGAATATTATGTCAGGACTAGACCCCACAACCCAGCACGACACCGTCAATGAGCTCATCAATCGTGACGTTCCGTTGAGCGCAATCCTCCGACTCCTCTGCTTGGAAAGCACTTCCAATGCCGGCATGCGACCCAAAGATCTGGAAACTTTCAAGCGAACTATTATCCAAGCCTATGGCTCCCAGCATATTCTCACGTTATCTAACCTCGAGAAGATGGACCTCTTGCAACCTCGCGGCGGATCAGGTCTTGGGGCTACCCCGGCCGCAAAGCCAGGTTCCGTCACGAACTATACCCCACTTCGAAAGTCATTGAAGATCTGGGATGACGACGTGAACGAAGCCGAGCCGAACGATATATCCTACACGTTCTCGGGCTATGCGCCTCTCTCGGTCCGCCTCGTCCAGTCAATCATCCAGAAACACTCTCTTTCAAATGCCATCAAGCCACCTTCCGATCCCCGCACCGCTGCCCAAGCAAACCCTCTAGCGCAAGGCCTCCGAATCTTTGACGATGCGTCAAAGTACGTGCGCGGCGCAACCTTCGACGAAACGCAGACGGGCGAGGAAAAAGCAATCAAAGCACGAAGCATGCTGAACGGCAGCCACAATGATGGCTCGAAGACTATTGTGGTGTTCTTCTTGGGCGGTGTGACGAGGGCTGAGATTGCGGCTTTGAGGTTCATTGGCAGCAAGTTGAAGGAGGTTGGTGGAGAGGGCAGAGGAAGCAGGATTGTGATTTGCTCGACCAACATTATCAGGGGTGGGAGCTTGGTCGATAGCGCAATTGAGACTGCGCAGTTTACAGCGTGAGCAGCGGAGGGATATAGATGCGTGGTCAAGGTAGCTGGGCAACATAATTAGTCTAAAGGGATGTACAATCTCCAGCTTCGTATCAATGTCTTGCCCAGTGAATGCAGCGCCCGAGCGAATTATACGCTTCTACCTGACGGCACGTCCTCGTCACTACGTATTGTTCACTTTCATCTTGGTCGAGTGAAGTCCTTGGCGCGAACGACGCACGGCCCCGCGGGTAGTCGCAACTTCCGATTTGCTGTGGACTCTCTTCGACGTCTTCGACATTTTTCTCGGAGCGTTCACAGTGTCGCAAAGCATCCCCAACTTGCGCAGTGCTTCCACCATCCCCCGCGCGTCCGCAAGCAAAGAATTGCGCAAATTCAGCAAGATATTATTCGCACGTCTATCGTACCCTGCCCTGCATGACGAAACGAAAGCGCGGAAGCTTCCAGCCCGATGATGAAGCTGCACCCGCAGACTTTGGTCTGGGGACAACACTTGCATATCTGAAGGGTGACAAAGAGGCAGCTGTACCCGCAACGAGCGCAACATCAGTCAACGACGACGACGCAGGTTGGACTGTGGTCGGAGCGAAGCATCGGCAGGACAAGCATGCGCAGAAGCACGGCAGCAAGGCGAACATGCGGGATCAAAGGCGGGATGAGGCCTATAAGCGCGCACGTCTGCGTAGCCCAAGTCCGCACCGTTCGCAGTCGGCAGATTCACCATCCGCAGAAGACATTGAGGTTGGTGGCAAGCCCACTGAGGCTCCTACTGACGCGCCCGCCGTCTTTATGGAGAATCCTTTCGCAACGAAGAACGGCGACTCGGGAGATCCATCGCTGCAGCCGCGCAACCCCTTCAGTACATGTGAAAAAGAAGCCGAGCGCGCAGAGGCATGCACGAAAGATGCAGGCAAAAGCCGAGAGGAGCGCCGCAAAGATCGCAAGCTCGAGCGGCACTACCCAAAGATCATACATTCACACAATGCTCGCCTAAATAACTCTACCAAGATCTCAGACTTGCAGGCCCTCGCGCTTTACATACTTGCTGACGGCACCGCACCCCAGTGGGTTGGTGTAGAGAGTCGGACTAGTATCCGCAAAGTTGTTGTACTTATGGTTCCTGGTCTGGAACTGGACATGTTCAACGGCAAGATACCGCTAGAATCAAGCGCCACTGATGCCGATGCTAACACGAACACAAAACCAAAGAGGCTAGACATAGGGAGGGATGATTACTATCCTGCTTCGTTGAGGCCAGAGAGACTGCCAGAGTCACTCAAGCCCTTGTCCGAGGTGTTTCCTCATGTTTGGCCTGTCATGGGCCCGGTCGAGAACCGTGGAAAGAATTATGTCAAGCTTCACTCACCAATTCACGCCATGCTATCTTCGCAGATCCCGAAAACACAAGAGGAGAAGCATCTCAAAAAGAGTGGCAAACACAAGGGCCCACTTCCGCAGAAAACCAATCATTGGGAAAATCAGCGCACACCCGTCACTCAATATCTCGCTACGCTTGCTGATCAGCAGGAGAACGAGTACGTCGTCCATCCAGCTTGGTTCACTACACACGAAGCTCGGACTGCTGCTCAAGAGAGACGCAAGATCGCTAAATGCTCAGCTGATGATGGCTGGATAGACAGCCATGTGGTCAGTCTTGAGGATGGCGAGGTTCCTGAGAAGGACATCGAGCACGGCAGTGTGACAGCCGGGAGAAAAGTCCTGGCAGTCGACTGCGAAATGTGCAAAGATGAGAACGATGTGTCTGTACTGACTCGCATCAGCCTCATTGACTGGGATGGCACTGTGGTAATGGACAAGCTTGTAAAGCCTGATACCCTGATCAAAGATTACGTAACCCAATGGTCTGGCATAACTGAGGAAATGCTTCGCGATGTGACTACCACACTCGCCGATATCCAGAAGGAGTTGTTGGAGATCTTGACGCCCCAGACAATTCTCATCGGACACTCGCTGAATTCGGATCTCAACGCAATCAAACTCACGCATCCATTCCTGATTGACACCGGAATCTTATTTCCGCATATCAAAGGCCCGCCCTATAAGCAATCACTAAAGTGGCTGGCGCAGAAATTTCTCCGGAAGGACATTCAGAAAGGATCAGATGGCCACGACAGCATAGAGGATGCCAAGACTTGCCTTCATCTCGTACAACAGAAGTGCGAAAGGGGCCCGAGATGGGGCACTAGCGATACAAATGCCGAATCCATCTTCAAACGACTGGAACGCGCACACCGACCAAAGTCGAACGACGCCAAACGAGCTGGCGCCATGGTGGACTGGGGAAATTCCAACCAAGGCCCTGGGGCGCAGGCAAAGGTGGCTATTGGATGTGAGAGCGATGCTGATGTCGTTGAAGGCATCAAACACGCTCTGAGTGATCTCGCAGTTGGCAAGAACGGCACGACCGAGCAGATCGATTTCGTCTTTGCACGCTTGCGAGAACTCGAATTGGTCCGTGGGTGGTGGGATGATGGCAGGGCATCAGATGAGGCGAAAGCACGACGGCAGGCAGCTTTGGAGCGTCTTGGACTCTCACTAGATTCGGATGAGGAAGTCACCGAAGAAGCACTGGGCAAAGAAGTCTCCAAGACCGTCAGCAACATTGTGAAGATCTATGACTCGCTGCCGCCCTGCACCGCGTTCATCGTGTACAGCGGCACAGGCGACCCTCGCGAAGTCCGCCGCCTGCGCCAGCTGCACGAACAGCACAGGAACGAATACAGGACGCAGAATTGGGACAGCATCACCCAATGGGGCAGCGACGAGGACGAGGAGCTTTCTCGCGCCGTCCGGCGCGCCAGGCATGGAGTCGGCTTCATGGTCGTCAAATGAGCCCCAAGCACCGCGCCACAACCAGAGACATTCTCATGAGGAATAAAATAAAATATATCTGTAACGTTGACCCATATGTTGGTTGTGCGACGCAGCCTCTTTCAGCTTGAAACGTCGTACCACGCTAAACGATCGGCGTGCGCATCTGATTCTCAGCGATATAGGTGCGTCAGGGGTTTGTGTCTCGTGACCATATTGGCTTTATGGACAGGGCAGCGTGCATGGCCTATTACAGCGGGCGGAGCGTGCGTACGAGGATGGGCATTATACACGGCTAGCGATGGCGCAACGGGTGTGTTGCATTGCGATAGCTTTGGCAATATGCAGGTGCGCGCCTGAATTGTAGATGGGCCGGTGTCATCAATGCAGCTCAATACATCTCACCCTCCCCCGACGATGACAGATCCGCGGCAAGAAAGACGTGAAAGTCTCAATCTTAGCAGCGTGGCAGCGTTGCAAGCGGCAAACCCTAAACCAGCTCCAGCGCTCGTAAATTCGTATTTGTGAGACGGCGCTGATGTTAGCGCATCCCTGCGCTTTGTAGCCCTTGCTTTGTTTGCTGGAAGCCGTTAGCCCGTGTTGGCAGCACCCACGCTCCGTGGTACACACGCGCTTCTATGATGCCAAAGAAGACTGTTATGTCACGGCTCACGCGCCCACGGGGAGTCATACTCGCGCCAGATAGATCACAGATCGATCGCAGATGGCTATGCATGGGTCTGCTCGGCATGCGCCGCTGCGCATGTCCATACGTGTACAGTTTATCAAGTAGACCAGGCAAGGGCCGGGGATGGAAAAATAGATGACGCCGCTATATGTATAGTACTACGCACGTACGCGGGCGTATGATTAAAAAGTTATTACTAGCGGCAGACGGCTTACGATGTCGCGCCACGTCCCGGAGCGGAAATACCTCTGCCTTCTATCCTGGCGGCGCCTTCGGAGCCATCTCGCGCGAGACGAGTCGTATGATGGCCGCTTTCCCCCACAGCCCAGCGGCTCACGCTGGTTGGCAAATTTAGCAGAGCTGGCCTTGCGAGCGTAGGGAGGTGCGAGCATCAGATCAGTCGGTCTCACATGTAGGAACAGCCAAGCGAGATGGGCAGACGGGGGCAAGCGAGCTCACCCAACCATGTATTTTTGCATGGAAACGAAAACCGAACCCATAATGTTATACGTGGGTTATATTGTTGGCCGGAAGCGCCGAAGCACCAGAGTTGAGGGGATGTGATGCGATAACATGGCGCGCTAGGAAGGCTTGTTTGACGCAGAGTGCTAGCGCCGAGGATATTATTGCATACTAATCTGTAGGGCGGGCGAGGACACGCGGCTGGCGTTGTTTCTTGCTGGCCTTTACGCGATAAGGTTGGAGGGCCGGCGCAATGGTCTGACGGGGACGGAGTGATGGAGAGCGCGGGAGTATGTTGGAGATGAGTGAAGGCAGAAGGGCTGGGAGAGTCCACATGTCGTTGAGCCCAGGCGGTATACGACATCAGGTCGTCGACGAGATAACTGTGCACAGGGTTACGTCGGATCGGCGGTGCAGCGAATTAGGGCTGCACATAGGCGGCTTTCGTAATAGACGGCGTATAGTCATCAGCGCGGCTAGGCTGCGCTGGGTAAAGGCTAACGTCGCAATGCTAAACTTGGTTCGATTCGACGCTGCGAGTGCTGCTCATTTCTAATTCGATCCCTAAATCAGATGATGCCCTGTCAGTCCTTTTCTCGGATTTTCCGAACAACCTCGACACGGCCGGTGCAGCAGGGGCCGTGCAAAGTGTAGTCTGAGAGAGATACCGCTGCCGTCGCCAGCCACGCGTACTGAAACCGTCTGCTACAAAGGTTACGCTGCACTCATCAACCAACACACTATAGCGCCAGAAGTATTAGTCGCCGTGCCGAGCCCTCACCGATCTGTCACCCTGCAGAAGTCGTCGAGTGCGGTACCCGGACTCCTGCTCCTTCGTTCGTCAGCGAGGGTCAGCCTTGCCCTGTCACGTCTCGACTTGCTATTCTCATCATCTGCCGCCGTTGCCTATCTACTTGGATGAAAATACTCACCGTCGCAGCCAATGGCGGAAGGCAGTGAGCCAGAGATAGCAGAGAGCCCCGACGAGCCCTCGCCACCACGCGCAGAGTCGACCTTGGGCATCTGCCGCAAATGTGGTGCAACAGCGGGCGACTTCTTGATCAATGCGTGGCACAAGATCACGATGTCCTACTATCTACCGGCTGAGGTCGGATCCTACCGCAGCAAACTCCGGGCAGCAGGGCACCACAAGAGAGCATCGGCAGGCAGCGAGTTCACTGGATGGTAAGCTTTAACCTTGGCCGTTGCAGGCCCTCTTTCGCGGCGTCGCACAGTCTCTTTTCCCAGTTGAGCATTCGATATTCCCCTAGCATTATGACCTTATCCCGGCGCCAATCAGCACCTTTTGTATTTTAATTTTTCAAGCGCGCCTGCGCTAGCCCTTTGCCAGATAATCTCCACACTATACGTTTATCATCTATTAAACCCGCACGCCCGCATTGTGCGATGCAAGCGTTGATGCTAGCCCTCTGCTAACCCTCCCCAGCACCGTCGACCCTCTGCAGTGCGCCGCCTGCGACACTCCGCTGGGCTTTCGCGTCGTCGAGTCTCCTCCGGAAAAGCAACAGTTTCGGTGAGTCTCCGTCTTCCTAACAACCGGCAGGACGTGTGGTGAGGTACATATATATCACCCCTCGCGTCTGTGGCGTTGGCCTTGCTGGGATCCCGCATGCACATCGCTGCAGCTGGGTATTAACACCACAACAACCATACCATTTAAACATGCCTGCGCCCGCAAGAGGTACCGCCCGCTGACTCTCATCCAGCGGCCGCGACCTGTTCAAGCTCTCCAAGATCGAGCTGCGATGTCAAGTTGGCCCTGACCACCAGATTCCAGTAGACCCTCACGTGCAGCAACCCGCTACGCTAGTCCACGACTCGCCCGAGCCAGCAGCCATGGAAGTCGAATCCCGGCCCCATCATCCACTGCCCGGCCCTCACCACAAGCACTACGAGCAGCACCATGATCACCATCACCACCGCCGGTCATTCGAGGCCACCAGACAGTCGCTGCCACCTCCACAGACGGCTCGTTCACCACCAGCTCCACTTCCCCTGCATGGTGTGCCTCAAAAATCACCCAGCAACCCCCCACTCGCCTCGCCGTCTCAGTATCATGCACCGCAACCACCCAAGCAGTCTCCTCGGGAAGAGCATAGTGTGGTCAGCCGCATGCCCTCCAGTGCCCCACAGTCGCACCCGCATTCTCCTATAGACCAACGAAATGGCCAAAGCTATCCTCGAACCGCCCAGGAAGTCCAGCTCGACGCCATTGAGCGTCTCCAGACTCAAATTTCACGTACGATACTCCACTGTACAAGGTCGCTATATCGCAGACATAGACACATTGTACATACACCCAGTTTCGTGACTTAGCTGACTTTTTACCTACGAGTATAGAGAACAGCAGCGCCTTGGTAGCCCAAAGCCGTGACATGCGGCGTTACGAGGAGACTCTGAAGCACGAAGAAGACAATCTCCGTACGTACGTCCGGAGTACAAAGTGGTTGTTTTCTGCTATTATTATCGCCTGAACTCTTCAGACGGTAGTAACAAGCTCAAGCTAAACCCCCACTGTCTACTCGAATCCCTCATATTTTGACCATCTCACTGACTTTGTACATCACACTTCAGGACGTGAGTTCACCACCCACTTCCATCAGCAAAATGTCGAAATTCGACGGGTCGACGAGGCTGTAGGGAGACTGCAGCACGAGATGCTTGGGATCCGCGAATTACTCGAAGGCCTTGGCCGCGAAGTGCATGCCATGCGGGGAGGCGGACTTAGTCTCAGCGGGCAGGACACTGCGCTTGAGCTCATGGCACAGCAGATGGCTGTCATGAATCACAAGACTAATGAGGTGGAGACGTTGAAGATCACCATTGAGATCATGAAGAACAAAATTCAGCGTCTCGAGGAGGTTGCTGCCGCTGCCGCTGCCGCTGCTCCAGCACAGGTGCCATCATCTCAGTATGCGTCGCCACGGGAGGCTTCTGTACGCCCAGCCCAGCCACCTTATCGCGCACCGCCAACACAGGTGCCGCAGATCGATATTCCCGTTCCGTCTGGGCAGCGGACGCAGTCGTATCACTCACAAGGCAGCCAGTCTGTTGTTGCTACTCCTGATGCCTCGCAGCGACCTGAACCTGCTCAGACACAACCTGGATGGGTCGCGGTCAACGCTGGCACGAAGCGCACACATACAAATGGCACAGACAGCCCCCAAGACTCCATTGGACCATCGCTCGGGTCTCCGGGCAAACGCCCTAAGCTAGCTGCCATCGAACCTCGGGGTGCCTACGCCGGAGCCGCATATGCTTATGAGCATGCAGACACGGATGACTCTGATGCGGCTAGGATGCAAACCCATCGGCACACATTACCTTCTCAAAGCCTTCCCCCCAACTCGGTTCCATCCACTCTTGCTTCGCAGCACCACTTCATCCCATATGGCACGCAAGATGGACCTTCCGACGAGAGCTGGCGACCCGAGTCACAGCGCGTCATGTCAGAGTTGCGCACGCCTCGTGGACGGGGTCGCGGCGGCGGCCCAGGCAGTCGCGGTGGGCGTGTCCGGAAGAGCATGGGTGTCCAACACACTCACGCTCTGAGCACACCGGACTGGGAACGGGATGACTGGCAGGGCGTCCCTGATTCACAAATCAGTCCCGATGGATTCTACAATGGAACACGCTCAGGTAAAGGCATCATCCGTCGCGGGAGCGGTGGCAGCGGACGTGGCGGCCGGCCCGCCTCCAGCGGTCGCTCTGTAAGTTTAGGCCTACAGGGCGTGAGTGCCGGTGCGGAATTCGGCGTGTCGGTTGATCCCTATGCTCACACCAAGAAGACCCGCACCAAGCCGATCCGTAACGCGGATGGCGTCTTGATCCGCAAAGACGGCCGCCCGGACATGCGCTCGCAGTCTTCGGCTGCGAATCTGCGCAAGGTGCATGCGCGCAAAGAAGAGGAAGAGCGCATGACTGCGGAACAGGGGTACACGCCCACGCCGTCCAAGCTGTCGAATAGCGTCAGAGGCACGGCGACACCTAGTCCTACGGGCTACGGACCGGCAGGTAGTCAAGGCCCCACTGCGAGCCAGCAGAAGCACCACGAGCTCATGTCAAAGATTTTCCCTAGTGGAGTGGATGAAGTGAGAAAGGACCACGACTACGCGCGCAAGCTCTTCGACGAGGACAGGGACCACACGGCGCAGCCACGGACGGCTCAGCACCAGCACCACCATCATCGCCGCGGCTCGGCATCGCACGTCGCGCGTTCTACGGAGATCAAGCGCGAGCATGGCGACGAGCAGCGCGTGTCTGAGAGCCAGAATGAAGATGTGGATATGGATCGGCCTGAGGACCATGCTGATGATGAGGGCCAGACGCCTGGTGGACAGAGCGATGGCTCTGGGCGAGAGAGCCAGTATCATGATGCGGAGGGGCAGGAGGCCCAGCCCCACGAGCAGCAGGGTCACGCTCAAAGACCCAGAGAAGAGGTCGCCCAGGCACCGCAGACTACAGGCGAGAGCTCGCAGACGCTGGGTGCTGCATCGCAGAGACCGGCGGAGGGCACGGGGTCTACGGCTACACTGGCGTGATTGATCTTTGCACCGCTTTGATTCTCGGTTGGATTTTTGCTTTGCCTGATTTAGCGATTCTGTTCACGGTTACATGGTTGTCTGTATTATCCTCAATTTGGGGATTATTCGGGTGGGGACTTTTGCTTGGATCCTCAAAAGTTGTACTACGATATGGCGTTGCTCTGTTTGGCAGTTGGTCATTGTACTTTGCGCTGCTATTGATGATATCCACATGGGGGCTTACTTGCTTTCGCGGTTGGCGGTTGTTGTACTATTGGGCAATGTATCCACTTAGGGCCTTGGTTGCTTATGCAGGCGTGCTACGTTATTGGACCGTGGCGTGGGACGGCAATAAAGATACATAGATGCGTACCAAAGAATGAACGAGGCGGCCCTATTGGATGGTGGGTATATAGTAAGAAGTGCTGATCTTATGTCGTGGATATTACTGCTTTGGCAGCGTGAAGTGGGCCTGTGGGGCTATCCTGGCTTGGAGGGAAGAACAAGTATGCTGCTTGCCAAGCTGCATGTAGCTGAAGACTTTTTTTTTCCAACACTTGGTTGCATGTTAGGCCTGGAGAAGGTTTAAGGCATCCTTGTGCATGCGGCCTGGCGAGCAGGCGCCGGCTCTTGCCGCCATTCTAGAACGCCATGCGTGCGCTGCGCTGCTATGCTATGCTATACAAGATGCATGTAATGCGTTGGGAATTTAATACTGCCGTCATCCCAACGCAGGTTATGCACCGCGTGCTATTCGTCTGGAAAATAGGCCTGGTACATAGGCCTAATATACATCGTGTACTTAGCCGGCGAATCAAATGTAGGGTTAAGCGAGGCCGAACAAACAGGCAAGACAGACGGCGCTGGGAAATATGTGCTGAATTTGGGTGGCAAGGAGCTGCTTGGTACAATAGACGTTGGGGTGCTAGGATAGTAGCGGACTCACATAAGGTGGAGAGCAGGGTTGGAAAAATAAGGTAGTTGGACGGGTAGTTTCTTCTGATTCATCGACACGATCGGCACAGGTATAGACAGGGGTGCTGCAACTAACGCTGCTCTGATCTTGTTCGATCCTACGGAGAATCAATTCCATCGTTGGATCTGCGATAGCGGCGGGAAGAAGAAGGTGGCTAGGGCGGCGGATAGGGGAGAATAGTATAGCCAGGGATCTTACACGATATTACAGTCTTCGGGAAGACTAGAGAGGCAGCTTCGGAGACGCGGGATTGTTAGTGTCTGGGATGTGCAGGCTGCGTTTCATGCGTCTGCTATAGAATTCTCGAATAAGTTCTTAGTAGTGATATGAACAGGGTCATCATACAATGACGTTCTAGAAGACTTGCGGAAGGTCCCCTCTTCGGGAGAATGGAAGGTTGGTGGAGCCCATCGATTCATCCGAAGGTAGATAGGCTTCATTTGACGACGGATGTACCCGCCTATAGATGGTTCTGCCGATGGAAGTCAATGTCTCTGGTACAATGGTCGGCGCGATCCCACCGAGTGGTGCGTGCCTTGGAGCGTTGAAATTGGGATTGGGGGGTGTTGCTTGTTTGGTCAATTGCCTTAGGGTGCTGTACATATACTAAGCTTGACCAAATGCCACTAGGGTTTTATTAATCATGATACAAAGGTTCGTCTGCGCAAGTGTTGATTGATGAGGAGGCTGTAGATGAATGGAGCTCGAGGCGTGAGCCGGATCATGGGTACATCATGGCTGTGAGTTAGATCAATCATGGGGAGGCTTTTGATGAGGAAAAGCTCGAGAGGTAAGCGAGATTCGCATTGGGCGGATGCTATGGTACAGCGTGTTGAGTTGCTCATGACATCTGGCCTCAGTTGGTTGAGCACAACACAAGGAACGATGTGGCGTGCAGAAGCAGACAAATAGTCCAGTGAGCTGGTATAGCAATACTGCGGGAACCTCGTATCCTGCATGAATTACAAAAAGAGAATATCGTACAGCGTATAAGTACAAGCTGCAAACCACCAATCATAGCTTTTCCACCTAGCTGAAATTTAAAATCCCTCCTAATAAATACCATCCATGCAAAAGATACCAAGCTCAACGCTGAAGTCAACCAAGTCAAAACCGTCCACAAAATCCCAAAAACAAGAACTAAGATACAAGAAGCGAATCTCACATTGTCCACATTCCCACACCTCAAATCATTAGATGGCCATCAAATCCGAAGAGAAGTAGGCACGGAGCTGCCTGCAGCCTCAAGTGTACCCGCCTCAGTATTTCCAAGATCCGCACCTGTGTTCGCCGCCCCACTAGTCAAGATGCCATCGATGGAATCCAATCCTGTCGTGATAGTCGACGTGGCAGCCCCCGTCCCAGCGGCATTGCTCAGCGTCTGCGCACCATTGCTGATCTTATCAAGCTGGCGCTTGGGAATCGCACTGCCGACAGCCTCCAACGTGCTCGCTTCAGCGTTACCAACCTGAGCGCCGAGGTCTGCCGCGCCGCTGGTGGACTGCCCGTCGATAGTGTCAAGCTCGCTTGTTGTGCTGGATGTTACGGCCCCGGTGCCGAGGGCATTGCTCAGCGTCTGCGCGCCATTGCTGATCTTGTCAAGCTGGCGGCGGGTCCGGCGTGCGGGGATACTGCCCTTCAAGGACGTGACGAGGGCAGCGATGTTATCCTCGGCGTTTTCGATGCCGTAGCCGACACCGTTGTCGGTGGA